GGGACGGACGGCGTCGAGGAGAGCGGCGGGGACCAGGACGGGCCGAGGAAGGCGAGCGCTGGGATGAGCGCGGCCGTGTGGGGTCCACGACGGAGGAAGATGGGGGCGGCATGTGGGATGTGTGAGTGCGTTGCAGAAGTCGAGTGTCCTCCGTTGTTCAACCTTTCTTGTGGCGTCTCGCCGTACAATCCGACTCGTGACTACCGGGGGAACGAAACCTCGCAGGGGACCCGGGGGAACTGACTACCGGGGACAATCTTATCAAAGAACCGAGTCTCACACTTGGTGGTGGAGTGTAATTACACGTCACTAATGTGCCCGAGTCCCTCCACTCTTGCGCTGCGAGACACACATGGATACACGGAGCACACCTTCGATTACGGAGAGAGCGGTCCTGATGCAGACGTCGTTATGGAATACGAGATGCAATGTCATTCTTCATGTTACGTTCCTTTTTCTCTGCTTCACGAGTCGCCATGCCCAAGATCACCAAGGCTCCCCCCGCCCCTACTCTCCCCACTGCCATCAAGAGCCGCGAGAACGCCAAGCTCGAGGAAGGCCGTGAGCTGCTCCAACTCTGAAATGCTGATTCAGCTAACCCCTTTTGCAGTGGAAGTGGCGACCTTTGCGTCGGGATGCTTCTGGGGCACTGAGCACCTCTTCTCCAAGTACTACTCGCACCTGCCTCAGTTCAAGGCCGTCGTTGGCTACACTGGCGGCAAGGAGGACGTCACAGACCCGTGTATGTGTGGCATGAGCTGTCAACAGAACACAACAGCTGACATTCCAAAGCCTACAGGCAGGTCTGCACCGGCGCAACCGACCATGCCGAGGCCGTGCAGCTCACCTACCAGAAGGGCTCTGTGGGCTACGGCGAGCTCGTCGAGTCTTCTACCGCACCCACGATGCTCGACTCTGAACTCGCAGGGCCCGACAAGGGAACGCGTGAGTTTCGATGACGCCATGGCGAGGTGCGAGAGCGAGTGTCCGAATACTGATATGGCGAACAGAGTACCGTTCCGCCATCTTCTACCACAGCCCCGAGCAGGAGGCTGTTGCCCGCGCGGTCACCGCCGAGGTCCAGGACAAGTAGTGAGTTCTGGGGCAGACAGACAGACAGAGGGGTCTAGAGGCTGGCGCAGCGCGCACGGCCGTCTTGCACTGCCGTGGCTGACGCCTTTCAGCTACCAGGGCCGGCCGATCAAGACCGAGATCACCCCATCTGGCGTCTGGTGGAACGCTGAGGACTACCACCAGCACTACTGTGAGTACCAGTGCTCTGCTATGAAATGGGGCAGAGTTCGTTTACTGACGGACCCCAAGTGGACGTCAACCCGGACGGCTACGAGTGCCCCACGCACCGCTTCTATTGGTGATAAATTGTACGACTGTGCTCCTTTGTATTAAAAAAGACCCATATTATGTTCCTGTGCCGCGGCCCGCCCCGTGTGTGTTCGGCCAGAGCCGACCGACCATTAGCACTTGCCACATTAGCATTCCGTCCGTCTTGGCAGCGGCGCAGCGGCGGGACAAGCGCCGATCCGAGCGCGCGGGATGAAGACCACCAAAAGGTCTGGCCGCGCCGTGTTGCTTGTGTTGTGTTTGGCCTTTGGGCGGTGCCTCCGTGTGTGCCAGGTCCGTCGCACTCAGGTCAGCTGTCAGGTAAGCGCCCCCAACCCTTGGTGCGGCGTCGTCGTCGGGTGGAAGACATTGGAAACTCGTTGGCCGTCGTCTGTTTGTGGGTGGAAAACTGCATAGCGATGGTACAGGCCGCTGCCTATTGTGTGGCTGCAGCAAGTGTGCCACACACATGCTTGGACAAAGCTTAAACGAGCCAACGTACCGTATTGCGACATTGCGAGCAATGTCTCAACCAGCCAAAACAAGCAGACACAGTCGATCTTTCTGGGAGCACGTGGTTTGAGTGAGGGCCCCCGCCGCCACCGTTCGCGGGGAAGGGCGGCCGAGGACGCTGCTCGAGCAACATGTGGGCATTTTTCGCCTCCACCCCTCTTCGCTCTTGTCAACCACCCACTCACATCGCCTTGCCAACACAACCATTACCCCACCCCAGAAGCCTACTCTTACTTCTCCCATGAACAACGTCGCTCCACAGGCGACTCCCAGAACACCTCCCAAGACAACAACTCGTATCATGATACCCAACAACCCGCTTTGACCAGCTACCGTTAGAGGTACTGAGTCTGGTCACCTCCCTCTTTCCTCCACCCTTCTACCCCCCTGCTCCACTGGCTGAGCAGACGCCTGTGCCCGAGGCCACATCGTAGCATGCCTCGACCCGCACCCAAACCCCCCTCAGACGGTCAATGATGCCATCAGTAGCCTGACCAAGACCTGCTCCCACGCTCTCGAGTCGGCCCGTCCGTGGCTGTGGGAGAACGTCGATGTCCGTTCCGGACGTGGCTGGCTCGCCGTCGTCGACGCACTCACCGAAGAGGTAGTCGACAGCACCCCGACGAGATTGAGCCCGATCACGAGGTCATGTCGTCTGAAGTACTCAGTGGCGCTGGCATCGCGCCACTTACCCTCTCGCCCACCGACGCGACCTTGGCAGCTGCCGCGGATCCCCTCTCCTACGCATCTGCTTCTGCCTCGGCTGCACGCGAAGCTGCCGATGCCACCGGCGAACCTTGTGCCTTTGACGCGGGGTCGTCTTCGACCGAGAACCAGGCCCAGGTGGTGCCCTCTGTGCCCGTCGGCTCACTCATCGGCGGCCTTCTTGGCGGCGGCGGCGGCTCGGGCACGGGACGCTCTACCCTTGGGCGCAAGGTGACGATCAACACCACCGTCGCCCAGATTTCTGGTCCAGGTGCCGATATCATTGCCCCTCCGCAGCCTCGCCGCCTCAGCGCGCTGCTCACCCCCCCTGGTTCGCGCAACGTCTCCCGCACAACGCTCGTCTCCGCGGCCGCTCGCGCTCGCCCCGCCGCCAGCTCGCATTCGAGGCGGACGGTATTTCGGCCGTCCTGTCGCGCTCGCTGTCCCTCTCGAGCGGACAGCGCCCCTTTATGCGTCAGAGCTCGCTGTCGCACCACACACGCGTGTTTTCCGACTTTGACGAGGATGAGAGCGCCTCGGACGAGTCCTCGCTCATGACGGCCATGCGCACTCCTCCCAAGGACAGCCTCGAGCTTCCGCGCGAGGACGACATGGCGATGGAGGATGCCGAAGCTGTCCCCAATGTCAACCCGGACATGCTGCCTCCTCCCGGGCCGTACATTCGCCACATCAACTTTATCAACTTCCGCACCATCGGCTCCCGTCGCTCTCAAGAGGAGGCGGTGCGTGGACGTTTCGTCACTGCGGGACGCCTGGAGGGCGTTATCAAGAACACTCCAAACCTCCGCTCCATCTGTATGACAGAGTACGTCGACTCGGCGCTGTCATACCCGGTCGTCGAGGAAATCTTCTTCCGTGGATACCACAAACCCCGTGTGTTCCGCCAGCGTTCGACGTCCTTGTCGCCCGCTGCGATTCGTGCTCGCTCGGTGAGCGTGCACCCATCCGCGCTTGAACAGATCACGCTCGAGGATCAACTCGACCCCCCGCGTCCAGTCTACGTCCCTTACGAGGACGAGACTGACGAGCAAAAGTGGACCCGCAGGAACCTGTTCACCCCGCTCGAGGCTCTGGACCTCACGGGGTGTGTGAGCCGCGCATTCACCGAGGCAGCTGACGAGTTTGGTGAAAACTGGCTCAATGTCGGCATCCCGAGGAGAGCGACGATGAGGAGCGCGGTCGTGGACGTGGACGCCAGCCTCGCCGCGTCGAGTCGGCGACGGATACCGAGGACGACGACGAGGACCTTCCTCTTGCCGAACGCCGCACGCACCGTCCCCGCTTCCATGCCCTGCGGCGCCTGTCGCTGCGCGCATGCATGACGCTGCCTGCGACGTTTATCCAGGGCCTCATCCTCTGCATGCCCCACCTCACACACCTCGACCTCTCGGCGACCCGTCTGTCTGACAGCCTCCTCCGTACGCTCACGACCAACGCCCCTCGCGGTCTGCGTCTGCAGTCGCTCTCTTTGGCCCGCTGTGCACAGCTCAGTCCCCATGTCGTCGTCGACTTTCTCGTCGACTCGCCCGCGGCTCGTGACCTGGTCGAGCTCAACCTGTTTGTCAACCCGACGCAAGGGAACGCCATCGAGGGTGAAGACCTCATCCGCCTCCTGAGCAAGGCCCCGTGCATCCGCTCTGGCCGCCTGAGGTACCTTGACCTCAGCTCGGCGGGCTTCACTGTGGAGCACCTGTCGCCCGACGTCTTCCCTCCTCAGCCCAGTCTTGTGTCTCTTGGCCTCTCCCACATCCCCGAGCTGCCGCTCAGGGAGGTCGCCACCTTTATCCAGAACCAGGCGCCTGGTGTCGAGATTCTTACTCTCCAAGGCACATCCATCAGGGACCTCCGTCCCGACGCGTCCACTTTGCAGATTACGCTCGCGCTCCACGCCCTCCTCATCAACCCTCTCACTACCCAGCCCTTCTCGCTCGCCAACGCTCTGGACTTGGCCCGCGGTACGGCCCAAGTGGATCTCGCGGCGGGCCCCACTCGCCTGCGCGTCGTCGAGCTGTCGTCGTCCATCACCCGCTCCCTCACCTCGTCCCAGGGCTCTGGCCGCACGGAATGGCAGGTCGTCAAGTCCAAGGGCGGGCGCGGATGGTATGTCGACGTCTCGGCCGGCTGGATCTACAGCGACACCGTCGGCATTTGGGGCCGTGCGCCCGAAGACGCTGCCGCGAGCGGCGAGGGACTCGCGCGCAAGTCGTTTATCCGCCACTTGCCCGCCACACACCCCAAGCGCCAGTACTTTGCCCACCTCGCCGAGCAGGACGGCCGCGTGCGTTCCGACGTCGGCTGGCATTCCCGCAAGATGGAGATTGTCCGTGGATACGGCATGATGGGCAGGGAGGAGGGCATGGGCGGCGTCGCGGCGTTTGCGTCGCTCGAATAGAGCGCGCGTGCACGCGCGCGCATACATACACCTCCCACAACACTCCCCCGACTCTTGTCCACACCGCTCCACACCACCACCACACTGCCACACCACACCACAACGCCCTCCCTGTATACCCTCCCTGTATACCCCCCGACAGTCGCCAACCGTCTGCGCTCAGAACACAGTTTCCCAACACAATGTCATTGCACTCTCTCTGGTTCAAGAAATAATGTGTCTGTAGAGAGCGTGTACAAATTCGGAATCGATCAAAAATGTATATAAACCATACCCATTAGAGAACTGCGTGCCCAATCTTCGTTTGCTCGCAAGGTATGTACTGAGATCCGCGTTGTCACCGTTGTTGGAACGCGCGAGTGTCAGTGGCGCTGGTATGTGTGCCTCCTCGATAAGAACACTTATTGACATGTTTTTGATTGTAAGAGACAAGGTATGGATCTATTCAAGGTCCCATTAGACAAGATGGCGACAAGATTGGCGATGGCAAAAGAGACACACTTTACCCGCTTCTACAGACACATGGTCGCGTTGGTTTGCTTTTTGGCTTCAGCTCTCTCTCCCTCGTGTCCCTCCTGCCCGTTCTCTACTCGAGGCCAAGCTCCTTGCGCTTGTCCTTGATGGCCTCGGCGAGACGCGCAAAGCCCTCGGGGGCCTTGGTCTCGAGGTCGATGATGGAGAACGAGACGCGCACGTGCGGGCTCTTCCTGTTGGACGGGTAGAAGCTCTGGCCGGGGACGGCGAGCACGCCCTTGGCGAGCGCCTCGGTGCGGATGAGCGAGTACGAGTCGGTGATGCCCGCGGGGCTCATGTCGATCCAGAGGAACATCCCGGCGACGGGCGACACCCACGTCGCCAGGCCGTCGAGGTACTTGTGCGCGGCGGCCTCGAACACGTCCCTCCTCTCCTTGTAGAATGCCGACACGGCCTCCGAGTGCGCGAGGAAGCCGTCCTGGCCCCAGTGCTGGAGCAGGCTGCCGGCGATGCCCTGCGTCAGCGCCGAGGTGTGCAGGTTGGCGCCGGCGGTGTTGACGTCGATGGCGTGGAGGATCTCCTTGGGGCCCGTGGCGTAGCCGAGACGCATGCCGCCCGAGAGGAGCTTGGAGAACGAGTCGAAGCGAACGACGTGGCCGGCGTTGGGGAAGACCTGGGTCTCGAGCTCAAAGTACGAGGGGATGAGGGGCGTGGTGAGGTAGTCTGAACGTTAGCTATGATTTCCGTCATCAAGCTCACAGTAAGGGTCGTCCTCCATCATGAGGAGGTTGTGCTTCTGCATGACCTGGAGCACATCGAGCTTGCGCTGAGGGCTAGCCGAGCAGCCCGAAGGGTTGCAGCCGACGGGGGTCGAGTAGATGACACGGGGCTTCTTCTTGTCGGCGGGCCAGCTGTCGAGAATCTCAGCGAGGCGGGTGGCAGACAGACCCTGGTCGTCGACATCGACCTCAATCATGTCCGCATTCAGAAGGCGCAGAGCCGGGAGAACACCCGAGTACACGGGGGTCTCGACGAGGATCGGGTCTCCGGGGTTGAGGACGGCCGAGAAGCACTGTGGACGGGTTAGATGGTGCTTGCTTTGGCAGTTGGATGTGTGGTTGGGAGGGGCTCCATCCAGGGCTCTAATTTCAACGGATCCCTCGGATATGAATTCCGAGCGGGATGGCTCACGACACCCGCGGACAAGACGCGCCATCCCTTTTGCACGCCGTACCGAGCGCTTCACGACGCGGCCCCGCCAATCTGTCCATATGCACACGGGCACTGACGGTCTAGGCTCTAGCGCCTGTGTGGATCCCTTTGGCGCAGCGCACACTTTGCTCTGCGCCCACTTTTCTTGTCCCCTCCTTCCCCCCCCCCCAACATTTTCAGTGCTCACCTTGGTCATGAGGTCCTGCGAACCAGAACCCAGGGACACGGTCCAGTTTCCAGGCGTGCGCTTGTGGACACGCTCCTGCAGCGCGGTGAGCCAGTTGCGGAGGCTGGTCAGACCAGCCGAGGGGCCATACTGCAGCGCGTGGTCGAGGTCCGCGCCGTCCAGAGTGATAGACTCGGCAGGGCGGCCAGAGATGGACGGCTTGAGGTTGAGGGTAATGGAGCCAAAGGGGAAGGTGGCCGGGTTGGGCTTGCCGGCGAGCTGGACATGTTAGTCAGGTACAGACGTACAGATCAGGTGTCTGCGAAAGCTACTCACGAAGGAGACGACATCGGGGGTCTCGAGAGGGAGGAGACCACGAACTGTTGTTATCAGCAAGGTGTTTTGGGCGGGCAGGTGGGCAGTGGGCAGTAAAAGCACAGCCGTCGACGAGAATGGATGCTACAGCACCACGATCATTCCACATGAACACCACCGACTTCTACGTTACTCACTGCCGTCGATTTCGGTGGTACGCGCGCGGTCGCTCAGAAAGTTGGTCTGGTCGACGGGGGGGCCGGTGGTCTTGGGGCTCTGGGGGAAGGGGCTCGAAACGGCCGAGTCGGCGACCTGGACGGGGACGGGAGCCATTGTAGGGAGATACTTTAGGAGCGTATGTGGGGGAGGGGGTTTGGAGTGGAAGGGAGAGGGAGAGTGAAGGAGAGAATAAACGAAGGGAGAGAAATGGGCAAGCGGTCGACGACTATAAGCGAACGTCACCGTCTGCTCCGCTAAAACCGCGGTTGGCCGTGGCTGCCCGCAGTTGCCCGCTCTTATCACAACATTCGAGTCAGCACAATCTAGTCGGCAAGTTCCGAACGGCGTTCACCAGCGCACCAGGTGACCCTGCGCGCTACCGCAAAATGCATGGGCAAGCAACAAACTCTCTACAGCTATATAGCTATGCATCACGCTCCAGCACATGGCGCGTATAGTCCTCGGTCAGGATACCGCCCCACCGCTCGCTGTTCACGCTGGGCAGGCGGAACAACTCTACGCCACGACGCGGAGTGAACCTCAGCCTAAAAGTCGGTGCTGGCGGGAGATTGCCTTCACTCGCGTACACGGGAGGCGCGCCTGGTGGACGTGGGTCTGCAGGGAGCAAGTGACGGACCAAGAGGCCGAGGACGGCGTGCAAGAAGTGCAGGCATGGGGTCGGATACCATGCTGGCCGTGGGCCCGACGCGACCAGTGCGGGTATACGCTCAGTCTCGAACAGGTGGCGCTCGGCGATGATGCCTTCCTCGGTTCGGAATCCAAGCTCGACAGTCTGTAGAGAGAGCGTCAGGCAAATGATCCTCAGAAAAGGACATACCGGCACGCCCAAGAGGAAGCTCTGTGCCCAGTGCTTGAGCAACTTCTTATGGAAGACCATGTCGGCGCGGTCGCTGTCAATGACCTTATTGGTCTTGAGTTCGACACACGCGTCGAGACCTGGGTTTGGCGCTCCCACTTCGGCTGAGGGTTAGAGATGGCAGCTATTTATTAACCCACCTTGAACACAGTCCACCTCGCCACCGAGACAGAGAGGAATCTCGCCAATCGCCGAGCGGACGATGCTGCACCGTCAGCTTGAAAGTCCTCAGCCTAGCTGGCGAGTAGACATGCGAGGCTACCGCCCCCAGTAGCTGAACTCACTTGCACCACTGGTTGTCAGCTAAGTTGCAAAGTGGTTCCAATAACTCACCTGCACATTGGTGTTCACGTCTCCGCTCCATCCCTCTGGCGAGTCTTCGGGATCCCCTTCAGGCGTGGTAGTTGAGAAGCTTTCGTAAGAGTAACCCATATAGCTCTGGAGAGCCCATTTGGCCGAATCTTTTGCCCTATCGTGTTAGTATAGGACATAGGTGGCTTTGACGAGGAGATCGGTTTACCTACCGATAGCTGCGCTTCTCGGGAGGGTCGTCCAGTTCGAGGTAAATCGAGCCGCCAAGGGGCACGCAGTTCATCTCCCAACCATCGCGGTCCTCGAATGGGGCCGTCATGATCCTGTAGTCCCCATCAGCACCAAATCTCAGTCTCACATATCCAAATCGAGCTCTGGGAAGGAACCATCGAGCTCAGGCGGAGTTGAAACTGACCTCGTCATCATCCCGCGCCAGGTAACCACACCTCCGAGCCTCTCGGCCCCTCGCCCACCCTCATGCAACACTCTCAGAGCGTCGCACAGTCCATCCAGATGTTCCTCCACGCTTTCGTCACGCTCCACGCGCCGCTCGAACCCGTATCGCAGGTCGGCGCCGATCGGTGCCGGTCGGTAATAGACCATGCTGGCGTCGCCTTGCTCGATGGCGCGAGAGGGGAGGTGCGAATACGTGTCGATCAGGACTGGCCGCGCATACGCTGGCGGCCTTGGGAGGTTGGCGGGCGGCAGGGCCAGGGATTCTAGGGGATCCATTTTGTGAGTGGTGGAGTGGAGTGGACGGATGGTGACGGCGATGAGATTGAACGGTGAACGGAATGAAGCGGATCGCTGGAATCGACCGGGGTGGAGGTTGTTGACGGAATAGCGATGAACCCCCCACCATTTCACCACATACAATGTCGTGGATGATCTGAGTGAGACACATACCATCGAGCGTGTACTGTTTCGTACGCTTGAGCGCATGGGTGTTCGCTCGTATCTACCTGGCCAAATCGTACTCGATTGAGGTGGCCCCCTGAGACACTCTATAAATGCATGCACATCACTGCTACTCTCCTGCCAATGTCTTCCTAGCCTCCAGAAGCGCCTTGACAACACCAGCAACATCGACACGCGGGTCCGCTGGCCTGTCCTTGGTAGGAATGAACGCCTTGACCGCCGCCTCAATCTTGCCCTCCAGCGCCGCCTGGCCTTTCTTCAGCTGCTCCTCATCTTCCGCGTTGCAGAACCGTGCGAGGTTCTCAATAATGACCGCAGCGCGGTGCGCCAACCCAGCGTCGGGAGGCGAGCTTGAGACAGTCTCGAGGCGCTCACCGTCCTCGCCAATCTCGGGGACCGCGCCTCCGGGCTCGAACAGGTCCCCCAAACGTTCCCACGCGTTGCGCTTTGACGTGCTGCTAATGCCGGCACCGGAGAGGAGGAGCTTACACGCGACCACAGACTCGGTGAGGACTGCCAGTGCTCCCGAGGCGGCAAGGCGCGTAGCGAGGTCGTCCACATCGGTGAGGAGGAGGAGAACACCAAGACGGGAGGCGGCCCGCGGGTCCGGGTCGGGAGAGCCAGCCTGGTCGCCGGAGAAGTAGCTGAAGCCAGCCTCTGATGTAACAAGGTTGCACACAAGCTCAGTAGCAGCACGGCGAACGAGAGTGTTGTCGTCAAGAAGCAGTTCTTCAACCTTGGAGACAACTGGGACGGTCGTTGACCTGTCCGCGCCACGGAACTCGTTGCTCTCCGGTGGCGTCATGTTGGCCGCGACTATACGGCTGCCGAATTGAGGGTCAATGGAAGCCAGGTTTGTCAAGGCCATGAGGGATTCGAACTTTTGCAGGAGCGACGAGTTGGGGTGCACGAGCAGGAGGTAGAGCGGGTGGAGAGCATTGAGGGCGTTGGTCTGATATGGAGCCGGGAAGAGGAGCTGAGGCGGGGTCGTGATGACGAGCTTGGCCAGTCCCTGTGCAGGCGCAATCTTGTCCTCTGCGTCCTTCATGTCGCGAAGGATGATGGTGAGGATCTTGACGCCGCCATCGCGGATAAACGGTACACGCTGAGCCTTGTCCTCGACAATGTCGCGGCACAGCGCACCGAGTCCGGCACGAACGCGAGTAGACTCGGCGCGGACAAGACCACGTAGAGCTCCTAGCACGCCAGCAGCTACAACGAGGTCGGTGCGGGCCTTTGCGGCATTGTCGCTCTCGCGCGGGTCGTCACCGCCGTCCGCAGCACCCTTGCCGGAGATGGCCATACGTCGCAGACGCGCCATTTGCTGGTCCTGCTCGGACAGCACGGCTTTGCGCTGCGTAAGGTTTGAGAGAATTGTAACAACACCATAGCACAGTGCTGTGTCTACTGGTGCAGTAGCCAGTTGGTCGAGAGAGGACATGCTCGCACGAGGGGTGACTGGAAGCGAGCCGCCGGCAGCCTGGGGCACAGGCGACAGTGCGAGGAGGCCCTTCAGGAAGGCCGAGTCGGCAGCAAGAATGTCGCGAATAAACGGTCTGGTCGACAGCACACTCAGTCCCTCGAGTGATGGGAGAATACCGTCGCTGCGTGATGACGCAGACGAGGCCGCAATGTGTGCGGCCAACGTGCGCGCAAAGCGGGACTCGTTCTCCTCAGCCTCTTCGTCCTTGACCGCACGCTCCTCTGGCTTTTCGCCAACAACTGGGTCCTCGCGACCGAGCTTGGACAGAGTAACCGCGCAGAGCACCTTGGTGTCCCCTTGGACCTGCTTGGTCTCGGCTTCTGCGGCGGCAGAGAGCCACTCGAGCGCACGGTTGCGCACCAAATCACGTCCTGCCTTGGTACCGGCAAGCGACGAGAGGAGACCAGCAAACGCGGGTTGAAGAGACGATGGAAGCTCTGCAAGCTCCAGAAGAAGAGACAAGGGATCAACGGTCGACTCTTTGTCATCGTTGTCGTCGAGGCCCAGGTGCTGGGTGAGAATCGCCACCACTGCTTTGGGAGCGGTTTGTGCTACCACAGCAAGGAGTGATGTGGCTGGGACCAGGGACACGGGGTCTGCCGAATCGGTAGAAAGAGCATCAGCGACCAACGGGTCAAAGATGTGCTTGATACGCAGGGCAACCTCGTCCGGGGTGCCATCCTGCGACGCGACATCGACAATCTTGCTGACGCTCAGAAGAGCAAACGACTGGTCGTCATGGCTTGCAGAGGGCGAGATGGCGGCTGCGAGCTCACGAACGCGTTGAGGGGTGACGATTGTTGTAGCATCAGCGTCTGGGGAGCTGAGTTGCTTTAGGAGGGCCTTGAGGTCGACCTGGGACATGGTGTACTGTGTGGTGGTGGAACGTCATGGATGTGGATCCACAAAGTGGAGGTGTGCCTCTCGCTGGTGTTGGCAGAGGGCGGAAGCAAAAGTGACGGCGGCCGACGGAATCAATTGTGAGCTGCCGGTTCCTCTGTTGTTGACAGGAACTCAAATCAACACGCGCCTGATCTTCTTCACGAATGCAACATCTTGTTCCCGACACCTGCTCTCTCTACACCCCCCTAGCGTGCGACACCCATCACCATGTCCTTCTCCCAGATGATTGCATCGCCATCCATCTCTGGGTTCATTCCTGGCACCCCAGCAACATCCTCACCGCGCGCAACCCCACGAAAGAAGAGGAAGCAAGTCAAGCTTGTAAACCCTGCCAGTGCGTAAGACAAGGCGTGTGGTGGCTGCCGGTATGGACATGCCCCCGTCCGCCATGCCGCATGACCTAGCTTCTCGTGTGTCATCTTGACCATCGACCCATTGTCACAACCCTCCTCTCACGCCACTGCTTGAAATGAAACCCCGACACAACAGTTGCTGATGCTTTACAGGACACTTTGACCTTTCGGCACACGACGCATCAGCATCTACCTCCCAGCTCGACTCGTTTGACAGCTTTCTCCCAAACATCCCCTCTCCCGAGGGCGAGCGCCGCTCATCCAACTCGCTCAGTCTCGACTTGTCACCGCCGCCCCCCACCTCGCCGCCTATCACCGTGATGGGCAGCGGCCCCAACAATGTTGACGCAGACCGGAGCACCACAACGCCACCCGCTTCTCCCCCACCATTGCAAAGCACCCCCGCACCCGTTGTTGCACTTCTCGAAGAGTCCCTCGCTTCAGAGACACAAACACCACCACGTAGCGTGACCCCTCGATGGCCACTGTCGTTGGGCAGGGGCCCGACGGGCACCACCACTGCATCGTCTGCGACAGCCGCGGCCAATGCATCCAAGGAGCACATTAGCGACGACAGCATGGCCGACATGGAGGAGGTCGAACTAGACGACAGCCTCGCCACTGTTCAGAAGGAAACGCCGGGCAAGTATGGCATGCTCCTGTCATCATCACGACCCGGTGGACTCCTTGGGCGCCCACTGCTGCGCGCAGAGTTGAATGGTTCCGAGGGGCCCGTTGCGCCGTCGACTCCGATCCAGAGCAGACTCCTCCACTCGTTCAGCACACCTGCCGGTACCCACCTTGTTCCCCAAACACCACGCAGCATTCTCCGCCCAGGAAACACTCCTGCAACAGGCAACTCTGTGCGGTTCAACCAATCCGTCTTTTTCAAGGTCATCGAGAGGCTCCCAGACTTTGTGGACGAGCCATCGCACCATTCATTTGAACAATTGGGCGACGAAGGAATCACAGATCTCGGCGATGAGCCATTGATTAAGGAAGAGGTGCCCATGATCGAGCCAGCAAGCAGTGACGAGGACGAAGACTCGCTCGAGTTTGAGCCCACCCACAAGCCACACAACTCTTCATTTGAAGAGGCCGACATCAACAGTTTCGACGATGAGGTGACGCAGAATACGCTCACTAACTCGCAAACATTCCACGACCTCGGCTTCAACCAGTTCGAGCCCGGGACGGAGATCATCGTCACTCCAGAGGACCACACGGGCGAGGGCGATTGGACGTGGAGTCCCGAGACTGACCTCGTCGATGTGCAGCCTATCCGACACTTTTCGCCGCTAGCAGTGCCAAATGAGGAGTGGAACGAGGCGTCACCCAACAACAGCTCCGAATGGGTCGTGCCGGCAGACTTGAGTTTTGGCAACGACTCCCTGCCAAAGCTGGCCGGTGCGAGCTTTTCGATTTCAGCAATGGTCGATCCCGACGCGACTGCTGCGACGCGTATCGCCCCCCGTCGTCCCGGATCCGCACCGATGTGGGCTGACCGGTCACTGGAATCGATCACGTCAGGCGCAACCACCACTGGCACCCAGGACGAGGAGAAGACACCGGTCGCGGCGCTCCGCACTCGCTTGGCAGCTAGCAAATATGTCGCTACGGGCTCACTGTCGCTGCCCTCTACCAGTCCCAAGACGTCTCCCCGCATGAGTAGTTCACGCATCCTTGCGTCGGTGGTAGACATGGATGAGCTACCGGTGAGTTGACACCTGAAAACGCCATCTGACCCTCCAGGTTCCGTCTAGCCTGCCGTCCAGCCCACTTACCCGCCGCATTTCACCTCCCCACCTCGCTGCGGTTACAGAGGAGGAAGAAGAGACAACCTCCGTTAGGGCCAAGAGTCCAGTTCCAGTAAGTTGCAATGGCCGTCTACGGTCCTCCACCTAACATTCACAGGCATTGGACGAACCTGTGTTTGGAACAGGCGGGTCGCGGCCCGGCTCATTGAGTCTGTTCCGCCGACCAAGCATGGACGAACATAGCGACGCCGAATCCGAGCCTGCTAGCGATGTTTCTGACAAGGAAAACAATCCCCCTGCTCTGATACGGTCAAGGTCCCCAACCCCCGATCCGACTTCAAACACCACTGCCGCCGTGCTCGCCCCCCATGCCCAAGCAGTGTTTGATGCCCAGGCACTGTACGCCAAGTCGCTCCAGGACGAGGTCACATCATACCGAGAGCTGCTGCAAAAGCTGAAAGGAGACGTGGTGCAACGCGACACGATCATCGCCAAGCTCATGCCAGTACAGGATGAGATGCGGGAACTGCGTGCTGCCCTGTTGGAAAGCCGCAACACCAACAAGGAGCTCAAGATTGAACAGTCGGAACTCAGGGAACAGCTCAGCGACATGGAGGGCGTCAATGCCGAGCTGCGCGACGGCATACAGGTCGCTGCGGATGAAAAGCACGAGCTCAACCAAAAGCTCGAGGAGACCCAGTACGACCTGCAGGTCGCCCGCGACGACATGAACGCTTCGGGTATCCAGTCCTCGGTGTCGGCACGGGAGGGTCCCATGGAGCTGCGCGCCAAGCTTGAAGAGGCCGAGTACCAGTTGCAAGCGGCTATCGACGAAAAGGACATCGCCGTCCACGAGCTGTCACATGTCCGCAAGCAGATCGATGAGCTGCAGGGAAAGTTGCAGGCCGAGAGCAACATGGTGCTTGATCTCGAGGACCACAATGAGATGCTGAGCAGCAAGGTTGTGAGTTGCACCTATCCTTCGCCAGCTGACATCAGACCACTCTGAACGCTTCGATCGAGGAGAAGAACACCGAGCTTGAGATGATGAGGGCAGAGCTGGAAACCACGAGCGTGGAGCTCGAGGCGAAGTGCGCCGAACTGGATACCGCAAACGTTGAACTGGAGGCGAGGAGTGCACAGCTTGAAGCCAAGAGCGAAGAGCTCCAAAGCAAGAACTTTGACCTCGAGGCCAAGGAAGCGGACCTGGACGCAAGGCACACCGAGCTCGAGCAACTGCATACCGACCTAGAGACCGCTCAGAAGGCATTGGAAGAGGAGGCCCGCCGTGAGGCGACACCAAAGGTCCTCGGCGAGGCCGACTCCAACCGATCACCATTCTACGGCAACGGCAATGGCGCTGAGAAGAACCACCACGCACACTCGGACCAGCTCAAGATCAAGGACATGAAGATCAAGGCGCTGGAGCGCCAGGTCAAGCGCTTGAACGAGGACCGCGAGCTGCTCTCCGTTGCTGCCAACTCTGCTCAGATTCAAACCGAGCTCGTCAAACGGCGCCTCAGTCATTACGAGGGTGGCACCACACCACGCGCCAATGGACCTCGCTTCAGCAGCGTCACACCATCGCAGCCCACCCCAGCACCCTCTGGGCGCCGCTATCCCCTCGGTGTCACCCCTCGGCGATAAGGCGTGTACCTGCTCCAGACTGTATATCTCCCGGCACCAAGTCCCGACCCCTCCATTGTCCACTACTTGTATACTAGGTGTAACGATAAATGCTCTCTACACGGGTAAATCACGATGAAAGTAATGCGACAATACCTCCCTTTTGCATACCAATGAGTTATGGATAATGTGTCTACACCAAACGACGGTCACCCGAGCGCGCACGCTGCGTCCACTCGTCCTGCTGGGACGGTGTAGGTGGGACGGCGGTAACAACCTCCACGACGGGAGGGAGGACCTCGTCGATGATGACAAAGTCGGCGTCGAGGGGTGCGGCCTCAATGGCGCCGGCAACAGTCACCGACGCGGCAATGGCGCTCTCGAGCGCGCCGACAATGGCGTCGGGGGCAAGGGGCTCGGGGGCCGCAACCTCTGGCAGCTTGTCGGCAATAGAGTGGAGAGCCTCGTGAGCCTCAGCCGCGAGGGTGTGGATGTCCTCCCTCTCCTTAATCTCGGCGAGCAAGGCGCCGAGACCAGCCGCCTCGGCGGCGACGGCAGCGCCCTCGGCTGCGACGCGGTCGACGTCCCAGCCCATGCTGGCGTTGGCGTAGTCGCGTCCAATCTCCTTCTTCCACTCTGATCCAGCGGGCAGGGCAGCGACAACCTCGTCCTTGATCAGACGGGGAGTGCCGACGCCGCGGTATCCGAAGCTAGTGTAGACCTGCACGGTGGAGGCACCGGCACGCGCCATGTCGAGGGCCTCGGCACCGTTCCAGATGCCGCCTGCGCCGATGATGGGGACCGAGGGCGGGAGGAGGGGACGGAGGGTCTTGAGTGCTGCCAGGGCGAGCGGGTAGAGCGGGCGACCGGACAGACCGCCGACCTGGCCCTTGTGCTCCGACTCGAGGCCGAGGTCACGGCGCACAGTGGTGTTGGAGAGGATGACGCCGTCGACGCCCGTAGCGCGCACGGCAGAGGCGACGTCGGCGAGCTCGTCCTCGCTCAAGTCACAAGTGACCTTGACGGCGATCTTGGGGAGGCCGTCAACGGCGATCGAGTCGCGCTCCGAAACGACGTCCTTGAGCAGGCGCTCGAGGGTCTCCTTGGACTGCAGGGCGCGGAGACCGGGGGTGTTGGGCGACGAGACGTTGATAATCACCACGTCGGCGTAGGGACCCAGAAGGCGGACACCCTTGACGTAGTCGTCGTTCGAGTCGGCGGCGGACGTCTTGTTCTTGCCGAGGTTGACGCCGAGGAGGTGGCCCTCACGCAAGGAGCGGTTAAGGCCCTTGGGCGGCACAGCGGTGGAAGTGCCCTCGGGGAAGAGGTTGGGGTGCTCGACGGCAAAGTTGGCGACACGGGTCCGCAGACGAGCAAGAGCCTGGCCGTGGCCCTTCGAGTTGAAGCCGTAGCGGTTGATAGCTGCGCTGTCCTCTTCGAGACGGAAGAAACGCGGGGTCGGGTTCCCGGGCTGCGGCAAGGGTGTGACCGAGCCGATCTCGACGTAGCCGAAACCGAGGTCGAAGAGACCGTCAATGGCCTGCGCGTCCTTGTCAAACCCGGCAGCGACACCGAGGGGGTTGACGAGGGGTACACCAAAGAGCTCGGCGCTAAGCTCGGGGCCATCGACACCCATGTCGCGAGGTCTCGCCCATGCCGGCGCACCGAGCAGCATGACGGCCAGGCGGTGGCTGTCCTCGGCGTCGGTGAGCGCGCGAATCACGGGCATGACCACATGCTCATGAGCCACACTCCTGCTGTCATAGTAGTACGCGACCAAGAGCGCTCCGGTACCGATAGCAAAAGTCGTGCCGATCCAGCGGAACGGGTGGGTTGTGCCGGTGTTGCGGGCGAGTGGTTCATTGGTCGACGAGTGGCGAGCGCTCGCGGCGGCGTTGCGGGCAACAGCGGACACGCGCTTGGGACCGGTACGCAGCGGCGCAGCGAGGGGCCGCGAGAGTGCTGGGAGACCGCGGAACATCGCGACGATGGAGGTGTGGATGGATTCAAAACTCGAAGATCGGCAACACCCGGATAGCGGGGCATCATTGTGCGGATGTGTGGGACGGGAGAAAGCATTAGTAAATGCCACGTGGTTATTAGAAAATACGAGGGTAATGTTTATTAGGGTTTGAATTGAAATTGAGGGTCCACCCAGGGCACGCGCCCATCATCGACGTGACGAGCTCGCTTTCAGACCGCGATCCATCGTGTCATCGTCCACCTTCTTTTGTCAACACCCACTCTCTCTTCATCGCAATGGCCCAGCCCCAGTTCTTCCAGACCATCTCCAAGGTATGTTACAGTTGTGGATAACACTTCCGCAAACTTTACCCGCTCGCTGGACCATTCCTCACCTCTCAGTCGTTCGTCGACGTGCCCATTACTGAGGCCGGTGTCGACACCGCTGCCTTCCTCGAGGCTTCGGAGAACCTTGTCAAGATCTTCAGTGAGTGTTGGGAAGCCGTGTGTATGGGGATATGAGCGTGGGACTTGTTACGTAGCCCTGTATACCTAGCGACTCTGCACGCTGGGTCACCACCGCAGCGTGCACTCGGTCTCGCACAAGCTGACAACCAGCCCTCTTTGGCAACCCGGCGTTCAGCGTGGTCCAGAATGACCTCAACGGCAACATCACTGTGAGTCACATGAAGTCCCTCGCAGGTGCCGATTCAGAGCTCACGCGTTCCACAGAAGGTGCGCAACTACCTCCTCGCCAACCCCGTCGAGGCCGACACCCTCGAGAAGCTGCTCGCGCACGACAAGGCCACCCACCCCAAGCAGAAGGAGCGTGTGGCCACCGACGCGCTCATGTGGCTCCTCCGCGGTCTCAAGTTCACCGCCATGGGCCTGCGCTTCAACCAGACCAACCAGACCGAGGAGCTCAGCGTCTCGTTCACCAAGGGCTACGAGGGCTCGCTCAAGAAGTTCCACGGCATGCTCGTCCGTCCCGTCTTCGGCGTGAGTACCAACCAACAGCAGCTACTTCCATATCCTGGAGAAGCTGCGATACCAAAACACCTCCATTGTCACTTTTTCTGATACACTCTCCATTAGCTCGCCATGAAGGCCTGCCCTTACCGCGCCACCTTCTACCCCAAGCTCGGCGAGCCCCAGGAGGAGGTCCTCCCCCAGCTCGAGGCCTGGCTCTCGGCCCTCGAGGCCATTGTCGCCCGCGAGGCCAAGGTCTTTGCGGACAACAGCTACGGCGAGATCTAAGCGTCAACACACCAGATCGTGGACGTACTGTGGCTCTGCAGAGCCCGTTATATTTGGATGGAAACGGACGCTCCTACTAACCTAACCCAACCCCAGACCCCTCTTGTAGATCCCTATCCTCGGCCATTCACAGGCCATCACCACGCATGCATGCATGTCTTTTTCTTCTGGACAGTTCGAGATCCGTCAAATGGTGAAAGCTGCGTGAGACAACGGGACGGTAGTACTGTGTGTTGGCCCGTCAAACAAGATGAAATCTGCACAGTGCGTCAGAGGCGCCGGCCGCCACGCCAGGCGGGTAGTCACCGCCAAACCTTGGCCATGGCGGGGCCTGCGTCGTTCCCTGCAGTGCAGCTATAACAAGGCCTCTCTACCTGCCTGCATGGCTGTTGGCATTACACGGGTTGCATGACACAGGCATCTACACTAGTTAAACCCCACACCACACCGGGGTTTACATTCTACGTCGCCCACAACTCGTCGTTTAGATCATGAGGTGGTCAGACGCGGCGGCAGGGTAGCGACCGCCCTTGAGGTCAAACTGGGCGAGCATGTCGTCGATGGCCTTGGTGTCCTCGGGCGAGAGCTCGATGCTGGCCGACTCGACGTTCTGCTGCGCGCGCTCGGGGTTAGACGAGCCGGGGATGGGGATGACCTGCATTTCCGAGTTAGTATCACACTTTTCGACTCTTAACTCGCAGGCAACTCACGTTGGGACCGCGCGACGCGACCCAGGCAATCGCCAGCTGGGCCGTGGTGAGGTTGCGCTGGGCGGCAATGGCGTCGAGCTGGTCCACGAGCTTGAGGTTGTGGTAGAACGCGTCGCCCTGGAAGCGGGGCACGTAGCGCTGGAAGCTGCCCTCGGGAATGTCCTCGGGGGTCTTGTACGTGCGTGTGATAAAGCCACGGCCGAGCGGCGAGTACGCGAACACGGGCGTGCCCGTCTTGGTGGACCAGGCGATCACGTCCTGGATCTCCTGCTCGTACGACCAGAGTGACACCTCAATCTCGACGACGGCGAGCGAGTAGGCGGTAGCCAGCTTCTCGAGGGTCTCGACGCGCACCTCGGACACGCCGAGGGCGCCAAAGAGACCTTCCTTTCGCAGCTCGTCAAAGGGCGCCATGTACTTGACGGGGTCGGCCTTGCCCTGCGCGAGGTCCAGGCGGGCGGGGAGGTAGACGCTGATGGGGACGTCGGCACCGAGGAGCTCCTGGGTCTCCTTGAGGAGGGCGCGGTTGGCCTCGAGGCTGGGTGTGTGAGTAAACCCCAAACGAGTCGCTGTCACTGCGTGGCCTAGAAACTGCTCACTCGTTGATAGGATGCAGGCTCTCGTCGACACCACCCTTGATCACAAGGGAGACCTTGTCCTTGTACTCTGGGTACTTTTTGAAGAAACGGCCAATGAGGGCAATGTTGTCCATTTGGTGGCCCGGGTTACCGTAAAAGGTCGCGCTGGACCAGGCAGTCGCGCCTGCGTCCGTGGCAGCCTTCATGGCTGCAAAGGCCTTCTCGTCCGAGACCGGGCTGGGGGTCCAGGTGAGCTGCATGAGGCCGAGGCTGTGAAAGCGTTAGGCCTGATAAACTGGACATGGTAGCGAGTCAAGGTCGAGGGAAGGTGGAGCATTGGGAGGGAAGATCAAACATTGGGGAGGAAGGCGAATATGGGAGGGAAGGTGGAGACGAAACACACTCACCCAATCTGGCCAACAGGGCGGCCAGCGAGCTGAACAGTGGAGATGGACATGGTGGTGATGGTGGAGATGGGGAGGATGGACAAGATGGTTATCGATGCGCAGGTTGGGCTTTATACGTCACTTCCCTTGCAGCCACCCTCCACTCGTTTGTTCCACCGCCCTCGGCGACGAGGGGTCGCCGAACAGCCTCCACTCGGGCGCTTTCTAATGAGGGGAGCCCTCCACATTCGGAATTCTAATGGCAAAGACTAATCCTCCACTTCTCCACCTCGGTACGCCGAGGGTGAGCCATCTGGGCACGGGATAATCTCTGGCTATTTCTGGCCATCTGTCATGCAGTCGGCTCTGGTCGGTGTTCTCGCCGACCAAGGGAGAGTTAGCGGCCCCTCATGACCACTAACCGTTACGACCAACGACGCACAATGACCACGTTCTTGCTAGCGACGTGCGCATATATGCATGGGGAGAGTGTGCAGCCGGTGAATGCTTGTCTATGGCGCTATGGAGTGAACAGGGGACGATGGTACAAATGTGAAGTTCTCTCGGCGGGGTGGTGGTGGACCATGGTCATGACGGTCGTACAAAAACAAGACGTGTGACGTGGGGGAGGCGGCAGGCGCATGGACGCGTTAACGCGCGTGGGATGAATGTTGAGTGTGAGAGGGTCGGATCTCTGGAGAGAATCCGTGATGAAATCGGAGAGGGTGGTTTACGCCTCGACGGCGACGGTAGGAGCCACATTGACTGGGGTCTCACTGCGAGGAGTGATCCAGCCCTCCTTGCGGCAACGAGGGCAGCGGACCCACTCGCGACCGTCCACATCGGCACCAGCCTTGTGGCCGGCACTGCGCTCCGCCGTCTCCAGACAGGTACGGTGCCAGCGGTGGTCGCAAGCAAGAATAACGTAGTTGGCGCCGGCGTGGGCCTCCTCGCCCTCGGCGACTGCGGGGAAGGCAGCCTGGGTGGGCGCGTAGATTGAGAGCATGTCCTTGTCAGGGACGGTGAGGTCCGAGTCAACGCTGTCGTCGAGGTCCATGTCCTCTGCGCCGCTCTCCGGAATGGGATGGGCTACGAGACACTCGACAGCGTCGCAACGCCAGCCAAGTGTCTTCTCGCGCTGCTCGGTCCATGACTGCAGTGTCTGCGGCACAAAGGTGCGCTCGGGGACAGCGGGGGTCTCGGGAGCCGGTGGAGCCGGAGGAGGGGCCATTGGCACGCCGTGCGGCTGGGGGCGAAGGAAGAAGAACTCCAGGGGAAAGTTCATCATGCGGCGGCCTGCATCCTCGGCGTTCGGTGGGTTCGCGGTTGCATTGGGAGCAGGAGTCGCCGACGCAGTGCCTGGAGTGGTTGCGTTCTCGCGAGGAGGAGGAGCGGGGCCATGGCCGCCATTCATGGGACTGGGAACACGAATGAAATGGATGTGGGGGCGACGTTCCGGAGTAGGACGGGCCTCACTGCTGGCACCGGCAGTCGCAGGCGAGGGGTTGGCCTGGGTCTGGTTCTCGACAGTCGCCGAACGGCTGGGACCGGCAGCTGGTGAAGGCGAACCAGGGGTATCAGCTGTACGAGGTGGCTCCGGAGGTCCCATGGGGGCTGGCGACGCGGTGAGGTGGTTGTCAAACAGCTGGTTCTGGCGCATCGCCTGTCCAAACGCTGCCTGGGTCACCTGGGAGACGAGGCTCTCCAGAATCGACTGTGGCGTCGGCGCGTTGAGCGGTGTAGGGACGGGGACGGGTGTGTCTGCCGGTGGAGCTTGAGCTTGGGCATCGGGGTTGAGAGGTGTCTGAACACCAGAGCGGGCACGACTGCGGTCGCCTCTGGCATATGGGTGTGCCGCCGAGGCTGGTGTGGTGCGTCCGGACCCAGTGGGTGCAGGGCGCAAGGGGTTAGCGCGGGTTTCGCGAGGACCATGCAGAGTGCGCAGAGGGTCGAGATCCAGACGGCAAGTAGGGCTGTGTAGAGTGTTAGTAAAGTGAACACGGTAGCGTCGACAGACACTCACCAGGTATGGTGCGTCGTGAACCATGGTTGGAGGCAGCCCTCGTGGAAAAGGTGGTTGCAGGGAAGGGCTTTGACAGCCTGCTCGGGCTCGTCACGTTCGGCTTCCTCCTCGAGGCCTTCGAGGCAGATACCACAACGCCACCCACGGTCATCATACTCCTTGCCACCTGCGGCGTCCTCTGCGGCGACGACCATGTTCACACGCTTGAGCAGGGCGCGACCGACAGTAGGGAGCGAGGCGAGCAGTTCGGCGGCCTTGGCTGGGTCTGGAGCGGGAGGAGGCGGCTGAAAGGTGAAGGGCAGGCCAAAAGGGAAGAAGAAAGGAGGAGGCTGGCCACCATCGTCGCCGCCGGGACGGGGAATCACGCGACCGTCTGGGCCCAGCACGAGAAAGATGGTGCCAGTGTTACGGTCGGCGTCCGTACCCCCAGCTTGGTGAGCCTCGCCGTCGCCTGTAGAACCATCGCCGCCGGTAGGTAGTGCGGCGCCAGGGGGGCCGTGGACGCCGTGGCCGGCGTCGGCGTCGGCTTGTGGAAGGGCGTCACCGTCGACACCCGGGGCATCAGTCGGCGCCTCGCCATTCATTCCCTCCGAACCATCGTTGGGGAAGACCTCGATAGTCCATGTGAGAACAAGGCGGTTGCCGTCGTCTGGTTGCTCCTCGCCTCCCTCTGGGCGATTCATGGGGACTGGCGAGACGAAAGTGAATGAGCTGAGTGGACGGCGAGCGTTTGAGCCGCCGCCGTTAGGTCCAGGTGGCGCTGGGTCTCCGGACTCTTCGCCATCATCGGGCGGGGGCATCTCGGGTGGCGCGTCGGCAGTCACCGACGGCCCACCCTGTCCGGGAACCTGCCCAGACGACGTGGGCTCGGGAGGTGGTGTTGACTCGTGGGGCGGGTCTGGTGGTAGGCCGCTACGGCCTGGTGAGGACATGGTGGCAAAACGGGGGGAGGAAGCTGTTAAAAGTGGAGTTGTCTTCCTTGGCGCGCGCGCGCGTGCTTCTTCGGTTTGTTAAAGGCCCGAGTGCGTGAAAAGGGAGAGGTGGTTGAAAGGGTTGCAGTAAATGCTGCTGTGCGTTGAAAGGAGGGGTGTGTGTGCGGGTGCGTGTGTGGGTATGTGGGTATGTGAGAATGAGATAGAGAGTGATTGAGAAAGAGAGAGTGACGGTCGGGGGTGATGAGGAGGGGGTTTGTGTGTGTGATGAGGTGGACACTTGGGTGTGGTAATCGCGTGAGTCTTGTCGCCGCTCGGCGTGCGTTGCGGATGGCGACTGCTGGCGTATGGGTGGGGTGCGTTTGGTCGCACGTAATACATGCCCCCCATTTAAGAGGCGGGTTGCTAGCCAGCATCTTCCATCGCAGGTGTTGCTGAGTCATGCTCTCTTTTGCACACACGCTCATGTCCACAAGTCAGCCTGTGTCTGCCTCCATGCATAGGAAGGGGCACTCATTCCATGCACAACCTGTCGACAATGTCTCCTACAGCTGTGGGTTCTTTACCTGTGTGTCATGTCCGAGCCGCGAAATGTATATTGGTATCCCAACAACCGATCGGAGCATTTGGTGCGAGTGTCGTCTTGAGAATGCCATTACCGTTCAAACCTAATTAATTATCTTCATCGGCCTAATCGCCACCGACAGCCCATCACAACGGCAACAACTCTTTACGGGCCAGAAACCATACAATGACGACCCATGGTGTGCAGAGACCCCTTCCCCTCGAAAGCACACACACACACATTGTTGCGTCTCAGTGGTGGGAAGCTGAGCGAGCTGAGGAGATTGCATGCATGGACTAAGCTCCCAGGATCCCAGGCTCACACTCCGATCTCGCTCCCGTAGACCACACAGACCCATGTGGCAACCACGTGGCTTGCACGTGCATTCAACTCGACTTCGAAAAGTGAGGTGAACGTTCACGCATCACCGACAAAGACCACATCCATCATCCACTCCTCCGTCACCGTCCAGCTCCACCTCAAGCCTGACCAGCTCATCAGTCACTCTAGTCTTACAGAACAGTACCTCAGAGGCATCTCTCTTGACTCGGCAGGCGACTCGACGCGACAACGCGCCGCACCTCTTTCCTCATACCAGCGGCGTTCTCCCCTCACATCATTGTCAACATGTCCTCCGCTACCTCGACTCCCCAAAAGGCGACCGATTCTGCGTCGCCCCCCAGCGTGGGAGCCACTCCCACTGGACCTACGGGCAAGCCCATGACAGCAAAGGAACTCAAGAAGATGAAGCGTGCCGCTCAAGTCGCTGCGCGTGGCCCACCGGCCGTTGACCACGCAGCGCCTGGCTTGGCCAGCCCAAATGCCTCGGCCGCCGCGTCGCCAGCTGCTTCTGCTGGTCCATCAGGCGGTACCTCGCGTCACCGCCGCGGTATTGCCGCCGCCGCTGCCGCTGCCTCTGCCCCTCCCCCACCTCCCAACCCCGCGCACCAGTTCTTCTCCCACCTCCCCGTCCCGCGTGACCCCCACACCCCGGACGCTCTCGCCAGTGACAAGATCCACCCCGTTGTCGTCCGTCTCGGTGTGTTGATTGCGCAAGGAACCTTGCGTGGTGCGTCGGCGCGTACCCTCGGTGTGCTCGAGGCGTTCCGTGAGGTCGTGCACGACTACGAATGCCCTCCAAAGGCCGTCTTCTGGAAGGACTTTAGCTCGCACATTTCGCCCATGATCGCCTACCTCGAGACTTGCCGTCCAAAGGGTGTGGGAGTCGGAAACGCTATCCGTTGGTTCAAGGGCGTGATCACCCGTCTTGGCGAGGACGACGGCGACCACATTCCTGTCGCCACTGCCGAGGCAAGCCAGAAGGCGTACCTCACCGAGGCCATCAACAGTTACATCCAGGACAACATTATCGTCGCGGGCCAGGTCATTGCCGACTTTGCCAAGGAGAAGATCAAGGCTGGAGACACTGTCGTCGTGTATGCGCGGTCGAGCGTGGTCGAGCGCTCCCTCCTCGAGGCATACCGTGACATGCAGGCTCGCTCGCCTCCCGCCAGCTTTAGCGTCGTCGTTGTCGACTCAAGGCCGCTGCACGAGGGTCGCACCACTCTTGCCACACTGAGCGCCGCTGGCATTCCGTGCATGTACACTCTCCTTCCCCTCGCCTCCACCGCCCTGTCTCGCGCCTCCCTCGTCCTCCTCGGCGGCTCGTCGCTGAACTCGGACGGCGCCCTCCACTCGCGTGCCGGTACCGCCGTCGTCGCCATGCTCGCCAAGGAGCACCGTGTCCCCGTCGTTGCGTGCATCGAGGCGTTCAAGCTCTCGGAGCGTGTGGGTCTCGACGACCTCGCATCCAACGAGGTCGGTACCCCGGACTCGCTCCTCAACATTCCCACCGCTCGCGCCCTCGAGCTTCCCAAGCCGCTCCCCAAGAACCTCATCCCCCTCCACCTGCTGTACGACCTCACCCCTCCCGACCACATCACCGCTGTCTGTACTGAGGTCGGATTCATCCCTCCTTCCTCGGTCCCCACCCTTCTCAGCAAGGGTGCGGGTCTGAGTGCGTAAGCGCTGGACGCCGTGTCCACAGTGTTTTCGTAGGGGTTTGACCGAGTTTTGTGGGATTCATCTATTGTGGTATGCATAGTCAGTGGCACATGTCCGACTCTGACCAGTTACTCTGACAGTCAAGGTTCTGACCACAGCTCACCTACAAGAAACATACTCTGCCTTGCATACCGAGACTGGTGGTGTCGGCCACCTCTCTCCACACGGTCGATTTTGGGTCGACTAGTATCACGGGTGGCATTACTGCATATGAGAACGGGGTACTATCTGTGGATATATTTCCGAGAGAAGGGACCCGTGGAGAGAGGTTCCCTCCAGTCAAGTCTCTGCCACGGCCAACAGATATGCCCGGGTACAGGGCTCAGATGCGGTCAATGACAGAAGCGATAGTGTCGTGGATAGTCTCAGCCTTGGAGCGATACTTGATACCTAGAACCTTTTGGGCCTTGCTGCCGTCAAAGTTGGGGACAGTAGCCTCGATATCGGACTGGAACTTGGCGTCGTGGTTGCCCTTTGTAGCCCCGTTGGCGACCGCCTTGGGGAACCCCTCGGCGGCAAGGGCGTAGTCATTGTTGACTAGCTTGTCGCCGGCGACAATGAAGCGCTCGCCGCCCGCTGCAGGGGTCTCGAGAGCAGCGACGCAGGCGTCGGCGACATCACGGACGTCGACGAGGTTGAAAAAGGTCTCGGAAAGGGACGACTCGGGCACACCCTTCTTCAGGTAGGGGACGACCAATGACGCGGTGCCGCCCACTCGGCCGTCGGCAGTGTACTGGGTGTAAGGACCAAGGGTGAGGCCGGGCAAGATGGTGGCACCGTCAAAGGTGTGGGGGTTCTCGAAGAACTGCCAGAACGCACGCTCGGCATGGGCCTTGGAGGCACTGTACTGCACAAACGAGTCGGTCTTGGCGCCCTTGGCCTCGCAAATGTTGACAGCATCGTCGTTCCAGTCTGCGGGATTGTCAGAGATTGAAGTTTCCCTTTTTCTCTCGTGGCATGTACTCACCAGCCTCGGTAATGGTTACTGGCGAAAGACCCAGGCTTGTTGCTGCAATCGAGCTAACCTGGACGATACGCTTGACTGTGGGACCAAACTTGGCAATACTGTCGAGAATGGCAGTGACACCAGCAACCGCAGGACCAATGATTCCTGAAGGCTCGCCGACGTAGCTGAAAGTCACAGGGGACGCAAGGTGGACAACACCATCGACTCCCTTGACTGCCTCATGGTACGCGCCATCAGCCGACATGTCGGGAACCAGAGCGAAAGAGAGATGGTCGCCCGCCGCAGGGAACATCTTGCGGATGTGTTCCGTCTTTTCGGCAGTACGCGCAACGGCACGGACATTAAGGTCGTGCTCGAGAAGGACGCGAACAACGTGGCTAACTGGGTTAGTCCTTCTCTTGTGATTCAAATGAGGGAAAAAACACTTACGTTCCAATAAAGCCGCTAGCTCCAGTAACGAGGATGGTACCCTTGTTGACAGCAGGCATTGTTGTGTTTGTGGTTTACGACGAGTTGTTAGAGAGAGGGAGAGAGGGCTAGTTGGCTAGATGCAAAGGTGGTGTAAGTTGATGGTAAGTCTTGTCAACGTCAATGGTCGCGTCTTTATACCATCTGCCCAAAAGTTGTCCAGTTGTCAGCTTAGCGATCAAGCAAGAAGGAGGGGGCAGTGAACTTGACAGTTAGCTCAGCGTCAAAGGTGGACGCATCGTCAGTACCAGCGTGGTGAGACCATGACACACCACGCCACGTAGTAAACATGTGTTGGGTATGGGCAGTGTCTCGGGGCGTCGGTGGTGTTTACCGGCCGAACATCAGATCTCACTTGGTGGACGTGGTCAAACCGCCGGCCGGCGGCGACCGCTGAATAAAGTGCTTATAGCACCCAAAATCATTGTGACAGGATAGTATGCCGTCCGCGGCCGGTGGTACAACTGTCACAGTCCGAAGATTCAGATATCTGCTAATCCAGCACCAAAATGCACCAGAGGCCAGTCAACCCGGTATCGTAACAACGTATCGACATGAAGAGAAAGACCGTCCGTCCGTAAACCGAGCTGTCAGCATTCTTCACGCCCACCAACCACCAACGTGTCCTTTGTGCCCAAGACATGCGAGGTGGAGGTACACGAATATTAAGCTGATTCCGCACAGAGGTTGGGGTCGGGGTGCGGACAACGTCTCTCTCCATGGTCTCCTGGCCGGGATAATTAATACCCATTTTCCGCTATTTTTTTAAATGGATCCTCAGGCCCAAAAGCGTGCTAGTGAATCTATACCCGACGAGGCATCTACTGGTGGATCAAGATTATGTTTGGAAAAGAAGGTCTTGAGGCGCCACAATTACCCCTCCGCTTCGAACCACGTACACAACCTGCAAAGCTTGTACGGCCGCGGGCCACGAATCCCCTGTCTCCGTACCCCCCTGTATCCGTATCCCCATCCACGCTGCCGCCCATACGACGACGCGCGTCAGTTGGCAGTGCTAAGCTTAAGTGGAGCTGTCGCGCCTCGGCCCCGAACCGCATCCGAGGGAATGACTAAAGGTACATGGCTGACGCCCGACTCGGGACCTTGCCCGGCGGGCTCCAGGTTCTTGTAGCCGCTCTCCGATCTCTCCTCCTCGTCCGCGGCGAGAGCGTGAACGCAAGATTATGCTTGGATGCATGCGACGAAACTATGCGAGTTCATGAAACTAGTGATGCCAACTGCTCGGTGCTTCTCTCTTCTCTTCTCTGCTCTTCTCTTCTCTTCTCCTCTCGTTGCCTAGTATCCGGCAGTGCCCATGGGCGCGTTAATTCGCAGACGCTCTAATAGAGTGTTATCGCCTGCAAAATGGACGATGTCGCTGAGCGTACAGCACGCGCTTGAGGTTGGGGCCGCATGACCACGCGATGATTGGCACTTGGGGGGGGGTCCAATGCCACTAGTCCGCAGATGGCCGGTTTACAGGCATGACCAACCACCGCCATCGCTCGTGAGCTCGAGCTTGCGCGCGCACAGCGTCGGCACGCCGTGCTGGAGCCAAACAGTGCGACGGAGATCTTCCATGCGGCCCTTGTGGAGGAACTGGCGGTGTCCACGCCTGCGAAGAGTCAGCTCGGGCTTTCTGCAGTTTCATTCAAGCTGTACCCACCTAAGGCTCGTCTCGAGCTCTCCAAACTGGTCGAGATATGGCATGGGCCCAAAGCTGCCGCTGCCGGCAAAGAGGTACACGATGACCCAGCGCTTAATGTCGGCGAACATGCCCACGACACCGCCGCACCTGTGTAACGTCAGCTAAATCCCCACGGTCTCAACATAGCTGTACTCACTCCCTCATGTGCAAGTTGCATTCGCCTTGCTCGCCCTCACTGCAGCAGTCGCCGGCGAGGCAGACGAGCTTGCCGCAGAACAGGCACAGTGCGGGGTAACTGGGACGAATACCGCAATTGTCACACCTGCGGCCGGCAAACTTGATGGCAGCGACCTCGTACGCCTCGGGCAGGCGCATGAGCTCATACGTGCCCGGGTACTCGAGCGGCGGTAAGATACGGCCCTGCATGGCCCACTGGGTGAGCCAGCGCGCGACGATGGGCGTCTCGGTCGAGTGCGGGTTGGCGAGCGTCTCACGGGGACGCGGGATGCCCAGGAGCGAGAGAAGGCGGTTGTACTCGCTGCCCGTGGAGAGGATGTAGTCCGGGTTGGTGACAGGGTATGCGTTGTTGACGGCATAGTAGACAATTGCAGCGCGACGGAGGAACGGCAAGGTGAACGAGTAGAGTACCTTGGCGAGCATTTCATCGGTGATGAGGGCGAGGACGCTCTCAATGTCGATGAACGGTCCGGCGTTGCGGAGGACTGACACCATGAGAGGGCGGAAGTTGGCAAAGACCGACAGCGCGTCCGTGAGACTTTCGTCCTTTGCTGGCGTAGAACGGCGCTGGGGCTGAGGGCGACCAGCGAGTGAGCGGCGAATGTACACGCTCAGGCCGAGCATGGTGCGCGTGAGCTCGGCGTAGTAGCTCATAACAATGACAGCGTGCAGGAGATCCGGGGCGATGGCCGCTGCCTCGACGACCATACCGAGCGGCAGGCGGAAGAGCAAGGGGCTGGGAAGAGTGGCGGAGCGGTACCAGTCCGGCAGGAAGCGCGCAAAGAGGCCCACACGCAGTGGTGTGCGGTCCATCTTGGTGCCAAAGAACAGGTCCAGCTCAAGCTGGAGGGTACCAATGAGGTGTTTGATGAGCTTGAGACCCGTCTCGGGCACCTGCTCGGCAACTGTCAAGCCTGGGGTACGCATACCACGGTGCGTAATCTCGCAGACGGAAACAGTGTACCCGACCATGTCGTCGGCGAGGTACATGTGCGTCTTCTTGCCACGGATACGCTGGCTCTGCTCACTCAGAGGACGGGTGAGGGAACGGATGCGGTCCACCATACGGTGCACACTCTTGTGCGACTTGCGGTAAACCGAATCGAGGGCGTGGCGCTGGAAATCGCAGTCGGTAAACCACGGAACCAGCTCGCCAGTCTCGACGTGGTAGTCCCAGATCTTGGCCGAGTCGGAAACGCGCAAGAGACCTTCCTCGGACACGGCGCGGATACGCTCGCTCAGAGTCGGCGGGAGGCCTAGGGCAACCTTGCTCTTGGGGATAGGCCGCAAGACGGCCGAGGTCGGGTCCAGAGGGATCAGCACGTTGCCGACACTCTTGCACAGTGGGCACATGTACTCGTGGCGCATAGCGTTTTCGGGCTGGTGACGAGCCACCTGTGCGGCCTGGCGGTTTCGCGTGAGCTCATTGTACGAGTTGATGCACGAGTCGTGCATGAGGTGGTTGCACGCCGAGACGTAGACGCCAAACCGGAGGTTGGCTGAAGGGTACGCGTCCGTGCTGGCAGGTTCGTTGGTCGTACCCAGTCCGTAGCGCAGGTACCGCGTCTCGCGGTCCAGGTCGGATGGTGCAAGGAGTACCTCTTCGAACCAATCCCGGTCCGTCACCGCGTCGCGCACAATACGGCTCGGCTGGAGGAACGCAAGCATGCCACCAGTACGGCCAGGGTGCACTGGCTCTTGGCAGACAATGCACGACCCATAGTTCTTGGGCTCCTCGTCCTCCTCGGGCTCCTCGCCATCGTCCTCGTCGAGGAATGATGCTGCAAACGACTTTTGCTGCTGAGCAAAACGGGCCTTGAGGGCTGCCTGGCGAGCGTGCGCCTGGGCCTTGGCGTCGTGGCGGGGAGACTTTTGGGCCTCCTGCTTGGCCAACAGCTGGGCATCGCGCTGTGCACGGTAGTCGACAGTGTAGGTCTCGGGCAAGTGGGCGACGATGAGCTCGAGGATGTAGTCGATCTTGGCACGGAACGGCTCAAAGGGAGGGTTGGTCTGCATGAACCACAGGTTCTGGAACATGCTCATCGAGCCGCTCGTGTCGATAATCTCGAGCGAACGCATCGCAAACCCGCTGGCGTCGACGTTGAGCGCCATCATCGTGATGTGCAGGGCGAGGTTAAGAAGCGCTTCCATCGAAGGCATCTGGTGACCCGAAGGCTGACCCAGGCTGGTCGCCTGACCTGGCCAGTCACCGGGCTGAGCGAGAAGCATACAGTGTGCAAGCGTCCAGTGAACAAGGCTCGAGGCCACTGGCGTGGACAAAAAGTCGGCCAGGTCCGAGAACGGCAGGGGACGAGCAGGCACGTCGACGGGGAGCGGCTTGATCACGGGCGACGGGTTGCTCGGATCCAGCTTCTTGGCACGCTGGAGGAGAACCTCGGCGGTATCACGTTGCTCATTGCGGCTGTACTGACGCCAGTACGGGTCGACCTCGTCAAAGATCTCTGGTTTGAGCGCGTACGAGCCCGTGGCCGTGTCGGTTGGCGGGCGGAAGTCGGCCACCTCGTCGAGAATGGGGACGAGACTGCCACGCTCGTGCGAACGCTCGGGAAGTTTGCGGACGATTTCCGAGTACGAGAGCGGGCCGAGGGCGAGGGCGTGCAGGATGTGCTTGCGCGTGATCCTGTCCTGCTGCCAGCCGTTCACCATGACTGTATCGGAGACCAGGTGGATGACGAGGAGCAGCAGCTCCTCATACATGGCCACGCAGTCGCGGGGGTCCATGTCGCCCTCCCACACTTCCGGGGACATGACGTCCAGTCGGAAGAAGTTGGTCAGGCCGTACCGGTCAATGAGAGCCGTCATGAAGTGAGCCTGGTCGAGGACGCAAAGACCAAACTGGAGCATGAAAAACTCTTGGTCAATCGTAAACTCGCGCAATCCAAGGTCGCGGTAGTGGTGGTACTGGTGACGCATCGCCGCACCATTCTTGGCCCACATGCCCAAGCGAATCTGCGACAGCACAACGTGTTCTGCTGTCAGTTAAGCTCACGACCGGTTTTAACGTACTCTCCAATGGCCACTCAATGATCAGGAGCTTGTACCGCTCAAAGTCGTCGCGGAGGATATCGTGGTTTACCATGTCGATAAACGTGTTTTGCGTGTAGTGCACCGCCAGTTCTTGGGTGAAGGCGACGGGGCCGATCGACTTGAGCATTTCGGCAAAGACGAGATGCATGTAGTGGTGGAAGGAAAAGCCGGTGATGCGGAGAACATCGTGCTTGATGAGGGTGAACTTGGAGCCAACAGCCAAGACATCTGAGACCTCATGCCATGGCGGGACCGCATAGTGCTTGGGATCCAGAGTCGACGAGATGAGGGTCATGTCGCAGATGATACGCACCGCAACAACGTGCAGAGAACGGAGAAGCCCAATCGGTGTTGCAGTCTGGAAAGCCTCGCCAAACTCGCGAGCGAGCTTGGTCAGATCTGGGAGCACGCTGATGCTCTTGATCCAGTCGATTTCGTACTCTACGTGGCGTTCTAATTCGCGGCGCTGGCTCTGAAGGCCCACAAAGTTGTTCAGGAAGGTGAGGGTTCGTTGGAACATGAAGTCGTCGCGAACGAGCTGCTCCTTGACCTCTTTGTACTTGAGCAACGCACGGAGGTGGCCCAGCAGGGTCAGGCCCTTTTTACCACGGAAAGCGTGCGAGTCAATGTCAAAGCGGTCCACTGCCGCTGTTGGCATTTGGTCGTCGCTGTTTGCCGACTTGAGCGAGTAGTATGTGAAGGCCGTGTCGAGGACGGACCGGAAGAGGTTGCTCTCGACAATGGCCTCGCCACACGCGGCACTCCTACCGAGGAGCATGTACGACATGGAAAACGCGAGGCTCGAGTCGTCCCTGTCCTGGTACAGGTAGTGCTCAAAGGTGTGGGCATAGTTGACCGAGTAGCGGGTGGCAAACTCGCGCTTGATATCCCACCCAAGCACAAAGACGGCAGAGTAGATTTCACGCAGTTGCCACTTGGCCTTCTTCCACAGGCGCACGTCGGTGCGCATCAGCCAGTCGAAACGCTTCGGGTCCGGGGTTCCCCCGGGAACGTCCGTTTCGAGGTCTGTGAGGTCGGCAGCAAGTGGGGTCCCTTCCGAAGCACCGGTGTTTGTCCGCGGCGAGAAGAGAGCCATGGCCACATAGCGTCGCACGAGGTCTTCCTCGCCGCAGATGGTGACCTTGCACATGTCGCTCAGCCACTGCAGCAACATGCCAATGACCTCTTCCTTGTAGACGTCGGCAGCGTTGCGGAGCGTGACACCAATGTCGATCTGCTGCAGCATCGAGGCGGTGTGGAACGCGACCGTGTCGAGATGTGTGACAATGAGAACTTTACGTCCCTGCCAGTGTTAGCTTTAGCTGTCCCATACCTTAGCTTACCACTTCGTCCATCTCCTTTGCATATCGCTCGGCAGTGTCCCATGTCACACCGAGAGCGTCGCGGAACTGGCGCGTGACCTCTCTCAAGACGTGCTTCTCGTCGGCCCACGCAGTGACAGCCCATGGGCCGCGTCCGCGCCTGTCCTTGGGCTCGCCAGAGGGTCCGTTTCCTTGCCACATTTCGGCGCGGGTGGTCGGAAGCTTACCAAAGTCGTTTGGCAGGGGCGAGTGCTGCATGACAGTTATGATAAACTCGATCACCGTGACGATCGTGTCGTACAGCGCCTTGCCGAGCTGCTGAGGCGGGTTGGCCTGTGGCTGCGGCTCCTCAGCGCCTTCCTCGAGCGGAGGGTGGTGCGAGCAGCCCAGGTGGCCATTGTTTCGCCATGCCGAGGCGTCGCCACAGTCACATACGGCCGCAAAGGTGTACGACAGGCCAAACAGAACCTCGTGGCCCTCATGGTTTCCAGCGTGGAAGCAGTCGACACAAAGAACGCACGACGAATCGTTGGCACAGGTCCTGGGGCGGTATGTGTCAGCTGTCTGACTGTTGTTTGTGATCAAAAGGAAAGGCCATACAGTCGATCAGAGACAATGACTAGATACTCACTTGCAGATGTATGTCCGGTCATAGCGCTGCAAGACTTTACCACAAACTGCCCCGGGCTTGGGTTTACGAGTCACTTTGCCTGCACGCTTGTTACGCTCCTCGACGGCAAGTTGGGCCTCGTAGAGCGACCAGGTGCGTTCGGGTGCGAAGCCCTCTGCAGTGGGCGCCAGCCATTCATGGAGGTTATCCCACGACGGGATCTTGGGCGAGGGCGCCGAGGTGGACGCGTTGCTGTTTGTAGAGCTGGCAATGCTCACTGTACTCGAGCTGCTACTGGCGCCGGTGGTGGTAGCTTCATCTGGCAAGAAGCACGACTGCCATTCAGGTCGCCCTAGAATGCAAGAGTAGAGCTGGCGGGCAATGGTCGCTCGCTGCAGCGGTTGCAGCTCGGGGTTCTCGGCATGTCGGTGGCCATAGAGCAGCAGCTCATACAGCTGGCTCTGCTGTTGTTGGGGAGTGGCCATGCCGGCGAGCCGCCGGTTGGGCGGAGGGAAGACGAGGACGCCTCACACGAGAGGTGTCGGGGGTTCCGGTAGGTGGATGGCCGGTGGTGTCGGCGGGGAGAGGTAGGGGCGTTGACGGCTCGGAGGGCAAGAGCCGAGAACAAGGGGGATGGGAGGGGGTGAAGGTGATGAGAAGCGGGGGTTGGCTGTTGGAGTTGTTTGTGTATACAGAGAGTGGGAGAGATGGACAGTGCCAAGGCAGGTCGAAGCACAAGAGTGATTGCTTTCCTGGGAGGCGACGGCGGCGATGGCGGCGGCGGCTGGCTGGGCGGTTGTGTCATCACCCACAGTTCCCGCAGCCAGGTGCACACACACACACAAAGACCCCGACGCGGGGTAAAACACGTCATATTCTATTCCCCACCCTGGACGTTATCACGCGTCGCGTCATTATGGGCGGTGGCCTCTACTGTACGTCTCTCATCTCCAGCGATCCAGCGACAACATACACCCATATCCCGTCTACACAACACCATGAGCAGCCGCCCAACGTCCTCTGCGACCACCCCACATGCGCCGATAGCCCCCACCGCTCCGCAGGCGGTCCACGCAATGGCCACACCCACCCCGCTGCTCGTCGACGCCAGCCTGCCTGGCTACCTCCTTCCAGCGGCCATTAGCGCGCTGTCCGACAGTGCCGCGTTCGCCGTTCGCCGTCGTCTCGCCGCCGAGCGCGAGGCCGAGGGTGGCGAGCCCTCGTCGTCCTCTTCGAACGTTATCGACGCGGGCGAGAAGGGAAAGGGACGTGCGGGCGCCGGCGGTGACGCCGATGCCGACATGCCCCTCCTCGTGGACGAGGCCGTGGCGGCTCGCATTGAGCGGATGGGACTCATGGTCGGAGGATACGTTGCGGAGAAGTGAGTGAGAGAAGAGGTGGAGGAGGAGGTGGGGACACTGGGATGAGGAAGCTGCAATAAACCTTGTCCAACAGCTGCCTCTGTCGCCACACCCTTCGGTCACTGAACGATCTGACTCCCTTAGGCTCACCCTCGCGCGCGCACCTCTCGCGACACACCTCGACATGATCAAGTTTGTGTGCAAGGACCTGTTCCTCTACGTGTACGGCAAGCAGATTGACAACTTGAGGACAAACCACCGCGTGAGTGCCTCTCACCCCCTGCACTTGACCAGCTGCTCCGTCCCGACTGCAGCTGGGTCACCCGCACGCCGCACGCCCCGCAACCGCGGCATCTAGCTCGCCTCCTCGTCTCGCGCTAACACCCACCACAGGGCGTCTTCGTCCTCCAGTCTCACGCGTTCCCGCCCTTGACCACACTGAGCTCGCACCGCGGCTCAGCTGCCGACCTGGAGGCGGCGCGCCCGCACCTCATCTTCCCGCAGGCGCTCGTGCAAGGCGCGCTCGCGAGGCTGGGCATGAGCGCGAGTGTGTTGGCCGAGAGCTCGTCGCTGCCACAGTGTGAGTTTACACCTTGGGTGGAACGGTCGCACACCCACACCGTGCTCTCCCTTCGCCCCTCGTCCTTCTTCCTGTCATCCGTTCGAGTCTCGCTGACACTCCTCTCCGTAGGCACCTTCCAGATCCGCGCAACGGCAAAGCACACGTCGGCGCGCGACTCGCTCGGCCCGGCGTCGGTCCTCTCTCCTCACGCATGACCCCGTCGCCTTTACTCTTTGTAGCTGCTGCCCCTCTACCCCATGCAGCCTTATACCCCTGTTGCTTGCTACTACTGCACCTGACTGCACCTGGTCGTTGCCCGGCCACCACTGCGACAAGGCCAATGGTGTCGTCACAGCGTCATTCACCCACCACCTCGGTGTACTCGAACATGTGCATCTCGCCGCGCACCAAACAGCACGCAATGAACGCACCCCTAACCCAAACCTCCCCCTCTCTCCCGCTCTCCCACTGTCGCCTATCGTACACTATTTCTCTGTCTCTGTCTCTGTCTTGTAAAAAAAAAAGTGGGGGCCTAAACTACTGTTTCTCCGTCTAGTCTTCGGGGAACGGGATCGAGATAACTCCCATTAAAAGCGCATCTTGACTTCAAAAATGGGCGAGCAAAAAAAAGATGGGAAGAATGCGCCTTTCTTGGGTCGAGTTGGTGGTCGGTTGGTTGATTGTTTCTTCGCGGAAAAATGGAGTTTCGTATCTTTGTGGTGGTGTGCGCGTCTGTTTTTGCTACGGCGGCCCAGCCGCGCGGGGTGGTTGCTGAAAGGCAAAGGCGGGAGAAGGGAGGGGGAAGACGGGGTGACGAAAAGCAAGTCTTGTTGGGGGAAAAGTCTACGCTCTGTGCTCGGGGTTGGGGCGACTTGTTTTCGTGATTGGTCATCTTGTCCTCTCGTCGCTTATACGCGCGGGTCGTCCTTGGGAACCATGGACATCCAGATACGTGACTGTAGGCGCACGTCAGCTGGGGGCACTTTCGAACCCGGCAGCTGCCACTCAAAAGACTCACTTTGAAGATGCGGAAGTTTTCCTTGGTAAGCTCGCGGAAGTCGACGCGCTTGTCGGCCTTGAAGTAGAAGGTGAGCTTGCGGCGGTCCCACTGGTACTCGGCATCGACAATCTGCATGGGCAGGCCGCGCTGGGCGACCTTTTCGCGACAGATCATCATGGCGTCGTACTCTTCCTTGAGCTTCTCCATCATGCGACTGGGGGATTCAAGTCAGCTTTTGGTTCGTTAACGTTTGTAAAACACTTACGCCTGCTCCTCGGGCCCACCACTCGACTTTGTAAAGATACGCTTCGGCATGATCTCCTTGGCGAGTGGGCCGCGCGCGCCAATGCCGCCGCCGCCCATGTCCATCTGGCTACCGCTGGGGCCGACACCGGAAAGCAGGGTGTTCAGGTCCGCATCGGTAAAGTCAGTGGCGCCGGGAGCGAGAGGCCGGGCGGGGTGGCTGCCGTTGCGCGAGTGCTGCGTCTGGTTGCCGGACGCCGGGTTGGCAGTGGTGGCCGCGCCAGCCATGGCCATGCCAGGCGGCTGGTGCTGGGACGCTCCCGAGAGAAGGGCGGCGGTTGCCTGGCGCTCCTGCCACTCACGGACCTCGACGGGGGTGAGCTGGTCAAAGACAACCGTGCCGAGGTCGGAGCCGCGGTCAGCTTCGACGATGACACGGTCGCCGTTCGAGATGAGGAGCGTCGGGTCCGGGCAGTAGAAGACGTCACGACGGCCAGCCTTAAAGGTGACAATGTAGAGTGGCGTGGTCGGCGGGAGCGATGCCAGGGGGATACCCTTGCCCAGGTCGGCGAGCGAAAGCGACGAAAAGGACGAGGGGGAGGTCTGGGAGTGAGGCGGTTGCTGTTGCTGTTGTTGCTGCTGCTGCTGCTGCTGCTGCTGCTGTTGCTGCACAGGAGGCTGAGGGGGAGCATAGTAGTTTGCTGATCCAAAACCGCCCGTGGGGAGGGCTCCAGGTTGAGGACCCTGGGGAGGAGCGGGGTACGTGGGGCCAAAGCCAGGACCGATACCGCCAAAGCCGCCGTTCTGAGCAAAAGGTGGGCGACCAGCGGCCGGCTGGCCCATACCGCCACCAAAGTATGCGAACGGACCGGCAGGAGGACGTCCAAATGCGTTGGGACCAGGGGCACCGAGGGGCGGAGCGTTGGCAAACGGTCCGCCACGGAATCCACCGGGGGCCTGCTGCTGCTGGTGGGGGTTTCCTCCGAAGCGGCCGTCAAAGCCCATGGCGTTGACTTGCTGAGGGGCACGGGCAGGCGCGCCGACCGGTCCAGGGTGGACCTCGCGACCACTTCCATCAGGGCTGACGCCCGAGGGTGCCGCCGAGAATGACGAGCGCGAGCGCGTGTCCGCAAAGGAGAATCGGCCACGCTCCGTCTTGTCCGCCACGGGCGACGAAGCAAAGTAGGCGTCCGTCGAAGGTGCCGAGGCGCGGGCGGCGCCAGACCGAGGAGGGTCTGTCAGGCTTGGGGCGAAAATAGGCAGGCTGCTGGCCACGCCCTCTGCGTCGCTTCTCTGTGTACGCCCTTCGTCGACTTGAAGACTGAGGGCGTTGTCGAAGCGGTCCGATAGAAGCTCGTCGTCTGTGAACCCGAGCGAGCCGATCCCACGGGTGCGGTTACCACCCAGGGTACTCATGCCTTGCTCGTTGAAGCTAAAGCCACGGCGCGGGCCGCCACCAACAACAGACACAGAGTGCCTGCGGCTCGATGTCCCGGATCGCCCACCGTTTGCCTCCTCAAAGCCACCGACGACGGATGAGTAGGTCGGTTGGGGGCCCAGGGCATTGGCGACCGACGTGGTGAGAGCAGTCGTGGTGGGCGATGCCCAGGCACGCTGACCAAACGACGTCTCTTGCGGCGTACGGAAGCTGCTGGCGACCTGGGCAGCGGCCTGGGCACGCTGGGGGTTCTCCTCCGACTCCAAAAAGGAGCGGACGCCAGAGGTGAAGGGCGACATGTTGGTGCTGTCCTTGCGCCAGCTGTCTTCGAAACGGAAGCCCGCGCTGGACGACGAGTACTCTACTGCTGTGAGAGGAGCAATAAAGTTGCGGTCGGGTCGCACACTCGTGGCCAACGACTGGGAGCGAGAACGTGAGACGTTTGCCGGGGCGATGGGGGGAGAGTACTGTCCACTGCCGTGGAGGTGGGCCTGCGGCATGGACGGAGACGTGGATGGGGACGACGATGGGGAAAAGGTGGGGAACGGAGATGGAGAGCTAGACCTTGACACAGGCCGCTCTTCGACATGAGACGAGAGCGTCCGCACTAAGGAAGACGGCTGTGGGGGGGATGGATGTCAGTTCCGCATTGAGCAACTGGCGGTGTTTTCATTGTGTCTCAGACGTACTCTCTGATCCATCTTGTCTGCCACCGAAAAGCTGTTTGCGCGCGTTGGGGGAGCGATCCCCGCCATGCTACTGCTCACTCGGCCACTGTTGGGAGTCCGTGAGCCGCCAATGACACCAAAGTCACTGCCGCTGCCGCCGTTCATACCCGGGCTGCCTCGCCCAGATCCTGGTGACGAATTGGGGAGGCGATCGCTGGATGGCGGCTGGCTTGTGGCTCGGCCCTTGACTGTCGCGAGGTAAGGGTTGCTCACGGTGAACGAGCGGACAGGCGAGGGACGGTACGCCGTGGGTGTTTGGGATGCTGTGGGAGGAGGTGTGGAGGATGTTGTATGGGACAAGGTGGTCGTACCGGGGGACGGCGCAGGGCTACCGCTGTTGCTTACGACGCCTGCAGTGCCCACGGCGGGCGGGGTTGCGCCCAGAGACGGTGGAGGAGGAGCCGCTTCGGCCATGGGTCTGCGCAATGCCCACGGACGCGGCGACGTTTGAGTGTCGACGCGGTGTGTTCGGATGGGTGAGGATGGAGGCGGACAGGTGGTGGTGGTTGGGGGGGTCAAGGTTTACTTGGTCGCGCGACGTGACGGGACCTGCAAGCTGACCGCTTTGAAAAGCAGGGACGCCTTTGCAGCTGGTGGCGTGAGGAAAAGGGGCGCGGCTTTACAAGAAGGGGGGGGGGCTTGCTTGTGGTTGGATGGCAAGGATGGAGCCCGCTGTGGTGGTGGGTGTTACACGCGATGACGAGACGAGGAGAGCGTCTGCTGGTTGGTGTAGTTGGGAGGATGCAGGAGAGGACGGACGGGGGAATGGATGTGGGATGGGGGAGCGTGGGGGGGATTGGCAGGACACACACTCTGGCGCTGTGCGGTAAAGGGACGGAGGTAAAACGGTGGGCCGGGGTCCCTCAAGGGTGTGGGCGTGGGGTAAGCGGATGCTCTCTCTCAGTGTCTCTACGTGTCGCTTGGCCTGAGTGGGGAGAGGCGTTTGCGGTCTACTGGGTGTGTGTCTAGAAGGAGAGGGTGGCGAAGAGGAGGAAGAGGATCGTGTGAGTAGGAGGAGGAGGAGTGTGTGTGTGTTGTGTGGGAGGGCGCGTGAGAGTGGTGATGATGTCAAGTGAGAGCTGGGCGGACCGAGCGCCTGGGTGTGGGGGTGGGTGGTACGTGGTGGTCAGCTGGACAAGTGACCTCTGTTCCATCTCAGGTGGGATCGGTGGGCAGACCGCGCCATCGTCCTCTGCTCTCGTCGCCCATCAGAGCGCACCCCCTTGTAGCTAATGGGGGACACACATTTAAACCCGTCCAACAGCCACACTCTCCTGCGTTGCGCGCCTTTTCCCATTCCCTTGCAATGCGCGCAATGCAATGACGTAACATGACACTCAAAGGGCAGTGTGATCTCTCTCTTATACTCTTACCTGTGGCCTGTGGCCTATATTTACCGACCGTAAGTACAGTTGCGTGTCCCCCCCTTGTACTGTATGTACGCGTCCAGCAGCTGTCAGTCAGACCGTGTCTCCTCCGTCCACGCTCTTGTTTCACACAGTGCATCCCCATGCATATGTGCTATCTCTGGGACAGGTTGGTGTTGTTGTTGTTGTTGTCATGCAGCGAGCGGGTCCCAGCAGTGACGCAATACGGGTCTGGGCGAGATGATTGTAGGCGCAGGGAATTGTGAACACAGGGGGGGGGAAGACGCCGCACTGACGCTTTGGACGCTTTGGACGCTTTTGGACGCTTTCGGGACACGGCCACAACTCTATCCACACACCGGTACACCAGACACCCTTTTGGCTCGTGCAAAGAACCCGTATCTCTCCTCCCTCCCCCCATCATTCACGTTTCCCACCTCTCCTCCTTCCACCCACCACACCCCCTTCTTCCCCCACCCCTAGCCCAACCTCTTCCTTGCAAGCAGGCGGCTAACCCCTCCTCTGCTGGCAGCGTGCATCCCCCGCAGCCGGTAAAAACACAGCAAAACTACCCGCCGTCGTCGCTGTGCACCGCACGACGCGCAACTCCACGCGACCAACTCTGGTAACCAGGCATTACACCGCCCAGCATGATTATCATCAAGGCAACCCTGCGCGATGAGACTCGCCGCCTCATGTTCGACTCGAATGGCTTCCCCGAGTACGACGACGTGCAGCAGAGGGTGAGTTCACCGTCACTCGAGCATTGGCTCAGTGGCAAACGGACCGGGGGGCGCGCGGGAAGAACGGGTGGCAAACCGCGCCTGCCCTTATCACTCCATTCTCGTTGTTCTGCACACAAGCTGACGTCTTTCTCTCCAATCCCACACTCCAAACTCGACCCCCAATACCGTTCTGTTGTATATATGCACTTGAACCCGTCGCAAATGCACGCAACGTCGGCCGTCAACTGCCAACTCTTCAACGACACGGATGTTTGATCCCCCTCCCTGCAGCTCCGCGCAATCTTCAATCTCCCGAGCACCGCCCACCCTTTCTGGTCCAACGTGCTCTTCTTCCCCGATGACACCAAGCCGTCGCGCATCAAGTTCAAGCACCATGTATGCACGGCCGAAGAGTGAGTGCCATGTCGACCCTGCACTGCTGCGTCAGCGGGTAATATTACCGCCGGGCACATGCGACACGTATTCGTCTTGAATCGGAGAGCTGACGCGTCCCTCATCTGATTCCATCTCCTTCCACCATTCCACCTTCATATCTCTTGGTGCCTCATATATCACCCACCAACAGGTACAAGCAGGCCCAACAGCCCTTCAGTCGCATTACGGGGTACCCTAGCCCCCTCCTCGTCTTCACCGTCCTCCTCTCGTCCGACTCGAGGATGAACAAGATTCGCGACTTCCATCGCTCGGCCAAGCTCCAGGCCGACCTGGCCCAGCTCGAGACCGACATTCGCGCTCTCGAGGACGACCTCGTCGAGCGCCACCAGCTCCTCGTCGCTCTCGAGGACAAGGTTGAAGACTGCCAGCTCCAGAACGACGACGTTGGCGTCGGCTACTGGTCTGACCGCGCCGAGGAGAAGCGTCGCTCGCTCCCCCAGCTCGACGAGCAGCTGCGCGGGTGGCGCATCTCTCGCCGCAACATTCTTGACGACCTCGACGCCGTTCGCCCTACGGGCCTCTCGCTCCGCCAGTGGGCTGACCTTGAGAAGACTGCCGAGAACCGGCGCACCGAAGAGACCAACCAGGAGCTTTGCGCCTGGCAGATTGAGAACAACGACGACCCGTCGTCGCCCTTCCCGCCACTCGACTCGGTGCTTCATGGTGCAGCCAACAACGGACGTGGACCTCGCCCTGGTCACCACCCGTACGCATGGGACGGCTTTGCCAACCTCGGCGCGCCTCCTCCCCCGCCTCCAGGCATGCGTCCTCCCCCGCACGTTCCCGCTGCCATTCGGTCGCTCTTCAACCCTCCCGAGAATGCGGGTCGTGAGATTGGTCAACTTCTTGACCGCTTCCTCGTCCACTTCCAAGGCCAACTCGTCGAGACCCTCGACGACTTTGCTGCGCGTATCGCCCCCGCCTCAGCTGCAGCTCCATCCCAATCGCAGGACGACGCTGCCCCGCATGTTCCTGGTGCCTTTGTCACCACGCCGCCCACCCAGGCCCACGCGGCGCAACCATCTGAGGCTGAGGAGCCAAAGTGCAAGAAGCACGCCAAAGGTGGTTTCAGACACAAGCACATTACCTGCGATGGCTGTCTGACCGGCATCCGTGGCATGCGGTACCACTGCCTCGTTTGCCCAGACTATGACCTGTGTGGAACCGTGAGTGGAGAAAATGCAATACGAGTGATAGCCGCTGACGTACAAAGTGTCTTCCCCTTCTCCACACCGAGGAGCTGCACCCTCCCAGCCACACGTTCAAGGCGATGCTCCACCGCGGACTCGAGGAGCGTATTACGTTTGGTGGCACCGAGCCGACCCGCCCTTCGCAGCAGTCGTGTCGTCACCCTGCCACATGTGATGTCTGCGACCAGAACATTATCGGTGTTCGCTGGAAGTGCCTCGAATGTGTCGACTGGGATTGCTGCTCGTCCTGCGCCAAGTCTGTCGGCACGACGCACCCCGGTCACTCGTTTGTCAAGCTCCACAAGGCCACCGACTACGTCTCCAACCCGCTCAGCGACGCCAAGGCGAACGTGACTCACCCGTATGTCATCTGCGACGGTTGCAACGACACTATTCGCGGCGCTCGCTACAAGTGCATGCACCCCAGCTGCGCGGGAACCCCGGCGGGCTATGACTTGTGCGAAAAGTGCGAGGCCAAGCCCGTCCCCGTCCACCCCGAGGACCACCCAATGCTCAAGATCAAGACCCCGCTTCGCGTCAACGTTCAGTCGTCGTTTGACCCGATCGACAAGGTCTACGATGACCACCACCGCCGCTTCCGCGTGCCCAAGACTGCCCCCAAGGCCGCGTCGCCTCCCAAGACCAAGACTACCTGCAACGCTCCTTCGGCGCAGGCTTGCTCATCGAGCCGTACAGTCCAGCCCTCCGCGTTCAGCCGTGGCGGCGAGTACGCCAAGGCAATGGACGCGCTCATCGAGACCATGTCGCTTGCTGGCACCGAGATCCGTGTCCCCGGTGGCTACGTGATCAGCAAGGGTGCCGAGCAGGCCAGCAACATTGCATCGAGCAGCAAGGCCGTCTCTGTCAAGACGGAGGAGGAGGAGATGGCGTCTCTGGCTACCCCAATGGCACCTACCGTGGCGTCTCCCAAGCTTATCGCCGAGCCTGCCGCGCCTGTTATTGAGCGCACCGTTACGCCTGTTCCCGTCGGCAGTTTCCCCGTCACGCCCGTCAAGACTGCTCCCTCCGCCACACCTATCCCGTCCGCGCCGATCCCGTCGTGGAAGACCCCGGAGCCTGTGACCTTCAAGTCGTCGGGCCCCACTGGCCGACCTTTTGCCCAGCCCACCCCTCCCAAGGTTGTTGATGAAGCCTGGGAGTGCAAGACCTGCACCCTCATGAACCCTGCTTCGGCAGTGGACAAGCGTGTCGTTTGCGAAGCTACCAAGCCAGAGAAGCGCATTGTGATTGAGGAGGTCACCAAGGATGTCGAGGTCGAGCAGGAGACGGTCAAGGAGACTGTTACCGAGGACCCTATCACCAAGATCATTGCCGCGGCGGCTCCCCCGCTCACCAAGGAGCCTATCGGCCCCAACGACATCTTCACCTACGTCCGCCACGCTACCATTCCACCCGGCACCCGTCTGCCCGCTGGCGCGGAATTCACAAAGACCTGGACTGTCCGCCACTACGCCAACGGCTCGGACTTTGAGTTTGACAACCTCAAGCTCGTTCACAAGACCGACGGTGCCCTTGGCCGTCACTGCAAGCCCCACGTCGCCGTCCGCCGCGAGGATGTCGTCAACGGCGAGGACGTCGAGGTCAAGGTTGAGGGCCTGATCGTCCCCGACCAGCCTGGCGAGGAGGTCATGGAGATGTGGCGTTTCGAAGACGACAAGGGCGTTGCCTATGGCCAACCCCTCCGTGTCCGGTGAGTCTCTTGGTGTTTCTTCTTCCCGGAGAGCGTCGCTGACATGTTCAAGGATCCACGTTGAGGAGACCAACTCGGGCGAGGCGTCGCTTGCCTCGTCTTCGTCGTCGTTTGTCCTCCCGCAGGCGCCCGTTGCCTCGCAGACCCCCGACGAGTTTGTCGAAGTCGAGGCCGTCTCGGCTGCCGAGTTCAACGACCGCCTCTCGGAAGTCGCCCCTCCGACCCCGGACGCCGACGATGTGTCGTCTGTCTTTTCGTTCTCGGACGTTGAGAATGACGTTACCGTCACGGCTGCGCCACAGACGGTCTCGTCGACTGAGAGCGAGGTCTCGGACGAGTACGACTTTGTCGACGAGTCGTTTGACGGCGAGACCACCGAGGACGGCTTCTGAGTGAAGCCCCCCCCACCCCCAAGAAGAAAGAAAGCCCTTCAGAAACTCTGAAGGGAAAAAGTCTGTGCCCATTTTGTTTGTTATCTGAAACACGTCTCCGCGTCTGTAAACAGTTGCCCCCCGTATGAATCTGTTGTGAGGCGCTACATTGCTGCATCTCTTCTGCGTCTTTTCCACATCCAAACATTTTGTACAGGCAACCAGTAACCAGTCTGTCGGCATTTTTCCTTAGCGGGTGGTGTATCCGCCGTTGGCTGGAGGCAGTAGTGTCAGTTTACAGCACCACCATCCGTCGTCCCCTGTCCCTTTGCCCGACTCACAGAAGATGATCTGGCCCGTGATCCACTTGTCCTTTGTGAGGAAGTCGACGAGCGGCGCAATGTCCTTGATGTCCGTGAGGCGGCCGCCGAGCGCCTGGCTCTTGTGGTACGCGACAGCCTCGGGCGCCTCCTGGGGGTAGAAGAACGGCGTGTCCATCGGGCCGGGCGCGACGGCGTTGACGCGGATCCCGCGCGGCTGCAGCCTGTGAGATAGGTCGTCAGCATCCACCCCCCAACTTTCTTTTTTTTTTCACTCACTCCTTGGCCGCGGCCTTTGTGAACCACTCGACGGGCGCCTTGCTGCCCTGGTACGTCGAGTATCCGGGCGCGAACGCGCCGAGCAGCGACGTGACGATGGAGATGATCGCGCCGCCGTCGTTCAGGTTCTTGGCCGCCTCCTGGATGAAGAAGAAGTTGACCTTGGCGTTGACAGAGAACATGCTGTCGTACTCGGCCTCGGAGACGCTGACGATCTCCTTCTTGAGCACTTTACCGATCGTGTTGATGGCCAGGTCGAGCTTGGAGGCGCCCAGGCCCGCGAGCGCGTCCTTGAACAGCCTGCAAGTTAGCGTGGGTCGGACGCGGCGAAGGCTGTTGCTGCTGCTGCCACGGAGGGGGGAGGAAGAAGGGTTCCCCCACACCACAGGTTACGGGTTCCTTTGGAGCAGCTCAGCCCGACTCAAAACTCACTTGGAAACAGACGCGGCGGAGCCCAGCTCGGCCTGGATAGCCACAGCCTTGACGCCGTAGCCCTGCAGCGTCTTGAGCGTCGCCTCCGTCTCGGCCTTGGAGCTCGCCGAGTTGTAGTGGATGGCCACGTTGACACCCTGCTTGGCGAGCGTCTCGGCGATGAGGGCGCCAAGGTTCTGCGCTGGGTTAGTCACTGTCGCACTGTTTGGGGGGAGAGGGGAGTTTATGGGAAAGGAGGTGGCCGCAGCCAGGCGCCTCGAGGGTGACAGCCTCGAGCTCGAGCTCGCGCTACCCGTTGTGTTCTCGAGCGTCACTCACCTTTCCGCCGCCGGTGACGATCGCGTTCTTGCCCTTGAGGTCGTCCGACATGGTAGTTTAGCTAGTGGGGAGGGGAGATAAGTGGTGGGTGGGGTCTAGTGTGTGAGTGGGATGGGATGGTGAACCGTGGTCGCTCTCGCCTCTTTATATACCGCTTGCGGGGGTTCTTGGCGTGCAGCGACACCATCCCTTTCCCACCCCTGCAGTCGCGCAGAGACGAGACGAAATGAGACAAATGTATCCGGGATCCTTCTGTACCGTTGCGCTGCTCGCTTCACTGGGCTCACTGGGCTCACTGGTCCAATGCCGTCATACCGTCATAAAAGCACCATCCTCCACCCATTGATGCCACCCCTGGCCCCGGCCACCGAACAGGCTGCCGAGATGCCGGGATGGAGGTCCTCCACCCCTGGCACAGTGATACAGCGTACAGTGTTTCCCGTTCAGCTCGCTTCCCTCTCCCCTCTCCGCCACGGCACAGGCCCTTCGGACGTCAGGTCGGGACACACCCCTTGGACAGCGTCGGTCCTCCACAGTGGTACAGTGGCCTCTCGCCGACGGCCAGGGCTCGGCGTGGGCCTCGGCGTGCATCTGCGCTGTGGAGGTTTCGCGCGGGTGGGCTGTTCGGATATGGTCTCGTGTGAGGCAGGCGAGGAATGCAGAAACAGCGTTAATGAACAAACGTGCCTGTGGGTTTGACCTGTTGATCGACGCGATGGCCAGGGAGATGCCTCGATATCCTAGACCGGCGCACACTGTGGCACTACTGGTTGCGACGGACAAGACAGTGTGTACGCATGAAGCGACGGACATGACAACAGCAGTGTCGTTTGCAGAATCCAAGTGAGATATAAAGTACTGTACAACTGTGCCTCAGGGGTTGAGAGGCATCTTCGAAGTGATGGAGAACAGGAAACTGTAACCTAATGCCGAGTTGAGAACAGGTGATGGAGTCGAGAAGACGGTGAATGAGGGTCGTTGTCATTGGGAGGTCCCAAGTGTATGTGGGTTCTAGAGGTTCTCCATGGCGACGTGCGCCTGATACTTGCCCCAGACGCGTGCGGCACGGAGGTAAATGGGGAGGAGGGGAATGAGGACAAGGGCGATGGGGAAGAGCGCCACGAGAACGATGGTGGAGAAGAGCACGACCAGCGGCTTGATGAGAACAAAGTAGGCGAGCGCAGAGTACGAGTAGTGGTCGCAGAACTGGGAGACGTGTGAGAAATTGATGCGAATGACAAACCAAGCGGGTCTGGGTGAAGCTTTCGCTTCCCAGTGGAAGACACCCAGCAACATTCCACACTCACCATGGCCCACGAACACTTGAGGAAGCGGCGATCCCAGACGATCTGGGGTTCCTCGCCTTGAATCGGTTCCCGTACCTCGATGACGCGGTGGAAGATGGGGTGGAACGCCGGCGTACGCAGTGGCCCGTGGAACCTTGCCTGCATGCGCGTTTCCAATTTGGCGGCCGAACGAGCAATGATGAGGGTGACCCACCAGAACAATGCACCGATAGGGAGGGTGATCAGGAGTACTGTGCCAACGAGCGTGCCGGCAAGGAGGAACGGCCAGATGAGAAGGTTCTGCACACCTGTTAGACAAATCCACGGTGACAACGCAATGCACGCACAAAGGGAAAGTTGAGGACTAGTAAATGCAACACTGCCTTCCAGGATGCGCTGTCGTTCATGGGATGCCAAAAGCGACGCCATCGTGTGGAGCCGTCGTCGTGGTGACCGCGAAAGATCGTACCCCATGACCACGAAGTGCTGGCCGAAGCTCCGGCCAGGAGGGGCGTTGTCTCGTCGGGCACAACAACACGTCTCCGGCGCGGCGACAGGGGTCCAAACGACGAACCATGTCGTGACCGTGGCGGCGACGTCGACGTTGACGTTGACGGAAGGGACAGCGATCCGACGGACAGTGCGCCAGGTGAAACGGGCGACGCCTCGGGGAATGTCGAAAGTGGGGTCAGTCCAACTGGACCAGAAAACGTCGATGCTCGATGCCGAGTGGCCACGGGGCCCTCATTGCTGTTGCCAGCCTCAACGTCTGCGTCTGGGGCCGAGAATGGCATGTATGGTGGCGGCTCCTCGTTTCCAGGCGGCTTGGACGGGTCCACAAGCCACAGCTGCGATCCGTCCGCCGACAGCACGTAAATGGGCTGCTGGAGACCGGCAGCAGCACTGGCGGCAAATGGTAGACCGCTCGAATTTGCCGCAGCATGCGCAACAGCTGCATGGGCCGCAGTGGCAATGTGAGTTGGTGCGCAGCACGGGTGGACATGGGTGAGCATTGGTGGCTGAGCCGACGGTTGCGCCGGTGCGGCTCCGGGGGTTCGTGGACGAGAGCGCGAGCGGGAACGTGACCGGGGTCGTTCCACCACCACGCTCGGCGCGCTGGGCGACCGCTGGAGCGTGCGCTGGGCGGACATGCCTGTGCGTGAATGGGTAAAAGATGAGAATGTGGAGGGTTGTGAGAATGGCCATGGCGACGCGCTCACGCAGCGCCATTAGAGAAGTCGCCACCACTGATAATAACGTCACTTCCGTATTGCTACACGTCATTTAAATCGCCGGAGATCAGCGACCTGAGAGAGCGAGTTCATGTTTACGACTTGTGGGACATCTTGCACCTGTCATCTTCATCCCATCGCAATGGTGAGTCTGCGTTGCCAGCAGTGCAGGACGCTTACTTTAGTCTGTCACATTACATACTTCCCTCGGAGACATCAAGGTACGTGCTGAGGTCTGGCGGTAGGACTGACGTTCCAGATCGAGGTGTTCTGCGAGGCCGTCCCGCGCACCGCCGAGGTAAGTCCAACGACCCGAGAGTCGATTATCCGCCCTTGTTAACTCTGGGACCACGCTGACGCCGCTGTTCAGAACTTTCTTGCTCTCTGCGCATCCGGATACTATGACGGCACGCTCTTCCACCGCAACATCAAGGGGTTCATGGTGCAGACTGGTGACCCCACCGGTACGGGCAAGGGTGGACAGAGCATCTATGGAGCACCATTCCCCGACGAGGTGCGGCAAACGCTCAAGGTTGGTGATGTTTTTTATGTGGATGGCATCACGGTTCTGACTGGTGTACAGTTCAACACGCGCGGTATTGTGGCCATGGCGAATGCCGGCCCGGACACGAACAAGTCTCAGGTTGGTGTTCCTCAGCTGCTTGCTGCTGACCCAAACAGTTCTTCATCACCTACGCCAAGCAGACCTCGCTGGATGGCAAGTACACGATCTTCGGCCGTGTGATCGATGGCAGCGACACGACACTCGACTTTATCGAGCGCACACCCGTCAACGAGAAGAACCGTCCTACAAAGGAGATTCGTCTTGAGAGTGTCACGATTCACGCCAACCCCATTGCCGACGCGCACAAGTAAAAGACCAGACTGTTACACTAGAATAAAATGTATACACTAGACCACATTTACAGGCTACTACCACGTCGCTACATAATCATGGCGCGCCAGAATACCAGCCGTTGGCGCCGACCTGAGTCGCCTGCGGGGCACGGTTCGGGATGGCAGACTCGGTAATGTCAAAGAGTTCAATGGCGTCCTTCCAGGCCTGCATGTCAAGCTCAATGACTGCCTGGTTCTTGGGAATATCGCCGTCGGCTTCTGGGTCGTGGGGGTCGGTGCCGCGGATGATGATCTCGCCGTCGTCCAGTACATCGATCCCGACCATGCCGTCGCGAACCAGGAAGGAGGTGTAAAAGACGTTTTCGACCGTCTGGCCAAAGTCGTGCGGGTTGACAACCAGACGGAAGAAGTTGACGCCCTGCCTGTCGGGGTCGATGCGGGCGAGGGTTTTGGCGATCTGATGTCAGTTAACGGACGCCACAGTCAACTCACATCACGAGTGTTCTTGAGTGTAATGTCCTTGCTGCCCTTCTCACCCGTGTCGACCTCTTGGGGGCGCGTCTCGGGCGCGAGGTCGGCACGGCGAGCGCGGCGCGCCACTGTACGCTTCTGGTGCTGCACACTGACCGGTCCATACCTGCGTGGGTCAACATCTATCGCACGATTCGAAGACTCACATGAACTCGACACCAGGGACGCGACGGTAGAGGCCAGCGGCCATCCATCCAATCTTGTCCCAGTCGCCGAGTGCGCCCCTGCGCGCGTGTCGCTCGGCTCGGTCAGCGCGGTGCTGGCTAGCGGTCCCGGGCTCGTCGTCCAGCTCGTCGTCGTCGCTGTTGTCGAGGTCTTCCGCCTCAGCGCGGTCCAATCCCAGCAGCGTACGGACGCTATGCCATTAGCTCTCCTGATCTTTTGAACACAAAGCCTCACCCAACAAGGAACTCGTCGACATCAAACGTCGCGCTCGAGAGCTTCATCTTGCGCACGAGGTTGGCCGCCGTCTCGGTCGTGGTCATCATGAGACGCGCATCGAGCGTCGCTAGACCAGTGTCCTTGACTGTACGGGTCAGCACACACACACACATTACCTTCCCTCCTTTCCCTGCGCCCTATCTACTCACCCTCGCTGAACAGCCTGTTCTGCTGCTTCATCATGCGCTGGAGATCCGACGCGCCAATGTTCTCAAGGTTCGTCTTCATGTCTACTCTGTCAGCATAACGGTCGCTTGGGCGTGGTGGTGACAACCGCGCGACACTCACCATCGGCCTCGTTTTGGAGGTTGCGGTAGCCCTGTCCAATCTTCTGATGCTGCGCGGGGTCCTGCTCCTCGAACACTTGCTCGCGGCGGAGCGAGTGCCGTGGGCGGCGGCGCTGTGTCTGTGTCTCGCGTCCATCGTCGTCGCTGTCTGGTGTTGGTGACCGGGGTCGGCGGCGAGAAGGGCCCGGAGCGCTCATGGTGGGCGAGGTGTGGGTGGAGGGAGGGAAGGCGAAAACAACAGAGAAAGGGTTGGACGCGTGCTGTTATGGGTTACGCGACTACCCGTCAGGTTTGATCCCGTTGTTAATGGACCCCACAGTGATTATCAACATTTCCTAATGGAACCCATTAGAGTTGGGGCCAGAAGGCCCGGGGCGTGCCTCGCTTTGCCTGTGGACGGCGATCACCACCCAAACGTTGCGTCATGGAATGCTCGAGCGGCCAGCAGCCCAGCACACGGCCAGCACTCTGCCAGCAGCCCGCAAGCGGCCGAGACTTTGAGGGTGGGTCTCGGCTGTTCTTACGACCACCTGGACATCCCCCACATTGCATCTCGTCTCGTACACATGCTCATCCTCCCTTGTCCACATGAGCAACCCCGTCGCCCGCCCCCTCGCCCAAGGTGAGTTGCTGCAGCAAGCGTCCACCCACTCTAGTCCCGGGACACGGCGCTGACATTGGGACACCATGAAGGGATCCATGCCGACCTTATCCTCGCGCCTGTCGGGGCGTCGTCGCCCTCCGTCGATGCCTTGGCGCCGCCGCAGTGGATAGACGTAGCCGATAGTGCTGTAGCGGCAGCGGCACGGCGTCTAGTCTTGAAGATTGTCGTCGCGCAAAAGAATGGTGTCTCGCAAGCGCGTCGACCGCACGATGTCGTTCGCGAAGTGCGAGTGCTGGAGAAGGCCCGCCACAGCAACGTGAGTGGTCTAGGCCCCTTGGCCGGCGTACTGATAGGTATAAGATTGTGCCGCTACTGTCATACGAGTTCAACGCGGCGCTCCTCGAACACACCCTCACCTTTCCACTGCTCGCACTGACTCTGACCGACCTGTTGGCGAGCGAGGTGGCGTGCAGACATGTGGTGGACCTGTTTGCCTATACAGCCAAGGGGGTGTTTGCCGCTCTACAGCATCTCCACTCGCTCGGCCTGGCACATCGCGATATCAACCCGGCCAACATCATGGTCGACTGGCACGGTGTCCCGCGGCTCATCGACTTTGGGACGGCCTGGGACCCCAATAGACGAGGCGATGACGGTCACGGGGGCATGAGCTGTGCTGTCGGAGCAGGGTGAGTAATCTCCTCCCCCCATTCCTTGCCTTTGGCCGTCCCTTCACTGCATTTGTGGCTTGACTTGGTATGCTAATTCAAAAAAAAAAACAGACCCTACCGCGCGCCTGAGCTCCTGTTCTCGCCACCAACATACGACGCCCAAGCTGTTGATCTGTGGGGAGCTGGTGTCTCGTTGGCCGAGTTCTTTCGCCCACGCGGCACGCGTGCGAGTAGCGTCAGCGACTTTGGCGGCAGCGACACGAGCGACAGTCCAGACCCAAGCCAGTTCGAGCCACCAGACCTCACCGGTCTGCAGTTGACCCAGCCGCCTGCTGTACTGTTTTCCTCACAATTTGGCGAACTGGGCCTCGCAGCCAGCATTTTTAGGTTGCTAGGCACCCCGACCCATGACTCGTGGCCGGTGCGTAAACGTGGGCTTGGCTCCTGTCTTGGCTCTGATCAGCTGTCATGGTCGTCCCACTTTAAGAGCTACAGTGTATGGTGTATGAAGGCTGACGGCTCCCACAGAGCTTCTCGTCGCTGCCAGATGCGGGCAAGATGCCGTTCGACGTGCAGCCTGCGCGCCTGTTACGAGACGCCCTCGAGCTGGACAACAGCGTGGGCACAAGCAGCGCAGGCACTGCCATTGTCGATTGTTTGGAAGCGCTCGTCCGCCTCGAGCCGGCGGCAAGGCGCAGTGCTACCGAGACACTGCGTGTTCTGGAATGTGTCGCACAGAACGAGGTGGCAGGTGTTCTCCAACCTTTATTGGAAGCCACTGCCACGCAGTATCGCGTCTAGGAGATACACGGTAATCTGAGATAAGGGAGCTGGGGAGAGTGAGTCTGCGGTGTCTGACTGTATCAAGGGATGACCAGGTTGGCTGTTCTGGGGTTCATTTCCTGCATTCACCATACACGCACCCATAGTAGTGGAAGTGTCATGTTACCTGTTGTATAATTGTGGTTGTTGTCCCATCTGGAGCGACCACGCTGTCACGGAATCACTCCAGCAAACTGGTACCGGTGGACGGCAAATGTGGGGTCCAATGAGGTCCAGCGTCGTGCGCGTCGTCTTGGGGAGGCTAAGTGTGGCCTGACGAAGCGTACCTGTTGCCTGTTGCATGTGGCATGCAGCCTGACAGTTAGGTTGGTAGCTGGTGGCCTGGACCTTCTGATGGGTCCGAGGCCGTCTCGAGTATGGGTGAATTGGTTGCTCAGCGACCATCGACTTGGCCGCGTGTTGTGCACCATGTGGTCTCAAACAAGGTATGACCTGGCGGAGTGCTGGAACGATCTTTTGGATATTTGGATCCTGCTGGCCCGCGGTCTTGGTGAATCGGTCAAGTTTCTGGCCGTATGGCTCTGGCCGTCAGGCCCAAATGAGAAATGGCAAGACAAAAGTGTCAGTCAGCAAACGAGTCAGCAAACGGGTGGTGCCTCTCTCCGTGTCCCGTCAGCTACGCTCACTCCTATGGAGGTGGGCAACCTCGATTTCTGTCCTCTCTCACCTCTCACCAAGGCGGTCGCTGGTGACCAAAATGTCAACAGTCTGCGTCAGGAGGCTCGCGGCGACTGAATCCTGCTCTCTGGGGACACAAGACGAGTCTGTGATCTGTCAGGCTCATGCCGCCGGACCTTGCGGCGGATGTAGGCCGAGAAACGCGGTGGCACCGAACGCCGCACGCCACCGATTATAGCAAGCGTTTCGGAATAAGAGATCAGCACGTCAGAAGACACGATACATGCAAGAGTCGCGGACGGCGGCGTGTTGTATCGCGACATGCTGACTGATGTCGGCCGAGAACGTGTCGACAGGGTGGACAGCGTTCACAGCGGTCACAGATGCGACGAGTCGAGGAGGAACACGATCACGGACGAGCACGCAAAGCGTACGCTCGAGTGTGTGGTGCCGACTCGAGCGATGAGAGTTTTGACGCCACATGTTCGTCGTGGCCACCGAGAATGAGTAGCAGTAGCAGCTCTATAGCACGAGCACAGGATACAGTGCATTTTGGGATGACTAAGTCTATATAGGATTGGGGGTTGGTATGCTAGGTTGAGCGCAAGCGCAGACAGTTGCAGTGGCAAGAGGTCGAGATCGAAGAACGATAGAGGTGATGTGCGAGTTTTCGCGCTTAGTTGTCGGGCTTGATGCCGTGCTCGAGCTCGTTCCACTCGAGCATGGAGCCAACGTAGTTGCGGACGTTGGCGTAGCCGTCCTTGCCGGCAAGCTCGCAGGCAGTGGCCGAGCGCTTGCCCGAGCGGCAGAAGAAGATGATCTTCTGGGCAGGGAGGGGCTTGGGGAAGGCAAACTCCTTCTGGAACTCTCCGGGGTGGAAGTTGGGGGCAAGGGCCTCGTCGAGACGCGAGAGGGGCAGGTTCACGGCCGAGGGGATCGAGCCGAGCGCAACCTCATCGGGCTCACGGACGTCGATAAGGAGAATGTCCTGGAAAGTAGTGGTCAGCACGGAACAACATGTCTTCGTTGTCCGGTTCGTGGCGGTGACTCACGTCGGTGGGCTGCTGGGTGATGGGCTTGAGCTCGGCGTAGGTGATGATGGGGTTGGCAGCCCAAGCGTCACGCTGGACCTTCTGCGAGAGACGGAGAGGGGTCGAGGAGAAGGCGCGGACGGGGAACACGGGGGCAGCACGAGCGACGGGGGCGGCGCGGACGAGCGACGAAAAGCGGGCGACGGAGGCGACCGAGACGGCGCGGGCGGGGTTGCAGGCGCACTCGCCCGAGATGGCGGCGCGGCGGATGGCAGTACGGATGGCAGACATGGTGTGTTGTGGTGGGCGTGTGGGGTGAGAGGTGGTCAGTGAGAAACGAAGAGAGGAGCTGTCTGGAGTCTTATGTCATTCTCGAGAGAAGTGCGTCGTGGGCCAGCAAGTCTGTTTTGGTGTGGAAATTCGGCAGATCGCGTCATCGATATGAGAGAGACGCTCAGCGCGGCCGTCGCCACGGGCGAGGACGGGAGTATTATCGCGTGGATATCGCGTGGAATTCCGGAAGCATTTTGAGGCTTGACCTCCGCGGTCGCTCCCGACAGAGACGGCGGCCGCAGCGGTGGACTCTGTGTGCATATGGCCTGTACTTTGTGCACACCCGTGGGATAGTGGTCGTCTGAAAAAGCGAAGGGTCACTCGACTTTGTCCGTCGTCGAGATCGCAGCATCCAAGTCAACACCCACACCCCGCCCGTTAGCCCACCGCGGCCACACTCCCCCCTCTCTCTCACCACCCTCTCTAAAACCTCGGCTCGTACGAGGACCGACTCGGGACACCCCCCACCCCGACATTCTCTCTCCCTCTTTCTTTTCAATCCCGACCCACACACGACCCACACAAATGAACGCTCTTGCCCCCCGTTCCCTCCTCACCGGCGCCTTCCAGCGTCGCCTCGCTCGTACTCCTCTGAGGCGTCGTGTCTTGGCTGTGGCTGCCCGTGACTTGAGCACTACCGCCCCCGTGTTCAAGCCTCGTCGTGGACCCCCAGCCATCAACCCTTATTCGAGCAGTGCGCTCGCTGCCTTCCTCGCCCGTCTTTCGCTCCCTGCCTCGGCGGACTTGCACCCCGCGCTCATGGCTGCCCTCACCCACCCTTCCTACGTTCATGTCGCCAAGAAGAACTTGAAGGAGGCGATGGACCAGTACAACAACGACGTGAGCAAGGGCAAGGAGGGTCTTGTTGAGCCCGAGCTCGAAGTCTTTGAGACCAACGAGCTGCTTGCGTCGCTCGGCAACTCGCTCCTCGGCCTCTTTGCGGCAGAAGACATTGCCTCTAGGTATCCCCACATGCCCTCGGCCGCCCTTCAGCAGGCCGTCACCGCCTATGTTGGTCCCGAGTCGTGCTTGAGCGTTGGCCGTGAGCTCGGTCTCAACGTCGTCAACCTCAAGCAGGCCTTGCCCAACAACGCCCCCGTTGGTGTCCCCATCCGTTGGGCGCGCTCCCAGTCCGAGCCCAAGGAGGATGCCGCCGCTGCCGTCGAGACCCCCGTCGCCCGCGGATACCGCCCGTCGCGCGCCGAGGACGAGAACAGGATCGGTCGCGATGTTAACACCTGGGGTGCCGGTGTCTCGTCGGTTGTCCGCGCTCTTGTCGGTCTTGTGTACCAGGAGGCTGTAAGTTGACACCCGTATTGTTCATCCCGTGTTTGGGCTGACACCTATAGGGCATCCACGCCGCTCGCGACTTTGTTACGGCTCACTTCATGAGCCGTCATGTCGACCTCACTGCCATCTTCAGCATCACCAAGCCCAAGCACGTCCTGTCGTCGGCCGTGACCAAGCACCTGGTGAACGCTGGTGTCCCCATCACCCCTGACACTGGCCGTATCCAGAGCCGGTGAGTATCCTTTGGGCAAGGGCGATTTACACGCGTACTGACTGTTATCAAGCGTCCTCGCATCGACCGGTGCCACCACCCAGGCTCCCCTATTCAACATTGGTCTCTTCCTGACCAACGGCCTCAAGCTTGCCGAGGGCCACGGTTCGTCCCTCGCCATGGCCGAGCACCGCGCGGCCATCAACGCCCTCCTCTCCCTCTTCCTCATGAAGAACACCAACGCTGGCAAGCTGCCAACCACCATGCACGCCTCGAGGCCGATTGCCAACGGCGCCGCGAGCCTGTCGACTGCCGACGTTGCAACCGAGGCGGGCTTCTCGAGCGCAGTGGGCGCGGGCGAGAGCGAGTCGCTGGTCGGACTGGGCAAGGGACTGCGGGCGGCACGGAAGCACTAGACGATACCAATCACCTCTCAGACATGCATACATTGATCACGCGACAAGGAGCAGGAGCAGGAGCACAGCGAGATGCGGAAAGTTGGCCCTGCTGGCCTGGAAATAATTGGGATCCGGTTCCGATTGAAAACCAGGCACGGTTTGGGGAACAGAGCGTGTCGCGGCCTCTGGAAGCACTGCAAGCACAAACGATTGGAAGTCTTGTCAGACAAGCGAGCGAGCAGTAGGGCAATAACTGGTATGTGGCTCTGTCTCATGTGCATGTTCTGTAGCCGTTGCTAGTGTAAACACTCCCCGTATACCCCGTAAATGGTGAACAAACCCCAATTAGACGGCAGACATTTGCTGATTGCTGATCGCTAAGCTGGCGGCCACGGGCTTTGCCGAATCGGCCACACACGCTTACTCATTTATTTCCTTTCGACGTCATTTGAAAACACTTTGCTCAACACCTCTCCATCCTCTTCATCGTCTATTCTGCTACCACCCACCCCGCAGCAAACCGGACTCCACTAGTCCTCCCTCTCACCTCCTTTTGCTACGTCTGCAAGCCTACCGCCCACCGCAGCCGTCCCGACCTTTGTCGTTGTCCTCATCCACTCCACCATGACTGCCGAGGCCCTGCCCGCCGGCCAGCCTCTGCGCACCACCAAGGAGACACACCCCAACCTGCCCCCAGGCCTCGTCCTCGGTCCAGACGGCAAGCCATGCAAGGTCTGCAACTCGTGGCAGGACTGGGCCAAGATGAAGGTCAAGAAGAAGGACGATGGCGCCGGTACGGCACCCTCGACATCCAAGACCGCAGCTGGTGCAACCGCCGCCGCCGCCGCTGTGGCTTTGACAGCCTCAACGTCGACGTCGACCCCTGCCTCGGCTGATGCCCGCGCAAACTGCCCTCCCGACACGGCGGCCCTCGGCCGCGCGACCTGGACGTTCCTCCACACCACGGCGGCATACTACCCGCTCACCGCGAGCAAGACGCAGCAAACGCAAATGCGCTCCCTCTTGACCTCGCTGCCGGGCCTGTATCCGTGTACGTGGTGTGCAGACGATTTCGGCAAGGACATTGTGGCCAACCCGCCCGACGTGACTGGCCGCGCCGGGTTGAGCAAGTGGCTGTGTGAGCGCCACAACGAGGTGAACCGGAAGCTGGGCAAGACCGAGTTTGGGTGTGGAGAGAAGAACCTGGCTGAGAGGTGGAAGGACGGACCGGCGGATGGGAGCTGTGATTGAAGCGAGAGAGGATGAGGATGTACCCGGTCGCGTCAAAGGCAGCACGACAATGGACGCAGTGTTGCGCCCACCAACCATTCTAGATATATACACATATGCATGTACACTCCTCCCGACCACGGAAACCCATGAGCTGTGTGCCGTCTACCCTCTAACGTCTCTCCGGTCTACCATCCCATCTGCCTCGCCCATACTTTTTGCTGCCAGCCCAGCAAGATGGGCAGCATGTCCGTAAATCCGAAGTCGGGCCAGTACGTCTTGACAAAGTGGATCTGCGTGTCCTCGGCACACTGCCACATCATGAAGTCGCTCAGACGCTTGACATCTGACGTGCGTATCAAAATGTCCAGCTGGCCCGGGTGCTCGATCAGCGGGGAGACGTCGGCGGCAGATTGGGAGGTAGCAAGGCGGTCAAACAGCTCGTCTGATGTAAGATCGCTGGGAGAGTCAGCTGTGGTTACGAACAGATGGGAAGGAAAGTCGACGAGGTGCAATTCCAACGTCTCACACCTCTAGCCTCCCCAGGCACTCGGCAGACTCACTCTTCCTCAATGACACCCGCCCTGGCGTCGGCGACACCCTCACGCACCGCCGTGGTCATCTCGTCGCGGCTCGCATAGGGTCCGCACACGTTCAACACGCCATTCACGTTGGCGCTGGTGGCGACCTCCATCTCGCGCAGGGCGGCCTGCATCTCGGGGCTGAGCAGGTCCATGCGGCCAATACACCTCAAGCGAATGCCGTGTTGTTGCAGGAAGCCACTGGCCCGTTAGCACAAATATACGGGGAGAGTAGAACGGCGAGGTTGGGATTGGAACAGGTTGTGCTTGCTCTTGACTCTCGCTACCTGCGATCCGCAAGCCTTCGGTCACACCAAGTCGAGGCAGCTGGCGCGACCTCGACTCGTTCCACTTCCGACTCACTCTTCCTGGCAAATCTCCCTCAGCGAGTCCCTCGCGAGCGTCATGATGGCGTCGACCTCCTCTGGTGGGCGGTTAAAGTTGTCGATCGCAAACGCGTACACGCTGACAACAGGGATACGGAGGCGCAGGCAGAGGCGGAGTGTCTGGGTCGTTAGCCGAGGTCCACTTGGGTGTGTATGTGTACGGAGCAAGGGGTGCGACAACTTGCCTCGGCAGGACGCTGCTAAGAGCAGCATGCAAGTGGCTCCACCATGGCCGCCATGGAACTGTCTTAAAGCGCACCGATGCAGCTCCAGGGAAGCAGCAGCGTTCCAGTGTTCCCGCCGTCCGTGCAGCTACGCTCCCCGCACTTGCGGCACCCAGCTTTGGCACAACTCACGCGCTTGAGGCTCTCGCTTCCTTGTTGGTGTCCCTTAGCCACCTTCTGTCCTCTCAGACGGGCATACCGCCTGTTGCCATCCATGACGAATCCGATGTGGTGGGGCATGGGGCCGAGCGCGAGTACGGCGAGCAGGATTGTGGTGAGGAGGGCATGGAGCCGGTGGAGGACCCAGGAGATCGGGTGTAGCAATGTATGGATGAGCGGCTTGGAGTTTGGGTCTACGGTGACCTGGCCTTTGACTTGTTTCCTGTGTTTGGGCCCCATGGTGTGTGCTGTTGGGACTTGTTTAAAAAAGAAATGAGAGCGACAGATGTTTGAATGAAAGAGCCGAAATACAATTTCCACGTCGATAATAATTATGGAACATGTGTCTGCACCGGCTTGACGGCGCGCAGCACCCGCGCAGTTAGCCGGCGACGGAGGGAGATCGACGCGCGCGCCACTTGCTCGGAACAACTGGGGGCACACGGCGCGTCGACGGACGGACCCACGCGACACCCACGTGGAACAAGCTGGGGCGGCGCAGGCGGCGGCCGTCCGACAGACGCCGAAGATTGCGACCCAGCGGTTGTTTCTCATCCATCATCTACATCCCATCCCACAGGACACCGTCGTCTTTGTTTAGGCGCTTGCTTGTCTTACATACACGCACAGCAACGTGTCCACAGCTCCACTCTCAATTCATATAAACACACCCCCAGACTCTGTTGCCGCACGACGGCTCTCGCCACCATTCTTTCCACAACCCGCACCATGTTGAGGCGACGCCTCTCCGCCGGAGCCCTTCGCCAACTCCACTCCCAGGCCAATGCCGCTCGCAGCGGACCCGCCGTCACACCGGCTTCCAAGCAGGCCCGCGCTACCATCACCCCCGGCCAGTCGACCACTACCCAGAGCAAGTCGCTCGCATCGGGTGTCCTTCTCGGTACCCAGCGCAACTGGAAGGGCGAGAACGTTGCGACTCTCAAGGCTGAGCTCAAGCGTCGTAACTTGAGCCAGCTGGGAAACAAGTGGGTACACCTCGTCATGGAATGAGATGGAACACACCGAACACACCCACTGACCTATAGGTCCACGCTGATTGCCCGTCTCACATCTGCTGAGACTTCGGCACTCCTGCCACCGGTCCCGCCAGTTTCCAAGGCTGCTCCTCCTCGTGCGCGTCCCGTCAGCACCACCACGGCTGCCGCTGCCCCTGTCGCTACCAAGCCCGTTTCGTCGCCGGCGCCATCTACCCCGCGCGCGGTCCCCGAGGCTGCCAAGGTTGGCAATGTGCTCTCCACTGCCGGCGACAGTGACGTCGAGTCGACGCCCACTCTTGTGGAGCCTGCCGAGGTTCCCCAGGAGGTTCGCACGTCTGCGCCAGGTATCCCTATCAAGCCCGGTACCATCCCGAGCAAGGCTCTGGACATCAAGTTCCCTCAGCCCAGGCCTGATGCTGAAGTGGACCAGACCATTGTGCGTATATGCCAACAAGGCATCCACCCGTAGATAAGACGGCCTGTGTGGCGACAATTTTGAGACGCGAAGCTGACGAAGAACCCTTTGCGCGATACGCCACCGCCGTCACCTGCTACAAACACACCCTTATCCACTTTCTAGCCTGGTCTTCCCCAAGACTTTACCATCCGTGCCAAGCCCGCGCAGCCTTCCACCCAGTCGACTGGCCCCACGGTCGTGACCGTCGCTTCTGCGTCGACCCACCCCGCTGGTGGTCCCGTGTCGCCTTCGAGCGAGGTGTCAGACAGCCATGCGCTGGAGTACGACCCCCGCCCTGACGAGGCGGCCCTGTTCAACCGCGAGATGGAGTCTGGCGCCATTGCCGCCGACGACACGCTCACAGCACTCAAGATGCAGTTCCCCGACATTAAGATGCCCGATATCCAGAACATCGACGAGGTCGTGTACCAGCCCTCGTCGCGCCCCCTGAACGACGAGGAGCGCAGCGGTGCCTACCTCCTTGTTAGCGGTCTGGTAACGGTCGTCGCCGTTGGATGGATGATTGAGAACTCGAAGAGCAAGAAGCGGGCTGCTGCCAAGGAGGCCCACGCTCACGGCGATGCCGCCGCTGCTGCACCTGCCAAGAAGGAGGAGAAGCACTAGTGTAGCTGTAGACACCCCGTTGTGAAATATGTGACCACCTTTCTTCAACAACGCCGTGTATGAGGTTCCCGGATAGCGAGGGTCATCACCTGGCAGCACGTTGTCATGATACTCCACCATATACCGGGGGTGGAGTATCATCATAACACGGGGGTATATTTGCAACAGCGCATGTGGCACACCAGGGTAAACACTGTAGCTGCTGGGACGTGTGACGACAGAGGGCCAAGACGGGGAGAGTAGTGGATTGAGCGAGTCGTGAGGCCGGCAGGTCTGGACTTCACTTTCCGTGAGTGGTGTGCCAACGAGCCATGACACCATTCTCAGGCCAACCTTGCCAACGACGGGAAACCGTCAAGGGCTGTTACCGTGGCCCGATGACATTGACCGTCGTCATTGCCAGGAACCCCGTAGCATCCTCTCATCGTCATGCTACCGGCGTGATATACCTGGTGACTGGTTGTGGCAAGGCTGTCGGTGGGCAGAAACAGACATACGGACCGTGAGCAGCTCTCATGTCATCATCGCACCTTCCTCACCTAACCATTTATAGGGTGTTTCTTCAGCTTTCTTCAACTGTCACCCACCCACCAGCTATCATCAACACGATCTCCACAATGCTCACTCAACGTCTCGCGACCCACGCCATCCGTCAGCTCCACCCGGTCTCCCGCTCGGCTTCCGCCTCGGTTCTCACTGCCATCCGCCTCCAGCCCACTGTGAGTTGATAAGAAACACACGGCCAACGGCCGCCACTGTTGGCCGTCGACGATTATCCCATCTCCCAGTAGTGTTTCCTCGTCGTCACGCCGTTGCGTCCAGTAGTCTGCAAATCAGACAGATTCTTGCCCACTAGAACAAGTGGTGCTGGCTGTTGTTGAGCGAGAGGCCAAGTGCTCCCACAGCCGTGAGATACTGGTCCAGCCAGAACGCAATGTTCTCGATGGTTCCTTGGACCGTGAGCTTGCTACTGGCTGAGGTTGGATTGAACCCGAAGGTTGCCCACAGCGTGGGAGGCCAAAGGAGGTTAAGGGGTGCCTCCAAGCGACGGCTCTAGTGACCGCTGGCCCCGCAGGTCGGATGATGATCTTGGTGCCTGGGTTTTGACGTAGCATGTTGCCTCAATTCGGCTGGAGCGGCGCAGTCTTCTCAGTCTAGTCTCCTGGGTGCCACACTCTGGGTCAACTTCCGATATCCCACAGGCATCCCGTGATCCAGTTCTGGCAGCTTCTGCGGGTCACCTTCCGCATTCCTGCCCACGATGCAGAAACTGATGCCATAATCAGCCTCGCCAGTTTTCGGTTACGGCTCGCTCGCAGGACAAGCCCAAGTCGGCGGCCCAGAAGGCTCGCGAGAAGGTCGAGGCCGACGTTGTGCTCGACTCGGCCCTCCCCTCCGACCTCCCTGGTGCCATTAAGCCGGACGCGCCCAAGTCCCCCCTGGACAAGCTTCCCGCCGGCGCCCGCGCTGTCGCCGACCTCGAGCTAGACTCGGCCCTCCCCTCGGACCTCCCCGACGCCGTCAAGGCTGCCAAGGAGACCGCTCAGAAGATTGCCGGCGACGTTCAGCAGGCGGCCCTGGCTGGCGCCAAGTCGGCTGCCGACACTCTTGAGCAAACTGCGGAGGCCGTTCAAGACGCTGTCAACAGCAAGCAGCAGGAGCAGTCTGGCAAGCGCGAGGTGCGTTACACAAGTTCGGCGGCCTCGCTGCCGCCGAACTCGAGCAGCTTTCAGGCCTTCCCCCGTCCGACTTTGACAACACCAAGCTCAAGCCCGGAGAGTATGAGGAGGTAATTGTGGATGCGCCCCCACCGGTCGTTCAGACCACGCGCAACCTCCTCCTCATCTCGGCCCTCCTTGGTGTCATTGCTGGTAGCCTGTACTGGTCAAAGAACGGGAAGAAGATTCAGGAGATTGAGGAGAAGAAGCTTGACAAGATGGAACACGAGGCCGTTGCCAGGGCCAAGGCTGCCGCTGACGCCGCGCAGTCCAAGAAGTAAATCCGATTACCGTCCATTCGCCCTCTTCTGAACCCAGCTGGGAGTGGAAAGTAGAAGGCTTTAGGAAGTGAATTATGCACTGAAGATGTTGCTGTGAGCAATAGGTGGCAGATGTGAATACGGTTCCCAAGCAATGAGTTGGGTGTAGATTCGGGGTTACGTAACACCTTTGACCTCCACTCTGATTTAACGAGATTAATAAATCCACCTCATTTCCCACGTGGAAAAGTTGGAGGATGATCTTCGAGCGCCTTCAAGCGACGTTCTGTAGCCATCGACGTTCAACAACAACCACTCTTACCCACAACCATGGGCAAACAGACCAAGTCCAAGCCCACCAAGGGTGCCAAGGGCGCCGCCCCTTACGGCAAGAAGCCCTCTGGCCCCAAGAAGGCGACCGTCGAGGTCACCTACGAGGGTCAGGCCAAGCCCGCCGCCGCTCCCAAGGCTGGCAAGAAGGCCGCCGCCGAGGCCAAGGCTCCCAAGGCCAAGGCCGACAAGCCTGCCCCCAAGGCGGTCAAGGCCGAGGGCAAGGCCGAGGGCAAGAAGGACAAGGGCAAGGCCCGTGCCGCTTCCCCCGAGGCTGAGGTCGACGTCGAGGATGAGGAGGAGCTTGTCGACGACGCCCCGGCCCCCACCTTCAAGATCATGGCCGGCTCGTACGAGAAGCTTCTCTATGGCCTCGAGGGCAGCTACCCCGCCGGCTCGGACGTTCCCGTCCTTGAGCCCATCTTCATCTTCCCTGCCCACATGGCTTGCGTCAAGGCCGTTGCTGCTTCTGCGGGCGGCAAGTGGCTCGCCACCGGTTCCGAGGACGAGTTCATCAAGGTCTGGGACCTGAGGAGGAAGAAGGAGGTCGGAAGCCTTAGCCAGCACACTGGTGAGTTAGACGGTTCTCAAATTAGGCAGCCCAACTGACATACCAGGCTCCATCACCTCGTTGGCGTTCCCCTCGTCGTCCCACCTGCTCGCCTCGTCCGACGACTCGACCATCTCCCTCTTCCGTTCGTCCGACTGGGCGCTGCTCAAGTCGCTCAAGGGCCACTCGGGCCGCGTCAACCACGTCGACGTTCACCCTACTGGCCGTGTCGCTCTGTCCGTCGGCAAGGACCAGACCCTCAAGATGTGGGACCTCATGCGCGGCCGTGGCGCTGCCTCGCTGCCGCTCGGCTCTGAGGCAGAGCTCGTCAAGTTCTCGCCCCGTGGTACCCACTTTGCTGTTCTCTACCCCAAGAAGGTTGAGATCTACTCTCTGGTAAGCTTTCTTTGTTTCGCAAACTGAGCTAACAAACAGACCCTCAAGCTCATGCACACCCTCGAGACCAAGAGCAGGTTCAACCACCTCCTCTTTGCCGACGTTCCCGGCAGCGAGGCCGAGCTCCTCTGCATTGGTACCGAGAAGGGTGTCGTGGAGGTGTACGATGTCGAGATTGGCCAGGCCGACGATGACGAGGATGACGAGGATGACGATGAGGAGGACGAGGACGAGGAGAACGCCAAGGGTCCCTTTGCTATTGTTGACCGCGTCGCCACCCTTGTCGGCCACACCAACCGCATCAAGGACGTGTCGTCCATCAACTTCACCGCTCCCTCGGGCCCCACTGTTCTGCTCACCACCGTGAGCTCGGACGGCTTCATCAACCTCTACGACCTTGCCGCGGCCCAGGACGGTGCCGAGGTCCAGCCAGTGGCTTCGTACGACACCAACAAGTCGCGTCTCACTTGCGTCTCCATCACCGACGGCGGTGCGCCTCGCCAGAAGAAGAGCGTCGCCGTCGCTTCGCAGGGTGGCAAGAACGGCGGCGCACGGTTCGCCGTTGAGGATGACGAGGATGAGGAGGAGAGCAGTGACGAAGAGGAGGACGCACAGGACATGTACGATGTCTCTGACGCCGAGGAGGAGGACGAGGACGAGATGGAGGTCGAGTTTGAGGATGAGGAGGAGGGTGAGGAGGAGTAGCTGCATTTTTAGAAACACATATGTAATGGAGCTTAGCATCTTGTCTTGTGGTGGCCGGTCTTGGGGGGGGGGGGGGGCGAGTGATCTCTGAGAGCAGCGGGGTGCTGTAGATCGGGTATGGAGTGCCCGACCTTGCATGTGTGCTTTGTGTAGGAGTTCCAACCGGCAAGTCACGCTGGCCAGCTTCTCAGTCAGAAGCAAGGATGCACAATGTCAGTATAAAATCACATACCGCCTGCTTGCAGCTGCTTGGGTTCCAGCTCCGCCGATGACAGTAGGGCGCAGCCAGGTAAAAACACAGTGGAATGAAAAGTGCAAACGTTTCCCTCGACGTAGTTGGTTTCTCGGTTCATGCAAAAACACACTGTGATGAAAAGTGCAAAGAATTCCCTCGACATCGTTTGTTTTTCGGTTTATGGACCAACGGCAGCCGTGACCGCCAGACCAATGACCGCCTGCAACCACTGAGAGGAGAGGACCTGCGTTCGGGAACCATTGATCTGTAAGCCTCCTTATGTGGGGTGCTAGCTTGTACGCATGCCTTCAGCCAGAAGCGCCTGCGCAAGTTGCACGTCACTGCAGTACATAAATTGCTCCACCGATTGGCAAGGTGTGGTCGTTCCCAGCAATCTCACCGTCCATAGATCTCACGATCTCACCTGTGAAGGCCTCATTTCATGTGATCTGTGACCTGTGGCTGCCCTGGTGCTGGAGGGTACAAGAGCCGACGCAGCTCGAGCAGCACTGGCGCACTGTGTGAGGAGGTGTTGAACCGCAAATAAACTATTTTTCTCGCCGGCTGCACTGCCTTTTAACCTTTTCTTTGTTCTTCTGCCGTGCTTGATACCACTCTCCTACAGTCCCGATTCCTCAAACCACTCATGCTCACTCACTTGCTTGTCGCTGCCAAACTCGGACGTCTCACAGTCAAGCTAGTTGCACCCCCAAGCCGTCGCCACGGAGCCCTGTTTTGCCACTTTATCGCAAGCCAATTACACTCGGTGGAGGTGTCACCAAAAGTCCACAACACCCACTCGGTCTCTCCATCGGACAACAACAACAAAAAAATGGCCTGTATCACCCGCCTCCGCGCACCCCTGCGCACCCTCACGCTCACCGCGCGCGTAACCCCGGCGCTCGCGCGGGCCAACTCGACGCTCGCGCCTGGCTCGTCGCAGGACCCGTCCCACCCGCACCTGTATTACCACCCGTCGCCGACGGGCGCGACGACGCCGACGCACATGACCTTGTCGTTCCTCCCGCGCCCGCCCGCAGTGGCCAGCAGCAAGTGTGTGCTGGGCACGCTTCCGGCGCTGCCTGATGCCGGGCTGAACGACTTTGTCGAGAACCGGGCGTTCCGGCCCCTGCTGCATGCCGCGCTCAAGGACGGGCTGGCGACCGCCGGCGTCGCCGAGACGGTCGAGTACGAGGCCCAGATGCGGCCCGGGGACGGATACATGCACGTCACTGGTGAGTTACGATTCGGGTATGACTTGCGCGTAGGCTAGTTTGGCGGTCGACGTCGTCCACACGGTTCAGACTCGGACGCCGAGTTAACAAGGGACAAGCTAACCCCCCCTCAGACGAGCGCGCGGTGCCCCCCGCGGGGCGGATCGGCGACACCGAGGACCTCATCGCGAGTGTGTTTGTACAGGATGGCAAGGTGAGTGTATATTCAAACGATGAGGTGGTCGCAGACGGGCTGCACGTGCTGTCTGGTTAGGGGAGGACAACCCAAGCCAGCTGTTTCTCACCGGGCCAGGCTCACCCCACCCTTCTGGTCATCTCCCACTGTCTGCTGCAGCTGCGCCTGGCTGAAGCTGACTTGTCTCCAGATTGTGGCGTCCACATACGAGCCCTCCCCGTCCTACCGCCTCGTCACGAACCGCGGCGTGCTCCTGCTCCCGCGTGGGCTGGACACACATGTCATCAAGGCGCTCGAGAAGGTCGATGCCGAGGAGCGCGGCGAGTAGAGTGTGCCACGAACGTGCGCATCGTAGACATGGGGGACATAATGGGGATGATCAAGGAGGGAAGCCGGCAGCCAGTCAGTCATATGCATTTACCACTCAGCACATCCGAGGCAGCGTGTCCGTGACACCGGCGCGCAACTGTGTCTCCCTCTCGTTAGCACCACTTGGCCGCCTCTATCTGTTCTGCTCGCGATCCCCAGCCCCTCGTACACATGTAAAATGCCAATTGCATCGGCTGATGCCAGATGATAGATGTACTTGTACAGCGGCCGGCCATGCCTTGCCGTGCGTGGGTGGGTAAAGGGGGGGGGGGGGGGGGGGGGCGCTTCTACGCTACGGCAGCGCGTGTCTTGGTCTTTGGTCTTGTCCTGTCGTGGTCCCTAGAGATGGAGTAAAAGATTGAGAGATAGAAAAGAAGAGAAAAAGTGTTCGGTGTTCTTGTATGGGTATGTGTTCGTGCTAGGGTAGGTGGTTGTGTGGTTGGTGGCTGCGTGTAGAGGGTGTGGCGGCGATCAAGACTCGATGCCGGGGAACGCCTCCATCTTCTTGACACCGTCCGCGTCGTCGGCATCATTGCCAAGCTCGAGCTTTGGCAGCTCAACCTTGGGGTCGCGGTGGTAGTCCTGCAGCACAAAGTCCTGCTCCGTTAGCGTCGTCACATGTCTCGTGAGATCCAGATCCAGGTCCCGGACTGCGCCACTCACCATTTTGCCAGTGTCGCGGTCAGGGGACATGAGACGCGCGTACTCGAGGTACAGGCGGAACATGTAGATCTGCAGGTCCTCACGGCGCCAAGCTAGTGGGTTGGGTAAGCAATGTTATCACACAGGAGATTCATCGGTCACGGTCACTCACTGCGCTCCACCCAGCACTGGCCGTTGAGAGCGATACGCCTGGCAACCTCGTCGTGCGAGCCCTTGCCTGACGGAGTACCACGGAAGAAGGCGAGGATAGAGTACAGGTCCGAGTAGTCGACCTTTGTAGGGACGTAGGCAAACCATTCGGGGAGGTGGTGCGAGTTCCACTCGGGGAAGAGGGTGGCCTTGATGATCACGTTGAGGCTCGCCATGAGACGCGGGAAGCGCGAGCTCCACGCGTTGCCGTCCACGTCAAGAATGTACTTGAACTGGTTGGCCTCCTCCATGGGTGCCTCACCCGCAAAGTCAATCTCGGCCGCCATCTCGTCGCAGGTGCCGTCGCCCTGGTCGCACTGCCACGGGCCCGGAATGAGTTTGGCGTCCATGTAGTATTGACCAAGATCGCGGAGCGAGTAGCGCGTCATCGCGGCGTGGCCAGACGCATCGAGCGGCGACAGCACCTCTTGCACCTTGCCTGTCTTGTCGTTGGCAAGCCAGTGCAGGCGCTCGCGATGAGACTGGCGCCACTTGGCACCGTTGCCCTTGTTGTGCTGCAGACCAGTAGCGCGTCCACGCCAGTAGACCTTGCCGCTCTTGTCCTTCCATGCCGGGTCCAGGCCAACATCGTCGCGACGGCCGTCCCTACCCACTGGCGTGATGGGGATGTCGCCGTTCAGGATCGTCTTGGAGGGCACAAGGATAGGGTACAGCTTGGTGTGAGGCTTGGGCTGTGTATCCTTTGTGTGCTTTTCGAGCAACATGCCGTGGTTCTCCATAAGCGACGGGTGGTCACATGGGTTCATGGTGTCGAGGTGGCGGGAAATGAACGTGTCGGCCGCCGGGGGCTCCTCCATTCCACGGTTGAGGGGAGAGGTGGGCGAGCATGCAGCTTGCCAGTTCTGCTCAAAGCGATCAACCTCCTCAGGTCCAGTGACGACTGAAAATACATGTCAGCGATGTACAGCTTTGGTGATAGCCTTGGGGACTCACCCTTGTGCGCCAAGGCGGCATTCACCAGTGCGTCTTGGCGCTTGTAGTCGAGCAAAATGCTTGGCTGGTCATGGATTGAAAACGTGGCCCGGAACGACGGCAGGAGGCCGATGAACGGCTCCATCAAGTTGATCTGTGCGTCGGCACGGGGACGCGACGCCCACCACCTGTCACGGCTGTAGTTGTCGTTCCACTGCAGCTCGACCTTGCCGTCGTGTACGATGAGCGTAAATGTCTCGGCGATACCCTCGGCCTCTTCGCGGCGCGTCTTGAGGAGCGGCAGAGACATGCCGTAGTAAGGAAGCAGGGACTCCATGATGCTGTGTGCTCAGGTCAGCCTGTGAACCTGTGTGAACCCTTCCCCCTTCCCACACGGGCCGGAGACGTACGCATCAAACTCGTCAATCAGCAGCGCATCGTGATCCTGGGCGAAGAGCCACCTATTATTATTAGCGTTGCTACTGCGGGGTTCCTTTGCACTGCGCACCAGTCATCAAATCCCTTGGGTGGTGGACGTCCCCATTTGGCCTCGTACTTGTGGACAGCCTGCTCGAGTGTCTTGCTCTGCGACTCGACGAGCGTGGTCCACTTGCGCTCGCCCTGGTAGAGCAGGCCGAGGATGGGGTTGATACGGCTACTGTTGGCCTCCTGGGCGGGACCGCGAACAATGCCTGCAGACTCTTCCTCGAGCACGAGCTCCTCGACCGCTTCCCGCTCGCGCGCACTGAGGGCCGCAAATGGCGACAGGAAGCGACATTGGCCGTTCTCGTCGAACGCACTTGGCCTATCGGGTACGTCCTGGAAGATGGGTGGGAGCCATTTGCTGGCACTCCATAACGACGAGTCGGGCTCGTGGTGCGTAATGTGCGGCGTCAGCACTGGGGGCAGCGTCCTCGGCGCAACAAGGCTCAGGACAAGGAAGACGGCTGTCGAGACGCCGAGGACGAGCAGGACTCGTCGAGGCAATGGCAGTCCGCGCCCCCGCAAGAATGGGAGGTTGACGGCCATGGTGGTTGTTATCGTTGGCCGGGTCTCAGAGGTCTAATCGGCGCAGTCGAGATGAGGAGGAGAGGGGGACGGGGGAGATGGGATGTCAAAGCTGCTGCCAGCGTCGGGCTGTTAAAGCAGACACTAAGCAGCGCACAGCCTCTGAGACAGTGGACGTCGTGTGGGTTGTCGACAGACCGGGCCGCAGTGACAAGCGAGTGTGTGTTGGCGATGCGATACGGCGTGGACAGGAGACGACGCGTACGAGCGAGAGCAAGAGCGGGATGCGACGCGCGGTGAAAAGAGAGTTGTGGTCTCGTCCAATTCCGGCGGGTAAACGGTTTTTTGGGTTTAATGAGTTCGAGTGTTTGTGAGGCAAGATGTAAAAGACAAACAGCAAACCTGCTGCTGGACGAGTGGTGTGTGCGATGTGTGGACGACAATGGGCGGCGTGCGCGTGTGTGTGAGAGAGAGGGAGAGAGCGGGCGGCGGCGGCGGTGGCTGCGCGCGAGACAGAGGGTGTGAGAGCCCGAGAGCCGGCTGTGCACAGGCAAACACGGGATTGAGGTGGTGGTGGGAGTGGCGTTTGTAGGAATTGTCTCTGGTCGTTCGTGCCGAGGATGCGCAAGACGGTGACAAGAGGCCAAGAGGGCGGACGGCGGGAGGCTCGGGTGCCTCCTGCACGTCCTGTGCACGTCCTGATGCGTCCTGGGTGTGAGCATGTGAGTCCTGGGTGTGGGGCCTGGGTGTGTCTCCAAAGTTGTGTCCACTGCTCTGCTGTTGCTCTTGTCCTGCTGCTGTGCCCATGCGTTTACCCGTTTGACGCCTCAATCCCAACACCCTAGACCAATTCCAAAGATTGGGGTCGACACACCTTCTTTCGCATTTGGGCCCTTTGCAGAGATGCCGGCACGGAGCACGTCTAATGAGCCAAATCGCCAAATGGACAGGTAAGTCGCAGACCTTAATCGCAAAAGGTAAATGTAAAGACTTTTTTTCCCGGGAGGGGCAAGGCCAGCATGGCTGCATGGCTGCATGCAGCGGTATGGCTGATGATCAGGCACTCGGAAGTCAAAACTGGTTAAACTGGCCAGCGCTGACGATTAGGTGCTGCAACGGTGTGGCGAGCCTACGTGTAAACAATTATGCACGCCTAGCGTTCCTGGCCGATCCCATCCACTTGAACACATCTCGCTTCAACACAACCGCGCCGCTCGACATTGAGTCACCAACAACAACTCCACCATGCCCACCCTCAAATTCTGCGGCGAGTGGTATGTACATCCTTCCCAGAGTCTGAGAGAACCATATAGGCTGACAGTGTACAGTAACAACCTCCTGTATCCACGAGTACGTCCCCTTTTCACTCCTTCTGGCGCGAGCCCGATGGACAAACGGCTCTCTCGCGTTCCATCCAGTGTTTCCTTATGCTGACCCAACTGATCAGTCGGACAACAACTCGAGGATCCTCCTCTACCAATGCCGTAACTGCAACTACGCAGAGAACGCGACCTCGGACCCCGGATGGGCTCCTTGCGTGTACAAGAATGACCTGTTGACGGTCGCGAGGTGAGTTACAGACCAGCAGTTGGAAGCGAGCACACGACAATGGCATTGGAACTTTTACGGCGGTGATGGGATCCGACAGACACAGGCGGCCGTGTATCAGAGGACCTCGTGCAGTTATGTGTGCTGGGGCAGCGGGCAGCAAGTCGAGGGTGGTCTGTCTGCCTTGGAGCGAAGGAGTGGGTGGCAACGATGTTGGAACGACGTGGTGATGGTTGGTCATCACCGCCTGCCATCGCTTTCCACTCCCATCGTGGCGCTCCCTGCAGCGGCAAACACACCATCGGCCCGTGCCAGCTCCCACTACACACCGCACCACCAGCCTACGGCCCCAATCCCCGATCGCTCCTTGCTCGTCCTTGGCTCGCATCCTCATCCTCATCCTGTCATCCTCCCTTGCGCAGACACTGACCCCTCTCCCAGAGAACAAGCCGGCGAGACCAAAGACCTCGAGACCGATCCTACTCTGCAGCGCTCGCCCATCCAGTGCCCTGTGTGTTTCAAGAGCGGCGCCGTGTTCTACCAGGACCAGGCCAAGCGTCAAACCACCAACATGACCCTCTTCTACCACTGCATCCACTGCAAGCACCTGTTCCGCGACCCCAACATCAAGACTCGTTAAGGAGAGAGGGAGGGAGGGAGAGTGGGAGAGACTGGAAGAGGCAGAGAGAGAGACTTTCTGAGCGAGATTTCCGACACAAACCTAGAGGTCGAGAAGAGCAGCGAGAGAGTGGGACTCGGGGGGGAGCGATCGCGCACAAGGTCGAGACCCACCATCCCCACTCCTCCATCTAGATCCACGACGGCCCGATATCGCCATTGGTATACCACACATATGAGCATGCACTGTATAGTAGCCCGAGCAACGAGGTCCGTCTGCTCCGCCTGGACAGGAGAGGGTGTTCGTCATCATTTGGCCGATGAGTAGATGGGGGTAGTGCATGTGCAGGGTACTGTCTTGACTCGTACAGATATAAAACTTCCTTTCCCTCCCCTCCTTTACGCCATGTCGTCCATGACCATGCCTCCGTCCTCGAGATGCTTCATGAACCGATGCCACACCTTTGCGCCGTCCCTCGGCAGCGTCTCGGACGCGTGCCGCCCAACCCGCGCTTGCCGGAGGGTGCGTGCACTTCCAATCATGATGAGGGCACGGCGCGCGCGCGTGAGGCCCACATTCAGACGACGCCAGTCGGCCAGGAACCCAATGTACCCCGCGGCATTGGAGCGCACAGTGCTGAAGATGATGACGCTCTTCTCGCGGCCCTCAAAGCCGTCCACGGTCTTGACTTCGATATCGGCCACTTCCCGTGCACGCTCCTCGCCGAGCCAGGCCTCGTACGCGGCGGCGCGTTCTGGGTCAAGCGCGAGCATGTCCGAGATGGTGCGGATCTGGGCTACGTATGGCGCAATCACGCCAATGTCCTTGCCCTTGAGGTCGGGATTGTTACTGAGCAGGTCGCCGATGATGTCACACACGCGGCCGGCCTCGTGGTGGTTGGCAATGCTCATGTTGAGGGGAGACTCGGGGAAATCGTGGTTCAAAAATGTCACGTTCATACGGTCCCCGTTTGCGTCGTCCATCAAAAAGTCGGTGACTGGTGGCTCGAGGCCGGGCCGAATGGAGCCGTCGGCCAGGACAGTGCCGTCCTTGAGCGTGGCGTTGTAGAACGAGTTGCTGGAGAAAGACGAGATGGACGGGTGCATTCGGTACTGCGTGTCGAGCATGATTGATGGAATGTCTGGAGGGGTTAGCTTTAACGTGGAGAAAGAAAACAGCTACTCACGCTTCTCATGAATAAGACGCTCAAACATGCTGGTTGCCAGACCGCCAGACTGACCCTCCTCGCTCACAATGACTGGCGGCAGCTGCTTGTGGTCGCCAATGATCGCAACCTGTGCCGACCCCTTGGTGAGGGGCACAAGCGTGAGGGGTTCAGTGGCCATGCTCGCCTCGTCAAGGAACACCATGGGAAAGTCGATGGCGTCCAGGATACGCGAAGTAGCAGACAAGCATGTCGTACAGATCTGGCGTTAGCTGCTGCTGTCGCCCGCTAGCTACACTCACAACATCGGCATTGGCGAGCACCTCGAAGCGGATCCGACTGCGGAGACCAAAGATACGACCGTTGAGACGGTTAACCTCTTGCTTCTTCGAGTCACGCATCATCTTGGACATCTTGGCGTTGTTGGACATTTCGTTCTGAAGCATCTCCCTGCGACCCTTGATGGACTCCATCTCAAGCCACAAGGGGTGCTCCTCAAGCCTCTCCTCAAAGGTCAAGTGCTGCAGTTCGTCGGGCACGCGCTGGGAGGATCCAAAGCGGACAGCCTTGAGACCGTGCTCGCGCAGACCGTCGAGGAGGTGATCGACCGCGACGTTGGTGTGCGCTGTCACCAGAATGGGCTGAGGCACCTGCCAGTGTTGCTGGTTGGGTTAGCTGGAGCCGCCCTCCTAAAAAAAACCCCCACCTTGAGTAGTTTGATTGCCTCGACAATAACACGCGTCTTGCCGGTACCGGGAGGCTGGCAGGTTAGCAACACCCATGTAATGGAAACCTACCCCTTGCACAAGACTGAGCCTCTCGCTGAGCATCATGGCAATCGCACGGGTCTGGCTCGGGTTGAGAGGCACGACCGGATCACCCCCAACCACCAGTGGCTCCTTGCCTTCCGGCGTGAGGTACCTCGTTGTCCAGCTCTTGATAAGCTGATTGCGCATGAGGACACCGGGGACACCAGGTTCGTAGACTGTCGGCGAGACGGTCGCATCTACATCTTCCGGCTTCATGTCGAGCACCTCTTGTGCCAGGCCATCCGGGTCCAGTATGTCGCCGGGACCGGCGGACGGTGTCTCGTAGTCGACCTGGAAGCGGCGGAGGAGAAGGTCTCGCAGTGCAGTACCCGTCAAGACAACCTGTTCCTCGTTCTGTTTCCGGACCGCGTTGAGCACCTCATCCTCGACGCTCTGCCTCTTAGAGGGTTTGCGGTTGGCGTAAAAGGCCATGTCTTGCTGGACGGGGTCAAGGTTCAGGCGCGTGAGGGCCTCGAGTTGTCGACGGAACGCAAAGTCGCTGCAGCCGATATCGAGACGCCACAGCCCCAGTTCCATTTCTGCGGGGAACGGAGGGAAGATGACACGAACGTTGCCTCGGCCATGCGAGAAAACGTAGCCCTTGACCACGGTGTCGTCCTCAATCCACGGGTCCTTGAGTGGGTCTGTCCGGCTGAGAATCACCGTTGACCCAGGCTCAAACTGGTGGGGCGGGAGGGGACGCGTTGCCTCTGCGCCGGTCTTGGTGAACGTGACGACCACGCCTTCGACCTTGAACTTTGGCTGCCAGGCAGTGCTCGCCGCGAGATCGTCAATCATGAATCCCTCACGACGGAGCTTGTCCTCTGGCCACTCTTTCAACCGCACATTGAACTGGCGCTCCGCTTCGCTCTGTTCAGCCTCAAGAAGGGGAATAAAGCTGATGGTCAGTTGACATCAAGGGAGAGCAGCAACTCACTGCTCGGAATACCGTCTCAGCTCGGGGAAAAATGGGTCAATCTCCGTGAGCTTGGTGATGGGCGCGCCGATACGCGTCTTGGCCGCGTTGGGGAACCAGTAGTTTCCCTTTGCATGTGGTCGACGCGATAGGGACGATGCGCGCCAGTCAAAGCGCGTGTGTCCGTCTGGCGGCTGAACACCAGCGGGGAGAACAGGAAGATCCGTCGAGTGCACCGTCTTCCTTCTTCGCCGTTTGGGCTTTTTAGAGTCCACAGTCGCCTCGTACGTCGGCACGGGGGGAACAATGTCAGGCATAGGAGCTTCAAAGCCCACATCGGCCTGCTGGGGGTCGATGCCACTGCTGGCATCGTCGATCTCGACGTCGGCGGGCTCGGACGTGGTAGCGAAATCGCTCTCGCGGATTTGAAAGTAGTCTTCAATCTCTACTGGTTTGGGCAACTTGTGCGCCGCTCTTGACGCGGACGCGCCCTGCTGAGGTCGATATGGCAGGTCGATGGCATCTATGGGCCATTCATAGCCGAATGGCGCGGTTGCAGGCGCATGCGATGCCGAGGTGGTGGTGCTCGGGGACGTGCTGTGGGAAGAGCTCGAGTGGAGAGCTCGACCGTGTGTACGCGAACGCGTCGAAGCCGAGGCCGAGGCCGACGACGATGCCAGTCTCGATGCCGAGGAGGGCGAGGATGCCGATGTTGACGCGGACGAGGGCGAAGCGGTGGCGGGAGATGTTGATGAGAAGACGCGCCGCGACGAGGAAGCGGTGGGGAGCGGTATCAGTGGGGGTGGTGGTTGCGCGGCCGCGCATGCAGGGCAATGTGCGCGAACGCCCGCATTCTGCGCGCGGCGCAGGAGCGGGGTGCGAACTGGACGTAACAGGATGGGCGATGTGTTCGCGTGTGTCGAGGGAGAGTTGGATGGATTGAGATGTAAGACACGAGACGCGACGGAGGATTATGGTGTGTGTGTGTGTGCAATGAAGCGAAGCCACCGCATGTTGATATTTTCAGGGCGGGGGGCTATGGTGGCGAGTCACCCACCGCAGCGCAAACCTTCCGTCCTCTGCCGTGCGCCATCGCCGTCCACTCCCCGTGCAACCGTTCGCAACAACAACACAGCATGTCACGATAAGAGGAGATGTATGCCATATGATGGTGGTATTGGTACAATTTTGTCTAGTGGCTTGCTACTTGCTCGGCTCGGGCTGCACTTGAGCCTGCCCCGGCTCGGCGGAGGCTCCAGAAGAAGAAGGGGGGGAGGAGGCTACATGAGGAGCAGACAGGATGCGTCCTCGCGACGCCTCAATGTCGTGGATTTCCCGCTTACCCTCATCGCTCTGCTCCCATGCGAGCTCCTCGGACAGCCAGGACCCCAGGTTCTTGTGCATGAGCATCAGGCCCAGCACAACAGGGAGGTACCAGAGCGAGACGAAGAAGACGCGCTTGGCGTTGAACTCGTTTGTCCGCTTCCAAAATGCGTACGCCTCCTTGACAAAGAAGGCGTTCGGGACTGCGGACGTGAGAGCAAACGACCAGTCGACACAGCCCGAGAGCGGGGCCATGATTGCGCAAATGGGCACGAGAATGAGCGCGTGTCGCAATGATACGAGCGCATTCAGCTTGGGCGACAAAACCGAAAGCATGGGGTAGCCCGACAGTGCGTAAAAGGGGCGGATCATGTGCGACAGCGCGTTGAAGTGCGGGAACTGCCACGAGAAGAGGAGCGCACCAAGCGTCCAGGCCGTGAGCGGGTTGGGCAGAGTGCTGAGCTGCTCAAGCGGCAGGTGGAACTGGAGCGGCTGCTCGACAGTCGGCCAGAGCGAGCCGCCAGTGGCAGTCCAGCCCATCAGCGGGGTGATGGCGCCGACGACAGCGCCGATCCAAGTGTTGGACACGCTGATGCGCTTCATGGGCGTGTACACACCCGAGTACAGCAGCAGGTTGCCAATACCAAGAAGGGCAGTGGTGGGGTTGCAGCCAAACCAGAGGATGGTACCGCCGACCACGGTCGAGACAGTGCCGAACATGGCGGCATGGAAGGGAGTCACGCGACGAGCCACCAGAGGGCGAACACGCGTACGGGGAGTCTGCGCGTCGAGGGGAACCTCGAGGATCTGGTTGAACGTGTTGGCGGCGGCCGAGGTGAGGAAGGTGCCGACGGTAAGACAAAGAAGGACCGGCATCGAAAGAGGGAGGGGCGAAAGGGCAAAGCCAGTGGTGGCCGTGAGAGTCATGAGTACCGAGAGGTTACGCTTTGACAATGCCGAGTAGATGGAGACGAGGCGACGGGGGTTGAGAGGCTGCACAGGCTTGTAGGCAGAAAGCGGAGCAGCTGGTGCGGGAGGAACAGGGAGGCCGAGGTCTGTGAGGGGCGTTGCCGGGGCAGTAGCGGCCTGCCAGACAGTGGAAAACTCCTTGGGAGGCTCGGGCACGGCGGGCTCATTGGCAGCCTGGTTGGCCGAGAAGAAGCGGCGCTGTGTGTGGATACCACGGCGCTGGCCACTGGAGGCAAAGGGCGAAGCCGCAATAGGCTCGTTGACAGTGATTGCCGGGCCAGTGGTCTCAGCGGCGACAACCACTTCGGCCTCCTCAACGACTTCCTCCTGCGCAGCCTCTCCAATCTTGGCCATCTGACCCTGGACCATCTTGCGGAAGCGGCCGTGGGGACGCGAGATGAGATCGTCGTACGAGCCGTCCTCCATGATGCGACCGCCCTCGAGGTACACGACACGCTTGGCGGCGGCAATGGACGAGAGACGGTGGGCGACAAGAATAACAGTAATGTTCGAGTCCTGGAAAAGGTTTTCGAGAGCAGCGTTGACGGCACGCTCAGACTCCGAGTCGAGGGCACTGGTTGCCTCGTCCATGAGAAGGACCGAGGGGCGACCAACAAGCGCACGCGCAATGGCGATACGCTGACGCTGGCCACCTGACAAACTGGCCTTGGTGATGATCGTGTCATATCCCTCGGGGAGACGCTCGATGAAGTCGCAGTGAGCGATTTGAGCGGCACGCTCAACGTCGGCGCGCGAAGCCTCGGCATGGCCATACTTGATGTTGGCCTCAATGGAACCGCCAAAGAGAATGGGGTCCTGCGGGACGTAACCGATGCGGCCACGCCACGACTCGGGCTGGAAGTCGCGGATGTCCTTGGAGCCGAAGCGCACGGCACCGCTAGTAGGGTCGTAGAAGCGGAGAAGAAGAAGCTGGACCGAAGACTTGCCCGAACCACTGCCACCAACAAGGGCGACCTGTTCACCCTGATCGATACGGAGGTTGACACCGTCAAGAACCTTGACGTCGGGACGCGAAGGGTACGCAAACGCGACTTCACGGAGCTCAATGGCGCCAACGTCAGACTTGGTGACAGGTGCGCCAATGGACAGGGGCACGGGAGAGTCGAGAGCATGGAGGGAAATGATGCGCTGGGAAGCACCGACACCACGCATGAGACCAGTAAAGAAGCCGGCAAGAGCTGGCGATGGTCAGCCTTTAAAACCCTTCTCCCAGATGGGCTCATGGCTTACTGTTAAGAGACCATTCAATCCAGTTGACGTAAATGAGCGAGGTGGTCATGTCACCGACAGTAATCTCGCCGCGCTGGACAAGAAGACCGCCGTAGATGAGAAGGCCGATCATGGCCAGGTCGCCGGCGACCTCGTTGGTGCCCTGGAAGATACCGTTGGCGAACGTCTCCTTGCGTTGGAGGTCAAAGACACTCTGAACACGGCCAGCGAACAGCGCACGCTCAGCAGGCTGGGTGTTGGAAGCCGTGACCGTACGGTGAGCAGACAGTCGCTCTTCGGCGAGCTTGCTCATGTTTCCAAGAGCTTCTTGCGTGTTGAGGGAGAGCGTGCGAATGTATCGACCATAGTAGAAGGAGGCAATCGAGATGGGCGGGAAGAGACACATCATAACGACACAGAGCTTGGGCGAGATGAGGTACATGGCACCTACACCCACACCCGAAGCCAGGATCGCCTTGAGGCCTTCGCCGAGGTTCTCACTCAGACTCTGGCCGACGATTGAGGAGTCCTGACCAAGACGGGACAGAGCGTCACCGACACCTGCCGACTCGATGTGCGAGGGGGGGAGGGCGAGGTACTGGCGGTAGGTCTTATTCCTGATCTGCGCGACGGTGCGCTGACCGGCAAGGCGGAGTGCGATGGAGCGAGCCGAGTTGGCAACAGCGCCAAAAAGGAGCAGAGCGGCGAGAGCAATGGCTGCCTGGTCCAGCGGGAGACCAAAGAGGAGCTGCTGCTCAGACCCGGGAGCAAAGAAGTCGATGATGCGGCCGATAATGTAAGGGACTGCGAGGGCGACGCTCGTAGAGATGGCAAGACAGATGATTCCGACCGTCAAGAGTCTCCACTGTGGTTTTGCGAGGGATAACAACTCTTTGATGGACGCCTGCGAGGCATCGCCCTTGGGTGGAGGAGGAGGGATTGACGGCACCTTGGAAGAAGCCTCATCCCTCTTGGACTGGGTCGATTCCAAGCGGACCTGGACCTCGGAAGGCCGCCATCGCAAGGCAATTGTACCAACAACGGGTCGTCTCAAGGCGGCAGTAGGAGGGGTTGCGCCGACGACAGGTCGACTCAAGGAAGCGGACGCAAAGCCGCGCATACCGCAGAGCGCGGGGTGCGAGAGGATACGGCTATGTGTGCCGAAAGCGTTGGTCGGAGCATGGGGACGTAGCAACGACATCGAGAACGTGCCTACGGCTTGGCGCGCTGGGGACGGGGCAGCTCGCAACATGGCGAACGGCGCCAACAGCGCAGCCGCGCCTCGGTGGGCCATGGCGCGGCACAGATGGGGGAGTAGCGGGGAGCGGCGGGCGCGGGGCCGGAGGGCCGAGTGGGCGCTGAGTGGTAGCGACGAGACGCGATTAGGTCGTGAAAAGGGAGCCAAGAGCAACTTGCATCGAACGGACAAAGTCGTGAGTCCCGATGAAGAGCGAAGTGTGCTGATAAGGTTTGGTGGGACGGCAAGAAAAATTGACACGTGTAAAATAAAAGTTCAGTTATGGCTCACTGATTCTCGTCCTTCGCCACCGGATTTCCACAAGACTTCGAGCATTCAACCGTCAAGGAGACACCAACAAAAGCTCGCCCAACATGGTCAACGCAATGAGGAAGAGTGAGCCAGACCTCCTACAAGCGTGAGAGTGCTAACGTCTACCAGATGTCATGTCGCGGCGCAACCACCGCGAGCGTGCCCAGCCGCTGCACCGCGCCAAGCTCGGTCTCCTCGAGAAGCACAAGGACTATGTCCACCGTGCCCGCGACTACAAGTCCAAGAAGGACCGCATCAAGAATCTCCGTGAGAAGGCTGCGTTCCGCAACAAGGACGAGTTCTACTGGGGCATGGTCAAGGGCAAGACCAAGGGCGGTATCCACATCCAGGACCGCGGAAACGAAGCGCTCTCCACCGATGTCGTCAAGCTCCTCAAGACCCAGGACTTGGGCTACATCAAGGTCCAGATTGCGCAGGACGAGAAGGTTTGTGCAACCATGCTGGGACTGTTGGTCTGACTGGACAGAAAATCGCAAAGCTGCGTGCCGAGCTCGAGGTGACTGCCCCGGTCGCTGGCCCTAGCTCTGAGTGGACCGCCGCGTCTGAGCTTGCCGAGGTCGAGAAGCTGGCCGAGATGGGTGTTATAGTGCGCCCATCGTCCAGTGCATCCCGCAAGGGCAAGGGCAAGGATGTTCCCAGCGGTCACGTCGTGTTTGTCGAGGCCAAGGAGGACTGTGAGTTGAGAATAACAAGAAGTTCAGCTCTGACAGGACAGTCGACGCGTACGGTGACGACGACGACAACGAGACCGAGGAGACCGCCGAGGCCGAGGAGGCAGTGGATCTCGGATGGCTTGCCCCCGAGGCGCCAAAGAAGAGGAGGAAGGCGAAGGCACCTACTCCCCCACCAGCCGCGCCCGAGGACACGACCGACGAGGCGAGGGTGAGTCGGACGCGCATGCCATGCCGGAGGAGTCCCCCCATTGCTGACATTGTTTCTTCTCTCAGGAATACCGAATGGAGCTGCTGGGCAAGCTGTCTGGTCTTCTGGGACGTGTGCGGGTGCTGCGACAGGCTGAGGGCCGCATGGAGACCACCAAGGGTCTCATGGGCAAGGGTGCGGCGCGTCGTGTGCGCGATGCCGGGTTTGTGGAGGACGAGACGGTGGCCGAGGACCGCAACGGCGACCGCAAGCGGTTCGAGGGCAAGCAGTGGAAGTTCAAGCTGGAGCGCAGGAAGTAAAGGGGGGAGGAGCACATTGTGTATACATAGTAGAGCATTAGGAGTAGTGCATAGTGTCATGTTTGTGTGCCACACGCGAGGAGACGGAGACGCTAGGTTTTAAATACAGAGTTAGGGTACAATGGCGTCCGGCCTCCTGGGTGGGCACGCGCGTCTCGAGTAATTAACACTCTCATGAGCGGCACCTGTCCCACATCCAACTGGCTGACCAGCCGTAGGCGGTAGCCCATAACCCCCGTTACGCCGTGCATGGTTAGCGAGGGGGGGGATGTTTGCGCACCGTGCCACGGGCCGCGCCTGGGTGGCATGACCTACCACGAACAAAAGCTTCCGTATGTACCCAACGAGGGTGTCAACACAACGCGCCTGTCTTTGGCCGGTCAGGGCACAAACACACCCACCCTGCCCAGCGCCGCGCGCGGGGGCGAGCAGGACCGTCAGTACTGCGTATGACACGCCCAGTGCATCTCAGACGCCAGCGTTCATGTATCCCCCCTTCATTCTTCATCCATCGACGCGACGACCACAGCGCGAGACACCTTTTCATCCCTCCCATCTCCCATCTCGCACAGTCACACTGGTCTCTTGCTCAACAGCCTCTCAAACATCGGAGCCATTATCACCCACGCCGGTCCTTTGACCCACACGACCTGCGCGCGCGATCGGGCACCTTGGAATTCATCCATCCGTCATCCACCCCTCTCCATAGTGGCGTGAGCCGGTGTTGCGGCCGTCACATCCTCCTCCCCCCTCCCCAATCCTTCTCCGTCCCATCTCTACCTGCGCGCAATGGTAGCTCCGTTGGTGCCCAACCGCATCCACTCGCTGCCTGGTGAGTCCCGCTCCATTGAGCAGTTTCCAACCAGAACAAGGGCTGACATTGCGCCAAATGGCGCGTCGCGTCCATCCAGTTCAAGTGACATACCACATCCAGGCTTCGTCCCAGTCGTTCTCGACGCTCTTTTCCACTCCCCAGCAGGTCTACGTCCACCCCAACGCCGGCTCCCAAGAGGTCGACGGCCAGGATGAAGCGTGGGGCGCGATTTACCTCAAGACTGTGGTCCAGGGCATCCTGATGGCGAGGTGAGGGCGAAGGCGCGCACCACAGGGTGCTACGCGTCCGTTCGGACGGCGTTTGGACGAGCCATCTTACTGACACTGCTGCAGTCCAGAGCTCCACCCGACTCATCCCAGTACCCCAGACCTGTCGCTGTATGTGCTTGACCCGCGCGAGACGTTTCTCCGCAGGTCGCGTGCAGCTCCGATTCCCAACCTCCGTTCATCACCGGCCCGCGCGCCATCAGAGGTGTGGACTGGCAAGGGCCTCGTGAGCTGGGCCCTCGACGAGCCCGGGGCTGGCAAGAACCTCATTACTGGGAGGCTGGTCCGTCGCGCCGAGTTTGCCGCTGCGGCCCCTGTTCCAGAGGGCATGTCGGCTCTGGAAGCTCTTGTTGCCGCCAATGCTGCCGCCCGTGATGGTCACGAGGCATGGGGAATTGAGATTGCTGTCGGCCTCAAGTCCAGCATCTCGTCCACCGTCGGCTACCCCGGGCCCCTTCACCAGAGTGTGGAGAATGGGTCTGTTACCGGCCACCGCTCTCAACAGCGCGACACCCCTCGCCAGCCCTCCTTTACTCATCGCGAGCCATCGTTTTCCCGCGCCGACTCGCGCCCACTGCAGCGCATTACCTCGACCGGTGTGCCGCGTATTCATCCGACCCCAACCCGCCCTACCCCTGCACCTGTACCGGCCGCCGCCGCCTCGTCGTCAAGCAAGCCACCACCCCCGCCTCCCAAGGCCGCCGAGAAGCCGGCGCCCAAGCGTGGCAGGAAGAAGGCGGTGGAGCGCACATTGTCGTCGGTTGACACCAACTCCCTCGCTGCCACTCTGCCCAAACCTGAGAACATTACAAAGGAACGTGCACAGGAGCTTCTGAAGGACTCTTCGTTCCTCACCATGCTCGAGCAACTTACGGGTGCTCCCATCAGCGCCCTGGCTGCCGAGAAGCGTGCTGCCCAGGAGTCACCAGAGGAAGAGCCGGTCCACAAGCGCGGGCGTTTCGAGTCGGCAGGCGACAATAAAGAGCTCTGCTGCTCCAACTGTGGCACAAACAAGAGCTCGGTCTGGCGCCAGAAGAAGAGCGACGATGGGCAGAGCATGCGCGTCTGTAACGCCTGCGGTCTCTACTACAACAAGACGCGCACCATGCGTCCCAAGACCCTCTGGGCGGACTCGGACGAAGGGCCCAAGAGGGGCTCGTCCTCCAAGGCCGGTTTCAAGCGGACCTTGACCCAAGTGGTGGAGAAGGACGCACAACGGATCGCGAGCATGCGCAAACCCAGGGCGCCTCGCCAGATCAAACCTGTGCCCATGACATCGCCTGCGCGTGGTCCAGCACCCAAGACGGTGCGCAACGGCAAGTTTGCTGCTTCGACGGCCGTGGCGGCCAGCTCGCCTGGTGGATGGGTGGCCTCGACCCCCGCTTCCTCTGGTCCTGCCGCTCTTCCTTCCGAGACGCCCAACACGGCTCTCCGCCGGATCTTGGGCGAGTCGATGCCGAGCCTTGCGATGCCTCTGAGCGACGACGCCGCCGGCGAGGCACCACCCAACCAGATGACCTGGAACGCGGACCTGTCGACCTTTTTCGATGTCGATGGATTTGCCATGACGCCAGGCAATGCCGACGACGCGGCGGTAAAGGTCGAGCCATCTTCTGCGACCCGCTCAACATTCGACAGACGCGGTGTTTCCTCGGCTGTTGGCCACGACGGCGGTAGCAAGGAGGGCAAGGAGGACAAGGAAGACAAGGAGGACGGGGACGACATCGAGAAGCGCCCTGCAAGCTCTGAAGATGACGATGTCTTTTCGCAGCTGTTCCAGCGCACGTCATCTGCCGGCGACCTCTCGAGCACGTCTTCTCCGTTCGACTTTTCTCAGCTGCCACCTTCATCGCCCCCGGCTCTCCCGAGCAACCTGCCCCACTCGGCTCTTCTCCTCTCCAGCCCATCGTCGAGTCCCAACGGCGTGAGCCCGCGCACCGAGTCAGACTTTGGCAAACCCTCTCCTGCGCTCTCGAGTCTCCGCAACGAAGTCGGCGTCGACGAGAACAAGCCCGAGGGCGAGCAGGTGTTCCATGACCTGCTTCACAAGCTCGCCAACGGCAACATGGGAGACGAGCTGCTCGCGCTCTTCAACTCGTTCCCCGCGGCCTCGCCCGCGTAATGCCCCACGACAACCAACACAACACACTCAGCATGTCTGCTCGGTACCCCCGAGCTTGACCACCTCCATTTTTCTTGTGACACACCTGTACACACACTTTATTAATTTCTTGTCAACAACATCGAGGCCCCTCCCTCCGTCTCTCTCTCTCTCTTGCTCTTGCGTTCTCCACTTCTGTGTTGCATAGTCTTCTCCTCTTCTCTTCATCAAACATGCCTTACATGTCGTCATGCATTGTCAATTCTATGACACGGTTGGGGGTCGTGACCGTGGGTGGATATATATTCCCTCCGGAGCGCAAGAAGCGCAGTCTACCATGCCAGAGTGGCATTTAAGCGGGCAGCTCAAACTTCTCGCCGCGGAGCACCTTGGTAACGTACTGGGAGAAACGAGGGTCAGCACAGAACCAGAACAGAACAGAACAGAACACGACGGATGGGAAACATACAATGTAGCCAAAGTCGGCGTAGATGGCCGTCTGGATGATACCGGCGGTGACGGCGATGGGGTCAAAGCCGCCGTCGGTGAAGTAGCTAGACGGGTCAGCAAAAAGTGGTCGTCGTCGTCACCGTCCTTTTACTCACCGGTAGATCCAGTTGGGGATGTAGAGGGCACGGTAGAGACCCAGCGCGGCGAGGTAGTGTGTGGTAATGGTCTCTGCCTCGCCGGTACGCTGGAGCATGAAGAGCTGGGGCAGGATGGCGACGCTCTCCAGCCAGATGGAGAAGCTCCAAGTGATCTCGACAAAGGGGTTGAGGCCCGCTGCGCGCAGGTGGAAGATGAGGCCCAGGAGGAACGAGGGCCCGAGAATGTACGCAATGTTGAACGTGTCGAGCGCGGCGTCCTGGGTGGGGCGGAACTTGACCTTCATGAGGTACAAGGTGTACGCGGTTGCGCCGATGAAGAAGAGCTTCATGAGCGTGTTGTACAGGTTGTGGAAGGTGGTGAGGACGTCAAGGTACCGGGTCACAAAGACGATAAAGTACAGGACCTGGGACTTGAACGAGATGCCACGGCATGACCGCGACGTCTGGATCTTGTGCAACAAGATGAAGATGGACGCAAGGTGCGACATATCGCCTGAGGGAGGGAGAGCACATGTCAGTACAAGGTGTTTCTCTGTTATTGTATATTATTGTTGAAGGGTCGTGACGCGCCGTGACTATCGCCCGAAGATGGGCAACGACTTGCCCAAACCGGGGAAAAGAACGCGAGCGCGCGAGTTTCCACGCGCCAGTAGTGTGGGTGGGTATGTCACGAGTCATGCTGGACGTACCGAGGAAGCGGAAGATGTTGATGCCCATTGCTAGCCGTCTGCGCGTTGCGCTGGTGGATAAGGGCGGGGGTTGTGGGGAAGGTGGTGGATGAGACCGGGTGGGTGGGAGAGATGGGGTTTGGGGGGGGTGAGGATAATCGTGTGGTGGCTCCAAAGAATGGGTGCGCAGATGGAATCCGAGACGTGGAGGTGTTCGGCTGCGCGCGCCAGAGGGGGGGCGGTTGTGTCTTTCCCTGTGTGCGTGCGGTCCAGCGCCACGCGATGACAGCGTGGGGCCCACGTCCCACACGGAGGCAAATTCGGCGGTTGCGGGGTGTTGGCTCCGTGGCAGCTGGCCGGCTGGGTGTGGGCGGTGGGCGGGGTGGGTGCTCTTGGTGGCCGCTGGGTGGGCTCTGCGTGTGCATGCGTGTGCGGGCTGCCTGGCTCTGGCTGCTGTGGGTGGCGCAATGGCCGGCGGCTAATGCCGGTCCCAGCGTGGTGTGGGTGGTGGTTGCGTGTCGTCGTGTCATAATCAGCGGCCAGCGGCCAGCGGGCCAACTTTGGGCGAGATCTCCAGGAAAAGATCCACCCAACGGCCCACAGCGGTATACGGGGCTTGGTCGTCATCTTCAAAGGCGGCGCGTAACTTGTCCTCTTTGCCACAACCACCCACAACCAACCCCTTTTTCCTTCACCATGCGCGAGTAAGTTCTGCCTCCCCTCCCTTGCATACCCCACCCTCTACTCTCCATCTCAGCACCAATGCTTACCCCCCACAGCCCATCGCGGCCGCCCATCACGTCGTCCGAGATCGAGTGGATCCGGTTGCAAAACCCCATCCCCATCGCACTTCGTGTCTATGGCCTTCCATTCCTTTGTAAGTGACCTTGCTGCGCCCATTGCACTCGCTCGTTGCCTCCTTTAGGCAGAAACATAGCTAACCAAGTGTTCCAGCGCTCTACCCGGTTCTCTACTACACCTACTACCACCGTTACGATGACTGGGTCGTCTCGGAGGAGTGGACCTTCATCTACTGTGTTCTGTTGTTTGCCGGTCACGCGCTGAGCTTCCTCGCCACACGCTGGAGCAATGCCATCCGTGCTTTCGTCTGCTACCGCCGCGCCGACTCGTTCAAGGCCGCCTCGTCGGTCCGCGTCGTCCCCGTCAAGGGCCGTGGTCACGGTGAAATGGTCAAGCTCGACTCCAAGAACGCCCCCGGCGCCAGCGAGCCCACCTACTCGTTCATCTACCAGCGCGACACGTACGTCTACACGGCTGAGCATGACGTCTTCACCCTCATCCCTTACCCCTGCGACTCGGCGCCCCCTCTTGCGCTTTTCCAGGCTTCCAAGGGCATCTTTACACACGCCCCCAAGAACGGCAAGGTCCCCGTCGTCGCCGGCCAGCTCCCTCCCATCCTCGACGTTCTCAAGGCCACCTACGGCGCCAACGAGTGCCATATCCCCATTCCCAAGTTTGTCGAGCTCTTCGCCGAGCATGCCGTCGCCCCCTTCTTCATCTTCCAGATGTTCTGTGTCGCCCTCTGGTGCCTCGACGAGTACTGGTACTATTCGCTCTTCACTGCGTTCATGCTCATCGTGTTCGAGTGCACCGTCGTCTTCCAGCGCGTCCGCACGCTCACCGAGTTCCGCACCATGAGCATCACCCCTTACCCCGTCCAGACTTTCCGTGACGGCAAGTGGGCCGAGGTCACGTCGTCCGAGCTCGTTCCCGGCGACGTTGTCTCGATTCTCCGCACCAAGCCTGACTCTGGTATCCCCTGCGACCTCCTTCTTCTCCGCGGCACCTGCATTGTCAACGAGGCCATGCTTTCGGGCGAGTCGACCCCTCTCCTCAAGGAGAGCGTCGAGCTCCGTGAGGGTGACGACCGTCTCGACATTAACGGCGCCGACCGCAACTCGGTCCTCTTCTCGGGCACCAAGGCCCTGCAGGTCGAGAAGCCCGGCGAGGGTGGCCAGAAGACCCCCGACGGCGGCTGCCTCGCTGTTGTCCTCCGCACCGGTTTCGGTACTACCCAGGGCCAGCTTGTCCGCACCATGATCTTCTCCACTGAGCGTGTCTCGGCCAATAACTTTGAGTCGTTCCTCTTCATTCTCTTCCTTCTCATTTTCGCCATTGCCGCCTCGGCCTACGTCTGGATCAAGGGACTTGAGCGTGGCATGGCCAAGGGCAAGCTCCTCCTGGACTGCATCCTTATCATCACCTCGGTCGTTCCTCCCGAGCTCCCCATGGAGCTGTCGCTTGCCGTCAACGCTTCGCTTGTCGCCCTCCAAAAGTACGCCATCTTCTGCACTGAGCCCTTCCGCATTCCCTATGCGGGCCGTGTCGACGTGTGCTGCTTTGACAAGACTGGTACCATCACTGGCGAGGACCTCGTCGTCGAGGGTGTCTGCGGTGTGGACGCTGCCGACCCCAAGAAGCTCGTCAACGTCACCGAGACTGGCAAGGAGACCACTCTTGCCCTCGCTGCCGCCCACGCCCTCGTCCTGCTCGACGACGGTACCGTTGTTGGTGACCCCATGGAGAAGACCACCCTCCAGGCTCTCGACTGGAAGGTTGCCAAGGGTGACATGGTCTCGCCCAACAACAAGGACGCCCCCAACCGTGCTCTCATCAACATCCGCCGCCGTTTCCAGTTCTCGTCTGCCCTCAAGCGCATGTCTACCATCTCGGCTGTCACCGACGCGTCGGGCAAGAAGTGGATCGCTACCGTCAAGGGTGCCCCCGAGACTCTCAAGACCATGTACAGCAACGTTCCCGAGCACTACGAGGAGACTTACCGCTACTACACTCGCCGTGGTTCGCGTGTTCTTGCTCTTGGTGTCAAGCAGATGGTCAACTTCCAGCCTGAGAGGATTACCCACGTTCACCGTGACGACGTCGAGTGCAAGCTCGAGTTTGCCGGCTTCCTCGTCTTCCACTGCCCTCTCAAGCCCGACGCCGTCGAGGTGCTCAAGATGCTTGCCGACTCGTCCCACCGCTGCATCATGATCACTGGTGACAACCCGCTCACTGCCTCGCACGTCGCCCGTGACGTTGAGATTGTCGACCGCGACGTCATGATTCTGGACCTCAAGGAGGGCTCGACCGAGGAGCTCGTGTGGCGCAACGTCGACGAGACCAAGGTCGTCGCTGTCAACCCCAACCTTCCCATCGATGCCGACATTCTCCGCGACTATGACATTTGTATCACTGGCGCCGCTGTTCGCGAGTTTGAGGCCCGCGAGTCGTGGAAGGTTCTCGTCCAGCACACCTGGGTCTACGCCCGTGTCTCGCCCTCGCAGAAGGAGTACATTGTCGGCACCCTCCGTGAGCTCGGCTACACCACCCTCATGGCCGGTGACGGTACCAACGACGTTGGCGCCCTCAAGCAGGCCCACATTGGTGTCGCCCTTCTCGATGGTTCCATGGATGACCTCAAGGCTATTGCCGAGCACCAGCGTAACGAGCGTCTCAAGAAGGTGTACGAGCAGCAGTGCCGCATCTCTGCCCGCTTCAACCAGCCTCCTCCCCCCGTTCCCGCCGCCCTCCGTGAGGCCTACCCGGAGCTTGTCAAGACTCAGGAGGAGGTCGCCAGCAGCCACCAAAAGGCCAAGAAGCAGAACCCCATGGAGAAGTTTGACCTTGGCAGCATTACTTCCAAGCTCGCCGACATGGACGACGGCCAGGAGGTCCCCCAGATCAAGCTCGGTGACGCTTCGTGCGCTGCCCCCTTCACTTCCAAGCTCTCCAACGTTGCTGCCATCTCGAACATTATCCGCCAGGGCCGCTGCACTCTTGTCGCCACTATCCAGATGTACAAGATTCTCGCGCTCAACTGCCTGATTACCGCCTACTCGCTCTCGGTCCAGTACCTTGACGGCATCAAGTTTGGTGACTACCAGGTTACCATCACTGGTATGCTCATGTCGGTCTGCTTCCTTTGCATCTCGCGCGCCAAGCCCGTCGAGAAGCTGTCGCGCGAGCGTCCCCTCGGCAACATTTTCAACCTCTACGTTCTCCTCTCGGTCCTTGCCCAGTTTGCCATCCACATTGTCTGCCTGGTCTACATCACCTCGCTCGCCCAGTCGCTCGAGGACCGCGGCCCGATCGACCTCGAGAAGAAGTTTGAGCCTACCCTCCTCAACACTGCCATCTACCTCCTCGGTCTCTCGCAGCAGGTCTCGACCTTTGTCCTCAACTTCCAGGGCCGTCCCTTCCGTGAGGGCATCAAGGAGAACAGACCCCTGTACTTTGGTCTTCTCGGTGCCTCGCTCGTCGCCTACTCGGGCGCCATGGACATTTTCCCCGACCTCAACAACTGGCTCCAGCTCGTCGACATGAACTGGGACTTCCGTTTCAAGCTCACCGCCTCGATGATCTTTGACTTTGGCGGCTGCTACATTGTCGAGACGGCCTGCAAGGCCATCTTCGCCGACCTCGAGCCCGCCGAGATGGTCACCCGTGGTCGTGAGCGCCGCGAGAAGCGTCGCGCCGAGGAGGAGGCGCTGGCGGCCGCTTCCCCCGCCCCTGCCCTCCCCGAGCTCGACGAGGTGGTGAAGAAGTCCCAGTAGATTCTCTCTCACCCATGACACTGCGGAAAAGAGACTCGTCTCGTAGAGGGGCCGCCAAACGAACAGACATTGTATTGTCTCTCTTCTTCTCGCCTGCCCCGTTTTCGTTAGGACTGACCGCACTCCACTTTCACACTTGCGGTGGACACACAACTTTTTCCCCCCTCATCATAGCCACCTAGACACTCTTCTGCCGGATGCATCGGGATAAATGTATGCGAGAGAGGGAAGCGCGCGAGGGAGGGAAGGAAGCGTGCGCGCTCGGTTGCAGGAGGTTATAGGGAATCAGAAGCTTTGTGCACGAAAAAAGGGGATCTGGGCCTGGGGACACGCGGCCTGGAGTGGTTCCGGGTCGGTTAGTCACTTTGGTGGCTCTGGCGGTGACGTGCTTGGCTTGCGGCAGTGGCGGCAAAGTTGTTGTGGGGGCATTTTTGGTCTCCTTGGCAGTGTGTACAAGCGGCCAAGAGGCCAAGAGTGGGGACGGTCTCATGTATGTCGTGCATAATGTTGTTGTGCGTGAATGTGAGCACCCGCGACCTCTTTTTGTGCTTGTTGCCACGCGCACAATGTACACCACAGTACCGCAGTCGACTAGTGGTACAATCCACCGGCGAGCGCTGCGACATACCCCTCGCGCCACCTCCGCCAGCACGCACGTTGCTGCCAACAGACCGAAGCAGACTCGCACAGATGCGCACACAGAGTGGTGCTGGTGCCTTATCCGATCAACTCTGGCGACAACCCCCGTCTCATCCCCCCCATTGCGCCCACGATCCCACGAATGCACGAAGCACGTCGTCGGCGCCTCGTTCTGTCCGAACCGCGCCGCCACCCTCGCCCTCCCCACCAAAGTCTCCCCATATGCCACGCACCGGACCCCGCACCGCATACGTCGCCCGTTCGCCGTATCGCTCGCTCAGCCCGGCGGCTACGGTGTCGGTTCGGTGAAGGGCCGGGGGGAGCGGTCGCTGATGCTGACATGCTTGATGCTTGCGCTGGCCCCTCTCGGCCTTCTCGGCTCTCTGTGGCCTCTGGTGGCGGTCGGTGCGATCAGTGCGCTCCCCCCCATGTCCCATCAACGCGTTTGACCTCCACAGGGTTTGGCACAAACGGACCGCCAGACCGTCCAGCCGGCGGCCTGCCCCACACTTCCCCAGCCTCTCACCCACGTCTTATCCTCTCGCCCTCCATCTCCGTCACTCTCGTCTTCCTTTCTCTTCATCATCCTCATCACCACTCACTACCTACCAGTTTAAAGCACAAACACAACCGAGCCGGTCTCGATAACACTCCCACACCCCCACTCACCTATCTACCACACCCACCCCACTCGTTGAGCGTCAGCTCCGTCCGCCACCAGCCCCGCGCCGCCGTCACTCACCGCCAAGCGCACTACAAGACACGCCGTCCGATGGCTGCCCACGCCTTCCCCGACCTCGCCCCCTTCCTCACCGGTAACCAGCAGTGGGCAGCTCAGACCAACGCTGCCCAGCCCGAGTTCCTCCCCACCCTCGCGCAGGGTCAGGCGCCGCCCGTGCTCTGGATGGGATGCTCGGACTCTCGCGTCACCGAGTCGGTCATCATGCAGCGCAAGCCCGGAGACGTCTTTGTCCACGTACGTTTTGGCCCCCCATGGATCATGTCATGTCGTCCACAAACACACTGATCCCACTATGACACGACGGCTGACTCGTTTCCCAGCGCAACATCGCCAACCAGGTGCGCAGACCCCCCAAGAGGCAAGAGGCTCGCACGGCGGTGCTGTTTGTCCGCCGCCGCCGCGCGACTTTTTTGTCTTTCACAGGATCACAGGCCGCCCCCAGCCCCCCCGCTAACGCTTTGTCCAGTTCCACCCCGATGACACTTCGGCTAACGCGGTGCTCAACTATGGTGTGCTCTACGTTGGCGTCAACCACGGTGGGTCTAACCCGGAAGGCTGGTCGCCGATTGCTGACCAGCTTGTCCTTATCATCATTGTTCCCCACGCCCTCACCTCTTGCCATCGCTTTGGTGCCTGCGCACGGTCCTCCTCCGCCGTGGCCATCACCCAGTCCCTTTGGGACAACGCTCCACTCACATACACGCACACGCACACACATTCACGCACCCGCTACGCTACAGTCGTCGTCGTGGGCCACAGCAACTGCGGAGGGTGCAACGCCGCGTTCGCCGCCCCACCCGCGCCGCTCGTCCCGCCGCCCTCGCACGACCACCTCGGGGCCTTCCTCGCGCCCCTCATCCAGCTCCGCCACAAGCTTCCCCCGGGCGCGACGGCCGACGACCTCGTCAAGGAGAATGTCCGGTCAAGTGTCAAGAACGTGGTTGATTCGGCCGTGAGTGTATATACAGTGCTGCGGCAGTGCCCGGGAAGCGAAATGCTGATTCTCGCTCTCCACTAGACCATGAAAGAGGCCTGGTCAAAGGGCAAACCCGTGTACGTCCACGGTTGGGTGTTTGACATCAAGACCGGTCTCCTGCACGACCTCGGCATCTCCCAGGGCCCCCAGTAAACAAACACCCCCGGGAAAGACCCGGCATCAAGTAACTGTAGTTGTTCGCCCTCGTCGTCGTCGTGTAGACCTCACCAACCACCACACGGCGTATCGCAAACGTGGCGACGTGGCCGCATATGTACGCACCCGCGCGCGCCCCCCACTCCCTTATGTATTTAAAAGCTGTATTAGAGACACCCCATCACTGCTATGCACGGTTTTGGACCCCAGGCGCTGCGCGCACGGTGTCTGGGACACCTTTGGGACACCTTTACGCTGGTACTCTCTTGCACCGTAGCACGGTATGGGGTGGACAAAAGAGGAAAATATGGGCTTAAAAGGGCCATTAACCAGGGTGGGGCCGAAATCAATCGGGCCATCAGCCATCGGGTCCAAGCAAGTGGCGAATGCCCCGTCGTCGTCGGCCCGTTACCTTCGCTATCGCCGCTGGGGACGGTGATGGTGATGTGTTTGCATTCGTTCTTGGAACGTCGGCTGGTGAACAGGTCGCCGACTGGCTGAGTGGCGAATTGTTCACGACAACGGTAGACTGAGCAATGTAAACGGACGTCAATGGATTCCCACTCCCATTCCCATTTTCCCATTTTCACTTGATCTCGACAAACGTGCATGGGCTTTTCCATACTGACGGCTCCATCGACAACCTGTTGTCTGCTGCTGTGCACACAGATCCGAGGTGCGTGGTCAATGGACCACACGCCCGTGGCTGCGGGACGCGACGGTGACGGACACGACTTGTGCATGTCCCAACAGCCACCACTTGGGGAGGCTACACTACGCGTCTCACGAGACGCGTCAGTGTTTGACGCGGCACTGTTTCCGAAACGATCTGCCGTGGAAGTTGATGAACCGAGACCATTTTGGGAAAGTGGTGGCTCCTGTCGGTGTGCTGTTTCGGAGACGTGTCATCGCCCCGCCATTTTGGCCATTTGATGGGGTCAGTCACCACAGAAGCTGGCAGGTTTCGGGTACGTTGATGCCACTGGTAAGCCTGATCGACAGGGGTCCTGATATGGCCTCTGGCCTCTGGGCTCCGGTTATATAGCAGGCGCTGGCGCTGCCATGCACCCATGGGCCCCTGTGGACGAGTATGCGTATACTGCCAAAGTGCCACAAACGACGACGCAGACGACCGTCTTATTCGGTCCACCATAATACCTGTCACACTTCGGTTCGAAAGCAAGCAAGGCACAACTTACGCATGTTGTTGCTGCTTCTTGTCGACATGTCGGGCACTAATGCAGGCATAACTTGGTTACCCAGCGTCCAGCCTCCAAAGCAGCTTGCGCGCAGCGGCCAGCGAGCTCAGCCACGACGTTGCGACGTCGCAACGTCGCAACGCAAAACGCCCACATGGCCTTGTCAGTGCCTCGTGGCCTGGACAGCGGGGAATGGACAGCACAGACGACAGAGACACAAGACGGTCGCAACGCTTCAGTCCACAAGTACTGTAGTCAAAACAAATGGATCCTGCAGAGTGGTGGAGCTGGAGCTGGAGCTATTCGGGGCGGGAAGGTGGGCTTTGGCCAGCTATATTTGGATCCTCGCCGGATCGCTGGCCTAGTTTTAGAGGTTTGAGTTCAATCTGAGTGAAAAACCTAGCTAGCTCAGTCCAGACACCCGACCTACATAGAGTACGTAGAGCAACTACTGAAGCAGTGGCAAGGGGCACAGGGGAGGCACGCATGCAGGCCTGGTTCTGTAATGTTGCTCGGCGACGCACGTCCTGTACCCACTTGACGTCGGTTGCGGCCTGCGATTCCCACCGGGTGTGATGGCACGCCGGACGGGATGATGGCATCGGGTCTGCACGAGTAAGGGGGCCAGCGGCCAGCGGGGTCCTGCCGTCCTCACAAGCGTCACGCCAGATACGCCAGCGACACCTCCCTACAGCGCTGCAGGCCGGGTTCGACTTGTGCAGCCTTTGGCCGCCGAGGTGCCGGGGTGTACGACATGACGACAATGACGTTCCCCTGTGCTCCCCTCCGCTCCGTGACGCACTCGCCGTTACACCTTACACTTTTTTTACACCCACAACCCGAGGCACTCTGGAAGCTGCCCCGTCGAGGCACGGTAATGCACACGGCGTCGCGCACGGCGTTGTGGGAGCGCGCACTCGCTTGCTACGAGGCACCAAACAAAAAAAGTACTGTACTGTGCCTCTCTCTCGTCGCCTCGAGGCCCGACGGATGGCCGCAGAACAAAAGGGGCTTTTTTCGCGAGGGCGAGATTTCAAGACCATACTGTACATACCCATCTGTGCACCTCGGTGGGGGTGTCAATGGTAGGCTCAGGATGGACCGGAGGTCTGCGACAGCCAGAGACGTCATCGTCATGCAGTCCTGCTGGTCATGACGAACAGGCGTCATGGGAGGGCAAAGGTGGACAAGCAAGCCTACCACGTCCGCCAAGTGGAGGTGCACCACCGAAGCTTACCGAAGCCCCGAGCATCTGGAGTCAACTGCCGGCGGAGTCATGTTGTCCGCATCGCCTCTCGCGTCTGTCGCACACAAGCAATACACATACTTTCAGCACGCATGTCATTGGCTATGCCACCACCGAGAAAGAGAGAGAGAGTTCAGGAATTGAATAGGACACACGGGGGGTGGTGGCGTACGCCAACCATGGATGGCTAAGGGGGGTTGGCTGTCGGCGCAAAGGCGCTTGCTGGCGTCCGCATGTGGCACACCGTTTCCAGGCCCCCCGTCTATCGATGGTCGTGAGGCTTGAGAATGCTGAATGGAGAGGAGCGAGCAAGGATCGGGGGGGGGGGGGGGGGGGGGGGGGGCTGTCTTCTATGGCCTGCTGGAAGGATTCCTGGGACCGGCCCGGCGGGGAAGGGGGTGCTTCAGGACGCTGGCCTGCTGCGCTGTAACATATTGAGACGCGTCGAATGACCCCCAACCTGCCGCCTCCCGAGGGCCGCTGCGCGTGTTCCCTCTTCTCTCCATGTACGATCTGTACGAACGGGACGCGCTTGGACGCGTTCAACTCATAAAGGGAGGAGGGAGGACAAGGGCCCTGCGTTTGCCCGTCGCCGGCTAGACCAGAACCAGAGCCAGGTCGACGAGGGACAGGACATATGCATGAGGGTATGTCCTGTATAACTGTGCACGGCACAAGCGAATGCGTCTTGCGGCGCGCGCGGCTTGGGAGTCGCTTGTCTCCTTGATTGGATCCCACAGCCACATGTCAGCCACTGATGGTTGATCGCGAGGCGGCGGCGACTTCCTTCCGCGGCGCCTTCACCGGCCCGCGAGACACTGCTCATGTAGTTGGGCGTCGTTTGGGAGGCTGAGAGAGTCTGGCCATGTGCCAGTACATATGGACGGCTTTTGATGAGTGGGTGCGGAAAAAGAGTCCCACGCGGGCATGGAAAACAGCACCTGTTTGCTTGTTACCAGCTTACCAAATGGCCAGTGGTATGCACGGGCCACGAGCCAAATGCCGGCTCGCTGAAAGGTTGAGGGTGCCACCACCTCGTCTATGTCTGCACTGTGAGCCCAAAATACATGCAATCACAGCCAGACACAAACAACACGAAAAGGGGCCCTTGTACGATCTAAAGCGGATTGATTAAATACGGTTAGCGAGATGTTTGGACCACAACAACAAAGTGGGTCGCGATTGGCATATGCCGACACCAACACCATCACCGGGTGCCGACGTGCCGATGGACGCGACCACATGTCCTTAAGGTCAAGCTTGTCCCGATCCGAACCTCCCTGTCTGTCCAAACAGGACTCTTGTGTCTATCCACAACCCAATGTCCCGACTGGGGGGAGGTTGGAAGAAGCAAGTCTGGACATGGCAACCGGCAACTTTAATGTCATGGACACGAGAGAGAGAGCTAGAGCAAGGGATTGGGGCCAGAACCCGGTGAGATCTCGTTGTGGTAAGCGTGTGTGTGTGGTGGTGGGTAGGTGGTGGTACGTGTGGGTGCATTTGCGTCACGCTGTTTCTGTGCCCTGCCCTCTCTCCGCTTTACCCTTTTTGCTGCGGGGCTAATTAGTCGATCACTGCGCTGGTGGTGCTGCACGACCGACAGAGCCCAGGCAGTTGATCAGTTGAAAGGGTCGTCGGCGGTGGCGTGGGGGGTTGGTGTGTGGCCTGTTGGCCTGATTTGGCCTAATAGCTGGAGCTAGCAAGTCCCCGATCCCCGTATAGAGCTAGAGAGAACCCCCAAGAGCAGTAAAATGCCGAAAACGAAGAGCAAAAAACGTTTCAACATGTCCCTCCGATCCTCTGATCCCTCCCCCCCGGGAAACGTTTCGTCCTATTCCACACGGGGTTTGTGTCCTGGCCTGTGCGCCTGTGCGTCCTCGGTTTGTCCCATCCCATGGGACAATGGTAACATGGGGGGGGGGGGGAAAGATTTTCGGGTCTCTGTGCATATGCATGCAAACGGACAACAAACAAGCGTCTTCCTCGCTTCGGTGTGTTCAATCAGATGTGCCCATCGGCGTCACGATGGCCGCCACCACTTTGGAGAGCAGCCTGATGAAGAGAGAGAGTTGTGGTTGCACAGCCTCTCTCAAATCCTGTCTCTCGTTCGTGTCTCTCTTTGTTGATCTCGGAGATCGGAGACTAAGGAGAGAGCTTTGACACACACTGCAGCAGCGAGGAGATGGGCGCGGGGGCCACACCACGCCACTGACGTTCAAGCAGCATATTAGGAGGGGGAGACAGGGACACATACACACACGGGCGGCGGCGCCACCCCCCAGCCCGCCGGGTCCAACGCGTCACGCGCTAAACAGCCCTGGCGGCCTGGCGGCCTGGCGCGGGGGCCATGGGTGAGAGGATCCTTTTGGCACACTTTATTTTGAGACGCAGCGGCAGAACCCGGACTAATGCGCGCGTCACAGCCAAGAGATCAATGTCAGAAAACCCGAATTTCATTCACAGAGTGAGGACATGAGCGAGGAGAGGCTCTCAGCCAGGGACACACTCTGCTCACGCGCGTGTGTGCACAACCCTCTCCTCGGCTCTCTCCCCGGCCACAGAGGGCACAGGCCAAAGGAGCCAAAGGCGCAGAACGCCCCAGCCTCTTCTCCTCTTCTCCTCCTCCCCCCCCCCCCCCCCCCCTCTCCCCCTGTGCCCCCCTCCCCGCGCGCCCACCCACAGAGATCCAGCGACAGGCTGTCTCTTCGTTGATAATATAAACCCCACTGGCCCCCCTTCACAACCATTCTCATCCATCTCCCAAACACACCTCCTCACACCCACCCCCCCCCCATACCCAGCAACAATAACAACAATGCGCGCCGCTGTCCTCCTCGCTGTCCTCCCCGCCCTCGCCCTTGCTGTCCCCGTAAGTATATCACCTACCTCGAGGACGCCTTTGGCTGCACTGGCCTTTTTCGGGACGCGCTGCGTGCGCCTCCAACCGTGCCCACTCTCCCCCACAGCCAACGTGTTCTTTTTTTTCCTTCACCCATCGCCAACCCTGCTGACTCCATGTCCAGAACATCAAGCGTGCTGAGGCCTGCGCTTCGAGCTGCACCCAGACCGACTGCACCGAGCTCCTCTCGTGCATCTGGAACCACTGCGACGTGAGTACACACCCAACCCCCAAAACCCACTTTTCCCCACCTAGTGCCCTCCCCCCCCCCCCCCGGCACCCGGAACGTCACCATGACAGCGTACATTCCTCCGTACCTCTCTAGTCGTCATCTCTCGATCACATCACACACCCCTCTCCGTCCCTCGTCTTTTAGTTTCCTTCTCGTCGTCATAGTTTACCACCCCGTTTCCACATTGAGTATCTGCTGACTTTTTCCTCAGGGCGCCGAGTACGAGGCCGCCATCGCCGCCACTGGCAGCTGCGCTTCGACCGCGGGCTCGTCGGGCTCGTCGGGTTCGTCGGGTACCGCCGCCGCTGGCACTGCTGCTGGTACCGCCGCTGGCGTGAGTAGACAAGAAAGGAAGGAAGAAAGGAAAGGAGGAAGAAGAGCTCGCGGAAGGAGGCGCAAAGTCCAATGTGGCGAAAGATGGGCGAACAGACCTCCGCCACATAAAGATTGTGCCTGCCCTCCGCAAACTTGTCTTCCCTCCCCTTTCACCTTCACCTTTGCCCAAGCACCTAGCTAACTTGAACAGACCGCCGGTAACGGAGCTGCCTCGGCCGCCACTGACGCCTCTGGCGCTGCTGCTGCTGTAAGTACAACGAACTTTGGGAAGAATGGTCGGGACTTTCCAAGGGCGGTGCGGTTGGCCTTTGCTCCTTCCTCACCCCACCTTGCGGTTTTCCCGAGTACCCAGTCACACCTTTTGAACAACAACTGACCTGCTTTAGGGTACCGGTGCCGCTACTGGTGCCGCTACCGGTGGTGCTACTGGTGGTGCTGCTGCTGTACGTACAATAAGCTTCATGGTCGGGATTTTCCAAGCGTGGGATGGGTTGGCTTTTGTTCCTTCCTCACCCCACCTTGCGATGTTCCCGAGTACCAAGTCGCACCACCTTTTGAACAACAACTGACCTGCTCCAGGGTACTGGTGCCGCTACTGGCGCTGCTACCGACGCTTCCGGAAACACCGTTGCTGCTGTGAGTAAACGAAAAACGCGCCCCTCTGCCTCTCCCCTCTTATGGGGGTTTCCAAGTGGTAGTGGACTTGGTCGTTCTTGGACTTTGTCCGACCACCCGGAAAACATACCCCTCTCATGGAGTGTTCCAAAGTGGTGGACTTCAGTCGATCGTCGCCTTTGTCCAGAAGAAGCGAAGTGGTCGGCTGCGGTCGATCCTCGACCTAGTCCAACCTCGACCTGTCCAACCACGCACCACTCTCTCATTTGAACAGCAACTGACATTGCTTTAGGGTACCGGTGCCGCTACTGCCGCCGCCACCGACGCTTCCGGAAACACTGTTGCTGTGAGTAAAATGAAAGCAAACTGCATCCCCATCACCAACGTCCCCTCACCCAACTCGATGGACGATTCGCTCCTACCACCCAACTATCCAACTACTCTTTTGTCTCCTCTGAACAACAACTGACAAAGACCAGGGTACCGCCGCTGCCACCGACTCGGCTGGTAACGTTGTTGCCTCGGGAACCGACTCTGCTGTAAGTCAACCCCACCCCGACACATTCCCTCCACCTGGGCCCAAGACACACACACAGACACACACACCCACTCTTGACACATGTGGACAACAGCTGACGACATACAGGCCGCCGCCAACGCTACTGGTGCCGCTACTGGCGCCGCTTCGGGCACTGACGCCAACGGCACCGCCGCCGCCTCTGGCACTGGTAAGTTGCAGTAGCTCTGCTTGCAGTAGCACCTTCGCTAACACCACATATAGGTGCCGCCACCGCCGCCTCGGGCACTGCCACTGGCGTCGTCGCCTCGCTCCAGTCCGTTGCCAGCTCGGCCACCAACGCCGCCGCCTCGGCCGCTACCTCGGTTGCCTCGGTCGCCGAGTCCAAGGTCTCGGGCGCATCGGGAACCGCCGCTGCCTCGGCTTCGTCGACCTCCAAGGCCTCGTCGGCCGGCATGACCGTCGTCCCCGGCAGCTTCGTCGCCGCTGCCGTCATGGCCGCTGTCCTCCTCTAAGCGAACCCGACCCGCACCATACCTATTATCAAAACATGGTCGTCCGTCGTTTTCCCTTAGCAGCGCCCTCCACTGGATTCTCGTAGACGTTTTTTTCGTGTGTATACACGCGCTTATGACTAGTTTATTGTTCTCTCCCCCCCGTCCTTAACCATTATTTTCGCTCCCTTCGTGTATGCACTTTGCATAGCTTTGTGACTGCGTTCCGGGGGTTCAGACTCGTGTGCCCTGGGTGCCACACACAGATTCAAGTTGCCGAGTTCCACTGGCCCGCTGCCCCGGTAACTCGTCGGCACGTTGGAGCCTATCGAGGCCGGAAGGTACTCAGTGGCCGTACACGTGCACAGCGCACAGCTACAATAATCAGATATCCCAGCCGCTGTGCGGATCAACAAGATGCGACGCGCCACTGATATGGCTAAACTGGGGGAAAAAAAGCAAACAAATCGCCGAAAACGACAAACTGGTATATAAATGCCAGTCGGCGACATGCACTACTGTACTCTGTTCCACAGGGCCACAGGCCCCAATGCTCTCGGCCGCGCCAGCCGGCTGTGCCTAAAGATAGAGCACCACACAGGCCACTATGCTAAAAAGCACTGCAGGCTGCACGAGGTGGGTGGCCATCAATAAGGCTGGAACCCATGGAGGAAGTACTGCTGACGAGTTCTGGGCAAATGACCGATGATAGCAAGTGTCTGGCGCTACTTGTGCCGTCAACTTGTGCCGCCGACAGTCGTGCCGGCGTCCTCTATCCCCATGCCACACTGCAAGGGTACACCGTGTGCATGGGCGTCTTGTACTCTCCGCCGGCCGTCGGACGTCGCCCTCGCCGATGGAGGTGGACGAACCGGGCTCGTGTCCCACTCGACGATCGCCAAGGGCGGCGCGGCGCATGTAATCTTTGATGTAAGGCTTCATTTGTGTTTGGTGGGTAGCTCTGGTGTCTATTGTTGAAAGGCGCGGAGTTGAAGGAAGGGAGGCAAAGGAGTGAAGGTGTGTGTGTGTGTGTGTGTGCGTTGTGCTCATGGAGAGGGACCCCGTAGTGGGGTTGACCTGGGGGGTATTCTCCCGGATATGGTGGCAGCCCTTGTAGACCCGTCTGATATCCACCTCCACGGCGATGACCCCCTCGCCGTCGTCGCATCGCATCTGGGCTGGGTTCTTTCTTGAAGCAGAGCATGTCTCCCACAGGCCCGAGAAGAGGACCAATCTCAGCGGCTCGGTGCTCTGGTTTAGTGCTCTAGTGCCCAGGACGGGGAAACGCACTACACGGTGTGTCGTCGACTGTCGGAGCAAAAGTGCTTTGCGTTGTAGGAGTGGTGGCCAAACGACAATTACCGCCTCTACCACCTTCACAGTCGGCTGCTTCCTTCAGTGAGAACCCTCCGCAGGCGCAGCTGCTCGTCGCTCATACGCTCTCTGTGGGTAAAATAAAATGTATACATGTCTTTACGCCTTGACGCCCGTCCTCAGCTTCTCCCTGCGCAGCGCGACGCTCACCGCACCCAGCGTCGGCGCCATGGCCGCCCGCACGCGGTCTGGGTCCACGCGCGCAATCTCCGCCGTCGTCACAATGGCATTCACTTTACCCTCGGTGCCCTCGAGGTATCGCGCCATCTTGGTCGCGCGCGCCGCGCGTACTTGTGGCGAGTGGGCCTGTGTGCCCGCCCCCAAAGCGCCAGGCGCTGCTGGGAGGATGGCGCTCCAGTATTGCCGGAGAAACTCTGTCGCAGCGTTGTGGCACGAGCGCATCTGCTCGAGAATGGCGTTGGGAAGAGGGGGCAGGACGGCGTCCTCGGCGTTGGACGCGACGTGCATGTCGCGCACGACGCGGCCGGCGACCATTTGCGCGTCGCGCTGGAACGAAAACGTGCTAAACGTCGCAGCGGCCTCCATGTCATCTGCTGCCGGGGGGTAGCTCGGGTGGGCAGGGTTGGCCAGGCAGACCGAGGTGAAGTCGGCGGACCAGTCGGCAATCTTGCGCGACTCGATGTCGGCCATGGCGAGCAGCTCGTCGTCGTTGCGCCCGGGCAAGATACCGCGCGCGCCGTCGGCATCGTCACGCTCGTTGGCGTCTTGCACCTCGAGTGGGATGGGTGCTGGCGCTGCGGCGGCGCGCAGGTCCTCGTACTCGATCTGGTCATACAGGTCGTCGGCCACCATCGGGATCGTTGAGCGCCCAGTGGCGTCCTTTTTCTTACCGGCTTGAAGCAGCTTTTCCGAGTGGTCGTTGAAACGACGCATGAGGGGCAATGAGCTGCGCTCCTTGCCAGCCTGCATGGTCACATCACGGATGACGAGGTTTTCGCCGTGGTCCTCCTCGGTCGCCGCCAGGTCGAGGTACGTTTCCACGTTGTCGGGCATCTTCTTGCGCGGCGCAGTCTCCCAGTCTGGGTCCTCGAGGTAGGCATCGAAAATGTCATCTTTGCGACGTGACCCTTCGTCCAGTGCAGTCTTGCGCACCGACGCACGGTGTCGTTCCCACAGAGTCGACGTAAAGTATCGTGTCCAAAAGTCGGTCTCGGAAATCTGTCACTGTCAGAGCTGGTCGGGCCACCAGTACCGCAAAGGCTCACCCTTGGGACATTTTTGGCGTACGCATCTTGCACCACTGGAAACTCTTCAAAGATCTCCCTCGTGAGGTCCTTTGTAATGTTGAGGACGATGGGGCCCGTCTCGACCTTTTTCAGTCCCACACCGGTACCGCCCTGGATCTTGCCGCTCTTGCTCTTGTTGCCTGCAATGTCGAAACGGTCGTCCAGGAGACGCGACGGGCGGCCTGGACGCTGCTCGTACGCCAGCTCCTCGGCCTTGAGGAGCGCCTCGCGGCCGTCCCAAAACTCCTCCTCGCTGATCTGCTTGCCAATCACGAGCTCGCGGTGGAGCAGCATGAGGGTCGGGTTCTTGCGCAGGACGCGCACGCGGAGGTTGTTGGCGCGGCGGCGGGCCTCGGCGTCCCCGTCGTCCAGCTTGCGCTTGCCGGCGCGCGCGACACTCGACGGCGTGCCAGGCGTGCCCGGCGCGCTGCCTGCCGGTGTGCCCACGGCGCTCGCGATGCCCGATGGGCCGGCGCCCGTCGACGGACCGGCAACGGCGCTGGGTGCGGCAGGAGTCGGCGCTGCAGCAGGGGCACCACGGTTCGCAGCGACAAACGGGATGAGCACGTCCTGCACCGCCTGCCGGTCGGCTTCCTTGCTCGCGGCTGTAAAGGTGAACAGGAGGCCGCCGGCCGGAACGTCGTCCTTGAACTTGAGCATGAGCGAGGTACGCGCCGAGCCAGCCTTGCTTGCTAGCATGTCTGCAAGGAATGTCAGTGACCATTTCATTCTGGGACCTGGTATGCAGGAGAGCGAGTCCCTGCCATCTCACAGTGTGCACTGTTTGGCGGCAAGGGAGGAGCCAAGTGGAAATGCGTACTCGATACACGGTTCAGCGCCTGTTGCTGCCGGTCCATACCGCCTGCTGTGGGGACCCATGCGACGTGCGTCTCCGTCAAGGACAGCACGCCCGGCACCTTTTTGAATGTCGCGTCAAACTTGCGCGCCTCGGACATGGCGACGAACGGCGGACGATGGAAGATGTCGAACGATGAGTGAGACTTACGAGTGGTCTAAATGATCCAATCACTCAACGGAAGCATATTGGGTGGCGACAAGTCACGATGCACGTGACGTCAGTGACTCACCATGCCGTGGTGAGTGACGGCAGAGGCTCCACTGCCAACAACAGTGTCAATGGTTGTCCCGGTGATATGCTGGCTTGCATGGTTCTCTCCATGACAGAGGACAAACATAAAGATACGGAGAAAACAATGCTGATGGTGATGATGGTGCGCGCTTCCAATGTCTCTCTCTCTCTCTTCTTTGCGTTTCTCCCTCTACTCGTCTCCCCTCTCCTCTCCCTCCCCTGTCTCTCTCTCCTCCCCCTCTCCACCCCTCTCAAAAGACTAAACTGCTCTAATGGCCACCTCGCGGACCCTTTGCCGCCCGTCCTTCCTCGGACGCCGTACGCGCCATATCTGTCGAGCTCTCCCCACGGCGCTTCTTAAAGCTGAGCCGCTTGAGGAGGTTGGCGCCTTCGTCGGCAAGGCGCAACCCTTCGCCAGGCCCCAACTGGAGCCGCCCGTCGCTCTCACGCTGCAAGTCCATAGACGACTTTTTGCGCTTGTAGTGGCCCTCGTCGTCCGTGCCTACTCCAGAGGTGGGCGCGGCGCTCTCCCGCGTGAGCATCGAGTTGGAGCCGCGCGAGCGCAGCGAGCTTGCCTCAAACGACGAGTCCAAAGTCGACACTGTCGTGGCCACGGTCTCGACTGTTGAATTGGTAGCAACTGTCTCGACCGTCGACGCCGTCGCGACCGTCTCGACTGTCGAGCTCGTGTTCTCGTGGTCGATCATGCGGAGGTAGTGGGTGATGATGGCGCGGTGGACGAAGAGATACTGTCGCAGGCTCTGAACAAGGCTCATGCGCTGGATGCGCATGCCGACGAGAACGTCCATGATCGGGTCCTTCATCTCGCTGAGCGGCGTAGGATGGCGATGCGGGCGGTGGCTAGGTGTCGGTGCGTGCGGGTTCTCGGCCGGCGCACCGGGGTTGGATGTCGGTACGGGCAGGCTCAGCGGGAGCTGCGATTGGGGGCTCATGCTGTTAGAGCTGTTTAACGTTAGCAATGTTCCAGATATTGTAACAGCAGCGGCGGCGGCAACACTTACTCGCTCGGGGTGGTCTTTTCCTCGTTTTGCTCGGCCAGTGATGGCAGGCTTGGGCCGCGGGAGGACTTGATGGACAGCTGGTCCGAGGAGAGGTGGTCGGGCTCCCTGACCAGTACGTTGCTGTCCTTGGACAGGATCTGAGGCTCGCCTGGCGCAGGTAACGAAGCGGCATCCTTCTTAACCGGCGAGTCCAGCTCCATGGGCTCCTTGACAAGAACATTGCTGTCTTTGGAAAGGATCTCGGGTTCTGGGGGACCAGGCAAGAGGCCATCCTTCTTTGCTGGCGAGTCGAGCTCCATGGGTTCCTTGACAAGGACGTTGCTGTCCTTTGAAAGAATCTCGGGTTCTGGAGGAGGAGCGGGACCACCCTTGACTGGCGAGTCGAGCTCCATCGGCTCCTTGTTGACAACGTTAGAGTCCGGGGTCGGTACCGAGTTGGCCTTTTGCACAGCGAGCACCTCGGCTGCCTTGGAGCCGGGGAGAGGCGCGGCATGGGTCGGGGGCGAGTCCAGGTCCATGCCATCCGGCTTTGGCGGTTTAGCAGCGAGGCCAGAGCCCGCCGACGACTGCGCAGACTCGACCGAGTTGAGCTTTGACGACTTGCGGTGTTCGTGGCGGAGGGCGTCGGTGATGGCATCCACCAGAATGTAGCTGCCAGTGCGGCCAATGCCTGCGGAACAGTGCACAAGGACCGGTGGGGCCTTTGTGTGATCCTCACCGCACCCGGCCGAATGTTCGACGGCCGCGTCAACGTCACGCATCAGGTTCAAGAGCACCTCGGGCGTTTCGGGTACGTCAAAGTCGGGCCAACTGACGCACTGAATGTGCGTGACTTTACGTTGCTTTTCGGGCGCACTCTTGTGCCAAAGGTTGAAGACTCGCTTGATGTTGTTGTCGTCCTCGCCCACACTCTTGGCCTCGGGAACGGCCGCACCAAAGTCAAAGCCCGTCGTCGGCACATCGGGCTTATCCTCGTCACCCGTCTGGGAGACAAGTTGCAGCCGCAGGTCGCCATACTCGACCGCATTCCAGTATTTGCCACATTTGTCGCTGCCACCTTCGAATTGTTTGGTGAGCCTGTCCGACGACGTCAGTCATTTGTGCAATCGAAAACGTGTTCCTGACCATCAATCAACTTACATCACAATGACGTGAACGTCTTGCTCCCACACCAGGGTCCAAAAGTCGGAAAACGTAGAGTCCATGGGCCCTTGGGTTGCAATGTAACGCCTGCTAGTGCCGCGGGGCTGGACGAATGACGCGTTGATATAGTCAGACTTGTCGGGTGGTGACGCCAGGCGAACACGAGTGTAGTCAAACGGCCAAATGTTCTTGTAGCGGTTTTTTGTGCCTTGCTCGATGCCTGCGGTGATGGAGAATGGATAGTACCCGTTGTCGGCAGAGGGCTGTTCCATGAGTTTGACAACGTCCACCGCTGAGCGGGGCAACTCTGTCTGGAGACCCTCGCTTGCAGGAAGACAGCTGCCCTGCGATAAAGTGTCCATGACAGTCTGCAGTCGTGTCTGCTCGTTCCGTTCGATACGGTAAAACTGCTTGGCCAAGACCTCACCGCTGTCGCTGTCAGACATCTTGACAAGGTCATGCAGGAAGGGAGGCAGCTCGTCGGCGCGGCGGACGACGTCTTCGGGCATGGCCAGGGGGATGCGCTCGGTGATGCCGCCATGGGAAAGCTCAATGTTCTGTCGAATGTTATCGAAGAACGGGTTGGCTGGCTGCAGGCGACTCCGCGAAGAGTCGCTGCTGTGCGCCTTGCGGGGACCACCAGCAGACGCAGGAAGGCTGAGGCTCGTGAACGGGTCAGGTCTGGTGGCGAGCCCTGCTGTCTGCGGCAACATGGTTCGCGGGGCGCTTGTGGTGGAGGCTGCAAGGGTCAGCAACATACAACAAACATTTGAGCACGCAAAAATAAAACACTACTTACCCTGCTGGAAAGCCAGTCGAGATAGCCTGCCGAGACCACCCACAGACAGTCGCGGGGTGCTGGGAGCCGTGGTCACGGTGCTTTCGCTGGCAGAGTCGACGCTGCCGGCAACCACCTCGCACTCCTTGGTAGAAATGACAGCGCTGTGGCCACCGGGCACGAACCATAGGTTTCCATTGTAGCCCTCGCGTTCAAACTTGCTTGCAACGCCTTGCAAGACGCTTCCCTCTGTGACTACTGACGAGTCTTGGTCAATGAGGACAATATCGGCAGTGTCGCGCCAGGCCGAGACGGCCGCCTGTGACTGCGCAGAGGCGAGCATTGAAACGAGTTTGCCGATACCAAAGGCAGGACGGCGGAGAAGGGTAGAAGGGATGGACACAGAGTGCGCGTTGGGGAGGTGTGACTCTTCGTACGACGATGGGGCGCGCAGATCCAGAACGAGGGTGGTGCTAGACGAGACGACGTTGGTGAGCTCTGGGGCGGCGAGCGGTTTGATTCTAGACTGCAGCAATGGCAGCGACCCCAGTGGGCCCGCAGGCATGGAGGAGCGTCTCTGTGCCAGGTTGGCCGACCCACTTGGGCTTGGGGGGCCCAACGAGCGTCCGCTAATGGGTCCAGCGGGGATGGACGACGACGAGCCGCCGGGACGACTACTGGAGCCCAAGTTGAACGGAGACGACGGTGGCAAGTTTGATGGCTCGTCGTTTGAATGCGCCAAGTTGTTTCCACTCCAGCTGCCGCCCAGGTTGAGCCTTTCAAATGGATGGCCGAGCTGAGGAGATCCGTGAGGTCCAGTGGGAGGAAACTCGAGTGAAGGGGTCGGCGCGCCAGAGGATGCCGCGAGCGCCGCCCACGGCGACTGGCCGAGAATGGGCTGCGTCATGTGCGTCGCCATTCCGCGAGACAGTCGCAGTGTAGGAGGTTGACGGAGAGGAGTTGCAAAGGGAGAGGCAAAAGGTGAACCGGAGCCGCTCTGGGAGGAGTATTCGGGAGATGGCGAACCCTCCACTGGCATGGGGGTGCGGGCTTCCGAGGTGAATGGATCGCTTGCAAATGGAAAGTCGGAGGTGGTGCTCATCAGTGGAGCTGCTCGGCGGAGGGGCACTACGCCCGTCTGCATCGCAGAGGAGACAGAGCCAGACGCCGACGACGCGGCCGCTGCAGCTGGTTGTTGGGCTCCACTTGGTGGTGTGTGGAGCGTTGGACCGAAGGGATTGTTGTCACCTAGGGCACTACTCATGGTCTGCGCCGCCGTGTGTCCGGGCGGGCAAGGTGGTGGTGTTGTCGGACCGTGTCACAAAGAGACGGGAGGTGGACAAGCGGGATACAGACAGGCAAAGGTTGAAAAGGAAAGTGCCGAACTAACTCTCAAGTGGGGCGCGGGATGACAAGCATAATAATCACGCTGGTCCTAGATCTTGGTGCCCACGCGCATTGCGTCGGTGGTCGAGATGGATGAGACACTCGCTGCTCCGTGAAGAGAGTGGGACACGGGGCAGCGTGACAAGGAGAGTGTGTCGGGATAAGACTGCCAGTGGCGCAGAGACGAGGTCGAGCAAGAAGGGAGCGATGGGTGACTAGGGGGGGGGGAGGTCGCGTGAGGATGAGGACTGGTGGGGTTGTGGAGGTCGAGCCACGCGAGGGGGGAGAGAGTGCTGAGGATGTGGGGTGCGCGTGCGCGCGACTGCGTTTGTTGGGTTCTGTGGTGTGTAGTGGTTGTGGTAATGGGGGTGGTTGTGGGGTGGTAAATGTGTTGAAGCGGGTAAGGTTGGATGAGTCAGAGGGAATGAATGGGGGGGTGGGGGTGGGGGGGGGGGGGGGGGGGGTTCTTGCAACAGGAATTTGGGTGTACGCACAAACGCGCAGGACGGACGGACGGACGCACCAGCGCACCAGCGGCCAGCGGCAGCGCAGCAGCAGCACCAGCCAGCGGGCAGAGCATGCATGGCCTGTGGCCTCTGTGGGTATCTCGAGGGGTGTGAGCCTCTCTGGCCCCGCGTCTCCCTCTCAGGGCCACACCACACCCACACAGCCAAAAACCATTCCCTGGCAGCTTTTGCGTCGCCGCTCGCGCTGGCTGATGACATGCATGTGGACACGCACATGCTCTCGTCCCCACTGCGACGCTGTGCTCTCAACCCCGTCGTACTATAAGCATACGGCACAGACGGCCAGCACAAGCGTATGGAAATACCAGTTTGCATGGAGCCCGGGGGGAAGGGGACGAGGAGCATATCAAAGTGCCTCTTCCAATGTGGTCATGGCCCACTCGTAATATGGAGGAAGATGTGCCAGTTACTCTCTTCTTCCCCTCTTTAACCCCCTGTTGCTCTGCTGCCTCTGCCGTATAGCGGACCGACCAGTCGTCACAACCAATGTCCCCAAACTGTTTTGTTCCTCACCTCCCTAAGGCCTAAGGACCCGGGTGCCGACAAATGTGAGTGCAAGCACGCTCTTCTCTGCTCTTATAAGCAAAGCTTTTGCCCTTTGTAGCACCAGCGAGGCTGGCCCCCGTATACCCCACAGTGTTGAGGGATAGGTTCCATCGACGCCAGGCGCGTCACTCGGGGTCCAAATCCAGGTAAAGGCCCAGGACTCTGACGTCATACGTCGTCCACTTGGGGTCTGCTTCGTTTGCTCGCAACCACATCTTGGAACGCCTGTTGCGTCAGAGGCGTTAAAACAAGCCAACAGGCCACAGGCTAAACAGGTGAGCACAGTATGGACGGTACTGTACGGTGCAGCGTGTGTTGGTCTCTCTCCCAAAGGCCGGCCACACACAGGGTGTAGGTGGGTGCATGGGTGTGCGTGTCCCTTTGTCACAACTGTCTCTTGTCGGTGCCAATCCTAACAAGCTGTGAGCGGGGGGTTGGGGTAATGACGTAACACTCAGCCATTAGGTGGCTTTGAACTTTTCATTGCCATGTGAATTCCCAGGAATCTATTTGGGAACAAATAAAAAAAGGTTGGGGCCACAAAAGTGACCCCACGCAACCCGCGTACTTACGTATAAGCTTGCATGCATATAAACCAACCTACGACGTTACTCGTGGGACCTGTGCTTGCAGATCAGTAACCTCCCCCACCATCCCCCACCCCAGAGGAACACATGTGGCACCAAGGGGTCGCCAAACACAACAAAGGCATCATCATCCAAAAAAAAACGTCCCCACGTATAAAGCTAGTGCAAACGACCATGTACCTGTTATGACCTCAGCCAAGGGAGCGATGGGCCGCGTATTGGACCGGGACTTGGGGCTGATGGCTGAGAACCATGGCTGCACATTGCAGAAGCGTGTATCTGACAGGCAATGCCCCGCGGCTGCAGTCCGACGAGGAGGTGGTCGTTGTCATCGACAGGGAGATGTGTGGAGTTGGATAATGTCGTTACCTCTAGGGTACGGCCTCCGCACTCCGTTGCTATTCAATTTATGCCCAGTCGGCCCCACAAAGATCAACACGCTCCACACAAAGCTTGTCCAAGTGGTTCGTTGCTGCTGTCTGCTCGGGCGTGGGTGGCTCTTCCACGATCACTGGCGCCGTCTGCATCCTGGCCCGGTTCGGCGAATCAAGCTGTCCTAAACCATGCTCCTGCACCATGGTACTGAGCGTAAATAATCTCCCAGGCTACAACTGAACCATTTGCTTTCTTTTGTGTGCTTACTGGTCATTCCGAGCCACACATAAGTAGCCTATCTGATAGGAAAACTTCCTCCTTTCACTGGTTCCACCCCATCACATGTGATGATCGTTCCGACATCTGGACGTTGCCTGGCTCTGTAGTCTGTCCCTTTACCGGCAACGACGCTAGTTGGGGCCGCGTCGAGGCACATGGGAACGCCGAGGGCTATGGAGCATGCGGGAAACAGGTTCCCGCGCAGTTGGAGCTGTTTGTTTTGGTCATCGGCGACCAAACACGTCAGAGGCCGGGGCCGCGATGACATCTGTGTTGTGTCGTCGTGTGGTGGCGCCACACGACACCAATAACAATGCCCGGGGGCAATATCCACACCCATATATCCCATATCCGGACACGCGGTAGCAGATGTATCAGATAAAAGCCCAACCTGCCGTGTCATTACGAGTGGAACCTGCCCAGGCCTGACACGCTTATAGCCACGAAACGTCCCGAGGACATGCCGACAGTTTCCCTGCGATCCTTGCGAGCTAGGACGCATCCGAGGGAGTTTACCCGACACCCGCGGGATAGCAAGAGAGGGCGCGGCGCGCGGAGGGGAACAGAGCTCTTGCAGCTTGCCGGCCTCTGCATCTGTGGCCCAAAACGGCGGTTACGGGAACGGGACATTTTGCCCGACCGTTTCCCTAGCGGCCCTGGTCTCAGCTCAAAACCAACTGGTTTTGTGGCCCTACATCCTCGTTCGTTGCCATTCAAAGTGTGCAAGTGTCCTTGTCGTCCGGGGTGTGCCGGGCAGCGTGATACAGTTACTTGTAACAGGAGGGGGAGGGCGGGGACGAGGACGCCTAGAAGCTGTGATGTGGGGAGTGGCACAATGGGGGCATGCGTGCACACATTTTTGTCGGACCGGTATCCTGGTTTCCATGGAGGACACGGCGCGCGCGAACAGCTCATAGCGCGCCGCGCACAAACCACCGCCCAAGGCGGGTTTTATCACGGCATTTTGCTGGGAGGCGGGGCGCGGGCGCGCGGGCAGGGTGGAACACGTTGCTGCCGAAAGCTAAAGGGCTGACCCATGTACCATGCCTGCTGTAAACGTGAGACCAAGGGTTCTGCCCGTAGACAGCAGCGGTGAACAACTCAGGTAAGGTGCTGCAGACAGTGTGGCTCTCGTGTACTTGTGTGTACGAGATGGAATGGCTTCCCGCCTCCCGAGTTGGCTCTTGGGAGGCTTGTCGATGGAAGCGACCTGGAACGCAGGGTGCGCGCGGTATGTGAGGCAAACAGTCATTACCCGAACATGGCTCTCTGCTGGATCGGCGCCACAGCTGTCGTCGTGGGCGAGAGAAGACGGACTGGCCCTGTCGCCCATGCTTCCCCCCCGGTCCCCTCCCTGGCGCTTTGTTCGCTGCGCCGCGTTTGGGTCAACGAGGCGGTTGTTGAGCCCGTGTTGAGGATTGCTGCGATTGCTAGGATATAGGATCGAAGAGACGCATCCTGCATCCCGCACAACCCGCGTTTGCCGGTGAGGTCGGAGGATGCCAGCACCCAAAAAAATAGAGCTCGCCAGCGTTGTTGCCAGTGCGCCAGGTCCGGGCACCCCCAGCGCGCCCCTCGAAAGCCTCTTTCCAGGCAGCGATCGCCATCGCCCCAGTCGCCCGGTGAGACGGCCCTGACAACGGGAGACAGGTCAGTCGCCAGTGGGTATCGTGGGTATCGTGGGCTCTCATATATGTCGGTCAGTCTTTTGCTTCACACAGTCCCATCCGTGTCTCGCTCGTCTCTCTCACTCTTGCCTCCCCCCGTCGGCGCCGGCTTCGTGTTCTGCTCTCAGAATCACACGCACTCGCCTCCTTTTGCTCACGTCTTGGCTCGACTCCCCGTCCCCCTCTCCCACATCGCCACCACTCCTTCCCACTTGCCCCACGATGAACTTGCTCGCCTTCCTCGTCGCCCAGCTTATCGCTGCCGCCAGCGTCCTTGCGACCACCAACCTCGGCACACCATGCCTGGCGGCCTGCTCCAAGTGGTCGGCCACTCTGAGCCAGTGCCATACCATCTACGGCATTTCGCGTGAGTACACTACCCAAACACGCTGTGGCCAGGTTTCTAGCGTGCCGTCGGAGACTGGCGCTAACATGTCCTCTTGCCTTTAGCCAACATCAAGGGATACGACTACTCGAATGCCTTCCTCGGTTGTCTCTGTGTCGGTACATATGAGAGCGGTACCTACGGCAACGACACCATGAACGAAGCTGCAAGCTTGTGCCAGTCGTGTTCCACCACTCCAAAGGAGATCAAATCCGACCTCTCAGTGAGTGTACTCCCCCCCTTCTCTCTGCGGCGGCCAACCCGATTTCTCCCCACTGCCCAAGTGTCATGAGAACCATGAGACGCATGGCCTGTAAGGTTATGCGGGGGCGTGTGTGGCTCTTGGCAGGATCGCAGGCTGGCCGCTTGCAGCCGCCCTATCGCTACCACTGCGAACCGTTGCATCGACACCCTGAGATGCTAACATGTTCCCCCAGACCTTCCTGACCCTTTGCGCCGTCCAGGCAACAAACGGAACTGCCGGCAACGCCACCACCTATGCGCCTCTGTCCTACATCACCGCCGACGACCCCGACACGGGAATCACCGCCGCAATCACCTCGGCCGGCGTCGTCGCTGTCTCGGCTCCCACGCTCGGGCTCGCGGCGTCTGCTTCCCTCGTCGTCATCCTGGCAGCGTTCGCAGCGGCCTGATTCTCCTTGGATCCTTGGATCTGTGGGACGACGACGCATACGACAAGAATAAAACGAATTTCCCGTGGTCTCGACTCTGGCGGTGTACGGCGTGGGCGTCGACACACAGACAGCTGGGACCGCGGCATGGCGCGCACGGGGGCGCGGGGCGTGTGGGGGGCCACAACGTCCGAGCACGAACACGAGCGCGAGACGAGCCTGGACCACCACGGGGGCGGACCGGCAAGTGGACCGTGCTCGTGCTCGCCATCACACTTGTGCCGGGCGACCGAGCATAATGGCGGTGCAATCGGCGCTCTCACCACGGCAACCAGGGGTATCCTCGACACGCGCGGGGATGACTTCAAGGTTCGGAAGGTTGGGCACAGGACAGCAAGGACAGTTTGCGGTTTGGCGTGTGATGGACAAGAGAGTGCAAGAGAAACGACATAGATTCGGGATAGGTGTGTAAGCTCTGGCGGCGTCTGGACTTTTGGGTTGGACATTAGTTATAGTTTTCCGTAGAATAGACGCTCTGATTCTTGTATGTAACCACTGAGATCGTGTGGCAGAGGAGTAGAGAGTGGTCGACGTCAGTCAAGGGAAGTGCCGTCAGCCACGCACAACTTGGTGAGAAACAACAGCCCCTTGCTGCTGCTTGCCATTCAGCCTTCCGTGCGATAATAAGGGTGCCTCAATGTTGCGCCAGGAGACCAAGGGTACAGCTGATACCGATAGCTGTGTGTCCCATCTCGCATCGTCCACTCTACGATGGACATCCATAGATCCAGAGATCCAGAGAGTCGCAAATTAGCGACTTCCAAATTAGCGACTTCCAACCCATGTTCCTAATTCCTAATTTGCCCGACGGCTCATTAGCAGGCCAACGGAATCAAATACATGTTACGTAAATAATACGGACTTTAGAAGAATGTCCGCAAAAACGTGAGCCGCACGCGAGACGCTTTTTAGAAATAATCTCGACGACCTCAAGGCCCGGCAATCAAAGACGACAACAGCGTAGTTTACCTCCACACACCACACCCTCTCCAACAACCTCAACCTCACGATGCGTTCGCAAGTCGCCATCCGGCGGTCTTTCGCGCAAGGCTCCCAGGCGCGGTTTATCCAAACCACCGCCACGACCTACAAATCGCCGTATACGGCCCCTCTGTCAGCCAAGCTCGCGCAGGTGCCACTGCACCCTGCGCTCCCCACGACGGCGCTGGGCAGCGAGCTCCCAGGCGACATCCCCGCCCTCCCCCTTCACATCGAATCCCTCACCCAGCGTCGTCTTAACTGGTACTCGCGTACGATGAACGACGACAAGCTTTCGCATTCTGAGAGGGAGATGCTTGACCGTGCCATGGCGCGCGTGACGAAAAAGGAGCGCAAGCCCATCGAGTTTGCCAGTGGCGAGGCCGGCCCCAGCATTGAGCGCTTGAACTTCTTTGCCGCAGGCTCTGAGGCCGGTGGCGCCGTCATGGAGGCGGATGACATGCCGGGTCTCGAGGCCGGTCGTATTGTCGAGGTTCGTCGTTCGGAACAGTCCTCGATCGGTCTTGTTTTGGCGCCCGTCCTCATCAATGGCAGGAGGCGTCTCATGCTGCTGCGCTCGTCGGGAGAGATCTGGCCCGTGAACGCCAACGATGTCCAGTTTGTCATGCCCGCGTCGCTGGTCCCCAAGGAGCTCGCCGCGAGCTGTTGGTCAAACGAGCTCATTGCCTTGTGGTCCAAGGGCGAGGACATTGGCATCTCGCAGTCCCAGGACGAGGCTGGTATCATCGGCGCCGACGAGGCCCAGACCATGACTGAAGCTCGCCGCAAGGTCGCCCACCTCCTCCGCCGCATCGCCCGCGAGACTGAGCGCATGTCCTCTCGCCTTTCCAGCGGCTCGATCGCTTCCGGCCGCGGTGGCGGTATCGAGGCCGTGTTCGACCACTTTTCCTCCAAGGACCCCGAGCAGCGCAGCCACATCACTTCCACCGAGGTTGCAGAGTACCTCCTCAACTCGGCCAACCCGGACAATGACACTCCGCACATTACTGTCCGCCCCAACACCCTCCCCGCGTTTGCCGCCCATGCCTTGCTCATGAAGCGTGCCGACATGTTCCTTGCCGACGACCGCAACATGTGGAAGACTAACCGCTTCTTGATGCGTTCTCGCGCCGAGTACGAGCGCATCCACAGAGTCAACAAATGGGTCGAAGACAACGACCCTGTCTTTGTCGACTTTATCGCCAAGGCCAACCGTGCCAAGGAGCTGCTCTCAGCCGGCCAGGCGGACCAAACCCCGGAGTGGACTGACAATGAACTCGACATTCTCTCCATCCTTTCGTTGGGTTTCTACGAGACCCGTACGACCCAATACCTCATTGGCAACGCCATTTCCGCCTCTATTGTCAAGTCGTTGGGATACGACCTCAAGACGCCCATTTCTGTCGCCGCCGTCATGGACACCATGCGTAGCATTGGCATGATCGCCCCTGCTGACGATCTGCGCTTGGCGTCCCTTGAGGAGAATACTGCGCGTTCCATGGGAGTAAACACGGTTGCCCCCGAGGTCACCTCCTGGACATCCAGCGAGCCGACGGCGGCCGACGCTGCCATCGACTCGCTCCGCACCGACTCGTCTCACCGTGTGTTTGTCATCGACGACCCGACCGCCAAGGAGCTCGACGACGGCATTGCTCTCGAGCGCGTTGGCGACAATGACTTTTGGGTGCACGTCTACGTCGCCGACCCAACTCGCTATCTCGCCCGCGACCACCCCGTGGCTGTCCGCGCCATGCACGTTGGTTCGTCCTTATACTTGCCCGGAACCTCGCTCCCCCTTCTTCCCAAGTCTCTTGGAGAGGGTGAGCTTTCGCTCGGCCGCTCCAAGAACGGTCAGACGGCCATGACTTTTTCGGCGCGCATTGACCGTGAGGGCAACATCCACGACCACAAGGTCGGACTCAAGTGGCTCAAGGACGCATGTGTGACCACTTACGACAATGTCAACAAGGCACTCGGTGTCGCCGTCCCGGAGACCAAGTGGCCCCTTGGCCGCATCAAGGGTTACACCCAGCAGACCACCGGTACCCACAATGAGCTCACCGAGTCCGACGTTGCTGATCTTGCCGTCCTCCGCGACCTCGCCGACGCCGTCCGTGCCAAGCGTTTTGCAACTGCCGGTTTCGAGGCCTATGTTCCCAACAGTTTGCCTACTGTTCTTGGCGGCGGTGACCTCCAGCCTGGATTCTTCAACCGTGCCGCACTTCACCGCAAGCCCTCGGCGATCCCCACCGACCTCCAGTGCGCCCTCTCGCTTCCGGATGCGCTGGGACTCTCGTCGGCCCAGCGCTTTGTCGGCGAGTTGATGGTCCTTGCGAACCGTGTCGGCGCCCAGTTCTGCCACGAACGCAACATTGCAGTGTCGTTCCGTGGTAACGCTGCGTGGAAGAACTCGTCCAAGACTGCGCCCGGATACACTGTCGAGGACCTGCTTGCCCAGCGCATCCCCAACAGTGGCGACTTGGATCACCGGAAGATCCTGAGGGGCCAGCTCTTCACCCCCCAGTCGACAGTGTCGACCACTGCGCTTCCGTTCTGGGTCATGGGCTTTGACAAGCCCGACCACGGGTACATTCGCGCCACCTCCCCGCTCCGCAGGTTTGACGACATGCTCGTGCACTGGCAGATCAAGGCCGCGCTCGCCGCCGAGGCCGGCTTGGCTGGCGCCGACCCTGTGCTTGACTCGGCCGCCGTCACCTCCATCATCGACCGTGTTGAGGGAGCGCAGCAGCGTGTCAAGGTCACAGAGCTGTACAGCACCCATTACTGGCGTGCGGCCGTGATCCAGTCGCGCCTGACAGGCCCGCCCAGCCCCGAGCTCGAGTTCCCAGACGGCCAGGTGGACCTCTCCAACGTTAAGGCGTTCGTCAACCGCAACCCCTCCCCGAATGTGGGCAGCGACATTCTGACCTTTGAGGCCTACGTCCCGGAACTTGGACTCATCGCCTCCATTTTCACTCCTGCGGCACGCGCCGAGGACATGGAAGTGGGCGACGAGGTCAACGTCCGTCTGGACGCCAACCTCACCAGGCAACTGCCCAGCCCCATTATCGCCGGCGAACTTGTTTAGCACCACTCAGTAGAATCATCTTCATAGCATTGTCATGTACTGCATCATCACTCGGATACCAAACACCCTGCTGCGTGGTCGCGCGCGCACGCCGCGCCCTCTACTCTAACACTGGCACAACTACACAAAACTCATTGGTTAAACCCCATGCGGATGGGCGGAGGAGGCGGTGGCGCCGAGCCGTACTGCTGCTGGTGTTGCTGGTGCTGCTGGTGCTGTTGCTGTCCAGCGTACCCGTTCGTGTATCCCTGCTGCGCGTACGCGTCGTAGCCTTCGTAACCCTGTCCGTACTGGGGGTACCCCGCAGGTGGTGCTGGGGGGTATTGTTGTGGGTAGCCGCCTTGCGCTGCTGGCGCGCCAATGACGTTGGACGGCGCAAAGCCGGCGGGGAGGGCGGGGGGAGTAGCAGCGACAGGTGCAGGAGCACTTGCTGGAACCGCGGGGGGGATGTAGGCCGGGGCAGCGCCCATGCCAAACGCACCTCCCATCGAGTGCTTCTTGGCCTGCGCAGCGAGCAGGCGCTCGGCCTGCGTGCCGTGTCGCTCGCCCTTGCCGTCCTTCTTGAACGCATACTGCACCGTCACCTGCTTGCCGCCCAAGAACTGGTTGTTCATGTTCTCAATCGCCTGGTCCGCAGACTCAAAGTCGTGGAACGAAATGAAACCGTAGCCCTTGGAATCGCCCGATGCTGGGTCGCGCGCAATCTGTAACACTGTCAGCTGGCAACCTACACCTCGTAAACGTACCTTTGGCTGGTCTGCAATCGCACCAAACACGCTAAACGTATCGTACAGTGCCTGCTCGTCCACATTCGAGTCGACGTTGCCGATAAAGAGGTTGGCGCCAACGTCCAGCTGCTTCTTGTCGTAGCTCGCCTTGTTGACACGGATCGGTTTACCAAACAGCTTGATCTGGTTCATGATCTTGACGGCATAGTCGGCATCCTCCTCAGACAGAAACTCGCAGAACCCGAAACCCTGGTGTGCGAGCGAGATGCGGTCCTTGGGAAGGAAGACGTTGGCTGTAGAGAGGTCAGCTATGTCTGCGCGCGCGCCGTCGGGGCGGCCCATGGGAAGGCGGGGACGTACAGACTGGGCCAGCTTGCCTGCTTTGTCAGCTATTTGCACCAAGCGGGCCTTAGACTCACAGCATGAGCTCCCACATCAATGTGTCTGTCACGCGCTCGTCAAGGTTTCCCTGCGGCGTCAGCGCAAATGTCATCATGAAGAGGGGGGGGGGGGGGGGGGGGGCAGAAACGAGGAAAACATACCAAGTACACCGTCGCCTCCTGGTTCCTATCCTGTTCCGCCTTGCTCTGCATCGTGTAACCGACTGCTACGCGTGTGTTCTAGCCGTTGAAGTCGAATAGCAGGGCGGATTGAGCCGTGTTTTGGAGCAATGTTGTGGTTAAAAGCGGACCTGAAGGCAGTGGACATGCAGTTGGAAGGAGGTTCGTTGATCGACGCGGAACCAAATTTCCCAAAACTCATAAGTTGCCACCGGATGTTGGATCTGAGTCTACTGTGTTGTGCCCGCCCTCCTTTGGCCTTCCTCGGGAGCTCCAAACTCGGATCGAGGTAGATTTGCATACATTTCTGGATGGTTCTTCATGCTCTCATATTCTGGCTCACTACCATCGTTCGTGGCACTAGTCTCTAGCAAAAGCTGTCTCGGCTGGTCCTATACATGTCCTGCGCGTGGCACCATCCGGACTGGCCGGCCGCTAACTGGCTGGTCCCAATTCGAGGAGTCATAAGAGGTCTCTTTCCTCAGAGCGTTGCTATGCGCTCCAAGGTCATCGATAAAAGGAAAAAGTTGTCCGATGGGCACCGCACAGAACACCGCCACTGCCAGGATGACGGGCAGGAACTCGAGACAGGTGAATAGCACTTGTGACGAGTTGGCTTGTCCAAAGTATCCCTGGCACTCGACAGCTAGTCGATACACTGTCCGGAACGATATAAACAGGGCGGAGAGTAGGTTGAGGTAGAGGAGGACGCGGAGGTTGCGTAATGGCCGCGCATTGAGATCAAGAGTTGACGTCCGCCAAAGTGCCACGACCAGGAGGATGAGGAAGCCCAGAAACGAGATGGTCTGAACGCCCAGGCCTGCCAGGAGAATGCCACTAGCAGCTTCCAGGCTCATGAGCAAAGGTTCGTTTCGTGAGAGCTGGACCCCCACAACACCAATGAATGCAGCGCCGCAGACCTGAACAAGGACCGTAGTGATGTCCATCAAGACAAAAACTAAAGAGGTTAGCAGCTGTGCCGAGTCTGCGTCACATACATGTCACCAGTCGCTTGGGGGGTATGAGGAGCAACCTGCTTCCGCATGGGAAGCGGTTTGCGGCATAAGTGAGGACAAGGTAGATTGCCGCCGCTATCGGGATGGGTGCGATCACGATCATCAAGTACTGGGCCACGAAAATGTCCACCTGTGGCAAGTCAGTCCGTCGACCCGGGCACTGTGTGGCTCACTAGGAACATGTTCTGGTTACCTCTCATGCGCGCCGCGTATCCTCCCACTTCAATGAGCTGGTCGTCAGATACCAGTAATAAGAAAACGTGGTCCAGACGTACCGAACCTAGAGCTAACATTCCGTGAAACCACCGCGTTCCCTTCCTCGACCACAAGTAATACCCCTGCACCACCAGTGCGAGACCGAACGCTGCAACACCTGCCACAGCCGCGCTCATCCATGGTTGGTACAGGTAGATGGATATTGATGACTCGCCAATCTTGGGGTCTGCGTTGATGGGGCCATGGTACGAGTCCATTGTGCGTAGGTCGAAGGAAGGTGGGGGGAGAGGTGTCTGCAGTGGCCGTCAAGAGCTCAGTCGTTGAAGTACGTAGCAAACCGCCACCCATGGAGTTTCGACGTAGAGTCAGTTCGAGCTAGCAGTATGCACCAGAAGTAAACCGAACAGGCCAGTCCAAGGAACCGCTAGCAGCTGCATGAGCTGAATATCTGCTGCTGCTGCTCAACACGCATGTGCCAAGGCCGCAATCGCCCACCTCCTCCGGTCAGCGCCACAGACCGGTTCCTGTCCGTGCGGAACCCACCAAGTGGTTCCTGTCTCCACTATTAAACCCACGAGGAGTGCCACTTCAAACACGCTCCACTCCACAATCCATGCAGCGTCAATGCCCATGGGGCACCGACGCGGCCGTCGAGATGATACTCACATGAAATACATGCATGCTACAGTTGTGAAAAGTACTCCCAATCCCACTCGACGAAACGCAGCATGTACTCGTCCACTGCGCCTGGCTCGTCATCGTCATAATACTCCTCCTCTTCGGGCAGCGGTGTGGCCGACCCAGTGCCGGTGCCAGTCGGAGGGCCCTCTGTGCCCAGTCGAGAGATAGCAGGCTGCTGCGCAGCAACTCCTGCTACCACGGTGGCAGCCGTCTTGGCCTTCTTGGCGACGTCGTCTCCGCCACCAAACTCGGCAAAGTCCATCTCGCCTTCACCTTGAGCCACGCGTGCGGCGGCTGCGTCCTCTTCATCCTCGACTTCAGCAAGTGCCTGAGCAAGCTCGCGCTCCTGTCCAAGTCGCGGGGCGGCAGCCGACGCGTCCTCGGCCTCGGGTTCTTGTTCGACGTCAATGTCCTCGATGCGGTTCTCGTCGGCTTCTTCGATCTCCTCGGGAGGCCGCATGCTGTCGTCGAGCATGTCGCGCCAGTCCATCTTGCCAAAGAACTCGGTCGTAAAGTCACCGTCTTGGATGACCACACGGTCGAGAAGGCGTTTCTGGTTGGCCTTCTTGAGCATGTTCTCCTCGACGGTGTGAGAGGACACGAAGCGATAAATGTGCACCTCGCGCGTCTGTCCGATACGGTGGGCGCGGTCCATGCACTGCCTGTCCATCGATGGGTTCCAGTCCGAGTCATAGAAGAAGACCGTGTCGGCACCCGTCAGGTTGATGCCCACACCGCCCGAACGTGAGCTGGCGATGAAGCAGAAGATGCGCGAGTCCGAGTTGAACCTCTCGGTGATGATTTGACGGTCCTCGATCTTGGTGCTACCATCGAGACGGAGGTATCGGTGTCCACTGTGGGAGAGGAAGATTTCAAGAATGTCAAGAACACGCGTCATTTGCGTGAAAATGAGGACGCGATGGCCATCCGCCTTGAGATCGCGTAGCATCTCGGCGAGCTTCTGGAGCTTGCCGCAGTCGTACTGCAAAAGGCTAGCGTCGGGGAATGCGATCTGAAGGCGTACCGAAGGCGCATGTAGGGTGTCAAACGCTGGGTCTTGCAAAGTCGGGTGGTAGGGGTCGATACCCGGCAGCGCATAGTTGGCAACGTCACGCGCGACTGCGTTGGGTGGGATGACGGCAAACCGGTCGATAATTGGTGTCACCTGAGCCAGGCGTCGGGTGTAGGAAGCGACCAGTGGCGCAGCTGGGGGCTGGTGCTCTCCGAAAAGGTCAACATGGCGGCGCACATCGACCGAGTCCGGGAGGAGATACTGCGGAAGATCCGAGAGCATTTCCAGTGTGGTGGAACCGTAGATAGGCCCAGACTGGCACCGGAGGCGATTGGTGTCGCGGAGCGCACGCCAACGCGCAACACTGGCCTCGTGTTCTTGGTACGCGCGATACTTTGCCCAGCCTTCAATCGTGCGAGCGTCCGGCTTGGGAGGCGGAGGAACTCGGCCCTTCTTGACCTCTTCAATGGCGTAGGGAAGCTTGTCGCTGGCATCCAAGCGGGCACGCGCAGAGGCCACCCAGCCAGAACGACGTTCGTGACCGGTGATGATAAGGTTCATTCCCTCGAGGTCGAGCTCGTCCTGCGAGTCGAGCAGACGTTTGCGCACGAGCAGTTGCGTGGGCTCATAATCTCCCACGACACCATACTCCATGGCCAGACTCGTGCGGACGGGGCGCACCTCGAACAGGTCTGGGTGGTTGCACACCTTGCGCAGCTGCATGAGGGTGTTGACAACACCAAGGTAGCCTCCCGACATGAGTGCGTCACGTGTCGACGCACGGGACATGAACTCGTCGTACAGGAACCTTTGACGCTTCGAAAGGCGACAGTAGACGACATGCTCAAACTTGCCAGGAAGCTGCGTCTCAACTTCAGACTTGAGTCGACGAAGAATGAATGGGCGCAGTAGAGTGTGGAGTTTGTTGACAGTTTCAATGGTCTCGTCGTCAAGGGTATCTCCCGACTCGACAGCCTTGTCCATGGGGTCTGGCGAGTTAGATTTGTGCTACCAAGGTTTGCAGAACTCACTTGAAAACCACTCGGTAAACTCTTTATGGTTTGCAAAGCCCACCACAGCAGTGGCGTCGGCGGTAATACCGTTGGGCATGAGGAAGTAGAGTAAACTCCACAGCTCCATGAGGTTGTTCTGGAGCGGTGTACCCGTCAGGAGAAGACGGCGCTGAGCCTTGAAGCCAAGCAGGGTCTGCCAACGCTGGCTACGGAAGTTTTTGATGTTATGAGCCTCGTCGAGAATCATGTACACCCAATTCTTGCGGCGGAAGATGTGCTGGTCGGCGAGGACGATCTGGTATGACGTGATGCACACTTGCCAGGCGTTCTCCGTGTGCCAGCCAACACGCTTCTCCTTGCGCTCCTTCTGGTTGCCGTAGTAGGTGAGGACTTTCATGCCGGGTAAGAACTTTTTGAATTCCATCTCCCAGTTGAGGATAACCGAAGTGGGGACAATGATGAGATGCTGGCCCCACACGCCCTTGTCGCACGCGAGGTGGCCAAGGAGGGCGATAGTCTGGATCGTCTTGCTACGTTGTCAGCTCAAGGCAAGTTTTGTGAAGCTCACCCTAGACCCATCTCGTCGGCTAGGATACCGTTCATGTTGTTGGCGTAGAGGCTGGCAAGCCACTCAAGTCCACCTTGCTGGTACGGACGGAGAGTACCGCGGAGGAGGAACGGTGGCCGAATGCGCGGCGCACTGGGGTCTTCTTCAACCTCAATTTCCTCGTCCTCCCCCTCGTCTTCGTCCTCCTCATCTTCATCCTCCTCCTCAGCCTCTTCCACCTCCTCCTCACTCTCCTCCACCTCTACCGCCTCCTCGTCATCGGGGGCATCGGGGTGGGCTGCCTGGACGACGGCAACCTTGGGCTTGCGGGGCTTGCCAGGCTGCTGTTGCGGTGTATCGGGAGGAGTCCAGACAGTTCGGATCTTGCGTTGTCGCTTGCCTTCCACAACAAGCGCTGGAGAGGCACGACGCTCGGCAAGGGCCTCATCCGTGAGAGACTGGTCGACCATAATGTTGCTCGATCCTTCGGCCATAGGAACAGGCTCGCCGTCGGTCGTGGTGACAGCCTCGCCTTCAGTAGCGCGCTGAAGCTCGCCTTCAGTAGCCACTGTCGTCTCGTCTGCCTCAGCTGCAGGTTCCTCTGGGCGCTCATCCACGGCGAGTTCCGGAGCTTCCTCCTGCACGGGAGCAGGCATGGGGTAGCCGTAGCGCTTGAGAAGCTCTTCGATGGGCAGCTGGGCATCGGCAAGGAGACCCTCATCCTCGCTGTCACCACCGTCGGCCTTGATAGCGTCGTCCATGTCCTCGTCGAGCTGAGCATCTTGGACATCGATGTCACTGCCCTCCGCCTTGAACTCGGTGTCGTTGGCGTCAGGGTCCGGAGTAGCAGCAGCCGCAGCGAGGGCCCGCTGCTTGCGTTGGAGACGCCGAGAAGGAGCGCGCGGGGGAGGAAGTTCTTCGACCTCCAACTCAGGAGAGCCGGCAGAGGGCTCAATGGCGGCGACAGATGCCTCCGAAATGGTAGGCTGCTCCTGTACTGGTACTGGGGTAGGCGGAGAAGGAAGTACGGGGACCGGGGCAGGTTCAGCAGTGGTTACTGGAGGCAGAGGCTCCTGTATCGGCGTGGGCGTGACATTGACCTTGGTGTCGAACATGGCCAGGTCAGCCTCGTCAAGGTCTGGTCCTGGCATCGTCATGTCGACTCCACCAAAGTGAAGGTCGTCAAGGTCCATTTCGTCATCTTGGGCGGGTGGCGGAGTGGGCTCCTTGGGCGGTGGGGTGGGCTCCTTGGGAGGTGGGGTGGGCTCCTTGGGAGGTGGGGTGGGCTCCTTTGGTGGAGGGGTCGGCTCCTTTGGTGCAGCTTCAACAATAGGCTCAACTGGAGCAGGGCCTGGGCTGGGGACAGCGTCCAGAGCCATGTCGCTGTCGCCATTAGGAACGTTGTCGGTGGGGGTTCCTCCCTCGTCGGACGGCTCCACAACATCCACCTCGATCCCGAGCATGGCACGGTAGTCAACCTCGGGCAGGTCATCACCAGTCTCGCTTTCGCTTTCGCTGTCCTCGTCGTCGCCCTCGTCGTTGGTCTCTTGGCCACTCTCCGCAACCTGCTCGGCACCTTCCTCACCGTCGCCCTCCTCACCCATCGTCATGTCACCTCCGGCGTCAGCCACTTCACCACCACCCTCATCGGCGTCCTCCGCCTCGCTGTCCTCTGCAGCCGAGACTTCGGCAGTGGCATCCGAGGCGGCTTCGTCGTCATCGTCGTCACCGCCTTCGCGGCCGACGATGATGTCACGTTGGCCCTCGAGCAGGCCGGTGCTTCGTTGCAGCATGTTCTGGAGATGCGCTTTACCGAGACGGTCCTGCTCAAGCTTTTGTGCAGCGACAACCTTGGCGCGAACAATCTTGACGGCCAGACCCCAGCGCTTCTTGAGTGCCTTGACAACCTCTTTGGCCTTGCGTTTCCGCTCGCGCTCTTCCATTAAACGCTCGCGCTCGTCCTTGTTCTCGAGGTGCTCCCAGTAGACCTGGATCATGCGGGCAATGCGCTTGCAGACTTGGGGCTTAATCTTTGCCTCGTTGACCATCGCGTTGCGAACCTGAACCATGTGGGCCATGAGAGCATCCTGGAAGTCGCCCTGGCGAGGTGGGGGGCCTGTCGGCGCCTTCTTCTGGTGGCTCTTGTCGCGGACAGGCGCTTGGGTTGGGCCTGTATCGTCTTCGTCCAGCAGGCGCATAAGTCGCCCTTGATGCTGAAGCCAGTTGACACGGTTTCGAATGTAGCCTTCACGCTGCGCACGCAGCTCAAGCGTGGGCAAGTCGACGGGTGGGCCAGTGTCCTCGAGGTGGATGTACGACTCGAGAATAGGGTTGAGGTCGCCTCCATACTTTGGCTTAGCCAATGGACGCTGCCACGGATCGGTGTAGATGATGCGCGAAGGTCCAGAGCGTCGCCATCGTGGCCGTTCAGGAGGCGGTGGAAATTCGAGGTGAGCGAGGGAGGGTAGAGGGGCAGGTGGTGGAGTAGGTGATCGGGCGGGAGTGGGTGTGGGAGCCGGAGACGACGCAGGAGATGCACTGGCCGCAACTTCCACAGCACGCGGCTTCTTGGCCGGAAGGTTGGGCAGCGATTGCCGAGGTCGCTTCTTGCTGCCCTTTGGAGCTGGCGGCTCTTCCTCTGCTTCAACAGCTTCGATAATCTCAGCAGCAGCAATCGTTGCACGTCGGCTTCCCTTCTTGCCCTTGGCTGGAAGAGGAGGAGGGGGCATGTCTACGGCCTTGGTAGACTTGCGAGATTTGCTCGACGTCGCCTCGGTGGGTGGTGGCGCAATCTCCGGCTGCTCCTCGGGCTCAACTTCGACAGCCTTGCCTTTGCCCTTGCCTTTGGTAAGGTTCACCTTGGGTTCGGCTGTAGCAATGGCGGTGACGTTCCCCAAGGCCTCAGCCTTGTCATGGAGCTGCCTGCGGGTCTGACGAGACGGGCCGCTTGGACGAGACCGTGATGGTCCGGCTGTTGGGGCGGGTGGGAGAACCGACGACGGCACCAAGTTGAGGAGGTCGTGGTTTGCGTCCTTGTACTGACAATGTCAGCTTATAGTTCAACAGTAAGGTCACTCACTTGCATGAACACGGGCGAGTTGTCAAACTTGGCCTCGGCAGGGTCCCATCCCTCGAGGATGCTGATGTAGCGCTCGAGGTGGAACTTCTCCTTGACGGCCATGTCGTGCTCCTCGACGACTACACGCAGTGCAGCCTCTCGGTCGTGCACGAGTTCGTCGCGACGCGAGGCCGTGTACTCTGGACTGAGCTTGAAGAGCGCGCGGGTCACCTCGTCCTGGGTTATGACTCGCCCACCACTCTGGCGGGGCGCGCGCGCCTTGGCGCCGCCGCCGTTGCTTTGGCGCGCACGCAAGCTGCGGCCAGCCTTGGATGGGGGAGCCGCGGGCAATGCTGGTGACGCCGTAGCAACTACAGCTGATGCACTGGAGCCGCCTGGCGCCTCCATGCCCGCCGGCATGTCATGAACAGTGTCGACTTCCATGTGGACCACCTCCACTTTGGGTGAACGCGACGGATTCGGGAGCTCAGAGGACGGTGGCCATAGCGAGTCGCCAAAGTCACGAATTTGAGCACGGAAAACGGGCCAGTCGGGATGTCGCGGCTGCTATACGTCGATAGATGTGTGGTGTTTGCGCAGTGCACGCGGTTGATATGCTGTTGGATGGAATGGAATAGTATAGCTTCAAGGTGGGATCCGTGACGCAGCGCAAACAGACGCGGTGAGTGGCGATATTTCCGCGGGATTTCCACGTGTGGCCTCGATCGTCCAGTGCGTCATGGCCACCAATGTCGGACACGACGATCTGTTCCAACAACACACATCTTCCAGCACAACATGGCGAGCACGACCCTTGCGCCGACAGTGACGGCCCTCTCCCTCCTTTCAATGGACCCGTCGCCGGCGGTGGTCCATTCTGCACGCAATGCCGCGGGCACGCGTCACGGGCTTGTCAATGTGACGCGACTGGTGCGCTCCCTTGACAAGCAACGCTTGGAACACGTCCGTCACGAGGCCGATGGGTCGAACTGGCTCGAGGTCCAGAAGACATGGGAGGTAGGTGCCCTGTCTAGGCGAAGGATTCTGACCTATCTAGACTGTACTGTACGCTCGGGCGTTGCTCTATGCCCTGCAAGGCGCCAACGAACAGTGAGTCGTGTCCGGTGGCGATGTGCTGACTTTGGAAGGGCCTCTACGACTGCTCCGGCTTTGGGTGACTTGGACGCGACCCTTTCAAAGATTGAGGTGCATGTACAGGCTACGGCCAAGGTGAGCTACGCCTCTCGCTGACGGGAAGCTGACGATTGCAGAACACTCGTGCGCCGGCGCCTATCACGAGCCTTCCTCTAATCGACCTGCCAAAGGCCGTTGCCCCGTCACCTGCAGTCTTGTTAGACGAGGCCGTCCCTGCCTCGCTGTCGCTCGACAGTGAAGAGCCTGTTCTCGCAGTCGAGCTGCCTACATCACCGTTGCCTACTGCCCCTGCACCTTCCATCAGCCCGCGTCTGGCCGCTGTGCCAACTTCCACCTCGGACTTTAACACTTCGACATACTTTGCCAAGCGGTCACGCGAAGATGCGGCTGGCGGCGAGGCCGGATTGTTACCACTCAAGGTTGCCAAGAAGAGCAATAACGACCCGATGGACCAGGAAGGAATGAGGCAGCGTCTCATGGGCGGGGCACAGGGGGCCATTGGGTCGTCACAACTACACGAAGAGCTCGGAGGACAGCTGGTGGATGTGAGTGCTGGGAGCAGCCCGTATCGGTCAACTGACAAAAAATAGATGTCCCGGCAGCTGAAGCTCAATTCGGTCCACTTTTCCAACTCGATGGAGCAAGAAAAGGCGTTGCTTCAGTCGTCCCAGGATGTCCTTGAGAGTGAGTTGAGAGGTTCTTAAACTGTCCCTTTACTCAACTGACACTCTTGCAGAGAACCTGGCGTCAACCAAGGCATCCAAGGGCCACCTGTCGACCGTGTCATCCAAGGGGAGGAGTACAACGTGCATGACCCTTGGTGTCGTCATCCTTGTTCTGGTGCTCTTCATTTGGACCTATATGCTCATTCGGTTCACGTAGGCCCTTATGTACACACAGTTTTCTGTCAGATCCACAACAGATGCATTCAGAAGAGAAAAAAGGAATCGACTACAACAACCTCCTAGAGCTTTGCCTTGACACCTGCCGGGTACATTGTCTCGTAGTTGACGCCGAACATGGTGTTGCCAACCGTTGGGACCTTGAGGGCGCTAATGTCGACCATGGAGGGGACGACGTCGGTGAGGGTGGGGGCACCGATGAGGCGCATGTTCATCTCAAACTCATCCTTGAGGATCTGGAGCATGTGACAGACACCCTCAAAGCCGTAAGTCGACATGGAGTAAAGGAATGGCCTGCCCACACCGACGGCGGTTGCGCCGAGGGCGACGGCCTTGAGGACGTCAGTGGCACGGCGGACACCACCGTCGACCATGATCTCGAAGCGAGGCTTGCCGGGGGGAACGAGGAGACCACGCTGGTTGAGAGCAGCGACGACCTCGGGGAGAATGGTGATACCGGCCGGGGCAGTGTCGAGCTGGCGACCACCGTGGTTGGACAGAACGACACCGTCGCAGCCGCGCTCGGCAGCAAGCACAGCGTCCTCCCAGCTCTGGACACCCTTGAGGATGATCTTCATGTCGCCAGCACACTCTTTGAGAAAGGGAATGTCCTTCCACGAGAGGGAGGGGTCGATAAAGGACGAGATGGCACGGGCTGCACCGGCGTCGCGCTGGACCTTGTCGCCACCCTTGGTCTGGTGTGACGAGGCGTTACCCTCAAACTTGGTGCGCATGTCCTTTTCGCGACGGCCGAGCTGGGGAGCGTCGACAGTGATGAAGAGTGCCTTGACACCACGCTTGCCGGCGTGCTCGATAATCTTCTTGGTACGGCTCTTGTCCGCGTTCACGTACAGCTGCAGGAACTGGACCTGGCCAGGCGCGGCAGCGTCCACCATCTCGTCAAATCCGCACGACGCCAGCGTCGGGATCATCTGGATAATACCGTGCTCGTGAGCGGCACGGGTGAGGACCACCTCGCCTTCGGGGTGGCCGAGCTTGCCAAGTGCAGTGGCAGTAATGTACACGGGCATGGACGACTTGTGGCCCAGGATCTCGGTCGAAAAGTCGACCTTGGTCACGTCACGAAGAATGCGAGGACGGAACCAGATACGCTGGTAAGCAGTGTTGTTCTCGCGCATGGTGATCTCGTCGTCTGCACCAGACGAGTAGTAGTTCCATCCACGGCGGTTCATGGTGTGGCGAGCAACCGCCTCAAAGTCGTGGAGCGAGAGAATCTCGCTGAGGTCGGGCTTGACATACGGCTGAGGGGCTGCGACCTGGCCTGTGGTGACCACAGCAGTGGACTGCACGGGTTCGGGGGCCGCAGCAGGAGCTGGAGGAGCCAGGCTGCCGGGGATGAGGGTTCCAATGTGCTTTGAGGGGTCTGCCAGACGTGGTTAGTGGGCCTCTCTATATGTGTTGGTCAATGCTACGAACCGAGGTTGTCCTTGATAGCGTCGGGCGGGTGAATAGGCTTGTCCACATGAGCACTTGAACTATTGCCATGACACCGGTAGACCACTCACGTCATACTCCTCAGTCGCGTCCTTGCCGCCGTACTGAAGAATAATGTCGGGACCACCTGACGGGTGAGCTGGCGCACGCGACTATGGTGCACAAACCTGGGTGCTCCTGCAATGGTCAGTTCTCTATACCAAGTACTGTTTGCAACTATGCCCACTTACCTCCAGGAACTCGGTCATGTCGTAGACTTCGCCTGTTTGTTAGTGGATGTTGGAGCTGCGTTGCGCACCATGGACCACGATCCACACGCCCTGGAGAAGGTTAGCAACGGAGAGTTCGTATTCCACCCACCGTCTCCATCGAGTTGTGCTTGGCCACCTCCTTGCCGTCGATCTGCTTGGGACTCATTTTGTGTTGTGTGTAAAGAAGTGAGGGAAAGTGAGAAGAGTTCACAACTCGGCTTGAACCCCGGCCGGGTGGTTCTCGGCGCTCTCCACCCACATATCCATCCCCCTCCACACACTGGAAACACCCTGCCTCCACTTCGGACCAGTCATAGCCCCGGACCGGACCGGCAACTGCCGGCTTTCAATCCGCAACAGCCAATCGAGCGGATCTCTTTTCGGCGCATCTCCTGGTAACTCCCCCGACAACCCCACAATTGCAACTGCGGTGGCCCGCATGCGCTGCACGTTGACAGCAGGAATCAAGGACACTTTGGCAATACGCTGAACGAGAACGGGGACCGTGTAGTCACAGGGTTCACATGCGGTTCATCCACAGGCCACAGGTGGGATCATGACGTTGCCCGTTGCCTAAAACGTGAAAATGTGGGCGCTCATGAACTAATTGGGCGGAGGAGAGTTAGCACACAGCCGTTTGGGTTTGCCGGGCAAGCAAAGCTCACATAGGTCAACACCAGGTGCTTTCCGTCGAAGAGGATGTTCTTGAGGGGCTCGCGGGGCACGTCGAGGCGAATGGACGACTCGGAGTACGGCGCCCTGCTGTTAATCTTGTTCTCAAAGACCTTGTGCGTGTCGTCAAAGGTGGGGTTCATGATGGGGCCAGTGGAAGTCATGGCCGCGATGATGTGGGGAAGGCCCATGGGTTTCTCGAGCGGGCACTTGTGGACCATGGTCGGGGCCTGCTTCTTCGTTCCGGAGGCCTTGTTGGCGGCACCCAGGGGCGCAAAGGTCGTAGGTGAGCGTCCGATCAGCTTGTGCACGTCGTTCTCGGAGACGACGAGGTCAAACTGGCTGTTGCCCTTGCGAGTGGTACCGATCCAGCGGAGTGTAGCCACTCTCGAGCCGTAGCCCTTGGGGACGATGGCCGACGTGTCATCCCAGAGGCGCACAAAGGAGCTCCACCGGGACCAGGCGACGTGCTCAAAACCGGCGTTCTTCAGCGTGACGCGGTGACCGCAGATAAACTCCTGGAGCTCGCGTAGTTTGGTGACGAGGACGACGCCCATGATGGTGACGGCCTTGTCTTGGCCACTGTCGACAATCTTGATACCGCTAATGGCCAATGTAAGGACTTTGTTGCCTGGAGCAGCGCAGACTTCAATGTTCTTCACGGCAAATCGATTGCTGGACCAAAACGCCAAACGCGGCAAGGCGAGGCAGATCTTGGGGGAGGCGAGTGGGATGTCCTCCGTGAGCCAAGTGCATGGCTTGTCCGGGTCATGATCGCCTTTAAAGTAGTTGTCATGCCAGTGCGCACCTGGACGTGTGCCCTCGCCGGAATCCAGACCCCAGACTTCGAGATATAGCTTGTCGTCGCCAGCCCCGTTGGAATCCATCGAGGAAATGGCGATGGTGGCCCCGTCCAGGAACTCAAAGTTAAAATGGTGCAACCCATTGGAGGTCACGCGCTGCCTGTTAGCCACATTCAAGGTGCTTACTACTCACTCCGATCGCGACACCCGTGTGCCAGTTCCAGCAGAGAAGCGTACTGTCATGGAAATCGCAGTTCTTGTCCAGCATGACACCAACGACACCCCCAGGATCAAGCTTGAGCGAGACCAAGCCTGTGTGAAAGGTCTTGCTTGGGATGAGGATCTCGATACACGGAACGGCGGCATCTGGGTGCGCCGAAGGGAGAGGGCCCCACGCGAAAGTGTCAATGTCCTGGTCGTCGTTGACGCGCGCAGTGGGGAGCAGGGGGTAGAAGTAGACGCGCTGGACCGAGTATCTGCCGTTGCCACAGCCGGGGAGACTGGTTGGAGGTGTACTGACGCGTCAGCTTTCCACGTTGACAGAATGATCTTACGCCTGGGTCGCGATAGCCACTACATTGTCGTCGACACACATGGCGGCACCCACGATCTCGCTGTCGACAGAGTACTTCCACGACCACATTCCGGCCGCTGCCATGTACGCAGCGCCTCGCTGGCCAGGGGGCACACCGCCGGCCAACTTGTCTGGTCCGGGAGGCAGTTCCCATACGCTCCACGAGTCGTTCATGTAGCCTCTCTTGACGTTCATGGGGTTGAGTGGGACCTGGCGAGTCGACTCGAGAGCAAGCAGAAGACCCCCGCCGACGTCGACAATGTTACCCGCGGGAATGTGGAGACACTGGACATGGGACGGTTTGAGTGCATCGAGGGCGAGTTCTGTGCGCACGAGCCCGTCCAGCTGGGCCTGGACTGGCTGATGGCGCCACGACGGAGACGCGTGGACGGGGTTGGGGAGGCCATGGTAGTGCACCTTCAGCGCAAGCTGGATCAGGGGTGAGGTGGTGATGACCTTGTTGAGGTGCTTGGAAGTCTTGTGGTCAGACGTGGGACGTGAAAACAATGAGACTCACTGCAAGACAGGTCCACAGCTCACCCGCAGAGAGGTGGCCGAGGATAAGGTCGAGGGCATTCTTGTGTTCGGGTTCGGAGAAGAGCTCCCCAAGCGCATGGGCATTGGTGTGAGCGTCCTTGCGAACGCGCTTGGTCTTGCCACGCTTGGCCTTGGACTTTGATCTGGTCATGGGAATGAATGGGCCATGAAGAGGACGAGGGAAAGCGAATGTTGTGGTTTGGCCCACACACCCGCTGGTGACTGTACATTGGTACAGCGCCCGCTCCCGCCGCGACTCGCAGCGATCACTCTACTCGCTGGATCAGTGACAAGTCCCCTCGAGCGGTCTATGCTGCATCACTGGCCTGGCCACTGGCCACTGGGATCAACTGCTGCACCAACCGGCCGGCTGCATTCAATACCTGCATTTTCGATTGTTTTCGATTTACCCCCCACCACCATCTGCTTCTCTCCACACGCGACGGCCTGCTCTTCCCACAGACGGCCTAATGACAGCAGTCCTAGTCAAGGTCACTGCGGAGGGTCTGATGTAGTCTTACCTGGACCATCAGCGACATGCGAACGCCAGTCAGACTCACAGTCGCCGCAAATGCCACCCGATGGGGCACCGCTGTGGCCACAGATAACGCACTTGGCCATCTTGCGCTGGTATCGAGTTGGAAAGAGATGTAACGAAGAGTGTGGGATGGTGATGAGTGGTATATAGGTGTGTACTTGCATAGGTATCCCTTGGCCCCCATCAAGGGGAGAATGTGAGGCATCAGATACATTTACATCACACACATCACACACACCACACACATCACATGTCACACAACACGTACATCACGAATCCCGGCTACACCCCATCACTGACCCCCACCACCTGAGCTTCCATGCTGCTCATGCTTGAGCTCATCAAAGGCAATACAGAACACAATCATGAGCGCAAGGTCCATCCCTGGCGCCACAGTCACGTAATACTGGGCTGTCAGGACGGACCCAATGGCCGCCGCCACCACCACATGTTACCCACCGTCTGCTTGTTTTTGCGCCAGCCGCCGTCGTTCCAGTACTCGCGCGAAATGGTGCCCACCACCGGCCCCTCCTCGTTATCGAGCATAATCTCGGCATTGAAACGGAAAACGTCGCCCTTGAGCGCGAGCGTGGTGTCCTTGCCAGTCGACGCGTCTTTGAACGTGGTGTGCATCTTGGTCTTGACTGTCGGGGGCCGGTCAGCAAGAGAGTCGCCAGAGACAACGTACTGCCAAGCTTCTGGTCTATGCGGAAGAGCTCATTCCCCTGTGGGTCCTCTACGACCTTCTTCCTGAGCAAGGTCACGAGCTTGGTGCGCATCTGGAACAAGGGTGTTCCAGCCATATCTGTCAACTCTTCCGTTCGTTAGGAAACAAGAACAGCAACAAAGACGCGGACAAGCTGCAACACACCCTTCTTGGCCCTCAACGACATGCCCTTGGCAGCACACCGCAGAATCTGTCCTCCCCCAGTGTCGCACACGATGAAGCTGTCCTGCACGGCTGTCTCAGTACCAAAGACGTCACTTGATCACGTTGCAGAGCTCACACCCGAGACATTGAACACCTTGTCCTGCAGGATGATGGTCGTCTGCGTGTCGCGGCAGAAGCGGGGGAGCACGCCGACCGGTGGATCGATAGCGTCGAGAAGACGTGTTGGCTCGCCGGGTTTCCCCATTGTACCATTGTGTGAGTGTGTAGCAAGAGGCAAGTGGCAATGCGAACATTGCAAAGATCGCAAAGATCACTGGGCCCACTAGACAGCTATGCCCTTGCGTCGAAAACAATGACATCATCCAGAAGCAAAATGCCGCATCGTTCTACCGACAAGGGAGCCGGTTCATGTCGCAGTGCACAGCAAGTAGCAGGCATGTGGTCATGTGCAGACGCCTTGCGACGTTGGATCCGTTGGATGAACTGCTCATCCCAGTAACAATGCTGAAGGCAAGGGCGGACATGATGTCGGACGGCCGCCCTCGAGGTGTGCCCGCCGCAGTCCACCTTTTCTCTGCGTGGAACGTCGCCATGGTACACATGCATCATACCTTACACAGACCGCTCTTGAAACTGAAGACAACCCGTGTCCCAACTCGTCCCAAACGCTTCCTCTTCACAGCTCCTCACAGCTCCTCGCCCATGGGACCCAGCTCGTCGTCCCTAGGACCAGACGGAACGGCGGCACCGCCGCCCCACTGGACACCGCCAAACGACGTGGACACCTTTTCGCTCTGCGGCGACGCCTGGGCAGCCGCTACGGCAGCCTTGACCTGCTCGAGGAGCTTCCGGATGAGGGCGTCGGCGTCGGCTGCCGACTTGAAGGGGAGGTTTGACGACGCGCTGCTCATTTCAAAGGTAATGGCGCCGAGGTCGGGACCTCCGAGGTCCTCGACAGCCGACTTTTCAAGCACGCGGTCTCCGGTGAGGAGGAGGTGCGGGCCGAGTGTGTTGCGGCACACGGTCACAACCTCTCCCGTGATACTGAGGCGGTCAGACGCCTGCTTGAGGACCTCGGGCGCCTGCTTGGGCGCCGCCTTGCCGAGGGCGCTGGACTGGCGGACAATGGCCGCGGGCTGCTCGTTTGGCTTTTCGTCGACGCCGTTGACGAGCGCAAGCCACATGCCCGACTCGACGTCGTCGGGCAGCGCATACTTGTTCTCTTCGAGCCACGACATGCTGAGCACGGGGTTGAGGTCTGCAATGATGTCATCGGGGGCCTTGACGGCCTCGAGCGCGGCCTTGAAGTGAGCCTCGAGCAGCTGGCGGTCGCCCAGCACACCGGTGCCACCACGGCCCTTGAGGATGCCGCCAGCGACCTTCATGACGGCTGGAACGAGGACGGGGCGGATCTTGGCCTTTCCAAGCGCGACGAGGAGGTAGCCGAGCTCCTTTGGTGGAGCCAGGACTACACGTGCGTCGAGGAAAGCGATACCGTCGCGTGCAGGGAATGGTGTCGCACCCGACGACTTGGGGTCCGGGTTGAGGCTCGTGTTCCACGACGGACGTGCAGTCGTGCCGGGTTTGGCGGCTGCACCACCGCTGGATGCCCCGCGGAACTGCATCCCCGACAGCGCCGAGGTGGTGTTGGTGGGCGACGTGCCCGTCTTGGCCTTGAGCTTCTTGAACATGCTGGTCACTGTCATGGTGGATGACGCGAGGGTTGGCAGGGAGATGAGAGATTGGCGCAAGTGGATGTGGGCATCGCGACGATGGAAGACGAGGAGCGCGATGGATAGGGCGGCGATGGGAACAATGGCAACATAGCACAATAAGCGGGCGGCACACAAGCGATAGCGGATGGCGTCAGTGTGGGTTTGGTGTGGGGCCCTACTGCGACAGACGGTGCTCACCTGGATTACTTGGGGTCGATGGTCCAGGAGATTGGGTGATAGCAAGAAGGACGACGTTGAGAAGTGAGAGACGTGCGACGGGTAGCTTATTAGTACAGTAGACGTAGTGAAGCTGCTGCTAGTGGCTGTGGGGTGGGGGGGAGAGAGGGGGAGAGGGGGGCCGGACACCGGCGGGGAGGCAGAGCACCAGGAACATCCAGTCTCAATCTCCGCGCCAAGTCGTCGTCAGCCTCTGACGCGCGCCTCCGCCGTTGCGGGCTGTCGCTTAGAGCCCGTGCTCACAACATGAGCCCATCGCACACCCCGGAGAGTCCATGCATCGTTTGCCGAGCACCTAAAGGAACCTACACGAACGTGCAAGCGACAGGCATTGGGGCGATCGTCCTTGCCGGTGTGTACACGGTGCAAAGTGCGGAGAGACGTGCCCCGCGCCGGCCGCCCCGCTGTGATCTGCAGGCCCCGGCGGCAGTTCGCCCCCCTGTTGATCGCCATGATGTCATTTTCATTGTCAAACTCGTGTCACATCCTGATACACACCTCCAACGGGTTGTCGTGCTGGCTGCGCTTCAAGCCACCACAGGTGAACGTGAGTGGGCGCGTTAACAAGTTGCTGAGAATGGGCGGAAGGGCAAGTGGAGTCTGCAAGTCAGCGGCGGGTGCAAGGGGCTATACCGCTTATCCCTCTGCTTATCTCTCCGCCCACATCCCTCCTCGATGCCATCACCACGTGCGTGTATATACATGTCCTCCGTCCTTTCTTCCCTGATCCCATCCTGCCACTTCTCCACTGTCTTTCACTGACACACCTCCCTTTGCACACTGGCCCACTCCCACGGCCCACTCCCACGCCATGCTTGGACATACATCCCCACGGGGCTATTCCCAGCGCCCACCGCCCAGCATGGCCCGTGGCGCCTCTCATCGCCAAGGTCGTGACTGCTGTGTGAGTCACCTTTGTGCCACGGCACTGGTCTTGTCTTATCCCCTTCCCCGTCTGACGCTGCCCATCCCGTTTCGCAAAGGGCTAGACCAGACTGGAGAAACCCAAAGATGTCCGCCAACACGCCGGACTCAAACAGCAAGCGCGCTTCGCTCGCCGTCGACCCCAACCACCGCACCTTCCCCGTTCAGAAGGACGCCGAAGCCGATGGCGACGTCCTTTTCCCACTCATCCACCTCTGTGGTGACGTGTTCGGCAACTGCGCCAACCTCCAAGAGGGTTTCAAGTCGCTCGTGACGTACCTCCCCCAGACGAAGATTGCCCTCTACACTGCCAAAGAGTTCGAGAGCGTCAAGAACAACACGCCGCAACCACGACGGCATTTCCGCCCGCCGAACAAGTCGAGAGGTGCAACGCGCTCCAGGTCTTCATGGCCATGGCCGTGAGTAGTTTTGTCTCCTGATGACCTGCATCCTGACGTATCAGGTTTACGACGTCTCGTTCCAAGAACTCTTCAACCGAGCCGAGCCGAGGACCTGTGTGGCCCCAAATGGGACAAGGACGAGAAACAAAAACCTCAAAAAGACTACATCAACCCGATCGTCTCCCGGTCGTTTAGGCGCCGAGGCATGAAGTGTGTCTTGTGGGTGGGATATCTGTCCGCGTCGATGGCGATGACGCGCCACGCTCCAGCCCTGGTCTTTGCTCTTTGCGGGCCACAATAACCATTGCTCCAAAGGAGGCCACCCTCGCCACCCTCGTACTCTCGCCGAGGGACCAAACGTGGCGTTGCGCCCCACCCCCATTCGCAACGCTACGAACTCGACCTGGAGCAACGGGAGGTGAACCCGCGATTCGGGCTGCATACTCACCCACTCACGCCTTCAGTGCTCGTAAACATCTGCAAAGGAGCGCTACACTTGGACGGACACATGCTGGTGATCGAGCACACAACCGACCAGCCGAATCACAACCAAAACGGTGCCACAACCAACACCTGACGACGCGACGATCCATCCATCCATCCATCCATCCATGTGCCTGCCCTCCGCTTCCACCACCATTCATCTGATGCATTTTGATACATACATTTTACTGCCTTTTGCCCACGTGCCACGGTTTTAAGCGGCGAACGCCATGTCGTTGATCATCTCAACCTCGTTCTTGTGGGCGTACTTGGAGCCAGTGGCGACCGAAGCGCTGGGGTTGCGGCCGGCGTACAGGACGCGCTTACCCTTGTGGTGGGCAGTCTGGTCGGCGGCCAGCTCGAGGCGGGGCTGGAGGTAAGGCCTGTGGGGCGGGGTCAGCTATGTTCTCGTGTGTGCACGAATGCGTGTTGAAGAGCTTACCAAGCACCGCTGTTGAGGGGCTCTTCCTGGCACCAAAGCAGGTCCGCGTTGGGGTACTGTTAATGTCAGTAATGTAACAATAGGGAAGAGGAGGAAAAGGGAAAAATCGGAAGAAAAAATGACCGAAAATTCCGCCGATCATCTAAATTTCTGCCCAAGTCATACACTCCTGCACTTACCTTGTCGAGGTGGGGAGTCAGGACGTCGAAGGGAACTGGAGACAACTGCTCCACGCGCGAGATGGCGACGTCGTTGATGCCACGCTTCTCACGCTCCTGGAGGAGCTGGTAGTAGACCTGGCCCGAGCAGAGGATGTGGCGGCGGATGTTCTCGGGTGCCACGAGGGTCTCGGGGTGGGCGTCGGGGATGTAGCGCTGGAAGGTGGTCTCGCCCGAGAACTCGTCGAGGGTGGAGCGAGCCAAGGGGTGACGGAGGAGAGCCTTGGAGAAGAAGTTGATGAGGGGCTTGCGGAAGTCACGGAGCTGCTGGCGACGGAGGACGTGGAAGTAGTTGGCCGGGGTGGTGGGGTAGGTGACCTGCATGTTGCAGTCCTGGATCTGGCGCTCGAGCTTCTCGGGCGAAGGGTAGACGCGCGGGTCGTCGTCGCAGAGCTGGAGGAAACGCTCGATACGGCCCGACGAGTGCTCGGGGCCCTGACCGTCGAAACCGTGGGGGAGCGACATGACGAGGCCCGAACGCTGGAGCCACTTGCGCTCACCCGAGGCAATGTACTGGTCAATCATGACCTGGGCAGTGTTGGCAAAGTCACCGAACTGGGCCTCCCACATGGTGAGCGAGTTGGGCGAGACGAGCGAGTAACCGAGCTCAAAGCCGAGAACACCGTACTCGGAAAGATGCGAGTTGGTGACGGTGAACGAACCCTGGTCGGCCGAGACGTGCTTCAGGGGAACGTAGGTGGACTCGTTCTCCTGGTCGTGGACAAGGGCGTGGCGCTGCGAGAAGGTACCACGCTCGACATCCTGACCGGAGACACGGACGTGGGTGCCCTCTTGACAGAGCGAACCAAAGGCGAGAGCCTCACCGGTCGACCAGTCAATGTTCTTGCCCTCGGACACAGTCTTGCCGCGGGTGGCAATGATACGAGCGAGGTTCTTGTGAGGGGTGAAGCCGTCGGGGAACGACGAGATGACGTCACCGAGCTTCTTGAGGGTCTCCTCGGGGATACCGGTGGGGTGCATGGGGAGGACGCGCTCGGCGAGCTCGGAGGGCGACGGGAAGCCGTCCCACGACGACGAGAGCCACTCGCGAGCCGAAGGCTTGTAGTCCTTCGAGGCGTCGGCGGCCTTCTCGAGCATGCCCCAGACCCACTGGCGGTGCTCGTCAATCTCCTTGGCGGTGAACGAGCCCTCCTTGACGAGCTGGTCGGTGTAGATGGTGAGCGACGAGGGCTGCTTCTGGATAGCCTTGTACATGCGGGGCTGGGTGAACGACGGCTGGTCGGTCTCGTTGTGACCGTGGCGACGGTAGCAGACAATGTCAATGACAACGTCCTTCTTGAACGTGGCGCGCCACTCGGCGGCGAGCATACAGACGTAGTTGACGGCCTCGACGTTGTCACCGTTGACGTGGAAGATGGGGGCGTCAATGGCCTTGGCAATGTCCGAGGGGTAAGGAGTCGAACGCGAGAAGCGGGGGTCGGTGGTGAAACCAATCTGGTTGTTGACAATCAGGTGGATGGTACCGCCAGTGCCGTAGTTCTGGAGGTGGCTCATGCCCATGGTCTCGTAAATGACACCCTGGCCGGCGAAAGCAGCGTCACCGTGGAGGAGAACGCCCATGGTGCCGTCAAAGGTGCCCTCGTCGCCCTCAAAGTGCTGGATGGCACGGGTCTTGCCGAGAACGACGGGGTCCTCAGCCTCGAGATGCGAAGGGTTGGCAACGAGCGAAAGAGCGACCTTCTTGCCCGAAGGAGTGGGGCGGATGTAGTTGGCGCCAAGGTGGTACTTGACGTCACCGCCGCCGTTGTCGGCACCGTCCATGTTGCCGGCAAACTCGTTGAGGATGGCCTCCATGGGCTTGCGGATAACGTTGGCGAGGACGTTGAGACGACCACGGTGGGGCATACCAATGACAATCGACTTGACACCAGCGTCGACCGAGGCGTCAATGAGACCCTTCATACCGGGGATGAGGGACTCGCAACCCTCGAGACCGAAACGCTTCTCGTTGGGGTACTTGGAAGCAATAAACTTCTCAAACATCTCCGACCAGATGGTACGGTCGAGGATCATGCGCTTCTCCTCGGTGGAGTAGGACCACTGGGTGGGCACCTCGACACGCTCACGGATCCAGTCACACTGTCCGCGGTCGGAAATGTGAATGTACTGGATACCGACGTTGGTGCAGTACATGCGCTTGAGCTCGTCAATGAGCTGGCCGAGGGTGAGCTTGTCGTCCTTGACCGAGCCGACGAAGCGGGGGAGAATACCGGGGCCAAGCTTGAACTCCTTGGACAGGTCGGCCTCGGTCCAGCCGTAGTACTCGAGGGTAAGCTCGGGGGGAACCTGGTTCGAGAGGTCGGCGTTGGAGATGCCGAGGGGGTCGAGCTTGGCAATGTGGTGACCACGGACCTGGTAAGCACGGACGAGGAGCTGGACCTTCAGGTAGTCGTTGAGCTCGCCGGCGGCGCCGACCTCAAGGGGGGCAGCACCACCCTCGGGCATCTGCATCGACTGGGAGATGCCGGGAGGGGGCTGGAACGCAGCGGCCGAGGGGAGACCCTTGTCGAGGCCCGAGAAGTAGGCGTTCCACGACGTGTGCACCGACTTGGGGTCCTGCTTCCACGAGCGGTACATCCTTTTTAGAATTGTCAGAAAACCGCGCCACAACGTTCAACCTGTTTGCTGCAAAACGCGCGCGCAAGAAATGCTCACTCCTCAATGTAGTACTGGTTCGAGCCGCTGGCGAACGAGTCGCGGGGGCTAGGGGGGATGGCAGCGGCGGTAGCATACAGGCGGATAGCCTTAGGCTGGGCCTTGAAGGAGATGAGGGAGGTGGGACGGGTGGCCTGCGCGAGGCGAGCGCGGGGGACGGCGCGCGGCAATGTGCGAAGCATGTTGAACGGGGGGGGGGGGATTATATCGTGGACAGTTGGTTAGGGAAAGGGAGGGGTTGGGTTGGGTGGGAGAGTGGGGAGGTTGTTTGCTCTTTCGAGACTTGCCGTCGCTAGCGTTGAGGCCAGGTGTGAGGACGACGAGAACAGGTAAAGAAAGGACGAACAAGAGGAGGAGCAGGCGGGTGGTGGTGGTGGTTTGTGTGGAGACGCATGTTGGCTGGGTGGGGCGACTGGACACTCACCCCGCCCAGAGACGGCCCGGCGCGGGTGTAAAATGGACTGGGATGGACCAGCCGTTTCACCGTTGGGCGGCCGCAAGTCGGCTTTGTCGGCGCCCGGCCGACCACCGTTAGATGAAAGGACATCCGCCAATTCCACACACCCAACCCGTCTCCGCCTGCGTTTCGGCCATACTGGGGCCGCCCATTATGCACAGCGAGACAACGTCGTCCCGTCAGCCGTCGCCGCAGCCAGGGAGGTCCCCGCAGACTGCTGCAGCACAAGAACGCATTGTGTGCATTTGGGTGTGTCCATGCCCAAGTTTCGACCGGAAGGAGGTCGTGGTCGTCGTGCGGAACAACTTTATGTGGCTCAGCTGACTTTTGGCCTCTCCCGCACGACGACGACGACGTCACTGCCCGCCCACAGATGTGGCCAATGGGCCTCGTCCAAACTGTCGCTCGACGTGTGGCATCGTCCGTGGCCGCACCACTATGGGGTACTACTGCTGTACTCGACAATGGGATGCCTGTCACCCATACATTGCTCCCAAACCCTCTTACACATGCCTTTTCAACGGGTGTCGGCTCTGTCTCTGAGGTGTGTCTGTCTCAATTCCGAAAATGAGTTGCCGATCCCGACATCCCGAACGTCTGTATGTTGTTGCACACTGCTTTTCATTATGGCCACCACCACTACCATGCTCTGTGGCATTACGTTGTGTATGTACTGACTGCACCATGCGCACCTTTTGAACCGCGGCCGAGACTGGCTCTTCCTGCAGATCTCTTTCTGCATTATAGGCTTGGGTAAAGCACAACCTAGGACTGCCATGTACAGCTGGACACGCGGGTGTTCCTGAATGGGCGGACGGGGCGCGGGCGACGGCGTGTGCCGGAGTCTTCGGCGTTCGTGACCGGGTTCGCCGGCGTGGCCCTCAGTCCTGCTCCCGTCGGCGTGCCGGCGTCCAAAAGGCATGTGGCCATGTGGAGCACACATTTGCGTCCACGTCAAATGCGCAGCGGGATGCTGTACACCTCTCTGGCCTATGGCTTCTGGCATCTGGCTTCTGGCTCCGGTAAATGCGCTGTGTGCTTCTGGCATGGCTGGCGGTGCCAACCGTGTAGTCTTCGCATCCAAGCGGCTTCAACTCCAACACCCCCTTGTTTTCAAAATTTAGCCCAGGAGGATAAACAGTGGCAAATGGTCAGGTTACCGGTTACGTGTAAACGAGGACCAGAGTGTATAGCCAGGCTCATAACCTGTTGTGACATGACGACATAGCGATAAAGAACTGAGTGCCAGAGTCTGCTATATAAACACGACGAGAGTCGGTGTGTGTGCGGGGCCACCCTGTCGATCCGTCGACAAGTCATGTGGCGCTCCGAGCCCAACTAGGTCTCCGGTCTCTGATATCTGGCTTCTGCAGCAGGCAGGTTGCTGTTCAGCAGAGCAGAGCAAGAAGCTGGCGAAGAACTTGCCCACTCACATGCCACTTTCGCCAATGGTACTGTACTGTACGCTCTCTTGACCAGTAAGTGCAGATGGTGCATCGGTGAATATATACCAAGTCCCATTTTCTCTCCCTTCCGCTCACTAATCCCCAAACTGTTAACGCTACCCAACCGCTTCGTCCCACAACTTCCCAGTCTTCCCTGCGTTTCCCCATGCCCCATGGGCACACCCATCTCCAGATCCTTTCTCCCGGCCTGCAGCAGCAGCAGCTTAGATGCAGTAGCGGAAGTCGGGGTTCGCGCGGTCGGTCAAGTCCTCGAACGCGTGGAGGTTGGCAATACCCTCGCCCTCGATGGCGATGCGCTCGTTGGCAGCGGCAATCTTCTTGTTGTTGCGCGAGACGAGGACCTGGCGCGTGATGAGGGCCATGGCGATGAAGCAGGCGTCTGGAGAACAGTGTCAGCCAAAAGGGTTTGGTTCGGAAGCAGTATGAGCCGCTGTTTTGGAATTTGAGCGCAACTTACACAGGCCGAGGTGGATGTAGAGACTGTTGAAGTAACGGGGAGCCCACTGGGCCTGGAACAGCTGGCTCGATGCGGCATTGCCGCCAGCCCAGCCGGCGACTAAAAGGGAATTAGCGTCTTGTTCGCTCTCTCTCGTGGTCACAGAGGGTTACTTACAGGTAGTGGCGTAGACGATGGAACGCTTGGTGTGTCCAGAGACGTTACGGGCGAGGAGCATGAGGACAGCGGGGTAGCACTGAGGAGCGAGCGTGTCAGTTGAGCTCGCCGTGGCCAAGACAGTGTCAGTAAACTCACAGCTCCGAAGATCTGCATGAGGTACCAAGCGAACACGAGGCCGCCCTTGGTCTTGTCGCCGGGAGTGACAGTGAGAAGGACAACGGTGCCGACAATGTTGGGGATGGTGAAGCCGATCATGCTGAGGCAGGTCTGTCCGGTCTTGCGAACCGAGTAGCCAATGCCAATGAAGGTAAGGATGCTGATAACGCCGGTGGGGATGTTGAGCAGCTGGGCCTCGAGGGTCTGGTAATGCGTTAGACGACGAGAGGATAGGTTTGAGGTTACACGCGACTGGGGCAACTCACAGAGAAACCAAAGGCCTTGGTGACCAGGAGACCGCCGAACGCGCCAACGCCGCCGACGACAAGGGTGTTGAAGACACAGAGGAGGAAGAGGCAGAGGGTGAAGGGGTCGGTGAGAGCCTCGATCATCTGCTCCTTCTTGAAGTGCTTCTGCTTGAGACCCTGGTTGTTGGAACGAACACGCTCGACGAGGAGCTTCTTGTCCTGCTCAGACGCCCACTTGGCCTTGGTGGGCGAGTCGGGGAGGAAGACGAAGACAATGACCGAACAGATGAACGAGATGATAGCAATGGTGATGTGGAGGTACTGCCACGACTTGAGCTTGCCGCCCTGGAGGTGGTAGAAGCCGTACTGTACCGTCAGTTTCATTCATGTCAATGGCTCCCAAAACTCACGGCAAGGAGCGACGTGATGATGCTCGAGGTTCCAAGCATGCACCTAAGCCAGCGTCAGTAAGCTGTTCTCTAGGTTAGGTTTGCAGGTAGGACTCACTGCCACATCGAGGTGACAAACGGCTGCTCGGACACCTTGTACCACTGGACCATGATCGAGATGATCACGGGACCTGCGAAATGTTAGCAACCTGTCCATCTAAAATGGTCCCCCTGGCACTCACCGATCAGAGACTCGAAGAATCCAAGCAAGTAGCGAAGGGCAAAGACGGGCGGGATAGACATGGAGAAGCCAATGCCGATGAGGAGCTGGGGGAGGCAGTTAGCAAGTGCCACCCGAGATTGGCGCTGCTCTGTCACACTCACGATCGACCAAATGCAGATTCCACCAGCGAGAAGCTTGGCCATTGGCAGCCGACGGATAAGCTGGTTGGCGAGGGGCTCAGCGGTAATGATACCACACCAAAGAATGGTGGCAGTCATGGCGTAGTCCTGGCCCACGGCGTGTACGTCTTCGATCCAGCCCATGATTCTGGCCCACAGTCAGCCCCGCGTGCGCGTGTGGTTTTCATGATCAAATCCAAACAAAAAAAGGCAAACTCACGAAGCTGAAGCGACGGTGCCCTTATCAAGGGCCTGGCAGAGATAACCGAGGCAGAGAAGAGGCAAGATGCTGCGGGCACAGTTAGCTTACAGTCACTAGGTGCCAAAAACAAAGAAGCCACACTCACCGACGGTTGATGGTGCGGCGGAGACGCTTGTCGTCGGACTCGCTCACGACGAGCGTGGGGTCGACATAGCCGGCGGCCTCATTGTCCTCGACGCGCTCGAGGACCTTTTGCTCGGCCTTGAAGTCGATGTTGTCCTCGACGTAGGCGAGCTCTGCTGCCTTGTCCTCTGGGGTGTGGGGCGCCATGGCAAACTGGTGTGGGGGTGTCTGTGTGTGTGTGTTGTTGTGTAGTGTGGGGAGGAGGAGGTCGAGTGTGTGTCGATTGTTGGCTGGTCTGGTCGGATGAGATGACAACACGGGCTCTTAAGAACAAAATGTGCCTCGGGGATTCGGAGCGAAGGGGTGGGCATGTGGGGGAGGGGGACGGGGCAGTCAGGCCACTGTTGCTCGTGTTGGAGAGGCAGAAGCACAGAAGGCGGAAGTGCGATGGATACCGAGCGCGTCGACGACCCACATCTCTCCATGCGGGGCAACAAACCACCCAGCATGGGGCACAAAAAAGGGACATGGAGCGATCGGCCCTTCGCCACTCCATCCAACCTCCAAGGTATTTCCAAGCAACTTCCTGGGGTAATCCCCTGAGTGCTGCGCCGAATTTTTCGTTGCTGGCGCTGAGCGCGCTGACCGCGCTGAGAGCGCCTCTATGCAAACGACGGCAAAAAGGGCATCATGCGCCGGGTGTAGCTCGGAACGCACTGGCAAACCACAGCTAATCATAGCCGGGCCGTACAATCTCCGGTCCTTCGTCATGCCGCCGCGCCATGTCACATTGGAAATGAGACACAGTTTTCCGCGTTTTTATTTGTGGCCTTGTGGCATTTCTTGGCACATGACTTCAAGCTTCAAGATGCATGGTATTACTACAGGAGAGGGAACTCGAGGAATTCAAAGTCAAGACCGAGGTCATACGGGAACTGGCAGAAGGGAATGTCGTCTGCGTTTCCAACAAACTGCGGATCGAATGGCAAAGTCAGATCGGGGCTGACGGTAATGCCTGTGGCGCGGGGCGTTCAGCACTGATATTTTTATATTTTTAATTTTTCACCCAACATTGCTGTACTTACCGAACACCTGTGCTGCGGATTTGAATCCCGCAATCAGGTCCGAGGTCTGGGGCCAGGCCCCCTGGTGCTGGAGCAGCATGTCGATCAAGAGCTGGAAGAGTGTCTGGGCCTCTCGTTTATGAAACTCGCCAGCGTCATAGCAGAGAATGAGCAGTTGGCCAGCGATCACCAGACGCTGCAACTGTGGCCATGTCGTGTTGAGCTGGTCAATGCTCACGAGGTCGACATAGGTGTAGATGATTTGCTCGACTGCACGGGCGATAGCTGTGTACGCGTTTGGCGCATAGATGGGGTGCTGCATGTGGGGAATGTAGAGTAGACACCGCAGCCTGTACGGTTTAGTTAGCTGCGAGCTTAAGCGGTCGCTCCACTCACCAGTTGTAACGCATCTGGGCCCAGGCCGACCAGGCAATCTTCACTTTGGGGCCCTCGGTGTCTTTGGCGTGACGCAGTTCGCGCATGATTGGCATCCACGTTGCCTCTGCTGTTGCAATGTACTCGGGCGACTGCGTGTCGACGGAATCGTTTGCGAAATCGGCAAGAAACTTGGCGGTGAAGAACAGGCATTGGTTGAGGCACTCTGGAAACATGCCTGGCGGTGGGGTCGGGTCGATGTCGAACGCGTTGAACGGCAGGCAAGTGCGCAGGTTGGTCATGTGCGCCAAAAACCTGTGCGTCAATGAGTTGTCTGCCCGCACAACGTCGAGGGTTCCCCAACTCACACATCGCTGTAGAAATAGGCTGAGAACAGGGCGAGGACGTTGCCGTGAGGTTGGTACAGTTCAGCCGTTTCGGCGCGGTGCAGCCCCAGCTCGGTGATGTGCCATGCCCATCGTTGAATGAGCTCGCGTGTCTCGTCGGGCCCACCCAACTCCCTGGCGTAAACAATGAGGTAGAAGATAGCCCCTGGTTGACGTCAGCGAGCGTGTGCATGGGGACAGCCTCGCTATCACTTACAGACGGCAGTGAGCGACGGGTGGGTCCACTTGAGAAGGGCCTCGCTCGCCATCTGGTAGTAGATGATATCCTCGCGCGGCGTGTCCAGGCCAGACGAACCGTCCATGATCGTCCGGCGGAGCTCGTCATACCGGGTGATGCAAAGGGCAGCACACACCATGGCCCTCTGGTCCTCTGTGAGGGAGCTCGGCACCCTGCGGTATCGACCGTACAGCGAACGGAGGAGCGTGTTGTCCACCCCGCGTGTCCTCTCGCCCCTGATAGAGTTTGACGACGCCTCAAAGAACTGCGCCATCAGTCGGTCCTCCAGTTCACCGAGCATCGGCTCTAGTGGAAGCGGTGTCGAGGGGAGGTCGGTCAACCGCGCCTCTACCTTGAACACCAAGGATGACATGCGGACACCTGGGAAACGTCAGGTCACCGGTACGGTACACAGCAGGTCTCCCGGGTTCGTCTGTGCTCACCTGGGCCCGCGCACCACAGTGCCAGTGCGTCCTCGACGTCGTTGAGTGGGTTATGGCGGCGGGTCGCCGGCGATTCAGGCTGGTATAACGTGAATGGTGGCATGTTTGAAATACTGTTCATGTTTGACAGGTTTTGCAGGTCCGACAGAGACGGGATGGGTGCTGGCAATGGCAGCGTCGCGGCCACAGGTCCTCCTCCTCCTGCTCCTCCTCCTTCGTCCGCCTCTGCTGGCTCGTCCTGTTGAAGACGCAGTAGGACAGATGACGGCGCACTGAGTAAGCTGTCAGTGTATGCGGGAACGACATGGGCCACGTCGTGTGCGGCGTACCGTTGAGGTCGAGCTTTCTGGCGGACGATGCATTGACTGGTGACGCCGCCGGTGCGACATTGCAGACATGGTGGAGGACCAACACACTTGATGCGCCGGAGACGGCACGGTTCGCATGCTTTGGACGCTCTGGCTTTGCGAGTCGTTGTGGACATTTGTGTGTGTGTGTGAGGAGTTTGTGGAGGATGGAGCGGATGTGCAATGGAGATAGGTTGGAACCGATTGACCTGGGGCCTGGGGGTGTGCGTGTGGAGCCAGAGTGGAGCCCAACTGTAACCGTCGCCAAACACCAGAGAGAGTCACGGGGGGGTATGGGTGTGGTCCCGAGTCACGAGTGCACGAGTGGGGGTATCGCGGCCCGAATGTCCCGCCGCTGTGTGTGCCGCCGAATGCCGGGCCGCGCGCACTCTACCCCCTCTCACGAATGAAAGGCTTCTCTTCCAACGTATATCCGTCTCCCACTAAACTGACCCGTTGACGCGACTGCATTTTGCTTCATATCCAGGGGGCCCATGGGGCCCATGGAGTCTCCAAAGGCGAGCCCCGCATACCCCCCTTCTCTGCCTACTCTGTCCACACCCCGCACTCCCCCCTCTTCTCCACCATGACGCTTCAGGCCCTCTTCGGCCTGCTCTTCATGCTGCCGTACATTGCCGTGGCGGCAGCCCAGAGCACCACCGCGTCCGACATGATCGCTCGGCGCGTCGACTTTCTGACCGGCGCAAGCACCATGAATGCCTTGGGCGCCATGAGCTCGCCCCCGAGCTACTACTCGTCGCTGCTGTCCAAGGCGAGCGCCCTGTCAACCACGTCAGCCGGATACCTCTCGAGCATGGTCACGGACAGCTCGCGCACGACGCTGTGGTCCGACCTGCCAATGACCGGCGACGCGGCGTCCAAAAGTGGCAACCTCGGCGTCCAGTTTGACCGCCTCTTGGCGATTGCCAAATGCTATGCCACACCGGGGACCGCACAGTACAACCAGTCATCGGTCGCCACCCAGATTGTCAGCGGCCTCAACTACCTCTCGACGGCCTACTATACCTCGACAGGAAGCGAGTATGGCAACTGGTGGTGGTGGGAGATTGGAATCCCGCGCGACATTGTCGACACTGTGTCGTGCCTCGGCTCTGCCATGCCCGCCAACCTCACCACCCGTCTGGCCACGGCCATGGACCACTGGGCACCGGACCCACTGCACCGCGGGTTGACCTCGGCAGGCGTGATTGAGACGGGCGCCAACCTCGTCGACAAGGCCCTCAACATGGCCCTCCGCGGCATCATCACCAACAACGGCACCGAGATTGCCCTGGGTCGCGACGCGCTCAGCGGCGGCGGCACACCGTCCAACTCGGTCTTCCTTTACGTGACGTCGGGCGATGGCTTTTACGCCGGCGGCGCCTTTGTGCAGCACACATACCTCCCCTACGCAGGCAACTATGGTACCGGAGCGCTCAAGAACCTCGCAGTCATTGTCTCGCTCCTGTCGGGCAGCCAGTGGAACGTGACCGACCCCAACGCCTCGATGATCTACAGCGTGGTGGACAATTCGTTTGCGCCATACCTCTACAACGGTCGCCTGATGGACACTGTTCGCGGCCGGTTTGTCTCACGCCAGCGTGAGCGCGACTATGACGATGGCTTTACGTTCCTCGCCACCGTTGCCCAGCTCGCCACCGCCGCGGCGTCTTCGGGCAACGCCACGCTGGCGACGCACCTCAAGACACTGGTCCGCGGGCATGCCTCGCGCTACACCGGTCCAGACTGGGCGAGCGACACTCGCTTCGGGCTGTCTCAAGCGGCCAACCTCCTCAGCGTCTCGGAAGACTCGTCCGTGACCGCGGCCGACCCGATGAGCGCAACCTTTTGGCACGCGGGCCAGGAGCGGCTTGTTCACCGCCGCAGCGCGTTTTCATTCACCGTCTCGACCTCGTCGACGCGCATCGGTCGTTTCGAGTGGGGAAACGGCGAAAACTACAGGGGCTGGTACCAAGGCGACGGTGCTGCGTACCTGTACGTCCCGGGCCAAGACGGCCAGTTTTCCGACAACTGGTGGCCCACGGTCAACAGTTATGCTCTTCCAGGTATCACCGCAAAGGCCACCACGTACGCCATCACGACGGTGGCGGGAACCACTGCTATCCAGCGCGCCACCAACAGCTACAACGGCGGTGTGACTCTGGACGGGATTGGCGGCACTGTCGGGTTCAACCTCGTCGGCTACAGCCCTTCGACGTCCACGCTCAGCGCTCTCAAGACCTGGTACACGTTTGACGACGTTGTCGTGGCCGTCGGCACCAACGTCGTCGACACGTCGGGCTCGGCCGTGACCACGTCTATTGAGAACCGCGCGTTCGCGTCTGGCCAGGTGCCCACGCTCGTGGTTGACGGCGCCAGCAAGACGGCCAGCGCCAGCCCCATCGCCGTCACCGCCTCGGTACACGTTCCCGGTACGGGCGGCTACGTTCTGCTTTCGTCGTCGGGGGCGCCCGTCACGGTCCTGACCGAGAGCAACTCGGGCACGTGGTACGCCATCAACAATGGCTCCGACTCGGCAGGCGACACCACGACCGTCAGCAACGACTTTGTGAGGATCATTGCCAACCACGGCACAAACCCCACGGGCTCGAGCTACGCGTACATGGTCATTCCGGGCGCCGACGCCGCCACGACAGCCGCGCGCGCATCCAGCCCCGGCGTGACGTTTAACACGGCCAGCGGTGTGGGGCACGTTGTCTCGCACGCCGCGTCCAGTTCGACGTTTGCCCACTTTTTCGCTGCGGGATCCCTGACCGGTGCAGGCATGACGGGAAGCCTGACCGCGTCGGCCGCGTGCTCGGTGGGGTGGTCGACCAAGAGCACCAGCAGCTACAGCCTCGCCGTGTCGGACCCCTCGCACACCGCCACGTCTGTCACGGTCACGTTCCCGTTCTCGGCCAGCGCCATCTCGGGCTCGACGTACGCCACGCTGGTCAGCACGAGTCCGCTCAAGGTCACGGTCAACCTGTCGGCCAAGAACGGCCAACGGGTCGCCTTCAGCGCGACACCGTGAGGCGTTGCAATGCTGTTGGATGTTGTAGTCGCGGTTGGCGTTGAAAGTGCCACTGGATGAGCGCCGACGCCGCCCTTTATACCCATCCGTATTGTTTATACTTGTTCCTCGATGCACCACGATAACGACAACGGTGTGAACAATGAAGGAAGGAGGGAAGGAAAGCAGTTGGGACACAGATGCTAACCTCACATCAAGGTCAAGGAAGGTTCCTCCGCGCGCCCAAAAGAGCCAAATGGCCATGAACTTTCTGGGCCATGCCATCCCGCCCTGTTCCTTGAAGGCGATGCATACTGGTTGTGCTTGGCGCGCTTGTCTCGATCTCGGTCAGATCTGAACCTGCGGAACGTAAAACGCGGTGCCAGCATTATCAACACGCATTGACGTGGTGCGGTAGACCACGGCTCCGGGACTTTCGGCATGACCGCCTCTTTTCGTGGAGCGACCCAGACGGCCCAGACATTGATCGACAGGAGCGCATTGAGACAATGTTCTCTTTCATACTCGCTCTTGTCTTGGCAACAGACGGTCGGGGCCCACCCATCCCGACGCCAAGCACTTACATTCACGTACCCATGTCCCAGGCCATGGTGCCCAAGAGCACCGAACACGCCCGTTCGCATCATATATCCATGAGCATACCCTTTCCGCTGTCACTCTTCCCCGCCGTCACTCACTCACTCCCCCCACTACTTACTCTCTCACCCACCTACCAAAGCCACCCACCCAAAACACCATGCGTGCCTCCCTCGTCGCGCTCACCCTCCTGGCCACCCTCGCCATGGCCCAGGACACGGCCGCCGATGGCTCCAAGGCTGTCGCCAGGGACGGTGCCGACGCTGGTACAGACGGTATCGGAGCCGACACTGTGCCCGCGACTGATGAAACGACCGAAGAGGCCGCTGCGCGTTATGGCCGCCGTGGTAACTCTGACGGCGGCGGGGGCGGCAGCGGCGGTGGGGGCGGCTCTAGCTCGCGTGGAGGTGGGCGCGGTCGCGGAGGCTCCTCTGGTAAGAATATCGGTTTACTCGATTTTACGCTCCGTCTCTGCTCTAGCTATGAACAACAGCTGACATGGGTGTCTAGGCGGTCGCGGCGGCGGCGGCGGCCGCGGATCGCGTGGGGGATCTCGAGGCCGTGGGAGCACCCGTGGCCGTAGTTACTAGTAGATCGTGGCCTAGTTGCGCTGTCCTCGGTCGTGGCTGTTGAAGTAGGATGTAACATTATAACCGTGCAGCAGGAGGCAAGCAGTCCCCAAGACTCCCGTGATGGTTGTCTGCAGGAGTGGTGTTGAGTGCAATGATCCCAGTGATCCCAATGATCGACCTCGGGTCTGGTTCCTCTGGGCCATGTGCGCTCTGGGACTTTTGATCGACGTGGCACAAATGCCTTCTGGGCATCCATCACAATTGGAGTCCCTCGGCCAACCTCCACCAACTTGGAAGTGGCAGTCCACGGAATCGACGCGTGCGAACTTTGCTTGGGCGTTATTCGAGGGCGCAAGTTTGCACGGGCAGTTACATAGTAGGGCAGATTCCGCCACCCATCACCTCCCTACACTGCGTCCACAACGTGACGACGGTCTCAAAGCTGATCAGACGCATTAATGAAATGCCAGACAAATGACACAAACGCTGCAGTAGCAACGCCCTACATTCGAAGTGGCTATGATTGACCCATCCTATAGAAAGGCTGATTTCCAATGTCCAGTATCCGCGCCAGATCTTCAGCAACCTCCAGCCTGTTGGAGGTCCCACTGGGTGATGCCGCTGCCGACGTCACTCTGTAAAGGTCCTCCTGTATTCTTTCATACTCGTCATGTTACTCTATTCACCACAACCACAACACACTGCATAGTGCCTACTAGTCCAACTGTAATGTCGAGTGGCAAGTGCGTGGGCATTGACGACCAGGCCTGGAATGGCCTGGAAGAAGGCTGGACGTGGCTCCCCAAGTCACGCCCAGGCATTCCTCGCCAATGGACTTCCCCCGGCGCTCGCGTCTCCTCTCCACCCGTGGTCTCCTCCCGTGTCCCAGAGCATGTCCGAGATGGCACTTGACAACGGTCCTGTCCCAAGCACTACTGGTGACGACGTGGTCATGGAGGACATCGACGAGTTCCTGCTGCCCCCTCCAACTCAAAAGCGCACGCGCTCGTCGTCTCCCCCGCTGTTAACCGTCGCCCCCGCCGTATCTTGTCGTCCGAGGACATCGACAACGACCTTGTGTTCCCCACCGCTTGGGTTGCACTCGACCAGCTTGCTCGTCAAGATCTTACTCCGTCTCCTATCGAGGAGGCTCCAAGCACCCTGGCCCCCGAGCACATTGTCCCGTCCATTGGCCCCATCTCCAAAGCTCCGAACTCCCAGGCCTCGGGCCTGTCGCAGAGCGTCATCCCCATGAACATCAGTCGCCAGATCCAGGAGTATGTCAAGAGCCATCTCAGCGATGTTGTCGGCGACGACGACGACGATGACCTTGAGATCGTCACTGGCGAGTTTGAAGAGGACGATGAGCACGAGCGCCTCGAGGGCGAGAACGACTTGGACGCCGCCTTCGACATCATCATGGAGGCCTACGAGGAGGACGAAGACGTGGAGCGCCCTGTCACCCCACTGTCTGACAACTCGCCAAACACCCCACCTCTCGGCCCCGCGTCTGTTCCCCGCCCCGCTGCTGCCCACCCTACCTCCCCCTCGCCCGACACGGAGAGCCCCTCCGACGTCAAGGTGATTATGGTTGGCCCTGACGGCGAGCTTCCGCGCACCGGTGCCCGCGACCAGGCGGCGGTCAACCGCAGAATTGTCCGCCAGACGCGTCTTCAGCACCGCCGTGGAGGGTACGATCGCGAAGAGGTCGACGAGATGGCCGAGGCCATCTATGTCGATGACGGTAACAAGGCAAGCTGCAATGGTCTGCTGGCGGCCATGCGCAAGGAGGATATTGTCACCCCGCGCCGTTTCGTCGGCTGGCCCAGCCGGCGACCAGACGCACATTCCCGCCGGGCTCATGACTGGAGCCGTAAAGGAGAGGCTTGCCACCCTCGCGGGCCTCATTGACTCGGAGGCTGCTACCATTACGAGACCAACACATACGTCATCTCCCAGAGCGTGCGGTGGCACAGTCGCCTTCTCCGCGACATCAAAACTCTCCTCCTTTCCCTAAACATCTGCCCAACGGAGACGGTCGTGCACAAGCCTGAGAGGCATGTCCGCAACAGTCGGAAGCCCAGCCTCGCAGGCGACTATGTCGTCTACACCTTCACCGCGGTGCCCGAGATCCCCACCTTGCTCGCGCGCAAGCGCCCCGAGGCGCGTGTCCAACGTTCCAACTGGTTCTGGAACACCAGCACGATCAAGACGGATGAGGAGCCCTCAGCGTTGTACGGTACATGTCACCGTTGAAGCGACGGCGAGTTCTTGCGCGAGGACTTTATCATCCTTCCTTGCCTCCTCCAACAAGGGAGTGCCCTGCACGCTGCCACCACTCGATCAACCCCCTGTGCACCTGCCTGCTCCCCCTCCACTCGTGCTGTGCTCTTCCCCTGCCACTCGTCCTGTTCGCTCTCCCTGCATCCACATACGACTGCCTGCGAGGCCGGCTCGGCCGCTCGCGCTGTGCTCTGCCCCTGCCCCTGCCACTGTGCGCATGCCACTTGGCCCCTGCCATTCCCGCTGTACCGTAGAGCGCCTATTTATATTACTGTTCGATGCTACAAAACCTAATAGAATTGTGCCAAATTGAGAGTTGCATGTGAACGTGGGGATATGGTGCGTCTGCAGACGGGGCGGTTTCCTCTGCGTCTGTCTTCCCTCTCTTGGGTCCTGCATCGTTCGCCTTCCCTTTTGACACACCGTGACCTCGTTCGTCGTTATCGCTGCTGCGGCCGTTTTTGCCGCGGTCGATGCTGTCATGTAAGCGGCGCATGCCCTTCCAGGCAGTGTCCGCGTGGAAACGTGAAGTCAAACTCATTTATCGTTGTTTGTTTTCATACTCCTGTTTCTGCTCTTTTTTTCTTTTTTTTCTTTCTTTCTTTTTCTTGTTTTTTTTTTTTTCTTTCCTCCTTTCCTTGTTTTTAACACGACCAACATGTGCACACAGGCAAGGTACGTAGTTGTACATTGTTCAGATGAGATGCAGTTGCATATTGACTCTAACACTGTTGCACTGGATACCGGCATGGCGCACTGACGTTTGCAGCACGCTGCGGGCCTATGAGCCTGTGCCACAGAGAGCCATTGAGGCCATGAACCAGCCCGGCCAGCCTCCGCACGTGACGCGGTGACGTGCTCTGCAGAGGCTGGAAATGACGCATCGCCAGGCGCCCCGGCCCGCAGTACCGCCGCGCAATGTGACATGACGCACGTGGCAGACTCCCACGATCGCGCCCCCCCCCCCCCGCGGGCGCCGCAGTGCGATCTAATCGTTGATCATCCGAATCGGTCCCCGTACGCCCACTTCATTCCACCATACGACATGTGGGTAGCGTACAGCATATGCATCTTATACGCTACAGTTTCCTGTACTTTCGTTTCCTACTTCACTTTACGTCCCTAGCTAGGCCAACAGGTGGCGGTGCAAGATGTTGGCGCGCGCAGGAGATTTAGTTGATCTTGAGGAGCTCGACCTCGAACTTGAGGGTCGAGTTGGGGGGCTGGGAAAGTCAGTACATCGTTCAAACGTCCTTCTAGGTCTCCTTGTGCGCACAATAACGGGAGGAAATCCGCGCGCTCCGTAAGCGTAGTCAGCTGCGCAAGAGTCAGCCCAAGAGTGTCTGTGGAAAGGTGAAAAGGTGCGGACGTACGGGTAGCGGTGAGGACGGCCTTCTCGCCGACCGAGAGCTGGGGGACACCCTCGTCCCAGCCCTTGATGACCTGGCCGACACCGACGGTGCACGAGAAGGGGGATCCGCGGTCGCGCGACGAGTCAAACTTGGAGCCGTCGAGGAGGGTGCCGACGTCTGTGGACGGGTTAGAAGGTGGTCGAAGATTGGATGGGGGGTGTGACGACAGGGGCGTTTGCCGGATCTCGGCGCGAGGGGTGCCGCCATGGCTGGCAAGCTACTCTGTGCGGAGCTGCACGCCGAGGGCGGGTGCCGACTTACAGTGGATGGTGACGCGGTCGCCCTAGGAAGCGAGTCAGCAAAAGAGAACCATCACCATCAAGACGGGCCAAGACAGGCCAGCGTGGCACGTACCTTCTTGGGGAAGTTGACGCCGTCGCCGGCAGAGATACGCTGTGAGGGGTGAGCCTTTCTGTGGATGTTTCTCTGTGTGTGTGTGCATGCTGCGTACCTCGATGGTGACGCCCATTCTGATAGCAGAGGAGTGGATAAGACGGGTGTTGGAGAGGGTGCGGGTGGCAGTGGGGAGGATGGACCTGAACATAAGGAGAGACGGTGAGATGAATGGAGAGGAGAGAGCGCTTCCCCGCGAGGGCCAGCGCAGCGTCGTCTTGGAAACCTCCACCGGGGCGGGGGAGGGGGGGAGAGGGGGCGTGTGTGTGTGTGCGAGCGGGAGTATATTTTGGTGGTGGGTGTGTGCGGCATTTTGAGGCACGCACCAGTGTGGCAACCGCAGAACGCACAGTGTGACGGACGGGTGGGTGTGTTGGGTGTCTCTGTCTGTCGTGACGTGGGATCCAGCGAGCCAGCGTTTGTCAGCGTGATCAGGACAATGTGAAACGGGGGTCCTCTTGTGTTTGTCGTCACGGTCCTCTGTACCCTCTGTGCGTGGTCATTGTATCATTGTATCATTGTTCAGTCCCACCCTCTACTGATTGCAAGAGCCTTGAAACACGATGGTGCCCTGGTGCAGCATGTGGGGGACCAAAAGATCCAACGGAAAACCACACTCTGCACATGGCACTTGTCGCTGATTGCAGGTCCTACTGGTGTCCCCCACTCTGGTACTCTGCCCCCCCCCCCCCCCACTGGCAACTGCGCACAGTGAACGCACACATGCAACTCACACGCCATTAAGCCATTCCGTCGCGCCAGAAGCCACCTGTGACGTAGGTCAAGCCCGCGCGCGGGTGGAGGTCGCTCGCTCGGCTATTCTACACTCTCATCCTCGCTCTCGCCATCGCCGGCCTCCTGTGCTACAGCTATACTCCACTGATCCCATACCACTCTCCTCCCCCCTCCCCATCACCATGCCTGTTATACCCCCCGGTTCCCTGGTGCTCGTTACAGGTGCCTCCGGTTTCGTTGCAGTGTGCGCAATCACCCCCCAGGCTGCCCATTGTTCCACACTGACACACCCATCCTCAGTCACGTCGTCAAGACTCTCCTGGACGCAGGCTTCCCCGTGCGCGGCACAGTGCGCACAGCGGCAAAGGGCGAGTATCTCCAGAACCTGTTCAAGGACTCGCCCGTCCCGTTCGCGTATATCGTAGTTGCCAACATTGAGACGGCAAGTCGCTGTGTGGCACGTTGGGGTGGGGGCGGCAGCTGATCAGGTGTGCTCAGCCCGGCGCGTTCGATGCAGCTGTCATGGACGTGGTCGGTGTCGCGCACACGGCGAGCCCGTTCCACTGGCACGCCGACGATCCCAGCGAGCTCATCGGTCCCGCTGTCCACGGTACACTCGGTTTGCTCAACAGTATTCAAAGGATCAAGTGAGGCAGCCTACACTTGGGGCTGGGTACAACAGCTGACGCGGGCCTAGTCCTCAAGTGAAGCGCGTGGTCGTTACAAGCTCGTGTGCGGCGATTATAAACGACAATGTGACAAAGCCCCACTGGTAAGTGCACACAGGAGAAGGTGCTAAACAGTGGAGCTTTACCGAGGCCGACTGGAACACGACGAGCGTTCACGAGTGCGAGACACTGGGTCGCAACGCGAGTGCGACTGCAAAGTACCGCGGTACGTGTGCTGGCCACGAACTTTTGCACACACCCCGAGCTGACATGTGCAGCGAGCAAGACGCTTGCAGAAAAGGCTCTTTGGCAGTTTATCGAGGTCGAGCAACCGCACTGGGACGGCGTGACCATCAACCCGTCAATGGTGTGGGGTCCGCTTCTGCAGCAGGCAGCGACGATCAAGGACATCAACGAGTCGACTGGTGAGCTATGACATGGCAACCGGTGCAGCTAACAATCCAGTTATTATCCACGAGTGGTTCACAGGCAACAAACCGCAGTCGGACATTCCCTCGGTTGCCCCGTTCAACGGCGTCGACGTTCGCGATGGTCGGTGCCACTGTTGTGTTGTGTGCCCCGGGAGGCCAACGCTGACCTGTCAGTGGCCCTTGCCCACCTTCGTGCTCTCATCGTCCCCGAGGCTGGCAGTGAGCGCTTCATCCTCAGCAACGCACCCGCCTCGCCCAATGACTTTGTCCTGGTGAGGTCTGCCACGACGAGCCAACAGCAACAGAACTGACGAGACACAGGCGTTTGAGCACTACTGGCCCGAGCGCACGACGTACCCGCGCGGTGATGCATCCAAGGTCGAGACGATCAACGCCGGCTCCAACTACTATGACCACACAAAGTCGGAGCGTGTCCTGGGTATCCAGTACACTTCGTTTGACGAGTCTATCAAGGACGCGACTGCGAGCCTCATTGCCCGTTATGGCATCTAAATGAGGAGGTGGAGGTCGCCGATCCCGTGATGATAATGGCGGCGCGGCAATTGACCAGAGCCCCAGCCGCCCACACCAGCGTTGTGTTTTCTCTATGCATTGTACGCGAGACGATATGGTGATGGGGCGAGAGATGCAACGCAAGGCCAACTGGTTATTGGACGGGGGCTGGGCGTTGCTGTACAAGTGTTGCATTGTCGGGCCATGATTGATCCGGCCCCCCGTCTGGCCCTCACAGCCTGGGCACACACATTCCACTACGCCAGCGGCGTCGGATCGCTGTGCCGTCACTGGACTGGGCGGTTCCGTTTGGCCCTCTCCCAGCAGCGACGGACACACGCCATACGGGTCTCATCCACACCATCCTCTCTCTCTCTCTTGTCGTTGTTACCTCTCACTCCCCACCCGTCTCTCCCCGCCTCACCGCCCGCCCTCCCCCCCCCACCACCTCATGGGCAGCGACGCCCTCCCTAACCCCCCAATCAGAACCCCTACCCTGTCACCTTGGACCACTTCCTCCATTCAAGGCTCGAAAGCCTGCAACGTGCGTTCGGCAGACCCGTCGCCCTGTCCTTAGATAGCGCGTCTCCAGAAGTCATCCCTCTCGGCTCGCTTCATCGATTCTGGAGCTGGCACAGCACCGCACTCCCAAGCACCGGCGACAAGATGAAGTTTGGGTAAGTCTCTCCCCTCACAGGTCGTCATCGGGCATCGTTTGCGGGCACGCGACCACTACGGTCGGCGTGAACCCACCCCTGCTTCTCACCGGCGGTTTGTGTAGTCGTTGCTCCCACGGCGCGCGCCATGGGGCTTGTCCCCCATCAGTCACACGACTATAGCCTTCTGTGATGAGGACGCCAGACACTCGCCACCGCGACCAGTTGCTCCAGATGCACTGTGATGGCGCCAAAGGTTACTTTGTGGTCGCTGACACGTGCTTTTAGTACTTTGCTTGAATTGAACAGCAACGTCGAGTGGTGGAACCACTACGTCGAGTAAGTTTGCTTGCCATGCACAGAGCCCCGGTACCAGCACCTAACACCCCGCCCTTTTAGCTACGATGCGCTCAAGAAGCTCTTCCCCTCTGTGCCCCTCGACCCAACTTACCTCGCAACCCAGGAGCACAATGAGCGCGGTTCATTACTGCCGACGCACCGCGCCGAGTCGGCCAAATGGGCCACCCCCGAGCAGTTTAACGCTGCGCTCGACCGCGAACGCGAAAAGGTAGCGACATTCTACAACACCAAGCTCGCCGAGCTGCTTGCGTCAGAGGACCTTATCGAGGACGAGGTGCACTCGATCGAGTTGCGCGAGCTGAGCGGCGACGACGAGCTGATCCGCGAAGAGGACGAGGACCTCGACGACGACGCCGACGAAGGCGATGCCCTCATGCACGCCCCTAGCCCCGGCCGCCATCTACACAAGCGTGGATCCGTCTTTGGCCGCCTGCCTAGCATGCCGAGGATTGGCCGCGCCAAGGTCTCGACGGACCAGGCCGACATTATCGAGTCGACGTTCCCCGGTCCCGTCCGCAGGGGCTCGCGTCAACGCTCCCGCTCGGTCGTCTACCCAAGCACCACCGAGGACGAGGGTGGCACGTCGACTGGTGGACCGCCTTCGCCTGTCCGTGCCCGCGTGCCGCAGCACCGCCGGGCCCTGTCAGACCTGTCGTCCGCCGACGACCCACACTTTGATCGCCGTACATCGTTTTCGTCCATGTCGAGCGGCGGCGGCTGGGGCCGCGGTGGCAGGCGCACGCAGAAGCTCGGCCTCCAGGCCATCGAGCCGTCCAACTACCCCGAGTGGCTGCAGGACGAGGTCCACCGCGACGAAGAGGCAGGCGACCTCGACGACACGGTCTACTACAACTGGACGGGCAACTCGGACTATGCCACTGTCCTCCGTATCGGCTTCAAGAAGCGCATCTCGGCCCTGTGGCTCGACTTTTACGCACTTAAGCAGTATGTCGACCTCAACATGACGGCGTTTGAGAAGATTTTGAAAAAGTATGACAAAAACACAAACTCCAAGCTCAAGAAGCAATACATTACCGACAAGGTGCTCACCACGCTCCCGTGGACGGCGGACGCCAAGGAGCAGCTCGACCTCATGCTCTCAAAGACCCTCTTCGTGTACCGCCGCGTCGTGGTCGCCGGCGACGAAGAGCTCGCCAAGGAACAGCTCCGTGCTCAGCTCCGCGAGCGTATTGTCATTGACCGCGAGACGGTGTGGTCGCAAATGGTCTCTGACCGCCGTGGCCAGGGCATCTTCCGCAGCGTCGAGCCCGACGAGCAGCTGCCTGCGTTTGCTGCGCCCAAGCCTGGCTTCCGGACCCCATGCGGTCGCCTGGTGTTCCCCAAGTGGATCTCGCGCCGCGCCTTGATCTTCCTGATCGCCGTCGGAGCCCTCGTCGCGCTGTGCCAAAAGCAGCCATTCGACCGCGTCGAGGAGAGCAACTGTATGGCCATGCTCGTCTTCTGCACTATTCTGTGGGCGTCCGAGGCCATTCCGCTGTTTGTCACGTCCCTCATCGTCCCGTTCCTCGTGGTGGTTTTGCGTGTCCTCCGCTCAGACGACGAAGAGGACCGCCGCCTCACAGCTGCCGAAGCGACCAAGTTCATCTTTTCCCAAATGTTCTCGCCCACCATCATGCTCCTCATCGGTGGCTTCACCATTGCCGCCGGTCTGTCCCGTACGCGCATCGACCACATGACTGCCTCGCGCATTCTCAACGCCGCCGGCAGCAACCCCAGTACTGTCCTTCTTGTCCTCATGTCGGTGGCCACGTTTGCCTCCATGTGGATCAGTAACGTCGCCGCCCCGACCCTCTGCTACGCGCTCGTCCGCCCCATCCTCGACGAGTTGCCGCCCAAGTCGGTCTTTTCCAAGTGCCTGATTGTGAGTTAGACTGATCCTGCATACCTAACTCGTTCACCAGATTGCCATCGCACTCGCGTCCAACATTGGCGGACAGACGTCGCCCATCTCGTCGCCCCAGAACCTGATTGCCCTTGGCTCCATGGTTCCCGAGCTGACGTGGCTCGAGTGGTTTGCCATCTCGCTGCCCGTCGGCATCACGTCGATCATCACCATCTGGGCGTTCCTGCACATCAACTACCGCTGGGAGGCCGAGCTCCGTATCCCCAAGATGCGCAAGAACACCGACTCGCTCACGATGAAGCACTGGTTTGTGCTGTTTGTGACTGCCGTCACCATCGCCCTGTGGTGTATCGAGAAGAATGTCGAGTTGTACGTCGGCGACATGGGTATCATCGCCATCATCCCCATTGTCGCCTTTTTCGGTACCGGCATCCTGCGCAAGGAAGACTTCCACGACTTTCAGTGGCCCATCGTCTTCCTCGCCATGGGCGGTGTGTCGCTCGGCAAGGCCGTCCTCTCGTCGGGCCTCCTCGACAGCATGGACCACGTCCTCGAAAAGCTCGTCGACGGCATGGGCCTGTACTCGATCCTCATCGTGTTCTGCAGCATTGCGCTGGTCATTGCCACTTTGTGAGTTGAATGTTTCTTTGACATCCTTCTGACTCTTCTCCCAGCATCTCGCACACGATTGCCGCTGTGCTCCTTGTCCCCATTGCGTCGCGCATCGGCGACTCGATGGCCGACCCGCACCCGCGCCTGCTCATCATGGCCACCGCCCTGATCTGCTCGGCCGGCATGGGTCTCCCCGTCTCGGGCTTCCCCAACATGACGGCCATTACGCAGGAGAACAAGCTCGGCCACCGCTTCATCAGCGCCAGCGACTTCCTCAAGAACGGTGTCCCGGCCTCGGTCCTCGCCGCGTTCGTCATCGTCACCATTGGCTACGCCATTATGCGTTCGCTGGGCATGTAGTGAGAATGACCTAGGACTTTTGATTTGCTTGTCCTTTTTCTTTTCTTTTCTTTTTGATATCTCTCTCCACCTGCCTGCCTGGCCCCCAATGCATCTCATTACGCTGTCCCTGTACATTATAGTAGGCTGCCCTCATGCCTCCAGGTCCACCACCGAGTTGCTGAGCATAAACCACGCCTCGAGCCAGCGCAACTGCTCGCCGCCGACTTGTCCGTCGTCGTCGTCGTCGTCGTCCTCCTCCTCCTCGTCCTCGGTCGCAACCACCTCCCCAACCGCACCGCGCACTTCACACGGATGCACGCTCCACACCACGTCGCCCGTGACCGGGTGCTCGGTCTGTTGGAGGAGCGGGAACGACGCGCCGGGGAGCATGAGCGCGTCCGTCCGCTCCAGCCCGCCGCCGCCGCCACTGTGTGCCCTCGCGGCGGCAGCGGCCCCCGCGCCGCCCGCCCGCAGGACGTGCGTCACAATCTCGTCCAGGCCAAGCGGCACGCCGTCTGTGCATATGCATGGTCAGCAGAACGTCACTCCACTCTCTCTCTCTCTCGCTTTTTCTCCACTCACGCTCGTCCCACGCGCGCACGCACAGCATCGGCACGCGGTACGTCGGCGACCACACAACCGAGTACTCGCGCTCTACGCGCGAGCGCGGGCCCGCCGACGGCGCCAGCGCCGCCGCGTCGTCGTCACAGTCCTCAACCTCGGCGGCGGCGGCGGCGGCGGCCTCGTCGCGCATCGCCTGCGCGACGTCGTCGATCTGGTCGTCGGCGCTCGTGGCAGACTGCGCAGACCACTTGGTGTCCCTGCGGAAGAGGTATCCCTGTTCGCCGCGCCACTGTATGGAGAATGGGGAAGGGCGTTTGTCAGGTTTACGGCTTTCAGAGTAGAGGGTAAATAACACAGGTTTCCTCACCATGGACGACTTTATGCGCCATTCCCACCCGACGTTGGTGCGTTCCGCGCCGGGCCCGCGGGCGTGGCGGCCGGCGTACCGCTGCAAAAAGGCGTGGGAGACGCGCTCAAACGCGGCGGCAGTGGGGAACGGCTCTAGCGCAGTCGCGACTTCAGTGTCTGGTGGTATGAGCATGAGCCAATACACAATGCATGCTGATGGGGAGAGTTTCGATTTGGGGAAGAAAGTAGAAAGAAAGATCATGGAGGGAGGGGGATAAGCGAGGGGGATAGAGAAAGATTGGACGACGCGCTTAAAGCAACTGGGAAAAATGACTACTGACCGCCCTTGTTCTTCTTACCCTTGCGACGCTTGCCGTTCTGCTTTGGTTTGGTGGTGGTGGCCGCCGCGGTCGAGGTCTCGGGCTCGGGCTCGGGCGTGGCCGAGCTGTCCTTGTCGTCGTCGGCGCTGGTGGTGGTGTTGGAACCCGGGGTCGCCGTCGAGTCACTTGCGGCGCCGGGGTCTGTTGCCGACGTGTCGTCGACAGCGGCAGCGGCATCGGCGCCGACCAGCTGCGTCGAGCCAGGCTGGGGAACCGCAGTCTCGACAATGACGTTCTGCTCGCCGTTGGGCGAGGTCACAACGACCTCGGCGGCCTGGGTCTGCGGAGCGGGAGGGATGACAACCGCGCGAGGCGTCGAGCCCAGGTCGGCGGTCACGGCCGCCTCGATGGGCGTCGGCTCGGCGCTGAAGGCACCGGTGCCGCCAGCGAGCTGGACGAGGATACCCTCAGGCGGTGGCACACGAGTAGTAGGGTGTGGCGACTGTGTACGAGATGTCGAGTTGGCCTCGCCCTTCTGTCAGTGTGTGAGTCGACATGGCCAGCTTGGACTTACGGAGGGCCGGCGGCTGAACGCGTTGATGACGCGCTGGCGTTCGATAATGCCGACTAGTATCTGTCAGTCAAACGCCCCATGAACTTTGGTGAATACCTACGCATGATCTCGCGAGTGGCCTTGCGCTGAGCCTTGCGCTTCGAGTGGTTGTCCTGGTACCGGTCGGTCTCATCAATCTGCAGTGGCGTTAGGACAACTCTGCTGAATTCCGCAACGCACAATCTCTTCGCCGATAATCTCCTCAATAAGGTCCTCCAGGCTGAGAATACCGAGGGCGCCGCCGCGGCGACCTGGAGTCTCGCTGATGAGGAGGAGGTGGGCACGGCCAGTCTGGAAGTAGTCGAGGGCCTGGAAGCAGTTGAGGTCGGGAGTAGCCTCGGGAAGAGGAAGAAGCGGGAAGCTGGACACTTGCTTGTTGTCGTCCGGGTTGTATGTGATGAGCTGCAAGGGGGTGTTAGCTTGAGAACCGCACACATGGTGTCTGCCACACTCACCCTCTTCACAAGGAGCATGCCGATAAAGTTGTCGGGCTGTCCAGGCTCGTGGACGGGAAGACGAGAGAAGCCCGAGATGAGAATGTGATCCACGGCATCGTGGTCGAGCACCTTGTCCGCGGGGAGGACCAGACAGTCGTCAATCGGGGTCATAATCTCCTTGACATGGCGGTCGTTGAGCGACAGCACACCGTTGAGAATGATGATTTCGTCGTCACGCAGGGGCTCCTCGCCCTCGCGATGGAACTGGAGGAAGCTCTTGAGCTCGGCCTTCTTGTACCTAGGCGGGTGTCAGTACTCGCTTGTTACCCGCCGACTTACGTATGGCCAGCATCGTGGCCAAGAGCCCAATCAAGCAACTTGGCGATAGGCCAAGCGATTGGCGCAAACAAGATCATGAGGGCGTGGACCATTGGCGCGCAGTAGCCACCGATGGCAAGCCCATAACGCACGCAGACCTGTACAATGTCAGACTTGGCCAGTGCCAAACATACGTACAGCTTGGGGAATGACCTCTCCGAAGATGACAATCATGACCGTCGAAGCAACAACTGCGGCAAGGCCGCCGCCAAGAACGTCATCCAGGAAAATGGGCAGGGACTCGTTAACAATCTGGTGGGTTGGGTTAGCTTCGGCCCAGAGTACACACACAGTCTTGCTGCAGCACACGTAGACCGCAGGCGGTGCAAGCAAAGCAACCACTCACAACGTTGCCGAGGAGAAGAACGACGAGAACCCAATGGCGACCGCGACCGAGGAGACGGAGCACCTTGGTAGCGTCGGAGCGCTCCCTGGGATCGTCGGAGGAGGCGGCAAGGACGCGGAGGTTGAGGTCATCAGAGCCCATGAGCGCCAGAGTAAGACTTTCCGTTAGCAAGGAAACTGGGGGGGGGGGGGGGGGGGGGGCAGAATGGCACACTCACCCAGCAAAGACACCGCCCAGGAGGACGAGGCCGACCGAAAGGATGAGCTTGAACATGCGCTCAGGTCCGGGCTCCTCTTCACCTCCGCCCTCCTCCTCGGCAAGGGTGGACGCCGCAGTCACAGCCCATTCCACACCACGCTTGGTATGGCGGTTCGAGAGAGCAGCGGGGACAAGGTGGAAGAGCTTTGACAACGAGACGAGGGTGGGCAGCGCCGCTGAGCGGCGGGATATGACGGGCGGCATGAGAACCGATTGTTTTGGCTAGAGTTCAGACCCGGGCGCGGTGACAATGATGGGGGGATTGGTTGCCGGTAGCGGGGGGGATGCGCGCGATTTTACGAGGTCGAGGACGCACAAGGCGTACTGGTGGGGTGATGCTGTTGGTCGCTGGGTGTTGACACAAAGTATCAAATGGCAAGATGGGTCCAACGATCGGCCAACGAGCTAAAGTCGGTCCGATGTGGATGGCGATTGGAGCGGACTGGAAAATGACGCTATTAGCTACTTTTGGATCCATGCGCGACATCTTGAAACCGCCCAATTCCACTCACTTGACTGTTGTTGCCAAACAGCTCGCTCTAGCCTCCTCTGTCTTTCTCTGTTGCTCCAACCGCATAGGCAGCGTACAGACGACTGCCTGGTGCACACCGGGTAGTCACATCAAGTCACGCATCACCTGGCTGACTGCATAAACGCACACCTTCCCTCCTTCGTTCTCACCTTCCTCCCCCCCCTGTCTCTCACATTCTCCCGCTTACTCTGCCTCCATCACTCATACCACATACACACAATGCCATCGCCCAGCCACGTAGCAATCGTGCCGCTCCCGCCATCGACCTTTCGCATCCCAGGTCCCTCAAGGCCGGATACACAGGACCACGACTGGCCGTACCTCAAGATGAAGGCCACTCCGCACGTATCGCTTCCATCCAGTCTCTCTCCGTCCAAGCCCAACGGCAAGGGTATTGAGGATTCCATCAAGGTCATTGTTCCCATTGGCAGCAAGGTCTCAGTGACGTGGAAAGTGGACACGGAGAACATCCCATCGCTGGCGGACGCCGAGCCACACCTCCTCTTCCCACAGGTTCAAGGAGCCGTGGGAGAATGGCTCGCCATCGTGCGTAAGGAAGGCATACCCATGACGCTGACAGCGTAGAATCAGCAAGCGCTGGGAATCGACCACTTTGACTACCCGGACGAGCCCGATCCCACCATTGCTGAACTCATCCTCACTCCCATCGCCGCCCTTCCTTACCAACAACAATACCTGGACCCTCTCATTCTTCGAGGCGAGCCTGTCGCCGAGTTGCAGAAGCTGGAAATGTGCATGTCATGGGCGTACCCTTCAAAGCGGTTCAAGCAGACCTCAAGCACTCTGAACGATGTCTCGGTCAACCCCACTCATGCCAACGCAGATGGTGGCAACCCCTCCAACATCTCGGCCGCCAGCCAGGATGTCTCTGATTCTGGTACCCCTGAACCGCCTCGTACGCTGGGAGATGTCCTAACGCAGGTCGGAACGGCCATGAAGAAGATGATGCGAATGCAGATGGTCCGGTAAGCCTACGACACCTGACCTTTCCTGACCGCAGGCGGTTTCCATATGTCTTTGACGGCGACTTCCTCAAGGTAACAACAACCTTGCGGCTAAACTGACAGCAGTACCAAACAACCCTGGCCATGCCCGATGCCATATTTGATGCCACCCACCGCTTCATCACCCTCTCAGCTCGTCACAACACCCCTCTTCTCGGACAATGCAGGGCGTTGCTCGACTCAATCGACCAGGCTCAGACCAAGACCTTTGAAGGGCGCGTGACTGCCGTGGCTCGCCTACCAGCTCGCATGTCGTGGAAGCGTCCGAAACTCGACTCGCAGGCTTCCGGGAACCAAGCCACCCCACGAGATCAGAGCGACGATGATGAGGCGGCAGTGAAGATTGCAACATACCTTGAGCGTCACAGGAAACAAGAAGCCAGAGAGCCTGCTGAGACGGCTCTCCGCAACTCGCTTGCCAGGGGTGTTGCAGCGATTGGAGCTTCAAAGTGGACAGAAGCTAGGGCCGGCATGGGCAAGTTAGCAGCTTGGCGAGCGCAGGTGAGTTGCTATTTCCTGGCCTAGGTCCAAGCTCACAAACAGCTGGCCGAGGCGGACTATTATCACGAGCTGGAGCCACAGGCCTTCCAAGAGGTCACTCCCGACTTCTGGAACCCAGAACTCAACCACGAGTTTCACAACGTCCACCCGTATGATCCATGTCCGCCGCTGTCGCCCCACTCTCCACTCCCTGCAGCTCCCCATGACGTGTGTCGGGAACTGGTCGACTCCGATGACGAATACGACGACCTGGCAGAGGACGACGACGCCGACTATGGTGTGGACCTGCCTCCAGATTTCTATGGCGGCCTCATTCCCGAGAATGCACCCACACACACGGACCCCTCAAACAAGAGTATCAACACCTTGCTGCTTGATCTAGGTGCCATGCACCTGAGCCTGACAGGCGAGTTTGACGCCACTTTTGACGACTTTGAGGGCCACTCGTTGCCTGTTCCGCGCACCTCCCACTCGCCTCCTCCTCCTCCATCATCTTGCGGCTCAGACTTGTCTGACAATGACCTTGATGGTTGCATCGGCCATGCTCTTTGCGCCTTTCCATCGCTCTACACTCTCGTCCCCGTTCAATTAGAAGACTCTGACAACGACCTCGACGGTGTCGGCGACCACCGCCCCTCACCCAGCTCACAAGAGAGCAGCGAGGTCTTTGAGTATGACGAAGATTGGTCTGCAACAGACAATCTGTACGACAATGACCTCGATGGTGGTCCTCAAGATGAAGCTCGTCCCGGCGGTTCATCGTTTGCACACGACACGATCCCAGGCAGCCGAGCCCCAGCTTTGAGCGAGACGAGTAAACCCGACGCCTGTGCGGCTTTCGACTTTGATCTTGAGAACGACCTTGATCTTGACACCTCCGCTCTTGAGGCAGTGTACATGACGCAAAAGGTTCTGGAACAAGAGTACTCGGAGCCTGACAACGACCTCGACGATGACGACGTTTATGCCGATGACTTCTTCTCTCCCTTTCCCAGACTGTACGGTTCGGCATGAGGGCACAGTGCTGCTAGCCGATATTCGATACGCAGTGTACATAAGATAGCTTCATGCGAGTGACCATCATCCCCCTCCATGTAGTACATAACGACAGATGACCGCGTCAAATGCTGCAATGCGGGACCTCGACGTTCGCATCATGGCCCTTGCGCCACTTTGGGCCATCTGGGTGCTTTTATTAGCTTTTTTAATTTATTAGCGCCACCCTTACAGCCGTTATTACCATATCATTAGCGTGCACCGCACTAAAAAAGGATCAGCGAGTTGCGTGCCGTCAGTGTCAAATCGCACCTTCCACATCATCATCTATCACCGAGCCACTGGCTCAAGTTGGCTCTTGCTCGTCATCCGCTTGTGCTCTAGTCGCCACCTCCCACACGACTCTCAACAACAGCTCCGCGCGGCACGGAAACCCTCCACGTGGCCGACGTTTGCCGGGGTTAGTCGCCATCTAGTTCCCGGACGCAACCCAGCCGCGGGGTCCCGAAATCTCAGGCCTCAGTACCTAAGCGGACCGCCCGACGACTCCCGAGATCTCCACCACACCATGTCTCCCATCCTCAAGCGCGACGTGGCCGAGACGGTGCGCCAGGCGCGCCGCCTGGCCGCCGCGGCGGGCTTGCGCGACTACGACGAGTACGGCGAATACGAGCTCGACCCCGTCGGTGTGTCCAAGGTCGCGGCAGCCAACACCCGAAGTGGTGGAGCTGTCGCGTCTGGGTCAGCCGAGTGGGATCGCGATCGAGAACGTACCGACCACGAACGCGGTAGAGAAGTTACAGAAGGTCGCTCGACAAGCCTGGACCTTGACCATGGAGAGAGCTACGATAACGCACCCCTCCTCCGTGCCCATGACGACTCGGAGTCAGTGACAACCACCATGAGCGCCATCGAGGGCAAGTGGGGCGACCTGAAAGGATTGTTGTTTTCGGTGAGTCGCGATGCGCCGTCGACGCCGCCGGCAATGACGGGTGGATACCAACCAGGATACACCGCGGCATTCACGCCCACGTCCTCCACCCCGACAATGCTCTTGAAAGACTGCTCTGCTGCCACGTCACACTGAACGACACCGGCTGACAACCCGCAGTCCACGCCCTCATTGCTGTTCGGACTGCTTGGCCTCGTCTTTTCCGGCGAGCTGCTTGAGCACTGCGCCCGTTGGCGCGTGTTCCGGCGCGTTGACGAGCTGTTCATCCTGGTCCCCATGATCGGCAATCTCAAGGGCAACCTGTGAGTACTGATGTTGTCTGCGGTAGTGGTGTCGACAGAAGCCAAACTGGCGGGGCCGTGCTTGGCGCCAAGTGGAGCCGGAACCTCTACCCACCGGAAGACGGTTACGGCTGCTGCCCGGCCCGCCGCGCAGTTCAGACACAAACGAGAGCACGGGGCTGACATGAACAGTGAGATGTGTCTGTCTGCACGACTCGGCACGTCGGCGACGCTTGGCGAGCTCGATGGCAGGCAAACGCGTCGCAGCCTGCTCATTGCCAACATGACACTGCTCGGCCTGCAGGCTCTCCTCATCTCGAGCCTCGCGGCAGTCATCTCCTTCTTGCTCGGTCTCATCACCATTCACCGTCTCGGTGACGTCCCCGCAGGCTCGGGACCATCCAACGGCACCGTCTCCGACCCAAGTCAAAGCGACCCCTGGCGCGAAGGTACCACACGCCCAGGTGGAGCTCAGCTCGTCATGGTCCTCGCGACTGGCATGGGTGCTGCTGGCTTGAGCTCTCTGGCGCTCGGCAGCTTTATGAGTAGCCTTGTTGTTGTGTGTAGGTGGAAAGGAGTGGATCCAGGTGAGTGTGCTTTCTGGTCACGCGAGCTGCTTTTGTTAACCAGCTAGACAACATTACGCCACCTGTCGCAGCATGCCTTGGAGACCTTGTCACGCTCTTTGTGCTGGCGCTCATTGGAACACTGCTTGTTGGCGCCATGGATACTGTAGGCCCGCTCCTCGGTGTGATCCTCATGGGCGCCGCAGCATCGTGGTTCACGGTCCGCGTATTGCGGGACGAGTGGGTCCGCAACATTGCCCGCGGAGCTTGGTTGCCTCTGGTAGGTCTCCTTAACCCCAAATCCCTCGCTGACATGCAGATTGGCGCCATGCTCATCTCCTCTGGGACCGGTATGGTTCTCGAGTCCGGTGTGGGCAAGTACCGCGGCTTTGCCCTCCTCGCCATCTCCATGACTGGCTTGACCGGCTCGCTCGGCGCAATCCACGCCAACCGCCTATCCACAACGCTACACACTGCACTGCACCCGGAATCGCGCTCGTCAAGGGAACGAAAAGCACATGGACTCACCCCGGGACAAAGCATCATTGTGCTTTTCGTCCTCGCGTTCCCCTGTCAAGGCGCCTTCCTCCTTTTCGTTCACTTTTCAGGATGGAGTGACGTCGACCTGGGATGGGTGGGCTGGGTGGCGTACACTGTAACCACCATCTTCTCCCTCGTCGTTGCGCACTATCTGACAATATTCTGTTGGTGGCGCGATTTGGATCCAGAGTGAGTTTTCGATACTGTATATCTGAACTCACCAGACTAACACCGCCAGCTCATACACCCTACCCCTCCACTCGGCCACTGTCGACTTGGTGGGTCAGATCGTGCTCATGTGCGCATACGAGCTGTGTATCTGGCGGGGCAATACGTCGGTCATGGAGGTAGCAGACTCTGTGAGGCGAACGGTGATGTAGGGCACAGTCCTGTGGAAGTGGCAGTGGCGTGGCCGGGTTGCCGGGGTCGCTGTCCAAGGACATAGAGAGAGAGAGCATATTATATTGTACACGCAATGCATTGTATTTTAGCTATAAGCGAGGACAGTGGAATCTAAAGTGGTGGTCCCACACGTCAACGACATGTTGTTCGCCGGTGACGTTGAAAGTGGCGCTTTTCACTACCAGCCCGAAAATGGCCACTTTCTCCTACCATCGCTCAAAGTCTCAACCGTGTACCCTCCATCCGTCTCTTCTGGGACCTGTACTTTCTGCTCAACAAACCCATGCATCTCGTAGACCTCCTCCATGTTAGCATGCATGCATAGCGGCTCCCAAGCTGACGTAATCGGCGAGATGGCCGAGCGGTCTAAGGCGCTGTGTTAAGGTGATCCACTCCTCTTCTTGTCGAGTTGTCATCCGCAGTCTTCGGACGTGGGTTCGAATCCCACTCTCGTCAAAAGGGGCTTCATTGCCTCCTGATCCAACCTTTTTGGACGTCTGGGAGGCGGGGCAGTGGATGTGGAAGCTGTGGGAGGGATGGGGAGGTTGAAAGGAGGCGAGTTGGTGAAAGTGGCGTTATTGTCCCATGGCCGGTGTGTTTTCAGTGAGTTCGGCGAGGTTGGTCGCTATACCCCGAAGGATACTCGATACTCGCATTTGGATGTCTAGGAGCAGACCTTGGCTCTGGGAAGGACGCAGGGTGTCTGTCCTTCCGGGGTCGAAGTCAGCGTTCATGGAAGACACATTTTTTCCAGCGGGTCCACTTGGCGGCGACGGCAACCAGGTGCGGACTGGGCGGGGCTGTTGTAGCGGCCAGCAACAAGACGTACAAGACGAGCCTGTTGCGCGTGTCAGGGAGTGAACGACTTGCCGCCGGCATGGCGCATGGTGCATGGGGTCTCCGTAAGATCCGTAGAGCAGCAGTGTCCAATGGGCATGGAACACTTGCTCCACGCAGAGCGGAATACGGTTGAAGGAGGGTGTCGCTCGGCAACGTTTCAGCCGACTACACGATAAGGAGAAGTGAGGAGAGGCACACTGCATGTCGCTACGCGGCGCCAGTGCCGCTCGAGCACCGTATGGGTCAGCTTGGGCGACCGCCCGGTCGAAAACTCCAAGTTTCTGCCCGTGCGCAAGGACTAGTGTTGGTGCCAACAATGGCGTTGGCTGTGGGGTTATTTTTGCTGCGCCACAGGTGCTGGGCGTGTGCGACGCAGCTGGGTGGTGGTGGCTGATGGCTCACGCTCGGTCTCTGAGCTCGGAGTCGATAGTTTCCATCTTTGGGCACGCCGATGGACCGGGAAGGTAGCCTGCACAGCATCTCCTACCGACATCCCTACCGCTGGTGTCAGAGCGACGTGGCAGAGTGCATGTATCCCGCGTGTATCCCGCGTGTATCCCACGTCTCCCGCGTGCAGCGGGACCATTGTGGCACTCACAAGTGACACCACAGCGGTGTCGTGTGTTAAGGGGCCTCCTGAAACGATTCATCGACCTGGGGCTGTCTCATAGTAGTACATGAAGACGTCTAAGTAATCTATCAGTCAATATCGTCACTGCTCGCAGCCTCAGCCTCTCCTGGTGCTACACTCGTTCCCGCTGTCTCTCCAGTCACAGAACTCGACTCTCCTTCCACAGCGGACTGGACCTTGCCTCCCCTCTTCTCCAACTGGGATCGAGCGTCTTCGTCGATAATCTCAAACGCAACGGCCCAGTACACGCCCTCAGCCTTGACCGGGGATTCACCAGCGGGGACGCGTCGGCGACAGACGTACGTCACCGCCTGGCCGTCCCAATACCTGAGTAGCGGGAATGACATGGTGAATGGCCGCGGGAGCGTCGCGGAAAGTGTGTTAAAGTCTGCTGTCAGTTATAATCTCATAAGCTAGTCCGACGTGGAATTGTAGCAGCTCACCGAGTACGCCATTGGAGAACTCTGTACCAACGTCCACATCCTGCAGACTCAGTGCCTGTCTGTTTTCCGGCACGCTAAACCACCTTCTACGCGCCGACACGTCGTGTGCCCCGTCTTCCTGCCCCGCGAGCCCCAATGCGTCCTCGCTGATAACGGCACCCACGGGACCCGGTGTGGCAGCCATGTCGGCGCTGAGGGCCTCGGCGTCCTCGGCCAGTGCCTTGGGTCCGCGCAGTGACAAGTGGTTCATTGTCGCCACTGCAGGTGACAGTGCCCATGGCTTGTCGGCGTACAAGTCGAGCTCGAGGGTGGGGTCGATGAAACTGCGATGAGCATGGGGGGCTAGGCTGCCTTGTGTCCAACTCACTACATGAACTTCGTTGCAAGGGACGTCCCCCAAGGAAGACTGTCGCGAATAGGTGATTCGAAGACATTGCCAAACACGACATCATCGGCGGTGGGATTGTCGAGGAAGCGGCCTGCAATCAGCGCTGTGCTTCGCGCGAGATCTCCTTCTGTCTTCCCTTCTCCCCTCTCTACCCCTCACTGCCGCCACCCGCACGGCCGCCCAACTCACCTCGTACGACAATCCCATAGGTCATGTCATCCCTTTTGTCAAAGTACACACCCCCATCGCCCGAGGCCCCCTCGCCGTCAAACCCGCGTACAAAGACGGACACCTCGCCTTCGAAAAGGTCATTCTTGACGCGCGTCGGGGTCGCCGAGTTGACGGGACACAGCGCGGTGGGCGGGTACGCCTTTGAGTCTGATATCAGGACGCGGAGTTTGATGGCCATTGTGTCAGAAGTGTGAGTGATGAGGTAGTGGATAAAAACGACAACGTAAACGGTCGGGATGGGTGGAGAGCGCGTACTCTTTGGAAACGCGCACATGAGTGGCGATGGGCGGGAGCATTACGTCATCGGATGATCGGCAATCAAATGTGGCATTTTCCTGCCTCGACATTCAATGGTCCACACCACCCAACCGTCTACCACAAGATATCGCGACTGGCTCTTGCGAATGCGTTTGCTGGTCAACAAGGGTCGTGTCTGGTATCAAAATGATCGTAAGAAGACGGGCAACATGTCCAAGGAGCCAAAAATTGGAGATACGGCGAATCGAACGCCGGTTACAGACAGATCGCGGTGTTCTCAAGTTGGAGCTCGAAGACGGCCGAATGCGAAGTCTGTGTCTTACCACTAGACGATATCCCCGTTTGGAGATAGTGGATGCCGATCTTTCCGCCGAGGGGTATATATAGTTGATCGGCGGGGGAGACGGAGCTTCGACAAGCCTGATTTTTATCGCGTGTGCCGTTTAACGGCGGTCGGGTATGGTAGCCGGACTGCCTGGACTGCGACTCTTCGTCTACTAGAATGATTCCATGGCCCCTGTCCATGACCTCGTGGGCGCGGGGAGGGGACGAGCTCACCACCTGCCAGGGAAGGCAGGAGCAGTGCAGATGCGAGAGAGATGCAGAGAGATCTGGTAGGCAAAAACTTTCGGCGTGTCAAGATCTGGGGGATGCGCCATGTCCTCACGGACAATTGTGCCCACATGAACAGATTGCGAGGTCAACGCCTGTTCGGGTCTGGTGGACGGATGGACGACCTCGTATTCAGTCTCGCGCCTCTCCAGCCCTGCTGGCGGCGGGCTGGTGCCATGTCCCGTGTGCCATGTTCGCACTACTGTACATATGCCGGCCCGCTCGATTTTCGCACCTACGCAGCCTCGGCCTGGACAGTATAGGCGAGGAGGCTGGCATGCTGGCTTGCTGGCTTGCTGGCGTGTTGGCGTGTTGGCGTGCCAGGTGGGATCTCGTATTGGTCCGAGGTGCGGTGGTTCGAGGATACCTGCCAAGCGCGCAGCACGCAGGGAGCACCCAGTCCCCCAGATTGCGGACCCGCAGATGCCAGTGCGGGACGCTCAGTGCCCGACAGAGATCACATTAGCCGCCAGCAGCGGGCAGGTGTCCCGCCTGGTATGCACCTGCGCATGCGAGGAACAGGAACATTGCGTTCAGAACGACATCGCACCGACACCGAGAATGCCTCGCATGCCTGGCCTGGCTGACGTCTGGTGTCCTGGTCCTGGGCGGACGGCGTATGCCGATCCTGGCATGGGTGGGAGGGACGGCATGGTGGGGCCGCCATCCCCATATCCTGGTTGCGGTCCATCTCCTGCCCAGCTCCTGCGTGCGTCCCGTCCGTCGGGGCAGGTTGGGCAGGTTACAGGTTTGAACGGCGACGAGAAAAGCTGCCAGTATCCACATCTGGCATGAAACCGAGCGCCAACACCAGTCGTTCGCACCTGTTTCCCAACCTGATGGCGTTGCGGCACGTCCATGGCTCGCACTCGCCGTCTCCGAAACGAGGAGCTCGAGTCGCTGGCCTGACGACTTGCTTTCAGCCTGGTATCTGGGGTCTGGACCGGGGGCGCATTCGCAGGCAGCCAGCCAGCGCGCGGGGCGACGCATTGCTCTCCCTGCATGGCTCCCTGCCATGCCCAGTTTGTGGTGGAGGGAGAAGGGTGGGGTCGGGTCGGAGTCGGGGGGCCTGGGCTGGAGTTTTGGTTGGGATAGCGGTGCGAGAGGGACGGACGGTGGACGGCGATGAATGGCAGCATGCCACGTCAGACATGGGTTGCTCTGACTCTGCGCTAGTCTAGGAAGCGCGTCAAACACGACGCATGCGCGAGGTGCACAAACGGGGGTCAACAAAGCGCAGCAGTGCAGCTATAGCTGCCAAGAGATCCAGCTAGAGAACAAGTAAAACCGAACAATCTAAAACTGCACGGACACACACGCGCCTGGTTTTTTTGCTTTCCCTTGTCCGACGACGTGATTGATTTTTTTTCTTCTCTTCTCGTCAGCTCGGTTGTCCGTGGTGGTCCATTTCCTTGATCGAGATCTGCCGCACGCCTCACAGCCTCAGCGCACTTGCTGCTCTGGTTCCTATGCAATGTTCCTGCAGAGGTGCGTGCAGCGTGGGGTGGCGTGCCAGGCGGCCCGGGTGACATCAGCGTAGGATGCTTCTGGGCCAGGGTAGCGCAGACGAGGGAGCATGGTCATTTGCGCCTCTGATGCGCAAGAGCGAGAGCTGGGGTGTTTGGGCAGACGCCAAGGTCCGCCCCGGGCAACCCCACTGAGCAACTGTGAGCAACAGAGGCGTACGTCACTCACTGGTCACTGACCAAAAGTAGCCAGTCACCCGCATGGCCTTTGTATGAAACATGGCGTCCACTGGCGGACAGGTGCTGCGGTGAACATTGCGTTGCTGCGCTCCTTTGTCAGCCGGCTTTGTGCGTCGCAAAGGCAGCTCTCATTAAGTCTCTCAGCAAATGCATCGAGCATAGCCATGCAGGCGCATTTCGGGCATAGTAAAATAAAGGATACAGTCTGTAGGCGTGTGTTGCGGCGCGCGCAGCGCAGCGCGACTCTTTGTCGATAATAACGCAAACACAGCCACAGCGCGTCAGGGTTGTGGTGGGAGTGAGGGTGACGAGCCTGGGAATGGACACCAGGCTGCTTCCATTCATTGTAGGGGCAGCACGCCAGGTGTGCGTGCAGACAGCCGATGGATGGGGTTGGGCATGAAGGTCGGAGGTGGGGTCTTGTAGGGAGCGTGTGCTAGTTGGTTGTAAACGTGGGTGGGCGTAGAATGTTGGTTGAGAATGAATATCGTTCGTTTTTGAAGAGGGCGTGTATGCGTGAAAAGAAGCAAAAAAGGGACACAAATATAACCCGTAGGAGGCCATGACAACGGCAGTGTTCGACGCAAGAATTATTTTCGACAAGCGGAGGGCATGACCGGCACGTTGATGGACGTGGGGGCGGGGTCGGGGCGAAGGCGTAAAGAGCATGTGGGTTGGCGTGTACGATACAAAACGAAACGAGATGAAATGGGTGGGGTGGATGGTGAGGGTCGGGAGGGCTTGTAATTGAGGTGCTATTGGCGCACCATGGCGTCGGCGCACGAGGCGAAGCGTTGCAGTCCAGCACGCTCAAATCCGCGCTGCTTGGCTGAACCAAAGATGGGCGCTTGGCCCATGGACAGAGCACGAGGGCATGGGCTGGCACCAGAAGGAGATGATTCCGGTTCGCGCTCCTCGCTGATGGCCGAGCCGTTGCCACGACGGCCAACGGCGGCCGAGGCTGCGGCCATGAGGAATCCCATGCCACCGGTGGCGGACATCTGGCCACTGGAGGCGCGTTGCTCGCTGTTGTGACTGCGGTACTTTGAGCGGTTCGTCTGCTGCAGCTCCCCATAGGTGTAAGAGCGAGCGCGGTTGAAGCGGCGGAAGTGAGCCATGCCAGTGTCGCAACGCTCCGTGTGGGCAGGGTCCTTCATCTCCACGTAGGCCTGGGGCTCACACTGAGTGGGGCTGGCCTTGAAGAAGTCGCAGTAGCCACCGTCGAGAATGTAAATCTCTGGGTAGTGGACCTTGGGATAAAAGTCGTTGTTCATCTTGCGATCGCGGTGGCGGAACTTGGTAGCCACAGTCGGCGCACGGTGTGCACTGTACTCGCAGTGGAAGATGAGGACAACCTGCTGCTCGCTGCCGAGCTCGCCACTGCAGCTGGGGGTAGGGAGCGACGCGAGGTTGCTGTTGGCGCCAAACGAGGCAGTGAGGAGCAGCTCATCGAGATGACCCTCATCACGGACGTTGGTGGCACCGGCAATGTGGCCGCCGTCATACTCATAGTCGAAGCGGCAGTCAAGAATGTGATACTGCTTCATGCGGTCGTTGTAGCGACCGTCAAGCACGTCCTTGAGAGTGTCGACCGTGATGCGCATAAGCTGGTCATTGGACGACTTGTGGCAAGGCAGGATCTTGCCGCGAACTTCGTCGTGAAGCTCGGGCAAAGCACAGCGCTGCTTCTCGGGCATCATGCGCTTCTCAACCTCGCCGATGGTCGACATTGACGAGCGCATGGGCTTGAATCCTGGCGAGCCATTGTTGATGCGAGGGTTGGGTGGGGCACCATAGCGCCGGCGGATGGCGGCGGAAGGGTTGACCGATGGCGAGCGGTCAAACTCAGACTCGTCCTCAGTGTCCTCGGCCATCGACGTAGTGCCCTGATCGGCCACTGAAAAGGCGCGGCGCATGCTTGGGAATGAGTTGCGCTGGCTACTGGTGCCACAGAGGATCGGGTATGCCGACGACGTATGTTCTGCACGCTGCGCGTTCTCCCCAGTGGGTTGGACGTTGAGAGGTGGGCGCTTGTAGGGCGCCGCACTGCGGCGTGCTGCGAGCGAGTTGGAACGCGAGCCAGCACCGAACAACAGACCACTGCAGGACCCCTTGTCCAAGGTACGACTGGCACGCCTCGACGACGGTGAGCTTGACGGAGACGCCGGGGACGACGACGCAAGGGCTCGACGCTTGGCTAGTGACAAGGCAGGCACCGCAGGAGACTCGCAGAAGAACGAGCCAAGCCCAGGAGAGCCAAACGAGGGGGACTGGTGAGTGGACAGGCGGCTTGGTCGTGGCGAGTCAATGTCCATCAATGAAGGCAGCAATGAAGGGGCGAGGGGAGACTCGAGGGTGGGCGCAGACTGTCTGTCAGTAATGTCCTCTGTCCGTTGTTATCTCACCTCTCGGCGTCCCATCCGAGGGAGAAGGAGCTTTGGTGAGCTCATGTCCTCGTGTGATGTTGCGTGGTGCAAGCGCACGGGCGACACGGGCCGCCTTGCCTCAGGCACCACGGCTGGTGGTAACAACTTGCTCTTGCCCTTCATCGTCATCATCTGGCTGCTGGGGCCGGACAGACGACTGGTGTTGAGCGACAGCTCGCGGCCAAATGTGCGGCTAGGGCCAAGTGGACGAGGGCGTGCGCCAAGAGTCTCTCCTTCGCGAACGCTGCCAAGAGCAGAGTATGACAAGGACATCATGTCGGCACGGCGCGGGGCACGGAGGAGAGGAGTAGGGGAGTGGAGGAGAAGGTGGGTAGACGGCTTGCCGAGATGCATGCTAGGTGACGGTGCCGGGGGGGAGTCGGTCACCGAGAATGACATGGACGAGTTGAATGACTGGTCCACATCGGCGGGGAAGTCGACCTCTGTACGAGTAGGTGATGCCGCGGGGGAGATTGCTGGCGAGTCAAACCTGCCGCAGGGAAAGGACTCTGTCAAAGGTGAGGACGAGAAGGCGTCCATCTTTGCTCTATTGTCTTTGGGTGATGGGAAGACCAAAAGGTGTTTAGAGCGAAGAGGAAGCCGGTAGCTGGGGGAAGGTGTGAGCAACATGGAGGAATGGAGGGAAGACAAATGTCGAGGACGTACGGGTTTAACCATGCACAGTGTGGAGGACAAGGCGCAAGGTGCTCTCTCTATCAAGCGCACTGCCGAGGCCTGGTGGACGGAGGAAGGGAGCGAGGGTCTGATGAGGAGCGAGGACTGGGTGCGAGGTGGTGCGAAACGCGGGGTAACAGCAACTACACTAACGAGGGTGGGTGATCTTATCCCAAGGAGGAGTGATCCTAATAGGGAATGAAGGGGGGATTTTTTGGTGGGATGGGGTGGTACCAGCGGGACAGTGTGTTGACAGCGAGTGAGCGTCGATGTGAAGCAGGTCGTTGGGTACGTGCTTTGCACTGAAAGAGTGTGTGTTGAGACGTCCGAGTGGGTTTGTGAAACCGGGTGTGGGGGACGTGCGGGTGAGCGGAGGGGTTGACTGTGTTGGGTGACTGTACGAGCCGGTGTGGTGCAGCGTTCAATGTTCGTTGTTCGTCGTGGATTGTTGTTTGGGCAGTGGACAAAAGGTGGTGGAACCGTGCAGCAGCAGCAGTTGTTCGCTCGTGTCCGTGTGATGACGACCCTCTAGAGGAGAGGCGGTGGCCGGGGGGGTCGAGAGGGGGGGTGGGAGGCGCGTGCGCACTGGCCGACAAGAGGCTGGCAAAGGCTGCGATAGAGGCTGCGTTTGGGAGGCGCGAAAGAGATGCCGGTGGCTGCCAAGGATGAGAAGCAAAAACCCACAACACGCTCTTGCTGTCTGTGCCAGGCGCCTGAGCAAGGGGGAAGTGTCGGAAAACGAGCGTCGCAGAGACGGACGATGCAGAAACAAGTGAAGAGGGACGGAGAGACGGAGCTGCGCCGAACAGGTGGTAGGTGGATAGGGCCGCGGGAGTGAGGGGGGGACGGATGCAACTGGCGAGTGTGTGGAGGCAGTCGTCGTCTGTTTGCAGGGCCGTAGAGGATGGGGGTTGTAGGGTATGGATAGGTGTGGAGGATGGGGATGGGGGAGGGGAATGGAGGGCTGCCAAGTAGAAGTGGTGCAAGGAGCGAGCGAGAGCGAGAGAGAGAGAGAGTGGGTGTGTGTCGAAGCGAATATGTTCACGACGATGAGTGGTTGATGGGCAGGAGTGCGATCGTGAGAGAGAAGCAGAGAGGCAGAAGGCTGGACGGCTGGCTCAATGTTCCTTTCCGCACAGATAGAGAGACGGAGTGGGTGGGACAATGATGTGTGTCTGTGTGTCGCTTCTGCCGCTTCTGCCAATGACGACGACGACGAGTGTAGTGTATGGGCGCGCGCGATGTGGCGCGCGCAAGACGAGAGAGAGTGCAGAGGGGGGATTCCAGCCTCTCGCGCAGTCTCGACAAAGGGATCGCTCGGAAGAGGCAGACCCCAATCGAGACGGCTGAGCGCGGCGCAAAAGAGCGAGCGTAGGCGCGTAGGTTGGCGCTGCGGGGCGACGATCACGCAGGCTGCAGGAGAGCAGACAGGAGATGCAGGAGATGCAGGAGCGCTGCTGGCTGCTGGATGGGTAGTCGGGGGATGGGCGGGGGTGGGGGGTGGGGGGTTCTGCGCAACCAAAAAGTGGGCGTTCAAGGGCAAAAACAGGTGCGCGCGCGCACCGGCGCTGGGCGTGTGGCGTGTGGGTCCGACGGAGCGAGACGTCGGTGGGCGGCAGCTGGCAGGGAGTGAAGCGAGTGGGCCATGCAGGGACGCTGAGGAGCTGAAGAGGTGGTGGTGGTTGACCACAGAGGCCCAAAAAGGCGGCGGCGCAACAGACATGCCGCGTCGGTAGGTGGAAGTGAGACCCATTTCTCGGCTCGCATGCCGGCAGCCGGGCGCGACTGACTTTTGTCCTTGGCCGCTTTTCTCTCTCTCTCCTGGTCCAGCCATCGCGCGCCGGACAGCTGGCAAGCGAGAGCGAGCGAGGGATACTTTCCACCCTCGTACCTTCTCTCGGCAGGCTCGCTGTCCTGCTTGTGCTTGCCAATCATGCATTCCTCTGCCATGAGCGCGAGAGCGTCTTTCCTCTTTTTTTTTTTTTTTTTTCTTTCTTGCCTCTTTGGAATGCACCGCACGCGCGCGGAGAAACATGTTGCACACACAAACACAAACACAAACTCCTCTCGGGACACATGATCGCCAGGGCGGGGACAGGTCTGGGCGTACGTACTCATCGTCGTACCGTTGTTGGTGTGGCGACCTGTTTGACCCCAAAGAGCAAAGAGCATGTATGCAGAGCCCCTCCATAGCGTCTTCCACACACCGGTTCGTCGTCTGTCGGTGCCCATCCGACCGACGTTGAGCGTCACAGCGGTGCCATACCTAGGCAGCACGTGCCGCCAAATCTCATAATGCCCCGTAGTGCTCCACAATAAGTGCTCCACCAGTGGCCAGTGGTCTAGAACGCCATGCGCGTCATTGGACCATCGTGCGTACTCTTTGCCCGCTGTCTAGACGTCCAGAGACATGTGAGGCAAGCATGGGCTGGCGCCACAACATGTAACACTGCGCGCTGCGCACCGCATATGCTTTTCTCGGCTTTGTGGGCCGCGATAAGAAGGCATACCGCACACATGCCCCGCCATGGTTGCCCGCAGACCATGGACACCCGCACGCACGTCTCGACGCGCAAGAGCAAGCGCAGACCCAACGCGGGCCCTGATGTGTTTTGAGTGTGTGTTTTGTGTGAATGTTTGCGTCTGAAGCCTTTCCAGGCCAACCCAACATTGGTGCCTCAATATCATAAGGGCTCATCGCTGTAGAGCTTAACTCGTGCAGAGCTGGCCGCATCCTATGGAAGCAGTATGACCCAAAAGGCTCCAGTTGCTGGTCCTGTGCTCCCGAGCTGTGTTCGTCATGCATGCGATCTCATGCGATCGTTGCCGTCGGGGTGGTGGTGGTAGAGGGACATAAGGGGAAGGAATTTGCGACACAGCCGGGACAACTGGCTCCCTCAACGCCGTGCCGGGGACACATTGGACGTGTCGTCCACCGGGATGCATCAAGAGTGTACGATCGCTGGACCCCCATCTCTTAAAAGAAGAGCAGGACACCATTCACCATCCGCGCGGTGTCCCACACTCTAAACATACTCGGGCATGCGCCAAGTAGTGCCATTCGAGGTATGGACGGCGTGGGCGGGTGGCTGCAATCATGCAATTCATCACCATGTCATTAGCACAGAGGACATTTCGTAACGCTAACCAAAACGCCCTTGCCGCGACTGGTTTATTTTCTTCTTCGTCCGACTCTACCCTGGAACCCACTCGACAGCCCCCGCGGGATCGCCCTCTGCCATACAAACCACGGCGTCCATGCAGGCGACCGCACATCCGCATGGTGGTTGCACCCCCCCGCGCCGCGCGCTCACGTCCGCTCGCCGACAGATACGGGGGGGTGCCCGTCGCGGTGCTGCGGAGGCGGAGCGGCGCCGCAGGGCGAGCGTCGTGGCGGACGTACAGGACGAGCAAAAGGTGCACGTCCGACGTCTTTGGTGTTTAGATTTGGCCGAGACTGAGAGAGAACGCCAGCAAGCCAGCAAGCCAGCAAGCCAGCAAGCAGCAAGCCAGCCAAGCCAGCCGAGCAAGTAGGTATGCGCCATCTCTCCGGGGTCGTTCCAGCAATGCATTGTGTCCGTCACCACTGCTGCCAAGCTTTCCCGCCATGTACAATAACCCCCGGCCGCATTCCGGCATTGTCGGCAGGCCGGACTGGGACGGAACTGGAGTGGGAACGCGGACAACTCGTGTCGACGAGCAAGCAGGCAGCGTTGAATATGGAAGCAGGATATACCGGCCACGGGCTCATTCAGCCCCTGTAGCTGGGAACCCTTTGCTTGCGCTTGACTTTGACATTGAGCCTTGAATTTTATGCTCAGCGCCCAGCAGCGTGGATGCCGAGCCTCAACGCCCGCCCTGCAAGCTGCCAGCCGCAGGTATTGTGTCCTGTAGGCCTGTAGGTTGCCGGGCCAAGAAAAAAGGATCCATAAAATGGGCGGTCGTCGTGGGGAATATCCATTCCCATGGTATGGCCGTGCCGACGGCAGTGGCAGGTTTGTCTTCATGGCGGTCACATCTTCCCCTTTGTTGCCCACAACCGCGCAGTCTCTGTGCGTGTCGGTCTTGTGAGGTGCCGACGTGGGTGGTGCTCGAGGGCTCGGCAACTTCGTTCGCAGCGAGGGCAACGCTGGAGGCTGCCAAGCCATGAAACGAGTGCGAAGAACGACGTGTGGCCTGTTCCTGGCGTCCTGGTGTCCCGAATCTGCGGACCGTCTGGTTGCAGCAGTAGTGCTTCTTGTAAACCGGCGGGCCTCTTCCTTTCATTCCCTGGCATAGCCTGTGTCTCATGCTTGTCGGATCCATTTGGCCGGGTTTAACAATTGTCCCCCTTGCGAGCTCAACGGACGTGGACGAGGCGATGATATATTTCTTCCCGCTCTCGAAAGATCTCGTTTTTGTTCCTGCGCGATCCCCGGTCCGCGACCAACATCCTCATGGCAATGGCTCATGCAACAGACCCATCGTGTACCTCCGGGACTCTTTCTCACGTCACCCCAAAAACGTTGGTTGCGGTTCGCACGAGAAACGCCGTAAACCGGGACGGACTGACTCGTTGCGAACGGCAACACCTACGCGACTGATTTTTCAGTCCAGCCTTCCATCCTTGGGACCTTCACATCTTGCAGCCACCCTGCGCCTGGCCGCGTTGTCGCCGCCACCTGACCCGCCTGGCCAGCCATACGCCCATGCGCGCGCCCACTATTGATCCTCCGAGGGGGGTGGCCAGCTGGCAAGGTTAGTCGCCAACGGGCCGTGCCGAACACGCCGGCTGGATGCAGAGTGGTCGGTGCCCCGCTTGCGACTGGACAATGGCTGCTCTGCCCGCTCTGGCCGCTAGCTGGCCGACTGTTCTGCGACGACGCATTTCCGAGCGAGCAACACCTACCGTGTACCGAGCGACCGCGAGCGAGCGCAAGCGACCTTGAATGCGAATGATCCTTGCTCGAGTCCCTGCAAAGCAGACGCCGGAGCACTGACACTCTGATCCCACCTCGCAAACTCGTCCACCCCCGGAACTCCGACCCCTTACCTAGCTTACCTGCAACTCTGACACCTTGATTCCTCTCTCGCTTTGACCTGGCCACCTGACTGGATGATACGCACACGCAGTAAACAACGTAAACATCAGTACCATGCTCAGTTCCAGGTAAACCAAAAACCCTAGCCTAAAGGGTGTTGCAACTCGGTCGCCGTCGTGTTAGGTTTCATTACCAGCACGCTGGTACGCTGGACCGGGTTGAGAGGACGCTCGACTCGTCCAACTCCTGGAAACCTGTTGAAAAGAACCCCGTCGTCGCCGGCCCGGAAAAACTGGCAGAGGGAATGGTGGCATGCCTTCAATACACGGGCAAACCTGTGGCAAAGCATGACAGGCCTGTGGCGGCAAAGAAGCTCAGTCCCGCAGTCGGCGTCAAAGCCACCCGTCACTGGCCTGGTTCCAACCCGTAGAGTAGGGCTGTTGGATCCGCTGCTCCTCTCCCCTCCGAAGTGGCGAGATGAACAGGAATCCAGAGGCGAGCAGACAGAGTCCTGGGACGCAGGACAGGATTTTAATATACCAGAGCCAAACACTCCCGTCACAAAATTGTTTTCTCAGTCTAAATCTAAACTTTCCCCTCCGGATCTCTGGATCGTGTCGCGCAAGGCCGCAAGGGAAGTGGCAGCGTCAGGCAAAGCCATCACATCCCTGCTGTGACATGTCGTGTCCATTCGGACATTGGGGATCGCGGTGACTACCCACACCGACCACACCTCTGGCCTCTTTCATGCTCGGCCCTGGTCCATGGCTCATTGGTGTAGTTTTTGTCGTCGCACCATCCTTCCGGCCCTCTCCCTCCGGCCTCCATGCCCATGCCGTGCATGTCGGGCGAGGCGTGTCTACCCGTCGGCCTGTCCGCTGGTCCGCTGCAATCCGCGCGCGTCAAGCGCGTGGCTTGCTTGGCAGTGGTGTCGAGGCGAGGGAAAGGAAAAGCTTGCCACTTCCGACCATTCAGTCGCGTTGGCGGACGCGAGCCAGAGCCGCATGTCCAAAGATCCAAAAGTCTAACGATGGCGGTGATCGCCGCCGACCACATTCACAGGCAATCAGTAATTGTACAATTGCTACCAGTTCCCCCGCCTTAGCCGCTTAAAGGGCTCTCCTACCGCCTACGCCAAGAGGGCCCACGCGATACCGCGTTCGCGGTGACTGGTGTGGCTCAGGCGAGCAGCGATCCCGTAGATCCGTGGATCCGTATAGGAGAGGCCAAACGGGGATGTCGCGCAGGCCTGCCGTGATCAGCCCGTCGCGCGTCCTTGGATCCTTGGCAGCGAGTCGTACCAGCTGTTATCCGGTCCAAAAGTCAGGAATACGTCTATTCAATTACCGTGCTCCTTCAGGTCGACGTCGGTGGGTCGGTACGTTGACCGGAGCGTGACGGGTGCAGCAAAATCTTAGTCTTGCCGCCAAGCAGCTGGTTAGCCACCAGGCCACCAAGGACGGAATTGTTTGCTTTTGTCGTATTTGCCTCGCGCTCGCGCTCGCGCTCGCTCTCACCCTCGCCCTCTGCCGATATAATTCAATTTCGGATCTGCGGGCCCAACTGATGACAGGAGAACCATACACCGGGCATTGACGGTGCGAGGTCCCAATTGGTCCGAAACAGTGGATGCAGTCGCCACGGCCGCTCAGGATGGACGAGGAATGGCGAGCGGGGCCAAGAAGGCACACTGCGGCACCAGAGTACCAGAGGCCAGAGGCGTGCGTTGATCAACACATCCCACAGCCTTGTCGGTGGGTATGAAATCTGGCAACGGGTGTGAAAAGTTGAGCATGTGGCACACAGCCCACAGCCCACAGCCCACAGCACTACTGCCCTCCCATAGGCATCCTTCGGCAGTCAGAGCAGTGCTCCTTGTGGCAGTGAACTCGGGAGTGGGAGTGACTGACTGACAAATAATCTGCATACACACACTGATCAGACTGAGACGCACAGCTATTTACAACGGAATATCAACTACAGGCACTACAGGACAATACTCAATGACAGTCCATACCACGCCTCTTTGCTGGCCTCCTCGCGTCGTATATAAGCGAGGAGTGACATTGCACCGGCCGGTCCCTCCTTCTCTCCAATGTTGTTGGCAGCTGGTACGTGCCAGGCCGGTAACCATTTGTTTGTCGCCTCGTTTAGTGGGCCCCTTTCCGTCACCGTCACTCGTCACAGTGTCGAGCGTGACGGCCGCGGTATGCCATGCGGTGATACTCTTATCTCGCTTACGCGACCACCACGCTGGGCATGGTGGCGGCTCGTGCGGGTTATGGAATGCCACACGTCGGACAGAGCGGCGGCCGGGGTCCGTGGCGACTACTGCGCTGTCCCAATGTGGCGGGACTCGGCGTTGAGGGGCTCATTGTCGAGGTCTGCAAGACCAAGGCCGTTGGTGGTGACCTCGAGCCCGAGTCCGCGCGGGGCAAGACCAAAGCCAAGCTGGTGTTCCGAGTATCCAGCCCCGTCAATGGCCAGGCGGCTCGAGCCCGCCACCACGGCCGCGTCGGTGAGCGGCTGAGCGTCGCTGCCTCCGTTGGACCACGAGTAGGCAAAGCTCGACAGCGAGACGTCGCCGTCGCTGTCGCGGCCCGTCCCGTGCTCGGCCACACGCTCCCCTGCGAGGCTGTCGCCGTCGCTGTCGTCGTTGTCGTCGTCGAGGCGGACCCAGCCACGGCCATTGAGCGCGGCTCGCGGGGAGATTGGCGAGTGGGGAGAACGCATCTTCTCCCCGATATCTCTCGTACCCTTGTTCCTCGTTCTCGTCCTCGTCTTGGTCTTTATCGTAGCCACACGCTTAAGCTTCGATGCCACGCCGCCACCGATCCTTCCATCGCCTATGGTCGGCATGTGAGGTAGCGAGAACCGGTTGGCATTGACGACACGCACGTCAGGCATCGGCGTGTCCGCGTACGGATCCTTGGTCGACACTGCCGCGCGCTTCCCACGCCCGCGCCTTCCCCGACAGAGCACAAACGGGAGGATAGCGAGGATGATGGCGAGGACACACATGCCCTGCGGGGTTGTGTCAGTTTGACAAGTCTGAGTGGCGGTGCCAAAATGTCACTCACTGCGATGAGGGCCGCAAACGCCGCTGTCGAGCCGCCACTGCACAAGTCAGCATCGCGCCCCCGTCCGGCAGCTAGCTCCATGGAGAACGTACATTTTGGGACCACCGCCACCTTGCTTGGCTGGCGCTGTGCTGGACGCAGCAAGGCTTGTGCTCGTCGCTGGGGTCATGTCGTCTAACTGTGTGTGGACGTTAGCCACACTGATCGTCGCCACCGTGTACATACAGGGGAAGAGGATACCACTGCCTGTCAGCTTGTACTCTTCTCCAGTCCATGGGAGACTCACCGTCGCGGACGTTGGGCTGGGAGTGCCCACCTCGGACTTGTAGTGGGAGTCCCGTCCCCATCCTCATTCCCTGCTCCGTCGGAGCGGCGGACACGGGCGCTGAACCGCCCACCAGCGCCAGGACGAGCGCCACAGTAGCCAGTGGACGCGCAATGTGCGCTGGGGGTAGTGAGCGGTCGACTGTCATCGGTGAGATGGGTGTATGAGAAGAGTTGAGGGGAGCACATGCGCCATAAATGTGTCAGAAGTGTTCGAGCATCAGTGGGCACAACGCTGGTACGCTTGGCTGTAGAGACTCTCGGTAGCACCGCTCCCAATGTGTGGAGATTCGGCCATGATGCGCTCATGGGGCATCATGGGGCACAAGATCACGACGTAATTGCAGTAACTGAGACGTCATGAGTCAATTAGGATCTCTTTTGCTGTGAAACAGTAGGCGTGCGGCTGTCGGTGAATTTGTCAATGATACTGGGGGTCCTATTTGGCGAGCCTATGGTTTGAGTGGCGGTTTCGCGGTTTCGCGGTTTCACGGGTTCAACCGTCGAAAGACGAGTCCACGAGATCGAGATGCGTAGTGGGACAACCATGTCGCGAGAGGCCTTGCTGGGGCAGGCGTACCCCAGGTATTTGCTCTGGCTCTTCTTGCGTCCAAACGCAGGCAACCAGGATCGGAGCGCATGTTTCCGGACAGTGAAGGCGATCCACTCGTCGAGTCTGGCTACCGTGGCACCGGCGTGGTGCTACGGTGCACAGTGCGAAGGTCGGCATGCGATAGGTCTTAGTGTCACCCACTAACAGCTTTCTGTGCTGCGCGGGTAGTCATTTGCGATATAATTCAGGAGCTGGTGGTGGCGAATACACGAGAGCCAGCGGGTGCCGTTGTTGAAGACAATGACGACGTCCAGGCGGCAAGTGGAGCAACTCATCTGGAGTGCACAGGGATACAGAGACAGACATTGCGAATGTTTGGATCCAGCCGCCTTGCTGTTGCTCGTGAGGGAGGCATTTTGAGCACAGTTAGAGGGATCCGTAGTGCTATTGTACTTACCGCCGCTGCATGTCACTTCCTCGTAAGGATACCGACAGTGTGACGCTTGGGGCACTGAAGACCGAGGACAGTGGAAGAATGAAGAAAGCGACTCAGCTGACAGGAAAGAGAGAATGGTTGGACGCGCCGAGGAGTGACGAGCGACTGCTCAGCGATCAGCGTCCCAAGGAGCCAGTGGCCGCGAAGGATGCGGTGAAGTCCAGCGGCCAGCGGCCACCGGTGCTACCCAAGCGCGGCCTCCGCCTACCCTGAGTGGACACTGTGACACAACGGTGCATAGCAACATCATGTTAGCAGGTGAACACAAGCTACGGTTGTCCAGCATGCAGTCTGCTCTTACCAGCTGAAGGAGCATGGCGGGTGTTCTCGCCACAGCGGGTAGCCTTGGAGACCCCGCATCGTCACTGTTGATAACGGGCAGCTCCGAGATCCGAATCGCGCGGACGCGACTTGCCCACAGGCGGCGGCGGCGCGGACCATTCAATCCGAGGGGAGCGGGTTGGGGGGGGCGGGCACGTTGGCATCCACATCCCCTCGTTGCTGTCTCTCTCTCTCTCTCTTCTTCTCTCTTCCCCTCTCTCCCACTCCCAGCGACCTCGCCCCGAGTCAATCCCCTCACGCTCCCATCCAGCGTGGATCCAGTTGTATCGAGCCTCGCCGCTGTCTCCTCACACTCCGCTTCCTGTCCTCCTATTAACGTCAGTTGCCACCCGCAATCAACATGAGCGTCCAAACCGACTCGACGCCGGCTGTCGTCACGTACCTCCGCTCCCTCAAGGCTGTGCGCGAGCGCTCCAAGCAGGTCTTTGACCTCGTCGTTTCTGGTAACGCCGACTACTGGGACTGGCACGAGGACAAGTTCGCTACCGTGATTGACGCTTGCTCGGCTATCCTCGAGGTGGGTTGATAACTAGGTCAAGGGCGGCCGCTGACAGCAGCGCGACTTTGGAACCAACTATGACAAGATTCCTCGTGAGTAGATGTCTCTTCCTAATTGTCTGCTGAGAGATACGCCAACGAAGCTGACAGCCAGCTCACTGCCGTGCCAACCACTTCCGCACCACCACCCCGACACCGATCGATCGTATCGCGGCGCTCGAGGCCCACCCTTCCTTCCCGAAGGACCCTGTCAAGCAGGCCGCGGTCCTGATTGACCTGTATGTGGTGTCGGTCCTCCTCGATGCCGGTGCCGGCAACACCTGGAGCTACACCGAGACCGAGGGCGGAAAGGAGGTGTGGCGTGGTGGTCGCTCCGAGGGTATTGCCATTGCCAGCTACCACATGTTTGTCGACGGCGTCTTCTCGGCCACCAAGGGCGACCCCCTGCGCGTTGATGGTGAGTGCTTCCATAGACCAGCGAGCTTGGCACAGCATGTCGCCCTGTGTGCATGTCCACTGACTCCACAGCCGCCGCCCTCAAGGCTCTCACGCCCGAGATTCTGGCCAAGCACTTCCAGGTCACAGAGACCAACCCCATGTCTGGCCTCGAGGGGCGTACCTCGCTCCTTTCCCAGCTGGGAGGTGCTCTCGAGGCTCGTCCCGACATTGTCAAGTCTGGCCGCCCTGGTGACATTCTCTGTGCGTTGGCCGTGTCTGCTTAAACCTCAACGCTAATGACAGTCTACTTCGAGCCCAAGCTCCAGACGGGTACTGGCGGCAAGCCCGTCCTCTCGCTCGAGGCGTTTTGGGCCACGCTCTTTGACCTGCTCTCCCCCATCTGGCCCTCGCGCACCACTCTCCCCACTCACCCCGACTATGTTCTCGGCGACGTCTGGGTCGCTCCCTCGCTTGCCCGCTCGCTGGACAAGCGCGGCGCAGCCCGCACCGAGGGCGACGACCTCGTCCCCTTCCACAAGCTCACCCAGTGGCTGTGCTACTCGCTCATCGAGCCCATCGAGGGTGTGGCCAAGTGGTCCGTCGACCGTGGCGCCGGCCAGACTGGTCTCCCAGAGGTGAGCTTGGTCGCACTTGTCACATAGCTAACATGGCAGTACCGCAACGGGGGCCTTCTCGTCGACCACGGCCTCATCACCATCCGCTCAGACGCGCTCCCCGTCGGCGCCTACCCCAATGGCCGCGAGGGTCTGCCCGTGCTTCCTCCCAGCCACCCCGCTGTCGTCGAGTGGCGTGCGGTCACGGTCGTCGCTCTGTGCGTGCTACCATCACGTCGAATTGATAGCAATGCTGACAATATCCCAGTGACAAGATCCACGAGGGTATCTGCGCCAAGCTCGGTATTACCTCGAGCCAGCTCTCGCTCGCCCAGGTTCTCGAGGCGAGCACCTGGAAGGGTGGCCGCGAGATTGCTGCCCAGAAGCGCTCCAACGGCGGTCGTGAGTTGCCCAAAACCGTGATCCGTGGACAGAACTGACATCGGCAGCCCCAATCGAGATCATCAGCGACGGCACTGTCTTTTAGTACGACTCAATAGATAATCCAGTCTTTGCCACAGGGCCCCCCATATAGCACAAGTCCAAATGTCAATGCCACATCCTGCACACACAAACCTGATAAAACGCTATGCGATGGATCATCTACCTATATAAACCTCACAAGCTCCCAGCCCGCTCTCTGTCTGTATGTTTGTCCGAGCCACCCGCGCCGCTTACATGTGCGCGTGGGGGTCCTCCTCGCCCCTCTGCTCCGGGGTGACGGTGATCGAGTCGTCGATGCGGAGGAGCGAGGTGGCGGCCTCGAGCGCCGACTTGAGCGACTTGATCTTGGACATGGTCGGCTCGAGCACGCCGGCGGCGCGGTTGTCGACGACGTCGCCCTGGAGGAGGTCCAGGCCGTAGAACATGAGTGCGCGCTTGGGGTCACCGGGGGCGGCCTGCTGGGCGGCATTGTGGTATGCGCGGAGCTTGGCGACGAGGTCGGTCGAGTCCTTGGCGGCGTTCATGGCAAGGGTCTTGGGGATGGTGAGGAGGGCAGCGGCAAACTCGGCAATGGCGAGCTGCTCACGCGAGCCGAGGGTGGTGGCGTAGTTCTCGAGGTAGATGGACAGGGCAGTCTCGACAGCACCACCACCGGGGACAACGGAACCCGACTCGAGGGTACGCTTGATGATGGAGAGGGCGTCGTGGAGCGAACGCTCCATCTCGTCGAGCATGTAGTCGTTGGCACCGCGCAGGATGATCGACGACGAGTTGACGACCTTGGTTCCGCGGACAAGGATGAGCTCGTCGTCGCTGATACGCTCCTGCACAACCTCCTCGGCGTAACCCAGGCTCGAGGCCTCAAAGGTCTCCTCGCCCTCGAGGTTGGCGAGCGACGACACAAGGGTAGCACCGGTCGCCCTGGCAATCCTCCTCAGATCCTCCTTGCGGCAACGACGGACAGCCATGGCACCGGCCTCAACAAACTCCTTCAGCACCAGGTCGTCGATACCCTTGGTTGTAAGGACGACGTTGGCACCCGACGCAAGAATCTTGCGCACACGCTCAAGGGTAATCTCCGACTCGCGCGCACGGATAGCCTCGAGCTGCTCCGGGTCGTCGATGGTAATGTGCACACCGAGGTGCATGCGCTGCTTGGCGAGGTTGATGTCGAGACAGGCAATCTTGGCGCCCTGAATGCGGGTCTTCATAGCCTGGCTGGCGACGGTGCAGTTGAGGGCGTAGCCCTTGACCATGAACGACTCGCGCGCGCTCTTGCCGTGGGCCTTGAGGACGTTGACGGCCTTGACGGGGTACTTCTTCTCGCCACGGCCGTTGACAGTCGCAACAGCAAGCATGGCGTCCACAGCAATGGGAGCAAAGAGGTCGTCGTCGGCAGAGATTATCTTCGAGCTCATCGACGTCTTGGCAACGTTGATGATCGCGTCGCGGCCAAGCTTGTCAACCTTGGTCGAGAGCTGGTCAGCCATGAAGCGGCACGCCTCCTTGCACGCGAGACGGTAGCCGGCAATGACGGTGGTGGGGTGGATCTTGTTGTGAACAAGCTCGTTTGCTCGCCTGAGGAGCTCAGAGGCGAGGAGGACAACCGAGGTGGTGCCGTCACCGACCTCCTTGTCCTGCTGAGTCGCGAGCGAGACGAGGATACGGGCGGCGGGGTGAGCCACCTCCAGAAGCGAGAGAATGGTGGCACCGTCGTTGGTGATGGTAACGTCACCGACGTTGTCAACAAGCATCTTGTCGAGACTGCTGGGTTAGGCCGACGGTCACAAGCGTTATGAAACCCACCCGACAGGACCAAGCGACGACTTGAGAATGTTGGACACGGTCTGGCACGCGGTCACTGTGAGGACGACGTCAGCAAACTCAACAACCCGAGTCCTCCTTCGTCTTTGCTACTAACCGTTCTGGTCGCGCACCTCAGTGCCGCTCACACGCGCACCGCCAAGGAAGAGGCCCTACGCAATGTCAGCACTACTACACCGATGCTTGGGTGCCAATCTCCCAGCTCGAGCTGATCTGCGGCTCAAGCTGTCGCGGGGAGCAAGACGTACCGCACGGGGATCCCGCTGGTACATGGAAGCCGCCATTTTTCACGCTGGTATCGATTATCGGGGTCGTTACTTGCGCGTTAAGGCGGAGGAAAGGTGTTGTTTGGGCGATAGAAGATGTCGGAAAGACGTTTCTGGCACTTCTCGTGCTGGCGGCGACGCGTGAACGTCAGCTCTCCCACTCTTTGGCGCGGTCGACGGAACCTAATTTTGGGCACATGGCCGTACGGGTTTGCTCCCGCCGGCTGGCCTCGACGCCCTCCACGTCGGGTTGACGCGCCGCCCCGTCCGTCATGAGGGGACAGGAAGGGAGACAAACGAGCGAGCAACTCGCGCGCGCCGAGCACTTGTTCCAGTTGTGTTGGTGCTGGACACTTTTCTACTCTTTCAGGTCATCCTTTTGTTCTACTCTACGCCGTCATCATGGGTCGGAATGGCTTCATGGGAAGCTTCCAGGGCTTGGATGCCTTTGGCAAGGTGAGTCTCACTTTCATCGCTCGCCCGGTTCTCTGTGGCACGCGCCAAACGCGCGATGCGCAGTGCATCGCGATGCCGCTCCGACAGTCATATCTGGCTGAGCTCAACTGACGCACAACAGACCATGGAAGATGTCCGAATTAGGACACGTACCGGCGCTCTCTGTAAGCTTACATTCATGGCTCAGACCTAACAACAGTGACTCTTATCTCGTTCTCGATCATCCTCACGTCGATCATGCTGGAATGGGTGGACTACCGTCGCGTCCTGATTGAGCCTTCTATTGAGGTCGACCGTTCGCGTGGCGAGAAGCTTGTTATTGACATGGACGTCACGTTCCCTCGCGTCCCTTGTTTCCGTGCGTAGCTGGTCTGCTTCCCAACACCCGCGACATAATGCTGACCCCGCGACAGTGCTCTCTCTTGACGTGATGGACATCTCCGGCGTGAGGCAAAACGACATTTCGCACAACATTATCAAGACCCGCTTGAACAGCCAGGGTGTGGAGATTGAGAAGACCAAGGCTGGCCAGCTCAAGGGTGACGCCGACCGCGCGGCGCAGGCCAACGACCCCACCTACTGTGGTTCGTGTTACGGCGCCACCCCTCCCGAGAACGGATGCTGCAACACTTGCGAGGAGGTGCGCCAGGCGTACATTCGCAAGGGTTGGTCGTTCTCGGACCCCAACGGTATCGAGCAGTGTATCGAGGAGCACTGGACCGAGAAGATGGAGCAGCAGAACGCCGAGGGTTGCCGCATCTCCGGCAAGGTCAAGGTCAACAAGGTTATCGGCAACCTCCAGTTCTCGCACGGCTCGACGTTCATGCGCCAGGGCATGAGCATCCAGGAGCTTGTTCCTTACCTCAAGGACAGCAGCTCTCACCACGACTTTGGCCACGTGATCCACAAGTTTGCCTTTGGCGCCGACCTCACCCCGGAGCAGGAGGCCGCCAACGAGAAGAAGGAGCTCGAGACCCGTGCGCGTCTCGACATCTATGACCCCCTCACCAACGTCGCTGCCCACAGCACCGACGAGGAGGACTCTACAAACTACATGTTCCAGTACTTTGTCAAGGTCGTCTCCACCTCGTTTGTCTACCTTAACGGTGCCGAGATCCCGTCGCACCAGTACTCTGTTACTCGCTACGAGCGTGACCTCCGTACCGGCAACCTCCCTACTCGCGACGACCACGGACACGTTACTACCCACCACACGAACCCTATTCCGGGTCTGTTTATCAAGTGAGTTGATGACAGCTTTTCCAGTGCTAACTCGCGCAGCTACGAGATCTCGCCGATGAAGGTGATCCACACCGAGACGCGCCAGTCGTTTGCCCACTTTGTCACTAGCACGTGTGCCATTATTGGTGGTGTCCTCACCGTCGCGTCGCTTCTTGACTCTATGATCTTCACCGGCCGAAAGGTGATCAAGGGCAAGAACGAGTACGACAGCTTTGGGGCTGCCACTGGAAAGATGGTGGGTTTCGCTGCCGTGAAGTCTACTGACCCGCACAGATGTAGACAATCTAGTCCTGGATGGCTGGACGAAGATGTATTCACGAAGCATTGCATGCATGTTTCGATTGCAACTAGAGGCTTCCATCTTCCATTACCTTCATGTCTGTCTCTGGCCCTCTATCGCAATGTTGTTTCAGCACTCTGTGTCTAGTGAAATGATCCATGCGTGGCAAGTGTACAATAAGAATCAACCTCTCCCCTCACTCCATATCGTGGAGCTAGTCTATTCGCCAACACGATACGCGACCATGGCCTCGAGGCTGTGGACGTTGGTGGTAAAGCTGCGGAGACGGACCTGCTCGACCTTGCCGCGGTCGATGAGGTGCGGGTCGGCGTCGTCCCAAGTCGAAGGGATGGCAGTGTCGGGTGCGTCGTCTGTGTACGCCAGGATGGTGAACGTGCCTGTAGGTGTTAGCGAGGGTGGTTCAATGTGAAAATGAGGTCTGCCGTCGAGCTTGATCCGGCGTGCTTGATCCTGCGCTGCGGCCCAGCTCGTTGTACACTCACACTCCTCATCAAGAATGGGCAAGAAGGTGACACTGCTAGTGATCTGCTTCATGATACCCTGGATCTCGGCCTGGACCTCCTTCTCCGTCTTGTTCTTCTTCTTGGCAGCAGGCTTGGGTGCACCTGGCAGCGCACCGGCGGAAGAGGGACCGTCCTCGGTGTGGATGTCAAACTGCCAGCGCTCAAGTGTCTCGTCCGTCTCCACGCTCTTGATCGCAAGCACGAGGCGGGTGAGGTGCGACGACATGAGCCATTCTGAGAGAAGAAAGCGTAGTCAGTATTAGGGCTCACTCCAGACAAGAAAGATGAACGGACGAGGGAGGGTGCAACCTCCTCCGTCTCTGTCCGCCTCTGTCTCGACGGCACTTACCTTGCACCTGGGCCAGGATGGTCTGAATATACTCTTTCAAGCTGTCGTCCGAGGTCACGAGCATGGGGAGGCCATACTTCTTAACCATTCTGACAGGTCAGCTTGGGCGCGTCAAACCTGGAGGTTGAACCACTGAATACGAACCGGAAGTCATCGGAGGGGTACACTCCACGCTGGTACAGAATGCTGTTTGTGAGCTTTCGTCCTCAAGACAGTTTCAGCTCGTACCTGTTGACGCTGTACTCGAAAAACTCGGTGACAATAGCGACCGATCCCTTGATGGTGATAGCCTGGTTTGTCCTCGTTGCCTGCTTGGTGGCCATGGTGTATGGGGCGATGAGAGTGGATGTATGGTGTCACCTGTATTTGTTGTTGCTGTTGCATCAACCCAAAGTCACGCACGACTCTTGTGGTGGACGGGGCGGAACCAAATATGAAATAGAAAACATGAGGCTGACATTTCACTCTCCACTTTATGGCGCGCAACAGAGGCTGACACGTTTGCAATGACGGCTGGGCGAGAGAGGCTGGGCTGGGTGGCCAACCACCCAAACGCCAACAAGTCGTTCTCCGACCTCTACCATCCTCACTGCCCTTCAACACTCCTTTCTCTACACCCCCGATACCTCCACACCTGTCGCCGACATGTCCTCCTGGATGAATTGGTTCGGCGGGCGCAAGGACACGCGCGAGAGCGCTCGTGACGCCATTGTCAACCTCCGCCAGCAGCTCCTCATGATTGAGAAGAAGGAGGCACACTACCAGACCAAGATTGACGATGAGATGAAGAAGGCCCGCGCCAACGCTACTACCAACAAGCGACGTGAGTGCGGACCTGGGGTGGGGGTTGGTGGGGAAGGTGAACAGACGGGCGGTGCTGGTGTCGATATCCCCATATCGGCCCATCGCCGTGCCGTCCCCTTGCCACCCTGCCCGCCGCCCGGCATCGCCCCGCCGAACAGTATGCTGACACCGTCCAGTGGCTACCGCTGCGCTGAGGCAGAAGAAGGCGTTCGAGAACGAGCTCGACAGGCTGGCGGGCACGCGCTTGACTCTGGAGACACAGGTGTGTATTGACGGTCCTCGCTTGCTTGCGAACGGAGCCTTGCCTATTTCGGCTCTTCTCTGCTCTTTCGGGCTTGTGCGGCGCGCCCCCGGCTCCGCACAACCTATTGAAGACATCTTATCGCGAGCTCCAACAGTATACTAACAGTCCAGGTCAACGCCATCGAGTCGGCCAACCTCAACGCCGAGACCATGGCGGCCATGAAGAAGGGTGCCGACGCATTGAAGTCGATCCACCAGACTCTGTACGTGTTTGTGTGTTGGTTCAATGGGGTGGGGAAAGCATATTTATCGCGCTTGTCCCCCCCCCCTATTCCTCACCCCATGTCGTCTGCTTTTCTCTGCGAGCCCCAGCTGACTCATCTCAACAGCCAGGTCGACAAGGTCGACGCAACGATGGACTCGATCCGAGAGCAGATGGACATTACCAACGACATTTCCGAGGCCATCTCGAACCCTGTCGGCATGGGTGTCATGCTCGACGAGGACGACCTGGCGGCCGAGCTCGAGGCCCTCGAGCAGGAAGAGCTCGACGACCGCCTCAAGGGTGCCGACCACGTGCCCCTCCACACCCCCGCCTCGCCAACCCGCGTCTCGGCTCCGGCCCACGCCGAAGAGGACGACGAGGAGGCGCAGCTCCGCCAGCTCCAGGCCGAGCTTGCCATGTAAGGGAACACCCACACGACTGCCGGCTTCTTCCTTTCTATTCTTCACCCACACTCGCGTAGACGCACATTACAATCGCCCCCCCCCCGCTACGACGTCCACGCATACTAGTCGACCTCGTCACACACACCTGAATCCGCACAAGACTCTGGGCCTACAGAGTCTTTCCGGGTTCCCCTCCAACTCTCCCCCCTTATACCAAGGTCCCGCTAACGTCCATACACTTCCCTCGGGACTCTGCAGGTTCGCCCATAGGCATGTACCATCAGATGCGACGTATTTTTCATCAGCGTGGGGGCGGCAATGACAGGCAGCGAACACAGAGAGGAGAGTCTTATCGCGAAACGAGCGAGCGCGTGCGCTGTGCCGTGAACGGTTATTTCATGCTGCATGCGAGGCCGGATATGGCGGAAATTACAACAACAGGATAGCTAGAGAGAACTCGCGGCAGAGGCAGTCTACTGATTCTTGTTAGGGGAAACCGACAGTGCTACACCTGGACTTCCAATGACACCGTTGCCGTCGGCGCGGCGCGGCGGTGGCGGGGCAGAGGGGAATTGCTGCCTTCTGGGCGTGACCACGCGCGGCGTTGAGAGGGAGAAGTTGAACGCGGGAGTCTGGCGCGGGAGTAGGTTGTGGGCCGTGGTCGACTGGCGGGTACGCTGTGGCGCCGCAGGGAGGGTGATGACACCGACACGGTTACCAAAGCCCGCAAGGACGGCACGGGGGCCAGCGGCGCTGAAGGGACGGACCGCGACATAGCCTAATGGTGGGTGGGTAGCGACACTAAACGAGCCGACAGAGGAAGGGAACGACGCGCGGCCGTTGAGACTGAGGATGCGTTCGGCGCGACGTGCCCGCATGGGCATCTCGCCGTCGGCTGAGGGTGGTGGTGGTGTGCCGGGAGGGAGTGGCAGATGTGTTCCGTGGCGAGGTGAAGTGCCGGCGCGCGCACGACGCTCCAGGACATCGAGGTTGGCATTGTCCACGAGGAGCGAGGTGCCGTTCCATGGAGCAGCGAGGTCAACTGCCCAGAACTCCCACTGCGAGTCATCGATGCCAGCGCCGGCCCGGCGAACACCAACGAGATCGTTGCCCAACACGGCCCAGCCGCCATCGGTGGCGACCACAGCGCCAAGGGGAACAACATCGGCATCAGCCCACGGCATGCGGGTGCCTGGAGACGGGTTGCCGCTGTCATCGGCAGTAGCCATTGACAAGGTCGAGAGCGCAGTGTATGAGCTGCCTTGCCTGTCAAGTGGTGATGGGGGACGGCGAGCGTCATCGGCGTCGCGCCAGCCGCTCAGGCGGCGAGCGCCATGCGACGAGAGCGGGAACTCGCCATTGGAGGCCGGCGGTGCCAGCGCACTCGCCTTGACCGGCGAAGTACCGTGGCTTGCGGTGCCACTCAGGCCTCCAGAGGTTGAGCGGGCGCGAGCGGGCGAGGGAGGGAGGACTAGAGGAGAGCCACGGAGGGAGACCGCAGACGCAACACCCAGTTGGCTCAACTGGCTGCTGCGGGTGTCCTCGATGGCAGAGGCACGGCGGGGGAGTGGTGGGCAGCGGCAGAAGGAGTCGGCCCCGCGGGGCACGACTCGGTCGACATAGACGTTGGTGCCCGTCGACGAGATGACAAAGAAGCCGTCACTGGTCTTGCTGTCGCAGGTCGAGCAACGGGTGACGGATGGTGCCGCAACAGCAATGTCGCGTACTGGCTCACCGACCTGGCCAAACACTGCCGCCATGGGCTCGCCGTCGGCGTCAAACACCTCGATGCGACCTGAGCGGCGGCCAACAACGACAATGTCGGTAGGTCTTTGCCAGTCGACGAGACCGCAAGCAACCGCGAGAACACGGTCAGTGGACTCGCACGTTGACAAGAGCGGGGTGGACGACCACTCGCCGTGCTCCTTGCGCCACATGGTGGTTCTGTCAGGACCGCCGACGATAGCGATAGGTCCAGCGTCGGACGCCAAGAGGTCGACTCGGCAGCTGGCGTCGGCGCTTGCGGGCGGCGCAATGTCGATGACGCGGTTACCGACACCGATGGCACGGATGGCGCCATTGCCGAGGGCAACGAGGAGTGTCGGACGACCTTGGGGCCGCTCGCGGCCAACAGGCGAGGCAGTGAACGGGTCGTCAACACCAGAAGGCGAGTCGTCAAAGGCAATAGCAGTGACACGGTCATCACCACAGCCAACGGAGACTGGGCCAAGAACCTCAGTCTTGCGGTCGTCTGGGGTCGACCAAAGCTGGACAACACCGCCACGGGTGGCAACGGCAATGCAGTGCCGGTCACCGCTCACGGCAGCACCAACAATGGGATCGCCGGCGGGGATAAACTCGGTCGAGACCATCTCGCGCGTCCCAGAGACACGCTCATCGTCGGTGAAACGCCAGAAGCAAACCGAATTGTCAACACCGACCGACACGGCCAGCTTTCCGTCCGAACTCGACGCAAGGACGTCAACATCCGACTCGTGACTTGCTGGGAGCATGCTGACGCCAGCGCTGAGGGTAAGGGTTGTCCTGCGTGGCCGCACCTCGGTGTCGGTCTCCTCGTCCGACGCATTCGCCTCCCGACCGCGACCAAGACGGTTGCGCTGAGCCGCAAGCAGCTCTGAGTCCTTGAGCAAGTATGCAAGCACACAATAGAGGACCACACAGGTGAGAAGCTGGGGCGCCAGTCCGACCTTGATATAGTACCAGATTGGGTCGAGACGGGGCATCCATCGGGTGCGCGGCACCAGAAGGTTGTGCAGGTCGGCAGGGAGGAGAGAGTGGCCCAAGCGTGGGAGAACGACAATAGACGATGGCAGCATGGTCATGCGGACAGAGCCGAGTCCCTGGGGGTTGATTGAGCGCCAGAGCGCCTCGGAAACAGACAGTGAGGAGAGATCGGTGCCAGTTGTGGCAAACATGGTCGGACGGGCGGAAGGCGCAAGCGACGACGTGCTGGTAGGGGTGTAGCCGTAAAACGTGGCCGGCGTGGTGAAGCTTGTCCGTCCGCGCTCCGTGTAGTAGTACAGCACACCCAGCGAGACGAGTAGCAAGATGAGGCTACCACTCTTAACGGTCCTTGCACGGAGAACACTGCGCCAGCTGAAGCGCGTCGACTTGGTGCGGCGGTGCCTGGCCTCATCCTCCTCACGGCGTTTTGCCTCGTTTGATGCAAGCGCTCCGTTAGAAGAGAGCACATCTGCCAACTCCAGACGTTGGGCGTCAATGGACAAGACGGTGAGGAAGAAGGTGTTGAGCATGAACCAGTCGGTAAAGATGACCACGGCTGCGAAAACGCAAAACTCGCGCACTGGTGGGAGGTGGACACAGAGCCAGACAAGGCCAAGGAGGGTGAGGTCGATGAGGGAGGTGAGGGCAATGGTGGTGCCGACCTTGCTGAGACCAATGCCGATACGGACCGGCACGGAGTAGGTGAACGGCACGGCAAAGACAGCCTTGGTCTGTATCGTTAGGGCCCTGTACACACGTTGGCAACGACTCACCATTGCAGACATGTTTTCAGCGCCGACAACAACAACAACAAAGGGGAGCGCATACGTCGGGAGGATGGCCTCGTTCTTGCTCAGGCCCCAGCCGTTCCAGCCACACAGTGAGAGAATGCTAAAGGACATGACGCCCGAGCAGCACAGTTGGACAATGCCGGTAAACGCGAGACCGAAGCGCGAGTGGACTTTGGAGGCGCTTGAGAGCTGCATGAGCAGGGCCGTGAAGAGGACGGCGTAGCCAACCAGCACAAAGTATGGTGGGGTCGATGAGACGACCACTGGTGGGCGCGGACGAGGCGAAGACGAAAACTGAGACAGAAGTCAGCCATGAGCGTGAGAGAAAGAAGCCAGTCGCAGTTGTTATCGGAAGGGAGGCAACTGGGACTCGGGGGCCAAAACAAGCCACTCACCGACACCAATGTCGAGCACTGGACGTTCTTGCCACCAGTGTACGTCTCGGTGAACACCTCGGCACCGAGTGGTGCCAAGGCGTCAGCGAGGCTGCTTCTCCATGCAGACGCGAACGCTGAGCTGTTGGAGGGCTTATGGAATGGCACGATGAGACCGTGATACACCTCTTGTGATGTCACTGCACTGTCTCCGTCGGTTGGGTACCACAGCTCAGACAGCGCGGTGGTACCGGGGATAGAAGACTCGTGGGGAGTGAGCAAGTAGCAAGGTCCAGCCGGCACGGCAACACCGTCGTGGTCGGCAAGATGGCGAACACAGCGTGCGCCCGCGGGTCCGTCCTTCTCCCACCCTTCCGCCAATGACCGAACAGCCGCGACAATTTGATCGTCGCGCGGTGTCCACTCCATGTCGTGCTCGCCATCCAGCACGTCGCCCACATCTGCCCATGCTACTCGGAGGAGTTCCACAGACAGGTCGGATGACGGGCCAGCCGTCGAAACCGGCACCCAGGAAGCATCGGCTCCGGCCTCACTTGCCCACCACGGGCCCCACTCAACGTTGGGAAGCAGAGGCGGTGGTGGAGGAAAGAATGTCTGGCTGAGCGGCGTTGTGAAGAATGACAGAGCACCGCGAGACTTTGCGATGCTCTCGGCGTCCCCTGGCACTGGCGCCAGTGCTGGTCCGGCCATTGGCTGGTCGAAGCGACGCTCGAGGAACATGGCGAAACTCGGGTAGAAGAGGTTGGTCATGACAAGACAGTCGATAATGAGCGTGCGAATCTGTAGACACCGTCAGCCCCGCCGATCTCACGACTGGGCGACCGATGGCGCTGGGTCTTCTTGCCACCGGACAACGACCCGGGAAAGGCAAATCAAGGCCCCATGGTCGTCTTCGTCGCCCAAGACGCTGTGCCGCGCGGTAACACTCACCTGGTTGCGCGCACAGTGTTCACCAAACTGCCTAAAGGCAGCTTGGACAACTCCTCTGGCTCCCTTTGCATACGCGTTGTGAGGCGAGCCCGAGTTGGCGCTGGACGACGCGTGAGCCGATGGGGCGTTCTTGCTTCGCCGTCTCCCACGCGGGCGGGCCGGAGCAGGTAGTGTCGTCGATGACGAGGCGCCGTTCTCCACGCTGGCGGCAGCGGTGCGCGTGCGATGCCGAAGGGTCGCAGTGCCGGTCGCGCCGCCCGCGCCTGTCGGCAGCGTGGGCGCGCCGAGCCAGGACATGTAGGAGTTGCGAGACGGAGAGAGAGGGGAGAGCAAGCGAGACGATGGGGTTGTGGGGGGTCGATGGGGAATTTATCGCAGCATTTGGGAGTGTGTAGTAAGAGACGACGAGAGATAAGGTAGAATACGACGGCGAAGAAAGTGGGAAAGCGGCGGGGGTGGTGCGGATAGAGAGAGTGAGAGTGTCGAGGCGGTCCTTGGTGTTGAGCGAGGAATGTGTGAGCGGCGTCACGCCTCGGAGGAGCGTCGAGCACCCAGGGCCATAAACCCAGGCAGACGGTCCACGCCGCACTTTCGGGGGGTTGGCAGGCACACACGCAGCCAGCACACGGGTTATGGGATCTCCAATGGCCCCCTATTTCCTTTCCATTAGGCCACCATTACAAACAGTGGGTCCCCCATTACAATCCATTCATGTGCACACGGCCGGGACATTTGAGATGGATTTTGTGCGTGCCAAAGGCGCCTCGTCCCGAAACAATCCTGAACGGCATGAACCAGTCCACACGCGCGGCCACTGTTCTGGGCAATGCCGTTGGGCAGGAAGCCATGCTTGCACGGTGCGATCGCAGGGCCTCGCCCCCCCCGTAGTTATTGGTCCGTGCTTAACAGCACGTACAAGGCGTACAACCATAAATCTATTGTCTACCTACGAGTCTTCACCCTCGGACCCCTCATCAGCCACAGAGGGTTCCACGTTCCAAGCACGCGCAAGGGCTAGCCAGTACCTACCCTCTGTGCTTTCCCGACCACCCCAGGGTGAAAGACGCGAAGCACCTGTCAACTGGCGCACATCCGCGTCTGTCAACTCCCAGTTGCCAGCAGCCTGACTAACCAAACGCGCATAGAGGTGGTACGCATTGTGGTGGAACTGGTCGAGAATTAGCCGACCGCGTCGTGCCAGGTCGTCCGGTACACGGTCCCCAGAGAGAGGCTCGTCGTCGTCGTCATCGTCTTCCTCGTCGTCTTCGTCTCCGACGAGGTCGGCGCCGAGCAGATGGCGTGCGCTGTCCTGGTCAATGTCGTCGTCGTCGAGGGCAATGTGGCCGACCTGTCCGCGACCAAGGGCAAACTCGCACACGCCGACACAGAGGTTCCAGATCCGCTCCAGCATCTCAAACACGATAAGCCACATGCCGCCGGCGCGCGACGTCGCGCTGAATCCGACAGTCTCGGCGTGGACGCCGCGCGGAGACTGGTCCAACAGCACGAGTGAGCGGTACAGCGCGAGGTCCTTGAACGCATACGTTGCGCTGGTGGTTGTCGGCTTGGCCCGGGTGTCCTTGTCGTTGGGAGTGGTCACCAACACAGTCGGGGCAACAGGAGGTGTTGTTGGCGAGCGGACGTCGCTGTCGTCCTTGGGAAGCGAAGCAGAAAAGTCGATGAGCACGTCGTACGCGTCCGTGTGAGACTTGTACATGAGGTCAGAGGTGGTTGCGACCCAGCCGCTGTGACGCTTCTTGACGCTGTCCATGTCCATAAGGCCGATCTGGCCGAGCCACGTTGATGAACGCGCGCCGCCGGTCGCCGCAGAGGAAGGAGGTAGGCCCATGGCCCAGATACACCATGCAAATGCGGCGAGAGGGAGGAGGGGCGGTGGCGCGTACAGTAGCTGCCGTGTCAGTTGCAGTTACGCTCCCGTTGCAACTCACAATGCGTTGCCCGGACAATGACGCCTTGTACACTGTGATGATCGTGGGACCAAGCATGGCCAGTAGTGCTGAAAAGTACGTCGCAGGGTGCGCAGGCTGGACCGTCAGGTGCCAGTCTCTATCAATGTCGAGCGCCCACACTCACACTCATACCACGAGACAGACGCAGTGCGACGGTTGTAGCGGTCTGTAATGCCGGAGCATCGCTTGTCTTGGCGCGTAAACTCTCCCACACCGAGTCCAGCAGCGCCTTGACTGCAGGCCCATCAGGGTCGTCGGTTGAGAATGGGTTGTCTACACCCTCAAGCTTGTCATACAGGTCCTCGAGGGGCGTGGCGAGGTCAAAGACGTCGTCGGGCGATCCCGGTGGTGCTGTTCCCAGTGTCAGTTTGGCTAAATTATCCAAGGTAGCGTTGCGGCCTGGATAGGCGACGGTAGACGTACCCAAGACCACACCGAGTGTGCCCATACGCCGTCCGCGGCCAGCGCCCTCGCCTTCAAGTACACGCGACCGGAACAGGCCCGCGCCCGGCAGTCCATGGTGAGAGAAGACCACAAGATCCGTGTCACGGAGGTGCATGCCAGATGGCAGCGAAGTGTGTTCAATCAGACCGGCCTGGAGGTCTGTAGAAAATGTCAGCAACAATGGAGCACTTGCGCAAGGCGGTGTCGCAAACGCACCGTCCGAGAGGGAGGCATAGTATACGACTTCCTGGCCCTTGAGCTCGTGGAAATGGGTCAGGAAGAGGGCCGCAAGAGGCGGGAGAGTGGGTGGCATGGTTGTTGAGAGAGTTGGAATGAGCAACCAGACGCTGTAGCGTCTCTGGTCTTCAGCGCGTCGTTTGTCGTCCACGGCGTCTACCTGTCGGCCGACCGGCAACAACAACGACTGGACCGTCTCGGCTATGCGCGCCTACGTCATTGAACCTGCCGCCTAAGAGCGCCATTTGCCACACTGCCAAAACGGCGAATCTCCGGAATGCGCCAGTTCGCGTCGTCCTTATCGTTCACCGTCTCTCTTGTTATCCTTTTGCTAGGGTGAGAAGCTCTGACAGTGAGGATCCTATCCGAGTCGAGCTGTTGCTAGTTGAAAAAAGCAATTCCCTACGTCAATGAATCGCGTTAGCGGTTTCATTGCAATTTCTGGAAAACTACATTCATTGTGTCCTTTTTGCGGTCGAGCGAGTGAAATAGAGGCCAGACGAGCAGCCATGTAGCTGCATGCACGACACTGCAGGTGATACACGAAGACTATGACGCCAATGCTAGATAATCTCTGGTCTCTGATCTCTGACTCTGACTGGCTCGCTCACGACTGCCGACCACAGCAAGCTACCCCTCAGCTCACATCTTCCAGTGCAAAGTGTGTCATCACATATCTGTCTACAGAGTTCTCCTTCTTCATGCATGCTCGCCCATAGATTAGGCAAAGTACTGCGTTGGTCAGCTTGGAACCCAGAGCTACAGCTGCAACAACTTACGTGGTGCTCCTTTGCCTTGCGCGCCTGCACCTCGAGAATACCACCGTGGAAGTGCTCGTGCGTGAGCTGGGTTGCGTTCTGTCTCAACGCGAGCTGGAGAGTGGTTAGCTTCGAGCCGTGCAAGACAACAACACACCATTCCGGCCTCGACGCAGACGGCCTTGAGCTGGGCACCGTTCATGTCCTCGGTGGAGCGGGCCAGTTCCTCAAAGTTGACATTGGTGTGGTTGAGCTTGCGCGCGTGGATTTGCAGAATGTGCTCGCGCGCCGACTCGTTCGGCAGAGGGAACTCGATCTTGCGGTCCAGACGACCCGAACGGAGCAGTGCGGGGTCAAGAATGTCGATACGGTTGGTGGCGGCAATGACCTGGAGAGTTAGCGGAGACTCCCTGAAGTATTCCTCAATTCACCTTGATCCGCTGGTCGCTCGAGAAACCGTCAAGCTGGTTAAGCAGCTCGAGCATGGTACGCTGAACCTCACGGTCACCAGCCTTGTTGCTGTCGAAACGCTTGGTGCCCACTGCGTCGAGCTCATCGATGAAGATGATAGCCGGAGCCTTCTGCTTGGCAAGCTCAAACGCGTCGCGCACCAGCTTGGCACCGTCACCGATGTACATCTGGACAAGCGAGGGGCCGGCGAGCTTGAGGTAGCATGCGTTGGTCTGGGCGGCACAAGCACGAGCAAGGAGGGTCTTGCCGGTACCGGGAGGGCCGTACATGAGACAACCCTTGGGCGGGGTGATGCCGAGGGTCTTGAACTTTTCGGCCTGCTGCATGGGGAGGACACTGCAATGTCAGTTAAACCGCTGATGAGGGGCAATCGGAAACTCACATGGCCTCGACCAGCTCCTCGATCTGCTTGTCCAGACCACCAATGTCGGTATACTTCTCGGTCGGCCTCTCGTCCACCTCCATCGCCTTCACACGCGCGTCGTACTCTGGGCCGTTAGCTATCTCTATTCAAGCGCTAGCTCACCGTCTGGCAGCTTGTCAAGGACAAGGTACGAGTCCTTGTTCACACCAATAAGGTCTCCGGGGCGGAGCTCCTCGTGAGGGACAAGACCAATGATGGGCAGGAAGACGGTCTTCGTTGTGTCAGCACGTTGCCATCATCCGTGGGATAATCCTAAACACACCTGACGGGTGGAGGTCTTGATGACAGCACACTTGGACTTCTTTGCATTGTGCTCGTTGTGAGCAGCACCCTCCTGAGTCTCGGCGTCGACGTCGAGGATCTAGCATGGTCAGCGCCACCCTGCATGCCCAGGCCGGCCCGCCGCTCGGTCGCGGCCATCAACACAACTCACCTCCACGACCTTGGACACCAAGTACGGCAGGACCTTGTTCTGCTTAATCTTGGTGGTGTTGTCTTGGATCTTCTCAAGCATCTGGTTGCGCTCGTGGGCGAGACGCAGGTTCTCCTGGCGCATCATCTTGACCTCATTGTCAATCATGCGCGTCTGCATGCGAATCTCCTGGACGTCACCCTGCTCTGTCAGCCTCCAACTCTTTGATAATCCAGGACAACAGGACCGGGGGAGCTCTATACGTCTGCGAAGAGCTCCACCAAGGCCCCAGTTCGTCTTGGGATCACTACGCACAGAGACAACGTGCTCCGGAATGTCATCCCACGTCTCCTCGACGGGCTTGACCTCCTCCATCTTGACGTCGTCTCCAGTAGCGGCGGCCGTCTCGGCGGCAGCGCTAGAGCTCTCGGCCTTGACCTCGGCGGCAGCGGGGGCGGTGGGAGGGGGCACGGGGGGGTCGGCGGCGGGCTCGGACATGGTGAGCGGGTTGTGGAAGGTGTGGTTGCAGAGGATACAGAAGGCGGTGGATCATCGACCTGGAGTGCACCATCGAGGGACGCACGCGGACGGAACCAAAACGCGACTCGTAAGCCTCGTCGTGACGCGCTGAGGTTAATGGCATTAGGAAATTGGTATTAGGAAGGTAACTGAGGTTGTTATGTAATCGGGCGTGCGGCTCTGACGTAGGCGGCCAGGGCGGATTGGCGGTTGAGGTGTGCAGTTGCAGCTAACAACAAGTCAAGTCTCTACTCGGTCTCTCCAGTCTCAACTCAACAACGCCGACCCCATGCGGTTCTCCACACGAAATGCCTTCTATTTGAGGGCTTCAAACTACCGCGTGGTACCGTTATTCCTTTACCTCGACGAGCGCCATGTGGACTGGATGAGCGAGCAGGTCCTGCAGCTCGTCATGGCCGACTTGAAACCAAAGTGAGCCACTCTCTGCAGAGCTGTGACTGACCGCCAGTGTTGAGCACCTCCTCACGGTTGAGAAGAACGAAAAGAAGCATCGCGTACATGTTGAACGTGGAGGTGAGCTTTCCTCCTCCTGTATTAAGCTGACCCTCCCAAGATTCTTACCAGTATTGTTATTTTCTGAGGAAGACGACCCGTACCGAGGTTGTGCTCCTGAAGGTTGGTCGTGGCCCATTACACTGAAGCTGACATGTACAATAGAAAAAGACATTCTCGTTACGTCCTCCATCTCCTCCCCCTGCCCCCAGGCCTATCGTCTCCTCGACCCGCAAGCGCAAGGCTCCATCAGCCGCGCCTCGGTCCCGCTCCTCGCGGTCGCGCACTCGATCAATGAGCGTTGCCTCTGCGGTGGAGGAAGCGGACGACGACGACCACGACGAAGACATCCAGGTCAAGGAAGAGGTGGTGGAAATTGATGAGGAAAGGGCGACGGCGGAGCCTGAGGAAGAAGAGGAGACCAACATCAAGGACTGGAAGCCTGACGTGTCACTGTCATACCAAGGTGAGCTACAGGCGCTGAGGGTCGGCTGACAACAGGCTTTGGAACCACCTCTGTTCAGTTGGTTCTTATTATTGAGCCATATCCGCCACTTCCACCATCCATGTATGCTCCACCAGCTTCGCGCCTCTCGAGCAGGTCAGCCTCGCTGGCATCCTCGCGCTCCCGCTCCCGCTCTCAAGCCGGTACGGGCCGCTACTCGTCGACCTCGCTCGCTCTCGATAGTGCGGCGGGTTCATCGCGCGCTCCTCTGCCCGAGGTACGCAACCTCCGCAACGCGACTCGCAGCGTGTCGGTCGCCACACCCACACCTGGTCCCTCGTCACGACGTGGCGGCACGGCGTCGAGAGAGTACAGCGCCACACCGGGCCCAGGACCCAACTCTGGCGTACGGTCGAGGCAGCAGCCGCTGTTCATCCCACGCGACACCCCGTTTGGCGATGACGAGGAAGACGAGGACGAGCACGAGGCTTATGCGGAAGCATTACGTCAAGGCCGGATGCGTCTACCCTCTGTTGCCCCTCGCGAGGAAGATGAGGATGACGAGAACCCCGAAGACCAGCCAGAGGGCATGATGGCTATTGGAGAGAGACTTGTACGCGCGAGTGAGATTGAGGAAGGCGTCATTCGTAACGCTGGTGGATGGGAGGAGAGGGTTGAAGGAGAGGAGAGCGCGGTGTTTGGTAGGGAGGAGCCTGGAGACTAGTGTATGCAACATGTTGGAACGCTACTGCACCGCCACCGTCTACTTCTGCGCACTGGCCTCACTCTTCTGTCAGTGTTTTACAGCTTTTTGTTGCACTATTATGACACAATGCATTCATAATCAGGATCATGCAAGGCTGGAGGGATGCGACCGCGCTGGCACACGATCCCACTACTTCATTCTACAGTAACCTTTTTAGTCGACCTCCTCCATCGAGCCACCGACCTCCTCGAGGGCGGGGGTAGCCTCGGCGACGGGGGCAGGGGTAACCTCGACGTCGTCGATCGAGAGACCGAGCGAGATCATGCGGTTGATGCGCGAGGCGAAGTCCTGGGGGTTGTTGAGGGTGAAGCCCGAGGTGAGGAGGGCAGTCTCGAAGAGAAGGACGGTGAGGTCACGGACGGTCTTGTCCGAGTTGTCCTCAGCGTACTTAGCCTTGAGCTCCTTGATGATGGGGTGGGTGGGGTTGAGCTCGAGGGTCTTCTTCGAAGCCATGTACGACGACATGGACGAGTCACGGAGGGCCTGGGCCTTCATGATACGCTCCATGTTGGACGACCAGCCGAACTGACCAGTGACGAGGACGCAGGGCGAGTCCGAGATACGGTTCGAGACGACGACCTTCTCGACCTTGTCGCCGAGGGTCTCCTTGATGGCACCGCAGAGCGACTCGAACTCCTTGGCCTCCTGCTCGCGGGTCTCCTTCTCCTCGGGGGTCTCCTCGAGCTCGAGGCCCTCCTTCGAGACACAGACGAGCTTCTTGCCGTCGAACTCCTTGAGCTGGGTAACGGCGTACTCGTCAATGGGGTCGACGAGGAGAAGGACCTCGAAGCCCTTCTTCTTGAGAACCTCAAGGAACGGCGAGTCCTTGACGGCCTCGAGCGACTCGCCGGTGAGGTAGTAGATCGACTGCTGGACCTCGGGCATGCGGGTGATGTAGTCCTTGAACGAGGTCATCTCGTCAACCGACTTGGTCGAGTGGAAGCGGAGGAACTCGGCGAGCTTGGTGCGGTTGGCAGCGTCCTCGTGGATACCGAGCTTGAGGTTCTTGCCAAAGGCGCTGTAGAACTTGTCAAAGTTCTCCTTGTCCTCGGCAATCTCCGAGATGAGGTCAAGGGTCTTCTTGACGAGGTTCTTGCGGATGACCTTGAGAATCTTGTTCTGCTGGAGGGTCTCACGCGAGATGTTGAGGGGGAGGTCCTCCGAGTCGACGACACCGACGGCGAAGTTGAGGTACTCGGGCATGAGCTCGTCGTTGTCCTCGGTGATGAAGACACGGCGGACGTAGAGCTTGATGTTGTGGCGCTTCTTCTTGGTCTCGAAGAGGTCGAAGGGGGCACGCTTGGGGATGTAAAGCATGGCCTTGAACTCGAGCTGACCCTCAACCGAGAAGTGCTTGACGGCAAGGTGCTCCTCCCAGTCGTTGGAGATCGACTTGTAGAAGGCCGAGTACTCCTCGGCGGTGACGTCCGAAGGGTTGCGAGTCCAGATGGGCTTCTGCTTGTTGAGCTCCTCGTTCTCGGTGGTGGTCTCCTTGATGGTCTTGGTCTTCTTCTTCTTGCCAGAGTCCTCGTCCTCGACCTCCTCGATCTTGGCGTCACCCTCGGTGACCTCCTCCTCAACGTCGACCTCCTTCTCGACCTCCTTGGTGACGACGAGCTGGATGGGGTACGAGATGAACTCGGAGTGCTTCTTGACGATCTCGCGGATGCGCTTCTCGTCAAGGTACTCCTTGAGGTCCTCCTTGATGTAGAGCTTCATCGAGGTACCGCGGCCGAGACGGGGGCCCTCAGTGTCCTCGGTGATGGTGAAGGTGCCGCCGGCAGCCGACTCCCAGATGTACTGCTCGTCGTCGTTGTGCTTGGTGATGACCTGGACCTTCTCGGCGACAAGGTACGACGAGTAGAAACCAACACCGAACTGACCGATCATGGAAATGTCGGCACCCGACGAGAGAGCCTCCATGAAGGCCTTGGTACCCGACTTGGCAATGGTACCGAGGTTGTTGACAAGGTCGGCCTTGGTCATACCGACACCAGTGTCACGGATGGTGAGGGTGCCCTCCTCAAGGTTGGGAGTGATGCGGATGTAGAGGTCCTTCTCCGAGTCGAGCTGCGAAGGGTCGGTAAGAGCAGCATAGCGGATCTTGTCGAGAGCGTCGGAACAGTTGGAAATCAGCTCTGCAAATGTCAGCTACTGTCACAAGGGTAGGAAGAGAACGGCAGAGGGAAAAAGGCAGATGGACGATCGGCGGTCGGTGGATTCTTCCACCAACATGTCCAACCACCTTTCCTCACTTCTCTCTCGTTCTCAACGTTGCTCGAGAGCATTGAAACGACGTCAAACCGCGAAGGAAGATCTCTTTGTTGCTGTAAAACGTATTAACGATCAGGTCCAGAAGCTGCGAAATCTCGGCCTGGAAGCCATAGGTCTCAGTAGAGGTGGCCATGGTGTTTAAGAAGCTGGGGACGTGGTCAGCACCAAAAGTTCCGGTGATGGCGTGGAGGGGCTCCTTTTCGGTTGCGCTTTTTCGCCGTGTGCACTGCGCTCTTGTGCGGACGCGCTATGCAGACGGGTTTGCGTGGCCAAGGATGTGGGCGGGTCGTACTCACTTTGAGGATGGGGGTGGGAGATGGAGGTTCGCGAATGCGAAGATGACAATGCCTTTTAACGGGCGCCCCCCACACGCCGTCAACTCGCGTCCGGCTCCTCTCGAACGTTCTACCACATTTTGGTTCCGGCAAGCAAACCCGCCGGTGCCCTGTAGAAGGCGCGCAGAGACGCGGCGCCGAGCAGCGAAAAAAAAACCACCTAGAAGCCTAGAAGCCACGCGGTTGCCACGCGATAATGACGTAACAAGCTTCTCGCGCGAGTTCCAGCATTGGCAAGCAGGTGCCACTCATGCCAACTCACATCTCAGCAGTCCATCAGGATATAGGATCAGGTATTAGTGAACAATATCACAAAAACGCACTCACTTCTGTAGCAAAAGATACAAACTTTTGCATCAGCGCATTGGTCACTATCTAAGTATGGCATCTGCACCCCTGGGTTCCGGAGTGTGGCGTACGTGCAGACTTCATATTCCAGGCTTCCAACGTATGCATTAAACCGCCTAACGCTAGTTTTAGGACGGCATTACTATCACCACCGTTGATACTGGATATCTAGCATGAATGGTGAAAGTGGGTCACTCGCAAACAATTTGGATGCGTTTTGCGTCGTTTTTCTTTTCTTTTCTTTGGGGTGTCAGAGCTGACGGTCTTGACTGACTCACCTGTTCTGAGCTCAAACTCCCCTGTATCTATCTACTCTTTGCCCTTGTCTCCATAGAGCTTCTTCTTCTTCGTATTCTTCTTCTCATCATCCTTTGGGGTCGGGACTTCGACGCTGTCCGACCTGCCAGACGCCGAAGCGATCTTGCCCGTTACGCGGTCAGACAAGATGAGCCGGTGGCCGATCTTCCCACCTCCGCCGACCCGGGTAACCTCGCCGGGATGTTTATCCTTGACGTGCTTGGTGAAATTGGGCCTTTGTGTAAACGCCTTGGGAGGGTCACAGCAGTGGCACACGTTGGCAACAACCTCTCGGACACGAGGCTTGGTGGGTGGCTCGGTCACCTGCTTGGATACTGTGATCCGATACGATTTTTCTCCCTTGACGCGTGTCCATGTGCCGTCGTCCGTCACTTTGACACCTCCTTTGTCTGGACACGTCTGGGCATGGCCGACAAGGGCAGCGCTGTTCTGTCAGTCATATTTACCGTCGCTTGACTCACTAGCTCTTGAAGCCCTTGTAACCGCCCTCCTTGTCAGGGTAGAGGTAACACTGGTGAACACGCGCATCATCCGGGTTTTCGTCGTGTTGACGCTCGTGCGCGTCAAGGCCACCCCTGGTTGTGAGCTATATGCGCGCCAAAAGAAAGACTTACTGGAACGTGAACCGGCTTTCGCAGCGCGAGCACTGGAACAGGGTGGCGTCGTGAATGCGGACGTGCTCGTTGAGCTCCGACACGCGGGAAAAGCTCTTGCACTATCAGCGTCATGCGCCATGAACAGAACTCACCTCGTCACATCCACGCTCGGGGCATGGGAGCAAACCCATCGGCTTGACCGGTTTCATCTTCCTTGGGAGGGGCACGCGCGGGACGGGGAGAGGCAGCTGCTTGTCGCCTCGGCGATATCGCTCGCGGGCATCGTACAGCAACTCGCAGATGCGAGCCAGCTCGAGTTAACGTACCTCGGTTCCTCTGCGTGCAGGTCAGCTTTTCGTCACCGTCGGTGCACCATATGAGCATACCTAGGCTCCCCCCTAGTTGTGCTGTATTCCATGCTCACCGATGAGTCCATCGCGCTTCATGATGTTCTTAATGCAGTCGACTGACGATTGGAGCTTTTTGATCTCGGTAGGCCTATCCTTGTATTCTTCGCAATTGCGTTGAAGCCGCTCGCCACGGGACATGACTCCGAAGGTACTATGCACCGTCTCGTGGGGTGGGCACCGACTTGTTGGTGGCGATCCATGGCTTTGGTTGATTAGGCCATGCCATGGCATGCATTTGGACAAAGCTGCCGAAGGCGAGCATAAACCATTGCTCGACGTATTTGTTGACGGTGCGACGCAAGAACAGCATCTGTTTGGGCTCCGAACGCTTCAATGGAGCTTGGGACCAGACGACATGCGTGGTGAGGTCAAACGCACCGCCGTCAATCCCCTGACGCTTGTAAAGTTGATTGCGATACCAGCGATAACAATGTGGCCCGGGTTGATGTCCTTTCTCTTGGCTGCGGGCTTCAGTAAACGAGCTGACACCAGACTCACCAGATCTTCAGCAGTGTGACGAGTGACTTGATGAAATCCTTGTGGCCCTTCGCTCGACCCTTGAATCCGATAGCATCGTTTTTACTGTCTGCGTGCAGTGGGATCGCAGTGCCGAAGCACAGCGCGGTCTTCAGGAGACCGTCGCTGTCACTGCCCGAACTGACTGACAGAGCTAGGCTGGGGGTACGGCGACGCTGGAGAAAGGGATGTCTGCTCGCCATTATTCCCCTCCCACCACCTTATGCACAGCACGAAGCTTGCCAGTCTGCTTGGCCCCGGCCTTGACGCCCTGGGCCTGAGTCTTGTGGCCGGCCGTGGGATCTCCTCCCGCGCTCTCAAGGAAGCACGGCCTTGAGTCCAGGTAATAATCTTCTTTGGTGGTTGGGGGTTAGCCGAAGCCACGAGTTTCTGGGCGGTGATGCTGTTGACGACCGCGAGGCGCACAGCGGAAATGGGGTTAGTATGTAGCGAGGGACGACGCGGGCGTGCCGGGCTGCTACCCAGTCAGTGGCTGCTTTCTGTCACCTGCGACTCGCCTGGATGGAGCGACCACCGACCTGCCTCTCTGCCGCCTTGCTGTCCTTGGGGAGCTTCTCGAAGGTCTTGGGCGCCTTGCTCTGGAGCTTCACAGACGCTGTAACCTCCTTGATGGGGACAAGGAAGGTTGAGAGCTGGGTCTGACGAGGACGCGCGACAACGTTGGGCTTGGTTTGGGGCGAGGAGCGGGGACGACGCGACTGAGGGGCGCAGAGTCAGTATTCTTCCCTGCAGTGTGCGTAGCCAAAGAATCACATACCTTGACGACGGTCTTCCACTCGCTGGTGTCCTCGCTGGTGCCCCGGTCGCTCTTGTTCAACGTCGAGTCCGGAACAACGTTGCCCATCTCCTGGAGGAGCGGCATCGCATAGTAGTGGCTACTGGCAAAGCCGATGGTAATGGTATTTTGATAAGTGTCGTCACCGAGGTTGGTGATGACACACCGTTTCCTTCCACAATCTGAATGTTGGAGTGCAGGGCGTGGAAGAGGGCACCCATATCAACATGGTCGGCCCAGGTGTAGGGGTCGGCCAGGTGGGCTGCCTTGCCCGTAACACGATCAGACAAGACAAGACCGTGGGCAGCCTTGCAATCGCCACCAACACGGGTAATCTCCTCGGGGTGCTTCTCCTTAAAGTGCTTCATGAAATTGGGCCTCTGGGTAAATGTCTTTGGTGGGTGGCAACAATGGCAAGTGTTCGGGATGACCTGGACCACCAGTGGATCCGCGGGTGCTTAAGTTATGGAGGCAGAAAGATGTATGCGCACATCACGTTGAGTCCGGTTGTGGCGCTCGTCGGTGAGTTGGTCTGGGTGTTTGCGGGAGACGTGCACGCGTAGTTCGTTGCTGGCTTGTTCAGCGTATCTCACCGTACACAGTATGTACTCACTGGTCACTGATCCCGGAATGTTGTAAAGCCGGAGCGGGCCGGGCATAGATAACACACATGTGGGTGATCCATGGCGATAGCGCCTGAGGGAGGTATCGTCACGGCGGTCTTGACGTAAGTGTGGCGCGTCCAGACCTTCTGGTCAGTTAGGTCGTCGGGGTGACACCTCTGTGCGTGTCCGACGAGGGCGTCACTGAGTTGTCAGAACAAGTTTCAACTTTGCTTGAACTCACTATGTCTTAAACGCCTTGTAACCGCCTCCTTTGGCTGGACACTTATAACAAGTGTGACTTCCCTCAGTGTTCGGGTTGGTTGCGTGCTCCTTGAGATGGACGATCAAAGCGCCACTCTTTGGTAGCATTTGTGATTCCGCATGTACTGGACGTACTTGTGTTTGAAGCTCTGTCCTCACGTTGAGCCACTGTACTTGGATTCGGCGGAGTGCGAGATCATGTGGCTCGCCAAGTGGACCGCGAACTCGAATACCTGGGGGCGAGTCAGCACATTTACTGATAATTGTACATCAAACCTACCTTGTCACAACCGTCTTCGGGGCACGGGTGACTCTTTTTGGGTTTCGGCTTCGGGCCCGTCGACACCATTGTCAGTGCCACGGAACAGGGTGGGACAGGAAGTTCTGGCTGACCATGGCGATGGCGTCAGGTTGCCTCGCGAAGCCGTTGCTTCATGGACGCGTGCTCCCTCTGGTATGCGGGGTCGTCTTCAACATCAGCATCGGTTCCCCCTTGGAAGTCACCGCTCAGACCGTCACGATCGATAACCACCTTGATTCTTGCAATACGGGTGCGCAGCTCCTTGCACTCGTCCGACAGTGTTGCGTAGTTAGCCTTTTGGCGCCGGAGACGCTCTTCTCGGGTCAAGGATCTCCAAGTGTGCCGAGGATGTTTTCCTGGGTCGGACGTGAACCGCAGGTGCCGACAAACGGATTCTTCGTGTCTGGGAAAGCTAAAGAGGCCTGGCCAGCAAAGGCTCCCAAGGCATGAGCAAGCCATTCCTCCACATACTTCGTACACGCTCGGCGGAGGAGGAGCGACTCCTGTGGCTCGCTGGCTCGGATCCGAGGCTGAGTCCAGAGTTGTCGGAAATGAAGCTCGTAGTCGTCATCTGCCACGTTACGCCACAACCGCCACTTTGGCTGTAGTCCTTGGGTTCGACTAATAGATCAGCATTTGAAGTTCTTGTGTGTATGTACTTACCACTCTTCCAACATCTGTATGAGCTTGCGGATCATCAACAGGTGACTCTCCCGACGGGCCGCAAAGCCAGTAGTGTACGTCCTTGCTGGGCCGGAAGCGGCTGACAACTGGGTTTGGCGCGGCGTGGCAGGCTTGGGAAACGAGGGATAGGACGAGTTGACGCGACGGATCTGCGTGCACATCAGTTATCTTCCTTCTACAGTGTCGTTTTGACCGAGAGCAGTGACTTGCCTTACCGAGAGGCTGGTCCTGGTACACCTCAACGGCGCCATCGTTGATCTTGTGGGTGGGGTTCTGCTTGAGAGGGAGCGCATAGTAGTGCAGCTCGTCGTTAGAGAAACCAATTGTGAGGGTGTCGCCGTGGTTAGAGCCCAGCACAACAGTCTCTCCGGTTGCCTGGACAATGGCGATATCTCTGTTGAGGTGCTTTGGCCAGAGCACCAATGTCGGCGTGGTCGGCCCATGTTCCCGGCTGCTCCAGGGCGGCAAGGTGCTGCTCAACGGAGACACCAGTACTAGTGAGGAAAATACCAAGAACGATCGGGACTCTTCCTATGAGCCTGGATAGCCCCGGTGCGGAGGGACATGTGCTGCTCCTCGTGGCCGGTAAGGGCCATAGAGACTGCCCGGAAGGCGCATGCGCGGTCGCGCTCAACGTCAACAAGGTCACGCCCAAGGGCGTTGGCCTTGGCCAGGAGGGCGGTGTAGGAGGGAGCTGGGGGTCAGTTGGATGGACGATGTTGCTTCACAAGGCGGGCCGCACGCAAGGCGCACCACACGCCCCAGCACATGTGTGACAAGGAGGGGAATTCGAGCGACGGAGAGGTGTGCGTTGGCGCAGACGTACAGGTCATTGTGGGGGTGGTGGTTACTTGTTACTGCTGTTGCTTGGGTTGCTGTTCTGCGGCGAGGTAGATGCAAGGAGAGCTATTTGTTTAAGGAAGAAGGAGGGTCGGGCAAGGCCACTTAGCACAGTCAACCCCCTCACCCCCACCCCGGCCGCCACCCAACCCCCACCCAATGGGTCTTCCAGCCAGGCCCTCCCCCCACCGTTTTCCCCTGCCAGAGCAAAACACTACACACATCGGCAAGACGCGAATCAGCAGAGCCCCCGAAAAGGCGTCCCAAGTCCACCCCGAGCTCATCCAGCTGTTGCTCCTCCTTGAAATGTGCATCGCGAATGCAGCACAAGATAGACAAAAGGTACGATTTTTGCCCGTTTAAACCCTCGCGAGGACGTGGTGAGAGGGTCGAGAGGGAAGGCATAGAGCCGTGCAACAGAACACGAAACCGGTGGGTTCCTTGCGTCTGGTGCTCTCCAACATATGCAACAAACTCAAGGCGGTGGCTTTATGGATTGGCGAACGTCCATGCACGCGTGCTGACGCTGCCGTCGGACAAACCTCATGCGGAAAGCCGTAATACTGAGAATTGCACACCGCCACAAAAAGCCAGACAGTCACGCTCGACGGTAGTCAGACAGCGTCCAAGAACTGGTCTGCGCTTGATTCCCATTCATACCGCCCGCACCAGTCTCTTCCACCCGCAGTGCCAATCCTGGAGGGTTCCCACCTCGTGCAACTTCCCTGCGATACACTCAAAGTGGTGGGGAGATACATAATACAATAGCTGCAACAAACTACAACTCCATGCCTTCGCCCTCACCGTCCTCGTCCTCGTCCTCGCCGGCAGTGCCATGCAGAGGAGGCTGCCAGATACGACTGAGACACCCGTTAGCAACCTGTCAGGGTTTTTTGGTCCACTTACATTTGCGTGTCGTCGCTGCACGACGCAAACAGCTTGCGAGACGACACGGGGTTCCACGCCACGGCGTTGACGGTGTCGCGGTGACCCGAGAGCACTTCCAGCGGAGTGGCCGCGTTGCTCTGCCAGACGTACACATGGCCGTCTTCCGAACCGCTGAGCACGAAGCGGTCCTTGGTCGCGCCAAAGCTGCTGCGGATGAGGAAGCGGCTCTGGACGTGGCCGACATACTTGCGTACGACGTGAAGGTGTGGCTCGAGGGCGAAAAGCTGGAGCTCGTCGGGTGCACAGCTGACCAGCACGCGCTTTCCGTCGTGCGAAAGCTTGAGGCTCGTCACGTCCGAGCACTGGATGTCGGAGACATAGTCGACAATGTCTCGGTCGGCGATGCGAATGACGGCAACGCCATGCTCCATGTTGCCATACGCCATGTCGTCTGTGCCACGCTCATCGGACGGGTTGGGGCGGACTGAGATGGACGGCTTGAGCTTGTTGTGCGACGCGACGCGACGCAGCCACGTGAATGCTGCCACGATGCGGGTCGAGTCGGGCGTAATGACAAAATCAATAATCTGGAGGTTGCTGATCGACCACTTGTTCATGACGCTGCCGGAGCGGCTGTAAAAGACGACGTGGCAGTCGCAAGATGTCACGACAAACTGCTCGCCGTTTGGCATCCATTGGATGGAGCTGATGGTGTCTGTGTGTGGCGACGAGTCCAAGTGAGAGTTCTTCTGGTTTCCCGTCTTGACGTCCCAGACATAGACCCGCATGAGCGAGGCCGTCACGAGTGTGAGGCCATCGGGCGACCAAGCCAAAGCATCGACGGCGCCCGCGTGGCCCTTGAGATGATGCAAGGGGACAATGCTGTACTGCTTCCCGTTGCCCTCGGACGGTGTCTTGAGCTGCCAAATGACGGCGCTTTTGTCTTTACTGGCCGACGCGAGAAGGTTGCCATTCGGGCTCCACTCGATACGCCAGACCTCGTCGGTGTGATCCGCAAGCACATGGGTTGTGACCGAGGGGAAGGACCCACTGGCGCATTGGTGGTCTGTGTATAGGGAGACTGGGTCACTGTCGTCGTGGTACAGACATGACTGTTGCTGTTGTTGCCGGGCTTGATCCAAGAGGGTAGCAAGACGCCGCTGGGGTACCATGACCTTTGGGGAGATGTGTTCTGCAGGAAATGTCAGCCGAGTTGACGGTCGAACGCCCCTGTACCAACCTTGGAGTCGCTCAAGAAGCTGTCGTCGCGAGATGCCCGCAGCTCCGTCCCACTTGGCTCGTTCGTAAAGATCCTCGCGATCCAAACACATCATGTAGCTTCCCGCGGTGTCAGCTCTGCTTTGCTCTCCTCTTGTAGTAAGTACTTCACTACTCACCCCGACAGGTCGTGCAGAGAATCCTTGTCTGTTGCCGACGAAGCAAGCTCATTTCGGAGAACTGCGAGAGCCTTCTTCTGTTGTCCAGATTCGAGGTACTCGAGGTACTTTTGCTGAGCGATCAGGAACTTGGCGTGCTCTGCTGGGTTGACGTCTGCCTCTTTGGTGGTCAGACCCGAGGCAATGCTGCTGCGCGACGAAGCGACCTTGGTGAGCGGGCGGGAAGTGATCCCGAGATCGGAGAGCAACGAGATGGCTTCGGACCACCGTCCGCCGAGAACTGCGGCCTGGAAGTCGAGGGCTGCGCGAGAAGCAAGGGTGAAGCCAGACTCTTTGGCCAAGACGTCGGCCGCTTGACTGCAGGGTCTCGTTAGCGAGACCTCGAGGCTCTGATGTACTCACTGGTAGCCAATGTCCTGCAGGCCCTGAAGCATCAAACGGACGACCTCTTCGCGGTCAACGGGCATACGCTTGCCAAACGCCTGTTTCCTGGCGGGTGGCCGCGCCCGGACGTTGTCGGTGTCGTCGTCCGTGTCCATGTGGTCCATGGGCACATCCATGTCGTGGTCTGGCTGCCAGTCCTTGTCGTCCATGTACATAAGGGAACCGGCCGGTTGATAAGGACGGATCTGATCCAGAACCGTCGGGGGGAGGGAGTGAGGTCCATTCTGAGGAGAGGTACTGCCGGTGGCGGCTGCGGTCGCCGCTCCGTTACTGGCGGCGCCGTTGCTCGTGGTAGGAGCACCCATAGTGTGCTGTTCGGGGAGAGGGTCCGCAGCGGTCATGGACGAGAGGTTGGAAACCGTGCGGGGTCGCTGGGGTGGGCGTGCAGTCTGGTGGTCGCCGGTGTCGGATGGAGAACGTCGGCGCACTGTCCCTCGCTGCATTATCGTGCGGCGCGAGCGAGGGCGAGATAAGGAGCAGGGGTAGAAGAGGCAGGCGTCAGTTCAGTGTACCAGTGTCGTCTCTCCAAAAGTGGGCGGCGACAACGAGTGGAAGAGGAAGCAAGAGTGGACTCACCGGCAGATTAAGCGTGTCGCCCTGTGGCTGGGTGGCAACCGTGGCCAGGTCGTGAGACTGTGGTGCGGTTGGTGACGCTAGGGGTGATCCGAGGTTGTTGACGGAGGGCTCTGGTGAAGCAGTGGGAGGTGGTAGAGGGGGCGTCGTGGGCCGAGGGCGGGATGCTACCCCTCCCTAGTCGACTAGGTTGGAGAGGGTGCTTGGGGGGAGAGTTGGAACAGCGATGGGAGATGGTGAAGACGGAGGTGGAGTCGGAAACACCAGGTGTGGGTGGGGGACACGGGGTGGAGGGCGATCGTGTCGTCGAGTTTGCGAGTTTTTCAATTCACTTGCGAGCAAATGACAAAAATATGCTGGACAGGTGGATACGTGGCGTGGAGAGCTGCGACAAGATAATGTCACGAGTCAAGACCAAGGTTGCGAAAGAGTGAGAGCTCTCGCCTTTACGCTCTCGCTGACGTCGCGGGTCTGTCCTGTCCTGTCCCACTCGGGCAACCGCTCACCGCTCCAACGGTGTGGCTGCACAACCCTGGCCCCCGCGCGCCGCCGCGACCGGGGTACGGGGGAATGTTACAATGCTTAACCGCTCCCTCCCCTGACTAAATGAGGCCAATAGATCTTGTGGACACGCAGTTGCAACACCCGTGGGTGGTGTGGTGTGCATACTGTCGTGCTTCTTCTGGTGCTTGGGAACTGCAAGCAGACGTAGACGCACCGCAAGTCCAGAACATTACGCATCGGAACATTCACCGAGCGAGCTGCGGACAGCCTCATCGACGTGCCTCATATCGCACATCACCCATCAGCACGCTACAGCGGAATCAAACGGGATCATTCACATCAGCCACATTTGGGTCATTATTGACCGTGTACTCTTTTTGGCCACTTTGCATCGGGTCTCTGCACACGCCGCTTGCTATCTACAGGGGTCGTCTAGTTGGCCATTCCTATCCGGTTCTTGTGGGGCGGTACCTTCGGCCGGTGGGCTGCTCGTGACGTTGGCGCACAGTACCCCAGGACTCACGCAACACCACCACATTTGATGGTCTGTGTTGACAGTCCGTTGCTGGCGTATTGGGATTGCCCAGCCGGCCCCAGGGTACAGCGAGTTCTTGCTCTCTGGGAGTTGTGACGTGTTGGCGCGCGGAAGGAGAACGTGGCGCGCGACAGGAGGTCGCCGATGCTGTTCTCGAGCGGCGTGAGAGTACTCGTGGAGTGCGTACAGGGACTTGAGAAGTGTCAGAGAGTAGCCCGCTTGGTCCATGGTCTTGGACATGCCCTGGCTGACCAAGTTGAGGGCGATCTCGTTGGCCTTGATGACCCGGTAGTCGGCCCAGGGATCGGGCCTTGACCTTGTCGCTTCTGCTGAGATACAACGGTCTAGGCTAGGAGGGTGCCGTCGGGGGGGATGTTTGACACGCACTGCTCTTTCCCAAGGACCGCTGGGTGGGTGGGTCAGGTGTGGTGGTCAGCACACTCAGATCGTATCCAGACTTGCAACAACACCCATACACCCTACACCTCCTTACCACCACGTGCCACATCTTGCAACATGTCGCTGGACATCCCCGAGGGTGAGGCGGAACCCATGAGGCGTGGCGTCGTACGTACATGTGCAGTCGAGCGTATCGTTGACGTCAAAAGGACTTTGGTCGCCACCCATGGGTGACCTACCACGATATGGCAAATGGCTTCAAGCCCGCCACGGCGATATCATGCACATTACCTCAACTGTCAACGGCCTGGTAATCCCTCCAACGGTGGATTGCGAGTGCCGTGGAATCGACCAGCAGGTGGCCGACCGCATCAACGGCATTGAGGAGGGAGTTGTGAGTCGAGCAACTGCGAAATGCCACTGACATTTCGTACTGGCCTCGCTTGCGGCGGAAGATTGCCCAACTTCGCACTTGCTGGTTCAGGTGGCACGAGTGGCGCCGCGTCATGTGGCTGAACCAGTCGACACCGACCTCATAAAGGAGGTGGCTAGCAACTATGCTCACCGCGACCTCATGGAGTACCATGGCTTGCCGCGAGACGACGTTTGGACCGACGCTGCCAACAACGCCTTGGACGTGCGCAGACTCGCTGCTCAAATCAATGAGAATGAGCACTGAGTGCGACCTGGACTGGGGCATCTTCCCGGCCGAGAGAGACTTTGAAGACCGCCTCATCCGACCCCAGCTGGCCGAAGAGGATGCCGCCAAAGCCGCGAGGAGGTCCGCCCTCCGCGTACAGCGAGCAGGGGCGGAGGCGGAGGAAGAGGTGGAGCCGGAAACCGAGCATGACGCTCTCCAACGGGCACAAGACGAACTCGATGCCGAAATGGCAAGGCGACAAGCGGACCTCACACGGCGTAGGCGCGTAGGGCCGCGGCGGAGGCTGCTCGAGTGGCCCAACAGGATGCAGAGCGCCGAAAACTCCATCTCAACGATCCGCGCGAGTAGTGAACTAGAGGATATTTGTACATGTAGAGCGTGAGGGAGGGGACGGGGACGTATGAACAGCAATGGTGAGAGCGTGAGGGAGGGGACGGGGACGTATGAACAGCAATGGTGACGATGGTGACGAACAGGGCGTGGGCAGTGGACGGAATCAAATTACCACTGTACCACTGTTTTGGGTGGCGTCTGTTTTCTTCCGCGTCTCACGACCTGCACCCAGGCCCCGGCGAGACGCGTCTGGTCAAGCTGACGCGACTTGACCAACTTGAACATTACCCACACCCAAACAACAACAACATACCCTCACGCAACAACAGACACGCTGCGACCAACGCTCGCCTGGAAAGCCCACTCCCATACCTCATCCCCACCCCTCCCCCACTGCGGCAGCCCCGCAAGCATAGCCACAGCAGAACAGCGTCTCCAGGCAATGTCTGCGAACGGCAACAGCGCCATGGACGTTGACGACGTCGTCGATCTCTCCATGTCAAGCCCGCTCAGCTCTCCTAATGCCAAGAGCAAACCCATGGGCAAGCGCAAGGCCGAAGGTACGCATCCTGTGACCTGTAACCGCCCTGCAAGGAGCCCGCTCGTACTAACTGGACAGGCGGCGACACCAACGGCGAGACCGGCGGCAAGAAGGTCAAGGCGTCAGGTGTGTGATCTGCAAGGTCGCGCAGGATGGGCGGGTAGCTGACTGGACCAGGTGTCATCGAGCTCAACGGCCGCAAGCTTGTGTTTTGCCAGACCCCCTACAAGCGCACAATTCCTATCAAAGGTGAGTGCGCGAGAGAGCCTGTCGCCCCCTTTGTTGATTATCATGACTGACTCTGTTTCCCTCAGCGCGCATGTCTCTGACCATGCTGTTGGCCGAGGCCAAGGAGGCGGGTAAACTGCTCAAGGAGATCCCCGAGGAGCATTGGGCCGTGGTTGTCATGGCTGGTCACGAGCTGTGAGTATCAATGGATGGATGCAAGGTCCTAACGTCGTTCAGTTCGACAGCAACGGATTCTGCTTTCCTCAAGGGTATTCGCAACGAAATTGCGCAGCGCCAGTCTGACGGTGAGCTCGTCTTGGTTCAAATGATCTCAGTTGTGCTAACAGCTCAGTGGCCGAGCTGCTCACGAACGACCTCTTGGAACCGCTCGTCCAGAAACTCTTCACTCAACGCCACTATGGCTTTCTTCCTGCCGACCTGAACGCTGGCAACTCAAAGCTGCCTGCAAGCCTGCAAATTCGCTGCTGGGAGGCCAACGACATGGACAAATACTTTTCGGCCAGTGACCTCCCCGACCTCGTCGCGCGCCGCACAGAGCGTGAAAGCGCTCGCAACGAGTGCATTCGCATTGCCCAAGGCCTCGATGACGTTGAAAAGCTGGAGCTTGTCAAGGGCGAAAAGGTGGACAAGAAGAGCGACAAGAAGGACACCAAGTCGGTCGACGCTGGCCCCAGCAAGGGTCATGACCCATCCACCATGTCTCGCAAGACCAGGGAAGGAACAGCCTCGACGGTCGGATCCAGCCGTCGCAGTCCCTCGCCTTCAAAGGGTTCACCCAGAAAGGTCAAGATGACCGCAGAGGAGGAGGAAGAGGCCGAGGCCAAAAAGGCCGAGCGTGCAGCCAAAAAGGCCGAGCGCGAGGAGAAGCGTAAAGAGCAAGAAGAGAAGAAGGCGTGAGTATCAGTTGTCCCGGTGGAGGCTGACCATCAGTGCCAAGGAGCGCGAAGAGCAGAAGAAGGCCCAGGGGAAGGCTAAGCAGGCTCAGATGTTTGGGTCATTCTTTAAGACAGCCCCCAAGCCCAAGACGAAGATTACACCGACCTTACTCACTGAAGAGACTCCCACCGCTGGACCGTCCTGTAAGCCGTGTGCCTCAGTAAAAGGCAATGTTTGCTGACTGGGAAAGTATCCAAGCCCAGGGACAAGTTGACGGAGAGCGACTTTAAGCGCGCCTTCAAGCCTCCAGTTCAGCGTGCCAATGTCGACTGGGCTCCCATCAACCGCTGGGCGTCGCAGAGCAAGGACTCGGAACCCAATGCCGGTGATGTTGACGGCTGGGCGCCAAAAGGTGAGCGAGCCACCGTACCATGAACGCACTGACTCTTGAAGACTTTCTCAAAGACCACCTCTCTCGTCACAAGCGCACCACTGGTACCCCACGCTCACGCATTCCTCGAGGCCTCAAGACTGCTCCCCTTTACGGAACCGTGGCGGACATGTGGGCCACCTACCAGGAGGCTGAAGACCCCCGCAGCGTTCTCGACCAGCTTCGCAATCGTAAGCGCTTTCCTTGGAAGACCCTTGCGTTCGACCAGCAGACCCGCCCTCCCTATTGCGGCACCTTTACCAAACGCTCGGTCGTCGTCGGTCCCCGTACACCACTCGCCCAGGACCCGATTTTCGACTACTCGTATGACTCTGGTGATGACTGGCAGGAGGAGGAGGGCGGGGAAGACTTGGACGACGCGGGCGAGGCCCAGGCCGAGCCTGACGATGCCGACTCTGACATGGCCGAAGACGACGAGTTTGATGACTGGCTGGACGATACCGAGGATGCGGCGCTCCAGTATGACGACGGCGATGTCCCCATGGGACCTGCATCTCCCACTCGCCGCGAGGTCAAGCCCACCAAAAAGCTTGTTCCAAAGCGCATCACCAAGCTCACGCCCACGGCGCAGGGCCCGTTCTGGGAGGATAGCATTGGAGACGCCCACGACATTGTCAAAGACTACCGTATCCAGCTCCTCAATGGTGGGTTTGATAACGACTAGCCAGGGCTAACGTGCAGACGCTCCTGCTTCCATTGACCCGTTTACCTACGAGTCCGCGGAGCCAGTACAGCGCTTCAAGATGACGTTCACGGACATCTCTGTCGGCAACTACAATGGTGTCAAGTGTCTCCTCTCCGCGGAGGAAGTGGCCGCTCCCAAGGTCGCCGCCGTTAAGCCTACATCCACCACCACCACCGCCGCCGCCGCACCACCCATGCCCCTTGGTGATGCGTCGTCTACCGCCAACGCCACTACCAAGTCTCGCCCCAGTCCCAAGGTCAGCTTCCCCACGGAGCACCTTCCTGACCTCCTTCGCATGATCGAGGGCAGCACCAAGATCCAGTCGGACCTCGTCTCGGAGCTTCGCGGCCAGTTTGAAAAGGTTGCCACCAAGGCCGCCATCGAGGCCAAGGTCCGTGAAGTGGCTGTGCGTGAGGGCAAGAGCAAGGATTCTCAGTGGCGTGTCAAGGCCGAGGCTTGGACGTCGGCTGGACTCACTCCCCCTCCGCGCGGCCTGCAGGCAATGATGGCTCAGGCGGCTGCTCAGGCTGTGTAAAAGATGGACGACGACCACCGTTTGTGGATAGGTAACACGAGAGAGAGTGTGCAAGAGAGTGATACTGGACGAAACAAAGCCAGCTGTAGATAGAGACACAACGCCCAGCGGATAGGTAGACCGGCGTACATAGGTATTTTCGACACCGTCACCATGCATGTATCATACAATCATCAGAGTGTTGTTGCCTCGACACCAGCCACGAGCTGCTCAACATCATCACGCTCAGCGTCACTTTCCTCCTCCTCCTCCTCCTCCTCATCATCATCATCCTCTCGCGCGTTGTCGTCCCACTCGGGGCGGCCAACATGGTTGGGGTTGGCACGAAGCAAGTCTCCGCCCTCGTACGCGGCTAAGGGCTGTCAGTGTGATCCTCAACAACAATAGCATACCTTTCTCGGCCTTCTGCCTCTCATGTTCCTCCTGCAACTCGCGCTGGATCCTTTCTGCCATCTCCGAGACCTCCTCGTGGGTGTGGCAAGTACGGTAACGCTCGATGAGGTGGCCGTTCATCTTCCAGAACGAGTGACCCCACGAAAACTTGCTGAGAAGCAACTCTGCCCACTCGTCGTGACCCGTAATGTAAAAGCCAGCAGCCAAGGCCTCGACACAGTTCAGGCGCCAGGGACGGCCGTAGTTGACAGGGTTGGTAGCGACAAGGTATGGCACTGGCGGGTGTTTTAGTAAACAAGGACAGGTAGGGGTTGTTGCCACTGAAAACTCACACAGGCGCTCGTGAGGGCCCTTGATCTTGCCGAACGGCACCTCATCAAGACGAGCCCATGAGGCCTCTACGACAGCGAGGCCAGACATCATGATAACCTCGTCGTCACAGGGAGCGATGGGCTTCTTGCCCTTGGGCCTTGAGAGTCAGCATCGTTTGCCACCGGACATCGGAAACCAACACTCACGTAAGAACCACACCCCTAAACCTCTGGCCAACACGCATCGAGGCACACAGGCCGTGTCGTGACAGCTTCTTTCCAGAGCAGCGGCGAGGGTCGCAGTGCTCGAAGTCCCACATTGCGACCGGGACACCAATCTTGATCTGCCTGGGCTCATCCGGGTCCTCCGCATCCTCGCCCTCCTCGTCCTCGTCCTCCTCACTGGACCCCGAACCGGACGAGGTCTCCTCCTCCTCACCATCGTCGTCCTCGCTGTCATCGTCATCGTCACTGTCCGAGTCTTCTGTGTCAGCCAGTCCGGTCTTTCAAATAGCTCACTGGCAACAACGACGCCGATTTCTTTGTCAGATCGGGTCGTACGCGGCGCACCACGTCCGCGAGGCGCACCGCGGCCACGGCCAGTTCCGCGCCCACGTCCACGACCGCGAGGTGCCGCTGCGCTGCGCTCCTTGTTTGGCTTTCCGGATTTGCCCATGGTTTTCGTTTGGGGTGTCGGGTTGTGTATCGAAGGAGGGGGTTATCCGACCCAACTTTTGAGCGGCCAAGCGGAGTGAATGACCGACTCTCAGGGCGGACCACGTGAAACCCACGTGATCCACAAACACTCGGCGCGCCCATGTTGACGCGCTGCGGTCGATGCCGGAATGCATTGCTCTCGACTGTCATATCCCAGCTTGTCACCATCACATCGCCACCGCATTGCAAGCACCATGTCTCGTAGTGGACGCCCTGTGCCCCCTATCGAAACGCTAGTCTACTCTGTCCTCCCAGGATTGAGCAAGCTACCCGACAGTGCAAGACAGGAGCGAGTGGACGAGGTCGTCGAGTTCTGCGAGGAGATCCTCCAAAGGTAGGTGTTGACCCATGGACTGCGGGGCGATATCGCAACAGCTATGCTGACATCCTAGTCGCCTGCCATCGTCTCTTCCTCTCGGCGCTTCCGCATTGCCTGACACTGCGCGGCGCCTGCTATCATCGTCTGATGACGCCCTCCGCTTCAACTCCCTTTGGGGTACCCTGGAACGTGGTGTGAGTTGTTACTGCCTTCAATATAGGTCTTGGATCTAACGACTCTAGCGAACACTCTCCGTGCCCCATAAACACCTCCAGTTTCTTGTCGCCTTGTCAAAGGGCAACGATACGCGAGACTCGTCCGCCTTCCCCCCTACAGCCTCTACGTCGCGCCCCCGCGGTGGCGGTGGCCTCGGGACCCCTTCGCGTCCCGGTCCATCGACAGCATCGATCCTTGCAGAGGGTAACGGCCCGTCCAACCTCTCCTCAAAGTTGAAGAGCATCGACATTGGTTCGCCTCCCGACAGCCCCACGAGCGGACCAGGCGCCAAGAGCAAGGCTGCCCTCCTCCGTGAATGGCGCACGGCACGCGGGCGGGCACCGTTCCCCGAATCTCTGCTCCTGCGTGACACGCTCTACCTTTTGCAAGGCATTGATGGACGGTTTGTCCGCTTTGCTCTGGCCCCGGCACCCGAACGTAATCCCTACCTCACCGAAAAGGGCCGGGCGGGAGATGGTGCTGGCTTCCCGCTGGGCGCAGCCGGCACCGAGTTGCCACCCGCCGGTGTGGAAGACGAGGTGATGGGCATTGACATTGTCGCAGATGAGGCGAAGGTGGGTACCAGATCTGGCAGTAATAGGCACTGACCCCACAGGATGGCTACATTTCGTTGCCAACTCGCAGCGTGCTCGTGCAACTGTCCGAGATGGGTGTGCTTTACCGCAGGATCACTGGTTTCATCAAGGCTCACCAGGCTGATGGCCCAAGCGCCAAGAGCGGTATGGTTGTTCAGGTGAGTCTTGAAAGATCCCAGTTCATCTGCTGACGAGCCCAGAGCTTGTGCCACTTTCTTCACCACGAGCTGTCCGAGTACCACCGTATGCTGGCCGTCCTCGAGTCACAAATGTCTCTCACCAACGTCGAGTCGGCCGCTCCTGCCGAGGGCTCTGGGTTGACGCTGCTCCGACTGGGCCTCTGGACCGAGGACATGAAGCTCAAACTTCGCCTGATGGAGATGGTCGTGGATGACGCAACTAGTGGGTATCCATACCCTGTTCCTATCTAACCCACTCAGAAGCCCATGGCGGGGCTCTTGTTTCGAAGATCCACACGCGCACCAAACACGGCGACCCCTTTGCGAGGCACTTTATGGACCAAATCCTTGAGGAGGTGTCCAAGCCCTTCTTCCTTGCTCTCCAGCGCTGGATCTTGTCCGGAGAGTTGCACGACCCGTTCAACGAATTCTTTGTCCAGCTCAACACCGAGGTGGACAGCGACCAGCCTTCGCCATATGGCGCTTCAGGTGACGCCGGTTTCGAGGAGGGCTTCGACATTGGAGGTAACGTCAGCGACTCGCACCACATATGGGAGAAGAAGTATGTCTTTGTCAAGGCCATGGTCCCAGGGTTCATCAGCGAAGACTTTGCAAAGAAGGTTAGTTACACCTTTGCATTCACAACTAAACGACCAGATCTTCTCAACAGGTCGCAGTTTGAACTTTATCAGATACAACTGCTATGACAATGACTGGGTCGCAACGCAGGCGAGTCTCGCCAACAGTGGAGGTACGTTAAGTTCACGTGGCGATGCTGACGACTCAGCACTAAAGTACTCTGACCTGACCGGTCTGGAGCGCTCCATCGACGACGCCTACTCGTCTGCAAGCAAACGTCTGCTCGAGATCTTCTTTGAAAAATACAAGCTTCTCGACCATTTACGGGCCCTCAAGGCGTACCTCATGCTTGGCGCAGGCGACTTTGCGGAACTGTTGATGGAGGCCCTAGCGTGAGTTTTGGGGCGCCTGAGTTAGCTGACCATCCAGACCAAGACTGTCAAAACCTGCCATTAGCTTGTACCGCCACCACCTGACATCCGACCTCGAGTCGGCGATCCGAGGTTCGAATGCCCAGTTTGACTCTCCTGACGTGCTTCGCCGCCTCGATGCTCGCATCCTCGAGTACCAGCACGGAGAGCTCGGATGGGACTGCTTTGCCCTCGAATACAAGGTCGAGGCACCGCTCAACGCTGTTCTCGATGCCGGCGCCATGGACGCCTACGATCGCCTCTTTCACCATTTGTGGCGACTGAAGCGTGTGGAGACGGCTCTTACGCAGGGATGGATGCGAGTGACAAGCGCATCAAGGGCATTCGAGTCCTTGCCCAGTGAGTGTTTTGCATTGCAGCCAACCAAATGCTGACGCTTGGCAGGCCTCGACAACGATTGGCATCACTGCCGCATCGTACAGGCGGAGATGGTCCATTTTCTGCGCCAGTTGCAGGCTTTCTGCCAGCTCGAGGTCATCGAGTGCTCGTGGCAGTCACTCATGGAGTACACGGATAAGCGCGAGGGCGACCTCGACTCGCTCATTGCCGCTCATCGGATGTACCTCGACCGTGTCGTGCGGAAGATTCTTCTCCTTGGCCACCGAGGACGCGACGATGCGCTTCTCCTCCTTGTGCGCGAGGGGCTCGATAATATCCTCAAGTTCCGCAACGCGACCGAGGACCTGTACGCTTGGAGTCTGGGCGAGGCGACGCGGTTGGACCGTGCACGCGATGCCGAGCGTGGGATTGCCAATGACGAGTCGACTGCCGAGGCCGAGACCGCAGCCATCGCGGCCTCTCTCGCGCAGCTCGATGGTATTCGCGAGCGTATCCGCGTCTGCGCCACGGGGTTCCAGGATTCTGTCACCACCATGTGCAAGGAGGCAGGTGGACACGCCGACCTTGACGTACGCTTCCTGGCGATCCGTATCGCGTTCAACGGGCACTATGCGCTGCGCAGGGGCGCGTCAAAGAAGAAGTAATTAGACGGAAAAGGAGCATATGGTGATGCATGTACCTGTAGCGATGTACCAACCCTACGCGGCGGTCTACATTTTTTTGTGTCTAAACTTTACGCTTGATCATGCCAGCCATGAGATCAAAGCTATTACCGTCCGGCTGGAGGTCAACATACTGCGGCTGCGCCGAGGGACGAGCCCATGAAGAGGTCGAGGTACGGTCGTCGCCACCTTGGTCCATGTCGCGGTCATACATCGATGACACGGTCGAGGACGCAGTCGAGATGGGAATGCAGCGGAGAAGACCGTGGTCCGGCGTGATGGACATGATGCGGAGGCGCTGGTGGGGCTCAACGGTCGTGAGAGTGACTTCTTGGCCACTGCGATGTCAGTTCATAATCGCAAGCGTGGACAACAGAGAACTCACGAGTGCAGCCAACGGCCGTGGTACTCGGACATGAAGCTCTCAAAGCCCTTGTCCTCGAGGAACTGCTCCCACTTGGTCTCGAACGCGTGCATGATGCGCGCAAACGTGCCCTCCATGGTGGGAGGCGGCGGCAGGGCACGGGTGGAGCCTTCACGAGCGGCACGTTCGGTGAGGAGGCCGTGAAGCTGGGAAATGGACGACGTGGGGAGTGCGTTGAGGACGTTGATACCGCATCCGACAATGACGCGCCACTGGCCATTGACAAAGTTGGTGTTGACGAGAATACCAGCGAGCTTGGCGAGACCCTTCTTGCCACTTCCAACCTCGGTGCCGCCCACGCCCTCGATATTGGCATACACGTCGTTGGGCCACTTGATGCGCACACCGAGACGGCCGTCCTCGTCCACGGCCTCACAGATCGCAAGCGCAGCAAGGTACTGGATGAAAACGAGTTTGGAAGCCATGGACTGGGGCAGGGTGAGGAGGATCGAGTACTGGAGGCATCCGGTGGGGGACAACCAGATGTTGGAGCCACGGCCGCGGCCGGCGAGCTGATAGGTGGCGGTGAACACCGTGGGCGCCGGGAGACCGTTCAGGAGAATCGGGTTGCGGTCGATCATTGTCTGAGTTGAGGTGATGGTTTCGGCGTAGAGGACAAGGTCACCAAGAGCAGCTCGCTCGCCACGCTTGCCGGGGCTCAGCTCGTCGGCGCGCATGACACCAGTGCGGCGACCCTGGCGCTTGCGCACAGCGTCGAGCTCCTCCCAGTACGTCTCCATGTTGAACAGCGGGGTCCAGGATGGCGAGTATTGGGTAGAACCGGGGACAAGGAGCGTCTTGGTCAAGGCGTGGAAGTTGGGTGGCTGCGGTGGGACAGCTTGGTCGCTGATCGAAAGCTCTTCAATAACAGGAGGGAATTCGGGCTTTGTTCGCCTACGCTTCATGAGCTCGGCCGGAATGTCCGAGCCCAGGAGCTCGACGGGACCAGTCTCGATCACGTCGTTACCATCGCGCAGCGTCTCCCAGTCACCAGGCCCCTTGACGAGCTTGGCCTGTATGTTGGGAGCAGAAAGAATAGAAGCACTGAGTTGAGGCAGCTTGGGGTGCGAAAACGAAAAGATGGGCGATGGGTGGGTTGGGTGGAGGATAATGTGGTCCTCCTCAATGTTGCCCAGGTTGCCGCTCGGGTCGACCTGGTCGGAGGGAAGCGTGAGACCAAGGCCGCGGAGGAGCTCGGCGACCCACTGGGTCCTCTTCTTCTCTTCCTCCTCAATGACCTCCTGTGCGGGCGGGTTCTCCAGCTTGGCAATAGCGTCCCGGGCAGGAGGGTCCTCGAGAGGGTACTCAAAGTGCACACCGGACAGGAGGACTTTACCCTTGCCCTTGGCGATCTGTACCACAGCAACAGTCGCTTCGGGAGTGGGAGGTTCTTGGTACTGTGCAAGGACCTTGACGTCGCTGCCAGCCGAGGGAGGGAGGATAAAGTGGCCACCGCCGTTGTAGTAGAGAAGCTCCAGGCTCTTGTCTCCAGCCAGGGTGAGACCAACGGCGCGTGAGCCATTCTCAGAACCATAGTCAAACCCGGGGTACGTGGGGCCGGCACATGGACCAGGGAACAAGGCCTGTACGGTCAACATTGCATGCGTACACTGTCACTCACAAGATCGCGCTTTCCGGTCACTTGCTTGGGACCACCAATGTCAAACTGCACCTCCGAGGCAGCAAAGTACGCGCCAGCGCAAACGCCCAGGTAGCGTCCGCCTTCGCTGACGTACTCGGCAATGCGCTTGGTGACCTTGGTTTTGATTGACAACTCTTCGACAAACGGAAGGTCACGTCCGCCAGGGATGACAAGGAGAGCGCAACTGGGCTCCCAAGGCTCTTCGGCGAGGAGAGTAGCCGAGACTCGTTGGACGGTGTAGTGGGGAACGAGGTTGAGGCTGAGTGTCAAGATGGTGTGGGAGAGCGAGAGTGGCGACACGCCGGGGCCCGAGTAAACCAGCACTTGGTGAGCTGAGGGGCCTGGTCCTGGCATGTTGGTGGGTGGTGAGCAAGTCAAACAACGAAAGCGACCCCACGTTATGGAGACGTCGAAAGATACGCCGAGTCGGGTCGATGCTCCGAACCGCTAATCAGGGGCGGAGCCAAATATCCCCACCGGCTGCAGTGACCGATCGTGGCGAGATACGCGAACACGAACATTACATCGACGAGAGCACCATGCGGTCTCGCCCATACTGGTCTTGTACAATCTCAGTCTTCCCTGGCAGCAGAGTGGACACCATGGATCCTTGGGAAGCACCAATCTCCACGGCAAGGCGCGGCACTTGTCCATCCAGCGACGCGTCGGGGCAGAGAATGTCCTTGGCCATTTTGGAGATGTGGTCGTAAAAGGCCACGCCGTCGCCGACGCCGCTAACTGGGCCACCCACGAGCGCTCCGCGGTCCTCATATTCTTTCACAGATGAAGGAAGACTTTCCCACTCCTCCTGGGGAATATAAGGCGGGTTGGACGTGATGATGTCGATGGACACGTTACCAGTGGCCTGCCGGAGCGAGTTGGGAAACGTCGGAGCGAGGATATCGGCCTGGAAGATGGTGACTTTTGGATCTTGCAACGAGGCAATGTTATCGCGAGACAGAGCCACAGCGTCAGGGCTAATGTCGACCCCGTACGCCACATGTAGCGCGTCGCCTAAAAGGTGGGATAGCAAGAGCGGTATGCATCCCGATCCCGTACACAGGTCGAGGATGACCAGTGGCCGAGTGACTGCGCCTCGTCGGCGTGCGCTCAAGATTCGAGCTGCGAGGTCCTCTATGATAAACGCTGTCTCTGGACGAGGGATAAGAACAGGTGGTTTGGTGAGAAGAGTCAATGGGCCAAAATCGGTCGACCCTGCCAAAAGTCAGCCGCGAGCCCATGCTTCATAAACGCACCGAGAATGTACTGCAGTGGCTCTCCTCGTGAACGACGCTCAGCCATGGCGGCGAGCTCGGACGCCTGGTTCCCTGGATCAAGCGATGAAGCCAAGGCCTGTCTCATCCATCGCAGTTCGTTTTGCGCATCCTCAGCGTCGAGCTCTGAGTTTCTCAGGAGGATGTCGATGAGAGGGCGACTAGGAGCTGTCGAGTTGAGTCGCCTGCATGAGCTGTGGAGAGCGCGACGCGTAAGAAACGCGGCCCGCATGGGGGGAAGAGTGGAAATAACAGAACCACGTCAAAACATACACATTGATTTAAAGCTTTTGGCGAGGCACGGCCCACCGGTGGATTAGCGGAAGCAAATTAAGCGCTGTAGTGGACAAATGACGCAGTTGGGCCATCATGAGACCGAGCGCGCGCGCGATACCATACAACACTCCATCTACTCTCTCTCTCGCAACCCGCCTCCATGGAATGAGTGGTGGGTCATGTTTGCCTAGTCAGAGCTGACGATTAGCCCTTTCTCCAGAGAGAAGTGAGGGGAAACCGCGCGCGTCCCGCAACCGCTCGTCTACAATAGTCCATGCAGGCACAGCGGCATGGACCAACGACAACGGTCAACCTCTTGCCGAGCTGTCAGCCAGTGGCCACCCGTTAAGTCACAGCGAGAGACGACATCGCAAACATACAGTTTCTGGAAAGGACCATGGTCATTCGCAGATTCACCAGCACCTTTATGCGCAAGGACACGGTCATGAGCCAGCCGGCTCCAAGACTCCCATCCCCGATAGCCACCTGCAGATGACTCCCGGGCACAAGCGCACGTCTTCCCTCCCCACTCCAGACGACATCCACGCTACCATTACCCAGACTCTCTCGCCACCATTACAGTCGCCATCTGGGTCAACACACCAACGTTTCAATCCCTTCTCCAACCCCGACAGTGTCTTTCTCTCGCTCTACACCTACAGCCCCTCAACAAGCTCCCTTCCACCACCACAGTCAGCAGCGTCTTCCCTTCTGCCCGCTCCCGCGGCAAACTTATCATACTCGCGTGTTCTACTCTCGTACGCAAGTCTGCCATGGGACGTGAAACCTGGCGATTATCTCGAAATCCGTCGAGTCGAAAGCACATGTCCTCCAACAGGTCGTTCCATTCCTCCGCCGGTGGCCAAGGCAAACGAGGGCGACGCTCTCGAAGGTGTCAAGCCAAACCGAGGAAGAGATGGATACATCTTTCGCCTAGGCGAGGACCACCCCTCCGTACCCATGAACCAGATCCAGGTGCCCAACTCGGTGGCCCAGTCGTTCAAGCTTCAACACCGCCAGGACGTTGAGATCATCCGCATTCACGAGCCTGAGACTGCCAACGTCGACTTTATCGAACTACACTTTTCGCAGTATGTCGGTCGTGCAGACATGTGGCGTCTTGGCATGTCGCTCGAGAACACGACAGTACACGTTGGCGAAAAGGTCATTTTAGCAGGGGGCGCCGTGCGAGCAGACGTGCAAGCCATCTGGCGAGGACGAAATCGATACGCCAGCGGCATTGTCACGAGCAAGTCCAAGACCATCTTCCGGTCCAAGTCGACACAAGCGTACGTCTTCATTCAACTGTGCCAAGAAACATGGGAGTTTGACGAGGACGGAGAGCGATACTACGAAAAGGTCCTACATGGTGAGTGAATCTTGCCCGTGTGTCCCAAGCTGACTGGTACAAGGCTTCCTTCCGGACCTCTTTGGTCGTTGGACTCGAATCGGCGCGTCACATCTGGTCACCATTGTTCTCTTCGGCCGCGTCTACTATGACGACCAGGACATTGCGTACATGGAGAAGCACGACCTCCACAACGGCCTCATGAAGGACTACCGCGGACGGTGGTGCAAAGACTTTTTCCGCGTCGTGGTGGACTTTGAGCGCAAGGCGGACTGGATGACGTCGTTGGGCGATATCAAAAAGCGCCTGGAACGAAGCGAACGCGAAGTTCTTCTCGACTTTCACCTTGCTGAACTCAAGGCCAAGGGAATGCATCCGGAATCCGAAGGCGACATCAACATCCTCGGAAAATGGAGCTTTGCCTACGAAGGCAATGTTCTCGAAGCAATCAACCTGGCCCTCAACCCCTTTGACGAGCACTATGTCGACCGTGACTTGTCGCGTACCGGTCTGTCGCTTACCATCTTGACTCCCGGAACGGGTCACTTTGCTGTGGACAAGAACCTGCTTCGTCTCACCACCGAACGCATGATCGATCACGGCATCGGACTCGACCTGGTGTGTCTCACCAAGATGCCTCTCCACAGCGTACCATTGTTCAGCTATGTCTCGTCCCGACCAAAGCGACTTGTCGAATCGTCTGCTGTCGGAGCAAAGACACGTCCATCTACTCCCGATCCACTATACTTTGACGCCAATATGAGGAGCGGCGAAGATCGCGAGCTCATTGACTGTTATTCTCTTGCCTTTTGGGTGTACTGCTCGTTCTACTCCAAGACACACGATAAGCCATTCCGTGAAGACCGTTTCGTCCCACGCTGCAAGATGTACCAAATCCAAATGCTCGGCATTCTCGACCACAACCTCACGACGGTTAGCGTGCCCTTCCTGGAGCCCGAGGACTATGACGGCCCCCGGCGTCACGTCTCTACTGATGAGCGCAAGGCACACCACGACGAGTATGACCTCAACACCTTTGGTGGAACTGCACAACTTCCCACCATCAAAGATGTGGAGCCTGGATCTCCACATACATCTCATCGCAGTGGGATTGATAGTTCACTTGGCACGAGCTACCAATCGATGAGGCTACTGGCTCAGAAGATGGAAGAGGAAAAGCGCCCACGGGGCTTGGCGCCGACATCCCCGCGACCGATCCCTTCGCGCTCGTCATTGAGGTCTCACGCGTCCATCCCAGAGGAAGAATCAATGTCCAACCCCTCCAACCCTTCGCTCCCGGAGACCGCAGTGTTGGGTTCCGGTTCAGGTGGAATGCCAGACATTCCTCTTGTACGGGAACCGTCGACAAAGCCCCCGCCCTTGTCGCAGGAGCATCGTTCTCCTGGTAGTGTGGGAACCCCGCAGAGTCGAATTGCGAGCCTCACGTCCATCAACACCTCTCCCTCCCAATCTGTCATGTCTGGTGGCGAACTCCAGTCTGGAGCTTCAACGCCCAAGCTCAACTCTGCCAAACGTCTCAAGACCCAGTCCAGCAAGGGCTCCTTCTTTGGTGCCAGGTTCAGTAGCAGCTGGATCTTTGGTGGGGCACGTTCTCAACCAAGTCATCCAACAGCCGCAACCGAGACTGTTGTCCGTCAGGACGTGTCCACTGGCTCTGGTGCCAACAGCAAACCTGCTTCGCCGATGGTCAAGACGTCGAGTCTGGGCATTGATTCTCCGTCCTTGTCCCTCCCGGTCCCTGTTCCTGGATCCTTCCTAGCCGCCCCCTCATCCCCGACCAAACCAAAACCAGTTCCTAAGCGGCCAACTCAGCCCATGCCCATCATGTCTGCAGCAGGCCGCCCTCTCGACGATGAGGCGCCACTGGCACGGTCCCTGCCGCGTTCAATGCCTCGCTCGATCCCACGCTCGCTGCACAACTCGCTGCGGCCGAAATCTATGGACGACTCTTGGAGAAACAAGGCAAGCGCCGCGTTTGGACGGACCACGCAGCACACGACAGTGAACCCCTGCAACCCGAAGGAGTCGCTCGTGGACGCAGCAGGCGAAGGAGGACACCAGCGACGCTGGCAGCATGTCCGTCCGCGTCTGAGAGAGGGCAAAGAGCATGCTGTCAAATGGCGCAGTCTGTGTGCACCGGCCTGTTTGCCTCTCACCACAGACTTTATGCCGACCGCCGAGGAACTCAACACATTCTACGAGTCTCACAGCTACGACATTGCGTGCTTCCCGGATCAAGTATCTTTCCTGATCCGTCCAGACGCCGCCAACCTCAACCTTCCTCTGGCCGTTATGCGCGAGATGGCGAGTCAGCGACTGTCGCAGAACTTTCAGTTCATTGTTCTTCCTCACAACACGGTGCAAAAGGATGTGGATGAGACGTTGCCGCCCTCTGTCGCTCAGAAGACGTTCCTCGTCGCCGACACGACTACATCAGGCCTGCGCGTCGGCGGTGCAAGCGAGGTCCTCAAGGATGCGAGTGGCGCCATCTACCTCTCATGGTCAAACCACGTGCACAAGCTCACGTTTGACCCGCAGAAGCAGAGTGTGACCGTTCAGCGATTTGTACGCAAAATCAAGCACTCGACACAAGCACAGCCTTACAAGTGCCTCGTGTGGCCGTACCAGCTGAATGGCTTCCAAGAGGCGACCGCCATGTTCAAGTACCCCAACATTGACGCCAAGCTCAACTTCAACTATCTCGATCGCCTGATTGCTGGCGAGGAGGAGAACCTCCAATCCAACCTGCGCTTCTGGCGAACCCGGTACCTCCTCTTACCATCTGGTCGCGACCCAACATCCCTGGCTGGTATCATGCCCCGCAGCGCACATGGCGAGCAGTACAGCGCCAGCGAGGTTCTCATGACTGGTGCTCAGCGGGTGCTGGAGCTCATGTGCAAGAACCAGTGGAAAAGGCCGGGAGGCGCGCAGCGGTCTCTTATCCTTCTCCCAACAACGTTCGACCCCTCAGCTTGTGTCCTGGATGAGGGTCTCATGACCGAGCTTGAGCGCCTCACAAGCGGCAAGGAGAAGATTGAGCGTGGCCATACCCTCGAAGGTCTCACTCTGCAGCAAGTTGCAGAGCTGATGAACCGACCAAACAACGGCCTCATCATTCGTGACCGCTGGTGGAACTGTAAGTTGTACCCCGGCATCGTGTAGCTGACAAACCAGTCAACATCCACGAGGACTCGTTTACAGGAGAACAATTCTGCGAGTGGCTCAAGACTACTTTCACCGACGTGGCGACCCAGGAGCAGGCGATTGAGTGGGCCCAGAGCCTGTTGGACAAGGGTGTCATTGGTATGTGGGGCGGATCTTTCCTTGCTGACCGCTCTCTCCAGAACACGTGACCAAGTCGCACACCTTCCACGACAACCTCTTCTTCTACCGCCTGGCTCCAAACTATGACGAGTCGGTCAAGAAGGCTGGTGGTGCCCGTGCAAAGTCTGGGAGCTGGTTCGGCAAGTCGACTGGCCCGACTCCCCAGATTGTCATGGAGCAATCACTGAGCACATCTCCCAATGTTCGTCATGTTCCGCTCAAGCTCACCGATAAGCCGCCCAAGAAACGCAAGGTCAAGATGAGCCAGAGCGTCGTTATTGACCTCGACCCTGGCCGCAAGAGTGACCGTGCCGAGGTGGCTATTCTTCACGCCGACATTGTGCACAACACCAAGAATGCGTTCCACTTTGAGCTCAACTGGCTAGGTGTAACAGCGGGTCTGTTGGACGAGCTTCGCAACAAGTGCTCGACCCTCGCTGAGCGTTACGGCCTCCGCTTTGTCGAGGCGCCGGTCGAGCAGATCAAAGATGTCGGTCTCAAGTGCGCCTACCGCGCTCCCATCCCGATTAAACTCGCTGTTGCTCCACCAATCATCCCCGACCTTCATCTTCGTCTCACCGAAACGAGCGGCGCTGGACAGTGTGCTCAGTTCTTTGAGTACGCCATCCTCATGCAGAAATTCGGCTTTGTGCTGGATGTCGAGGCGAGCGAGCGGTACCCCGAGTCGATGGAGGTCGAATACGCGTACCGCCAAAAGACCAAGTTTGAATATTCCCAGTTTATTCATCGCTCGGGTCTCGCGATGGTGCAGTGCGTTGGACGTGACGAGGGTTTCGGCTTCCTGTGGTGCGACAACCGGCCATTCATTAGCGCGCCTACCCGTGGTCGCGGCCAAACTGTCGAGAGCCACCCGGGTGCGCTCACACCCATGACCAACAGGCAGGAGCAGGCTCGACAGCTCCGCGAGGAGATGGAGGCGTTCTGCTCTGATCCCTTCGCCCTCCGGAAGTTTTACGAGGACGTGACGCCGCGGCCCAACTACTCGAACGTCAGGCTATTAGGGGACGATTCGTGGGCAGGCGCAGACCAGGATGGTTATGAGTAGGATGTCTGTACAGGCCGTATTGTAATCAATGTACCAAATGTGCTGCAACTAGTCTGTTTTACACATGGTGCCATCTGTAGCCAACACCACTCGCTACATACCCACGAGTATTATTTGTTGGGGCTGTCAGAGCGTCTGGGGCCGGGCGACGCGCTGCCAGTCGAGTCCCTCCTCAGGCGCTGGCGGACGGGAGAGTGTGGGTGGTCGGGCGAAAGCGAGGCAGGTGGTGAGCGCCTGTCGTCGCCCGTCTTAACGTCCGTACGTCCGCGGTCAGATTCCGAATCAGAGTCACTCTCTGTGGAATAGTGCCTCTTGCGCCGACGACGGGTCTCGACATCGGACTCGCTGTCGCTGTCGCTCGACGACGACGATGATCGCCTGAATAGGTCAGTAAATTCCTTGTCACGCTGCCACCTACCTCTTCCTCTGGGGGCTACGCGACCTCTCGCGGTCCTTCTTCGATCCGCGGCTGCTCTCACGCTCGGCCGCCTTGGCGCGCAAGATCTTGTCCGCGAGACCAACGCCCGACTTGAACTCTTCCGGAACCTCGACGGAGGGCTTGTCACGGGCAGACGAACCGAGTCCCTGGCTGAGCTCCTTTGTGCGACTAGGACGAGGGACATAGGGACGCGCGTTGGAGCACTCGTACGTGTGGTGACCGTACTTGAGACATTTCTGGACGCGTCAGCGACCTCACACGATAGCGGACTGAGAGCCACAAGGCCTGTCTTTGTGGCCTGGCGCCTTCAGGGTATCTCACCTGGCATCGCGTGCTGGATGACGCCTTGTTGGATTGAAGCTGCTTGGGGAGGTTGCTGCGGTTGAACATGATGGAGTGTGATGGAGCGTCATGAAGTTGGGCCAGTGGAAAGTGACCACACCATAACAAGCGGCAAAACATGGGTTACGTAATGGTTTTGATTGGGTGTCGGCCATCGCCGATGTCTTGCGGCCGGCCACATACTCATCGTCAACCTGTGAGTTGGCACCACTGCTTTGGCCTGCTTGTTCGGATTTGGATATCAAAGACGGACCGGCTTTAGCTGACTTTGTGTGTGCTGTAACTGCTTTCCGGTAGTCACCGTGGAATTTCGGACATGTCATGGAGACAATATATTATTTGTTTGGAAACTATAGACTGTTGAATGTTCCCTTTGTTTGTCCCTCTAAATCATGAAGAACCCAGATAGCCTGACAAACATATCCCATCCCCAGTAATGCACCAAACACTCGCTGGAGCCACGATAGCAGACGTAGGTCCACCATGGACCGTGTGGTAGGCCGGTCGCAAACAATTAAATTGGATTATTGTATTTCTGTGCCACATTGGGAAGTGATGGTCCGTCGCACCAGCGTTTTGCTCTCATCCACAAGGGGTCCAAGTGCAACAAGGGTATGTTTTCAAAGAGTCCATAAGAGAGTAAGGAAGGGACAGATATTTGAGATGGGGATGGCTATGTGGCAGATTGTGGTTCACAGTTTCTCGCGGGATGGGTTTCCCGGGTGAAAAGGTTCGAGATAATATAAATATGTCCAGTTGCTTGGTTCCGACACGAGGGTTAACCCTCGTGGTGTTTGTTCTTGGCGGCCGTGGTCACAGCAGGGGGAAATTCCTTGGCAACTGTGACGCTGGTAGGAACACTGGCATTCACAACAGCCGGGGTGGACTCAACGGCAGTAGGGGCCGAGGCGACGGGACCGGAGGCAGTGTTGAGGAGAATCGAGTCCACAGGGGCAGCGTTGGCTGTCTGGGCAGTGACGAGGTTTGCCGCAGGGTTGAGCGAGCCGGTAACTGAGCCGTACTGGGCACCTGCAGCCGCAGAGGGGTTGGGGCCAGCGCTGGCCTGGACGGTGGTAGCAACAGCACCGAGGCCGGACCATACGGCACCGGCGGGTCGGTTAGTGAGCGTAGCATATGAGTCGGCAGCATCGGAGCCAGTGGGCGCAGAAGCAGCAATACCGACGGCGTTTGCGGCAGCACTTGGCGCTTCAGTGGCGGTACCAGTGACAGTGATGCCGCTGTTGATGAGGACAAACGTGGTACGGTCCATCGAGAAGTAAGGGGTGTCGGCGGCTCCGTCTGCACGCCTCTGAGGAGGGGCGGTAACTTGAGCACGTGCAACGGGAGTGGGAAGGTCACCCTTGATATGAAGCACGTTGGCCTCGCGCTCCTCAAGGGTAGCTTCACGGTCACGAGCAGAGCGGCCTTGGGGAGGGGTGTAGTCACGACGACCAGGGGCAACCTCGTTGATGTCCGTTCCAGCACAGAGACCCTGCCAGGCGGCAGGCTGGCTGAAACCCTTGATCGCGTCCGGACGCACGACCATTGCGGCGAGCTTGCCCTCAGAAAGGTGCCAGCCAATGTGGCAGTGAATAGGCCAAACGCCAGGAGTGTCGGTGATGAGGCGGAGGATGGCATAGCTGTTGCTAGGGATGGTCAAGGTATCACGGCGAAGTGGGTTTCCCAGGTTCCAGTTGGCGCTGGCAACCGTGTCGGGTGTGATCTGACCATCGCCACGAGCGACAATGTAGAACTTGCGTCCGTGAAGGTGGAAGGGGTGAGCCAGACCAATGTCGCGCTGGTTGACAATAATGTCGACGACACCATAGTCTGGGAACGTGTGCGATGCAACGCGTGAAGCGTTGAGCGTCAGACCATTTTCGATCTGCCTCAGAAGTGGGTTGTTGATGTAGTTGGTGAACGAAACCTGGCTGTCATTGGCAGTGTTGTAAGGGTTGAAGCCGAGACCATTGAACGGGTGGCCCTCGTAGTCGAAGAAGATGCCCAGGGACGAGTCGAGACGGCTCGTCATGTACGGGTTCGTCGGGGCAGCCTCGGCCTGAAGAGGAGCAACCGTGTAGAGGTTGTCAAGATCCTTACACGGGGCCGTCAGGGGGTCGTCAAGGTCCGGCCAAGCGCTAGTGGTGGGCTGCGCGTTGGACCAAGCAATTCCAAACCAGTCGGTGTAGCGGAGAATGGCCTTACCGACCATCTCTTTGCCACGGAAGACACACGCTGCGGAGACGCTGGCACGGATCCAGAAGGAGCTGAAGACTGTGTTTCATGTCAGAGCTGGTTCGTCTCGCGCAGTTCAACGTACGACCGCCCTGGTTAAGATTGACGATGAACGAGTAGCGCTGTCCCGGGTCAATTCCGATCTCATGGATGAAGAGCGGTTGAATGGGAGTGTCGTCGACCTCGACAACCTTCAGCACATGGTTGTCAATGGAGATGCGAATCTGGGTAAGGGAGCCGGGGTTGATGACACGGAAACGGATCCTGGTACCAATCTTGCCCTTGATGACCGCGGGACTGTTCTGGGTGCACGAGACACCGGGTTGGGCCTTGCTGCAGTTCTCCTGGCCAAGGCCGTTGATCAAGATGGCATCGGGCATCTGTGGAATGTTTGCGCCACGGTAACCCAAACCCCAGGCGTGCATGCGGGGGATCTACGGTGTCAGAGACCTCACACGCTGCGTGGCAGGTAACTCACAATCAAGTCGGTCTGGTCGTGGTAAAAGTCGTTGACATACATGATCCTCTCGTCCGTAAAATCGCCACCGAGGAGGAAACCCTTCTTGAGAGGGTCGTTCTTGGAGTGGATGATGAGCGCACCCCAGACACCATCAGCGAGAGTGTTTCCATAGTGCGAGTGGTACCAGAAGGTACCCCACTCGCTGTCCAGAGTGAAGCGGTAGGTGAAAGAGCCACCTGCCGGGATGGGGCACTGCGAAATGCCAGGAACACCGTCCGCCCAGTTGGTCCCGTTCTGCGTAATGCCGTGCCAATGGATGCCCTGGGGGTAGTCGAGGTTGTTCTTGACATTGACTACAATGGTGTCTCCCTGGTTGGCCTCGATAAGGGGACCAGGGAACTGGTTGTTGATCGTCGTCATGCGACGAAGGAAACCGCTGGGCTTGCCGGCCGAGAAACCAATGTTGAAGTTGTAGTGGCGGGTCTGGGGCCTGTGGAAGTTGGCAATGACACCACCTCCAGAGGCGGTGAAGACAGAGGCCGGTGCTGAATTGGTGGTGTGGGGGATGGGAGGCTGAGGGTAAGACCAAATCGACGACTGGACATAGGTTGGCGGCCGTGGCGGGGCTGTCGTTGTCGCTGGCGCCTCGGTCACCGTGGCGTTGGGAGCACCAGTAACGGTGCCATTCCCAGCGCCAGTGTCAGTGGACGTCGGCACGTCGGTGGGGATGACGTCTGTGGAGGGGCTGGCGCCTGTGGTAGGGGTGGAGACGACGTTGTCGGTCGTGGCGACAGCAGTGTCAGCTGAGGTTGCGATAGTGGAATTGCCTGGGTCCTGGCCAAGAGCGGACACGGCGAGGACTGCCCAGAGGACAGCAGTGGTGAAGCGCATAGTGGGTGGTGATACCGAGAGGCACTGGGCAAAGTCAGGCTGTGAACGTAGAAGGGACTCCTCAACACAGTCGTTGCTGCGTGGGGTGGGTCTTTTGGTGGTCTGAGCGGGTCCAAGACACCATGAACAATGATGTGCAGAGGCCCGTGTACACCAGATACACCGTCTTTGCAAATGTAGCCTGGTGCACAGGCCGACGCGCGTACGCCCGTCGCGCTGTCACACATGCGCACATGCGCACATGCCGATATGGCACCCGGATCACGGACATGGACATGGGACATGTGCCGAGGATCCATTGGCCATTGGAACCCAGATGATAAATTCAGGTGTGCCACTTACAACGTGTGGCCTTCTTCTTCCTCAGACAGTCAAACCTAGCACGAATTACAATACAATGGGTAAAGGAATGTCGGTGGGGACGTGAGGGTAGCCGTGTAAAGACTGTTGGTGGCAGGTGTCTTGTTCTTGACCGTGTAGGGGCGGGCATCAACTTGTGTGCGGTCGTATATATGCCGCAAACGCCGTTTGGTGGGATGGGAGGAAGCTCCAGGGCGACACATCCGTTGTCATGTTCCAACATGCAAGCCCGTCTCATGTGAACATCGTCGACAGTACCGGCCGCCCGCTCTGCAGTGTTCCCGCCCGTTTATTGGTATCGGACTCAACGTAAAGGACAGAAGGACAGGACAAGCAAGCAAGTCGACGGCACGGGGAGACCTGACATTGTCTTCCGCGGGTATATTCTGGCGAGGTACGGCTCGCGACACGTCCGTCGCGTCACACTGCCCAGAAAGGGCCGGCTACAGAGAAAAGCTGGCAGGGAAAGGGTTAAACATACATAAGACGGGGAGGGCAAGGCACCAATGCCACCCCCCCCCCCCGCAGTTGGCTTTGATTTCACGTAAACAAACGGGTTCAGCTGGCCGCGGGAAACGGTGGCGGCTTTGGTCCCAGACGGCCCAAGTCGCGGCGTTCATGGACACTAAGCTGCGGGAGTGGTTGGATGGAATTAGCTCTCTGGGGTCCGTTTCAGAGCATGACCTGCTTCGCCATCTCGTAGCTATGGCAGCCAGGCTTGTCATCCTGTCGGATGGTGGACGGCCTGGTTGCTACAATCCTTGCCGCTCACGACCAGAGGCACAAAGGCACACACACCTGTTCCAGGTTTGTCGGACTGATGAGGCCAAAAAACAGGTCAACAGTAGTATCTGCCTTGTCAACTTGTAGCCTTTGCGACACACTCCCTTCCATGACATGTTATGTCTACCAATGGTTTACAGCCTCTGCGGAGCCCGCCGGCTCCTGACACACCAGATCAGAGTCCGCAGCCACTGTGGATGGAGCGAGACCGAGCCCGCGGCGATCGTGGCTGGGACACGACTGCCACAGAGGTCGACAGGTAGCCAGCAGCAGCCCACGTAGTGGCCATACCAGGACAGAGGTACACTTCTGTGGAGTACATGTTTGGAACAGACTGCTGTGACAATCCATGCCCCGCCTGGTCGCGTCCTAACAAGTCCCCTGTCGGAGACACTTTGCTGCTGTCGCCATGAATGCAGGCCTTGTTTCGTTCAAGCATCCATAAACTGAACTCAGTTATGGAGTCGCACGTCCGCGGGCCACTGTCTCCGCTGCTTGTAACTGTCATTCCTTATTGTGACACTTTGTAACTTGACCCCTACCAGGTCTTCCCATACTGTTAGAAGCCCAGTCGTCGGATGACGCGTCAGTCTATCATGACCTTCACGGCCTCACGTGCAGAGAGGTACAAGGGTTGCAATGCCAAGGGTTACGGGGAGAAACTTGACCAGCTGTACACCAAACGCCTTCGTCACCACCTGGCGACTGAGACTTCGAGTTACCAGCATCGCACCTACTCTCAACGTCAGTCCACGACCCAAAATGCCGCACTTGTCGGCTTGATAGACTTCAATCGCCGAATCATGTTGTGCGCTGGTGCCGGAGCACAATCAGTTGGTATTGAATCGTCTAACACTACTGTAACAACACGCCGTCTCCATCGCAACTGCCATTTGCTGTGAACGTCAGTTCAGAGATGCCCTGTGACAAGTACAAAAGTGTCGACGTCTCTGGTCTTGGTTTGTACTTCAGAACAGCCATGCCGGGAGCGCGTCCTTCCAACAGGCCCTCACGACCTGTGTGCCTGCGCCGTCGCCGTCACCACTGGATCGCCTCCCACGCCGACGTTGAGCCATGCCTGTGGTCCAGGTTGTGGGGTCAGCACGTGCGCGTTAGTGGAGTGATGATGGCGCCGTGTGGCGCGGACGCCATTGTGCACTGTTGCCTCCCTGTCTGGGACGGAGGCCCGTGCACTCTAAGGAAGCCTTTGCAGACCTGAGAAGCTTCGAGCAGAGCTACAGTACCATCCGTGGTTCTGACAAGAGGAACTGTCGTACGTGCTTCCTGCGCTGTTGGTTCAATCGCCGCAAAAGGAGGTCAAGTGATGTCTACGCCTGACCATGCTTTTTCCCGGGCGAACTATGTGGCACGGTCCATATCGTCTTCCACCTTCCAAGGACAAGCGAGATGCCAAGGGCATACAAGGGCTTGCCACTTGTCCCTCCGGCAGCACCCATCATGCTCTGCTGTTTCCGCAAATTGCGCACTCGCCGGAGGACCCGAGGTGAGTATGGTTGCTCAACATATCGGCCTCAAGAGGCAATGCGCCCCGAAGCCTGACGATGTGTTGCATGCAAGCATGCCCTGCAGTGGTCTCCCCAAGTTCGAGGTCGCATACCACACCGCCAGGCGTCTGTACCGCGGAGTGGCTGGAGCATGTTGCGGCTTGTCCGAGCAGAAGGCCTTGCTGCTGTTGCCGCTCAGTGCAAGGGAGCCATTAATGCCTGCGCCCTTGCGCAATGTGGACATGGTTTGACAGCAACAAGTCGCGGTGTCGTGGAATGGTGTGGCTGGTCCCATGGTTGGGGGCTTGCAGTTACGTGGAGTGCAGCACAGCAGAGTCTTGCTGGACGAGCTGGACTGGACGTTGGTTTGTGCCAAACACGGAGTGGACACCACCGTGGGAAATGTCAGATCGGTCCACGGGAGAGGGGTATTTGAAATAGATTATCTCGGCCAAGCGGCATCTCGGTTTGTCGGTTCATTCCACGTGCTAATGTGGGGGTAATATGGAATAACTGGCGTAACGGAATCAGATATCGTTTGTTGACAATCTTGTTTACCTCCACCTCGCGCACCGGCACCAAGTGGCACGCGCCACACGAAATTCACCTGGAGGGGTCTCCAAAGACATGGGCGAGCCCCCCGTGCGCTACCTGATGGATAGAGCATCAAAAGTTTGCTCAACTATACCTGAGATGTATGGCAACATGCTTGTCCAATTTTGTCCTTGTATATTCACCGTGGGGCAAGAAAACGCGCATTGTATGCTCAGTAATGTACCTCTCTGGACCCGACACGACCCTGTGGTGCCATTTCCCTGCTACTGCGATCCCGACGCGTCGAAGCTTTGATCCATCCATGCCAGACGTCTTGTCAGAACATGTATTGAACGATTCGAGTCATACCGCGCATGCAGCGGTCGGTCCTAGATGCCCATTGTCACGCACTGGACAATAGCTCTGGTCTAGTTTGATCACCCAGGGCGTTATTGTTGTCGGACGGCCGTCACACCTAACGCAGCCTTACGATCTTTGTGCACCGACTTGTTGCTAGCGTTAGATGGACGTGTCGAGATGGAGCACAATCCATGCTGATCCTGCACCCAGCTTTCCCAGGCCTCAGACGTGCGTTGCTGTCTTTGGACGACGTGGCAGAAAGGGGTATTGCTGGGCAGATCGCAGTCGGTCGTTTGGACGCGCGTCTCGATGACTTGTGGATCGCTGTCCCAAACACGCTGGGGCTGCTGGCTATGCATCCGGCGGCGAGGCAATCGTGCACACTCCAGAGTCGCAGGTAACGGGGGCGGGGGGAGGGAGCGCTGGACGAAGTTTGCGCAAACTCCGGGGACATGGACGATCAGGCTTGCACGTGACTGCTCGACACCAACTGGGTGACTGAGATCACACCCAGGACCGCACCGTAGAGCCATTTTCCTGATTTCCATCCATTTTTGCTATGCATGCATGAATCGTTGGTGGTATGCATGCATAGCCATTCCAGTAGCAAATGCAAAGGAACAATGCATGCATGGCGATGTGAAGGATTGGATGCGACAGGACGGTTTGGCCACAAGAAGGACGGTGGCCAGAGTCGGGTGTTTTGCAATTCCCGTCGACCAGCCGGGGGCTCACAAATACCGTCACCCCCCGCGGCGAGACAACTCCTTCTTCCCCACTTCCTCTTCACATTCAACACTTCACCACATCCACCCTCTAACAGTGAGTTGATCACTTCCAGTGCCTTTACAGGTTGTCCCAAGCACCCCAGCAGGCTCCCCCACGCATCCAAAGCAGCTTTGCTGACCACGTCCTTCCGTGCTCGCCATCGCCGCCCCACCCGCGTTGTTGTTGCCATCCATGTTGTCCTTCTAGCCCACCCAACCAAGTCTCTCAACTCTCCAACAATGGTCGCTACTACCACCAAGAAGGCCGCTGCTCCCCGCAAGGTCGCCACTCACCCCACTTTCCTCGCCATGATCCAGGTAAGCGTCGTCGAAAGAATCATCCACGCCACCCAAACCGCCGAGGCGGCGGCGGAAGCCTGGGGCAAAACCAGCCCCACCATCCACCGAGCGCCTGTTTTGGCCAGTGTCAACACGCGAGTCACTCGCATTGGGCGTGGGAAGGGCGAATGGTGACCAGCACCACTCTTCCCAACTCGGGATGGCAACAGCATTGCACTCGTCGTCGACTGCACCGCCCAGCCGTCGGAGTCGGCTCTCACGCCCTCGTGACCGCGGCGGTTGACCGGACCTGACGAAGCTCTCTCACCTCCCCCCTCCGTTCCCACTCAATTCTTCACCTGTCCTGTTCAAACTTGGCACAGGAGTGGATGCGCGCCGCATCCACCCCCATGCCAAGTTGCAGCGCTACAATGGCCATGCATGGCTGTTGACGAGGCCCCCGTGTGAATTGCCATTTCCGGAGATTTTGTCTCCGTCGTCTCCCAGCTAGTCTGCCTGGCCTGCGCTGACACAACACAGGAGGCTATCAAGGCTCACCCCGAGGAGTCGCGTGCTGGTGTCTCGCGCCCCACTATCAAGAAGTATGTTCAGTCTCTCAGTCCTTTGGCTCCAGGCTGACCACACCTCTCTCCAGGTTCCTCGCCGCCACCTACAAGATTGACATTTCGTCGGCCTCGAACGTCCACAACCTTAACAACGCCATCAAGCGCGGCTCGGAGACCGGCGCCCTCGTCCTTCCCAAGGGCAACAGCGGCCGCATCAAGCTTGCCCCCAAGGTTCGTGCACCTCATGCATACAGCAAGTCGCAAAAACTGACACCTTATGCAGAAGCCCGCTGCCGGCAAGGAGAACGCTCCCCCCAAGAAGGCTGCTGCTGCTAAGCCCAAGAAGGCCGCCGCCCCCAAGCCCGCTGCGAAGAAGGCTGCTGCTAAGCCTGCTGCCGCCAAGCCCGCTGCTGCTAAGAAGGCTGCCACCACCGCCAAGAAGCCCGCTGCGAAGAAGGCCGCTGCCGCCTCGACCACCAAGAAGCCCGCTGCCGGTAAGTCCTTTCGATCGATCCTTGACGACGGAGTGAGCTGACAGTTGTCTAGCCAAGCCCAAGGCTGCTGCCGCCCCCAAGAAGGCCCCCGCTAAGAAGGCTGCTGCCCCCAAGGCCAAGTAAAGAGTGCAATGTTTCGTTGCGCTCCTGTTCTGGCCTTGAGGACGCTTCTGGGCTTTCGGGCACTGTGACCCCACACTGTATCGTGGTTATTGTGGCACTTCCTTCTTCCCTCCACCCCCCTTGTTCGTAGTGATTCGTATTCGTTTTCGTCTCTCCCCTTAGTATCGCGACTCTGCTATGCACGTCGCTGACTGTGTGTGTTTCAATCTTTGCTTTTTTTCTCTCTATGTACCTCGGTGCAACTTTCACAGAAACATCCATCTTGTTGCAAGGGCAGGTGGCGCGCCACATTCGAGCACAAACATTGGACGGCCGAAAGGGGCTAAAGGGCCAAAGGGTGGGCGGGCCGTTTGTGTGTGGAGGTTGTTGACACCAGTTCTGCCGCAGGATCACACAGGTCACGTGATGCCAATAGTTTTGACGTCACGAGAACAAATCGCTCACGTAGTGCGACGACCGTGCACTGATCATTGATCACTGATCACTGATCACTGACTGCCGACCACGTCGGCCAACACATGCAACACAAAACCCTAGCAGCCCTCGCAACCCTTAGGCACCAGTCTGCGCTGAACCATGCTGTGATCGTTGGACACGGCCGTCAGACGCAAAACAAAGCATAATAACCACGACATGGCCAGATTGGCTGGGGAGTAATTGGACTTGGGCATTATGTTTACGGATCCATTAGGAAATGTCCCCAATGGAGCAGGATCAAATCATATAAACGGTCCACATCTGCACCAGTGGCACATGTCATCTGCTGTTCTGCGTTGGCATTCAGTGCCATTCGCCATGTATCTCGCTACCAAGCGGCTTTTACTGTTACAGAAGTTGCATACACGCTACGAAAAGTATCGGCCGCGTCACGTGGTCGGGTCGCTTAGGAAATGTCGACGTTCATCGGCATCTCGTCGATTTCTGTTCGGTCAGCTCTCCTGCCCATATCCGTCGTCTCCGGTACCGTCTAAACTCACGAGTCGAGAAGTACTGCTCCAAATCCCTGAGGATACGGACGTCCTCGGTCGTAACAAAGTTGATAGCCACACCCTTCCTTCCGAAGCGGCCAGAGCGACCGATACGGTGCAGGTAGTTTTCACGGGACGAGGGCAGGTCGTAGTTGATGACGAGGGACACCTGCTGGACATCGATACCGCGCGCCCAGACGTCGGTGGTGATGAGGACACGGCTCTGTCCCGAGCGGAACTCGGACATGATCGCGTCACGCTCCTTCTGCACCATCTCGCCGTGCATGCTGCTGACGGTGAAGTTGGCCTCGCGCATCTTCTCGGTAAGCCAGTCGACCTTGCGACGGGTGTTGCAGAAGATGACCGCCTGTGTGATAGTAAGGCTGAAGGGAGAGTCAGTGTGATGTCCTCACAAGAGGCTCGCTTACGTGTCGTAGAGGTCACACAGGGTGTCAAACTTCCAGTCCTCCTTCTCGACGGCGACGAAGAACTGCTTGATGCCCTCAAGGGTAAGCTCGTCACGCTTGACAAGGATGCGAATGGGGTCGGTCATGAACTTGGTGGTCATCTCAAGCACGTCGTGGGGGAGAGTGGCCGAAACAATGACGACCTGAGTCGCGGGAGGAAGGTAACGGTAAATGTCGTAAATCTGGTCCTTGAAGCCCTTGTTCAGGAGCTCGTCAGACTCGTCGAGAATGAGCATCTTGATGTCCTTGGTGTGGAGGTTGCGGCGGCGGATCATGTCAAAGACACGACCGGGGGTACCGCTGACAACCTGCTGGCCAGCCTCAAGCTTGCGAATGTCCTCCCCGACCGAGGTGCCACCAATACACGCGTGACACGAGACGTTCATGTAGTCGCCAAGAGCGAGAACGACGGTCTGAATCTGGACAGCCAACTCGCGTGTAGGCGAAAGAATAAGAGCCTGGGTCTCGCGGACGTTCATGTCGAGCGACTGGAGGGCCGAAATGGCAAACGTGGCCGTCTTACCGGTACCCGACTGAGCCTGCGCAATAACATCGCGGCCACGAAGGATGGGAACGATGGCACGCTGCTGGATAGCCGAGGGCTTTTCAAAGTCTGCAAGTTAGCTTAACCCTCTCAGATAACAACGTACTGTACGCGTAGATACCGCGAAGGAGGTCCTCCCTCAGGTTGAGCGCTTCGACTGGTCACAGGTGTCAGCGCCATGTCACAATAACAATAACAAAAATCGAACACTCACAAGTCGGAGCCTGTATTCGAGAGGAGCAAAAGCGCCATGTCAATGACCGCCCCTACTCCCCCCACGCTGCCATCTCCCCCAGGCCAGCTTGAAGTGTACGTACGACAGCAACCGATTCGGACGATTCGAAGATGAGCTTGTCATCGCCGCTGTTCATGTCAACACAACTCGCTCAAAATCCATGCTTACGCGTTGAGCTGCAGATTCAAGTCACATGTGAGCATTCCCTCTGCTCCTCGTTAGTTGCCCAGCATGCTTACCGCCATTTTGAACCAGTGATGTAATGGTTGAAGATGGTGGAATGAGTTCAAGATCACTTCGATGAAGTGGGTGGCGCTAATTCCGCCTATTGCCGGCGTGTGGCATTCTCCGACCTGTGGTGATCCACCCCGCGACTTTGAGATCAGCAAGTGGAATGTTAATGTTGTAACAGCCCTTTGACAAACAAACCACCATGGACTCTATCATCGAGACCCAAAGAGCGACCCACGAGGAGATTGAGCGGTATGAGCAGGCGCTCGCCGACGTGCTCATGCAGAACCCCACTGCTGTAGGTCCATGCATTGGCCCGCCTCCCTGATCAACGTAGCTGACATGAACCAGCAACGCAACATTACGCGTCGAGATCGCAAGACGGCTGAGATCCTTGACCGCATCGGCGAGCTCAAGCACAACCTTGTGGGGATGTACGAGGACCTGCCAGGGTGAGTGACAATTGTGGTTGCTGTAGCTGACGGGAACAGTCTGAGGCCTACCGAACTCGGTCTCCTCTCCGCACCGGCTCCTGGGGAGGGTGTCGATGAGCTCGCCGAGTTCTACTCGCGGTTTGAGAAGATCAAGGCGTTCCATCGCACAAACCAGAACATCAACGCGCGCGAGTTCTTGAACGAGATTGACGAGATGGTGCAGGGTGACGGCCTGCAGGTGACCGAGGTGGAGGACCCCGAGAGTGGCCAAGTGGAAACTGTCACTGTTGACCGTGAGTCCAGCTAGGGAGTTTGGATGCTGATCCTGTACAGCTCTCGACAATGTCTTTTCTGGCGAGGAGGTGTACGGAAAGCACCTGGACCTTTACCTGGCGCATTCGCAGTACCTCAACCTGAAGGGAAGCACGCGTCTGTCGTACGTTGGGTATCTCGACATGCTCAAGCAGGGCCGTGTCGAGAGGACGCTGGACCTGAGGGAACGGAGCCATGCGGCATATCTCGAGTGAGCACCCTTTGCCTCAATGCAATGCTGACTCTGCAGATACGTCTTGACGCTGTACAACTATCTCGTCTCGTTCTTTGAGCGCGCGCTTCCTCTTGTCAACCTCAAGGCCAAGCTCGAGGAGGAGCAGACCAAGTTTGAGGCCGCATGGGCCAACGACGAGATTCCGGGATGGTCAGAGGCGTCGTCAAGCGCAAAGAAGGTGGCGAACGGCGGTGCAGGCATCTGGTGCCCGTACTGCCAGAAGCACTACTCGAAGCAGACCGTGTACGACGCGCACCTCAATTCGCCAAAGCACAAGAAGAAGGAGGCCGCAGGCAAGGCGGTCAGCGAGGAGGACGCGTCTTCTGCGGGAACCGCTGCCGGTCCGTCAACCTCGTCACGCGACAAGGTTAAGCAGCCCGCGCGCTACACTTTCCTCGTCTCGGCCCTCCTCACCTTCCCTCCCATTCCCGACAAGATCACCGACTCGAGGTCGGAAGTTGAGCGTCGCAGTGCTCTTACGGCTCGCGAGCGTGAAGCAGAGCTCGAGGAGGCAGAGGATGCGCCGCCACCCATCGAGGTGTCGAGGGGCGTTGACGGCGAAGAGGAGGATGACGAGGACGAGGACGGGCACACCTACAACCCCCTCAAGCTCCCGATTGGCTGGGACGGCAAGCCAATTCCATTCTGGCTGTACAAGCTGCACGGTCTTGGTGTCGAGTTCAAGTGCGAGATTTGCTCCGACTATGTGTACATGGGACGCAAGGCGTTTGACCGCCACTTCCAGGAGTCGCGTCACGCGTTCGGCATGCGCGCTCTCGGTCTCCCAAACACTCGTCACTTCCACGAGATTACCAAGATTGCGGACGCGCTTGCCCTGGCTGAGAAGCTCAAGCGCGAGGGCAGGCAGGAGCTTGCTGCCATGGACAGGGCAGAGGAGTTTGAGGATGCCGACGGCAACGTGTATGACAAGAAGACGTACGAGGACCTGAAGAGGCAGGGTCTGTTGTAGTTCAGTATGGTGAGATAGAAGTAGAGAGCACACTAGTCATCACCGATGCATCACCGTACCGGTCCTATTCGTTACTTCTACTCATCTCTACAAAGTGGCGCCGCTCTTCTTAGCCCCACCTACACGGGCACCTCCCAGGTGCGCACACAGCCATCGGCACCCGAAGAGACGATCTTGGTCTCGCTCTCCCAGGCCACACCAGCAACGCCACCGGGGTGCGCGTTCTTGATGGGGATGTTGCGGATGATCTTGTCGACGCTCCAGACGTAGATGCTCTCATCGGCACCGCCAGACACAATACGACGGCCCGAGGGAGAGAACGCGACGCTGGCGATACGGCCAGTGTGGAAGGTCCAGCGCGACGACACAAGGACCTTGTTCTCCTTGGCGTCAATGAGGACGATACGGCCGGCAGCGTCACCGGCGGCGACGAGCGAGCCGTCGGGCGAGAATGCAAGGGCGAGAACCTCGGCCTTGTTGTCGTCAAACTCGGCAAGGGGGGTCACGGTGGTGCCATTGATGCCTGCAAGAGTGACCTTTTTGGCGCCAACGCCGAGGGCGACAATGTCTCCCTGGGGGCCAGTGAAGGCTGCCACAGCAGTAGCCGCACCGGGGTGGATGACAGGGGAACCTGAAGTGGGGGCAATCTCCAGACCCTCGGACGAGGAGACATACACAGCCGACGGGGTGGCAGCGATGCCGGTAGGCTGCGACTTGGTGGGGAGCGATGTAGCAGCAAACTCGGTGCCGGCGATGGACGCAATCTTGTCGTCCCAGCCAGCAGTGTACACCTTGCCGGTGCTGTCAGGAGCGACACCAACAATCTGTCCAGAGTGGCCAGTTCCAGTCACGTTGGCACACTCGCCCTCGCCGGCGCCGTAGCTGTCGCCAATGGAAAAGGCATTCATGGTGCCGTCAAACGAGCCAGTGTAGAAAGTACGCTCCTTGCCCGAACCCGAGAGGGCAGACGCAGTGATGGCCTTGGTGGGGCCGTGGAGGGTGCGCCACTTGGCCGAGGGCTCACGAGTGTCAAAGATGTTGAGCACACCCGAGCCCGAGACCGAGACAACAGTGTTGGCGTTGGCGTAGACGACGCCGTTCTGCTGCGACTCGACGTCCGAGCCGAGAATGTAAGTCTGGGCGACCTGTGACGTGGTCGCGTCCCAGATGGCAACGACACCGTCGGCACCGGCAGTGGCGACCTTGGTCGAGTCTGGGCTCCACGAGAGTGCCATCAGACTGCGAGTCGGGTCGACAGCCGAGGCCTCGGACTTGACGTCACCCGTCTTGCCATCATAGAAGAAGATCTTGCCGTCCGAGCCAACACTGGCGAACAGGTCGCCGTTGGGCGAAAAGCCGACATCACGAACAAAACGAGTATGCGTCGAGATGATCTTGTCGTACTTGAACGGCACAGCAGTGTGGAACACGATACTGTTGTCGTCTGAACCAGACACGGCACGGAACGGGCGCTGCTGACGAACACTCAGGGCGGTGATGGGCTGCTCGTTAGCACCTGGTGCTGCGTGATCACGGTACGCACCTTGGCGTGGCCAGAAATCTCGCCGCACGACGAGCCAGAGTCCACAAAGAAGGCAGCACCAAACCTACGCGGTCAGTGATAGCCACTTGGATTCTCCACTCACTTGTCCTTGCCCTCACCACCGACGATGATGCGCTTGCTCTCACTGTCCCACGCGAGGTCGTTGATGCGACCGCCAAGGGGACGGATCGCAAGCTTGAGGACGTTCTCCTCGGGGTTGGTCGTGTCCCAGACGCGGACGTTTCCAGCCACGTCGCCCGAGGCAACGTAGTAGCCCGAAGGCGAGAAGCGCGCAACAGTCGCAGTCTGGGTGTGCTCTACGAGGCGTCAGGACAAAGTTACAACGGCAGCACCGCCCTGTCAGAGACACTTACGAGTGTACGCGTGTGCGACGGTCGAGTTCTACCAGGTCAGCTGTGCTTTTCGTGATCTTCCTACGTACGTTCAAGTCACGAGTCTAATATGTCAGCTGGCTTCCTTGAGGGAACGATTAAGCACTTCCAACACTCACAATGACGGCGCGGCCGTTGGTGTAGATGAGCTTCTCGCCTTTGGGGTCGACGGCGAGCTTGGTCGACTCGGACCGCGCAGTCGCGGGGTTGCAAGGGTACAAAGGGCCTGCGCGGGTCAGAGACAGCTTTTCGTGACCAGTCTTACCTGCTTTCCAGGACATGGTAGCGCTTATGAGGTATGGGTAGATGTGAAAAGTCGAGATGTGCTCTGAGCCTGCTTTCTTGTGGTCGTGTTCCATGTTGTTGCGTCACCGCTGGGCTGCGGACCCTGACACAGATAGATCCGATTCAGTTGCCCCGTGGCCTGTGGCACACCCGCTCGTCTGCATTCATCTCCCATGCATATCATCGCAATGCTACAAGTCATGTCGTTCACGCCTAGGGTATATGGGGGTCATTCTCGTCTACAGCACCTACGCCTCCACCACAACGGGTGCTGCGCTTCCGTTCAGTTGGCCGTTGGCTTGGGCAGCTGTCGCAACATCCGGAAGCTTGGACTGGACAAACTTTTGGATCTGGGGCAGAACGTCATTGAGCAGGTCGACGACCTTTGCCTTTTCCGAGGTGTGGATCTGGCCACCAAGACGACGGTGCAACCTCTCCTCACTGAGGAGGGGGTGCACAGAGGGGACATAGATGCGGTTCGACTGGCGGAACCAGTTCCTCCTCGACTCGTTGTGCGGGTCGACGCGCACCAGCGAGTGCAGGCCGGCGACCTGCACAACGGCCTTGACCTTGTCCTCGACGTCGCGGTTATTGATAAGCTCCATGACGGCTGCACAACCAGTGCCGTGGCCAATGAAGACGACATTCTCAGCCTCGGACAGCCTTGTAGTGTCAGCGATTTATCGAATGCAAAGCCTTCGACGACTCACTCAATGTAGTTGTCCCAGAGGTAGCGTAAAAGCTGGCCATCGAGCTTGTCACCGTTGTTGGAAACCATCTTGGGCTTGTCCTGTACAGGTCAGTTATCCGCTCCATGTGTACCATCCTCACCTTTGCAAAGGTAGTCGGTAACTGGCGCAGGACGTTGACATCGATAACGTTCCAGTTATTCTTCGTAACCCAGTTGAGGACAGTGTCTGTCGTGTCCAGCAAGTAGCTGTTGGCCATGTGAATGTCGGTGGTCGCAATGCCGTCCGTCTCCACTCGCAAGTTGCCAAAGTCGTGGACAAAGACGACCAGTACGCCGCTGTTGCCGGCCTCGTACACCTTCTCGTTGCACAGAACCTGGCCACCGTACGACTCCTCCAGCTCTTCGCTAGCGAGGGGGATCTGGAAGAGCTGGTACTTGTTGAACAGGTGATGCGAGCGGTACACCTTGAGAATATCGGGGATTGGGATGACAGGCGAAATGTTCTCGTCGGCTCCAACCTCGGGCGGTTCACACGCCTTGACGTCGATGCTCTTCCAGTATTTAGACTGCACTTTGGCGACCTGGTACATGACTTCAGTGGCAGCTTCGCTAGCCTCGAGGTGGCCAATCTCGGCGGGAGTCTCGCCGAGGAGGACTTGTGCAACGGCAAGGGCCGAATCCGAAATGGCTTTCAAGTTGTAGCCGCCCTCAAGAGCAACCACAACCTTGCCGCCAGCAAGGGCACAGAGCATGTGAGTCATGTGCCCATAGCCAGCAGGGGTAACGTTGCAGGCTCCGAGCTGGTCACCTTGAGCGGCGTCAAAGCCGGCCGAGACTGGTTGTCAGCTGGGGGTACGCAGGGCTCGCCAGAGCTCACTGATGACGAGGTCGGGTGCAAACTCGTAAGCGATAGGCATCACGACACGCTGGAAAGCGTAAATGTAGTCGGCATCGCCAAAGCCACCAGACGGCCAAGGAATGTTGACCGACTTGCCCTCGCCAGGGCCCTCGCCGACCATGTCGAGGGCTCCAAAGTCGCTGGTGGGGTAGAAGCGGCCACCGTCGTGGCGGTGGATTGACATGTACAGCACATTGGGGTCGTTCCAGAACGCGCGCTGGGTACCGTTGCCGTGGTGGACATCCCTGTCTATCAGCGACAACCTTTCCACTCGCAGCTCACCAGTCAAGAATGAGGACCTTTTTGGCCAAGCCAAGGCGCTGGATCTCGCGGGTAGCGACGGCGACATTGTTGTAAAAGCAGAAACCCATGTGCTCGTCCGGCTCGGCGTGGTGGCCGGGAGGACGGACAATGGCAAAAGCGTTGCGAACCTCGCCCTTGCACACCGACGCACACGCCTCAATGACACCGCCACATGAAAGACGGGCACAGTGGGCAGTCTCGCGACAGACATAGAGCGAGAGCTGCTCATAGTACTGTTTTGTCTCCTGGATATACTCGTCGTTCATGGCTGACAGTTAGCCCCGGCGCAGTGTTGGAACCCACTTTCTGTGCCCTGCACCTTGAGCCACTGGTCCTCGCTGTGCACCAGGCGGACCTGGTCGTACGTGACTTCCTTGCCCTCGATCTGCTTCATACGGCGAATGAGGCCATGGTCCTTGAGGTTGGTGAAGATGCGCTTGATACGCATAGGCTCCTCGGGATGACCTTCACCAGAGTCGACGACATTGTCGGGTGTGGGCATGTAGCCGTCCTGGCAGTGGAGCATCATGAGGGGGTCGTACACATATCCCGTGCGGACCATACGCTGCGGTGCTTTGCCGTCCTCGCCAGTGACCGTGTAATAGGTGGTGTACGCATTCGTTCCATTCGTAATAGCTGAAGAGTCGGTAGGAGGCGTTGCCTGGCCATTGGGCGGAACGTGTGACGATGTGATGGAAGCAAGCGGAGCAACCGGGGTACCATTTGCAGGCTGCGGGGTGGAGGAAGGCTCGTCAACCTCCATTGTCACGGCAACGCTGTCAATGCGAATCACTTCGCCATTGCCGGGATGACCAGAGCCGGACGGTTCTGAGATTTCGATTGAGGTCGAGACCTGCTGGACAATGGACGACGTGGACGCATCAACGTCCATGGCGTTGGGATCAGACATGTCGGGGGAAGGCGCCACCGTCAGAGGAAGTGATCCTGACCGGTCGTGCTTTTGAGCTGTGGGGAGGGGCTCCGGGGAGGGAGTTGGTGTCACGAGAGGTCGACGAGGTCCAACTTTGTCTCGGGATTGGGTTTGGCGAGTGTTGCCGAGACCCCCGAGGCTCTTGGGAGTGATGGAGGATGGTGAACAACATCAAGTTGAGTGTTCGCGTTCCGCACTCTTGGGAGCATTGTTGGGATTAGGACCGGTTGTTTGTGAAAGTTGTAATCAGATTTAAAACTCGTTTCTAATAATTACAATAGTGTTAGGCTCACGGTGTCAGGCTCCAAATGACGATCGACAAGGGAGGCTGCTGTACGCGGTCGTGTTCACTTTCAACCCACCCACCCCCTATACCCCCCCTCCCCTCCTCCCCTCGCCCACCATGATCAACCGACTTGGGCAGAGGCTAAAGGAGAACTTTCAAGAGACGACGCGCGACCTGAGCCTGCTGGCTGGCAGCGGCGGCTCAGGGAGTGCCGGCTACTTTGACGCGTCCGAGGACAAGGTACTCGAAGTGTCCACGCTCCTCGAATCGCGCGCCGACAGCGAACGTCTCGAGGGCATGAAGCGTATCATTGCCGCCATGAGCAAAGGTCGCAACATGGAGGGCTTCTTTGCCCAGGTTGTCAAGAACGTCGTCTCTGGCAGCATCGAGATTCGCAAGCTCGTGTACATCTATCTCCTCCGTTATGCGGCGACCAACTCGGACCTGCTGCTGCTCTCTATCAATACTTTCCAAAAGGACCTGTCCGATTCGTCTCCTCTGATCCGTTCCATGTCCTTGAGGGTCCTGACTTCTATCCGTCTTCCCATTATCCAAGGTGAGTCTGCCAAAGTTGAGTGCAGTACCTGACCGACAAGGCATCGTCATGCTCGGGCTCAAGAAGCTCGTCAACGATCGCAACCCCTGGGTTCGCAAGACAGTCGCTGGCGGCCTGGCAAAGGTGTACGAGTAGGTGCCTCTCACTGAAATGAACTAACCTACCCTAGGATGGACTCGACCACTCTCCCCGAGCTTATTCCTCTGCTGCAGACCCTCATAGCCTCGCCATCCCCGCTCACCTTGGGCGCGACTCTAACTGCCTTCTCGGAGATTTGCCCCGACCGACTCGACCTGCTGCACCCATACTATCGCCACATCTGTAGGCTCATGGGTGATGCCGACGAGTGGGGACAGGTCGTCGTCCTCGACGTTCTCACCCGCTACGCTCGCGCCATGCTTGAGAAGCCTGACGGTGCTGGCAGTGCTGCACCTGCTCCCAAGGATCAGAATGGTGCCCAGGAGGAAGACGACTTTGAGGGCCTGGACGTCGACCTGGCTATGCTTCTCGACCACGCCAAGCCCCTCCTTCAGTCCCGCAACGCTGCTGTCGTTGTTGGTACCGCCACCATGTACTACAACTTGGCGCCTGCTGGCCACACTGCTGTTGGCCAGGAGCTGCTCGTGGCCCCTATTCTCCGCCTCGCTGGCACCGCCGGTTCAGACCCGACTGGCTCGGACGAGGTGACTTCCTTGACCTGGGAGGTGATTGCTGCAATGGCCGAGGAGCGTCCCGTGAGTACAGACGTCCGTTCCGTGTGCTGATGGCCCAGTGGCTCTTTACTTCCCGCCATTCGAGCTTCTTCCTCCACGCCGCCGATTCGTCCGTTATCAAGCATGCCAAGCTGCGCAGCCTGATCGCTCTCGTCTCTGCCGATAATGCCGCCGCCTCTATCCGCGAGTTTAAGCACTATGTCAACCTCCCAGACGAAAAGGTCGCCGAGGAGGCAGTGCGCGCTATCGGGCACTGTGTGCGCACCCAGCCTGCCGTGGCCGAGTCTGGTCTCCGCGCTCTCATGAGGCTCCTCAAGAGCCCGCGAAGCTCGCTTGTCGCCCAGGCCGTGATTGTCCTCAAGGACGTCATCCTCAAGGGCGTTTCCCTGTCTTCTCCACAGCGCCTTGTTGCCCGTCTTGCCAAGCAGCTGGACAACATTACCAACGCCAGTGCCCGAGCCAGTGTCTTTTGGCTCGTGGGCCAGTTTGCTGCCGACGACTCGCCCGACACCACAATGGGCCTCAAGTGGGACGGTGTGGCACCGTGGGTTCCCGACGTTTTGCGCAAAGGTATCAAGGGTTTCGTCAACGAGGAGGCTGCCGCCAAGCTCCAGGTTCTCACTCTTGCGAGTCAGTTGCTCGTCCTCTCACCCTCAGTGGCAAAACTCGGAGCCCTCTCCCAGTACCTCTTCACTCTTGCGCGTTACGACAGCGACTATGACGTGCGCGACCGTGCGCGTTTCCTTGCGGCCTTGCTCCGCGGTGTGCGCGAAGAGAAGATCGGCGACGAACAGGCAGATGACGAGGACGTCGGTGGTGTGACACTCCGTCGCGAGCAGGTCAAGGTCGTTCTCCTTGGCCATCGCACAGTGACGAGCGATGCTGTGGCCTTGGAGCAGGCCGAATTTGGCGTGGGCTCCATGTCGCGTATCACACACAAAAGGCTCGGCGCATACGTAGCTCTTCCCGAGTGGACTGACGACCCGACCGACTCGACTCTCCGGGACTCGCAAGAGGAAGAACAGGTCAAGCACGCACCTTCTCCATCGCCAGCCACGTACGCTGCTGCGCCTCCTCAAACCGCGGTGCCGCGCAACATCTCCAGCAGCACCCCGCGGATTGCCTCGCCAATGGGTTCGTCGCCTGCGGGCTCTGTTCCACAGGCACGTGCCAAATTCCGCGACCTCGACGACTTCCTCAACTCGGAAGAAGAGAGTGAGGAAGAGGAAGAGGAAGAGGAGAGCGACGACGAGAGTTTTGTGCACCAGCCGGTGTCTGCCCCGCCACGACGCGACATTGTGCCCGAGTATGACGAGGACGACGATCAGGAGGACGAGGACAGTGAGGAGGAGGAGGACGAGGACAGTGAAGAGGAGGAAGACAGTGACGAATACGACGAGTATGTGGAGAGGGCGCCGTTGTACAGGCAGTAGATGGCATCTCTTGTTAATGGTAAAGCTTGTTGCAGGGCAAGGTTGCTAGCGGCGACAAGTGCCAAGGTGGGTGTGGATGCTTTGGGATGCTTTATGGGTCCGTCTTGGAGCCGCCGTCCTTGCTGGTGGCGGTAGGGTCCTTGTCGTTGGCTGTGGGCGTCAGACCAGACCTGAGTGACACCAACCCAACATACCCTTGCTTGCACCCCCCGTGGTGGGACCAGAGCTGCTGCAGCTGGTGGTCTGGCCGCCATTCGCATTCGCCTGGGCCATCTTGCGCTGTCTGATGAGCTGGATGGTCAGTTTGGAGCCGGCACGCGTCCTCACCGCCTGGGCGCGGGAGAGTGGAGCCGTTGGCTTCCTTCGGGGAGGGCTTTCGCCCCTCTGGGTCGTGTCAGCGACGGCATTCCCCTCACTGCCCTTTCGTCGTACGTTCTCTGGGTCCCTGGCATGTCTCTTGAAGGGAGGTCTGTCGTTGAGAGCCATGCTGAAGGGGTCGTCGATCGAGAAGTTGATGAGAAGTGAGTGATATTGTGAACGCCTCCAACTGTTCTTGTTTCCTCGGGGGACACACAGTCACCCACTGATCAGCACTGACCTTCCTTCTTCGTGCTCCACACCCCCTTGTCACACCAGCGCACCAGCCCGTGGCGATCTCTGTGCAGCATGAGTCAACTCGTCACACGCACAGCCCCCCGCGCTGCTCTTCCAGCGCACGCTTCTCCTGTGCATGCTGTGCACATGCTTCTCCTGCCTCCCACCGGTCACATATAGCCACTCGCCACTGGCTCTTGGTTCTTGACATTCACCCCCAACCACCCCCTCTCCTCTTCGACACTCATATCAACAACAACAATAACAACCCACAATGTCTTCCGTTTTTGTCACCGGCGTGTGAGTACCACTCCCCACCTTCCTTGCTTGTCATGGCCACAACTTGCTGACACTGCAGCACTTGCCGTTCTGCCATTGACGCAATCACCACCACCCAGTTCACTCGCGAGCTGGCCAAGTGCCCCAACACGGCGTACTCTGTCCGCTTATTCAACGCTGAGAGGCAGGTCGCGACATCCGTCCTCGCTGTCCGCCTCGATGGCCAACTCCAGACCAAGTGCATGGGCCTCGAGAACGAGGTGGACCGCATGCGGTGAGGTTGCAGGTCTTGTCCTCTTTTCAGTCCCAACTAACGCCAAACAGTCTGTTTATGGACCAACCCATGGGCACCACTGGCCCGACCTGGATGCTCGTTCTGGTTGTTATTGGTGAGCGGACTTGGTTGTGGCACCACTGACCTCAGGAATCGCATTCCCCGACCTCTCACACCTCGGTCGCGTCGAAGCCTACGTCCGCCGTCACCGCCCCGCCACCTCCTTCGCGGCGCTCAGCAACTTCGAGTCTGCCCCCATCGTCATCGGCGAGCGCGCCATTGGTGAGTACTGTTAAAGGAGGATGGGCGACAGGGGATGGCGATCTGACTCCCCAGATGGCGCCCGCAACAGCAACGGCGGAAAACTGTCGCCTACCCAGCACGTTGCCCGGTGCACATCTCTCGCCGGCGTCATGGATGTAAGTGTCTTGGTAGTGTTCGCTCAGACCTAACCCTTTGCAAGGTTCTTGGTTGGTCCGAGGACCGTCTCGAGGCCGAGGCCAAGGTCGCCAACGCCGAGAAGAACGGCGCCAAGCGCGTGACAGGCCGCACTGCTGTGATCCAGTTCATTGGCCTTGCGAGCGGTGAGTTGACGCTTGTGTTGCAACGTGCACTGACAACAGTCATCGCCACCGGTACCTGGTCCGTTCTCGGGGACCCCAAGACGGTCAACACAAACCAAAGCTCCTTTTACCCTCGCCGCGCTGCAGCTGGCGCCCGTTTTAAGCAGAGTGAGTGCTATCGCTAGGTGTCCCATCGTGCTTCACATCCCCCCGGTGGCGCAGCCTCACCATATGAACTGACACTGTTGCAGTTATGGAGGACCTGTTTGAGCACTGCTTGTTCGCCAATGGCAACGGCTCCTTCACCTACGATGTCACCAACCCCATCGGCCAGTTCCTTCGTGACGGCACACAAGTCCGCCGTCTCGAGGACTGGCTCGGCCAGGCGCTCGACGTAAGCCAGCGAGTTGTTGAGGTCGCTGACGTACCAGGGCTTTGCCATCGACACTCTCCAGGACCAGTGAGACCTGGTCCTTGGCCGTGGCGCCTACGGCGGCCAGGAGATTGCCGACGCATTTGCCACCAAGCTCTGTAAGTGTTGAACAGTGGGCTTGTGGGACTCTCTGGCTGACATATACCTAGTCCAGGTCTCGGACGCAGACGGCTTCGGCCGCTCGCGTCGCGTCGTGCTCGCCCTCGCGCGCCGCTACTGCCTCCGCCTAATCGCTGGCGACGAGGCTGAAGTCAAGAAGCAGAAACGCTTCTGGAGGGCCAAGGACGAGAAGCGCGCCGCGCGGTAAGTGCCTCCCACATCGCAAGGTCACAACTGACGAACGTCTCAGTCAAATCATCAAGGACGGAGGTATCGACCTCAAGAACCTCCACGCCGTTCTCAAGAGCCGTACGTACAACGCCATCCGTGTTCACTTCAAGTACGGTCCCGTCAAGGCCCGCATGAGCCGCGTGCTCCAGGACCTCGTACGTTGACCCCCCCCCCTCTCTGTCACCGCTGCGGACGCCGCTGACTGGTTCTGCCAGCACCGAGCTATCTGCCGAGGTGCTTTGGTCAGCCCTGCATCCCAACATAATCGCGAGTACCCTTCACTTGCACACAGTTATGTAGCACTCTGTGACATCATGCATACTGTATATAGACCTGTAGCACTTTCCGATCAATCAATGCACACAGTCGTGCACGCTAAAGTCCCCAGGCGGAAATAACAAACGCTGATGTGAACTGCTGAGGTTTGCTGTGAACCGGTCATGGATGAACAGGCCCTGATAATGTTAAAGACCTTGCAATTGAATATCCAGTACCACTTTTTTCCAGGGGCCAGGGGGATACAATTTTGATATCCATTGCCGTCCTGGTCCTTGCAGCTGGAGTAGGCAAGCAGCTCCACGCCACTTTTAAAAGGGCCATGAAATTGATAAACAAACCATGTCCAGCAGACATCGTTAGACATTCTGTTAGCCTCCTGGCACCGCGCATGGGAGAAAGAGTAAAATTATTATCCATCCATAAAGGAGTCTACGTAAGAAGAAATGGGGGCGTTCAAGCAGTCTCAGCCGAGTCGGCCGAGCCACGGACGCCAACGTTGGAGCCACGGACAAAGTTGTCCTGGTCCTCCTGCGAAAGCTCCTCGAGGGTGAGGCCCTTGGTCTCAGGAGTGCAGAAGAAGGTGGTGATGAGGCCCGTAAGCATGAAGAGAGCAAAAATTTCCAGGCAGAAGGGCTGTCAGCACGATACACGCGAAGAAGAGACGTTTGGAAGGTCCAGTAGGACCAGAGGATGGAGGAAGGGCAAAAGTGGCACTCGACAATTATTGCCGATCTTTTTTTTTTTTTTTTTTGGTGCCCGCCACACACCTCCACCTCTGGACCTGCTTCCGCCAATCGACTTACATGTGGGGGAGGAACTTGCCGGTACCGCCAATGTTGATAAGACGGGAGAAGCCGACCTGGGCGACAATGGCACCGAGCTTGCCCGAGGCAGCCGAGATACCGTGGGCGGTCGAACGGTAACGGGTGGGGAAGGCCTCACCGGGAATGATGAAAGTGGTGGTGTTGGGACCGAAGTTCTGGAAGAAGTTGGCCATGCAGTAGAGGAAGACAAAGGCCTTCTTGCCGGCGTCGGTGGACTCCATGGCGTTGTAGCCAAAGCCCATGCAGACGAAGATGATGGTGAGAAGGGCGAAACCCATGAGCTGGATGGGGCGACGTCCCCAGCTGTCGACGAAGGCCATGGAGAAGTAGTAGCCGGGGATGAGACCGCCGACGGCAAGAATAATGTTACCGACCGAGGTGTTGAACATGGTCTGCCACATGTTGATGTTCTTGTTGGCGCCGGCGGTGTAGCTGCCGAAACCGATGGTCTTGAGGATGGTGGCCGAGTTGAGACCGAGACCGTAGAAGGCAATGTCGAGGGCGAACCACGAGTAGGCGGTACCGAAGAGGACCTTGCCGTTCTTCCACTGGGAGAAGTGGCGGATAAAGTCGGACCACGAAGCCTTGGGGAGCTCGGCGCGCTCGTGGTTGTTGATGGGGTCAACGACGTAGGTGCCGGTGGTAAGGTAGGTGTCGACGTCCTGCGAGGCCTGCTTGATGTTGCGCTCGACGTCCATGGTGTAACGGGGAGTCTCGGGGATGGTAAGACGGAAGTAAAGAGCGATGGTGGCGGGAACACAGCCGACACCGATAACGGTACGCCAGCACTGGTCGATAGCCTTGAGGTTGGTAAGGGGCTGCTCGAGGATCTGCTTCTTGAAGCCAGTGACGGCGCAGACGGAGACAATGGCACAGGCAAGGTTTCCCCAGCCCTGGGCGGAGAAGACGGCGGCCATCATGCGGCCACGGATGCGGCGGGCGGCGAACTCGGAGGTGATGACGGCGGAGAGGGGCTGAGAGGGGGGTCAGCAACAATCGCGACTGGCTTCAACTCACGTAGTCACCACCGATACCCATACCCATCACGAAACGCCAGAAGATGATGACACCGTAAATAGAAATGGCGGGAGCCTGGCCGGCAACAGCCTGGCCGACAGTGCCGACTGGATACATGTTAGCCACAAAAAAACAACACGTCGAAACAAAGTGCCACACTCACCAATAATGATCATGAGCTCAACACCGTACATCTTCTTGCGACCAACGTGGTCGGCAAGGAAACCGAAGAGGAGCTGACCGAAGAAAGTGCCGATGGAGTGAGCGACCTTGATACCAAGGTCCTGGTTGGCAGTGTTGGAGCCACCCTGGTGGTAAACGTAACCAATCATGGTGGCGGCAAGCGAGATACCGAAAATGTCGTAGGCATCAGTGAAGAAGCCCACGCCTGGTGAAGGTGTCAGTCATGGTTTCAAGGCAAGATGGGAGGCACCGCGTATGGTGACCGAAAATAGCAGAGTCGCGACGGTGACCAAGACAGAAGTGTGTGCCACCACCGCGGACTCAGGCACCCTCCCGATCGTCCATTCTATCGCATGGTCGCTCGTCTGACCCAGATGATAGATACGCGTCCAAGTGACAGACAGTGTGTCTCGACACAACGTGTGTGCGGCAACCGTGTCGGAAGGTATCACTTTGCCTTGGCAAAGACCGCCACTGGGCATTGCGGGCTTGGCACTCACCCGCGACGATACAGGCCTTGGCGTGGAACCAGGAGAACTTGGCCTCGTCAATTTCGGAGAGGGCAGCGCGGCGACGCTCAGCGGCGCTGGAGGCCGCGTTGGTGCCCTGGTACTGGGTCTTCTCAGCGACAGGAGTGTCGATGGCGGACATTGTTGAGAGAGGAGAGAGGGGGGGGGAGAGGCTGGGTCTTCTCTTTGCACCGTACCGCCGCTTGTCTATATACTACTGATACTCGGGGGGCAAGGGGGCGCTCTTCTTGCCTTGCTGCTAGCAGGCGGGAAATCCAGGACAGACTGACCGGCCGCAAGCAACAAGCGAGAGCATATGCTACCTCCTCTCTCTGGCACCCGTACCGCCACGGCGAGCCCGGACCTCTGCTGACGAGCGAGAGGTCGTAGTTCCAGACACGTTTGCGTTTCTCACGGCCTGGCCGCACGGCCCGCGTGTTTACTGGGAGCATGCTGGGGTCGAGCATGGGCTCCAAGGCGGTCTCCAGGCAAGCGACTGTGGAGTGGGAGTGCCACCGCGTGAGGATTCGATGCGATTATCGCACGTTCGTGAACTCGCCACATAATCTGGTTCCGCTTTGGGTAGAAATCGTATGGTTGTCACTCCCTGAGATCGGAGTCGTCTGGCCCTTCTGTCTCTGGCGCCGGGGGTGTGCCTAGAATGCCGCGTGCGCGCGGTTTGTGGTGGTGCAGGCGGGGGTGGTGGTGTTCGTTAGGAACACCCAGCACTATGCATCAACAATCTCGCAGCAAGGGGTGCTGCGAAACGGCTCTGCGCGTTCTGCTCGATGCGGTCCGCAACGTCCACCTGTGCCCAGGGAAGAAAGCGCGCGCAATGTCCATCCCTTGCCATCCGGACCGCCGTGCACACACTACGGTTCAAACGAGGTTAGATGGGCCCGCGGGGGCACCGAGAAAACACATGAACAGACAAGCTCGGACGCACGGTTGCACGGTCCTCACGGTCCTCGCGGCCTCACGCTTTGTGTTTTCCCTCGTCAAGCACGTTTGTGCTGCCCGTCCCACCCATATCTCGCGGTTTTTCCAGAGGCCAGAGGCCAGAGTATTATCGCCCTCAAAGAAAAACCCTCCTCCCGCCCCCCCGCAATGCCTGATGCCGGACACATCCCCTCAGGGACCAGCAGAGACCCGACACGCCCGTGGCCCATGGCGGGTCTATATGCGTTGCGCGCCAAGACGACTCTCTTCCGGCGGCTCGCGCAGCCTACGAGGCTGCCCGCCTGCAACAGCAAACCCAGAACGTGCTCACACGAGCATGGCTCTGCGATTGATGTTGCGCCGACTTTTTTGATTTTCAGCCCACCGGTGGGCGCCATTGTTGCTATTTTTGCTCGTCAGCGGAGTCTGAAGGAGGCTTGGCATCATGTGTCCATCGCCGTGCCCGCTGATGCGGCAGCCCATCATCGAATCCGGCGAAGCGAATGACATGGGATACCGACGAATTCGGACGTGCGGGAGGCTGGCAGCCAACATCGTGCCCCGGTTGTCCGAGATTACTGGCCACAGACCACCCTTGACCTGGTCCCAGTCCCTTTACCGTTTGGAATGCCGTGTCCTGTGTCCTGTGCGCATTCTGACAAACAGAGAGCAAGTGGTGGTGCACATGGTAGCAATGGTGGCAGTACCTTGTGGCCTGTGGCATCGGCGGGCACGTGTAGCGCAAATCTTAAGCTCTGTGGTCGGACGTGGGATCGCCGTGCCGGGTTTCGGCCTTCTTTCCAAGGCCGTTTATGGAATGGACCCACGCTAGCTGGTTAGATGTAGGCATGCCGTCAGGTGGAGCCTGTAGGCCCTCTAGCGATTGGAGCACACGAACATTGATGTGCGGAAGGAGACAGTGGTACAGTGGCAGTCAGCTGGACAAATGAACATCCCGCCCCGGACACTCACTTATTCCTCTGGTTCCACTTCATTCCTCCTGTTCCACTTCTGCTCTGTGTCTCAATCGCCCTTAGCGAGCACGTACACACTCCTCGTAGTCACACGTAAATGCACGTCCTGGTCGCGATCTAATTGACGGTGCGGTAACTCAAACGCCGTGCGGCGACTGCCGCTCCTTTTTTTTTCACTACCGATGGTCCAGACCGACTTTTTGCCTTTCTGTAAACTGTCGGAGCCGCCCCTCTTATCGTGCACGGCCGCTGCATAGCAGACCAAGCAGCTGTCCTCGCTCACAAGGCTATATAAACGTGAATGCACCCAGAAAACGTATATCACCTTCTTGATCGTATAACGGTGAGTATGCTCGCTTGTCACTACAACTCGCGGGAGATCGGAGTTCGATTCTCCGTCAGGAAGTTTTTGGGCCCTCTACAGGCTGTCTGAGGGCATGGGATGCATCCGGAGTATCTTCTGCATCCTTGGACTATGCTTTTGGAGGTTTGGGGTGTGTGGTTGGGCAGGAAAATGGCAGATGGGGTGGAGTTGGCATCTTCGGAGCATGGAGCTGGTGGAGTGGCGCTGAAAATGGTTTGTGGGGTATTCGACTTGTCCGCAGTAGATGCACCATTTGTCCAACATTGCTACATATCACGGATCACGGGGGTCATCTGGGATAGTCTCTTCTACGAAGATTTAACTCGATAGCAAAGGCCGTCATGGTATGTTGTTGGACGAGGCGACGAGTCATTCAGTGGGGAAAAAGACATGTCCCATGAAATGTAAAGCAAACTCAAATGCGACCAAGGACATTCATTTGTCGCAGAGATACAGGTTATGTATGGCTTCTTCATGTGTTCCAAGAACCCAGCAACAACTGTCAAAAATTACCTCAACGGCGATAAGACGCTAGTGGACTAGCCGGGTGGATGAAGCTAACATGTGCATCGGTGTTTTAAATCACGCATAAACGTCCGTTAATCGGTACAGTACACTGCCACCTGTCCACCCCTACTACACTACATACAGCTCGGCGTCTCTCTATGTTTACTCTTCCCCAGTCTCAACCAACTAAACGCGCCGCAGTCCTTCCTCTCAGCACCGCACACTGTACTGCCCTATCTACGGAACCTGCGAATCTCGAATTTCGGTGCCAAGTCGAGCCTCGTTACTTCCCCACTTGCTACATCCACATCCTTAGTCTCGTCAATCACGACCTTGGACACCTCGGCGGATGGTGGTCCTCGCCAGAGGAAGACTTTACTGGAAAACCAACGTGTCAGATCTAACGGGATCCAAGGTCCCAGCCGTGGTGGCGGCGGCGGCGGTGGGCAGTGCTGGTGGCAGTGCCGCCTCACTCCCACAGAGGCGATGAGAGGCGCCGATGCACCAACACAGGTGTGTGCCGTAGCTATACGCCCACGTGCTGCGACCTCCTTCCATTGCCACACACTCACAACTTTGCAATCTCTTCCGGGTGACCGAGGGCGACGCCCTCGACGCTCTCGTCTGGGTGGTTGTGGCACCACCCGCGGATCCCCAGCCTTGTCGCCCTGGGTCCATTAGCAGAAGCTCCGCGGGACACAATTGTAGTTGGGAAGCAAGGCAAGGGCAATGGTGTGGTCATGAGTCTGGGGCCTGGGGTCTGGGGTCATGCAGGATAGTCATGAGCGTCGGTGCGGCCTTTAAACGACAACGCGCGCAACACGCGACGACGGCGACAGGTTATCTCCGTCCACAGGAACGGCGGGAGTGGACGGCGGATCAAAGTCCGCGCGGGTCGTCGGCTATATTGTCTCCATGGACCATGTCCCTCCAGAAGTTGGAGATGGCCGAACGAGAGCTGTCCACCTGCCCCAGAGCCAAGAGGACTACCAAACGAACACAGATCACACGAGTCTTGTTCGCTTCACGGAAGGTGTGTTGGGGCGGGCGGGACATTCCGGAGCGGACCATCAAAAAAGTGGACAGATGGTGACTACCACATTTGATCAACGCCTCCGGATGCCGGCGGCCGCGGACTCTCGAGCTACGCGCGCCACATGCAGGTTTCTGCTCACTCTTTCTGGGTGTAGTACCGGAAGCACACGCCCTGAGCGTTAGGCGTCAGCCGGTCCCACTTCTTTGTAACATGCAACACGCCAGAGGCATTGTTATCGTTTTGTTTTGTTTCCAAATTTCCCGGCCCCGGCGGCCAGAGCGGGTCTTTTGCGTGTCGGTGGACAGTCAGTGGAGCTGCCGCGGGTTAAACGAGCCCCCCATGCTGTGAACGCCGCAGACTCCCCCGCTTGCTCGCCACCGCTACCACTGCACAATGCAAACGCACCTGCACGACGCCGGTGCTAGGTGTCAGTGTACGTAACATAAAGAGCAAGGCTTACACCTTGAATTTGATGAGGTCCATGACAGGGGTTTGTTGTGGGGACAGGAAACTCGGGTGAGGGAATGGACGGACGGGGGAGAGACGACGACGACGACGACGGCTGTGGTGCACCGGAGAGGCCGGATGGGTGCCCCGCTCCGTGTGTGCGGCGTGTGCTCACGGCGGCCGGCGGGTAGCTGTGGAGAGACGCGGAGGTGCCCGTGGGATTGCTGGCGGCGGATGATATGGAGGCACAGGGCGTCCTGACGGTTGCGGGTTAATTCCGCCGAGTCCGAAAGCACCGGTCACAGATGGTGCACAGGACAATGAGGGAGAGCATTTCGAGTCGACAAGAGGATGTGGGTTCCACCTTTGGTCCCACCAAAGACGCGCTCTGGCGCTGTGGGCCGTGGTCGTCGGACAACGCGGACAACACGGGGTGCCGTGGGTAGAAAGAGAAAGAGAAACAGCAGTGAGAGTGACAATTGCTCTCGTGACCATTACAACGTACCTCTCTGTCTCCCCGGCTCCAAAACGACGTACCCATAACCGTTAACCGGATTACCGTCCGCCGCGCCCCGGTCCGCCCGTCGTTGCCGCCGCCGCCCACAACACATCTCTCCACACCCACCACATCTTTCCAGCACATCTTCCTCCACAACTTGCACTGCACCATCACCTACCAGCTCCCACATCTCGTCTCACCACCATGCGGCCCAGAGTGCCTGCCCCATCATCCCAGCCGCTGAGGCAGCGCGTCCTGCTGCAGCAGCAGCAGCATCAGCAACAGCGCAACTTCTCAGCCCAGCTCTTCCCCCAGCCCCCGGCCGACCCAAGGGGCAAGAGACAAGAGTATCGCGCCGCGTCCACTGCGGCAAACAACACCGACTGGTTGTCATGGCTCAAGAGGGCTTCCCCACTCACACCCCACCATGGCACCCCTCCAAGGCGAGCCCTCATCCTCCCCGGTCTTGTTAGTACACCGTTTTCATGGCCGCTGGTATCGCAGCGTCCACTCACATGACGCACATTGAGCACCACTGACGACCCACCACAGGGCAGCTACCCCCACACTCCACAGAGCCCCACACCATCCTCGCTTCAGGTCTGGGAGCAGGCCAGTGAAGCCCTCTGCACCCCCGACGCAACTATGGGTTACTGGGACGACGGCATGGAGGAGTTTGCAGGCGCGCTCCTCCAGGGCGGCGGCGGACATGGAATCCGCGGTTGGCTCCGTGGTTGGGTTGAGGGAAGGTCACTTGTGGGTAGTGTGTTCACCATCGTTGTACTGACCCACCAGGACGAACTGATGGCTCGCGCCGACGTCACTGCCGCGTTCATTCTGAGCTCTTCCATCGCCATCCTGGCATCCGAGCAGGTGAGTGTGGGACGCCCAGCCGACTTTTGACCGAGACGACAAACTGACTCGGGGTTTGTTAGGAACGCTCCGGCCACACATCACTTCTTCCCGAGGGCACCACCTACCTCGCTGGCCATGGATTCATTGGCACTCTCACCGCTCTCGTCGCCACTGGGCGTCTTGACCTGCCCAGCGGCATCCGGCTCGCAAGGATGTACGCCTCCCTGCCGGCCTCGCCACCCAACCACCCTCCCCAGCGCTTCCTCACTACGGCCCTCAGCGCAAGGCACTACCACTCGCTGTCGTCGCCAGCACACTTTGTGCCATTCGAGGACCCACTGGCGTGCGAAGACGACGAGCCTGAACGTCGCCGTCGCGTGATGCAGCTCATCCTCGACGAGGTGCACTCGCTCCAGCGTGAATGGGAGGTGGAGGGCAACGGCGAGTGGGCCGAGGCCGGCATCATCAACAGCAGCCGCGTCCTCATCGTCACGGGAACGTACATGGCTGTCGAACAGCTGATCGACCGTCTCCAGACCCTCACCATTGCCAACCCCGTCATGGACGTCAACATGCCGTGAGTAACAACACACAATTGCGTCGGCCTGGTAGCCCCGCTACGCCCGACGGCGGCGGGCGCTCCAGGTCCGGGCCGTGCAGCCTCCGCAGTAGTGGACAAGACACATGTGACTGACGCCACGCCCCCCTCCGCAGATGCCCATACCACTCCAAGCTCATGCTCCACGCTGTGCCCAAGTTTGCCGACACGCTGCAGCGCTGCACCTTTGCGCGCCCCAAGGAAGGCGAGCCCATCATCCTCGACCCGATCACCACGCGCACCCTGTGCGGCCCGCCCGCGTCCGCCCTGCTGTCGCAGCTCACCCAGCAGCTGCGGTGGCACAAGACGCTCGCGCGCCTGCACACGCAGCCGTCCCCGCCCGTCGACCAGTTCCTCACCGTCGGCCGCGGCGCAAAGGGCCTGGGCGTCATGCTCCGTGGCGAGCTCAAGAAGCGGCCCGAGAACGCACCGCCCATCTCGGTGGAGGAGTTTGGCGTCAAGGAACAAGACGTCAGCCCGACCGCGCGCAGGATCCACTCGAGCTCGAGGCCCGTACGGCCCTCCAACGTCGCGACGTACCATGTCAAGTAAAGAAGAAGAGAGAAGCAAGACGAGGAGGAAGGAGCAGCAGCAAGACTTTTTTTTTGTTCAAGATATCTCGACGAGAGCGCGCGCGCGTGTAAAACCAGGCCAGGAGGAGCGCATAATCGTGTGTGAAAATGGAAGAAGGAGAGCAGTTCTTTACCATAAAATGTCATTAAATTAGGCATATGCATTGTTGTACAGTTATGACACGGGTGGAAGGGTGCTGGGGGAAGAAGCTGGGGGCATGATTCGATGGAATGTTCGTCCGTAAATGACGCTGCTGCAGATGGATCTACACTCTGACGTCAACCTTCCCCATGGAGACGGCTTTGTGGATCGCCGACACCGAAAGCTCGGCATTGGAGAAGCAGCCTGGGCGCGGTGGAACAGCTGGGTCACATCAAACGTCCCCCAGTCGTCAATCGCTAGCCGTCAGTGGCACTTGCCCATGGCCGCTCTTTCTATTCAAAACCTAGCAGAATGCATGTTGTACAGGATCCAGACACGACACACTAAACGATATGATCAGACCACCTGATGTGCTTTTTTTCTAGAGAGCGGCAATACGCTCAGCGAGGACGTTGGCGCCCTTCATCTCGCTCTGGGCAATGGTGTCGCGGGCGTCGGCCGACGAGAGGACCTTTTTGGCAGCGGCAAACTCGGTCGAGGCCGAGGCGGAGCGTTTCAGGGCCTCGAGGAGCTCGACAGCGACAAACGGCGCGGCAGCAGCGAGCTTGATGGCGTTGGTGGCACCGCCGGCGTCGTCGGACGAGACGGTGTTCCACACGGCCGAAGCGAAGAGCGGCGACAGCGCCGCGTCGGCGACGACGACGGTCTTGGTGGACATGTTGAAGTGGCCGCCGGACAGGAGGGTCTTGTACGTGCGGGTGGCGTGGGCCAGCTCGAGCGGGTGGGTGCCGTCGGCGGTGTACGGGGCCGCAAGGGGGGTGGCGAGCGCAGCGACGGCGGCGGCCTTGTCGCCCTCGGCCGAGAGCATGATCTCCTGGACCATGAGGCCGGCTCCGGGGTCGGCGACGAGCTCTGTAGCCTTCTCAGCGACAAACTCGAGGAGACCAACCGAGGCGGCGGTGAGAATCTCCTTGCGACGGACGGCGGGGTCCTTCTTGGAAGTGCCGGCGTCGCGGGCGCCCTGGGCAGCGGCAGCGAGGGCGGTGAGGGTCGAGGGCATAAAGTGCCTCGAGGCCGTGGGGGTGAGGAGGTACAGGAGGGCACGACGACCGTTCTTGTCAAAGGCGAGGGTGGGCGCCAGGCCGACAATGTCGGCAACAAACGCCTTGCCCATGAGCTTGGTGTCGTCAACACAGTCAAAGGCGGTGAAGAGGACCATCTGGGCGTCGGCGTCCTTGCACATGGCCTCAATGTGCTTGCGGAGGTGCTGGAGAATCTGCTTACGGTCCTTGGCGTTGCCACGGACAATGAGCTCGCGGACAACCGCCGAACCGTCCTTGGTGTGGACAATCTCGGGCAGCGACTCGAGCGAAGCTGCCAAGAGCTCGTTCTTCTTGGCCTCGGCAGTAGCGGCGTCAAGGAAGCGGTAGGTGCAGGTGAGGTACTCGGAGACAAGGCGGTGGAAGATGGACTGGGCAAGCGCAGTCTTCTGGGTAGCGTTGAAGACGTCGAGAACAGTCTTCTCAACGGCCTCGAGGACACGGGCGCGGCTGGCCTCGCCAGTAGCCTCGAGGGTACCCTCGAGACCGACAACGTCGCCAGTCTCCTTGCCACCGTCAAAGAGGGCAACCTCGCGAGGGTAGAAACCGCGGACGAGCATGCGGCGCTCCTTGGCCGAGGCCCACAGGTCGTAAAAGTCGGCAATGGGGTCGATGGCGTGGGCGTGGAACAGGAGCTGGGGGAGGCGGCCAGCAATGTGGGGGATGAGGAGGGGGCGGATGGTAGGGCAGTAGCGGATGAGCTTGCCCATGAGGAACTTGGAGTACTTGGACTCCATCATGTCGCGCCACTGAGGCTCAAGCTCCATCGCCACACCAAGACGCTCCTCCTTGCCACCGTACTTGACAATCTGGTCCGTCAGCTCCTGAAGTAACACGGTAACCCAGTAACTTTGTAACTTACAGTCTGGAGAATACGACCACCCTTGTGTCCGCGCGAAATCTCGAGGGCATGGCCCTTGACGGCCTCGTACAGCTCTGCGATCGCCTTCTTGCGCTCCTCCTTGGGCATCTCAGTCTGGCGAGCAGTCTCCCACAGGGGCAGGAGAGTGTTGGTGAGGAGGGCGTGGCTCGGCAACAGCGACGTGCGGTGAGGGTTGGCGGCGTGCAAGGCCGCGCGTTCCTCCTTGGACATCTTGGGCCTCTTCTCCATGTCGCCGCCGACACCCTGCTCGTCGCCGCCATCCACGTCCATGTCGTCGCCGCCCATGTCGTCACCCTCGTCCTCGTCAACGGACATGGCGTCGTCCTCGCCTCCGCCCTGGGTCACAGGACGCTTACGGCGGGCCACGGGGGGCTCGGCATCCTCCTTGGGAGTAAAGGGCTTCTTGCCAAACGGCTTGTTGCCGCCCTGGTGGTGCGCGGGAGCCTTGCCCTTGTAGTTGTTGAACGCAGGCTTGCCGCCCTTGTTGAACGAAGGCTTGCCACCCTTGTTGAACGAAGGCTTGTCACCGCCCTTGTTGAAGGCGGGCTTGGAAGACTTGAACTTGTGGCCGCCCTCGGGAGCCGAGTCGGCAGAGCGCTTGGTTCCCCTTGGATTCGAGGACATTGTGCGTGGGGTGGGTGTGGTGGTTGGGTGGTTGTGGTTGTGTAGGCGGTTTTGTGTTCAAGAGCAGATTTCCGTTCAAGATTTGGCTTTCAAAATGGAGATTGAGACCATGTCCGTATTGTCACTGTGTTTAAACAGGCCTCCCCTTTTATAAATGCGGGGCCGAGAGGCGGTATCAGTGGCTCCAGCGTGTGGGTATTTAAACACACGTATATGGACATATGTCCCACTGGATGTGAACCCGGTAAGCGTTCGGTAGCGCTGCCAGAGCGCCAGAGCTGGGGGGCCTGGCCGCTTGCACACGCTTGCACACGCTTGGGCGTACGACGAGAGCCTGGCGGGCCATTTCTTTCACCCACAAAGCGCTTCAGCCTGGCCGTACCTTTGGCTTCCTTCCTTCTCCCCACCCATCATTCCTCCCCGGCACAGCCGTGAAAAACGCTCTCGCCCGTACGCGTCCCCCATCACTCTCACACTCCTCCTCATCGCTCTTCACACACCCACCACCCTCTAGGCATCGGTGCCAGGATCGCGCGCAGCAGTTGGCTCTTCAACAGCAGCACCCCGCTCAAGCCTCATCACCTCTCCCCACCCCGAAATCGCAACGCACGAGCAGCTAGCGATGCGCGCTGGGTGCTCGCGCCGCCGCCTTTAGCACCACCCGTCGTCCTTTGCCTACCGACCTTACTATTCTACTCGCACAATGCTACCACCCTACATACTCGCCTGGTTACTCATCCCCCTCCTCCTCTCCATCGCCGCTCGCGGTTACCCAGACCCGTCTCCTTCACCTGCACCGTTTTTCGGTGTCGGTTACCCCTCCAGGGCTCTCAGCCGGGGTCCGTCGTCCTTGCCTACCACCCCACCAGCTTTCAATACCCCAGAGCCAGAGGAGGACTACGAGGTCGACATCCTCCCGTTTGTCCTCGTCTCTAGCATCGATGGTGCCCTCCATGCCGTTGACCGCGAGAGCGGTGACGTCCGTTGGACCCTTCGTGATGGCGTTCAACCCTTGGTCGGAGGCAAAGTGCATGGCAGGCCAGAGGACGTCCAGTACGTTGTCGAGCCTCTGAGCGGTAGCCTCTACGTCTACGAGGAAAACGAGGAACAGCCAGGCTCGCCCAAAGTTCGCAAGCTTCCCTTCTCAATCGAACAACTGTGGGTACAATGCAGAAGCTAGGGGCTGCTACGCCGCAGTAGCTGACTTGTTCTACCAGTATCGACCTCTCCCCATTCACCTTTCCCCAGTCCCCCAACCGTATCTTCACTGGAACCAAGCATACGTCGTTGATCACACTGGATTTGCGCACTGGAGAGCGACTCGACTGTTTCTCAACGCACAACCCCATGGAGAAACTCTCGTCTCCAGGGGTGTGCCAGTCGGACCCCCTCGACGACCTCGAGGGCCGACCCAACAGCGAGATCTTGTTTGTTGGCCGCACCGACTATTCACTTGTGATCACCACCCCACCCACCACGGTCGACTATTACTCGGCCACCGCCACCCTCGCGGCTGCAAAGACCAAGAGCGTCCAGGAGATTACCTACTCCACCTACACTCCCAACAGCTATGACCGCGCCCTGGCCCAATACTGGTCGCGTACCGGAGCCCAAAACTGGGGCGAGGGTAAGCGCATTCGTGTGGAGCTGGGATCAAAGGGCGAGGCTATCGGTGTGCAAGAAGGTGTGGGCCAGAAATGGTACTCGGCGCTTGATTCCGTGGGGTGAGTTTTCTTTCTGGCCTTCATTACCGCCACCCCACAGAGCTGTGTGACTAATTTAGCAGTGTTGCAGTTTACGATGTGGTGATTCCTCTTTCTCCGGCTTCAAACACGGCGGTTATTCTCCCTCAACCCCGCGCACCTGCAGTAAAGGACCTGTTCCCCAGTCTTCCTGCACACCATCCGGCACTCCTTGGTGCAGCCAAGTCGCCCTCCACCTACATTGGCAAGGTCGACTTTCTCCCCACGTTGCCGCCCGTGCCTTCCTCAGACGACAACTCGTCTGAAAAGATTCCCCCCGCTGCGGCGGACCCACGCCCACTTTTGTTTGCGCAGTCGTCGAGCTCGTACCCCTTGGTCAAGGTGTTTGACCATCCTCCCAACCCAGTTACCAAGATCAACGGCACGTTCATCCTTTCCGACGAGCTCCCAACCTCAGACGACCTCTTGCCCGCCAATGGGGGTCTTGGTCCCCTGGAACGCCACGCCCGAGAGCAGCGCCTCCTCGACCCTCCCAAGGAGGAGAGTGTCAGGATCTCTGCACCCGAGTCTACCGAGGCGCAGCTCGACCTGCTCATCCGACAGCGCGAGGACGAGCACCGCCGTTGGTGGTGGATCATGGCCGCAGAGGCCGTAGGCGTGGTGGTCACTGGTATTGCTGTCTACCGATGGGCATTCACCAAGGCTACCAAGGCCGCGGCTGCAGAGAAGCCTCTGACGGACCAAAGCGCTCTCCTTACACCACTGTCGCTGGACGACGAGAAGCGGGCCGCTACACCCACCGTGCGCTTTGAGGCCCTTCCTGACACGGGCTCAAACGGCGGCAACTCTGACACTCCCAAGAAGAAGTCGACGCGTCGCCGTGTCCGTGGTAAGAAAAAGCGCCGCAACTCGGTCGGCCCTGAGCTTGACCGCGACGAGGCGGACGGCGATGGCGACGGTGATGGCGACGACGCCGAGAATGACGGCATGAGCTCGACATCCGATGAGCGCAGCAAATCGGAGGAGCGCAAGGTCGAGAAGCCTCTGCCCGATCTGCCGCGCAACCCATCGTCCATCTCGGTCCACGACCACGACCAGCAGGAGCGCCTCGCCATTTCAGACACTGTGATTGGATTTGGTTCGCACGGCACGGTTGTCCTCAAGGGAACGTGGGGCGGCCGCCCTGTGGCCGTCAAGCGTCTCTTATCCGATTTCGTTCGTTTGGCGAGCCAAGAGGTCAAGCTCCTGCAAGCCAGTGATGACCACCCCAACGTGATTCGATGTGAGTACACACACACACTCACTCACACAAACAAACACCAGGGCGATCGTGCTAATCTTTCCCAGACTACTGCCAGGAACGGAGAGACAACTTCCTCTACATCGCACTGGATCTCTGCCAAGCATCGCTCGCCGATCTCATCGAGGCGCCCGATCGTCACATGGAGCTGGCCACCGCGCTCGATCACAAAAAGGCGTTGCAACAAATCACTGCGGGTCTCAAGCACCTGCACGGCATGAAGATTATCCACCGCGATATCAAACCACAAAACGTCCTCGTGTCCAAGGGCGCGGATGGCTTGCGCATGCTCGTGTCTGACTTCGGCCTCGCCCGACGACTCGAGCAGGGCCAGTCGTCGTTTGCGCCCACGGCCAACAATCTCGCCGGCTCGCTGGGCTGGCGTGCACCCGAGTGTATTCGTGGACAGGTCAAGCTCAACGAGGGCTTCGACCCTGTCCTGTCGTGTGGCTCTTCGGGCAGCACGGCCTCGTCGACGGGTTCACTCGTCGACCTCACCGAGCTCGTCGACGGCGAAAAGGTCAAGGGCCCACCCCGTGCCCGCCTCACAAAGGCAGTCGACCTCTTTGCCCTTGGCTGCCTGTACTTCTGGGTACTCATGAACGGCGAACATCCATTTGGCGAGACTTACAACCGCGAGTCGAACATTGTCAAGGGTGACGCTGTCAACATGTCCATGCTCAGCATCCTGGGCGAGGAAGGTGTCGAGGCCCAGCACTTGATAGGCAGCCTCCTCTCCACGGAGCCCTCTGAGCGACCGGACACGTCCGAATGTCTCATCCACCCCTTGTTCTGGAACCCTGGCAAGCGACTGGCCTTCCTGTGTGACGCCTCGGACCGCTTCGAAATTATGGAGAACGACCCGCCCGAGTCCACTCTGGTTCTTCTCGAGACGGACGCCCAGTCGGTCGTCACACGAGACTGGTACGGGCGCATGGACCGGGTCTTCACCAGCAGTCTCGGCAAATACCGCAAGTACAAGGGCAACACTGTCCGCGACTTGTTACGAGCCATGCGCAACAAAAAACACCATTACCAGGACCTCGACCTCAGCGCCCAACGCCACTTTGGGACACTACCGGCCGGTTTCCTCAACTACTTTACGTCCCGCTTCCCCCGGTTGTTCTTGCATGTCTACGGCGTCGTGCGTGACTCGAGGCTCCGCCACGAGCCCATGTTCGACTCGTACTTTCAAGAATAGGGCACACAAGCAAGGTCTCGATGGTGGTTGTGTGGCGTCCTTTTTTGCATGGACTACGGACGGCGTACCCCTTGCCCATTCCCTCTCCCCCTCCCCCAGCATTTGTTGTACTGTAACAATCATTCCCAGATTCCGCATGCATTGTTGCATCATTTGTCCCATGAATGGCAGGAAGAAGCCAAAATTGTGGTGTGGGAACGACACGGGCTCGAACAAGCGCAGCGGGTAGACGCGGGTGGGCGGGTGGTGGCCTGTGGGCACACGACCAGCGGCGCGCTTTTTGCAGAATGGAGTAGGGTGGGAAAAGCTCGGGCCGGCGGCAGGTGCAGTGTCATGTAGCCGGGGCGGTGGCACTGTGGCTCGAGGTATGAGCCACGAAGGGGCCGGCTTCTAGCGCGGCAGCAGCCAGAAAGGGAGGCCAGTACTATCCATGGCATACAGTATGGTCTGCTACATTGCGTTCTGAACATCTGCATCGTCTCGTGCCGTCGTGGTCGACGAGGACGAAGCCTCGAGGACCAGGACAGACCATTTTGCCCAATTGCCAAGGCATCCATCCCCACGGCGACCCCAAGCTGCCACTGCCATCCACCACCTCTCCACCCCAGAACCCATTGCCCTCTCCACACACGTCAACAAGGGGTCCACGCTACACTGCATAACCGGAGGCCGACGTTCCACGACCTTCTTACGGCGACCAGTGCTTGCTGTGGGGAGTTTGTGGCGCCGCCTGGCGCGCTGGCGCGCAGGCGCTGCGCGCGTATCATGGGCGTGCGTGGCGCCGACCCATTGTTTGGGCGCTTTGGCCAACCCGGCCCTCTCGGTCGCCGCGTCGGCGGGCACGGCGGGCACCCCATCGGCCACCGGGCACATGTCTTCCCGGTGCCGGTGCCAGTGTTGTTGCTGTTGCTGACGGTAAGCAAGTAATGTCGACACGCGTCGCGTCTAGCAGTGTTGGTTAGCGTGACGGCCGTGTTTTTTATTCTTCGTTTCTAGGACCACACCGGCGGGAGGCACGACGCGGCTGCGCATGCGCGCGCGGTTGCGTCACGGGCCTGTCCCGTATAGCCTGGTCAGTGCACATGGAATCGTTGTCGCACAGTTGCTCCTCTTCAGACGTCACTGCATGCATATGGATTAAACTAGGTTCCAGGCGCGTGAATGCGAGAGCTCGAAAAAAAAGGAGTTGGTGGGTACAGCATGCACGCACGAGCGAGATGCGGGGTGGTGGTGGCGGCGGTGGTAGCGCGGCTCAATAACGTTTTGGTGGCAACGTTTTCTGCGGTATACAACGACAGGCTGGCGGCAGGAGCAGAGGACGCGGTCGCGCACATATACAGCCTACAAGAGCCCCTGCCCGAGGCCCTCGTACAGGAGATGCGTCGAGCGCTCATAGTGTGATGGGAGGTGGTCGTTGAGCATTGTCTTTGAGAAGAGGGGTTCGCGGAAACGTTCCTGGACCGACTCGCACTGGCGCAAAATGACGCGCTGGGCGTGCTTGGTCTGTGTGGCGGCACCTTGTTCGGCATCGACGACGAGGTTGGTCGTTTGGTACACGTCAAAGTATTCCTGAAGAAATGTCAGCTTCAAGTCTCATACATTGAGCTTACCATAATGTACACGGTGCCCGGCGGATACAGCTTGTCGTTGTCCATGTCTGCGCGCATCGTCTTGATGAGACTCATCATCCAGTCCGAGAGCATCTGGCCGTCGCTGGGCATGACGGCGCCCTGGGCCGCCGCCTCTTCCTGGAATGGAAACTTGCGCTTGTTGAGCCCAATGACACGGCCGACAATCTCCTCGGCGACGCCGGCCTCTTCGAACAGCGTAACTGCAATGTTCTTGAGGTCGCGAAGCACGCCGAGGGAGAGGGTGGGGACCACGTCCGAGTTTTGGACGACGGACGTGATGAGGCCCTCGACGTGGCGCGCGAGGTCGATCGAGGCGACAGCGGGGACGCCATACGCGTAGCAGTGGATAGGACGTCCAGGTGGGAGACCAGATGAGAACGACGTGACGAACGGCGTCGAGATGCCTGGGTGCGAGATGGGACGCTCGCGGGCTGCATTCTGCTGCAAAAAGTGGCCGGCCTTGACCGAGCAGGTGAGCGCCAAGAGGGCGGCGACACCACCTCCGAGCGAGTGACCACACAGCACCAGACCGTATGTCGGGTACTGGTTGAGTGCATCCACGAGGGTCTGGTGGACAGTGCTGCACTGCTCGGTGAGCTGGAGAGCGCTCTCATACATGCCCGAGTGGACAAAGTAGTCTCCGGTAGGGTCGGCACCCTCAACCTCGATGTGGCGGTAGTCACAAGTGAGGTCGACGAGCACATCCGACAGACCGAGGGTACCGCGACACGTGAGCACAATGGCCTTGAGGTCGTGCTCGACGGCCACATAGTGAACGAGCGCGGGCGGCTTGTCCTGCGCAAACGTCGGCGACGCAGTGTACGACGAGAGAAGTAGTGCGTCGATGGGAATGTTGGTGTGCTGGGCAAACGCCCAAGAGTTGGCGTGGTGTCGTCCAGTCGAGGGGAAGTTGAACTCTGCGTTACCCAAGCCGAGGATGCGCAAAAAGTTCTGGCCGTACGCCGCAGACGAGTACCGCATAAAGCGGTAAATGTTCTTGATGAGACCCTCGTGCGGGAACAGGTCGGCGGCAGCCTCCGCGCGCGGCGAAAAGATCTGAGAGCTCTGGGCGTGTACCCTGTTGGAGCGCGTACGGATAGACTCTTTGACAGTACGCATCGGAGCGTACGGGTTGGATGGAGGGGGGCGGACTGGCGACAGCTTTGGTGGCGGTGCAGGAGGTGGCGACGATACTGACGACGACGACTCGGCAGCACCTTCGCCAGGGAACGTCTCGCGCGGGGTGGATTTGCCACTGGCCGATCGGAAAGCAGAACGGATCGCAGAGCCCATCCCAGAGGTCATGCCCGTGGCTCCTCCATCTGTCTCACGGCGCGCGGGCGTGGGACGGCGCTGCTGACGGCCCTTGCCCTTGGTCGGCGATGTGTTGGCCGGTGTAGGAGGCGGCGTGTTCCACTCAATATTGCGGACATCGGGGCGGTCGTGGCTTGCAGAGGCCTGCGAAAAGACCGGTGTGGTACTGCGGCTACTACGCTGGGAACGCTCTGGCGGCGAAGATGGCGACGGCGACCGAGATAGACGGGTCATGCTGATTCCAAGACCAGCGTTCTGGACCCTCCGAACGGTGCGCTTGCGCTGAAGGAGCTTGTTGGTCATTGTACGAAGCACAAGCTGGATCCGCTCCGTGTTTGGTGGCTCGGCGGCAACAGCAGCGACACGCCCGTTCGGTGCTGATGGGACCACGCTGCTGCCCGCGTCATCGTCATCGAGCAGCTGATCCACCTCGATCCAGTCCGTCTCGTCGTCGGCCTCGGACACGGACGTAGCGGTTGTTGGCGGAGGTGGAGGCAGAGGCTTTTGCGAGCAAATGGGTGACGAGGCGACCGTCGGGGGAGGAGGAGGAACGACAGTGTCATCGGGCTCCTCAACGTCCTCGACAAGCACGTCTTGCTGAGGCTGGGAAATGCGCTCTCGTATTGGCACCGTGGATCCCACACGCTCGAGCGTTTGGGTGACGATGGTGCTCTCGCTCAGCTCGTCTGTGATCTCGTACATGTCGCCGCGGACACGCTTGAGGAGTCGCTGCCGACGGCCGTCGGGAGTAGCCTCTGCGGCGTCGAGGTTGTCGTCGCCCGACTCGCCAACAAGGTCCTCGAGCTGCCATAGCAACGCCAAGTCTGGGGCTGACGCAGCCGTGCCGAGTGACCGCATAGAGCGTGTCGACAGTGAACGGCTCGGGCGGGCAGGCGAGGTGACCGCGGACGCGGGTGTCATGGTGACGTCGCCGTCGAGGTCCGTGTCCGCTACTGAGATGGAAGGCACGTCACAACGGGAAATGGTGCCCTGATCGCTCTCCATAATCTCTGGGATCTCTGACGGAAGCGAGTCCTGGTTGGCGGCGAACAGGTCTTCGTTGCTGACGGTGATAGTACAATCGTACAACCTGGGGGGGATCAGCATCGGGTCCGCATTGTGTGGTGGCACTTACACTCTCATCTTCAGACGTTGGCTCGAGCGCGACCAAGTTGCGCTCTGGAGGCATGCAAACGCAGTGAGGGCCTTGGTGAGGGCGGTCAGGCTCGCGACCTTGCCCTGATCGGCAGCCGAGAAGCGTTCGTCCTCGAGCAACTCTTTGCGGACGAGGGTGATGATCGAGGCAAGGGCGCGAGAACTCTCGTTGGAACCAAACAGAGAGTCAAAGAGTGTGACACTCTCGTTGGCGGCAAAGCTTGCGCCGGACACAGTGTTGGCCGTGAGGTAAAACCCGCTCATGGCGAACAGCTCTGCAAGGGTAAAAGAGTGGTGGATGACATAAATGCCTAGGTTTGTCCAGCGGTCGAGGACGTTGAGAAAGGCATCGGTCGAGCCCGTCGCCTTGTCGAGGAAGCCAATGGCCCCCAGCAGGTCACCGTCCAGCGCCGCGTTGGACGCGAGATACACGCGGCGCGCCGATGAGATGGCCGTAATGAGGATCCGGCGCGTGTAACCCAGACTCATGCGCGTGCCATATTCCGACGTCTCGAGGATGGCCTCGATAAAGAACGCCGTCACGCGCAACGACATGCGCGCAGACGTAGCAAGCGCCGTGACCAGGTTGGCAATGGGAGTAGGGAAGAGGGTTGGGAGCGCGTCCGACGAGATGAGCGCGCTGGCGGCGTTACGGTGTGCCACTGCGAGAGACTCGCGTGCGGCATTGGTAGCGCTGACGGCGGCATCGTGAGCTGCGTCGGGAGACGCATCGGCCGTGGGTGTGGAACTCGTGCTGGTACGAGAACCGCGCTCGCGTTCTGTCGCGACGCTCGCGGCGAGACGGCCTGGGGGGCGAGCGGCGACGGTGGCCATTGGGTCTCAGCGGCGCATGTACGAATGGGCCGGGAGAGAAGGGGTGGGGGGACAGATGGGGCAAACTGACGCCCGCACAAAGTTATAGACGTTGGATGTTCTGGTCGTTGGGGTTGGGGCAAGGTGTGCGGGTCTAGTCGAGCCGGTCAAGCGAGGAGGGCGCGTGTGTCTGGCGTGGGTAGGGCCTGGGTGGTACGAGCGGGCGCAGACTCGGGGGGTTCGTAATCGTCGGGTGTTGACGTGGGGAGAATGAATGTATCGACAACGAGTGTACGAGGTGCAGCAGGAATGTTTTGTGCACAGAGGGTGGGTAGAGCGTTGACAGTGAACACGGGGAGGGGAGGGGTCGTTAGAGCCGGCGGACTGGGTAGGTACCGGACGGGCAGGGGAACCGCGGCGGAATACGACGCGGCGCGCGGCGGGAGCACACTGCACACTGAGAGAGCTGAGAGAGTGGCGAGTGGTGGTGGAGCGTGATGCGGGGGTATCGCAGGGTCTGGCCGCGCAGACGATGTGGTGGGTGTGAGGGGATGTACGGGGATGGTGAGGAGAGGAGGACAAGAGAAGGAAGCAATGGCGATGGCAGAGTGTGTGGTTGTGATCTGGGCGGCGGGCGGTGAGCGACAAACACTTGCCGTCTGTGTGGTGTGTCTGGTGTGGTGTGTGTGAGGTCCTCGTTGGGTGGCAAACTCGTCCGTTGCCCTCTTTGTCGATCGCCGCGCAGCAGACGTAGGCGTTAGGCGGCCGCCGCGGTGCTCTTAGCTCTGCAGATTCCCGTAACGCGAGGTTAGAATTCAAAGTCTAATGTCTCTACTGGTTTCTCTGGACCGCACATCAACAACGGAGAGGCAGCAAAACCAAGATGGCAAGATAACACATGCATATGACTGCACGAGAAACGGCTATTGGCTATTGACTACAGAGAATGTCTTCGTCTCCTCGCCACCTCTCTGCCTCTGCTTCTATCGCGCTGCTCTTCTGACGCGCTGCTCTTCTGACGCGCTGACCCCCCGTTGAGATGCATGCCCCCGCTCTTCTTGGCCGAAAGCACCCACCCGGAAGCCACTGCGCGCCACTCCCTCGCCATCCCTCATGAGGAGATCACCCGGGGGACGCCTCCCAGCGCCCATCACAGCGCTCCCCTAGCCATAGCCAGGATCAGCAGCAGAAGCACTTGCGCTCCATCGTCCGACTGTGTTGGGGGGACAGACATGGGGGGTTCCGCAGCAATTCAGACAAAAAAAACGAGTGTTGTGGCCTTTGTGGCCTGTGGCCTGTGGGGGTGTTTGTGACTGTGCCTCAATCTGCAGTCGTCGTGGATGCATTTTGTACGTCACGCTCCAAGCTGGCTCCAAGCTGACCCCAAGGCCCCTCCAATTGTCCACTCGTCCTCCCTGGTCCATGACGTGCCGGCGGCAACCCAGGCGGGCAGCACCGCCAGGGGGCCAGGGGGGGGGGGGGGGGGGGGGGGGCATGCAAACATGCAAACATGCAAAAACGGGCCATTGCATGCGGCCGCGCCTCGTTCTGCCGGATCTCGCTCTGGTACTCTGATGCTGCCACCAAAATGGGTGCTGGGAAAACAAACAGGTAACGGCCCGGTACCGCATCGCATCGCATCGCATCGCAGGTCCTCCCCGTCACATTATCCCCTGGGACGTCGCCTACCAGTCACGGCCAGTCGACAGCGTGCGCGCCCGGCACGACCGGCAGACCACCCCGCCCCCGCCCGGTTGATCATGGCTTGCTCGAGGCTTTCGGGGCAGTCATGGGTTCGGAAGCGCCTCTCCCCGCGCACCGGCCAAACGGTTTCATTCAAAATGGGCAAAATGGATGGTTCATGCAAATAATAGGCTGACGACATGCCCCGCGCCACCCCTTTGAATACGTGGCTAGACAATGACAATGACAATGGCGGCAAGGCAACTCTGCCACCGCAACCCCAGTCCCTCCTTCACCTGGGCATCCTCTCCTGCTGCCCCTCCCCCCCCGAGGCCAGAGGTCAAGGTGTGGCAACAAAAGTCGACGGTATGGGGTCCCGCGGGGTGGACCCTTTGTTCCCACAGAACCCACGACACTACACCGGACACTCATGCCTCGAGGTGAGCGTGCTCGAGCTCGTCGAGGAATGCGATCCACTGCTTCTTGTACACTGCACCGCGGTACGTGCCGCGCGAGTCGGTGACGAGGATCTGACGTGCGCCAAGCTTGACGAACATTTCCTGCACCAGCTCCAGTGGGGACTGGACTTGGACGGTGATCGGCGCCTGGATACGGTGTCAGCAATGATGTCTCCTCTCCTTTCTTCTGTCTTCTGTGACGTTCCCCAAATCCTTCCAACACACGCAGCACCGCCATACCATGGCGTGGTGAGGTAATGAAAACGGTGATCACCACAGCCACCACACCATGTGTCTTCTCTCGCCCCACCCACCGGTGCACGCCACACCAGCCTACCGCGGTGGCGAGATCTTGTGCACTGACGTCACAGCACTCGTTGGTCACTCACCCGGTCAATGTACTGGCTCAAGTCGTAAGGGTTATGCCTTCCCTCGTGACTCTCGCTAAACGAAAAGATGCTCAGTCGACTAGAGTGCATGCCCAGCTCGTCCGGGATGAGGTTCATGACGGCATCGGGCTCGTCGGCGAGGGCGGTGAGGGCGTGTTCGAGCTCGTTGATACCCAGGAATCCCAAGATGCGGAGAACAGGGTACGGACGGCCATCCTTGTCCACAGCCGCTTCCTTGACGAGAACGGGCATACCGGCGTCGGCGTAGCCGAGGCGTACGAGCTCGAGGAGCCGGCCGGTGAGCTCGCGCACGGTGTGGGGTTTGTCGGCACGCAGAATGGGCGCGTCCCTGTCCATCTGCGTGAGGAAGTCAGCAGTTACTCGGGGTTAATCGGAGCGGGTGCGACCCAAAGCACTCACCACCTCGCTGACGAGCCTTCCGCCCCAGAGATACTCTTCCTTGTTGGAGAGGTAGGGGAGTTTCTTGAGTTCAATGACCAGTTCGTAGATACCGCGCTTCTCGAGCGAGTCGGCGACAGTCTTGGCAACGAGCACAGCAAGCATGACGGGCGCCACATAGTTGAGGGTACCCGTCAGCTCAAACATGATAACGGCGAGAGAGACAGTGGTGCGCGTCACGCCTGCCAGCGTGGCGGCGGCTCCGACCATGGCATAAATGCCCGGAACCACACACGCCTGGGTACGGCAAACGTCAAAGATGGGGAGAGACGGGTGGTGGTACTCTGCGTATTCGAGCAGAACACCGACGATACGGCCAAAGCACGCGCCGATGACGAGGGATGGAATGAAGATACCGGCCGGGAGGACGACGCCAAATGTAATGATGGTGAGGGTGGCCTTGATGATGAGCGCTCCACCAACAGCGGAAATGATGGGTCCAATGGAAAGCGTGCGGTCCACGCAAAGAGACGACGTGGTGTCGACCGTGCACTCGGCAAAGAGCTTGGCGACGAGCTCGGTACCGCCAAGGCGGGTGTACGGGTTCATAAACGACACAATCGTCGTGATGGCAGTGACAAGGGCGACCTCGGTGATGGGGTGGCGTGCGAGCCAGGTGCCCTTGCGCACTTCGCGACTCCAGATAATGTTGAGACGGGAGAAAAGTGCACCGTACAGGCCACCAAAAACACCGAGAAGGATGAAGACGCCAAACTCCCAGTAGTGGTACTCCTTTGTATACGTGACGGCGAATAAGACGATTGAGCCGTTGCCGTATGGGTTGAGGGCCTTGAGCGTAATGGCTGCCACAGCAGCGCACCAGAACGAGCGCCACATGACCTTTGGCGGGAAGTAGTACGACACTTCCTCGAGAGAGAAAAGCACGCCGCCGATGGGAGCGCCAAAAGAGACGGCCACGCCGGCAGCACATGCCGCAGAAAGGATCTCGCGCTTCTTGCCCTCGTTGGTCTCGTACTTGGCGAACGCGCGCGAAACAATGTTGGCGATACACGAGGCAATGTGCACAAAGGGACCTTCCTTGCCGAGGGACAGGCCAGAGCCGACCGAGAGCGCGAGACCAAACGACTTGACGAGCAACGTCGACATGCCGAGGTATCCGTGAATCACAAATCCAGAGAGAATCGTCTTAATCTCGGGAATACCCGAGCCTGCTGCCATGTAAATGACGGGACGCGGGGGTTCAGCGACAGGTTCAAAGTCGCTACCGTTCTCCTCCACCTCGAGAAGCGGCTGGCGCTCAGAGGGGAGCTTGATAACAGGAGAGGCGAGAGGTGACTTCTTAACGTCTGGTGCTGGACCCAGGAAAGCTGAGTCCTTGGAAGTAAAGTGCGCAGCCGATGAAGAAAGGTAGTATGTGAGGGCCGACGCCGTGCAGGCGAGGGTGACGGCAATGGTAAAGTACGAACAGAACTCGGGTTCCGAAAAGATGGACGACTCGGGGTCGGTATTGTTACCGCCAAAGAACTGACCCCACTCGAGCCAGTCGCCACAGTCTTCCTCGTCACCAGGCGAAGGGTCCGGGTGGCCATGGCCACTTCGAGGTGCGCAGCAGAAGCGCTTGGCGGTACCCCACGACGAGGTGCAGTAACCTTCCTTCATGTCGAAAACGGCCATCTCGGTGCGAATGATCAAAAACGCAACGACGGCAGTGAGGATGCCGACAATGGTGGCAATGACCCAACCTTGGGTACGGTCCCAAGAGTTGAGGAGTGCCCCACGAAGGGAGCGGCGCGACATTGCACGCAGGCGACGGATGCGCGAGCTTTCCTTGATGGCGTCGTGCAGCCAGTCAATCGTCACGTACGACGAGTACCACACGCGTGTACCGTTGGCGCGCTTGCCGTCGTCCTCGCCGTCGTCATAGTTGTATTCGCTCTGGTCGTCGTAGGTTGCCGGCCGGGTAAAGCCAATCTGTGACGCCGTGTGCTTGAGACGGCGATACACTGATCCCGTCGGCGACGATGGAGGTACCGACTGGCTCACAGGCGCCAGCGTGCTCGTGACGCTGATACCGCGTCGGTGACCATTGCCACTGTGCCGTTGGCTGCCCCGCTGCCCACTGCTCATGTGCGAGTGCAGGCTGCCGCCCATGACTGAAAAGCTCCCCGCGCCAGGGGTGTGGTTGTCCTGGTCGCGGCGGTAGCGGGGTGTGCCCGAAGCGGTCACCGGCTGGCTCTGCGAGTAGGCATGGTGTGATCCAGCAGAGTATGGTGGGTCGTCCACACCGCGCCGCCGCACCGAAGAGGAAGGTCCTGGAATGACGATACCCGTGGTGCTGGCAATGCGGCGCGGGTCAATGTTGGGCGAGGTCTGGAGGCCCAGTCCCGTTGTTCCAGGACCGCTCACGAGGCCCAGGGCGTCTGGGGTGTTGGTCGTCCCCACCGGAGCGGGAAGGTGGCCTGTTGCGCCATAGGTCGAGCGCTGTGTGGCCACGGAAGCCGAGCGGCGCGAGCTGCTACCGCGCGGCGACGCGCCCGGGCCAGAGTGGGAAGCCGACGTAGCCACTGGGGTCGAGTCGGCGCGGTAAGACGCGTGTTGTGCCGACGGGGTAGGATAGTAGAACTGCTGCTGTTGCTGAATCTGCAGCTCGTTGCCGGGAACACGGGGTGTACGTGCTGTGTTATCCTGGTCCGAGTCGGACGAGCCACCAAACGACGAACGCGAAATGGAGCCAGCGAGACGCGCGGATGAAATGGACGGCGACGTTTGGATAGACGGCGTAAAGCTGGCCTGTGGGTCGTTGGTGAACGTTGATGGGTTGGGAAAGTAGGTCATGGGCGACGGCGGCTGGCTACGCGGTCGTCAGCACTAGTGGTCCCACGAGCATGTTATGTGTCTGTGTGTCTTGGGCGGCGGCGAACCCTCTCGGGGGTTTGTCTTGGCACACGACCGTGAGGGCTTACCTTGGTTCATCGCTCGAGTGCCCGCGTGAATGGTTGTTGAAGCGCGTGGACACGATGGATGGTGGACGCTGTGCGCGGGAGGAGGTCGACGCCGAGCCAGTACTCATGGCGGCGACGAGTGGAGAACGTCGAACGGTGTTGGTGGTCGTGGTGTCGCTTGGACCTGTGCCGGATGGTTAGGCACTTGGTTGCGGTGTCGCCGCGTGTGTGACGTGTGTCGGTGTGTTTGTGTGTGTGTGTGTTGGGCGTATGTATGAAATGATGAATGCCAAGTTATGGAGTAGGGGAGAGGAGGGCCGTTAAGAGAGTGTGTACTGGTCGTGACGATAAACGAGAGAGATGTCGAGATGGGTGGGTGAGACTAGTGAAAGAGGAGCATATGGCCGCGATAGAACGCGTGTCTCCACATGATGCACCTTTTGGTATGAGTGGGCCGACCGTTCCGCCGCCGCCGCCGCACGTCACTCTCTGCTGTCACAATCTCCCCCCCCCCACTCACGACACCACACAGCGCCTACGCAGCCAAGCAAAGGCCCCCAATGGCATGCAGATACATACATGCTCCGTGCACCAGGGATCAGGAGTCACTCAAATGCACAGTCCCACACTCCCACAAGGCCACAATGCCCGTCGTCATCAGCGTTCGGCGTTCGGCCGCTGCCCAGCTCCCTCTGTTGTTGTTTTTTCCATTCTCTCCGGTGGCACATTTCCGAGGAGCCCACCAGTAACTACTGACACGTTGACGGGCCCCTATGGGCCCAAACCTTGTGCTGTTCCTGCACACCAACACGCTGTTTCTGGAGCTCCACTCCCAGCCCGACACCATGACGTCTGCAAGTGACTGCTGGACGTGTATGAGCTGCGTACTTTTTTACATATGCGATTGATCCCCCTGGCGTGTGCGGCTAATCCTGGTGGGGCCGGGCCCTCCTCGCCATCATCGTTCACGCACGTCGACTGGCTCTTGTCGGCACGTCCCCCCCCCCCCCCCGTTCTCCCTTCGGCCCCACGTCCGTCCTATCGTTTCAATGCTCGCACTCCGCGTTGCACATGCATATATGCACAGGTGGCGCACACGGATACGGCCGTGGGGCCCGGCGACGGCGAGGACGGCGAGGACGTGTTCTAGGCGTGCTCGTCCGTAGGCGCGCTGTTGAACACCCGTCAGCCATTTTGACGTCACCCCCAACGACAATCTCTTGTCACCCCAAACAGCCATTGCCGCAACTGCCGCTTCTCTCCATTGCCGTCAACACCATGTCCGCTCCCATCCTCTACGCCTTTGACTCGGTCCCCCAGCTCCAGCAGTCGCTGGCCGACTTTATCCTCGCAGCCCAGACCGCTGCCATTGCCAAGCACGGCCAGTTTACCGTCGCGCTTTCCGGCGGCTCGCTTCCCAACAACCTCGTCCCTCTTGCCAAGGTCGACGGTATCCAGTGGGACAAGTGGGCCGTCTTCTTCGCCGACGAGCGTATTGTTCCCCTCGACAACGCCGAGAGCAACTATGCCGCCTGTGCCAAGGCCTTCCTTGCCCACGTCCCTATCAAGCCCGAGCAGGTCCACCCCCTCAACGCAAAGCTCTTCCGCTCGTGGACGGTGACCGACCCCCTCGTCCAGCCTGCTGATGCCGCTGGCAGCGCCGAGGAGGCCCAGGAGATCGCCGACGACTATGCCAAGCAGATTGCGGAGGTCTTCAAGACCACCGATACCCCGTCGTTTGACCTCATCCTGCTCGGCATGGGTCCCGACGGCCACACCTGCTCGCTCTTCCCGGGCCACCCGCTCCTTGACGAGAAGAGCGTCACTGTCGCCAAGATTCTCGACTCGCCCAAGCCCCCTCCCAGGCGTGTCACCCTCACGTAAGTGGGAGATGATATGTCCACTGCCTCGCTGCACGGTGCTCACACAACCACAGCTACCCCGTCCTCGACAAGGCCTCCCACATCGCCTTTGTCGCGACCGGCGCTGGTAAGCAGGAGATGCTGGCCCAGATTCTCGACCAGCCCGAGCTTGGCCTCCCCTGCTCGCGCGTCCGCCCCAAGTGAGTCACCCAGACCGCAATGTGCGCCAAGCGCCGTAAACTGCTGCGCCTCGGTCACGTGAAGCTTCTATGGGCGTGAGACGTGTGGAGTTCACAGCGCGCTCGACATTACCATGACACATGTCTCTCCCCCTGCTGACAACCACAGCCCCGGCAACGTGTACTGGTTTGTGGACAAGGCCGCCGCCGAGCAGACCAAGTACTCGCAGAGTGCTTTCGAGGTCCGCTCGTCGTTGTAGGCTGTGGCTTAGGCCATATAGGGTTCCCGCTGCATCGGACATTGAGGCCAGAGCCCCCATCGTCCGGTCCGGTCGGTCGATCGGGCCGCTCGGCCGGAGAAGGAGCAGCAGAGAGGGACATGGAAGACGAAAGGGAGGACAAAAGCACAGAAGCATGTGCCATAAGCGATGCATCTTGATAGAGGACGAGTGTGTGTGTGTATGGGAAGACCGTTAGAGCAGGTTGGCCCGTTGCCACGGCCGCATTTCGGTTTTCTGAATTTGTTGTTGTCGGCCGCGAGGGTCACTGACGCCACCCGGACACACCATCGCATCACATGCACGTTTCCCATCATTCATTGCTTTCTGCCCATCTCTCATCTCTCCATCACTCCACCCACTGTCACTCCCCACTGTCACCGTCCCTCACGATGACGACTGCATGGGACGCATGGCCGTCCACGCCGCCGTCCATGTCGCCGCTGTCGCGCAGCCCACGCAGCCCAGCTGTCGTCGCGTTCAGCCCTGGCGGTATGATGAGCTTTAGTCCTCGCGCGTCGTTTGACCGCAGCTGGGCGTTGACAGCACGCCTCTCGCCACCATCTGTCAATGTCCCCACCCTCCCTCCCGAGATTATCCGTCGCATCATTCGACACGCGCTGGCTTTACCGCCCACGGCGCCGCCGAGAATCAGGCGGGACGCCAAGACTGGTGCCCCGGTCAACGCTCCGACCCCGGACTGGGACATGTATGCAGGCAAAGCAAGGGCTCGCGCTCGTCATGGAGAGGCTGCTGCCCGTGAGAGCGTGATGCGTACTGCCCGCACACTCCTGCATGTGTGTCGAGCGTGGAAAGTGAGTGTTAGAACGTGGGTGTGGAGCGCGCGGGGTCCTAGGTCCGAGCGCCTACCTCTTGACGTGACCACGCTAGCTAGCTGCACGCGCTGACTCGAGCTCAGCTTTTAGTGACAAAGTATCTCTATGCCGAGCCACACATTACTCCCGACAACGTTGTCGCACTGGCTCACGCTGTCGAGGCCGGCGACCGCAAGTGGTCCGACCTATGTCTCCACCCACACTCTTACCCCGGACGTTGGCTCACGGTGCTGGACCTCAGCCACATTGGACCAGGCGGGTACTATGGCGCAGACGCCATTTCAATGTCCCGGGCTCTGTCGGCGCTTCTCGAGCTGAGCCCGAGCGTGACCCACCTTCGCCTCCCACCACATGGTGTGCGGCTCGATGACCTCCGCGTGGCACCATGTATGCGTAGACTCAAGGCGCTCGAGGGCGTGCACTTGGGCCCCGGTGCCGGATCTGAGGAGGACGCCATAAAGGTGCTGCGTGCGGCCAAGGCGCTCGAAATCCTTGGCCTGGTGTGGGTCGGGTCGGTGCCTACAACACCGCCCAACGAGCTCGACCTGGACGCACTCAGTCTCGACAACCCTCCGCCACCACGTCGAGACCTCGAGCTCCCAAGGCTTCACACTCTGTACCTCGTTGGCGGGCGCGCCGGTCCCCTCCTCGCCGCCCTCACACGTGCAGACCTCCCGAGCTTGGTGCGCCTAGTGACTTCGCCGTACGAGACGTCGTTGTCAGCGTTCGACGACGACCCGGAGCGTGGTGGGCCCCGTGCTCTCCAAGTTGCCCATGGGCCTAAAATCCTGTCGCTCACGTACGTCTCGGCAAACGACTGGCCACGTAGCGACCTGCTCCCGCCACCTGACACCTTGGCGTTGCACCCGGCTCTCGTGCACCTTCACCTGTCGCTGCCACACTCGCTCCTGAATGACAGTCCACACCTCGCTACGGCGCTTGCGAACCCCCACCACCCTCTCGAGGCAATCACCGTCCCGCGCTGGCCGCGGGTGGTTGCCGGCGCCGAAATGTCTCCCCACCCGGCCACCCCATCTCCAACAGAGTCGGGCGGACCACCTGCTCCGAATGGAAACCACTTCCTCGCCGCCCTGTGTGCACGCAAGTCGCGTATCAAGACGGTCTCCGTGGAGGGGTTCACATGGGTGGCCCCCGCACTGGGACGGTTTGCAGCTGAGAGCGGCGACTCGGGCATGATGCGCCAGTGGGCTACATGGCTCGGGCGTGCTGGCGTCGAGTTGCGGGACAGCGAGGGCAACACGGCGCCAGTGATTGAGCGCGGCCGGGAGCAGCGCGGTGGGCCGTGGGGAGGGAGGAGGAGTGTGGACGGCGGCAGGAGGCCGTCGTTTGGGTGGTAGCGAGGTGTGACTCAAGTCAGTTGTGATTGTAGAACAAACCCCACTCTCGCAGGCGCACAGCCTGATTGCCCGTTGTCATATTGTATTAATCTTGTGCATTTATCACTTTTCTTACGCTCTCGCCGCTAGGTTGGCTGAACAGCACTGCTGATGGAGGATCGACGTGACATACCGTTTTGTATAAATCGCGCAATCTCTCACCGCTTGGTTACCAGCGTCCATTACCCATACCTCATAAAAGGACGCGCACATAAAAGCTGTCAAGAGACAGGAGACACGCTCTTGGCACCCAACTATTGTCGTTCGTGTTCAAGCTTGCACAGCTGTGTGACGTCGATACCACGGTCGCAAAGGTGGATTTGTGCCTGGAACCGTTAACATGTCAACAAATCATATGCTGTATGGGTGTCGGCGGTGTATCGAGAGGCACGCTCAACTGGCATGCTGCCACTGATGCCAAGCCAGACGAGTAAGGCGGTCGCACAGCCCAGCTTGCAACTGGCCAACGGCGACACGCAGTTGATCCGCAGCCGAGGATCGATCGGCAAGCTCGGCTGACCTGATATCGATACCATCGATACGGCCGTAACTGAATCAATCCTGTGCAAAGTGTCATCCTACCGCCTATGCTGCATGGAGGTTGGGAGTGTTGCATATAAGAGGTCGCTGCGGATGGCGCAGCTGTTCACAACAACACAACTTGCACACGACTCTTCCTCTCATGCTGTTTACTCTACTCGCTCTCGTCACCCAGGTCACCGCCGCACCCGCCCCAGCAGACGCATGTGCGGACGTGACCGTAGCCCTCGGCCACCTCCTCCCCATCTTGGACGACCACAATGCCACATCTTTCGGCGCAGCCCTCACCACTGCGACTGAGTCGGCTGAGGGTTGTGGCTCGTTACATGTGCTCGTTACCGGCGCCACTCTCTTCGCGCCGGCGGGCGAGTTTGACGGCGATGTTTTGGATTATGTGAGTAGATGCCACCCGCGTCCAGAGACACACGCCTGACATGTCGTTGCAGATCTTCTCGACCCTCTCACATGCCAGCGACTGGCCCACGGCGATATCATCGTCTGGGCCACAGACTCGACCTCTTACGTTTCCCTATTGAATACCACGTACACAATAACAACCGCCGACATCTCACTCGAGTCTTCCCTCACGGCTGTCCACATTCTGTCCACTGTCCCCGATACAGACCTCGATGACCCCACGCACGGGCACGCTTCCTTCGGTGGCGGGAGCCGGGGTGGTGGCAGCTCCAGCTCAAGTGGAAACCGCGGTAGCGGCTCGGGCTACCGTGGCAGCGGGTACGTGCCGTACCACTCGTACGGTAGCGGTGCATCTGTCCGCGCCAGTGTCGGCCTGGTCAGTGCTGCGGTCGTTGTTGCTTTGGTTGTGTAGTACTAAGAGAGACACTCTGCTTCGCCTCATGCTGTAGCGAATAAAGCCAATAGAATCATGTATTACAAGTGTTTTGGACCTTGCACCAAACAGGCGTGTGAACAACATAAAGCCAAGTGGGCATGATTGACCAACCCCAAAGGTCAGGACGACAGACCCAAAGATAGGACGTGCCCACACGGATCGTCGGAATCTCTGTTGTATTTAATGGCAATGCTAATCTGAGCCAAAGATGACAGAATTTTGTGGCCATGCCGGGGGGATCACGGCTGCTGCGGCCCTGTCGGGGCTGACAAACGCAGCATTGGGGTTGCACATGGTGTCTTCTTGGGTGTGGCTTTGGCGTTTGCAAAAACCGTGCTCTTGTCTCCGCATGTGAATCGCGGCAACGTGCGATAAAGGCCATTCCCAGGCTTTCATGGAGGCTGGGGGTGCCAACGAACCGAAGGGAAGGGGGAAGAAAACTCACACGAGAGCCTTGGGCTGCCAGACTCCCAAAGACTTCGCCACCACCTCGGTATCAGCAACACCCTTGCCACCACCGCAGCGGGACTGGCTGCCGCTGGCGCAGCACATTGTCTGGATTTGATCGGCCCGTGCAGCTGATTCAGTCTCCGCAGCATGCCACCTGACTCTGGTCAACGCAATCTTCAGTACCTCATCCTCTGACCCAAGCAGACACCGGTTGGAACACCTGTACCAGCCCGGTATACTTTACGACAGTGCCACGCCCGGACTGTGCAGATGGCGTTCGACGAGGCGCCAGAAATGGCCGCAGAAGCACCAACAGAGACACCGCGCGGCGGCCATCTTCGGACCCGTTTGGCGGCCACATTTCCTTTATAAGACCGCAACATCGAATTCCTGTTCTCGAGACATCCCCCTCATCCCAACGCCAAGACGCCGCCAGCTACGTGCGGTGTGATATGCACCGTTCTCGCGTGGATAACACATCGGTTGCGTGGATCTACTATGTTCCTGTCACGAATTGGCGTTTGGGCTGCGCTTTGCCAAGAACGACGACAGATTCTGTGCATGTCCATGTTCTCTGCAATGGCATGTTTGCGTTCACGTCTAGATTCCAGCGAAGAAAGCAGAGTTGCAAGGACGACGATATCTTGAGGGTATCGCTCACAATCTGACTCCGGATTATCCGCGGACCGACACTGCCCCGGTTCCACCCACCGGCTCCATCAAATCCACTCAAATCTCGGTCATCCACCTGAGCCACCTGACTGCCAAGACAAATTACACCCCATATCCTTGACCGCAACAGTCAACCAACCGCGCTTGCCAAGACATCCCAACTGAGCACCACGGTCTGTAACATGCCTCCGCCTCCCCATGACCAACCCCGCACGGAGCACGCAGCTGCGGGCATCATGATTTGCAGAGGCCGTTGACCCGTGGCGCCCCATGAGGGTTGGAGGCATAACCCGTCTGTGGCCCCGGGAAGTGACATCCGGAGTCGATGCGTGTGGCGTTGTCTGGCGACGGTGGGCTTCATTGCCAAGAGATGGGCGCCAGTGGTCACCACTGGCCCGATAACATAAATAGTCTGTAGCTGTGTGCGTCTAGTCCCCAGACTCAGACCCTCTCCTTGTCATCACTTTTCAACAATGGGCGGCTTCAAGATCGTCGAGGATCGCCCCACACCCAAGGCAGTGTACAACCGCCGCATCTATGCCCTGTCCCTCATCTGCGGTGAGTCTTAGCCATGTCGATGTGAATGCTCGACTAACGGACCCAGCGGCTGGTGCCCTCACGTAAGCAGCAGAAGCGAAACGAGTGGCGCGCCACAACCACTAACTTGATCTTTTAGCTTTGGCTACGACAATGCCTTCCTGGGCACGACCATTGCGCGCCCGGGTTTCCAGCGCGACTTTGGGTTCACACAGCATTCGGCGGCCTGGATCACGCAGACCACGTCCAACCTCACGTCGGTCTTCCTCGCCGGCGCGGCCATTGGATCCCTCATTGCCTGGCCGTTCATGGAGCACTATGGCCGCGTCAAGCCTCTCCAGGGTGCCTCGGCCATCTTCATCGCTGGTGCCGCCATTATGACTGCGACCCCCGGTAACCTTGCCCTGATGTACGCGGGGCGTGTCATCACCGGCTTGGGTGTTGGCTGCCTCACTGCCGTCATCCCCACCTTTATCGCAGAGATGGCTCCTCCCCCGATCCGCGGCCAACTCACCGGATTCTTCGACATTGCGTACCAGATTGGTGCTCTCACTGGCTTCTGGATCAACTATGGCATCACAAAGACCTTGCCTGCCACGTCTCCGTCTGCGTGGCGTATCCCCATGGCCGTTCAGCTGATCCCGTCGGGACTTTTTGCCATTGGCACGCTCTTCATGAAAGAGTCGCCCCCATGGCTCCTGCGCAAGGGCCGTGACGACGAGGCCATGGCCAACCTTAGCTACATCCGTGGGCTTCCTGCCGACCACACATACATGCTCGAGGAAGTGGGCATGGTCCGCGCCATCATGGAGGAAGAGGCACGTGTGGCAGGAAATGTCCCGGGCATGTGGGGATACCTGCGTGGCGCCGCCCGCGAGCTCAGCCGCCCTTCCATGCTCCACCGCGTCAACCTGATCTTCTTCATCTTCGAGTTCATGTGCTTTAGCGGTGCTCTCTCGCTCAACTATGTAAGTGACACGAGAATTGACAAGGCGCTGACAGTGGCAGTATTGTGTGTTTTATTGTGACAAATGCCCCGCGACGCCCCTACTTACACACCACAGCCCCTCAGATCTTCGCCTCGGTCGGAATCACCGACACTGCGCTTTACACTGGCATTTACGGTCTTTTCAAGGCCCTTGGCGCCATTACGTTCTACCTGTTCATCATTGACCGTGCCGGCCGTCGCCAGCCGTGGCTGCTCAGTTCCGGTATGTGCTGCCTCACCCTCATCTACCTCGCCGTCTACGTCAAGGTCGCCGCTCCAGGCGCCAAGGACGCCACGGGCGCGCTCCTCCCCATTTCCTCGTCGTCTGCGGCGGGTGGAAAGGCGGCCATCTTCATCATCATGCTCTTTTCAATGTGCTGGGGCTTTGGCGGCAACGGCCTGCCGTGGATTGTGACGTCGGAAATGTTCCCAATCTCCCTCCGTTCCATCACTGGTGCCTATGCCTCGTTCCACCACTGGCTGGCCTCGTTTGCCGTCACCATGAGCTCGCTGCCCATCAAGAACTCTTGGGGATGGGGCATGTTTTTGTTCTACGCCGCCATCAACGCCATTACCTTCATTTTCACGTATTTCCTCATCCCAGAGACCAAAGGCGTGCCCATCGAGTGCATGGACATGCTCTGGGGCGGCAAGACAAAGTACACCCAGTTCCGCCAGAGGGCTGTGTACCCTCCCGACGGTATCCCGCCGTTCCCGGCCGAGCTCATCCACGACACCGACCTGGATGCCAAGCAGGACACGGAGCATGTCGAGCAGGTCTGAGCCGAGTGGTAGTCATTCTGTAATTAGCTGTGTGTGTGGTGATGTAGTGAGCAATGTGAGAGAATATGTCGTAAATGAATGGGACAGAGGCAACGTATTGGTTTAGGACTCGGAATGGCTGGCTGCCCGTTGTATGGCCCCAGCTTGATGAAGTTCGCGAGTCGAAAAACGGGGTGAGAGTTAGTCCCTCCCCCCCTTCCCTCTCTAAATCGGATCGGTGTACATCATGTCAAAAATATGCTATGCTCTGGGGTTGCCCTTCTCTTTCTACTTGCGCGGCGCGTTGATGGCCGGGTGGGACGACGCCTCGGGGGCTTCCAGCTCAAAGGTCTCCTCGTTCGCACCGGCGGCAATGTCCTGCCTCAGCATGTGCAGCTCCTCAAACAGCTGGTGGCGGAGCGAGCGGCCAAAGGAGGTAAAGTGCGTGGGCGGGCGAGAGAGCTGGAGGGGGACGAAGGGAATCAATGTGTTGTTAGGAATGTGAGAGGACAGTGTTGAAACGGCAGAGGTGTGTGCGTGTGCGTGCGTGTTCGTGCGCGCGCGCGATAGGAAGGACAGAGCATCAGCATTCGTTTCCCAGAGCACCTTTGCTTGTTTGCGCTGTACGGTATCGCCTCGTGCGACACCGTTGCCTCCACTCACCAGCATACCCTCGACACCACCAGCCTTGGACAGACTGCGAACGTCACGGTTGGTCATCTTGACGCTCTTAAGTGCCGGGTAGCGGTACTCGCGGGTACCGGGGGCAGTGAGGCCCTCCTGCTCGTCGCTGAGGACCTGCCTCACGGCATTGCCGAGGACGCTGACTGGCAGGTCGATGCGGCGAACATTGGGACGCCAAGTGCGGCGCGTCTTCTTCAGCGAGAAGGGGACGTTGTTGCCGGTAAAGGTCTTGGGGATGGGGAGGACGGCGCCGTTGCACGCCCGGTCGAGGAGCTTGGTGGAGCGCCTGAGAATAGGCATGGTGGTGAGTGTGTGGTGTGTTGACAGTAGGTCGTCGTTGTTCTGTTCTTTGAGTTGCACGGAAATGTCGAAGTGGGTGAAGCCGGACGGAGGCTAATGAAGGACGAGAAGACGGAGGCAAATGATCGCGTGGTTTTGTTCATCCCACCTACTATTACGTAACCGGAAATTGGCGGCTGCTCTTCGATTCCTTTCGCTGACAACAACAGCCACCATGCTACGATCTCGAGTCTGCCGACATGGCTCCTCTAACTCTTGAGCCGCCTGATGAGGCAAGCGGTAATTTTGACGAATATCTCTACGAGACCCCCTCACCGACCTCTGACCTCCAAACGACCAGCGCGGGGCATGCGTGTGACTGCTCCTAATCGCACACAGCTACTGCGTTTGACACTGTTCCGGCGCCGACCATGTGCCGCCGCCTTCGTGATGTATTTTGGGCCGATGCCATGCTGACATTCGCGCATCAATCTGCACTGCTCTGCGTAACCCCGAAATGACACCACTGGCATCATACCGCCCTGGGTATGTGTTACAAGCAAGCGTCGTTACATTTGGTCTCCTACCACAGCGTTGAGTCTGTTTCCATTCCCGCCATTCCTTCGACTACAGGTGTCAACGCCCGACCACAGTACCACATAGTTTGGCGGGGAATGCGGTAGATGCCATCACTCGACGTGTCCGTGGCGACAGGTCTTGAAAAGTCGAAGGAGATAGGGTCCGCGGCCTCTACGGGATCGGAGACCTCGTCGGCGACCGAGAGAGAGGACCGGGTGGGGTCGAAGTCTGTGAGATCGCTAGCGGTGTCCATGGCTTGGAGCTTTGCGTCGGTCGCTGCAATTTTGACAGCCGTATGCAGACGACAAGGTCATGGGCTGGCACAGGCTGTTACAAGCACAACCAGCCCTCTCTCTTTCGGGACAGACCAGGTTTGAGATCGGCAACATAGCGCCACACTCATCATGTGCCATGCGCACACCCATCCATGATATAATCGACAAGGTTTAGTCGGCATGCCAACATTGCCTCTAGTCCTGGGAATTAGGGAAAACGCGAAATTAGTCTAGGAAGTTGGGGGGATTGGAGGAAATGGAGGCTGCGAAGGCTGGAGACGGCTGCAAAGCGTCCATTTTGTCATTAGAGTTGTCAATGATCTAGCTCTCACCCACAGGGCACCTCGCAGCGGACGTTCCTTCCGTTTGTCTTCGCTTGGAAATCACCTGCGCCGACAGTGCGCACCGGCAAGGTAAATAGATCGTGGCTTCAAAATGCAACGGTGGCCACGCGCAAAAGCAAACATCCAGACAAGTGGCCGTGGGCGGTCATCTGGTGGACGGGGTTGCAGTCCCATACATGTCCCTTCAGCTGCTCTGGCGCTTGTTTGCAGCCTGTGGACAATGGTCGATTACCTTCGGCACTGTGGGCGAGGTGACTGCAGTGATAAAGCTGGAGTTGCTAGTCCCAAACGACGCGGCAGGAAGCACCCGGGCAGCAATGGGCCACACGGGAAGCGCAGGACAGGCCTCGCCACCCGATCTACCGATTTTGACCCCGACGAGGCGTGGGCGCGACAGTATATATAGCATGTACCATATGTCTTCCCTCCCAGTCTTCCCTCTCATGCTTACAACCGCCCAGCCTATCGCTCCACCCGCCCATGCCCTGCACCCGCGCGAGTGTGGCAATTTGGAAACAAATGTGCATACATACAGCGAAATCCATCAAATCCGGTCAGGCACACGTACATAATCTGTCAAAGCGGTACGCCATCAACATGTGACGTTTGTTGACAAATCCCACCCGTGTGGATCGATTAGTGGAATGCTAACAGGACAGCTCTGCGACCGAGCGCTTCGGCACCCTGACCGACTTCTGGTGCGAGGAATGCCAGTCCGATCAATGGACACGTCGAGCGGGACCAGCCGGCTCGTACAGTGGCCAGCCCAAGGTTCGTGGACATACATGTGGCTGAGACTCTCTGACTGACATACCGGCGCTGGGCACACTGCGACAGAGTGCCCGGCTCGCTCTGTATGGATTGTGGCAAGGATGGGGACGAACGCCCTTTTGTGCGCCGCCACGCAAGGTGCTGGGACTGCTACCGCAAGGCGAACCGCCGTGGCCTCCTGCTCGCCACCTCTCAGGCAGAGGTTCGCTGGTGTGTCGAATGTGGGGAGTACAAGCGTGGCATGTGCCCCCGGTGCTAAAACCACGACTGTACGACCCACATCCATTCCCGGTGACACGCGCGACCGAGCGTGTCGCAAATGTCATCGCGTCAAAGCCCGTTTCGTGTGGAACTGGGGTCTGTGCGGAAGGTGTTACCACTTCCGTTACATCAACAACCTCCTTGCCGAGCCTCTGGTCCCCGATCCCCTGCCCGATGACGCCCCTCCCAACGACCCAGACGCAATCCGCTGCGTTAGGTGTTGCGCACCAAGGCCAACCGTCATCCGGCAAGGTAGCACCACCGCGTGGCGCGTTTGGTGTCAGATGTGTTGGCGATGTTACCTCGCTGCCCGTAAAGCTGGTGACATTGACCATTTGAAGATCCAAACAAACTCCAAGTCGGCGGAAATGGTTCCCACCGACACCGATACCGACTCGGAGGAAGACCGGGCCTTCTTCGCTGCCGAGGAGCGGCTCCGCCAGGAGTACCGTGACGACATAGCCAAGGGCGGAGGCTATCGTCGTCCTCAGGGCTCGACATTAAAGCCGGTCACGCCTGTCGAGTGCTCTCGCCCCGGCCGCACAAACACGACGCATACCAAGGGCGTCGCCTTCTGCTACGACGACGGGATCTGCAAGCCATGCGCCAACAGTATCCCGGCCAAGCTCCCAAAAGTCGAACTGTGTGGGCGACGTGCCTGACTTGCGGTAGACCTGAGAAGGACGACCTGCAGTTTGCCTGGCCGTACTGTCTGTGTAGAGGTTGCTACGACGCCAAGAAGGGCAGCCTGCCCTGAGCCAAAGGAAAGAAGGAAGCATTCAAAAGAATGTGCGTGGAGTGCGCAGACGGTGTGGAGATCACCAAGGGCTGGCAAAAAGGCCGTTGTGACCCGTCACTATTACGCGCACAATCGATATCGGAGGGCTCAACGAGGCGGCGCCACTATTGTGGCGGGAACTAGGGGAGGAGCCGGTGATGAGCTCCCCACAACACAAGCTCTTCCGACCCGAACAAGCAAAACACGGGCGGCGGCGGCATCGTCGCCTTTGTCAGTGAGTGAGAACTGTTCTTCAAGATGTGATGCGACCTGTGACGCATCTTGCCCTAGTCTCATCGTGAACCGCCCCTCGGCAGAGGTCGGCTTTTTTTTTCTTTTTTCCTTTTTTTTTGGCTCAGCCGGCCACATTTGAGAGCGTGTGCGTTGAGTGGGCAATGGGCAATGGGCAATGATTGGGGAGAGGAGGGTGTAGGTGTGGCTGCGGTGCAGACGTCCGCCACTCGTGCGGGTCAGCGCTGACGCTCCCAAAGCTTCCAAGCTCCCCTCCTCTGGCACCATGCCTCCAAACCCAACGGCCGCCCCGTTCAACCGAAAGGACGGTAACCGCGTCCCGATACACTTGTTCACGGCCGACGAGAACAAGAGGAGCCTCCTTGCTGTGGCCACCAACGACGGCCTACAACTCCAAAATGTCGAGGGCAGGGGCCACTGCTGCTTCTTGGCTCTTGTCGAGTCCCTGACCAGCTAGTGGAACGTCACCGATGTGGACTGGAAGCAGTTGCGCAAGCGTGTTGGTGTTCGCCTCCGCAAAATGCTGGCAGACGATGCTCACATTGTCAACTGTGGCGCAGTGTCGGCTGCCCAGTTTGAGGCGTATATCCGTCGGGTCGAGCGAACGGACGACGACGAACCCGAATACGCAGACTCGCAGGTCCTCGTCGCGCTCGCCATTGAGCTGGGAAAGACGATCGTCATTTTGCAGCCGTGTGGCGGCTACAACCACATCGACCCGACGCAATGGGTCCCAGGGGCTGCCGACAAGGCCGTGGTCATCGCTGCGATCTCCGAGTACGATGGTCCTCGTGCATCTGTCGGTCATTACCTGGCCGTCAACATTGCCCCGCACGTCAACGTCGGTGTGGGCGACCTCCACATGCTTCGCAAGGAGATGTGGGAGCGAGAGATTGGCCTGCCTCGTTACCAGGCAATCCTGGATGACCCTGCCGACCGCCGCGACAAGACGTGGATTGGCGGCGAGATCGACCGCATGAGGCAAGAGCTCAACAACCTGCGCCAGCAGATTGTGGCTGCCATCCAGATCGTCCTCGTCCCCAAGACCCTCAAGGCGATCCCTGGGCTCCTTTCGCGCGACAACGACGCGCACACGCTGCAGCGAAACGTGGCGCGCCTCTACATCGCAGCGGCCGACCAGGACGTTCACCGGGTGTATGCCGCCGATGGTTTCGAGGCGGTCTCGCACTCGCTGCAGAGCCAGCTGGGTATCGTCGCAGCCCCTGGTGACCTGCGCCAGAAGGCTGTGGCGTACTTGGAAGCGTGGCAGCGCAGTGGCGCCGACATTGCCGGCAAGATGACAACGACCAGCTGGGGCGAGTACCTGCACGGCCTGCGCAACAAGACGCAGATGGACGCCAAGGCACTTGGAGCAGTTGCCGTGTTCCTCAACGTGAGAGCGAGACGAATGCCAAAGAAGACCGGTGCTGACGACTGGCAGATCGATGTTCATGTCTTCCGTGCTTCGGGTACCTTCGACAAGGTGTCCCCGCTCGCCATTGTGAATGATGACGTGTGCCATAACCATCGCCTTTGTGTCGCCGTCTTCCAGCGGTGGTACGTCGCTCGGACGATTCTGGGGCGTCAGCGATGTCTACCGAGACATGTTCTCGGACGATGCTGAGCCCCGTCGTCCTCAAAAGCGCAAGCGCCAGGACGACGGCCCAAAACTCCTCGACTTTGAGGGTCTGCGTCAGGAGGTGCAGGAGCTTGCTGCCGAGGTGTACAAGCTTCGCGCTGCCGAGGACGAGTGCGCAAATATCAAGTCGAGGCACTATCGGGCATACCACGACGCACGCAGTCCTGCGATCCTGCGATGCGATCAATTCCCAAGGAGCGCCTGGACAGGGCGCACAGGGAACTGAATTCGTCCGCGGCAAGATCTCCGCCACCGACAACGGCCGCTTTCGACGCCGCCACCGCTCAACGTGGTCGCCACTTCAAGGACGGCACGTACGACTGTGCAGCTCGAGGCTCAGCTTTTGTGGCAATCGAGGCGTACCTTCGGAAGGCCAGTGACGGTCCCACGACCTCGCAGAAGAACCTGCTCCTGGAAACTTTGCAGTCGGAGCTTGTTCAGCTGCGACGGAGTCACGAAGATGCCGTGTACCTGCCCATGAACGTCCCGCAACTCACTGGTGCCACGGGGATGACGTTGGTAAGCACGGTTGCTGCGGCCACAGGTACACAGCTCCCGCTGTTCGGCGCGCCTATTGTGCCCCAACAACCTCCGCGAGCACGTCAAGGCCATCGTGGAGCGACTTACCAATGTCACACCCATGACCACGAGGCTTGCGAACCACGTTGCCGATCACCGACAGAGCGCGCGCGCTGAGCGCTTGGGTGGGGCTGGTGCAGTCACTCGATGGAGGACGAGCGGACGGCACGGCAGCCGCGGGGGGACATGCGCTCACACCGCCAACCGAGCGGGCAGCAACCGATGTGGGGGGTCACTACCGAAGCGAACATGTGGAAACGTGATGTATGTCTTCTCTTACAGATCTCATATCTCGTTGATACGCTATATCCACCAACCAATCGACTGTCGGACTCTGAACGCGATCCCCCCCCCCCCCCCCCCCCCCCTTCCCGTCCCCGTCCCCCCCTTCCCGTCCCCCTCCCTCCCTCCCTCCCTCCCTCCCTCCCTCCCTCCCTCCCTCCCTCCCTCCCTCCCTCCCTCCCTCCCTCCCTCCCTCCCTCCCTCCCTCCCTCCCTCCCTCCCTCCCTCCCTCTACCCATCACCTCCTACGCTCCCACACACACACACGCGCTGACCGAAAATTGTGAAATAGGTGTAGAGGAGGAACGCTGTCACAGACGCGTTCCCTTCACGTGCTGGTGCGTTAGCGCAGCATAGCGTCTTACCGTTGTTGTCCTGGATGGAGTGTTCGTCCAAACGAGTGGGAGGATGACGGGTGGTTGAGGCGCGTTTGAGAGGCTATAAGCCCATCGACGTGATCTCTTTTGACGGCGACACCTGGCACCGGTTGGCGTACTTGCGGGATCGGGGTCATGTTGGCGTGCTTGCGGGATCGGGGTCATGCCAGTACCGATGCACCACCCGGCCACGCTTGCATCGGTGACAGTGGCGTTTTCGATGTACGTCTTGCGTTCGCCCGGGCGGTATGACAGCTGCATCGAGTCAGCGGCATCCTCTGACGTGTGCCGAGACCTACCGAGGAGTAAACGAGGTACTTAGGCAACATGGGCTTGAGCACGCACGTGTGGCCGAGGTGCAGGTCGAGACCCTCAGCGCCCGAGTTGATGGCCTCGTTCACATTTCGGTAAACGAAGGCTGGCCGGTGGACAGTGCCGACGTTGACCTGGACGGCCAGGTTGCCTCGGTATCCTTGAAACAGGGCCTTGGTCATGGCAGTGGTCCAGCCGTCTCGGGGAGCACAGGGCGAAGGAGGCTCGGTCTTGAGGACACGCTTCCAAAGGTCGAGCAGCTCGGCCACGCGGAGCTGGATGCTCTTACAAGCCTCCCAGTGGATGGAGGCCTTGTAGGCAAAAGCGTGATCGAGACGTCCTGGTGGTGTCAGCAACACAAAACTTGGACTAAACGGTCAGTACTCACGCCGGCGGTACTCGTCCCACATGTTCCAGAGGTTCAGCTCAGTGAGGTGATCACTGGCTGGGTGCGACAGGAGCGCCTTGGCCTCGGCAACGACGGGTCGGATGAGCTCGTTCTGGACTGCACGTGCGACGCGCCTAATCCGTCCATCTGCAACCGTCAGCAGTTGTGCAACCAGTTTAATGACTTACCCTCTCGATGACTGCGATGAGGACGAGTACGGCGTGCGGGTAGTCGGACGTGGCGGCGTCGAGGAACATCCTCGCCAATGGAGGGCTGAGGCCTAGTTCCGCCGCGAGCTTGCCGTCTTCGGTGAGGGCGATGCCGTTTGGTCCATCCTTGACGAAGCCGAGAACGTCGAGACAGGCGGCAGCACGGTACATCTGCTCACTCGATGGGCGAGCTGGACGCGTTAGTGTTGCTCGATAGTTGTCGTGCCAACTCACCAAGGACCGGAAGTCGCGGACAAGGCCACCGGGCAGGGTGTTGAGGAAGTTGAGCAGGATCGGGCTCAGATCGCACATGGTGATGGGGGCCTCCTCGTCGTGGTCTGGGATATTGACGTTGCAGTAGACCTCGGTGAACAAGCCAATGTAGTATCCGGGACGCATGCGACCGACGCGGCCCTTGCGCTGGGTCATGCTCGACTTGCTGCATGGCACACGCAGCATCTCCACCGATCCATCCTCCGCCAAGTAGCGAGAGACGTTGTGCTCACCACAGTCCACCACGAAGTCGAGGTGGGGGAACGTGAGGCTTGTCTCGGCCACATTGGTCGAGATGATGACCTTACGCCTCCGCACATTGGTCGCCGTGGGCTCGGTCGTCACCTTGCCATCAACCGGGTCGACATACTCGTCGGCCATGACACGCTCCTGCTCAGCCATATCTTGCGCACGATACAGCTTGTGCAGGTTGACGTTGAGCATGGCGACATCCAAGTGGTCGTTGAGCGTGTCGAACAGCTGATGGATGTGCGCCTCTGTCGCACAGAAGACGAGAATGTCGCCATCGGTGCTGTCGATGCTCGCCAGAAGATCGCCGTCGTGCAGGATGTGACAAACGACCTGGGCTGCGGTATCAACCCAGTCGACGGCGTCGCACTGGAGGTAGTGCTCCGAGATCGACTTCTTTTGGGCGGGCAGGTCCACGAGCTCGGGCGAGAAGCCGGCGAAGTGCGCCATGAACACGTCGTTGCGTCCAGTGGCCGACATGAGGACGACTTTGAGGTCGGGCCGCATACCAAGAACCTGTTGTCAGTTTCCATGCTGCATCACACGAAGACGTACTCGATGGAGGTGGCCGAGAAGGATGCAGAGGTTCGGGCTCTGCTCGTGCACCTCGTCGACAATGACAACGTCGTAGCCTTCCAGGTTGGGGTTGGTCTTGAGCAACTGGAGGAGGAGGCCGTCGGCCATGAGCACAAGTGGTGCATTCACGTTGACCTTCTTGCCACGCATCATGAGGCTAACAAGTTCGCCACTGCCGAGCGGGCCTAGTTGCCTATCAGCATGTGGCCGTTCGGTATAGCACTTACTGTCAAGCAGCGTTCCCGTCCTCTTGGCCACCTCGGTGGCTGCAATGCGCCGCGGCTGGGTCATTGCAATCTTGGCGGTCGACATGCCAGACGCGTGCAGCGCATGAAGCAGGAGAAGAGGCAGTCTGAGAGTGGTGAGAAATGAATTTCTGATGGAACTCACTGGGTCGACTTGCCCGAGCCGGTGCCAGAGTCGACGACGACGACGTTGGTGCGCTGGACCTGCCGTCAACAAGCCATCGGAGGGTGTGTTACTCACTGCTGCAGCAAACTTGTCGACCTTGGACCACAGTGGGAGAGAGAGGCTCTTGTCAATCTCCGAAAGATAGCGCTCCGAGCGCGGCTGACCGGTCCAGGGACAATCACCGGCAAGCTGAATGGTTAGCTTTTAACCTTGCCAATATATGCTCACCATACGCTGGCGGATGTCGGCCACGTTGATCTGCGACTGCGCGTCTGGGTCGACGGGCAGCGGGTCCTCGTCCTCGTCCTCCAGCTCGATATCCTCCTGGTCATGGGCGGCTGGTCGGGCACGCTTCAGAGGAGGGAACAGAACGGGTGGGCTGCGGATGTTGAACACCTCTGCTTGCAATGGGTCGTCATCCTTCTGCTTCTCTTCGTCATTCTGCTCCATTCCCAGACCATAACACCTTTTGGTCGTCCGACCAGGATGCTTCTGGTCCCAGGCGTGATGGAGCTCGGCACGCACGCGACCGGTCTGGACCACCCTGTCTGGCATTGTAATAAATCGACGAGGAGGTCAATGCCGAGAGAGTGATAACGTTGGGCCGAGGTGGCGTACTTGATGGCGTCCATACCCGAGACAGAGTCTGGGGCGGGGCAGACATTGAGAAGGGCGAATGGGCTGGGGTCGGCCACGACAAGACGAGAGACAGAGCGGTGGGCAAAGGAGGTGTTGGCCTCCAGGCGGTAGTTGGCCTTGGCATTGCGCACAATTGCCGGTACGTTCTTCTCGCTGTACACAAACGCGGATCCAACCCAGGGCTTCCCGTCGACGACGAGGACACAGGGAATGTATGGCAAACTTGCTGCTACCTTGGCACGGCGAACGTGTTTAAGCACGTATGTGCTGTCCTTGAGCGCTGGCACGAGAGAACGAGAGACTGTAGACCCGTAGAAGGGGGGGTTTTCGGCCTCGTCAAGCTCTTGGAAGTCGCGGTACGCCGGGAAGAAGCCGGCTTCCTTGTCGGTCGAACCGATAGGATAGACACCAGAGACCACTACAGAGAGCGTACTCAACGCCTTGCTTCCTGCAGCGGTCTTGACGTAACCGGCCAGGGGGCGGCCATCAAACTGGTCCCAGTGGATGATGGGGTCGGCGGCAGTAGCGGTGCCGGGCTGAGTTGTGACGGTGCGCTGCATGTCCTGAGGACGAACAAAACTGGAGGAAGGGACCAGAGAGAAGGGGGGGAGAGGGCGAGCAGGTTGTGAAGGACGACGAGGTTGGTCCGACCTGAACGAGACTGGCGAAGGTGCAGCGGGGCCTCATAGGTCAACACCAGCTTGAAGGCAGTTCTCACTCACTCGCAGACGATGATGACGCCGCTCCTGGTGTGTGTTCAGGTTGGAAGGGCTTGTTTGGGGAAAGGAGCATGATGGCAGACAGCATAGGATGAGGATGAGAGTAGGATGAGGGTGAGACAGTGGATGACTGTGGAAGGTGGTGGTGGAAGGTGACGGTGGAAGGAAGGTGACGTGGGAAGGAAGGTGATGGTGGATGGGTGACGGTGCAAACAGAAGAGTGTCAATTGCGTGTGGGATTTTTTATGTGCCACGCGCCCCACACGTCGGCGCGTCGCGCGTCGGCCACGTCGGACCACGTTACAAGCGGTGCACTGCGCACTGGCGCACGGCACACCATGGGGTTGCTGTGTGCGGGAGGGATGCTTCTGAGCTTCTGGTGAGTACACGGATACGCCCTGTGGCCTGTGGCCTGTGGAGCTGTGGATCTTTGTCGGTGCATCGTGGGTGCATGTGTGCTGCCATGCTGCATGCGGCCTGGCATCGGAGACTCGAGGCGCCCACAAAACGCATGTTGGAGCAGTATGTCACACGCTTCGAGAGCCTAAGTGTCCTCCCAGGTGTGGCCGGTGTGGCGACGTCCCCGAGCGTCCCCGAGCGTGGAGCTAGGGAGCTCACGCTGATCGTCGTGGAGCCCAAAACATGATCGTCGTGAATTGTGAATCCAGCCACCCGACGACCCCCTCTGCATGCGCCCTGGTGCGCTGGTGCTGCGTGCTAGGTCGCCGGCGGTCTCCGTGCCAAGGTGTCACAGCCCGATGCTTCTTGTGCGCTTGTGCGCTGTGACACCCGACGCCCCAACGCTTCCCACAGGGCCACAGAGATCAGAGAGCTATATCTAGTGGCAACGCTGGGGCGGTTCTTCCCCAACCATGGACCATTTGCACTCCTCACTTACCGCCATGCAAGTGCCGTCTACCCTCTCAAACCACAGTCCACGTGCCCCCGACAAGAGGCAGCGCCACGCCAAACAGACGGCCACGCTCGTCAACGACTTGGCCTTGGTTCAGCTCGACATTGAGCGCGCCGAGGTTGAGAAGACAGCTGTACCGCCACCAATGGGATCGGCACCGTCTCAACGCCCCACATTCCCCCTCGTCCGACTTCCCTCTCACACGCACTCCCCCTCGTCTCCCCCTGCCACATTCGCCCCTTTCAAGAAATTCTTGCCAGCGGTTTTCGACACGGAGGTGCTCACCTCGATCACCTCCCGCCTGCAGCAGCAGCTCGAGGCCGCGGCATCAGAAGAGCACCCTGTGGCCGCCACCAAGCCCAAGGCCGCCGAGCAGACTATCCACCTGGATGAGCGGTACACCAAGGTGACGGGGGCGCAGCGCAAGAACCATGAGGCAATGCTGTGCACCATTGCCGATCTTCCTCGTCGCTTCGAGCTCGAGCTCGCGGCCGTGGAAGTCGAACAGCCGACGGTGGACGACGTATGTTGAGTTGAATGATGCAAGCTAACAGTGCCACAGCTTGTCCTCCCCGCTCGCTGGTGCGACGCAACCGAGTCGTACGTTGCTGGCGCCAAGTACAGCGTGTACAGCGGCCTCCCCCTGCGCGAGCGTCTCAACGGATGGTTCAGGGGATGGCTCGCTCCCCTCGTTGCCGCGGACGACAAGGTGGATGCCGACTCGCCGGAACTGCGCTTCTACCAGCGCTACGCCAACATCGTCGAGCGAGTTGTCCAGATGCAGAGGTTGCCCGACCAGCGCGACAAGCTGTAAGTCGTTTGATGTTTTGAGTTGCAGAGGAATAAGGAAGAGCTCCGTGTCGATGTGGGAGAGCAGGATGGGCTTGACCGAGTCTTGGAACAGCAGCGCGGTTGCCTCGTTTGCACATCCGTCTCGGAGGTGCGAATAGACGCGACAAGATGGCGCTTGATTGAAAGTAGCAGTCGGTGTGAATGGCTGACGCAGGACAGGCCGATGGAGATCCAAGTGCTGACGAGAGACAGCTTCAAGGTCAATGGCAAGGTCGTCAACGGTCACATCGACGGCAACGTCCAGGCCACGACCTGGATATTCAACTGGTTCAAGGGCCAGGGCCTCGACGAAGTCGCCCGCCTGCGCATTCTCGCGAAGCACCTCCATCGTGCCGGTCGCTCGACCGACGCCATCGCCGGCATCCTCAACCGGCTGGCGCCTCTCCATGCTGCGTCTCACAACGGGACGTGCAGTGCTCACCTGCGGCAACAATGGGTCGATGAGCTGGCCTGGTACCGCGCCTTTGTAGACGGCCTGCCGGAGGGCGACGACTTCCTCTGGTCTGCTCCTCTGCCCGAGCCCGACATCGCGCGCTTGATCCAAAGGTACAACGCGCCCAAGGCCGAGTGGATGAACTGGGAGCCGATGTGCAGTCATGGCTGCCGAAGTTTGACGAGCTGGAGCGCAGGTGGAAGGAGTAAGTCGGGATTGTGTGGCAGTGGTGGTTGTGATGGAGAGACAGAAGAAGAAACTGACACGACAAGACGCCGCCCTGAAGGACCCCCCCTCACCAGAAACAAGGGCGGTGTCCCGACCTTTGTGTTCTCGGACCAGACCGACACGCGCACCATCCTGGAGCTGCTCGCCCGTTGCATCCAGCGGGCCGAGGACGACTGCGATGACGTCTTCCCTCCGCCACGTCCCCGCCACCTCCGCGAAATGGGCGCCGCGCTGCGTTTGGCGCAGGAGTGTCTCTCGCAGGGCTACTTCCGAGCGGACGGCCTGGTCGGCATTCATGGCCGCGCCGATGGCCTCCCCTTCTGCTTTGCTGGTGTTCCGCGCCACCCCCTCGCGCCGTCCCTCGCATCCCACGGCCGCCACCACGAGCTGTTTAGGAGCCCATCATCCGTGGACGAGCTCGACGACCTCAGCTCTTTCAACCTCGACATCGAGAGCTGGGGCACCAACATGTTCCGCGGCAGCACGCGTGCTGGTGTCCTCGAGCACTTCATTGAGCAGACGCGTGCAGGTGCCCACGCGCTGCTGGACAAGCTCGCACACCGCGGTGTGCTTGAGCCCTTCCTGCTGCCCAGGTACACCCTTGGTCCCCAGCTCGAACGCGCTTGGTGCCGGAACGGTCAGTCGAACCTCGAGCTCATCCTCCGCAACCCCAACTTTGTGGATGAGCTCGAGTTTCGCCGCGACGCATATATTGCGGACCACCCCGTGTGCCAGGACGACGACTCGGCAGAAGCCAGGCGCGCCGAACGCATGTCGCGCAGGATCGAGCTGCTCCGTGTCGTCTCGCGCGATGCCGACAAGATCTCGGCCCGTTACCTCCAGAAGGCGAGCACGAGCAAGCCCGGGCCCGAGGCCGCCCGTCCTTTCCCTCATGTCCGCGTGAGCACCGTCCAGGAGCTCCTCGCCACCGGTGAGCTTCGCGCCGACCACCCCGCCGTCGCCGACCTCGCCGGCTACATTCGCGAGCTGCCCAACTACAGGCAGTACATTTACCGCGAATGTGGTGGCACCGGAGGTCCCTCCAAGTTTAGCGGTGCCGACGCCGACGGCCAGCGCTCCTGCTGGACATGTATCGAGCGTGCCAGGATCGACGAGAGGCGCGCCCTGGTCGACCATTGGTGCGAGATGTGTCCTGAGGGCGAGAAGGAGAAGGCCACACGATCGCATGACGGTGCCGAGGTGAGTGCATATGGTGTTGTGAGATGAATGGTGCTGTGTATGGATGGAGATTGACAAAGCAGGTGTGCGATGAGTGCTACCACTCGCTCAACGCATTTTGGTGCCCCGACTGCCAGACGGGCCAATGGTTCCGAGAGGCGGGAGCAAACGGCTACACCGGCCAAGCCAAAGTGAGTGCTCGTGAAGATGTGGCAATGTGGCGCTCCTTGCTGACAAAATGCCAGCGCTGCGCGCGCTGCAACAAGGTACCGATGCTTCTCGGCAGTAACTGCTGCGTCTGCGGCCGTGACCCGGACGATGGACCGTTTGTGCGCCGTCACCAACGTTGCTTCAACTGCTACCGGCGCGACACCCGTCAAGGCCTCCTCCTCGTCTTGTCCATGACCAAGGCCCGCTTCTGCGGCGAGTGTGGCGACCAGGTCGCCGCGGGCAAGTTCAAGCGCGGCATGTGCGAGTCTTGCTACAACAGAGACCGCACAAGTCGCATTCACCCTGGTGACATGCGCGACCGCACCTGCCGCAAGTGCCACAAGGTCAAGTCGAGGTTTGTGTGGGACTGGGGACTGTGCGGACAGTGCTACCACTTCCGCTATATGAACAACCTCCTGCTCGAGCCACTCGTCCCCGACCCCCTCCCCCAGGACGCTCCACCCGAGGACCCCAGCGTCGAGCACTGCCGCGTCTGTCGTGTGCCGAGGCCCGAGAAACTCAGGGGCAGTGGCGACAGTACGGCCTGGTACGTTCGCTGGCAGATGTGTCGCCGGTGCTACCAGGCTTCGCGCAAGACCGGTGCCATCGACGAGATGAAGCTTGCCGACGGTGTCAAGTCGCCCGAGCTTGTGCCGTCCGACGCCGACGACAGCTTTGACGCCAACGACGAGTTCTTTGTCCTGGAGGCCGAGCTCGCCAGGGAAGTGCGCCATGTCTAGGACGCCGGTATCATCTGGCGACCTCTGCAAGCATGTTCGACCGCTGGCTGTGGTAATACCAACCACACCCACCGATTCTACGACGAAGCCCAGAAGTGCAGTCCCTGCTACATGAGGGATCGCGTCCCCAAGATGCCATCGACTCCTCCCCTGTGGGCAGCCTGCATCGAGCCTGGCTGTGGCGCATCCGACGAGACGGCCGAATTTGTGTGGCCATTCCGTCTCTGCCTGCCGTGTCACGACGCCAAGAAGAAGCGCGGCACCTTGCCAGACAAGAAGAGTATTCCACGCACTTGTTTTGTCTGCGCCGACGGCAAGATCCTCCCAACCGGAAAGGGATCTAATGTCCGGGGCACCAAGCACTACGACCAGCGGCGCAAGTGGCAGAAGACCGTCGCAGGACAGCCAATCACGACCGCACCTGCCGATCCTGTATCTTCACCATCGGTGACAACCCCCCCACCAAGCCCACGGCTCGTTCTCACGCTCGTCAGCGCCCCTCTACCTGTCGACGTCGACGACAAACGACGGTGCCATGAATATCGACACCGGCGGGGTCGATGTGTGAACACACCATCACCCTCGTCCATACAGCGCTCTTCACCGCCTGGGTCCTCTTCCGCGTACAGTCGATCTGTTCTCAGGAGCCATAACGTACCGAACGCAACAACAGACGAACTTGTCTTGTGAACTCTCAAAAATAAAACCACAGCCTTCCAAGCTCGCAATCAAGCGTCCATACTGAGGCTCAGGAGGAGTGCCGGTGCACAAAATATTTCACATTTTTCGGTCAGCGTGGGTGTGGGGGAGAGGGGAAACAGGTTGCGGGGGAGATGGAGAGCCTCAATGACGCAGGGATGCATGGATGTAGATAGCAAATCCCTAAGATGGTCTCGCAGTGGTTGCAGACTAGGATCTAGGATCGCACAGCCGCACGGAGCCCAACCTGTGCGAGGCAATGGCGATCTGACGTCGACGGCTGGACGTGTCAGGTAGCTTTTGGTCTGCCACGCACGGAATCAAATCCCAGTATTTAAATTGTAATTTCAGTAATTGTTTCGTCACTCTGCATTCTCCATCATTCCCCGACACTTGTGCCCGGCGCTTTCCCCATGCAGCGGGTGATCGATTGCTGGAGTACAACTTCGTTCTCGTCCCCAAGTTCATGTACAATGGCTACGACCGCGCAAGTGGCGTCATGGGCTGGAGGGAGCCAGCAACTGGCGCTCCAGGCTGCTTTAGCGGCGACGCGTTCCACTCTCTCAATGTGTTGCTGGGAGCGCATAACAGGCCCTACCAGCCACTTGAGGGCCCAGTTGTGTCCAACGTGTAGAAAGGCGAGTACAATCTCGGCATGGAACTGTGGCAGACAAACCGGTTCCGCCACAGCATCGCGGAGGGCGCGCTGGTGTCCGACATGAGGGGCCACATTCCTGGGTTGCGACCCATTGCGGCCCGTCTGGCTGCATTTGGCGTGATTCCTGCGGCGGCAGCGGCAGCCATGGAGGCCGAGGACTTCTTCTTGACGCCTAATACGCACAGTGTGTGGCGTCACAACGTCCAGGACCGTGTCGAGCTCATGCTGTGCAAGCCCAGCCTGGTGCACACACTCGAGGTGACCGCAGCAAGGCAGTGGCGAGAATGGGACGATACGAGGCGGAGGATGCGCTGGATCCCGGATCCCATATGTGTAACTCGGGTACGCTTCCATGGCGAGCACCTGGGAGTCAGTACCTTATCGGGTGCCACGTGGACGGGGCCTATGTACATATGTATATCGGCTATAGCCAACCCCGTTTCCAGGATCAAATCAAACTCACCGGCTGCCACCTCCAACTTGACAATTTCAGCCAGGCGTCCCGACAAGGGTCTCACATTGGTGAGCTGTTTCACCAGAACATCGAGAATCTCGTCGAAGTTCAAGGGCAGCCAAGGTGTCGCTGGGCCCGCTGCGGCGTTCGGGTGATCGCTCTGGCTCGAATCGCTGCTGCTGGAGTGGTCGTCGTCGGCCGGCTCGGGCTCCTCCTCGCGTTTACGCTTGCGGGAGAGTGGGGCTGGGGAGGGGCTAGCGCTCCTGGAAACTGCGCGCAGGTCCTCATCGAGACGATTCAGCTCGTCATTGAACGCAACTCGGCTCTTGGCGGATGCAAGACGGGTCGCGCACGGGCTTGCTGGACGTTGGCGTGAATCGGCCTCTTGTTGGCCTCGTGGGCTATGCTCCATGAGCGCCATAAGCGCTGCACCTCGGCCTCATGCCCCAAAACTTCAGCGCGCAGTGTCTTGGCGGTTGCCCGCAGCTCGTCCATCTCCGCCTGTGCCTGTTTGGCGTCTGCAAGCTCGCGCACGGCCACAGAACGACGGGAAAGGGTATTGGCCAAATCTTGCTGAGCGCCGTTCAGCTTGGCCGTGGCATCATGCCGTTCGGCATCACTACCGGCGTTGGCCACTGCCCTGGTCAATGTCTCGACCGTGTCCACGAGTTTGACGTGTTTGCCGCGCACAATGGTCACATAGGCCTCCAGGTGAGTCCTGTGTGTGGTTGTCGTTGGCTCAATTTCGTGGTAATCGATGTTGATACCACAGAAGACGCTCTTGTTGGGGCCGTAGGCATACCCGATGATGATGGCCAGGTGCAGCGGCGGTGAGTCGTCTATCGTTGACGGATCGAATAAGGTGAAGGTTCCGTCGGTCCTGAGCACGCTTGTAGCAACCTGTGAGGGGTTAGCATGAAGCTGATGTTCGATAGCTTACGTTCAGTGCGATTGCCAACACGCTCAGCGTCATGGCATCGACAGCCCCAGTACCGCCCTTCGACTGCAAGACCCGGAAACCAGCCGCCGCACGATCCCGGACCACGTCAGAGGCAACATTGATTCCAAGTTGGCTCCGGATCGAGTGCGCGATCGCACTGTAGCCGTCTTCGGCATCGATCAATTCAAATTCTTGTCCCATGGCCGCGAACTGAAGACGCCTCTTGTTCCCCTGGGGCGAACGCGACGCGTCTGGGCCGGGGAGGAGCTCGGACACAGCAGTGAAGAGGGGTCGTCTTGGGAGGAGCTCAGAGCCGGCTGCTTGGCGACAGCAGTGGGCAACCTGGGCGCGGGGCCTGGACCTGCAGGCGACTTGGATGTCGGTGTGGCGGTTGGAGCGGCAGAGGAGTCTGAAGTCGCCGCCGCCTTCTGCTTTGGGGAAGGAGGCGCCCGCGGGGCCTCGGCAAGCTTCATCTGGCAAGTGACAAGCTCCGCCTTGAGCTTCTCAAGCTTGCTTGTGAGCCTGCGCTTGTGGACGGCGTCGTCTGCGTCCTTCACCATCTGCTCCATATTGTTGACGACCACGACGCGATCGGCAATTTCCTGCTGGAGCTCGGCAACACCCATCTGCTCCTGGACGACTGTACGCGACACCTTGGACGGCTTCACCTTTGGCGCCTCAGCACGAGGTGACTCGGTCACCGGCAGGATGGCCGGCTGGCGAGATCCAGCAGGCGCCGGCACGTCCGTCTTTTCCGCCTCGGCGAGCTCGAGGAGCAGGAGGATCATCTGGAGCTCGATGCTCATGGCCACGAAGGCCTGCTCGTCGACGTACTCCAGGGAGGTGCCACAGCCCGGGGGGAACTCGGCGCGCTCGACGCGGGCGACGTACTCTTCAAACTCCTGGTCCGTCCACAAGCCACTGCTCAGCATCATGATCTGGCCCGCGGCCTTCATGACGCGGAGGCGATTACCGACGCGACGACACAAGTCCGTCCAGCCGATGAGCACATTGTGCTGGTGCTCAAGGGCATCGACAACAGCGTGGTACGCGCAGTTGCCGTCGCCGAGGACGTTCTTGAGCTCGATGCCGTCGGCAGTCGCAACGGCAAGGAGGCGTTCCAAGTTCTTCTCGTACGAGAAGGGGAAGAGGGGGATGCCGTTGTCGGCGGTGCGGTTGAAGGGGGCGGTGGTAGCAGTGGCGGGCATGGTACGGAGTGGAGCGGGAGGCTTGAGGACTGTGGTATCATCAGGGCTGACCCACTGTACAGACATATACACCGCTGTGACAGCTACCACCCTCCCTAAAGCAAGAAACTGCCACAATGTCCATTAGACATGCTCGCCTCAAAGCAAAACTTCCACGGAAAGGGAGACATTTTGGCGAGAGCCAAACCATGCCACACACTCCCTCGCTACCACACCAGACGCCTACGACTGTCCCATGAACCAATTTGGAGGATTTTGGAGAGGAAACGACCGACTTTTCGTCCACCTCTCCCAAAGTGCAGTGCCCTTCCAAGTTGGCGGGCTTGAGAAAGAGCACGCTCCTGAGTCCAAGGCGCCAGCGACCATGGTCCTACAACGTTTCCCCGAACTCTCGGTGCAAAAGGCATCTTTTGGCGGAAAATGCTGGAACGCGCCGCGCCGCCACTTTCCGCCGGTTTATCAAACCGCCACTTTGCCTCTGATCCTCTGAACTCCACCGATCCACCGAAGACCCACCTCCCACTCCCCCTAGTTTGCGCACGGCCACCACCAAACCCCAGTGGCTAGGCCAGGAAATGACATGCACCTGGAACATGCACTGCACCCATCCCAGTCACAAGCGCAAGGTCATGCTTGAGGCAAAGATGGAAGCAGAATGCCAATTCGACGAGTGACAGTCACACACTTCCGCCACGATCACCTGGCACCATTTACCCCCGCACGGTCCGCCAACACTCTCGTTCAAACTCGCTCAGAGCCAAAAACAAACGCTTTGCTTTGCTCCGAGTGGTGGAAACGATACCCACTTTCCCACGGCTCGTGCGTCGATCACCCCCAGTGGCCAGTGGCGACGCATGGGAACCTCACCCACAAGCGTCTCCACGACGACCACACCTCGGACCACCGACCCAGTGTGTTCGCCCCAAACATGGGGTTACTATACCGCCGCCGCGTCTGTACGGTCTCTTTGAGCCAACACCCAGTCGCACTGATCTCTGAAGGCAAGAAAGGACGTAAAACTCACAGTTTAGGGGGTGGTGGTAAAGGTTGTTGGTCTCTGCGCTGTTAGCTGAAGCGGCAATCCAGTGACAGCGCGTGCCACTACTTCCACGAGACCTATGCGCATGGTGCTCGAGAACCGCACTGCAGCCTCCCCAATAGTCTCCAGTCCCAATCTGAGGCCTTTCGACTCACTGGTGAAGCGCATCGTTGGGCGTTTTGGTCCTTTGGGCTGTCAGCCAAACACTTGAACGACGGCAGCCTGTCCGCGGGACGACAAAGGACGGCGGACACGAAGGGTTAGGAACTGCCGCTGGACTGGAGGCGGTACTCCGAGCAGCCTGGCGCCTGCACCTCCGTGTTCACGTTGAATTGGTACTCACTTGCGTGGTAGTGGGGAGGTGTTTAGTGATGAAGAAGTGTTGGTGGCGAAAACGTTTCAGTTGTCCAACGCTTCTACGTTTCTCCCACTCGCCCTCCCCAGCTTGCCGTCGCCCACACACGAGCCGCCTGCTTCCTTCGTCAGCTTGTGCGCTTGTGCGCACGCTAGCACACGCTGATCTGCTCGATGCTGGAGGGGCACTGCGCCCCCTCTTGGCTTGTAGCGCCCTCAAAGCGGTGTACGGTGTGCGCCCCAGCTTTCCAGCTTTCCAGATAGTCATCTGCACCAGCGGGATGGCCGGTAGGCAGGTGTACGGGGTACGGGGTGGACGAGATGACATTCTCAGACCAATTTTGTGGTCAGTTTTTGCGTTGGTTGATCGTTCGTTGGCCCGTTGGGCGAGTTTGGAAGTGAGTATGCACTTTTGTTACAAAAAAAACACCACACTCCACCACACTCGCCCCGAGTTCCTGGCAGATTTCGCTGCACGGCCAGGCATACGCGTCTTTGTAGGGAAGGACACTCGACAGTACGCACCGTTGAGCATGCCATGCGTGGGCCCTAGCCCTGCTGGCCACTGGGGCCAGGTGAGACAATACAAGGGTGTAGCAGTACACTTGTACAAGATACTTGTTTGGGACCCGTAACTTCGGTGATCAGTGGATCAGTGGCCGGTGATGAGAAGCAGGCCGGCAATTGGCAACAAACAAGTACCTCACGCTCACAAGCTGCAATAACTCTGCGGTTTTTACCACACGACTGCGTGGTCACCACCTGCCACGATGCAGATCCCATGCAGACTAAGGACGGGTCTAGCATCCCAATGTACTGGTCCGGGACACCCCTTCTGCCACCAGTGGCCAGTGGATAAGTAGAGTACGTGACATATCTTGCGGCTGCTACGGCGTACTGTTGTTCTGTCCGCAATCGTCGCAGACCCACAGATCCACAGATCCAGAATCACAGGGCGCAGCGCCCATATTTGATAAACATGCATCCGCGCGACCGGAAAAACCCCTGAATGTGGTGTCCTTTAATATGGTTGCCGATCTGTCGAAATTGCACATTTTGCTTCCGTTTGACAGCATCGCAGAAGCAAAACCTACTGAATCCACCTTGCAGTTCTCTTCGTCCACCAACCCAACCCCAACACCAAAAACAACTATGTCTAAGCTTGCTGGAAAGTAGCGCGAAAACAGCACAAGACCATGACAAAATTCTGACCATTCGCAGCGTCTAGCGTGCGCGCCTCCATCAAGACCCTCCTCCACGAGTCTTCCCTCGAGGGCCAGAAGGCCGTGAGTTTGCAAAAGATTTGAACGATGGCACACGAGGCTGACTATGTCTTTCTCTTGCTGTACATTTGCCGACCTCCTATCCATCTGTAACGTGTTCCCTGCTTGCGGAAACGTCTCTACAAACTCGTCAAACCGATTGTCGAACCGCTCCACCTGGTTGCTTGTGGCGCACGTATTGCTCCCATGTCTCTGTTCGCCCTTCTCCCTTTGGTTCACGTCTGTCCGCTCTCGCCCTCTACATTTACGCCACTCGGTCACACCCTCTCGGTCTTCGCATGCTTGTCGACCCCTGTTCGTCCTCGCATCGATCCTTTTCTGCTGGAATCCATCAATCCACGCCTCACCGTTGTGTTGCCACATTTCTTCCAACTGGGTTATGTCTGTTCATTTCGACCTCCCGTTCTTGAACCTCTCTGGCATGCCCCTTCATTGTCGCTCCCAACGATGCCCTTGCGCTCCCCGAACACGCCCACGCGCCTTCCGTCATTGATTTGGCTGTCATCGTCGCCATCACGGACAAAATTCGGAAAAAAAATTCGCCGATCATCTTCCTCCACCACCACCACTTCTCTTCCACCTCTTACTCAACTTCAACAACGCTTCAGGGCGAGGGCAAGAAGAGGAACTTCGTCGAGACCGTTGAGCTTCAGGCACGTATCAGCGTCGTCGTCGGCGACAGCGAGCTCGAAAGGGAGGACTTTGTCGAAAGACGGACCTGCCGAAGACCTCGATGTCCCGACCTTGACTCAAACTCTTGTGAACATGTACTGACCATCACAGATCGGACTGAAGAACTACGACGCAAGTTTTGCACCCACGCGCGCGTTGACCCCATGCTGACTTTTTCCTTAGTCGCAGCGTGACAAGCGTTTCTCGGGTACCGTCAAGCTCCCCCACGTTCCCCGTCCCCGCATGCAGCTCTGCATTCTCGCCGACGCCATGGACGTTGACCGTGCCAAGCAGCTCGACGAGGAGCTCGCCTTCATGACTGTTGAGGACCTTAAGAAGCTCAACAAGAACAAGAAGCTCGTCAAGAAGCTCGCCGCCAAGTACGACGCTTTCCTTGCCTCGGAGGCCCTCATCAAGCAGATCCCCCGTCTCCTCGGTCCCGGTCTCTCCAAGGCCGGCAAGTTCCCCTCGCCCGTCTCGCACTCCGAGGACCTTGCCCGCAAGGTCAACGAGGTTCGCTCGACCATCAAGTTCCAGCTCAAGAAGGTTCTCTGCCTCGGTGTCGCCATCGGCCACGTCGACATGGAGGAGGACCAGATCATGCAGAACACCATGCTTTCGATCAACTTCCTCATCTCGCTCCTCAAGAAGCAGTGGCAGAACGTTGGCTCGCTCCACATCAAGACCACCATGGGCAAGCCTCAGCGCCTCTTCTAAGCGCGACCTTGGTTGCCGCCAGTGTGTAGTATTTCCGCGCTCAACCGACCAACTGTCTGTAGAAACGACGCAAAACCGGACCACAGTCACGCTTATACCCAAGTTCGTCTGACCCCTTCACTGGGAGCTCGCGGGCCGAGGGGAGCTGGTTTTCTACGGATTGAGGAAGGAACGGTGTGGGTTTTCATTATGCATGGCTATATTATCATTACGAAAGAGTTCAAAGAGTTGAAGAATCACTAATCGGGTCTGGCCCATGCGAGTACCGGCGGCTGCGTGAGATCCTGAGAAGAGGAAGGCCGCTATTTGATGCGGGCACCGCCGATAGATTACGGTGGCGCGATGCTGTTTTGGAATCTCGAGTGTACCATGTGCACCCACTTTTATCGGTTCCGAGCGGTCGGCTGTTGGCTGTTGGGCTCCGTGGTCGGTCGATCGCGGCACTGACGTGTGCATGATTGCAAGTGTGATCATCCATCTTTCCATTCTCCCATCCCCTACTTCACGCCATTGCCATCCCGCGACCGACATAGCTGCCGCTGCTGACAAACGCGGCTGCTCCACAGGACAGAGCCCCTTGTGCCGCTCTTTGCTGCCGTGACCGCCACCCAACAGCGGTACTGGAACGCGGCCCCGCAGCAGGATTCGAGTCGAAGAACACCGTTCACGCTTTTCATTGCCCAGTCCAACACTCTGTGCTACGCAGAGGCGTCACAGTCTTGTGTGTGATTCGGTGACTAGAGGTCAAAGACTGTCGAGTAGCATTACGGATATCTCACCACCGGGCCGGCGACTTTCCCCACTTTCCCACTCCTCCGACTCGTCCGCAACTGTCTCACCTATAGTCCAGTCGACCGCTTTGGGGTTGTACACACCACCACCATGGCCCCGTCCCTCTTTGGAGCGCGCCGTTCGTCGCGATCGAGCTTGTCGCAGTCGGCAGCCCCGTCGTCGCCCGGTTCTACTGCACCTGCCCTTCCACCGCCGAATACCCGGTCTGCTTCATTATCGCCTGTAGCGACCCGCCGCGCCTCCCGCAGTGGTAGCACGGCCTTGGAGCAGCTGCGTGGACGGGTGCGCTCAGCTACCACGACAGCGACTGCTCCAGGAGCGAGTGCACCCCAGGTTCCCATGGGAAACGGCACACCGTCTCGTGCTCGGGCAGATAGCAACGCATCTGCCATTGTTCCCCCAGTGGTTCGCGACGCCGAGCTTGATCGCCGCGCCCGTGAAGCTATGCAGACATCCTCGGCCCCCGCGGCATTGCGCTCCTCGACCCCGCCCCCATACTCGCACCACTCACTCGACCGGTCCCCATTGCCCAACCCCATGGTTCTCGACGACCGTCCGCGCGTGCCGCCTCCCATCTACTTGCGCAGCTCGAGCGCTCAGCCCCAGTCCAAGCTGGGAACCTTGTCGATCCACGTGCCTGGATGGTGAGTAGCTGTGACATTTACAAAGGCAAGGCGGGCAGCCGTACGCATGCGTCTGTCAGTGCTGCAGCATGCTCATGCCTACACCCAAGAGTGTGCTTAACTGGTTGCTGCACACACACCTACGCGGCGTTGCGCGCGGTAACCCTGCTTCCCTTGCCTATTTCCCTTTCCTTCCCTACTTCCGTCACTTGCTGGCATCCAGCTGACAATCAGGGGTGTCGCTCTGGTGCGTCCACCACGACATTACGATCTCCACCCGCTCGAGTCGGGCTCGAGCGGCCGCGAGCCGCCTGCAGAGGACACGGTTGTCAGTGGCTCTCTCGAGGTCGTCATGCGCGAGCGTCGCCGTGTCCAGGCAATCAGTGTCGGAATCCAGAGCGTGGCAAAACTCAACATGGGCCCAAACAGAGGATGGGAGGATGATGGAATCTTTGAGCGTGGTGTCGAGGTGGTAGGCGGTGGACTGGACGGGGAAGGACTATGGCTCGAAAAGGGGTCACAGACGTGAGTTGCGTAATAGTGACGGTCCTAACTCGTTCCCCAGCTTTGCATTCTCGCTCCTGTTGCCTGCGACATCGGCCACCTACGACTACCACACCTTTGGTCGCGTGTCGTACATTCTGACAGCTCGTGTCGAGGGTGTTCCTCAAGGTCGCCTAGTGAACATGTTCAAGTCTCGCGATATCCCTATCCAGGGCGACATTCCGTTCCTTGGCGATTTCCAGGCTGTCATTGCCCGTTCCGACAAGATTGCGCACGAGCAAGCCCAAGCCATGTCGCGCGACCGGTCGCGGGACGGATCTCCCTCGCTCTCGCCCTTGATTGCTGGCCTCGGTATTGACCAGCCGCCATCGCCACTTGCTACTCCGCAGGACGAGATTGCCATCACGTTTGGCGATGTGGCGTCACCGGTCCATGGTCTCTACCATCGGCGATTGTCCACCGACCTTGTGCTTCCCCAGGGAGGCAGTCCCGGCCGTCCGTCGCCACTCCGGCGTGACACGGACGCCATGTCCATTGCCTCCCGCGCGAGCAGTATCGAGGGCAGCAAGAGCGAGAAAATGGGTTGGCTCGTGGGCGACATTTGTGGCATTCGCAATTTCAAAGTCCACGCCAACCCGTCCCCGACGTCTGGTGTATACCAGCTAGACATTCGCAAAGAGGGCTATGTGGAAGGTCTCGGACCGTGGCGATTCTCCATCACCAGCGACGCGTTTACTATTGCGTCTTGCGCCATGCTCTCCCTGAGTATCCCCTCGCCCGCACCCTCCTGCACCATCTTCTTTGTGCGCATCCTCGTCTCGCAAACCTACGTGTTGCTTTCACCGCGCACGCCCAACGACCCGCCGTTCAAGCCTGAAGGCCCCAAGAACCACGTCATTTTCCAGGTCGGCCGTCCTCACCGCCATGGCGAGAGTGTACTGGCCCACACCATCACATCGCTCTGGCGCGGTACCGAGGCGGGCGGTACGAAGGAAACCAGCAGCAGCAATGGATACCGCACACGGGCGGTCGCGCGATTGCCTGGCCACGATAAGATTCGGCCCACTACGAACCCTGGGTGAGTTGGGGAAAGACGAGAGCAATGGCGACGGAACGCTGACTCGTCGCGCAGCACCATCACGCCTATCCGCGTCTCGCACGAGATCCTTGTCCGCATCTTCTACTCGATCGAGGGTGAGACGGTGGCGGGAAACAAGATAAACGGACCAGGCGAGGTGCGCATGTGTCAGGTGCGATTGCCCATCACTATCCCGAGCTGTATGTGCAGTACGGCCACGCTCAACCTGCCGACTTGTGAGTGTCAGATTGGATTGGATCTTCCCGCAACAAGAAATTGTGAACTGACTGTTATCCCCACAGACGAGTGCGCGATCAACCCGGGCAGCTCCATTCCTGAGAACGTATCGCTCGACGCTCAGAAGACGTGCACATGCTCCGTGAGCTTTGCCCAGCTCTCGGCAACGACTATCAGCCGGAACCGTGTCGAGGAGCCCGTCGAGCCTGCGCCAAATGCAGTCGAGCGTGGCAAGCAGATGGAGGCGGCGAACGGGGCGGGTGGTCCAAGTACGGGCGTGTAAGTGGGAAGTGAGTGAGTTGTTGTTGGGACAGGTGTGAGCAGTTGTGGGAGTGAGATAGTTGTGAGAGATAGGTGTGGGAGTGAGCTGTGGGAGAGTCAAGTTGTTACTGCACAGAGCGTTTGGGTACTTGCTGGGAGCATGGGAGAATAGGGTTTTGAATTGGCTCGCGAGCTCGAAAGGCGAGCTCATGCAATGCAAGAATACAATCATTCGCGGATGGTGATGTGGCAACCTCCTTTTATAAACAGCTTGGACAGTCCCCAATCTAAGTTGCAGTATGGTGGGCGAAACACAAGAGCATGTCCTCAGCTGCCATCCTCCGGCGCAGCCTGCTGCCCCGCACCTCCTCCTGCCCCACCACCAGCCTGAGCCTGTCCCTGCGCCTGGGCGAGCCACGCATCCAGTCCCATCTGCCCGACTTCGGGAAACCACCCGTATGTGCGCAAGTCGACGCGCTCGCCGAGTCCCGAGACGGTGTCCACCTCGACGCCCTCTGCCTCGAGACGTTCCTTTTGGCGCGCGACGCCCAGACCGAGGTCGCCGCGGGGCGAGATGACGCCGCGTGACGAGATTACGCGCTGGGGTGTCAGATGAAAGTGCACCATCGCACAGCTGGGTCGGCGCGAAGGTTCGAAAATGGCGGTTGCCAGATAGACTCATGGCTTGGCCTCGTTCCCTCCCTCTTCCCTCCCTCTTCCCTCCTCTGCTCCACCATACGCACTTGCCATGGAATGTCCGAGTTGGGTGGCAGAGACTTCATGGCGTTTCCGACGTGTCTGCCGTCAGTCGTGTCCTCTGAGTGCGCTGTGAGTGCGCTGTGAGTACGCTGCTCGGCGGCGTGGGGAGCGAGCGCTTGGTAAGGAAGCACCCCATCGCACTAGCTGGCGCGGGACCGCGTGCAGGTAGATCCTCAGACAACCACCCAGCTGGCCAGCTGCACTTGTGGCCTTGTCCTTTCTCACCTCGAGTAACTTGGGTATCCGGCCATCTTTGCAATGTGGCCTGCCGTCTGTCAGCTGGCTTGGCAAAATGGCTGGCGTTGGAACAGCGGTTGACGTCACCCGCCGCGTCATGCCTCCTCACCATAGCTTGTAACGCGTCCCACGGGGATGGCTCGCACAATGTCATAAGTGCGTTCTGTAAGAATGGCAATGTCTGTCATCCTGGTAGGAGTATGGAGGTGGTATGCAGTAGGGGGTGCGTGTGATGAAACTGTATGGGACTGAGGTGGAGGATGCAACAACCCCAGACAGTGTGGTTCCTGAAAAGGATCTGCTCTGGCCCAAGAGGCGGCGGTCGGACCCCTCCGGGTGAACGACCTCATATTCAATATCGGGTTGACACTCTCTGGTTGACACCGTCGTTGTCATCATCATCATCACCCACTCAACCATCCTTCCAACACCTCCATCCCCACCCTCACCTCCCAACCATGGCTCTTGCGGCCCCTCAGCCGCCATGGGTCCCTGCGCAGCCTCCAGGAGGCATGCATATCCAGGAATGGAAGTGAGCGCCAGAACGTCCCACCTCCACCTCCGACCGGCGGCGAGGACGGGATATGGGACGGGACACACTTGTGCCCAGCCACCGCCATCGCTGTGTCGTCTACCCAGTGACACTGCCGCACGGGGGACGTGGCGAGTTGCCACCGACGCCGGGGGTGTATCCCGGGCTGCAAGAGTTGGAGCAGCGTAGCTGACAGATACAGGTATGAAATGCGCCGCGAGGCCCAGCTCATCATCCCCGGCGTCTACCTCGGTCCGTTCCAAGCCAGCACCAATTTAAACAAGCTGGAGACGTTGGGAATTACGCACATGTAAGTGGTTGCAAACGATGGGCGGGGAGTGTGCGGATGGGAGTTGCTGGTGACTTGTGTTGTGGGCAAGTTGCAAGCTCAAGCTCGAGTGTCGGTGGCTGTACGACTCACGGCGTTCCCCGACACATGGTCGAACACCGGTTCGCCAGCCCCCCCGGCTCTCTGTCACCGTTCACCGAGACCAAGTCATCGGCTGGGCCCCGTTGAACCTGCTGACAATGTCCCAGCCTGTGTCTCCGCGACAGCATGGAGGCGCGCCTTATCTTCCCCCGCTTCCCAACCGAGTTCAAATACCTCACCCTTGACGTGGCCGACTCTGGTGTGAGTGCTGTCTACTGTGACACAGGCTTGGCGATAGTATGCGGCCTTGGGTGTGCCAAAAGAGCTGCGGGGTCCTGTGGTCCACAACCCAAAGGCTTGCTCGGACGACCCGGTCGCCGGCCTCGGGACTACCCTTGGCCGCTGTCACAGAAACAAGACATTGAGCTGACGACGACAGGCGCAGAACATTATCACCATCTTCCCTCAGTGCCGCCAGTTTATTGACGAGGCGATCAACTGTGGTGGATCAGTGCTGGTCCATTGCAACAGTGAGTACAAGGCAATGTACGACCACCTGGCTTACAACAGGCGGCATTGCCACGGCACCAGCCATCGTCATGGGCTATCTGATGGACAAGTTTGCATGGGACTACACCGTCGCCCTGTCCTACGTCCAGAGCAAGCGATACTGTGTGAGCCCCAGTAGCGTGAGTACATTCCTACAGCTCGAGTGTGCGTCTTGGCAGAGCGCCCAGTGCGGTTGCGAAACCCATACCTGCACCGTGCGCAAGATCCATAGGCACACATCTCCAAAGGCACCTCTCTCCATTCCTGACACGGCGCAGTTTGAGATCCAGCTCCGCGAGTACGCGACGATCGCGGCGGCGCAGCACGCGTACGCGTCTGGCCCCATGAGTCCCAGTGTGGCCGAGCACAAGCGCGCATGGGACGGCGAAGGGTGAGTCCGAGTCTCGGCGCGGGTGTAAACGAACAGATGTGGCATTTCGACCAACAGATGACCATCTGTCCTGGCGCATTGCCGTTTCCTGTCTTCCGCATAAGCATGCCTCTCTGACCAACCAACTTTCAGCGACGTGCCAACCGGTTCCAAGCGCCGCCAAGCCGCGTTCGACATGGACATGGACGACGACTAAGCGCTAGAACTCCGCCATTGTCCCGTCGTCTCTTCTCTCCCCGGCTCCCCCGTTTCACCCCTGTGCATAGACCAAGAACCGCCATTAGACCGCACGCACCCATCACGGCGCCCATTCCCATTCCGCCGCCACACCCCATCCCATGCCCACTGTTGTAACAGCTACACCGCCCCCCACCCCACGGCTCCGAGCCCTCGAGGGGCTTCTTTTCTGTCGCCTGTCGTCGCGTTCGTTATAGTTATGCATTTTTGACAATCCGATAAACACAGGGAAAAGCAGGCCCGCCGCTACAAGTCGTTTATATACAATAAAAAGGGGAGATACGGGGGGTGGGAGGGAGGTCCCTCGTGGCAGAGTAGCTAGCTGCCTGCTGGTGCGGAGGGATAGTGTCGCAAGGCAGGATACGGATCACGGATGGATGGCACGTCCGGCATCCAATCCATGCCTGCGCGCATGGTGGGTGGGTTGGGTGGGGGTGGGTGGGTTGGGTGTTGGCGCGGTCGGGATTTCCCGGTCTCGTGTCGTCTCGGGTTTCGCTGCTTGTGTCGGTCGTTATTAATGTCTTGAATCAATTCTCAACCTCCTTCTTTGGTCTTGTTGTTGTCGCTTGGGCACGTCGGTGGCCCCCCCTTTGCGTAGCGACTTGTGGTTTCCGTTTAAACCCCAGCCAGGTAGCCAGATATCTCGTCCGCGCGTCTCGAAACTCAAACTCTTCGTCCTTATTACGTCGTGTCGTCCACCTCCTCAGATCCACCCGCCCTGCGCGACGCTCTGCTGCACGCGAGGCGACTTTTGCATTTGCGGCACCTGCATGGGCACCTTACCCATGGGGACACCGGGAGCCATCTGCATGATGCCGCCGGGGACGCCGTGGGGGACGTGTGCCTGCTGGGTGTGGGCCTGGTAGCCGCCGTGCATGGGCTGGGGCTGGGCATGCTGCATCTGCATCTGGCGCGGCACGTGCTGCACATGCTGCATGTGCTGCATGTGCGCCATGTTGTGCTGGCCGTGGTGGCCGTGGGCGTGGTGCTGCTGGGGCTGGTAGTGGTGCTGCTGCTGGGGAAGGTGGTGCTGCTGCTGAACGGGCATGCCCATCTGCGGGAGACGCGTAGGCGGACGGAAGTCGTCCTCCTCGTCCTCATAGTCGTAGGCGGCCTCCCAGGCGTGTCCGTGCTGCGAGCCGTGGTGCGAGACGGGCGCGAACGGGTCGTGCTCGAGCTCCTCGGTCGGCCAGTCGCGCGGAATCTCCTTGCGAGGAGGCTCGTACCCGTGTCCGTGGCTGGATGCGTGGCCGAGGTTGGACCCACCGTGGCCGTGGTTGGAACCACCGCCGTGGCCGTGCGCCGAGCTGGTGTACATCGAGTGGCCGTGGTTGGACGTGACGTGGCCGTGGCCGGATGCGCTGTGGCCCGACTGCGAGCCCGAGGTGGACCGGCCAGAAGGGCGGCGCGAGTTGTTGCTGTTGTTGTTGTTGCTGCTCGGCGTCCTTGGGCGGGACCCAGGTCCAGGCATAAACTGCTCGGCGTTGCTTGGTGTCCGTGAGCGCGACGCACCGGGACCAGGCATGAATGGCTCCTCGTTGGCCTCGCGCTTGCTCCTCTGGCGCCAGGCAGTGACGGCGTCGGCGATGGCAGCGGGAGTGTGCGGGACGTGGCGGCCGTCTGCCGAGTGGCCCGTAGACGAGGCACCGCGCGACGGAGGGCGGTCGAGACGGTCCATAAACTGCTGGCGCGACGCAGGACGGGAAGCAGCAGAACGGTCGCCGTACGACGCCTGACGAGAAGGCGCGCGCTGCTCGGCAGCAGCCTGGCGCGAGGGAGGGCGGTCGACGGCCTGGCGAGAAGAAGGACGCTGCGAGCCGTTGGAAGTGTTACGCGAAGGTGGGCGGCTGCCACCGAGGTTTTGCTGGGACGGCAGGACCATTGCCGAAGGAGGAGGCGCCGGGAACTGGTGTGCGGCAGACTGCTGCTGCTGCGGGAGCGATGCCTGGCGGACTGGCTGAGGGATCCTGCTCACTGGCGCAGCATGGTGGTGGGCTCCGGCCACAGGAGGAGAGCGGGTAAAGTCAATCACCTCGGCCGCACGGTCGCGGCCAGCAACGTCGCCGGCACCACGGTCGGTCGGGAGACTGGCGCGGTGCTCCATGACGCGCTCGACGCGACCATGTCCGTCGTCGCTCTGGGTGTACGTAACAGGGGGCGCGCGGCGAGCGGGACGCGTTGGAGTGGGTCCGCCCACTCCGGCAGACACATACGAGTTGGCCGTTGCGACAGATCCAGTAGCGGATCCCGAGGTGGACGAGCTGTCCTGCGCGCTGCAAGGGTGACGCAGCACGAGGCTGGGCCTGCGCACCCCACATGTTGCGTGCATCGGCAAGAGTGGGAACGACAGCCGCGTTGGGGGTCATGAGCACATTCGGAGTGCCTGGAGACGCCACTGTCTCGGGAGGAGTGTGAGTGTTCGCATCTTCTTGGGTGCGGCGGGGGCGAGGAGTAATGGGGACGGCGGCGGTCGAGGAAGGTGCGAGCGAGATAAAGGAAGGTGGTGATCCGGATCCTGTAGAGCCAGTGGACGCCGAGTCTGATGCAGATGAAAGACCTAGACCGCCTGCTGTCCTTGGTGTGGTTGCTGCCTGCTCAAAGTCGAGGCGACGCGGGGTAATGTTGCTAACGGGGGGTTCCTGTTGCTGCGCTGCAAAGACGCGACGAGCCGAACGGGGCGATCCTGGTGTTCGGCGGGGCGAGTACGGGGCGTCCTTTTTGATATCACTGCGGAGTTCGGCGTCGGCCCGGCGCACCATCTCGGACTCGGTCATCATGCCCTCTGCACCAAAGAACCCACCGCCGCCGCGTCCACGCCAGCCTGGAGGCAGTTCCTCCTGAGCACATGGGAAAGTGAGTGCAGAAAGGATGCTGGGTGGCTCGGGCGGGGCGTGAAGTGCGAGCCACGCCTCACGACTCCTCCACGGCTGGGCAGCTCCGCTGGCAGTCGACCCGATGGAACCACGGCGGCTTATGGGAGTGACTGCGCGAGCGGCGTCACGGGCCTCGTCGCTGTTTGCCCACAGCGATTTTGACCTGCGGCGGTTGGCAGCAGGGATTTGTGCTTGTGCATTGGCGGCATTGCTTGCTGCCTTTGCTGCTTGTGCGCGACGGATGTGGTCTGGGAGCGGGGGGAGCTGGGGTGGAGGGGTGGGTGCGCGGTCTTCCTTTGCCTTGAGGTTGGCCTTTGATGTGCGTTTGCGCAAGATACCCATGGTGGGCGATGGTGGTTGTGGTGGTGGATGTGGATAGGAGGTGAGTGAGTGGGAGAGAGTGAGAGAAGAGTGAGAGAGGATGGACAACACAAGACAGAGGAACGACGGTCTCGAAGGGGACTCTGGGGGGGGAAGGGGAGGGGCAATCTGGTGTCTTTGCAGACATTTCCCTCACGCGCTCTGCCGGATGCGATGGACACACACAAACGCAGCGACCGACCACAACAACGGGCCCTGCGCTCCCTCCCTCCTCTCCCTCCCGCTGGAGACGCTGCGCGTGCACAACTGTCGTCCTCCTCCCCCCCTTGTGCCTCTTCGGTCCTCTGTCCAGACCGCGCCGCCCGCCGCCGCATGCATGCAACGCAAACAACGGCGCCACCCACACCCACACGGCCACACCGTTTGCCGTCGTGCGCCACTGCTCCGGATCGAACATTTCCCCCTGGCCACGGGCGGTCGCGGCAGGAAGCGCCAGGCCGCGCCACCCGACGAGCCCTCCCTCTCCTGGCTCTGTCCTGGCTGCTGGCCCAGGCCCCCCATCCACAATCCACACACACGCAGAAACAGAAACCCAAAACACACACCCCATATAAGCAGCACCAGTGTGTCCTGCATGCAGGATCAAAGGATACCGGTCGGTTACAGCTGCTTAGACTGCTGGCTGCTGGCATGCAATGCCCCATAAAAATGCTGCGACCCTTTTGCAGTGGCCCGTCCCATGGATACCACCCATGTGCCGGATCTGTGGGCGCCTTTGCTGGCCGCTGGGCCTGGACACTGGTGGACAGTTGGACGGCCTCGAGAAACATTATTCCTGTTCCCAGCTCACCCACATATCCCATTTAAAAAACCTGGGCCATGGGCTTAGCGGCAAACTCTGAAGTGCGACGGTCAAAACGGTCAAAGCACAGCCTTCATTACCTGTCACTCTTCTGGTGGGTGATCTGGTGACTTGTGGTAGCCGCACAACAAGCTTCTGGATGCGGTAGTTGTAGAGCCCATGCAGAAATCCAGTGGCCAAATGCCAAGGCGATAAACCCGCGCGCCCGTCATCGCGCGCTCGCAATGTGTCGCCACGCTGCAGTTCAGGTGCAGCATGCAGCATACGCACCTTGTTTGTCCCGTGCCTGCGCGCATGTTTTTGTTGTTGCTGACACGAGGCTTTGTTTTCTGCGAGCTGGGACTGGGACACAGCGAGCTGTCGAGCTGTGAGGAGGAAGGAGTCTTGCGGCAGCGTCGCGGGTCATGCGAGACCCAGGTCCTGCAAAGCATACATACGACGATCGTTACATGTCCTCCCCCTCACCACCTCCCGGCGACGAGACGGGCAACAGAGTTTGTGACGCTGACGAAAAGAGAGTAAACAGCGACACCCGACTCCTTGCGTCCTCCTCCCTCACTTGGCGCCTCGTGGTGGAATTAAAAGAGTCGTCATTTTAAGCGTACGCAAGTTTCGTCGAGGTCGCCGCCGAAACGTGAAACGGCCACCGACGACCGGGATGCCTCTGAACCGCGGCGGGGAGAGCGGGACACAATGCCCAGTGCAAGCTGGAACGTGTTTGCCATCCGTCGTCCGGTCGTCCATGACCCAAACCCGTTCAACGCTTCGATGCAGAACAAACCACGCGCGCCCAAAGAACACACGCAGCAGCGCGCAGTTGTTTGTGGTGGTGGTGGTGGGTACTCACCCTGACCCGTGCCAGAGATCCAGAGACATAAACCCCACTGCGTGTGCCGCCGACGACCACACAATGTCCGTCCGATGGACCATGGACCGGGGACACAGGACCGCTTGCTGGGTCCTGTCGCGCGGTTGTGCCAAACATGAGGCAACAGGATACTCTGCCCGCATGCGAACACGTATGTATGACCAGGAATACATCAATGCATGGCAGAGGAACAACAAGGCAGCGCCATGCATGCAATGAGAACTGCAGAAAGAGGCCTTTGAGGGCACTGGGTACTGCACTGTGCGTGCTGGACAGCGGCACGGGTACGCGGGAAGCCAGCAAGCCATATACCCACACCATCCACTCACTCGGTCCCAGCATTTATTTAGCCCTGTAGGCAGCTCTGGCCTCTGGAAGCAAGAAAGAAACAACGGTGCTCCGCTCCCTACTGGATCTTTGCATGGCGCGCGGCCTGCCCCGCCTGCGGCCTGGCGGCTCCCGCGTCCCGTCCATCGCGGTCCGACGGGGCCGTTGTGTGTCCACCCACACACACCACACCCTGCATGCCTTGCACCTGTTCTTTCATGCTTGATGCATCTTTGAGGAGTGTGGGGGGGGGGGGGGGAAGGTGAACGTCAGGAAAGCACGTCGGCAAAGGCCCCGACGCCGGCCAGACGCGCGCGTGTGTACGTCAGTACGGTCGTGGACCATTTCGGAAGCGAACCTGAACCTGCAGCGACAGGAGGGCCAGGACGGCAAGGAGGGCAAGGACACCGGTGTGAACCGAAGCTAGAGAGCCAGACTTTTTCTCGCTCGGGGGTCCTGATGGCCTGATTTCCTGATATGCCGCAAACGACAGTAAATGTGCAGACATGCAAGTGGCAGGGGCGCCGGAAACAGCCACTTGGCCACTGGACGCGTGGAGAACTACGTGCATGTCGGAATACGCCGTTTGAATTTACTGGTAAACGCAATGTCCCCACGTTGTCCCGTTTGTTGTTTGTTGTTGTTGTTTGTTATTGCTGTTGTTCATCTCGTTCTTCGCTGTTGTTGTTGTCTCGGAGCTATTCAGGGTCTGATGTTTTGGATAAGGCGTGGCTCTCGCAAGGTGGCGTTTCGGGAGGCGCGCCGGGCTGGCGCAAGAAAACCTGATACGCAGTGGCGCCATGTGTGAGAGTTTGGGGTGGTTGCACATTGGGGGTCGTGGCAGACCGTTTCGGCAGGCGGGCGACGTTGACCAGTTCCAGCTGGGCCACAGCTGGGTGCGAGGCGTGTAGGGAACGGACGGTGGAGGCAGAGTCAGTACATAAGCAGTGGAGGCAGGCGATGGAAGGGGTGTGCGTGCACTGGCGAGTTCTGGTCGGGGGTCCAGCGGACAACAGCCCTTCGCGCACGTACCGCCGGGTTCTGCTCGGCGCAGTCGACGCCTGTAGGGTGTGGGTCAACCGCGACATGGGTGGAACATTACACCAAGCGAGCAGGGAGCCAAGGGTGGACGCATGTACAGTAGAGTACAGTAGTACCGGCACTGCAAACCCGGCGCAGTGGGGCCCTCCCTGTTCGGTTGTGCCCGTGACAAACGACATTGTCGCAGCTATAAGAGGTTTCGCGGCCAGGCCCTTCGCGTATAAATGAAACGGGGGTTTTGCGAATAGCCCGGTAGCGAAAAAAGTGTACATCAGAAGCGTTTTGTCGGTGGTGTAGGTTGAGACTGAGACTGAGACTCCTACAGAGCCCCTCCTCGGGTGCGCGCAGTGCAAAGTGCAAAGTTGCGTGTGGCGCATGTAACTTTGAACTATGCGAGCGCCTCGTCGTGTCGGAAATGCACTAGGCGGATGGGTCCGTGTCGCGTCGCGTCGTGGTCTGGCGTCGCTGCGTCTCGGCATGAGGTGCGCAGGTGACAGGCAGCCGCCAGAGCCCACTGGCCATGTCATGCTGTTTGCGCGTCTTGTCTTGGGCCACAACTCCATACCCCTATCATCCACCAGCTATGCCTCCAGATATCCCACAGGGCGGCGGCGTCGCGCGCTGGAGTCGGTATTGGCCTCGTCGCGGCCCCCGTCCGATCACATGACGCCGAGCTAGACGCACGCGCGGACATGCTCTGTCCCTGCCGATGGACAGTGTAGCGAGTGGCGAGTGGCGACCGCCCACCGCCGGACGCGCCGCCAGACGCCATGGTACATACTGTATGTACCCGCGACCCTTTTCGGAACGTACCCCAAAGGCACCCTACCGTGGCCGTGCAGACATTCACACGTCGTGCGTGATCCTGGACTGTGGTTTGCGCTGTACCCCGTAGTAGTGGCTGTCGGAGCCGCCGCGCACAGGCTCGCTACCCCTGGGCGTACACGCCGACGAGGACGAGGCCGGGGACGAGGTTGGGCGGCGTCTTTGCGGCGACCGCCGACAATAAAGGCCATAACGAGGTCCAACGGCACCTTACAGAATAGTCTGGGTGTGGTGGATGTGTGTGCTGTTCCTGTACATCCCTTGGTCCGGTTCTGGGCCGTTGCCAGGCCAGGATTGCCAGATACGAGGTGGGAGAATGAAAGCGGAAGTTGGGATCGACGCCAACGTGTGGCGCCTGGTCAGCGACATATCCCCGGCTCGTCATTGGCACGCATCCATCGACATTAACGGCACTCTCCACGGCCGCCTGGTGCCGCACATGGGTCAAATAGGGTCGGCTGCGGGGGGGCAACGAGGAACTTCCTCATGTGAGTGAGGAGATTCGATGTCCGGAACCAGTCCTAGGAAAGGAGTTTTTCACGTTGACGCTGCCCACCATTAGTCGGGCTTCTGCTGCACTGGTGTTGGGATTAATGGCACATATTGAACGTGTTATGAGGGGTTTCTCGGTACTTGGCACGTTTATTGGTGACGGCGAAAGAAAGAGGCTGGACAATTGACCCTCGACCTTCTCTCACGTCATTCCTGCAGGCAGGGCATACATGCGGTGGCCCAATGTGCTGTTGTGAGTGTCTGTTACGGACTGCTGAGTGTTGTTTGGGTAGTGCTGGGCTTGGGTGGTGCTTGCTATTTCTGTCGGGTGTGGGAGTAGGGTGTTCGGTTGGCACAGCAAATGTGGCACACTTGCACTTTTGTGTCATGACCACTCTAAATGTCTCTTTGACGAGAAAGCAAGTCGACGCAGGCTCGCAAAGATACAACTCTTTGCAGTGTCTATCTTTGACCGAGTGTGATCGTGGATCAGCCCTGCGCTCCGTTATCTCCTCGAAGACGACACTGTAGGGGTCAACGTCTATCGCCGGCCCAGCAGACTGTTCAATGTCCGCCGGCCATCTGTTTCCAGGCCAGCACATCCAGACAACAGTGCTACGTCCCAATGGAGTCGAGGCTATGGTTACTGTTCGTTTTCCCTGGGACAGCTTCCGCCGCCTGTGAGTAGGTCCAACGCCACGTACACAATAGCAAAGACGAGGTTTGTATGTAAGTGGATATGCATCCCTTCAGTTTCCCGACGCATGGCAAGTCCCCTCCCGAGGGCCCACGCAATGTAGCGCACATTCTAGCCCTCGTATAACTGCATACATGGTTGCTGGCAAGGCGGTTGAATGCGTGTTCCGCATACCGGACGAAAACGACAAGCAACGATAAAATACAATAAACAAACAATAAATAAATAAGTAAATTTAGAACAAGCACACGGCCGCTTCTGGTACCTACTGTAAGCAGCTGCGACGTCCAGAATACCCAAGTACTTGGAAACGGCCCGTATATCAGCACCCTTTCCGGTCGGTGAACCGAGTTCGGGCAATCCCAGTGCTACATGCAGCAGGAGTGTAGCGGTGTTATGTAGCAAAGCGTGGAAATGTATTTCATTCCTGGAATGTACCTACTGCCCAACAATTTGGAACAGGCGACGGGTTAACAATCACATGTAGAGGTTCAAATTTACCAGCAGCTCAACGGTGTAGGATGGGAGAGGAATGCGGCCGAGCGGCTGACGACCGATAGTCGCACAAGGCGGCAAAATCATGGCTCCCTTGTCAGTCTCGTCATTTCAGATCATTCAACACCAGTCCCTCGGCCGTGCGTTGCATTCTGGAGACCGCTATCGAAATGTTGTGCCATATATCCCGTTATATCACCATGAACACGGTACATCCGCCACCCACTGACCAACCGACGTGGGTCGATATGTGAACGTGTGCATCAAGGCGAAAACACCCAGAAATCAGCTCTTCCACCGACGCCGCTCGCCATGTGACTCGTCGTTCCCCAGCCAAAGCCAGCAGTCTGGCACATAGCAGTAATAGAGGTTGGCAATTGTATACGTTCTCGGACCCGTTTATGCGAGCCGCACAACCTGGCACCTCGCGGCAAGGAAGGCGAACTGAACGGTGGGGTGCCACTTTCGCGATAGTTATCCTCTCCCATCGCCTCTTTTATTGTCAACGTGACAGATAAGCCTCTGACAGACGTATAATGACAACAGTAAGCCTACCGTACCCTGCACACCCAAGCACTGGGCCGTTTACAGACGAGAAACCCAAGCCGATGCACAGATCCATTCGCCACACCGCCACCACCTCCATCCAGAGCCATCTGCCACCGACAACCATCAGTCCGCATGCCCTCACATGTCCCCCCCCCCCAACGCCAGCCGACGCCTCACACCTTGGGCCCATACCCAGATACACCCCGCAAGCAAAAACAAGCCTTGCCAAAGGCGTACAACCGTTGCAGGCTGCTCCATCTTCTCCGCCAGGGAGTTGAACCCTGCTCTACCGCGATGTTTCCTGATGAGGGGAAGCTGCTCCCTATTGAGAGGCGGTTATACTAACCGATATACTAGCAAAGAGGCGATGGAGAGGTGGTTTGTGGTGGCGACCAGAGGGGTAGAGGTGGGGAGAGGGAAGGAGTTGGGTTGGGAACGTCAGGCGTTGATGCTGGGGAATTGGATTGGGACGGGTGCGGGGTATTTTCCAGGGAGGGTTTACTCACTCTGGATTCGGCGGTGTCAACTGCCAGTGCCAAATAGACATGGTAAAGATGCACTGGAGTGTCTGGAGTTGTGCGATGCCTTGATCCAAAGGTCGGCTAGGCCTCCGGAGTCTTTATGGCCGCAAAGCTTGACCGCGACGCATTCCTTCGAGCGGTGATCCAAACGATCCAAACGACGGCGGGCAGCCTCGCGCTTGCCTGCCGTGCCCGTGTCACAGTACAGTGCAGCCAAGATAGTAGCTAAACAGCGAAACAGCCATCTGGGAGACGACGAGGGACATTGAGGGTGTTCACGAGGTCGGTGATGTGTTCGGCCACCCCATGCATGTTACACATCTCTATACTTTATCCCCACGAGCCTTGACCATGATCGCGGCGGACACGGTCGACAGTATCAGGAGACGGTTTATGGCGGCGATGGAGGAGGAGGAGGCGGTGGTGGTGGTACACACCAGCTGGACCTTTCATACACCGATGAATGCAGTCCAAGCAGAGAATCCCGCATCAGAAACGGTCAAGAATGCGATTCAGAAACAGCTGCTGTTTATTGACCCGCGGCCCTTTCTTCAGACCTGGCAAATGTTGCTGGTCAACGCAAGCAGCATCACATCAGTCCTGTAACTTGCTTTGGCAGCGGACCAGCCTATGTCACCTATGCCACTTCACCCACAGAGCTGCCACCTGCGCAAAAAGGGAGTGTAGTGCCACCGGCTGTTGCCACAGATGACAACGCACCGCTATCCCATCTCGTCGTGCGTCAGCCACGAACAGGCTGGGGATCGAGCAAGCGCCCCACCGCCAACGCATCAGTTGCGTTGCCACATCTCCACAGGCCTTATAGGGATCATGCCCAGGTTTGGCGGTGAAGAAAGGACACAGAGGGGCCGTGCCAGCAACATCTGCGCGGCCACTTGCGCGCCCACGTAGTCCCTCCACTCCCCTCACTCACCCCCAGCCCCGCCCGCACCCCCACTCCGCAACGCCGCAATGTAGCATTGACGAACAGACCGGGGCTGCGGCTGCGTATGCAGATCACTCAAGCGCAGCGTCCATGGGACCCACGGGCATCTGCGCAGCATGGGGGAGGCTGTTCGCAAAGGTACTCTAAGGTGGTGGCATTTTTGAAAAATCCCGAAATAAGCGTAACGTGGGTAGAGATCGACGCGCCGACGCCACCCCCCCCGAGGAGCATGCGCGATACGCAGTCGTGGACACAATGTGAGCTGTGCAAAGGCGTGGGTCCATATCTTCATGAGCTGTGGGGGGGCTGCGGGGGGCGATATTCATATCGATAATGCGCAATCTACAGTGCATCCGCGGTTGGGGCGGTCTGATAACGCGTTCCCGACCAAGTGGGCGAAGGTCTGGGCGGCGGTTGGTGGTGGTCGTGTGCCACAGCCATTCCCATGCCCATCCCGCCGGAAGACTGGGGACCGACCATTATTCAGCGCGGCGCCCAGGCCCACAGCTGTGGTTAGCATGCACCGCCCAGCCCCAGATCAGATCAGATCAGATCGCATGTCTGCGTACAGCCTTTACGGTGTTCGACGAGGCACACATGTTCGTGTACCGGAACAACGAAGCGCGTTCGAGAACACTGCCGCAGAAGTGTGCTCTCTCACGAGCCCACGATACACACCGGACATTACTGCACTGCACTGTACTGTACACAAACCCGAGTGCAAGCTGTTGTACACCTGTACACATGTACACCTGGCCCGTCGCTCCCATGTCCATCCTTTATATCCTGCCATACCTGCCATACCCTACTCCCGTACGCTGATGCCTGCTTTGGGACGTCACGTCGCCTCGTCCGACGTCTGGGTGATGTCTGGGAGTGCGGCCCGTCATCCAGGTTTTCTGCCCTGGTGCACAGACAGGAAAGCGGTCAACCGGCGCTGGCCGCTGCTGCGCACTGATCCTCTGCGGCGTGTGGGCTTTGTTTTTGTCCCTTTTTGTGCAGTGGGTTGTGTCCCTGGCTACTGCAGTCTACTGCACACCATCGCACGCAACGAGCAACTCGGTAAAGTACAGGTATGCCGAGAGCTATACCTGTACAAGAGTGTAGAGTACAGCTTGGCTCATGGCAGGTCAACACCAGGCAGGGCACAGCGCACAGCGCATTCCACCGCGGCCACCGCCACGGGCCACGGCGGTTCAATACAAAGCACACACGAGACACGGCGGCGTAAGGTTACCACGGCACGACCGTTTTTCGTGTGTTGAATTGTGTGGAAATAAAACTCTGTCACGAGCCTGCGTGGTTTGTGTTGTTACCCAACGCGGGGACCGGTCGAGTGGTTGTAGCTCTGACACCTCGTCTCCTTGGGTTATATGTAGGGACACACCCACCGAGGAACGGGGCAGCGTGGAGAGGAACGAAATAGAGTGTAACGCGCGACCCACCCACCCATGCCACCCACTTTCGCGCAATTGACACAGGAGAGAGTGAAAAGGGTGTTGCGCTCCGATTACGCGCCGAAAAAAACCCAACGCGTCCCGCGTCTGACGCGCGCGCGCGAGCGGGGCGTGTGGGCGTGGGCGGACGCGTCGTTTCCGCCGCCTCGCGCGTGCGCGCAAGATCCAAAGAAAGGGGCTCACCGGCGCGCCCGCCGAGCACACGTGTGCGCGTGTGTGCCCAGTTCTCTAGCTTTGCAAGCTCCAAAGCTTCAAGGCCCGCCGGCGCGTCCGAAAAATGCGATGCGCTATGCACACACTAGCGTTTTGGGTGTGCTCCATTTCGGGACACTGGCGAGTCTTGGCCGCGTGTGGATATGGATACTGGAGGACGATGTGAGCCATCGCTATCTGCACTGCCTGCTGTCCATGTCCTCTGCAGTGCCCGCTTTCCACGGCGGTACGCACGCTGGCTAGTTACCGTGCCAGACAGAGAGATGCATCTTGAGATCGATCCAGCAAGACGTGTGACGGGAGAGACGATGGGCTTGCGCGTCCCCCGGACCCACCCCTTCTCTCCTCCTTCTTGTCCCTCCCCGCCCGTTTCATGCAGTCAATTTCGGGCAGACACCACACACCCGTCCGTCTGCACGCAGCAGTACTTCTCGCCGGTCGCACTCGCCAAGCCCTTGCACATGTGCACATGTCTGAACTGACCGGCCTGCCAAGGTGCTCTGCGGATGGAAAAGTGTGCAGGGGCCCTCTGCGGATCGCGCAGCGTTGCTGCGCGTCTCGGCCTTGGCTTTCTTTCCCTTTCCACGCCCCACCCAAATATGCGTGTATGTGTGTGTGTGTAATCGTGCTGCGCGCTGTTCGCGCGCCCATCAGTGAAACAATGATACCAGGGGAGAGAGGCAAGGGAGCACTCCCACTCGCGGCAACGGTCGTATAGAGGAACATGCAAACGTAGGGGTTGTGCGGCGTAGGCGCGTTGGCACGGGCCAGTGTATGAATTTACGGGGACGTTAAACGTGTCTAAGCTATGTGGGTGCGGAAAAAGAAGAGGGGGAGGGGTTAAAGGGAGGAGAGAGAGGGGGGCTCTAGAAGTTTAGAAGAGAGCAAAGGTGAGGGCACCGACGAGGGCGACAACGCCGGTCGAAGCGACGAAGCGGGTAGCCGACGAGGCGGTGGTGGTGGCCGAAGCGGCAGCCGAGCCCGAAGCCGACGCGACCTTGGAGGCGGAGCCCGAAGCCGAAGCAGAGCCCGAAGCAGAAGCCTTGGTCGACGAGACAGAGGCGACGGCGGTACCGGAGGTGGTGCCGGCGGGGGCAACCGAGGTAGTGGCAGCGGCGTCAGTGCCAGCAGCGGTGGCAGCGGCGTCAGTGCCGGCAACCTGGAGAATACAGTCAGCACGTGCCGAGGAGAAGGATGCGTGGGGAGGAGCAAGTCGAGAGCGACACGCAACGTGCCACTCCAGAGTCACTCCAACGCCACTCGAGGTCAACTCACGGAAGCCGAGTCGGTCGAGTCAGCGGCGGCGGCGGCGGTCTCCGAGCCCGAAGCCGAAGCCGAGGCGTTGAGGCACTCGGTCGACGAGCCGGCCTGGATGGTCTGCTGCGAGTCGTAGTTGATGGCACCGGTCGAGTCGACGACCTTGACGGTCACCGAGGTGCCCGAGGCAATGTCGACGGTCCAGGTGAGCTGGGTGGCGCTCTGCTGTCCAAAGTCCTTGCTGGAAGCGCAAGTCAGCAAAATGGTCGACGTGGACGGTCCCCGCGTGTGGCTGTGGCCAGAGGGGAGATCCAGTACTTACAGAGCGGCACCAGCGGCGTCACCACCGGGGATGACGGAGATGTAGTAGGGGGCGACACCACCGGTCCACGAGAGGAGGACGGGCTGGCACTGGAGAGAGTGTGAGTAAAAACGGCGAGAGAGAGAAGGACCGTGACTGTGTTCTACGCACCTGGACGAGCGAGCCGGGGGTGTTGACGGTGAGGTCGGCGGCCATGGCGCCAACGGCGAGGGTAGCGGCAACGAGGGCGGTGCGGAACATTGTAGTAATGAGTGTGGGGGTTTGGGGGGTGTTGTGTAGCTTCAAAGTAGCTGTTTAAAGGAAAGGTGAGAGAATGAGAGATGGAGAGAATGTCAGAGGGGGAAAAGAGGTTGACCTAAGTACTCTTGGGCGGGAGAGAAGCGGGCGGGGGGGGGGAGAGAGCTTGGGGGGGGGGGCGGTGAAAGAGACGAGACGACGGGCGGGCACAGAGTGTTCCCCTCGATCTCTCTGGCCCAACGCGCGTGAGCGCGTGCGCCCGCGCCCACAAAGGCAGCGACGCGCGCCCCCCGGTTGTGTGTGCGCGCGCGGTGCGCGCGACGTGCCGTGTGTGCAAGCGACGTACCGCGGAGAGAGAGAGCGCGCAGGAGGCAGCGAGACGTGTGTGTGAGAGCGACAAGAGAGCCACAGAAAGGGCCCTTTGTCCCACCCCCCACCATAGAAAAAAAACCCTGGGCGCCTCGAAAAGTGTCGATAAAAAAAAGGAGTCTTCCCCCGCGCCCCGCCCCCAGGCCACGGGCCACAGGCCGGACAGGCCACACCCAGGCCACCCCCCTGAAATCTCCCTCGCGGGTCCTGTTTTGCTGCAAACTGTGACGGTCTCTCTCTCTCGTTTGCCCTTTCCTCTTGCACCTCTTTGGCCTCTGGGCCCCCCTCTTGCTCCTTGCTAACGCTTTTACGTGCGGCACCCTGCACCCTGTATGCTTCAATGCATGTGTTCAGCAGCGAGCGGTAAGCTGTGGGTAAGGCTCTGACATCCTCCCCAGCCTCCATCCCTCTCTCCCCCCCCTTTCACGCCCAGGCGGCTCTAAACCCAAGCTGAAACCGATGGTGTGCCCACCCCAGCCAAACCCACCCACCACACCTGAACCGTATTCAACGCTCAGGGCTCACGGGTGATCGACACACCGTCTGGGCCACCCACCCACCGTACAACCGTGGACCCATCATACATTTCGTCATCATCGTGTGCTAAACGAGCAACCCACCCTCATGCTGATTGCAATACAGACGCGTCTAGCCTGCGACTACAAGCAATCGCGTTAACCGTGTATCCTGTAACCAGTGTTAGTAGTCGTATCTCCTCGCATCTCGGGTCAAAGATCAGAGACCTTGCACTACGTGCCACATTCCAGCGCGCACAGTACCCGCGCAAAACGGCCAGCCAAACGGTACATGCTGCCATACGCGGGTGCCTCCCCACCTCGCACGCGTTTGCGTTGGGTATACCTGACGCCACCACCCAATTCCCCCGCGCGCGTCACACTTCTACAGCCAGCCAGGCCAGCCATGAGCCCGCCAGCAGAGCGACAAGCCAGCCATATGCAAGCCAGCGTCCAGGAAAATGCAAAGGAAAAGGATAAGGAAAAGGAAAAAGTGTCGCTGAATCCACCGACTATATACCTCTGTCCCTGCTGGCCCTCCCGCGTCCGACCGCCCGACCGGCCCACATCCCATCGCCAGACACCGTCTGGCCAACGCCGCCAGAATGAACGCGCCTGCAGGTTGGTTCATTCCGACCAGGTGGTGTCCGTGTCCTGGTCACAGCCAGTTGCCGCCGCGGCGCGGACCGGCTGGCGCCGCCACAAACTGGCCATGGCCATACAGCCAGCCAGCCAGCTGGCATGCAACGAGCATGCATCGAGAAAACTCTGCCACTGGGCGTCACCGTGCTGGCATGCTGGCAGTGGTAACCGAGTTGGCAGAGTTCAAAGGCCCCTTGCTTGCTGGACCTTTACAGAGGCATGTCATGCACCCAAATGGGCAGTGGTCGAGCAGGAATGGGTATACCATCCAGGCCAGCAGCAAGCAGTCCCACCGTCGCGTAGCGCGTTTCTGGGTCCCACAGTCTGAATGTGAGCGGGCAGAGCCGCAGCTGTCATCCCCAGAGCCCCGCCCGCCATGGGGCTCGTCCGAGGGTATTGACAGAGGGCCCCGGCCACAAGACAAGAAAACTGTAATGGAAGGAAATCGCTGGGTGGGTGGGTGGGGGGGACGAATATCGAGGATAACAATAAAGGGTCTCATTATTTTTCCGCCCCTGCCCCCGACTCTAACGAGGTTGTGCGAACAGGGAGAGGAGACAACTGCGGTGCACAGGATACAGGATCAGGATTCACTGTTTGATGCGTGAATGCGTTACCCCACGCCGCGTTCTCACCTCTGCGACCTCACCATTTCACGTCTCACGGATCTCTCGCCAAGCAATGACGCCATGGGCAATGTTATAAAAGGTCCAACATGAGCCATGTCCTTTTCATGAACGTACGACGTGCGAGGGCGCGCGCGCGCGCGCGCGCGCCCCGTTCTTCCCAGTGGCCAGTCCAGCATTCAAGACTGTGTAGTGTGTCTCTGGCCTCTGGTCTCTGGAACATGGCCTGTTTCTGTCTGTTTCGTAACCCACGCCATTGTCTGTGTCGGGCCATGTACTGGACAGCAATGGCCTGCATGGCTTTGCTGTGCTGGCCGCTAGCTCTCACGGCCCATTCTGTTCGGCAGTAGATCGTGCGAAACCACGTCCCAATCAAATGCGCTGACTCCTTTTCCACGTCAATTTGAACCACTCGTACCAAAAAAGTCTATTCAGTCCTCTGCACCTCAAGGAGATCCCGCTTCCGACGCCGACGGCGATACACACACTCTCTCCACACCGAGGCCGGGCCTGCGCATCCCCGGATCCACAAGTGCGGTACCATAAGCAAGTACCTCGACCCTCGGGCCTTGGGACCGTCCTCGGAGCCTGATTCCACGCTCTCCCGTCGGAATATGCTGCCGAGTGGACCATATCAAGCAGTAATCATCTTTGCCAAGGCCACGCTACTGGCACTGGAAAAGCATTAGCCTCCACGTGTGGTCGTTGCACCACTGTTGACCTACTGCCAAGGTGTGGTGGTCGTGGTGGGGGTCACGTCAGTGGCGGCCCATGCGGCGCCACGGTGGCGGGGGAGGTTGTGCTCAATGTGCGCGCACCGCCCAACGTTTGTGTGCAAAGACACCGAGAGCCACGGCCCTGGCTGCGCCGTGCTATGGGGAACGGTGGGGACACTAACTGTGTGCGCCGCTGTGGGTATTTTGGGCGGGGGACTGTTTGGTTACTGGAACGAGAGAAGCAGCCACTGTTGAAGCCACCAGCGAGACATCGGTGGGACGATTGGTGACAGTAGTTTGGGGATGGAAGGTGTGGTCATTTTCGTGTTTTGGCTTTTTGTTGTGTCTTGCCCGAAGCAAGTTGCAACAAAAAGGAAGGATCGTAGCTTGTTTGGCCTTGTCTTCGACAGACCTAAGCAGCACATCTCGTGACTCTTGCGCACACACTCCACAGACACCCTACGCTACACTGCACGCCGTTTCACAGCCCCGGCCACACGACCTCGGCACAAGCGACTGTGGGGACGAGAACCATCCGTCAGCAAAAAAAAACCATCACCGGACTGCGTCACTCGGCCCACACTGCGCACTGCGCCGCGCCCGACCGACCTTACAAATGCCAGTACCCCTACGTCCACTCCCATCACCGCCCATAACTACGACGTGCACTCGACGACAGGACAGCACTCTCCACTAGCTATAACACAACACACTGCATCCTACATTTTTGATCGACACCGCAAACTGAATATCGATCTGGACCCCCGCCTCCACCACTGCAACCCCTCGGTCGTTTACCCTTAATCACCACCAACGACCACCCACAACAACAACATACAGATCACAATGACCTGGGAGGACGCTGTTCGTCACGCCCGCGTGCCCCGCTGCGGAGGTACATTCTACGGCGACAACAAGAAGTGTGAGTGCACAGGCAAGCACACCGCACCCGCTGCCGCACCGAACCCCGAGCTGACGCACTTTCACAGCACCATGCAAGCCCATTGCGCGCAACGACGGCGTCGTCGTGTGCTGGTGGTGTAACCGCTGGCTGGGGACGTTTGAGCTGCGCACCCGCTCGGCATCCACGTCGTCGACGTCGAGCGCGAGCGCACAATACGTCTCGGGCTCGGAGCTGTCTGTCGGCTCGAGCGCGAGCCCCGTGTCCAGTCCCCGGCCAGACCACCACCACCGCAAGAGCGTGACCGTCAGCCTCGCGGGCTTGCTCGATGCGGCCGCGCCACCGTCCCCACCGCGGTGAACGCAGCCCAACCCAACGCAGCCCAACCCTCAACCCCATCCGACAGCGCCAAGGCGGGCGCTGGCTGTACAGTCCCACCCACGCGCGAGGTGGCGACACGACGTACGACACGAAACGAGACGTGTAGCATATCCGACATCCAGCATCCCAACAAGTGTGGCAGTGGCACACGCGCCCAGGCTCCCACGCCCCCCACACACATACACCATATAATCCCATTATTCATCGTCCAGCACAGTTGTAGATATGTAGACCCACAGAGCCATGTACACTATCACCATCGCCACCCGAGGCCACGCAGTGGTCGTGTGCACCCAGCAGCAAGAGCAGCGTGTGGGGGATCAGCCCGCAGTTGGAGCGTGGAGTGGAGTGCACTGTGGTGTGTGTGTACCTTTCGGGCGTCACTCTTTCCCCACAACTTTGGGACGAGCGTCTGTGCGCCACGGCATATGGGTCGGTCGGTCGGTTTCAGTCGATCACATCAGAAGCTTCGTGTGGCGTGGCGGTGGTGCCACACAATTCCCCAACGGTGCCGTGCTGGATGCTGCGTGGCGAGAAGCGACAGTTTCGGTGATGGGAGGTTCGAGCCAGGCTCCATAGGCTATAGGATGGGGGACGCTCGGCGCGCGCGGTTGTCTGCATGTCGCGGGACGTAAAAACAAATACAAACAAATACGCTATAACGACCCCCCCGACGTGTATCCGCAACAACATGCCCAGACCCCGCTTCGACCCAGCTCCAGGACTCCCGTTGACATTGTGCGTGATGGCAGGGTGGATGGTGTATGTATGCGCTAGCGGCGACGGTTCAGTCGCGAGACATGTACAGAGCCTTTACACGCATAACGGGGTCGAGAGAGGAATGTTTGCCACACAGGACACCATTTCCGAGGATGGCAGGGGGGGTTTGGCCAGGTGATGTGCTGCGTGTGCAAGAGCAGCGGGCTGTCGGGGTGTCTGGACGAGCACGCGTCCGAGACGGTGACGCAGCTGGCACTCGCAGACAGACGAGTACTCGGCGCCGGCAACAAGGTGCATCGACTTGGAACCGTTGCGGACCAGGTGGCGGTCCAGTGGCTGGGCCCGCGTTGTCGCCCTCCAGCTCGAGCTGGGGCCCGCCGGCGGAGGCGTTGGTGGGGCTGCCGCGGTACCACCCTTCCTGCACTCACGCTCGCCCACAATGTAATCGCGAGGGCGCGGTAGGTGGCGGTGGCCGCGATACCTGTCCTGCCGGGCCGGACGAACGTCGACCTGATCCATCGCCGAGGTGAGGACCTGCCGGAGGGTGATTTGGCGGCAAGGGGTTGCCGTCAACTCGGAGACTGTCGGCGGTGGTCGCCTGCCACTGCGGGTCGGTGCCAGTGCGACGGAGCTTTGAGCCCACCACCTGGCTGGCGCAATACCACTTGGGGCGGCGGTCGTGCTCCTCCGTCACGAGCTCGATGCCAAGGCCGCAGACGAGGTCCATCTTTTCTGCGTGATGCCGCCCTCCATCGCGCTGTCCGTGACGAGGCTCGTGGGGTGGGCAATGAAGGTAATGAGAAGCGTTCCCTCCTGGTCCGTTCGGTAAACCAGGTGGAAGCGGATCTTGACGAGCTGCGGCTGGCAGTTGAGGCCCTGTTGTGGGGGGGGGGGGCGGCGGCGTGTTGCCGAGCGACTTGTCGGTAAGGAAGGCCTCGACAAGGCGCTTGCACAATTCCGACAGCTCTTGCAAGAGGTGCCCCACCTTTGTTGTGTCGAAAGTGCCACGGCCACCCACCCTGCTCCACGCTGGAGAACCGGTCCTGGCACGCTCGGCTTCGCCCGCCGGACGACCGTTAGTGTTGCAGCGCCATGCCCATGTCGGTCGCCACACCCGTCTCGAGGTCGTGGAGTTCTCGCACGCCAATGTCAAAGGCCTCGATGTTGACGTTACCGGGTTTGGCGGCCTCGCCGACAAGGCTGTCCAACATATCACGCACTGTGACTTCGTGGCCGATAACTAACTGGTGGTTTCCGGGATCGTCGAGGCGGTTGAACAGGAGCGAGTGGTGGAAGCGGTTGAAGTCACGCACTCACAACAACTCCCCGCCACATCTCCCCGCCACACCACCGAGCCACACCAACAATGTCCCTCAGCGACCCCATCGGCATTGACGAGCCTATCCGCAACAATGTTGTGCGTACACGCACGTAGAGTGGGCCCCTAACATCTTAGGACCTGCTCGGTGTCAACGGCTGCCCTTGGCAGACGGCGGCGGTCTCGAGATCCCACCCAAGATGGACTGGGAGGTCGAGGCCATTGACGACGACAAAGCGGACCGTATCAGTGGAATTGAGGAGCATGTGGTAAGTCGACCAACGCACGACATCTCACTGTCATTAGGTTTGGCCCGGCTACGACTGGAAGATGGCTGCGCTGTGCCGTCGCCGTCGCCGTCGCCGTTGCAAGTAGCACGAAGGGCGCCGTCGCCAGTGGTTCGACCCTCCCGACACGGACGGCATGAAGCGCACGTCCAGCAACTATGCCCACCGCTACCTCTTGGAGCTCCATGGAGCGCCCAGGGACGACCTGGTCTGCGGTCCAAACGGCGACCTGGTCACTCTCAGGCCTTCCGCCATGATCAACGAGGACTAGCACTACGAGCGGGACTTCGAGTGGGCATTCCGCCAGCCCTCCGCGACTTTGAGGTGCGCCTCGCCGTTCGCAACGCGGCAGAAGAGGCCGCCCCCCAGTTCGCAATCAGGGAGGAGAGGCGCTGCTACCGCCGCGCTGCTGCCGACGTAGCTCGCGAGGCTGTCCGCGTCGCTGCCGAGGGCGCTCCACAGGCCCCTCGTCAACTGCAGGACGTTGAGCGTGAGGCCGAGGAGCTCCAGCGTCAGATCGAACAGATGCAGAGGCGTCGGTAAGAGCTCACAGTCAAAGCAGATGCTCCCCATGCCGCACTGCAAGTCGATGAGCGCAAGAACCGTGAGCTGAGATGCCGCGCCACAACCAAGAGTGACAGACCGAGCCCCAGGATTTCGAACTCAAGGGTTTGTTTATTTGACTACCACGTCTGCCGTGGCCGTAAGCTACCACCACGACCGTCAAGAGGACGGTGCATTCTTTAGCTGCGAGACCAGGATGTTTATATGTCGATACCGATGCGTGAAGCTTCGTCTGGGGATCTGAGGACAGGCGCATGATTGCCGTATGAACCTTGTGTAGCAGTTGTCGTAATTGTCGTCACTGGGGTCACGTGAAAGCGGGAGTAGTTTTGACGTCGGCGCTTTCGGCTCTGGGAGCGACTCACCGTTCCCTGGTGATCTGGTGAACCTCTCGCCAAGTGCGTCAGTTGTGCGACGACCGGCCTGGTGAGGCTTGTTCAGCCGTACAACACATCTTTCTCTCATACAAAGCAAGCAACAAGCAGTCTCCCCCCCGCAGCTACTCTTCGTCTCTCACATATCACTGTCCCACCTTGCTGCTCGTCCTTGCACTCCCCAACTCCCACAGACCCCGTCCACCCCCACCGTCCACCGGAGCCAAACCCCAGCTTTGGTCAACGGGCCAATCACAGGCTCGACGATACATTCTACTGCCGCCACTGGGCCCGAGTTGCCCCGTCAAACCCGTCACCACACGCCACCCCAACCACTTGCACTCTTCTTTCCATCGACTCAACTGCTTACATCCACCTCGTACTCCTCCCAAACCAACCTCTAGCTCTCACCCGCTCCACATCCCGGGCACTCTACACACCCCGAGCACACCACCTTAGTCGCAGCAACCTGCAAACCTTCTTGCCTTTCCGCCCCTTGCCCACCCGTCCTCGTCGCCGCAATGTCCGCTGCGCCTGCTCTCTTCCGTTGCCTCCCACGCGCCGCGGCGCTGCCATTGGCATCGTCGAGCTCATTGCACCCCGCACGCTCGTTCTATAGGGCACTCTCCACCCTCCCCACGCGCGCAGAGCATGTCACTACCACCATCCGCGCCGCTCCCTCCCTCCCCCTGGCCGCCCTCAACCCCTCCCTTGTGTCGTCCGCTTCGTCGTCTTCCACCACCCCAACCGCGTCCTCGTCGACCTCTGTCACTGGCGAGAAGAAGCCCGCACCCCGCAGGCGTGAGATCAAGTCGAAGAAGGCGGCATTGACGATGGTGAGCATATTTCTTCCTACTACGTCTGGCATGTTTGCTGACCAAGCTCCTCTCGTGCCCCCGTCGATCTTGATTCCCGTCTTCTTTTTCGTATCACCCTCTCTCGCCTGCCTCGCAAATCGGCATTTGAATCGCCCCTCCTGCTGTTGGTTGTGACCGTGCGACTTGCCTCAACACAGACTCCCGAAGCCGTCACCCGCCTGCGCGCCCTGTCCTCAAACCCCACCGAGCCCAAGCTTCTCCGTATCGGAGTCAAGACTCGCGGATGCGCCGGCATGGCTTACCACCTCGACTACGTCAACCCTCCCGGGGGCAAGTTTGACGAGGTGGTGGAGCAGGACGGTGTCAGGGTGCTCATCGACTCGAAGGCGTTGTTCTCCATCATCGGTTCCGTCATGGACTGGCGCGATAACCGTTTGTCCGCAGGATTCGTGTTTGAGAACCCCAACATTGTCGACACTTGTGGTTGTGGCGAGAGCTGTAAGTAGACGGCTTGGATGCTTGCGCCCGTGAAAGCCGTTGTGCTGACCTTTTACCCAGTCAACATTCGTTTCTAGAGCAGATGACAAAGAAGATTCAAGAACCAACGAACCCTCCCCCGCGTCTCCTTTCATACCATTGGCATCGTACATGTATTACTTTACGCTCAGAACCACCGCGCCGCGCTCCCGCTCTCCACAAGCCTTCCATCCTTGCCTTACCTGAACTGCCAAGTGGCTGACTGAGTGACTACCCCTCAAACCAAACATCACCGTCACAGGAAAGTACAATTCCGTCTGCCGCGTGCCGCCGACAGCAAAGTTTGGATCACTCACGTCAAACACGAACCCTCTACACCATGCACCTGCGACATTGCGTGACGCGGCGTACCGCCGGGTGTGCAGAGCCGGCGGCATGGCGCTCCAGGACATTCACCTGCCCCACGGCTACTCGGTCCATCGAAACTGGTACTCGCACGAGGCGATTGGAATGGCGTGTTCCAATCGGCTGATGCCCACTACCTCATCCAGTACCGAGTACTGTGCGGCTGTCGGCTGCAGCGCTGCCTTGCCTACTGGTGCCATCCTTGCTAACGCACATCGGTGAACACTTACAGTACTGGGGGAGTTGGTTTCCTCACTGTCTACATATGGGTCTGTTCGGAGCCATGCGCGGAACACGCGGCAGAGACCGGAGCCCACACCCCCAGGTCGACTTGCTGACGCACTGACTGGACGCCTCATGTGTCGCATTTTGCTTCGCGGCGGCGCCACCCCCAAGCCTTACATTTACCCCACATGCACCAGGTAGACGCCTCTTCTGTCGTCTGTCACCTGCACCCGCGCTAACAAAATGAAAATGGTGAGATCTGCCAATGCCGCGCTTTTGAGACTTTGACGGATCCCCCGATCCGCCAAAATGGGATCTACACGGAATCGAAGAAAGCCAACTATAGATGTTCGGAACACATTCATGTTGGATGTCTTTTGTCTTGTTGTTCGCAAATTCTGGGCTGCCATCGCCACCCGCGTCCCGAAAGGTTGTAGCCCTCGCAGTCCCCCCAGGTCGCTCACAGCGAGTGGGGGGTGCACGTGGTCACTACCCCCTAGTCTAGCGCTCTAGTTTGGGTCTGCATGACTCCACCCCACACGTTGTCGCGCTCGTGACCCCCAAGTGTGCTTTGTGGCGCTCTCCGCACTCCGCACGCCGCTCAGGCCAAGCCACCCCACGGCACACCAAACCGGGACCTGGGGGGGGGTTGCTTACAGCGCAAGCCCATACGGGGGTAACAATGGTGCAGGACGTGCAGTGCAGTGCGGTGTGCTGCAGTAAGCAGAATACATTTCCTCGACCGACGTCAGGTTTTGGTTCATGTCGTTTGCATTCTTGGCACGTACACTGCACTCTTCTTCCACCCATCCGCCACACGCTAGACCTAAAGCAGATCCAACTCTTACGAACCATACACACCACCCATCCACCCAGCCTCGGAGCAAACTGAGGCGAACTTTGATCTAGCGCGGAGGATGGACGACGGCACCCCGCGATCAGTATCACCAATACACCCAAACCCTCATCCTCCTCACGACGTACCAGCAGACTTCCTTCCTATCATCTTCTCATCCTCCTCCTCCACCACCACCACCACCACCGCAGCCACTACCTCCCCCGCCGACAAGTGGGTTGTGCCCTCCCCCCCCCCGCCCACCATGCTGATGGAACAGCAACCACGACATGGACGTTGACGCTGATAGCTCCTCACTTCCTTGGTCACCCACCGACGCTTTAATGGCCGTCCGAGTGCGGGCACATCGGCACCAGCATATCCGCCCAGTGCATATTGAGGCCGCTCCCCCGGGTCACTACGGTCGAAGCCCTGCGTTGCATCCACGAAGGTCTGCGTCGCCGTCACCGCCATCTGCAAGCGGTTCAGATACCGAGTCTGACCATGGCCACCGCGCTACGGACCTGGATCCCGTAGTCATCGTCGACGACTGCACAAAAATGGACTGTGCGGACTGTCTCTGCTCGACACTTGTGGAACGTCTCGACGCCGTGTCGGCACATGCGAGGCGATTGGCCACCCGCCTCTCTGCGGCCGAGACGAGTGCACAAGGGTTCCGTGCTCAGAGCGACCGGCTGCACATGCTTCTCCTCACGAACCAGCAGCGTCTGTTCTCAGAACGCAGTCACCACGATTCCATGGCTGCCCTGTGGGGGGAGCGTATCCAGAGTCTCGAGCAGGAGAACAACAAACTCCGCCGCGCCGTCAAGGATGCTTCGCCGCCGACAGCCGAGGGCACGGACCAGTTGCCCTCGATCCCCAACAGCTCGCATACCACACGCACGACCAGCTAGGAATCCCCCTCCTTCACACACACCCAAAGCCTCCTACAGGCCGAGGGCCATCCCAATACACGAACGCACGACCCCAGAACCTCCTCGTTGTAGCACGACGCATTAACAATAGCAATGTCCCAATGCCGATCCATCATTCACTGTCTCCCACAGCCACATACGACACCCGACATACGTAGGTGGCATACGTGTTGCTCGTTCCAATCCTACGCTAGCCCCCCCGGTGTGTCTTCTCTTTCCTGCATCGTTTCGTGCTTCTACTGCGGTCGCAGGGATCGGACGAGAGAGATGTCGTGGGTTTGGGTTCTAGGCGATTTGGAAAGGAGGAGAGCATGATGTGGCGTTGCGGAACGTCACTCGGAGCTGGAGCTGGAAACGAAGGCATTGATCACGGAAGCCACAGCTACTCGCCCGGCAAAGGTGTTCCCTGAGAGCTGTCCAGTTTTCCTGGTGGTAGACATAACCTGTCTTGGCATCGGAGCACAATGTTGCATGCTTCACACCACCCCTGTGCCTTGGGGGGGGGTGAGCAGCCCCACGCAGTAGCGCAGATACGAAACGAACAATGCGATAAATGAGAGACAAGTTTACAGCAACGGCTCCACCACCGTCCCAAGCCACAAACGCCACAACTATTTGGCTTTACGTAATCATATCTGTTTACGTAAAATTATGTTTGTTTACGTAACATGACTTCCCGTTTTTACGTAACGTCACCTGCCCATGCCACTCAAACCTATTGCCGATACCCCGACGCGTGGGATGGCCGGCCTCACCCACTCACCAGACGTCCATCTCACAGCGATCGACGACGACGACGACCCCATACACAACCAGCAGACATGGTCTCCCTCGCCAGGACAATCCGGCACGCCCGCTACCTTGGCCTCAAGGAGTGGTACCGCTCAATGTGGTGAGTGCGCTCGCCCAGCCGGTCCCGCGGTCCCGAGTCCGACAGCCCTCGACAACAGTAGTGTGGCTCCCGACATGTCCGAACATGTCGTCAGAGCTCGGACTCGCGCGGGACGGCGTGGTCATAGAGGAGGAGAGCAGGAACTGACAAGAACAGGTACATCGGAGATGCCAAGAAGGGAAAGCTTGGTGGGTATCGCGGCCTAGCGTGTTGACGAAGGGGGTTCGGACGTGCCCGGTGAAGCGTAATCTCCAGCTACTCGTCTGGACATTGCCGGCACTGGAGAGGCGGTTTGGGCGAGACTGTCTGCTTGGACTGGCGGCCTGGAATCTGTGCTACTCCACGGCATCGTGTGCTTGTCCAGGACAGCGTCCCTTCTCCCACTGCTCGGCGAAGCAGCTTGGGGTGGCGATTCCCCGCATGCAGCTCTACACGCACAACAGCGTACGGGGGAACCACATACTGACTGTCCAGTCGGCACCGACCAGTTCGGCAACCGTTACTTTGAGAACCTTGACGCTACCGAGGAGGTTCCCGGCCGTCACCGCTGGGTCGACTACGCCCAGCACGACTACAACGCCACTCAGGTCCCCCGCGGCTGGTCCTCGTGGCTCCACCACATCCGTCTCCTGCCCCCTCCCGAGGACAAGGTCATGGAGGCCTGCAAGCAGCCTTGGCAGGTGCCCTACCACGAGAACCTGTGCGTTGCGACATGTCATGGTATGCGGGTGCGAGAGGGGGAGAGAGGTGTTTGGTTCCTTCGGCCTAAAGGGAGGATGGAGGAGCGTTGGAATGAGTGGTCGCCCCCTTCTAGGCGTCAAACATCCAGCCTCCTTCCCGACCTACCCTTCTGGCTCGCCTTCAGGCTGCCGGAATCTCTCCCTCATTGCACCCGCATAGCCATCTTGTGGGACATAGCTAACATCTCAGGACTGGTACTCGTGGCCGCTTCATCACTTACTCCACCCAGGCCCCTAAGATGTCCGCTTGGGAGCCCAAGGTCAAGCCCCGCGCATAGGCGAGGGTATATGCATGAATCATAGCAACGAGACGGATTCGAGTGGACCTGTTGCTTGTTGTTGGGCCGTGGAACGGCCTCGTCTGCTCCTGTACTGCGGGAAGGTTGCGCGTCCGAAGTCTGAAAGTCAAGAGTTGACAGTGGGAGCCAATGAGTGAACGCTTGGGCTCTCGTGAGCTACAGTACAACGTTCTCCTCTCCCGTCTTACTTGCTGTAACGGAATGCGTCAGTGACCACGGTAAAAGAGAGGATTGTGTCAGCACGATGGGCTGTTTTCACAGTTACTTCACCAGGCCGTCCTTTTGCAATGTTCCTCACAGTCTCCCACCGAAGAAGTGCCTGTGGAACTGACAACCATGTAGCTTGCAATGTCATCTTGTGGTATGGTGGCCAAGCATCACTATCGGACTGGCGCAAGCTGAGCGTGCAACACACCAGAGCCGGCGGTTGAATCTTTGGGTTTCATCAACAATGCCGCAAACAAAGCCAAGAGTCGAGGCCACGTGGAAATGCTTCCACTACGCGTCAGTGCCGTGCATGACCATCATCGGCGGCGGCGGCGCGTAGCAGTCACAACAACCGTGCTGCACGTCTTGAACTGACTGACACCTTCAACATCCAACCCACTTTTGGCACCATGTCAGGGCGCCCTAGCTCGACAGTGCCATTTACACCGAGGCCGTCGAAGCGTACGAACAGCAACAAGTTCCATCTCACGGATCAGGAGATCAATCGGGTGCGTTGTTGTCCTTGAACGGCCACAGTTGCAAGCACCTCGAGCAAGGGAGCCAAGGGGGAGGACGGCAGCTACACAGATGGAGAGCCCACTGCATGGTTGATCAACATCTACTGGCCGCTCGCGAGCTGTCACTAAGCATGCACCAAGTGCTGACCGACACAGTATGCCAGCACGATAGCCTCGGTCCGCCGTGTTGGGCGAGGAACCATTCTAGAGGAGCTGGAACGTAGCGGTGACGCGCTCAAGACTGGTACGTCCTATGCCTTGTATTTGGCATCAATTCGGAGCTGATTGGGTTACAGGAGACACGCCGCAAAGTGTGGCCGGAGGGACACGAGACCGCAGCGAGTTTGGCAGCGAGAGGACAGAGCGACCGGACCACGAGCGCCGGCCTTCGTCTGGAGGATCGAGGACCGATTCATTGAGGCGCGAACTGCCCAATCCTTCACGATCCAGCAGTGCAGCTCGTCTGTCGCGCCCCGACAGCATCTCACACCTCGACGCCGTGAGCCGTCCCGACTCGGTGCTCCGTGAGCGTGAGCGCGACAGCGGGAAGGGTGGACGCGATCGGGAGAAGGAACGCCTGGAACGCGTGTTCGACCGCGAGCTCGCAGAGAGGGGCAAGGCCGACAAGAAGTCAAGCGACGACCCCAGCGCTTTCCCTTCCAGTCGCGTGAGGGAGAGGGAAATTGAGGTCCAGGCCGTCATCCGTGACGGCACCCAGTCTCCCGTAAAGCAACCTGAACGGCTCCTCGATGGCGTACCCCTCGAAGTACAGGAAGCGTGGGTCTGCGAGGACCTCATGTTTGTCCTCCAGGGCCTGGAGGGATCGCTCATTCGGTATGCGGATGGATACGACCCCCTCGACTCTGACTCGAGGCTCCGAGGAGCGCGGTGGTCTGTGGACCCCAGCCTCGGTGAGTTGGGCTCTCCTGCCGCTTTAACTGACAGCAGACCCATCATTACTTTCGCTCGTCAACCGCCTGTTGCCGCTTGCGACGTTCTTCACGTCGGTCGAGGCGAGCATTGAGCTTCGCAATGGCCCAGATTTCGGCATGGTCTCTCACGCTCTCAGCAGTGGCATCCGTGGCATGCTGAAGGTGGGTCCCATACACCACAGAGCCTTCACTAACAACACCAGGAATACCGTGTCCTCACTGCTCAGCTCGAGTCACTTTTCCTCTCCTCTTCAACATTCACTCTCCAGACCCTCTACTTCCACCTCCACCCGACCCTGCACACCATGTCACTGCTGTCATCGCTGTGCCTCTCGCTCGAGACAGAGGACGACGGTGGCGACGCCTCGGACGTGTCTGATGACGACGACGGGCTCGGTGGCATGGCCGAGGAGCTTGGTCTTGGCGGTGCAGGGCTCAAGGGCCTCATGAAGAACCTCAAGACACAGGATGGCTTTGGTGGAGGTGGCCTAGTGCTTGGTGGCGAGGTGCTGGGCATCATCAGCGAGCGCGAGGCGACCATGAGCGGGTGGGTCATTTGGCGCCTTCCTGGACTGACCCCGCAGTGACCCAACGGCAACAACATTGCATTCGCAGTTGCTCCACCGCGCCTCTCAGCCATACGCCCGCATGCTTCTTCGCTGGATCTCCACCGGTTACCTCGCGGACCCATTTGAGGAATTTATGGTCAAGGAGAGCGGACACATCACAAAGGGTGTCATCGAGAGCGATTACACGGACGAGTATTGGGACCGGCGATACACAGTGAGCTTCGTTCCTCAACTGAAGCTGACGAACAGTTGCGCGACGGGTCGTCGTTGACGTCAAGTGCAAAGATCCCAGGCGGCAAGACGCCTTCCCTGTCTGCAGCTGTGCCGCCGCCAAGGCAAGGTACCAACCGCCTGCCCGGAGGAGCATGTATTCCCGCGTTCCTACAGCCGTGGAAGCACAAGATCCTCTTGGCGGGAAAGTACCTCAACGTCATGCGCGAGTGTGGCATCGAAGTCAAGAAGCCAGGGGAAGTCGACGAGGGACACGAGGCGATTGTGATGAATGAACCAAAGTGAGTTGTCAGCTGAACCTCTGGCTGAGTTGAACTGCACTGGAGCGTACATTAAACTCCTCCCAGGTTCTACAAACGGATAGAGGACGCATACATTTACGCCAACCAGTCGCTGCTCAAGCTGCTGGTTGACGAGCAGGAGCTGATCCCCCATCTTCGGTGAGCTTGGCACCACAGAATAGTTGCTAACCTCAGTTCGCTCAAGCACTACTTCTTTGTGGACCAGTCTGATTTCTTGACCAACTTTCTCGACCTGGCAAGCAGCGACCTGACTCGTAAAGCCGCCAAGTCAGTGTCGATTGTGAAGCTGCAATCCCTGCTCGACCTTGCTGTCCGCAACCCCGCCTCATCGTCCTCCAACGATCGGTACAAGGACAACCTCAAAGTAACGATGGCCAGCCAAGGACTGTACGACTGGCTTTTGAAGATTGTCACCCACCACGGTGCAGCCGAGGACGGCGAGCTCGACTTTGCGGTCGACATGGACAGGGGCGACAAGAACGATGGTGCTGTGCTCATGGGCATTGACGCCATTGCATTCGACTACAGCGTCAAGTTTCCCCTGTCGCTCGTCATCTCGCGCAAGGCAGTTACCCGCTATCAGCTCATCTTCCGCTTCCTTGTCCACCTGCACCACCTCGAGTCTGGCCTGTCAGCCATGTGGCTCGAGCACAAGGTCGCTGCGTGGCGCGATAGCACGGGCAACGCGGACATGGACCACTGGAAGCAGCGCGTTTTCGCGCTCCGCTCGCGTATGCTCGCCTTTGTCCGCCAGATGCTCGCGTACACCACCGGCGAGGTCCTCGAGCCCAACTGGCGCTCGCTCGAGTCCAAGCTTGCCAACGTCGGCACCGTCGACCAGCTGATGCGCGACCACGTCGACTTCCTGGACACGTGTCTCAAGCAGTGCATGTTGACCAATTCAAAGCTGCTTTCGGTGAGTGCTCAAGTGGAAGCGTGCATTGACACCCCCTCAGGTCTACGCCAAGCTCATGAAGACAATGACGGCGTTTGTCTCGTACTCTGACTCGTTTAACAAAGTCATTGCCCGTTTCCGCGCCGACCCTCTGACCGAGAGCGACGCCGCCAAGGCGAGCCACAGGTGGACGGTGTTGAACAAGTTTGAGATCAACTTCAACCACCACACAAACGTGAGTGTCAGGGACAGGTGTTGCGTGCCATGGGTGTTTGGGAATGCTGGAATCGGGTGGACGAACGGATGTTGGATGCCGCGGGTGCTGGGAAGCAGATTGCACCTGAACCGCGGCTCCCCGATAAAAGCTAGCCGACGACGTACCACCGCGGGTGGGGTTCTTAGCACAAATGTCGACGTACTCTCGACGTCGTCCTAGTGCCACCACCATGCGTCATGATGGTGGCACACTGCTTCCGACGTTCCCTGCTCTGTAGCCGAGGGTGACTTTTTTCTGTTTGCTGATGCGTGACACCCTCTACAGCTCCACCTCGATGCCGTGACGTAGTGAGTTGACAAAGGGCCAGCTTGGCGTTCTCCCTTGAGTTTACGAGCTGACGCGTTACCCCCCAGCCACGCAGGGTCCGAGAACGTTGCACTTCTTGCACTGGTGACGCGCCTTCACCAGACGACGATGCGCATCTAGAGGCTAGGAATGTTGTGTTGTCCATACATTATCAAGAAGGGCGTTAGTTTATGTGACACTAGTTCTTCTGCTGCACCTCCCTGTTTGTTCTCTTCTGCTGCATATTCCAGATCATCACCATACATGCGGTATCAATGACTCCCGCCGGTACAGGTGCAGGTATCACAATTGACGCGTTACTCGTGACACGTCCGACCTCGCGGACAAGAAAATAAAAACCCAATCGAAACATGCTATGACTACACGCAAGACGCGTTCCTCGCGCTCGCGCCCACAAGATTAACGGGACGGCACCGCCGCCGTTTCACAAAATATCCAAAGAGATACGGCGGGCTTAGAAGCACTAGGAGACGGAGTCAGCAAAAGATACATGTTGTGAAAACACCACACCACGACTTACCTTGAGCTTCTGGTCTGACCGCTTCGAGACCTTTGCATCCACCATACGGTCGAGCTTGGCCTTGTACTGAGCGACCTCTGCGCGGGCACCCTCGAGGCGCTGGCGGTCGGCGATACGCTCGTACTCGGCATCGGCGAGCTCGTTTTTCATCTCCACCACATCGCGGCGCAGGGCGTCGCGCTCGCGCTTGAGCTCGGTGAGCTCGCGGTTGACGTCGTCGACGCGGACCTTGAGCTTGGAGTTGTTCTTGCGGAGCTCGATGAGGTCCTTTGTAAACTGCTCGTTGTTGCGCTTTTCGGTCGAGAGCTGCGTCTCGAGCTCGAGGTAGCGCTCCTTCTCCTCGGAGATCTGCTGGAGCACCTCCTCGCGCTCGGCAATGGCCTTGTCGCGCTCGGTCTCGAGGACAGAGCTGGGGCGGTGCTGGGGCGACGATGGCTGGTCGTGGTCGTACCGCGACGAGCGGGTCGACTCGACAGAGCCCTCGTGGTGCGAGTTGCGCGACAGCGACGCGTTGGTGAGAGTGGGCGACAGGACTGCCTCGCGGCCAGCGGGCACAGGAGGGAGGGGTGCAGTGGGAGGGGGCCCGATGGGAGGGAGCTTGGTCCTCGACGAACGGTCGATGAGGGACTGCTTCGAGTCGCGGTTCCGCTGCAGCTCGGACGTGAGCGACTTGAGCTCGGCATTGTCCGAGGCGAGCGACGAACAGCGCTTCTCGAGCTCGGCGAGCTTGCTGAGGTCGCTCGAACGCTGCATCTCGTGCTCGTCGCTGATACGCGAGAGCTCGAATCGGACCTGGTCGGCCTTCATCTTGAGCTGGCGCTTCTCGTCCTCGGCAGCGGTGAGGGCCTTCTCCATCTCCTCCATGGCCGAAACGACAAACGTGTGCTCGTCGAGGGGGATCATGTCCTTGGGCTCTGGGCGCTCGGCCAGGTCCTTCTCGGCCTTGGAACGGGCCTCCTGGGCAGCGGCAAGCTCCTCGCGGACCGACTTGAGCTGAGCAGACGATGCTGCGAGCTCGGTCTGGAGGGCACCAAGGACGTTGGCATGACGCTCCTCAACGTCGGCAATCTCCTTGTGGTGGCCGGCGGTGAGGTTGTCGCGCTCAGTCTGGTGGCGGCGGCTGGTGGTGGCAAGCTCCTCCCAGGCGGCATCGAGGGCAGTCTTCATCTCGGTCGAGCTTTCGACCTCGCCGCGGTGACGCTCGTCAAGCTCGTCAAAGCTGCGCTGGTGGCTCTCGCGCAGCTTGTCGAGCTCAACCTCGTGCTTCTTGGTGACGTCGGTGAGCTGCGAGTGCACCTGCGAAAGGGCTGCAACGTGCTCTTCCTCGAGGGCGGCCATGCTGCGGTTGTGGGTATCGAACATTTTGTTGAGCTCGTCCGAGTGGTCCTTGCGGAGGCGACCGATAACCTCGTTGTGCTCGAGCTGGGAGGGCGAGTTGGCACCGCTCTGCTCAAGGGTCCTCTTAAGGTACTTGATCTCAACCTCGCGCTGCTTGAGCTGGGCCTCGCGGTCGGCAACAGTCTTCTGGAGAAGCGAGTTGTCAATCTCAAGGCTCTGCAATGAACGGGCAGGCTTGAGAGCGTCAAAGGGGATAGACTGGCGTTTGGGAGAGCGATCAAACTTGGGGGAACGGTCGTATGCCTGGAGGCCGTTGCTGGGTGCACTCCACGAGTAGCGGGGCTGGGTGTTGGGGTAGGAGAGGTTGGACAGACCCTGCGAGAGGGAGAGGGGGCGGAGAAGGCGGGGCTCGCCAATGGAGCGGGGACGGAAAGTCGAGTAGGGCGACCTTTGCATCGCCTGGTTCAGAGGGTCGTCCTGGATCTGCGGCGAGACGGTGCGGCTCGCGAGCTTGGGGGTCTCCAAGGTGGTGTCCGACTCGCTCGACTCGCCAGTGCTCTCGCGCTTGCCGGGGCTGTGGCTCAGCTCGGTGTCGTGGTCCTCGGACAGCTCCTCGTCCTGCTCAGATGGCGGGTCGAGAGTCGGGGTGGCGGGAGCGGCCTCGGGGGCCTGCTCGAGCAGCTCGTAGCGGGCCTCTGCCTCGCGAAGACGGAGAAGAAGAGTCTCGTTCTCCTTGCGGAGGATGTCAACCTCGGATTCCGAGTCCTCGGCGATGGTGCGGAGAACAGGAGGGGTGTCGGGTGGTGTCGAAAGAGACTGGGGCTCGGTAACGGCCTCTCGCTGCTCTTGGGTGGCAGCAATTTCAGCAGCAGCAGCGATAGAGGTGGTGTGTGCGGTTTGAAGTTGGGTCTCGAGGTCCTCAATCTTGCGTTCCTTGGTCTCCAGCTCTTCAAGCAGCAAGCCGACGCTTTGCTGGTCGTCGTCGAGCAGACCCAATCGGGACTCGAGCTCGCGGTAAGCCTTCTCACGCTCCTCCGCTTCCCTCTCGTAGCGCTCAACCAAAGCGGAAAGGTCCCCTGTGCGTGCCTCGGATGCCGAGATACGGGATTCAAGCTCAGCGATGTAGGTGTTGCTCTTGGAACTCTCGTTCTTGAGGTGCTGAATCTCTTGGGTGAGAGAAGTGATAACCTCGGTCTGGCGGTCGTCGCTGTCTGTAAAGGTGCGGAACTTGGTCTCGAGGTCACGAATGTAAGCCTCGGACGAGTCGTTGCGCTGCGTCAACTTGGACAGACGGCCCTGCAGCTCCTGCACGTAGGACTCGTGCTCGCCCAGACGCTTGTGCGTCTTGGAGAGCTCGCCAGCGTGGTCCTCGTGCGCTTGCTGTGCAACGGCGGCCTCTGCGCGGAGCTCGGCGATCTGGCCATTGAGCGAGGTGACGACTTTCTCGTACCTGATCATCAGCATTTGTGCTCCCCGGTGCCCATGGTCGTGCCGTCTCCTGCCCCCAAAGCTCCGGTCGTCAAGCAAACTCACTCCAAGACGACGGGTTCAATCGTCTCGTTGAACTGCCTCAGCTTGTCATCCTCCAGAGTATCCGGGTCGCTCAGGGCCACAATCTCGCGGCATTTCTGGAAGTACTGGTCCTGGAGCTAATGCAAGGTCAGTTACCCAACTTCATTGGAGACACCAAAAAAAACAGTTTCAAAGACTCGTGAACCACGAGTCTGGGAAGGCCCCGGGCAGAGCGGGTAGTCGGCTTTAGGTGGCGGTGTAACTTTAAACTCACGTGGCTGAACTCGTCCTCGAGGTCCGCGAGCTTGTCTGTCAGATCGACGACTTGACGCTGGAGAACGTCGTCGTCTGCTGACTCGGGCACGGCGTCTGAGATGCGGCGGGCAGCACGGGGCTCGTTCTCAATCGTGGTAATCTTGGCACGCAGCCTGAGAACCGTGTTGCGGAGATAGTCCATGTCGTCCCAGCCGACCTCGGACTGGTTCTTGGTGACAGCATTCTTGATTCTACGCGCACGAGATGCGTAATTGATAGTGTTGATGGTTTCAGAGATGTTGAACTCGAGTGGCGAGATACAGGCAATCATGGTTGTCATGGCGTTGCCTCCGATGGAGTCTGCACATCACGTCAGTCTCGTCGTCCCAAACACGAAACGGGAAACCAGGAGACACAAAAAAGCGCAATTTAGAGCTTTTGCTCCACGACCGACTTACCCTGCAGCAGACGGGTGAGCTTGGAGTCACGGTACGGCACATGTCCGCCCTTCTTTCCTGGCTCAGAGACTGTTTTTGTGAAATTAGCTTTGATACCAAGACCCAGTTCCGACGCAACGCGGCGGTCAACGGTCAACTCACGCGCAGAGATAACGTTTCCGAGTGCAAGGAGACCGCTGTTGATGGAAATGCCCTCCTTCATGCGCTCGCCTTGGGCAGCCGTGCGCTTGAGGCGCTCCGAACCAGCAAGGTCGACCATGTTAAACTTGCTAGTGATGACGACCATCTCGTCGTCACCGTTGGCCTTGTTAAAGCCGCCAACGTGCATGCTAGTGGGACGTGCAAGCTTTGAGAAACTTGACGGCGGTGCGCGCTGGAACACGGGGGTTGTTGAGCGCGACGGGGTGCCAATGACCGACATGGGACGCTTGGTAGGAGTACCACGGACGTCGTCGCCGTTGGACGTCTCGGCGCGACGCGACTGGACGAGGTTCAAGGAGAAGATGGCGTGCGAACGTGAAGAGGTGAGGTTCATGTTGGTCTCACCTGTGCGGCGACGCGTCGAACCGTCACAGAGCAGCGCCATGACCTCGTGTACGTTCGAGACCTTGACCTCGCGAACACCAGACCACACAATACGACCATCCTGGTTCTCACGAATGGTCACGTTTGTGGGAGCGTTCGAGTTGGCCAAGAGGTCAATGAGGTCCTCGTTGTACAGCTCGAGGAAGGAAACGCGGCACTCCCAGCTGGCACCTGGCCCAGACGCCATGCGGATCTCCTCGGCGCGGCGGAAAACAGTCTCCACGGTGCGGGGAATAAGACCAGCACGCGATGTCTCGGACAGGTCCAGGTAGTCCTGTTCATCGCCAGTGGTGCCCATGGAATACGACTTGCCCGACGAAGTCTGGCCATACCTGTGTGGTGTGAGATTGACGAACGCGCGCGCGTCTGCCTTCATCAGTCCAACTTACGCCAAAAAGGTCACATTGAAGCCACGGAGGAACTCCTCGACGCGCTCCTTGGCAGCGGTATTATAAAGGTCGGACTGGGTTGACTGCTCCGGCAGCACGCGGTCAAAGGAGAATGTGGGGTGGCGTTTCGAGCTCGAGGCCAACGACGCCGAGCCAGCGAGGGTCGCGGGGTCCACGCTGACGCGGACATCAGTTTGGGTGGTGGGGTGGACCAAGACGGAGCGATGGCGGAGGGGCACAGCGGGGTCCTCTGGCTCGGATGGGCGAATGCGGAGCACTGTTGCGACGTGTCAGCAAGCTCGCATAAACAGCCGAGACCACCGAGTTCCTCTCGGAACGCCACCCTTCACTCTTGACTCACCAACGCGGACTTGGCCCTTGTCCGTTTCACTGTCATTGGAGGAAACGGGTTCTGGTGCACGCTCGCTCATGACACTGGCTGCGCCCAAGCTGCGATACCTGCCAGCAGCAGAGGATGGGCGAGGGATTTGGCCACCGGCGGCGGACTGGGGACGGGGGATGTGGGATGTCGTGGGCGAAGGGGGAACTGGGGTCGGCGACGCGACGAGGGACGCCCGGCGGCGCGGGGAGGGGCCTGTCATCATCCCGCCTAGAGGCTAGAAGGGGGGTAGCGGCGGGGTGTTGAGGAGAGGGGAGGAAGACGTTGCCTCTCGGAGAAGAAGGACAAGGGGAGGAGGGCTGTTCGTGCGTCGAGGTGGACGTGTGGTCAAAAAAGGCCTAGAGGGCCACCGAACAGACCGTTGTGTGTGTGTGTGTGTGATGTAGCAAAGAAACAGTCACCTGTAATGGACAACAGAGGGTTTGTGTCAGTGGAAATGGATGTGGATACCTGTTGTTGGCCCTTGGGACAACCCTGACAACAACTTACGCAAGAGCCTGCCTTGTCGTGCTGTTGACGAAGTCGCGGGAAGACGGAGAGGGGGAGGGAGGAGGAAGGAGGAAGGAGGGATCACAGATGTTGATCGACCAGGCGGAGGAAGGCGGAGGCTGGCTGGACAAATGAACACGATGGTCGGCGGGACAGACGACGCGTGCTTGTTGAGAATGTCGAGCGTTAAACCGGGGCGCGCCTCTGGTGAGAAAGGTCGGGTGGAAGGAGCAAGGACGCGTTGAGTGTGGAGGGGTATGTGTGGGTGTGTGGGTGTGTGGGTGTGTGTGTTGTGGGTTGACGCGCCAGGCTGGGTCCTGGGGGAGTGGAAGGTTGATGAGGAGGACGGACTGAGATGAGAGAGAGAGAAAGGAGAAGGTGTCGCAGGTGTGCAGGGCGAGGAGGACGTTGGTGGGGGTCGGAGGAGCGGGGGCACGTCCACAAGGTGTGTCGAGAGCGAGAGCGAGAGAGAAAGAGAGAGGGAGAGAGAAGCTGACCTTCGGTGGGCGGGCGGGGGGGCTCTGATGCACGCGGGGGGTGGGTGGATGGATGGAGGAACCGTGCAGCAGGGAGCGGTCGAGCGGGGCGTCGTCGCAGCCCTCGATGGAGGTGTGGATGTGTGTGCTGCTACTTTGACGGCACGCCTCTCTGGGCGAGAACAGAACAGCGCTGCGCGATGACGGCAGAGCGGGGACAGCGGTGGTGTGGGCGTGCACTGGCGCACTGGCTACCTGGCTGGCTGCAGCTGGTGCAGCTGGCTGGCTGGAGGTTGCTGGCCGCTGGCAGAGAGTGTACGCGACCGGGCAGCAACGGGGGGCACACGGGAAGACGATGATGGGGAGAGGGGGGAGGGGGGCTCTTTTCGCGGCGCGTCTTTCCTTTGTCCCTCTTTTGGTCGCTCTCTCGTTCTCCCTCTCGTCTCCCCTCCTCTTCCTCCTCCTCACGGGCAACGACACACGCACGGTCCCCCGCCACCGCGCAGCCAGCGACAGCAGCCACCACCACCGCGCGCCCTGCCTGTTGCGGTCCTGCCCAGAACAAGCAACACGCGTACACTCGTCCCTGGCGGTGGGTGGGTGGGTCAGATGCGACTTTGGGGAATGGCGGGCCGCGGGACGTCTGGGGAGACCATGGCGCGTCTCATGAACGGGCCGAAAGCTTCAGATTGAGCTGCCAGCTGCCAGGCCGCCAGGCCTCTGACGGAGAAATTCCAGTCGCCTTCAGCCCCGCCCTGTGTCGGGCCAGGAACCCGCTTCATGTGTGGCCTTGTCACCCCCCCCCGTTCGCTCTCTGCCTGCCGTACTTGCCGTTGCCATCGTCCCCCGACACACAACGCATATGCCAATCGAGGACAACCCATGCACCCACTCTGGCCAGCATATCGTGTATCAACATCCAGCTCGTTCCGGGGTTTGTTTGTGACACCTGCTTGTCTGTTTTTCTTTTTTTCAAAACCGTCAAAGCCGCGAGAGGCCCTTCACGACGGTTTCACCAGCCACCCTGGGACCTTCTGGGCTGGGGGCAGTCGCAGCGCAGTGTGGGAGGGTGGGGGGAAGGGGGGGGGCTCGATCCCTTTGGAATTTGGCGCTAGTGGTGTCTGGTCTCATGGTCTCTGATCTCTGACACGCGTCTGTGCTATGTGGCACACACGGGGGCCATACAAAGGCAATTCCATCCGATTATCATTGCAATTGGACCCAATTGACTAATCTTGGCCTAATTGCAACACGAACGACAGTAGGTCAGGTCTCTAGCAGAACAGACTTGAATGGCCCCAATGCCCAAAAGGCACAAAAAAAAAAGCCACATTATTGCGACATGGACGCGTTTGAGAAGAGGCCGTGTTTCATCGCCAGAGCACACATCTAGCACAGAGCACACGGAGATCAGAGATCCAGAGACGGCAGACCGCAGACACCGAAAAGTTGCACGGCAAGTTGGCCGAGAAAGTGAGACTCTGGCCTCGGGCCTCTGACCTCTGGCTGTACGTACGGCTTTCTCTTCCTTCGGCTCGTCGCACAAAGGCTTCGTACGTGCAGGTGGCCACATCTGGATTCCATGACATATACAGGATACTCTGGCCTCACAACTCCTCGTCGACTTCCAATGGGCCATCTAGCGGCGCCAGATCCACTGATACTGGACCACGTTGACGACGCGCGATGACCGGTATAAACAACACGAAACCTAACCTTGCTTCTGGCCCGCTTTATCAGTAGTCTCGTCCACTCCACACGGCGCCCTTGGGGGGTCTTCAGGTATCAGCCACCAAACACACCTTTGACCCAGACTTGAGGACTGACTTGGCAGTTGATAGACACGGCATGTGCGGGGATTTCCCTCATAGGGACTGTTCCCCACCTGGGAGACCTTATCCGTCCTTCATCCTCCCTGCCCAGTAAATGATGGGCCCTGCTCGCAGAGTCGAGAGTCGGACGGTACGGTGTCTGCGGCCCCAGTTAGTGCAGTTAGTGCGATCAACGTCGGCTACGAGGGTTACTGGAATATTACACACAGTGTAGCAAACGCCTTGTGGACACCGCACACTTGCACGCTTAACTCCAGGCAAAGCCCGGAGATGTGGTTTCGGTGAATATAGTGCGTACCAACGGACACTCTTGAAGTTGTGTTGCCTCGGTACCAGTAATTGCAGTGACGTACTCTCATCAACACCGGAGTCCCAACTCTCCGAGCTGACAGCCAGTCTCAAAAGCTGCTGACCAAGATGCAAAAGCGTAACTGGACCATGTAATTGGACCATGTCAAGTGGGCCTGGTTGTACAGTCCCCGGAATGTGACAATCCACATGAGACGTGTGGAGAAGCTGTAAAATATCAACATCACCAGTGTGGCGACAACAACCGAGGGGTGCAGGTCGATCGGTCGCCTCCGCCAGTGGGACCCCTCTAGAAGCTGTCACTGTACGGCCTTGGTATTTGACAGACAAAGGACTGCAGAGTACAGTCGCCTGGCGGGCACTCCATCCCTTGTCGGCCCTTGGCTTGGCAGCATGGCACTCCCATACTTACGCTTTGGTGCCCAGTTGAACGCACTGTGCGACTTCGCTCAGTGTCCCTGTACAGTTATCTGCAAGGCTTATCGTGGGCAGCGTACTACGTTCACGAGCACGGTACATGGTCAAGCAAACTCTACCGGATGGCGGGAAGGCCCAAGGTTGACGGGAATGGCGTAGGTTCATGTGGATATCCGACCAACTGACCTGACGTTGACACACGCGCAGTTGACCGCTTGTAGTTGGTATCTTGGATTGTAGTGTGGCGCCACAGGGCTGAATGCGGTTTCCTGCAGCCAGGATTCAAAAGAGTGCCAGAGTCCAGAGTCCCACTCTGCCTGCGGTTGTGCTTTCCAGGCCTCGTATCCCCCCACCACAACCAACCCCTTGCCGCATGCCCTGTGGCCTGTGGACTGTTTGTCTCCTGATCGACCCGCCTAGTCGAACCCCCCCTAAAGCTGGGTGGGGTACTGCCAGCCCCCCCAGCCGCCTCCACAGGACGCCGACAGCACTCCGAACGCCGACGCGCCCACGGCACAGAAAGGGTCACGAGGACCCATGCGGCGACGTGCGTCCCGGGTATGCTGATGCCGACGAGCGTTGGGGGCCGACCGCCGGCCCCACTTGTCGTATCCTGGACGTGGCTGGCGGCAGCTCGACGTCAGCCAGCTGAAGAGGCTGATCCTAGGCTGACGGCCCTCACCACGTGGATATGTATGGCGGTGGCCGGTGGACCGGTGGACCCCGCAGCACAAGCACAGTCTGCCCGCCACAAAGGTGCGTGTTTGGTGCTGGACGCAGAGGTTTGGAGAATAGAGGTCGGTCACTTGTGCGCTGGGCTTGACGCCATCCGGACGCGCAAGCAAGTCCGAGCGCCCGCCGACGCCAACACAAGACGCCTCCGCTCCACACTCCAGCTCCAGCTCCAGCTCCAGCTCCAGTCAGCTACATACCAAAGCCCCCCCCCCCCCCCGGCGCCGATACCCGACACCACCCCGACCCGAACCATTCGAGGTCCGAGGTCCGAGCACCGCGCTACCCAACGAGCCACTTTCCCCAGTCCGGTCCACTTGTGGGCGCCAGCACAGGACAGTACAGTACAGCACTACTTGCGCGCGTCCGTCGCAGTCACCTCAAAAGTGAAAAGTGAAGGAAAATGAAGGGCAACGCCATCCGCTTAACGCACCGAAACGAACGCCTCGCTCCGAGCTCGGATACCCAGGCCCCAGGATCCCAGTTCCGGGGTTCTGGTACTTGCGCGCGCGCGCGTTTGTGTGCTTGCTTGCTTGTTTTGTTGTCTTCTGCGCGTCGCTTCGCTTCGCTGGTGCCTTGGCCTTGAGCTACGCGTGCTTGTGTGCGGTGTCCGGGCAGTGGCGGGTCCTGGTCGTTCCGGTGGTGGTGTGCACCGTCGCAGCGGCGCACAGGTCGGCCCCGTCGACGGGCTCGTGTTCGGGAGGACTGAGGTATAGACACGTATCACAGGTCGTCGCCGTAGACGCCCAACATGTCGGCTCATTTCTAACGTTTCGTGTCGGCACGGTTTTGTCGGTACGACATGGACAAGACCACAATGTGGCGCTCGGCGGATGCAATTCCGAAAGTCGAGGCCCCAGGCAAGTGTTACCTTCTGCACCATGCTTCGGCTCTGTATCCAGATCCCAGGGCGTTGTGTCGGTCCACTAACAGCCCAAGGGGGGTACCGATCCGATCAGTCTAGGTCCACCGCCCATCCGTTGTGCCAAAGAACGCGCCGCGGCCGAACCTTTAGTCTCTTCTCCACGGCCCGACAACGCACGCGCAACCAGCCGGTGCGTATAGCGCACAACGCACAGCACAATGGTGCATGTGTCCAGAACCCAGTGCAAGCGGCACCGGTGCCTCTTGAGAATAGCCCGTGTGTCGGGAACTGCAAATCTGGGAACGGGTGGCGCGCCTGGCATACGTGAGAGAGGGGCATGTTCGATCGTGCACATGAGGAGATAGGATCATCGCAGTGCTGTTCGTTCCTGTGGCAACTCACCCCGCCATGTACTTGTCGTCAGTGTGGTTAGCGCTACCTGTTAGTTGTGTTCGGTTGACGACTTTGGTCTTGGTCCTGGTAGGCTCCGAGGGATGCCTACGTGTTATACACACAGCTACCAGCACCGCGCCTCAGCTAATCCCTGTACCTTCCCGAACGCTTCTCCCCTCCTCCGAGCTTGAAGCGCAAGAACAGTTCCTGCAGCTCGGCACTGCCCGGTCGAGCCGACTTGGCCTCGTCGTCCACGTCCCGCTCGCCCTCGAGCAGAAGTTGGAGGTCCGCCTGTCCCCCCTGCGCAGGCGCGTCGTCGTCCATGGCCGCGCCATGCTTGGAGGTACGCAGCGACAGGCGTTCGAGGGCATGTAGCTGCGAGGGAGTTAGGGCCACAGATTATCTGATGCAGCAACTCACGAAAACGGTCTGCTTGTCGGCCCAGTCGATCGCGATGCCCTTGACCACCTCTCCGCCCGCCTCGACAGAGACTGACCCGCGCTCAATCTCCTTGACAACTTTACCCAGGTCCAGAATGAGACCCAGCAGCGCCATGAGGATCTTGAACGTGACCTGGTGTCCTGGCTGGGGACTGAGCAGACAGGCGCGGAGAATCCGGTTCAGAATAATGTTGTGGTAGACGACCAGCGAGTGTGCCGACTGCAGCTGGGACAGTGATCCAAGCTGTGTTGCTCCAGTGTCGTCGTCTACACCTCCGGCTTCGCTCAGCTCGTCGTCGAGATAGTCGTACTCGTCGTCCTCGGCATCAGGACCCGGGGTCACTGGTCGGCTGGCCGGGTCGGTCACGGCAGACCCGTGGGTGCGTCGGCGCAGGCGGTCAAGCCGGCGCCGCATTACGTCCCAGTTATGCCCGATTGCAGTGTCGAGAACATAGTGCGAGAACGTGGTCACGAACCAGCTCATGCTGTAGCGAGCATACAGAACGGCGCGCTCTGCGTCGCTCCCAGGTTCAAAGACGCTGTACGCGCGGCGAGTTGGTAGCCCCACCTTTGAGGGAAGGCGGTTGAAACCGGCGTCCACGCCACTCTTGACGGGACCGCCGTCTGCCGGGTGGACGGGGCGTACAATGTCAAAGTACAGGCCGCGCAGAACCGAGTCCACACGCGAAAGACGGAGAAGAAGGTTGTGGATAAGCTGGTACTTGTCCATAATGGATGGGGGCAGCAGGGCTCCAATGGTGACTGGCGGAGAGTAGGCGAGGTGAAGAAAGTCGAGGGCCTCGATGGCTAACGTCAGCTGGTGCTCGTTAGAAGTGTAAGCTCACCTTGAGGATTGAGCCACTTGGCTCTTGGTCCATCCTTGTTATCCTCGGGAAGGGCACGCACTGCGAACGACACTCGGTCCTCAATACCGTCCCAAACGGCGCCACGCTGCGAGGGGCCACCCATCTCGTCTTCATCCAGGAGCGATGTGCGAAGAGCATACGCCAGCTCAGCACCACCTGGAGGCCAGCGCTTACGGTCAGACAAACCGAGCCCAAGACCAATACCCCAGTCGATCGTGCGTTCTGGGGCAGGAGACGATGGGGCAGAAGATCCAGGGGATGATCCGTCATCGAGACCTAGTCTCGCTCGTGTGTGGGCTCGCTTGCCCATACCCACAGCTTCCCCGGAACCAGCAATGCCCTTGCCGAACAATGCCGCACCGACGCGCTCCGCGAAACCGGGGTCACCGCCCAGCCAGAAAGCGCGGAGGACGTCAAGGTGGTCCAGAAAGTGAAGGTCGTCAAGGTAAAGCGAAATGAGAGCGCGTGAGATCAAGGTCGCGTGGGCGAGAAGGGGCGCGAGGAGGTGGGTAGAGACATAGAGCTCAAGCGTCGGCGAGTCGGTCGGGAGAAGCGAGTACTTGGGATCCGAATGGCGGGTGATGAATGCTTCAAGATCCTCCACCGGCGTGGGTGCCCACAATGGCGCGGCAGAGTTGGCCTGTCCTTGTGTGGGGAACAGTGATAGCTGCGAGCCGGGTGGCTGGCTAAAGACTGCCCATATGTTGTCAGGCTTCAACTTTGGAGGTGTGTCTGGCAGCGAGGAGAGGGAGCCATAGTGTGTGGTAGGCGAGCCTCCCACAGATATGGCATCTGGTGGGTGTCTCCTGCCTTGGCGGATGCTGCCCACAGACGAGGCCGATATGGTGCGGTTTCGAATGTAGCTGGCACCACGCCAACGGTCAATCTCGCGCTGAACACGACGGGCGTGATATCGTAGGTCGTATGAAGGTCTTATGGGTCAGCTGCGTATCTACGAATTACCCACAAATCATCGGTGCAGCCCCAGCCCCAATTGGCCTTCAGATGCCAGTCACGAGCACAGAGCGGGTGGAGACCATCAGACGCTTCGCACAAGGCTCGCAGTGACCGGCCGGCCTCGAAGAGCGTCCGCCGTATATCTCGAGGCACAAACGCAGGCATGCGCTTGGCAGAGAAGGTGTACTCCCAGCGGTTCTCGATACCCTCCATAGCCGGAAGGGGCGAGCGGGTGATGCCCAGGTCGGCCCACGGCTGGCTGTTTGGGTCCTTGTCCTCGTCTGCACGACTCGAGTCGGCCAACCCGATCCACGAGTGAAGGAGGTCGAGGAAGGGCTGGCTTACATGCTGCAGCAGGTACGCAAGGGCGAGCGGGATGAGACCTCGCTGCTGTTCCTCCGTTGCGGTGGTGAGCTGTGCGAGTAGGTGTGAGTAAAGGTGTGTGAGCACAGATGCTGGCCGTGCAGGCAAGCCAACGGGTCGTGCTTGATCGATTGGCTGAAGAAGTTAGCCTGTACAGGGTTTAAAGAACCTCACCCAGCACATGACCTCGCAGAGGGCCATGGAGAGCTCGTACACATTCTCGAGGTCGAGAACCCGACGGAGCCAAGGCGCTGCCCCTTCGTCATCTACCTCGCGACTTGAATTGACAGCCGCAGCGAGGCGTTGTTTCATGAACGTCAGGATGGTTGACAGCGAGTAGAAGAGCGCGTGGTGAGTGGGCGTGAGCGGTCTAAGGTCAGCTTGGGCTATGTACAGTTCACTCACGTTGCAGAATGCTCCTCGACAATGATTTCCAGGCGGCGCACAGCCGTACCGATCGTGAGGAACTCGTCCATGAGGCTGGGATGAGCTTTTCACGCACACCGACCAACTCACTCGTTGGCAGTCTTCCGTTCCATACCGACAGGTCGCGCGCCATTGTCAGAATACACAAACTTGCCACCTCTACGACTCCACCGCAGCGTGTCCGTCATGGCTGTTCCGAGGGTGGCGCGCATCATAAGGTCGAGCAGCGCGCGCGCGTCCACGGGTTGTGGGACGCTAGGGGTGCGGAGTTTGGGAAGTTGGATAGGGGGCTCAGACCTGAACGTTAGCTACATGGTTATTGAGGAGAAAAGAACGTAACTGAACGTACGAGATGAGCAGCGACTCGAACGCGTCATTCGGCGCTTCGGAGAGGAAGCTCGCAGATGTTGGCTCTTCGTCCCAAGTGTGGATCTATGGATGAGCTTTCGGAGGATCCAAAACCTTTCTGAGCTCACATTGAAGGTCTTTCGACTAGGTCCTGCTTCTGGGACAGCAGCCTGAGCCCAAATATCGTCAGGCAGCGTGCGAGGCGGCTCAATGTTACTGTAATGTATGTGTTGATCATGTTCCTCCACGTTGGGAGGCGAGGCGGGATTCTTCCTAGGAACCGAGTCCCAGGAAGAAACACTCTCTCTCCCAAGAGTCCCCAGTAGACGCTCTATGCCCGGCGCGTCCTCGTCGAGAGGCGGGAGGGCGAAGCTCGGCTCGACACTGTCGAGTTTCGAAGGCAAGGAGAAGGACGCGTCGCCGCTCGGGACGAGAGCGAAGAGCTGCGGCAGTGGGTCTCCCGCAAACATCTTAATCCTCCATTCAGACTCTCCCTCGAGGTATGTTGATTGTACAAGCTTTGCAGCTGTAAAGGTTGACTGTAATGATAGAGTGCAATGTTGTTGATGCTTGTCCATCGCGATGACACCTGAACGCGTCTGGGAGCCCCTATGAAGATCACGTGACGCGGGGACCCACTGCGGCCACGTGGTCCGAGATTTTGAGCGTTTTGGCCACCGAGCATCCACCTTCAAGTTCAACTCCATTCCCACCTCTTTAGACTCTCTTGCTCGCCAACAACTGGCAACAACATCTACCAAACCGCCCCCATAGCGAGGAACGCGGCCCAACTGTAACCGAAATCCCGACTTAGAAACCAACAGGTCACCATGTCTAGGCCGGAGGAGCTTGCGCCTCCTGAGATTGTGAGCTCAGGTCAACCTGTATGGAATCAACAGCTGACATGCAGTTCTACGGCGACACCGAGGCGAGGAAGTACACTGGCAAGTGGGTATCGATTTGGTTTTTCTGCATCATGGCATTTGAGGTGCATGGTGGCCCTCAGTCCCAACAACTTTCTGCGCTCTCGTACCCAAGCTGTCTGCTGCCTGCGACCTCGCCTATTTCCCATCTCTCCCCATCACGTGCGCCTGCTGACATACGCAGCACCCGTGTCCAGAACATTCAAGCCCAGATGACCGACCGTGCATTGGAGCTTTTGCAGCTGCCCCCAGGAGAGAGTGCCTTCCTCCTCGACATTGGCTGTGGTTCGGGTCTCTCGGGCGAGATTCTCGACGAGGACGGACACGTCTGGGTCGGTGTCGACATTTCGCCAAGCATGCTCGGTGGGTGTGGGAGGAGGTGATGGCGAGGAAATGAATCAGGCAGCTAACGTCTCAGAGGTGGCGCTTGAGCGCGAGGTCGAGGGTGACCTGATGCTGCACGACATTGGCCAGGGCTTTGGCTTCCGTCCCGGTACCTTTGACGGCTGCATCTCCATCTCGGTGCTGCAGTGGCTCATGAACGCCGACACTTCGACCAACAGCCCTCCCCAGCGCCTGACCAGGTTCTTCACCACTCTCCATTCGGCGCTCAAGAACCCTTCGCGTGCCGTCTTCCAGTTCTACCCCAACTCGGACGACCAGGTGCAGCTCATCACCCAGTGCGCGCAGCGTGCCGGTTTCGGCGGTGGTCTCGTTGTCGACTACCCCAACTCGCGCAAGGCGCGTAAGATGTACCTCTGTCTCATGGTTGGACAGCAGGAGGTTCCCAAGGGTCTCGACGGCGAGGAGATGACCTCGTCCGACAAGGCCAAGAAGCGCGAGCAGATCCAGAACGAGCGCCGCCGCCGTCGCGACTCGGGCCGCGACGGCAAGAAGGGCAAGAAGAAGTCTTCCAAGGACCTCACCGGCAAGGAGTGGGTCCTCAAGAAGAAGGACCTGTACCGCACACGTGGAAAGGAAGGGTGAGTTTGGCTTTGTGTTGACATGTACGGGAGCGTCGAGCTTTTACTGACACTCGCAGGGTTCCCCTCGACTCCAAGTACACAGCGCGCAAACGTCGCGTCAAGTTCTAGGCTTCTCCTCCGATTGTACCACTACACTGGATACCCAATGCATTTCATCTTATGGACCACAGTCCGCAGTCAGTTACTCACCTCTCCTGGCTCCTTGGACCGCGTGGAAGACCCTACACCGAGGCGCTGACCTCCACCTGCTGTTACTCGTCACTGCGCCATCGGTAGGGAGGGGTGGTGGTCCTCGGCCACAAGCCCCCCTATGTACCCCTTCTGCACGGTTCGACTTGTACCTTCCTCCGCACCAACGCCCATGGGCCTTTCGTGGAGTTGCCTTGCTGCGCTGTTGACATGTGTTGAACATGATCTATAAGGGTTGCCAGGGCTCATGCTCTTGCGTCATTGAACACATTGCTGCAGGACGTTGTTTCCTTTTGCTATTAACACATTGATGAATTGCTTAAGTGGACTTGACATGGGACGATATCATTTGAAATGGGGAGGGGGGGGGGGGCTTATTGAGGAATTGTAGGAGACTGTGGAGGGAGCACTTGGAGAGGTCTTGACACGAGAGGGCGAGGTTCACACTTGAAGTTGCGCGCGCGCGCGAAACACGGCTTGAGGCACCTAGTAGGGGCGGGGCTCGGCACGCGACTCGGTGGGAGGAGCAGGACGGCGCTCGGGCGAACGGGAGTAGCGGCGGCGGGCGGGCGAAGGCGAGCGGCGGCGCGAGTCACGGTCAAAGTCACCACCACGGGCCGAGCCACGCTCATCCCTGTCCTCGCGGTCGGCGCCACGGTCGGCACCACGGTCGGCGCCACGGTCCACGCCGCGGTCAGACTCGCGACGCGAGCGGCCGCCGTAGGGGTCCTCGTCACGACGAGCGGGGTACGACGAACCACCGTCGCGGCCGCCGTCCCTGTCGCGCCACGTACGGTCGCGGTCGCCACCCCACCTGTCGCCACCGCGCCTGTCCTCGTAGCGGTCACCGCCACCACCACCACCCGAGTAACGGTCGCCACGGTCACCACGGTAGCGGTCGTCGTAGCCACGACGGTTGTCGCGGCCAAAGCGGTCGTCGAAGGGACGCTTCTCGCCGCGGTACTCTCCAGGAGTAGGGGCGTGGGCCTTCTGGGTAGCCGAGTAGTCGACACGGATGGCACGTCCGTGGAGAACCATGCCGTTGAGCTTCTCAATGCAGCGGGTGGCGTCCTCAATCTGGCGCATGGTAATGAAGCCGAAGCCACGCGAACGGTCGGTCTATTGTCAGCAAGTTGCAAGCTGGAGGTGTGTACTTACCCTCTGGTCGTAAACAATGATGACCTTCTCAACGTCGCCGAAGCGGCTGAACTCGTCCTCGAGGTCACGCTCGCGAGTGCGGATGGAGAGGCCAAAGACACCGAGAACGTTGTTGGCGTCCGCACGGGGGGCGGTGGTGGGGCGGGGAGCGGCAGGGGGCATGTCCCTAAACGTCAGACTGCGAGAACGGTTGGCAGGAGGAGAGAAGGAGCGAGAGGGACGATAGCAGTCCGCCTGACGCCATGGGGCGGGCGGGGAAGGGGAACGAGCAAAGTAGGTAAACTGGCGGAGGGGGGGAAGAGAGCCACCTGGAGCGCTGGGGGAGGACCAGCGAGAGGCTGAGCGCATGGACGCGTCCGAGCCAGGCATGCTGAGCAAGAGACCGTGGAGGATGGATAGATGATGATGATGAGAAGGAAGGGATGTTTGTTCCCAAGAAGCGACCAGCAACTGTCCTTCCCTCTGCGCCTCGAGCTGTCCCCATTGCGCCCACTGTGACGATCCCTCTCACAGCTCACATCGGCGTTCAAACGTCCAAAGGACTCCCTCCACCTTTGGGCCGCTTGGACCACCGGGAAGAAACGAAACGAGACAACGAGACAACGACGACTTACCTGCGGTCGTTGCGGTCGTAGCCGCCGGGGCCACCACGCTCATCGCGGTCGTCACGACGGTCACGGTCGTCACGGTCGTCGCGGTCGTCGCGAGCGTCGCGGGACTCGCGGCGCTCAGGCATGTCGACGTCGTGGGCCGGGACGGGAGCACGCTCCGAGTAGCGGTCCTCGGCGGGCTGCACGGGCGAGCGGGGAGCCCAGGTCTCGCGCGAGATGGGAACGTTGGAGGAAGAGAACTCCTGCAAAGGTGTGAGCTAGCTGGACGCTGTTGCTGGGTGCTCTGCTCACCATGGTTGCGTGTGGTGTATATGAAACGACGGGTGCTGCCAACATTCAGAGCTGACGGGCATGGCTGCATGGCTTGGGCGATGCGATCCGCCGGCGGCGCAGCGGCGGTCTCTATTATTTTGGCTCGCGTTTTGCTTTATTTATCCCATCAGCCATGGCACTTGAGAGACGATCCGGCAAGCCATCGATCAAACGAGGCGCACTTGAAGTTGACAGCTGATGTAGCTGAGTCCGTGGTGGACGAGCGGTAGAGACCAAGGTGGACAGCGCCACTGAAAAAGGCACATTGCATCGACGACAAACGACCACAGTTGCGGACCACACCTCCACCGTCTTAGGCATCTCGATGAGGGGCCGACTGCGGCTGTGGCACACATAAACCACACGCTCCAGGATGCAGTATGGCAGTATACTGGCTTTGATATTGAGCTAGCTGGAGGATACGTATGGAAACTCAAGGGGACCTCGCAGTTGGCGTCAGCAGGTGGCCTTGTGGCCTTCCTCCCATCGGAAGAGCCCCGCCACATTGAATGGTTGTTGCATTGTTTGACTGGCATGTGATGCATGATCAGGCTCTTGTCACTAGAACACGTAATGCATGGGCAGGCATGAGTGTCCATGTGGGCGGTGGTATTCGTGGATACTTCAGATATTATACGATCTGAGGATGTGACCGTCTTCATCGCGGTGTGACATGCTGCGGAGATGTTGGGTGACGAAGAGATTCTCGCACCATTGCAAGCTGTGGAGGGAGTGTGTCCTCCGTTACTTCGTGTGGAGCGGAATATGCACCGGAATGCACCCCTACTCATATGTGCCTCTTCTCAATGTGCTTTGCATGAGAACTCGCAGCAGAAGAGACGCAGATAGACAGCGATGTGATGAGGAGTTGTTGTTGACGAAACCACTCGCCGGCACTTTTTGGCGATTAAGCGCTTGGGCCCCGCATTTTGGCCGCCCCTGGCCGCTCTGAGCTGCCACCAGGACACCCATACACAAGCACGGGTATCCATTTCTCATTCTAACCATCTCTCGTACTGCCCACGGGGCCTTTGACATTACTCGTCCTCAGCAACCATGTCCCGTCGCGAGCAGGACGCCCTGCTCGCGCTGTTCAACAGCTTCCGGCCATCGCGGCGAGTCACTGCGTTTGACCAGCTGGCCGACGCCAAGGTTCTCATGGAGGTACGTTTCTTGCACACGCGCGATGCTATCCAACACGCGCGATTACAAGTTTGATGCTGACCTGGTCACAGGTGATGCACTCCATGTAAGTTGACAGGCGCGGGGGCTGTCTTGTGCTAACGGCAGTGATGCGACTCACTTCAAGGGTGGGCCCAAGGCGGCGGCGGCTAAGCCCTCAACCTCATCTCCGTCCGACAACTGGGTTCTGCGTATGAACACACTGTGGGTGACGACGACGCTTACCACTGGCTGACATTGTAGCAAGCGCCTGTACCGCCTTCTACTCTCGTACCCACTGAATGCACCAAACGCGCAGACGTTAGCCGTCACTACCTTGCCCGAACCGAACTTCAATGCCGTCGCACGCAACCCCAAGTCACCAGAAGGCTCCGCTGGCCTGGTCCAGATCTGTCGCCTCTGCGTCGTTGTCGGCGCGATGGGTCCAGCCAATGAACGAGTCATTGCCAAGATTCAGGCGCTCGACGAGGGTGCCATGGTCGAGCTCATGAAGACAATAGAAGGCGTGAGTGTGGAACACATCACCAGCATCGTGGCAGGAACAGGCCGTTTGACGTTTCGGAGAGTTAACTTGTTGCAGGTCATGGCAACGTTGCCACAGGGTCACGAAGGAGACGATGAGGCCAAGGAAGCAGAGGCTAGTCCATTGTCGTGAGTCCTGGGTGCAACGATGTCGCTGGCAAGCATCCAGAACAACGTGTTGACTTATCTCAGGCCTCCCGTATCGGCCCTTCGCGAGGAACGGGACCGCCTGTTACAGGAGAACGACGACCTGCGCTCCAAATACGAACAAATGACGGAGCAGGTTGCCAACCTGAGTGTCCAGATGAATGAGGCCTCGGAAGCCCGCGAGAATGACCGTCGCGCTTCCTTGGAAGCTGCACGCACCACGACTGTCGGCATTAGCGAAACCGAGTCGCTTCGCGCCGATCTCGTCCGCGCCGAGGACGGACTGGCAGAGACCGAAGCTGCCCTGGAGAAGCAGACCACTCTCGTGGCCGAGCTCACCAAGACTGTGGGTGATATAAGTGAATGAGCTGACCCATGCAGGTTGAGGAGCTTCGTGGGACTGCGTCCGAGGTTGCCAAACTCCGTGACCAAGTGGAAGAGTTCCGGCAAGTAGAGGAACGCCTGCACAAGAACGAGAATGTTATTGAAAAGTACAAGAAGAAGCTGGAAGACTCGGCCGGTCTCCGTCGCGAGCTTCGTATCCTGGAAGAGGAGAATACCGTCATGATGGACAAGAACGCCAAGCTCGAGGTCGAGTTGCGCAAGCTCTCCGCTGCCAAGGCCCTGAACGACAACTACCGCACACAGGTTGAGACCCTCGAAAAGAGCACGAACCAACAGGCGTCTGAGTTTGCCAACCTCACGGTCCAGCTCGAGCAGGCACAACAGGCCCTCGCCGACATGGAACGTGACCGTGACCGCCTTCGTGACGAGATCCACGTCCACCAGGAGCGCATCAAGGATCTTGAGGCGCCCAACAAGCAGCGGCCCATTTCGATGATGGGATCGCTAGATGTCGGAGACACGTCGCTAGATGCCGAGCTGGACCTGACAGGTGACGAGAATGAGGGTCTCAGCAAGACCGAGCTGCGTCGGCGGATCCGCACCCTCGAGCACAAGCTTGCTGGTGTGGAAGCACCATCCGAGGACAGCGAGAAGATGGCTGCCCTCGAGACTATGCTTGCCGAAGCCGGTAAAGGTCGCGAGCGGTACCAGGCCGACTACCTCGAGGCAAATCGCCAGATGCTCCTTACACAGGCCAAGCTCGAGCATATTGTCACTGGCCGCGGCGGTGACGAGACTGCCACTGCGCTGGCCCTTCGCCAAAAGCTCGACGAGGTCCTCGAGGAGCGCGATCACCTCGTCAAGGATAAACAGGCTGCCGAGGTCGCCCACAGCGAGCTTGTTCGTCAGCTCACCAACGTCAAGGCTGACTGTGAGTGTATAAACTAGTTCAAAGGCTGACGTGTTCAGTGGGTCTTGTCGACAAGGACAAGCGCAGCATCATTGCCTCTGCCCGTGACGAGGCACGTTCCGAGAACCAGACATACAGCAGGCAGGTCACGCACCTGACCGACGAACTGGCCACACTCCGCGAACGCGACCGCTTGCACCTTGAGGAAATCCGTCATCTCATGATGGACAAGATTGAGATGCAGGCGTCGGGTATCGAGCAGGGTCAGGAGGCTCTTGAACGTGAGCGCCGTTTCAACGACATGCGCGCCTCGCTCGAGGCGGCTGGCATACCACTTGCATCTCAGGGTCCCATGCTCGACATGCAGGAGCGCAACGACAAGCTCACTACCGAGGTTGCAACGCTCAGCGAAAAGCTCAAGAAGGCGCGCGCGTTCATCAAGAACCAGGACGCGCTCTTCCGTGCCGAGGAAGGCAAGAGGGTAAGCGAACTGGTGAGGACTTGTGGGCTGACATTCAGCTCTCTGCAACGACGAGCGAGGCTCAGAAGGCGTACGAAGCGCAGATCACCCAGCTAAAGAGCGAGCTCTCGCTGGCGAAGGTAAGCTGTCTCCCGCGCTGTTAGCTGACAATGCAGAGCACTGCCTTGTCGATGGACTCTCGTTACCGCCAAGAGCAACAGCTTATGCTTGCTGCCTGGCACGACGTTGGAGCTCGTGTCGTGCGCGACCACGTCGTGGCTGCAGGCCTGCGCCGCCCAGTGGTACAGCGTCCAGCTCCCGTCGCCTGGCTCAGCCGTCAGAGAAAGCACCAGGACGAAGCCCTCTTCGCCAAGTGACACACCGGAATGACCATGCGCGCATTATTACGACCCCCTGACGAATGTTACCTACCTGTCCGTTGAGAACCCCCCATGCCTTCAGCGACTACCCCAGTCCTCTGTTTAATAACTACATGTAGAAGCCCCATAGCGTCCGTCACTCTCGATAGCTTCCCACTAGATGCCACTTCCTGTGGAACGGACTCCCCCAGGCTGAACTCACGGCGGCAGCATTTTTCTCCTGGGTTTATTTTGGAATTTATCCCGAGATCGTCAAGAGTCGGAGGAGAGATGGAGGTTCATGAGCCAAGAGCCAAGTGAGGACGCTGAAGCAACCACCTAGACCACCACCATGCCGCTGTACGAGCTCTTCTGCATCGCCAGCCACAACCCCGTGTCCCCAGTGAGTATCGACATTCATGGGAAGCACGCATCGCGGGGCCCGGAGGAACGCGCGGAAAGCACACGACCTAGGCCGATATATCTGCGACATTCGTCTCCGACTTTTGTTGAACGAGGTTGGGTGGCGTGTACCTCGCCCGCATCGGCAGACGATTGGCATCTGGGCCTCTGTGGGCAAGCATATTCCTGCGTACAGGTGACATGTTCTTCCCCAGTCTGTCCCATGTGATCGATGTGCGGCCGTCATCAACCTCGACCTCAACAACATTCCCTCCCCTCCCATCGCCATTCCCTCACGACTTCCCTCCCCACGCCCAACCTACGCTTTTCGTTGCTCTTCCTGTGCCCGCGTTCCTCCCAGCGCTGTCTCGCGTTATCGACACTGTCTCATGATCCGTGACCTGTGCTAACCTCCAGGCAAACTTGCGTCAATTGGTGCAGTCGCTGGCGACCACTGTCCACCGTTCGGGCGGCGTGGTGCGCGACTTTGCTTCGCTCGGCAAGAACGTTACTCTGCCAACCCGCATGCGTCGTAACCAGCAGTACCACACCCACGGCGAGTGAGTAGATGTGCTTCCTGTGGCGAGGCGGAGGACGATGAAGGGCGAAGAGAGGAGAGTAGAGGTGACTCGCATGGCCGATCCAACCGTCTTCAGAGCACATTGCACTCGGGCTCTCGGGTTTCTCACTTTGTCGCTCCTCTCACGCTACCTTGCTAGCCACACCATACTGACAATACAGCCACTTCACCATGACCTTTGACACCTCTCCCATCGTTCTCAAGCGCCTGAACGAGACTCTGCGTACCGACCCCCTCGTTGTGCGGTGGATGTTGACGAAGAAGGGCGTGGCTCTGTGAGTTAGAAGCTGCTAGGCCGTGAACTTTCTACTGACGCCTGTCTACAGCAAGGATCTCAACCCCGCTCCCTCCACCACCATCCGCGAGGTCAACACCGCTTAAATATTGGCATAGGTTTTTGTATCATGGCATGTCATATCTGCACGACACGAGAAAGCAGCAGCAAACAGTTACTGCTTCGCCGTGCCGACGCGGTCCCGTTACATTGTGCTCTTTGGTGGTTATGAGTTGGTATGCTGATTTGGTTTGGGATGATGCTCTCCTCTCGTCGCCCCGTCGCTTGTGGCCATGAGGACCGGTACACCTAGGTCTTGGAACCCAACCACCGGCCGAGCTTCTCAAAGAACCCAGGCTCGGCAGACTTCTTGCTGCTCTTCGTCTCGACTATTGGCGTCTCGCCTTCCTTGACACGCTTCTTGTAATCGCTCGGCAGCTGGACATTGCGCGACGCCCACATGCCACGCTTGGCGCGTCTGTAGAGCGTCAGTAACGGGTACGGGAATCAGTGACTCACTTGGCCTCGTCCTCGAGACGTTGCATCTTCTCAAGACCCCAAGGTCCATACTCGCTGCCTCCCTGCGTGTACACAACCGCCATACCCTCCTTGAGCATCATTAGGGGGAGGGGCTTGTCGGGAAGAATGGTACGGTGGATGTAAGGCAGACCGACCTGGGAGCATCAGCAAGGCTACCCAACACTCGATGTGACATAAGGATAGCAAGGTGTTGTAGAGAAACACATGCACCTTCAACCCCGCGCTTCCACAGACTCGGTACCCACGATACGGTTGTACTGGTCCTTGCGGAGCAGCTGGCATCTGACAACCTTGCCAGTCACCTCTTTGACGAGCCAGTCAAAGCTCTCCTTGGCATGTGGTTGAGCAGGGTTGCCAAAGTGTGCCATCTCAGGTGCGTCGACGCCAGCAATACGTATCGAGAGTGTTTGGTTCTTGAGATCTGATGGGTCAGCGTCCTCCTCTCGCACCCTGGGGAGAGCTAAGGTGTGAAGGCCTGACAGATAGTTGCGTCTCTCATTGTGACGATACCTGCACTGCCCGCCTGACGTCTCAAGGAACAACTCACCCTTTACACCAGTGGGGACACGACGGAACTTGAGTGGCCAGCGCCAGAAAGGGCCAGGAGTGTGGTACAACCGGAAGCCGTCGCCGTCTCCAACACTGCGAGTGGTATTAGTTTACAAGAGAGTTGTGTAAGGAACGTCCATGTTCAGTGACAACGAGGCCTGGCCGCAGAACGCAGCTGCCGGCGCCAGTCGTTCTTGCCAGCGTGACATGCGCGGTCTCCAACTCACCGAGTCACAACACCCTTGATAAAAGGCTGCTTTTCAATTATTGAGCCAGTTACAGAGTCGGCGTTGGGGATGCGCTTGAACCACCTGCGGTATCCTCTCGCAGCCCCGAGCGTTCCAGCGACAGCGAGGACAGCAGACGCACCGGCGATGAACGCCGGCTCAAACGCCCATTCTGGGAGCTGCTTCTTGGCGTCGTCGATGACCGAGGCGTACGGATACCGCCTTGCCATGTCGTTCCGCTTGGCAAGCATGAACCTGCCATGTTCCGTAGCGCTGTCCGCCGCGGTGGACGAGTGAGTCATGTCAATGGTGGGTGGGTGTTGTGGTGTCAATATTCGGGACTGAGCCCGAGATCGCGCCAGTAGTTCGTCGCCGCCGTCGTCCCTGCCGTCACGCTTCAACCGTTGTCCACACGTCATCGGGCGACATAATCCCACTTTCACTTTCTCTTCAGCAACCATGCCGCCAATTCCCCTCACCCCAGCACCAGACCCGACACCTACGCTCTCCCGCCTCTCTCGCAGGCTGCAAGACGTGCGCTCGTACCAGATCCCCCGACTGCGCGACTGCTCAACATCTCTCGCGCGCGACCTGGCCAACGAGGCCCGCGGCGACCTCGAGGCCGTCCGTGCGGGACTGGAGGATGCCAAAGAGGAGTGCGAGGCCCTGCCGCCTAGTCTGAGAGGGGCGGTGATGATGATGTGGGACGAGGTAGAGGCAGAGTACATTATGTGAGTGGGGACGAGTACCGGCTGCTGGTGAACGCGTGTGTTCAGCTACCAGGAAGTCTTCTGCAGCTGGACGCCGGTAATGCCACCGTCCCCTCCCCTCTGTCCATGCTAACAGTCCCCAGTGTCCGTGACGAGTATCGCGCCGCGCTTGTGGCATCCAAGCGCGCCCAGGTCGCCGCATCGAGCCGGCACGAGCTACTGGACCCCGACGAGGTCCCAAAGGCCGAGGCGACGACGAGCGCGGGGTGAGTGGAGCTCGTGACGCAAGACCAGCTGCATAGGTATAGCAGAGACAGCTGCTTACACTTGCACAGAGGTGACGACGCGTTACAGACCAAGACAAACGAAGTGACAGACGCGCTTCGTCGCACGACGCAGCTCCTCCAGACCGAGTTGGAGCGCAGCGTCCTCAGCGTGCAGATGTTGGGTACGTTTTCTTGGCATGTCTAGGATGGCTGTCGTGGAGCCCATCGTACTGACACTCGCAGACGAGTCCACCCGCACCCTGCGCACAACACACGGCCTGTACGACACGTACGACGTTCTGGTTACCGCCTCGGCGCAGCTTGTGCGGGCCATCGAAAAGGCAGACTGGTGGGACCGCGCCCTCATCTTTGCCGCGCTGGGCCTCTTCCTCCTTGTCGTCGGTTATGTCATCAAGAAGCGCGTCCTTGACCGTGTGGGTGGATTTGCCGCCTGGTGGATTGGCGGCAGTTACCGTCTCGTCAAGATGGGTGTCGGGGCCGGTGGTGCCAAGCAGGCCATTGCGTCTGCTGCGGCTGCGTCAGCGTCGGCGGCCGCAGCGTCGGTACAAGCTCAGCGCCAACGAGGAGGACAAGCAGAGAAGGGGGACGCGACACGAGACTCGCCCATTGACGCGGCCTTGCCGGACGCACCCACACCCGACTCGGCTGTTGGTGGCGCCAACCTCAAGGACGAGTTGTGAGCAGACTCATCGTCCTGCAGCATTATTCTGGGCCAGTTCGGTGCATTTTTGGGCTCGCAACCCGATCCTCGTGCGTTTACAGCGATGCATCACATTATGCATCACATTATGCTACTTCTAACTTGTGTGTGTGTTGAAATCTATCCTCAAAGCAAGACCTCCAGGTTTACAGCATCTTGCCCATGGCCACCACCAAACCCCTTTCCCTGTTAACTTCTTTCACTCCTCGTCGCTACCGGCTGATTGGAGGGGACGCAGCAGATTCCGGCGATGTGGTGCCGTTCGAAGTCTTGGTCTTGTGACCGTGAGAGCGGTGGTGGTGGGCGTTGGGGCCGCAACGCATCGGGGTTCCAGAGCCGTCGGTCGATGGGCCGGGGACCTTGTCTCCAAAGATGAACTTGGTCACGACCGCCTCGAGCTCGTCGACGTCCTTGGGCAGCGCATCCAGGTCCAGTTGAGGCATCCACTTCTCGCCGACAGGTCGGAAGTAGTGCGGGCCCGGTGCAGGCTCGCCCGTGGCCTCGCGCTCCGAGCGAAGGGTGCGCTGGTGCTCCTCGACCTCCGACTTGGCCTCTTGTGCCGCTACCATGTCCGACAGCTTGATCGCCGCCGTGAGCTTGCTCCAGAGCCTGTGGGTCAGCGCCACTGTTTCTACGCACAGCTCGCTAGAGAACAGGTGCCCTCGTCCGTTGACTCACCTCCTGCTCTCGTTCACCTCCTGCTCCTCCTCTGGCAACACCGACTTGGGGGCAGTCTTGGAGTTGTGAGCGTCAAAGATCGCCGCCTTCTTGCTCGTGTCCTTGTCGGCAAAGTCCATGACGCCACTCCACATGCCCGAGAGCTCGCCGAGGTCGCGGCCACCGGGGCCCTTGACGCGGCCTCCGATAAGGTTGTAGCCACCCGAAATCCAGCCCTTGGTCTTGAAGTCGACATCGCATGAATAGTCGGTCTGGTCATTCTTGACAGTGGAAAGGTCGCCAAGCTCGAGAATCATCTTGCCAAAGAGGATACCGCGTGCGTACGTGTTGGGCATGGTGATGCTGTACTCGCCGTCCTCGGGACGCTGGAGGAAGCGGACACGGTCCTCACCCTCCATGATCGTCGCCGCCGAGTTACCAAGGAACTTGGACTGAAAGCAAATGTCAGCCAGTGCTTCTCGCGTCGTCACACCATCTGTAACGCAGCCGACGCGTCCGTCCGTCATGTCCCCCCCGGACGCGTCACGCGTCGCCATAAATCAGACACACCTTTGGCTTGAGCTCTCCGGTAATGAGGATGCCATTCTTGGGCGACACGTAGAAGAAAGCCGAGATTGGCGGGTGGTGTGACACCTGCTCAGCCACATAGTAGCCAGAGCTGCCGTCCGGATAGTAGTATGCGCAACGGAAAAACTCGTTGAGAATCGGGTTGTAAGGCTTCTTGACACTGGTATGGTCAGCTTCTGACGTGCATTTCTCAATTCAAAGTAGCAGCAGCAGTAGCACCATCGTAAACGGCCAGAGGAACAAGAACCACAGAAGGTCGCCTCAGTCACGGATAAGAAGGCGCTCCGGAGCGCGCCTGGGAGCTGGGAGGGGAAAATGTCACGCGGCATGGCGCGAAGCCTGAAGCTCAGGCGTTTGGCGGCGCCTGATATCAGGCGCCAGCCTGCATGTCCCGGCAAAAATGACCAAGACAAGCAAGAAGCCTCTTTGCCGGTCTGGGCCATACACCGTCATGACGCTCCCACGAGGTCCATCGACAGAACGCTCGAACGAGAGGCGGTGTGAACAGAACCGCGAACCGTTTACTCACCCACGCGGCTTGATGTGCCATCCCGACAGGTAGAACGTCAGAACGCTCATGAAGCGTTGGCGCGCGTCGGGGTCATTGCCGGCCCTGTGCGGCGTCAGCGCCATGACATGAGATGAGAAAGTCGGCCACAGGGGTCTGAGCGAGATACCGAGGACTGCCCGTGGGGATGCGCATGCGCTGTCTCGACCACTGTGCCATCCTCGGTGTTTGCGAGCCTGGAGCACCCAGGCATGGTTTTCGCGCGTGCAACAGCACTCAGCTCCCGGGTGACACCACAAAGCAAGCAAGGGAGAGCTCGAAGTGTGTGCTTTGCGGCGCGAGCCGAGGCCGAAACCGCCGGAACAACAATGTTACCGGCGGCCTCACCTCTGCTTCTCGTTCGCAACGTGGGAAGCACCGAGCACGTACCCAAAGATGAGGTCGGGGTGGCTGAAAAAGTCGGTGATGCGCTCCAGCAGCGAGCGGGGCTCAAGAACAAAGGTTGGCAGCGCAATCTTGGTCAAGTCCATTCCGGGACGAACTGGCAAGAAGTCAGTGAGGGAACTTCACACGCGACGGCGATCATAAGAAGTCTGGTACGACACGAGCTAGACGGATAGCGAACGTGACTAGCACGTTCGGCCCTGTAGCAGGACACTCGATCATACTGGGAGGCAAGAGCGATGGCTGGGAGAGCAGGCCGAAGGGATGGCCGACGGCGACGGACGACGGCGCGTTCCCGCAAGCGCGGTCCTAGGCGCTCATGTTCATGTACGTACGCTGAGAAATCAGGCTGAGGAGAATGTTTCCCTCGTCCTTGTCGAGGGTGCTCATGTCGGCGTCGCGACCGTCCTCCTCAGACAGGTCCTTGGGGGGCGGGGCGGCGGAAGACCGACGCGAGCGCGACGAAAGCGTCTCGATGGAGGTGGAGAGGAGGCCCATTGTAATCGGGTCTGCGGCGGAGGGGTGTGGAGTCGGTGGGAAGGGGAGGGGGTGGGTGTGGGGCGATGGAGGCTGGTGCTAGGAATGCGAGGCAGCTGTGCGTGCAGTGTTGAGACTGTGTGCGTGTGTTGTGAGGGGGCGAATGAACGACCTTATCGAGATGTGAACAAACGACAGAGCGCGAGAGAGATGGGGGACGCCGAGAGTCTGGTGACAAGCCCAAAACCGACAGGACGCACGCGCTTTGATGGTTGCTCCGACTCCAATAATGTGCGGGTCCGGCGAAGGGTGACTAAAAGGGACAAATCGCAAAAGCGAGAGTGGAGGCGAGCACTGGAGCGAGCGATAGAGAGAGAGAGAGAGAGAGGTCTGCTTGTGTGTATGTGATAGATGACAAGAAAGAGGGAGAAAGGGAACACAAGAATGCGTAGCCAGCAGAATGCATATGCATGCGCACCAGTTGGCCTGGGCCGACGGGTGCGCCGCCACTTCCTTTGGCCTTCGGGCGCCGAGGCATAATACTCCAAAGTTGCCCAACGGCCATGACGTGTGCTGGCCGAGATGTGCCGTCCTATTCGGTGCGATCGATGCATGACGTTGGCCGCTTTTCCCGCTATAACCGTATTTGCTCGACATTCTACACTCAACATTGGAACTACCATCCCGCATCACTGGCGGTGCTCCGATAGCTACTGGCACTGCTCATGACGCGAGGGGTATCGTCGCCTGCACGCGTGAGCGACAGGGGAAGCACGGCTTCGTCATGAATGGCCTTTTTCAGGTACACTTCGTCGCCCTGCCCACAGTGTCAGCTTTGAGCTCTGCAAACACACAACGCACGTTTACGCACTCGTCCCGTGTCTGGGAGAGCACATAAACTCAGCATGATACGTACCTCGAGCGGGGTAGTCGAAAAGGTCAGGCCCTTGTCAAAGTGCTTGGACAGGCACCGTTCAGCGACAGCCCACTCGACATGCGAGGTGAGCTTCTTGCGAGGTTGCACAGTAAGGGAGTGGCGCTGCGATAGTCAGTGGCGCGCCCCAATCACGGTCTAATCCTATTGCCGCCGGTGGGGGGATGGCGGGCGCCGTGCGGGGGCTTGCGAAAACGGCCCTCCCACGTTTCCACAGCACCCACGGCCAGCGGCCAGCAAGTGCCTTTGCCCCACATCTTGTGTAGTGGAGGCGCTTGGCACGGAGTGGCCATGACGGTGTGGGTACAGCGGATATACAAGCGAGCGTTCTCGGCTCCGCGCCAAGACCACCATATCGGAATCTCCCCGAGTGGAGTTTCCGTGTCTCCTCTCGGCATCGTCCGCGCTACAAAGTAGAGGCCACTTACCGCATCGACATTGCTGTCAAGCACCGCCGGACTGTGTGCACCCTCGCTGATGGAGAGTCGAATAGAAAAGTCCTTGCTCTGCTTGGCGTCTTTCGCAGACGTCTTCTCCCACAGCTCAATGGTAACGTGCGAGCAGTAGTCGAGCTCGGGAATGCGCAGGTTGGTGAAGGGCAGCCCGGACGCGAGCAAAAGGTGAACAAAGGTGGTAATGTGCGACTCCTTGCTGCAAACGATTAGTGCTGTGCTCGACGGCTTGTGCGAAGGCTGCGACCAGCTTCTTGTACTCACGTAAAGTAGAAGCACGCCAGGCTCTTGCCAGTCGACTTGGCCTCCTCGAGGTCACCCCAGACCTTGCGGAGGAGAGGAAGTGATGTGAGAACACCAATCTCCTCCTTGCCCTCGGCGTCGAAACCGTATTCTTGCGGTGCCACAAGGTCAAAGAGAGCCTTCGCACGACCAACGAGCTCGTGCAGGCGGCGGTCTTGGTGTTCGGCACCGCTGCGCGACGACAGACCCTTGCCCGCGGGATCGAACACGGCGAACAGGAAGTTGCGGTTGTGCAGCGAGTCGTACTTGATGCTGTCATACAGTTCGCTGACACGCGAAGGGTCAAACTTCTCCTGCTTGACGCCAACCCAGTCCTCGAAGATCTTCTCCCAACGCTCGCGGAAGAGCCAGGGGGAGTCGCCAGAGCACCACCTCTGCTGGGGGATCTTGTCGACATTGCCGTTCTCATAGTTGGCACGCATAATAGCCCGGAGCTCGGTGAGCTGCTCAATGACCTCCTTGACCACCTCGACAGGCTCCTTCTTGAAGCTCTTAGGCCAGGCCAGGTCCGCACGGCGCTCAGTCTCGCCTGAACGGAGCAGGATCTTGAGCTTCTTCTTGGCCTCGGTCATCATCTCCTTGCCAGCATTGTTGTCATCGAGCAAGTCGCGACGCTGGATAAGATGCGAGATGACGGGGCACGAAGGGTCATTGGGGGCGGTGCTTGCCGCAGCGCGTGAAGGAGCGGGCGTAGACGATTGCGACTGTGACTGCGACTGGGAACCTTCAACACCGAGCAGAGCGTGCGCGAAGATCTGGGCGGTGTTCTGCACAAGTCAGCGAGATTTTCATGACGTAAACTCACGATGACACGGCGTTCAGATGAAGTGTAGATCTTGACGTTGTTAAGCACATCCTTGTCTGCAGGTTAGTTATACTCCAGTAGTATCTCCTCACTCATGATCATGATGTCCTGGGGGAGTTAGCGCCAGGTATACGCTCTCGCAAGCTCACCTTCTTAAACGCGTCACCCAAGTCGCGTGACTGGTAACGGGCCGAGTGGGTGCTCTCGCCACCCCACTTGACAACCAGCTGCATCTTCTCAAGACCCTCGGGAATGGCGCAGTTGTCCGAGTTGCCGATGACGGCCGAGAGTTCAGGTGAACGGATGTGTGCAGGCTCGCCCGCCGGGGCATTGCCTACACTTCCACGCTGCAGCCAGTCGTCGACACGCTTGCGGCTCTCGGTCTCGGTAAGCTCGCCCTCGTCATCTGAACCACCCTTGTTCTTCTTGTCCTTCTTGTCCTTCTTCTTGTCCTTGTCCTCGCCCTCCTCGCTCTTCTTCTTGACAAAGCTAGGCTTGAGCTGAGCCTTGGTGCCGGGCAGAGACATCTTCTTGACAAGCACCTCACGGAGCTGGCCAAGCTTGGTAATGTTCTCGGGAGTGACACCAGGCAACTTCTCGGCCTCCTCAGCAGCAAGCAGGATGTAGTTGAGCTGGCGGGGGTCGCGGAGGATGATCTCCTCGCGGTGACCACGGAGAAGCGCAAGGAACGGCTTGGTCCATTGCTCGTGAGCAGGGAAGGAGAACTGTTGGGTCAGCGGAGGTTCCTTGCGGGTTCGCTAACCCACCTTGAGCTTCATCTTGGGCGTGCGGTCAGCGTGGCGGAGCACCGTGACGGTTGCGCGAAGCGTCGAAGTCGACGTGGTAGTCGACGGAGGCGGCATGGCGATTGACCGCGGTACGCTCGCTTTGGCAGCAGCAGCAGCAATCTTACGCTCGCGAGCCTGGTTGCAGACGGCCGAGAGGATTTCGGCAGAACGGTCATAGTACGCCTGGTTGCCCTTGACAAACGACCAGCCATTGACGTCAATGACCATGCTGCGCTGTCCGCCCTCGCAACGAAGAAGGTCAAAGCCGCAGACGCGCTGGCCAAAGGCCTCGACAATGTCGCGTGCGTACTCCTCCTCGTGTTCCGAAAGCTTAGTAATAAAGCGAGTCTCCTTGCCATCGGCGTTGCGCTGCACCAAGCCGTCCACGACGGGCGACTTGCGGGTCTCGGCATGCGAAAAGGCAGGGCCAACGGTGTACACCTTGACGTCCTCGGCATTGTCGACGTTGATAAACTCCTCGTAGATGAACGAGCCAACAGTGCGCGGGTGGTAAAGGTTGGGGTCGTACTCGCTCGACTTGTTGCCAACCTTGCGGAAGAGACGGCGACCACCACCGCCACGGTAGTAGATGTAGACATTGTGGTCCTCGCCGTTGACCGGTTTCTCGACGAAGGGCTTCTCAATGACCTTGCCGTCAACGATAATTGCATCGCCGTCGGCACGGAGAATGACATCGCGTCCGCGCGGCACCGGGTCCTTGGTGCACTTGCCCTTCCAGCGGTCGGGAGTCACAACATCACCCCAAGTATCCTCATCCTTGGCATTGGGGCCCGGGAGGACGAGACCAAGGTCGTTGCGTACCCGCAGGCGAAGGGAGCGGGGCACGCGAGGACCGCCGTCACGGTTCACCTCCGCACGCTTGGGAGTGGTGACGCCGACGTGGTCCAGAATGGCGAGTACCAGTCGACGGTCCCAGAGCAGGCTCTGCATAGCCAGCGAGTTGATAGAGATCGGTGGCAGGCGGTTGGGGATTTGAGTGTACGCCAGCGCCTTGGGCAGGGGGAAGTCGGTGGAGAAGAACGAGATGAGGACATCTGCCTGAGGCCAGTGTTGGATGTCTGGAATGTCAGCTTGCCTGTCCATACGCTGCTGACATGATGTACACCATGCTGGTCGATAGCGAAGGGGTGTTGGAAACCATGTCGGCCTTGGAGCTGCTGTGCCTCTCCAAGAACAAAAAGTCGACAAGCACGTGCGATAGCGATGAGAAACCTAAGCACTCACCTTCTTCGAGGATCACAACGTCGCCAAAGATGTTGACCTCCACACCGCCGTTCTCCATCTCGACGAGACGAGTGAGAATCTCGCGCATAGCCTTGGACCGCGCCTTGACATCCATCGCGCACACACCGAGGGTGACGACGGGAAGTTTGGGTGGGGCACGCTCAACGAAGGCGCATCCCTTGGTCGGGGAGGCTGGCGGGGCGGGGGACGCGCTTCCCGCGGATCCGTTGACCCGGGGAGTGGTGGGTCGTGGGGTGGACATGACGCCTGAGAAGAAGAAGACTGTTTAAGGCCGTTGATAGTAGCGAACAATGGAAAGATGGACAAAGACAGAGATGCCGAGACGGGACTGGACGCAGGGGGTGTACCGGGGAAAGGGGAGATCAGACAGCCGACTGAATGGGTGTGTTTTATGCGGGGACCCCACAGGCGATCTGGTCATTTCCTCATGTCGCCGAGTTCTTCTGTTTCTTGTATTCTCACTCACCCCACTCTTCACCATGAGCTTTAACATCGACGCCTTGCGCTCAGTGCTTACCGATCCCGTCCGCACCATTGCCTCCTCGAATGCCTGCACGGCTGCAGCTACCCAGGTGGACAATGCCGCTCGCCATGTCGCCCTCCAAATGAACACGAGGTGAGTGCTTCAGTCCTGCGGTCCAATACGCACAGACGGCAGTGAAGATCAAGCCGACGCCGCCATGCCGTCGCCGTCCCCCATGGTGCCTCACATGACCACCTACGTGTCCTTTGTAGAGAAAATGCAACGCTGACAGCACAGGGCGGAGATTCTCACCGAGTTTGCAGCTCACAGCTCTGACAGCCTCTGGAGCCGCTTGGGCGCCTTTTGGCCCGCCCTCGCCGACGCGCTTGAGCCCTCCAGCACCGTGGGCATTGAGGAGGCCAGGCAACTCGCCTTTGCGGCCGCCAAGTTGGAGCGCAACCTTGTCGCTGGCGTGAACGAGTACCAGCTCGAATGCCTGTACGTTGTCTTCCAGGGGGAACCAGGACAATACAATTGTTGCTGACAAGAACAGTCCCCACGCTCCCGACATCCGCCGACTCATCTTCAACGTCACCACTTTTTCTCGCATTGAGGATGAGGACTGTGAGTTTGATGATAGCACAAGAATTATTGCTCATGTATCAGTCTTCTCCCTTCAGGCGACCCTGGCACAGCTGCTCTGCAACCTCGTGTCGCCGGTCGACAATGACGACGCCAGTGCCAAGGAGCTCGCAGACAGTCAGCTCGCCATCTACCTCTCTGGCAACCGTGAGGATGACGTCGTCATGTGAGTTGATACTCCCGATAAAAGCTAACTCTCAGCCGCCTACTCGACTCACGCAACGCTCGCACAAACGTCGCCACGCTCCACCTCCTCAACAACCTGACGCAGGATGAGACCCGTCTGAGCTCCCTGCTCGAACCGATCGGTATCCGCTGGTTGGCCCAGATCCTGGGTCGCATGGATGACTGGCTCGACCACGATGACGGCCGTTTTGAGCTCGCCGCCCGCATCTTCAACCGCATGATCGAGCAGACTCTCACGACGCAACTGTTTGAAGACCTTGCCATGGGCGACGAGGTTATCACCCCTAGTCAGACGACTCTCTTGAAGCTCGTCGACTCGGCTCTCGCTGCCCCGCCCGCGCCCCGTCCCAACCCCCTTCACTCACAGTTTGCCTTCATTCTCCCCCTCTGGCACAACCTGGCCAAATACGCAGTCATCAGCATGAGGTCGGGCCAGGACGACGCGCGTCTGCCAAAGATCCTTATTGGACTGGTACTGGCCTGTGAATCGCTGTCGGCAATCGCCCTCAACGTGCAAGAGCGTATCGACGAGGCCAAGTACGGCGGCGACGTTGTTGTTCCTGGCGGCGACGAGGCCATGGTGGCGGCCATGAAGAGCGGTCCCCAGTGCGTCATCCCCCCGCTCGTCGGCGTTCTGCGCGAGACCAACACCTTCCTCCCGCGAATCAAGCCCACCGCCGAGGCCCCCGACGCGTCGTTGCCGTTTGCAAACGTCAAGCGCGACCTCGTCCGTCTTCTGGCCGTGCTGGCATTTGACGACCCCACCATTGGTGACGCCGTGCGCGCCGAGGGCGGTGTCGAGCTCGTCCTCTCCCTGTGCGAGACCGACGACCGCAACCCTTACCTCCGTGAACACGCGCTTCTCGCCGTGCGTAACCTCATGATGGGTAACCCTGCCAATCAGGAGATTATGCGTCAAATGGACCCTGTGGGTGTTGTGGGCGATAACGGAGAGCTGCTTCCCTTGCCGGAGAAGCTCAAGAAGAAGATGGCAGAGGACAAGGCCAAGCAGGCCGAGGCCGCCACTATTGCGGAAGAGGTCGAGCCAACCGAGGGCGAGTCGACATCTGAGCCCGCCCAGTAGTAGCAATACAATACAAGACACCTTTCTTTATATGCAAGGGGTTTCCGAGACAAAATATCTTGTGTTCTGCATCTGCATGATCTGTATCTACGCGTGCGAACCTCTACTATACATGCATCCATCGTATACACACTCTCTAAAGCTGGGCAATCGTCGCACCCTCTGCACTTGGGGGCGGGACCTGCTCGGTCACGGGAGTAACATTGTCGGCGGTCGTGGGCGCGATACCCTCACGAACAGCAGCCACCTCGGCGGGCTGGACGGTGGCAGGCGACTGCTGGGCACGACGGAGCAGGTCCTCGACCTGTGCGAGCTGCTTCTGAACAGAAATGCGCTCGCGGAAGAGGCGCTGGCGGTCCAGCTCGAGTTTGCGCTTCTCGTCCTCCAAAACGTCCTCGAGCTTTTCGAAAAGGCTGAGCTTGAGCTCGACCTTGCGAGCCTGAGCAGCGACAAGACGCGAGACAAGAGCAGACAGACGAGACTCCTCGTGCCGTGCCAGTGTCGAGGCCTTGGCAGCAGCAGCACCAATCGCAATGCTCGCAGCACGCTCGAGAGATGACTTGGAGGGGCCGTCGCTGTTCTCCTTATCGCCCTCGCCGCCGCCGTTGGTCTCCGTCGTCACCACAACGGCCGCCTCGGGCTCGTCCGTCTCCATGGCGTCGCCGGAAACTGGAGCCGGTGTCGTCGCTTCGGCCTTGACCTCGTCATCCTTCTTCTGCCTCTTGTCCGCGTCGGCAGAGTCGCCGTTCGTCTCCTTGTCCTCGCCGCCCTTCTCGGCGCGCTTACGCTTGAGACCCTGGGCAAGCTCGCCGAGGGCGCTTTGAGCGGCAGCGGCGGCCACTGCGGGTCCCACGGCCGATGCCAAAAAGGTGACGACGCTCATGACGGGGTTCTCGGCGCCCTCGAAGGGGACACCATTCAGGCCAGCTTGGTAGCGGAGAGGGCCGAGTTGAGCGCCGGGGTCTGAGGTGAGGTACTGGTCCTCGATAGGGAGCTGGAGGAACTTGGCGATACACTGCTCCTTGGAGCGGCTGGCAACGTGGTCCGAGACCGCCTTCCAGTCGTCGTCGTACATCTCGATACCCTCAAGAAGAAGAAGCGTCTCCTGGTCAGACCAGTCGGGGCCGGCACCCTGCGAGCCGTGCTTGAACACCTCGTCGTCCAGGCGCACAAAGTCGCCGGAGAACATGGTCGAGGGGAATCGTCCGTTGACGTAACAGGCGGGGCAGATGGTGTACTCGCCGTCCTTGAGCGAGTGGTAGCGGGTACGAGTGCAGTCGGTGCCGCAAGTCTCACACGAGTGGCTCTGCGGGCGCGCGGGCTCGGTGCCATTGGCGGCAACCTTGGCTGCCTCAGCCTCGGTCGTGGGCTTGGTGTTGCGGGAGGTCGACGAGTAAATAACCTTGCGAAGGTCGAGGTTGGTCGCGTGCGGGGTGATCGCGCCGCCGTTGGGAGCGAGGGCGCCGGCACCGGGCTTGGAGCCGGGGTGCAGGTTGCTGAGACCCTTGGGAGCGTCGAGAGTGACGCGGAAATGGCCAGTGAAGGGAGGACCGAGGGGTGCAGGGCGAGTCTCCGAGTCGACCTGGTAGTTGATGAGACCCCACTGCTCGAGGAAGCCGTGAACGCGCATGATGGCGCCCACATCACCTGCGAGGTTGCGACGACACGCGGTAACAGTGAGGTACTCCCCGGGGTTGAGACGGTACGTGTTGATCATAAAGTCGCGGTAGTCCTTGTAGATGGCCGGAGTCTTTGAACGGTTGCGCTTGCTAAAGAACTCGGGCAGCGACTTGCGCTCGATAGGGTGGATGGTAGAGAGCGAGAACCACGACGAGTAGCTGGGAACCACGAGTGGATGCGTCTGCGAAGCGAGGTACGTCGTCGCGAGCGCGTGCAGGTCGTTGGGCGAGAGACGCGCCGCGTCGCCGGCGGCAGGGGTGGCTCCATCGCCAGCGGCGTCGTTGCCGGGAGAAGCAGCGCCAAGAACAGTAGGGTTGGGCGCGGTGGATGATTCTGGGCGGGTCAGTAAAGAACACAATAAACGCGCCTCGCGCGCGTAAGGCAGCGCAGCGCGTACAGGGGAGGTCGAGGAAGGTCATCAACAACAGGGGGATAGCGCATCCATATGGATGGCATCCACCCTCCTCTTGGATTCCTCCACGCGTGCACTGCCGTACGTGGCTGCTTATACGCACCACCGTTGGCGCCATCGACATCCATGCCATCAGCGCCATCCTGGCTGATGTTTGCAATGTCCCCGCCAAACAGGGGCTCGCGTTCACGCTCCTTGCCGGGAGCCGATGTGAGGTCGTGGGCGGCAACGTCTCCTTCGAGGTCGTCGTCTGCCGGGGTGTCCTGTGGGACCTTGAACGAGATTTTTGGTGTCGACATGATGCGCTACCTAGATGGATGTTGGGGTTTACGCGACGGTGAAGGCAGAAAGAAGCGACGACGAGCAGCCGCGGCGGGGGGAACAACGAACGACAGCAACAGACTGGGGGCGTCGGACGGTGGCTAAACGGGGAGGACGGGTTAAATAAGACACAAAAAGGGGCCGAACTCACGGGCCTAATTTGTGCAACGCCTAGCTTGGCACACCTAATGCTCGGCACCCAACGATCATCCATCCATTCTGCGCCGCTCCTCCTCCTATCTGATACTCATGCATGTGTGGACAACTAGTACATAGCAGTGAAACTGATGGATGGCACGAAGATATCGCGCAAACTAAACAAACCCCTGGTGCTATGAGAATGGCGCCGGAGTCGGGTTGTAGACACGCAGAAGGCGACCTGAGCTGTCAGCTTGTTGTACTGGTGGGTTTACACCAAACGTGGCTCCCAACACTGTCCAAACGTCCAAACAAGGCTGTTTTAATGGGTGGTGATGGGCAGTCATGAAAGAAGCGCGATGATAGCGATGACGCCGTGGCGGCGCGTGCAAACAACCTTGCTCCCTGCACCCTGCCTCCACTTGCGCTCGACGATCCAACCCCCTGTTGGCTCATGAGGCGTGCGGCACGCGTGGTCTGTACGCGTCCACACCACATATCCACATGCGTAGACCAAGAGGCACTCACCATGGCCGACCTTGTTCTTGTATAAAAAGTTGACAATCGTTTCGCCTTCACGGTTCTGGCCCCCGCCGAGGCCCTTCATCCAGTGCTGGTTGGCCTTTTCGGCAAGGACAGCACGCGCAGCGTGCACGTCCGAGAGGGTAAACACACCACGCTTGATAGTTGGTGGAGGGGTTGGCTCCGGGGTCGATGGGCGACGGAAAGGAGCCGTCTTACTCCTTGTAGTGGGCGGAGCAAGGGTCTCGTCGTCGCCCTCCTTGCCCTCCTCATCTCCGCCCTCGTTACCTTCGGTAGCTTCCCCCTCAGGCTTGGGCCTGGCATCCTCGTCGCCCTGCTCAGGCTTAACCTCATTCTCAACGGGGACAGGTCCGGCTTCCACTTCCATTGGCTCGTGCGCCTTGGGTGATGGAGGATGGATGGGGACCACAGGAGGAGGAGGAGGAATGGTGTACAGCGCGTTGGCTGTGGTCATTAGCGACATCCCCTCCCATCGTATGGACAGAAACGTACGAGGGGTACACGACTGCTCAGACCATGGAGACACGTCCCACCTGGGCACCAAGTCATGCAACTCGAGGTACTTGTAGAGCGCCTCAAGTGGGAGGTCCAGGAAGTTGATCTGTGACGCGTCAGTTGAATAGTCCCATCATGACCCGCGATGGCGCCATGGCTGTATCTCCTCTCGGTTGCAGCATCCTTGGGGGCCATCACGCGTCCATCCGCCTCGATCAGGGGCGGCATCAGTACCAACCTTGGTCTTGATGTCGGCAGGCTCGCTCCACTCGTCCTCGCGGCCCTTGACCATGCCCACACCAAAGCTCATGGGACGTCGTTGGCCCTCAGCGCCAGAGTCCGGGTTTGAGTCCTCTGGCTTCCGGCGCTTTGTGCGGGCAGCAGGCTGTGCTGCGGGAGCGACAGATGCAGTTGACCGTGCACGTTTTCCGCCTGTCGCATTGCTCGGTGTGGGTGATGGCGCGTCTGGGGGCGGCATGGTGAGTTGACAGGTGGATGGAGTCGTTGCAAGTGGGGTGGATTTGGTTTGACCGTCCTCCACCCCCCGCTCATTGATCGTCGCCGGATTCGGAAGTATTTCCACGTGACTTGTGTTTGCGACCTTGCGAGGGGGGACGGGATAAGAGTGCCTGAGATTCTTGCCACTCGGAAATCTTGAAGGACCGGTGGTGGTGCATGACCTCAAGCTTCAGCGCGGTTCTTGCAACAGCAACAACAACCAGTACAGCAGCAACATGGTGGGTAACAAGGACAAGACAAAACCTAACAGATCAGGGAAAGGCAAAGCAGACGCGCAAGTTTGCCGCTGTCAAGCGGATGATCAAGCCCAGCGACCCTCGCTTGTGAGTCCGAATCAAATGTCCCATGGGCTCCTACTGACCGTGTGACAGGAAGGACAACATTGAGAAGGCTGCCAAGAAGGCCCAGAAGGAGAAGATCGCCGAGGAGAAGAAGACTGCTGCACAGTGGGTGAACGATTGTACAACGTGGCGCTGACACAACAGGACCCAGGTGTCTTCATCGTGAGCTGACATTGGCGTTTCCCACCACTAACCCCAGTCTCTTCCTGTCGCACAACACCGATCTTGGCCCTCCCTACCGCGTGCTTGTCGACACCAACTTTATCAACTTTAGCATTCAGAACAAGATTGAGCTTGTGCAGGGCATGATGGACTGCCTGATGGCCAAGTGTGAGTGTATGCTCGCAGAGGGGAAGGGAAGGTGAATGACTATTCGAACCTTGCACCTACAATCCTGCCTCCTCTGTGGCCACCTGTACGCATCTTGAAGACTAGCTGACCTTCAGGCATTCCCACCATCACCGACTGCGTCATGGCCGAGTTGGAGAAGCTTGGCCCCAAGTACCGTCTTGCATTGAAGTGAGCTAATCGAAGACCGCCTGAGCCTGAGCTTACATACAGGATTGCAAAGGACCCCCGCTTCGACCGCCTGAAATGCGACCGTAGGTGACCTGGTATTGACCATTACTAACTCCTATCAGACTCGGGAACATACGCGGACGACTGCCTCGTGCAGCGTGTGAGCCAGGCCCGTTGCTACGTTGTGGCCACTGTGAGTCGACAGGAGGGTGACATGGCGGAGCTTGTGCGAGGGAGCGCAGTGTGGTGTGCGTGTAGCTGCCCCACTGTCTCTGTCTACATTGCCCCGCCCACCCTCTATACGTGTATCCCACCGTGGCTGACTCCGCAGTGTGATCGCGACCTCCGCCGCAGGATAAGGAAGGTGCCCGGTGTGCCGCTCATGTACGTCGTCAAGCACCGCTACCAGATTGAGCGTCTGCCCGATGGTGGTGCGGCGTTCGTGTAAAGCGCGACTCCAGCAGCGCCCATGCCCACTACACTTTCTGCCACTGGTGGCACCCACTCGACTGGCGGGTTCACTCGATCTATCACTCTCCCGCCCGCCATTCACTCTCAACATACCTGGCCGTATACTACTAGACACAGACACGGCCGTTTGGGCTGTAGAGTACACACACTCGTACATATGCATTTGTATTGCTACAAGAAACCTTTGGGCTTCCAGTCTAGTTTATTGTTGTGGTATTGACTTCCTGATGGGTCAGCTATACCCTTCAGCGTGACAGACTCACCTCCAGAATCTCCTTGACGAAGGGGTGGGCGTTGACCAGCCGCTCGCCGAGAACAGCGCGCTTCCCTTTATCCTTGCTCTTTCCCTCACCAAGCTCCTCCTTGACGGCTTTGCTTTCCTTGTCATCTGACAAGGTATTGCTCTTGACCTCGCCGTGCATCTGGTCGGCCCCGCGAGGCAGCCGACGTACCCACTGCTGCTCCTCAACGAGGCTGAAGAAGTCGGCCAGGAGGCGGTCAGACAGCAGAGTTGAGCGCGAGCCAAAAATGACGAGCTTCTTCTTTGCACGAGTGAACGATACGTTGATACGACGCCAGTCACGCAACAGGCCGCCAACCTGAGTTTGGTCAGTGTTGCTTGGTGCACAGACAATGCAGCGCTGTACTCACGTTGCCGTCCTCGTTGCTCCTGACCATCGAGAAGATGATCACGTCTTTGTCACGTCCCTGTGCCTTGTCGGCAGTCAGGAGTTCGACCTTTGGCAGGGTGGTGAAGAAAGTGGAAAGGAGTTTGATCTGCTGTCGGTACGGCGTGATGACGGCAATGTCGTGCTCGCGCACACCCGAGTGAACGAGCGCACGTACCAGCGTGTACACCAGTGACGCTTCAGTTGGGTTTTGAACAAGCTCACCGGCGCGAGTCTCGCGCCCAGGTACAGTATCGGTGTCGACAAACACTGCTTTGGCGCTTGCACGTTAGCATTCCCTTGTAGGAACATCATCTCACCTTTCCTCCATGAGCCCTTGCACCCAGCAGTCTTCACCACATGTCGAAGGCGAAATCTCGGGGCACGTTTTGCGCGACCGCAGGGTCAGAACCTGGTTCGCGACCGCCTCAGAGCCACATCGCAGGCGGTTCTCGTATATGAGGCGGTTGGAGAGGAGCATAATGTCCTCGTTCATGCGATATTGAGCCGCCAGCGGCGCGACGGCGTCCGGGTGTGCATCAGACAGGCGACGGAAGAGGGACACGTCCAGACCACCAGCACGGGCTTCAGCTTTGCGCACCTGTACTGTCAGCTACCACTTGGAAGCACGCCGCCGGTACACTCACAATTGGAGGAAGCTGGAAGTGATCGCCAACAAGAACAAATGTCTCGGCACACCTGAGCGGTCCAAGGCACGTAGGCAAGGTAATCTGAGACGCCTCGTCTACAATGCAGTAGTCGAAGCGGCGGCGGTAAAAGAGAGGGCTGCTGTTAGCTGGCGCAACAGGAAACTACACTCACTGTTCGACTGCGAGACATGTGGCAGCGACGACGGGCGGGTCCATGAGCCTCGCGGCCATCTGCTCTGGAGCGGCGCTCGGTCCGAGTGCGTCGAGCGTGAGGTGACGAACGTCTGGGTGAACTTTGTCCTGGTTGCCGATACGCAGGACTTGAAAGTCGGCACCGAGGAGCTTTGTCACAATGGTGTCCACGGCCGAGTGGGTGTAACTAGTCAAGAGCACACTCTGACCGCGCTCGACAATGGCTTTGATGATCTCAGCGATGGTCGTCGTCTTGCCCGTTCCGGGCATACCAAGCACAAGAGCATAGTCCTTGGCTGTGAGGACCTTGGTCATGGCTTTGCGCTGATCTTCGTTCAGCGACGCCGGGATCTCATGTGCTGCTGGGCCCTTAGAATCGTCGAATTCCGGCTTGGCAAGGTCGACAACGAGCCGACGACGCTTAGCGTCACCATTCGTGAGGAACATGTGTGCTAGGTTGCCGCGCATCCGCGCCATGCCAGATGCGAGCTCGTCCCTATCGATGCGGAATGACATGTGGTTGGGGTCGAGTGACGAGCGGGTGCGCTTAAGCAGTTCGGTGAGGTCGAGCTGAGAAGCAAGCGCCACAGTGATTCGTGTGGGGGACAGTTCGGTCACAAACCCGCGGGCCAGACATGGTAGCTCGTCGATACTAATAGCCACAGGATCTCCCCGCGCAATGTGGCCACTGAGCAGAGTATGAGATGCGTCCACTCCAGGCGACCGCTCAAATGCGTAGGCCCATTTGTGAATGCGGTTAAGTGACTTGCTGCTGTTTTCCTCCTTGACGATGACCATACTGGCGAAGGCACGTCCAACCTTCTCACGCGCACTGGCAGTCATGGTCCAGAGCTGCGACCTCAACCGCAGCGTGTCCTGCTCCTCGAGCGAGAGGAGACGCTCCCAGTGGGCGAAGAATTTGGCATGGGCATCGGTCAAGTGGCCAGTCTTGGATTCAAAAAGCTCGCCGATAGGGTCGTCCTCCGGCGCTGGCACTTTGTCGACCGCCTGAGTGGTTAGTTTCTGCCGCTAGTCGCAAGCTCGACGACTTACCTTGCGATATAACATGCAGACGTCGGAAGCGTAACACCTCTTGCAGTCGGAAGCCGTGTCAGTCGTTTCAGGAAGGAAGCGGTCCTCGATGGCGGTGGGTTCGGAATCTGGCTCGTTCGAGACAGTCGCGGCTCGTGTTGAACGCTCACGGAACATCCATTCCGCGAGCTCATTCCGTGCCATGATGAGGGCGCGGACCTCGTTGTTACGAGCCTCGACGAGTACAATAGTGTCGCGTTGTGAGTAGTATAGCAGACCAGCCGGGATTGGCAAACCTGGGGAACCAGTCAGAACAGCTGATGGTGCGCCCAACTCACAGTAACGGTCCTCCATCAGCAGAGTGTAGAGCATTGTTTGGGCACGGTGTGCAACACCTCCGATGCTCCGGCCCGTCTTGATCTCGAGAGGAGCGACAAACTCGGTTGTCTCGCCGTCCTTCTTCATGACGGCCTGAACACTCGCGTCGACTTTTCCCTTGAGGCCCCATTTTGGCGACCAGATGTCCTCTTCGATATCGTGAAGGCCATTGATGGCAAGTGTGCCAACCTGTTCATCGCGGGCCGTCTTGACCTCTCCGTTCGACGTAGGGATGGGGCCAATCCATTTGTCCCCAAAGGAGGCAAACGCATCTTCAGCCGTAGGACCCAGCTCCTCGGAGACGGCGAGGGGATCCAATCCAGCGCCCCATACCTCGAGACGTCGCTCTTCACGCGCGAGCTCAGTTGCAACACGACGTGCCGTGGACTGGCGGTCAAATGACTGCTCGGACAACGAGTCTTGAAGAAGCGAGTGTAGTACGGTGCCGTACAACATCGCCTTGGATGGTGGCTCGGGAAGCTTGACGAGTTGCTGAACGACAGGACGACGGGCACATGGCATGGCGTTGGCAATGGAAGTCATAGTCACCAGGACATCGGGGTGGTGAATGATGTAGGTGGCGGAATCCTTCATCGTGACGACAATAGGACCAGCGGCAGCGAGAGTAGGAGAGATGACATTGACAATGTCTCCACGGCGAATTTTAAGGTCCACCCAGCGCTCCTTAAGATGCACGAGGCGTTGACCGCTTGACGTTGCGACGACAAGAGTCTTGGCAGTGACAGCAAACGAAAAGCGGGCAGGTGGTGCGTCCTGTGAAGCAAGGCGCTCTGGTATATGGTCGAGGATACCATCATAGACTCCTTCCACCATGCAGCGCTCAAAAGGTACACTCTTGTAATCCTTTGGTGGTTCGGGAACAAGCGGGTGAAGGATCGGGTATCGCTGGTGGGTCAGTAATGGAAGAAAAGAGGAGACCCACGGGAGCAACACTAGTGGAAGAACAAAAGAGCTGTGCTTCGTCCATGCTCGCTAACGCGGCCATGTCCCAGTCGCCATCATAATCATCCGTGTCGACGTCAAGGAACGTTGGTGTAGACAAAAGGGGCACTGCCCGCGAGACAACTGGTGTAGGAGCCTCGACCTTGCCAGCAGGTTCAGACTTTACAGTGGGCTCCGCCTTGACACTGGACTGTGTCTTGGCGGCGTCCAACTTGTGTGTGGGAGTCACGCGGCGCTGGTTGAGGCTCGGCTTGACGTCGGCAGCCACTTTCTTCTTGGCGGGTGCAAGACCAAGGATGCTAAACAGGTCAACCTGGTTCCCTGTTGCAGATTTCTTGGGTGACAGTGGTTCTCGCTTTGGGACAGAGTTTGGAAGTGCGCCGGTGGCTTTGGCTTTGGGAGCTGTTGACGCGTTTGGACCCTGGGATGATCGTTTCCTGGGACTGCGTTGCGAACTCGGATGTGTCTTGGGGTTTCGTCGCTCAGCTACAGGCGACAAGGCGGGCAATGGGACTTGTGATTTAACAGGACTTTGGCTGGGAGGGAGATCAAAGACACTCGTGTCGATGCCGGCTAGGAGGTCGGCCATGAATGCGTCCTCGTCCGCCTTTGAGGGACGCGTCGCGCCAACATTGCTGCGTTTGGACCCAGCCCCAGTCGAGGTTGCTGCTACAAGAGACGTGTTCTCTTTTGATGTTCCATCACTAGAGTGTCGTGGTCGCTTAGATGTGCGGTCCGATGGCGGTACTGGGCGGTATGGCGCGCCCATTTCAAGAAAAACAGATGGCAAGAGAGGATGGATACAGACATTGAATGTTGTTGCCCGCTCTGAAGTCATGCGCGTCGGTGGCAAATGACCCGGAAGCAAAGCGTAAACCGGGGGTGACAAACAAGTGGAGGCATTTGTAATGTCCCCCCTTCAATTAAAAAAGTCGTTAGAAGTTGGTTTTATAATGACGATGATGAAATCCGGTTGCGGGTCTCTTTGTTCATTTTCGGTGGCGAGCTCCGACGTCAGTTCTACAACGACACCATGTCCCAACCCCAGTACACCGTCCTGCGCATCAAGCGCAAGGCGACCGAAACTCCCCTCTCGCAGCTGGGTACGCTCTCATGATTCACGTGTGCATGTTGACCGTTCAGTTATCAGCGGCGACCCGACTGCCGAGCGCGCTCACAAGCGTCGCGATGTCTCCATCCGTGGACGCGGTGTATTCCGTCTCGCCGAGACGGTGCCCCAGACATGGCAAGGCAGTGGAGAGGAGGGCGAGGTGCTGAAAGTGAGACTCTAGATGACGGTGGTGAGAACAGGGCTGACCTGCAGTCTCGTATTGAGGTACTGTTGTCCGGCAGTGGGAGCGCATCGCCGTCGCCGGCGGTTAACCAGTGGTTGGCGAGCAGCCGGCAAGCGGGGACGACGGCGCCGACGGCCGCTCCAGCGCCAGCAGCACCAGAGGCTCCAGCAGCTCCAGTCGTCCCTGCTGCACCTGCTCCTGCTCCAGGACCGTCGTCCCGCACGACTCAGTTCCGTGTTATGCCTCGCCCACCAAAGAGGGACCCCAACCTGCCTCCTCGTGTGATCACCAATGCCGAGCTGGACGCGGCACGGAGCGCCCTCGTGTTTGTCGACGCACAGGCCGTCAGGTCATCATCGACGCCCGATGAGCCAGAAGACAAGGAGATGGCGGCGTTCCAGTCCATGCTGACCGAGTACCTCAAACGTAAGTGTCACCTTTGTCAAGCCGTCAAACTAACGTCCAGTGGAGGCTCAAGGAGCTACCAAGCGCCCGCCTCCGGCTCGGGCTGAGGACGGAGATGACGACGGTGATGGCGACTACGTGTACGACCTGTACTACAGAGACTTGAGGACCGATGGGCTTGATGTCAGCGGCGAGGGTATCGGTGCGCTTCTCGGCTACGATGACCTGTCTCCACCCTCCACCCCTCCCGACTCTGAGCCTGAGGACGAGGCGGATGAAGACTCAAACGACGAGGACTACTACCGCAACGAGTACCCCGAGGACGAAGATGCCGACGAGGACATGGAGGGGTTCGATGATGCCTACTCTGACGGCGCGTGGAGCCGGGACTCGAACCAGGAAGACGACGAGCGTGACCCGTGGGATGGCTACAGATAACACACGTAACAACATTTATAAGTGTAGAGAGCATTGGATCCATGTCATTTTTTCACTGCATTATGCTATCTATGAGAGGGGCGGGCTATACAATATGGCTTGGCACAGAAGAATTGACAATCTATCCCCTGCGGTAGATGACGTACCGCCTCGCCTCGGCGTTGCGGCGGGCCGCAATGTCGACAGCGTCCTGGCCCCACAGCTCGACGAGGTCCTTGCCACCGATCAGGTGCTCCTTCTCGTGCTTGTCTGCGTCCTTTGATGTGAGGATAACAAGGTTGTCCGAGGTACAGGGCAGTGACCGGTCCCAGCGGATAGCGATGGGCTTGTGGACAACCACCTCGTTGGGGAGCGTGGTGCGTCCGCCGTGAACATCCTCGAAGATCCACGCAAAGTCGTCGACGCCGATGGGGCTGGTCTCGGGCTGGCCCGTGGTACCGAATGCGCGCGCCTCGCGAACACCAATGTCACGGTCGAGGCTCTGGTAGAGCTTCTTGCGGTGACGAATAGGACAAGGGTCGAGGGGCTTGCCGGCGAGGTCGAGGACAATGTAGGTGGCAGCGTGCAGGCCAAAGATGGCGGGCAGAGGGCCGAGGACAGGCAAAATGCGCACACGGAAATCGTCAAACGCACCAAGCTCCTTGACGGAGCCCTTTTTGAACTCGTCCTCGGGCAGAGGCATGAGCTTGACCTCACCAGGAACCTCGGTCGAATAAACAACAGGGATGCCACCAGTGATGCCATTCTTCCTCAGCTTGGTACGAACTGAGCGAGCCAGTGGGTCCTCGTAGGTCATGGAGACGTCGCTGATAGTCAGTGCCGACCACTTGTGCAGCAACTTACGAGATCTGAATGCGAGTAGGGTCATCCTTGGCACCAGCGCCCATGCTGGCAAACACCTTGATGTTGTTCTTGTAGCAGTGGGTAAGGAGCTCGATCTTGGTGTCAATGTTGTCGATGGCGTCAACGACATAGTCGGCGCCCTCGAGCCATGGCTCGCCCTCGCCCTTGCGCCAGAGCGCAACCTTGGCGTCGACCTCAGCCCAAGGAGCAACCTTGCGGAAGTACTTCTGCATAGCAATGACCTTGGGGGTGCCGACATCCTCAAGGGTAGCGCAGGCGTGACGGTTCAGACTCGACAGGGTGGTGAGGTCAAAGTCGATGAGGGTGAGCTTGGCCACGCCGGACCTCAGGAGCATGAGAGCACACCACGAGCCCACACCACCACAGCCGACGACAACGACATGTGCGCCGCGGACCTTGGCCATCGCCTCCTCTCCCAGGAAGTTGTAGTTGCGGGTGAGCTGTCGTTAGTGCCAGTCTCCAATGTCAAAAGAACAACACCCACCTGCTCGCGAATGAGCGACTCGTCAAACTGGCCCTTGGCGAACTCGCGGGGCTTCTTCTCGCCAACGCTCCACGACTCGGCGTCCTGGGCAGGGGACGAGCTTCCGCTGTCGCCCGCGTGCTCGCGCTCCCACTCGTCAACATCCTTGCCGACCTGACGCTTCAGGCGCTCAGTCGCCGCTTCACGGCGGATAGCCTGGTAGCTGAGGATGGCGGTCGTGGTGGCCAGCGAGGCGACAACAGCGGTGAGCGCCATTGTCTGCCTAAACGACATGCCCGAGAAAGACGACGAGCTCGACATGGTTGCGGGTGCGCGGCCGATGGGCAAAAGTATATGGGTAGTGGGTGGAGATGCAAAAGTTGAACCTCCACTTTCTCGGAGCCTGGATCGAAGATGACATCAAATCCGTTTACAGTCCAGTCACCCCTTGGCTTCGTTCGTTCCGTTGTCCACTCCCACTCCAACACATCACCAGCCGCCGTCCACAAACACCCTTCTCGACGTAGCAATACAGCATAGAGCGCGTCGAGAGGGCTTAAAAGGGCCCACATAGGACCCCCCTCCATCTGCACACCGCGCGCCCCGTGCAGCCTCTCCCCCCATCATGGTGCTCCCTTCCTTCTCCAACCCGGGTGCTGGTCCTGCAGATGCAGTCGTAGCGGCATCCCCCACCGCCCCTCTTGACGCTTTTCTCGACAACCAGCCACAAACATTCTATGAGAGCATCTATAGGTCAGAGGCGGCATGCCTCTGCATCTTGAGGTGAGCAGCTGAGCAGAGGACGCCTGGGCTAACTCCTCAAGACTATTGCCACCGGTCTGTCGACAGATTGTACTGCACGTCCTCTGGTCGCACCAAACCCTCAAGTCTGCAGACCTCAAGGCGTTTTGCGGCATGGACGAGCGCCTTGCTCCAGATGCGTGGGTAATGAGGAGTCTGGAGCAGAACTAACCCGCCAGCGCTGAGGAAGTGATCCGCCCAGCACGCGACCGTCACATCTTCCTCTCGCTCAACCACAAGGGCAACAAGTTCCAGTGGCCATTGAGTGATACGTTCAAGCGTGGTCTGCGGAATGCCTTGACAGGACTGTGGGTCCCTCTTTACCGCATACGCTAATCCACCAGGGGGACGTCCAACTCTTTTGGCGCGCCGTATGCCCGTGGACCTAGAGACGAGGTGCCGACCGCTGAAGCGCTGACCGACTATGGAGAGGATACATGGGAGGTGGGTATCACATGCGATTAATCCTAACCCATCAGTCGATTCTCAAGTATATGGTATCCTCAGGCCTGACCAACGGCTACCGCGGCGGCCGGCCGCGCAACTCGGTACTGCTCCTGTTGTACCAGTCGGGCCTCATGGCCGACCCGTGGGTGGAGTCTGCATGAGTACGTCTGACACACCAGATACGACCGTTCAGGACATAATCCCAAGCTTGAGGCCCTGACCATCACGTCAAAGGGCTTCCAGTTCCTGCTCGAGGACCGCCAGACGCAGCTCTGGCAGATTCTGATGTACTACCTCGCGGGCAAGCAGGCGCGGGGCGAGAACGCGGCCGACATCTTGTCGCTCTTCTTCTCGCTTGGCTGCATGCAGCTCGGGCAGGATTACTCTGCGTCTGAGAGCTTCCCGCATATGGAGAACGTTCTCGACGACTTGGAACAATACGGCTTTGTCTACCGGACCGAGATGGGACGCGAGCGCGGCCAGTTCTTCCCCACCCACCTGTCTACGACACTGTGTTCAGGCGAGTCTGGTGCGTCGCGCTCACAGAGTGCCGACGACAAGCGATTCCTCATTCTCGAGACAAACTACAAGATTTACGCGTACACGTCCAACGACCTCGAAATTGCTATTCTCAATCTGTTTGTCAACATTCGTATCCGCTACCCGAACCTCGTGGTCGGTCGCCTGGACCGTCGTCACGTCAAGGCCGCGATGGACAAGGGCATTGCAGCTGGCCAGATCATCTCGTACCTCAACAGCCACGCCCATCCGCAGATGTACAACCATCCGCCGCCCATCCTCCACCCTTCAGTCACCGACCAGCTTCATTTGTGGGACAAGGAACGAAACCGTCTCGGCGCCCAAGAAAGTGAGTTGGACAAGATGTTTCACGAACTGACAAAGCAGGTGTCATGTTCGAGTTCTTCTCCAGGGAATTGTTCGACGAGACGCGTGACGAGGCGGAACGCAATGCCGGCCTGCACCTCGCGTTGCCGGCCAAAAAGCTCTTGTTTGTCGACCCCAATGTGCGTGAGGCAATCAAGGACTTTATCAAGGACAAGCAGGTCCAGCTGAGAGGCGGGATGTGAGTGGATAAGGGTGTTGTACGACTAGGCGATGCATAGATCCCGTATGCGTCCGTGTTAGAAGATGAGGCAGCGTCGTCGAGCAGTCTCTTGCGTCCTTTCAGTCTTGTCAGGGCAGGCCTGCGGCCTCCGGCACGAATGGTCATGACATGACCACCAGCTGCAGTCCTCCTTAGCTTGCTAGGTCATGCATCTAGACGAGGCGCTTAGGCGCGTCGGTAATCTTGGGGCTGGGGCGGGCAGGAGCGTCCACCGCCGTGTCGCGGCGGAGCGCGTCCAACTTCTTCTTGTCCTCCTTCACCTGGTCCGTGGGGACCGCCACAGCTGCACCGGCACCAATGACACCAGCGCCCACGCCCGCAATGTCGCTCGCCGCAGCCTGCGTAGCGGTGGCAGGTGCCGACGAGGCGGCCGAGTTGGTCGCGGCGCCAACGCTGTCGGACACGCTCGACGCCGCCGAACCTATCCGACCAGCGACCTCGGACGCACCACCAAGCGCTGCGCTTCCGACACGCGTCCAGTCCGTGTCCCTAACGCCGGCGACGGCGCCGCTGATGACCTGGTTCCAGCGTTGACGGACGAGCGAGCCAAAGTCCTGCGAGGTGGGGTATGCGGGGCCGACGCGGGCAGCGGCGGCGACTGCCGGGGCGGGCTCGAACGAGTGTTGCAGGAGGGCAGAGTTGCGTGTCAGTCTGCAGAGAAAGAAAAGAGGCCGGTCAGCAACAGGTATTGGAGGCGACCATGAGCCATGGGGTGCAAGGTGGACGAGAACGAGACTCACTCTGCCTGTGCAATGGCAGTGTTCTGCCTGATGTCGTTCGCGAGGGTGAAGTAGACGGCCGCGCCGGCGAGGACGCCCGATCCGGCACCGAGGATAAATCCGGCCATTTTGTGGACGCTCGAGGGAGTGGTGTGGAGACCGAGTGTCGAGGTGTGGTCGATGTCGTCTAAACCAGCAGCAACAATCGATCGTCGGAGGTCGGGTATGGAGGAGCTCGGAGGAGGTGGACCACTCGGAAAGGGGAATTTGGTTCCGTTCAACGGTCGGCGGGTGGAGGAAAAAGAAAGATGACAACTGACGGCTACGATGTTGTTCAGGTCACTCTACCATCCATCATGCGTCCCTCGCCCGCCCTCCTCAGCCGAGCCACCTGGAAGGGTGAGTAAACGATTGCATCTCTCGATACACTTGTGCGACAAACGGGCGACGTCGGTGTCGGCACTGGGGACGGAACCGCGATTGGTGGTTGCCCTGGTCACTCGATGTCCAGCACATTGCGGCGTCGTCGTGGGCAGGCCTACAAGCGTTGCACTGGACGCAGCTTGCTTCTGGTTACTGGAAACGCTACTGCGTATTGTCCTCGCCGTCCATGCCACCGCCGTTGCGACCACTTTGTCCCACCGCTTGGCCCCCGCCTGCCCTCCCCTTCCCATCTCACCTTGACCCCCGTCGACCTTACATTCTTCCCTCTGCCCGCCTTCCTCGCCTTCCCTCGTACATGACCATACTGACACCTCCACAGGTCCCTACATCACGGCCTTCCCCTCGCTGCAGCAGGCCCTCCGCGACAACACCCCCATCTTCACCAAGTCGCGTGCCTGCACCATTGTGCCCAACTTTGTCGGCCTCCGCTTCATGGTCTACAACGGCAAGGACTACCTCCCCGTCAACATCTCTGAGGAGATGGTCGGCCACAAGCTCGGCGAGTTTAGCATTACCCGCAAGCGTTTCTCGTACAGGTGCGTAGCGTGCTGGTGTATGGGTCTTGAACGGCCTGGAAGAGGGACAGGTTCAGGCATTTGGGTGTTGAGAATGGTGTTGGAAGCCCACGCTACGTAACACCATTGCATTACGCCTGGGCCGGATCTTTGACTGTCCCTGCTCCCTGTGCTGTGCGTGGACATGGACATGGCTGACGACTGCAGGCAAACCAAGAACAAGTAGACAGACACGGTCACGGACCGATACCCCTCATATGCGATATCCTCATCATCACGAAGCGTGCTCTGGGTCCTACTGACTGATTGCTCTATGGACATGGCGAGCGTAGCCATAGCGTGGGCTAACCCATGAGCTGACATTAGGTGCTGTTGGGATAGTGGGGGTAGGCCACAGTGAACTGACATTGAGTATCGGCCTAGTATGGCACCGCACCGCGACCATGGCCCTTGGGACGTGCCCCAAACTCGACCCAAGCGCGTCCAGGACCAAGGTCACGCGCTGCATTATCGAATTACAACTGTCTTGACCCGTGACTGCTGGCTATGAGCATGACCGGCAGATAAAGGGGAGCATGGGAACGAGACGCCCTCACGCGACGATGGCAGGGTCACAAAGGAACATGACATGTGTGGATGCTCGTAGATTTGAGGGCTGTGAAGCTGTGAGGGGGACGGTCAGACACTCTCGGCGTTGCAACTCTGGGGCCCGTCTCCTGTATGTTCTGCGTGGCAAAGCAAAGGGCGTTACACAGTCCTGGGAACACGCTCCATCGAGGAGTTTCCTTCGGACCATGTCGACTGGGTCACGACACATTCCCACTTCGCATGGGTCACAGAGCTACAGATGTGGGTCTTGGTGTTGCCAGGTGTATGGCGTCCGTGCGAGGCCATCGGTATAGTCGGCATGATGAACCGGATCACAGGTGCTTTGCAGGTAAGACTCGACGGCCAGCGTCTCGGGAATTGGGGGAACCTGCGGAAGGCTGCGGGTTCCTGCGGCCGCGGATTGTGTTACCCCGCGTCGCCTCATCCCCATGCTTCACACTCGTCCCACTGAGACGGCCGTCAGCGACCATCGTGGCAGTGGACACTGTGTGCGTCCAAGATGTTCTGTTTCGTAGTGTAGATAGCAAGCCGGCAGCCGCGGTTGTTGGGAATATGGCGTGAGATGGAGTGTCAGTGCGCCGCCACGTCGTCAGCAGTACGTTGGGGGCCAGTGTGGGTGGCGCGTGGTTCTGCTCTGGGGCTGTATGTATGTTTCTGCTTCTTTCACATCGCACATAGGTTCTACTACGTCTAGGCAGCGGCTGCTGGGTTAGCCAAGTGCGATCGTGTTCAGTACCCACCCTCGAGCTCGGCAAGGAGCTTCTTCGAGGTCTCGTCGCTGGCCGACTCGAGCATCTGGGCGCCAGCGTCAGCTTCACGTCCTCGGGAACAGCAAACAACACAGCCTAGACTCACACCCTTGAGGAGAGCGACGTACTTGGCCTTGGCCTCGTCCTTGCTCGTGCCCTCGAGCTTCTTCCAAGCGTTGTACTTGTACTTGGCAGTGAAGTTGAAGGCGCCTGCGGGTTGTCGTCAGTACATGGCACTTTACGCTCGTCAGTCACAACCAACGTACCGGGAGCGGGGCCCGAGACGTCACCCTCGTTGGCCTGCTTGAAGTGGGCGTAGAACTGGGTCTTGTCAGTGTCTTGGGGTTTCCGGGCGAGAGTCAGGCAAGGCCAGTAGACATCGGATGGCTGACGCGCGTCCTTGGCACCGTCGTCAACAAGTGCTGTACTCACCTCGAGCTGCTGGTCCTGGGTGGGCTTGACCTCGCCGTCAGGGGGGAGCGAGCGAACGATCTCAACGGCCTTCTGGAACTGAGCGTCGGACATTGTGGATTATGGGTTTGATGTGGGAGATGAGAGAGGAGGATCGGGCTGCCACTGCTTATACCCGAATCGCGACGCCAGCAGCTCTGACGACGACAATCGCACGCGCTCGCGCCGGACCGTGCCCCAACCGGACGGGAGGACGAGGGCTGGGGAGAGCGTCTGGCACGCCTATGGAAACCGTGGAGCGGCAGTGGGGATGGAGGGCCAGTTACGCGCACCTATATTTTAGATAGGCATGAGGCCATGAGGTAGCTTATTTGGTTCCGGGAGTGGCGGACTGTGCGACCAAGAGGACATACCTCTGCGAACAGAAGATGGTTAGGTGAGAACAACAGCCAAGGACTTGGGTACTCGGTGAGCACAGGAGATCTACTGTCTGAGATAGGTTGTGCATTAATGAGCAAGGGGGAGAGGTCTGTGTCGGATGTGTGCAGAACCGCTGCTAACCCTCGCCGATATTAATATTATTAGGTTTTAAATAGTATTGCGCATTTGTGTTTAAACTTCCAACCCAGGTGTGGGGGCCTGGTGGTTAGCCGGCAGGTTAAGTGAAGTTCCCGGTCCCTGGAGATTTAAATACAGGCGAACGAAACGACCCGTGGCACCAACTATATCAAGAGCTGCTGGAGTTGATGGTCCAGAAAATGCGCCCAAACACTTGTTAATGGTGTAGCGCTCCTTGCTACCGCAACCACCTTAAACAATCGTCGCTGGACTAGGAGCTGTGCTACATGCATTCGAATATCTGGGTCTCGAGTAGTATGTCCGTGTGACTCATCGGTGCCTGTCACCATGGATGCCCAACGCCGAATGACACTACAACCCTTTGTCCCAACGCCCTTTGTCCCAACGTGGTTTAAACTGCAAGTGCAAGCAGGTTACCGTGGTCCATGCATCTTTGCTACATAACAGCCCAGCAACCGCAAGGGACACCGGATGGTGCAAGTCACAGGAGTTAGAGGGCAGAATCCAGACCAAACGACAAGGGTGAAAGACAACAACTGGCATTGCGGGTTGGGTGAAGCGTTCGGCTGAAAGGGTTCCCGACAGCAATTAAACGCGGCAGTGACCGACCTGCGGACCACTTTCGAGGGCGGACTCAGCAGTACAGCAGTGCCGCAGAAGGTTCAGGTTCAGCTGCACTGCAAAATGCAATATCTACCATACTCGACTGCCACGGGAGCCACACTGTTGCCGAGCGGGGAACGCACACCTATTTTAGATAGGCTTGAGGAATATGTTTGGTTCCGACACGAGGACGGATTCAGCCGGTTGTGGCAAGCTGCACACGGCGCAAAGGCCCCGTCATTTCGTCATATGCGCGCGTTGCGCCACACTTGTTGTGGTCATGTGGTCATGTGAATGAATCGTACGGGTGGGACACGATTCAGAAGCAGCAAAGGCGCAGCGAGCGCAGCGAACACGAGTGGACGTCAGCCTCTCGGGGGCTCGGGGGGGGGTGTGACTAACATGGGGACTAACCACAGGCAGGCAGTCTCACACGTCACACACCCCGGTGTGTGGGCGGCCCATCGACCACCCAACAGCACCACATCCCTTCTCGACCACTCACTCGCCCTCCATCACATCACACTGCACACCCATCCTCTTTCACTTGCACTCCACCCTACATCTACAACAACAGTCACAACCATGCTCGCTCGCACCGCCCGCGTCGCCACCACCACCGCCCGCACCTCGGTCCTCTCGAACCAGGCCGTCGCCGGTCGCCGCTTCACCGCCATTGACACCCGCGGTGGCAAGTCCAAGCTCGTGCGTGTCCTGACAATACATGTTCACCCACCCACCCTCCTCTCTGCATTCATGCTGACCGTCAGATCTACAGGTTCGGCATGAAGGGTGCGTCGTCGAGTTGGAGATGCCCATGCCCCTGCATATATACAAGACGCTGACACAGAGACGTTGATGCCCACCCACCCCACATTCCCCAACTTGATTCATCCTGTCTACATGACTAAACCACCTCCCCGCTGCCCCCAATTGCTCCTACAGACATCCCTGTCGAGCTTTACCCCCTTGGCTTTGTCGGTGCGCACATCGTGGACCATGGAAGCGCCATGTAGATGTTATGCTGACGCAGCACGTTATGCCGGCAACATTTACCCTCAACGTCATTCTTCTCCCTGTCTACATTACGCCTGAACCATCTCCATATACCTCCTAACCACCTCCAGTCGGAATGGGCCTTATCGGTGGACTTGCTGGTGAGTCGCTATAGAAGCTCATGAGGAGAATCAACGAGCTGACTCCGGGCAGCGTCGGCCAGGCACTGTAAGTGTTGCTGTGGAACCCATTGTCTCTGAACATCCACACGCCCGGCATCATCAGCGGCACTGGCATACATATGTGCCGCGTGCGATTGTGCCAAGACCGTACTCTGGAGTGCGAAAGCCATAGATAGGTCGTCGGCGGACTGGCGCCGCCAGCCTCACCCACATCGCGGCGTCGCCACTCATCCCTCCCCCCTGGGCCCCCACCCTTCCCCGCATCTTGATACCCCCGTGATGGCAAGTGCTGACAATTTGTCACAGTCATGATTGATGGCGATGTAAGCTCCCTCGCGAGGCACCCAGCAAAACGTGTGTTGCTGACTCGTGTAGCTCCGCCTCAAGCGCTCCGGCTCGGCTTAAACGGCGCATCGGAAATACACCAATATGGCCCGTCCTGTCCAAAGCATGAGCGGCTTCAGAAGTGGAGAGACCCAGTGCCCGGCGAAAGAAGTGGATGGAAAGACACAGACGAAGAGCAAGCGAAGTAGTGTGAAGTAGGTTTGAGACGAGAATGCAAAGCCTGGGCACGGACAGTGGCACGTACACGCGCGTCTGACGCGTCTGGACCGCGCCTAGACAACACATGGTGGCGCGTGCTGTTCTCACCATCGAACACACGTCGTCGGTTTCAGGAGCCGTGAAGCGAGCGAGCGCGGGTGCATGTGGGTCGTCAAGGTGGACGGCGTGTCTCTTATCTAGCGAATATGTTGTGGACGATGATTACGTTAGCTCCCGTTTGGGTGTATTTTGGGCAATTTTGGTCCCGTGTGTGGCGAAATGGGCGAGATCAAGCACGTTCGTCGCAACCCAACACGTTTATTCGCTCTGTCTCGTCGTTCCCACATGCCGCTCGCGCCTCTCGCATCCCACCACGCGTGCATCCCATGTTTCTCGCCAAGGCCCTAGACCCAGGACTTGCACCTCTGCGCACAGAGTCGTGTGCCTCCTGTCAGGACATGCCGGACAAGAGAGGTGTCCAGAAAGTCTATGGGTCATTGACAACACCCGCGGACCGTAGGCGGTCTTTCAACTCGGCTGCAGCCTGTCGTGACCACTGTCCCAAGTCCTGGGGGTCCTGGGATAACGTACCCCCCCCCCCCTGGGAGGCGCCCGGCGTTCAACTTCCTGCAACCGCCCCGCCTCGTGCCCCCCCGTTCAGCATGTGCGTTGCGGTGCGCAAGCCCCCCCAAGTGCAAGACACAAGCAGTGCGGGCCGCGCCTTGCTCTCCTCCGTCACCATGCCCGCATGTTACCCAGCGAATCGTATCTCCCAGTCCGAGTGGTCTTGTGCCAGCCCGTGCGGCGGTATTAGTGCCGTAAGGCGGTGTGTCGATGATCCTCTCAAGTCATCTTCCCTTCTGTCATTTCATAACCCACATAACACGCACATTCTTTCACCCCCTTCCATCAAGCGCAACTCACTCAAGGACACAGAACATTACCAGGAACTAGGACGTTTCAATGTCCCTCTTCTGGGCGGGCGACACGCAGTTAGAGGTAAGCCCCGAAGCGTATTCCGCTAGCCCTTTCACGCTACTGACATGACTTCTCACAGGTCGGCACCGTGAGTCGCATTCATCGACACGTTGCCACCGCGTTCACTCGCGTTCACTCGCGTTCACTTCCGTTCACCTAGTCAACCACCACTGACATGCTTCGTCCAGGCGCTGGCGCGTGCAGACCTCAATGACAGACAAAGTTTTGGCGAGGCCGTCGACATCGTCAAGCGGTACTGCCTGGCGAAGATGAAAAAGTCCAAGACGCAAGCCGTCGCACTTCCCGGTGGCAAAGTGAGTGTACACCGGCTCCGGCGTCGTGTGCAGGAACTACGGCGCACGGCCTGTCGAGCACGTTTCTAGTTTCTCCATGCTGACCCTCTCCCAGCTTGAGGCCTTGGAGAAGAAGGTAGGCTCCGCACCTAAAATACCAACCCCCGCACTACCACGCGTGCTGACGCCACCCGCGCCGTTTGTCCTGACCCACACACCCACACCTTGCGACCCTCGAAACACCAACCCTTCACTTGCATCACTCTACGGACCCTCCCCCGTTCACAGTATGCCCATCTGGGATACCAAGACATCTTCTATCTATGCCGGCTCGACCTTCAGCTGCCACCGTCAACAGTCGCCCTCCCGCGTCCGACGAGCCCCGTGCGCCGCCGCCTGGTCAAGGCCGAGTTTCCCCTGCCAGCGTCATACCAGAATTCCTCGCGTGAGACGAGTCCTGATGGTGCTGGTGACCCAAGGGCGTCGACCGAAGTGACCTCGACCACCGCGGCGCCACGGAACGACCAACCCTCGGACGCATCCATGTTGCCGGACCACGTCCTGGAAAAGGAACTGCTCAGGCGCGCTGGCAGCAGGGCAAGCAGCGCCAATGCGTACCCGCAGTCCGTCATCACGACCCGGTCAAAGAGGACTACCGGGACCGATGCGAGCTCGGACCTCCTGCCAGACGACGAGGAGACTCCCGAGCTCCATTACGACAACACTGCGTTCCTGCCCTCTCCAGCGATGTCGGCCGTGACACCACGCACGCTCCCCATTCCGGCGCCTGGCGGCAAGCAGCTGCATGACCGCGACTTTTTCGACCTGGACGCCGCTACCGTTATGGGGTCGCCACAATGGGGCAAGGCGCGCAGCTCGCCACGCGTCAATGCCACCAGCAGCAGTGGCGGCTACCCGCCTGTCCCACCACCCCCTGGCCGCCCGCCTTCAATCCCCCGTTCGCCATATGTCTCCGCATCGTCGACCGGTCCGGTCTCCCTCAGCCCGTTGGTCAGGCCGAGGGACTCACCCATGCTGCAGACGACCGCTTTGAGTGGGCCGTCCAGCCCTGACATGGCGACCAAGCGGACCGACATGGACATCCGTGCCCTGTTTGAGGCCCTCCCTGCGGAGGCGCAGGCATTAGCGGTCAAGCGGCTGGCGGAGCAACAACTCGAGGCACAGCGCCGCGCCGAGGAGGCACTGGCCGCTAAGCGCGCTGCCGAGGCCGAGGCACTCCGTCTTCAGCGCCAGCAGGAGGCGGAATCGAGGCGCGCCGCATCACGGCTCCTCGCTGCTCAGACCCTTGGTGCCAGCCCGCCGACGACGGATGTGCCCGGCGTGCTCGACGCGATGCCTGGTCCCCCGACACGCCAACCCGTTGCACACGGCAAGGACGAGGACGTGCGCCGCATGATTGAGGCGCGTATCGCCGCGCTTCAGACCGCGTTGGCCGGCATCGGGCCCAACGGCGACCTCCCTGCCTCACCCACAATGTCGGCGTCGTCGCCCATCATGACGCAGCGCTCTCCACCCGTGCTACCGACCTTGTCGCCGATGCCACGCCTGGACGACGCCACATCACCTACGCTCGGCAACACTCCGCTCCCAATGTCACCCGAGTCGGCACGCGAGCGCGCTGCCCCGTCCCCGCCAAGCAGCTACCACACAAACTCGCCACACTCGTCGTACACGTCGACGTACACCCGCCCCGCCGCACAGCGTGTCTCGGCCATCGCGTCGGTCCGGCCCCGTATCCCACCCACGGTCCGCGCCCAGCCGGCGCTGTTTATGGACCTCGACCACTCGGACCACGAGGCCTCCCCGTCGTCCGCCAGCCCCATCACGCCTAGCCTTTCGGCGGGCGAGTCGCTCGCGCGCCACGGCAGCAGCGTGCGCAGGCTGAGACGTACCCCGCCCCCGCAGTATACCGATGTCCCGTCCCCCTCGACGGTGAATAACCCCCGGCTGGCAATCTACGGGAACAGGATCTAGGAGACAGTTCCCCTGGTACCTTGGTCTCCCCCGGGTCCCCTCCCCAAGCCTTTCCGTTCCAGTTTCTCAAACTTCTCGTTTGTAGATGGAGTCTGAAGAATTCAAGTTTCTTTTTCAAGTTTTCCTTTTTTTCAATGTCTTTTTTTTTTCAATGCGGGATACCAGAGTGGGTTTGAGCTGTAATTATCATACTTTCGTAACGTCCGTAGTTCTGTGGCATGTACGAGTTAGCAGGGACGTGAAATGTGGCACTGGAGGTATCCAAGTGGCGCTAGACTACCCGTCCTCGTAACGAACGAGCGCAGTGCAGAGCCAAGCCTACCACTCGTGGATGTGAGAGACGTGTACCCCAGTTCTACAAGGCCAAGGCCGTGGGCATGGCTACGAGGCTGCGAGGCAGCCTAGCCTGTCCGACTAGTGCTGTTACACGGGTACACGCGAGGCGGACGCCCTCGACCAGGGAGCCATCCCTGGGCTTTCCTACTTCCAGCCATAAAAGTCGACACAAGCGAGCGAGACGGTTACCTTGGATCGGCTGCATGGCCTCGACAGTCCCATGCACAAATCCAAGAGCATATGGAGTCCACGAACAAGAAACCTACTCCAACTTGACGACGTTAACATTAGGATAAGGACCAGCTGAACCGTTTATCTTGCTCGTGACTTGTATTAGGCTACTGCTCTCCATACACGTATCATGCAGCCTTGTTCTCTTCACCACATCTCTCTATCGACCGTCCAACCTGCTACGAGTTGTTTACAGAGTCTAGAGAGGTCTACAAGTCTCCTCTTCGCAGACGAACACGTTGTGGGTTTAGCACAGCGGTAGTTGCGAGAGATTGCAACGCAAAGCAAACGGGATCCAACCGTTGCTTCTAAGGTATCTCTAGGTCCCCGGTTCGATCCCGGGAACTCACTGTACGAGTCTGCTCGTCTTTTTGAATGGTACTTGATGCGATTGGAAGCTGCAGATGTCGATGGAGACGAGGACGAATGGTGGAAAGAGGTGGAAAGAGGTGGGGAGGTGGGACGGTGGGACGTGAATCGGGGATTTTCGTGGCGCCTGGAATTGGGTTGAAAGACCATTTTTCGTGCCTCTATGCATGCGCAGCCTTCTCTGCTGTATCCTCTGGATTGTATGAGACATGCTGTACTGCTCTATGCTTTACTATGCTTTACTATGCTTCACTGCGGGGTCGTAGAGTCCATACTCGTGCTCGCGGTACGAGAATGCGATGAGATTCACTGTGCGGCATCTTGATTGCCGGCAAGTGACATCTGACCGGCTATTAGCTGATCCCGTTGTTTTGATGGCCGGACAGCGCCGGCGGCCGACGGCCAGATATAGTGGGACAGACGGTGGGCAACCCATACATAACTGACACGCTGCGACTGCCTGCACGATACATAGACCACATCCACCATGGTAGGTACATCACGTCCCAGTAGCGTACACTGACACGGCCAGCCTGAGCCTATGAAGGAAACAAGTACGTCTCACCCTTCTTCTCATGGGGTACCTCCCGCTGACCGGTCAGTTCGCCCCACCACGATCAACGCTGGTGCCCACGGTACGCTCCGAGGCGTCGAGCTCATCCACGAGGACGGGCACGTCAAGGCGCGCAGGTTCTGCCAGGTCCCCTTTGCTCGTCCCCCCGTGGGTCCTCTTCGCTGGCGCCGGCCCGAGGCCCTGCCGGACGACTATGACTGGAGCGGCGTCGAGGGCGACAAGTTTGGCAACCTCATGGCGCAGCCCATCTACCAGGTCACCAAGTGAGTCACTGAGTGGGGGGAGGGGTCGCGTTCTTGCTCGTCGCGACAGACCCAGCTGACTAAACCTCCTTCCAGTGCCAATGGCGAAAAGGCCAGCCTCATCGACGTGCCCGGGTCGGAATACTCAGAGGACGCACTCACAGCCAACATCTGGACGCCGGCAGGTGTCCCTCCTCCAGGCGGCTGGCCCGTTCTCGTCTTCTACCACGGCGGATGGCTTCAGATTGGCAGCCCCAACATGACCGAGAAGAACGACGCCACTGAGCTCGTCGACGAGGCGCTGCGCTGTGTCGTCGTGGCTCCCGCGTACCGTCTGAGCCTGTTTGGGTTCCTTGCCGGCAAGGAAATCCAGGAGGAGAACGCCGACGGCACGGCGGGAAACTTTGGGTTCTGGGAGTGAGTCGTGCGTGTTTATCTGGGCCGTGGCTGACGGCCGTAGCCAGCGTCTGGCGCTCGAGTGGGCCGCCAAGAACGCACACATCTTTGGCGGTAACGGCGACAACATCACCATTGCGGGTCTTTCGGCGGGCTCGTACTCTGTCGAGGTCCAGCTCGCGTACGAGCTCGTGTCGGGCGGCGCTCCGCTCATCAAGCGCGCGATGATGTGGTCGAACGCCATCCCGTCGCAGCCCAAGACGGTCGAGGCGAGCCAGGAGGCATTTGACGGCGTGCTCGAGGCGTGCGGGATCCCGCTGGACCTGGACGGCAAGGAGAAGATGGCGCGGCTGAGGGCTGTTCCTACCAAAGAGCTGCAGGACAAGATCATGACGCTGTGAGTGAGAAGTGACAAGGCAAGGGAGCTTTACTGATTCCCCTATAGTAAACTGCACACGTTCCGTGCCGTCAGCGACAACTCGTTCATCAGCGACAGGATGCACTCGTCCATTGCCGACGGGTCGTTTGCCAGGGCCTTCAAGGACCGCGGCATGTCCGTCATCATCGGCGAGGTGCCCAACGAGGAACTGCTGTATTCCGTGATCAACCCGCCCACGTCGGTGGCCGACCTGCGCACGCAGCTGTGCAACTATTACCGTGCCGAGCAGGTCGACAAGCTGATCACGGCCTTTGAGGTCCCGGCCGACGCCGACGCCGGGGCACTGCAAAAAGTGTTTGGCGAGATTGTGGCGCATGGCCAGGTATACATTCCCTCGCGCGTGCTCGTCCAGGCGCTGCTTGACGCCCGGGTCCCGGCCGAACGTATCCTGCGCTACCGGATTGCGTGGAACACTGCCGTCGCCCGCTCCACCGCGCCGTTCCCGCACACGCTCACGCACGCCGACTGCCAGCCGCTGTGGTGGTACCTCCGCCGCTTCGGGTACACGCCCACCGAGGTCGAGGTCAACTACCAGTGGCTGGCGCCCGTGCAGAGCTTTGTCAACGGCGAGCAGGCCAGTGCCGCTGCGGAATGGTACCTTGGGCCCGCGCCGCCGGACGGTACAAAGCTGCGTGAGGTCCGCGACGCCAAGATTGCCATTGTGGACGATGACCGCTGGGAGAGGTGTATGCGCCTCGCCAAGGCTATCGAGGTGTGATATGTCTTGTAGTGGAGTGTGCGGCGAAGGACTAGAAGATGCACACACAAGATGGAACAATAAAGCTGCGACTTGTGGTCAGCATGCCTTGCTTGGTCTATTTTTTTTTGGCGAATTGATGTGTATTATTTCTGCCGACCATAACACTAAAGCAAGCCACACCTCCGACTCTTAACCGTTTTGTCCAGGTTACAGAATGCATTCGTGTTCGTAAAAAAAGGAGGCTACGTTAACTAAGTATATACAGCATACGATGAGCAATGTTGATGGCAATGGAGATTGCAGATTGGAGAATGGAAAATGGTATGGCTACTGTAGCCAAGAGCGATACAGGGGGGTTTGTTTTGCAGGAAAAAAAAGAGATGGGGATTGTCGATGCGTGTGTGTGTTTTTGATTGGGGAAGTGGGAGACAGGGTATAGCAGGTGGGCAGCAAGTCGTCCACACGGCGAAAGCGAGGGGTAGGTAGGTTTAACACAGGGAGGGTGTTCAAGGCTGGATGGAGGGTAATTAGAAGCGAGCGGGGTTGGCGTCGAGAGGGTATTCGGGGCGGTCGCTGTTGCCGTTGGGCATGCGGTGGCGGCGGCTGTCGTTGCTCGACGACAGGGACGACTGGGACTCGTGCAGCGACAACGACGACTTGCGCGAGGTGGCGTACTTGCCCCAGTGGGTGGGCGTGACCGGGGTCATGGGTGAGGTCATGTGGGGCACCTGGTGCTTCTGGTCGAGGAACGAGTCAAAGTCAAAGGCCTTGGGCGTGTTGATGTGAAGAGGCTTGAGAATGGGGCCCAGGTCGTCAGCCTCCTTGTTGGTGTCAGTCGCCAGACCAGGGACCAGATGGCCAGTAGTGGTGATGGGCATGTTGATGGCGCGGCTTGTCCCGTCAGCTGGAGTACCATCGGGCTTCGCTTAGATCACTCACCGCTGCCTCAGGGACGATTCCTTTGCCATGGCCTCACGACGCTCAACCTCGGCCTGGAGAGAACTGATCGTGTCCTTGAGCTTGCGCGTGTCATCGTCCTCTTCAAAGGCGCTGTCGACAAGCACGCTGCTGTTGGGAGAACCGCCATTGGGACGGATGGGAGAGGGAGCAGGGCTGTTGACGCTTCCAAAGCTGCCAAAGCTGCCGCGACGCAGACCGTCAAACACCTCGGGCGAGCGGGGAGCCATGTTGACACGCTTGAACTGCTTCTGGGGCTCCGAGTCGGCAATGCGAACTTGAAGGGCCTTTGCACAGCCAGGAATGACAAACATCAAGTCGAGCTGGTGTGTTAGAGATTGCTCTGGCAAAAGTGACACACTCACCCTCTTGATAGCTTCCTCGGCTTGAGCGCGGCTCTGAAGACGAACCATGGCAGTGCCACGGCGGTTACCCTTGTCGTCGGTCAGGAAACGGAGTGATGAGATGACACCAGGGTGGAACAAGTTGCGCATGTCCTGCCGGGTTAGCTACATTCATTGGCACACAGCCACCCACCTCCTCGGTAGCGTCGAGAGGGATCTCGGCGACGTAGAGGTTGCTAGAGTGAGGGTCTTCGAGGACCTTCTGCTTGAGGTGGGGAGTCTCCTTGCCATACTGGCATGGAATGCCGCTCTCGGTGAGAGCCTGCATAAAGTGCCCGGCGGAACGGGGAGTGTCAAACATGACAAAGGCATAGCTGATTGTGATCAGTGGCAGTCAGCAAAGGGGACGGGCACTTACGTCCTAGCCGGGCCGTGGATACCATCAGGAAGCATGTCAAAGACGTCAGGGGTCATGGCACCCGCACGCTCAATCTTGACGGAGACGACGCGGCCTGACATCTGGGCTGCCTTGCGAAGGTTCTCCTCGGTGACGGTCGAGGTGAGGGCGGGGATGTAAACTGCTTGTCAGCGTATACAAAGGTGTGTAGTGCTCACCGTTGCGGCGCTCTCCAAAATCGCTGGTGGACGAGTTGCTCTCGTGCTCGCCCGAGCTGGACGAGTGGTGATCGAACGAGTCCAAGCGGGAATAGCCACCACGGACCGCGACGGGGGAGCGGGTCCAGGGAGGCGAGAGGGGTTCCGTGACGCGGGTGGTACGAGGGGTGCTGGGCTGCACAGTGTGAGTGGCGCGACCCAGGTCGACGACCATCACCTCGGGGTGAGAGGTCTTGGCGTCATCAAAGAAGGGGTCAAAAGTGGGCGTGATGGTGGCGGCAGGCTTGATGAAGGCGGAACCAGACTGGCGATCAGCAGAGGCGACCGTGAGGAGGTGCTTGAGAGCGTCGGCGGCGCTTGGGGGACCACCACGGCGGAGCTCGTCCGAGGGAAGGATGCCGGGAAGACTGGGAGACTTGGGGCGGTGGCGGCTGCCGGCGAGGGACGCAGAGTCAGACTTGTCCGAGACGGTGAGCAAGGTCGAGTAGCCGTTGGAGAGACCGTTCGTGCGCTTGAAAGGGAGAGCTCCAGTGTTGAAGGAAGGGTGAGCCGAGACCAGGCGCCTGGGGGTGCTGAACGTGGGCTTGGTGGGCGAGTCGACTGGAGCGGGGAAGGCCGAGGAAGGAGGCGACGAGCTCTTCCAGCCGTGGCCGTAGACGGCAGCGACCCTGGCCGTGTTGGTGGTGGTGTCGATCAGTGATTTACCAGTGGCTGAAGCGGCGAGGTTGCCGGGACGGGTGGAGGGAGTGGTCCGGGCGGCGGTGGAGGGGGAAGACATGTTGATGGCGGGGCCGCCGTAGGCACCGAGCTCGAAGCTGGGAGCCGAGGGGTTGAGTGAAGGGGAGAGCATATACGTTGACTGCGGAGGTGGGTGGGTTTGAGGTTAGTACACGAGTTGCGAGTTGGTAGGAGGAAGAAACGCAGCGTCAATCGGCGCCAAGGGGAGGGGAGTTTCCCGGGACGATGACGGGGGGAAGGACTCACGGCAGACGAAAACCGAGTGCTCACGGGTACCGAGTGGAAGGTGAAGGGGTAGGGGTGTCGGTAGATGGGTGGTGGTGAGGAGTACAGAGAGAAAGAGATATATAGAGAGAGGAGAAGAGTCAAGAAGAGAGAGAAGACGAGGGAAGATATATAGGTCCTTCCTCCCCCGCCCAGCCAACTCCTCAGCGACCAGTGCGCGCGTGCCCCCGGTCACTGGTGTTGTGCCGTCGGTGACAGCTCTCTCACTCTCACCCCCTGCTCGCACGTACACATACACTGATCGCCCAGTGTGTCCCCCACCGGCGCCGGTGGTGGCCGGTTCAGCGCTGTCGCCTGCGTCCCGTGTGCTCGAGCCCATGCAGATCATTCCGTAGTAACCAGCCCTCCCCGCGCGCGCTGTCGTCATCAGTGCGCCCAGTGCACCCAGTGTACCCAGTGCACGGGGTGACTGTACTGGGCGTGTGCCATTCCGTCAACCCCAGATGACTCACATCGTGCAGCCACGGCCACGGTGTGTACAGTGTGTACAGTGTGTACAGTGTGTACAGGGTGTTGTGCCTTTCCCATCAGAGACCTCCCTTGTGCAGACGTAGTGATCCAGCTGTTACATCAGTTCCACTAAAAAGTGAGCGGGTCGCGAAGGCAGTGGCGCAGTGGCAGCGTTGACAGCATTGGCGTGTGTGTTCAACCAGCCACCAGGCCACCAGATCGCCAGAGCCAGCAGCGTCTGCCCGCGCGGTGCCAAGTCGTGGATTCTCGGATCCCCGGCAGTGGGTGCGCGCGCGTCGCCGTCAGTGCTAGCCCCAGTGGCCAGTGGCTAGCTCCGTCTCCGTCGTCTGCGTTTCATCCTGTGATGATCAGACAATCTGCAACAATTAGTGAGAGCCCAAAGGAATGCTCCCTTTTGTACTGCTCGTCCGTCCTTCAGCGGATCAGCGTTCAACCAGGGCCGGTCAGGCCGGTCAGCCGGTCAGTCGAATGCTGTCAAAACGTCATCCCGACGTCGGGCGGAGGACTGGTCGGACTGGGACGCTGGGGGCGACGCTTCGTGCTGAATGTTGTTCATCCCCTATAGTCTATCTCTTGTGTTGCACCACCGCAAAGGGCGCTGCTTTCATGCCGCCTCCTCGGTAGCAGCCTCCTTGGGCTGCTTGAAGAAGCTCAGTCGCAGCTGTTCGCGCTCTTTACGGGACAGGTCCTGGCGGCCGTCGCCAGCGAGGGACTGGAAGGGGAGTGTCAGACATACACCGGTTGGTTTTGGGTCAGCTTCAACTCACAGCGCCGGCAGCGTCGAACGTGCCGATCACAGCACCGAGACCGGCGCAGGCGCCAACAGCCATGGGGAACGAGCGGGCTGGGGTGTCAGGTCAGAAACGTCGTTCTTGGGTTGCGTCTTTGGGCCAGTGTGGCACACTCACCACGGACACCGGCGAGGAAGCCCGCGGCACAACCACCAGCAGCACCGTTCAGCGAGTCGTCCTTCTGTGCAAGTTGTCAGCTTCAGTTGCCTCCAGGAGGGGAACGGCGTATCTTACCTCACGCAGGTTGGCGACATATGATTGAGTGAACGAGTACATGAAACCCATACCCGCTGTGCCACCTGTTAGCAACAACACATGTCTGGAATTGTGGCAAGAGGTAGCTCCTCTGCACACCTGCTGCACGCACCAAAGAGACCGATGGTGCCGCCGGTACGAGTGAAGATACCCATAGCTCCCCTGTCGTGCCTGCAAAGGTGGTTAGCAACTGCTTTCTTGAATCCTCGAACATTGCGCATAATCGGGAACGGAGCAGCAGCCACAACGAGCTCTCGAGCTCTTAGGACGAACAGCACAAGCGACCGCTACTGCTGCTGCTACCGCCCGACATGGCTGGCGACGCACCTGTCAAGAGCGTTCTGGACGGCGCTAACAAGGAGACCGGCACCGGCCGACTGGAGGGTGATGCGGGTCGCGATGTTGAGGGTGTCATGCTGGTGGAACAGGTGCTGCTGGCCCTCGACGACGGAAGGGGCGATGAAGGCGCGCGACGAGGCGCCGGCGGGGGGGAGGAGCGGCGAGGCGACCATGGTGTGGTGGTGGGGAGGAGGGAGAAGAGACTAGGGTGGTGAGAGAGTGGGGAAGGGGGTTGAGGACGTCACCACGGTGGTCGTGGACGATGCTTGCCAGTAACTGCTGCCTAGCTGCAGCCAATGCTCGACGCCGTGATCCTACGCAGTGAGGACGAGCGAGGACCGCACAGGGTGGTGCGTACGGTGGCGGGGAATTCCGGCGAGACGGGTGTGGCACTGGATACCACGTGGTGTGAGCCTGGAACAAAGGTGGCCACTTCCAGCCCCAGTGTCAGGCTGCCCCCCACCACCCGTACGCCCAGCACTGTGTGACGTCGGTGCTTGCGAGGGTCCGATCACGGGCATAGCGCATCGCCCGTCTACACCCACCCCCATCCCACCCAGTCATCTCGCTCAGTCTCAATCAATCCCAATACATCGCCCAACCCATCTGCAACCTGCCTTGGCCCAGTCACTCTCAAGCCTCACATTGCACCCTCGCCCGTACACCCCTCTCGACACCTCGAGCCGTGTCTTGATCCCTTCCTCGCGCTCCCCCGCACTCCTTGCCACCCACACCCCACAGCCCATCGCGTCTCGGCACCATGATAAGTATCCCGGGCCCATGTCAACGGCCCCGCCCGCTGTCGCTGCCTGAAGACCTCCTACTGACTAGCTCTGCACAGTTCCCCCAAGAGGCGCGTCGACACGGACGTCATGAAGCTGTGAGTGCTCGGCGGGGGCGGTGGGCAGCAGCAGTTGGTGCCCACACGCCCGGACCCTTCCCTGGTTGCCACCCATTCACTGACACGTCCTTTGCTCCTTCCCTGGTCGCACACCACAGTCTCATGTCCGACTACCAAGTGACGCTCGTGAACAATAAGATGAACGAGTTCTTCGTCAAGTTCTACGGTCCTGCAGAGAGTGAGTCATGCTACACCGGCTACGAGGTCGAACGGGTCCTTTGCCTTTGCCCCCCACGCATTCCGCAATCGGCCCACCCAACCGTCAACCTCCACCTTCCTTGCTCCCGTGACTCGAAGTCATGGTGGCGGGGGGGACGACCAATGTCCGAAATGTTGCCGATGTATGGCGTTCCCGAGGCGTCATCGGTCACAACCACGACGCTAGATGCTAACCCGAACGCACAGCTCCCTTTGCAAAGGGCGTGTGGAAGATCCATGTCGAGCTCCCCGAGCAGTTCCCTTACAAGTCCCCGAGCATTGGGTTTATGAACAAGATCTTTCACCCGAACATTGACGAACTGTGAGTCAAACAGCCACCAAAGGAAGCAAGCCCGGGTGGGGGTATGCTTCGCTGACACGTGCTCGCAGGAGTGGCAGTGTGTGTCTGGACGTCATCAACCAGACCTGGTCGCCCATGTTCGGTAAGTTGTGTTATTGTAGATGGCAACTGACAGCGTTTTGCAGAGCTCATCAACATCTTTGAAATCTTCCTCCCCCAGCTCCTGCGCTACCCAAACCCCGCCGACCCTCTGAACGGCGAAGCCGCCGCCCTCCTGATGAGGGACTCGAAGGCGTACTGGAAGAAGGTCGAGTCGTATGTCGACAAGTACGCAAACGAGACGGACGCGGACCACGCCGGCGACCATGACGGCGCCGAGACCATGTCCCGCTCGCACCGCGCAAGAGCCGCTGGCAGCAACGGTGCCGGACCCAGCAACGGCGCCAGCAACGGAACCAGCAATGGCGCTGGTAACGGCCACTCGAACGGCCACGGTGAAGACGGCGAGGACGACGATGACGACGACGACGACAAGATGAGCGACATGGGCGAGCTGAGTGACGGCGACGAGTTCATGGGTGAGATGGACGACTAGACCCGGGCGTGACCGCAAGCCCCCTTTTGGCCTTTTGGTGTCATTGTCATGCCGGTCGACCGTCCCCTTCCACCCCCAACCCCCACCCATGGTCTCCTTCATCTGGGTTGCCGGCCCATTATCGTATTTCCTTTTTTTTTGTTGTATGAATCAAAGTTGGCTGCATCTGCTTCGGCGCAAGAACAAGGGGCACTGACAACTTCTAATGATACGCCAGAACCTGTGGAGCAGAAGAACGGGGGTTCGCACACCCAAAACGTGCGGCGGCGCTGCCGCACCCGGCACGGCACGGACCTGTCCTTTTGCAGATCCTTCCTTTCAGCCCGTTACTCACTGCTCAATGCAGTGGCGCAGCGCATGGTGACCGTCGCGCATGCGTATCAGACGCCCCGCTTGGGCAAAACTGGCAACAGGAAACAGAACAATGCGCGTGCTAGTGTGCGGCTAGCTTGTGTCTGTGACGTTTTTGGGATCTTGTTGGTGCCCGTGCGTGCCATTCAGAACGCACACCTCTCTGCTCGCGACGATGGAAGAAGACGACGGGATATCCATCGACCATGTGCGTCTCACAAACTCACTTGTTCTTCCTCCCTCCCACTCTCCCTCTCTCTCTCTCTCTGGACATTTCCCTCACAGCCATAGCTCTGGCTACACCCCCACACTCGTTTCCTCTCGGCTCTCCTCGTCGTCATACACGCTCCTTCCACCCCCTTCACACACACCACTTTTTTACATGCTTCTTGCCAATCTCTAACTTTGCTCTGGGCCACCACACACACGCACAAACGGCTGGACCGCACACCCCACAGCCCCGCCCACCATGCCCCTCCTTCCAGCCGTGTTCGCCGGCCCCACCTCCCGCGTCCTCATCCCCACTCCCCTCGCCACTCCCTCCCCGCAACTCCAGCCTGTCTCGTGAGTTTGCTCGCTGTGTGGCATGTGCGTGGCCAGTGGTTTCAGACCCCACCCAAACTGACATGTCACCAGAACGAACCCTCCACTCTCCACCAGCAGCGCCATTGCGCCACGGACGCCGATAACGGCGTCAGACTCAATTGAGGCGACGCAACCTGTCTCCTCTGGCCCCTCGGCGGCGACGTTCAGGTGAGTACCCCGCGGGCCCGCGGGTGGGGCTGGACGCTTGTACGCTTAGCTCGTGGTGTCGCTGACCAGAGTCCCCGCAGTGGCATTGGCACCAGCGTCGTCGTCGTGGCCGTGGTGCTGATCGTGCTCGGGCTCGTGCTGATCGTGGCGAGCACGATCTTTGCGCTGTACGTGCGCCGGGCCCACGCGCGCGGGTCGTCCGTGGGTCCCACTGGCCGGTGGTTGTTCGTCGGCAGCAGCACGGGCACCGGCAGCAGCAGCAGGGACGGCGGCGACGCGAGGTCGCTCGCGACCAGCAGCTGGCACGACGGCGGGCCCGGCGGACCCAGCACGCTGTGGCGCTTTTCGCAGACGACACCATACTCGACGTCCAAGCTGTCGCTGCCCGACTGTCCCGTCTCCGCCACGAACAGCTGGCACGTCGAGAGCGTGTACCACGCGTCGTCGTCGTCGCCCGTGTGGCGGCCACTGCACTTTCGACAGGCCGGCGCCGGCGCAGGTGCGTACCCGGCGGACAAGGGCAAGAGCAGGCGGTCGTCGCCGTCGCCTCCGCCCGACTACATCCCGTACACTGGCCCCATTGCGCCTCCGGCCCTCCCGTTCCCTGCCAACCCGGACTGGCGGCAGCGGCCACTGCCAGACCTCCCGGACGAGGAGAATGACGAGCTCAACCGCCTCGGACTCACCTTGTACGCGCGCAGTCCCCGCGCTCGCCGCGAGCGCGAGCGCGACCACGACCACATGCCGCGCACGCACGCCGGTGTGGCCGTCAACATTTCGTCTGTGCTGAGCGAAATGTCCATGTCCCAGTCGTCCAACCCGCACTCGCCCGTCATCACCGCCATGGCGTTCAACGCGCGCCGCAGCGTCCCGCACATGTATCAGGCGATGGACGACTTGGATTCCCCGCTCTCAACCTCGTTCCCGACTCACCCTCACCCTCACTCGCACACGCACAATACCCCGCCGCTGCCCGTGCTGCCCCCGCTTGCGCACCTTGGCCGCAGCCGCTCGTGGCGCCGCCTCACCACCTCGCGCAAGTCGTCCCACGCCGCGTCGCAGCCGCACCGCGGCGTGCCCCGGCAGCCAACCGACAAGGACAAGAACAAGCACCAGACGCGGTCGTCGGCGTCGACGACGGTGAGCCTGCTCTCGCGCTCGTCCACGACCAAGTCGAGCAAGAGCGTGCGGTTCGCCAACAGCAGCAGCGGTGGCGGTGACAAGGACGACCTGGCCGCCGCGTACCCGTTTGCGGGGTTTGGCCCGTGTCCTGGCCTCGGTCTGGGTCCTCTCCCACTTCCTGGTGCAAGTGGTGCCGCTGTTCCTGCTCTTCCTGCTCTTCCTGCTCTTCCTGCTCTTCCCAGTCCCGCGCGTCCTAATCTCGGCTCGACCAGGCCGCGTGTCTAGCTTTCCAGTGGGCGGCGACGTCGACGTCAGCCGTGTGTGTCAATACAGAGAACAACCGTTAGAATGGTATATACCCTCCACGTCGTGTCCGCCATCCTGCCACGTCCACCACCACCACCACTGCCACCTACGACGTAATCGGTAATCTGCCTGCAAGAAATTCCCGTGAGCCGTGCCTCACTCCACGCAACCAACTCCAAACCCGCCTCTTGGCCTCTTGGGTGCCTCCTGGGGTCCACGCTTGGCCAGGGCCACCACAGAAGCGGTTATCTCTGACCACCCATGGGTGTCTGTGGCTTCAAGAAAGCTGTGTGTGTGTGTGTGTGTGTCGTGTTGTGTGTTGTTTGGGGGGACAGGACGTGTGGACGCTTGCGCGTCTTTGATGTTCTCTCTTGATCATCATGTGAATGTTATAAGCCCAACCAACCCGTTTCAGCATATCAGAGCGATAAGCGCCAAGTGGCCAGGCTTTTTTTAGTGGCTTATGGCTTGAGGGTGTCCCTGGTGGGCTGTGTTTAGCTGTGCAAAATGATGGAACGGGTGTTGAGTGTCTCGTGTTTGTGGGGGGACGGGTACACGGACATTGGTCGCATGCCCAGCTTAACGACGTTAACCCAGGTGTTGAAATGCCCGTGTTGCATGTTGGATGCGTCAGCAAAACGGATGCCCTGTCTGTGATCTGTGACGGTAATCTCCGCGTGCTCTCGGCCCTTGCCGCCGTCAGCGGCTGTCCCCCGTACGCGAGCTTGGCGAGTGGATGATTTTGATTCCAGCATGCAGTCCAAAATTGATGCCGCAGGGCCGCGCGTCGTCTTTTTGGAGTAGAACGGCTCGGCACCGGGCGGGCGGGGGCGGTGTGTTGGTTCCTGAGCCCAGGCATACGGGCAGAGGGTGGAAGCCAGCCAGCAGCCGTTTGCGCGCGTCATTTATCGCCATGGTGGGCCCATACTGTAATCGTCGTCGTCTGCGCAGCCACTGCTAACCCTCGTGCTGCCATGGGACTCAATGGGGGCTCTTGGGCAGGTCGACACCGCACTGGGTGGAGCGGACGGGCACTTGTGGACGCGCGCCCACGGGAGACGGTCGTTTGATGCGAAGAGACATCGGGTTCCAGGCCGAACAGCTCCAGGCCAGGCTCTCTCTCGGTGCCGCGCAGACGTGTCAGTGTTGGTTGCTTGTGGCCTTCGGGCTCGGTCATCGGCACGAGTGAGTGGACCTTTTGGGTGTGTCAGGGAACCTTCTGGCTCCTGTACAGTAGATAATTACTCCAGTCAACCCCCATCTCTCTTGTCGATCCTGTCCTTCCTTTTTCCTTTCTCTTTATCATACAATTCTTCAATTCCCTTTCTCGCACCTTCTAACCACACACACATCACATCACATCCACATCACCGTCGTCGCCTCCTGCTTCCCCAGCGACCCCTCCCCACCACGGCCCCCACACCCCCTAGCCAACAACTCCTGCTCGCCTCTGTGGCAAGTGAGTATCACTTCCTCCTCTCCCTATCACTCCGACCTCATCGCGACAATTGTCGCGTTCCGTTCCCACGCACCGGCTTCACCCGGCGGCTTGCCACCCAGGTCTCGTCGGTGGGCCACTGAATGGGCCAGCCCACTCGTCGGCCCATTCACGGTTTACTGCGCGCGCGCCGCCGCCGCCGCGTCGCACGGCTTTGCCACCGGGGCTGCTCCCGCCGCCGCCGAGAAGGTTCCTGCTCTCTCTCTTAAGGGGCACGGACCCAGATCACTCGATTGTGGAGTGTAATCAACCGTGCAGCCCCCAATCACTTTCTCGCTTCCTCCCATTCTCCCACTCCCATTCTCCACACCTCGTCTCTACTGTTGCCAAACTCCTTGGAAACTGACACCCCGCCCAGCCCTCATATAAGGAGTCCAAGCGACACCCCCCTTCCTCCCCCCCTAGCGATTGAGACACACCCTCTCCAACTTCCCGCCACCATGGCCGAGGCTACCGTCCCTCTTAACCAAATCTTCGAGTTCGACCCAGTCCCCGAGCTCGTCGGCAAGCCCACCATGGACTTTGCAGAGTTCCTCAACTTTGACAGCTTTAGCAGCACTGCAGAGAGCGGCAACGAGAGCGTGAGTGTGCTGATAATGTCGCTTATCCGCCCACCTTGGCTGACACCAGGCCAGTCGCCGCAGACCATTTCCGTCAACCACACCCCTTCCCCCCTCTCGTTTGCGCCCTCACCGCCCCAGTACGACGAGAGCCTCTTCTCATTCGACTTTGCAGACGAGAAGAAGATGATGTCGCTCGGTGGTCCCTCCAACTTGGGCACCATGGGCGAGATTCACATCAAGCAGGAGCCGGTTGACTACATCCCGATCGCACAGCCCCAGCAGCAGCAGCAGCAGCCACAGGCGCCCGCCCCCGTTGCCGCCATGCCTGTGCTTCCCCCAAACCAGCAGGAGGCGCTCCAGCAGCTTCTCAACAACCTCATGCAGTACCAGAGCGAGTACGGTTTTGGCGACGTGAGTCAGCAGCAGCAGCAGCAACAGCAGCAGCAGGCGACCACCGCCCAGGCCTTGGCCCCTGGAGCCATCAACCCTTCCCTCGTTTTCGCTCCCACGGCACCAAGCGTGACGCCCTCGTCTCTCACGCCCGCGTCTGCAATGGCCGCGTCCACCGCCCCCTCGGTGTCGTCCGCCGCCCCCACGCCCGCCATCAACGCTTTGCCTGCCGTCCCCGAGTGGGCCGCCGACGAGCAACTCGTTGCCATCAACCCCTCCGAGATGCCTACCCCGCCCCTCCGCTCCATCCGCGCCGACTCGATGGCGTCGGCCGACGGCATCGACGACAAGATTGAAAAGCTCGTTCCCCTGTCATCCATCTTTTCGGCTGGCCGCGGCAAGGGTGGAAAGAAGGGTGGTGGCATGTCGTCGGTCGTGCGCGGTGAGGACGAGGACCTGGACGACGACGACAGCTGGCGCCCGTCGCCGGAAGAGTACAAGAAGCTCAGCAGCAAGGAGAAGCGTCAGCTCCGCAACAAGCTCAGTGCGCGTGCGTTCCGTACCCGCCGCAAGGACTACATTGGCACCCTCGAGGCGCACATCAAGGACCGCGACTCGGTCATTGACTCGATCCGTGACGAGCTTCTTGTCTCGCGCGCCGAGAACCAGGACCTCCGCCGCGAGCTCGAGGCCCTCAAGGCCAGCACCATGAAGGTGCTTCACCCCGAGTCGGCAGACCAGGTCGGCCAGTCGCCCGCCATATTGAACGCTCTCGCCATGCCCGTGACCGAGTCGCCTGCCACTTCCTCTCGCCGTCTCGCGTCGGTGCCCGTGACTGTCAACACCCGCAAGGACGTTTCGGGCTTTGACACCAACCGCAACTTCTGGGGTGGCAACGACAACATTTTCGGTGGCGGCAACACCATCTGCCACACCGTCTTCAGCCCCGAGCTCACCCTGCCGCCGCAGCCCAACCTCAACCCTTTGCTCAACAAGCGCAACGACCCCGCAGACAAGGTCCTCTCCCTTGGCGCCCCCCTCGACGGTGGCCGCGACATTGACTCGTCGACCTTTGCCGAGTGGGCAGAGAACACCCCTTACTCTGTGCGCTCCATGGACAGCTACCGCATGCAGCTCTGGTCCCGTCTCGCCCGCGAGGCTGCCGCCGACAAGGCCAACGTCCCCGCCGACCTCCGCCCCAAGTTCTTCGTCAGCCCCCAGGACGAGCCCACAAGCTCGCCCAGCGTCGCAAAGTCTGCCACTGCCATCGCCGCCACCGCCGCCGAGCACGTCATGTCCAAGCTCACCTCGTCGTTCTGGTCAGCGTTCTCGGGCTCGTCGTCCAAGGTCGACTCGGACAAGCTCGCCGCCGTCGTCACGGGCAAGGCGCGTCTCGCCGTCGTCGACATTGACAGGGTCGTCCCCGCGGCGCGCGGCAACAACGCGCCCGCCGCCCAGACCACGGCCGACGACCTCGCCCACGCCATGGCAGGCCTCAAGGTGGCCAGTGGCTCGTCTCCAGCGGAAACCCTCCGCGTGCGCGAAAACCCCCTAGGCGTTCTCGGCGGCTTCTTCAAGCACCCGGCCATGCCTACCCGCGCATAGTTTGCCCCTCCCCCCAAAAGGAGTAAACCCACCAAAACTGAGACGACCCACACTGCCACTCCCACTGCGACGACACCCACCGACCCCACTTACTGCATGAATTCAATCAACCCCACCCACCCACCCACCTTTCCGCATTCCCACTGTATACCGTAGGCCGTAGTTTTTACCATAAGAAGATCTTTTTCTTTTCTTTTCTGTTGTGTCTATAGAGAGAAGTATTACCGCACCCCACTCCAGAATGGAGAGAGAGAGAGAAGAGAAGAGAAGAGTGCCTACAAAATGCAGATTATTAGCAAATGAACCAACGCAGCAGGCAGCAGGCAGTGATGCAGCGCTTTGATCAGGATAGGATACTCGTCTGGTGAATGGGATGAGATGAAATGGCTGACTGCGGCATGCGGCATATGGTATCGGCAGCAGGAGCGGCAACAGCAGCACCAGGGCAACAGCGGCACACGGCTAGCGCTACGGCATCTCCGTCTCATCTCATCTCATCTCGTCTCCGCCACATCCCCACCGACACATGACAGAGCCCGCGGCCTGCTCGCCACTTTCGCTGCGGAAAGGAGCGGATGGGGGGATGGGCTCCGGGAGGCGTTCTCAAGTGTCGTTTTGTCCTGCCGGTTTCGCTGGGCACGGTACTGCCAAGACCCGTGTGTCGCGGCAGGTCACTAGTGGGTGGTGATGGTGATGGTGGAGCAGTTTGTCAGTTGTTGTTGTTGTGTCGCGTCTGGGAAACGGTCCACCGCGCTAGCTTTGCGCCACCTAGCCACCTCGGTGCAGCGTGGTGGACTAAACGCACACTAAAACAAAAAACGACCAAACAAGCAGTCAAAATGTGTCAAACGAAACAAACAAACAAACGAAACAGCAAAGGCCAGGCCAGGCTCTAGCATTGCGAACCATGCCCATGCCAGTTGCAACAGTTGAGACATGTAGCATGCTCCACCTCTGTATGTATGCTTTGGGCGTGAAACGCCCTCTCCCCCTGCAGTGACAATTCCAGAACGGCCGCTCGCTGTGGCAGCTCCAACAACAAGGTTTGTGGTTGGGGCAGCAGGCGCCTGGCCAACTTTGCAGCTTGTGTCTGTGTGTAACACGGTGACTGGTACTGTACTGTACAGTACGTACCGTACGTACCGTACGTAACCATCGCGCGTTTGCCGTTTCCGTTGGCACGTCGTCAATTCTGTTTATTCTTTCCTTTGTCCTTCTTTCCCGTCTCTCGCGTCTGTACTGTACTGTATTGTTCTGTACCTCGTTCCTTTATCATTCCTTTATATCCTTTTATCCTGGGTTTCCTGCGTCCCAGTCTGCGTTGACGCTGTTTGCGCACTTTTTGCACAAACGCGTGCGCCACGGGCCAACTGGTGCAATGGGACACAATTCAACACGACGAGGACGCCCCAAAGAACACGGTACGAGGGCTGGCGGGTTGGGCCTCAGGTGGGGCATTGTCATTCATTCCTGCTTGTAACCCCCCCACCCGCACCACCACCTCACAGTACACAGTACCGCACAGAACAGCATCGCTGGGTGCATGCTACGCGCATTCCAGACTATTCAGAGTGCTCCACACGCCCGTACGATCTCGTGACTCTTTGCACTCGCCGTCTCTATTTGTTTGACACTCTGAATATACGGTTTTGACCGTGGCTGGCGGCACACGGCTGCGAGCGGCTGATGCGGCGTTTCCCGCACCTCCCTCAGCCGTGTTTGGTTTGTGTCTCGTTTGCCGACCATGCACTAACTAGTACTGGAGGTACCAATTGAGGGTTGTTGTCCTGGAGCATCCGCGGCCGGGGGGGTTGTTTGGTGTTTGTTTGCGGGCAGCATCACTAGCGCTACCGTAGTTGGGTAATTGGGGCACAGGCAACAGGTATTTCTACTGTACGTCTCTTGCCAGCATTCCACGCGAGCCCCGTTACCGTATGGCCGTATGCCCGTATGCACGTAAACAGGAAAGCGAGACGGCGCAGGCATCATCCACTCTTATCCCTTTGCTGCGCGAACGCGGAATAAGTGGTCGTGTTGTGGTGGCGCTGTCGCTGCCGCGCGCACAACACCCTTTGGGTGCCATGGTCGGGCCTGCAGGTGGCGCCTATCGATGATCCAGCGTGGCACCCCACCCCCAACCCCCCCCCGATGCACGGCCTGGGTGGTGGTGGTGCTCCTGGGGGTGTGCCCAAATGAATAGGGAGGGACACAGGGACGATTGCCACTACGAGGTCCGGCGTCAAGAGCTGAGTCAGGCGAAAGGGGGTTGCTGTTGGGGGGTCCATCATCAGGCCGGCATCAGGTAAAGTGTGCAAAGCGAGCGACGGGCCACAGGGAACAACCGAACAACCGCCTAAAGAACCCAGGAGGAGCAAGGCGGCTGGCTCTGGCTGCAATCATGTCCACGGTAGATCGGTTCCAGGTTTTCCAGCAAGGTTGGGTGTGACGTGAAGAGACAAGCCTTCCTTAATCCTTCCGCCTTTGACCTCAGGTGGAGTGCAAGCGCTGGAAAGAATCCCCGGCCGGCAAGGGTGACGAGGAGGCGGCAAAAGGGTGCAACACGGTCTCGGCTAGCAGCACAAGCATGCACGTTAAGCAGCAGCAGCAGGCCAGCAGGATTGCGGCGCACGAGACCGGCGCGGGCCAGGGCGACAACGGCAAACAGGGAGGGAATGAGAGAGGAGGTTTGGGTGTTGACACGCCGGTGTGCTCGCAGAGGTATCCCGTTCCTGTCTTTCGTGTCTGGGGTTTCCGTTCCTCGCCAAACTCTCTCTCTCTCGTCCGCCAGTCTGTCGGTCGCAGCCAGTCGCTTTCGTGGTCGCTCTTCTCTCCTCACTCTCTCTCTTCTTTCAACAACACATACACGCACATCGACATCCATTGCAAGAGACGTGTTTCTCTTTCGCTCGTCGCCGCCCCACCCACCGTCCTCGACAACCCTCGACACTCCCTTCCCGCCGACGTTTGACACTCGGCCCAAACAACCCACACACACACACACACTCTCTCTCTCTCTCTCTCTCACCACCACCTACGCTCTCTAACAGCACCACTGCGACACCTCGTTCCTCGTTATCGCGCGCCTTCTCCGTCCCACCCCAGACCCACCGCCCTTTCCACTTCCCCCACCGTCCCCCACCGACGCACGGCCTCGCACGCCCCGCCAAGCTCATCTGTTGGAATCTCCCACACAGCTCGAACCCCGTTTAAAAGGAGTCTGCGCGTTCCTTTCGCAATCCACTTCAGCACTCCTCTTCTCCACAGCCGTCGACCTCCTTTGACAGCTTTTCTTTAAAGACAACTTTGTGTCCGCAGCCCGGATACCGACCTGCCCGCCAGGAGCCAACACCAACGCATCTCGTGTCGATCAGACCGTTTGAGACAGCCCCGATCCCTCCGCGCGCCAAACACACGCAGTTTGCCCCTTTACCCTAATCCGACACTTGTTCGTCCTGGGTCATATCATTCCGCGCCAGCAACACCTCCCCCCTGCACACGCCGCCCTTGTCGTCCTCACTAGTTCGCACGCAGACGCCGACACATAGCTTCAACTCGTACTCTCCTCTCTCTCTTCAACAGCCGCTCTTGCCTCTTTGCAACAGCCGTCTCTCCCTCGCTATCTTTACGTCCCCTTCCCTGCTTTTACTGCCGACTTTGCTCGCGGTCTCGACCTTTGCGCAGTGACTGTCTACCGACGCCGAAACGCCCGACGCCAGAACAGCCAGAACAGGTTACCCGCCTGCCGCCGAAACGCCACCGACAACCTCTTACCTTGATACCAAAGACCCTTTTGGCACCACCCCTTCCTTCCCTTTGCCGATTTTTTCATATCGCCATGTCTCCCCGTCCCAGTGAGTTTTGGAACAACCACGCTTGGACCCACCCGTGGCGTACGCAGGCTTTGGCAAGGCTTGCAAGGCTTGCAAGGCTCTGCACCGAGCTGGCTCCGACCGAGCCTCCGACGCGGCCTTGCTCGGTCGCCACTTGGTGTCTGGCCCAGACGTCAGGCGCATCCTTTCCCTCATATCTGCTGCGATTGTTATTCTTGTCGTACTGACTCTTGCAAGCTCCCTCTACTCCTCCCCGTATGCCGTCGCGTCCGTCCTCGCCTTGCGAGAAGCGCACCTTTGGCGTGCCAACTATCGTCCTCAGTAAGTCTCACCAAAAGGGCAGCCTTTTGCTGTGCCAGATCCTATGCCCCCCGGTCTTAGGGATTGCCCAACTGACCCCCTCACAGCCGAGGCCCACTGTGACCGTCCGTGCTCGCCGCCGCCCAAGCAGATTGTGCTCCTCAACCCATCAGCATCATATGGTGCCCGCCGGTTCGGCCTGGGCGGAACTGCAACCCTCCGCTCGCTCGTCATTGTCATCCTCCTCGCCCTTGCCGCGTGGCACCTGTACGCCACTCTGGACATTGCTGGCGCCATCCATGTGTCCCCGCAAGTGATGCAGCCCTAGGGGGTCTGTTCTTTGGAACATCTTGGACCTGATCCAACCTCGATCTCCCGTCGTCTTGGCCTTGGCACGCACTGCCCACCGCCACACCTGCACATCGACGCGATCCCTTATCCCAGCTCGACGACCTACGGCAACATTCACGAACACCGCCATCGTCATAGCTGTGGGCAAGCACACCATCATTCATAACTGTATAGACAACACGCACACACACACACACTTCCGGCACCACTATTTTGGGTATATACGAAAGGAACGAACCGCTGCCTCATCTCATCTCATTTCATCATCTCTCTCTCGGATCAGATGACAGCGTTTAACGAGACGAGAAACAACCGACCGAGCCACAGGGCCAGCCCGACTGGCCGCCTGGATCGGCACACTCTCAACACACACACACGGATAATTAGGGACATTTGGCCTGTTAATGCACTTTGCCGTTAGCTGGTAGACCGATGCATCATGCGTACTTTCAAGCACAATGGCTGGAGCGAGAATGGAGAGAGAATAGAGAGACCCCAAGTGACACAAGGCCCAGTTTGCCGGAACCGATCACTAGCGTCAGTGGCGCTCTCGTAACGCGTCCTTGCCAAATGTCCTCTTGCTGTGTGTCCTCTCTCCGTCACTGTGCTACCGCTCCTTCCCCTCTGTGCCGCAGGTCCAGGATGCATCGTACAATCTATAACTCGCCGCCCACCGCTCCTTCTGAATCCCTCGAGCCCGCATTTCCCCATGGAAAACAGTGAAAAGATGTAAAAGGGAACAGATTGAGGTGAGGGGCACGGCAAGGGGTATAGAGATTCCACAAGGAAAAAAAAGAGAGAGAGGGAGAGAAAGAGAGAGAGCGACGACGATGTCTGCCCCCCCTGAGTTCTCTTTACTCCCTTTTTCGTTTTGTTTCCACCACTTAGGCGTAGTGGTCAATGAGCGAGTCGCGCATCTCGTTGATGACGGCGGCGCTGGTCTGGCCCTGGAGGCGGAAGGTGGCCTCGATGACGGACACCTCGGTGGCGGTGGTGTCGAGACCGGTGAAGGCGCACCAGTCGTTGACGACCATGCCGGCGCCAATGACCTCGGAACCGCGGTTGACGGTTCCGGCGACGAGGGGCACCTGCAGCAGCGACGAGAGCTCGTCCAGCTCCGAACGGGTGGTCTTGGGGTGGACGAGACCGCCCTGGAGGGAGACGTCAGTGTTTGGGACAAGAGAGGGGGGGAGAAGGATCAGATAGTGTCAGTTACTGTCCCGTAGGACCACAGGTGCTGCCACTATACTCTGCTCTACTAACCTGGTTGGACAGGGCACAGTACGAGCCAACGAGGACGTTGCTGGCAATGGTTTGACGGAAGACCTCGACCTTGAGGGTGTCGGCAATGATCTCCTCGGTCTCGCGGTCAATGTCGGGGTGGACGAGCGCCACGTAGTCGTTGCAGGCAATGACGTTGCCGAGCGCCGAGAGACGCTCCTCGACACGCTGGATGGCGACCGAGGGGGGGAGCGAGTTACGCAGGTGCTGCAGCTCCTGGTCGGTCGTGGTCGAGGGGACGAGGAGGCCGTGGCGGTTGCCGGCGGTCAGACGGCCGACGATGCGGGTGCCGGCAATGGTGGTGTGGACGATGGGGATGACGTCCGCGAGCTCGGCCTCAAAGGCAGAGTAAAAGTTGGTCGACGAGGCCAACGCGGTCAGGCAGTAGCTGGAAGAGGATTAGTCACACACGAAACAACGTCGGCAATGGTAAAGCTTTTGCTCAAACCGAGAGGCCGATAGGAAGCTTTGATACCCACGAGTTGGTGAGCTTGGAGAAGACACCGATGTCGGTCGAGTTCTCGAACTGGCAGCCTGGAGGGGATGTCAGTGACACGGGCGGACACGGGTGCGGGCACACGAGCAACAACTCACGGACAGCCATGGTGGAGGATCTAGTGGTCTAGGGAGGGTGGGGTGAGGGGTGCCGAAAGAGGGGCTGGAGTGGGTGGTGATGGGTGAAGGGAAAGGACGTCAAAGGTCGACGTGCGTGAGGGGGGGATGAGGAGATGGGGTGGGTGTGTTGGAGAGCTCTCTTATTAGCACTCGGGTCTTGAGTAGAGATGTTCTGTAGTGGTTGTTGTTTGACATGCAAATCTGGCTCGAAATGTCATTGCAGCCCACACGAGAGCTGCCGCCTCGGATCCGACCCAGCGATCACAAACGCTCAGAACTTTCCTTAAAATGGGGGGTGGTCATAAATACAGCCACGTGACGGGCAGTCTCCACTGAACCGTGCCTGGCAGGCAGGCAGCGCCCGGAGCCGTACGCCGGGTTCACTCATGTTGGGCTCTCGAATGCCCCCCATCTACAGAGCAACACCTCGTTCCACCCCCCATCAAACAATGAAGCTCCCCCAGTTCATTCAGGCCTTTGCCGACCCACTCCGAAACGAGGATGCGGTTCCTCTGGTCCGTCTCCTCGACTGCCGCAACCGTACCGCGCGCGGACTGCACAATACCGTCGGCGCCATCGATGTGAGCCCCTCCTCCCCCTCCCCGCAACCACCGTCCATCCCACGCGTCACTGACAACTTGTGTCCCAGGCCAAGCGTCTTGCCAACCCAGGCCACTCTCTCCCAGAACACTGGGACGGGATTGCCGTACGTCACTGCGCAGCCGTAAACGCGCTGTACAACAACGACTATGCCGGAGCATACACACACCAGTCGGCGCTCGTGTCCCTCTTCTTCCGGTGGTTCCAAGAACAGCCGGCATGGCCCCTCCCGATCCTCTACTTGCTCCTCCGGGACTTGCGCGAGCTCGCCGAGCAGGCCGATGGCGCGACGTATGCTGCCACGGGACGCATGCCCGCGCTGGAGGAGTGCACGCGTACCGTGTCCAAGGCGTTCTCTATCTGCGCGACCGACCGCACGTACAAGGGCCAGCAGAGCAGGAGGAACGGCGTCTACCACGTCGCGTGCTTGAGCTTGAAGTGTTACTTCAAGGTGAGTGTACTGAGGCGTTGAGGTCGGTCGGCAGAGGATGGGAGCTGCTGCTGGGTTGTTGCTGCCTCCGCCAAGCTAGCTGCGGTTCACCGTATCCTAATGTCCACCACGCCTGCGACCGATTCAGCTTCCCCGGCTTCCCCGCTGACACCCATCTCATCCCAGGTCGGCAAGCCCAACCTGTGCAAGAACATTGTGCGTGCAGTCACCTCGGACCCAAAGACGCCTCCCGTGGACGACGCGCCGCTCCCGGACCAGGTTACTTGGCACTTTTACATTGGCATGCTCGCCTTCCTTGCCGGCGACGACAAGAAGGCCGACGACGAGCTCACGTGGGCGTTCTTGCACTGTCCCGTGGACGCCAAGCGGAATCAGGAGTGAGTGGCTGGCAAGTAGACAAACGCATTTAGCCACCCGTGACGAGAAAAGGAAGAAGGAAGACTGACGCGGGGTCCAGGCTTATCCTCACCTACCTCATCCCCTTACACCTTGTGCGCGGCTCGTTCCCGGCCCAGCACCTGCTGGACGCCAACCCGCGCCTCAAGGAGGTATACGGGCCGTTTGTCGATGCGATCCGCGAGGGCAATGTCGAAGAGTACGACCAGCGGCTCGAGTGGGCCCAGCCGCGTCTCGTGGGCATGAGCACCTACCTCGCCATCGAGCGCGCGCGCGAGGGCTGCCTGCGCGTCCTGTTCAAGCGCGCATGGATGGCCAGCGATAAGAGCACGCGCATGCCCATCTCGACGTTCCAGACCGCCCTCAAGCTCCAGCACGTCACGGCAGACTCGGACGAGGTGGAGTGCATGGTGGCCAACATGGTCTATCGGGTAGGTTGATCAATTGACACACAGAGTCGCTGACAACCGTGCAGGGTTACATCAAGGGATATATTTCGCACGAGAAGCAAATGGTCGTGCTCGCAAAGACCAACCCCTTCCCCTCGTTGGCGGCCATTCCAAGGTAACTCCCCCTTTCTTCTCTCCCACTCGATACCCCCGCTACACACAACCCCGCCACCCCGCATAGGATTCCCCCTTGTTACACAGATTGTTTGCATGAATCGCATAGGATACCAAAGGAACCTTTTGGTTTGGCTGCGTACAAACAGGTGGGGAAGTACAGGAAACATGCCTAGGGGCTCTAGAAGAGCGTCTTGGGAAGTGGGGTTGGGGCCGCGCCCTTCGTGGCGAACCTTTGGACCTTTTCGTCGCGGGCAGCCGTCTCAGTCTTGAGAACAACGAGGGCGTGTTTGAGGTCTTGATAACTCGCTTCGTGCGGCGCGTAGGCACTTTGGACTGCGCCAAGCTGCGTGCCGCTGGCGAGTTAGGGGTACTGCATAACAATCGAGTCACTCACGTTTCAGTCGCCCACTTGTCCGTGGCCGCCTTGGCCGAGCCGGCAATACGGCGGCGTGCGGTTTGAGTCTTGAGGTTTGGAGCTTGCAGGCGCATCATGTTGAGGCTCTGGATGATCTGCGCGGTTAGCTCGCGACCAAGACATAACCTCACCTCGGCCGCCTCTCCCAAAAGCTGCGCGTCAGCGTGGTCTCTAACACTCGCAACTCACTTGATCAATCCTTGCGTGCTTTCCAGCCGTTGGAGAACGAGGAGGCTTCGGGGTACGGACAGGCAGTTCCCCGAAACGGGTGTGCTTCACGGAGCGCTCCTCAGTGTCCGTCGCAGCAACCTTGAGCGCGGACAGAGTGGCCTTGGGTGTGGCCTGGGTGACCTGGGGCGGGGATTCGATGACCTTGGGCGACTCGGGCGCGAACGCGGAGCGCGTGTGGTTGAACACCGCAAGTGGCGTCGAGGTGACAAACTGGTCCGAGCCCAGATCACTGGGAGTTTGCGCGATGTCAGATACCGTGGGCTCCTTCTTGTGGGTAATAGCCACCGGTGTTGGGGGATCGACCTTGGGAATGTGGCGAGAAGGGGGTGCTGGGTCTGTGGCGCGGTCTGTACTGACGCTGCTCCTGAAACCCGAAAGGCTGAGCCCCTCTGTCACTGAATCGTCGTTATCCAAGGTGTTGACTGGAGACTCTTGAAGTGGGTGGTGGGGGGAAGGCAGGTCGACGAATACATTGTCCTCGATAGGAAGCCCATTGCCAAAGTTGAGCTCAGAAACATCCGAGTCTTGGGGGTCGACAAGGTCTTGAAGAACGCGGACATCGAGAGGAGCGTAAGCTTGGGCATCGACATCCTGAGCAAGGTCGCGATGTTGGGAGCCGTCAAAGCTTGAAGAAGGGTCGCGGTCTTGGGCACCCAGGTCCTCTTCAAAGTCCTGAACATTGTCATAGTCATCAGTGTCCTGGCAGTCAGCACCTTACTAACATCGCTTCTCACATTGAACACATCGTCCACCTGCTGCGGAGCCTGTTTGGGAAGTTTAACGCGACTGTCCTCGCCTGTCACCTGGGGGTCCGAATTGGAAGACGAGGGGCTATGCTGCGTCTGGATCGACTTGACAGCCTCAGTGTGCTGAAAGTTGGGAAGCCATGGGAGAGGCTTCTCGTCGCAAATGTCATCGGCGTGTGGAGGAGCTTTGACCGCTTGACGGGGTGGCTTCACAACATGTAGGCGATTGTCGTCGGCAGGCGTCTTGGTCGTCGTCTCAGCCTGATCGATGCGGCGACGGGCCCGAACAGTGGTGCCGACAGGAGACTGTGGCGGGTTAGCTCTGCTGGAAGGTTCCAACCTGCCTTGGTCTTCACAGCCTTCGCCTTCGCAGGACGGGAGACTCGCTGGCGCGGAGACGTCCTCGTGACCACCTTGGGGTCGGGCACGGTCTCGATATTGCGGGACTTGGGAGGCGAGCGCTTTGGCCTGGACGATGTCTGGGGAAGGGACTTGATGATGTGCCCGACTTCCTCGTCGCTCTCATCGTCACTCTTGGCATCTAGAAAGCGAATGGACTTGGAACCGTCTTCTTGTTAGCCCTTCTCACCGGCGTGTCGACTCACAAGTGTTCGTGGGCTTCTTGATCGGTGACGGCTTGGGCACTGTTTGACTGGCCTCCGGGTAGTGCATCTCGGGATCATCCTCGCCGATTCCTCCCAGGACGTTGTCGTCGGCGGACGGAGAAGCAGAGCATGTTTGGTGTGAGTCTGATGAACTCCTCGCCGGTGAGTCGCTCGTGCTGGAGGCAGCCGGCTTAACTTGAGTAGGTTGACTCTGCTCGTCGATGGCAACTACCCGGGCCTTCTTTGCTGCTTCCTTGGCCGCGACACGGGTTGGACGACGAGTAGAGGTTTCTTGATCCGTTTCAGCTTCAGCTGGATCCTCATCCTTGTCTTGAGCTTCCGCTGTGACTGGTCCAGCCTTGGTGACCTTGGCAGCGATCTTTGCGGAAGAGTCTGTCGCTTTGGAACCAGCCGTCGACGGGCCGGGCTCGGACGAGATGGTCTCCTTTTCACCACGCGTGCGGATAGCAGCCGGGGCATTGGACTTGCCCTTCGAGTCGGGGTTTGGTTGGGACGGTTCAGCGAGGGGATCGTGCACATGCCAGTCGTCGCCCGCAGACGGAATGGGGTCGTTGATAGGGTTCACCGCCTCCGCGTTGTTGGTGGCTTCGCTCATGTCCCGGCCAACATCGTGGGCGTAGGTATTCTTGGCTTCGGCTGTTAAGTACGTTAGACAGTTGCAGCTGAGTATCAACAAAACTCACCAGGATCAACAACCACTTTGGTGGGGTATGGGAGAGGCGGAGATGAAGAGCCACTGGCGCCATTTTTGGAACTCTGGGACACAATCAGCAGGAAGCCACCTCTTGCTCACACACCTTTGGAAGACGATTCGTCACAAAGTCATGGAAGGCAGAGGCCTGGTCACCCTTGATTCCGATCACCACTGGTGCAAGGCCCTTGCCATCGGAATTCCTAATGCCAAACTTGAAAGCTCACAGGTCAGCGCGATTGGGAGTGTGGATTTACCAGTGCTGTCACTCTCATCGCGAGTAAAACCCTCAATGCGGTTCAGAGGGAAGGATGCGTCATTCTCTTCGCCACCTTTGGTAAAAGTCTATAGATGTTTAGCTTCACCAGCAGGGAAAGGGCTTCTCACCTTGACGAGGATAGCCCAGTGATCGACGTAGACGACCACCTCGTTCTTCTCCAGTCGACGCTGACACAGCTTGTTGTCGATCTGGCTTTTGCCACGAACGGTAAATGAAGTGATTTGAAAGCCGTATGGTCTGCCAATTGGCCCGTCGTCACCTTGCGTGTGTGCCGCGTTGACAAAACTCATGTAAAGCTACGGGGTCAGCAGGACCCAGCTCTGGGACTCACAATAGGGTTCCACGAAGTCGAGGATGAACTCTGTATATCACTCTTGCGCCTGTGTGTAGTGAAGGCGCGAAGAATGGCTCTACCCGTCTTGGGGTTCCAATCGCCACGCATGGCGTTGTTGAACATGTCTGCCTCAAGGAAGGGAGTGATGATGCGGAACAGATTGACTGAGAGCGAGGAGCCTGCGAGTTAGCCCTATCACAGAACTGCAGATAACTCACAGGTAGACTGGAATAGGAGGTGACAGATTCTGGGTCTGACGTGGTCAGACAGAAACAGAACATCGTCTCGTACTACTCACAGTCCGGCCACCTCTTCCTTGATAACGAGGTCGTGAGCAGGTCCCTCCGGCTCGCCCACAATGGAGTTGAGTAGATCAGACAGCTGTAGTGTAAGCTTGCCGGCCAACAGACATAACAGGTAAGCGTACCGCGTCTGATGCATCGGGACCGCCATTAATACCGCCGTGGAGGGCACACAGCAGGTCGACGACGAGCTTCAGCCATTCGGGAGTGTGCAGCTCTTCTGCGATCACTGCGGCGTCAGTGTCGACGAGGTGTCCGTACCCACCGTAGCCATTGATAGAATCAAGGTCCTTGTAGAGTTAGATGTGTCGTCTTGCGCTCAACTCACCTGGACACTACCCGTCAGCATAACATTCTGGCTCTGTTACCACTCACCTCTCAATGAGCGAAACGACAACCTTGCAAGCCCGCTCGAGATGGCCGACTGCATCGTCTGCACCGAGCGAGCCGCGTTGAGAGGGGTGGACCTTGACAATGTTGTCGTATTCCTCGCTCAGCGGGATGATTGCGACTTGCAGTAGGCGCGAGAGGATGGCATAGTGGTACTCGGCGTAGAGGTCGTTGGGGACATATGGGAGGAGAAGGCAGAGCTATGGTAGGTGAGCAAGGAATATCTTGGCTACCTACCTCGTTCTCGGTCCACAGGCAGAAATGGTTGATGGTGTTCGAGGGAAGACGCTTGTTATTCTATGGGGTGGTGAGCCAGGAAGGCGGGGAAGGCGGGGGGAAGGCAGGGATGGCAGCCTTTGCCACCACAATCTCGCCAGCGGCCAGCGGGGTACATACGATAAGGTCTTGGAAGAGGCGGTTGCCCGCCTGCAGGGAGCGCTGCCTTTCCTGGAAGCCTTCCTTCTTGGTCTTGGCCAGATGTGCGTCAATGGCGCTGCTTGTAGCCTCCAATGGCGATTTGGGCTCGGACGACCGAGTAGAAGGCTTTGAGCGGCCCATGCCGGGCCGAGGCGATAGGCGGAGGTCAGATATCCGACACGGGGTGTGGGTGAGTGGTCGCAGGAAGAGGGGGAGTGACAGTGGGCGGTGGATGGGTGGAGTGAGGAAAGTGATGAGAGATGGAGGACTGTGTTGTAGAGAAGATGTGGGTACTTCCCGTACACACTGTGCATGTCTTCCTTTTCTCTGTTTTGCCACCCACCCACACGCTCACGGAGAGACGGGCAACGAGGACAGATGCATATGGTGGCAGTTGACTCACCCGGCAGGTTGGAGACCCCGCACGGGCGGCATAATCAGTGTGTCGGGTGTACCCGAACGGGCAGCAAGATGGGACGAATGGGCCTAAAATGCCTCCGCACCTTGCGCGCACGCGCGTCCGTCTTGCGAGGCTGGTCGTCATACCGCTTGCGGTGGCGTGCCCCCCCGCCGCGCGTAGCCGTAGTGATCAATGGTCGCTCGAGTCGAGGGATCGAGGGGCCGTTGTGAACGGCGGCATCCTGCTGTATTGGGTGATAATACGCGCCACTGAATCTAATGTGGGAGGATCGATGACGTTGCGGCCGGGACCTACGAGGCTGGTTGGTTCGGATGCGATGGCCGGTCGTCCCCCCTCTCTCTCTCGTCGGCCCAGCCTCCATAAAGAGGCCCACCGCCCCACCGTTATCACCCAGCATCCCCCCCACCCCGCGTCTCACTCCAAGACGCAACCCCACCACCACCACTTGCCCACACACACACATCTCTCATCGCCCTCATCATAGAGGCTACACCAAGCATCCATACTTGTTCTCCCCCTCACTTCGCATACATACATACCCCATCATGCGTCTCCCGCTCGCCGCCCTCTTCTCCCTCCTCCCGGTCATCCTTGCCACCCCCATCAAGGAGCGCTCCCTGGCCCCGCTCATGTCCAGCGGTGAGACCATCCAGGACTCGTACATTGTCGTCTTCAAGGACGGCGTCACCCCCGAGCAGATTGCTCTCCACCTCAACTCGGTCAGCGACTGGAACCAGGCATCCGTGAGTACCTCCCCAGAGAGCATGTGTTTGGCCACCCGTGCCAGTTCGGCTGGCGCCGCCCGATAAGGGGGGAGATGCGGGCAGGCGGGGAGGGGGCTGCGCGCTTGGTCACCGCCCCCACCTCCCCTCACCTTGCACCCAGCGAGAGGACTGGGTGGGGGTAACAACCTCCATCCGTCACCTCGACTGCTGTCGCCACCACCAGTGTTCCATTGCTCACACGATCCAGCTCCTTGGCGATGACGCGGACATCTCCAACGTGTACGCTCCTGCGGTGAACATTGGCTTCTACGGCTACGGTAAGTCTTAGTCGTTGCATTCAATGGTCCACACGACTGACTCTTGTCCAGCCGGCAAGTTCTCGGCCGACACCCTTGACGAGATCCGTTCGGCTCCCGAGGTCGCCTACGTCGAGCACGACCAGATTGTCCGCACCCAGGACGAGGTTCACGGCGTCGACGACGCCCTGCTCATTGGCGACGACATCACCAAGCAGAACGGTGCTCCCTGGGGTCTTGCTCGTATCTCGCACCGCGACGAGCTCCGTCTCCCTACCTTCCAGAAGTACATTTACGACTCGCACGGTGGCGAGGGTGTCACTGCCTACGTGATTGACACTGGTGTCAACATTGACCACGTCGAGTTTGAGGGCCGCGCTCGCTGGGGCAAGACCATCCCCAAGAACGACCAGGACATTGACGGTAACGGCCACGGTACCCACTGCGCTGGTACCATTGCGTCGCGCAAGTATGGCGTTGCCAAGGCGGCCGAGATTGTCGCCGTCAAAGTCCTCGGAACCAACGGTTCGGGTACCATGGCCGATGTCGTTTCGGGTGTCGTGTGGGCTGCCGAGCAGACCCTGAAGGAGCAGCAGAACGCTGCCAGGGAGCTCGCCCTCACTGGCAAGACCACTTACAAGGGCTCGGTCGCCAACATGTCGCTCGGTGGTGGCAAGGCCAAGTCGCTCGACGACGCCGTGGACAAGGCCGTCGAGGTCGGTCTCCACTTTGCCGTCGCTGCCGGCAACGACAACAAGGACGCGTGCAACTACTCGCCCGCCGGTGCTGAGAAGGCCGTCACCGTCGGTGCCTCGACCATTGGCGACGACCGCGCCTACTTCTCCAACTTTGGCAAGTGCGTTGACGTCTTTGCTCCCGGTCTCAACATTCTCTCGACCTGGACTGGCCGCCCCGACGCCACCAACACCATTTCGGGTACCTCGATGGCCTCACCCCACGTCTGTGGTCTCCTCGCCTACCTCCTCTCGATCGAGGGCTCGGGCACCTTCCACATCAACGGTGCCACGGAGCTCGTCGAGGTCGAGTCCGAGGCCACCCTCTACGCCCAGGCCTACTCGCTTCTCCCTTCGTACCTCCAGGACGTCCTCCCCACTCCCGAGGACATCAAGGAGCTCGCCCCCATCCCCTCGAAGAAGATCAGCCCCGCCCGCCTGAAGAAGGCCCTCCTCGGCCTTGCGACTGCCGGCGCCCTCTCGGACGTCGGCTCCGGCTCGCCCAACCTCCTCATCTTCAACAACGCCACCAGCTCGTAAGCGCGAACAGGCAGGGTATCGGTATCCAATCTACGCGCCGGACAGCTTCCCCCCCCCCCCCCCCCCCCCGGACCAGAATTTGAAGTGAAGAAGAGAGAGTGTGAAGTCAAGCCGCCCCAGAACGCAAGCAGAATGTTGTCCCCCGCGGCACGAGCTGCGCCCGTGACTGCGAACGATGTACCACTATGCAGAATATGCCATGAAGAAGAACATTGAAAACAGACTGGTCTATGAGCAGAAGCAGGAGCAGGAGAGAGGGAGAGTCTATGAACACGAGGTGCTAAACAGGAGGTGGGGGGTGAGAGGGCTGAGCAGGTTGTTCTCGCGTGTCGAAGGAGTGGATGGAGGCACCACTGGCGCGACAGCACACGCAAACGCAGTCGCACGCCATCACCCGCCTATCTCACAGGCCACGCTCGTCATTCATGCCCGTTGCGCAACCACCGACGCGACCACAATACCCGCATCATGCGAGATGGTCGCGAGCAGACCAATCCCAGCACCACCCACTGGAGGTGTTGGTGCTGGTGCTGGTGCAGGTGCAGGCGCAGGAGCCGGAACGGGCTTCTTGGGCGGAACGACACTGTGCGCGGCGGCGGCGGCCGCGGCGAGGATGCTCGCGCGGCCGGGCGGTGTAGCTTGTGGGCGTGCTGGCCGTGGAGGCGGAGCTGGGGGCTGTGGATACTCTGCGTTGGGTCTTGTCGCCGCTTCTTCTTCGGTTGCAGCCCGCTCGAGCTCGCTAGCGACGGATGTCGATGTCGATGTCGAGATCGAGGCCGTCGACTCGTACAGCGGTCCCGCGACGAGGGCGAGGTATGGCCGCCCGTCGCGCGCGTACGACAGGTCGAGGTCGCGCCAGCTCCGCAGCGAGCGTGGGGGCAGAGCCTTGAGCGCTGCTTCCTTTGCTGCCCATCTGCGCAGCGTCAGCCACGTCCATGGTCCATGTGGGTCCTGCTACCTACCGCGACGACAGGAAGCGGACCTGCTTGGTGTACAGCGTCGACGGCTCTGGGTGGTCCAGCTGGCTAAACTCGGCATACTCGCGAGCAGTGCATATCCGCTCCGCCAAGCGACGGGCCGTACGCCGCTGGATGAGGCCCTCGAGGCGCGCGATGGACAGAATGTCGATGCCGATACCCAGTATCATTGGTCTGTGTGGTTGTGTCGAAAGTGAAAGTGACATCACCCTCCTCCACATTGAGAAATTCATGAACGGAGGTGGAGGCCGGGTTTCTCGGCCTTTTGCCTGGTCCTTGCCTCTTGCTCGCAGTTGCAATGGACGCCTGAATCACATAACCTCAAGACTGCTATAAAATGGCTATTGCCAGTGGAGAAGGTAGCTATAACGAGAGTGGGCATGTGATCCATAAAGGAAGAAACGGAGGGGGAAAACACAGAGAATTGAACGGGCGCAAGAGTGTTTGAACGAGTGACTGAAAAGTTTGGTGATCTTGTCGCTGCCTACATGTACCAGGCAAAGCGACGCGAAGGAGAGTTCTGGAAGCGCTTCGCGATGAGGAAGGGGTCAATGGTGGGGCCGGGCTGCTGGGTGCTTCCCGACAGAGACGTGGCCACGTCCGACTCGTCGTCGATGTAGGCGAGGTAGCGGCACTGGGTCGCGATGATGTCGGCGTAGTAGGCAACAGGGACGATCGACACGGCACGGGTGGCGCGCGCGTACGAGTAGCAGAGATGGTTGCAGAGCATCTGCATCGTGTCGGCCTTGAACGCGTTGTCGTCGGCCAGGACAATGTAGTGCGTGGGACGAGCGGTACCCTGGAGACCAGCGTGCGCCTGGAGGTAGAAGTCAAACGCGAAGGGGTGCGTGACCTTGGAGTCCACAACAGTACCGGGCTTGAGGTTGCCAGTGCGGTCGGCGTCTTCGGCCTTGATGGGGAAGAAGCGCATGTTGTGGCGCTTGGCGCAGATGACGAACGTAATCTTGGGCTTGTACATGCCAGTGCCAAAGCGGGCAGCGGCGGCGCGGATAGCCTGGACCTCCTTCTTGCAAACCTCGGCGTACTGGCCCTCGGAGACACCATCACGGAAGAAGATGATCTTCTGAGGGGGAGACTTGGTCTTCTCCTCGAACGTCTTCATGTGGTTGAACATGAGGTTCTCCAGGTCGGCAATGATCTCAGTGCGGGGGTCCTGGAGACGGATACCGGGCTCGAAGCGGACGTTGTCGCCGTCAAGGCCAGCAACGGTGACGGCAATAGAGGCCTGGTTGCCGCCGCCGGGCGGGTGAGTGACGTCGGCACCGACCATCATGGTCGTCTTGTCGAAGACTTGAGGAACGGGCACCTCGTGGGTGACACCGCCGAGCTTGGACTGGATCTTCATGGCGACGTTGGCGCAGTACTGGTCAAGACCACGGTCGTTGCGGAGCTTCTGCGTCTGGAGACACTGGGTCGTGACGAACTAGAGGTCAGCTGGTGACAAAGTGAGGGCCACTCACGCTCTTGAGGCCCATGGCAGCAATGTTCTTGATGCTCTGGTACATGGCAACATCCTTGCGCTGATAGGGGTCAGCAATGGGAGTATGACTTTGCACTCACCGGCATGAGGACAACAATGAGCTGAGGGTCCGCCTTGGCGGACATGTAGGCGGCACGAGCAGCCTCCTTCAGGCCCTCAGCGAGCCTCTGGGGGTTGCCGGTGATGCAAGGAGGTTGACCGTTGTCAACAAGCACACCGTACTGCTTCATGGTCTGGACGAGACTAAACTGTCAGTACACGCAGAAAGAGGGACGGCTCACAATCCAATGAACTGTTCTGCAGGATCGTTAGCTATCTGATTCGCGATGGCAGGTGCCTAGCAAACTCACGCATGTCTCCAACCTGGAAACGGTTGTCGAAGCTGATCACGGACCAGGACTTGAGAGAAGAGGGGGCAGGACGAGTGAACTGGGAGGCCACGTCAGCAAAACTGACCAAGGAAGACGAAGCAAGTTGGACTCACGCGAACGCCCTTGAGGTTCCAACCACCGAACTGGCAGTTCAGAGTCTTGCCCTGGTTGTAGGTGACCTTGGGCGTGGGGAGGACACGAGCGTCGACACGCATCATGTTGGGGTTAACCTCCAGGCCCCACGACTTGAGCTTGGGAAGGTTGCCGTAGTCGAGCTTCTGGCGCCACTGCTTGACTGAAAGGGTAAGACTAGGAAGCAGAAAACGTAAGGGGAGACTTACTGGCAGCGGAGCGGTCCATGGGCTTCTGAGCAGCGACACGGATCATGTCGGCAGCCTGGTCGCCGGTCATGGCGGTGAAGGGCCACCTGTTGAAGTCGCAAAGGACAACGAGTTCAAGGCTGCAAGGTTAGCGCTGATGCAGCCGTTTGTACTCACGGGACCATGAAGTTGCGGCCGTAGACAATGCAAGGAAGACGAGGCTTCTGAATCGTGATGTTAAACTGCTGCTTAAAATACTGGACCAGGCCGATACTCTGGTCGGCAGCACCGTCGCGGCCAGTCATCACGAAGGTGATGTCACTTGCAGGCTTGCGCGAGATGGACTTGATGCTGAACGTGCGCTCAGACTGCCTGGTACAGAGTTAGTCTATTCGGTTCACCTTGGGACTCACTTGTAGGGAAGCGTGAACCTCGCCTGGCGAAGGACCTTGGTGATCCTCCTGATCTGGTCGGGGCTCAGCTCGTTGAGGACGGGCGCGTGGCCGGGAGGACCGCCTGGACCACCACCACGAGGGCCACCGCGACCTCCGCGAGGGCCTCCGCGGCCACCACGGCCACCGCGATCACCGCCACCGCCGCCGCTGAGGCCAAGGATCTCAGGAATGACGTTCTGGACAGTCAGTAAGGGCCTAAGCGTGAGTGAGGAAGGCTCACCATGATAGGACCGGGCTTGATGAGCGCCGTGTAGGCCGTGTCGAGCTGAATGGCGGGGAAGCCGCTCTCGGTGGGGCGGAACGACCTGAGGGTTAGCTGGGGGATCAAAGCACTTGGGAAAGGGTTCAAAGACTTACTGGGCGAAGCCCCTGGCGACGAGACCACCGTTGGAGATGGGGACGCTGCCGTCTGCGAACAGTTAGTAGAGGGCCGGGGAGGTGCAAACAGTACGTACCCATGCCGAAGAAGCGGCCACGGGCGCCGATGGGCGTGAAGCGCTGAGCGGGGTTGTCGCGGAGAAGAATGTTGACGGCCTGGATGGCGGTCAACTGCAAAGAGTGAGCTGATGTCATAATAATCCACAGAGGGCGCCAACGACTTACGACGGTCTCAATCTCCTGGACAGACTGCTTCTCCTTCTTGCAGAAGCGCATGACAGCGTTCAGGTCGACCTGGTTGGCGAGCTGGAGGGTAAGCTTGAAGCGACGAGAGTCGTCAAGCTCGCGACCCTGCTCGGGCAGAGCAACCTGGATCTCCTTCTGTGCAAGAGTCAGTCAAGGTCAGAAACAAGGAGCGTACCTTGCCGTTGGGACCCATCTCAAAGGGGGAAGTCGTGTAGATGTTCTTCCTGGCACTGTCAGCTGCTGTGTGTCCGTGCCGGTATCACTCACTGAAGGTCAAAGGCCGAGTCGGCAAAGGCCTTCTTGTCAGGAGCACCCTGGTTGTCGCGGATGGCCTGCGCCCAGATCTTGGCCGCGAGAGGCTTGGGCATCTTCTGGTCCTTGGTCTTCACGACTGCGGCAATGTCGACGTCGTAGTGACTGGGGAGGGGTCAGCATGAGTGATCGCCATGAGACGTTGCCGCCAAAGGACCCACGCAATGGACGTGTTCTTGGCCTTGTTGTAGTTGACTTGAAACATGTTCGCGTCGACGGTAATCTTCTGACCGAGGGTGCCGAAACCTGTGATGGTTAGCAGCTGAAAACCATGTCAACCCAGCTGTCAACTCACCAGGACGCGGGTGAGCGTCTGTGTGGAGGGAGGTAAGTGCGGGAATGAGAGGAGGGAGGATGCGCGTCAGTTTAACAGAGTCATACGCGTGATGAGGCCTAGAGTTAACGCACCTCGAAGGACGTAGTCATCCTTGAGCGTAAGGGCAGCGAGCACACCCTCGAGTTCCTCGCGGGTGGGCTGGGTACAGTCAGCTTTAGGTCCTTTGGCCCATGATTGTTGTTGTTGATGGGAGCACGCCGCACGACTGGATCCAACGACGACGCGCTCCACGCTCCATCCGCAGCATGTACTCACCGGCTTGGCTGGAGTTGCCTTGGGCGGCATGGTGGAAGTTTCTCAAGTGTGTGGACGGTTCGCTGACTGGTGATGTGAGTGACGCGCTCCCGGGGTAGGGGGGGCAGCAACAACAACATCCGTGGGAAGCGGTATGTGAACGTTGCAGGTCGAGATCACTTACAGAATGGGATGTACGTTGGGGGGTAGTGGTGTCGCTATCAAGTAACGGTTTGTGAGGGGGGAAGATATGAATGAGTGAAGGGAAGTGGGTGTTGGAGAGAAAGGAGGAAGGTGGGTGGTGGAAATATGAGGACGGGGGCCATATGATGGCCAGAGCGCGCGCCAGAGTGAGAGGGGGCGCGGCCTCCTTGCACCAGGGGGCGCGTGAGTGGCAGACTCCCGGGCTCTGATCACGCGCATGCCCGCCCATCACCATCCGCGTATCAACCATCAGCGTGCAAGCGTGCAGCGTGTGTCATCTGCACACCTGTCAGAGATACCACTCTGCAACATGTGGGATGCATAGAGCAGTGCCACTGGCCACTGGATCACGCATCACTGGCTGCTTGAGTACTGCTGGCAGAGTGGCGAACATCGGCTCTCACACTTGTGGGCGTACACCACCTGCGCCACCCCACCTCTCCCAGAGTCCATCCACGACCCGTCTACGCCCTCCCCACAGGCCCAGGTGACGGAAAGGAGGAGCAACAGGCGCACAGGACACTATGCAGCGCCCCTCGTCTTCGCTTCTTCACATGAGAGAGAGCACTCGGCTGCAGGCGCGCGAGCGGAGGGATGCCACGCCCATCTGCGTTTGTGCAAAGGAGGTTTGAGGACCGTGCTACGTGCTGGTCTCTTTGCCCAAGCGTGTGTCACTTCCAAGGCTTGAAGCGTGGATGGCCGATGGCTGGTCAATGCACGAGGGGTTTGGTCTTTGCTCGCCAATTCACCAAAAAGGAGGGCGCGCGCATCAATCTAGTCTCCACGACGACCACACGCTGCAGCCCAGCTATGCGCTATATTGTGCAGCTGATCGCACGCACGCGCGCTTAGTTCCACGCTTGCACAGGTTCGCGCGGATCGGTTGTCATACACACTCACACACAGCGCTGGGACCATCACGCACACACTCATCGTCATGCCTCGTGTGCAACAACGGACAGCGGACAGCCGTGGGCGACATGTGATTTATGAGAAAATGTTCATCGGCGTCCCGTCACGTACAAATCTCCCCCAGCCACAACGACGCACACACACGGCCGCCCCTATGCAACAGCCTGGGCAATACGCTGGCGCCAGCGACGCTGTGTGTCGATCGACTCGAGGAAGATCTCGTACTTGGCGTCCAGGAGCTTGCGCTCGCGCTCGCCTTCCGGGCCTGAGCGCGCCTCGACCCGTGTGGCAGGCTGCGTCATGGCCACCATGATCTCCCACAGCTTGGCGCCGTACTGCTCGCCGGCAGCGTCGACCTGGGCCTGCGTCGTGATCGCGCCCGAGGTCTGGGAGAGCTCGTACGCAAAGCGGCCGAGCATGGCCGCGCCGAGGACCACAGCCGCCGAAGGCTGAGGAGGAATGATGATGGGCATCTGGAGGACAGTGGCAAACAGCCGCATCAGAGGTCCGTTCTTGGCCTGGGATCCTGAGGAGGGAAGGAGCGTCAACGAGAGTTCACTTGTTTTTGGGCACCACCAGGTGCGTCACGCGTACCGCTCATGTAGATCGAGTCGATCTTGTGTCCCTTCGAGTTCATCGTGTCCACAATGTGGCGCGTCTGAAGTGCGATCGCCTGGCCAGTCAGCATCCAGCTGTGCGTAGTGCGTGTGCAAAAACGAAAGAAAAAGACTCACTTCCAGAGTCACATTGAACTTGGCCGCGAGGTCGTCCAGGCCGTCGTCAAGCTCAAGGCCACAGATCATACCCCGCATCTTGGGGTCGGCCAGAGGGGAACGGTTGCCGTGCAGGTCGGGGTAGAAGTGAAGGTCCTTGGTCAGGTGGGCTGGGCGGTTAGGAGCGATTTCGTGGTCTCAACCTACTCAAAGTCTCGGCTCCTTCCGTCTTCATCATCTTGTCCAGCTGCTCGCCGAGGAGCTCGTACGTGCTCTTGCCGCTCTTCTTCGAGAGCTCCACAAGTTTAGGGTACGCAGGGTGGGTGGTCATGATAAAGTCGATGAGCTGGCCCGTCGACGACTGGCCGCCCTCGTTCATCCAGTAGCCCGGGAACACTGCGCTGTTGTAAGGGCCCCACTGGATCGTCAGCTGCTACACGGCCCAAACGACGTCAATGAACGTACAACACTGGGGAGGTCAGCGCAACATACTCAAGGAAACTCACCCAGGAACAAAGATGCCTTCCTTGCTCTGCGCGAGGTGACATGTGCTGGTACCAGCCACCGCAGCGAGTCGACGAGCAGCATCGTCGAGGGTGGGGACGGGCTCCTTGACGCCAGAGCTCGAGGTGGCCACAGCGGCGACCGTGCCGATCCAACCCGAGTAGCTGAACAGTTAGCGCTTCCGATGGGCAGCTGCTATGACTCACGCGTCAATGACCGCACTACCAACAGATGTGCCCTCGACAAGGCCAAGGTCTGCGGCTGCCTCCTGGTTCAGTCCTTGCCCCACAGGCTGGCCAGCACTGAGCACCAGGCCGTTCTTCCCTGGGATACCACCGAGCTGCTCAAAGTCGTCCTTGACCAGGTCCTCGAGGCCTGAAAGTCAGCTTTTGGCGATACGAAGGACACAGCTGTACACACCAATCTTGTTGAAGAAGCGTGCCGACCAACCGTCCGTGCTGACCTCGGTGGTGCCGTCGCAGACATGCTCGACCGTCGTACCGGGAGGCACGTACGAGTACTTGCAGGCGAGGGAGCAGTTGGAGCGCGCCAGGGACGTGGTAGCGCGGTAGGTCAAGTAGTCTGGGAGGCTGGAGAATGAGCGGTTGTACCATGGAGGCAGACGTACTCGAACAACATGCACTCCTTGAACTTGGCCTCGTTCATGTGCTTCTTGAGCCACAGGGTCTTGGGCGTCTCCATCTCGAGCTGAGAGTTAACAACATCCGAGAGGACGAAAACTCACGCTCACGGTCCCACCGACAAAGCTCAGGACACCCTCGCCCGTAGCGTTGATCTTGTCCGCCTCGTCCTCGGCGCGGTGGTCGGCCCAGAGAATGACGTTCCACTCCGAGTCGGAACCGAGGTTGGCGTCGCTCTCGTCCTCTTCGCTCTTGCCAGTGCGCGACACGCTGACGGGCTTTCCAGTGCGGTCAACAACAGTGAGCGAGCAGGTAGCGTCAAAGCCAATGCCCTTGACGGCCGCGGGGTCGATGCCCGACGACTTGAGAATGGTGCGCGAACAGGTGGCCAGCGCCGCCCAAATGTCAGTGGACGACTGCTCAAAGATGCGGTGGTCCGAGGGCGAGCGATGCGTCTTGGTCGCCACTGGGTGTCAGAGCTCTCCCGACACGCTATGGACCCACCAGAGTGGTCCGCGATCAGCTTGCCATTGCGGTCGACGAGGCAAGCGCGTCCAGAACCCGTGCCGCTGGGAATGGGGTCAGTGGGGGGCGAGACCTGGACGCTAGCTGGGGTGGACGTACACGTCAAAGCCGATAAAGTACTCCATAATGCGCCGAGAAAGGTGAGCAGTGGTTAGTTGAGGCAGTGAGAGAACAAGAGCTGCGTTTGGAGCGAAAGAAAGTGAGCTCGAGTGGCCTCCACACATATGCCCAAGCAACAGCCGCCAGGTCGGAAGTGACCGACCACCGGGCCGAAACAGCCGCCAGACATCCGCGTCGGATATTTGAGCGGTCCATGCGGATGTTAGGATAGTTTACCTAGATTAAAAACGGTAAAACAATATGTTGATACTATTAATGGGCATTAGTAATTGGCCTGGTGTTGATGCGGATGTTTTCGGTCCTCTTCGCACCGCGCACCGTCCGTTGTGTGTGGTGCAGAGATGATGGGGAACTGGGAATGCCCAAGATCAAATCCTCCGACGGGCCATTCTCTGATCTCTGACATTGTTCGGAGTATCTTGGAGATTTGGAGAAGAGCAATCTTGCGATAGATCGCGATAGAGTCCAACTGGGAGCGCCAGGTCTGCTCTGGCACCAGTCCAAAAATGACAAGGTTTGGTTCTCGGTGCAGTGGCTGTATGCTGTGTCATGCGGGCGCAGCCAAAAATGAGCGCAGTGAACTCAAAAATATCTCTGGTTTCTCAACTTAGGACCAAGCAGTGCTGAGGTGGCCTAAAAGAGAAAACGTAGACGTCAGAGCAGTCGTTCGTTGAAGGTAGGAATGATCGGCGACGACTATTATAACGACCATTAGAAATCACCACTTGAAGCCTGGTCCCCATTAGCATACTTATTTAGACAATTGTTAATATATACCAGCTGCGAAAACAGCCCCCGGCTGCGGGGGCCGTCGCACACGGCGCGCCTGACTTTGATTTTTGTAGAGCATTTTACCGTGCGGGCAAGGGCCCTTGTCTGTCCTGAGGAATCTGGGGTTCCTGTCCTGTGAATTCGACTTTGCAGAGCTCTAGAGCCCGAGCGAGGTGAGGGGGATCGGGTGCCTTGGCGCCGGTGAAACGGAGAGAGTGGAGAAGCTGGAGAGACGTATGCACCTTGTTCTGCCACCCGCGACAACTTTCCCGTTGTTACCGTTTAATAACCCCCCTCCGGGACCAGACTTTGACGCAGCGGTGGAACAAAGGGGGGAGCGCGTATGCCGTCGACCCTCATGGTGCAATGTCAGAGTCTAGAGTCTACATACAGCACACGGCTGCATGCCCACGCACTACCAGAGCAATGAACGGCCGGATATCTTCGGAGCGCGCAGCAGGGAAGTCCTTCGAGACTGCGAGAGCATGCAGGTGTTGCGGTGGGTGTAAGGACTGGTGCATGTCTTGGCCAGCTGCGGGCAAATGCACTCGCCCAGCCATGGCCAGCCATGGCCAGCCATACGGTCTTGGCACGAGAGCGTCAGGCATCACGCAGAGGTCATATGTTTCAGGCCTGGCGCTTGGACGGGGAGTCCTCTCCGTTGCACACCCGCAGAGACGGTGTTGCACCGAGGGTGGCTTTGCTTTGGTACCCGTTCGGCCCGTGTGCACGCTCCTTATGCACGATGCGATTTTGCGGCGTCCATGATCCATGACTACTGTGTGCACATGTACGTGCAGCATAGAACGCAGAGTGGCGGCGGTCTACGCCTTCTACGGCGGGTGTGCACGGGTGGGCAGCTGATGGCGACGGCGCGCAGAGCCCCCCAGCCCAGCCACTAGAGCCATTGCCTCTGCCTCCCAGCCACCGAGAGACTGTTGGACCCTCTGTATTCCATCAGCGCGCAGTCTCCAGTCCCTAGACGCGGCGTGCGAATTGTGCCAAAACCTGTCTCGCGTACGTGGATCGACCTCTTTTTTCTTTCTTGCGCTTGGGCCGAAGCAGAAGTGCATTGTCCCTTCAAAGGTCTCGAACGTGTAGATCGCTGTGCAAGTGGGCTTCAACGAGAGATGCTGCGGCGAGATGACCACTTCCACTGCCACCACTGCCACCACTGCTGCGAGTTTGGCGTGGGTTGCTGCACAGGGAATCCAAAGGTCTGGACGTTGTTGGCCCAAATGAGCCCCCTCCCTGCTCCCTGACGCGTGGTACCTCGTGTCTCTCCTTTTCCCCCCTAGCGTACCCGCAGCCGTACGGCGTGTGTGTGGGGTCCTCAAGCATATCGGTTCGGGTACGTGCGTTTTGTTGCATCAACCCCCATCTCAATCACTCTCGCCCTCCTCGAGCTCACCCTCTTCTCTCTCTCCATCTCTCCATCTCCACCTCCTCCTCCCCTCTCCCGCCGTCGTTGTGCCAGTGTGTTTGGCATCGTGCACAATCGCCGTCGTTTTCGACCCGTTCAACCCAAACCCTATAACAATCACCCGGCTTCCCTCATCGCAGCCAACTCTCTCTCTCTCCGTCTCGTTCGCCCACTCGAGCTCCCTCTGTCTATATCCTCGACTGCGTCGACCTTTGTGTACTTTATCCCCTTTCCATCGAGCCGGTCTTGCACACTACTTTATTGCATCACTCCTTACAACGTACGTCACAACAACCGTTCATCACCTTGCATCACACCGCCTCCATTTAAAGGTCTGACATCGTCCGCAGATTCGTTGCCCTATTAAGCACTGCCCGCACGCAGCAGCATCACCCGCAGCTTCCATCTTCCCTTCGCAGTTCATTGAGACCCTTGGTTCGTGCTATAACATGCCCCACATCTCCTCGTTCCACACATAAACCGGCAACCTCGCCTCGCGATTGCTTTCTCTCCACCCATATATCTTCTTCGCCCGCTCCTCTTCTTCTTCCCTCCCACCTCTCTTCTTGGTCCTGGTGATCCAAGCTTACCATCTTCTTCTAGTTGTTTGACAAAGGCCTCGACGGCTGTTAGACTATTTCATTCGCCAGCATGCTTCCTACCCTCCTCCTCCTGGCCACCACCGGCCTCGCCAGCCCCTTTGCCATCTACCGTCCTGGCGGCGACACCCAAAGCAATGCTGTGATTGCGGGCGTGCACCAGGCTTTCGCCGTGCCCCTCTCGCATACCACCGGCTCGCGCAAGCGCGAAATGGCGAAGCGCGATGGCGTTGAGCAGGACCGCACGTACCTCCTCAGCGAGGCAGCCAAGGTCGACCGCCGCTACAACGCCGGTCAGGGTGGCTATTCGGACGTGCTCCGCAGGACTCTGGCCAAGCGCTCGTCGGGCTCGGTCGCTCTCACCGACATCGAGCTTGACGCGTCCTACTCGGGCCAGGTCTCAATTGGCACGCCGGCCCAGACCTTTGATATCATCCTCGACACTGGCTCGGCTGACCTCTGGGTCGAGTCGTCGTCGTGCTCTGGGTGCGCGGGCACAACCTACTCGTCGTCCTCGTCGAGTTCCTACGCGTCTTCCAACGCCACGTTTTCGATCTCGTACGGATCTGGCGACGCCACGGGCACGCTCGCCACGGACACGGTCACCATGGCCGGGTTCGCCGTCGCGTCCCAGACCTTTGCCCAGGTCACGTCCATGACCTCGGGCCTCATCTCGTCGTCGGTCAGCGGCATCATGGGCCTGTCATGGGAGGCGCTCTCGTACTCCAAGGCGACCCCTTGGTGGGAGACGCTTGCCGCCTCGAGCCAGTGGGACTCGAAGCTATTTGCATTCTACCTCAAGCGCTGGCGTGACGTTTCGGGCGCGACCAGCTCGGAGAGCGACGGCGGCACTGCCAACTTTGGCGCCCTCGACTCGTCCCTGTACTCTGGTGACGTGACCTACGTCACCCTCGCCTCGAACCCCGAGTACTGGGAGATTCCGATGAGCAGCGTCGCCGTTGGCAGCACGAGCATCGACCTTGGCTCCAGCACGCAGGTGGCCATCGACACTGGTACCACGCTCATCGGTGGCCCTTCGAGCATTGTCGCCAGCATCTACGCCGCGATTCCCAACTCGCGCCAGATGACCGGCTCGTACTCGAGCTACTACGAGTACCCTTGCAACCAGTCGGTGACCGTGTCGCTGACCTTTGGCGGCTACACCATCGACGTTGGAGACGCCGACTTCAACCTTGGAAAGTACAGCACCGGTGACTACTGCACTGGCGCAGTCTTTGTCCAGACCCTCTCGTCCAGCTCGCCTGTCCAGTGGATTGTTGGCGCCACTGCTCTCAAGAACACGTACACCGTTTTCCGCTACTCGCCCGCTGCTGTCGGCTTTGCCGCGCTTGCGTCCAGCGCAGCTTCCACCACTGCGTCCACTGTGATCCCTAGTGCCTCGCTCGCGGCCGCCGTTGTTAACAACAACACTGAGAGTGTCTCTACCGCAAACACGACGACTACGTCTACTTCTAGCTCTACCTTGGCGACCTTGGCGTCGGCCAGTGTCGTCACCTCGTCGGGCTCTGCTGCTAGCAGCTCTGCGGCCGTCCACACTGTCACGGCCGCGGACGCGGGATCGTCGGGCAGCTCGACTGGCAGCTCGTCTAGCGGTACTCGCGCGTTGGCCGCGCCCACCTTGTCGGCCCTGCTCGCCGGCGGCCTCCTCTGCATGTTCATCTAATCAACAAAAAAACATCCTCCTTGCCCACCGCCAACTCACCCCAACGGCGGCGAGTGCGAAACCTCAACAACCATCCTCCCTCAATCCTCACCCCGCCCCATCAACACCATCTCCCCCGCCGCTCACCCACCGCGCAGCACAGAGGCACCTGTACCGATACGCCATACAAAACTCCATTTGTCTCAACAATCCTTCAAGCCTCGCCCATCCTTCACACCAAACCACGCCAAACTAAGTAGAAAGGGGAGTAAAAAGAAAAGGGGTCCCCTACTGTGAATAGATTACATTTGTAGGACGCTGCAGCATGCATATGGACATATAGAACAAAACTACACAACCAATGCTGCGGTGGTGCGTTTTGGTGGGCAGCAGCGCGAATCTCACCCCGCAGCCCATCGCACCGCACCGCCCACCACTGCGCGCGGCATAAAGAAGAGGCCTTGAATCACCTGCTGCGGCCGGTGACACAACCCCCAGGGCACGTTCCGCGCTTAACCACTGCACATTTCACACACACACCCAAACCAATTGTTGCAGCTTGTTTTTTTTTTTCCTGACTGTTCTCATCGTAACCCCACACGTACCAGTGTCTGGGCCAACGACCCCCGTTCCAGACTCTGCCGGTGGACATGTCCGCACGCTGTGCAGATGCGGATCATCTTTCTCGTGGGGTCGCTGCAAAGCGAGATCCGAGCAGTATGGGGTACGGCACTGGGCCCCGTCCTCGGGCCGAGGCGACGACGGCGAGGCAGACTGACATCTTTGACACTGGCACTGGCACTGGCACTGACCACCGAAGCGGTGTACTGGTGGTGTTGTGGCAGCACGCACAAACACGCATGTGCCTCGTCCAGGCTTACTGTAAACCTTGATTTCGATTTTGGCCTGAGTGTGTGTCACGGCAGCAATAGACCACCTCCGCGCAACTCCATGCCAGTAGCACAGTAACCTGTGCTTTGGGCACTGACACGCATGTTGTGTTGGGCGTCCACGAGCCACGAGGGTCACTCGCTTGCGCTTGAGTGCTTTCCGTAACTGAGAGAGAGCACGGTCGCGGTCTCGCGGTCTCGGCGCGTCCCGCGCCCCGTCACCTCCTATCGTATGATCCGAGCTTGGTCGGCTCCCCCCCCCTCCCCCCTTGCAGAAAAGTGAGCATGGGCCCATCGACTTTGCTTGACGACTGTCGCAGGAGCACCACCGTCGTCGACGCGGCCACCGCCACGGATCCACAGACACGACGGGCGCGCGCCATGGCGCCCGGGCGGCCACCGCGTGCCCGTGTGCTTGGACGCGTCTGTCGGTCCGCTCAACGCTGTTCCCCGTCCGTGCCGAGGTTTGGCTGGCTTGGCGGAGTTTCAACCCCCTCCCAAAGATGCTGAAGCGCGGTGCCGTGGTTGGGACCTGCGGGGCCGTGACGGCGCGCGATGGACGGTGCGGTACAAGTTCTGCCTCACGAGGCAGTCCCAAATGAAGCTCTGGAGCACATCCCGCCACATGGCCACGACTAGGCCTGTCTGACGAGCTGGCCAATGTTGACGCACTCGCACCCGTGTCCGTGAGTTTGTAGCCGCCTCTGATTCCGAGCATGTTGACGTTGGCATGATGCATGCACTACTATTCGCGTTCTATCGTTGCAAGAGATCTGTTTCGTGGGTACGGAAAAGAGTTATACGTTTGGGAGAGAGAGAAGAGAGAAGAGAGAGCGAGAGAGATACAGTGGCGCGCCGGCCATCCGAAATTTACGTTCGGGAGACAAAGACAAGGCAAATGTTCGTGGGGGTAGTAGTAGCGTAGTAGGTGGGAGAGGGAGGGGAGTGGAAGAAGGAGGGGGCAGAGCAGAGCAGGGTGGGATTTGTCAAAACAGATGATCAAAGCGATGGAGTGGGTTCGCGGATGCCACCCGTGGACACTGTTCACGCGCCGACCTCGTGCGCAGTGGTAAAGCTGTCGCCGCCGAGGGACTCGGGAAAGGTGTCGCTGAACCCATCGTCGTCGCCCTCCGCGTCCTGGCTCATGTCATGGTGCATGGCACGGAAGGGGGCGCGGGCGAGGCGGATGACAGAGCCCTTGACCTGGGCCTCATCCGCGCCAGTGGCACCGCCATACGACGCCGGGATCGGGGAAGGCGACGGGTGTGCTGGCGGCGTCACGTGTGCGAGCTGGTTCAGGTCTGGGGTCCGGGGAGTGGAGGGAGCGCCTTCACCGTCGTCGCTTCCCGAGGACGAGTGGGAGCTGCCGCTGTCGAGCTGAAAGGACTCCTCCTCGGGCTCGCTGGTCTCAGGTCCCTCGGTGATACGAGCGATGGTGGCCGTGGACTCGTTCCAGTGCGAGAGCTCGTGGGCGCTCTGACGAAACGACGCACGCGACGAGCGGTAGTCAACCTCAAAGGGGAGACTGTGGCGCACGACGGCGACAGCCTGGTACTGTACGGCAGCAGCTGCACGGGACTGGTTGACGGCGACACCGGCGGCGTCGCTGTCAATGGGACCCTGACGCGCAAAGCCAATAGCACCCACGGCCGAGGTGATGCCAGAGTCACGGCGAATGTGGGTACGGGCACCGGCAACAGTGGTGTACTCGCCGTCCGTGGCAGTAGGCGTGCGGTGGACAGTGACCGGCGTCGACGAGAAGGTGGGGCTGTCCGAGGCCTTGGGGATCAAGCCACCAGGCATGTGGAGGTCGAGAGGCGAGCCGGGGCGCGAGTCCGTCGCCACACTGATGCCACGGGTGGTGGGGAGGGGGCAAGACACGTTGCGGCCCTGGTAGGGACCTGGCGACGACGACCCGGACACGGGCGAACCAGTGCGGAAGACGGAAGCCCTCCTTGGGAGAGGGAGCTCCTCGTCATCATCATCCTCGTCGTCGTCGTAGTCGGCCATCGAAGGACGGTTGCCAACGGGTACGGAGCTGGTGCGGCGGCGGGCAGCAGTGGCAGCTAAGACAGCGGGCACGGAACCACGGCGGCGGGGCATAGACAGCGCGGGAGGGAGGTCGTCGAACGCAACGGGGGGAGGTGCCGAGGGCATGTACGGCGCGATGGGAGGTGTCCGCCCCGAGGGAGCCAAGTCGTAAGACTCAAACGTCGCCGAGTCGACGGAGCCCTCCTCGGCAGACTCAAACGATGCGTCCGAAGCCACCGAGGGCGACTGGAACACCCTGTCCCTCACATTGTCCTCAAACTGCTCGGGGAGCTCAAAAGTCGTAGCCTGAGGCGAGAGGGCACTCGTGACGGCCGTGGCCATGCTTGAAGCTGCGGAAGCGACCGTGGTAAGGAGCGTGGCGCCGACAAACGACTCGCCAACAGGCGAGAACATGCGACCGCCAAAGGGCGAGCTAGCACGCGAGAGCGACGCCGGAGCCGAAGCAGGGGTCGACAGCTGGCGGAGGAGGGTTGGTCGGTGGTGGTTGTAGTCGTCGGACGAAGCCTGGGTGGTTGCCGGGAAGGGGTTAGGCGCGGCCGCGGGGCTGACCTCGTCGTCGATCGAAATGTCCTCGAGCGTGGGCAGGCCCAAGGGCTGGGGCACCGGCGACGCAACGCGGCTACGAGGAGATGACTCGCCCGACGAGGACCACAGGTCCTCGCTAGCTTCATGGGCCATGTTTACATGGCCAACAGCAGCAGCAGCCATCTCGGGCGTGACAGTCTCCTCCGAGTTGCCGTCGGTCTCCACAAACGAGCCCGCCGCCGCGACGCCAGCACCGACACCAAAGACTGCAGCAACAGCGGGGCTGATGGTGGAGCCAATGGTGGAGCTACGAGGCGAGTCGTCGGGGTTGGCAGTCTGGAGGAGGCTGACGACCGAGCTCATGGGAGTCGTCACACTGCGAATGATGGAGCGGCGCGCGGTCTGGGCGGTCTGGACGACGGCAGCCTCAGCATCGGTAGCACTGGGGGCAGGTGAAGGAGGCTCGCCAACATCAGGTGACAGTGCTTGGGGTGCACTGCTGCTGCGCAGAGTAGCAGAGGGAGAGGGGGCAGTCGCCATGTGGCTAAAGCTCGGCATGATCGTCGACGCGTGGGACTGGGTAGTGTCGCCCTCGTCAGAGCTAGCGTCACCCTCCAGGTATGCGAGACCAGGAGCAGTGTCCACGACAGAGTTGGTCTTGCGGGCGGGGCGTTCATGAGACGAAGGTACAGGCATGGTGCGGCGCTGCTGGAGGTCGGCCATCTTGCGGACAGTCGATGAGGGAGCCTCCGCCATGGCAGCTTGGGCCTTGGCCTGAGCGGCAGCCTGGGGAGCCGGGGTCTGAGGGGTGAACGGAGTGTGTGGCACGTCGACGGGCGCAAAGGGTGGAGGAGCAGGAAGCTTGATGCTGACGAGCGCAGGTGGGGTAGACGGCTTGGAGGGAGGCGTGGGGCCCGGAGTGGTGGCCTTCTCCTTGGACGGAGTCTTGGGGCTAAAGGCCACAGTGGATGGGAGCTCGTCCCTGTCTGGGGACTCGTCGACGCTCACTGAGGAGAAGGACACGGCGGCAGGGAGCTCGTCGTTGACAATGGTGGCCCTAGGCATAGGCAGAGGTTTGTCGGGTGTGGGGGGCTCAGTCTTAACGGTCGGGACGGGCACGCGCTTCTGGATGTTGAGAGGCTTGGTGGCACCAGATCCCTCAATAACGGACGGGACATCGGGACGCATCGAAGTCGAGCGCACTGGGGTCGCGCTACGCGGCTGAACCAGCGCCTCATGCTTGTCCTTGTTGGACGAGGTAAGCATGGGCTGGACAATCTCCACGGGCGGCATGACCGACGCTCTGGCGTCTGATGCAGAACGAGAAGCCTCGACCTTGTCAAAGCTGGGTGGCATGGCCGGCACAGCGGGTACGTCCTCCTCGGCACGCCATTTCTTGAATGGAGCAAACGACGAAATGGACAGGCGCTGGCTGAGCGTACGCGTGCGGCGGTGGCTAGCCTTCTCCTCAGTGGTGGCCTCGACCTTGTCCTCCTTGTCCTTCTTCAACTTCAACGTGACCTTGCTCTTCTTGGTCTTGAGCTTGCCACCCAGCGCGGGCGTGGGCGAGACGGCGCGAATCTTGTCGGGAATCGTATTGCCAACGTATCCGTTGGCAGCAGGCGAGGTCTGCTCCGTCGAGCCAAACGCGGCAAACACGTCGGGCACGAGCTCGACGGGCGACTTCTCCGGCGACGAGGGGTTCCTGGAGCGCGCCGTCAATGCGGCCAATGCATCGGGGACAACAGTTGGTGTCTTGGCGGCCTCGTTGTCGGGTTGCTCGAGTGGTGGATCCACCTGCATAGGTCGCATAGGCTTCTCAATGGAGAAGGGCTGCGCAGGCTTGTGCACCTGCTTGCTGGGGGTGGTGGTGACGGCAGGCAGGTCCTTTTCGATGACCTTTGGAGGTGCGACTCTCTTCGACTCTGCGGATCTGACCGGCTCCGTTGGTTTCACGTCGGGCTTTGCTTCGGAAGCGGAGGTGCCTGAACGGCTGCCGGTAAGAGCGGCAAGCGCGTCCGGGACCAATGTCGGCTTGCTGACGGGTGACTCTGAGCGCAACTGCGGGAGAACTGGTGGCAGGCTTGGGACAGGAGGGGCATCGTCGAGACGGTTCTTCTTGAGCTCGGGCTTGCTCTTGGAGCGACGGACGCTCTTGGAGGACGACACGCCGCCGTCGGCGCTGTTGGACGAGCTGAACAGGTCTTTGAGAGACGTCTTGCCAAGGAGCGTCTTGCGCTTGGTCGCCTTTGGGGTAGCAGAAGTGGGGGTTTCTGGGCGGGAGGGTGCGACAACAGCGTCGGTGGTGCCAGTCTTGCGCTGGCTGCTAAACTTGCTGGACAGACCGGCCGGAAGGTCTGGCATCGAAGGCACGCCGTTGACGCCGGGCTGGCCGGTCTTGCGGGGCATGAGGTTGACGGGGAGGTCGGGAATAGGTGGGGCATCGTCCAGCGAGTTCTTCTTCTTTCGCGTGAAGAGGGCCGAGAGCGAGAGGGAGCGACGACGGCGAGGCTTTGTGGACCCACTGTCCGACTGCTGCTCACTGGGAGCCCTGCTCTCTTGCTTTGACGGCGTGCCGGGGCGCGTGGGGGTAGTAGGCCTTGCTGGTGTCTCGGACGTTGTGGCGGACGCGACGGCTGCCACCTTGCCGTTGGCCTGGCTGGGGGGCGAATCCTGCGCCGTCATGGTTTGACGGTTGAGTACTTTGTCAAGCATGGAGAGCTTGGGAAGAAGTGGAAGACGCGCATCCTTTGATGTTGATGCTTCTGCGGAAGGCGTGGTCGGCTTGTTGACGTTGCGGCTTTGGGATGTGACAGGAGGGCCAGGTGCCGTGGAAATCGCTGGGGTGGAAGGCTTGTCGGACGGAATCCCAGGCACGGTTTGCGCAACTGACGGTGATGGCTCTCCCGAGCGTTGCTGTCCCTTGTGCTCGTCCTCTGGCGGTGGGGGTGCAGCCCGTGCCGTTTGGAGCACAGGATAGACCTTGCGTTCGCTGTCGGGTACAGCTCGTTGATCGCCGTCTACAACGCTGTGGCCAGTTGGGAAGGCTTGGGACGCGGGCGTTGGCAGGTCGTTCATTAAGGTTGAGAACTCGTTGTCAAAGTGCGACTGCGAGTGGCTGCGATCCCTAATCTTGTTGACAACGTCGGTGGGACGCGCAGGCATGACGGCGTGCTCTGAGCGACGGCGAGGTAAACGGCGGAGCTGGGTTCTCAAACGACATTGAACCTGGTTGTCCGGGCTCGGGTGTTCCACTCGGCATCTGCATTGGAGGGGCATCAACAATGCGGCGTGCGGGGCCTGTTGGCGCGAAGTAGTCGCGCTCGGGCGTTGACCGTGGATACAGAGCAATTGGACCGCCCTCATCTTGAGAAAAGAGAGAGAGAGAGAGTCAGCCTTTCACGCTTTATTGGGACGAAACTGGGCAGACCGGGACTGAACCCGTCTACCTACCAGGTGGAGGGGTCAAAACAACCGTCGGCAGCGGCAGCTGAGAGTCGGTGTTGCGGCGTGGCGGACATGTTGACATGCGCAACGGCGCAGGTGGGGGTGCACGGGATGACCTCTTGTCACCGAGGTCCAGTGGTGGGGCAAGAGAGCTGCCTGTTGACATTATTGGGACGGTCTGTGAGCGCATGGGGGTAGGCGGGAATGGGCCCCCTCCTGGGTAGGAAGCATTGATGAGGGCAGCAGCACCACGAGCGGCCTCGACCTTGTTGTCGTAGAGCGACTCGCCGATGAGAGCGCTGTTGCGTGATGAGCGGGCAGAGAGCAGTTGTTGTGTCATCTCTTGCAGAGACATGGGCCAGATGTCGCCCGACATGGCGCCCGGATGGGGGGCGTACTCGGACTGGCGCTTCTGCTCCATGGATGTGGAGATCATGTTGACAGCCTCGTTGAGATCGCCGTGCCGCCGATCAGAAAGGATGGAAATAACGATGGGGGAGTCAACAGCGAAGGAAGAAGTGGTGTTTGACACAAAACAAAGCGAGTTGAAATGGGGGTCGACAATCTGAGATGGAACCGCTGCACGAGCTCGAGTGTGTACCACCAACAGGCGTGCGCACCGGCAGAATACCGAAGCGAGAGAGACAGGTGGGGGCCAGAGAGAGAGGGGGGGGGATTTGCGAACAGCTGTGTGGGCGGATGTGGTGAGCAGGGGGGGGAAATGAACGACGAGAATGAAAGTGTGCAAGTGTGTTGTTGTGCCCTGTCCTGTCGTCGGCGCCGAGTGCTGCGTCGTCGTGCTCTGCGCTGGCCGCTGGTTGGGGGGTGTATTCAACCCTTGCCGATTTCGCGGCGACCCTTTGGCGGCTCTCGTTGTGGGCGGAGCACAGCAGCGCTGGAGCAGGAACGAGACACTGCACCTCCATAGAGTACGCGCCCAAAGCACCAGAGCCGGCGGCCGAGACAGCAAAATGATAGCAGCAGCAAGCAGGAGCTAGGAGCAGCATGGCAGCAGGAGCAACAACACGCGGCGGAGGCGGAAAGAGGCGTTTCAGCGCTCCAGAACGCGCAGAACGCGCGTAACAGCTGCGGAACAGCTGGACAGCTGGAAACAGCGCGCGAAAAGGCGTTGTCGGGGAGGGAGCATGTTGCCTGGCCGGGTACCTCGCCCAGGGAATGGCAACCCTTTAGCAAGACGCGCGCGCTCTCGCTGAATCGCTGGGCATGTTGGGACCCCCCACTCCCCACCCCTCTGCACCGCTGGGACTTTGATGAGCTGCCGGCATACGTGCTTCAAACCTGGTTGCTGCATTCTTGTGAAACGGGGCACAAACAATGCCTCATGTCATGTCCACCATCAACCCAGTGCAAAGAGTGGAAAAAGAGTCTGGACCACAGAGGCACCACAGCCGTGCCCGGTGGTGGTTGGCCTGGGTGGGCTGCTCTGCTCGACTTGTTTACTCCACCAGAAAACATCGTATTGCGCTCCTCGTGGCGTCCAAGATCCAAGCCGCCATTTTCCTGGGATTCGCCTTGGCATTCCACAACACGACAAACGCTAACATTGGGCAGCATTAGGCCACGGGCCACGGATAGCCATGTGTCGCCCAGCCGTCTCAATTCAAAACGTCAAGAGTCAATTCCCAGTCCGCGGCTCGCCCATGTTGATAGCCTTGATGAGTTTGGCGGGAACACATCCCATGTGCTTTATCTGGCCACTGCCATAAAGTCACAGTAGTCACATGAAAAAGAAGGCGAGAATGGGCCTCCCCCCCCAATGTGCTGCCCTTGCATACCTGCGTCGGAACTCAATCGTCGCCTTGCAACCGACGTGTCCGACATTGACGGGGCCTTGGCAGCCATCTCGCACTCCGCACCGGGGACGCGAGGCCGACACAGCCATTATCCATCGGAGATGCCAAATACGCGTGTCGGCGTTTATGTTTCAGCTGCTGCACAGTTTGCCCCACCCAGCGGTGTTCAACTGGTCTGCAAGAGGTACAGTGATGGTCCTGTGTAGCACCCGTGCATGGTTCTCGGTTCCCCTTGTGCACTGCCAGGTTCCTCAAAACATCGCCTCGAGCCCTGCTTGCACCCCCACCCTTTTGCCAGGGTGTGAGCGTACGGCATGCGCGGTTCAAACACTGCTCTTCCGGTCCATCTTCCCCGCAAATGCCGAGACTGAGAGCGGGGGGGGGGGGGGGGGGGGGGGGGGGGGACGCTCCTCGATGGAAAAGCGCGGCAAGGGTGTGTATCGTATTTGTGTCTTGACGGACGATCGACAAGACATGAGTGTAACCCACGAGCACGTTCTATTACCCAGGTTTGGTAGCTACGTAAGCTGTGTCTCTGAACTGCAGAGAGGACCGGTCGAAATAATCAGGAAAAATGGAGACAGGATGCGCGGCGCAGGTCCAACAGGGCTGCGATAAGCATAGTACAGGGAAGCAACAGGTCGACTCCATTGCCATCGTTCCCGCACACCTCCTCATTGCCGCATTCGGTGCGCACTGGCGCCGCCACGATGGCCCGTTTCCAGGCATCCTGAACTGTCACACAAAGTGTACCATGCACCAGTAATGCTTCCAGTGGCGGTTCATCTTTCTTGAGACTGTTAATGGATGGCTGTGTCTGCATTCCATCTGTAATCGGTACACGACGGCGGGGGTGCGCAAGACCTAGCTTCACCTTGACTCGTGCCAGTGGCACCCATCCATCACAATAAGCAGGTCATCTAGCCCTGCCCACGACCAGCCGCCAGACGCTCGTACCTCTCACCCAACTGTCAACACTTCTGGCCCATCCGGGACCTGGGCGGGCCTCGAGCTCTGAGAAATGGTCGTTACGTCCAGCATGTCGTACTCAGAACGAGTTGTGCGTTCCGACAACGGTGGACGGAGCCGATGTGGGAAGCGTGGCGCTGCGGTGTCCCATCCCGCAGACCATCCCGAGTTCCCAAAAGAAAGCGTATGTACTTCCTATCCGCAACACACGCAACACCCTCAACATGAGGTACCATACTGTACATACACGAGGCTATCTACTGTACTGTACACACTTTCCAAAGGAACGAAGGCCCGAGCGGCTCAACGATGTGCTTGTCCCAACTGGCCACTGGCCACTGGGCCGTTTCTCAAGATCTAAGATCCAGTGGACGCCTCCCCACGTGACGAGTGGCGGACCATTGGCTGATGAGATCGCATGATCCCAGTCGGTGTCTTGACACAAACAGTCCAAACAACCTCGGTAGTCCATGCTCCCCCTGCTTACTTGACGCACGCTTGACACGACGTCCAAGGCCACACTTGCAACACCGCCATGGCTCTTGACCCATTCACCCGCGGCCGCATTGTCGGCCATTACGAATCTGGCTGGGACAACCAGCGCATCGCCAACTTCATCCAGGTATCGCTCCGCGACGTCGAGCAAGTCGTCGCCCACTTCGAGGCTACTGGGATTGTCTAGACGTCATTTTCAGGGGGCTGTAACGACCAGTAATCCCCACACAGCGGCGCGGCCATGGTCTATACTGGCCACTTGGCTGGTTACACAAACGCTGTGTCTCTGTCTACGGGCCGACGGGCGACATGCTGCACGATTTCACCGACACGACACATTCAACACACATGAGCGGGTGGCCTGTGCCTTCCGGTATAATGAAGCACAGTTCTGCGCCTCCCACACATCTATACTCTTTAGTTGTATTCATCATGCCAGCCCCCTAATGTCCTGTGAATGTATCTTAATGTTGTTTGTATCCAAACACTGCGGGACGGGTTCGTGCGTTGAGCAGGAGGCACTGCCAGCCGCGACGCTAAGGTTACATGTCGCCACTGCTCGTCAATTACGCGTGGCTGAATACAAGCCGTATTATTATCAATACCTAATGCGCCATGCGCCACACGCTCCGCTCGCTATCCACGCTGCACCCAGCCTTCACCTCCCCAACCTTTCGTCAGCTCTCCCATGTCTCGGACGGCGTCGTACCTCCGCCATTGAACAGATGGCCAGTCGACACCGGATGCAAACACGCCCCACCCACGCCAGCGCGCGGCCGTCTCTGCGTGCATTCAACACATCAGGTCCTGCCCCCCCAAAAGCCACCTGGAGCTGCGGTGGTGGTGATGAGCAAATTCATGCGTACATTGTGTCGTGTCTGAACTGACATTGCGCTGTCCGACACTTCCGGGCCGCCCGAGATCCCACAAGAACAAGATGCCGTTCGTGCTCGGGTCCCGGGGTCGCGTTCGGGTCCCAGACACGAGACACCAGACCAGGCCAGGCCAGGCCACGCTCACGCCCGTGCGTGCTCCCGAGCGCCGAGTCGGTGTCCCCCAACACGACCCCCAGCACGACCCAACTGGCCAACTGGTGGGGGGAGGAGCGCGCAGCCCCCATATGCTGTACCCACGCAGGCGGGACTTTTGGAGATCAACACGACGGACGTGCATTAGGAGGATTCCTAATGCTTGTTGTTAGAATTTGATGCCGTTTAAAGCCCGAGACCGATGGTCTTTAGCTGCGCAAACTGTTTTTCAGAAGAGGATGGGGACGCATAGACGTCTACAGAACTGCTTGTATACACACATGAGGGTGGTCTGAGCTTCACAGAGAGATACGAGGACCATAGATCGGCCATAGAAAGGGTTGCAAGAGCCTGCTTTGCGTGCCACACTGTTTTGGCGGCTTTACTGATTACGTAAATTTCACCAACTATTGGGAAACGGACGTGATTTATAAGGGCCAGAAATGAACACTGGTACAGCCCTTTGAATAGCTTAGCGTGCCGCGGATGTGAGTTCCCGACCTTTGAACACTTTCCTGCCGTCGCGAGTCAGGGCTGGGGGATGCCGTCAATCGACCCTCAGAACGGTTAATCCTTTTTGTTTTTGTTTTGGTTTTGGGGGGGGGGGGGGGCGGGGTTTGGCCGGCGTGTGCATTGCCGTTCTATACTTTTGCCGTCCATTTTGTGTCCCCATCGCCGCCAAGCTCCTCCCAAACAATATACAACGTCCGAGGAGGGATGGCGAGTGGACGACGTGTCCCGCTCGTGGTCGTGTGCATGCTCTGCTACCTCTGCTCGCAGCGTTGGGAATGGTATTACATGAAAGACACTGGCGGGGTACAGATCACAGAAGAGCCGGGCGCCGATCGTCGGGTTTTGCATTTCGTCCGTCTTGTCCACCCGCCCAACGGCTTCAAAGACGGGCAAAAGGCCTAGTAATACGTTCTCCCAACTCGACACAACGTTGGACAAGTCCGGTCAGTCCGTTGCTCGTTGACAGCGACGCATCGCACCAAAATGGTCCCCAACCTCTAACCTCACCACTGAAAACGCGTTACGCGCATGCAACACACGCCCCGTCGTACCTGTTTTGGAATCACGACGCGACTGATTTTGATTTTTGCCACTTGCCCGTCTGTGCAGGTCCACCCGACCGGTCGATGACGTCCCGCGAGACTAAAGTCCCAAAGCGCATTGTCCCACATGGCACGACGGTATGCACGCCATCACACGATCCCTGCTGGACGCGCAAACAACGCGTGCGTGCACCCCGAAACCCAACTAACCCAACCCAACCTTGCCATCCCGCGCGCGCGCGCCACTACAGCAAACAGCAAACAGCAAACAGACATAGGTCGAGTACATGGGGCACAGTATGGTGCATCTAACCCGCTACGTAACTTAAACACATAGGACCCGGCGGGAAATCTTTGTCGACATGCACGTGCCATGCAATGCAAGTGAAAAACACACATGGTGCGACGGCGCGCCGGCGCGTCGGCACGGAAGGCCATTAATGGAGAGGGCATGGAGAGTGATGAAAATAGGACACTGTCGTGTGTGCGGGGATAGCACAAGAGAGGAGAGCAGAGCTCCGACGGGCGGTTGGGGGGAGGGTGGGGGGGGGGGGGGGGGGGGGGGGGGGGGGCATGAATGGGGGGTGGTGGAGGGGAACGTGACACAAGACGATCAAGACTCGACGGCAGGAGGGGGGGCCTGAACCTCGCCGCCGAATTCGACGGCGAGCTCGTTGCCCTGGTCCGGGGAGACGCCGTCGGCGGACTCGGGCCAGCGGTGAGAGGCCCAGTCGCGCACAAAGACGGATGCCTTGAGGTGCTTCTGTGTGCATGTTAGCAACGGTGACATGTGCGGATGAACCCTAGGGCGCTAAAACTTACTTTGCTGGCGTACTTCTTGTAGAAGGCCGAAGCGGTGTCGAGGTCAGGGTTGATGATGTAGTCAAGCATGACCTGAGCACAAGGAAGGAGCTCGTGCTGTGCGTACTCCGAGTAGTGGACCATGTTGGCGTGCCAGTCCCCACGGTCGAGGCACAGGCGGCCGAGCCACATGGCAGCCGCGGCAAGCATCGATGGGGGGAAGGCGATGAGCTTGTGCTCCAGGCAGCTGATTTCAATAAAGAACTTGGCAATGGTGCGGACGTGCACATCGTAGGCGTCGGCCTTGGACACACGACGGAGGAAGTGGAGGGGGTTGGGGTAGGAAAGGTCGAACTGGAGTGTGGAAAGAAGGTACCGCTCAGCCCGGAGAATCTCGCCGACCTCGTAGCCGCCGTCGGTCATGTGAAGGAAGTGGGTGATCGAGGGGCAGATGACCTCTTCGTACTTTGCGGCAACGAAGAGAGCAGTCAAGCCCACGAGCTGGAACTTGACGAGCGAGACCATGCGCAACGACAGGAAGCGGTCGATGAGGTTGATGGCAATGAGAAGGGTCTCGGGCAAGAGGCGGAACTTGGAGTGGACCTCGATGATCCAGTCGTTGAGAATTCCACGCATCTTCCACTGCAGCTCGTCCTGCTTCTCCATGTAGTTGGCGTCGGGCATGGTGTTCTTCTGATTATTTGTCAGTGATGCTGTGCGCCGTTGAAAAGGAAAGAGAAGGCTCACCTCAATCTCCACCATGTACTTGAACGCGTCCACCACATACTCGGCGACCATGGTCGGGTCACCCTCGTCCTCGGCATCGAGGTCGGTCCAGCCGTCGTCCTTGGCGCGCCTGCGCTTGGGGCTACGGACATCAAGCTCGTGGTTGTCGTCATCGTACTGTGCGTCGCCAAGCACATCCTCTGGAGTGGCCGAGGCGCGGAAACGCTTGGTAGCGGGGCCGGAGACTTCTGAAAGCGAGGCCGTCTCCTTAAGGGCACGGGTGGGACGGGTAGCGGCGGTGCTGGACGCAGCAGTGGAGCCAGAGGCCGTGGTGGCGGCCGAGTTTGCCCGGCTGATGCCTGGGCGGCGAGTCGCGGTGGGACCGGCCTTGCGCTTGGATGCAACGGGCTCGGGCTTGACGTCAACGGTAGAGGCGGCACGGGTGGTGCGACGGAGCGGCTGCTGGGACTGGGTCGAGGCTAAGGGACGGCGCTCGGCGGCGCCAGCCTTCTTGCCATCAGCCTTGCCATCACCCTTGCCCTCGGTAGGAGCGACAGCGAGCTCGCCAAGAGCGGCACGGCGCTTGGTCGCGGCAGGCTGCTTGCTGGACGCAATGACCGACATCTTGACTTCGCCTGCGTGGTGCGCCGACGCCAAAGTCGACGTGCTTGCACGCTTCATGACGGGGATGGTGGATCCAGCAGCCGAGACCGACACACCGGCGGTGCGCGAACGCGTCGACATGGTTGTGGATGCGGCGGGAGGAGCATTCTCATCGATGCGACGAGTAGCGCGCCGAGTCTAAATGGGGGCAAACATGTTAGCATCCGACAGCGGAAAGAGGAACTGATGGGCCCATCTGTGCGTGTGTGTCGCGTGTCTGCAACAAAGGCCTGTCTGATGCGGCTGTTGACCCGCTGACGCGAGACAGGCAGAAAGAAACACTCGCGTGCAGGTGATGCGACAGTCGAAATGACGGCCACACGAGAGGAACGCGGTTGGGGGGGGAGTGGGGGGCGAGAAACATCGCGAGGGGAGGCAAACTCACGGGGATTCCGCTAGCCATGACGAGTTGTTGCAACCGCGGTCCGGCGTGGACTCGCTCGACGGGGGGGAAGAGAAGGGGGAGGGGAGTAGAGAGAGTGTGGGCGAGGGGGGGTTGGTGGTGGTAGTGGTGAGGAGGAGGGTGTGTGGAGTGGGTAGATGGATATGAGAGATGATGGATGGACGAGGGAATGCGTGACCGATGGAAGGATCACAGGCGACGGGCGAGCGAGGGGGGCCTTGGGCTGGATGGCCTGGCTGGGGGTTTGGCTCTGGCGCGGTGGGTGTTGTGTTGGGTGTGCGTGCGGTGTTGGGCGGCGCGGGGGATGAGGGCCCTGAAAAAGGCTTTGCAGGCTTTGTAGGTGGGGTGGGGTGGCCTCTTCAGGCGTGGTATTGTCGGCGTGCAAGGGTCACAGGGAGGGAGAGGGGGGGAGGAGCGTGTCTGTACAGAATAGGAAGGGGAGGAGCGTGTTCTGTCTGCACAGAGGGAGAGCGTGACAGATGGAAGTGAGAGAGTGAGAGAGAAGGAGAGAGGAAGCGTGTAATGTGGAGGAGATGGACCGTACTTTTGCAATGTATGGCACACATGGAGACTCTCTCTGGCCTCTCTGGCCTCTCTGGCCACACCCCCACGCAGAGAGATGGCGGCGACAAGGGCAGGAATGGCTGGTCGTTGTCGCCCCCCCCCGCGCGTCATATCCGACATGCCCTGCCAGAAGGGTTGTTTACTGCCATCCACCAGGCCTGCCACCGGGAGTATATTCCCGAAAGCCCGCTCATGGCTCATGGCTCACAGCCAGCCAGCCATGGCCAGCCAGCGCCAGCCACTGCTACAGCCAAAATGCTCCCACCGTACCACCCATGGCCGCCAAGTTGCCTCGTCCAGCCAACGGCCCTGCATCACCTCGACGCCACAGTCGACAGTCTCCTTGATGGTGGGACCGTGACGCGTGCACCCGCAGCGCACAACACCACGACAATGGTCCCCCCCTCGCACTCGCTCCAAAAGGGCAAAGGGGGGCTTGGAGACAGGGGCCGAGAAGGTAGTGTTAGGGCAAAGGACAAGGGACTTGTTTGGTGTGTTGTGCTGTGTCTGTGTCTGTCGTCGTGTTTGTCGTTTGTGCGGATCTGTCGGTCGTCGTCTTCCCCCCCCCTCACACACACACCGTCGCGTCGTCGAAAACGCCACCAAGGTATTGCGGACAGCCTTCCACCCTCTGCATCCCATGTTGCTCCTCCTTGCTCCCTCCCCATGTCGTGTGCAATGTCACTTTTATCAGGACGCCAAAGGTTTTCGTGGCAGCAGGTAGACAGATGGCCGGTGCGAGAATACATGGAGGAGCGAGGGAAAAAAGCAAACAGACGCGTCGTCGCGCGTTTCGCCTTTCTGGGTCCCGCTGTTCGTGTCTGTCTGAGACGAGGTCGGTGGCCTGTGCTGCACGACGGGGGAGGGAGACGATGCGAGCAAAGGCCCCGGTCCGTCCAGAAGCCGTAGTTGGCATCGCATCTTGGCCCCTGCACATGACGGGTCTGTCACCATTGTGTCCCCCCCATGTAATGGCCGTTTGGCGTACGCAGCTCCAGTACGGCCAGTACAGAGAAAATGAGTCTGAGCACCGTGTGTGCTGGACCGGCCATCGTCCTACATTGTCCAGCCCCCCTTGACAACCTCAGACGTGCGTTTGAGTGTACAGACTAGGAGGCCAGGTCCCCCGCTGCGCCGCTGGCCGATACACGCATTTGTCGTCACTGGCCCAGCCGTTCGTGCCGAGTTGAGACCCCGCCAACTCGGCCCCGCATTCTCCATCGTTCCCACCGTACGCACGTCCATGTCTTGATCTACGCCATGCTTCTGGTACAGTAACACCGTTGTCACGCTCTGTCTTGGAGTGGGTTGGCATTTGGGGCCACTGGACTGTACTGTACTGTAGGCTGCCTGCTTGAGGCTTGTAGGACGGCCCGGTGGCCGGTGACTGTCGGACACTGGTGGCGCTCGTCAGACTCCTCGCATCGCTCCGTGCCCGAAAGTGGCGCATTTCCCACGAGAGAGAGAGCATGTCTGTGACTTGTTTGGAGGCTGCAGACAATAAAGCTGATGCTGATGGAGCGTTCTGTTGTGCGCTTGTGGAGTCAACAAGTCGGCGTGTCGACTGGTCTGGCTGCACACCATTGGCTTTTGTCCAGTTCCGTGTGTGTCCAGGTCCGGAATCAACACGACCGTCACACACCCGAGATAGGGAAACAACACATCGAAACATATACACTCCCACTCGCTGTGTTTCAAGGGTGTGGTAAGTAGTCCCACTCATCGATTGACTCGCCTCATAGCCATCACTGGGCAGCGACCGTGCAGAGGACGACTGCACCACTCCACTTCCTCGCCAAGGGGACGGGACAATGTACTCTTTGGACCCTTTGAACATGTACCACATAAATGTCGATGCCAACGTCTGCCCTGGTCGTCATCGATGGGTACGTCCAAACCACCTTCTCAGTCACTATGAGGAGCGTACCCAGTATCCTTGACAACTCCAGCACAACGCAGACAGGTGCAATGTGGCAAAACGAGCCGACCAAAACACCTATACCAGCATTTGTGCCACACAACAAGTGGTTACGTAAAGAATTCCGGAACTAAGGAGCAATAACCAGACGCCCTTATGCACTCAGGTTTGGTTTAAGCGTCAAGAAACCTGGGCCAACGAGCGCGCAACCTCTTGGGTCTCTGGCTTCAGATTGACGCCCGCGGCGCGGGTGATGGCGCCCAACTTACTGCGCACCCCCAAGCCTTGACGTAGGCGGCGCGAAGGCATCACCCTCGCACCACACGTATATGACCACAGTCGTAATGGCTTGGGGTATGCGTCATTAGGATAATAATAGGTTTTGAAATTGGCGCTCTCGGAAAGTTAACCGAGACCGATCACCGTCGTCTCTTTTCTGTCACGCAGTCGCTGTTCGGCCAAGCCCATCTCTCAGGTCGCAGAGTGCATCAGTCCCCTACGGTGTCAATCGGGTCCTTTGCTTGGCCTCGAGAGCTGCAGCGGTTGGCAGAGGAATGCATCCCACTGCCACGGGAAAGGCGCGTCGGGCCGCCGCGCGTGTCGGTTCCAGCTCATCGCCGGGCTCTGCAATTAGGTCCCCCCCCTCCACACGTCACGGCGCGCAGTCCTTGTGCCCCCCCGTTTTCTTTCGCTTCTTACTTCTTCTCTTCACCACTACAACACACACACCCCAGGTCATTCATCATGGACGGTCTCCTCAACTTCGCCGCTAGCCAGCTCTCGTCGCACAGTATGTGCATGTGCGAGCGGACGCGCTGACGTAGCCAGTGCAGCAGGGCCAGCAGGGCCAGCAGCAGCAGCAGCAGGGCAACAACAACGGCCAGAACTACCAGCAGAACCAGGGCCAGCAGCAGCAGCAGAACTACCAGCAGCAGGACAACAACAACAACGGCAACAACAACTACAACAACAACAACAACAACAACAACAACAACAACTACAACGGCAACGGCAACAACAATAACAACAACAACAACAACAACAACAACAACCAGCAGCAGCAGAGCGGCGGTTTCCAGGGTGGTGAGCAGCACAACAGCCAGCAGCAGCAGCAGCAGCAGTCGGGCGGTGGTTTCCAGGCCCAGCAGGGCAGCGCTCGTGAGTATCTTCCGCGAGCGCACCGGACCGAGACAACTCTTCCCGCACACGTATAACAAACGCTTAACGCTTTCCCCCCCACGCAGTCAACTTTTCGTCGCTGCTCGCCGGCGCCAACGCGCAGCACGGTAACGGCGACGCGCTCTCTGGCCTGATCCAGAACGCCATGGGCCACATTGGCAGCAACGTCAACGCCAACTCGTCGGTCAACGAGCAGCAGGTCCAGGAGAACCACGACCAGGCGTACAACCAGGGCAACGCGTCCAACATGTCCGCGTCGGCCATGGGCTCGGCCGCGGCCATCCAGGCCTTCAAGTCGTTTGCGTCGGGCGGCGGCCTCGCGGGTCTCACGGGCGGCAACAGCAACGGCAACGGAAACGCCCAGGGCTCGTCGGGCTCGATGGTGTCCAAGCTCATCGGCATGGCCATGTCCGAGGCCTCCAAGCTCTTCGACAAGTCCGGCGGCGCCGCCAGCGGCGACAAGCAAGACGCCGTCAGCAGTGCAGGTGCGACCATGATGAAGCTCATGGTCCAGAACCAGATCTCGGGCGTGAGTGGTTTTAATTTTGACGGTCTCGTACCCAAAAACCTGCTTTCCAGCCGCTGATATTTTCAGGCCCTCTCCGGTGGCAGCAGCAGCGGCGGCGGCCAGGCCAGCCAGCTCCTCGGCCTCGCCTCCAAGTTCCTCAGCTAAGTGTCGCGGCGAGAAAAACGCAACGACAACGACGCGAGCGCGAGCGCGACGGAGAGGGGAGAGGGGAGAGGCGTAATGGGTCTGGGCGGTAGTGAGATGAACGACTTTACGACGTTTGCCGTGAATAATGAATGCCACATAGCTGCTCCTTGTTTTTCAGATGCACAGAGTCCTATAGCTGAGGCAAGGGTTAGCTGTTCCCTGAGACCGTTGGCCGCATGCTGGCGCCGAACAGATGCTGTGATGAAAAGTCGGAGAGCAATGTACTGTTGACGCAATGTTCGGAGGAAACGCGTGCCGAGACATTGACCGGGCGATCCGCGGATCCGCGTCGTGTCTCTTGGGCGCAATTCACTGAGCACAGAGCACTGCCGCAACGTCCTACAGTTACTCTCTGGATCTGCGTCTCTGGTGGGGCGAGCCTAAACTCGGCTCGTTGCCAAGTTCCTTCGCAGACGAACAAACGACCACGACCTGAAACCAACTGTGTTGTTCTTGTGGCGTAGGAGGGAGGACGGGACAACAGTGACCACACCTAGCAGATCGGTATTCAGCCTTCAGTGGCCAGCGGTCACAGTAGACGCCCGTTCAAATATCTTGTCCACTCTGCCCACCGGGTGCACGCTTGACCGACACGGCGGGCCCACCCTTCCTCCCAGATGTGGGCCACATTTGCCTCTCGTTGCAGGTTTCCTTTGGACAGGACTCAACTGTACTAGCACAGGCCACAGGCCACTGGGTAGGACCGGTCACAGCCGTGACTCACGCCTGCAATCCCGGCTCTCACGGCTGTGACACTCGTAAAGTACAGTACAATAGCTCGAGCGCATTGCATTTGCATGACGGACACACGACGGCGGCGGGTACCCACACATGTTAATCGATTAACAGATGCCACTAAAGGACCGAGGCTACTGCGGTAATTCAAGAACGCGTCGGCCGAAAGCTTGGATTTGCATATTCTTGATTGCTTACCGCGCTGGGAAGGTGGCCTGCCGGCCCGTCAGAGGCCCAGAGAGGCCAGAGGCCTGTGGGCGCGGCCACGGCCCCCCGGGCCAGTGCATTCCTCGCTCGCACATGCCCGTTGCGTACTCAATTGACCAGGTGGCCATGTGGCCAGAGATCCAGAGAGGGACAATCTTGGCTACACAGCAAAACGTGTGTCTCGCCGTCTTATCCACGCCCACGTCCCAGCGTATCAGGACACCGACATTGGTCAGTGTGAGGAGCAGCGATGTGGTCAGGAGGGTCTGGCGGTCAGCCGACATGTCCCCCTTCTTCCCCCAACCGTGGACCCAGCGCTATCAGTCGAGGGCACGCTGGTACCCTACACCACACGCCAGTCCACATCCATGCCACTGCCTACTGCCCCCCTGCTGCTGCTGGACACACTGCACTCTTCGTTCTACCGCTGGCCTGAAACACAGAAGCTGCATGCTCTAATTAGATGTGGGAAATTGTAACTTAGTTGGTGTTGGAGCCGCCAACGACCTTCTTCCAAAGGGGAATCTTCTTCTGCTTCTGGTCGACGGCGTGGCGGACCTCCTCCTCGAGCTCCTCCTCCGAGAGACCGCCGTGGCCGTACCAGACAATAGTAGCAAAGCCGACGAGGAAGGTGATGATGCAGCCGGCAAGGGCGCCAATGGCCTTGGGGGTCCAGTTCATCTTGAGAGGGAAGGGACCCCAGGGCTGGCCGCTAAAGTCGGTGGTCGAGTTGAGGCCGACGACGTTGCCGGTCGACTTCTGGCCCATCTTGGTGCACTGGTCGTACATGACCTGGGGGATGGTGTTGTTGGCCTGGAGGACCTCGGGGGCCTCGACGAAGACGGCGGCAAGACCAGACGACAGGTGCCAGTCAATGTGGCAGTGGAAGAACCACGCACCGGGGTTGTCGGCGCGCCAGCGGAGAACGACCTTGCCTCCGGGGGGAACGGTGATGGTGTCACGACGGGCAGGGTTGGCCTGAATGTCGACGGTCTGGGGGTTGATGACCTCGTCGTCCGAGGTGACGTCAAACGACTTCTCAATGACCTGGAACTCGTGACCGTGGAGGTGGAAGGGGTGGAATCCGGCGTCCCAGTTGAAGAGGGTGAGCTGGATGTTCTGCATGTGCTTGTAGGTCATGACGTTGGTCATGTGGCCGTAAATGTCGGTGTCGTACGAGTCGTTGCCCATCGACGCGGCGGTGAAGAGGGTGGGGACCTTGGGCGTCTGGTAGGTGATGTTCTGGTAGCCACCGTCGAGCGAGAACGAGGCGCGGTTGGTGCCGTCGTCAAAGGTGTCAAAGTAGGCGTGCATGACAAACTCGACGTCAGCGGGAGCCGAGGCCATGATCTCAATGGGACGGAAGTCGGTGTCGTTGATGGTGGGGATGTCGTCGTAGATGACCTCAGTGGCGTTGGCGTTGGCCGAAGCGTACTGGATCTGAACAGTGTTGTTAAGGACAAGGTCCTCGGGGACGGTGTCGTACATGTCCTCGGACTGCATGAACATCATGGCGTAGTTGGTGTTGGTCTCGTTCTTGGCCTGGACGAGGACCGAGTAACGCTGGGCGACCGAGATGGTGAGGACGTCCATGAGGTAGGGCTCGACCTCGACACCGTCGACCTCAATAACGTAAATGTCGTGCTGGTCAATGGCAATGTAGAACATGGCGAGGGCAGCCATGTTGATGATACGGAGACGGTAGCTCTTGCCGGCAGCAAAGGGAATGACGGCGTTGTCGCTGACACCAACACCCGACGAGATCTCCTCGTTCGTGTTGAGGTACTTGTCACCCTGGGCAATGTAGATGACGGCAGACTCGGGAACGGGCTCGGCACCAGTGGGGTTGGTCCAGTGGAGGAAGTCGTTGTCAAGCATGTCCTGGTGCTGACGGTGGTACCAGTCGGAAGCAATCACAGTGTACTCCTCGTCCCAAGTGACATTGTCGGTACGGTTCGCCTTGGGGAGAATGATGTTGGGCGAACGGAGACCGTCGACGTACTGGCCGTTGTAGTGGCCGTGGATCCAGTAAGTACCCTTGTTGAGCGACGTGTCGATGTAGTAGTCGAGGGTCTCGCCGCTGGGGATACCACACTGGGTAACACCGGTAGCACCGTCATAGTAGGTGGTACCGTTGAAGAACATGCCGTGGGCGTGGAGGGCAGTGGGGATGCTGTCATCGCCAAGACCGTTGTAGGCGTGGATCAGGTGGGTGTCACCCTGGGTAGCGTAGAGGATGGGAGGACTAGTAGAATGTCAGTTTTGGTCTGGCCACCACCACCACCACCACTCAAAAAATACTCACGGCCACGAGCCGTTGACACCAATGACGCGACGCTCAAAGAGCTGGTCGGGGTTGGCAGTAGCGTACGAGATGTTCCACCAGTGCTCGATGGTGGCGGCCTTGGCGACGGCCAGGAGGGGGAGGGCCGCGGCAAGGTTGGCGATCATGTTGGATGTTCGCTCAAGCGGGGGCGGGGAGAGGGGAGGGGAAAGGGGGAGGCGGTGGGAGGTTGAGTAAAAGAACTCGACCTGGTGGTGCTGTGGATTATACTGTCGTGGGGAGATGCACGAGGACGGGTCAGCGACCGCTTTTTTAGACTCTCGATGGGACGAAGAGAGGTTGCCGAGAGGGTGGAAGAGAGAAAAACGACGACAGGGGGTGGGGCTGTGAGATCGCAACGGAGCTGGGGCTTAAGGCCTCACGGCGGGCATATCTGATAACAGGGCGGTCCCAAGAACGCAAAAGGACTCACGCTGCTTTTTTCGGGCTCTCTCGGCTCGCACCTCCGCTGATGTGCTTGGCGTGCAGGTCGACAATGTAAGAGCTGGATGTGACTGGTGGGCTGTCGGGTTGGAGAGACCCGAAAGTTGGGAGGGAAACCCAACGCTTGCAAAAGAACCGTGACCTTTTGCCAGCCCCGTCTCTCAGGGGCTCGTTCTGGCCGTTCTGGGCGATGGGCCATTCCGCTCTCAAGCTATCAGATACGAGACCCGGCGCGGGGCATTCGGGTCGCACGGCCGACTGGGGGGGGGGGGCGAAGAACAGCTCTGCTTCTGCGACACACCCATGCACACACTACTACTACTACTGATCCATTGCATTCCTCTGCTTCTCGTTCTCTCTCGCTTGCGATGCGAGAAGAAGCAAAAGGGGCGCGCGGTCAGCCGGCCGTCAGCTGGCCTTGGTCCACTGCAGGATACCAACCATCGTCTGGGCCCAAGTCTCTTCTCTCCGGCGCAGACAATTAGCACCAACACAGAGTTGGTCCGCCTCAATAAAGTGTTGAGCCAAACGAGCAACAAAGGAATGTCCCACCCACCCCCCGCGCACCCAGCAGCGGCCGACCACAGGGTCGCCGACACATCTCTCTGCATTCAGCATGCCAGAATGGACAGGGCATGCAGCAAGACAAGGCACACGAGGAAGAGAAGCGACACCGGAGGCATGCCGGCCGCGTACGATTAATTGGCTCCACAGTGGCGGTGACGGCCGAAATGATTAGAGCGTGGTGATTGGTGTGTTGCAACGTTTCGACCGATTCGAGCCAAAAGCGGGGGGTCAGTCGGCGACAACAACTGGTTCCATATTTTGGCACGGGACCGTGGCTCACGGCGGTACGGCGGAGAGCCGCGGGCTATGTCATGGAGTAATGACAGAGTGGTGCTAGAGCGAAAGCCGAGACCCACCACACAGAGGCCACACAGGCTTCCGTTGGCTGCTGGATATACTTCTTGCAGCACGTCCTTGGTCGCATGGCGTCGGATCCCAAAAACATGCATGCCTGGTGCTACTTTGTTAAAGTATCTTGGACAAGCCCTGTGTCTTGGCCATGGCAGCAGTCATGACAGCAAACACACCCACGTCCTTACGATGAGGCTCCCACAGACGTCATCGGAGGGAACGCAGCAACCCACAAAAGAACCGAACAGGGCAGGTTGGCACTAGAGGGTAAGCGACCTGGGGTCAAAGCAGTTACGTGGCTATAAACTGCACATTCAAGATGCTCGGCGGCCATCCTCACTGACAAGAAACTGCAGGCCGATGCAAGGCTGCCGAACAGCTTTGGGCTGACCCCATGCGATTCCACAGAGCTGGCTGTGTTAACGATGTGGCGGACCAGACACGTGAACAGTCGCATTGACGAGCAACGCTGCCACTCTGCTTCACTGTTTGCTCACTTGCCTCGAAACCAAAGCCATGCGTTCTCCATGCGACCGTCGGACCTGCGACCTGCCAAGCCGACTCCTAGTTCAAAGGTAGCCGCCAAGGCTCGCACTGCGGCGTGGTTTCCCCGGTCTGCACGCACCCAATCCCAGCATAGACGACGGGGCCTTGGCGTCGGGTTCCACCCGTGCACCAGAACCGGACCATACAACCGAGGCGCGCTCAGCCATCGTACTTGATTTTTTTGACCGCACTCCGTTCAGCCTTGGCAGGCAAGGGACAGCGTTTTGAAAATTTCTGAACGTTGGGAACCAGCGTCGGGTGGCACAGCAGCTGAGCAGGCTGCCAGCTGCCCAGGGTCCCGGTGTCAGACTACTGCAACGGTGTCGCCGTCCACCCACCCTGTACGCCGTGGCCAAGGGGAGTCGTCCTGTTGGCCTGTTGTATACGCCGAGACCGCCCTCACAGGGCCCGGTCTCTTGGGACCCTCGCCGTGGCAGACTTGAGACTGGCTGGCGTCAGTCGGAAAGTCATGTCCGCCGTGTGTGGAGAGCTGGACAGGTCCGGGGCCGCTTTGAGCATTAGAGACCGGCCGATGCAGCGTCAGTGGCCACTGCTGTGTGAGAGCCAGATCGCCGGGATGACCCGGGTGGGCCGAGGAGAGCGATGGACGTGACGGCCGCAGGACCAAGTCCGTTCCGAACGCTGGTACGCTGGCTTCTTTCCTGCTCTCCATTTCTTGACCGAACATTTTTGTTTCTTGAACCAACACATTCGTCCTCGACGAAAAAAAAAAATGAACACAAGGTCCACTCCCCTCACGAACACATACCACCGTCCATCTCCTCGTCTCTCCCCTCCACCTCCACCGCTGCCACTCCACCTCGGCAGTGAGTGTGTAGTGGAGCACAGCTGGCTAACCGATGTGTGGCGGCGGTGGAGGTCTGCTTCTTCTGACAGTTCTTTGTGCCGTACGGGAACACGCCGGTCAAGTAGCCAGTTTACCTTGCGTTGCCCCGCCTCGTGTCGTTATCACGGTTCTTTGTCAGTCATGACGTCCTCTGCCGTGGAGAACAGGTCATGTGTGGGGGGGGGACCGGCGGGTTGTGTGGAGACTTGACTTGGCGACACCCCCACGGCGAGAAGAACGGCAATGCCGCGGCACAAGCGGGGGCACAGTGGCGGTCGTCTGTGGTTCACGGCCGTGGGCATTGGCGGGCGCGTCGCCCGTGCTACACGCGATGACATACAGGCCGCAATGTTAACGCGCGTCACCAACGGATTCTGGCACTTTGTGAATCCCGGATTGATGTCGATGTCCGTCGTGGTGTGGAGCGACGGCGACCAGCTCGGCGGCTATCTACCTGCCACGCTGATTACGCATATTCACATCATCGAGATTGGTTCCGTTTGGAGCTTTGTGGACTGACTTTGTATTGGGCATGCGTGTTCTTCTAAATGGCTCTCACTGTGTGTTGCGATTGATATGGGTACTGGCAATCTATCCTGGTTACTTGTGCCTGTTGCGATGCCGCCGTTGCGTTGCGCCAGAGAGAGCAACATCGCAACATCGCAACGCAAATATGGCAAAGATGGAGGCCTCCACCGCGGTCCCTTCGCTTAAGCTGTGGCTGGGCTTTTCCGCGGCACGTCAGCCAGTCGTAAATGGCATTACTCTTGCCCGCAAATGCCCATTACAAGCACACCCCACATCCATTAGACGATGGGCTCCATCGACCAAGGTCCGCGCCACCCGGGCAAGCGCGCAACCCCCGCGTTGCGCGCACCAGTCTCGGCGTATACCGACTCGGCATCGTTCGGCACGGCTTTGCATTTTGGTACCACTGGCGCCGCTTGCTCCAGGATCCAGGACGCAAACCCCGCGTCGACATGTGATCCCAAAAAAAGGCCTCTGCTGTCATGCCCCTTGCGATGGGTTGCAGCAATTCAGCAGCAGCAGCAGCGGTGCAGCGGCCTTGCCCGCCCGCCATGCTGATCCGGCGCCGGTGATCTCCACAGATTCTGACTCATATGGTCGGTGGGTAACTCGTCAAAGGAGGACGAGAGAGTCGTTTATATGGGTGCGAGTCGTGCTGCATGACTAACCAGTGTCCCACTACTGTTAAAACCAGCCCGCCAGCGACAACAGTTGTCCGCTATCCCAGCTACCACCTTCGCTCCCAGCATGACGCTGAGCCGACAGACCACCGACAACGAGGGTGTCACTCTGGCAGATTTCTCCCACACCACCACAACCACTACGACCAGCAGCACCTACCCCACTGGCCTCCACCGCACGCCCACCGCGACATACGACGGGCAAGACAACTTTGCAGCTGTCGAGACCAGCAGCACGCCGTCCACGGCCACGATGGCGTCCACGCCCACTTCCACTGACCCCAGCAACGGCTTTGACCCCGAAAAGGACATTGACGCCGCCGAGAAGGCTCCATACACACACACGACGGTGAATGCCAAGCTGCCAGACGGGTGCAACTATGGCGACCTCTCGCGGTCGGACGGCAGCGTCGAGCGCGTCATCTGGGTCGACTTTGCGCCTGGCTCACGAGAAAACCCCTTCTACTTTTCCCGCAGCCGCAAGCTCGGCATCACGATCGTAGCCACCTTCTTCACCTTTATGACAGGTACGTACCCAACCACCCCCTCTCGCCCCGGCCTGCTGGCCGGGCGGGCGGCCCCGGACCGCAAGCATGAACCACACCAGCTGACCTCTTGTCTTTCTCTTTCAGCATACACCACTGCGGCCTATGCCATCTCGGCCAAGCCCATGTGCGCCGAGCTCGGGTGTGGCACGGTGATTGTCGAGGGTGGAGTGGCGCTGTATGCGTTTGGGTTTGGCATCTTCCCGCTCGTCCTCGCGCCCCTGTCGGAAGAGTTTGGCCGCAGGTGGACGTACACTGCTGCCGTGTTCATCTTCATGGTGTTCCAGATCCCCATTGCGCTGGCCAAGAACAGCGCCACGGTGCTCGTGGACCGTTTCCTCCTCGGCGCGGCTGGTTCCGTGGGAGCCACCTTGGTCGGTGGCACCATTTCCGACATTTACGTGCCCAGCAAGCGCGGTCTCCCCATGGCCCTGTTTGGCTTCTGTGCCATCTTTGGCACGGGAGCAGGCGCCACTACCATGGCATGGGTCGTCGAGCGCGTCGGCTGGCGCTGGGTCCACTGGGCCCAGATGAGTGGGTAGCACTGAACCAATTTGCATGCAGTCGCTAACACCCGTGCGACAGTCGCCATGGGCATCTTCTTCCCCATCGTCGTTGTCGTCATGCGCGAGACGCGCGCCACGGTCCTGCTCCGCCGCAAGGCGCACCAGCTCCGCGTGGACCGCGGCATGGCCGACGGCGCGCGCTACCTCGCCCGCAGCGAGATTGACAAGGACAAGTTCCTCACCGCCATCATGCACTCGATCTCGCGCCCGATCGTCTTCCTCGTCACAGAGCCGATCGTCACCTTTTTCTCGCTGTGGGTCGCCCTCGGCTGGGGCGTGTTCTACACCCAGATCGCAGGTATCCCCTACACGTTCCAGAAGCTGCACGGGTTCGGCATCATTGGCGTCGGCCAGGTGTACTGGACCATCTGCCTCGGCGGCGTGCTGGGCTTTGGGGCCAACTTTATCCAAGAGCACATTTACCGCAAAAAGGCACCAAAGTACGGCGTCGAGGCGCGCCTCTACGCGCCCATGGTGGCCGGTATCCTGTTCGCCTTGGGATGCTTCGTTACGGGCTTTACCAGCCTGTCGTACGTCCACTGGATCGGCCCGTGTGTCGGTGTGACCATGGTCTTGAGTGAGTCGAGTCGAGTCTCTCCCTTTTTATCGATGGCCCCCCAAACTGACCCGTTCCCCCAGCGGCCGTCATGATCATCTACATCACCGCCTTCACCTACCTTTCCGAGTGCTATGGCGCGTACGCCTCGTCGGCCATTGCCGGCCAGTCCTTCCTGCGCAACATGTTTGGCGGCTCGTTTTCGTTCTTTACGGAACAAATGTTCGAGGCCATGACCGTCCGCTGGGCGCTGGTCATGATGGGCGGTGTGGCGGCGCTGCTCGCGCTCGTCCCCTTCATTGCCTTCTTCTACGGCCCCCAGCTCCGCGCGCGGTCCAAGTACTCGCGTCTCTTGATGCAGCAGGAGCGCGATGCGATCGAAAAGGAGCGTAGGGAACGCGAGGCCCGCGGCATGGACACGACAGAGGCAGAGGACCTCGAGGGCGACGCAAACGAGGAGACCATGGAGCGCGCAATGTCGCACGCAATGTCCATCCACTCCATCCACCCGGCCGTGCCGGTGTAGGAGGCCGGGGCGGGGGCGGGGGCAAGGTAGTGTAGGGCAGATCTCAGCAGTTAGAATGTATCTAGAGGACCTCACAGGTATTGTTAATTGTCGTTGTATCCACAGATGGGTATCACATGCATTTTGGAACTTTATCAGTCCCGCGCACGGCATGTAGCGCTCGTGTCTACTTCTTCGTCTTGTCTTGTCTCTGTCTCTCCGTCTCTCGCAAAGCGACTCGAGGGACTCTGGGTGGGAATGAAATCGACAAGTGTCCGTCGTCTGCGTCATTCCCTTGCCCGTCTCGCTGTCTCGCGCTTTACGCCGTCTTGCCCGCGCTGGCCTTTTTCCTGGCCTCAGCGGCGCTGACCTTGGCGAAGAAGGCGCCAATGCCGGCCAGGCCGGCGAGGAGGAGGAGCGCCGGGCCGCGGGTGGCCCACTTGCGGTCGGGGAACAGGTCCTGGAGGGCCGACGCCTCGTCGACAAAGGGCTGGGTGTATGAGCTTTGGGACAACCACATATCGAAGGGCGTTAGCTCACGAGGAGGAGGGCCCAGGTGGTGTAGTAGATAAACACAAAGGCGGCAACTGCGAGCATGGCCGCGCCGAGGAGCTTGTCCGAAGTCGCCTGGAGGAAGCGCATCAGGACGTCAGGAGGGGGTTGGGAGCCGCCGTTGTTGAGGTGAGGATGACGTGGAAGCGCGGGCAACAAGGGGAGAATAGGAGATCAAATGTCAGCAGTGGCACAGTCGCTGGCCCGTGTGAGTGCTCACCATCTTGCTAGCGAACGATGTAGACGTTGGGTGTTGTTGCTGGGTTTCAATGTCGGTCGCGAATTGGCATATGGAGTGTCGCGTTCGACCTCCACGCGGACAGCACTCATGTCCCAATATTTGATCCCGCTCAGATCGAGCCCCGCTGCTGCTGACCGATGGACTGGAATCGCGAGGGATTGTTGAGATTGATTTTGTTTGTTCTTCTCCCACTTGTCTTGTTACGAACTCAACAACCACAACCACCTGCAGTAGTGTAATCACCCGTTTACTCTTGACGATATGCGCCAATGAGGATACGGATCGCTGCAAGAAGTGAAGCTTGGGCCACAGTTGTTGCGGCGGCCCACACCTCCCGAGGAAGGCCCCGGGATGGAATGGGCTCTCCTGTTTATGTCTCGCCCAAGTACTCTCATGCCTCACCAGCGACTACGTACGCAACAGCGTTATTCTATGGGAATGTCACTGCAACTCGAAGACATCCTTGATCTCAAATTTCCACTGCACTGGGTAAAATTACTACGACACAACGGCGACATCCGCCGTTACGGTTCCATTGAATGCCAGAGGTGGAGTCCAATATCCTTGTCTACTTCCTCGTTCTCATTGTTGTACTCGGCACTCCGTTCCGGATCACCAGCAGTTTCTGACGGTGGGCCTGAACCAAAGTCGTAGTACAATGATGAGATGAGTACGTCGACATGGATATCGGCTCCGTAAGTAACTTGGAAGACTCTGCGTTGGGGGACCAGTTATACATCTTACTCGGATGCTTGCACACTCCTGCGATTAACAGTGGCTGAGAATGCGGGCGTGCTGCTACCAGTCGCGATAGCCGTTCAGTAGGGGTTTAGTGGTCGTGTGTGGCAACCATGGCAAGGTGCGATGTATTCCAGCCAAACTGCGAACAACGCACATGAAAGCAGTTTCTCAGTCTACATTCTCGCCCTTCTCCCCAACGGCCACATGTGCCGCGATGGGACAGTTGGAGTGACCTCTAAAGCCAGGTTTCCAGGTGTCCAGTGTTACCGTCATCTGCAGGCAAAGTTATCCTGCGGCGTACCGTAATGTTTTGTGATTACGGGAGCGAGGAGTGAGATCAATGTGATGCTAGTGTGATTGACGTCTGGCTGCAACCCCGACTGACTCGGCTCTGGGACTCATCCCGAGTTGCACGCCCCGTCACCTAGCGAGGTGATGCCAACTGGGGGAGGGGACGGTTGTGGAACCATCGCACGACTGAGAAACTCGTAATTTATTTGTTGCGAGCGCTGGTTGCGACAAGCGCCCGGTCGCCAACCACGCCCACAAATCATAGGTCATCAATGAGCCTACGCCCCACCTCTGCCTCCACTCTGACATCCGTACCTCCCTGGAGTAGGGCAGATGGCAGTCCGCCGCGACTTTGGACCCAACGTCTTTTTCTCGGGGAAGCGCGACGATGGGGTTGGAGTTGGACCCTTTTGGGCTGTCATCCAGTCGGACGACGCCGAATGCCGAACCAAATAAACGCCGCACACGATGGACGGTCCAGTGTAGCCAGCGTCAGCCAGGTGTCCGCGCTGCTTCTTCCCCACTCCGTTGATCGCTCGCTGTGTCGTCAGATTGTATGTTTTTGTTCTCGAGAAGTAAGCGACGCATAGTCTATGAAGGTCGCGAAATAGCGCCCGTACTTGTCGCAGCCACTTTTCATTGTCGGTGTGTGGCACCACCGGTCTCCCAACCATAATTCATAACCGAACAACCGGGTGGGGACGCGAGGTTTAATCTTGTTGCTTGAAACTTGCTTGTCAATGGCTCTGCCGGCGGCGTCCACACCCCCCCGCCGGATCAGGTCGTGCGCTCTCTGTACGCGTCCTGTGAGACTTTCTTATTGTTGATACCACGCGAGCCAATGCTAGCACACCCCTGTCTGGCAGAATGGCGCGACATCGGCGACTCCCGCATAAAGTGGACGCGATGGTTGCGCAGTAGTGTACGCGTGGGTGGTGGTGGTGGTGGTGGGTCGGGGAGAAAGGCGCGTGTGATTGCCGGCGCCGTCGCCGCCGGCCAAGTGCGAAAAGGGCGAAGCGGGGTTCGTGGACCTGACCGAGGGGGAGAGAGGGCTGGATTGTGATCGTGGGAGGGGGCGGGGATGACGCGGGAGCAGGTGTGTGTGAGTGTGCATGTGCAAAGGCTAGAAGAGAGGAAGCAAAACGGCGGCCGCACGATCACGACCGACGCGTTGTGCGTGTGCCGCCAGCAGCCAGAGCATCGATGACGCTTGTTCTCTTTTACCGGCACCCGTGTCAGCCGGTGCAGCCGGTGGGCGCGCGCGGGGGCGAAAAAGGCCCCGTGGAGGTGTGGGAGATGGTTTGGCTGGAGCGTTATTGGGCGGCCGCATCGAGCCCACCCAGCGCGGCCCAGCGCCAGCACCCGGCTATCCCACACGCTCGTCTGCCCGGAACGGCCATACCACCCACCCACCGCTTGACGCCTTTTGAACGGGAGGACACGTTCACTGGATCTCTTCTCTTCTTCCATCCACACCCAGTCTTAGACATCAGCTCTCCCTCTCTCTCGCTCTCCTCTCCACGGCAGCACAAAAACAACTCCACCTGCCCTCCACATAATAACAACGTGAGCACCCTCTGGCCATGACATTGTCGCCGCCCACACGCTGACATGCCCTTTCCCCGATCACAGCTTGCCACTTTCCCACCCATTTTAGCACAACCCCCCTCAATGTCTGCCAAGGTTATCGTCGTCGGCGGTGGCCTGTCCGGTCTCTCGGCCGCCCACACCGTTCTCGAGCGTGGTGGCAACGTCGTGAGTAGCAGATGCAGATGTGTGGCGTGTGAGATCTGTGTGTTAACGCCTTCATCAGCTCCTCCTCGACAAGAACTCGTTCATGGGTGTAAGTAAACCTCCCCCGCTCCCCGAACTCGGGCCTCCCATGACTGACACTCTTCTCTAGGGTAACTCCACCAAGGCTACCTCTGGTATCAACGGTGCCAACACCCAGGTGAGTGTGGAGTGGAGAAAAAAGGGAGTCGTAACGCATAGATCGCATACTGACACCCACGCCAGGCTCAGCAGGTTAGTCTCAAAGCTTCGTCTCCGCGGGGGCGATTGCCGTCGTCAAAGTCTATTGAGAAACCCCATACTGACATGCTGGTAGGACCTCGGCATCCCCGACACCTCGGCCAAGTTGTAAGTAGCAGTTGGGGACCACCGGGTGCGAGCACGGCCGCTGACAGCCGCAGCTTTGCCGACACCAAGAAGTCGGCTCGTGAGCTCGCCCGTGACGACCTGATCCACGTCCTCACCTACCGTTCGGGTGACGCCGTCAACTGGCTCGTTGAGCGCTTCGACCTTGACCTCTCCAAGGTCTCGCGTCTTGGTGGCCACTCGGAGAAGCGCACCCACCGTGGTGGTGCCCAGTTCCCCGGTATGACCATCACCTACGCTCTCATGGAGAAGCTCGAGGACATTGCCGTTGCCAAGCCCGACCGTGCTCAGAGTAAGTTGGATTGGAAACAGATCCCACACAAACAGAGGCTGACATGTTTCTTCCCTCTCCAGTCAAGAAGAAGGCCAACGTCAAGCAGCTCCTCAAGGAGGGCGACAAGGTTGTTGGTGTCGAGTACACCCACAACGGCCAGACCCTCAAGGAGTACGGTGTTGTCATCCTTGCCACTGGTGGTTACGCCGCCGACTTCACCGAGGACTCGCTCCTCAAGAAGTACCGCCCCGAGTACTTTGACCTGCCCACCACCAACGGTGACCACTGCACCGGTGACGGCCAGAAGATGGCCATGAAGATCGGTGCCAAGGGTATCGACCTCGAGAAGGTTCAGGTTCACCCCACCGGTCTCGTCGACCCCAAGGACCCCGAGGCCAAGGTCAAGTTCCTTGCCGCCGAGGCGCTCCGTGGTGTCGGTGGTCTCCTCATTGACAACACTGGTAACCGTTTCGTCGACGAGCTCCAGCACCGTGACTTTGTCACCAACAAGATGTGGGAGAACAACAAGTTCCCCGTCCGTCTCATCCTCAACTCGGAGTCATCCAAGGAGATTGAGTGGCACTGCAAGCACTACGTTGGCCGTGGCCTCATGAAGAAGTTCAACTCGGGTGCCGAGCTCGCCAAGGAGATTGGCGTCGACCCCTCGGTGCTCAAGAAGACCTTTGACGACCACAACCGCTACTCCAAGGCCCCCGGCACCGACCCCTTCGGCAAGAAGTTCTTCTCGGGCGGTGACTTTAGCATGGACGACTCGTTCAACGTCGCCCTCATGACCCCCGTCCTCCACTACACCATGGGTGGTCTCGAGATTGGCCCCGACTCGGCCGTCCACGGCGAGAACGCCGCCCCCGTTCCCGGCCTCTACGCATGTGGTGAGGTTGCCGGCGGTGTCCACGGTGCCAACCGTCTCGGTGGCTCGTCGCTCCTTGGCTGTGTCGTCTTCGGCCGTGTCGCCGGTGACTCGGCCTCGTCGTACCTCCTCTCGGAGCTCACCGGCGAGCGCGCTGCCGGCCGTCTCGCCACCATCGGCGACCACCTCCTCGAGACCAAGATCCGCGTCGACCCCGCCTCCAAGGCCGTCAACCTGGAGTTCTCGTGGGCCGGTTCGGGCTCGGCCGCCCCCGTCGTCGCTTCGGCCCCCGCCCCCGCCGCTGCCCCCGTCGCTGCTGCTGCTGCTGCCCCCGCCGCTGAGGCCGCCCCCGCCGCTGCTCCCGCCCCCAAGTCGGGCGAGTACACCGTCGAGGAGGTTGCCAAGCACAACAAGGAGAACGACTGCTGGGTCATCATCGGCAACGACGTCCTCGACGTCACCTCCTTCCTGAATGACCACCCCGGAGGTGCCAAGGCCATCCTGTAAGTTGACAAGAGGAGGGGAGAAGTGCCACCCGAAACAATGGCTTGTGCCACTCCACGCAACCTTGCGTCAAACACTCCATACTAACGCCCATCACAGTCTCTACGCCGGCCGCGACGCCACCGAGGAGTTTGAGATGATCCACCCTTCGGACGTCATCCAGAAGTACGCACCCGAGTGTGTCATCGGTACCGTGAAGAAGTAAGATGGGCGTAGAGAGACATCGTTGTAGCGTTTTGTAGTCTCGAGAATGGCAGGAAGTTACCCCCTCAACTCTCCCAACTTGGCCAACGTCCAACTCGTCCAAGTGGCATGTCAGCTGTTTGCATGCTGACAGATGTGTGTAACCCGACGTCGCAGCGCGGTAGGGGCTTCCAGTAAGCATTCTCCTGGGGGCTCCATTCCAGTGCTGCCAGCCACACGTCGCCCCCCGTCTGAGGACAATAACGCGCGCACGCCAAGCACGTCCCTGCGAGCTGGTGGATCGTCTGTCCGCGAGCTCCACGCCCGACGAGCCGGCCACCGCCGACCCATACCCGCTGCGGCGACTTGGGTCCCCCAGCCCAGTCTCCCAGTCGCCCAGTCGCCCTCCACCGAACAGTGGGGTGGGGGTAACCGGTTGGACGGAGGTAACGGAGCCGGCCCGGGGGTTGGTGGCGGACCATCCATCGCCAAGAGCTACGTAAGTGCGTGTGGCAACATGCGTGGCCGGCCGGTGTGGCAAACGGCCGGAGGCGACGGCGCGCCCGGCCGCACGTTGTATTATCTACAGAAAATGGCATTTGGAATCATCTATGTACATGCTGCGTCGTGCTTCTTAATGTCTCCTTTTGTCTCCTCTCCTCTCTTGCCGTCTGAGCGGACTGTCTTCTCCTCCCTCGGTATACATCGTCGTCGTCGCTTTGGCGCAACCCCCCTGGGTCGCTCCTGTCGCTCCTGTCGCGTCCCAGCACCCCCGCCTAGGTGTACTTGACCGCCACGGTGAGGCTGAAGGGGAGGTTGGGGTCGGTGACCACAATCTCCTCTCCTTCCTCGAGGAGCTCCGGCAGCGTCTTTTCGAGGTTGGGCTTGGTGGCCTCGTACAGCTGCGGCGGGGCCTGGAAGAAGAGCGGGCGGGCGTCGCTGTACGCCAGCGAGGGCCTCTTGATCTGCAAGTCTTGGCGCAGGCCGATCCACTCCACGAGCCGCTCCAGCGTCCAGTCACGCCCGACTTCGGCGGTGATGGACTCGCCGCCGCACACGGGGCATTCGGGGCGCTGCTCGTGCTGGAACGTAAACGTGTACAGCGAGTCGTTGCCGACGTACTGGGTGTGGGTTAGCTGGAGAACCTCACTTAACCCACCATCATGTAGTTGTCGAGGTACGGCGCGCACGAGGTGGCGATTTTGAGCGCCTCGTTGCAGCAGGACGCTGGGATGTCAGGTTTGTCTACATATGTGCCAAAACTCACCGGCAATGATGGCGTTCGTGCTCGCAATCGCGGGAATGATGTTCTTGACCACACCCTGGGTGAGAGCCCAGGTGACACCCTCAATGTTGAACTCGTTGGCGCGCTTCGAGGCAATGTTGTACAGCCACTCGATGTGGTCCGGGTCATCGGTGTCCAGCTTCTTCTCCTTCCAGACACGCGGCCACTCGAGCACGCTTGCCCACTCGATGCAATGCTCGGGAAGACGGGGCGTGTTGGCAATGGTGCAGATGGGGAACGCGGTGGGCGGGGTGAGCATGTCGATGGAACACTCGTAGCAGCTGGTGACCGTGGGGAGGATGACGCGCGCCTGGCCCTTGAATCCTGCGAGTTAGCTTTTCCGGGAAGCAGAAGTTAACTCACCCTCAGTGCCACCGTCAATGAGCGGCTTGAGACTCTTCTCGTTCTCCATGTCAACCATGGACACGAGGGTGGCGTTGATCCAGCGACGCGCCGAGATCGAGTCGAGGCCAGCAATGACAATGTCAAACTGCATGTAGAACGAGATGGGGTGGTCCTGGATCTTGCTGTGGTGAGGGGTCACCTTGATACCGGGGACACGCTTCATGATAAAGTCGGCAGCAACCATGGCCTTGGACTTGCCAACGTCGGTCTCACGGAAGAGGAACTGACGGTTGAGGTTGGAAATGTCAATGGTGTCCATGTCAATGACGTGGATGTCACTGAACCCAGTGAGAGCGAGGTTCTGGAGAATCTCGCAGCCAAGACCACCAGCGCCAATGACAAGAATCTTGGCCGTCTTGCGCAGAGACTCCTTGGCCTGGGAACGTTTAGTATATCGGCTGACATTGAGACCGCAGACAGGGACTTACCGCCGCGCTCGAGTACTCGTCGTTGGTCCATGCTCCTCCACGTTCAAGAAGCTTGTTCATGTGCGCGTAGCGAGACTCGTCTTTAACGTTGTACTGGCTTTGGCTTTTTGTTAGAACAAAAAAGGCATACATTAGTTATGACAACCACTACGGCGCGATATAGGCTACGCTTACTTGGCTGGAAGGTCCTGGAGCATGACACGCCAGATGGCCGAGCCTACACGGCCGACACCCTCGCCGCCCTGCCCGTCCTTTCCAGGAAGGCGGCGGCGGGCCTCAACAGTGGTCTCGTCGTCAAAGATGCCTTGAGACGAGCGCACGTTGACCATCTCGGTCACGATACCGGGCGTGAACTCGGGGTGGCCCTGGATGGTCAAGACGCGGGCAAGGGGGTTCTCGGGGGTCGAGTCGGGGTGGAGCTTGACAAACGAGTGGATGGGGTAGCGAGGGGTGCTGAGAAGGAGCTGGCAGCCGGGTGGAGTCTCGGGGACATTGTCCTTGTGCATCTGCTCGGTGTACTGTGGTGTGTAAGCTGAGCTGTATTGGTGCATACTCACGATCTTCTCCTGGCCATTCTGGCAGACCGAGTCGGACCACCAATAGCGTCCCTCCGGGGTGGGGGTGGCGCCGTAGACTCCAACCTCCCAGCCGTTGTCACCGCGGACACACTTGCCACCAAGCGCAAGGGAAATGATCTGGTGGCCAAAGCACACGCCGATCACCTTGATGTGCTGAGTCTGCGGCTGGGTGGCAATCTCGCGCACAAACTTGATGAGGGTAGGTGCAAAGGTGCTCTCCGGGTCGTGAGCAGTGTGCTCTGGAAGAGTGCTGTTAGCAAGTATCACAGCAAAAAGCACTCACTAGAGCCGGTGAGCATCAAGACGTCATATCCATCAGCCGAGCCCGGGACGAAGCGCCTGAGTGCTGGGAATTCGAGCTTGTCGACGACATTGTAAGGCTCCACAATGAGCTCAGTGTTGGCAGCTACGGCCGCGTCAGGGTACGCGCCGAGAGCCTCTGTGAGCCACCTCTTGTAGATCTCGTAGTCTTTGACTTGTCAGCAACGGGGAGTGCCGGCAAGGGGAGCACTCACAGGTGGGGCCAAACTTGTCAGCGACCTGGGGAAGCTTGTATGTTAGCTTTGTAGAGGTGTGTAGGAAAGCTTACTGGATTGTCGCAGAGAAGGAGGGCGACGCGGACGACGCGCTTGGTGACGGTCATGGTGATGCGGGGTGGTTGGAGAGGGAGGGAAGGCAAGTGAGTCGACAACACGGTGGAGGTTAAGTACTCGCTGTCTTGTGGCGCCGTTGTTTGGCACCCCCCGTTAAGCTTGTAGGGGGTCGGTTCTCGCTTGTCGCTTCCTCTAATACAGTCGCTATATTGCGGGTTATCTTGTATGCACTGTTCGCTCTCTGGCTGCTTCCATGGTCCCCAGCGCCGCCTATAGCCATTCGCCCGTTTATCCATTTCATCCAAGAGGATGTTGACAACATGGGTGGCAAAGAAACACTCCCGGGTGCTCGCAATGTGGGGTGCCACAACAAAGGGTGAAAATGTCTCTGTCAAATGTTGCGGCGGAGGCCGACGGTACCGGTTATTGCGACTGTCGGGATCTCATCTGACCATCTTGCATCTACCCATTCGCTCTCAACTCGTCCAACCCACCCACAAATGCTGCCCCGCCGTCTGCTCGCGGGCGCGCCACTCCGGGCGCGTGTCGCTGCAGCTCGGCACACACCTAGCGTGAAGCCCATGAGCTATGCGGCTCGTCAGCGCGCCGAAGAGCTCGACTCGTCGTTCGATGGTATGCTCGGCGGCAACACGGCCAAATTCGAGTCGGTCCACCTGAAACGCTCGTTGCCGTCCTACAATGTCGATGACGCCGACGTTTCTGCGGCAGCAACACGGTCCAAGACAAACCAAGACATCGTGGAGGAGGAAGAGGAGGGCCGTGACGAACGTCGGTCGCCTGCTGCTGTTCTCAGCACCAAGCGCATTGGTATGATCCGACTTCCGGAGGCTCTCGTCGAGAAAATCGAGGAAGCTATTGATGGTAAGTCACACATATGACGATCAACATTGCAGATCTGTGTTGACAGTAACACTACAGAGGCCGACAGCCCGCGTGACATTCGCAACGCGTACCTCCATCTTCTTGAGCCCACCAAAGAGAAGGCAGACAAGGCCGACCGCAAGAATTCACCCGAGCACGCTCTGGCTCGTGCGGCTGCCTTTCTGCCCGCGCAGTACGCGGTGACGCGCAACGTCATGGCAGAGTTGAACAGCCGTTTGGGTGGCGGCTTGACGGGTCCCATTCTTGAAGTGTCGGGTACCATCGGCCCCGGTCTCTGGGCCGCTGTCGAGACTGCTGGCCCTGATGTCGCTTCAGAGTACGCGCTCGTCCACCGTACTCGTCACGGTCTCGCTCTCGCCGAGCGCTTTGCCCAGCCCATCGACCAGCCCATGCAGTTCAAGCGTGACATTGTCGAGGTCGAGCTCTTGAGCACCCCGCAAGTGGCCTTGAGCTCGTTTGTGCTCACCACTCTGCCCAAGCCGAACAACCGTCAAACCCACCTCCGCCAGCTCTTGTCATTCAACGCCGACCACCTGGTTGTTCTCGAGCGTGCCGGCAAGGAGTCGTGGGAGGTCATGAAGGAGGCCCGCAAGTTCATCCTGTCGCAGAGCACCGATGAGAACCCCCTTCACATCACCGCCCCTTGCCCGCACGAGGAGGGCTGTCCACGCACCGAGGGCAAGGAGGCCTGTATGTTTGTGCAGCGCGTCCAGCGTCCTGGCTTTGTCCGCAAGACCAAGCACGGAAAGCGTGGCGAGGAGGACATGTCCTACACCTACCTCATCGTGTCCCGTGGCAAGCGTCCGCAGGCGGACGCCTCGTCGGTCGGCCGCATGGGAGCGGTGGCGAAGGAGCACATCACAAACCTTATCGCAAAGTCCGAGGGTTTCACCGAGCTGCACGAGGTCGAGGGCGGCGACGGCTTTGAGATGCTGTCCCTTAACACGAACGACATCCAGATCGAGTCTACCGGCGGGCCACAAGAAGAAGTCGACGAGCAGCTCCGCGCCGAGGCATACTCATGGCCCCGTCTCCTCGCCCCCGTCATGAAGCGCAGCGGCCATGTCGTCATGGACGCGTGCACCGCCGAGGGCAACGTTCAGCGTTGGCGCGTGGCCAAGTCTCACGGCAAGCAAGAGTACTACGACGCGCGCAAGCTCAACTGGGGCGACCTGTATCCACACGCCATCATGGGCAAGACTGAGATTCGCGACCGCGGTGTCCGCCGACTCGCCAAGGAGCAAGTCGAGGTCATTGACGACTTCAGCGCGTTCTACGCCGGGCTGGAGGAAAATGCGACTGAGGACAAGAAGCCGCAGCCCCCGCCAAAGGATCCGCTCATCGCCGCGCTCGAGGAGGTTGAGCTGGGCGATGGGTTTGATTCACCCGAGGTCGTTGCCAACGCCAAGGCAGCAAAGACAAAGAGAAAGGCAAAGGCCACCCGGGCCCAGACTGAGGCTGAAGCTGAGGCTGCGGCCGAGGCTGAGGCGGATGCCGTCGAGACCAACGCAAAGCCACTTCCCGTCGGCTTTTTTGAGTTATCACCTGCGGGCAAAAAGGCCCTTGAGGAGAACAATGCCCGTTGCGACGAGTTGCTCAGCACCGACGCGTCATGGCGCAAGTTTGTCTTGGAGCTTCCCCAGGATATGATCGACCAAATGTACCCCGAGGGCCTCCCCCCCTTCAAAGGTACTGACGAGGAGTTCGAGAACGCAATTCCGGTACACAAGCAATGGCAGGAGTCGGTCCGTAAGAGCCGTAGGGGCCGTAGCCACAAGAATAGGCGCCTCTTTTCGACGTCGGCCGTCGCTCGCAAGCCGGAGGACGACGTGGACGAGGACTGTGCCGTCGGTGAGGGCGGGTTCTCCCCGCACTCTCTGGGCGAGCCGAGGTTCCGCGAGGGACCCGACGACATCGCCGAGGACATTGACGAGGACTGCGCTGTTGGAGAAGGCGGATTTTCGCGTTCATCCTTGAGCGACCCGGACGACACCCGCCCTATGAGCAATGTGGCGTACCATTCGCCTAGACCTACGCGTCCCACTGGCCCCATCTCCAAGGACAAGGACGCCGATGCGGCGTCTTCGCTCGAAGGCGGTTTCTCGGCGTCGTCTCTTTCAGACCCCAAGTTCCGCAACGTTGAAGAGGTTGACGAGGACGTTGACGAGGACTATGCCATGGGCGAGGGTGGCTTTTCGCGCTCGTCGCTTTCGGACCCGGACTATGAGCGTGCCAAGGGCGCTGCCTCTTACGAGTCGCCTCGTCCATCCCGTCCCACCGAGCCCATCACTGCTTCTACCGATTTCCGCGCAGCCACCATGAAGCGTCCGTGGACCTCTGCTCTGGCCGACCCTCCCATGCGTACCAACGACTCGCCCGCTACTGCTCCCGGCCGCACCCCCGTGTCCAAGGTTGACCTGGAGGAAGTGGACGAGGAGTGTGCGTTTGGTGACGGCGAGTTTTCGCGTTCGTCGCTCTCCGACCCAGACTATGACCCACCTACCGGCACGTCTTACAAGTCGCCTCGCCCGACCCGGCCCGACGGCCCCATTCACAAGGACGAGGATGCCGACGCTGCGTCGTCCGGTGAAGGCTCGTTCTCGCGCTCCTCGTTCTCGGACCCTCCTGTGCGCGGTAGCAGCAGCAGCAGCAGCCAGCAGAAGCGTGGGTTCTCGACCCTCCAGAAGCGCGGTTTCGCCACTTCCGCTCGCGTCATGTCCGTCCGCCCCGCCGACCTCAGCGGCAGGGCAAAGGTCAACGTCGGCGAGCTGCACGCCATGCACAAGGCCGGTACCCCCATCACCGTCTTGACATGCTACGACTACCCCACTGCCCTCCTCATCTCGCGCGCCAACGTCGACGTTGCGCTTGTCGGCGACTCGCTGTCGCAGGTTGTTCTCGGCCACGACTCGACCACGCAGTTGACACTTGAGGAGATGGCCCACCACGTCCGTGCCGTCGCCCGCGGCGCTCGCCATGCCTTTATCATTGCCGATATGCCCTTTGGTTACGCCAACGCGTCGGTCAACGACGGCGTCCGTGCTGCCGTCCACCTCATCAAGGCCGGCGCCGACGGCATCAAGATTGAGGGCGGCAAGGAGATGCTCCCCCTCATCCGCCGTCTGGCTGAGACTGGCGTGCCCGTCATGCCCCACATTGGTCTCCAGCCCCAGCGCGCCGCCGCGACGGGCTACAAGGCACAGGCGCGTTCAGCCCTCGCTGCCGTCGAGCTCCTCGACACGGCCAAGCAGTGCGAGGAGGCCGGCGGGTTCGGGCTCCTCCTCGAAGCGATCCCGCACCAGATCGGCAAGATGATCACTGAGCGCAGCGGTATCCCCACTATCGGTATCGGTGCTGGCAACGCCACGTCGGGCCAGGTCCTCGTCCTCACCGACCTGCTGGGCACGTACGACCAGCAGCAGGATGACAACTGCTCGCACCCGCGTTTTGTCCGCCAGATGGGCAACGCGGGCCGCGAGTCGCGCAGGGCCGTCGACGAGTATGTCACCGAAGTGCGCGCGAGGAGTTTCCCCGCAACGGGCAAGGAGACGTACGGAATGCCCAAGCTGGAGCTCGACGAGCTCAACAACATCGTCAACACTGAATCCCCTGTACCAACTACACCATAGCATCGGCCACGTATCGTTTCTTTCTGTCTTTTCCCCATGCATCACTCAAAAAGGATATCAAATGCTTACATACACGTCTCTTTTATCTGTCTGTGGGGTTGCTGTATGGGTAGAAAAGGGGAGACAGAGACAGGTTGAATACAGCTGTAAGCTTATTGATTCGGACAAGCGTTGGACCAGTGGCCTGTTTCGCCACACTTGAAGCATTCGTCAGAACCCCCTCCTCCTCCAGCGCCGCTTCTCCCTCCGCTTCGTCCCCCTCCTCCACGTGAGGTGCTGCCGCGTGAAGGACCGCCGCCGCCATCTTCGTTGGGGCACGCATTGGCCCAGTGACCTGACTGGCCGCACTTGAAGCATTCTGATGGGTCAGCGCTGTGCAGGAGTGGAAACCCACCGCCAGATGATCCTCCACTGTTGCCACCTCGAGTCGTCTTGGTGCGGCTGGAGCCACCAGAGCGGGAGGTACCTTGGGATGTACCTGCTCTACCGCTCGGGCAAGCGTTGGACCAGTGGCCAGACTGGCCGCAGTTGAAGCAGTCTGAGAGTTAGCCAGCTACGGGTTCCATGCAAACTCACCTCCTGGTCCACTTCCTCCGACACCACCGCCGCCGCCACCTCTCCCGGAGAACGAGTCGCCAACGTCTCCGCCTTGCTCATCCCACTCAAAGAAACTGCAACGCGCTCTCGGGTTGTTTGGACACGACCTGGGGAATTAGCTCCAAGACAATATGTCTAGCTTACCAAAACCACCTGCCGTGGTTCGGGCCATCCTTGGTCACTTGAACGTGGTTAGCCTCGAGCTTGCACTCGCAGCGCACAGTGCCGTTGCGACGGCTCGGTGCATCCTGGTTTGATGGCCCGGCACGCGACCTCTTGGGCGGGGCGGGACCTCGCGACCCGCCGGCCTGGGGTTCAGAGTCTGCCCATTCCTGGCGCGTTAGCTCTGCGTGTCTGTGCGCCCGTCGAGCTACTCACAAAGAAGCCACACTGCTCGTCTTTCGGGTTGGGACAGGTGTAGAACTGTCGGCCAGGGTTGGCGGCTGACTGCGACGTTCGAAGAGCAGCTTGTTTGTCACAGCCACATTTCATAGAGTCGCCACCTTGGTCGTTTGCGTCTGTCTGGTTAGTACTGATCGAGGCTTTTCTGTGTACGTACCAGACTTGCGTTTCCTTGTGGACCCGGCGTCCGATGCGCCTCCACGTCCTCTGGTAGAGCCTCGAGTCGACGTGCTGCCCCTTGTACCGCGGGTGCCGCGCGTGCCCCTTGCTCTGGTCACTCGTCCACCACCGCGTGGAGCGTCGTCGTCGTCATCATCATCATCATCATCATCATCATCGTCGTCATCATTGTCGTCTTGGCGGGGACCACGACCGGCCGCGCCCGCACCTCCGCCTCGTCCACCGCGCGCTCCTCGTGTTCCGCGGGTTCCACGAGCACCGCGACCGCGTGCGGCCGCTCGGACAGCCTCTGCAGCTTCCCCATCGCCGCTGAGGTAGTCACAGACCGACTCGATGACAGTGTTGAACTCGCGCCTTGCCTTGACATAGACCTCTCTGTACTCTTCGACACTGGCATCCAGGACCTCGCTCTTGCGTTGTAAGCCGTCGCAGATGAGCTGCATCCGGTGCTCAGTCTCTCGGCGCAGGTGGGGCTTGCTGAGAGAACGATCAAAGCCGATGGCGTTGTAGCCTTCGACAAGACCGATGCCGAGCGTGGAGGGAACAAGATACTTTGTCTTTTGTTCAGACTTTGCAATCACGTACTCGCGGTCGATAATCTTGGCAATGTGCTCGGCGATAGTGGCGTCGGTACCGATTCCGTTCTTGTCCATGAGACCGACCAGGTCGGCTTCAGTCAAGAGGTTGGGCCGGCTGGTGGCACCCTCCTTGAGCTCACAGACAGAGGGCATAAACTCCTCCCCTTCTTGAAAGTCTGGAATGGGGTTGCTCGACCACTTGTCGTAAGGGTACACCTCGAGGTAGTTGCGGTGGAGAATGACTACGCCGCTGGCCGAGAAGAACTCGCCAGCAATCTCAATTTCTACCGTCGTCTGCTTTCCCTCGGCGTTTGTAGAACATGACGCAAGGAATCGACGAGTTACAAGCTCATACACGCGGCGCTCATCGGCGTCGAGATTGTTGACCGAGTTGGTGGGGTGAATTGGGGGGTGCGCCTTGTCGTTCTTCCTGCCGTTGCGAGGTTTCTGAAACGAACCGTCGAGCAGTCTTGCTGTCAGTAAAAGAGCAGTCACACCTGAACTCACTTTTGGGCATAGTCGCCCCAAACGTTGTCGTGTGTTTGCTTCCTAATGAGAGACTCAAAGTCAAAGTCCTTGTCGTACTGGTCGGTCTCGGTACGTGGGTAGCTTAGGAAACCCTTCTGGTAGAGCTTCTCGGCGAGCTGAGCAGTTAGCAAACCGGAGGTGCGCTCTTAACTTACATCCAGAACACGTTTCGGTGTCATGCCGAGCAGGCGAGATCCAGATTGCTGCAACTCCACAGTCGTGAGGGGAAGTGGCTTCCAGCGGCTCGTCGGCTTGGTCTCCACTTTAATGACGGTTGCCATTGGCCGCTCGATGCATTGCTCGTAGAGAATCATGGCAATCGGGAGGTCGAACAAGTGGTTGCGGCGCCATGAGAAGGCCACCTCGGTCGGCTCGCCACCTTCCTCATCGCTCTCACGAGTTGACGAGACGGCGATGTACCAGAATGGCTCGGGGACAAACGCTTGGACGCGCTTGTATTGGTCGACAACAAAACCAAGCGTAGGGAACTGGCAAGGACCTGATAGTTAGAACAAGGGCATTCAAGCAACTCACCGTAGCTGATCAGTTTGTCGTTGAGCTCGGGGACCCTGGCTGTGAGTGTTGTCGTCATGAATCGCGTAAACGCAGCGCCAATACGCAGGTCGAGGCAGATGCGCGCCTCGACGGCGTCCGCCTGGCGCATGTCGAGGTTATCTGCCGTACGACAGGCATTGTGGATCTGCCTGACAAGTCAGCCGACGGCGTTCTGGCCTCCAACTCACGCAGCAATAATCGCACTGAAGCGCGCACGCTTGACCACAATCCTAGGGTTTGCCTTGCGGCAGACAGCCGCGATTTCGGATCCAATGTGCTCGCCTTCCCTATCACAATCGGTCCAGATCATGAGGAGGTCGGCACGGCGCGATTCTGTCTGGAGGTTGCGCTCAATCTTCTTAAAGTCCTGGCGCTTGTTAGAGAGGGAAGGTCGTTTGGCTGTACTACTCACGGACGAGATGGAGGTGATGATCGGAGCATCAAAGAGGGCAAACGGGTCACACGAGCCCCATTTCCGATGATTATCGTCAAAGTCCTACGTATCAACCTAATATAAGTCATTGCAGCAACTCACGCTGCCCGTCAAGTGTCCTAGCACGCTTGTGACCGTAAAGTCGGCCCCTCCGCGGGGCGGTCCCAGAGGTGGAGGAAGGTTGTAGCTAAAGTCAAAGTTGCGAGTGTACTTGTGAAACCCATCACGCGAGGTTGAATCTCCACCTGAGAGGATCTGGGTAATGCTCTTGGCAATACTTGGCTTTTCTGCAACACACAGCACCTTCATCGTGCGACAGGCATTACGCCCAGCAGCGACAGGGAGGGCGTGTGGGCGGGTGGCAAAACGGGCTCCCGCAACCAAGTTGCGAGTAGCCTGGCTATGTAGGGTGTAGAGGATGGTGGGGGGTTAGGGCTAGGTATCAAAATGGGACGCTTGGGTGTCGTTGGAAGCGCAATGTGGATGGTATTGGTGAAGAGTAAAGGTTCATATGACTATCGCAAGTTGACGCGACTGACCTCCACCAGAGGGGTGTCTCGGTGTGTTTTTGTTGTCGGCGAATTTGATTCCGCTTGGTGGGCGCGACGATGACGTAAATAAAGGATCAGACGGATCACAAGCATCGTGTTCAAAGTCGTTGATAGTGCCTCTCCCCATGGCCCATGGCGACATGCATCTTGTTGCCGCTGCTGGATTGGTGGTGTGCGGCCGGGACTGGCTGCCGGGTACCCGAGTGGCGCAGGCTATCGACGAGGTGCTTGGAAAAGGTAAACGAAAGCTTGGAAATAGGTACCAATTCCAATGCGATTTTCCAACAGATCAACCCCAAGACACGCCACAACAAGGCGACAAGCCCATGTTGGGCGGCTTAAATAGCGCGGACGGGAGAGGGGGGGAACGTTGCGATCCAGTCTATCCTCCCCGCCTGATTGCTGTCTTTGAGACCACCCACCCATCCCTGCGACAAGAACGTCAACCCAAACCAGTGTGCGTTGTTTCTCGCTTGATCACTTTGCGGTACGACTGTGCGATCTGCGATGTGCGGGGTGTGGTGTGTCCCAACCGGATGCGTCACTCCCACTGTGCGGGGGGAGCGAGGAGCGAGAAGCTGACCCCCGCCCAGAGCGTTTCCCTGCAACCTCCCTGCAACCCCCGTTATTGAATTCGAGTCAGGCTCCAACCGACCATCCACGGCGGTTTTTTTTTCTCTCTCACCCAACTCCCGATCTCAGCCATTGATCCAGCCCGGACGGGATCAAAATTTCCCCGCGCCATTTGCTAGAGCGCAACCTTGACTCCGCCGCCGCCGCCCAGCGCCTCGTCGTTTACCATCTCACATCCCAGCGCCCGTGGCTCTCATACGCCCCCCGCGCGCCCAAACCAAGCACGCCAGCCCGTTCCAGCCAGCCAGCCCAGCGCCAGCCGCCAGCCAACTTTGCCCAGGTCCCGACAACCCCCCCACTACCCACTAGCTTTTTAACACCTCTCTCTCTTTCATCCCATGCCCCTCCTCCGCTCCCTCACAAACCCCCTCCGCACCTCCCTCGCTGCAAACTCTGCTAGGTCGTTCGTCAGGATGTCTTCGTCTATCCCCATCCCCACCGACTTTGTGAGTTGCCCATGGGTCTGCAGCACTGCCTGGACTCCCCCACGCCAGCGAGATCTGGTTTTCTGACATGACACGTAGAACGCCTGCCTCTACCAGCCTCTGGCTGAGGCCGACCCCGAGGTCCAGGCCATCGTCGAGAAGGAGACCTGGCGTCAGTTCTCGGGTCTCGAGCTCATTGCCTCGGAGGTGAGTTTTGACCTATCCATCTCTCTGTTTCTGTGTTTTTTTTCTTCTTGTTACCAGAAACAGGCGAGATGGCAGGAGTCGGGCCGCCCCCACTGACTATTTTTTTCTAGAACCTCACCTCGCTCGCCGTCATGGAAGCCAACGGCTCGATCCTCACCAACAAGTACTCTGAGGGTCTCCCCGGTGCCCGCTACTACGGCGGTAACGAGTTCATTGACCAGCTCGAGAACCTCACCCGTGCCCGTGCCCTCAAGGCCTTCAACCTTGACCCCGCCGTCTGGGGCGTCAACGTTCAGCCCTACTCGGGCTCGACTGCCAACTTTGCTGCTTTCACTGCCCTGATCAACCCCCAGGACCGTGTCATGGGTCTCGGCCTCCCCGACGGTGGCCACCTTACCCACGGCTACTACACCGCCAAGAAGAAGATCACCGCCTCGTCGATCTACTTCCAGTCGTTCCCTTACCGTGTTGACCCCACCACCGGCTACATCGACTACGAGCAGCTCGCTACCAACGCCAACATCTACAAGCCCCGCCTCATCGTTTGCGGTGGCTCCGCCTACCCCCGTGACTGGGAGTACGCTCGCCTCCGCAAGATTGCCGACGGCCAGGGTGCTTACCTCATGTCCGACATGGCCCACATCTCGGGTCTCGTTGCCGCCGGTGAGCAGGCCTCGCCCTTCGAGTTCTGTGACGTTGTCACCACCACCACCCACAAGACTCTCCGTGGCCCCCGCGCCGGTCTCATCTTCTTCCGCAAGGACAAGGAGGCCGACCTCGAGGCCCGTGTCAACGGTGCCGTCTTCCCCGCTTGCCAGGGTGGCCCCCACAACAACACCATTGCCGGTATCGCCGTTGCCCTCAAGCAGGCCGCCGACCCCGCCTGGAAGCTCTACGCCAAGCAGGTCCGCGCCAACGCCGCCGCTATGGCCGCTGTCCTCTTCAAGCACGGCTACCGCCTCCAGACCGACGGCACTGAGAACCACCTCATCCTCTGGGACCTCCGCCCCATCGGCCTCACCGGCTCCAAGGTTGAGAAGATCTGTGACGCCGTCCACATCACCCTCAACAAGAACGCCGTTGCCGGTGACACCTCGGCCATTGTTCCCGGTGGTGTCCGTATCGGCACTTCGGCCCTCACTTCGCGTTCCATGACCGAGAAGGACGTCGAGCAGGTTGCCGAGTTCCTCCACCGCGTCGTCCAGATCTCCCTCACCACCCAGAAGGAGGCCGGCTCGAAGCTCCTCAAGGACTTCGTCAAGGCTTACGAGTCGGGTGAGGGTGAGGCCCCCAAGCTTATCGCCGAGCTCAAGAAGGACGTCCTTGCCTTCAGCACTTCATTCCCACTCGCGGGAGTTAGGGAGAGCGCCAACATCAAGCGCTTTGACTAAACAAGCTCAAAAAATGGAGTGCTCGCGATCGGAAGAGTGTAGATAGTCGACCAAACGACCCCTTGGGCGGTTGACTTCCGAGATTCGCGTATAGGATGATGAAGGCACAGGATTCAACTGGCAAACCAAAAAGATTGTACTAGAGTATCATTCACCTGATGCACCTCGACCCAGAGGAGTTATTGCGGACAGAGCGTTGCACGGAAGATGATGCTGCAGATGAGGTGAAAGCCACCTGGGGGTTTCAAACGAATTTCTAATGGGAATTTACTTTAGCTCCTAATGTGAAATTGCTCCCATTCTAATGTATATACTTCCGCTAATTCAAACGGCCAATTCCCACTGCGTCCTTCTCACGCTCCCGACTTTTAGCATAATGTGTTTCTGGGAGACACAGCGGGGAACGGGGTGTGGCGTCTACGGCCTCAATACCACTGCACTGCTGCACTCGACCGCGTCCACTGCTCGTGACGAGGTGCGCCGCTACGCGAGACTTTTTTCAGAGGCACCTGACGTGATCACAAGATTCGTATCATTCCAGAACAAATCTAAACGCCGGTACGCCGGCTCGTGGCCCGCAGCCCGCGTACCCGCGTACCGCGTCTTGTTCCGTCGGCTCACTCAGAGGCATCTCGAGATATTCCAGATTGGCACATTACGTTTTACGGCGGGAGGTGTGGCTTGCCTGCAGATGCCTGGCTGGCACGCCGCCGACGGTGTGCCCGCTCAGGCTGCTACGGACGCCGGGACGCCTGCACGCCTGGAGAGGGAGATGATGAAAGGTGGGTTCGGCCCCAGATCCGTAGATAAGAGGTTTCCAAGGGCTGGCCTGAAGTGTCAATTGGCAGGCAAGGCCGTGTACCCTTCCATGGGGGGCTTGTGCGAGCCTGTAACTCGTCGAGTCTAGCGAAATGGTAGGGTAGTCGAAGGGTGGTCGCGTATTTCGTGAGCAATAGAGCAACTGGCGCGAGCCCTGCTCCAGGACGTGGCAACCCTGCCCTTGGATGACCGATGGACCCTCGAGTGCGAGAGGTCTGCTGCGACATCTGTAGCTGGCGGGATCACGGGGGGCCGTGGACCATGGAATGTTGCAGCTCGTTCGCCAGACGCGCAGACGGGGATATATAGAGTGTCGTGAGGTTGACTGACTGGAAGCACAACTCGACATCCTCAGCGACACGACAACGCTCGTCAGCTTGTGGTTCGCAGGAGTGACTGATCTTCGGGCTGAGGTGTTGAGGACGTTCGCGCCGGAGAAATGGCAGTGGTCCAATGATCCAGTGCAACAGTGAGAAGACATCCAGTGCAGTGTGGCTTAGCACTCATCCAGCTTCCACCCAGCCATGTCGAAAGTGACTGGGGCTCAGAAGAAGACAGGTGAGGTATATTATGAGGCCCAGTGGCGAAGGTTCCGCCACCGCCGGCTTCTGGCCACTGGAATGGATGAGGGCAGGAAATGCTCCCCGTATGCATATGCTCGTCCCAACCTTGCCAGATCCGTATGGCAAAAGCAGCCAGAAGCAGCACCCACAGTGCGCAGCAGGTGCGCTCTGGCGCTGGTGGGAACAGGCACGCCTCTCGTCCATGCGGCTCCTTTTGGCGTGTCGCTGTGCGCAGCGTGCAACCGCAGCGGCATCAAGCCAAACCCTTAGTACTCCACACAACGAGCACGTCCCATCGCCGCCTTCCTGGCATTCACTTTCTTTAATCCTTCAGCGTTGGGCCCATTGCAGTTGACTCTCTCGACTCTCTACTCTACAGCCCCCTCGACATCCTTTCCAACTGGCAACCATTACACGTCGCCATGGTCAGCCTGGGAGCGTTGTACCCGCGCGCATTGCAGCGGCTAAACCGCCGCTCGCCAATGACCAGAATCGCCCTCGCCGTGTTCATCTCGTTCGCCTTCATCTCGCTGTATCTCTACCACAGGTTCAACATCTGGCTCGACCTTGTCTATACGTACCGCGACAGACACATGTTCTACGTGATATCCAAGTACGCGCCAAAATGGTACTCTGAGCAGCTCATCAAGGAGCTCTTCCCCACCGACGAGTTCCCTCACAAGTTCCCGCCAGTCATCCCTGCGCTCATGGATGCGCCTTGGATCGGATCATGGGATGTCCCAAAGCTCCAGGTCCCTCCCAGCACTGCTGCATCCAAGCAGGCCAGCTCGCAGCGTGGCATCGGCCCGTACCACCCCACCACCCCCGCGTTCCTCATGCTCCACATCTTCAGCTCCCCCACACGCAAGGGTGCTGCGCGTCGCGCGTTTATCCGCGAACGCCACCCGTTGTTCTCCATTCCCAAGGGCTACCGACACTTGGTCGAAGTCAAGTTTGTCATTGGGTTCACGTCCGAGGACCGCGATGACAGTTGGCAGAAGCAGGACGAGGTGGAGCGCGAGCAGGAAACGCATGGCGACCTCCTCCAGATCCCGGGGCTCAAGAATGGCGAGAACATGAACGAGGGAAAGACCATCATGTGAGCTGCTTCCCACTGGACAGCGAGCTGACAAACCAGGTGGATGCAGTACGTTGGTCGCCAGGGCGCACGCGAGGCGCAATGGGTGTTGTAAGTGGCAAAAGAAAGCCCGGGCGAGTGGAGAGCTCACGCGCGCCCAGGAAATGCGACGACGACGCCATCCCAATCCTGCCCAACATGCTTCCCGAGCTCTTGGAGCTCAACGCCAGGGACCCAGCCTTCGTCGGAACCGCCTTGGGAAGGTGGCCGGGTTCTGTCTATCAGCACTCTGGATTTACCTATGGTTTCTCGTGGGGAGTCGTGAGTCTGCCACCGCCTTTATCGGTGACCGTGTCGCTAACGCCCCCAGATCAAGACTCTGTCTGCCGCCAAGCTGCCGTGGGAGGTGGTCACGCGCTCCCACCACGAGGACATGCACACGGGAGAGATCATGCTGGGCCTCCCCTCCAAGCCCAGCTACCGTCACGTGGACATTGAGTGCTACCGCACGAACGACTGCACCAAAGAGCAAAAGGATGCCATCAACAAGGCCCTCTACCACAATCTCCCAGAAGAGACGTGGGAGCCATGGCCGTCCCGCGACAAGCGTACCACCCTGCGCCTCGTCGACTGGGAAGGGCGTCTCAACGACTATGGAGAGCCGTGGACACACGACTTCCGTGATGCCGTCGGCTGGCACGGGTTCAAGTCGGATGAGGTAAGCTAGGCAGCGACGTCTGTAAGCTGACACAGTACAGTCCTATGACAACGCGTACAACAAGCTCATTGCCGACTTCCGCTCTACTGGCCGCGAATACGAGTGGGTCGTGCCCCGCAACATGCGCAAGTTCAAGTTTGCGGACGAGCTCTAGGTTGTGTTGTTGGACGGCGCATCTTTGGTTTGGGATGTGGGGCGTGGGCCACTAGATTATACAGTCCTAGACTGCTGGCGCGTGCAGCGCGAGCGACCGACTCGGCCCAGAGGGAGTGACAGATCCCGTACGTCTGTGACGTTGTAATCCTTGTACCGTGTCTGCTTTTATGGAATATGAGGGATTTGACAACCGGGCCCGATGGGGGCAGGTCTGCAGAAACAAACTGTGACCATAAAGCCTGACATGCCTGGATGGATTGTTGCCCGTTGTCTGTTTCTCAGGGCAGTCTAAAACGCACTACAGCATATGGTCGGTCTTAATCTCTACCATAAGGAGTCCGTCAGAGCGTGAATTACGCAGAATGCCTGACTTGTGCTGTCTGCCTATCGTGTAAGGCTGGTTCTTGCTGCGCCCAGGAGGATTGGACACAAGGTATGCCCAGCTTGGGAATACGGTCTCCATCTGATGGGTAGGGGAGCCGTGGGCATGGCAGATGGGAGGATGTGGTGGCGGTGGTGATGGCCAAGGGAGCAGGTGATGGTGGTGAAGCGGAAAAGTGCTCACAGGTCCATCCCATCTTGATTCCGCGGCTCGGACTGTGCCACGGACTGTGCCACCCAACGGCCACTGCATCACGAAGGGTGCAGTGGCAGCATCTCGATAGGCGACAGGCGACAGACTGTGCGGAACCCACTTGAACTGTTGGTCACGGTCGGTTAGCTTGCTACTGACAAATCCCACGGAGGCGAAGGGCAGTAACGAACAGGACAGCACAATATTAATGGCAGGGCAGTAAAGCCACAAGCTTCAGCACTTTCACAAGTTGCATTGGTTCTTTCAAGATTCAGCGCTGAGCAGCTCCGAGCTTAGTTGTCAGCCATGATCCACGACCAGGCGGCGGGGGCTATGGAGTCAGTATACACCATATCTGTAGTAGAGAGCGCTAGGCTAAGACGACTTACTGTACTCGGGGAGCTCGCTCTCGGTGAACCAAAGGCCAATCTCCTTGGTAGCGGCATCGAACGAGTCCGACTGGAAGATCGGTCAGAACTACAACTTCCGTGAGTAGAGAATGGAGGCTCACAGCGTGAATAAGGTTCCTACCAACAGAGACGGCGTACTGGCCACGGATGGATCCGGGGTCGGCTGCAGATGTTAGAGAGGTCGGAAGAGGCAGACAAGAGGTTGAAGGAGTAGAAAACTCACACTCCTGGGGGTTGGTGGCGCCTACGATGCGGCGGCCCTGGCGGATGACGTCCTTGCCCTCCCAGACCCTGCTTGTCAGCACTCGCACAGCATGTAGTGGGAAAGAAAGAGGGTTCGTGAATGCGGGTGACAAGGTGTTGAAAAAAGTGGGGGGTGTGGCGCCGATCCCGCCACACTGCCACATTTGGCACCGTCCACCAAGTTGCACTGCCGCAAACCAAACGGCCACTCACATGGCGACGACGGGGGTGCCCGAGGTGATGTACTTGACGAGGCCGGCGTAGAAGGGGCGGGCCGAGAGGTCCTCGTAGTGCTCCTTGGCGAGGTCCTGCGAAGGGACGAGCGACTTGATGCTGAAAGGCACGGTCAGCAAACTGCCTGCACCAACAAAACAGTGGGGCAACTCACGCAACAAGCTTGAAGCCGCGCTCTTATATGTCAGCTCCTATCTCTTGACCCATGCGGACATACCCTCGAAGCGCTGGACAATCTGCAATGTCAGCCACAGCCAATACATAGGGTAACTTACCTTGCCAACAAGCTGGCGCGACATGCCGTCGGGCTTGATCTGTCTGTAAGCCTGCTGTCCTGCTGTAGAGTATACGCACCATGACGAACGAGCGCTCCGAGTCGGTCTTGTACTCGCCGGCGATGGTCTTGGCGCCCTCCATGTGAGCGGCCTGGGTGCCTACGGTCACGTTAGCACGTGTGTTGAGGTTTGGGTGCGAGGGCAAGGCGCCAGGGACTGCGCGGGACTGCGAGGTTCCAACGCGTCCGTCTACTTACTCTGGTAGAGAGCAAAGCCAGCAACGGCGGCACCGGCAGCGGCGGCGACGGCACCGTAACGGGGAGCAGCGCGAGCGGGCTGGGTCGAGAAGGCGCGGACTGGAGAATGTCAGCCGAGGATCCTTAATAAGATGGGTTATTCCACGGCGGTACTCACCCGACTGGCGCGAAGCGACGCGGAGACCTGCAAGTCAGCTGGACGTCCCATGGATCAGTACAATGCTGCTACACACCCTGGCGGACGGAGTTGGCAAACATTTTGTTCTTGTGAGTGGTGAGTGAAGGGGGTGGAAGAGGAGTCTTGAATGTCCTCCCACTTTTGAACTGGACCGTTCCGTCATGACCCCGAGACACACCCCATCGGGCGTCCGTCCTATCGCTGATCGCCGTTCCAATCCACCATTTCGGCCCGATGGCCCACCTCGCAGCGTGGCGGACGGAGTGGAGGGGTCTCATGCGTCATGCAGCTCCCAACTTTTATTCCATCGTTCTCGCACTCTCAACACCATGCAATGATCAGCCAGATCACCCCGGCTTGGCCAAGTAGCCCAACCAGCAGCGTCGACTCGCTCTTTGATGACGACGAACACGACGGCGCGTTGGGCACAGACGCAACCGTCGACGTCAACGAGTACGAGCGCCGCCCCGGGTCCGAGAATGCCGACGACCCCGTCGAGGTCATGGTGGCGAGCAGGAGCGTACCGCCTATAGAGGGGTTGTATGTGTTCCCGGAGCTACTGCCTGCAGACGTTGCAAGTAAGAAGAGAGGGCGAGACAAGCTGACTCCATAGGCTCCGCCCTCAATGCCATCTCCGAGTCCGACCACTTTCGGGGCGGCGTGCGCGATCAAGTCATGCTTTTCACGGCAGCCCCGCCTGCGCCCTCATCGCTCCCACAACACATTACGGAGCTGGAATCAACGCTGGCGGATCTCATTGCACCATACCTGCCTCCAGAAGTTGCCCAGTTGGCGTTTGACCAGCGGCTCGCTCGTCAGGCGATCCTCAACCTTTACCCTCCAGGTGAAGGGATTACGCCCCATGTCGACCTGCCAGGGCGGTATGCCGACGGTATTGTCGGTGTAAGCGTTACTGGTGGCTGTGTGATGACTCTGGAACGGGTGGGGGCGGACATGGAGCTGGGCGGACCTTCCCGGTACGACGTATACCTCCCACCACGAACTGTGTATGTCCTGTCCGGACCAGCACGCTGGGCATGGTCGCACGGCATCCCTGGTCGTACCTATGACGTTGTCCAAGAGACCGCTGGAACCGTTACACTCCCTCGCTCACTGCGGGTGAGTGTCACGTTGCGATGGATGAAGGAAGGTGGCGGCGTCTTGACGTAGACAACCTCACCGGTATCGTAAATAGAAAGTCTTCTCCTGGACCATATTATGTTGCATGTATTCCGAGTATAGATACCTCGCTACAGCTCCTGGCCCCTTTCAAGGTCCTCCCCCTTCTCATCAATCTCATCCCGCGTTACTCGGGACCAGGGCTCTTGGTCTTGCTCTTGGTCTTGCGCTTGCGGGGCTTGGGGGACGAGGTAGCCGACTCGAGCCCCGACTTCTCCACGGGAGTCTTGACAACGACGGCGGCCGCGGTGTTCGAGTTCTTGACAGGAGGCTCAACTTTGGTCTGCACGCGGCGAGGAGCCTTACGCCACGCCAGAACCTGCGTAGTAATGACACGAGCGGCAAAGAGACCGGTGAGGAGAAGGACGGCGATGGCACGGGCCGTGTCGTTGCTGACGGGGCCGGCGGCCTTGGCGTCACGGAGCTCGTCGGGGATGTGCTGTGCGAGGAAGTCGGTCACGGGTGCCAGCTCGGAATACGTGCGAGTGAGGGCACAGTAAACGATGGAGCAGAGCATGGCACCCCAAACGTCAAGCGTGCCGAGGATTCCGCCGCCAAGGATGTTGGGGCGACCAATCGTCCACCGGGCGTGGGACAGGCCGAGCAGCTGCACGACCCACCCACCGCCGTTGGTCGCGACCGCGCCGAGAATAGCAGTGGCCCACCAACCACCAGCGGCGACGGTCGAGTTGGCCACAAGCGTGGGGACAGCCGTAATGGCCACACCGCGGGCCATGCCGTCCACGACCGACATGGCGAGGTTGAACGGGAGGGTAGGCGCCGTCTGCACGATGAACAGCGCCATTCCCGTGGGGATGAGCAGAGCGTATACGGCAGGGTAGATGAGCCACGGGGTGGGCGAGATGAGCCATGCAGGCGGCGTGGAAGTGAGCATGGCCGCAACGGTACCACCGCCCCCTTGTTGACGTCAGCCGGGTCCATCCACAAACAAACAATCCTTGTACTCACACGACACTGTCAAGAATCCAAACAGGTCCTGCAGCACACCAGGGTTACCACCACGCGTATGCGTCATGGCCGCCCAGGCCGTGGCGACGCGCGCGGCGTGCAGCGCGGCAAAGCGGACAAAGGGAAAATAGACATCGTGGACGTTTGTCGATTGGAGGTGCTGGATGAGGCTCTGGAGCGGCTGAACGGGCGCGAGGGGCATCCCTGCGGAGAGCTGCGACAGAGGCGCGAGCTGGGATGTCGCCTCTGCGATGCGCTCGATGAGCTTGTCGACGTGCTCCATTACGCGCGGGTGGACGAAGAGAAGGAGATGCGATAGAAGACCAACACCCAATACACGTTGACCTGAACTGAACCCACACATTCCAACCCCGGCGGCGTTGCGCCGAGAACCCACTCCGGCCCACTCTCCGCGCGCGGTGCCCGATATCCGGTTTGGTCCCCGCCGACGACTTGCAACTCTCGGTAGATGTCATGAAAACTGTCCATGCTTTTGCTGCTCTAGATGTACTGTACTACTCAAATTCTAATGGAAACTGATATCCTACACACACCTCGCGCTTAAGGGAGGAGCCAAGCAGCGGTGTACTGAGGCACGGCGTCGTTGACGAGGTCGTCCGAGGAGAGAGCCACCTTGCGGCCGGTGGGGACGGCGACGGGGGTCTCGCCAAAGTTGACAATGATCTCCCAGCCGTTGGGGCGCTTGAAGTGGATAACCTCCTCGCTGCTCGGGACCCACTCGAGCTCCTCGGCGCACTGGAGCTCGTGGCGAAGGGCAAGGGCCTTGCGGTAGAGGTTGAGGGTGGAGTTGGGGTCCTTGTCCTCGATGTCGACGGCGTACTTCTTGTACACGGCGGGCTGGACAAGGTGGGGCTCGGCGTTGGGGCCAAAGCCCATGTTCTTGCCCTCAGCCTCCCAGGGGATACAGACACGGCAGCCGTCACGGCCCACCTCGTAGCCGGGGCGACGGAAGAAGGTAGGGTCCTGGCGCTGCGAGTCGGGCATGTCGTGGACCTCGGGAAGACCAAGCTCCTCGCCCTGGTAGATGTAGGCAGAGCCGGGGAGCGCAAGGATCATCATGGTGGCAGCAGTGGCGCGGCGCAGACCAAGGGAAACGTCGGCAACGGGGTTCTGGCCCTTGTTGATGAGGTACTTGCGGGTAGTCTCGTAGAAGCCGCCGTCGTTGTCGAGGGCGTGGCGTGTGGCGTGACGGATAACATCGTGGTTGGAGAAGACCCAAGTGGTCGACGAGCCAGAAGCCTTGGCGTCCTCGAGAGACTCGGAGATGATGTTGCGGAACAGGACGGGGTCGAACGGGGCCATGAGCATGTCGAACGAGAAGGACTGGCCGAGACCGTGGGGTGAGGCGTAGAGGGGCTTGCGGTGGGACGCGACCCAGGCCTCGGCGACGGCGGTGAGAGGGGGGTTGTACTCGTTGAACACACCGCGCCACTCCTTGTAAACGTCAAAGACGTCATTGCGGTCAAAGTACGGGTGGGTGTCCTCGGGGAGGGTACCGGCGAGCATCTGCTTCATCATCTCGATGAGAGCAGCCTGGTTGGGGAGGTCGCCGCTGAGGTCCTTGGTGCAGCCGTTGGCAACGTCAACGCGGAAGCCGCTGACACCACGGTCACCCCAGAAACGGAGGGTCTTGAGGAAGTCGTCGCGCACCTCGCGGTTGGACCAGTTGAAGTCGGGCTGGCTGGAGTCGAACAGGTGAAGGTAGTACTGGCCGTCACCGACGGGCTCCCAAGTAGAGCCGCCAAACATGCACTCCCAGTCGGTGGGGGGCTGGTCCTTGTTGGGGCCAAGACCGTCACGGAAAATGTAGCGCTCACGCTCGGGCGAGCCCTTGCCAGCCTTGAGAGCGGCCTGGAACCAGACGTGGTCGTCCGATGAGTGGTTGGGGACAATGTCAACAATGACCTTGATGTTGGCAGCCTTGCAGGCGGTCATCATGTCGTCAAACTCGGCAAGAGTACCGATCTTGGGGTCAACGTCACGGAAGTCGGCCACATCGTCTGTGGATTGGTGTCAGCCAAAGCTCGCAAGATTGGGGCGTTACTCACAACCACCGTCCTTGAGGGCCGAAGGGTAGAAGGGCGAAAGCCAGATGGCGTCGACACCGAGGTTCTTGAGGTAGGGCACCTTGGAGGTGATACCGACCAGGTCTCCGATACCGTCACCGTTGGCATCGCAGAAGCTACGGGGGTAGATCTGGTAGACGAGCGCCTGGCGCCACCAGTTGGCATCGTCGGTGAGGTAGACTTGTACACCGTCAGCGACCATTCCTCCGCTGGGGGGGGCGGGGCACAAAAACAGCACCAACACGTACCAGGGTTGGGGGGTGACGGTCATGATGGTGATGGACGATGGGATGGGGGAGAATATGCTGTTTCTGTCGGGGGTCGCTGGGCCTTTTCTATGCCTGGGCACACTGTGCCATGGGGACGAATGCGGAGCAACAGGCTGGCGCGCTAAGCTTGCAGCGCTGGCTCCAGCTCACATGTGGTGCTCATGAGAGACGCGCTTCAAGGCGGCTGATGGGAGGCCCACTCGGGGACGGTCCGAGGTTGCGCCGTCATGTCGGGCAGATGTGCCCTCGGTCCACCTCGGAGCGCCTCCGAGAATGGGAGGGGCGCCGAACTTCCCCCGCATCGCTATTTTCCCAATGGCCAACGGCAGGTCGTTATCCATCGCACTTTTTGTCGCTCTTTCACGGAGCCCTCCTAAGCTGCGGCTTGGCGCAGTAGTGGGCAGCAGGGTCAGGATGGATCCGTGGCAGGCCCAACGTGGGGTGGCCTGGTGGGAGGGGAGACGCCATTGTCGTCCACTTTTTTAGGATGCCGATATACGGCCAAAACGCTCCACAACCTCCACAAAGCCGCAGACCACACGCGACACGCCGCCGAGCCCGCCGAGATGCACACGGCCGATTCCCAAGAGAGTCTGTACCTGCTATACCGTCAATACGCGTCAGTAACCGCTTGGTAGTGTGTTCGCTACGACGTGTCGGCATCAACGAAGCCCCACGAAGACAGGCAGGCTTCTGTCAGGGACATGTTCGGGGAACAGCGAACAGAGATGTGTGCATGTGCTACTAAAACAACAAATGGCGAGGGGTGAGAGTGCGGGGGCCATACGGCATGTATGTAAGGAAGAATGAGATCCGAGACCGATAGAGACCTAGCAATGTTGGGCTTTTAAAAAAACTGGGTGTTTCTAGAAGGCAGACCAGACCGACAGCGTAAAGCTACGCTGCCACTGGGGTTGCCGCGAATGGCCGCGCTGACCATTTAGTAGCGGTCGGTGCGGTCGTTGCGGCGCTGCATGAAGTCGCGGCCGGCGCGGCGGACATCGTCCCTCGAGTTGCCGCCGAAGCTGCGGTTCGACTGACCACCAAAGCCACCACGGTCCTCACGGCCACCAAAGCCGCCGCGGTTCGACTGGCCACGGTCTTCACGGTTACCGCCATAGCTGCCGCGGTCCCCACGGTCGCCGCCAAAGCCGCCACGGTCGTTGCCACGGGAGCCACCAGCGTTGTCGCGGTTGAGGCCAAAGGTCTTGCGCTGGCCGCCACCAAAGCCGCCACCGCCGCGGCCGCCACCGTTGCGCCTGGCGCCGCCGAGGCCGAGCTTGGTGAGCATACCTGGCGAGACGTGGGGAGGCTGAGAGAGACCGAGACCCTCAGTCGACCAGTCCTGGATACCGGCGTAGATGTCGTGGCCCTGGATCCCGAGGATGTCGGTCTTCGCAAGGTAGTAACCAAGCAGCGACATGAAAACGTCGTTGACAGCCTCGGGGTCGAGCATGGGGAGGAGGTCGGCGACAGCCTGGTCAATGTTGGCAATGCCACGAGCGTCGGTCCTGTCAGCGGAGAGAGTGTCAATCTCCTTGACAAGGTCCTGGACGCCGAGGTCCTTGATGGGGACCTTGCTGAGCTCATTGAGGAAACCGGCCTCGAAGGGCTGGAGAATGAGGTCACCGCGGCCACCAGTGTTGCCACCACGACCGGTACGGCCGACACGGTGGACGTACTGGTCACCGTTCTGGGGGATACCGATCTGGATGACACGGGTCACACCGGGGTAGTCAACACCACGGGCCGACACATCCGAAGTGACGAGAACGGAAGCGCGCTTGTCGCGACGGAAACGCTCGTTGGCACGCGAACGCCTGTCCTGGTCAAGACGCGAGTGAATCTCGTGGACCGAGAGGCCCTGGGGGAGGTGCTCGGAGAACTCGCGCATCAGAGTGGCGAAGAGCATGGTCTGCTTGGTGGTGGGAAGGAAGACAATGACCTTCGAGTTCTTGTTAACGAGCTGGTCGTGGGCCACAAGACGGGCAAGGTGGGCAATCTGCTGGCTAGGGGTCTCGAGGACAGTAGCGTACTGGGGGACGTGGAGGTGAACGTTCGACTCGTTCTTGGGGACACAGTCGATGAAGCTGTAGTTGGGCTTCAGGAAGTTCTTGGCAATCTTCTGGATCTGGGGCGAGACAGTGGCGGAGAAGAGGAAGGTCTGACGCTCCTTGGGGAGGCAGTTGACAATCTGCTCAAGGTCGCGAGAGAAACCCATGTCAAGAAGAGTGTCCGCCTCGTCGAGGATGAACATGTCGGTGTTGGCGATAGCCTCACGAACGACGGGCTCGTTGAGGAGGTCGACAAGACGGCCGGGGGTAGCGACAACAATGTCCTTGCGGCCGTAACGGATGGAGCGGAACTTCTTGAGCTGCTCCATGCGGCTGCCACCACCGACAAGGAGCTGAACCTGGCGCTCCTTGCGCCAGGTGGTGAGCTTGAGGGCCTCGTTGGCAATCTGAGTGGCGAGCTCACGAGTGGGCGAGATGACGAGGGCACCAACGTGCGAGCGCATGATTTCGCGCCTGTTCATGCCAGCGGTGGCCAAGGTGGGGACAACACCGTCCTCATCCGGGGCGTTGGCAAGCTCCTCGGTCGTGTACTCGCGGGCATCAATAGCAGGGACAAGGAAAGCAATGGTCTTGCCGGTACCAGTCTTGGCCTTGACAAGCAGGTCCTCACGGCCGTGCTTCTCACGCTCCTCACGCGCGGCAGTCTCCTCAGGAGTCTCGGCGTTGACAATCGACATGGCAGTCTTTCCACCAGCAAGCTCGGGCATGCGGCCGAGAACACGCTTCTGAACCTCACTCATGGCAATGAGGTTGAAGGGCTTAAAAGTGAGCGACTTGAGCGTGTCGTGGTCCATGCGGCCCTTGAGCGACGAGAACGGGACGAGCTGGACAGCGGGGCCGGAACCCTTGCCGTGAGCATCATCGGGCGAGGCAGTCGAGGCGTTGGCAGCCTTGCCGTCGTCCTGAACAAGCTCGGGAGTGAAAAAGCTGTCGTCCTCCTGGCTACGGGCAGGCGCCCGGTCGCGCGAGTGGCCAGCGCCGCGCGAGGGTCCGGCATCCCTGTGGGAGGCGCGCGACTCGTTGACGGGAACACCAGCAAAGAAGTCGTCCTCCTCCTCGGCCTCCTGGAGCTTGGGGTTGGCCGAGTACGACCTCGACGCAAACGAAGCTACGTAGTTCAGCTTTTGGTATTAAAACACCATGTTGCATCGCAACCAACTTACCACGGGTGGCAACGAGGACGGGGCGAGAGATGAGACGAGGAGCAAGAGCCGGGCGGCTGAGGAGGGCCGCGAGGCTGCTAGAGCTCCTTGCAAGTGCCGTGCGGGGGAGCATGACTTTTAAAATGAGGGTGGGTAGGATGGGGGATAGAGGACACTCAAACAATAGTTGGCAAGAGTTCACCACCCGGACGACTATGGACTTCGGGGGGGCGAAAATAATCGGCGGCGACGGAAGTCGCGCGTGAAGAGCACGTGGCCAGCCGGGAGAAAATAAAGATGTGGGATTAACAATAATTAAAATAATAACAAATAAATGGAAAGATAACATGGGATTAATAATAAGTTTAACCCGTAAAATAATGCCCGAACGGTCGGTTGCCGGCCCCGGTCCCTGATCAAACCGTCCGGATATAGCCCGAGTATCAGGCACCGGCATCCGGCCCGCAGGTGCCGGTGTCCGTCACCGGACCGGCCGGCGTACCTTCCAACAGCACATGGCCTCTTGCACTCTCAAAGCTCTCTTAAAGCAACCTCGTTTCGTCCACTCTCCCACAACAACTCCAGAAGTCAGCAACAATCATGTCGAACGAATTCGCCCCTATCAGCGTCGGCCTCATGGGCACAGTGAGTATCAATCCCGCACGTGGCACAAAAGTGGCAGTCGAGTCGTTCACCTTCCACTCCTCAATGTCCTCCTCTACATCCTCCTCGACTTCGTCCCCATCTTCCCATGTTCTCCTGCTGTTCAGAATCGAGCTGACTTCCTTCTCGGGAGAGTACTGCACGGGAATGACGCCCTCGGGCCAGTCCAAGTCAGACAAGAAGGTTTGTGACTGGAAAGAACGCGTCTGACTTGACCAGATCGGTGTTGTTGGCATCACGATGTTTGACCTCCGTCGTCACGGCAAGGTCAGCGAGTGAGTCGCACGGTTTTACGTACCTATCTGACCGTGTAGCATTGTCATGGCCGGCACCAATGGTGGAAAGTTCCCCGAGGTTCGCGAGCACTTCAAGAAGAACATTGGCGATGTCTACAAGGGCCTGGACCTCAACTTCCGCGGCTTCCCGGAGGGCAACGTCCGCGACGCTGAGGCGTACAAGACGGCTCTCCGTGCGCTCCCCAAGGGTTCTGCTGTTATCATCTTCACGCCCGACTCGACCCACTTCCCCATCGCATCTGAGGCTCTCAACCTTGGCCACCACGTCATGGTGACCAAGCCTGCTACTCAGAAGCTCGAGGACCACCAGACTCTCATCGACCTTGCAGCCGAAAAGGGCCTCGTCTGCTGGGTTGAGCACCACAAGCGTTTCGAGTGAGTTACGCAGGCGATTGGAAAGATAAACACTCCCTAACAATGCAGCCCCGCCTACAATGATGCCCGCGCCCGTGCTCAGAACCTCGGCGACTTCAACTTTTACCAGTCGTACATGTCGCAGCCCAAGTTCCAGCTCGAGACTTTCAAGTCGTGGGCTGGTATCGACTCGGACATCTCGTACTACCTCAACTCGCACCACATCGACGTGAGTACTGTAAACATGCCGATGAGGGCGCAACTGACGGACAGATCCACTGCTGGATGGTCGAGGGCAAGTACCGCCCCACTCGTGTGACTGCTTCCGCCTCCAAGGGCATTGCCACTGGTATGGGCTGCGACCCCCGCACCGAGGACACCATCACCCTCCTCGTCGACTGGGTCAACATCGCCGACGAGTCGAAGCGCGGCACCGCCGTCTACACTGCCTCGTGGGCCGCGCCCCTCAAGGCCGGTGTTCATTCGAACCAGCGTTTCCACTACATGGCATCGGAGGGAGAGATCGAGGTCGACCAGGCTCACCGCGGTTACAGCGTCGTCGAAGATGCGACGGGCAAGTCGCATGTTAACCCATTTTACATTAGCAAGTCGTTGTTTTCTTTCTTGAAAATGTATACTGACAGTCTACAGAGTACTCGGCGGACGAAGATGGCTTCTTCGACGCTCGTCGCGGTTACGGTTACGTTTCGCTGGAGAAGTTCATCGACGCCGCACGCAACGTCAATGCCGGTGTCAAGAAGGCCTCTGACTACGAGGGCAAGGGTCTCCCCACCATCCAGGCCACTGTTCTCACCACTGCCATTATCCAGGCCGGTCGCATTTCGCTGGACGAACGTCGCACCGTTGAGGTCCTTGAGGAGAACGGCAAGTACAAGCTCAAGTAATTTATCTGGGGTAGTATTAGTTGTTTGTAGACATTATGATACGAGGTCGCTGCATTCAGTCCAACCACTCCAAATGTTGCCTCTGGTCACTGACTGCTGCTTTCGCGACCAACGATGATTGACGGAAAAATCAACGAAAATCATCCGCAAAATCTATAACTGCAACTACAACTTTACTCCATCTCGCTCAGCGCACGAGCCTCCAACGCCTGCCACCAGGAGATCGCCTTGGTGTATGCAGGCGCGCCGGGTCCAGGAACAACAATGTTGCGCACACCTTCCTCGTCTGGGGCGCCAGGAGCCGACGCAGCAGCCGGGCCGAGGGCCGCCTTGCGAGCCTTGCGAATCTCGGCAATGTAATCGTCGAACGGGACGCTGGCACGCGCGTTGTCGCCCTTCTGCGCGGCGACGTGGCGCTCCCATCCCCAACGCGCCTTGTACGCCACACCGACGGAACAGTCGTTCCAGTGCGCGTCGGTCCAGCGGCCCTTGGCGGCGTCCCAGTCCACAGACTTGGAGACTGGGCAGCCGAGAGCGTCCGACATGATGTTGCAGATGGACGGGTTCTTGCCCGCACCGCCAGTCGCGTACACGCGCGACAGGGTCACGGAACCTGCCTCGCCTGACAGAATAGCACCAGAGCGAGAACGGTAGTTGAGCATCTGGGACTCGAGGATCGCAAGGCTCTCGGCGCCGACGTCCTCGAACGCCTCGACGCGCTTGGCAGTAGCAGCGTCGGAGCCCTCGTACTTGAAGACACCGTGGGCACCAGCAGGCTAATGTCAGCTGTGACGACTTGCGTTAAGAACTCACGATAATGTCCGGAAGGAGCCACCAGAATGCTGTACGGTTGATCACGTCGTCGGCGGTCTTTGGCCGGAGACGCTCGACACCCTCGTTGAACTTGTCCCACGACTTGTCAAAGTACTGGTCGCGAACGTGCTCGCGCGCCAGAGAGCCACTCTTGTACACGAGCATGTTAAAGTAGCGGAGCTGGCCGTGGCCCTCACGTGCCGACGTGTCCTGGACACTTGGAGGAGCGATCATGGCCGGGTGGAAGAAGGCATGGAATTCGGGGTGGGGGTTGTACGCGGCGGTGGAGACGAGAACAACGTCCGAAGTACCGAGCGACACCAGACCCTCCGACTCACGGAGGACCAAGCTGAGGAATGTAGCCGGGTTGTCGCCAGTGCCGGGGACAACGACACACTCGGGCGAGAAGCCGTAGCGCTCCTGGAACCAACGACCAATGTTACCGACTACACGGCCACCGTCCGTCTCGACCGTACCGAGCTTGGCGGCCAGGTCCTCGGCACCGTCCTTGCCCGCAATGGCCTCCAGAATGGGCTGGGCCCATCCACGGGTAGGGCTGCTCATGTTCCAGAGGTTCATGCCGCAGGCGTCGCTCTCATCGATACCCTTGACCTCGCCGTCGGCGCACATAAGAGTTGTGATGAAGCTCGACACGAGGGATATGCGCGACGTGGCAGCGTATGCCTTGGGGTCGTCGTTGCGAAACTTGAAAATCTGGGCACCGGTGAAGCGAGTGTGTGCCGACGAGCCCGTGAGCTGGGCGAGCTCCGTCTTGCCTCCCACGGCCGCAGTCATGGCACGGCACTCGGGCTTGGTCGACGAGTCCTGCCAGTTGGGAATGATACCGCGGGAGAACGCACCCTCGAGCTGTGGTGCCATGGGCTTGGTTGCGTCGAGAGAGCCAAGAATCTTGCTCGCCGACTGGGACCAGTACACGCTGGCGTGCTGCTGACCTGCAGCTGAGACACCGCGAATGCTGCCAAAGTCCCAGCCAGCAGCCTTCATACGCTCGCAGAGCAGGTCAAGAGCCTCGACAGGCTGCATGACTGGAGAGAAGACCTCGCCCGATCCCTCGGGACCGTGCAGGACGCCGCCCTTGGTGCTGAAGTGGGCCAGGTCGGCATCGAAGCGCACCTCAATCTCCGAGACGACGCTGAGGTCGGAACGGAGGAGGGACGCCTTGAGCGCCTGTGTCGACGAGTCGAGACCGAGGAAAAGCGCGCCGTTAGTCATGGTGGCGAACAGTTTGTTTTTATCGACGCGTGTGTGCGAATACGTGACAGAGTAGTGTGTCAAAAGAAAGCGTTGGCCATCAGCTTACTCTGGGGACATTGTCGGCTGTCGACTGGGCAGAGCAACAACCGGTGCTTACCGGCGGGTGAACAACACGTATCCGCCGATCTGCCGCCGAAATCGTGCCGAGTGACCGAGAGGCTCTTGCAATGCGGCAAGATAATGGTCCGATTAGAAATGCAGACTGGGCATTGATTATGGTTTCGGCCCTTTGGCCTTTGGATTACAATACAGTCGGACCTTTTCGTTGGCTACCCCGCCCCCCCCCCTGGCCACTGGGGGGTGAGGATAGCCTGGGCCGCCCTCAGTGTCCGTCTTGAGGCATCTGTAGCGGACGGACGATTGGCCAAGGAATGGATGGGTTGCTTTGAGTGAACAGTGGAGAAGGGCGGTAGTTGCTGTGTCACACACACCCACGACGAACAACGGCCATTTTGCTGCAGGAAATCAATCGGTCTGAAGCACCCGCGCAGGCCCTCCTCGGTTCGCATTGCGACGACCAGGCGAGCACGAGAAGGGGCCAAAGGGAGAGCAGGGTAGACGAAACAAGAAAAGATCACTATCTTCTCTCTCGAGGTGTCGATCTGCCGAGATTTGGTCGGATTACAGGCATGCAACACTACGTCAGCTGATAACATTCAATGGGCATGTTCTATCAGCCGTTTTGCCACGTCCTACGCTCGTGCCTCGACCAAGTTGTCGGGAGAGCCAGCCGTCGATCGCCCTGCCTTGGCCGGCGGAGTGAGGTGACAACCCACAAGCGCAATTAATCTGGGTCAACGGCATGGTAGACGGTGTGCGTCATCCCATTTTTCAGTTTCCTCCACGCCTTGGACAGTGACACTGGCATGTTCGGGCCGTGCATACTCTTGCGAGGTCGATGGACACCCACCTTGACTCCTCACAACTCGCGACATCCACCACGGGCAGTGTGGAATACGCCCCGATCGGAATAAACCACTTTACGTTTCGAGCCATCCCAGACGGCAAGATCGCAGACGCCTGGTCCCATCAAACACTCCTTGCACACATACCTCATCAGACATCAGACGTGTCACCCAATGGTCCTGCCCACTTAAACACCGTCACATCCACATCCACCCCATTACATTTGTTGCATTTCCAGTCAATTTACCGCCATGGCCAGCGGTGACCTGCCTCACATGAATCCCGAGAGGCAGCTGGCGCAGGTCGCTTCCGACAACCGGCCTCCAAAACAACCAGCTGCTTCTCCGTCCACGCCAGCGACGCCTTCCCAAAGCGTCCTCCAGATGCCGGAGATGGTTGCCCACGTCCTGGACAACCTGTCTCTCCATGAGCTTCAAGCCTGCCTCGGCGTGTCACAGGCATTTAGAGCCACTGCGCTACCCCGGTTCTACCGTCGGATCCTCCTGCCGATCGCAGACGACACACCAGGTCGCAGCGACATTGAACGTTTGACCACCGCTGTCGAGTTGCACCACCAGGCGCACACCGACTGCGCAGCAACCCACCCGCTCAACTTTCAGCGGTTACACACTGTCATCTTTCACAAGGACGAGGTCGACGAGCATCCGGGCCAAGGCCCAGCGCGACACAACTATGGGATTCCTATCGACTTTGGCCACTACTCGTGTTCCGAGCCCAACTGCCTGTCACGCGACCTCTCTCCCAAGCGCGTGGTGGTCCGTCCATGGATGACTGCGGGCAAGGAGAAACGAGTCTTCTTCGTACCCCCTGCGCCTGTTGACACTGTCATCCACATTCGTCGCCCGGGCCCATACGGGTACCGCCGGGACCTCTGTTGCCCGACCTCTCCACGGCACATTACAGTGGTGATCCTGCCCAGCTTTTTCGGCCAGTTCAAGAGCTTTTCGGTGGACGGATCCCGCCAGTCGCATACCGGCAGCAAGAATGGCGACAATGACTCACTCATCGGCGAATGCATCGCGCCGTACGTGCTCGAATACCCCGAGAACAGCCTCACGATCGTCGGCCTCGAGGAGGCCAACCCCTTTGCCTCAGAACTGCACTGGTCCGAGCGTCATCTGCGCGCGACGGAAGAAGCAGACTCGTTGCGAGCCTATCTCAACCGATTGATGGACGGCATGGGCGGAAGGCCCGGCGCGTGGGACCGCTCAGCGACGTGGGACGATGCCAGCCGGCGCAGACGCCAGGCGACGGTTCACGTTCGGACGCTACGCGACTACTTTGAGAGTGGCGAATGGGGCGAGGAGCTTTCGTGGCAGGTTGTCGGGTCGTGGCTCAACGCATACTGTGCCCGTGAGGCTGAAGACGCGGCAGCGACCGCGACCCAGGGCCGCTGTGGCCCCCCGCAAGCTCCCACAACCACACTCACCCTCATGACGGACATTGCGCAAAAATCGGCACCCACCCGTCGTTTCGGTTTCGGCCACAACCCCAGCCGTTCTGTTGATACTGGCCTGTCTCTCCCTCGTCTTCCTCCATACCGTGACATCGGCTGAGTGTCCAAAGATGTAGCAGTTTCATTCCACGACAGCAAGGGTTATTCATAATCACACACTTATAACATTGTCCATAAACACCATTCATGGCATATCCTACCGCCAGGTCCTACTTTCTGTCCAGACTGTCCACACCCATATACTCGGCTGGCGTTGGACACTGATGGCAGAACTCAGTCCACGCGCCTACTGCTTTACGTGGCCCTCACCGTCTTCCGTCCGTCCCATCTTCCCTTCTTCTGATACCCAAGCGTCCCTCTCTGAAAGCTCCCTTTGTTAGCCCGGCAAGCCCTGATTGCATCGAGAGTAAGTCAAACGGGCTGCATCCACTCTGTCTATTATCACCACCAATTCAGCTGGAGCTGCTAGGAAGACGACTCTATTGCTACATTGGACAAACAAAGGTTGCGAACGGTTTATATGTGTGTAGCTCTACTCCTCTGCCTGGACGAGGGGGTGCTTGTTGTATACTCAGGCGAATGGTCCAAAAGGACCAGATTATGCAGACGACGAGTAGCCGTGGTCGTAGTCGCGGCGGAGGGGGCCGTCCTCCTTGTTCTTGAGGGCGGCCATGCTCATGTGGCTGCCGTTATCGGTGGTCATGCTGCGGGTGGTCCAGAAGGACATGTTGAGCAGCACGGCAGCGACGAACTCGGGCACGGCGGTGAGGCAGTACTCGAGGGCGATGAAGCGGTTGGTGAAGCCATCCCCGGTGTAGTTGCTGACGGTGTAGTAGGACAGGCTGGAGATGAGGGCTTGGAGGAGACCAAACACACCACGGGCAAGGAGCAGGGCGCCGACAACTGTAAAGAGCTTGTTGGTGGCGGTCGAGAGGCCCGCCTTGCTGGTGCGGGCGTAGGTGTTGGCCTGGAGAAGGATCCAGACGACGGTCAGGACAAGGAAGATGGCCTGACCGGCGGTACGGAGTCCCTTGGCGGTGTTGAGCATGTTCTGGATCTGGGCCTCGGTGAGGTCCGTCGAGTTGTTGGCGCCAGCCATGAGCGAGCCACCGGCAATGATGATAATGCTGAACAAAGTGTCAGTCTCCCATGTCCTTCGCCGGCCGGTTGATACTGATGACGTACTTTGCAGGGATAAGCCATGAATCGATAACCGCAATCAGGTCGTGGTTCCAGTAGCGCCACGGCGTAAAGGCGGGAATCATGGACGTAACCATGAGGGCACGCATGCTGCGCTCCTTGCCCTCAGGCATGTCCTTGGGGCCCAGACGCGACTGGCCAAAGTTGAGAATCTCAAAGTGCTTGAGGAAGTAGTACGACGCAATAGTCTTTGACCGGAGATCAGCTTTTGGTGCGAGACAGATAGCGAGAGCGAACAATCAGAGGAGTACGCACAAGAGAAAAGTAGCCCTCAGCCGACAGCACGAGGAATGCAATGAATACGTTGACGTTGTCCCACACAAGAATACCAAAGGCAACACCGCATGCCTGTGGTAGTTGGTTAGTGGCAGAAACGGAATGTTGTTGTGGTTGGATGAAATCCATTTTCACTACGCACCTGCGACGCCATTCGAATCAAGCAGTGGAAGTAGAGGATTGTGAAACGCGAGTTGAACTTGAGACGCTTGGTCAAGTACATGAACGTCATGTAGCAGAACATGCAGGTGTAGAGGACGAGGAATACGAGCGCCGCGCCCGCGTCTTTGCCGAATGTGCCCATGGTGGAGAGATGTGTTGTTGCTGTGAGGGGAAGAGATGTGGAAGGGGGAGGGATGTTGTGGGTTGCTTTTGATGGAGCCGAGTCAGTGGTATTTAAACAACATGCCGTCCCCAGGGTACAGTGAAGCGCGTGATTTACAGTGTTGATGGCCGTTTGCGCGTGTGCGGCCAACGTTTCCGCTCGGCTCCGCCGCTTGGAAAACATGCACAGCTCTCGTTCTCGCCGCCTCTGGAGCTCGGGACAAGACCGGCAAGGGGTGGGGTGTGGGGTTCTCGGCACCGCCTACGAGCACTAGCACGTGTTTTACCAGGTCCTGGGTCCTGGTTCTTGTCTTAGTCCCTGGAACAGTGCCAGACAGGCCAGACAGGAGATCGACACAAGAGTGGACGCCAGGCAGTGCCCAGACACCACAGTGGTCGATGTGCGTCCGCCGCCACCAAAATGCAGAAAAACAACGCACTTTGCCAAGTGCCCGAGAGTGGCCGCTGCAGCCTGTCACGAGACGTCCGCCATTTGAGTCCAGCTGTGCATGTCCAACGAAGCGAGAACCTTTTCGACGAGGCTATACAACAAGCCATGTCCAAGCCCGCGCGTGAAGGCCTCTGCGTCTGCGGGATCTCGTGTCTGGTGGGTACAGACTTTTCCGTGTGTTACGTCACAGCTGCTGAAAGCAATGTTGCTTTGCGGAGCGGAGGACTTGCTCCGGCGGCCATGTTGGTTAAGCCGGTGTGTCGAAAGATTGCGAAAGATTCCTAGAGACCTGCGGCCATGTCCGCACCGGTGCTCCTGGACGATGTGGTTGGAGAACAAGCCCAGGAAATGTGGACAGCAACCGAGGTGGATGAGTTTCGGGCGCCGTCTAATGCCTATCTTTTATCCAGGTCACCGAAGCAACACATGTGAGTTGAGAGGGATTACCCTTGGATTACGCGACGCCAGCGACCGGTGTTTAGTCACACTGCTCGTTTCGCGCGTGAACAAACACCTTTTTTTCTGCTCTTTCCCCAGTACCCCAGAGGGCCAGAGTACCGCCAGTACCTTTTTGTGCCGGGGAGAGAAAGGGACGGGTAGGAGGAGGACGGCGGTGTGTTGAAACTAGCGGACTTCAATTCTGTTAAACTGGGATATTGTGCTCGCAAAGTGCGCAGAGTGCAACTGCGCGGAACTACTCTGCACGTGTTATGATTCTGGCCTCTGGACAGCAGGAAACGCTCGAAACGCGACATTTTGGTGACAATCCGCGGCAAGTCGCGAGGTCGCGAGGCGGCGATGCCCGTCGTGGTTGCCCTTGTCTAGATCGTCGCCACCTTGCCTCCGACAACTACACAAAATCACTCACAACATTGTCGGGTCCCTCGCGACACGACTAGTTGCCACCGGTGCGACACCGCGTTGGCGCACGTTGCAAGACGGCCCAAGCGTGCCGACGCATCTTGCATGACACCCACAGATCCACAGACGCGGGCACTTGGCGGGGCGGTGCGGCCGCGCGGCTGAATTCCAAGGTACGGCGTGCGGCAGCGTTGTCCATGGCCTGACTCACGAGGAGCAGGGCTCCGAGAGGAGGCATGCACGCACGATGGTCACCGAGGATGCACCTCCGGCCGCCGGACCGCAAGGCTCTCTCGGTGATCGTTGATGAAGTTCTAAAGAGTAGGCAGAAGTAAATCAGAGTCGGTGTTGACAAGCAACGACGACCAGGGTGAGTGCAAGGGGATGGTGATAGGGTACGCCGGCCGCCGAGAGTGTGGGCCAAACGTCAAGGCAAGGATGGAGATCAACGACACGGCCGTGGCTAGAGGCGATGATACTCGGGCCTGGAGAGGGCCGGGCCCGTACCAACACTACGCAGCATACGTCGGGGCCACCGAGCACATCAGACCCCATGGCCCCATGTCGGCGCCACCCGATCAGAACACATCGTGTCTTTGAAAACTAACGCAGCCCCCTCTCCCCCAGCTGTTCCCTCCACAATGCAGATGTACTCAAACTTTGACCTATTGTCGACGTCCACCGACTTGGCCAAGGCTGCCACACCTCTAACCCTCGTCCGCGTCCACTGACGCCACTAGTGGTTCGATACAGATAACCGTGAGCCCTCCAAAATCAGTGATCCGCGACCAAGCCGACCGAAGCGATACGGGGTGTGCCAAGCCACCTTGGCACCAACTTGGACACCGCAATGGGGGTCAAACGGCGGGCAGCTCGCACAGTACTGCAGTAATCTGGTTCACATGATGGCAATACCCGTGGACAATGCGTGGTATAGTAATACAATGCTGGGAATGAGGCAGGTGATGTTCCTCGGTACGTCGGATGGAGGTGTGCTCTACAGGAGATCGAAGTCGTCGAGCTGGGAAAAGTCAACACCAGAATAACGAGTACGACGACAGAGTCCAGTTACTCACCTCATCGTTGTACTTCATAATAGTACGCTTGCGAGCACTGGTGTCCACCCAGGTGACAAAGTCCTCCATGTGGCGGGTGATGAGCATCGCGGGGTCGGAGACAGGCGAGGGACCGACACGGATGTGGCCCTGCTCGATGGTCTTGACGGCCTGTAGAGGTTAGCAGAGTCCTATAAAGAACGCATAGAGCACATCTCAAACTCACGTCCGACACGCTCTCCGACATCTTGAGACGTGTCACAACAACAGCGAGACGGCGGCGGGCAATCGACGAGACGGTGACCTTGTTCTCAATGTCCGATGGCTTTGAGCCGACATCTGAAAGGTTAGCAGAGCCAGAGACAGCTTGAACCTACCAAGAATGCCCATGTCGTAGAGCTTGTTGAGCATCTCAGCCTCCTTTTGCTGACGGAAGGGGTCCTCAGCCGGGAGGAGCGAGATGCGGTGGATCAGGGAACGGAGGTTGCCACAGATCTTGTTGTACCTTGTTGTTAGCATTATGGGACACACCCACACGGCAGATGCAAAACGACTTCCTATGACACTCACTTGTGATAGTCCTCACGGTCCTGGATGTGATACTTGCGCATCACAGCGATCTCACGCTGAGACGCATCCTGCTTCCACTGCGCAACGTTAGTTTTGGTGTTTTGCCTACGACAGAAGCCGCCGGTTGCGGGAAAGCAGGCATCAGCTACAACCGCTGGATACGTACGTTCAAGAAGTCAACCTTCTTGAGGAGCTTCTTCTCGTGATGCTTGAGCTGACGCATGGCGGTGGTTGATGGTTGTGGAGGAGTATAGGGAGGCGGCGAGTTAGTTGCGCGCGGGGTTGTGTATGGAATTTTTGGGTGGAGGTCAGCTGCGTTGGTTTAAATGGTTACATTTGCATCCGCGTTTAATCAGAGTTAAGGACACGATCCTAATACCCGGGTATAGATTGAAATTATTTACTCCCCTCTCTCTGTCCCCCCCGCCTGGCGTGTGTCTCCCAGCCAGTGCTCGGTCGCTCATTGCCCAAATCCCAGCGACAGGCAGTGTCCTCTCGTCCTTCACCCCTCTTCCACCACCCACACCCCTCATCTTTGTCGCGTCCGGCACAGCCATCGTCGACCCCAGCTCCTCTGCAACAAACCCGACCAGCGAGAGCGTCGGTACACAGTCCCTCAAGACCCCACCAACGCGTCTGACAAACCCCGCACGGCCCATCAGCCAACGCAGTCAGCGTTCTTACCCACCAAGGAACGACCTTTGCTGCTCGAGCGACCTCCTCGGATCCGTACCCGTTTCCGTCCAGCAGCTCGACTCGCCCGCCCGTTGCCACCCCCCGGCACACTCCTCCCGACCTCCCCTCGCGGACAGCAGAGGCAGACACTCCACCTAGACGCTAGGGCGGGGGCAGATATCAGTGCTCCCCGACCCCCGCACTCAAACCTTTACCGGTGGCGACGCCGCTGTGGTCGAGTGCGTTACCCAGGCCGCGCGGACGACTTGCACTTTGCTCATCCAGCCCTCCCAGCTTTCGAGAACTCTTCTCGTAGACCAACGCAGGTTGCGTGAGCGCAGCACCCCACCACCCCCGAGGAAATCCTTTGGGCGCACGAGACCCTCATCTTAGAGTTTCGCCTCCACCGAGTAGGTCATTCAACCCCTTCCACCCCTTGTCCTCGCATTTCACCCATCGTGCTCCTCTTGTTGCCACCGGACACTCGTCTGCAACCCCCACCGGCGCTTTGCCTGTTGATTGCTGCTTTATACGCAGTCGAGCAGTCAACTGCAAAACGCTCCACTGGGCCACTTTCCCTGATCATCACTTGACCGCTCGCCTCGCCACCACTCTCTGGCGCTTAACAAGCGAAACACTTTGATTCTGGTGTTCTCTTGAACTCCTCGTCGGTCTTGATCCTGTCGTCGCATATATCTGTGATCGAAAGCTGACACGGCTGTCCTTTCTCCCACGCTCTCTATCTCTTGCTCTCAAATCCTCAACATTTAAAAGGCGCACACTCCCCCTAAACTCTTCCTCATCCCTCCACCTGGACCAAACCGCACCATGCCGTCGTCCCAGGCCAAGTCCACCAGCGTGTTCCACGCCCTTGGCTCTTACGCCGACCGTATCAAGGAGCAGGGCAACAGCAAGTCGTTGTCCAGCTCGGCTGCTACCGCCTCTGGCACCACCTCGCCCTCGGGCTCGAGCTCAATATCGCCTTCCCCCACTCCCGGCTCGGCCAAGCCAGCCGCTCCGGCAGTGGTCGAGGATGACGGCCCCTGGGAGACTGTCCGAACAAGCCGCAAGTCGCGCCCCACTGAGCGTGCTATCGTTGCCGATGAGAAGCGTGGTAGCAACTCGCGCAACTGGCGCGAACGTGAGGAAAAACCTGAGGCAGCCAAGAAGGAGACCACCACTGCCGACGACGACCGCAGATCTGCAAGCCAAGTTGCCAAAAAGGAGACGCCCACGCCCGAGACACCAGCTAGCAAGGCGCAGACCACTACCTCGTCGTCCGCTACAGCTACGCCGCCCAAACCCGTTTGGGGCAGCGCTACCCCGGGTCTGACGCCAACGTCAGCCCCCGCGACTGTGTTGGAGACCCCATTAAGTGCCCGTGACCCTGCGTCGCCTTCTGCCGACGCTGGTGCCTCAGCCCAGCTTTCCTCGGAGCCTGCCTCGGTGACTGTCGAAGAGACCAAGGTCGCCAAGGCTCCTGTCTCTGGCGAGACCAGCTGGCGTGCCGAGACCAAGGCTGCTGACGCGGCCCCGGTCCCCGTCGTTGCTCCGGCACCCACACCGGCACCTGCTCCCAAACCCAAGGTTGCTCCCCCTCCGGCCGTCAACGCTTGGGACTTGAGGAAGAAGCAGATGGCTGTTCCTGCGGCCAAGGCCCCCGTACCCGCGCTTCAGTCTGGAAGTGTCGCCGCTGAGCCTGAAGCCAGCACGTCGGAGGTCAAGGTTGGCAAGAAGCAGAAGAAGAAGGCCGCTGCCGCCGCCGCGGGCGAGAACGCACCCGCACCCGTGACAGACACGAGCCTCTGGCCGGACATCAACACCGCCGTCGAGACTGTCAAGACCGAGGACAAACGGACCAAACAGCAGGAGAAGAAGGACGCCGAGTCTCCCGTCGTTGTCGAGGAGCAGCCTGCGGTCCCAGGCAGTGAGTAATAGCACGCTTTACAGCTTTTCGTTTGTGACTAACGTTTCTCGCAGAAAAGCAAAAGTGGAAAGCTATTCCCGCAGAGGAGCTGCAGGAAGCGGCCGACAAGGCGGCCGAGAGCAGCAGGCGCCAGACTACCAAGGCCAACAAGCAGCGTGCAAAGGACTCGGAGGGTGGCGACACCAAGGGTTCCCGGGCAAAGAAGGGTGCCAACGGCACGGAATCCTCGAAGAAGGCGGCGGCGCGTGCCCGTTCAAGTTCGCAGACCTCTGACATTCATCTCCCTGCCAACCCCGAGGGCCAGCGTGGAGCGAACGGCACCCGGTTTGGCACGGCCGGAGCATCATCGGACCTCGCTGAGTTGGAGCGTGGTGTCAACGGCGACGCCGCTGCCAACGGCTCGTTGAGTGCCCCCATGTCAAGGCAACACAGCCAACAATCCAAGCAGCGCGTATCGCCCTCCGGCTCGTCTGTACCCCTCTCTCCTGAGCAGGGTAGCCGCGAATTCGACGGTGCCCGTGGGTCGTCTGCGTCCCCTCAGCAGGCGTTCAACACGTCTGCCAGCCTTCCCAGGCCGCCCCGCCAGCGCGAGCGCGATGCCCGTGGCGGATACACCGCTCGCGGTCGCGGCGGTTTCAACCGCCAAACGTCCGGCCAGCGTATGATGTACCCCGAGCTTTCGCCTCTTGGTACCAACGCCGAGCTTGCCAACCTCTACTCGCGCGGCTACGGCCTTGGCTACCCCGTTTATCCTGTCCCCCCCGCTGGCTACGCCGTTGCTGGCTACGACGCCTCCGCGTCCACGTACGGTGGCGTCCCCGTCTTCCCCCGTCCCAACATGCCCCCACCTCCTCAGCCGGTCTCGCAGGTTGCAAACCTCGATGCCCTGCGGTACTACGTCCTGGGCCAGGTCGAGTACTACTTCTCCATGCAGAACCTCGCCATGGACTTCTTCTTGCGGCAGCAGATGGATTCCGAGGGCTGGATTGAGGTTCCCATGATTGCCTCGTTCAACCGCATCAAGTCCCTCACCCCGGACGTCTCCATTGTCCGTGAGGTCATGGAGGTCAGTACGCTCCTCGAGGTCAAGGACGACATGGTGCGCCTTGCCAGCGGCGAGTCCAAGCGCTGGGTCTTGCCAGACGCCAAGCCTTGCAAGTTTGGCCCCACCCCCATCTCCAGCTCGGGTTCGCCCAAGAAGTATACCGGCGAGTCGGCGGCTGAGATTTCGCACGGTATTCCTCTGTCCGTCGAGACTGCCTCGGCCCTCGGGATCGAGGACCTCATGCCAGCGATCCCCGGGCCCAAGTTTGACGTGGAGATTGCGCTCATGCGCAACGCGGGCGGTAACGCCAGCTCCAGCGCCAGCGTCCTCAACAGCGACGAGGGCAAGACCATGACGCCTGCGACAAGCATTGCCGGCGACACCACCAAAAGTGACGATGGCGAGGAGGCTGCCAAGCAGCAGCAGTGAGAGGAGAGTGATGTGAGTTCATCCTCCCCCGTTGTGGTCTGAACTGACGAGCCAGATGACCTTCACACAATTTCTGCACGATTCGTATCCATACATCAAACCCGTGACGACGAGGTCCACAATGTCCCACCAACATCGCGGCCACTGCATCTATTGTACACCTTCACCCCCGGCTGTTTTGCCTATTGCCCGACGCACACACCCCACCTCCACCACCCTACCAACCAACAAACCCAACCAGACTACACTTTCTCTCTCACACATGGATCGATTCCGAAAAACCCAACCACAGCATACGACTTCTCTTTGCCCCTGCATGACCACATCCACTTTCTCTGCCTGACTATTTCGATCCGACAAATTTCGTTCACACCATTTGCTGCTCATCCATTTTCTTTCGGCGCGCTGATAGCTTTAATTTAGCATATTGGTGTGCTCGGGTGGCGGCGCGCTGGGGTGAGGTGTTATCATGCTGCATGTGAATGCATAAGGTGTACATGTCAGGTGGAGGCCCGGGAGGAATGGAATGGTACAATAAATCCACGTTTCGTTTTAAGCAAAGTGGACGCCGCGGACGTTGAACGCCCTCAGCAGCTCTAACAAGTCGTTGCCGGACAGGGCGGCGGCACGCGAGTCGGCAAACGCAGGGCGCTGCTCGTCCTCGTCGAGGGTCTTGGCCGGGACAAGGGTCTCGGCGAGGATCTCGTCAATCAGCTTCCAGGCGTCAAAGTCGTCCTCGATGAGCTGTGCAGTGTTAGCTTTGGCGACACGCTACGGGAAATGCAAGCTCACCCTCTCGTTAACGGCACACCAGGTGCGGTAGTTCTTGTCGACCATCTCCTTGACACCCTTGGCCTTGAAGCACGCACGCAGCGTCTTGTGCATACGCGAAAAGACGACACGGTTGAGACCGTCATACTCCTCAAACTTGACGGGAGGAGGAGGGTCGTGGGGGCGGATACGGACGACGGACGACTCGACCTGGGGAGGAGGACGGAAGTTGCCCTTGCCGACCTTCATGACGTGCTCGACGCGCGCGTACATCTGGACGTTTGCCGAGAGACGGCACCAGAGCTTGGAGCCCGGTGCGGCGCAGAGACGGAGCGCAAATTCGCGCTGGAACATGAGAACCGCGGAGCGGATGACGGGGCGGTGCGACAGGAGCTTGAACACGAGCGGGGACGAAATCTGGTAAGGCGTGTTGGAGATGCAGACGTCAAAGTACGGCAGGTCGGCCTTGACGAAATCGCCGAGGATAATCTCCAGCTTCTTCTGCTGCGGTCTGTCGCGAGAGTTAGATTCATCACAAGCATCGCAACTCACGTTCCGAGCACACGCTTCTGCACTTCGGCAGCCATACGGGGGTCCATCTCGCACGCGACCACACGTTTGCACACGGGCAGGATCTTGACAGTCAAGTTACCGGTACCGGGACCGACTTCGAGGACGACATCCGTGGGCTTGAGCTCGGCCTTGTCAACAATGCTACAAGCAGAGTTAGTACAGATGAACCTGGAGTGCCGTCCTCAATGCCATTTTGTGCTTACCCCTGGGCCACAAGTGGGTTGGTGAGAATGTGCTGTCCGAACTTTTCAGTGTTGAACAGATGGTTGCGGGCACCTGAGGTGGCCGCACTGCCGGACGCGTCAGCCTTGGCGGCTCCGGGACGCTTCGACGCCGAGACGGGGCCGTGGGAGCGCGTAAACGTCTGCGAGGTCGCCTTGGGCATGGTTGTTGTTGGTGTGGTCGCTAATGGTCGCACCGCCTGGAAGTGCGCGTCAACTTTTGGGACGGACGAAGGGCTTGGAGATTTGCCACCTAGCGGAAGCATTTACACGTGGGCAAAGAAGGTGATAAGGGGACAATTTCAACAATGATGTGGCAAACCGGTCAATAATCTCCGGATTAAAATCAAAATAGTATTAGGAATATCACCTCAAGGGCCGGGCCGTCCGTTATCGCACAATGTCCTCATGGCCACCCGTATTTCAGAGTGTGGCGGACCAGCGCAGCAGCGAGTAGATCTCGTAGGCATCGTGATCTGTAATGTGGGACGTGATCTTGTAATGCGGGATGACGACGGAAGCATAGGGATGGTTAGGTTATCATTTTGGCGATCAGACCGGCCAGTCTTCCCTCGCACTGCCTTCCCTCCTTTGGCCTGCCTTCCTCCTTTGGCCTTTGGACTTGTCGTCTCGCCTTCTCCCATTTGCCACCGCCACTTCTCTCTTAACATCCACCAATCACATCACACCAAGGTCAAGGTCTCGACTGAGGGATATGTCCTGTCGGGCTTGTTGTGCTCGCATTGTTGGAGGGAGACGCGGCGGTGGAGGAATAGCGTGTCTTCGTCGAAGATAACGACTTGGCCCTGGACATTGGCAAATGGGACGGATGACAATGCGTGATAGATGACGTCGCACACTGATCACTGAGGTCCAACGATCTAGGATACGGCAGAGAATGGCGCGAAACGTTGCAGGCAGAGAAAAGCACCTTTCGATCCGGCCCGTTGCCACATATGCTCCGGGATCCGGGGTTTGCTCCCGTTTCTGAAAATGGACGGGATCAAAACGTATCGGCGATTTTGACCTTCTCCACTCCAAATCCGCTCCATCGTGTCGTCTACATCTTCTTCAACATCGTCTCTGTCGCCGGGGGTAACCCCCGGCACAAGAAAATTTGGAACGATACAGAGAAGATTAGCATTGCCCCTGCATAAGGATGACAAATTTGAAATCAGAGAGGTCTGCTTCGGCAGAAATATTTTTTTGCATTTGATTTGATCAGAATTGTGACGAGGAGCGATCAGGTGGTGGGCTTTACGATCCTGCCGCGTGCTCCTCAACTGGCCAACTGGCTAACTGGTGCGAATGACCATGATGGGAGTCGCTGGCCAGGTGGTCTCTTGACTTCTGATGTTGGCTTGACGTCGCACAAGTGTGCAGTGTTCGGCCACTGCGACCCGCCTTCCCTGAGGACCACAGGCCACAGGCGGAAAGCAGCCGGTCTACTACCCGTCACACGTCCTCGCTTGTCTCTTTCGTCAACAGCCAATTCCACTTCTAATGCAACTGGAAAGCTATTCCTTGACCGTTTGAATCCGACGGTACTCACCTCGGCCAACACATTGCATGTCAGCGCTCCGCTCCCTTCCCCTGAGGACATTGCCTGTCGGCTCGAAGAAGTGGTCCGCGGAAGATTGCCGGAATTGATAAGGACCCCAAATGTCCGGGGTCCCGAGGGGCCAAAAGGATTCCGAGCGTCCGGGTGTCGGCCTATATGATCACCGAGACCTTGTTGTCGCCGTTGACGGAACAGATGACCGAAGCAGCCACCGAGAAGTAGATGGGTCACTCATAAGTAGCCATCTCGGATGGTCTACAGCCCACCAATACACCTACTCGAAACCTCACACAATGTCCGCCTCTCCTTTCAGTCTCGAGAACCTCTTTGGCGTCAAGGGCAAGACCGTCGTTGTCACTGGCGGCGGCACCGGCATCGGCAAGGGTACGTGGACCGGCGAGGACCACCAACTGACGTTTCCACAGGCATTGCCGATGCGTTCGTGACCAACGGCGCCAAGGTGTTCATCGTCGGTCGCCGCAAGGAGGTGGTGGACGCCACCGCTGCTGAGCTGAGCGTCAACGGCGCTGCGACCGGCGGAGTTGTCATTCCGTGAGCTGAGCGGTGTCCGCTAGAGCTAACCCCCAGTATCCAGGGCGATGTTTCCTCCAAGGACGCCGTGGCCAAGGTGTTTGAGGCGATCTCGGCACAGACTGATGTTGTGGATGTGCTCGTCAACTGCGCCGGTGTGGTGCGTCCCCACCGCGGCGGCACCATTGCCGACGTCAACGATATCAACAAGATCCAGAAGGCACTGTGGGATGGCCACGACGACGAGGACTGGCAGTACACCAGCGCCAGTAAGCTACTGGGCTCCAAGCTATCAGCTGACAACAGTCAACACAAACGCTGTCTACTTCATGTCTGTCGCCTTTGTTCCTCTGCTCCTGAAGAGCGAGGTCCGCAGCATCATCAACATCGCTTCCATTGCTGGTATCATGCTTGCCCGCGCCCTCGCAAGCGTGTCGTACGGAACCACCAAGGCAGGAAGTGAGCCACCCCGCTACTGTTTGACCCAGGGTTCTAACATCCCAGCCATCCACATGACCAAGCTCCTCGCTGGCCGTTTCTCTCCCGCCAAGATCCGTGTCAACTGCATCTGCCCCGGCATCTTCCCCTCCGAGTTCACCGGCTCCCTGGGCGGCGCCACTGGACACGCCTACCAGGTCACGGAGGGAGCCCGCAAGGCTGCTCTGCGCAGCATTGTCGGCCGTCCCGGACTTCCCGAGGAGGTTGGTGGCCCATGCGTCCTGCTCGGCTCCAACGCCGGTGGCTTCATGAACGGCGCCGTTCTTGTCGTCGACGGTGGTCGCTGTCTTGTCGCCGGCATCAACGACGGTATCAAGATGCCCGACGACCAGTACATGTGTTAGATGGGGTGATTTGTAGACCAGTAGTGATGACGCAGATGCCTCTAAGAACCAAACCATTTTAGCGCTGCCAAGACACTGACAGGTACTCTGCGCCAAGGCGTCCCCGTGAAGGGACGACCACCCTGTTCAACCTCGGACCGAGTTTAGGTTGTCCCACGCCAGCTTGAAACGCCCAGCGATCCAGCGGCCAGCGAGTTACAGCACTACCAAGCGCCGCTCCTTGTCCCGCCGGCAGAGCCGGCAATGGCTCCCACCCGCTGAACCTGAAGGGAGGATGACTGACCTCTCCTGGTGGCGTCATTGCCTCTCTAGCTTCTGATACCCACAACAAGTCCACTTTGCGGGTAGTGTTGGCATGAGAACTGACAGTGCAGGTCGTTGTTGCTTCACAACTCACTCCATTACCCATGAGCCTCGCACTGAACAAGTACCTCGACGTTGTAGACGACGACAAGGCGAGAGACACTGTCCTTGAGGCTGACCTGTCGGACGAGGACGCGAGCGAGGTCTTTGCCGCCCTCGCCAAGGAGGAGGAAGGACACACGATCAAGTACCGCGTTCTGTCATGGCAGAAGGTCGCCCTCCTGCTCTTTGGCGAGTACGTCTGCCTGGCCATGCTCGCCCTCTCGTGGTCATTCAGTGTCCTGGGATGGGGAGTGGCTCTGGCGGTCCACTTTGGCGCCGGGCTAATCGCGTGGTGTAAGTAGCTTGCTTCACGGGCTGCCAGTTCTTGTCGACCTGATGCTCTCCACAGACACATCCTACGTCTTGTGGAAGTTCTGCATGAAGCACCCGCACATCCGTGACGTCTGCGATGTCGCTGCACAGCTGTTCCCCTTTGCCCCGAGACTGGCGCGCGAGATGGCCTCCATCATGTTCCTCCTCAATGTCATTCTCGGAGTTGGCTTCCATGTCCTGACGGGTGCCAAAAGTAGGTTACACTTGGCCATGTTTGCACTGACCTGCGCAGTCTTCAACACTCTGAGCAACTCGTCCCAATGCACAGTCGTCTTCCAGGCCATCACAGCCATAATCGGCAGTACGTCGTCGTTTACGTGGTTCGTGCTTATATCTGCAGTCGTCATCTCACTCCCGCGCACCCTCAACCACGTTTCGTACATGTCCATCGTCTCCGTCTTCTTCATGGCCGCCAGCGTCCTGGTCACCTTGGTCTGCTGTGGCATCCAGGCTCACCCTGGGGCCGGCTATGTCGGAGTGTACCCGGCCGCTGGCGACGTCAAGACCTTTGGAGGGTGGCCGTTTGGGGTCAACCCGGGATTCATCAACGGCTTCAACGCGGTACTCAAGTGGGTACAGCTGGACGTTTTAGTAGGCGCATGTAGCTGACGGCAACAGCATCGTGTTCCTCTGGGTGGGGCAAATCGTGTACCCCAGTTTCATTGCCGGTGGGTATCGAAAGTCTCGGGGCTTTAACTCAGCTGTGTACATGTGTTTCGTCTCAGCTGACGCCAACCTCTTGCAGAGATGAAGCGACCTGCCGACTTTCCCAAAGCGCTCGCAGCACTCACCGCCATGGAATTCAGCCTGTTCACCGCCATCGCTGTTGTCGGATACTACTATCTGGGACAATACGCCGAGGCCCCACTCATGGGATCGCTGCTGGACATCAAGTGGCTCAAGGTGGCATATGGCTTTGCGATAGGTCAGTTTACGGCAGTCTGCAAGTCGTCGAAACTGACAGCCAGTGCCCACTTTTGTAATCGGCACAATCTACTGCAACGTGGCCTGCAAGACACTCTTCCACCGCCTGCTCCCAGCCGACTCGCGACACAACCACAAACACACGGTTGTTGGGTGGAGTCTCTGGGTGGGTCTGCTGACGCTCATCTGGGGGCTCGGGTTCGTACTCGCCGCCACCATCCCCTCGATGGGCGACTTCCTTTCGGCCATGGCGGCGATGTTTGACTCGTTCTTTGGATATATCTACTGGGCGGTCGCATACTGGTGGCTTTACCGCGGGAAACTGTTTTCGAGCGTTCCAAGGGCATTGCAGACGGTCCTCAACCTGGCCATCTTTGCGTTTGGGCTGTTCATGCTCGGCCCTGGCTTGTACACTTCCATCAGCGCCATCGTGGCTGACTACTCGGGTGACGTCGCGAGACCATTCTCGTGCACGACCAACTCTATCATTGCCTAAGGTGCGAGCTTGCACTTTGTGGGCGCCATGATGCACGGCTTGGCTGCAGGCCGCGATGCAGAAAAGATGTGGCGGTAAAATGAGCCGAAAATCAGAATAAACTCATATCGTTTCGGCTCTCCCTCGATTCATCAACACACCCTACAGCTCTACATGACTTCAATGCTCTCCACATCAATCTCCCCGCTGCCCATAGTGGCCGCATACTCCTCCTCGGACAACACCGGCACATCGTCGAGCACGGCACAGTTGCCGTTCGACGAACGCAGTAGCCGGCCCCACGACCGCTCAATCATGGCGGCCTTGCACTCGGGTTTGTCGCCGGGAATCGGAACAGTGACGAGCGTGATGGGTGTCGAGGTACTTGCGCCGTTGAGCTTCTGAATACGGAGGCGCAGGAGGATGGCGGTGAGGTGCGTAGCGATGGGCTTGGGCCTTGCGCCGGTTTCTTCGGCCGAGTTCTGCCTCGTCAGTGCCATGATTTAGGTGTGTAGCTTGAGGAGTTTACGCTTACCTCCAACACGCCATGCTTCTGGACCTCGCTGAGAATGTACACCGTCTCGACATTGGGCAGCCACGAATTGCTCCCCAGCGCATTCCTCCTGGGCGACTCGGAGCCGACGATGTGAATGACGACTTTGTGCACCGTCCGCGCAAACCTGGCCTGGACATGGGTGTACATGGTCGCGAGGCGGGGCACCAACCCCGTGCTGGGCGGCAGGAGGACGAGTTTGGCAGCGCGGAACCGGCGAAAGTCCCAGCGGTCAGCGTCAAAGTCCGGGTCAGACTCGAGGTCGCAGTGGCTGCAGGAGCATGGCTGCTGCTCAAGCGTCGTTCTGTCGGATTTGGCGGCGGTGCGGCGCCGGAGGGCCGTGTCGGTCGCGACGTCGTGCCGAAGGCGCAGGGCGTCGAGCGGACCCAGGACGCTCCCGAGCCACTCCAGGCCGTGCGAGCCGGCCGACAGCTCCAGGACCTTGGTGTGGGCCAGGAGAGCCGCACAGGCGTCGCGGTCCGGCGAGCGCGTCCATGAGCCCCACGCGGCGTACAAGCGCGGTGGGAAGGCAGGAAGCCGGCCGAGTGGGGAGGTGATGACGAAACGGTGTGTCTCGTGTGGGTCCTCCGCATGGCTGCGCGTGCTGTGGCGCTCGTGAGTGGCTTCGGAGGTGGAAACTGGGGCAACTGATGGGACTGCGGGGACAGCTCCAGAGACTTGCGACAGAGACATGGGGGTAGCCACCTCGACGTGCGGAGTGACGATGATGTGGCGATACAGCAGCTTGTCAACGCGTTCCTTGAATGCCTTGCTCGTCCCCCGCATAGGGATCCACGTGTCTGGGTACTTGAGGATGAGGTCGATAAGGTCGGGAAAGGCCGAGTGATCGATCACCACACTCTCTTTTGGGGCCGGGGCTTGGACTGCGCCATCAGCTAGTTTCCAGGACGAGGGCAAAAGGTCGGGGCCACGACTCACAGTCTGAAAAGGTGAATTCGATGTCACTGCGGATGGTTTTGAGCATGGTGCTGGTCCAGCCGTATGTGGTGAATGTTATGAAGAGACAGGGCGAGAAGAGACGAGAGAATGAGAATAAAGACAGCTTCAGAGACCCGACTGATGCGAGGCGCATGCATGATTCCCCATACCTTCACCCGGTACCCCGGTCGCACCGGACACACACCCACACAGTCGCACTGGGCTTCTCCATCAGTGGCGTCGACGGAAATGAAATAAACAGCTTCATAATTCAACGTTTAATACAGAGCAGTGTGGTACATACACAATCCGCAGTGATGGCGCCTGCGGTGTTGCATTTTCGATTTCGAGGGGTGCATGCATGGCATTGGGAACCTTGGTTTGCCTGTTGAGGACTTTGTATACACTTTTGGGTGTCTTGCAGTTACGTCTCGCTGAGCGTTAGACTAGAACGTCATTCAGTCAACGCACCAATATGCCACAGCCTGCAGCTGGGCGTCCTCGGGCCCGACCTCAGCCTCCCACTCTGCGCGCGTCATGAAACGGAGCTTGGCGAACAGGGTTTCTCCTGGAACGGGATCCACCTGGAATTCCACCATGCAACCACGCAGGCGGTCGAGGAAGCAGTCGACGGGCTTGCGGGTAGACAGTGGGGTCGGGGACGGCAGGTCGACGAGGGTGATGGTCAAGTCGCGGCCAAGCATAATAAAGATCCATTCTGCAAGATCGGACCACCTGCGTTCAGGCTGCCAAGGTTAGTGTCGTTTCAACCACCGTAGACTCACTGTTGGATCATATTTCCATTCCCATCCACTTGGGGATGTCGCCGGAAAAGGGTCGGCGGTGGCGGCGGCGAGGGTGAGCGGGTGGAAGATGACTACCACTGCGTCGACTTGGTCACAGAAAGCCACGGGAACCGCCACCGGACCGGCCAAGGGAGAGAAGAGGACGTTGGAAATGAGTCGGGTTGCGCGAGACTTGAAGGTCATAACTGGCGGGTCACACAGCTCTGCGAGGGTCGTTGGACGGCGGCTGCCTGGAACGAGAACGACTGTCGGCGCTTTCATAACGTCGTCGGCATACTCCTCCTCGTATGTGTTCCTGTTCTCGAGGTCCGGATCGTAGCGGTACCGGATGACCTCGAGGTTGCTGAGCTCGTTCTGAAACCACTTGACGTCCGACTTGAGCAGACCAATCGGCACGTCCACAACCCGCGTGTGCTCGAGCAGTTGAGAACAGCGTCCAAGGTGTTCCTCGTCCTCGGTGCTGTTTCCCCACCCGTTGTCGTACTCGCGTGGGGAGAAGGGCGGGAGGGGACCCTGTGGCGACGTGACGGCAATCACCATTGGGTCCGACGCGCTGAACTCGGACAGATGCTCGACAGCGTACAGCTCCGACTCGACCTCGTACAGATCGTACTGGCCGTCGTCGCTGTCCTCGTCGTCTGCGCCCCGGCTCAGGTTGGGACCGTCGCGGTAGACTGTTGAGAGGATAATGTGGCGGTACATCATTTTTTGGATGCGGTTGCGGTACATGCTACAGGTGGTGCGCATGCCCGACCAGGAGGCAGGGTCGGCCAGAATCAGATCAATAATGTGGGGGAACGCGGTGTGGTCGAGAGGTGCTGGAGGGCCCGGTGGTGTCTTCTTCTTGGTGTTGTTTCGCTTGCGAAAGGTATGCGCTGTGGAGTCCCGCGAGCGTGAGCCTTGGGGAGTGTCACCTGGTGGTCAGTTGTGATACGGAGTACTCAACTCACCATGCCAGAGGTTGTCGGGAGGAAAACGAGTATCACCAAGAGCCACCTTGCCACCTCTGCCTCCTCTGCCTCCCCTGCCTCCTTTGCCATGGCCAAGACCACGTTCCGCAGGCACCTGACGCCCGGCGGCGACGTCATGGACAACACCTTTCTCAGCTCCACCACGAGTCCCATTCCCATCCATGCGCTCGCCGCCCGCGGGACCATGGTCCGTACCAGAGCCACGACCACGACCACCACCACGACCGCGGTGACCACCACGGCCGCCACCGCGCGCTGGGATCCACTGCCGCTGGACCAAAGGAGGGGGTGCCGAGTCTGCAATCGCCTTGTCGAGTACGAGTAGCGAGTCGGCTAACGTCGACCCAAGAGGACGGGGCACTTGGCCGCGACTCCCGCGCGTGGCTGCCTTGCTGTTGCGGGCTGCGGTGGTGTTGGTGTCCTTGGGACGGAGTGGGGGGAGCGCAGGGAGCGGTGGCGACACGGTCATTCCGCCGTCCGCCGCCATGGCGCTGGGACCGGGATGGGGAGGTGTATGTGGGGTGGAAGTCTCGAAGTGTGGTGTGTAGGTGTGGATGTGTGAGTGGTGAGTGATGTGTAGGATGAGGAAAAGTGTTGAACGAAGGCACAATGATTTTGAGTCGACGAGCAACCACATCCCGGTGGGTGGCAATTTCGTGTTCCGTCTCGACGACGCGTCGGTTCCGCGTCGCGCAGAGTCCCGTGGCAAGCACAGACTCTCACATCAAGTACGATCGCTCAAGAACACACACACAAACACACACATCTACAAGGGCGCATCGTATCGCCGCGAGCAATGCTGGAGTAATGCTGGAGGTTCCAGTGTCTGCATGTAGATCTATTCGGCTGCTGTCTCCTCCTCCTCATCGTCGTCGTCTGCCACAGGCAAGCCGCCACCCCTATAACCCATAAAGGCGTACAGGTCCGTCGGCGCCTGCCCACCTTCCCCCTCCCCTTCGCCGTCAACTTCCTCCTCCACGACCCACTCGTCCTCCTCTTCCTCGTCATCCTCATCCTCCTCATTGACATCGTCAAACGAGATATCCACCAGGCCCGACGCCAGCACGTACGTCACGAGCGCGAGGCCCGCGCCGGCAAACCACGCCCAGCGGGCGTACCGGAATTTACGCAGCTGCGCGGCCTCCTTGCGTCGCTCGTCCTTGGACTTGCTCTCACCGTCGGTGCTCGCCGGCACCGACGCGGAGGACGACGAGGCCGAGGACCACGGCAGCGCGCCGGACAGCGTCGACCACAGCGTCGGCGCAGGCGGGGCCGGCAGGCGCTGCACGCCCTTCCACCCGTCTGGGAAGGCCTCGAGCATGCGCTCGTGGTGCGACACGAGGGTCGGGTACTCGTCCAGCAGCAGGTCGCAGAGGAGCGGGGCCGGGAGCGACGTGTCCAGGACGAGGGCGAGCTGCGCGAACAGCGCAATGTCCAAGGACGACGGGCTGGGGTCGTCAGAACGTGGCCATGCAGATATAACCCCCCAGTATAACACGACACTCACCGGCTGCCGAAAAAGTACATGCCAGCTCCAAGCTTGCGTGCCAGCGGGTCAAAGGCTGCCCGCGCACGCTGGCGGATCTGTTCGTGTCAGCTTGGCTCTTGGCTCTCGTGTACGGTATACGCCCAGCGCACCTTCTCCTCGCCAAACTTGCGCTTGCGCTCTGCGGCCTCGACGCCGGCGTTCCAGCCGCTCCACGCGCGCGGCGCGCGCGTCCCGCCCGGCGCGACGACGACGGCGTCCTCGAGCGGCGTCTTGTCGGGCTGCAGTCCCGGCTCGGCGGGGGTGTTCTCGTCGTCGCCGCCGCCGCCCACGCCCCACAGGCCCACGGCGCGCAGGCGCGCCGCGTGCACTCCCAGAATACGCTGGGGCACATAGTGCGATTGCGGGAAACTCAGCGCGGCCAGCTGGGCGCGCAGGACCAGCGCATAGTTGGCCGGCAGGGAGTAGAGCGAGTGGTTGACGAGGTCGGTGACCTGGCCGTCGATGAAGGCCGTCCACTCGGCGGCGTCGGCGCGCTGTGTGTCTGACAGGCGCGCGTCGAGCGGAGTGTAGTTTGGCAGCGAGGGGAAGTAGCGCGCACGCAGGCCGACGCCGTTGAGCGTCACAAAGGGCTTGCCTGGGTCTGTCAGTTTCTGTAGCGCATGTTACGGCACGGGTCTGGACATGGCTTGGGTCTCGCCGTGTCGTTGCCATGGGTAGTTTCTGGTCATGAACAGCGGGCACGACCAGACCAAGGGCCAGCGCTCCAGACACTCGGATCCTCGGAACTCACCGTTCGCAGACCACTCGGCCGTCTCGACACCGGCACGCACACCGCCCAGGCGGAGGGTGCACAGGAGCCGGATGCTCTCGGCGTCGCTGGCGGGCAACGGCGCCAGCGGCGGGGTCGTATGGAGGACGACGGCGGGGCGGGACGAGGCCATCGTGCTGTCAGTCAGAGAGAGAGTTGATGAAGACGAGCGAGCGAGCGAGCGTCGTTGGTCGGAGAAAGCAACAAACCCGACTTTCCAGAAGGACGCTCCGAACGCTCCTCCGCAAACGGAGATTCCATCTCCGTCGTTCGCCCAATCTCCTTCCGCTGATATAATCCTTGCAGCCGACTTGTAAACCCTCTGCTTGTAACCACGGTCCACCGTAAGCGTGAACAAATGCAGAAGGACAATAAAACTACAATGGTAGGCAAAATTATTCTATCTTGACAGCGTGCGTGTGATCGTGCGGTGTGCGGGAGTGACGGACAGCCTCGACAGCAATATATACCCTCCGTCGCCCCTCGTGACAGCTTTGTGTAGTGCGAGGGTCAAGTGCAGCGAGAATGAGGGGTTGGGGGTGGGGGTGGGGAGGAAAGGGACCAGTCGTGTAATGGATCAATGGATGAGGGGGTGAAGTAAAGTGAGACTGAGGGGGTGGGTGGGAAAGTTCGTGTGTGCGGATGTTGTAGATGAGAGGCGAGCTGTCGCGGGACGACGCTCTACTTTGCCGCAGCCTTTGCAAAGTTGATCATGGCGCGGATGCCGCCCATGAGGCCGCCTCCGCCCGTCGCGCCATAGTCCTGGAGGGTCTTGCCCTCGCTGTCGTGCCAGACACCGTCGGCGTCGACACCGCCGTACCTGATGGTGTTTTGGTTGGCGAGCAGAGTCTCGAGGAGCTCGGCGACCGCCTGCTTCGAGTCGAGCATGACGTTGATCTCCTGCGAGTGGAACCAGCTCTGCGAGTCTTGGTTTCCGTTGCCGAGGATCATGACCTCGTCGTCGTAGACGGCCAGCTTGATGTGGCAGTTGCGCTGCTTCTTGACGGCGTTCAGGGGACGGATCTGGTCCTTGCCAGTGTACCAGAAGACGTGGAGGTGCTTGGACTTGCCCTCGGAGCCGAGCTTCTTGTACAGGCGGTCAACGACCTGCTCGTTGGTGCCGCCCTGGCCGGGGATACTCTCGCCCATGTCGTTGAAGCCGAGGTCGAGGAGGAGGTGGACCTCAACGCCGCGGCGACACGCGGCCATGACAGCGCGCACAATGGGGCGCGCGTTGAGCGTCGGGGTCTGGATGAACACCTTCTTCTTGGCATAGCGACAGCCAGCGAGCCACGCGGCGTTTTGCGGGTTGCGAATGTCCTGGTGACCGGGCATGCCGTGTGGGCGACGACACACCATGGCAACGGGGAACGGGTCGTGTGGGGCATGGACGACGTGCGGGCGGAACTGGTCCAGATCGTCGCTGTCCTCGACCGTCGCCCATGCTTCGCTCAGTGCGCCGGCGTTGAAGCGCTTGGAGAGCTTGAACATGCGCTTGGTACCGCCCTCGGGGGGAATCTCCTCGTCCATTGACATCCTGGGGTAGTACAGCGGCGACTGGGCACCGGAATGCAGGCCGTCTTGCCAGCCGTACCGGGGTGTGGACGCACCCGAGCGGGGAGGAGTGGCGTTTCCCGCGGTGTTGCCCTGGAGGCCGGCGCCGGTGATAATGTGGGGAGGGAACGGCTTGGGAGGCTTCTCCGACTCGTGAAGGAAGGGCGACTCGCCGTCGGCCTTGTCGTGATCGTCGTCGTCCGTCTTCTCAGCCAGGACGCCTTCGATGCTCTGACGAGGCAGGCCGGCGTTGTCAGCCACGGGGCTGTCGACCATCAGGTTGCCCGTAATCCCTGGGGCATCGAGGTTGGTGTTAATGTTGAGTGGGGCAACCTGGTGGTGGTCGGAAAACGTCTCGCGGGCCGAGTGGAAGCTCTGGCGCTGAGACGTGGCCGCCGTCGTGCTGTCGCCGCCATACTCGCTGCCGCCGTCGATGCTGAAACGAGGGTGGTGGTCCTTGTATTGCGGCAGAGGCATGGTCTTTGAGCGGGGCACCAAGACGCGCTGCTCGGTAAGAGTTGGCGACGTGCGGGCCTCCGAGGCCGGTGCCGGTGCGCGACGCGCGTTGGCTGCCGAGTTGGCAGCCGTCTCCTCGTCAAAGTCGCGGGTGAGCTTGGTCAGGTCCGTCTGGCTTGCACGGCGGCTTCCTGGCCTGCTGCTGAAACCCATCCTCTCGCCAAAGCCACGCAGCTCCTTCATCGTGTGCGCTGAGCGAAGGGCAATCTCCTCTTGAGCGTGCTGGAGGTTTTGACGCTGCGACGCCATGGCCTGGCGGACAGCCTCGACAAGACGCTCGTGTGCCGGGTGTGCTGACGCGAGATTGCGGGCACGGTCGGCGTCAATGTCCTCTGTTTGAAGACGGAGAAGCTTGCGAGCCGCGCGCGCCGCCTTGAGCACCTCGATCTCACGAAAGTATGGGTTGTGGTCGCGGAACAGGTAGCACGGGTTGCCGCTCTCGTCGCGTGGGGGGTCGTATGGCTTGTCCATGCACGGGAGCGGGGGCGAGAGCTTGTTGTACCACGAGTGAAGGGCAACGTCGTAGAAAGAGTCGACGATAGGGCCCTCGAGGTGGGTCATGAGCTCGAGGTTGGGGCGGTCCTGGATATTATTACTAGACAGGAGGACCACCTTGCGGTCGACAATGACAAACTTGGCGTGGAAGGTACCAAGCAGGACCTTGTGAAAGTTCTGTACAACAAGTCAGACACTGTTTGTTTCGGAAATGCGCAGCCCCGCTTCTCATGGTACTCACAACAACCTCGAGCTCTAGGCCAGGGATTTCCTCGGGGTCCGGGAGGTCGAGGGGCTTCCATTCGACAGCGGACACGGGGGCATGCGCATTCCACAACTGGGCCCACGATCCACGGTCATACATGAGCTTGACGACGACCTTTGGCCTGCCGGCCTTGACCACGCGGGTCGAGAGGTCCTTGAGCGCCGTGGACACTGTGGTAACCGAGTTGGACGGTCTGGCGGACTGTGTCAGCAAACTGGGACCCGAACAAGCCTCGTACACAAACTCACTGCCAGTAGTTGGTGGCGATGAAGACTTCGGTCTGAGCGCGGACAATGACGTCGCGAAAGTGCCGCATAATGTCTGGGATGAGGGAGATGATGGTGAGGGGCATGGTGGTTGTTGATCCCATCAAGTCGGGCGTAGTCATGCCGGCCAGTGGGTCGCGGGTGAGGGTGGGCATGAGCGAGAGGTACATCTTCCAAAAGAGCTCAGAGACCTCGACGCCCTCGGCGTCCTCACCGGGCAGCTTCCAGCCTGCCTTGCGACGCAGCTCGGGTCCACGTTGTTCCCAGAACGCGAGCTCCTTGTCGGTCATGCCGTCGACGACAGAGTGCTTGACTCGGAAGCGGTACGCCAGGCGGACAACGGGGTTTGCCTTTGGGTACATCTTCTTCATGGCCCGACCCACTGTGTGGTCTGGGTGCTTGACCATGTACGATGCCAGAGTGGTGTCCGGGTACGGGAGGGGTTCTTTGGCCACCATCTCGCCCGAAAACGGCTTATTCTTGCCTTCATCACCAAGGTTCCTTGACGTCGCCGCTCCGTCTATGGTCTTGTGAGGCGAGCTGTCCGGCCAAGCGGACCCCACCGCTGCGGCGGACGGTGGGTACGCATGACCGTTGCTGGCGGGGACGACGCTGTCGTTGCAGTCAGGGCGAAAGGTATCGAGCGCGATCGGCGCGCTCGGGGGTGGGTTGGAGACCACCGCCATGGGCACACGAGCAGGTGGGTGCTGGCAGCTGTCGGAGAGTTAAGATGGGAAGGGGGGGAAATGAATGGAGTGGATGTGTCGTTTGAATTGTGTGTGTGTGTGGTGGTGGTGCGCTGTACGGCAGCTGGGTCGGGGGGTTTGCGGAGCGGGCCGTGCGCGTTGTTTTGACAGGGATAATGGGGACGAGCCAAGGGGGTGAACAGGAAGAAGAAACGTGTGGATGGAAGCCGAGAAGGGAATGAGGGAGGGAGGAAAGTGTGTGCAACAGTGAGAAGCCAGCTAGTTTGAACGGGGTGTGTGTGTCGGGCGTTGTGTGTGGGTCGGGTCGTTTATGCGTGTGCGCGCGGCGGTTATGCTCTGGATGGTAAGAATAGACGTGCCATCTCGCCCACTCTGGCCACACCCCACGCGCGCGTCACTGGGATATATCACTCTGGCGGCTGGCTGGCACTGCTCTCTCTCGCTGGCCCCCCCAGTTCTCGCCCAACTTAGCAATAAACCGCTCTCTCCTGACACCTCCTGGCCGCTTTCGTTGGGCCGCATTCGAGGCGCACAAACCGTCCCCCCCGCCAAGTCGCTCTCTCTCCCTGTGCGTCCCTGGGTAGCTTGCAGCAAGGGGGACATGTGTATGCATGCATGATGCTCTGACAGATACAGATCGAGGGCGAAGCGATAGATGCACAGCACCGGGGGTCCAGGGGGCTGGCGCCGGATACGCAGACTCCTGGCTCCCAGGTGCGCAGCAGCTCAGCAGCTGTGATCATTGACGACCTCTCTGCGCTCTGCCATGACGGAAGAGCGATCGGAGGCGTATACCCGGATTCGGTTACTTATAAGCTCCTCCTGGTTAATAAACGCACGATGACGTGTACTTTGGTCTCTCGGCATTTGTTATATTCTTCCGATCCGCCCCCTTATCAGGCCCCTGCCGACCTCCACTTTACTGTTTGCCAATCGCGTACACCGGATACCCCGCCGTCTCCGCTCCGGGTGTGTGCGATACCAATGTCCTGGCACGTCCTGGGCTGCGTGGGCTGCTTGTTGCGCGCTTTGCCTGCTTGGCCCGCGCTGCTGCGGGTGGGCGATCCCCTCGATCCCCTCTCTCTCGCCCGCGCAGACCCCGCCAGACCTCCACTTTTCGGCGTCCCCACCGCCCACAGCCGGTCCGGCATATCCCATGAGACACCGCACCTAAAAGAAACACCATCGCCATCTCTCTCCTGTTCGTTCCACCACACCACACTCCCCCCCCCCCAAACGCATCCAAGCATCCAAGCATCCGTCGCAGCTTTGCACTCGCGTTCATTCCTTTCATTCCTTGCTTAGACACACTCCCCGAAGCACGCAGATAGCCGCCCAAAATGTCCAACTTCAAGCAGGCGCCCCACAAGCTCCTCGTGTACGTCTCCCACCACTTCCCTCCTTCTCTCCTTCTCGTCCCCACGCTTCTTCGTCGTTCTTGTCTCGCTGACATGCATGCACAGCATCCCTGGCCCGATCGAGGTCCATGATAGCGTGAGATCCGTATGCGAGATGTGCATGCTCGTCGTGTTGTCGGAAGAGACTGGAGTGTTGAAAGAACAAAGGTCGTGGCGGACCGGGTCTTTTCCGATGACAGACAGCCACATCCCCGCTTTTCACCTCTTTAGTTGACGCTAATGTCCAGGTTCTCCTTGCCAATGCCACCCCCGGTACCTCGCACGTGTCGCCCGCGTTCGTCCCCGTGTTCGGCGACTGCATTCGCATGCTCCGCAAGGTCCTCTACGCCGAGAAGACTGGCCAGCCCTTCCTCATTGCCGGCTCGGGCACCATGGGCTGGGACGCTGCCGGCGCCAACCTGATTGAGGCTGGCGACAACGCTGTGAGTGTCTTTTGTGGGAGAGAGGGAGGTAAACAAACCTGTCCTGGGCGAGTAGTGGTGCACACGGTGCCCCCAGCAAGGAGTGGTTGGATACCTCACGGGGGACACCGATTGCCCACCTTGATATTTATCCGGACGACTTCCATCGCAATGTGTGACGCGTACTGACCTGCCCAGATTGTCGTCGACCACGGCTACTTTGGCGCCGCCTTTGCTGACTGGTGAGCTGATACCAAAGGTTCATTCAGCTAACCCGCTAGCCTCGAGACCTACGGTGCCAAGGTGACCAAGATCACCGCGCCCGTCGGCGGTATTGTGTCTGACGAGGACCTCGTGGCTGCGCTCAAGAGCCAGAAGGTCAAGCTCATCACCATCACCCACGTCGACACCTCGACCGGTGTCCTCGCTCCCGCGGCCCACTACTCCAAGCTCATCAAGGAGCACTCGCCCGACACGCTCATTGCCCTCGACGCCGTGTGCTCTGTCGCCTCGGAGGAGATCCGCTTCGACGACTGGGGCCTTGACATTGTCATCTCGGCCACCCAGAAGGGTCTCGGTGTCCCTCCCGGTCTCTCGGTCGTCATGGCCTCTGCCCGCGCCCTCGAGACCCTCCAGAACCGCAAGACCCCCGTCCCCTCGTACTACATCAACTGGAACCGCTGGCTGCCGATCATGCGCGCTTACGAGGAGGGCTCGGCCAAGTACTTTGCTACTCGTGAGTTTAACAAACCTTTGGGCAACGGTTAACTCTTTTTCAGCCCCCGTCCAGCTCATCTACGCGCTCCAGGTGGCCCTCAAGGCCATCACTGAGGAGTCGCCGTCGCTCGAGGAGCGCTTTGCCCTCCACAAGAAGGTCTCGAACCACGTCAAGGACGAGCTTGCCAAGCTCGGCTGTGGCTTTGTTCCCCTCAGCCGCGACATTGCTGCCAACGGCATGAGCGCCGTCAAGTACCCCGAGGGCGTCTCGGCCGCCATCCTCCCCAAGCTTGCCGCGTGAGTTGGAGTGGTGCCCGTCGCGCACCGATGCTAACTCTTCCCCTGCAGTCTCGACGTTGTGGTTGCCGGCGGTCTCCACAAGGACATTGCCTCGACCTACTTCCGTGTCGGCCACATGGGCGTCACCGTCACCGACGCTTCGCGCGGCGACATCCAGAAGGTCCTCGACGCCGTCAAGACGGTCGTCACCGAGACCAAGAGCGCCTAGGGACTCGGCATTGCCGGTACACGCGCGCGGCTGTAGCGAGAGAAAGTGAAAGTGAAATCCCACCACGACCCCCTTTCTCTCTCTCTCTCACACCAATCTACACTCCTCCTCTTCTTCTCAACTCATTCTCGGCGCAGCCTGCAGCGTTGGCAGCCGGCGCTTAGACGGTATACAGACAGACGGACAGAACAACGATCCCACAGGCCGCCCGCGCGGGGAACAAAACATAAACGACGACGACGACGAACTCTACCCAGAATCTTTGTTGGAAAAAAGGAACCACCCAGAAGCACACTGAACTCCCCCCACCTTTGTACTTGGCGATGCATATATGTGTATAGCAAAAGACGCAGGCAGTCACTGGATCACTAGCAAGAGACGTCGTACGCGTCTGCTCGACGCCATGGCCAAAATGCCAGATGGCATGAGCGTGTTTGCCCCCGCATATACCCCGGTTGTTTCGCCGTCACAACTGCTCCAACGCGCCCAACGCCGCCAGCGGCCAGCGGCCAGTGCAGTGTCTCGGGGCCTGGGCGGCGTGCGTGTTGTGGATCTATCAGTGTGCGCGCGCGTTCTGTACACACCTCTTCTCTCCATCTCCATGGCTCCCTCCCACTTGCTCTTCCAACACATCCTTATAATCTAGCTTCAAGGCCCACCGCAGCAGCCCTCATCGAAGCCCCTTTTGTAAGTATTCCAGGGTACCCCCTTTGGCCACCCGGTTTATTACCTTGATTGGAGCAGCCCCCTACTAACGCATTAGAACGACGTGACCGCCGCCCGCAGCGTCGACGTCGACAGTTGCACGTTTTTCGGCCCCGCGCCCGCGTCGCCCAGTACCAAACCCCCCCCCTAACCCACCCCACACGCACACCCACACCCCTCGCTGGCGGCTGCTGCGTGCTCGCTCGCTCGCCGCTCCATCATGTCCACCATCCCTCGCATGGTAGTTGCGCCCATTGCGCGAGTCGCCCGCAACATGCCGTTTGTCCCCAGTTCGCTCCCCACGAGCCCCAAGCACCTGCTCACGCCGGCGGTCCTCGCCGTGACCGCTGCGCTGCAGCGTCTCGACCTGTCGCGGGATCCACGCAAGACGGTGGCCAAGGCCAAGGCGCACAAGCCGACGCTGGCCGACCTCGCGCAGTGGTCGCTCATGGCCGCCGTGTGGGCGTACACGCTGTGGATCATGCCGAGCGTCCCGCTCAAGCTGCTCATCGTGACCAGCTGGTCCATCGCCGTCGCCATCCCGCTCACGTCCCAGTTTGTGTGGCCGGCCACGCCCGTGCTCACCTGGGTCGTCATGTTCTTTTGCGCGCGCTACGTGCCCACCAGCTCGCGCCCGGGCATCCACGTCGCCCTCCTCCCGGCCCTCGAGTCGGTCATGTACGGCGCCAACATTTCCGACCTGCAGACACGCTTCACCCACCCCTTGCTGGACATTCTCGCGTGGCTCCCTTACGGCGTGCTCCACTTTGCGCTCCCCGGCGTGGTCGCCATCTTCCTCTGGGTGTTTGGTCCCCGCGGAAGCGCCCAGTTCTGGGGCAAGGCGTTTGGATTCATGAACCTCTTTGGCGTCATCACCCAGATCCTCCTGCCGTGCTCAGCTCCATGTAAGTGGGCTAGGTGATTCTTCTTTTCTCTCCCTCGCTGACGTTCGCCTTTTTCTTGCAGGGTACGAGCTGATCCACGGCCTCACCCCGGCCAACTATGGCATGCCCGGCTCGCCCGGCGGCCTGCTGCGTATCGACCGCTTCTTCCACTCGTCGGGCTACACCAACACGTTTGGCAACGCGCCGCTCGTGTTCGGCGCCTTCCCCTCGCTCCACTCGGGCTGTGCCGTCATGGAGGCGCTGTTCCTCTCGCACTTCTTCCCCTTCCTCAAGCCGCTGTACTGGGGCTACGTCGGCATCCTGTGGTGGGCCACCATGTACCTCTCGCACCACTACCTGTTCGACCTGTCGGGCGGCGCGTGCCTGTCGGTGCTGGTCTTTTACCTGTTCATGCCCCTCGAGTTCCGCGACATTGACGGCCTCAAGTGGTCCCAGGGAGACGGGTACGAAATGGTCACTACGGCCCCCGACGCCGCGCGCGACCGCGACGTCGACTTTGACGAGGAGATCCGCAAGCTCGAGGACAGCGGCGAGGCAGACGAAGAGGCCGCCATTGAGGGTAACGAGGCCGAGTCGTCTGCTGGCGCACGCAACAAGCGCACAGTGTCGTGGGGCGAGACAAAGGTGCTCGGCGAGGACGCCCATTGAGCAAGTGGATGTGGATAGGATAGGATTTGACGCTTGACGCTGGTACGAGGACACTTTACTTTCCGTTGGCACCCCCCTCGGTCCCGATATCTACCCCCCCCCCCCCCCCCCCCCCCCCCCCCCCCCCCCCCCCCCACCCCACCTCGCTACTCGCACACACACATACCAAAAACCTAGAACGAGAAACGATGCATTTGGCCACACCCTAATCTCTATGCTATGTGCTGTCCTTGCCCAATCCTTTGCCCCGTTTGCTCCACCTATGCGCGCGGGTAAAAGGCGCCGAGCGCCTGCCCACGGCTCACCTTGGCCCACTTGGACACGACGCCCATGGCGCGCGCGCGGCGCACCATCTTGCCCACGAGCCGCTGGTTCTTCCACGTCAGGCCCGTCTCTGCGCGCCCCTGGATCTTGCCAATTGCGTTCATGTAGTGGTGCACAATGTTCGGGTTCATGGTGTGGTCGAGCGGCGACGTGCGCGTGAGGCAGAACGGGTCGATGCGCTTGGCCACGGCCTTGGGGGGGCCCAGGAGCGGCGGGCGCGGGCCCGGACGGCGCAATTCCTCGGACACGTACAGCTCCTTGCGCGAGTATGCGTGGGGTGCGACGACCTGGAGAGAGAGAGAGAAAGACGGGGGGGGAGAGTGGTGGTGAGTATTATGGAAAGCAAGGAAACAGCTAGCGCAGCCATGCTTTCACAGCTGCACTCGACTCACCTCGCTCGCGACAAAGCGCTTGCGGCCATCAAACCCGCCGCCGCCGTACGTCGCGTCGCTGATCATGCCGCGCGCAGTGTCGTTGATGTTGGCGGCGGGCCGTGCGCCGCCGTTGGCCGACGACGACGAGGCCGTCGAAGACGAGCCCAGCCGGGGGAAGCGCGAGCCGCTGCCGTCCTCGGCGCTGCGGGCGCCGAGGCGGGCGAGAAAGTTCGAGGTGATAGGCTCGTTGAGCGCGCGCGCAGTGGTGTGCATGCCCCTGACGAGGGTGCGGGTGGCGGGGGCGACCATGGTGGGGTGTGTGTGCAGTGTGTGGTTGCTGGTCGATGAGTCTCGCGATGTTGCAGTAGATGAGTGTTGCAACGGAGTGGTTCGCGGATTCGACTTTTTCGGATGGATAGGCGTGGAAAAGCGGGGGCACACACGCCTGCGGTGGAAAGGCGCGAATGACAACCAAACAGCCGTGGTCTGCTCTCCAGATTCACAGTGTGCACGCACTGCGCGTCGCAGGCCACCAACGCACGAAAGCTACAGCATGTACGCTGCCTGCTGCATGGTCTCTATAAATGTACACGCATTGTAGTAACAGTCTGCGCCCACTGACACCATATTCTGGTCCCAGAGCCAGATTGATCGTATACGCCTGCGCCGCCAGTCCGGGTAGATCTGGCTCGCAGTGTCCATGTCCCCTCCGACGGGCTGGCAGGTCGTCTACGAGGAAGACGGCTGCCGCTTAACAGAGGGGGAGTGGGGAAAGGGAAGGGGGGAAGGGATACAAGTGGGAGGAGGTACAGGGAGGGTCAGAGAACGTGCGAGTGAAGCAGCGCAAGAGGACGCGCAAAACTAAGGATGTCTGGTGCGCTCTGACGCACGCGACGGGGTGTGGGCGGCGACGGTTCAGTGTCTGGTGTGGAAGCAGACAGAACAGGTTCACGTTCTGATAAACGGTAGCAGTGATACGGGGAATGCTGGGATTCTTTTCGTGGCCGATAAATCAAAACGCACCATGCAACGTTGTGCTGTGACAACGGTGAAGAGAGATGGAGTGAAAGAGCAACGCCAAAACGCATGACAGCCGTCTCGGGGGATCGTCCTCTCCAGTCAGCTGTGAGCCACGCAGCCAGGTACTGCAGGCACCCATTTCCGACACCACACCTTACACGGCTGCGCCGCTGCCAGCCGCATCGGGGTCACATACATAGCCAGCACCCATCGATACCGGCCACAGCTAGCACAGCCCGCCCTGGCCCATGACCATGACCATGCGGGACTTGAAAGACCCCTGGCTCGACGACGAACCGAGCTGGAGAGGCAAGTGTTTCTGCCCGCTGCTGCCACTTAACGGGCATCACCTGTGCCACACCTTGATCGTCGAACACACTGCCAACCAACGACGATCGAGCGGCAGGTACTGTACGTATCTGCGGCGTCGCGCCATGGCTCCGGCGCTCCAGCCTTCTTCGATGAAGATCTCCATGTGCCCATGCGGCACCACCGATCTGCCAGGTCCACTGGCCACTGGCGTCCGAGACCTTGTTCGGGCCCGGGGGGGGGGGGCAGGAAGCTGGAAGGTAATGGTGGCCTAAAGTGGCCGTCCACTTGCGCACTCACCTGCACGTTTTCCCGCTTCTTCTTCTGGCCCTTCTCTCTCTCTCTCTCTTTGATGTCTACCGGTCTACCCTTCGTGGCGATCCCACCACAGGCTACGAGGGGCCCGTGCCACTGATCGGGACGCGTGATCCACACCGGCCACAGGAGCCACAGGAGCCACAGGATCTACAGGATCCTCGCTTGCAACTAGCGACCAGAGCAGAGCTGAGGGGGGCTCACGAATCGCCAAACCACACGCGGTGCTGTACTGCTGTTCGCTCTGCCAGCCCCGCCAGCCAGTGGCCAGCGGCGAGTGGCGTACGGCCGCGTATGGCGAGCAGGGGCAGAGACGTGCAGGACATTGATGTGGCTGGCGGCGTTGCAGAATACAGGAGCAACGATGATAGGTGTGGGGGGGGAACGATCGCCGTGTGGCAAGGGTGGAAATGGGTTTGCTTCTGGCTTCTGGCTTCTGGGCTGGGGGGTCCCCGACATGTCGCTTGTTCCCCCGTCGGACCAAGATTGAGAGATGAGGCGACGCTAGTGTGCACCGCCATCCTCTGATCTTGCACGGAACAGTGCCCCCCCCGCAGCCACACGCTGATACTGGTTTGAGTGTCTGCATGAGCTATGGAGCGCCTCCAAGTCTGCCGCCGCCGCGGGTGTCTGGGTATGACGGAATCGAGCTTGTGGCCTTGTGGACGTCGTCGGCGACGCCGATCCCAATCCAGGTCCCAGCATTCCATTGCTGCGTCCTCGCCAAGAGCGCTCTGCCTCGCGTCGCGGGGGCAGTGACGGTGACGAGGAGGTAGAGCCACGTCTTGGCGCGCACAGGTGTTGGCAGGCAGCCTCCCTCTGTCCCCTCTCCCTCTCCCTCGCGAGCACAGTCCTCTGCTGCTTTGCTTGCTACAAGCTACAGGACACCTCTTTTTTTGTGGTGTGGACCCGGAGAGTACCTGTTGGCGTCTGGGCCTGATCACCTCACCCTAATGGGAGATCCTATGAACGCTGCGCTTATTGTGATGTGTCCTGTGGCTCCTGTGGCCTGTTGCAACAGGTCGCAGCATATGCGTCAGAGCGTCAGAGCGTCGAGAGCTGGTCCGTGCAAGAAGCACCTGGTCTCTCTCGCTGAATCTCTCTACAGCGGAAAAACAACAGCGCACCGTGTACCTGGCCACCTGGCCACCTGGCCACAGCTGGAAGAAACACAGAGAGCAACCACTCACCCCCACGGCCCGCCGGTATTTGCCCCGCGTTTGAGGGACCAAAAAAGGCGCCCCCCACCCCCCATCGACGTCAGTGCCGGGCGGACCTGAAAAGCACCTGACAGCCGCAGACGACGACAACGACGACGACAGAGGATACCGTGTGACCTGCCAGAGGGGAGGGAGGGGGTACGTGCATGCACAAGACTGCGATGGACATGTAGCACCAGCGGTCCCGGGGGAGGGAGGGGGGGGGGGGGGGAGGAATCGGTTGGATGGGGTGGGTGGTTACAAACCCGCCCCGGTTGAGCGTGTGATCGACAATGTTGGGTGAGAGACATTGAGTGTGTGTTGGGTTCTCTCATCCTTCCTTGCTTTCCGTTTTGCATTCCTCCTCCCGCATCTCTCTCTCCCCCTCTCTCTTGCACCGTTGTACATCCCACCATATCCACCCCCATCCAGGCCATGGCACCCACCGCAAGTCTAGCATCCTTGCCCACCAACCCCCGGCCCGACCCACACCTCATCGGTAACGGGCCAGCCGGCTCAGGCATCACCGGGACCGCCGGCACCGCAGCCAGCCCGTCCACCGCCGCTGTTGCCGCCGCCGCCGCCGCCGCCGGGCCAAGCCCCTCAGCCCCAGCCCCCGCACTGCAGACACACACATCCGCACCGTCAACACCTACCCCGCACCTCGGCGTCGCGTCTGGGACTGGCACCGGCACCCCGCTCGCACAGAGCGTGACCCCGCGCCCGCCGACCCATGAACCAGCGTTCGAAATGGTCGTCCTCGGGTGCGGCGGCGGACCACTCGAGACGGACTGTTCCGGGTGAGTTGTGTTTGGGTTGTTTGGATAACGGTCAAGCGCCCGCGCACACTGGCCGCATCGCATCTGTCGTTATCGCAGTGCACACGCGCTGTGTGTGTGTCTGAGTGTGTGCTCCGCACACGCACACAGCAGGGCTGCACAGGTGGATGCTGCTGCTTGCGGCGCGCAGACAGACGCAGCTACAACAACACGACCACATGGACATTACGCTGACGGGCAGATACCTCGTCAAGCCTGCGCGCTCGCGATGGGAGGATGGTGTCCTAGCGCTGGAGGGAGGTGGGTATCTGGTGGCCAATGCGTCAAGAGGTGATCAGCTAACATGCAGGCTCTGGAATCGGCGCGCTATCCAACCTAATTGAGCGATACTCATCCGAGGCCCTCTTCCCAGCCGTGTCGTTTCCAGAGACACACAGCACGCCAATCCTCAAGGCTGCATACATCTTCTCCTTTCTCACGTGCGCACAAACGTGACAGACCTCGTTGACGGAATCGCTGACCCCGGGTCTCGCAGGTGCTACCTCATCACGCACGCCCACCTCGACCACTGTGCCTCGCTCATCCTGCTCTCGGGCTCTGTGCCTCCGCGTCCACCTCGGCATCCTGGATCACACCCAGCAGCGCCGGCGGGCCATGTCGAAGACACTGCGCCGCTGCCCACGCGAATCCCAGTGTACGCGATGCGCGAGACGCTCGACAACCTCTCGGCGGCATACGGTGGCGGTCTGTGGCCCGAGCTTGGCGCGTGGGCGGCAGAGCCAGAACGTGGTCGAGGCGGTCGTCTCAAGAAGCGGTTGCGGTTGGACGACGACGGCGGCGTCGGCGCAAAGTTCTCGCCGTGAGTAGTAGCACACCCCAGATACCACCCCAGTGCGAACAAGTGCCCCGAGAGCAGCGGCCCGTCGCTACCCTTGGGGCCCACACCCATTTCAGTCTCAGCTGTCCACATACATCCACCCTGCGTTATATTTCGCTTGCGGCGGAACGAGACGTGCCAACTTTTGGGACACTCCTCTTCTATTCGGGGCGATCAGCGTGGCGTACTCCCAGGGGAGACGGATACTCTGAGGCGTCGCCCTGCGATGGCGCGCTGGGCGGAGGTTGTTTTGGCGCCTCGCGTCTTGAAAAACAGACACCCCCACTGACGACTTGCGCAGGCTCGGTACGACCGCGGCGCCATCACACCTTCACCCAACACTGCCCATTAGCACGAGGGTATTCCCCGTGTCGCACGGACACACGTCGCACGGAATGTACCAGTCGTCGGCCGTGTTTGTGCGGTACGACCCGGCAGTGCTTGGGCCGACCCAGCCTCCGAGCCAGGCGCCGAGCCAGGCGCCAAGCCAGGCCGCGTCGCGCAGGGCCAGCCAGAGCAGCAAGCTCGTCGGCTCGCCCAGTGAAGAGAGCTTCAGCGGTGTCACTGACGGCCTCGCGTTTGACCGCCGCGCATCGTCTGGCGACCGGTCGTGCGGCGAGGGCCGCGAGTTTCTGTTCTTTGGCGACATTGAAAGTGGTTACCGCGCTCAAGGCGAAGAGCACGTTGACGCAGGCCACGGACAGACTGCCGAGGACCTCAACGGCGCCATTTGGCGAACGGCGGCTCAAAGCCGTAAAGAAGGGCGGCTAGCGGGTATTTTTGTGAGTGGGCCCCTCGTCGTGTGCGAGCGATAAGCAGAGTCACCGAGGGTACTAACAAACCAACCAGATTGAGTGCTCGTATGATTCCTCGCGGCCGGCACATGTCATGTTCGGCCATGTGTCTCCGCCGGCAATCATGCACGAGCTGCGTACCCTCGCCTCATTCCTCCCAGATGGACCGTGAGTTTTATCATCGCCAAGCACGTTTTGTGCATGTGTGGTGGGCGCGCGCACAACGGACTGCAAACTCCGTGATGGCGCGTCCACGCACTCACTGCACACGGAGCCGGAGTCCGCGGGGTGGTGGGCCGAGCGAGCACAGCCCAGGTGGGGTCAGGTGCATCTCTGCCCACGTTGTCCGGTGAACGTACAATTTCCCCAACGATTTTCCGCTGGGAGTGGTGGTGGACGACTGCGCATTATGGTTACTGACGCCACACCCTGCAGCCGTCCACTGGCCGGCCTCAAGGTCCACATCACCCACATTAAAGAGTTTCTCGTGCCACACCCGACTGGGCGGACGGCGCGTGACCTCATCGAGACGCAGCTCAACGAGCTCGAGCTGCAGACGGGTCTTGGCGTCGAATTTGTCATCCTGGCCCCTGGCGACCGTGTCTGTAAGTCGAAACGAAAATGAGTCTTTTGGTCTGATTCCTGTGCTAATTCCATAGTGATATGACGTCAACATGCCCAAATCCCTATCTCGACACCGTTTTGAAAATTGATCGGATCCTCGCACTCCTCTCCTCTCGTCTCCTCTCTTGTTCCCCGGTCCATGGATCTACGGATCACCGGATTACTTTTTTGTATCGCAGTCCTGTCTATGACTCTCTTGTCCTCCCGTCCCACATGCTCCATGGATAGCATTCCCTGTATGGCCAGGCCACATCACAAGCTAGCGCGCGTAAGCCAGCGCACTGCGCCGGCGGTGCGCGGCGGATTCCTCGGCCGAGTTGTCCTGAATTGAGCCGCCGGCCGCTCGTCGCTCGGAGTGGCATCGTTCCGGACCTTGGCCGCGGACGCACATGAGCGTGACGATTTCGGACCAACGCGACACCTTTCAGAATTTCAGTGCAAGATGCCGCAACGTGCAGTGCAGTGCAGTACAGTCAGTGCACACTGCGAACGGGCCGTGCTGGAAGCCACATGTACACTGTTCTCTGTGTGTTCTCACTCCCATCCCATCACTCACAACACAGTCAGCAAACGAAAACTGCATCAATAAGCACATCAAGTAAGCTCGTCTACATTCTGCGTTCCGTCGACAGCGGAACCACGGCATCGTCGCTTCGGTTTGGCTGACCGATCCACCACCCAAGGCACCGCCCCGAGCGTTTTGATTGCCGCACACCGTCTAATATTTGACTGTCGGTCTCCTCCGAGCCCACAGGGTTGTAGCCTGGTTCACAGTCGCTTTCAGGTTTAATAACTAGACGCCTCGTTCGCTCGCGCCCACTACGCTGTTGAAGACCTTCACACACACACACACATCCCATCGCTGTTCGCCATTGCCACATCGCCACATCCCCTCATCGACACACACTACTCCCCCACACCCTACCACTGTATACATGACCGCCAGCCAAGGAAACTCGGCGGCGTCCTCGACCGTCACTGTCACTGCCGCCATGAACGGGACGAATGACGCCACAAAGGTCGACGTCAAGAACGAGGCCAGCGAGGGCGACCTGGCCGACGACGACAAGTACATCCTCAGCCGGTCAGCGACCATTGCGCCCACCGAGCCGCGGACGTCCACGTCCATCGCCGTCGCTGGCGCCGCTGCCGCGAGCAGCAAAGAAAGGGACACTGGGTTCGGTATCCCGCTCACAAAATTCCGTTCGCTCGAGCCGGTCATCTCCCCTGCTGCGCCACTGGCGCGCATTCTGAGCGGACCACGCGACAGCACCGACGGGGGCCAGTATGTCAACACGTACCTCGGCCGCGGGACCGCGCAGGACCCATACCTCGTCGACTGGCTGGCGGGTGAACGAGCAGTGAGTAGAAAGTAGAAGCGCGTGTGCTTGTCCCGGTACTGGTCGCTGGTGGGGATGCAGACCGGCAACTAAAGTGGTGTGGGTGGGCCCGCCACGAACAAACAAGCACGCCACACCCCCAACAAGACCACGTCACCGATCACTGACACCCCCCCGCAGAACCCGTACAACTGGTCCAATGGATACCGCTGGATCGTCACCATCACGATCGCGGTCGCGACGCTGTGTATCTCCTTTGCGTCGTCGTCGTACTCGGGCGGCCTGGACGACATCGAGAAGCGCTTCGGCGTGAGCACCGAAGTCGGCATCCTCGGCATCAGTCTCTATGTCGTCGGTGAGTCGATGTGGCCTAGCTAGTGCGCTGCTGCTTCAGGCAGCGATGGCTCGATTAAACCACCCCACCCCTGCACTTGCTAACCCCGTCTACAGGCTTCGGCGTCGGCCCCCTCGTCTGGGCTCCCCTGTCCGAGATCTACGGCCGCACCTTGGCCTTTTCGGTCAGCTACCCCATCTTCACCATCTTCAACATTGTCGGCGCCGTCGCGCAGAACATGGAGACCATCCTCGTGGCGCGTTTCCTCGCCGGCACATTCGGCTCGGCACCCATCACCAACGCCGGCGGCCAAGTCAGCGACATGTGGGCTGCGTGAGTACACACGATCCATTCGTCCACAGTCATAGTTCCCCCCCTTACTGACTCCCATCGCCAGCCACGAGCGCGCCCTCGCCACCTCAGTGTTCAGTCTCGCGCCCTTCCTCGGCCCCGTGTTTGGCCCCATTGTCGGCGGATTCGTCGGCGAGGCCAAGGGCTTCCGCTGGGTGTTCTGGGTGCAGTTTTTCTTCGCACTGTGAGTTTCCATATCCCTGCTTTCCACATGGTTCGATAGCGCAGATAGCGCAGATAGCCCACATTGGGCGGGGTGAGGCCGGTATACTTCGGTATGGGGCCGAGCGACGGGCAAAGGTTCAAGACCCGGCCGGGCCAGTCGCGCCTTATTGCTCCAGGTTCACGCAACCAACCACTTGTGATGGCGATCTGTGGCGCCGCCACCTCCGCCGTCCCCACCTCCCCACCTCCCCACCTCCCCACCCCCACTAGCACTAGCTAACCACCCACCCCAGTGTGTGCTTTATCGTCTCCATGATCGTTGTCCCTGAGACATATGCCCCGACTCTCCTCCGCCGCAAGGCCAAGAAGCTGCAGGCGGAAGCCGACGCCGCGGGCACTGGCGAGTTCTTCATCGCCAAATACGACAAGGTCAAGCGGACAAAGGCCGAGGTGCTCAAGACCAACCTCAAGCGCCCGTTCCAGCTCCTGGCGTCCGAGCTCATCGTCGCCTGCCTCGGCATCTACGGCATGATCGTGTACGGCACGCTGTATCTCTTCTTTGAAGCCTTCCCCATTGTCTTTAGGGAATACCGCGGATGGTCACGTAAGTGGTCCTCTCGGCCGCTCGCCGCCGTCGAAGTAAAGTGCTAACGCCTCACCTCAGTGGGCATCTCCGGCCTGGCGTTTATCGGTATCGGCGTCGGCCTCGTGATCGGCAACCTCCTCACGCCCTTTGTCAACCGCTTCTACAAGCAGGCGTGCGACAAGGCGGCCGCCCGCGGCGAAAAGGTCGCTCCCGAAGCGCGCCTCGTGGGCTGTTCGATTGGCGCGTGCTTGCTCCCCATCGGCCTGTTCTGGTTCGCATGGACGTCCACGCCCAACATCCACTTTATCGTGCCCATGCTCGCCGCCGTCCCGTTCGGCTGCGGCTTCCTCCTCATCTTCACCGGCATGCAGCTGTACCTCATCGACGCGTACGCGCTCTTTGCCGCCAGCGCGCTCGCGTCCAACGCCGTCCTCCGCTCCCTCGCGGGCGCGGCGTTCCCCCTCTTCGCCGTCCAGATGTACGACAACCTCGGCCTCCAGTGGGCGGGCACCCTCGTCGCCTTCCTGTCGCTCGCGTGCACGCCCATGCCGTTTTTGTTCTTCAGGTACGGCGCCGTGCTCCGCCGTAACAGCAAGTATGCGCCCAGCGGGCTTGCGTCCAAAGAGAGCACCGACAGCGCGCTCGAGCCCGAGTACGCCGCCGACGCAGGCGAGAGCCAGGGCGTCGAGGCCAAGCGCATCGGCGAGAACATGGTGTAAGCCACCCCAGTACATAACACGGACAAGACACTCCCCCCCCTCCCCCCATAGATTATCTCGGGTTTTCTGCAGACCTCACCCACCACACTTCATAATGTCATAGAATTCATACATTCACACTGCATGCATCTGCAATCCAATCTCCTCCCGATGTCTCTAACTACACACCGACTCTTTCTCTCCCTGTTTCTCTCGCTTAGATCTCGTCCCCGGCGTACCGGACGTCCGCCTTGTCCTCGAGCCACGCCATCCATTTCTTGAGGTACGAGCTGCCCTTTGCCACCGTGTCCGAGTCGCCCACGACAGCCAGCTGGCGGCGGGGACGGGTCATGGCCACGTTCAGGCGGCGGTATTCGCCCAGGAAGCCGACCTCGCCATTGGCGTTGGAGCGGACGAGCGAGACAATGATCGCCTGTGGGCAGGTGTCAGCGTTTCCTCACATTGTCTAAACCTACATCGCGTTCTTGGCCCTGCAGGCCGTCGACGGTACCGATCGTCATCTCGGGGAACTCTTCGTGCAGGAGCGACGACAGGAGCGCCACTTGGCGCTGGTACGGCGCGACAATGCCGACTTCCGCGGCCGGCACGCCGAGGGATACCAGCCGCCGCGCCCACTTGGCCACGACGGTCGCCTCGTTTTCGTTGCTCTTGCTGCCCTCGCCCAGCGTGATCTTGCCGCGCGTCGCGCCCTCGTCGTCGGCGTCGGCGCGCTCGTAAAACTCGCAGCCGGCCGTGTCGAAGAAGACCACCGTCGGCTCGAGCGCGTCCTTGGCGTCGTCGCTCGTGTCCGTGATGGTCGGCAGGTCGAGGAGCGTGTGTTTGGCCACAGACGCGTCCGACACCAGCTCAGAGTTGTACAGCGTCACAGAGGGAAACTCGGCAATGAGCTCGTTCATGCGGTACTGGACCTTGAGCACGCGCTTGATGCCCGCGCCGTACAGCCGTTCCAGGCGGTCAAACAGCGTCGTCTCCAGAGTGCGTGGTGGACGCAACTTGGTCTTGGAGCCGTCGAGCTTGACGTCGTCGAGCTGATCTGTGATATCCTCCTCCTCCTTGGGTGTAGCTGTTCCAGAGGCGCCTCCGGCCTCAGACTGGTCCTCGGGCTTGTCCTCAGGCGCTTCCTCGGACTTGTCGTCGGACACGGGCAATTCGCCTGCCTCTGTTGCTTCTTCTGCATCGGGGTCGGTCTCCTCAGGCTCCTCGGTTGGTCCAGCCTCCCCAGCTTTCGCAGGCTCCTGGGCCGTCTCAGAAGCCGTCTCGGACAGCTTGGAAGCGGCCTTCTTCTCCTTCCTACTCTTCTTGTCGGCCTTATCCACCTTGTCCAACTTCTCCTTTGTCGTCTTCGCCGTAGAAGACTTGCCGGCAGTCTTCTTGGCCTTCTTGTCATCTCTGCTGAGAATGGTAGGCGGCAACTGCATGTCAGCTTGAGGCACACTCGATCTGAAGCTCACCTGCTCGGGGTCACCAGCCAGGATTAGCTTTTTCGCCTTGAGGATCGGGACCCAGCAGACAGCCTCGACAGCCTGTGTCGCCTCGTCGACGATCGCGACGTCAAAGTTGAGGTTGTTGAGCTGGCGCGCGCCGGCCGAGTGACAGGTGGCCAAGATGACGCGCGCGCCCTTGACGACGTTGGTGACCACCTTGGTCTCGCGTTGGCGGTACCTCCCTTGTCAGCAACGCCCGCAATGCCAATACCATTGTGCTCACTCTTTACGCAGCTCGCGCACCTCCTCCCACTTCTTGCCCCTGTCGCGACCCTTGACGGCGCCGCGCTCGCCGCGCTTCTTGCCCAGGTCGCCGAGGTGTCCCTCAATCTCTTTACCGACGTCACGCACCAGCGCGCCATCGTCGCCGTTCGCCGCGCGCCAGTCCAGCGTCTCCTGCACGAGATCGCGGTGGACACGTGTCGGGTGGCCGATACGCAGCACCGATCCGGCAGGCAGAAGAGCCGAGTACGGCGGCTGTTGGGCGAGCGTGTGCAGCCGAAGCAGAAGGTTGTCGAGGGCAAGGTTGGAAGGAGTGGTCACCAGGATACGAGGGGGCTGGCTCGTACCGGGGCCGGCGGGACGCGCGAGAAACTGGAAGATGAGTTCGATGAGGGTATGCGTCTTGCCTGTCTGATTGTCAGCCGCGTTCCGATGTATTAGAGCCGTACACCTGGGGGACCATGGATGCACGCGACCGTCTCGGCGCGCAGACAAAAGTCGATAGCCTCCTTCTGACTGTCGTTTAGGCGCTCTCCAAACCACCTGATCTCTGTGCTCTCGGGCTCGGCTATGGTGGGGGGAACCGTCTTGGACCACGCTGGCTGGTTCAACCCAACCAGCGAGTTGATCAATGGAAAGTTGGTCGCGCTAGGCGTGGCCTCCTCCTCGGGCACAAGGAGTCGTGAGAGGTGCTCGAGTGTCTTGCGCATGCGGTCAAACGTGACCGAGTTGGCGAGCTTGAGTCTGCGAGTTAAAACCAACCCAGGAGGACCTAACTCACAGTCTCAGGCGCTCGGGCAGATCAATCTCTTTGCTCTCGCTGACGGCGACAATGACTTTTTCAGGTCCAACCTGCTCGTTAGCTAAACCACCAATGCTGCTACCTACGCGATACACCACACCTTCGACCCCATTGTCATCATCTGCCTTCTTCTTGCCCTTGGTCTTGCCTCCTGCACTGGAGACGTGCTCCTCTATCCGCACGGGGTCGCCATTGCGGAACGTGTGGGGCGGGAGCGAGGTGTCGACGTTGAACGCGAGCGGACGGTTGAGCTCAATGAGACTTGTCCTAGGTCAGTACGATTTGAATGGCCAGACACCTACGTCTTGCCTCCCAGGCCGACACTGATAGAGCTGACACCAAGGCTGCCGAGCGCGAGGCCGCGCTGCTCGAGCAGCTTTGGGCTGCAGTTGGAGTTGAGCAAGCGCGTTTGCTCCTCCTCCTCGTCTCGCTCCAAGCGGAGGAGGTACTGGTGCCGCTCGAGGAACGCCTTGAGGTCGGCCCCCGACGGCTGTTGGGGCTCCAGGAGCTGTGGGGTGGACGCCATGGTATGGAAGGTGTGTGATGGTGCTGAAGGTTGAATCGAAAACGTCATGTTGGTGTTTCGGTGATCGGCGAGATCCGACGGATCCGAAATCGCCATTGGCGTGGACGAGCACCTAATCTTCACCCATCACCCATACCACCATGTTCTCATCCACGGGCGGCGTGGGTCGTCCTCGCTGACACAGTACTGTACGAGTACATGATACATGACCGGCCAACTCGGTCCATTGTACGCCCAGTTCACAGAAGCAACCTCTTCTGGCGCACGCGCAACCGTTGGTTCGCCATTGGTCGCTGCAATATCGTCCTCCCAAGACAAACTGACGTGACAAACACACCATGCTGGGCCGCAATGACAACAATGACATCTTCTCAACTGGGGACGTTCATGTGGACAACATCCGCAGACATCCAGAATCTGGAATATCTGGTAATGCAGCGTTGTGCCCACGGTGTCAGGCCGATCACTTGCGCGTTGCTGATGTCCGCAATGTTGTTGGACTGCGTGGTGACCACGAGATATATAACGAGCAGGCTGACGTTGACAAGAGCACCATCATCAAACAACCCTCCTTCCCCTCAATCACAACACCTACGATGGCTCCCATTGCACTTGACACGCCCGCCGAGCCCCAGGTCCACCCTGTGGAAGCCCTCAAGGCTGCCGCCGCCGCTCGCGAGGTCGACCTCCGCCAGTTTGCGCTGTTTGACTCGACTCCTGCGATTGGCACCGAGTTCCTCTCAGTCTCGACCGACGGCCGTCCCGTTCTCACCATCAAAGAGGTGCTCCAGTCTCCCGCTCAGATTGCTGCCCTCGGTCGTCTTGTCTCAGAGCGCGGTGTAGTCTTCTTCCGCAAGGCCGGCATTACCCCGGAGGAGCAAAAGGTCCTTGTCCAGTCTCTCGGTACGGCTACCGGCAAGCCTGCTGAGAGCGGCCTCCACACCCACCCCTTGACCCTTCCTGGCAGCCAGTACGGTGATGAGATCACCCACATCTCCAACCAGCACATTCTCTCCAAGGAGTTTACGCTTTCCGAGCACAGTAAGTCCTACCAGCGCGTCCGGGCCAAGTCTGGTTGGCACACGGACATTACCTTTGAGCGTGTTCCCTCCGACTATGCCTCCCTCATCATTCGCACTCTTCCTCCCGGCGGCGGCGACACCCTCTGGGCTTCCGCTTATGAGGCGTACGACCGTCTCTCGCCGGTCTTCCAGAAGTACCTTGAGGGTCTCACCGCCACCCACCGGGGCTCCATCTTCCTCGAGCTCTCGCAGTCCACCGGCCTCAAGCTCCGTGATGTCCGTGGCCACCCCGACAACAACAACGACGACCTTACCACCACCCACCCAGTCATCCGCACCAACCCTGTGACTGGCTGGAAGGGCCTCTTCGTCAACTCTGGCTTCACCATCAGGATCAACGAACTCACCGTCCCAGAGTCGGACTGGCTCCTGAACTTCCTCTTCGACCACATCGCCGACAACCACGACATCCAGGTCCGCTTCAGGTGGGAGGAGGACTCACTCGCCATCTGGGACAACCGCTCCACCTTCCACACCGCTACCAACGTAAGTTACCTAGCAATATTTGGTTACATTGTTTCGCTCAACTGACAATCCAGGATGTCGGCCCCCACCTCCGCGAGGGCACTCGCTCCGTCTCTCTCGGCGAGAAGCCCTTCTTTGACCCCAACAGCAAGTCCCGCCGCGCCGACCTCGCCGACAAGGCCGAGGCTGCTGCTGCCGTTGAGGCCAAGTAGACGGGGTCAAATGATAGGGTTGATGTGTTTTCTCTCATAGTTGTAAACATCGCAAAGCGGAAAATGTGAAGTCTTGTTATCGATTGTCAGCTCGCCGCGGAATGTCCGCCCGGCATCGCAGTCGGCGAATTCCGCGGATCTTGCTAGCGAATGTTGCCATGTCTTGGCGCTAGTCGAGCGCCCAGTTCTCACAATCGCCCATACCATGACCGACGTTCAACATACGCAAGGCCGTGCCGAGTGGGTCACAACTCGTGACGGTCGCAAGCTCTATGCCCAAGTCCTCGATGGCCCGCCGGATGCACCGACAGTCGTCTTCGAATGCGGCGCGGGAGCCAGCCGATCCACATGGGCTCTCGTCCAGCCCCAGGTGGCCAAGTTTGCACGTGCGATCGTGTACGACAGGTCGGGGATGGGCAAGAGTCCACCAGACCCGACACGCACACTGGCTCGTATCGTGGACGACCTGTGCGACGTCATTGACCACTACTGCGTGCCAAAGGCGGGCGACAGACAACAGGGGCACCTCATTCTCGTTGGCCATTCCGCCGGTGGCCCCATTATCCGCAAGACGGCATCTCTACGACCGAATGTCGTGACCTCTCTCGTCCTTCTCGACCCGACAGACGAAGGCGTAGACCTGATGTTTAAGCCGTCGTTTCGGTACATGGAGAGCGCAGGCCTGTATGTGGGACTTGGTTTGTCATACTTAGGCCTTGTCCGACCGATTGCCAACTATGCCTTCAAGTGGATGCTGGACCTTTTGCCCGAGGACGTGTGCGAGGACCTCAACCGCGAGGCATTTGCCCCGTCCGTCGTGCACTCCCAGATGGCCATGAGCCACACCTTTCTCGACGAGGTCAAGGCCTTCAGGGACGACCCGCCCAAGATCCCAGACGAAATGCCGGTCACGATCGTCTCGGGTTCACAGACGGGAATGGCGATGGGAGAGGAGACCAGGAAGGCTATCAATGAGGCACACGAGAAGCAGACAGAGCGGTACAGCAAGGGACGACATGTCGTGGCGGAGAACTCGGGCCACCTTGTGCCCCTGACAGATGTGGAGCTGGTGGTGGACGAGATTCGGCGTGTCTTGTAGCTCCGTGCCATGTAATGTAGTACTGGGGAGAATGTGATGATTCTTGGATAGGTAGAATTGGTGACGACAGTCAGGCGTCAAAGCCTGTATGCTCAGGTATATGGGAATGCGTCGCAGGTCGTCACCCCGAGGGGCGGCAAGGTTGCATCCGAACTTCGTTCCACAAGTAAGGGCTTGGAGAGCGTATACCGCCAAAACAACAAAACACTAGGCTATAGCGGCAACACTGTGGCATGGTAGCGACCTCCACACGAGGCCAAAGGCCCCTTCAACCTTACAATGTGACGGGGAAGGGTGAACAGTGTGATAACCGCCTGAGACCCAAACCGGGAGTCCTTTTCGTAACCGACTAGTGGTGCTCGGTGGATGGTCCGAAGTACCGGCCGCGGTCACAGAGCTGTTTTGAAGCTGAGCCACACGGGTGGAAGAAGATTAGGTATTGCAAGCGCCTGGCTCATTCCACAGGCCCTTCCAGTAGTCACATCCTCTCGCGGTCCGGTTTTCAGCACTCTTCCGCAAAGAACAACATCCAATATCGCTATGGCTTAGTGGGAAAGCGCCAGGCTCATACTACTGTTGTGATCACCTGGAGATCCCTCGATCGAAACGAGGTGGCGATAAGACATGTTCTTTTTGTGTTCGTAGGTGTTGAAGGTGTTCAAGGTGGGGTGGAGGACAGTGGTGAAACAGGATTTCACATTTTCGGTGGATTTTCTTCTATTTTCCGTGGAGGTGCAATTGTCCGATACGAGGTTTATACGTCTCACAAAAAGTGCCAGAAGTCGGACGAGGCATCTAAACTGACCGATACCATATGGGGATGCACTCCTGCGAGTTTGAGGGTTTAGAAAAGCATAGGAGACGAGAAAAACGTGAATCTTTGAGCCGTCCGAGCGCGCCTCCACGCCGATCTTCATATCATAACAACACCGTTGGTGAAACGGTATCATGCGTCGTTGCCATCGACGCGGCAGGGGTTCGACTCCCTTACGGTGTACATCTGTGCCTCTAGAGCTGTCCTAAAGCTCATGTGAGTTGCTTTTTGATGTCGGGGAACCCTGGGTAGTCTGTTGCCCTCCAGTCAGCCACGCTCATCACGATTTTCTACCGACTTCTCCACAAATTAGACAGATCTCACTGCCCAGCGACATGGATTAGACTCTGATTATTAAAACATTGTTAGTGAAGCGGTATCATGCGTCCAGTGGTCGACACGACGAACTGCAGTCTCCCCGTGGGGCTGCTCTTTCGGATGAGGCAGGCAGGGGTACGCCACGGTTTCTGTGGCCTACTCCTTCAATGATGCAAAGGGCGACTCTGTCGCATAACCACGGCTAGCTCGCAAGGCAATGCTGTCGTAAATTAACCATCTTTCGGGGCTGAACAACCTTCCTTCAAACGAAATCATTCGTGAAGACACTGAACGCGACAAGGGTTCGACTCCCTTACAATGAGTTTTTGGAACAGCTTTCATACCCCATCTGCTGCTTCACAATAGCCACTACAACGTACGGTTTCGAAAATACTCTTGTCTGATTCTGATGACTTGTTGAAGCCCTCGCGTACACCCTCGCGTACACCCCTCCCGCACACCCATCCTGCCCCTGTCCACTCGCGCGCCACCCGCCACTTTAGGCACCGCTGGCCTCCTCGGCCTTCTGCTGGCGGACACGCTCCTTGGCGGCACGAGCCAGAGCGAACGACGTCTGCTTGGGGTTGGAGGACTCGAAGATCTCGTCCAGCTCCTCCAGGGAAAGCTGCTTGGTCTCGACAACGAACAGGTAGATGACGATGATGCCGACGACGTCCCAGCAGCCAAAGATGAGGTACACCTTCCAGTCGAGAGCGGCGAGCGCCGACGGCAGGCCGAACGTGTTGATAAGAGACACACAGCTGGTAACCCATGACTGGAGGGCAAGGCCCTTGGCACGGACCTCGAATGCGAGGACCTCTGCGGGGTAAAGCGACTGAAGTGGGGTCCAACCGAATGAGAAGAAGACCATGAAGAGGTAGATGAATGTGATTCCAGCGTTGGCACGCATGGTGCTCTTCTGTCCCGCCGAGGACAGCAGGCCGGCTACGATGAACATGCCGCTCATGCAAGAGACGGACGAGAAGAGCATAAGGAAGCGGCGGCCAACGTGGTCGACCAGTGCGGTTCCCGTGAGGGCACCGATAAACGAGGTGACCGAGTTGACAAAGTTGAGCACACGCTGGCGGTCTGGCGACGTGATACCGGCAAGCTTGAGCAGAGTTGGGAGGAAGTATGTGATCAATCCGTTTCCTTTTCCGTTAGCTATAACATTACTGAAGAGGAACGGAAGAGGAAGTGGTCCGCAGGGTGAATGGTGAAAGGCAACACCTGTAGCAGAGTGCCACGCTGCCGATCTTGGTGATCTGCGCCACCGATAACCACCCCCTGTGCCACTTCCCTTCTCCTCAGACCTAACTCACCACTAAGCTGTCCCCAAACGGAAACGATAACACAAAGTCCGAAACCTGAAAGAGCAAGTCAGCGCAGATCACGATTTGGTCGACCGGAGACTTACGGTAACGGCCAGCGCGGTCACGGAAAATCGGACGGAAGTCCCACCAGCGCTTGTCGGCGCCGTCCAAAGCAATGGACTCCTCAAATTCGGCCATCTCGAGTTTGATGAGGGGGCTGTTGGCGTCGTTGTCGCGAGAGTGGTATTGCGCAAGAACCTTCTGGGCCTGCTCCTTGTGGCCGTGTGCATAGAGCCAACGTGGCGACTCGGGAAGGAGCAAAACAAATGCCACATTGATGACAGCCAACATCATCTGAAGGAGTAGGGGAGTCCTCCATGACCAATCGGTCGTCACTCGACCCAGGGGGATCGTAAGTCCACTCGCCAGCAGTTGTCCGACGTAGTAGAACGAGTTCTGGAGACCCATCCAAAAGCCACGGCTACTGGCAGGGGTGATCTCCGAAAGGTACGTTTTGGCGGCGGCAGCGGCCGTAGAGCATCCAACGCCGACAAAGAATCGACCGACGAGCAGCATCGGCATGTTCTTGGCGAAGCCGGCAATCAAGGCGCCCATGCAGAGCACAAGGTTACCGAGGAACATGGTCCAGCGGCGGCCAATTTTGTCCGGAAGAGTCGAAGCTGGGAAAAAGGCCGTGACTTGTCCGACCGTGTAGATTCCAAAGACAATGCTGTTTCAGGTGTCAGCATGCCATTTGTGCTGCTCGTAAAGCCATGATGTTGAAAGGAGTTTCCACCGTGAGAAACTCCTTTCAACATCAACTGTACCGGCTTGCCGTCTGCTTACCCAGTTTTGCTGGCACCGCTAGTTGCGAGGCCGAAGTACTTCTGGAACGAAACCATAGAATTGACGCTGCCCATAACGGTACCGTCGAAGCTGCTCAGGTCAGCACATCACATCAAAGGCTGAAAATGCATCCGCCGCCCCGCCCTGCCACAACTGGCACTGTCGGGTCGACACCTGAAACTCACCCATTGTCGCCCGAGCACATGCAAATGACGAGGCAGAAGAAGATGAACTGGAGTCCGCGCCAGCTCAGAAAGTTGAGACCTGGGTCGACCTCACGCGCGAGACGGAAGGCGATCGCTCTTTCCTCGTCCTCGGTGTAAGCTCGCGGCGCCCCCGCGCCCATGGAGGCGACTTCGCGGTGTTCCACATCGGTCTTCTTGATATCGGGGTCAGAGTGGATAGACGAGGTCATCGTTGCTTTGGCGTCGGCGTCGGTCAATGGTCGGATAAAGGTCGTCGGTCAATGACTTGAAGTCGTCGCGTCGGTGTCGGTCTATGCGGACAACGATGTGGGTGATGGGTGTTATTGTCCGTCAAGATGATGGGAATGCGACGGAGATTCTTCGCCGGCCTTTACCTCTTAAAGCACTTGGCGCCCGGTCCATCGGGACGTTGGAGCCGCTCTGTCCTGGCACAAGAAATGTAGCTGTACAGTGCAGAGAGGGCACCGCCTGCGCTGCCAAGCTCCGGGGAGAACCAAGATCGACCCGGGCCCCACAACGTGAATCCTAGGCCCCGCACATTTCGGCCGCAGCAGCACCAACATGTGCACGGCAAACGGCACCTCCCGGTACGTGCCTTTGATGTTGACTGCCCTAAATCGACGTGTAAATGTCCGGTCTCGCCGTCGATTGCCGTATGGAATAATGTCCATATTCCGCGGGCGGTCTTGAGAAGTGGGCTTGTCACAGCATGTCGCAAGTCGCAAGGCAATGGTGCAATGACCGGTCTTTTCTAAACCTGTGCCAAGACATGCCGCAGGCACTGATACAGTGGGGGAGTGGGGGAGGAGGTCAATTACCTGTCGACTTTGGTGTGGGGACGTCTCTGAGGAGCCGTGAGATGCCGCGTCATGGTCAGCAACGGGGGAAACGGCGAAGATTAGATGCGGCCGCGGCTCGGCTGGCCGTTGTTTTGGTGAAGCGCAGACCGCTGATCGGAATGGGAGTCGTTTGTGACGTAGGTTGCGACGGTCATGTCCAAGGTGGCATCCTCATTGAACTCATAGGCACCCCGTCTGCGGCGTTTTCGTCTGTGCGGTCATCACCTCGTGCATCCTGGATCCTGTTCGGGACAATAGCAATCCGCAACACGGTCAAGTGGGCAGATGGCCCTCAAGGTGGGCAACGGATATCCAGTTGCAGAGGCGGTTGTAATCAATGTCCGTTAAATGACCGACGCCACCAAAATGTCGCCATGCGGCTAGGGGCGCCCACGGCCCACCAGGCCCACCAGATCCCCACAGATCTCCAGATCGAAGATCCTTGAGACGTTGAGACATCATCGACAGGACATGTGGTATGCACAGCAGTTGACTGGTTTCCCTTACCCGCTTGAGAGTTCAAACACGGGTCACCCGTGTTCTGCACGACGACGCTCAACGAAACGGGCCATAAAACGGGCCGATTCCGATTCCAGCGGAAACGACAATCTTACCACGTCCAAGGCCAATTTTCGCCTTTCGTGGCTCTCATGAAAAGTGCCGAAGGTAACGAGCCAGGAACTCAAGGAATCGTGATCAGATATTGAACAGAGCAGCAGGTGACTGCCGGATACGGTTATGCGCGCATATGAGCGCGTAAAGACGGAGCGGTAGCCGGATCATCGCCCGAGGAGGACCGGAGCGAGCGCCATGCCGTGCGCGTGACCGCCACCTCCCCCACCACTGGCCGGCAGAAAGGCGGCACGATTCATGTGAACTTTGTAGCTTTCTCATTTTTTTCTCGCTGAACGCCACACCTGCAAGTTCACTCGAGACTCTTGTGGGCCTGTGCAAAAGATATGCGTGATTTTGACCCACATCTTTTGCGAAGCGCAATCGTTGCACGCGCTAAAATTGTGATTGTGTGGCTTTGGTTTCCGTTCACCTCTCGTCCTTTGTCCGAACTGAACTTTCACAAACGTCTCCCTAGATGATAGCCCTGGTCTAGAGTGCCTTGACAGCGTCGAGGGTTCAGTCGCACGCGATATCCGAGACGAGGCCGCATTTTTGCCCAGAACTGTACGAAGGCTCGGGCCAGTCCAAAGGGCGCCAACTGCGAGGGCTCGTGGCTCGTGGAGCATATGCACGTGGCCCCATCCTCCTCGACCACAGTCGTCGTTTTCACCCATCTTGCCTTTTTTTTTTTTCATTCCCACGCTTTCCACTTAATAATGACACAGTAGAAACCGTGCAGTGAGGGGGTCGCTGGTTGACCGGGGGGTTCAATGGGACCTCGGTGATGTTTTCGATCCATCCGCCTACACTAGATGGCAAATCTGACAAAATGGCAGTTTTATTGCGTGAACTGTCCACTGACCCACTGACCAGTCACAAACACCTTGCTGTTACGCCACACGACGTTTTATGCCTTCAGTGGTGTCCATCCTCTAACATGCACTTCCGATGGCCCGCCTGTCTTGCAGTTGTGTCACGCTTGTAGCACCTCAAGGTGCATCTACGCGAGTTGTCAACGTCTTCCTATCAGCGCGTGGGACCCCCAATCGAGGAACAGGTGGCGCGAGGTAGCTGCTATTTTGTTGAGCGTCCTGCCGCATGTACAGGCTCTCTGGCGTCCAAGCCTACGCTCGATCTCGCTAACTTCGCATGTCATCATGAGAATACCTTATATACGTGCGCGCCAGTCCCAAAATATCAATTAGTATCTTCGCTAGTATATCGGTTAGTATAACCGCCTCTCAATAGGGAGTTTCCTAATAGGAATATCGCGGTAGAGCAGGGTTCAACTCCCTGGCGGAGAAGCTGAGCACCTCTGGGTGTTCTCTTTTTGCGTCTCGTACGAACGGAAGACGAGGATGAGGTTGCAGAGGATCGGCAGATGGACTTTCCCGGGGGTTTTTTTTTGGCCATATTTTTCATTTTCGCATGCATCCTTCACATTTCCGCTGATGACTCCCTGATGCTACGCAGATACACAGACCACACAGACCACACATGTGCACGAGAAGCAACAGCAGATCCGGCATATTGCCAGTGATGGGACTGTTTGAGAATCTGACGCACCATCACATCAATAACCTAGTTGGGACAACTCATAAGCCTTTTCGTCGTTTTTCGCCCTCACCTTTGCCCACTCTCGTCACCATGCTGTCATACGGCCCCATCAATGGTTCCCCGCGGTCCTTACCACTGGTTTCGATGTGGATGTCGTGGAGAGACGGTAGGTGGTGGGCAAGCAATAGCGAACCAATAGCTGACACTGAGGGAAGATTGATGAAGTCGAACCCGTCGCGTACGAAATCCGCGATCGTAACCTAGGCCTATTGAGCATGCGGCACAAGTTTATGACCACGTCGCATGAGATGACACAGTTCGACGCCGACAAGTATATTTATAACGAGCTCATCGGCATTGTGGCACAGTACCTCCCCAACGAGCTCATGCTGCGCTACCGGGACTTTGACGGGGCGAAGGCGTACGAGGCTGCTGAACACTATGTAAGTGGGGGCTTAGAACGGGGCATGGGCCAAGACTGATGGCCCAGGTGGAACACATGCGTCACAGTGCTGCGAAGAATGCGTACGCATGGAGCCGCGATTGAGGGATGGTCCAGGTGGAAATGAAACACAGAGACCAGTCTAAAACGTCCACGTTGATGATCCAGGATCAATGGAACGCTTCTCATATTATTTATTTGTAAAAAGCAAAAATCGTCGATGCCGAACCGTGCGTGCCTACGCGGCGCTGGGCATACTCCGTTCTGATGAGAGCTTGGTCAAATTGGAGGTATCTAAATCCTAGTTATGACCTACGTTCTGAAGTTCACTCTTTGGTCGCTCAGAGCATGACATCATCAAAGTCGGAGGGGCTGGGGTTTGATCCGTGAGGAGAGCAGTGGAAGGAGGGAGGCATTATCTCCTCCCCATGGGCGCTCTTCAACGTGAATAACCCACCGCTTGATTTAAACCCCATATTAAGCCATCACCACCCTTCGTTGACATGCATCAGAGGCCACATGGTGCATCTACAGACCACAACAACACCTAAGGGGGTGCCACTTGTCGACGCAAGACGGAGTTGCTCGGACATGTCCGCCCCAAAACACGTGCCGTGCGCGGTTTAGATCCGCTCCGCTTTGCGATTTCTCGGCTCGGTCCGCTGCATTGTGCTTTGCCGAGAACCATCTACAAGTGCTCGTTCGTCGTCGTCCTCCCCCGTCTCCCTCCCGCAGCCTTTGCCGGTTATCTTCTCTCCCCCCAACACAGCGCCACATCTCCCCTGCGCATCTCCTCTTTCTTTCTCCCCATGTCTCTCCTCGCCCGTTCGTCCCGTATGGCGCCCATCCTGGCCAAGACCGCTTCTGCATCCTCCGCGGCCGTTCGCGTCGCCTCGGCGCAGCGCCACCTCTCGAGCACTGCGGCCGTCATGTCCGACTCTGTGCTGTATGAGTCGGTGGGCTCAACCCGCATCTACAAGCTCAACCGTCCCAAGGCCCTCAACGCGCTTGACCAGGACATGATCGAGTCGCTCGCCAAGCAGGCCCAGGTGAGTGTGTTTTGTGAGGGCAGTGTGTGGCCTACGAGCAGTCTCACTTGCAACTTTAGCCGAGATATGGAGGAAGAGCTGACAAGAGTACAGACCTGGCGCACCAGCGAGCTCTGCCAGCTCATCATTGGCCGCGGTGACGAGCGCGCTTTCTGCGCCGGTGGTGACGTGAAGAGTGAGCTCGTCCTTCACTAACGTTAAGCTAACGGTGCAGCTCTTGTCGAGTCTCGTCCCGAGTCTGGTGGTGCTGTTGCCCTCAAGTTCTTCAAGGACGAGTTTGAGCTCAACTGGGAGATGGGCCGCTTTGGCAAGCCCTACGTCGCTGTGATTGACGGCTTCACCATGGGCGGTGGCGCCGGCATTTCGCTCCCTGCCGGTGTCCGCATTGCTACCAAGAAGACTGTCTTTGCCATGCCCGAGACCAAGATTGGCTACAGCCCCGACGTTGGCGGCAACTACTACATTGCCCAGCTCGACGGCGAGATTGGCGCCTGGCTCGCCATCACGGGTCAGGAGACCTGGGGCCGTGCCGTCTACGAGCTCGGTATCGCTACCCACTATGTCGAGCCCGAGTCGATCCCCGCCCTCGTTGAGCAGCTCCAGAACCTCGAGAACCCCGACCTCCAGACTGTCTCGATGATTGTGTCGTCGTACCACGTCCCTGCTCCTCCCTCGGGCACTGCCGTTTCGTCGCGCGCGTCCCGCGAGGGCCCCACTCCCGTCACCGGCGCCATCCGTACCCTGCTCGACAAGACTTTCGGTCTTGCGTCGATCCAGGAGATCTACGCTGCCCTGCAGAACGCCGAGGGCGACTCGGCGCTCCCTGCCGAGGCCCGCGAGTGGGCCACTGCCCAGCGCGAGATCATGGACAACCGCTCGCCCACCGGAATGGCCGTTGCCCTCGCCAACTTTAAGCTTGCCAAGTCGGCCAAGCGCCTGCACACTGCCCTCGAGAACGACATTACCATGGCCACGGCCTTTGTTGGCACCGACCGCGCCACCGAGGAGTTCACCACCGGCGTCACCCACGTCCTCATCTCCAAGGCCAAGGGCCGCGCCGACTGGTCGCCGTCGGACATCAACGACGCGGCCGTCACGCCCGCCGCGATCGCCAAGAACTTCCTCGACCGCAACAACGCGCGCATCAAGGACGAGATTCCCGCCCTCAACTTTGTGCCCGAGCCCACCACCACCGAGGGCCCCGACTCCACCTGGGGCCAGTTCCGCAAGTACGGCCTGCCGTCCGAGGCCGAGGTGCGCGCGTGGATCATGGGCGAGGCGCCTGGCTCGGGCGCGTTCAAGCTCCGCGAGGACGAGCTCGTCCAGCGCATCTCGGATGCGCGCGGTGAGACTGCCGGCCCGCGCCAGGGCGAGATTGAGCAGGCTGTCCGCAACATTGTCGCTGCCCGCGGCCAAAAGGACGCCGACGGCTACCTCAACTGGCACTAGATGGGGGTTTCTGTAAAAGCAACAACAAAAAACGTGCAAGCAGTTTAAAAAGGAAGCGTGTAGGCAGCGAATAATGCATCTTTATTCAGCATCAGCGGCAGGGTGAAATAATGCAATATGCCATGTGTGTGTGTGTGTTACAGAAAAGAAGTGTGGGTGGACTCGTGTGTCACAGGAACACTCATCCAGCGTAATCCTCATAGAGGTACTCGTCCAGCGTAACCCTCAGCTGCTTTGCGAGCGTCTTGACCGTCTCGTAGTCGGCCTCGCAGCGGAACATGACATTGTCGAGGCGGTCCACTGGCGACGCGCGGCGGAGCAGTCCCTGCGCTTCGAGCTCGGGAATGAGTGCCCAGAGCTTGGTCGAGAATGTCAAGTGGTCTACTTCGTCCTCCCATGCCTCGTCGCGCGCACGCTCGCGCTCGCGTTTCCGCTGGGCGCGCGCGGCGGCGGCGGCCGGGTTCCGCCACGCGTCAATTTCGCGGCTGCCATCCTCGTCGTCCGAGTCGTCCAAGCTCGCAAGGAGGTCTTCGGGCCGTGCAGCGTGTTCGGCGTACAACGAGGAGAACATGCCGAGCAGGCGGTCGAGGGGGAATGGGCGTGGTCCCAGGAGACGTTGGGGGACTTTACCCACACGGAGGCGGCCGTAGCCGCCACGGCGCATGCCGCCGCCGCGCCTGCGTTTGCCGTCCGCTCCTGTTCCACGGCCAAAGAGACGGATATCACTCTTGGCCGGGTTGTAGGAGGCGCAATAGGCCGCGACGAGGAGGAAGCAGGCGGCGCGAGGAAGCTCGAGTGGTGGGGGGCGGGGGACACTGCGTGTCTGAACGGGTCGTGGCATGCCGTTGGGGCCGTAGGGCATGAGTGCGCGAGTAACCTCTGCGCGACCGGTGGTGCGGGGGAGGACGCTCTCGGTGGCCGCCGCCAGCGCGAAAGCCATCTGGTGCTTGAGGTCGGTGAGGAGCTTGACGGAGACGGCGAGGGGAGGCGGAGGGTTCTCTGGGTCCGGATAGGGCTTGCCGAGGAGGGTCATCTCAGCGTGGGCCGGGAGTGTAGCCGTATACAGCGGCCAAAGGGCCTCGGCGACATAGTCAATCTCACTGGGCGGTGATGTTGGTGCGAGGTGGCCAAGTGTTGCGAGGAGAAGGTCCACAAAGCGCGAGTACAATGGGTGCTCGCTGCCGGGAAGTAGACGGGAAATGATCTCTGGCGGGGTTAGCTCACCATACAGCTGGAACCGAACCCACCATCACGTCGCAGTGGCTCCATATAGAGGTGAACTGGCTCGGGCACGTCGCCGCGCTGTGGTCGCAAGTCCTCCCATGGCATCTGTGAGCAGAACACGACTGTCGCGGGAATGTCGACCAGCTCTGCGAGACGCGAAAACGCCGTCCACGATGACCCAAGCACGCTCTTCAGCCTCTCCGCCTTGGTGACCACAATGACCACTTGTCCCTCGTCGTCCTCGCCATCCTCAGCATTGCCATTACTCCTTCCCTTGCCCTTGCCGGCGGCGGCCTTGCTGGCCTTGACGTGCTGTGTCCACAGTCCACGCAACGAGCGCGCAAACGCGTCCCACGTAATGACCTCGCGACCATCATCACCTGCCTGGCGGCCCAGCGTGCTCTCGAGGGCTGTTGACAGACGTCCAAGCGCGCCAGCATAGACTAGACGAGGGGTGTGGTGTTCGATGGCGTCGAGACGGGCAACTGCGCATCGTGGCGGGAGGGAAAGGGAGTGACGGATTGCCGATGCAGGGTGGTGTGGGTGGTGAACGTGGATGAGCGGGGGAGCACCCGGGTGCGCGAGGAGCGCAGTGAGGGCCTCCATGTATGGTCGGGTGAGGTGATGATGATGTGGGTGTCAGCTTGATTTGTTTTGACTTTTGATGCCAGATGGCCTCGTCTCCTGGGTGGTAACACCAGGGACGGCGGCGGGATCAAATGGACGCGCGGTCAATCCATGGTCGACGTCGATGGACCTCGTTCACCATCATACACACCACCAACAATGGCTCGCACACGCCCAGCACCGCCCCCGCCTATCCCCGTCCGTCTCGGCGGCGTGGCACGCTACGACAACATGCCTGCTCGTGGACCACTCGGTCTCCGCCGCTGGTTCTGGAAGAAGGGGTGAGTTGGATGACAGATAGAGGTGGTCCCTGCTCCACGCGCGCTGTGTCTCTTGCTGCACACGAGCACGCTCCTCTGTGCCACCACACGTCCCGTCGCCTTTCCATTCACGCGCTGACCCGTTCTCTCAGTGTCCAGATTGACGCGCACCTTTCCTTTGCAATGCTCGAGTGGTGGGAGGCGGTTATCGTCGGTGCGTAGTTGCAACCCCTGTCGCCTGTCACCCGGCGTCCGGCGGGTTCCGTGCTTTGAAGCCCGCCCCATGGCCCTACGAGCCTGTGGTGCCACCTCCTGTAGCGCGCTGACCTTGTTCCTCCTCAGCCCTCATCGTGCTCCCCATCACGGCACTGTTCTGGTACTCGGCCTTCACCTACTTCCCCGCGCACGTCCGCTACATTTCCAAGCGGTTCAGCTACTATGTCTTTGAGGACGAGAACGTCGACGCGTTCGCCCGGTTCCGTGCCTACGTCGCCGAGTGCCTCAACGTCTTGTGGCTCTCGCTTCGCGGCGCCGCTGCTGGGGCCGCGCCCTCTGCGGTCACAGGCAGCCACGGAGAGCTTTAACCTCCCTAGTCCGACCACGAACCTAACTACACCTGGACACCACCATCGCACGCACATCCGTCGCATGATACTTTGACGGCGACCTATTATATACATCTCCATACCCTAATGACAGGTCGGCAGCTCCGCTCGCCGGGTATTTGTTCGCACTACTTCCTCTTCTCTTCCTTCCTTCCTTCCTTCCTTCCTTCCTTCTCTCTCTAGAGCTTGGCCTGAGCCGGGGACTCTCCAGCGCGCTCGGTGTGCTTGTGGATCCAGCCCGAGACCAAGTCCGCGAGCTTGACCGGCTCGGGCGCCAGCTCGTTGTGCGGTTCGTGGAAGAGGCCCTCGAGAAGCTTGGTCGTCTTGTCCTTGGCGGTACAGTGGTCGCCAAAGCGGACCGTGGCCTTCGCGCAGCAGATGGAGTCGGCGCCGCCGTGGTAGAGCAGGAGCGGGAGCGTGGCCGGCCAGCTGTCCCATGCCGCGCGCGTGTCGAGAAACTGGCCGCCATTGATCATGTCTGCGATGGCCTTGAGCGAGCCCGTCGGCTCACACATCGTGTCCTTGAGGACCTTTTCGGCAACCTCGGGGTCATGCGAAAACGCCTGTGTAGTGTGTCAGTGGCTTGGCAATGAGCACGAAGGGTGGTGCACGTACGTCGGCGTCGAGGGGGGTCTTGATCGTCATGTTACCCAGGCCGAGCTGGACGGCAAGGAGGCCGACCTTGACCTGAATAGTAGACAGCGGGATGGCCGACTTGATGTACGGGCCAGAGACGATGACGCCGTTCAGCAGCGCGAGCGTGTCGGCGTGCGCCGTGGGGTCGCGCGTCACAAAGCCAAGAGTCTCGCCGCCACCCTGTCGTGTCAGCTAATGCAGATTGAACAGTTCGTAGCCGGGACGTGAACAGCACGGACGCACGGACGCGGCACCGCGCAGCGTCCTAGCCGATAGCTCTACACCAGACATCCCACATCCCATCCCAACTCACCATCGAGTGGCCGTAGAGGAACAGCGGCTTGCCGTTGGCGCGCTCGTGCTCCTGCTTGACAAAGTAGGCCATGTCCGGGAGAGCCTTTGCCCAGCCGCCATTCTTGCCGCGCGCATTCTTGCCCTCGAGCTTGACGTCCTTGCCCTCTGCCTTCCAGGCGGCCGCCTCTGACGCGCCGGCCTCGAGGGGCTTGATAGACGTACGGCCGTGGCCGCGCTTGTCGTACGCAAAGACGTGGATGTTGTGTGGCGGGGCAGCGAGGAGGCGAAAGTACGCGTCGTAGCGCTGGATGTGCTCTGCAAAGCCGTGCACGAAGACGACGTATGCGTCGGGCTCGCCGGTGGTTGGGAACCACTTTGGGCTTGAGTCAGCATTTGCGGGCATGGGACATGCAATGTTCAAGGGAGAGTCAACGTACACGCTTGGTGAAAAAGGGGGTTCCCTCGAGACCGAGGACATAGCCCTCCTGGGAGGACACCTTGCTCTGCTCTGCGATGGTGGCCATGGTGAGAGGGAGTGGTGTGGTGTGTGAGATGGAATGTGTGAAGTGTTGACACGGTGGCGGCCATGAGCTAATACCCCCCTAGGAATGTCGTCGCACCCTTCCGGCCCAGTTGCCAGCCGGTAGAGCCCGTTCGGTGGCGCCTAGATCCGGTCCAAGTGCAAGCCATCGACGCGCACCAAACGGCCCCCGTCGTCCGCTCGGTGCTCTTTGTCATCGTCAAGCAGCAGCAGCACCTCCTCTCTCTGCTGCGCGTGCTCCCGACGCAACAGGAGAAGAGAACCATTGTTCCTGCCCCAGCAACTGCAAAAAGTTGGTGATTACCCGGCTTGCCCTGCGCGCTTACGACCGTCCAATTCTCTTGGAGCACCAATGCCAGACTGGTCAGACTGATCCGTTACCGGCCTGTCCGAAGCGTGTAGCTTGTAACCAACCTGATCACCGAGACGTTAAACCATGCACAAGGTAGTGATACCTTGGTGGGGCTCGAACACTAGTGCTAGAGGAGACAAATATGCCGTACGAGGAGCGCGCTGAAGCAAGGATCTCCGTGAAGTGAATAAACACCTTCCCAAAGCCATGACAGCTGATGAACGTTGGGTTTTTTAGGCCGTTAAAAGGCGCCTGCTGCGACCTCGTCTCGTCGCAAAAGAGTGAGAACGCAACGCCAGGTCGTGGCCGTCGGCAGTAACCGATTGTCTCAGCTGTCGGTGTGTATTCCCTGACGTGTCACCGCCGCCGTCAACCGTCTCCATCTCTTCCTCGCTTCTTCGAACAACCCTTCAACCACTCTCTCTCTCCTCCCCAACAATGAACAGCCTCAACGCCCTGGGTAACCGCCAGGTCACTTCCCTCCAGCATGACCTCTCGCGCATGGAGACGGGCGAGGCCGGCCCCAGCGTCCAGGGTGAGTCGGGTTCCATCTCATGCCCGCTTCCAGCGGCAACAACGGCAAAACAACACCTGCTCCCAGTGTCATCGCACAATGGTCCGAGATGCGTGGGGGACGACGAGATAGTATGGCTAGGCAATCACCTTTGTCAAGGTCCATTGCCTCCTCCTCCGACCTTGTGTTCACACTGTGCCGCTGCCGCTGATGCAGCATTGGAGCAGCTGAGGGGACGTCTTCATTTGACCACAGCTGACCTTTTCCACAGGACAGATCACCACCACGCTCGCCGCCCTCTCGCGCCTGATAGACGACTACGACTCGATGGCGCGCAAGGAGATGGTCACTGCTGCGCGCGAGAAGGCCAACACGTGAGTTTGTCCCAGACCAGAGCAGAACGACAGGACAGAACAGTGTGCATTGGGCGCGCCCGCCCTCCACGTCCACTGGCTCGACTACCCCCCAGCTTCCACATTGCCAGTGACGCTGACGCTGACGCCTCGTCATCCAGCCGCGTGGCCAAGCTCACAAACGACCACAAGGAGCTGAAAGCGCGCTTTGAGCGGGCCAAGAACGACTCGTCGGCGCGCGCGCGCAACGACCTCCTCGGCGTCGGCAGCGCGACGGGGGCCGCGGGCTCGCCCAACCATTCAGGAGGGTCCCTCCCGCACCGCCGCGTCACGTCCAGCGCCAACGGCCCGCCCTCGCCGCTGCACGAGTCGCCGTTTGGCAACTCCGCCGCTGGAGGAGGGTACATGGGGCCGAACGCGCGCGAAGACTATGCGCTGCGCGAACACTCGTTCATCCGCGAGTCGGAGAACAACATTGACCAGTACATTGCCCAGGGCCGGGCGGTCCTGGAGAACCTCGTCGAGCAGCGCGGTATCCTCAAGGGCACGCGGACGCGGCTGCTGGACGCCGCCAACACGCTGGGACTGAGCAGGGAGACCATCTCCTGGGTTGAGCGCAGGACGTGAGTGGGCTAAACGAAGATGTAGGAGCTGACAGCCCCGTGCAGTAAGGAAGACAAGTGGATCTTCATCGCTGGCGGAACGTTTACCCTCGCGTCGTTTGCCGGCATCTACTACTACTTTGGCTAGGCGCCGCCGCTCGACGTTATCATCTCCCTCGACCATCGCCCTACTCGCTTGCCACGACCAGAGCTGGAGCTCAGTCGGCCATCACACCTACCAGCCGGTGCGCCCATCCCCGCCCCGCACGACTATCATCACGCCAACAACACCCGTCACATTCCCCTGTCGCTTTTTGTCATTGCTATAATGTTGAGTTTTTTGATATCACGATCCTGCATGTGATGCGTTTTGTCCTCGCCCACAGACTGGTCACAAGCCGGCTTTCATCTCAATTCACATAAGGTATTTACTATTGCTACTGCTACTGCTATCATTTAGAACGGGCCAAGGGGGGTTTCTTTTTCAAAGCCGAACACCATAGCGCGACGCGCCCCAGAAGAGAACCATTGCCTTGACCATCTCGCGAAAGTCGTTAATCTGACCTGCATCAGCCCCAGCGCGAGCCCCAGCAGTCGGGGGAACTCACAAACACGCCCATGTTGGCGCCAATGCTCTGCTCGGCCACAGCCCCGCTCAGCGCGCGCGGGAGCGCGTGCGAGAGCACGCCCTCGCCGCGCCGCATAACGAACTCGAGCACGACGCCCTTTTCGGTGTAGTCGTTGAGGATGGCGCCGGTGGCGCGCCACCAGAGGGCCTCGTTCTCGAGGTCGGGAGCGGGAGGGTAGTTTACGCGCCGGGCGAGGGAGGCGGCGTGCACTGTGTCGGATTGGAACTGGCGGAAGCGGTGGATCTGGCAAAGGTGTGTCAGTTGAGTCATGAGCCAAGGGGCCAACTCACAAAGGTGTTCATATCACGCTCGACGACCCAGGGCGACAGGTAGCCGCGCAGCGCGAGCGCGAGGTCGCGACGGAGACACATCTCCTGCTCGACCATAAAGTCGTCCAGGAGGAGGCGGAACGCGGCGTTCCACCATTCCTCCCTTTCGCGCTCGATGGTTGAGCGGAGGTGGACCTCACGCTCACGCTCACGCTCCAGCTCGAGGTTGCGCTGGCGCTCGGACTCCCTCTCATTCTCAAACTGGACGCGTTGGAGGAACTGCTCCGTCTCCCTCTCACGCTCACGCTGTTCCATGGCGATCTCGCGACCACGCTGCATCTCACGCTCACGCTCGCGGTTACGCGTACGCTCGCGCTCGACCTCGGCGTGGTGGCGTTCCTCGGCAGCGAGGCGCTCCCACTTGCGTTCCTCCGTCTGCCGCTCCTGCGCCGCCAAGCGGTCGCGCTCGCGCTGCTGCACGACACTCTGCCACTCGCGCTCGGCGATGGCCTCGGCGGCACGGAGCTTGTCGGCCAGCGTCTCGGAGCAACCGGGGAAGGCGCGGCGTTCGTCCTCGGCGAGCTTGGCCGCCCACTCGCCTGGGTTGGCTGGGAGCGGGGCGGGTTCCGAGGTCAAGACTTCGTTGCCCTTGTCGTCAGCGTCGGCAACGGAGGCCCTGCGTGTCGAAGCGCGAGAAGCCGTGGTGGGAAGCGGACCGCTCATTGCGGGGACGGAGGCGCGGCGCGTACGGCGCGTCTTGGTCGACGTGCTGGAACGGCCACTTCCATTCGCGAGCGGGGTGGCGTTACTGCCGGTGGCGGTCGGCGCTGAAGAAGAGGAGGACGAGGACGCCGTGCTGCGACGGGAGGGTGTACGGGTCGTGATCGCTCCACCTGGCCATCCAAGGCGCAGCTGGGCGGCTCGAGTGGGGTGTAAGCTGGAGAGGGCAACGGGCCGGGAAGACGGAGTCGGGGTGGGATTGGGGGTAGGGGTGGGGGTGGGGATTGAGGTTGTCGTAGGCGGGGGACGAGATGGAGGAGGAGGCGTAGGGATGGGAGTGATGTGGGCCGACCTCATAGTCTCTGTGATGCTGGACATGGGGCGGGAGGGGATGGAAGGGAATGTGCTCTTTGGGATGGCGAAGGACGTGAAGCCTGAGAGTACAGAAGGTGGGCGGGAGGTATGCGGGGTGGCGGTACCGTGTGGGGGTAGTTCACGAATGAACACCATTGTGTGCACGGTGTGGTGGATGCTACAGACTGCCAGAGACTGACGAAACTTGTGAAAGAGAGTGAAAAAGATAAAGAAGAAGGTGGATGAGTGGACCCAAGGGGAGAGGGAAGGCGTGGAGGGAAGGCAGATACCCGCGTACCACCAAAAGGGCGCAAACACGCGGGGAAGGTGCGCGCCGACGAGCAGTCCAGTCAACCAGACCACCGGCCGCATGCCCCCAAGACACGCACAGCACTACGCACACCCTTCAACGGACTGTAGTACTGCAGCGCAATCAACAAGGTCGTCGACGCGTCGATGACATTGCAGTGTGTCCATGCATACACTTACTGGTCGAGCCCACCCGGGGTGGCAAGTCTTTGACCGACGAATCCGATCATGACGCTCGCTGGGCGCAGCGTGGAGTGGCCGTTGGCGTGTGCAAGGAGGACTGTGGAAACAGATTCTGGACCTGGAACTGATCTGGACTCCCATCGTCATCCTTGGCCCCCTCTGTGCCGGGCCATCTGATATGCTCACGGTCAATGCATCATGCTCGCTATCTCTGGAAACACACTTCGATCGGCTTGGCAAGACCCACATCTACCCGACTGCTGTGATTTGCCACCCACTATGTACGACTGCCCGTACTGCCCTTTATTTAATGAGACACTAGATTTTCTATTAAAATCCTTCACAGCGTCAAAAGATTCCTCTCTATTCTTCTACCCCCTGTGGGGGTGGTGCCCCACGGATCGGCTATGTGTCGTCCTTCCTCACCAAGACGGGCGGCAGGTGTCGCATGTGATGAATCTGGACCCATCAGCTGTATTCCAAAGACCCCAGATGCCCATTTCCATCCTCCCTACTCACCCAGCGGACGACATACACTGGGACGTCGTGGGGGTCAATGCCCATATTGATCAGAGCGCGGGGGAGCTTCTCCTGGACGACCGCCTCAAATTCGAACGACAGGAGCGCCGTCTTGGCCTCTTCCGAGTACCCCTCAAAGCCCTTGGCCAGATTATGGAGATGAAGGCGGTTGAATCGATAGATGTCGGACACGATAGGTCGGCAGGTGCTGAGCTGCAAGTCCCATTAGCCATCCCCTCTTGGCTGGTGTCTCTGGTCCAGCTGCGACGGGGTACTCACCACAAACGGCCAGCAGTCACACGAAGAGCTCGGCAGTGACGCTTTGGACATTGTGTACTGTCAAGGTGAGCAATGCGACACTGCTGTCTAATGATGGTGTCCCCATCAGCCGGCACCTTGCCCGCCCGTGCAGCGGTCCCACGTCTCGTCCTGTCTCGCACTGGCACCTCCACTGATGGGACCTCAAACACATACACACGACAAAAATCCTGCATCAGCTACGGCTGCAGAACAGCACCAGGGACCATGTCTACCAGATGCTCGCTCTCCGTGAGCCCCCCGCTGTCGCGCTGGGGCAGGTGCTTGAAGTGGTGCAGCTGTGATCGCTTAGCCCCCCGACATGGCCAATGTCGTTTTGCCACTCACAAAGCTGTTGGTCATGAACGTAGCAATCTGCTCAGACATGCCGGCCTGCATGCAGTACAGGGGCATGTACTTCTTGATGGCACTCTCTGCAAAGGAGCGTGCCATCTTGGCCTTGTACTCGTATGGTCCCTCGACGTTTGCATGGTAGCGAGCAATGGAGATTTGGTGCATGCCGATGGTGGCGTGCCCGATCGGCCAGGCTTTGTTGAGCTGAAGCACTGCGTCAGGGAGGTTGAAGCTTGGAGGAGGAGAAAGCACGTACCGCGCGGTTGTCGCAGTATGGGCAGTCGAGCCATTCATAAACAATGGGTGGGGGTGGCCGTGGTGGTGGGAGTGGCGGAGGTCCCATGTCGTAATGGTGCGGCATGGGCTTGGTCTCGGGATACTGAGACGGTTCCATTTTGACAAACTGGTTGAAGTGAGGAGCGTCCATGGTGTCGGATTTCGTTGAGAAAAGAGACCCAGACCCGTGCAAAGAGGTCTCCTTATAGCAGTGACTCGAGAGCAAAAACCCACACACGGTGCGAAGACGTTGGAGGTTCATCTAGTGAACCAACAATCAGCTGTTCAACATCAACGGGCGCCAACCGGCGAGAATGGCGACCCTTAATTTTAGCACTTTTCGACCTTTTTTCCATTCCACAACGGTCGCCTTCTCACGGGGCAGGCACGTTTGACTGCAGCAAGCAGCATTTAACAGATGAGAGGCAAAACACAAGCGTATTTGAGATACGCTTGGCCATGTGCAGGACCAGCAAAGGGCCAGCTTCAGCCATTACATTTGGGTATGTACATTCCATCACCCCTACCCGGCAACTCAATCGGCATGGGCTCCCATCGGCAGCTCCGCGAGCGTGTTGCGGTATCCTAGCGAAGCGACAGTCGTTGAGGCGTAGCGAGTTCTCTCAAAGTTGACACCGACACCCTTGCGCCTCGCCAAGGAGGATTTGCGTTCGGAGGCCCCACCCCCGCGACACGGACGCTCCCCGTCAAAGATCTCTGCAATCTCCTCGAGCATATGGCCCTTTGTCTCTGGAAAGTAGAAATAGATAATGGGGATGGTGACGGTGAGAACTCCGATGAAGACAAAGTAGAAACGCCACTCGATGGTATGGAGAGCTATGGGTGCTATCGGCATGTCAGCTCTTGCGACACTACAAGTGGGGGGGCGACACGCACTGATGTAGACGTTGAGGCAGTTGGCAAAGAGCGAAGCGCTGAGGAGGATGGACACGCCCTTGCTACGCATGCTGTATGGAAGGATTTCGATGGGATACGCCAGGGTGAGACCGCTAAACTGCGACTTGTCAGCGGATAATGCATGTGGAGCGTACAACTCACGGCGAGGGCAAAGAACGAAAGGTAGACGAAGATGAACGTGAGCACTGCGGGTCCTGCTCTGTCATTGCCTTGGGTGTACAGCGCCGAGCAACCTGTGATGACAGCGTACGCAATCAACTGGCCAATGGCTGATGTGAGCCACATCTTGCGACGGCCAAAGTGCTCGCACACGAGGGAACCGGCAACCGACGAGAACCATCCCCAGGTTTTGAGACCGGCCTTGAACAAGAGTTGATAACTGGACTGGTTGACGCCGACGGTCTCCAGGATGGCAATTGTGCTGTTCAGTCAGTGACCTCTGCATAGACTTTGATACTTGCTAAAATGCCACCACTCCTGTCAATGACATCAGCATGCGTACACTTCATTTACCGCTGAAAACATACCATTGCCGACCCACTGGGAACAGATACCCGCGGTGAGGATGATCCCCAAGCGCCAACGGTTCCCCTTCGTCTTGACAAATGTGCTCCACGTCGTGTGGTCGCCGAGGTGCTCGATCGCGATGGCCGTCTTGATATCTTCCATCTCGTAGACAACCAGGGGGTCGTGCCAGTCTCCATTGGCGTGGTACTTGGCCAGCATGTCGTGTGCCTCGCGATCGTGGCCGTGGCGGATGAGCCAGCGAGGCGACTCTGGGATCCAGGGCAGGCACGCGAGCACGATGATGGGCAGACAGCACTGGGAGGCCAATGGCGCCCGCCATGCCCAATCTGAATCGCCCACAATCTGCAAACACCCAAACACGACCCACACGGCCGCGATGCTGCCGACGTAGAAACAGCTCATGATGAGTGCCGTGGTCACCGCACGGTTGCGCGGGTGCGCAATCTCGGCGGTGTAGGGGCCGCCACAGACCGTGTTCCAGCCGAGGCCCATGCCAATGACGAACCGGCCAGCAAAGAACGTCCATGGACCCTGGGTGAATGCGAGCGTCATGGCACCGCCCATCAGGATAATGTAGCCAAACGCCATACCCTTCCTACGGCCCAGCTTGTCCGAGACGTACACTGCTGGGAGGAGACCAGGCAGCGAGCCGATGGACTGGGAAGCGACCAAGGTGCCCAGAATGGACGGACTGGGGTTCCCGAGGTCGTCCATGAAGCGGTCGTTGGCCAAGAGGCCCGACATGAGGGCGCTGTCGTATCCTGAACCACGTCAGCACTGTAATTTCCTTTGGAGTATACGTACCGGCAATAATACTGGTGCAGAAGCCAACAAAGATGCCAAGGGACAGGCGGCGCATACCAGGGTCCCGGAACCACCATTTCTCAGTGTGATTCGGCAGATGGGTGAGGGTGTACATCGGGTCTGCACCTTCTGGGATGTGGTACTTCTTTAGGTCGACTGCTTCTTCATCCACGCTGGATTTTTCGTCGTCTGGCATGCTGGGTAGGCAGGCGTCTGTGGCACGATTGTGGAGGGATTAGGAAGGTGGCGTGGTACAATGTCACGATGGCGAGGGAAAACTATGCATGACGATAGGACGCCAGCAGTGATATGGCTGATGAGATGGAGCTGATCTCGGACTATCATTGTATCACGAATGGCAAACCCCAGTGGACACGCAAGCACCAAAATAGGACGGGCCTGGGCTAGGCAAAGATCAAGATTGGTGAGTAAACAGCTGCGGGGAAGGCTCTTTTGCGCCGAAGGGCCTTTTCGGCCATCAGACATCAGCCAGAGAAGTCCAGACCATTGTCCCAAACCCGATTGTCAACAAACAGGTATACACTCATCGGTGTCCCCTTGCCACACACCCCAAACTGGCAAAATCAGTCTGGCAACCGTAGCCACAACGGTGTTTGTTTAACCGGAGCCTTTTTCGCGTCATTTTTCTGGATTTACGGCACATACCCTTGGCTGTGTGTGTGCTGGGGAAATAGACAGAGCTGGATGCCCACAGTAAACAAAAACTCCAGATCCCACTACCGTTCCAGTCCGAGGAATGCGTCAGATGTGTCTTCGGGAATGGGGCAAGGATACACAGTATGGAGCCTGGAGGACGGCAGAAGAAGACGCCGACAGGCCAGACCCAGGTGCTGTGACCGACCCCCTTTCGTCTTGAGAGATCACCAGGTGTCTCTGTCTGCAGTGCTTATTGGGCTCGTGGCAGTGGCAAAGGAGCTCCGAAGCTCCGAAACTCTTCCCTCACTCAGCAGACTCGGACGTTGGGTTGATGAAACCTGGGGGACGACCGATCGGCAAATTACATACACACCCAGCAGATCTGCTGTGCAGCCCGATCGATCAACCACCAACACCTTCCGATATCCACCAACCTCACTTCTGGTCAAAATCAATGCATTGCAGCACCCCACGTCGTGCTGAACAAGGCCAAAAAGGTCACGACGGGGATCGAACCCGCGATCTCCTGATAATCGAGCTGAATCGTAGTCAGACGCCGTACCATTTGGCCACGCGACCGAGATGAAAGTTGTCTGTGGCACGAGATCAGCGGGCGGAGAGTGTTGCTTCGCTTGCTTGTCCCTCTTGCCCCTCTCTAGGCTGTCGCAGCGGGCCTACCCCGTGCGGTTCCAGCAAGAGAACCGTGGAGTCAATCGACACTGCGCCAACGAGGCGTCTTGCGGGGAGTATCCTTTGTCCCGTGGATGGGTTGCACCGCTCCGCGGCCGGGCGGGCGTGACATGTGTCCGCCTGTGAGGTGCGTCATCGGGCCCGTCAAGGACGTGGGTCAGAGCGATGCGTCTGAAGGACCGAGGCTCTACGAGATCTGGTTAACGTTCGTCATATGGAGACCGCGTTATACTGAGGCAGCAATGAGAGCGAGTGAGAACCAGCCGGGCCAGATGGACCCGTGGCACTGCTGCACTGCCCAGTGTTCATCACGCCCTCATGCTATGCTGTTACAAGTAGCCTGTTGTATGCCACACATGGAATACTGCGTCAGACGTGGTGGTGGCTGAGGGATGACATCAGACATGAGGGCGCAGCACATTGTTTTGATTTGTTGGATTTTTACAGATCGGCATCGTCACTACTACACTGTCAAGGACCGATGGAGCGTCATGTACAAGGTCAACTGACCTTCTCTTCGGCATATGCGTGTATTTCTACAAGCGACTGACATGTCTTAAGTATTCCCTTCCCACTCGTGCTACTGAGTCGTTCCATCACACCATCTGTCGCCACGACACTTTACTGCAACACCATTCTCACAACACCATCGCTACTTTCGCCATGTCGTCGTACCCGTACCAGGACAAGTCCCTTTCGGTGGAAGACCGCATTGACGACCTCCTCCCCCGCCTCTCCCTCGAGGAGAAGGCTGGCCTCATGTTCCACATGATGATTCCTGCCAACCCGGATCTTGAGAAGAAGAACCCCAACTTCTCCACGTTTCCTTCCACCAAGGAAATGCTCGAGAGGGGCTTGACCCACTTCAACATCACCGGCACTTTTGACACCCCCAAGGAGTTTGCCGAGTTCACCAACCAGCTTCAGAAGGCCGCACTGGACATCGGCCGCTGGGGCATCCCGGTGACTCTCTCCACCGACCCGCGCAACGCGTTCATCGACAACCCTCAGCTCTCACTCCCTCCGGGGCCATTCTCCCAGTGGTGCGAGCACATTGGCATGGCTGCCATCGGAGACGAGGGGCGCATGCAAGAGTTTGCCGACATTGTCCGTCAAGAGTACCTTGCTGTTGGGTTGCGTGCGGCCTTGCACCCCCAGGCCGACCTGGCCACCGAATCGCGCTGGTCTCGTACCCCTGGCTCGCTCGGCGAGGACGCCGACATGTCCACGAGGCTCGCCGCTGCCGAGATTCGCGGTCTCCAGACCAAGAAGTTTGGCCACGAGTCGGTCGCTGCTTGCATCAAGCACTTCCCTGGTGGTGGTACCGTCAAGGACGGCACCGACCCTCATTTCTCCTGGGGCGCTGAGCAGATCTATCCCGGCGGTATGGAGATGTTCGAGTACCACCTCAAGCCGTTCCGCACTGCCGTCGACGAAGGTGTGCGCGTCGTCATGCCTTCATACGGCAAGCCCATGGGCATCGGCTACGAGGAGGTCGGCATGGGTTTCAACAAGGCGATCACGCACGACCTTCTTCGTGACGGACTCGGCTTCAAGGGTGTTGTGGTCTCTGACTGGGGCCTTTGCGTCGACATGCCGGGCGCCAACATCATCGGCGACATCGCTACTGCTCGTGCCTGGGGTGTCGAGCACCTCAGTCCCGAAGACCGCGCTGTAAAGTGCATCAACAGCGGGTGCGACCAGCTTGGTGGCGAGTACACCCCGTCCTTCATTGTCAACACTGTCAAGGACGGTCGCCTCTCCGAGGACACTGTGAACGACTCTGTCCGCCGCATTCTGCGTGACAAGTTTGAGCTTGGTCTGTTTGACAACCCCTACGTGGATGTCAACAAGGCCAACAAGATTGTCGGCAACAAGAAATTCAAGGCGGCTGGAGTCAACGCCCAGATGGACTCGGTCTGTCTCCTCAAGAACGACAAGCCCGCCGGCATTCACAAGAAGATGCTTCCCTTCCCCAAGGACTACAAGGTTTACCTCGAGGGGTTCAAGGAGAAGCACTTCCGCTATGTTGTCGACAGCCCCGATGAGGCCGACGTCGCTGTCGTCCGTCTCGCTACCCCTTGGGTCCCAACGGGCAATGGACCCTTCGCCGCTCGCTTCCACCACGGTGCTCTTGAGTGGAACGACGATGTCCTCGAGAACATTCGCAAGCTGTCCAAGCGTGTCCCCGTTGTTATCGAGATTTTCGCCGAGCGTCCTCCTGTGCTCGGCACCCTTGACCACGACGCCTCGGCCATTATGGTCTCCTTTGGCCTCTCTGAGCCGGCTCTTGTCGACGTTCTTCACGGCCACTCTCCCAAGGGCAAGCTCCCCTTCGACCTGCCCCGTTCCACCGCAGCGGTGATTGACAGCAAGACGGACACGCCGTTCGACACCCGCAACCCGACCTACCGCTTCGGCCACGGTCTTCGTTACGACTAGGACGGTACAGCAGAGTCCCGAAGGTAAAAATGCTGTGCGTCGTGCTATGTAGTGATGAAGGAAGTAGCTTTTAAGCCGGAAAGAAGTATGCAAAGTGTCTGAAGACGAACCTGACCTGCCGCAAGCCTTCACTGCATCGCCACCCCCTGCTGGCCTGGTGGCGCCACTGCGCGCGTTGTATTGCCGTGCTTGGCTTATCTCAGACCAACTTCAACCTGTCTCTTCAGACCACGTGGCCGAGGAGACGGGACATGCGGGACACCCTGTGGACCTGTAGCAGGAGGCACTTGCACTCTAGTTCTCTGAAGGTGGCGGCCTGAGGCGATGAAGCCAAGCTGAGGTCAGCCATGCAGCCAAGACCGTCCACCAGATCGCCCGGCCGCACTTGGATCCGGTGGCAAAATGACACCGACAGGTCCCACCTTCAACCGACTGAACCGATCCAGCCGGGAGCTCGAGTGCCTATCTTCCTGCTCCTGTGCATCTGCCTTCTTATCACTCAGGACCTGCTCGAGACATTCTGAGACCCAGAGCTGTGTTATGCATGGTGATCCGGTCGGTCAATGTGTTTGAGGGGCGATGCTTTGGGTGGCAACTGTTGGTGAGCCACGTGCCAGGCACGGGCCGTTCGCCCGGCACAGCCGATGTTCGAGCGCTCTGGCGACGAGGACACCATACGACGCGTCATGGATTTAACAACTGCACTCTTTCTCTCAACTTCTTCCAACTTCTGCTATCACTCAGTGCTCTTATTGTCTCTCTGTCATAGTATAGCATCTCCCGCTCCACACACATCGCTTCGTTTCGCTTAGAAGATACGCCCTAGACGACTCCCCACACACGGACAACACCCCCAGCCATCTCCGCCTGGTGACCACCAGCGTCATTTGTCACCATGCCGCCACCCAGTCGTGCAGACCTCTGGCAGTCTGGCAAGGACGAGACTGTAGAGGTCAACCAGCGAGCTCTTATTGACAGTGAGCTCACCTGTTGCGAGGCATCAGCTGACACATCACAGAGATCCTCGCGCGCTACTCAGGAGAGCACACAAGTGAGCCGGCGCGACCCTGCGTTGATGTGGCCTGGCACTGACCCCAGTCTTCCGCGAGCTTCTCCAGAACTCCGACGATGCAGGAGTGAGTCAGCTATGGACACCAAAGGCAATGAGCTAACGGTTCCAGGCGCAGCACGTCCAGGTCAAGTTCTATACGGAGGCCGGCTACGCCGCTCACGAGAGCGGCTCGCCACCTCCACCATTGCCTGATGCCAAGACAGCTCTGGTAAGTCTAGCCAGGTGGGATGGCATGACACATGCTGACTTGTTAGATCAATCGATATGTTGTGTCCAACGACGGTATTCCATTCCGCCCCGAGGACTGGCATCGCTTGAAGAAGGTGAGGTGTTGAGGCGTTTCCGTGTGCACCTCAGCTGACGGTTTAGATCGCCGAGGGCAACCCCGACGAGGAGAAGATTGGAGCGTGGGTACCATGGAGTTATCCATACTGACTGGCTCCAGCTTTGGTGTCGGTTTCTACTCCCTGTGGAGCGTCTGTGGTAAGCAGCCATCACTTCGGCGCCTGGCGCCGTTTCAAGCTGACCCTTCAGATGACCCGTTTGTCGAGTCTGGAAACAAGTGGATGGGCTTCTACTGGAAGGACGGAAAGGACCAGCTCCTTGCTCGTTCAGGTGACCTCCCACCTGGTAGTGCAGCCGCATCTACCGAGCCTTCTCAAACTGGCCACCCATGGACGTCATTCTCGATGGCACTCCGCGAGCCCGCCCCCCTCGAGGGTCCACTCGAGTTTGCTCGCTTCCTCGTCACCAGTCTCACCTTTATGCGCACGATCAAGCGTATTGACATGATCGTCGACGACACCAAGGTGCTCGAGGTCCGCAAGGATATCAAGGGTCAGGTGGCCGTTACCCGCCCTGGCCTGAACAACACAAGTGGCATGGGTATGATGAAGGTGCTGGGCGTCGACGCGACCACTATGGTGATTACCGCCCGTGTCATGAAGTGGCTGTCTGCCACTGGAGTGACACCCCCACCGTTGCCACCTCCCTCGGTCAAGCCCAAGTCGACAGGCGGCCTGCTTGCATCGTTCTTTGGCCGAAGCGCTGTAACCCCTCCCCCACCTGAACCGACAGCTTCGCCAGCCATCCCTATCGACCCGACAGAGGTAGATGTCCTCTCACGCGAGATTCAGATCTACCAGGCGGATATCAAGGTCACAGTTTCGCCCCCATTCGCGCGCGAGCTTGAGCGTGCCACCAAGAAGGCGCCGCCGTCTCGGATGCCGGCCAGCCTTGTCTTCTCTCGGGAAGACGAGACTACGACTGCCGCGGACGGCTCGGCCATCTCGGAGACGAAGAGGGCCGCTGCCGTGTTTGCTGGTCTTTGCCCACCTTTGGATGGTGACAAGTCGGCCAAAGTCTTCATTGGCCAGCCAACAGGCCAGACGACCGGTATCGGCGGACACCTCGCGGCACGCTTCATCCCTACCGTGGAACGCGAGTCCATCGACCTTGTTGACCGCCATGTGTCACACTGGAACAAGGAGCTGCTCTGGGTTGGAGGTTTCCTCGGCCGTTTGATCTACGAGCTCGAGCTCGTTGAGCTTCAGAAGCAGTGGCTCAAGACCACGACAACAGACCAGGCCGCGCGAACTCAGATTCTTGCTCGCGGTCTTCACGCGTTGCGCTTCTTCACCTTCCGCCCCACAACCCCATCTGCCACCGTGGGTGCGGAGATGGAGTCTGCTTTCTTCCAGTGTTCAAAGAACAACTCGACCATGCCCATCGTTTCCACTGCTGGTATCATGAACGTCGACAAGGTTCGCATGCCCAACGAGAAGCTGCTCGAGTTTATTCCCGATTTGCCAGTCGTTACTCCGGCTACTGTAACGGACGCGTCCCGTGCTGTCGCGCGGTTCCGCGAGCGCGGCCTTATTCGTGAACCCACGTTTGACGATGTTGTCACTCAGCTGGGACTGCGTCCCCTCGTGGAGAAGGAGATGGTTGCTTGTCTGGCGTGGTGGGAGTCGATTGCCAAGCTGGACGCGTACTCGACTGCCGTGCGCAACCGCCTGCTTGATGTTGCCGTTCTCATCACCGACTCCTCCAAGGTCATCCCCCTCAACGCTGTTGCGACCTATATCAATCCTCAGGGCTCGTCCATTCCACCCGACATGCCTCTGCCCACTGACACGATTCCGTACTCTGTCACAAAGGGGCTCAAGGGCGCGCAGATGTCTGCATCCTTTGGCTGGACGGAACTCACCCTCGCGCACTACGTCAACTTCATCGTCAAGCCGCCCATGTCCAACGCCACGGGCGCGGACCCGGCAACAGATGTTCGCGTCTCGCCTGTGTTTGCCGAGCGCGTACTGGGCGTGCTCGGCCGCGGCTGGCAGTCCATCAACGCTGGTCAACATGCAGCCATCATTCAGACTTTGAAGGAGGTGCCCATGATTCCTACCAAGGCAGGGTTCAAGAAGCCAGCGGAGGCCTATTTTGAGAAGAACCTTCTTTTCGATGACCTCCCTACTATTACCCTGCCCAAGACGACTGCTATCAAGGGTGGTCTGGAGAAGATGCTTTTGGACATTGGCGTGCGCCGCACCGTCGACCTGCAACTTGTCTTCTCTAGGTGAGCTAAGCTATCATGCGGGAAGCTAACGTTTCAGACTCATCGGCGGTGGAGAGTGGTCATGTTTGGACCTCATGAAGTACCTGGTTTCCGTGAAGGACACCCTCAGCACCGAGGAGATGGCGCGCCTGAGGCAGACTGCAGCCTTCCCGGTGGAGCAACCTCCTCAATATGACGGCGCCAAGGCGGACGTCGTGCGACAGAAGCCTCACCAGCTGTATGAGCCAACCGAGGCCATGCGCGAGCTTGGCTTGCCGCTGCTCGACTGGGGAGACAACAAGTGGCGCTCTGGCTCAGATGAAGGTGGGCTATCTCCCTCGTCGGCGTTGCTAACCCTACAGCCAAGATGCTCTTCAACCTGGGCCTTCGCCGCTTCCCTCCGGTTGACACTCTTCTTGGCATTGCAGCCGGCAAGGCACCTACAAACGAGAAGGCACTGCAGTATCTCCTCGATAACCTGAAGACGCACTATGCGCTCTTCGACCCCACTGTGTTCAGTAATGTCGCTTTCATCCCCGCCACGACCGCCACCGGCAACGCTACCCTTGCCTCTCCAGGAGAGGTCTTCACCAACCACGCCTGTAAGATTCTCGGCTTCTCAGTGGCCCGCGGAGCAGCCTCTCTTCCCGAGTACGCCACCAAGCTGCGCATTGAGAGTGACCCATCGATGGAACGGCTGGTCTTTGCCTTCTTGGCCAGTCCTGAGACTGATATCAAGAAGGCGAGGTTGATCTTTGAGTACCTTTCCACCCGCGTGGGCACGTCGCAGGTCTCTGCCATCCTTCCCTTGACCACCAAGGCGTTCATTCCTGTCAAGGATGGCGAAAAGGGTGTTCGCCTTGCTCGCGCCGACGAGATCTACTTTACGTCCTCCAGCCAGGGCTCGTCGCTGTACGCGTCCGCGTTTACCTTTATTGACTTTGGCGAACGGGCGAACTTCTTCCTCAAGCAGTGTGGTGTCAAGGCTGAACCTTCACACCGAGGTGAGTCGAGTGTTGCGTTGCTGAAGCTAACCCACCAGACATTGCCCGTCTCCTCTTGCGGGAACCCGAGAGAATGCTTCGCCAAGCAGGCTCAGCGTCCAAGTGAGTAAAAGCTGGCACAATGTCACTGACCCTGCAGGTACCGCGACCAGCTCCGTCTTCTGGCGGCCAACATGCATACGTTCGATGCTGCCCTTCTGCGTACCATGCGCGACACGCCATTCCTCCTCGCTTCACAACTGGTCCCGGCCAAGGGCAGTGATAAGAAGCAGGGCGACGGCGAGCTTATCCACGAATGGGTACTGTGTAAGGCGGCTGAGGCCTCGATTATCGACGACCCCGCAGCTCAACAATACTTTGGCAAGAACATCCTTGCTGTCCCCGAGGAAGAGCTGTTTGAGCGCTTCTATGCGGCGCTCGGCTCCATGCCCGTGTCAAAGCGTATCACTTTGGAGGTCATCCCAACGGGTATCCGTACAGGCACGTCCACCGAGGCGGAGCAGATGCGGCGTCACATCTTGGAGCGTGTCACCATCTTCCTCACCCAGCATGCCACTGGTCGAAAGGACACCTATTCGGTCGACTTTTTGACCAAGGGCGACAACTTTATTGTGCGCGAAGCTTCAGACATCAAGGTTCGATACACGTATCGCGACCATAAGACGATGCTGCAGCATGCAGAGACCGCCTACGCGTCGGCTGCCAAGGGACGCGACAAGGGACGCGACAAGGCCATTGTCCTCACCATCTCCACGACCGCCCCACACGACTTCTTCGATGTGGCCAAGGCGCTCTGCGCTATCATCCTCCGCAATCCCAAGCTCGAGGACTCGTTCCTACTCGAGTCGCTGCTCACGACTCCGCTCATGTCGCTGAAGAAGCGTGGCTACAACATTGACCGCATCCTCAACCAGCACCGCGAAGAACGTGTTCGTGTCGAGGCTGAGGCGGAGACGGCTCGTCGTGACGCCGCTACGAAGGCCAAGGCCAAGGAGGCCGAAGCCAACCGACCTCCTGTTGCCGTCGCCCGGGACACCAGCGACCAGAAGCCTCCTGCTTACGCGCCCCCGGAGTCGGGCGGGTCGTCGGTCATGGACATGGTGCGCAACCGTTTCGGTCGCCGCCGCTCTCGTGGTAGTGATACCAACGGCGCGCTCAGTGGTGACGGACCGTCTGCTGGCGGTGGTCTTGGTGGGGGTCTTGGCGGTGGTCTTACCGGTGGTCCTCAAGGTTCTGCACAGGGCAATACGACCAAGCGTCCGACTACCGTGAACGACATTCGCAACACTGTACATAAGGCAGTCAATGCCTCTCGCCCAGAGAACTCGAACACTATCAACAACACCAAGCGCGCTGTGGCGGATGTCTCTGAGAGCCAGGGTCAATACTGTGACGCCAGCGCCGAGGCCAATCTCAAGCTCGGTATGTTTATCTGTGTACGAACGACACTGACCGTTAGCGCTCAACCCGTCTGGTCCGAACACATGCAAGATCTGGCTGCCGCAGGGTAAGTCTGCATGGTGCCTCGGATGAAACTGACAAGAGCAGACCAGGTTGGCTTCGAAGTTGACCAGGCCGAGATTTCGCACCGCTTCGCGCAGAAGATTCTTATTCCTCTCGCTGGCGTGTTCAAGCTTACTCCGGCCGTCCTCAACGTCTTCTGGGATCACGATGGACCGCTCATTGCGTTCAACCGGGGCGGCGCGCTCTTCTGCAATGCCCGATACTTCCGCGCGTGGCGTGAGTTTAGGTACATACCAACCGTAACTGACAAGTCAGACAACGCCGACGTCGTTGCCGGACAGCGTGGAGAGGCGTTCATCTCGTGGTACTTCACTCTTGCTCACGGTGAGTTTTTTGAAGTTACCCAAAGGACCAAAGCTGACGTCCCAGAACTGGCCCACAACCTTGGTCAGTGCTTTACAACGGGGCCGGGGCTGTATTTCGAGAAGTGGAGCGCATCGGCGAATGAGCCGCTTGATCTCTCACCAACACCTTCTCCGCGACACCTTCCTTCTGCAACATCTCCTCACTCGCGAGCCTTCCTTGCTGACAAATTCCAGAATCTGCACACAATGCCTCTCACTCGTTCTACTTCTCGTCCATTTCGGAAGAGTATCTGGTCGCTTTCGCAAAGCTGCTGTCAGCAGACACAGGGCTTCTCGCTTAGAAGATCTCGCCGTAGTGCGCACACGCCAGTAATCTGTCTCGCCTCATCTCGAGCTCATCTCGATTGATGCATCGTGTCTCCCCATCCTCACAACGCCTGTCACAGGTGTACAATGTAGTAGTGTAATGCATTAGGTGCTTGCTAGCAATGCGCATCTATGGAGTCTAGCCATGAAGAAAGGAAAGCCAAGCAGTGACTTTCCTGTGTGTATGGGGTTGGGTGTCTTGTCCCCGATCGACCGAACGCGAACGGCAAGTTGTGTTGTCCTTGGCAGAGACGTGACACACTACACCCGCCGCAACGCAACACCCTCGCCGGCCCTCACGGGGATGGGCAAGAGCTGGCGTGGGGGGCTCTCGATGCGAGCCAAGGACGAGGAAGGCGGCGAGGCGGAGGCCGGGGCCATGAGCGGCGCAGCTGTGGCTGAGGCGGCGTTTGCAGTCTCGTCCAAGAGCGGCATGCCAGTGTACGCCGCTGGAGCAGCGGTTCCCGGCGATGGCAGGGCGTACACGGGCGGAGGCGGGGCGGCGCGCGAAGGAGCGACCTCGGGCGACGCTGGTGCAACAACTGCGCGCGCAGTGAGGGGGTCAAGCGGCCATGTGCCGTCGCGAAGCCAGCCAGCGCGCAAGACCTTGATCTGTGGTTGTGTAAGGGGAGGAGGGGGGGACGATGACGAGGAACGCAGGTCGTGTTGGTCGATTGAACAGGGACGTGGCGCAAGTCGGCATGCGTCGGCATCGTCGTGTGAGATATAGGGACGACGCAGATTCCACACACAAATCCAGCGGATCCAACGAGTTTTGTGGGCACCGAGACGTTGGAATGAGCCAACATTGGCAGCAACCGCCGGCAACCATTCAAGGTTGAGGAACGGAGGCGCATGCCCAGCCCGGCACAAATTCGGCATGGTTCGGCATGTCGGCACGATGGTATGGCCCGTCGACGGCAGCGGTGCGGGTGGCGTGAGGGGTGACGTGAGGTTGGAAGGAGAAGTGAGACAATTCGTTTACAGTGGCGAGCCAAGAAGCCAAGCACCAACGTAGAAGGGCCAGACCATTGTGCCAAACAGCCGTGTACGAGGAACACGCATATCCGGTCGATAGAGCGAAATCGATAGATGTCAAGGGCGGGACACAACGATTGGATGGAAGTGGTAGGGGAGTTGATAGAAGGGGGTGGAGTGAGCAACAACGCTCACACGCCCATCCACGTTTCGCAGACTCACGACAAGACCCAGCCGGAGGCCCTTTGCGAGCCTCTTGCCGCCGGACAGATTCCTTGCGACACCACCCACACCGCCATTCCATGCAATGTCACTCTCCTCTGCGCCAAACGCGCCCAAAAGGGCCTCGAGGCGGCCGATACTGCTGCTCGGGGAAGGGGTGTAGGGGACGCTGGCGACGGGTTCAGGCGCTGGTGGGACCGTGTACGCTTCTGGGATGGCGGGGACAGGAATAGGAGCGTCCGGGGCACGCGTGCGTGGACCAGGCCATGGCTGGCCGGCGAGGAAGCATGCGCGGCGATACTCCCAGTACTCGAGACCTTTTGCCGTCATGTCAGCACCACAGTATGGCGAGGTTTCTCCGGCTGAAGGAGACTGTGTGGAGATGTAGGGGCACAGAACCTCCGCGCTGGGGGACGGTACGAACCTGTTGATGGGATTTCGATAGTTTGCCGGCTCGGCCCTGCCGCTGCCTCTGCCGCTTCCATGGTTTGGATGCAAGAGAAAGGGTGTTGGGAGAGTGGAAGGAAGGGAATGGGATGGTGGAGTTGCTTGCCCATGTGGAGAGATTTGATGGTTCAAACAATCTGGCCAGGCTTCTCCCCCCATTCCCCGCAATCGCCCCCCGCATTTGGTGGGTGCTCGAAAGGGAAGGCACACCCTGCGCGTTCCCCCGTTCTCTTGTTCGTCCAGCCGTTAGCCGTCCTTTCAACTCGCATCGTCCTCTCACATCGTATCCACGACCAAAAACATGGCCACAGCCCTGCACCGTGGGGTGCATGCTGCAGGCAGCAGCACCTCGCGCTCTCGTTTGCCACAGCGGTCGCTCATCGGCCGTCCGGTGCCGGCTCCTTCCGTGTCCATTCGCGGCATCACGACCTCCTGGCCCAAGTGGCCCGTCATGCCCTCCCCACCCCAGTATGGCGACTATGACGTTCTCGACGTCTCTTCAGCGATGTCATCGTACCCGGACCCCCTCCCCGTGCCAGACTCCATCCGGCGGCCTCCATACGTGCCCGCCAACTTCTTCACCGCCCCGATTTGGGAGCATGAAGAGACAACGGATAACAGCGCAGCGTCCAAGATCAAGTTGGGGACACGGGCACACGAGCGAGTCCGCGCAGCTGGACAGGCTGCGGCTGAGGTTCTGGCCGAGGTTGGAAAGCTGGTCCGGCCGGGTATCACCACCGCACAGCTCGACGAGGCTGCTCACGCGGCCATCTTGCGTCGCGGCGCGTATCCCTCCCCACTTGGGTACTCGCACTTCCCGAAGAGCTGTACGACCAGCGTCAACAATGTTGTTGCTCGTGAGCTGACTGATCTGCAGTACGCAGCTGACATCAGATGGCATCCCGGACGAGTAAGTTTGACCTTGCTGCCAGATAGCCAGCGCATGACGCGATATGCTCCCTCCAACCGTAGTTGTTGGCCACGTGTGGTGACGGCGTGGTGGCGACGTGCTACTGTTAACCAGCCCGTGACTTGCTTGCTCACACTACAGTCGACCCCTCCTCTCCACTGACATCATCAACCTGGACATTACGCTCTTCCTCAACGGCTACCACGGCGACACGAGCGCCACCTTTGTGCTGCCCGAGACCGACAAGCAGGGTCGCGATCTCGTCGAGGCGACGCGTGAGGCTCTCGAGATTGGTATCAGGACTTGCGGACCTGGGAAACTGTACCGTGGCATTGGAAGGGCGATTGAGTGAGTGGCGGCGCTCACGATGGCCAGCTGGCGAATGTCGACCGAATATGGCTACGTGATGTACACTGTACGCAGCCAAGCTAACAACTCTAGGGAATTCGCACGCAAACACGGTTATGGCATCAACACGCAGTTCTCAGGCCACGGTATCGGCCAGCGGTTCCACCAGGAGCCGTGGATCTTGCACCACCGTGCGTGTCAGCTGATTCATCCATCCTCCGGTTCTGAGCTGACAATGACAGAGAACACGGGCACGGAGAAGATGAGCCCCGGAGACTGCTTCACTATCGAGCCACCACTCGTGCAGGGCATGAAGACTCGGGGTACACTGTGGGAGGATGGGTGGACAGTGACGACCGACGTGAGTTGTGTTGTTCATAGACACGGAACTGACGACAGACTGGCGCCCGTTCGGCACAGTTTGAGCACCAGGTACTCATTACGCATGACGGAGTCGAGGTGCTCACGCGACTGGCCGAGTAAGAGTATGAAAGAGGACATGGGAGGGAAGACCTGGAGCAGTGGAGGTCAAGCGGAGGAGCATAGCACCATTCATTCATTGTACGTCATAACGACGGAGTCTAGATACACATACATTGTTGGGCTGGGATAGGATGTAGAGGTACGAGGAGGGTTGCCAATGGAGCCCCTCACCACCGCGAGAGGTCTGCCACAAAGTCGCAGTAGGTGAGGAAAACCAGTCAAACAGGTCAACCAAACACCCGCTGTGCATGAAACACGCACTGATATGACCAGCATGCGTAACCAGACCGCCTTGCCAATCCATTCACCACCATGCACTTTGTTGGATGCAGAGAATGCATAAACCTCCCCGGTGGCAGCATGGGTGGCTGTGGCAGATTCTCGAACATTGTGGGATATTTGATTCCGCGCGGTGGAGGCTCAATAACTTCGATGAGTAACTTGGTCATAACGAGCGAACCGTCCTCTCTACCATCCATCTCCCGTCCACACACGCGTCGAAAACCACAACGCATACCATGGCCGACCTGAACACACTTCTTCGCTGGGCTGTCGAGAACTCGACTGCCACCCAGCAGGCCGAGGGCGTCCCTGTCGGCGAGGGCATGTCCTTGAAGTTCAAGCCCGCTGCCCCCGGCCAGGTTGCCTCTGACAAGGCCGCTACGCTCCACCCCAGCGACTCGCAGTTCCCCATCGCCGACCTGTCTCCCGCCTCGACTCCCGGTCCTGCTACCCCGACCGAGGATTTCTCGCACCTCCCCGGCCAGACCGCGGCCAACACTACGCTCAACACGGACATTCTCGACTTGATCATGGGCAAGCCCGACTCGCTTACCATGAAGGAGAAGATGGCGTTTGCGGTCGACGAGAACAACGATATTGAGGAGCGTGTCGAGGCTCTGGACGACTTTGAGATGCTTGTCGAGCTCATTGACAACGCCAACAACATGGCCGTCCTCAAGCTCTGGCAGCCCCTCCTGGCGCTCTTCAAGAGCCCCCACGCCGAGATTGTGCGCCACGCCCTCTGGATCGCGGGCACTGCCACGCAGAACAACCTCAAGGCCCAGGCCGCGCTCTTCATCAACGACGTCTTCCCCGAGGTCCTCGACCTCATCTACTCGCCTGACGGCAAGGCCATCGCTGGTCCCACCCGCGCCAAGGCCGTGTACGCCCTCTCGGGCGCCATCAAGCACTGGCCCCTCGCGTCGGCCGTCCTCTCTGCCAACAACGACCGCGGCTACCAGGTCCTCCGCGACGGTGTGGCGGACGCCGAGCCCGTCATCCGCCGCAAGATGGCCTTCCTCCTCGGCACGCTCGTTGCCCAGGCGCGCGACAAGCACGACGACTCGGAGTGGCCCGGTGAGGTTCGCAACCTCCTCGCCGAGCGCGCCAAGGAGGCCGGCGGCGTCGACGAGGACCTCCTCAAGGGTCTGGAGCGCACTGGTGTCTTTGCCTCGGCCCTCAAGGCCCTCGGCGCCGACGGTACCGACGACGTCGAGTTTGACGAGAACGCCATCCGCGCGCTGAGCCGCGCTGCCGCCGCTGGTGTGCTCTCTGATGCCGAGAAGGCTCAGCTCAAGGGCATGTGGGCCAAGTGGGGTGCCGACGGCCGCGCTGAGCGTGGCCTCGACGGCGCCGACGGCGACGAGGTCGCCCAGGCCATGGCCTAGGGACTAGCTCTACAACCCATTTTTAATCCTCCCCCTCCTCCCACCATCTTCAACCACCAAAACATCCCCCACCCATGATCCCCCCACCCACGGGCAACAGTAGCAGGCATCAGCAGTATAGAGTTATGCATATTTATCCACGGTCGACAGTGTAACACAACAGTAGTCTAGGGCTCCCCGAAATAATGTCTAGCTGATGAGAGCGTAGATACGATGTAGAGTAGGCATCGGAGTAGCCGTGCCTCTTCTCTCTCCCTCTCGTCTCCTCTCTCCATTCCATCCCTCTTAGACCATCTTGATGAGGTCGTTGACCTTGGGGCCGTTGGCGAGCAGGTCGGCGCGGACGACACCCTTGCCGGCCTTCTCGTCCCAGCCGGCCGCGGTCGACTTCTCGAGCATCTCACCCCACCAGGGCAGGAGGAGGTCGCGGGCAATCAGGCGGAACCAGGGGGTGAAGCTCTGCTTGGGGTCGGCGAACATGGCAGCGAGCTCGTCACGCGACACGTAGGTGGCGTCCGAGACCTCGTTGGGGTTGAGGTCGAGGTCGACGTCGAGGGTAGCGAAGAGAATGTAGTCGACTGGGAATGTCAGCTTTGCGCAAGCTACATTGAAGCTGGGACAACATGGCCTAAGAGACGTCATGGAGCTGATGGCTGAGTGCATGGCAGCTCCATCGTCCTCCCGTCCACCTAAACTCACTCTCGTGCTCTCCCCACATGCCGTCCGAAGGAGCAAGGTAGTGTATCCTGGTGAGGAAGTGGAAGTCCTCGGGCTTGAGCTGCGACTCGGGGATACCGAGCTCCTGGGGGAGCTTGCGGATAGCGGCGTTCTTGACACCCTGCTGGTTCTCCTCGATGAGCTCGCTCTTGATGTAAAGAGGGTGCGAGCAGCAGGTGTTGGTCCACATGGTAGGGAAGGTGATCTTCTCGTCGGCGCGCTTCTGGAGCAGGAGGCGGCCGTCCGAGGGGCGGAAGAGGAAGACGGAGAACGCGCGGTGCAGCAGGCCCTCGTTGATGTTGGTCATGAGGTGGCCTGAGGCGTCAGCTCAACCGCATATACACAGCGTGAAGGATATGTCAGGTGTCGACCAGAAGTGATCCTTGCGCGCATTACACCACGCCGCAAAAGGCCCAAACTCACACTTCTTCTTGCTGCCCTCGCCGTAGGCCTTGTCGGTGTCGTCGACGAGGATGCAGCGCTCCTCCATGAGGCGGACCTGCTCGGCGTCGTAGCCCTCGAGCGTGGGCTCGGCGGTGACGGTGATGGTCTGGGTCTGGGACATTATGAAGACGGCGGGGTAGGAGAGTGGTGAGTAGAGTGAAAGCAATAAGAGAATGCTGCCAATCTGCGTCGCGTCGTTGGTCGCCGCCGTCTTTTGTCGCCCAGGCACCACCCGCGCGGCGGCCCAAACCCCACATCGTACCATGCTCCGTTTCCTCGTTCTGCGCGCACGCGCCGCCGCCGCCAACCCACATTGAAACAGCGACAAGCTCCTACATGGCAACAACGACAACGATGGTCTTTGGAGTAAACCCGCCCTCATCCCCTCAGAGGCCTGAGACCGATCCGCATCATGCATACGTGACTCAACGCCCGTGCAACTCCTCATCTTCTTGGGAGGGCTTTAGGTGGGGTGGTTGAATAAATGTTAGCCCCCAAGAGACGGAGATTAGCCTCATTTATCCAATTTGAAAATTAACAAACCGTGATGGATTAGCGGGATCAGATGTCCACCACCCAAATGACCATTCTGGCCAAACCAAATATCCCACGGTCGCTGCTTATGGGCGGCGACGACGGTCGACGGTGACGTCTTGCTTGTGCGTCTTGCTGCGACCGCTTTCCAAGTCACACATATCCACATCTTCCGGCCACCATGGTGCTTGTCCTCGTCATCGGGGACCTCCACATCCCTACACTCACCCACGACCTTCCTGCAAAGTTCAAAAAGCTCCTCGTGAGTGGTCATCTCTCGCCAGAGGCCGGTTGTGACCGTGCGCGCTGCGGCGTCGCAGCGTCTGCCTTGCCTTCAGCTTCATGTATTCCGGTTCACTACGGTCGTCAGCAGCTGTATGTCTTTGGCGGATGAGTCCTGACACCTCAGGTTCCCGGCAAGATCGGCCAGATCATCTGTACCGGTAATGTCTGCGACAAGGAGACGTACGACTATCTGCGCACCATCGCGCCGGACGTGCACGTCGTGCGCGGCGAGTTTGACGACGTGAGTAGTCCGCTCCGTGATGCGGAAGGATGGAAGGGAATGAGGGACACTTGATGGTCATTGAGAGTGTTGCGTGTTGCTTGTCGAGCGTCGATCCCAGCTACAATACTTGGCCCGTTGCAACGGGGGAGATGATGTCGTGCAACTCGCGCCAGCTAGCCCGGCAGGCTGCGTTTGTGCTCTCTGGTCAACCAGCGGTCCAGCACGCCAAACACCTTCTCATCCCTCCACAAATGGCTGTGATGGCAACCTGTGGATCGGAAAAGCTGGCCTTATGTTGGCGTTAGCTCAGCTTCCATGTCCAGAGCAGCGCGTCCAGCCCTTTCCTCCGAGACTCCTTTCGTCACCTTCAACTCTGTGAGATTGAGAGTCTTACTGACTGTCTCAGAACAACCACTTCCCCCTCTCCCTCACGATCAACCACCAGTCTCTGCGTGTAGGCGCTGTACACGGCCAACAAATCGTGCCAGCCGGCGATGGTGAAATGCTCGCTGCCCTCGCAAGGCAGATGGACGTCGACGTCCTCGTTAGCGGCGGTACCCACCGGTGAGTTCTGCCTCGAAGAGAATGACGAAGACCACGGCCGCCTTCTTCTGTGAGATAGCGATTTGGGCCGGGCCTACTTCAGACGCTGTCCCTCGCAACCGCCGGCAATGTTCTACTGCCCATCAGCTGTCCTGTCAATGGGCCAGACAGACTTGGAGTATTGCAGACGGCGTTCTGATCCTCTCTCATACCTTTATTCTGGACTGAACTGACTTGTTGCTTAGCTTTGAGGCGTTTGAGTTCGACGGCCGTTTCTTTGTTAACCCAGGCTCTGCCACTGGCGCCTGGAGTGGCCTCAACGGGTAAGCTATATACCACATATCCTGCAGTAGCTGATGTCCAGTGACGCCACGCCCAGCTTCGCGCTGTTGGATGTGCAGGGCCCTGTGATTGTCACCTACGTGTACCAGCTCGTGGACGGCGAGGTGAGTGACGACCGACCCTGGTTTGAGAAATATCCGCATCACCAGTCACTGACAATGCTACCCAGGTCAAGGTGGACAAGGTCGAGTACCGGAAACCGGACCCGCCACGGGGTGAGCATGCCTCTGCTGCGCCAGATGCGGCCTGGTAAGGCACCTGACCACGTGGCCACCTGGACACGTACCAGAGAACCGCGGCGAGGAGGCAGGGAGCGTAGAAAGTCGCCGGGGACGAGGCGCATTTCAAAGTTGCGGAGGCGGGCGAGATTTCGGTGCGCGCACAGCATACCCCAGATCGCCCAGACTATTCCCTTTCCGCCACACCGATTAGGTAGACATTTGTATGGAATAACTTTTCTAGTGTTAGTCTGGAGTCATGAGTCACGAGTTGTAGACGGTACAGGTTCTACTATGGGTGCACGGCCGCGGCAATGGCAAAGCGCATGACAGCGGTGTTGGCCGTTTGGGACACCGGCGAGATCGGTGGATCCGTGGATCCGTGGGCGGCGGTGCGGTTGTGCCGCCAGTGTCGTCATTGACGTCCAGTACCGGAGCAACTCGAGATTCCATTGTTCTCACTGTCTCTTGTTCCTATTTCCCTCAAAACTCACACAATTTCCTTCATTGTGCGGGCGCCAATTCTAACTCCTGCTCTATGGACCTGCGGGGGTCCAGTGGGCATGCACAGGGGCAAACAGCCTTGGCACAGAGGCTGACCTGGATGCCCAGTCCACTCACAGCAGTGGAGATCCCGCCCGGAGTGGTCCGAGACGGCCAGCGACCCCATCCGACTGCACCAGAGCGGCCAGCGGTGGGACCAGAGGCGTCACATGCGTGGCGCAGTCTGGCGCTGGGGTATACACCGTGTCAGTGGCCAGTTACCGCCTGTTGCACCAGAGTGAGTAGGGACGGGGCAGAGAATGGAGGATGCGAACAGGGCGGCGTAGATCAGAGCCCAAGGGCCCCGGCAAGAACAAACGCACCCACTGATCGGGGCGGCGGTCTCGAAAGAGTACATATGGTCGGCTCGCCCGTCCACCGTCATATGTCCTTCAACCTCACTCTCACTCACACTAACCACACACACCGACAACTTACTCTCTACTATAGCTATGAAGGTCCTCGTACTCGGTGCCTCTGGTAAGTCACTACCTCTTTTATGATGTCCACGACGGCTACTGGATTCCCGGCAGCGTTGTCCGCTGCCTCCAGGCTATGCCAATTGCATCATTACCAACACCCCACCGTACATCAATTGACACGCACACACAGGCTTCATCGGCCTCCCCGTCGCGCTCGCCTTTGCGCGTAATGGACACATCGTTTACGGCACGACTCGTGACGGCAAGGCTGCCCGCCAGCTTGCCAAGCACGAAATTGTTCCCCTCATCTGCCCCGCCAACGGTGCTCACGGCGTGGCCGTGTGGGGCAAGATTGCTGGCGACGTTGATGTTGGTGAGTAGCACAGAACACAGTCACGGGCAGCTGCGACAGCCGCTGTGATGGCTGCGAGACAATGCCATCACCGCCACCGTCCGGGCTCGCGACCACGGCCTCACTCCGCTTCCCATATGAAACCCAGAAGCTGACACTGCAGTCATTGACACCATCCGCTCCATGGATGCTGAACAGCCGCTTGGCGCTCTTCGTGCCATCGAGGCTGTCGCTGGTCGCGGCACCCCGGGCACCCGCATCACGTACATTTACACGGGCTCGACCTGGAGCCACATGAAGGGCTCTGGTGGCCTCGACACCTGGAGTAGCGAACAGAACCCGCACTCCAACACCCTCGACGGCGCATGGAGGCGCGAGGTCGAAGAAGCTGTTCTTGGCAGTGAGTAGCATGGCGCACGGCTGTGTGGCAGGTGTTGGCCTCGCTCCACTTTCCCGACAGCGCGCCCACCCCGAGCCCTTACCCCGCACCGTGGGCAATTACACAAACGAGTTGCTGACGCCCTCACCAGGCGACAAGGTCAATGGTATCGTGATCCGCCCTGCGGTGTTGTACGGGCGCTCGGGATCGATGCTCGAGCCCTTCCTCCTCGCGCCGGCATACGATGCCGCCAAGTCCAGTGGTACATTTGACGTCATTGGCCTCAACGACACGCGCCTCCTCATGGTTCACCAGGATGACCTGGCGGACCTTTACCTCCGTGCTGGCGAGCGGGTGAGTGCGAACGTGCGGTGAGCGAGTGGTGAATGGTCATATGGATGGCTGCAGGGCCTCCTTTCAGCCAAAACATCTGTGACCATTCCCACTCGCCTTTTCTCATTCCTCGGTCTTTTGCTAAAACCACCTTCCAGGGCCCTCTCCTCAAGGGCAACGCTTTCGTCGGCGCCAACCCCCAGTCCGAGCGCTGGGTGGACATCCTCGACGCCGTGGTCCGCGTCTCGGGCGCCAAGGGCTACAGGCTCCGTGCGCCAGCCGAGAACATGCGTGAGTCGGAGTCGGGCTTCCCGTCTTCACCCACCACGCGTACACCCATGATCCCCATGGGTGTCGTGCCGAGCGTCGTAGCAAGCAGTGCAAGTGTGAATGGGAACGGGAACGAGACCGGGGTTGCGGTCGCGGCTGGGAACGCGCAGAGCACGCACCGTAGCACCTTGAGCGTGGACGCAGACGTCCCTACCCTGGGGCTGTCTCCTCCTGCCTCGCCGTCGCCGCTCACTCGGCGCACGTCCATGCCCACGTCGCCGTCTCCGCTCGGCGGCGTGGCTGGTCGTGAAGCCCACGAGGCGCACCAGGCCCGTGAGCGCGCGTACAGTGGCACTGGGTCGAGCGATCTTTCGCGCTCCCCCGTAGCTTTCACCTCGTCCTCGCTGTGGCCCGTGACGGAGACGCTGCCACTGCCGATCCCCGGTGCCCAGGCCCAACCCCATACGCTCTCCCCGCGGGCGTCGGCCGCGTCCCTCACTTCTATCGCTTCAAGCGTTTCCGCAACGTCTGCGTCGAACCGGGGTGGCTCGGGACTGGGGTGGGGACTGGGTACGCTGGCTGGTGGAAACAAGACATACCCTGTTGTACAACCTGCTGACACTGCCATAGCCATGGAAGCTGCTTGGGCCAGCACGACCAACCTCCGCCCCACTCTCGCCCACAGCCTCACGGGCTGGAGCCCACGCAAGCCCGGTCTCGTGGACGGAATGGACCTGTACTGGTGAGTGTCTTGCTGTTTTTGGCGTCCAATCCAGCATTGCTGACACCGCACAGGGCGGCATTCGCCGCGCACTACGAGTTCAAGAAGATCATCCCGGCATGGGACCTTCCCGGTGTTCAACCCCCGCAGCGCGTCACCATCGGCTGCAGCCACGGCAACTAGGTGCGGTTGTAGGTGCGCGCAACGCTCTCCAGTTACACGGCGGCAACGGGGCGAAAACACGCTCCCCCGTCTGCTCGAGCACAACTCTCCTCTCAACCCCCTTCCCCTGACTCGAACTTGATCGTATCGTAGCGTATCGTCTCGATAGTGTATGTACTTGTACAGCGATGGACTGGATCGTATGGTTTCAGTAACAACTGGTCCTGCCTCGCCTCGTGTTGTGGCAGCGCTCCGGTTCTGCTGCAGGCGGAAACGTGGATGATGATGATAAAAGGTTACAACAAACTACTGCGATCAATGAATGTCCCACAGCACACTGCTACCGCGAGCGCTCGCGTCGTCCCCAAGTGGTGTCGTACCACGCCTTGACGACCTTGCCGCTATCTTGTCCAATGGAAAACACTTTTGTGTGAGCCGAGCTGCGATGTGACGCTCTGGCAGCTGGTACTCCGTTTACCATCCAGCTGCCTGTCTCCGAAACAACCAAACTTACAGTCTCGCTCGTCGGCCTCCATGCCGTCACGGAAGGCTTCACCCGTACCAGATCCGCACTCGATGGTCGTGTCCAGGCTTGCGTGGTGGGATGCCAGGTCGTGGAGCGGGGGAAGGCGGCCGGTGAATGCCTGAGACCGAGTTAGCGTCAGTCTATCAGGCAGTAGATGGCTGTTCATGGCGAAAGTCGCAGCCGCCAGATCCTATGCAACAAGAGTGACACGGCCAAGGAAACCACAAACCCACCTTCAACAACGTCTGGAGCAGCTCATCGCCGCCGTTGTCCCACATGTGGGCAATCCGAGTGCCGAAGCGGTACCACCATCCTCCAGTGCCCACAAAGCCGCTCAAGCGCACAGACGGCGCCGAGGCCTTGAGCGCGGCATAGACACGTCTCGAGAACGGTGCTGGGGGGCTGAACTGGACAAAATCACTGTTGGCGAGTCAGCTGCATTGATACAGGGGCCAATCAGACAGCTGTCTCCATGGCATCGTCTCCGGGCGTGGCCATCTGCAAGGAGGATGATAGGCGACTACGACTCACTTGAGAGTCAGTGTTTGACCCAGCCACATGGGCAGCTCGAGCTTGGCCCCGGCGCGCAAGTCGTTGTCGGTGCCCTCGAGGTAACCCAGACCGGGGACGTCGAGCGCAAACGTGCATGGCAGTTTCTGCAGGCTTGTTAGCAACGTAACCAGTACCGTTCTTCTGCCCAGCCATCCAGCACGTACGTGGTTTTCGGAGAGGATGGCAGTGAGGGAGTAGTAATCGTTGTCCATCGTGGGCGGTGGGGAGGGGAAGCAAGGACGGACGAGAGCAATCAACACGGCAACACACAAACGCGTCAGGACGCGCCGGACATTGCGAGTTCCAACATTTGACTCCGGTTCCAAGTGCGCGCATTAGGAAAAAAACCCTAATGGAACCAAACAAATGAACTCCTAACGAGAACGGCCGGATAGCACAGACAGCGCCAAAGTCTGCATGCACGTTGGAGGCATGTCCGCATGTCCCTCGCACTGCCACAGAGATTGTTTTTTTTTACTTATCTGGTTTGCAGGTGCGCTTACATGACCAGTGGCCATGTCCTGGGGCTTCCATGTCATCGGCAGATCAGAGTGGCACGACTTTTGTGCTGAGCAGTTGAAACAATCAAGTCACATGCGATCTATGAACTATGGGGAAACGTGATATGAAAAATGTGGATTGTGCAATGCAATATGGGGGCTGTGTATGCAAATCGTCTTCTCCTTTTCTCTCTCTACTCTCTCGCTACTCGTTCGACTGGCTGACACGCGTCATCCATTGGCGGAGGGTGTCGGAAAGCACGCCTGGGAGTGCCTCGACGTCGCGGAGGACGACGTAGAACTCGAAGGGGAACGTGTCGAGGTAGCGCGTCATCTCGAGCTTCATCTCGCCATTGACCATCGAGTAGTTGACGGACTGCATCGAGAGAATGCTGGGGCGAGTCTGGGGCACGACGGGAGTGACGGCGCCCGATCCGGGGGCGGAGACGGGTGCCGATGCTGGCGCGGAAGCGGAGGCGGGGGCAGGGGTGGTGGGGTTGGTGGGAGGAACGGCAAGGCTGTCGACAATGAGGAAGACAATCATAACGCGCTCTTCGATGGCGCGGCGGAGGAGGGTCCTGAGCTTGGCGTGGTCCTGGCAGACACCGTCCGAGATAATGATCTGGAGCTGCCAGAGGTCGGGAGCGCTCTGGCTGGCATTCTTGTGGCGGCTTTCGGCAAGGTACGCGAGGGTGCGCTCGACAAGTGCGGCAACATCGGTGCGGTGCTGGTCAAACTTGAACGCACGCATGACGTTGGCACCATCCTGGTCGCTGAAGGTCTCGCCAAACTCGTGAAGAATGTCGACACTCTCGCCGAAACGGGCAATGCTAACTTGGCCGACCTCGAGCTTGGTGAGGGCCTGCGACACGAGGGCAAGCGTCTGGTAGGCAAGGTGAACGCTGTGGCTCTCGGCCATGGAGCGCGAGTCATCGAGCGAAAGCAGGACCTGGTACTCGCGGCGGCTGGGCTTGGTGCGGCGGAGCCAGATCTTGTCCTTGGTGTACTCGGAGGCAATGTAGGGAATAATCTTGCGCATGTTCAGACGCTTTCCAGTACGGAAGTCACCCTGGAGACGGGTGGCGAGCGTGGGCTCGAGGATGAGGCGGAGTTGCTCGCAAAGGGCGTACGACAGGTCCGAAGTGAGCGAGGCGTACTGGCGCCAAAGGTCCTCGGCGCCATCGGCGTCGTCCACAACAGCGGCCGGGTCGGCGATGGTGAGGTCAACGTCCTCGTCGTCACCCTCGTCGGGCTTGCTCTCGGTGGCTGGCACCTCGCCTTCACCGTCCTCGTCGACGTCCATGGCATCGCCCGAGACGGGAGCGTTGCCGACAATGTCCGACTGGGTAAGGGCCTTTTCGGCGCCCATGGAATCGGCAGTGTCGTTCTTCTCGCGGTGAAGCGACTCAGTCTCGTGAGGCGGGGGCATGTTCGCGGGAACATCCTCCTTGTCCTCTCCGTTGTCTTCCATGGCGGGAGGGGGAGCGTCCTCGCCCTCCTGCTCGTCGTCGACAATCTTGAGGTCCTCGAGCTTCTGTTGTTCGTCCCTTGCAGGGCCAAGGGCCTGCATCGAGTCGTCCTCGTCTTCCTGGCCGTCCTGGAGGTACTCGACCTGGCCGGGCGCCTGCTCAGAGGCGTCGGCATTGTCGGTAACCTCCTCGCGCTCAGTCTGGTTGAGAATCTCGTCGCGGCGGCGCTTGATCTCCTCCATAATGTCACCGAGCTTGCGGTCTTGCTGAAGAGTTTGAGTGTCGTTGGGGAGGGGAGCACCGCTCTGGTCGGCAGGGCCAGAGGCCTCCTGCTCGTCGGGACCGCCACCACCCTGTGGGGCACTGGAGGCAGCACCGTCGGCGTCGGCCTGCTCGTCCTCCTCTTGCTCATCGACACCCTCCTCACCGTCTTCACCTTCCATCATCTCGTCCTCACCGGCGTCCTCCTTGTTGGCGGAACCCTGGCCACGGCCGGCGGCCGCAGCCTCTTGGGCAGTGGCGTCGTTGGAGGCGCTAGTGTCGAGGTTCTGGTTGGCAGACTCCTCCTGCTCGGGGTCGGCGTCCTCCTCAGTTGCACCAGTGGCGTCGGGAGCGTCTTTCTCGTCTTCCTCGGCACCCTCGTGGTCGGAAGTGACGCCGTGATCCTCGGGCATGTTGTCGTCTTGCTCCATGTCAATGTCGGGGTCGTCAAACTGCTCGTCGTTGTCCTCGGCGGCTCCATCATCGTCGTCGTCGTCGCCACCGAGGTCGAGGTCTTCAGGGAGATCGAGCTTGTCGCCCTCAGGGGCCGCAACATTGTCCTGCTGCGGCATGTCGGGACCCTCGTTCTCGCCGTCGTCCTCGCCTTGCTCCTCGAACTCGTCCATCTCGTCGTCACCGTCCTCTTGGTTATCGTCGTGCTGGGTGTCTTCGGGCTTCTTGCCGTCATCTTGGTTGTCTTGAGCCTCCTGCTCCTGCTCCTGCTCTTGAGCATCGTCTCCGTCCTCCTTCTGCTTCTTCTTGTCCTCCTTGGCACCGTCCTTGGCGGCCAATTCGGACTCGCCGTTGTCTTGAGTCTTCTCGTTCATGAGATCCTCGCGGTCCTCCTTCTGCTCTTCCTCTTCCTTCTCCTCGTCACCCCAGAACTTCTCGTCGACAGCTCCGGGGTCAAGGGGGTCGACGTCGCCAACGTGGTCGTCGAGTTCGTCGTCCTTGTTCTCGTCGTCGTCGTCGCCGTCCTTGTCCTCTTCGTCCTTCTCCTTGCCGTCCTCGAGGGCGCCGTCAAAGTCGTTCTCCATGGAAAAGGCGTCGTCATCGTCCTCGTTGTCGTCACCGCCCTCTTCCTTGTCTTGCTCTTCCTCCTCTTCGCCCTGGAGGCCCTCGACCTGGCTCTCGTCCTTGATCTCGTTGGAGACGTTCTTGTCACCAGTGCCAGCACCCATACCGGTACCCTCAGCGGTGCCTTGGTCGTCGCCATCCTTGCTGTCGTCCTTGGACTCCTCCTGGGGCTTGCAGAAGCCCTTGGTGGCAATGTCGAGCATGACGCGCGAAACGACATAGTTGAGCTTGTACATTGACTTTGACGAGGCAACGTGAGCCGCAACGCTCTCGGCGTACGTCTCGGCCAGCGTCTCGACGAACGGCAGTACACGAGCAAGAGCTGCGGGGGCGAGGCTAGACTCGCGGCCAGCGAGCTCGACCGAGATGGCCGAAGCAAACTTGTCGAGGCGGTCCACAACCGCGGACACGCGGAGCGAAGCGACTGCCTTAGCCTGCTTGAGGAACGCGGCAGGGATCACGGGGTAGTCGTCGTCCTTGATCTCCTCGGGCTTGGTGGTGTCGATACCCTGGGCGGCGACGAGGAGGGCCTGGATGAGCGCGTCACTCTCGTTCCAAACACCGTCAGAGAGGGTGCGAACGCCACGGAGGGGGACGTCAGAGCCCATACCAGCGGCCATATTGGCGAGAGGGGTGAACAGGTGCGCCAGCTCGGGAGTGGCGTTGGCGCGCTGCTCGGCGGCAGTGGAAGTGTGCTTGAAGATGCCGTGAGCACGACCAACAAGCGACGCCTCGTCGTGGCCGAAGAGCGACCAGCCAGCCGAGCGGCTGGAGGAGAGGGCAGTCTCAAGAGCAGTGATGAGGAGGCTGACCTCCTGCCTTGCCTCGTGGACGGAGGCAAGGTCAGCGGTACCGACGTGCGCGCCCTGGAGCTCACGGAAGGCGCGAACACCGTCCTCGACCTCCTTGAGCGCCTCGCGGAGGTGGTAGGCGTCAAGCTCGGCGGCGGAGAGAGCTTGGTGGAGCTTGTCGCCGCCCGACAGTGACTCTGAAAGAGCGCAGTGGTGCAGACGACGGAGGGTGGAGGTGAGCCTGTTAAGCACATCGAGCTGTGAAGCAAGCCTGGTGTGCTCGCCCAGAGCCGCAGCATAGAGGTTCTCACAGAAGCCGATACCACGGCCAAGGTCCTGCGAAGCAATGTCCGGCGAGTGGCCGTTAAACGACGCCCGAAGGGCGGTCATCAACACGCTGTTGCGGTGGTGGTAATCAGAGACCTTGGTCACGGCAGCAGTGTCAAAGGCGACAGGCAGGTCGTCCGACTTGAGCGCAGGACGGCGCGAGAGCCACGACACCGACTGCTGCCTCGCCATCTGATCGGCGGGCACGGCTTGCGAGAAGCCACAAGCACGCAGAGTCTTAAGAAGGTCGCTAAAGGCCTTGCGTTTCCTGCCTGCGAGGTTGTTCACAATCTTGGTGTTGTCCTTGGTCAGGAACGTGGGGGTAGCCTTCAGGAGCATGGCCGCGGTCTCGATAATGTCGACCGAGAGGCCCTCGAGAGCCGACGCTTCGGACGAGGAAACAACCTCACGGGCACGGGTGTGCACGTTCGTGTAGCGGGTGAGGGTGTCGTTGAGCTTGACGAGGACATTGGGCACGGCGGGCTTGGCGCCAGCACGGACAGTGACGGCATCGGCAGGGAGGGCAGTAATGTCGAACATACCCGTCCTCTGAGCCGAGGGCGAGCTGGCGGCATCCTGGGGACAGATCGAGCCTGAGTCCATAAAGATGGGCGCCATAGGCTGCATGAGCACCTCCTTGAACTTGCGGATGTGCTTGTGGAGCTGCTTGTGGCTCTTTTGAGCGCTGGCCTTGAGGGCAAAGACGTTAATGTCCTTCCAGCTCGCGAGCTTGACAAAGTCCTTGACGCCACCGTCAATAATCTTGCGCTGCGAAGCCAGCGAGTCGCTGGCACGCGGAAGGTAGAGCTTGGCGTGGGCGATGAGGTTGCGCAAGATGGAGCCAACCTTGGCAATACCAGCAGCGTGGGGCTCGTCGCTGAGGCCAAGCTCCTCGGCCATGCGCTGGAACGCCGCGAGAACCGCGAGACGGTGCTCAAACTGGCCAAGAGTGGAGCCGTTGATGTACGTCGAGACGACAGGGAGAGCAGTCTCGAGATATGCGTCAACGTCCTCGGCCGACACCGTGCCGTGGATGAGGGCCCCGTACAGGCGGAGGGTAAACTCGTCGTCGCCAGCTGTGTAAAGGGCGACCTGGTCGTCGAGGAGGCGAACCCACGACGCAAGTTCGAGGCGGCGCCAGGCGACGATGAGGTTGGAGATGTCCAGCTGGAAGTTCTTAAGGCTGTTGTCGCGGTTGGCGTACGGCTCCCAGTCGTCAGTGTGGAGCAAGAGCTGCTCAAGCACTGCAAGAACCTTGGCGACGGGGCTGCGGACGTCCAGGTTCAGGATACGCAGGACACGTTCGCGGAGGTGGACGAGAACCATCTGGTCGGGCCACTCAGTGACCAGCGCGTCCAGGCGGTTGCGCAGACGTTCGAGCAGAGTCCAGGCCTTTCGCACTTCGAACTCGTTGGGCGCAAAGTAAAAGTTGGCCTGGGCGGCACTGGTCTTGATCTCGGCGTTGCGGCGGTGAAGAGTCGACACCTGGAACGCGAGTGACTTGCCATCCAGGTCCTCGCGGAAGGCGGTGGGCGAAAAGGTGGTGAGCACATCGTCGACAGCAGTCTTGAGCGTGTCATGGACGCTGCCCTTGCCGAACGATGCAAGGATGAGCGAGTGGAAAGCGGTGATCTTGTCGCCCATAAACTTGGCCTTTCGCTTATCCTCGTGTTCGGCCTCGTCCTGGACCTTTTCAGGCACATTGTCTTCCATGATCTCATCGCCGTCAAAGATGGGGAAGAGCTCGGCAAACTCCTTCTCCATGAGTTCCTCGTCCGAGAGAATCTCAATGTCCGTCTTGCGGATACGGTAAAGGGACTCGGCGTCGGCGGCCTCCTGAGCCTCCCTGGTGCGGATAAAGCTCCAGGCAGCATAAAGGCGGTCGAGACCAGCAACTAGGCCAGGCACGTGGGCCATGCGCTGCTCCGAGTCGGTGGCATCGCGGGCGTAGGCAAGCGTAGCGAGCAGGTCGAGGCGAATCGACGATGGCGAAGGCTCAGCCTTGTCCAGCATGGGAAGGGCTTGGAGGGTCGGGAGCGACGCCACGGTGGGGAACGACACGATCGGCGCCAGAGCGCTGGGGACGCTAGTGTGGGCAAGCTCGAGACCGCGGGCAATGCAGCGGATACCAAACTTGGCGCACAGGACGGCAGCGGCAATGGGCTGCGAGAGGTCGTCCAGGTCTGTGTAGGCGCTGAGACGCTGAACGAAGGCCATCGAAGACATTTGGAAAGCGTCCTCACGGGCCAGAGCGTTGTTCGAGTCCTTTTCGAGGGCAGTCATGAGCGACTTTGTGGCCTTCTCCGAAAGAACGTCATCAACGAAGCTGAACACTTCGTTGAAGAGGTGGGCGAGACGCGCGGCGTTGGTGGGGCGCTCGATGCTGGGGCCGAGGTTGGTCTGCTCACCCTCGAGAACCTGGAGGCGAGTTTCGAGTGCCGAAGCACGAGTCGAGTCAACCACACCCTTGGCGAGGGTCTCAGAGTGGCGGACGACATCGAGCTCCTCCTTGACGAGAGCGAGCTGGGCGGTCACAACCTCGCCGAGGAGAACACGACGGACTCCGGGGTCGATGGGGACGTTGGTGACGAAGATGTCGAGCACGAAACGCGCGATACCAGCCCAGACGTGGCCAACAGCCGAGAGAGTAGTGTCGACCTGAACGGCCGCGATGGCCGAGGCGAGGCGAGTGTCAAACGACTGCTGGAGGTATGTAAACGCAGCCTCCTCGTCCGCGGTCTCGGCAGCAGCGGCGCGGGAGAGGCATGGCCTACCGCTGTCAAAAGTGACAGAGGCACCAAAAGCACCGAGAACCTGATTGTCAGTTACGCCTGCGATAAGTGCATGTACTGTAACTTACCATTCCAAGGAAGGCGGCAGCAAGAGCCTTGGCCTTGTCGGCACGGCCGTCGTCGCGACCTGCAGACCAGAGGGTAGCCTGGGTGGTAAACTTCAGCGCGTCGTCCATACCCGCAATCTGGGCCATGGGGGTGTTGTTGGCGCGGCTGAAGCGGAGGGCGGCCGCGAGGCCAACAGGTGCGAACAACTGGCCGGGAGTTGTCTCGTCCCAGAGACGCTTGAGCCATCCACTGAGAGCGGCGAGCTTGGGGCCAGCAGGAGCATTGCGGAGCGCAAGAGCCTGGAGGAGGTCGGCAGGCTTGGCGTCCACGCCGCTGGCGAGCAAGGCGAGGGTGCCCTCCTCGCAAGCACCGAGGAGGTCGAGCTCGACAACATGCGCGACGGCGGCATTTGACCAGGGCGTGTCGGCCGCCGTGGACTCTTCGAGGCGGCGGGGAAGGGTCTCAATGAGAGCTGCGAGCTCGGTGGCGATCTCGTCGGTGAGACCCTCACGGGCCGCGGCAGCGAGAGCATGGACGGTCTCAAGACGCAGCTTGGGGTCGGAAACGGACGCGAGGCTCTCGGCCATGTTGGCCAGCAGAGCACGCTGCTCTGGGGAGGCCAAACCAGTACGGAAAAGAGTCCAGACGGGAGCCTGGCCAAGACCGGTGGTGATCTCAGTGGCGCGAGCAAGAGCCTGGACGGCATCGCGGGCGGCAGTAGCGCCAGGAAGCTTGGACAGCGACTCGGAGAGCCAGGTTGCAAGGAGCTGGACGGACGAGTAGTCGAATGTCTCGTCACGGCAGTGCTGCTCCACGAGGCCGAGAAGCGTGAGGGTGTTCTCCGCCGCCGAAAGGTCGCCCGAGTCCGTCACGGCGTCCAGAGCGACGCTGGTAAGCGACTCACGAACGAGGGCGAGGAAGGGGTACACGCTGTCACCGACGGTGGGCTTGCGGCGGGCTGTGCCGCGGCGCGCAGTAATAGCCGACGACGAGAGGACCGACTTGGCGTTGGTAGCGTCGGCGATCCAAGCGTCCGTCTCAGTGCGGGCAGCAATGTTGCGGAGGACAAGCTGGAGAGCGCGGAAAACGGCAAACTCGCCAACGGGGGTGTTGGGGTCGATGGCGGCGTCGAAGGGCACCTCGGCAGCGAGAGCGGGGTCGATTCCACGCTGAGCGAGGGTCTCACCCTGCGAGGCGAGAAGAGCCACGATGCGGGGGTGCGAGAGGAACTCGACGGCGGTCGACAGAGGCGCACCAGCGTACCTTGTCAGGAGTGCAAGCGCGGCACGGCTCTGACCAGCGGCGAGGTTGGCGGTGAAGGGCGCAGCGGCAAGTGCCTCGTCGTAGGCCGACGCGCCACCCTCGACGGAGCGGAGGGTAGCGTTGTCTGCGAGGGCAAACGAGGTCGCGTTGGGGAGAGTACCCACAGCAGCCTTGGGAGTCTCGGCGGCATCGACATACAGCTCAACACCACGGTTACGCATGGCACGCGAGAGCTCGCCGTGGCGGGGGTCGTAGGTCATGAAGAGCCTGAAGTCGGCGTGAGGCTTGATGACCTCGGGAACGCCCGAGGCAGAGCCCTTTTCGCTCATGACAAGCACACCGTCAATCTCACAAAGCGAGTTGAGACGGTCGAGGACGGAAGCGCTGCAGAGGTTGGCATCCGAGACAAGGAACCAGCCGCCGTTGCGAATAGCGTGGAGGAGCTGGCCATCGACCCAGGCGAAGCCCGCGGCGGGACCGGCACGCTCGGCGTCGGCAACAGCGGCGGACGCGGCCTTGGTGTCAATACCGACAGCGGCGACGTCGGCAACGAGCGACTTGGCAGTGGTGAGGAATGCGTCCACGGCGTCGAGCTCGCGAGCATCGTTGCACCTAACGCGGGCAGCGGTGAGGTCGGCGATGCGAGCAGCAGCAGCCGGGTGAGCCTCGGCAGCGGACTCGAGGAGGATACGGATCTCGCGCTCGGCGTGGTCGAGAACACGGAACGCGTCCTGCTGCTCAAACGTGCCGAGGATCTCGCTGGTGTCCACACCGGGGTGCATGACAAACTCGCCGAGCTCGCGGCCGGCCGACGAGGCAATGGAGCGGACGAGGTCGCGCTTACCGCGGCCGTTGTCGCCGGCAAGAATGACAAGCCAACCCATCTCGATAGCCTTGAGCACGCTCTCGGCGAGCGGGAGGTGGTGTGCCGGGACGGTAATGTCGACCGTGGCGTCACCGGCACGGGGCACGGCAGCGTGACCAATCTGAACGTACGACTTTGTGACGAACGTGGTCGGGCGGGTCGAGACAGGGCCTAAGCCAAAGACGCGCTCAAAGATGATCGCGACGTTGTGACGGTCTGCAAGGTTGCGGAAACGCTGGAGATAGACAGTGCGGAGATGCTCGACAGGGTGGTCGGTGCTCTCAAGACCGTTGCGCTTGGCGAGAAGACCAAACCAGCGGAACAGGTCACGCAGGTTGAACTCCCACGGCGAACCTTCACGACCAATGGTGCGGGTGACCATGGTGGCCTCGCGAATCGACTCGTTGAATGAAATCATGCGCTGGACAATCTCCTCGGGAGCCGGGTGGAGACCCCGGCAGATCATGAGCAGGTCCTCGGGCGTGTGCTCCTGAAGGTAAACCTTTGTGAAACGGTTGAGGAACGACTTGGGGAGACCTTTACGGCCACCACCCTGGGTGAGAGGGTTCTGAGCAGCGAACACGCGGAATGAAGGGTGGCGGTCAAAGCTGCGACCCAGTTCCGGGATGTAGACAGTTCCACGGTGGTCGAGGACAGCGTTAAGACCTTCGAGCACGGTCTGGGAGGCCAGGTTCATCTCGTCGAGGAGGACCCAGTCGCCCTTTTGCATGGCGTCGAGGAACGCAGCGTCACGCCACTGGAACTCGCCGGCGGCACCACCCTCAACAGGCAGGTCTGAACCGAATAGGTCGATAAGGTCGGTCTGGTCGGACAAGTTGATACGCTGGAGGGTGTAACCTGCAGTAGCAGCCAGGGCAGAAACGAGCGAAGTCTTTCCGACACCGGGCGAACCCTCGAGGAGGATGGCCTTGGGAAGCTGACAGCCACGAAGGACACGCATCGAGTTGAGTGCCGTGGTGGGGGCGTTGAAGCGGAACGCAGTGTCGGCAGAAGCCAGCGGGCCGCGGGGGACAGCAAAGCCCGAGATTGCGACCGCATCATTCGTCACCTCGAAGGTGGTCTCAGAGGGCGTGCTCATGTCGTCACCGAGGGAGGCGGACATTTCAGTAAGCTTGGCCATGCAGTCGTCGCGGAGCGCAGTGATAGTGGCCAGAGACGAACCGGCAACCTGGGGAAGCGACTCGAGACCGTCGACGATGACCATCTGGCCACCGTGGTGGAACGCTGAGGGCACCGTGAGCGTGCCCTTGTCGAACATTTGGTTTGAGAAACCGACCCAGGCCTGATTGTCAGTTGCGTTCGCGGAAATGAAGACGGATCGTAACTCACGAGAATGTCACGAAGACCAATGCCGCTCGAGTCGCCACAGCGCTCGCCAAACCAGTTAAGGAAATCAAGAATGAGCGGGCCGGCAGGGTTGAGCGCGTCGTGCTTCCAGCTCTGGCCGATAATCTGCAGCAGATCGTCGCGGTTGCCGAGGGCAGGGACCCAAATCTCGGTGAAACGGTTACGAAGGGCGGGGGAGAGCTCCTTCTTTCCGAAATCACCACCGGGGTTCATGGTGGCAACGACGTGGAAGCGTGCGTTGGCGACAATGGTTGCCTCGTCAATATCGACACCGCCCTTTTCGGCCAGGACGAGGGTACGTCCGGGCTCAAGAACCGAGTTGAGACGCTCGAGCACCGAGTCATCGGCGAGCGAGACTTCGTCGAGGAGGAGGAGGTCGCCGTCCTGCATGGCGTGGATGAGCGGGCCGTCGACCCACTCAAAGAGCGCCGAGAGCTTCTTGATCTCGCGCTGGACATCACGAGCCGCTGCACGGGTCTCGTCGGTGGCGTCCTCGCTCTTGGCAAGCGCGACGGCAGAGGCGAGGAGGTCGTCCTCGGACGCGCCGGCGTCGACGGCCAGGCCAAGCTCGGCGAGGCGGGCCATGACCTTGGCGCGGCGCTCGTGGCGGTTACGCACGGGACGCTGGGAGCCGAGGAGGTCGGCCGTCTCCATGTTCTGGTGACAGTTGATACCGACCAGCGTTTGGTTGAATGCCTGGGCGAGGACCTCACAGACACTGGTCTTTCCACAACCGGTCTCACCGACCAGGAGGACGGGCTCGTCGTGGGCGGCAGCGGTGGCGACGAGGGCGAAGAGACGCTGCATGGCCTTGGTCCACACGAGTCCACCAGCGGGAACGCTCTTGAAAGGCAAACGGGTGAAGATGCCGGCACCTTCCTCAAACAGACGGTACATGCTGTCGACGTCGACCTTGACCTTCATGACCTTTTCGATCACGTCCTGAATGACAGTCTTGTCCTCGTCGCTGCGGGCACGCTCGGCAAGGAGCATGTATCCATCGTCGGCGAGTTGCTGGTATCCGACAGCACCGCGCTCAGCCCAGCGGAACAGGTCACGGAGGGTAGCAAACGAGGCCTTGGACTCGAACACGCGGCTCGCCTGGCGGCGGTGGCGGAGCTCCTCGAACACCTGGACAATCTTCTTGGCGTAGGTGGGGGCGATGGCGCAGCGCTGGCAGAGGATGGTCTCAAGCTCGTCCTTGGGTACATCGTCAAAGTGGACCTCGAGGAAACGGTTGCGGAAAGCACGCGAGAGCACCTTACGACCGGCGTAGAGACCAGGGGGGTTCTGCGTGGCGAAAAGGATAAAGTTCGGGTGGGGCTTGATGACCTCTTGCGTCTCGGGGATGACGAGCTCGCGGTTGTCGTCGAGAAGACGGTTGAGAGCCTCGAGAACATCGGTAGGGGCCAAGTTGAGCTCGTCGAGCACAATCCAGTGACCCTGGCGAACGGCAGTGACGAGGAGACCTTCCTGGAACACGAGGTTGCCCGTCTGCGGGTCGGTAATGTACGTGCCGAGGTACTCCTGAATGTCGGTGTGCTCGTGGTTGTTGATACGCACGAAACGGTGGCCAGTCTGGCGGGCGAGGAACTCGACGGCCGAGGTCTTACCAGCCGACGTAGGACCCTGGATGAGGACCGGGTAGCGCTTGGTGAGAATGACACGGGCCAGGTCGGAGAGCTTGGCCTGCACCGAGGGCGTGATGATGTAGCGAGACTCGCCAATAGCAGGGAGGGGTCCACGCTTGAGCCAGAAGGGACCAAAGCGGACGAAATCGTCCTGGTCAAGGCTGGGAGGGAGCGTGGGCACCTGGGCGAGGACGGCCTTGGCGTTCTTCATGGGACCGAGGATGTGCTTCTCAAGGACACCGTGAGCCTTGCGGCCACTCTCGGCGTCGAGACTCATGGTGAACGCCATGAGCGCGCCTTCCCAAAGACCACGACGGAGGCCAAAGATCGGCGCACTCTGGACAGCGAACATGAGAGCGCGGGCGAGGGTACGCATGCTGTAGTGCGGAGCGGCGTTGGAGCCGTCGACAATCTCCTTGGCGGCGGAGAGCTTCTTGAGGGTAGCGTAGAGCTCGACAACATCGAGAACCACGCCACGGTCTCCGGCAGCAGCCTCGCCAAGGTATCCCTCGACAATGGCAACAAGGGCCTCGCGGTCATCATCGGGAGCGGGAACATAGAGCTCGGTAAAGCGCGAGCGGAGGCCGGCTGGGAGGTCCTTCTTGCCGACGTCGGTAGCCGGGTTCATACACGCGAACAAACGGAAGTCAGGGTGACGCGGGATGGGCTCAACGTCACCGCGCTCGGTGAGAACCAGGGACGCGTTGGACGCCTCGAGGATGGTCGCGATCGCTTCGAGGGTCTCCTGAGTGGCGAGGTTGACCTCGTCGAGCAGGATCCACTCGCCATTCTTGAGCGCCTTGACGAGGGGGCCCTCGACAAACGAAAAGACGAGCTTGGACTTCATCTTGACGTGGTGCAGGTCAAAGTCGGCAATGTCAACAAGCAGGGCTTGCCAGAGAACAGCGGCACGGGCGGCCTTGTTGACGACCTTGCGGCGCTTGCGGGCGTCGGGACCCGCCGGCTCCTCAGGCTCATCCTTCGTCTTGGCGAGCTTGTCGACAGCGCGGCGGGCAGAGGTCGCCCACAGGTCAGCGCAGCGGCCCCACTTGCGCGCCGAGAGAGCCTTGGCAGCAACCTCGAGGTAGGCGCCGTTCTGAGCCTTGCCAACGCTAAACGTCTCCGTGAACAGCTTTTGCCAGCGAGTGTGAAGAGTACGGGCGGCCGAGGCTGCGTCAATGGGCTTGAAACCACCGACGAGGTCGGACGTCTCGGTCTGGGTCGACAAGTTGAGGGCCGTAAGAGACTTGCCGACGAGCGTCGCGAGGTGCTGGACTGAAGTCGTCTTACCCGTACCCGTCTCACCGACGAGGAGGGCAGGCTCGGCAAGAGCCACAGACGCAGCGATGCGTTCCAGAGCCACCAGCGAGGGGCGAGTAAGAGCGTACGGCCTGTCATCGGTAGTAGCACGGCGCTTGCCCGGTGCAGCGTCGATGGAGTAACGACCAACGTGCACCTGGGGGTTGCCCTTTTCGGCCTCGAGTCCAGGACGACGCGTGTCGATGAGGGCAGTGGCACGGTCAATGTCCATGCCGAGACCGTTTGCCATGACGGCAATCATCTTGGTGCGCTTTTCGGGCGAGCCGGCACGGTTGTCGAGGGAAGCAATGAGAATGTCGGCAGCCTCAAGGAAGACCTCGTCCTGGAAGACGGTGTTGGCAAACAACCCCGCACCAGATGCCTCGAGAGCAGCGACAGACGCAGCAGGAGGAAGCCCGCGCTGCACACGGGCACACCACTTCTCCAGGTCGCGCAGACCAATGTCGCGGGCCTTGACCTGGCCGCTGGTCTTGGCGAGGGGGCGGAGATCGCGCCAAACGCCAACCAGGGTGGTAGTGACGCTGCGCGGGAGGCGGGGGAACTGGGCAGTGAGGATCTCGAGAATGTCCTCGTCGGTGGGGGACTCGAGCGAGACCTCGGCAAAGTCCTGGTGACCGAAAAAGGTCGCTGGGGCCGCGGCATCCTGGCGGACGGTGCGGGTCGCGAAGATGGCAAATCCGTCACCCGCCTCGACCTCGTCACGGCCGGGAACAGCAAGGACAGCACGGCGGCCAACGCGGCCAACATGAAGCGACTTTGCAAGCCCCGAGATGGTGACGAGCATCTCGAGCGAGGCCTTGTCAATGTCCTCAAACACGACCCAGCGGCCGGCACGCACGGCCTTGGCGAGCGCACCCTCCATCCATTCGAAAGTGCCCGGCTTGGTGGGGCTGGAGACATAGGTACCAATGAGCGACTTGACGTCGATGGTCGTGTCGGCGAGAGGAATGGTGAGGATACGAGCCGTCACCAAGGACGAAGGGTACAGCTGGGCGTTGAGGTGCTGCACGATGTGGGTCTTACCTGCCGAGGGAGGGGCAGAGATAAGGATGGGGATGCAGCGCTGGAGGAGAGGCGAAATCTCAGCGCTGGCATCAGTCATGGCCGAAGTGGCGACATGAATGAGGCTCGGCGAAGTGCCAGCAGGCTGGGCGAGGAGGAGGCGACCGCCCACGACAGCTGTGCGGCGCGACAAGTCAGAGGCCACAAGCGTCTCATCCTCGTTCTCGTGGTCGGCCTGCCAGTCCGACTCGAAAGCGCGCACCCGCCTGTCTTCAAGCACGTGGAGGAGCCAGCCGTCTGCCGCGGCGTCTCCTTCAAAATTAATACGACACTCGACCGATTCGTTCAATCCTGAAGCCACCTCCATCTCGGCACGGCGACCCTCGCTCCATCCTCTCAACTTGGCCAGAGTGTGCACTGCGAGCAAGCGCACACCCGCGTCCGAGTGTGAGCGAAGAGCATGCACGGGGGCTGTCGGCCAGTCGAACCTAGATGCCAGTCTGGGGTCGGCCGTCAAGAGGCGGTAGTATGCCAACAGCACCGACTGTATCCGCTCGGTCGATGCGGACTCGTCGAGCGTGGACAACGGTGACGCGAGGAAGGGGGACGCGCGAAGGAAAGCAATGGTCACACTGTGGGGTCAGCTCTGATAGTGCAAAACAACGTCAGCTGGACTTACGGCCAAAGATCCGGACGGGGTTCGGCCAATGAGGCAAGCACGGCGAGACGAGCCTCCCAGACGGCCGCGGCGGGCGCGTCGTCGAGCCAGCGCGCAAGAATGTCGAGGGCAAGAGGGGCAAAGCGCTTCGTCACAGGCTCTCCGGCAACACTAGCCAGACCCGCGAGCTCCGCGAGGAGCTGGGACGCAGGTGCTGCCTGGCCGTTTGCGAGGGCGGCGAGAGCCGGTCCAGGAGTGGCATTGGGCACATCGGCGACAAGGCGGCGGGAGCGCTCAGTGAGGTCAAGGTTGAACGGGGAGAGACGCTGGGCAGGGGGGATGATGAGGCTGCAGGTGCGTGAGCATTGGTACATGATCTTGGGGGCGGCAACTTGGGGCCATGGCAGCGCAAGAGTTACGCACGAGGGACTGGGACTGGGAGACGACATGTGTCCGTCGTCCTCGGGCTGCAGCTGTGCGGTTGCAGCCATTTTGGAGAGAGTTGCGGGGTGGGTAGAGTGGACGGAGGGGGCGAGCTGTATCGACTCTGCGCGCGTCACTCGGATCACAGATGTAAACTCTGCTGTCTGAGGTCTACAGGCTATTAGAGTAGCTGCAGACGTTTGACGATGTCGTCAACAAATCTGCGGGCCAGGCGCGAGACAACCAGCCAGCGACCAGAGCAACTTCAGAAATCTCAGAAGATCGAAGTGGATTTTATGGCGTGTACTTTTTACCCGGTGGAGGTCGGAAGCTTATCACCGCCGCTTTCTGGCTGCAATGGGGCGAGCGGTCCACGGCACACTTTCGTGTCGACTTTTTCTTTCTCTCTCTCTCCATCTCATCCAACTCATATCCCATCACCACCAGTTGCTCATGTACAGCATGGCCTCGTGACCAGTTATCGCCACGTCTAGCAAGAATCACCACTTACCCCTCTGCCTCCCCCCTCCCCCTGCCCCCCTCTCCCCTCCCCCTTCCTCCTTCCCTCCCCTTCCAACCTGCATCGCGTGTGTACATTGCCTCCTGCTTTTCCTCCAGGATCCAATGAAGAAAACGGGTGCTATAATGAGGACCTTTGGTCGTGCCGTTGCCTTGACAGCCTCAGGTTGCCAACAGGCCTGGACGAAGGAGAACTCGTTCTGCTTGACTCTAGGCCTGTTTCGGGGCGCGCTGCACAGTTTATTTATGTATTCTTATGTTCTTTTCTACTGCCCCTGTGCACCAGTTGTGTGTGTTTGTTACACTACAGTAGTCGCTGTCATGCATATGGAATCATGTACGCGATGGCTCTTGGTTTGCTCTTGTCCAGCAGACGCCCGTTGTCTAATGTGGACGTCGGTACATGACAAATTGATATCGACGTATGGTTGTAAATACCTCGCGCACACGCGAGGCCCGGCCAACTAGGCCGCGTACACTGTGACACTGTGGGGTGCTCTGCCCCGCTCTCGTCCCCCGTCTCCGTTACCGACTCATGCCTGCGCGCCGCCCTGGGCCTGCATCTGCGACGCCTGCCAAGCCTGGAACTGCGGGTCGTTGATGTCGTAGCCGTAAGCCGCCCAGTAGCTAAAGAAGTAATGTCAGCTCGATGATGGATGTTTCCGAACAATACGTACGCTCGGTACTGCTCCCAGGCCTCGGCCGACGAGCCCTCGCCAGGCTGGGCACCAGTGGCAGCAGCAGCCTGGGCCTGCGATGCGTCGGCAGCACCACCCTGCTGCTGGTAGCCACCAGCGTAGGGGTCGCCACCGGCCTGCGCCTGCTGGCCACCACCATAGTTGCCCTGGCCCTGGTACACACCGCCGCCGCCCTGGTTACCGCTGCTACGGGCCTTGTCGTACTCGATACGCAGGACCATGAGGAGGTCGTCGGCGAGCATTTTTGCGCGCTGAATCTGGTCGTCTGTTGGTGCCACGACGCTAATGTGCATGGGCTCGTCCGACTCGCGTCCAGTGTCGTTCTCCAGGAATCCCGATCCCCGTCCCTTGATCTGCACACGCGCACCCGTCTCCGCCTGGATAAACTTGACAAACATACCCTTGAACGAACATCAGCTACAGTTGCGCGACGAAGGCGAACACAGATGACTCACGCCTGGGCCAACAACCTTGGCGCGCACGTTAAAGTTGCGCATCGACTCGATGTTGATGAAGAGCTTCTCCTCGGGCCACTTTGGCCTGACGGTAGGGGGCGCGACAGTGGGAGGGAGAGGTGCGCCAGTAGCACGGGCACGGGCAATGAGGGTACGCTCCTCAATCAGAGGGCCGAGCTCCTGGTCGATGAGCTTGTTGACCTCGGCGACGGCGGCGTCGAGGATAATCTGCGACTTGGCGACAATGTGCAGGTACAGCGGCATCTCACCGGGAGGCATGCGCGTGCGGTCGGGCACCCACACACCCCTGGTCTCGATCGATGCGCCAGTCTCGTCCTGGATCTGGAGGGGAAGGGGTGAGTAAATTGTAAACAAAAACATCCAACCCAGCTTTGGACGAGCCGGCCCACTTACCTGCTTCTGGCTTCCCGACTTGGTAAGGACGTAGCGGTTACGCAGGTCGTTGATCTCAATGTCCTTGACAAAGTCGCCCTCGGCCGCGCCGGCACGACGAACGAGCTCCTGGCCAGACGATCCAGCAGGGCGGAGGGAAGCGGCAATCTTGGCCGCAATGGCAGCAGCCTTGGCTGCGGCATCGGTGGCCTCGGCTGCTGAGATGGGGGGAGCACCACTGCTGCTAGCATCGGGCGCCTCGGGAGCAGCGTCTCCGGGGTTGTCCCACCTGCTCTTGCGGGGTGCTTCGGCAGCCGGAGCGCCAGAGTCGGACATGGTCGAGTGGATGGAGGGTGGGGTGTTGGGGGAATGGGGGACGCGGGCTGGCGATGTTTTTGGGACTGTCGACGGGGGGATGCCGAAGTGTGAACTGGGAAGGGAGGTTTTCAACAGACGCGCGTCGCTGTCGCTGCTGGTCGTGGGTGCTGGATGGAGTGTGATGGATGTGACGGAGATGAGTGAACAGGCGTTGAAGCGGCGGTGAAGCAACATTCAGTGCCACGGGTTTATATCGCCGCTATCGCCGCTGCTGGTGATTATGGACGATCCACCGAGCACCAAGTGGTAACATCAACTCTACTTGTGACGGCGAGCAACACACGTCCACAGCGTCACTCAGCATGGCCTTTTCATTTGGTAAGTGGCAGATATCGTACTCATCGGCGCATCCGCTTACAATTCCAGGCGCGCCAGCGCAACAACAGGCGCAGCCTACAACATCACTCTTTGGCAGTAAGTCGATCAGTTGTTGACGCAATGGTGGACACCCCAAGCTGACAACGTTCAGACACGGCCGCCGCCTCGACTAGCCAGCCCAGTGCGTTTGGCTCGTTTGGCCAGCAGCCAGCAGCTCAGCCTGCACAGGCCGCTGGCACGTCGCTCTTTGGCTCGACGGCTGCCAAGCCTGCTGGCGGCCTGTTTGGCTCTGCTGCACCCGCCGCGCCTGCAGCTGGCGGAGGCCTGTTCGGATCCACGCCCGCTGCTAGCGCATCGACCGGTGGCCTCTTTGGCCAACAGCAACAGCCTGCTGCCACTGGCGGTCTCTTTGGTTCGACCAGTGCTGCCCAGCCCGCCGCTGGAGGTGGTCTGTTTGGCGCTCCCAAGCCGGCAACCACGGGTCTCTTTGGCTCGACCTCTGCCGCGCCCCAGCCTGCCACTGGTGGTCTCTTCGGATCGACCTCGGCCGCCCCGCAGCCCGCTGCTGGAGGTCTCTTTGGCTCGACTGGAGCCGCTCCTGCCGCTGGTTCGAGCATCTTTGGCGCCAAGCCCGCTGCTCCTGCTGGTGGACTCTTTGGCTCGACGTCCCAGCCTGCTCAGCCCGCCGGTGGCCTCTTTGGATCCACTGCTCAACCAGCTCAGCCCGCTGGTGGTCTTTTTGGCTCCACCGCCCAGCCCGCTCAGCAACCTGTCGGCGGTCTGTTTGGCAGCACGGCCCAGCCGGCCCAGAGCTCCGTGTTCGCGTCCACCTCCAACCCCCTGGCCGGCTCGACTGTCAAGCAGCAGGAACCCGATATCGAGAGCCGCATAATGTCGATCCAGCGCGCATGGGACGTCAACTCGCCCGAGTGCCAGTTCAAGTACTACTTCTACAACGTTGTCGAGCCCGGTACGGCCCACCACTACGGACGGCCAGCCAATGCCACAGATGATGCCAAGTGGGCGAGGGCAGTGAGGGACAACCCCGACCCCGATTCGTGAGTTGGGAACCGCGACGAACGACCACAGCTGACAGGGCAAGACTGGTGCCCGTGCTCGCGACAGGATGGGCAGATGTCAAGAAACGCGTGCAGGCGCAGGAGCAGACTGCGAGCGTGCACCAGCAGCGCGTCAAGGAGCTGAACGAGGCCCTGGCCAACTTGAGCCGCCAGACGGCCCTTTCCTCGTCTGTGCGACTGGCAGCGCTCCAGACACACCTCGCCCAGCTCACCCAGCGGCTCATGCACCTCGCTGCGCTGTCTCCGTCGTTTACGGGCATGCAGAACTCGGCCTTCCGTCCCGAAGAAGGCGAGATGAAGCACACCCTCGAGGGCGTCAAGGACTCGCTCGACGGCCGCGTCCGCGCCGCGCCCAAGGGCAGTGTGGGCCTCACGTCGCGCCCGCACGCGACCAACAAGGGCCGCATGCTCGGCCAGATCAACGAGCTGTGGGGCGCCGTCGAGGAGGTGCGCCGCCAGCGCCGCGCCCGTGGCGGCGACCAGGCCCAGTGGGCCGGCGACGAAAAGCTCCTCACGGAGATTGCGACCGTGCTCGAGCAGCAGCAGGCGGCCATCACCAAGCTGAGCGAGCTGGCGAACAATGCGGTCTTTGACGCAGACGTCATGCGCCAGGGCCTGGGTATTGTGGAGAGCAGGAAGTAGGGCGGCCGCGTGTAGCAGCTTTGATTCGTTTTTTATTCGCATTAGTGAGAGTGGTAGAGGACCAGCATGCATAGGTAGTGTACCATCACGAAAGTGGGGCGAGGAAGGGAAGGGCGTTGGGCGGGTCCTGGGGGAGCACAAGGACGGCGGAACCAAAATGTCTCCAGGACCAGGACCTGAGATCTCGATTCCAGTCCATTATCTCGATCTCCTCTCTCATTCTCCACACACCCTCCGTCATGACCGCCCGCGCGACGTTCAAGGACAAGCAGCCGCTCAAGACGCTCGCGCGTGCGTCGCAGTCGTGCGCCAAGCAGGTACGTAATGGCGTTTCTCGTGGAGAACGGCACTGGTGAAACGGGCAAGCGTAAAGTGACTGGGCCGTTTGGGCGATGGGACCTCCCAGACGTGCCAGAGCCGCGTATCGCTATGCCAAAGAGCACAGTAGCGTCGTGCGGCTTCCAGTTGCCTGTCCTCACACTGTGTACTCTTTTTCCACTGTCGACTGTCTCAGCTAGCATTAGCTCTCCGTTGCGCACGCTGACACGCCCAGTCGCTCGTGTACGGCGCCTGTATCGGCAAGTCGTACCAGGAGGTCCACAAGGACATGTGCGCCGCCGAGTTCCAGGCGTTCAAGGATTGTGTCCAGGTACGGTTCAATCATATTCTCGCAGCTGACCCGTGCAGAAGGCTGTTGGGCGCAAGTGGTAGACGTGGGCGGCCAATTTGGAACTCCGATTCACTCAACTGGCGACACGACTATGGTTCCCAGACTCGCCTCGCGGACACAAGCAAGCAAAACTCACAATACGCATTACTCTAGACCGGCACGCGGAGAGACTGTACACTGTAGCATGCATGTACTAAACCATCACGGGCCCGCAGCGGCCACTGATTACCGAATGTTGGCTTTGGTCAGTATGCGACGCCGCCGGACACCCCCCACCCACTCCTAGGATCCTAGGAAGCAACACCTGGCAGAACGCTGACGGCTGACCGCGGGTGACATCTACGGTTATGCATGCGAATTACAGATGTGCGTCTAAACGAAGCAGCCAACCTCCATGAGAGGTCGACCTTTGCCCGATGGTCCGAGTCTAGGGGTAGGTGAGGTGAGAGATTGATGATGATACAGTGCCGACCCGGTCGTGCGCGCTTCCAAAATGCAGGGGCGACGGAACAGCAGGTTTGGCGATTGGGGCATGCCTTTTGTGTGGTTGGGGGTTTGAAGAGGGGATTTGGCTAGTCGCCTACGCCTACTTCAGAGTGGCGGGGACGACGGCCTTGGGCTCACGCACAAAGTCGACGACGTGGCGGAGCTGCTCGAGGAAGACGAACATGCAGATGGTGTTGGGGGTGAGGCGGACTGGGGGACGGGTTAACGAAAGGTTGCAGCCTACCCATCTTGCTGTACTCACTCCACGAAGGCAGCCATCCCTTGAACATGAACTTGGGACCCTCGTTCTTCAAGCTGGTGGTGATGACATGCAGGGGGCCGAGGGGGTCACGCGAGTGCATGACGCGCGACTTGATGACGTCGGCAGGGGAGCAGATGGTGGTGGCGACGGTACCGGCCATGGCCGAGGCGACAAAGTGGAGGGGGAGACCGTCCTCCATGCCGTAGCTGGTGAGCAGGGACTTGAAGGTGTCGTACGAGACGAGCTGGGCAGAGTTCATGAGGATACCACGGACCTGGGACCGTTAGCCAAGTGGTGGTGGTGGCACTGATTGTCTCTGCTGCTTACAGTGTTGGGGAGGAGACCGCGGAACAGGCTCAGGAAACCCTCGTCGGCGACCATGCGGTACACGCCGTGGGCGGCGTTGCGGTAGTGCAGCTGCTGGGCGAGAGGCTTGGCGGGGTCGGAGATCATACGGACAAGAACAACGTCGGCGGGGTTACCGGCCAGACCGCCGAGGGCACCGGCCGACGACGCGCAGAAGGTGAGCTCGGCCATGTTGAGCTTCTTGGCGCCTGCGAGGTGTCAGGAGGTCTTTCGCACACCATGGCCACTCACCATTGTTGGACATGTAGTCCTTGATCACATCGTACGCGCCCAGACGAGTCAGACTGTACGTCATCTGGCGGAAGATACTGGCCGTAAGACCGGTGTAGAGACCGCGAATACCTGCGCGAGGTCAGCTATGCACGCATTGTCCGCCCGCCCGGAAATGGGGAAGAGGAACACCAGTCGCAGCCACCGAAGAGCTCGGAACGCGGGTTCCGGTATTCGGGGAAACTGGGTGTTTTGTTGTTGTCGGAGGTGGAAAATGGTGGTGGAGGTGGAGGCCGACGCAGGGCCGATAGCCAGCCGATAGAGAGATTGGACGGAGTTCCGTGTCCCTCAAGGCTGCAAGGAGGAGGGGGTGGAGGATGAAGCGGCACAGATGTGTGAGGTAGAGGTGGGGCGGCGATGAGCTACGTACCCTTGTGAGCGACGGTGTCCTTGACGGCTGCGGACAGCGACGTCTTGGTGCTGGCGGTCTGGAGACGGCTGAGGGATGGGTCAGATGATGGTCGGAGGTAAATGACTCAGGCGCCATGTTTTCGAGACGTACACGCGCATCACGTCAAGGGGGTGCGTGCAGCACGCGGCCACTGTTCTGTCAGCTTATGTGGATGCGGGCGGCATGGCTGCGTTGTGAAGTACTCACTGGAGGCGGCGATACCTGTTGTTGGAACAGGCGGGCGGTCAGGTGAGTCGGTGGAAGTGGAGGCCATGGTCATTGATGGGAGAGATAGTGGTCAGTGTAGTCCAGCAGAGCATGCAGCGAGCGTACCTCCAAGCCTGTACTGTCAGCTCCATCATACACATCACCCCAACGCTTCGTTGCCGGACACAGTGTTGCAGCCATCGCCAGCAGCGACCAAAAGGTGTTGGTGTCATGGCTATCCGGAAGCGCGAAGAAATTTCCGCGGACCGGCGGCAACGAACAACAGCACCTCTCGCGCCGACAAACGGTGTCACCAATCGCCAGTTACTCACCAGAATGGATATTGTTTAGCGGGTTGTTGGGACATGGCGATGATCAAGTGTTAAAGACCACGACCTGGGGATGTGTATAAGTAGTTGCTGATATCCAGATGGACGAGTGACAGCTGCTTGCATACCCAGCAGTGGACGCATCGCGCCTGTGCGCCAGCAGCCTCTGCGAGCGGCAGGCTTGTACCAATTCCTGGGTGTCGCCCGGCGTCTCACCGCCGGCGACCCACCGTCGCAGCGCCAAAGGCGTCAGTCGCTCCTGCCCAAGACCGCCCACATGCCCGCAACGGCGCAGACTTTTGGCAGCGTCCAGCCCGACGGACCAATGAGCTTATCTTGCAAACGATGTCTACCGTGCTCGCCTTCGGGGCCTCGAGGCTATCCAGGAGCAGATTCGAGTATGCGTCCTGGAAAATCGAAAACAACCGTACCGAAATCGAAATCATGAGCCAGGGAATCCCAAGGGATGCAGAGGGCGCGAGAGGGAAGCGACGCTTCCTCGTTTGGATCGTCGGACGACGCCGACAGCCGGCGCGGGCGACTCGACGGGCGGGTGGGTGGCCTGGGTGGCCAGGACGGCAACTGCAATGTTGTGCACAGGTGTCAGTACCATGCGGAATGTCGCGATCCGCGGTCTGCCTGCTCTGGCCCCCATCGCGGACATGCGTCGCTTGCTCGCGCCTGCCGCGCGCGCCTTGGAATGGTAGAGCAACAGAGCGATAGCAATCAATAGGAGGCACACATTCGCCCGACTCCGTTTCCGAACGTTCCGAAAGCCGAGGACAAGAATGTCTCGAGGGTGGGCGTGTGGGCTTGTTCCACTATGTCTTGGCCAGACTGGCGACGGTGACGAGACGACATTTCGCGGTGGATGAAAGCCGTGCTGCCCGGTTTCCGGCTTTGAGGATGATTGAGTTGCAGGACGCCGAGGTGGCTGCAATGTATATAAGAGTGGGAGTAAGGTTGAGAAGGTTGAGAAGGTTGACGCTGTCTGTGTGCGGCATGTGTTGAAAGGCCCAAGGGCCAAGGGCGTGTTTGTTTACATCTCGTGTGAATGACGTATGTAGATGGGCACAAGAGAGCAAAGTGACAGGCCCCACTCTTTCCTCCATGACCGTTATCTGCACACCTTTACTGTCCTGGTCCACAAACCCACTTTCCATGGTTACAGCATGCTGCTGACATGTGATGCATCGCTCTCGCCATTGCCGCCGGGCCAGCGGCCAGCGGACATTATGGAGAGTGGCCATTCGATCGGCGGCCTCGGCCCGCATCGAGTTCGAAACGCGCCGAAAATGCGGCGACGACACCGAACGAAGCAACACTTTGCGTTTTCCCCATCCTTTCCGTCGTCGTCGTCGTCGGTCATCCCTTCATCCTCTTCTCTCACCACCTCATACACACTCCTTCCCTCCCCCTTTTCTCCCACCGCTTTCTTTTCTGACGATGGTGTCTGTCGAGGCCTTTGCGCCGCTTTACAGCGACTACCTCCCGGCCCTCCTCACCCCGGTCCACGGCCTCTTCTGCCCCATTGGTGTGCTTGATGTGTACGGTGCGATCCGTCTCAGCGTCGCCGTCAACTGGATCGCAAGCGATACCAAGGGCAAGCCCCGTGCGAGCGCCCTCCAGGAGCTGTTCGGCATCATGGTCGTGCTCTACGGCGGCGAGACCTTCATCGGTGAGTGGAGCGGTGGAACCGGAGCCGCAGGTCGCGTGCATCAACGAAGCAAGGCTGACAACGTAAGGATGCTGCACTGGCCAGCCCCCCAGCTGGCTCATCAACCCCAGCCTCGGCCTCGTCTTTGGCGCTATCCGTGAGTACCGCAGCCATCGGACATGAGGCACTAACCACTCAGACCTCCTCCTCACCCGCACTCCTCTCCACGGCCTCCTCCCAACCAAGCCCAGCTTTGGCACCGAGCTCGCCCTCGCCGTCCCCGACGCTATCGGTCGTACCCTCCTGCTGACCCGCTTCTCCGTCGTGCCCCTCCTGCACCCGACCTCGCCCAAGACCCTCCCCGCGACCCCCAGCACGCTCCTGCTCGTCCCCTTCATCATGGCCGTGCCCTTTGCCGCTGTCGTCTTTTCGGGTACGCAGCTGTTCTCGCCGGCCATCACGCTGCAGACCCCCAACGAGCTGCGCCCCTGGGGCTGGACTGCGCTGGACGCATGGATCCCCTTTGTGCTGCCCTCGCTGTTCCTCTCGCTCATCGCCCCCGTCAAGGGCTGGCCTTTCAGCCTCGGCACCGACTACTCCGAGGACGCGGCCATTGTGGTCTGTGCGGCGTTGAACATTGTCTTCTTCGTCTCGCGCGCGTACTACAACCACGCGCCCAAGGCTGCCAAGTCGCCCAAGGCCAAGAAGGTCAAGAAGCAGTAGGCAGAGAGGTGGAGACGCGCCGGGGGAGGTGTTGAGGACGATGGAGGGGACGGGGTGACGGCCGGCCCATCGTGCGCCCGTGTACAGCGCCCGTGTACAGAGGCACAGAGGCACAAAGGAGAGAGAGCTCGAGAGAAAGCTCCTGTCCGCGTGTTGCCGGGAGACGCATGTTCGCTGGGATATCCTGGGTGGTGTGTGGCGTTCAAAGCTTCGGGTAGACAGACACAGTCATGTAACAACGACAACGCAACACAGTAATCGGCCGTGCGGGGCCTGGTGACTAACTCTGACATGTCAATACATGTCGTGGTTGGAGGGCCGATGGATGGTTTGCTACCGAGGACGACGACAACAAAGGGCGAGATACTCATAGCCCATACAACATTCTCACTGGCAAGCGTGATTTTCATGGCGTTGTGTGTTTTTTAAAAACACATAGTCCGCACAACTTTCTTGCCGGCAAGCGCGATATTGAGGCATTGTATGTTTCTTGAAACACATTAGCATAGAGTATCCTTGACGGCAAAGGTGATTTTGGTGGCGTTACGTGTTTTTTTTAAAGGACTCACATTTGACTCACTGCTCTGACAACATGAATTGCATGGCAACAGCCCCGTGACATCTGTGCATTTGCCTGGAGGCTTGATGGAAGCACGACAGCCTTCGGCCACGGCATGGAGCCAATCCCAGTGAGGAAGGAATGACCAGTTGGGCCGCAGGACGCAACAGGGCGGAGCGGTGCGGGCTCTCTGACTGTGGCCGGAGCCGCAACTGCACAACTGGTCGCTGGACACCCACGTACACCAAACGTACTTAACACACACTGGTACACCTAGAGTCGAGAGACACGAACATTGGTACAGTATCGGGGCAATTGGCTCAGTCACGTCCGCGTGTAATGGCACACAGCGCGCCCGTACGACGCGGTTGCAGGACGGACGCTGTGGCCTTCAAACTCGAGAACCTAGGAACAATCACCCCGCTCCGTCCTTGGCCGCGTCCGGTTTAACGGAGCCAAGCAAGCTCTGTGTATATAGTTTTCACTTTGTCTTTCCACTCAGATTTGTGTCGAATGTGTAGCGTGCAGGACTACAGAACGTTAAGACTCTACGACGGTCCCATGTACATGCTGCGAGAAGTGACACAGCAGGCCGCGGCCCACAGCCACAAGGACCCACGCTGTGGGGGCGGCGGCGGCGGGACCAAAAAAGACAACGGGACGATCTTCCTCACGCCCTGTGTCTCCCGCGCTCCTGGCTGCTGTTGTTGTCGTGCTGTCCATATCTTGCTTGCTCCAATCCCAACAAAGCCAAAGAGTTATCCCATCCCACAGCCCTCTGCGAGCAACTCGACACGCCCGACACGCTGCTTACGCAGTAGTCATCCCTCCCTCCGCCATGGATATTGACAATCCCGTCCTGTCGGACACCCCGCCGGCCCTCCCCCTGCCCGAATTCAGCGCTGGCTTCCCATTACCCTTCCGCGTCCTCTTCCTCGTCGGCCTCGCCCTTTTGCTGTGGGCCGTCAACCTCCATGTCCTGCACCTCCTGGGCTTGGACGTGTCGTGGGTTCTGGATGTCCGAGACGGCGACGACGGCGACAGAGGCCTCGTGGACGTAAGTGTCGATCGGATCCGCCTCGACCGCCTGCCAGGTCTCCTCGACGACGACGAGCACGACCACCGTGAGCCCGATACGCCCACGCGCCCCAGCCCCAGCCCCGGCCTCCCGCCCGCAAACGTCTCCCGTCCATCGACTGCACGCCTCTATGGACCCGTGTACAAGCTTTGGGCAGCGTACACGTTGTGGTGCTTGGCGGGGTACGCGGCGTTCCGGGCGGTCGCAGGCGACGACACGGCGGCCATGGAGGCCAACCGCGCGATTGTCGCGCTTGTGTGCGCCGGCCCGATTGTCGCTGCCCTTGCACCATGGCGGGGCGTGGGCAACCGCGAGCGCCGCGCCCTCCGCCGCGCGCTGTGGCGCTGTATCAACCCGCAATCCCACGACCCCATCTACTTTTGCGACGTCATCCTCGCCGATATCGCCACGTCGTTTGCTAAAGTCCTCGGCGACCTGTATATTGGTGCGCACCAGATTATCTTTGGTGGCATCTCGCACGGCCGCGTGGCCCAGCACGGTCTTGGCAAGTGGATCACGCTGGCCATGGTGTGGTAAGTGGAAAGCAGCTAAGTTGTACGTGATGAAGGCCAAGCTGACCCCATGTACAGCCTCCCATACGTGGTGCGTTTCCGCCAGTGCATGATCGAGTTCTACCACTCTGGGTGGAAGAGCATGCGCCCCTTGGCCAACGCGTTCAAGTACTCGTCGGCCTTTCCTGTCATTTTCCTGTCGGCCGCACAGAAGATTGTCGTCGTCGAGGTCGCCGCCGCCAAGGGTATGAGCGTCGACGAGCTGAGCCAGACGGGCGACCGCTGGTTTGGCGAGCACCGTCTCTTCCGTATGTGGCTGCTTGCCGTGGTCGTCAACTCGATGTTTTCGTTCTACTGGGACGTGCAGAAGGACTGGGGACTGTCCCTGCTTGAGCTGGACACCTGGGTGCCGGCACGCCGTGCGGCCGGCGACAGTCCCACGCCGTCGCGCCAGGGATCGCCCGTCGGCGCGCGCCGCGGTGTGCTGGCGCGTCTCGCCGCGTTTGGCAGGCAGCCCTACCGCTCCTCCCCGCTCCCGACCACCATGCACCTCGACTCGCCGACGTCCCCGCCCAAGCCTGCCTACTTTGGCCTGCGCTCCATCCTCTTGCTCCCGGACCCGATCGTGTACTATCTGTTCACCATCATCGACCTCATCCTGCGCGGCACGTGGTCGCTTGAGCTCTCGTCGCATCTGCACACGATGCACGACCTCGAATCGGGCGTCTTCCTCATGGAGGCTCTCGAGCTCGTGCGTCGCTGGATGTGGGTGTTTATCCGCGTCGAGTGGGAGGCAGTGAGGATGGGCGAGATGCAGCGCTTCCGAGGGCCGGCAGGACATGTCGAGCGCACGGCAGTGCTGTGGGACAAGGAGACAGACACATAGACCCCCGGAAAGACGGGATGGATGACACGAGCGACGGCAACAGCGACGACCACGACGGCAATGACGGGACACGGATAGACCACGGTTATGGGCGTTATATATCCGTATTAGAACTACATGCATTCATAGCGACGTGACCCGCGGCCTGCGGCCTGCACATCTCACATCCACCGTTAAGCGTTTTACTACAACACCTCGAGCATACCCGAGCCCGTGACCCACGAGCGGCCGACGACGACGGGCCGCCCGTCGGCGCCAAACGACACCTTCATGGCGCCCATGCGCTCGCTGACCTGGTACGCGTCCAATGTGGCCGCAGCGGTGTCGGCACCAGCAGTGAGGTGAGGGGCGAGGCGCGCGCTGCCAGCGCCAGTAAGGAAGTATCCCGCGAGGACCGTGTGTGCCGTGCCGGTCTGGGAAGGAGAGTCAGCAAATCGGCGGGGTGACAAGGATAGGCAGTGGTACGCACCACGGGGTCCTCGTCGATACCCTTGTTGGGGATGAAGACGCGCGAGTGGACGCGCACGCCGCCGGCATCGCCCTTGCCAATAACCTGGGTGATGATGGTCTTGAATGTCGGGCGGGTGAGCGCCTTGGTGTCGACCTTGAGGTTCTTGAGGTCGACGTCTGGCGAGATTTCGAGCAACACGCTCTCCTGGTCCCCCTTGTCAAATGTGCCAAAGGCTACCACGTCGCTGTCACTCAGGCCCGCAGCGGCGAGCACGGACGCGCCGAGGTCGCTCGCCACGGCGGGCGTGGCGGGGATGAACGTGCCGCCGGGAGGCAGGGCGATGCCGACCTCCCCACCCTGTCCGCTGGACACGCGCGTGGCCTTGAAGGTGCCCGAGTGCGGGTTGATAAACGACAGCGAGGTGGCCGTGGGGTGGATGTGGTTGAAGAGCACCTGGGACGTCGCGAGCGTTGCGTGGCCGCACAGCTTGGATTCCTGGGACCAGTTAGCGGTCGAACACGCTGTAGCCAACTGGCACGTACAAAACCCGACGCGCCAAAGAACCGCAGGCCGTACTTTGGCACATCTGCGTCCTTTTGCGTAGCAGACGCGACCACGATGGCCGTCATGGGGAGGTTAAAGTCGCGCGCCAGGGCCTCAAAGTATGCGACATCGTTCGAGCGCGGGTCGTTGGCTGGGAAGAGGACGACGGCGGCCTGGTTGCCGCCGTGTGGGGTGGTCGCGAACGCGTTGGCGAGGAAGAATGGGAGTGGAGTGGCCATTGATGCACTGGGGTTCAGAGGTGAGAGAGGATGAGGAAGAGCTGCTGAAGGGGGATGCAAGTGTGAGTTCTGCTTTATAAACCGGGGGGTTCGCGTTCAGTGTACCCTTGTCAACACCTGCGCGTGGGCCGTGTGGGTGCTCGCTAAACGATGTCGGTGCTCGAGTCGAGCCATATGACCAAGAGTCGACATTCCTATTAACATTTCGAGTTACGTCACCTCCCGCCATGGCCGTCCAACGCCGTCCACTGCACTATTGGAGATAAATGAGGGCGCTGTCGCCATGTTGCTATTGGAGACCACCCACGTCCAGATGCACGCATAGCGTGATGACAGCAATTCGGATCGTACAGATCGCAATCGTAATCGTAGCGCTGTGGCGACGATATCTATGCCCGCCTGCCCTCGGGGCTCCTTGAGACAGCATATGCTGTGCGATACCTCAATACATCGGCCCAGGCCGGCGGTAGTCGTCAGGATGATCAGGATGCAGGACGGTTGCTGCCGATGGACCAACTTTCCCCCCCCCCCCCCCCCCCCCCCCCGCCATTTCCGCTCGCCGTGTCGCTCACTCGATCACTCTTCACCAATCAGATGTGGGGGTTTGTTCAGACAACGGCAATGGTGTTGAGTAGAACAACGATCTGGAATTGGCTACAGAGCAGAGCTCCAGAGCTCCAGTGCGCCAGTACCGTGTCGGTGGTTGATGCATTGCTGGAATTGCTGGAACATTGCTGGAAATCATGGCCTTCTTGGCATGGCATTGCTGGAAATCACGGCCCAGGTCTTAGAAATAAAAGTGGTTTCGCGGGATAATTATTAGAAATCATCCAGGGCAACATTAGAAATGGCCGAGTGGCAGCACATGACTCTGTACTCTGGCCCGTCGGATCGTCGGCCAGCGCCGACACTGCCGACGCTGTTGCGCGGATAAAAGTGGCAGCGTCCGTTCTCTTCTTGACGACCGCACCACCTCTCTTCTCTTCCGCACACTAACTCACTACTGACAAACAACATCCACCATGGCAGCTGTACATTCTGCTCCCTCATTGCATTCGCTGCAGTCGCACGCATCGTCGTCGCGAGACATCGAACTCGATGTCATTGCCCCTGCGGCCCCTACCACGCCGTCCGGCGGGAACAGTACGGCACCACCCTCCGCGGCGGTCAGCCAGACCTCGCTCACCCCTCCGGCCGCGACCAAGATGTAAGACCCTCTCCCATCTGTATCAACGCCACGCTAACCTGCAGGCGCGAAATCTCCATCTGCGTCTCGGCCTTCTTCCTCACGTTCACGACCTGCGGCGCCGTGTTCTCGTTTGGCGTCTACCAGGACCTGTACCAGACCATGGCCGAGGAGCCCAACACACCCTTCACGGGCGCCAGCCCGGCCATCATCGACCTTATTGGCACCCTCACTGCGGCGTTCATGATGCTCGGCGCACCGCTGACCATCGGGTACACCAAGAGCTTTTCCCCGCGCGCAATCATCTTCACGGGCGCGGTGCTCTACTTTGTCGCGTCCATCCTCGCCTCCTTTTCGCAGCACCTGTGGCAGTTTATCCTCACGCAGGGCCTGCTGATGGGTATCGCTACGTGCCTGTCGTACATCCCCGCCGTGACGGTTGCGCCGATGTGGTTTGACCGGAACCGCGCGCTGGCCATGGGCCTGATTCTCAGCGGAACGGGTGTGGGTGGCCTCGTCTTCTCGCCGTTCCTGCAGGCGCTCAACGCCAGCGTCGGGTTCCGCAACTCGCTCCGTATCGCGGGCGCGGTCACGACCGTGTGTATCGTCATCGGCGGCATCGTGCTCGACTGGGACCCCGTGTCCAAGGCGCGCATGCAGGCCGAGAAGGACGCGCGCCGCAGCAGGTACGGCGCAGGCGACAGGCTGCGCCAGTTCTGGGACATTCCCCTCGTCAACTGGCGTATTGCGCGCTCGTCCAAGTTTACCGCGCAGCTCGTCGCAGGCATGCTCCAGGCTGCGGCATACTATACGCCCGTGTTCTTCTTCTCGGCGTACGCCCGCACGCTGGGATACTCTGCCAAGACCGGTGCGGGCTTCATCTCCGTCAACAACGCGTGCAACGCCCTCGGCAAGATCCTGCTCGGCATCGTCGCCGACCGTATCGGCCGCGTCAACATGCTGCTCATCACCACGGCCCTGTCGGCCATCTGCAGCTTTGTCTTCTGGCTGCCGTCGACGCTGACCCCGAGCCTCCCGGCCGCCCAGGGCCTGTTTATCACGTACGCCATCACGTACGGCACGTTTGCGTCGGCGTACGTCTCGCTCTTCCCGGCCGCCTTGATCGAGGTGTTTGGCCCGCAAAACTTTGCGTCGGTCAACGGTGTCCTGTACATGGTGCGCGGGATGGGCACGCTCATCGGCACGCCCAGTGCCGGTGCCATGATCCGCTCGTCGGCGCACGCGGCCCTGCCGTCGGGATACAAGGACATGAGCGTGCTCGTCGGCTGCCTGCTCGCTGGCGCTACGGCGGGTGTGGTGTGGCTCCGTATCGAGCAGGGTATTGACAAGCAGCAGCGGTGATGAGGGGAGGAAGGGGAGAGTCGACATAGAGTATATATCTCACACTAGGCATTGCATTTGATAGACGCGTGGGTCGGGCGTTAAGAGGCAGCGAGGTAGAGGGTAGAAGATGCTCAAAGCAGTCAGCGGCCCAGTGGCCATGTGACCATGTGGCCGTGTGCGCGTGTGCATGGGGACGTGTGGACGACATGGATCAACACTCATCCCCCAACCCCCGAGTCCCCGTGGTCTCACCCATTACGTCATACAACCACATCTGTCAACATCGTGTGATGGTGGATATCGGGAGTTGTGCGGACGACTGGAGACGGCCTGCACTACGTACTGCCTGAACGATGTCGTCAGTCGAACCGTCAACTCAAGACCCAGAGTAGTGGGAGGATCTGGGAGAGCCTGGGGCCAAAGATACGTGGACGGAGAGGGAAGAAGCTTTTTCAGACGGTTCGGTGGAGGGGGAAGATATCAGCGATAGCGCGAAGACGAGTGGCCCCCGCTTGCGATTGTCACCGAAATGGGCCAGACCCCTTTTCGTTCATTGCAGAACACTGTGCTTCTTCGCTGCAGCACGGGGGCCCCATGCATACTGCAGTGCACAGTGACACGGCAGAACTAGACTTTGTGGCTTTGGGCGTTATCACATGCTGGCCATTGCTGCGTGGGTGACACGGGCTCGGGTTGGTTGGCGGTGCGGGGGCCTTCCCTGGCTGAGCCGGCGGTAAGTCGTTTGGGGCAAAGAGGGGGGGCAAAAGCGTCATTTCTCTCCCCCCCTCGTTCGTCTGGCCATCTCTCTTTCCCACATCCCCCCACATGTCATCCCAACAACAAGAAGACATCGACCACGCCGACGACCTCGCCCAGACCCCCACCCCCGCTACCCAGCAGTCCCTCTACGAAGAGGACCTCCCCTCCGCACCAGCCACCCCGCCCGCAGAAGACGTCCCCGCCGCACCCATGGCTCCCCCCACCCCCCGCCGCGCCGACACGGCCGATGGCCCCAATGTCAACGGCCTCGGCGCCGCCCCGCACAAGAAGCACCCCCGCCAAAGGAAGATTGCTGTCCTCACCTCGGGTGGTGACAGTGCTGGAATGAACGCTGCGGGTGAGTATAGTTTGCTCTTCAGCGTCGTTGTCGCCGCCCAGCCATGGTGCAAAAGGTGTTGCGGCCGCCGCGCCGAAAAGCCTATCAGCCCCGCGCCAAGACAACAGCACAATGGCCTCTGTCACCTAGTCCACAGCTGACCCGCCCCGCAGTGCGTGCCGTCGTTCGTGAAGGTATTGCTCGGTGAGTACAGACCTCCCCCCACCGCTTGCCTCTAGCTGCAAACGTGCAACCCAGAAAACGGGATCTGGGTGACCCCTCGTCCTCCCTCCATCGCGCCCTTTCCCGAAGGCCCAAACTTACATCACAGCGGCTGCCAGGCCTACATCATTCGTGAGGGCTGGGAGGGCCTCGTGCGCGGCAACGCTGTCGACCCGACGCCTGCCGCAAGCCGTCGTGCGTCTACGGCGCCGTCGCCCGCGATCCGCCCCACCTGGAACTCGCAGCTCACCGGCCTGCCCGACCTGAACCTCGACGCTGTGGAAGAGCCCCACGCCGTCAACTACTGGGACCCCAACGACATTGCCCCCCTCTCGGACGCCCCCCTCAGCTTCGGCTACGGTGGTCTCCTCCGTGACGGTGCCGGCGAGGGCGACGCCGACGAGCTCGCCGCCGCGCTCGCGGGACACATCCCCGCCGTCCCCGAGGAGGAGGAGGAGGGAGGTCGTACCCTCAAGGGCCGCTACATTGTGCGCGTCGGCTGGGACGACGTCCGCGGTTGGCTCGGTGAGGGCGGTACCCTCATCGGCTCGAGTCGTTGCCCTTCGTGTAAGTCGGGGATCTGTCCCCTCAAACCGACGGCGACCCTTTGCTGACGCTCCGTTTTTCCTTTCCCCCCATCGCACAACTCGTTTCAACCCCGATGACGTCGTTGAATGGTCCTATATACCCTTTTCCACCAATTGATTTGACCACACCGACACACTCTTGCAATCTCGTCTGCATGTTACGTTGTCACCTGCAGTCCGCACTCGCGAGGGCCGTCTCCGCGCCGCGCGCAACCTTATCACCTTTGGTATCGACTGTCTCGCCGTTTGCGGTGGTGATGGTTCGCTCACGGGTGCCGACATGCTCCGTGCCGAGTGGCCCAGCCTCATCGCCGAGCTGCATGGCAACAACCACATTGACGACGAGCAGCTCGAGGCCTACCGCTACTTGAATATCGTCGGTCTTGTCGGCTCCATTGAGTGGGTTGGATGACGTGCAATGACACAACCGCTGACACGCTTCCCAGCAACGACATGTCCATGACCGACCTTACGATCGGTGCGGTGACTGCCCTGCACCGTATCTGTGAGGCTGTCGACTCGATCTCGTCGACCGCGTCGTCGCACTCTCGTGCGTTCGTTATCGAGGTCATGGGTCGCCACTGCGGTTGGCTCGCCCTCATGGCCGGTGTTGCCACTGGCGCCGACTACATCTTTATTCCCGAGCGCCCGCCTGCGGGTGACGACTGGGAGTCGGAGATGTGTGATGTGCTCAAGCAGCACCGTCTTGTCGGCAAGCGCAAGAGCATTGTCATTGTCGCCGAGGGCGCCATCGACAAGAACCTCCAGCCCATCAAGGGCGACTATGTCAAACAGGTGCTCGTCGACCGTCTCGGTCTCGACACCCGTGTCACCACCCTCGGCCACACCCAGCGTGGTGGTTCCCCCGCCGCCTATGACCGTATCCTCCCCACTCTCCAGGGTGTCAAGGCGGTCGAGGCGCTCCTCGAGGCTACACCCGAGACCCCTTCGTACATGATCGGTATCGCCGAGAACCGTATCACCAAGGTTCCCCTTCTCGAGGCTGTTGCGCAGACCCAGGCTGTCGCCGATGCCATTGCCGCCAAGGACTTCCCCAAGGCCATGGGTTACCGTGACTCCGAGTTCAAGGACATGCTCGCCGCCTTCCACATTTCGTCGTCGCTCTCGTCGGCCGACATTGTCCCCGAGGACCAGAGGCTACGCGTCGGTATCATCCACGTCGGTGCCCCCGCCGGCGGTATGAACGCTGCCACGCGCCAGGCGGTCCGCTACTGCCACTCGCGCGGCCACGTCCCGCTCGGTATCTACAACGGCTTTGACGGTCTCCTCGAGGACAATGTCTCCGAGCTGTCGTGGCTCCGTGTCGACAACTGGACCACCCGTGGTGGTTCCGAGCTCGGCACCAACCGTACCTTGCCTTCCATCGACATGGGGCAGATTGCCGCCGCGCTCCAGCGTCACTCGATCGACGCCCTCCTTCTCGTCGGTGGTTTCGAGGCGTTCAACTCGGTCCTCATGCTCGAGAAGGCCCGCAAGGACTACCCCTCGCTCCACATCCCCATGATCCACCTGCCCGCCACGCTGTCCAACAATGTGCCCCTCACCGACTTTTCGCTCGGCTCGGACACGTCGCTCAACGCCCTTGTCCAGGCCTGTGACGCCATCAAGCAGTCGGCGTCGGCGTCGCGCAACCGTGTGTTCATCGTCGAGACCCAGGGCGGCATGAGCGGCTACATTGCCGTGCTCGGCGCCCTCGCTGTCGGTGCCGTGCTCGTGTACACCCCCGAGGAAGGCATCTCCCTCTCGCGTCTCCAGGAGGACGTCGAGTTCCTCAAGGAGCGTTACGGCCTCGACGAGAAGGGCAAGTCCGAGGGCCGTCTGGTCATCAAGTCGGAGAAGTCGTCGTCGGTCTACAGCACCGACCTCATCACCAAGGTCCTCAAGGAGGAGGGCAAGGACATTTTCGACTCGCGTTCCGCCGCCCTCGGCCACACCCTGCAGGGTGGCACTCCCTCCCCGCAGGACCGTACCCGCGCCGCGCGTCTCGCGCTGCTGTCCATGCAGTTCCTCGAGAAGCACGCCACGCCCAACGCGCAGGCGTACCACCCGCGCAAGAAGCAGATGCCCGCGCGCACCGAGACGGCGGCCATGATCGCCATCCGCGGCTCCAAGATTGTGTACGCGACCATGGACGAGGTGATGCGCCACACCGACATGAAGCTCCGCCGCGGCACAGACGTCTGGTGGTCGGGCGTCAAGCACCTCGTCGAGGTCATGGGCGGCCGTGCCGGTGTCATTGCCCAGATGCAGGAGCAGGAGGCCAAGGCCCGCCGCCGCGAGGCGCGCGAGGCCATCGCCCAGCAGGAGAAGCTGCTCCAGCAGAAGCGTCACCACAACGCCTAAGTCAAAGTTGTGTGTGGCGGACGCCCCTCCCTGCATAAAGGAAAGGTCTGGATCAAATAGGAATCGGATCAGTAATATCAGTGGAAATGATAGAAAAGGAAAAAACATGCTCTGAATTACATACACTCTTCCAAACTCCCTCTGCCGGCCTTTTGTGTGCTGTCTGCTCTCTCTCTCTCTACTTGAGGTCAAGGTTTCCGACCATGACCTTGATGACGGTGTTGCCGTCCTTGTCCTTGCCGCGCTTGACGTCCTCGAACGCCTCGACGGCGCGGTCGAGCGGGTAGCGCTGGGTGACCATCTTGCCGACGTCGCCGAGCTTGCCCGAAGCCAGGAGCGCGAGCGCGTCCGGGTACGTGTTGCAGTAGCGGAAGACGCCGATGAGGTCGACCTCGCGGAGCATGGCGGCGCCGACGGGCAGGGCGAGCACGGGCGTGCCCATGCCGACGTACAGGACCTTTGATCCGGGGGCGGCGGCGAACGCGGCCATCTGCATGCACGACTCGACACCGGTGCACTCGAACACGGCGTCAAAGCCCTCCTCGAGGCCCTCGACGGCGGTCACGACGGCGTCCTTTTGCAGGGCCTCCCAGTTGGTCTTGGCGGCCTCGAGCGCCTCGGCGCCGCTCACGCGCGGGCCGCGCGGGAGGCAGTACGTGCCGTCCACCCAGCCCATCTTGGCGGCAAAGTCGAGCTTGCCCTGCTCAATGTCGACGGCGATAACGGTCGTCGCGCCCGAGGCCTTGGCGAGCGCACACGCCAGCAGGCCGACGGCACCCGTGCCGAGCACGAGCACGCGCGCGGCAGGCTGAAGGTGTGCGCGGCGGTACGCGTGCAGCACGACGCTGAGGGGCTCGGCGAGGGCCGCGAGCGGCAGGTCGAGCGCGGGAGGCAGCTTGTGCAGCAGGTCAAGAGGGTGGGTCATGACCTCGCACAGCGTGCCGTCGAGGTGGGGGAACGTCTTGGCCGACGACGCAAAGCGCATGTTCTTGCACAGGTTGTAGCGGCCCTCCTTGCAGTACTTGCAGTTCTTGCAGTTGATGCCCACCTCGAGCGCGACGCGGTCGCCCACCTGCAGCGTGCAGCCGGCAGGCAGGGTGGCGGGCAGGGCAGTGATGATACCGCACGACTCGTGGCCGAGCACCATGGGCGCCTGGATCTTGAACGTGCCGTTGGCGCCGTGCGAGTAGTAGTGGACTGGCAGGGCAAGTCAGCGGCCGCTCGTGTCTCCCTTGACTCCCCGAGCCCTCGCAGTCGTTACTCACGGTCCGAACCACAGAGACCAGTCACGCCCATGGCGACCTGCGCCTCGCCCTCTGCGGGAGCGCGGATGGGCTTGTCCTCCTGCATTCTGTCAGCGACATGCTTCCTAGGCCGTGTACACCATGGTCGCGGAGATAACGGCAGCAGCTCGCGCCCAGGCGTCTCCGGGGGGAGGCCAACATCCGCCAGCGCACTCTCCACAGTCCAAAGTTCACTCACAATACGCAGGTCCACAGCACCGTGGCACACCGCGGCCTTCTGCGTCGTCTTGCCCTCAAAGCTGGGAACGGTCATGGTGTCAGAGAGTGGGTGGGGGAGGTGGTGAGAGGGGTGAAGGATGGAGGAGTGAATGCAAAAAGAGGATGCGAGTGAGCTGCACACAAGTATTATGGGTGGGCGGAAAGTGTCCAGCAGAGCATCTCCGGCACATCGGACCGGAAACCGGTCCGTCGCCGGAGCGGAGGATGTACGCTGGGTGTCTGGGCTGGGGGGGCGTGTGTCGGATTTGTATGGGGGACGCGTCCATGTCCGCCCGGCACACGTCGGCGGGATAAGCATAGGCTGTGTGGCCATGTGGATAGGTAGTCGACGGGTACAGTAGGCGCTGGTTGCACGATATCAGTGTGCTAGTGAACAACGCTGACGGCGGACAAATGGCTCGCGGACGCACGTCTTTGCGTCACTCCGCACTCCTTTATCGCTCACTCATGTTGCCTAACGACCTTATACGTCCCAACACGGCCTACCAACTAGACAGCATTCACTGAGCACCAGCCTCGAAAGCCTTGCAGCCCTCAAACGTCCCTTCCCACTTCTCAGCGCTCCGGGTGTACACCTCGAGGTCGGGAGGGGGAACGGTTCCGGGAGGGAATACGCCTGAATGAGGTGAGCGAGTGGCGACACACAATACACCTTGAGCTGGGCTTCCGACTCCACAAGGCTACAGCTCAACCACAACGTACCTGCGTAGACGATGTAGCGCTCAGGCTTTCCGTGGTTGAAGTTGAACATCGAGCTGCCGTCAGATAACCCCCGGACAAGCCATATCGCCGCTCACACTCACCAGCCGCAGTCTCCACAGAAATGGCGCTCAATCACATGCCCACTGTCGGCTGGTATCACCCAGATCTTGGGCGTACCAGTCACCTCGAGGTCGGTCACTGGGGTGCGCACAAAGGTGGCCACGCTGGTGTGTCAGTGGCGCACTCGTGGATCGAGGACGGTAGAGATGGCATGCATGGGGAAGGACCATCTCATTTGCAAGACAATCCAGAGAGCTCGTCCTCGCGCGATTCAAATGACAGCAAGCGACAGAGCAAGCTACTCACGTTCCGCCCGTAAACCGCCGACACGGGACGCAGTCTTCCCCGTCAGCTCTCAGCTCTCAGCCCACAGCTCCGCAGCACGCACGACAGAGGAGCGACGAGGCCGGTGGCGGCAGCGTCAGCTTGATGTTGCCGCAGTTGCACTGGACAGTGATGGGGCTCATTGGATGGGTATGTCGACAGTGAAAGCAAGTTGTGGTGGGCGGACTTGTTATCGACTCACGCGAGGTGGAGGCGGATCTCGGACCCAGCCGAATTATGGTCGGCAACGTTTCCGCTCCTCGTTCACCATCGACCTTCCAGCATAGGACGTGTAAGAATGTAACTGCCATTACAGCTGTGTCACTTCTGGAACGACTGAGCTGCACCTCCGGATGTGCCGTTAAAGATCCACCGGCCACCGAAAGTGGTGAGCGAGGGCTTCAGCACCTTGCTGCGTCAGTAGCGCCAATGTTGCTCCACATGTTCTCTTCATCGTTCCTCTATCTTCTGTACTGTTTCGTGAGTCAGCGTCGTGGTCTAACCTTCACGTAGGGTACATATTCTATGCTATCTTGCTCATGACATCGAACAGAAGAGACACGAAGAGCTACGAGCAGAGACCCTGAACTCCGACTCCTCATCACACTGACACCAACTCGATCAACAACAAGCCTGGTTATATCAGTCGGTAGATAGTTTGACTCTTATTACTTAAGACATCAAAATGTCATGGGTTCGAGCCCCATACTAGGCTACAGGACGACGTTCTACGTCTACATCTGCTTTTTGGACGTTCTGGCGACCCTGTAGGAGCGCAGAGGGTCGCCAGTGACGAGGTTCGGAGGTAGATGACGAGGAGAGTTTTTGTGTGTCGCGCAAAATTAATTTTGGGGAACGAGTTTTCAGTGGTCATCCAACGCCACACGCTGTCTACGGCATGTTGGCATGTCAGTGGGGGGAGGGGCATGAGGGATTGTATGTTGCCTTGCGTGTCTGAGACGCTCTAGTAAAGCTAGAGTGAGCCGATACGTGAGCCGTGAGACACCTAATACCTGAGCCTGCAATGTCGGCAATTTAGCCGGATGCAATTCCTTCACTCTCTCACCGCAGATGTCCCCGGCTGCTCTCATTGTATTGAGCAACCGGGCTCCAAGACACTCGCAAGTTCCAAGACACTCGTCAGTTCCAAGACAGTCTTTTCGCAAGGTGCCTGTGTTAATATGCATGGATTGGAACCGGTGACATTGTATACGTGTGTGCTGGGTCCGATCAATTGACGCTTGTGTACAGGCTGGCTGTTGCTTCACACTGCAGTACGGCAAACCACTCGGCCATGGCGCATGCTTGGCGAGATCCGACGACGACCTTGTCTTCTATGGAGGGCAAACTCCTGTAAGGTACAAGCCTCTTCGTTCATCATCTCTAGGTCCCTCATATAATACTGTACGTCTCTCGCCTGCGCGGTGGACGGTCAAACGGACAGCCGACGTACCCAGTTGACAGCCGTGTGGGTGGAGTCGCCGAAAATATCATTTTCCGCAAGCAGCTGCAGGCTGCCGCTCCAATGCGCCAATGCGCTCCAATGCCCGCGAGGCGGTGCCCTCGATGGGGTCGGGTGGGTCAGCACACCGCCGTCTGTCGTCGTCGTCGTCGACGACGTCGCCGCTTGTGGTCCTCCCTAGCGTGATCTGTATGTATCTCACTGCCGCGTACTCTAACATAGCCATGTGATATATACAGCTGGCTCGTCTTCAGCGCAGTCCGAGCACGCCACAGGCCACACTGGGGCAGGGGCAGTGCAAGACGTCCTGGCGTTGGGGCTGAGCAGGTCGACTACATCATCTACTGCAGCATATGCGACTAGGCGCCTGGGAGTTGTGCTCCGCCCCCCCCCCCCGACTATCTTGGACATCGGACTCAAATGTGGGGTCCGTAGCCGTACAGTACTTGTGGCACCACGGGTGGCGTATTTTAGGTTTTCTCCACAGCGACCCACGAGTTTCTGCGCATACTGCTTGTTCCATACTCCTTGCCAAGGCAGCATTCCCTCACCGCTTTCGGTGCATGCACTGAATGCTCAATATGTCACAGCAACAGCCCCTTTCCCTTGTCTCTTGCTCGTTCCCGGCGGCCCCCGTCCTTTCTTAAAGCCGAGTGATCGCCACTCCGTCTCGTCGTCTGCCCCTCTCCACCCGTCTTTCCGTTACCTTGCCACTCCACCATGGTCTTGCTGGGTCTTCTTCTTGGTCTGCTCTTTACAAACTACGCCTCTGCGGTGTATGTTATGTGCTTGGACGAAACAGCTGTCCAACCGGGGACCATCATCGACCTCGATGCCACGCCGGAAGCAAACAGCCCTAGTGGATGTGCTGTAAGTTGGTCGTGCTGTGTGTGGCATGTGTCATGTGCGGTTTGTGGTTGCTTCACAAGACACACATTGATGGGGCTTTTCGGTCACATTCCTTGTCCTTGTTGTAGGCCCGTTGGCCCCTTGAACAGCGTTGTCGCTTGTTTCCCTCTCACTGACCTGATACCACAGATCGCTTGCCGAATCGGCGACTACATCTTCAGCCAGTACGCCGACGACGCCACCGTCCCCGGCGGGGCGTGTATCTGTCTCGCTGCAGACCCAGGCGTTGCTTGGACCCCCTATCAAGCACCCCCTGCGGCTGTAATCCCATCCAACCCATCAAAGTGCCCCACTGGCACCTACACGGTATGTCTGTGCTACCTGGCGTCCTTGCCATAGACGACACCATTGACCCAGCTAGGTCCAATACATCGACGCCAACTACAAGATCAAGTCCTGCTATGATAACATTACCTTTAGCGATGTGACCAGCCAAACCCCCGTCGACGGCATTTCTGACTGCTTCGACGTGTGCACCAACTCGGGAGCCCAATACATTGCTCTCAACATCTTCAGCCCCCTCTCCAAGCCGCAGCCCTTCTGCATATGTGGTGCTGGGAGCGCAGACCAAGTCATTACCCTCGGCAAGCAGACAGCCTGCGGTCAGTCGTCGTACAACTTGTACGCCCGCAGAGCCAGTGCCAGCATCAGCCCCAGTGCGAGCATCAGTGCCAGGCGTCAGCTGGGTATCAAGGGCAGGCGACTCAAGACACGTACCGTGGACCTGTGCCCCACGGGTATGCAGGCGTGTGCCATTGCGGGCTCTGATGGTTACGAGGTGAGCCAGGACACCGGCTATTCCGAGCTGACGGCAGTGTATCGACCCCATGGATGAGCTTGGTGAGTTGCGCCACGCCGCTGGCCGCTGGACGACTGACTGTCGACTGACGTACTGACAAAACAGAATCGTGCGGCGGATGCGTCGACGGCTATTATCCCAACAGCAACGCCAAGTCCGGCATTGAGTGAGTTTCTTACCCTGACTCTTTCTGTTGTTGACATTCAAACCAGTTGCACCACCATCCAAGGCGTCGCACCCGGAGGCGTGTCGTGTAACGGTGGCCAGTGCATCGTGTCCAGGTGTCTTGCCTCGCACCAGCTGGTCAGTGAACAATGTGTGCCCATTCCGGCGACGGCTCTGGGTTCCGATTCAAAGCAAAAGGCCTTCAAGTGATCCCAGTGCTTAAAGGGTGTCTCTGCCCCTTTATGTAAGACTGGATCGAGACCGTAGAAGAAGAGTAACATGGACAGTAGCATGGACAGTAGTAGATATACTGCGGACATTTTTTTATCTATATAATAAACGCTGGCTATGTACATCTCGTACACCGCTGCTTTTTTACTGTCTGTCCGGAAGTGGGGTATTGTAAGCGCCACAGTGTTTTCGTGATCTCGCTGGCGCCGATCGCTGCTCCATGCTGCACACGCACATGGTGTGAGCATATGGTGTACATGGTGTCAAACTGTGAGATCTGGACAATTTGGATGTGAGATCTGTGGCGCGTCAACAGCCGCGGCAGACGATCGTGGCGGTTTGTCCTGGCCTCGCGTCTGGGCGCGCACGTCTGAGCGCGTGTGCTTTCCCTTTTGGCCCGCCCAGTATGGCCAGTCCGGCCAGTGGCCAGTGGCCAGAGTACCAGAGTGTGTGTACATATATATATGAGTGCATGGGGTTGACTGTGTTTGTTTTGTCAGTTGTCCACTCCACTCTTCCTTCCTTCCACCCATCAACTCGTCGCTTGCAATCGGCAGCCGCATTTCACATCCTCTCGCCCCCATCCACTGTGGTACTCGGCAACAACCATGGTGCATGTGGCAACGATCCTCCTCCTCACGGTCACCCTCGCACTCTCTGCGTCTGCAGTGTTTGTAGAGTGCTTTTATCCCGCAGGCCTTCAGCCAGGATTCACGGTCAACATTTTGGGCAATCCCTCTGCCGGCTCTCCCACCGGATGTGCAGTGAGTAACGGCTTGCCCCCCCCCCCCCCCGCACAGTGACCGTCTGAGATACCCTCGTGCCCGTGAGGGATATTGTCGCCACCGACCAGCAGTCATCCGTCCATACCTCCTCCTTGCCCCCGTTTGGGCAGTGTTGGCACAACTAACGGTTCAGACCCAGTGCAAAGCTCTCGGGTATACCTGGAGCCAGTATGCTAGCGCTATCACAGTCCCTATATTTGGCCAATGCATGTGCACTAACAACGACGGCGGCGCTGCTTGGGTTATCAATCAAGCCGTCCCATCGGTCGCTTCCCCACCCAGCTTTGGCACCTGTGAAACCGGCTCTTATCAGGTAGGTCACGCGATTGTTTGGGCGCCGTTCTTTTTGGTAACCCGCCTCAGCTTCAATACCTCCGCGCCAGCTACAACCTGCTCGGGTGCTTTACGTCAGTCACAATGATGCCTCTGCCCGGCCAGACTACGGCCTTGACCGTCAGCGAATGCTTCACCCGCTGCATAAATCAAGGATCGAAGTACATCGCCATGCAGGTTTACACCCCCCCGTTCCCTTGGATCACCTGTCTATGCTCCACCGCCACTTCATCCGTCACAGCGGCTTCTCCAGACAATTGTGGTGTCGGCCGTTGGAACGTGTACAGACTGGGCTCCACCCCGAGTGTCATCTCGCGCCGTCAGAAGCGTCTTGAAGCCGCCATCAAGGGCAGCGATACGAGCCCGTGTCCAGTCGGTATGCAAGCCTGCAACGTTGCTGGCTCGGACGCCTACGAAGTGAGTGACCCATAACTGTTTCAACAGCTAACAAACAGTGCATCGACCCCATGGACGAGCTCGGTCAGTGGTCTCTCAAAAAGGGGTCCCCGTATTTCCATGCTGACATTCAGAATCCTGTGGCGGCTGCGTTGCCGGATTGTATGCTGCGGCCAACACCACTACCTCTGGTATCGAGTGAGTGACAATCCCAGTCTTACTTCTTATCAGTCCCACTAACAGGCCCAGCTGCACGACGATCCCTGGCGTCAGTGGCGGTGGCGTAACCTGCATGAACGGCAAGTGTGTCGTGACCCGCTGTCGCGCGTCTCACCAGCTTGTGGATGGCACCTGCGTACCTGTGCTCCCCCATGTTCCCCATGTTTGGGACACGAACCAGCCCCCCAAGAACCAGCAGACTTTCCGTTGAGCCGCCAACGAGGACAGTAGCTACGGACAGTGGCTCAAAATAAGGATGACCGAGGGTTGAGGTAATAGGCACATGGTGCTGGATGTGGACTCCTTGCAGTACGTAGTATGAGATTGGGAGATGCATAGTCGTCTGTACACTGCATAAGCTTGATTTGCTGCACTGGTTCGCGCCACAAAGCGCTCCAAATACAGACTGAACGTTCGAGGGCAGGGCAGCGGTGACTCTTCCATCCCCGGTCGCGTGGCCAAATGGTACGGCGTCTGACTACGATTCAGCTCGATTATCAGGAGATCGCGGGTTCGATCCCCGTCGTGACCTTTTTGGACCTTGTGGAGGCTGTACATGTATTGTACAGACGCTGTGGAGGGCTGGGATGAAAGAATATCGACTGTAAGTGGTCGAGAAGATGCGATGGGAGGTTTGTGGCGGGGCGGGCCTGCGGATCGTCTGTCGTGTGCCACAGTGTCGTTCTTTGACCATCCGGTTTCTCTCTTTGCAGCCTGGCATGGACCATCTCAGACTACTGCATTCCCACTATCCTACATACCTTCCATTATAGATTACGAGCTCACAATCTCGAAACTTGCTCCCGAAACACTCTCGCTCCAACTGAACGCTATGCTCCATGGATGGCCGCGTCAAACACAACACACAGCATGGCAATCATGGCCGTATCGACACCAGGAGCAATCTTGATCTCATACTGTCCACGTCAGTTTCATGGGACCTAGCTGGGCGAGAATGAGGTGGATACTCAGCTTCCCAATCACTCACCTTTCGCCCGGCGCTCCAAGGATCGATCGGACAGCGGTCGATAGTGGCGAGGATGTCGTTTGGGTAGATGAAGATCTCGGACGCGTCGCCAAACTTGTGTCCGCGCAGCTCGAGGATCTTGTCCTTTGACGACATGCACTGGAGTTCCATGTACGCGGTCGTCTCGGCTGTGGAGGGGAGGACGATGTGGAGAGAGGTATGAGATGTATCGTGTCGTGAGAGTTAAGACGATGTGCAGGGAGGTGCGTAAGGGCATGGCGTCAGCCTCAACATTGTGACGAGACGGCATACGCTCACAGTTGAGGCTCGAGTGGACTTTCAAGATCTCCTTGCCCCTCCTGTCCTCACACACCACCTCACCCGCCGCGGGATCTCCGACAACAGTGAAGAGAACAGTGTCGCCCTTCATGAAGCCTGTACGACGCAGTCAGCTACTGTGTCTCCTGCAGCTCTACCCACGTCGTATCCTGTGTCCTCCACTAAAGGAATACACCTCTTTGCTAGACCCTTGGTGCGTAATAGACATTTTACTCTATCGGTGTCAGATTCAAACTCAAGGCCGGTCGCCACAGCTGCACATTCTCACCGTGCCAGACTGAGACGGGACGTGGAGCGTCGTGATTTCGTTGAAGCACTCGTCACGATAGACCCCGACGTCGGGATAGAACAGTGGGAGGTCGGGCATTGCTGGTGCGTGAGTATGTGAGTGTGAGAGTGAGAGACGTGATGAAGTGATAGTTAATTGATGTGGGTGGTTTGGCAAGCAAGTGACGCCAGAGATCTCGCAGGGGATCGACACGCGGTGCGCCACCGACGTGTGTGGAGGTTGTTATATCCCGAGTGGACCCGAATACACACTCTTTCGGCTGTAGAATGGGTGAAACCCGGCATCGGTGTTGTCAATTGTATGCAATTGTATTCCGGAGGCCACATGGCAAATTCAAGTAAAGGTTAGCCAATGGCTGCTGATGTCATACGTGCACAAAGAGTTCCATGTTTTGGGTACGAGGTGTTGTAGAACGAGGCCTGATATGGGTTCAAGTGCGTGACAGGCATCGCGATCATGCCGGGACACCGACAGCGATGCCGCTATGTTACCCGAGGTTCCGTTGACGCCAACATCAAACCCGATGTCCTCTTCCTCGGCCACAAGAACACAAACTCAACAGTAGAAGGTGCTGCACCTTAAAGGCAATTACTATCTGCTGCCTTGCCACACGTCCCCGTCCCCCACATGCTAAATGTGGAAAGAATCAGGAGAGGCGAAAACACGGCACCCGGCCAAAACGCAGCTGCAAACGGGCCATGTACCACCGTCGAAGTGCATCAAAGGTTGGTGGAGACATTACGGGACGCAGTGCTATGTTGGTGAGGAACTGCAGGATCCATACTTTCAAGAAACCAACAAAAAATCGGCAGAAAACACCGCTTGAAGCGACTGCCACACTCCTCCAACAGCTCAGACCTCGACGCCATCAATACGCTCGGGCAGAGATCAAACTGCTTCACAGTCACTGGCATGTCAGCCCTTTATTGATTGAGACGTTTTGGGGTGCAGCACTTTGCGTTTATGCGAGCAAAACCGGACCAGCCGTCGCAAGGAAATGAGTATAAAATTGAACCGCCGTGGAGTCACCAAACATGAAGGCACACCTCACATCTTGGCAAGGTAATTTCTATTCTTTTACAACAGTGTTTTTACAAAAGCACAGCTGCATGTATGGAATAATGGTGGAGATACGCGGCGTCGCTCATGGACGTGTCCCATTGTGACACGAATTTTGGGCAATTTTTGTTTTTTTTTTGACAGCGCACTACTGCACCAGCTTCAGCTGCGTACGACGGGTACGTGACCTCCCATAAGGTTGAAGACTTTGCACAGGGTACTGTCTTCGAGCATTACTACCAGCGCTTGGGGCTGCCGAACAGCAGAGGTCTTCCACATGGGTGCTCACACAAAGCTGCGGCGTTCGTAGACCAAAGCAAAGTATGGACGCTACGCTCTCCATGCCGTTCTCGAGCGTGTGGAGAGCGGCTCCCGAAGAGCTCCACCGACGAATCAAAGTACGGTTACGGGCGACGAACCTCTCGTGTAGCTCAATCTACGAGTTGGACGGTACAGCTTCTCTGCAAACAACCCGGTTGGGTGCCTCATTGACCTTCTGCGCTGGTCATTACCGTCGCGACACACACACTGTTTTTGGACCAGTTGGTCAGCGACGCAAGCGAGTGAATAGCAGGTAGCGTCACGACAGCCGGAACGAGTTCAGAGCGACAAAGGAAGACGACAAGAGGATGCGGGAGGATTGATCGGCCGAATGTGGCACTGCCATTCGGGGATATTTTCCGCCACATTGCCATCTCACCACCTTCTACCTCTTCCATCGCTGTCTCCAACCTCCCTGTCTCTCCAATATCCACAGGTCAGCATCCTGAGAAGCGCTAGAGACGCCACAGCCACTGAAAAAAGAAACAAAAACGAAACAAAAACGAAAACCGGAACTTTTACTGTCAATCATTTCATGTGTCCTCCCCGCGAGGAGTTTTGCTCTAAACTCGCTCTCCACAACTCCAAATCAAACGCCTAGTGCTTGAGGTTGGGGGGGTTGTAGTAGATCTTGCGGTTCTTAATGCCAGTCCACTTAAAACGCTTTACGTAAAGCGAGATCGCGGTGAGCGAAGAGATGATAATGACGGCCTGGAGACCCATCTTCTTGCGCTCGTCGTGCTCGGGCTCGGCGGCCCAGGCAAGGAACTGGACGACGTCCTTGGCCATCTGCGAGGTGGTGGCAGGAGTCTCGTCGTCGTACTCGACGAGACCGTCGAAGAGAGTGCGAGCCATGGCGATACCGCCGCCAGGGAAATAAGGGTTGTAATTCATGCCCTCGGCGACAACAACACCAGCGGGAGGCTCGACGTAACCGGTGAGGAGCGAGTAGACGTAGTCGGCGCCACCGTGACGAGCCTTGATCATGAGGGAGAGGTCAGGGGGGTAACCACCAGCGTTGGCGGAACGGGCGGCCTCCTCGTTGGGGTAGGGAGCGGGCATGTAGTCGGCGAGCTTTCCTCTGTGAGATCGCAAGTCAGTAACTGGGGTTTTCTTTGTTTTTACACTCTTTTGGCAGCGTTCTGCCTGAATCTACTCACGGGCGGTCGAACATCTCACCCTCGTCGTTGGGGCCGTCCTTGTACTCGAACTCCTCAGCCATGGCCTTGACCTCGTCGACGGTGTGCGAAACACCGACGAGGTTACGCCAGGCAATGCGGTCGAGCGAGTGGCAGGCGGCACAGACCTCGCGGTAGACTGTCACCTGTTAGCGTTTTATCTTTTTACTTTTGGAGGCTCTGCGCGCGCGCGCGCGCATAGTTGCTCGACAACAGCCAAAGTCGACCGCAACTATGCGCAGATGCCAAGAGACCTCTGCGTGTCTCTGTTTTCTACCCACCCTGGTAACCACGGCGGATGGCGGCGTGGTCAAAGGTCTCAAAGTAGCCCTTGTGGGGCCAGGGGTACTCGGCGGGGTGGAGACCGACCTCGGCAGCAGTGTTGGCCTCGGCGGTCTGGAGGAGCGAGAAGGGAGCGCCGTAAAGGTGCATGTACCAGGCGGTGGTACCGGCAGCGACAGCTGAAGCACCGGCAACGGCGGCACGCGAGCCCCAGACGCCCTGGGCAGTCTTGGCCGAGGTCGAGCTGAAGCGAGCCTGCTATGTGGTTAGCTGTCTGCATCGTTTTGTTGGATGAAAGGGGGAGGGTGTTGGGTTGGTGCTTCGGAGCAGCAATGCGACTTCGCGCGTTGGCCAATCGGGCCGTGCGGAATATGCGCTGCTGTCGAGCAAAAGAGCGCACCTTGCCAAAGGCCTTGGGAGCCTGAGCCGAGGCCCGCGAAGCAAGGCGGGGGAGGGCCGAGGAGAACATCGTCGACGAGATGAGTGGTGACGAGGAAGGGAGAGGTGAGAAGACGGAGACGGGATTGGGTGCACCAAGTCAAAGTCGGTGGTAGGAGTGGCCGTCCGGAGCATCTCGCAAGGGGGGGGTGAAGGGCCCACCGCCAGCCAGCCAGCGCCAGCCAGTGGAGGGGCGACCCACACGCAGGCTGGGCACAGTGCCGCCGCGGCGCGGCAGCTTCGGGGCAGAGCGGCGAAATCGAGTGTGGCACTTTTTCCCCGCCAGCCAGTATACACTGTGTGTGCATCCATGCAGCGTCGATGGAGCTGTATATGGCTTGGACAACTTTCCCTATGCATGCATGCTACGGGTATGCTGCAGCACGGGACGTCCTATGCATGGTTGTTGCCAATTCACGGTCCATACCCACTGACAATCACTTTCTGAGCCCAGATTCCAATCACCATTGCAGAGACGTCGATTGGGCGCGGGGGCTTCACTGTAGAGACCGTGAGCCTAAATGTTTAAAGGCGCGTGAAGGTCAATACCTCCGCCTACCTCATATAGGCGCCTTTAAGGTCCGATCAGTGTGTCCTGATGTCAGATGCAACACCTTCCAGATGGCAGAATGTCAAGCTAGAGTCAGTCGATCGTCTCTTGCACCCCACTCCTCCCTCCCATCAACCTCACCACCCTCCTCCCTCCCTTCTCCTACTGGGCTGTCTCTGGGGAAGGAAGAACAAACGATGCACGGCCTTCACTCCACCCTCCTGCCCCCCTCCGCCGTACACCACTCCCTCTTCCTCCCCCACTTCACCCCATCGACCATCTACCCTTTGCCCAAACCACATGCTGCCCTCGAAGCTCTCGAAGTCAAGGTCGTAGGCAACCTCATTGTTGCTGGAGGCCAGGACCTGCGCGTGTTTGAAATTCGCGAAGAGGCTGCCCCAGTCGCCGATGCCGGTGCAGAGGACGAGCCCGCCGTGGCGGGGATGGACGAGATGGGAGACTCGTTCTTCGATTCAGCGCCAGCAGATGTAAGCAGCAGAGAATGCAAAAACACTGTGTTATTTTCTTTATACTCATGCTCCCCTTCTATCAGCGTGCGCCGGTTCGCTACGAGACAACCCGCAGGCTCCACCTTCTCACGCGCCACGAACTGCATGGCACCGTCACCGGTCTGGCAGGCTTGCGTACTATTGACAGTAGTGTCGACGGTCTCGACAGGCTGCTTGTCTCTCTCAAGGATGCCAAGGTGGGTTCTTTGCCGAAGCTCTCGGACTAACCCAACAGATGGCAATTCTCGAGTGGTCGCGCGGCGACATTTCGACCGTATCGCTGCACACGTATGAGCGTTCGCAGCAAATGGTCAATGGTGATCTCCAAGGCTACGTTCCACTGTTGAGGAGTGACCCTCTGTCACGAGTGGCAATTCTCACTCTCCCCGAGGACGCTCTTGCTGTCCTTCCCGTTCTGCAAGAACAATCCGAGCTGGATGCCATGCAGGACAACTTTCCAAAGTAGGTACCGTCCGCCGCAAAGGTCGTGCTCACCTCGCAGGGACGTCCCTTACTCGCCATCGTTCGTCCTGTCTCTCGCGGACGTGTCGACCACGATCAAGAACCTCCAAGACCTCCTCTTCCTCCCGGGCTTCCATTCGCCCACCCTCGCTCTTCTCTTCTCACCCATGCATACGTGGGCAGGTCGCTACCAGTCCAACAAGGACACCTTCCGGCTCGAGATCCGTACCATCGACTTGTCGTCTACGGGCACTTACCCGCTCCTCACGTCGGTCACCTCCCTTCCAAGCGATAGCCTGTACCTCGTTGCCTGCCCGACCGAGGTTGGTGGTGTGGTGGTCGTCACAACAACGGGAATCATCCATGTCGACCAGAGTGGTCGCATCGTCAGCGCTGCCGTTAACGGTTGGTGGAGCGACGTGACGAGCCTTAGCTCCGACTCGGCATCCAAATCGCGCAAGCTCTCGCTCGAGGGTTCGCGCGCCGAGTTTGTTTCGCAGCGCGACATGCTCCTCGTTCTCCAGAACGGCGACGTCCACCAGGTCCGCTTCGAGATGGACGGCCGTGCCGTCGGCACCATCAAGGTGGATGAGCAGAGCAGCACCGTCCCGCCGCCTTCCACCATGGTGCTCGCTGGTTCCCAGGGTCTGTTTGTCGGTTCAGCAGAGGGTGACTCGCTACTCGCAAAGGTCGATATGGTCCGCGAGGTTGTGGAAGAGGCCGAGGATGAGGAGCAGAAAAAGGATGATATTGAGGTGGACTGGGATGAAGGTGAGCTAGTCGATCTTTGCGAAGCTGACAACAGACCTCTATGGCGAGGCAGACGGGCCAGCAGCCAATGGCACGACCACCAAGATGGTGGCCACAGGTCCCGCCAACGTGACCATCTCGCCCCAGGACGTGCTGAGTGGTATTGGACGCATCTCCGACATTGAGTTTGGCATCGCAGTAACAGACCAAGGCGTGCGGACATATCCCCAGCTGGTGGCCATTGGTGGAGGCAGCAAGGCTTCGACCATCAATGTCTTTAGGCGCGGGATCCCCATCACCAAGAAGCGCCGCTTCGACCAGCTGTCGGCATCTGACGCCGCATGGTTCCTCCCCGTCCAGCGTCCCAGCGCACAAAAGTTCAAGGGCATCCCGGAATCTGAGCAGACGACTCTGTGCTTTAGCTCGGACACCACGCAGACCAAAATCTTTGCACTGTCGAGCAAGACCACTCAGGACCAGATTGGCCGGATAGCCGAGCCAACTGTTGCGGTTGGAACCTTCTTCCAGCGCTCCAGCATTGTGCACGTCTCTGCCACCCAGGTGTTGTTGTTGGATTCAGGTGGGTTCACATCAGCGATGCAACCTAACCCCCAGACACCCAGCTGCAGCACGTTATCTGCCCGCCTTCCGACCTCGCCCCCATTGTCAGTGCGAGCATTGCCGACCCATACCTGGTCATCCGACGATCCGACGGCTCCATCACCCTGTTCGTTGGCGACTCGGTCGCACGCACAGTCTCACACGCACCGCTCCCCATTGACCTCGATCTGCCGCTCTGCCAGGCTGCCGAGGTGTTCACCGACACCTTGGGTGTGTACCGCACCTTTGAGGCCACTCAGCAGCAACAGCTGGCGGCTGCGCCCAGTTTGCCCAGTGCCACGTCCCGCTCGTCGCAGAGGACACGGACGCAGCTCACTGGCGAGCAGCTCAAGCGTCTCCAAGAGGCCAAGCCTGCCATTGCTGTCGAAGCGGCCACGACCGAGTCGGCCTTCAACGCTGCGAGGGGAACCCAGTGGCTGGCCCTGCTTGCGTCCAATGGCGAGCTCCAGGTAAGCTGCACAGCTCTTGACGTAGCTGACGTCAGATCCGTTCCCTTCCCGACCTCACCCTTGTGCTGCAATCTCGCGGCGTGTATGACTCGGAGCCCAGCTTCACCGACGACCTCGTCGCCGCCGAGGAAATTGAGGATGAAGACCCAGTGCAGCAAATGTGCTTTACGCCCATCGGCACACGCACACTTCGCCCCCACCTACTCGTTCTCCACGCCTCGGGTCGTATCAACGTCTTTGAGGCGCAGCCTCGCTTCACTCTTGACGCACGCGACCAGTCCCGTCGCTCGCTGGCGGTGCGGTTCCGCAAGGTCCACACGCAGCTGCTCGCAACGACGGCTGGCAACACGCTCGGCTACACGATTATCCCCTTTGCCGACATTGACGGCATGACTGGCGCGTTTGTCACTGGCGAGAGGCCACACTGGTACCTTTCCTCCGACGCACACCCTATTCGCGCCTTTGGGCTCAAGCAGGCCGCTTACGCGTTTGGCAAGACGACACACCACGGCGGCAAGAACGAGTACTTTATTCGCATCGAGGACGGCTCGTTTGTCTGCTACCTCCCGCCCACGCTCAACACCGACTTTGCCATGCCATGCGACAGGTACAAGATGGACCGGACGTACACCCACGTCGCGTTTGACCCTCCCTCGGGCCACTACGTTGGCGCTACCGCCATCTCAGTGCCATTCCAGGCCTACGATGAAGAGGGCGAGATACAGATGGGTCCCGAGGGCGAGGACCTCGTCCCGCCACTCAACCAGCGTTCCACCCTGGAGCTCTTCTCTGCGGGTTCGGATGCATTCCGCGTCGTGGACGGCTACGAGTTTGACCAAAACGAGGCCGTCCTGTGTGTCGAGAGTGTGACGCTGGAATCGTCGTCGTCGCCCACAGGATTCCGCGACTTTATCGCCGTCGGCACGGGCAAGAACTTTGGCGAAGACCGCGCCAGCCACGGAGCCGTGTACGTCTTTGAGATTGTCGAGTGTGTGGGCAAGGTGGCCGGTATCTCAGAGTGGGAGCTCCGGTTCTGCACAAAGGATCCGACGCGTAACCCCGTCAGCGCCATTGCCAACTTGAACGGATACATTGTCCACTCGAACGGACCAAAGGTCCTCGCCAAGGGCATGGACTTTGACGACCGTCTGATGGGCCTCGCGTTCCTCGACGTGTCCATGTACGTCACCAGCATCCGGACGTTCAAAAACCTCATTCTCATCGGCGACTTTGCCAAGAGTCTCAACTTGGCAGCACTCCAGGAGACACCGTACAAGTTTACCACCATCTCGCGTGACCTCCAGGATCGCAGCCTCGTGTCGGCCGATTTCCTCGTCATGGAGGGCCAAGTCGCGTTTGTCTCCAACGACCGCAGTGGCGACATGCGCATGCTCGTGTATGACCCTTCGGACCCAGACTCGCTCAACGGCGAAAAACTCCTTGTCGAGACCGAGTTCCACACCGGTGCGGCTGTCACTGCGGCCAAGACGATTGCGCGCCGCAAGACGACCGAAGAGGAGATTGCGCCCCAGTCACAGATTGTCTATTCGACGGCAGACGGCAGCATCACTACACTGGTGGCGGTCAAGACTGCGCGCTTCAAGCGTCTTTCGCTTGTCCAGGCGCAGCTGATCCAGTATGCGCCGCACGTCGGCGGTCTGAACCCGCGCGCATTCAGGACAGTCCGTAACGACCTCGTGCCCCGTCCACTTGCCCGTGGCGTGCTTGACGGCGGACTCTTGACGCACTTTGCCCTCCAGCCCCACAAGCGCCAGCGCGAGATGATGCGCCAGATTGGAACGGACGCTGTTACTGTCGCGAGTGATCTGTATGCCCTGGGCGGATTCTGGTAGAGAAGAGAGAGAGAGAGGTCGTGCAGGTAGACAAGATAGAGATGTATGCAGTGAGAAGGTCACTAGCCAGTGACGCGTCGTCTTGCACGCGGCTGTGGTTGCATTGGTGGTTGTTGGAGTTGATTGTGTACAATCGAGAGATTATGAATCAAGAGAGCCGATTAACTGTGCCTGGAATGGGCCCAGTCGGAATGGTCATCCGCGTGCCCCGCCGTCTCCCACCGGCCACCAACATCCCATCCACTTGCCGCACTTCACCCACCCTCCGTTCACGCTCAACACTCTCCCACCTCTCCCTCCCACCTCCTCCTCAGACACAATGGCTAAGAGTAAGTGCGAGCAGTTCAATGGGATGGAAAGTACGCGCAGTTCAGTCTGCGGTCCTGCGTGGTGATGGACGCGTGTCGTCTGCGTCCCTCCCAGCGGCAACAACACCAAGCCATGACTGCACCACTCTCATTTCCCTCGCACTCTCATGGCTCCACCCTTATCAGCTATCTGGTACGTAACATAGAAGCTGACTCACAGTCCCGAGGAGCTTCCGTCTCCTCGAGGAGCTCGAGAAGGGCGAGAAGGGTCTCGGCGACGGCAGCTGCTCGTACGGTCTCAAGGTGGGTCCTCGCGTGCTGTGTTCTTCCTTCCCCCCGTTCCCCTTTATGCCTCCACTCTTTTGCTATCGTGAACACCCCCGCGCCTCATCACATCCCTTTTGCTTCCTCTGCTCTCCGTGGCCGACAATGCGGAAGCTTGGAGGTTATCGGTTGTGGGGAAAGGAGCCGGGTGATGGCCCCATGGTGGGGCGGCGAGGTGGAGCGCTGGCAGGAGTGTCACACGCGCGGTGTGTGCAAGTTGCCAAGACGCAAGGGATGTCCGATCGGCTGCCTACGACCTCGAGTAGACTGCCGGGATACTGCACTGGAGCTCGCCTCTTCATTGAACTGGCGTGGCCCGGCACGGCGTGCGGACCTGTATACGTACCGTTCGACCTGGTCAAAGGACACATGGGTGGCGCGAGTTCGGCCCGGATAGCAGTCGGACTGTCTGTGCGCCTCTCCAAGTACCACCCACCTCCCCCATCCCGGTGTTGTGGATCTGGCATGGCGCTCGGTACTTGAGCACGCTCGGTGCGCTTCCGGCTTGAGCTCCGTCTCGGGACGTTTGCGAGCCAGCACATGTTCTATTCCGAGGTTCTGGACGATCTCCCGGCCGGCGCACCCCTTCCTCGGACTTCTTATGGGCGTACCCGACGTCCGCGCGCAGTGTGTCCGCTCGCCGCGTGCCGCTGCCGCAGCCCCCGTCCGCAGGTTCTCCGCCGGCGCTCCACCGGCGCTCAGCTCGTGGCCCCACCCTCACCTTGCTCCACATGACCATGACCTTGTCCGCCGTCTTGAGACCTTGTCGATCGCTCTCCGCCAGCGGCGTTTCGGGGCTCGGGCTCGGGCCCAGCTGCGACCGCCGCTGCCATCTGCCACTGCACGGCCGCACCCTCAGACATGCGCACTGGTCGTACCCCTGCCCGCCGCGCGGCGCTGGGCGTTCGTTTAGCGCTTGCTGCGTGTGGCTGCGGGGTCGGAGGTCTTGCAGGTCTGGCCAGCATGTACGACGCAAGCCAGCGTCTGCGCTTGCGGGCCGTCCGTCGGCATTGTCGTGTACCTCCGCGCCTCATGTGGTCCTTGCCGCGTTCCCAGACTGCTCCAGACGCCATGGACTCCGAGCTGACGTTTGCCTGCAGGACAGCGACGACATTGCCATGTGCGAGTGGAATGGCACGATCATTGGCCCTCCTCACAGCGCGTTCGAGAACCGTATTTTCTCGCTTAGCATCTACTGCGGCGACAACTACCCTGGTACGTTGCAGCGGAGTGTGAGCATGCGTCGCAGAGATTGCAGCCTGGGTAGACACGCGGCAGACATGCGTAGAACCTGGAGACGGAGCATGTTCTTGCGCTACCGTTACAAGAATTCGTGAGACGCTTGGATGAGGCTTCTGTCTACGAAAGTTGGCACCTCATACCGCGGGTTATTATCTCATCTGAGACAGCTACGTCTTGTCATCTGCTACCGATATCAGCGGAGCGAGACAGCGCCAGTCATCTCCGCCCTGCTGGCTGCATGGGTCACATGTCTCTGGTGCCCCAAACAGCCTCCAGCCTCAGACGCCTCGATAGAGCTTCTGCAATTGAGTTGACTACGGCGTGCTGACGGAGCCCACAGACGTCCCTCCCATCGTCAAGTTCGACAGCCGCATCACGCTCCCCTGCGTCAACCAGCAGGGCCTTGTCGACCTTAGCCGCGTGGCCAGCATCGCTCAATGGCGTCGCGACTTTTCGCTTGAGAACGTCCTTGTCGAGCTCAGGAGGTGAGTTTTACCAGTCAGATGTGGAACCTGTGTGACATCTATGGCGAGCTACGCAAGCTAGAACGTCAAGCCTCCATGGGCCCCCGCCAATTCATATGCCGGGTTCGCGTCTGCTTCTAGTCCAACCACCATCTTCAAGATGAGCACACCGGCTGGTTGTCTGGCCGCTCGCTCATCATAACCGGTTCAGCGGATGCTGTGATGAGTGGAGGCCTTGTATATCTTCTTTCAGAGTTCCTGCGGCACCTACCGACTTGCGAGGTACAGACGAAGCTGACGCCTCGTCCCAGGGAGATGGCCGCACCTGCGAACCGCAAGACCCCGCAGCCCGTCGAGGGTTCCGAGTTTCCCCCTCTCGACATTGTTGCGCTCGGCAAGCAGCGCCGTGCCTAGGCTAGACCACGTTTCATCCCTCTTCTTTCTCAGATGCAGACGACCCACATTACCAAGGACTGTGGCTCCCCCCCAAGGTCCCCTCCCGTACCGAAGCCGAGCCAAGCCGGAAACTGAACCCAGCATTCATTCGCGCAGCTTCTGTTTGCGGCGGCGCCGTACCCCTAACGAGCCTAGCGACATCCATCATGGGCGGGGACGACAATTCATTCTGCGGCATCCGTTCAGATAATGTTAAGCCCGCGCACCTGTTACCGGCATCATTAACGGACAAATCGCAGCCTGCACCGCGAGTGAGGGCGGTGATCGTGGTGACATGGCGGGATCTGACATGCTGGATCTGACAAGATCTAAAGAGGGAGTCAGGACTTTGCTGCAGATACAAACAATAACGCGCCCGAGCCCGGCGGAGGGCCATCCCCCCACCCCATACACGCCCTTCATACTGGGTTGGGAGGTTGGGCTGGCCGGGCTGGTCGTGGCGCCCGCGTGCAGTGGCGCCTCTGTGGCCTCTGTGGCGGTCGCAGGATACCTCCGACCCACCGCACCCCAGAATCGGCGGTGGTCGCGGTCCACGGCGGTTGAGAACGACGCCGGTACACGCCAGTACGCCGGTACGCCGAGAGCCCGAGCCCGATCCCGAGAAAGACCAGCAGTGGTTAGACAAGAAGGAACCCCTCCCCCCCACTCTGGCGAGAACTTGCCGTTGCGCGAGTGACCGGGGTAAGGTGTGCTAGATGTCAGAGGCAGTGACGTAGGCGCTAACCCGCCCGTTGTCACCCGGTTATAGGACTGACCCAGGACATTTGGCCAGGACATTGGCCAGGACAATTACATGCCCCAGGTGCATACGCAGACAAAAAAAAAAAAAGGTCTAGACTCTGGACGAGGTGGACGGTGGAGGGAAGGGGCAGTGGACGGAGTGTGGCGTGGGAGTTTTGGCCTGCCAGAGAGGCCTCAATGCGCTCTCACCGCGCAATGCAGCGAATGGCGTGTCATTGCACATTGTGCCGCCACCCACGTCCGAGGGCGGCCGACTTGGCATGTTGCTGATGCCGAGCGCAGCAACGTTGCAACCAAAAGTGCATGTAAGCCAGCAACACCACACAGCGGAGCACGGTGTGGGTCACAGCGGCATGGCGGATACAGGAACCAGCCGGTCACAGCCCAGGCAGCCCAGGACAATCCGCAGGACTCGCAGCTCCAGGATGCAGGATTAACCATTTTGTGTGTGCGCCACCAAAACGGGATTCCACGCACCGTGTGCTGGGGTGGTGTCGTCCTGAGAACGACCGCCTCTGGGCGCCCGCTTGCCAAGTCGAGAGGAGAGGTCGTTCGGCTCTGGGCTGTCAAGGTCACCATCTCCCTCGTTACTTTCCCAGCTTCACAACGACCTCCAGGTGACCACCACTGATCCACGGAATGCCTGCGCCTCATGCATGTTCTGCGCTTCCCTCGAGATCCCGCGCGACAATGGCGGACAGGCGTCGTGGTGTCGCATCTCGCATCTCGCATCTGGCGTGGACCTTTTTTCATTGAGCATGCACCGCGCAGGCCCACTCAGGCACGCGACCCAGAATACACGAACATAGGGGCTGGCTCTGTCGCCAATGGGAGTCGCAGACCCGTCACGCCGGCGAGAGACCGCTAACAAGCCAACACGACCCAGGAAGCTGTGGAGAGTCGAGAGCAAGATGAGTGCCGAGCACCGAGCGCCGAGCGCCGAGGGGCCGAGAAATGGCAGGCTGACCCGTAAGCAAGGGGCCGAACAGCGTGGGTCTGCCTGAACGATGGCGTTCTGTGCCAGGGAACGTGCAGGGAGAGAACGAAATGAATGGCATGGGCCGGCATTGACGGGCCGTGGTTGTGCATTACAGCACCGCACAGAGTGCAGACGTGCAGAGATCGCAGAGAGAGCCCTGCCGCAAAAGGGCCACCGATGGAAGACGACGATTTTGATGGCTGATGGAAAAACAGCGCCGCACAGACACACCATACGCCACCCTCGAGTTCGCAAAAGGCGCCGCGGGGGGGCTGCAGCGCTCCATGCGGAGAGGGTGCATGCGTGCATGCGTGCAGTTGCGCGCAGGCAGAGGTGCGCAGAGAGTGGGGGGGCCTGGCGGCCTGGCGGTGTCGAGTTGGACCGGTTCAGGAGCGCCAGAGCCGCAAACCACATGGGACGTGCCAGCCGGCCAATGTTTTCCGGGGTGCTCACTCTCATGCCACCACCACCACGGCCACCACCCACGCCTCACGCGGCCATCTGTGGGCAGAAAATAACGAGGACCAAAGAGCACTACTACTACTACTAGAAGGCAGGAAGAGCATGGCTCGTGCATGCCCCAGATATCCAAAGAGGAGGCCCACACCTTGGAAAACATCACTTTGCTCACCACACTTTTACTCATCATCACCCATTGTCACAGAGACGACCACGACCATACCCTCGACGTCGCCCACGACCCTCCTCCCCACCCTCACCGTACCCTCTCTTCCACCCTCACCTCCCTCACCAATCTCTCTCCACCCTCTTCACGACCGGTAGCATCCCTCACCGGCACCCTTCACCACCCCACCCTAGCTGGCGTCACGACGCGCACTGGCCACAGAGTCCACCCCCGCAAATACCCATTCCAGCCCTAGACCAGCACGGACCGTCTGACACCGCGCGCGCCTGTGTGTGTGTGTGCATCGACCCGTTGAGCAGCTGAGCAGCCCCTGCTCATCAAAGTGTGCGCTTTGCTCCTTTTGATCCTTGAGAGAGAGACTGTTTGTGTTGTGTGACGCGACAACGAAACACGTCCACTTGCAATCACGCCCCCCCCTGGCGAGTCCTTGCGTCGCTCTTCTATCCCTCGCCTTCTCATCCCCCATCTCGCACTTCTCTTGTCCTCTCCACCTCTCACAACAACACACCACTGCTTGTTCTACACCGTCTCCTAGCTCCTCCTACCACCTCCTGTTCAGCTCAACGACGCTGGACGCGTGACGCCTAAACAGGATCCCATCAAACTCGTCTGTTCCCCACCACCTCCGCACATTGCATCGCCGCCTCTCGATTGTCCGAGCGGTACACCTCAATCCCTCAGCCTGGCCATAGCGTGCACCGCACCACTTCGCAGCTCCATCCCTCTGCCCTCCACTTCCCTCGCCAGCGCAGGTCGCTCGTGCATCGCTCCATCTGCGACAGGCAGCTATAGTGGTCGACTGATTCGAACAACACTTGCCACCTCCCACATCCAACTCCACCGGCGTCCATCATTCTGTCGGATCGCCGCTGTGTCAAAACAACACACCTCAACCAGGCCACGCACACTCCATTCCACAATGGCGCCCCATCACCTCCGTACTTCATCCTCAACAAAGGACTTGATCTCAAAGTCCAAGTCCAGCATCTTTGGCTTCAGCCGTAATCGTGACTCGAAGCAGTCGTTCCGCGACTCGACTCTCCTTACCGAGCTCACGCCACTCGACGAGCCCATCTACGTGCCCCACGGCATGGTTGATCTCAACGGCAAGACCGCTCGCCCCATGGTGCGCAGCTACTCGACCGGCCACGCTCATTCGTCGCCCATGTCGTCATATTCGATGACCCAGGCTGCTCCTGGTACTCTTGGACAGGGTGCCACCGTCGTCCGCACTCCACAGGATGCTACCTTGACCAGCATGGCCCAGCCAGACTCAATCCTTCCAGGCGGACCCCAGCCTCCTCATCGACAGTCGTCGCTGCGTGCACCGGGCCAGCGTCGCCCCTCTGCCCCGCCAGCACCGTCCCACTACCACATGCAGTCGCTTTCGGGTGCTCCTCAGCACAGTGGGTCGGCACCACGCTACTCACCTGCCTCCGCACCGCTCTCGACGCCTATGGAGTCTACCCTCGAGTCTAGCCTCGATTCGCTCGAGCTTTTGGACAACTCGCGCCCGCCATCGACGCGCCAGCTCGGTCGTCAAAGGTCCCTCGCGAACAAGCCCAGCTACAGCAGTCTTGCGAGCCAGGGCAGCGTTGGCCGCAGTCGTGCAGGCAGCATTACCGCCAGTGTCAGCCCGGGCGTGGTCACGGCCGGTGTGCCGCGTTCGCCGCCCCGCGTCTCTCCTATTATGCAGTCGTCGCCAGTCCTCCAGCAGGCCCCCGTGATCGACGTTGATGCGGCCTACTTCCAGCGCCGCATGGCTGCTCGCGGCTCAATGTCGACCCTCACGCCCAGTTCGCACTCGAGCATGTGCGGTACAGTGCCCAGCTTGCATTCGAGCACGCCGAGCATGTCGAGCACCGCGTCGGCCGTGATCATGACTCCTTTGGGCCCCGGTCCGGCTGGTCTGGGCTCTGCGCCCTCATCCTCGTCTCATGGCAGCGAGTACTACGAGCCCCCTCAGAGTGACCGCAACTCTGGTCACGAGTCGCCTCCACCCGCTCGTACCAGTCCTACTCTTGGCGGCCGCTCTCACGCTCGCAGCAGCCCAGGTATCCGTCCCAAGCACTTGCCTTCGCCATCAATGTCATCGCTGGCGGCCGTCGCTGCCCCTGCTCCTGCGGCTCCCAAGCGCGACGCCCCCTTTGCGCCAGTCTTGGTCGCGCACACATGTCGCCCAGCAACCGGCCCTCTTTCCTCTGTGCTCGTCACCCTCCGCTTTGGTTACTCTCTCGACGCAGAGCCCAACACACACGAGGTGACCGTCACCTATGATACCCTGCGCCCCGCGGGTGGTCGTCTAGTCGCCTTCCTCGACAGTGCGCTGCGCCCGTCGTCGCTCGACAGCACCGCCAGCTCGACCAACACGTCGGGTGAAGGTCCCGAAATGACAGACGGCAGCAGCGCAGAGGACAGCGATTTCGAGTTTGACGCCGACGCGCGTCTGCAACCTATGCTTGAGTAAGTTATTGGACGAGCCGCGGCCCTCCCCCTTTCCCACGCCACTGACATTGCTGCGACAGGGACGAAGAGTACCTTGCCGCCTCTGCCACCTCAGATACACCAGCCTCGTTGCCAAAGGACGACAGCATGCATGCTCCGCCTCCATCCACTCGCCGCCCCCGACTGCCGCCAAGCGTGTTCCACGAGGGCGTGTTCGCATCGTCGGCTGGCGGCCTCCCTCCTCTGTCAGAGCTCCCAGCAGCTCTTGCCCAGGCTCGCGCGCACGCCGCCGGCCCCACTTCCTGCCCCCCACCAACCGCTACGGCGCCGCTCTCGCTCGCCGTCCGTGCCCGCTCCAACACGTGCCCCGGACCAGCACGCAGCACCATCACGGAGGTCACCGTCCTCCTCCTGCGCGACGCCGGCGCGTGGCACACCATCGCCTCGCGTCTGTGCTCGGGCACCTGGCCCGAACTCGCCGGCAAGCGCAGGCGCATCGAGGAAGAGTGTCGCTGGGCAGGCATGGAGCCCCTCCTCGCCGAGCTCCGCCTCATGCCTGCCCCGGCCAACCGCGGCGGCTTCCTCTAGACCCCGCTCGCTGCACATCCGTAGCAACAGTCTGTGTGCGTCGTGACACACAAAATTCACAGGAGAGAGAGAGCGAGAGAGAGAGAGCTCCAGTTGTTGGCCCAAAACGCCACACACCCATCGTGGTGGCGACCGTGACATTGTAACACGGGGTTGTAGGTAGCGTGTGTAGATCAGTCAGTAGTAGCATGTGGCGGTATAGAAATGAACAAAAAATGTGCATAACACGAGGTCGAGCATGACACAAGGCGGAGGTGACAGGTGTCGCAAGTGGGTTATGGCCGTTGTGGGTTCTTATGGTGGCGTACGGCCTTGACGTGGCGCTTTGGCGTGGGATCTCCAGATCAACCACGACGCATTTGTAGTAGGTGCTCTTCTACGTCGTCCGCGGACCGCGGACCCCTGTGCCACTTCCCGAGTCGGAAGAGATGGACCAGACTCATGGTGACGCCTTGTCTCGCAACTGTGGCTCGTCCTGCGGGTCGATCTCAATCTTCGTCAAGTGGCTTTGGCTTCCACTCGCGTGACCGCGCTACGGCACAGCCTTGACCAAGGCCAGGTTCCGTAGTCCAGACTGGCCTGGAGTCGGTATGTACCAGAACGACCCCCGGTTAACGGCTACCTTGTCAACGATCTCGTGCAGCTCGCGGCGGTAATCGTACCCGATTGTCGGCGACGCTCGTCACGAGCACCTATACCAACCCCCCCCCGAATCCCCAGACTCGTCGTCCTGCTGACGCCGAAACACACGCCTACAACTGCCCATGTAAGTCGACTCTGCCTTTGAGTGTATCAAGCGCCCCAGTCCGACTTTGACGAGTTGACGAGACGAGTTGCCGACGCCGAGAATCGCGTCAAGAGAGCCCCGTTCGGCTGATCGCCTGTGACATGCGCCGCGTCGAGTGCAGTGCGGACGTGCAGACTGGTGTCCGACCCCGTCCGAGACCACACACGGGGTGACGCCTAGCGCCTCCCTGCCGCCTGCCGCGCCCGCGATACATGTGCCGAGACGGACGCGCCCAGCCTGTGCGATCGCGGACCTGGCGACACGGACAGATCTAGACGAGCGGGCGGTAGCGGGCTGAGGAATGTTCCAACGGTGTCAACAAGGCCGTCCTGTTCCATGACGACATGCCCACATGATAGTACAGCCTGCACGTGACCTGATTCTCCGACGTTACGCCGGAGGGACGGGTTGTAGATTACCTAATGGCTTTTGCGTCGTACACGTTGAGTGTGGCGGGGCGAGGCCTGTGTCACCCACCTCATACGCTCTCTCCGGAGCGGATCAATGCAGCTCCAGGCGACGGAGGTTGGGTGTTTGTGAACGCAAGTACGTCAGTGACCACTGGTAAATTCGTTACATGGTCAGTGGGCAGATGCTCGGGTGGTGAGCAGAGAACCCAACAACGTGCATGAAAGCGTCTGCGTTGCTGGTCCCGCAGGAACGACATTGATCGATACGCATACCCACGTTGGATCCATGTCGCCTTGCAGTCTTGACCAGCGGGGTACACCCACCCCCTCTCCCCCTCCTCCCTTCCCCGCCTCTCCCCAGCACCCCAGGTGGCCTCCACACTCACACCCATGCATTCATGAGGTGAGCCACAAGGGTCCCTGCCAACCCCAGATGCGTGGGAAACGGTGATCTAAACCAGAGCACTTACTGTGTACACGCGGTTCCCAGCCCCCCGACCCCGACTGTGCGCGCAAGTCTTATCGCCAGCTCCCAGGCCGCGGGACGGGGCCCAAGAAGCCGACGCCGCATCCCACAAAAGGATGCCAAGCCTGAGAAAGCAGGTATTCACGGCGCATCATGCTTCGAGGGTGCAACTGTGACCGTGGGTCGTGGGTCTTGGGTCGTGTGGGGTGGGTGACACCCGGTTGCGCGACCACTGCGCGCTTGTTCTGTGAACCGTGACCGTGACATGCCACGCTCTTCTTCCCCAAAAGCAAATGTAGCCCCCGGCTTCGTGGAAGCGCCTGTACTGCAGCGGTACCCCGCAACTGTATCGGCAGTGAGGTTGTCCCCGCACCGCCAGCTCGGCCCCGCCCGCTCGCCAGCGGCGTCAGAAGTGTGAGAACCACCGGCACTGCGGAGATGGCGGGGAACACCTGGCGGGGCAGGGGGCGTATGCGACGTCAAAAGGTAAGGTGAACGTTAATGGATTCCACTGGTGGTGAGGCGTGCCACATGCCACACACCAGCGCACCAGCGATAGTGCGTGAGCTCGAGGCCAGGACAAGGAAACGGAGCCAGAGTGTAGGACGAGGGTGAAGGAGGGCGAAACGCAGAGTCGACAGAGTGCGTATTCCACAGCCAGATGTGTGTGTTGCGGGCAAACAGGCCAAGTGACATGACGTGCATGACGTGGAGCATGGCCAGCCGTTGCCCGTTGCCGCCGGTAGATGTCAGCCGGCGTGGCCCGGCTGGCGTTGGAGTTACGCTGGGCAGTTGGGCGGCAGGGTATGCGGTCTATAAGGGCACCTGTGCGCGATGTTGGCTCGCTGGACGAGGTGTTGTGGCGCTCGCTTGCTGCTTGCTGCTCCTGTACTTCCTGTTGGCTTCTGGCTGCCTTGTCAATACCAAACGCACGCACCCCCCCAGAACCGCCGATGGACACTGCCGCATACCAAACCACCATGCATCGAATACCAAACCATGGCCCCACGGAATGGGAATGAGGCATTTGGCAGACAACGCAGCGACGACAGGAGGTCGTGGGACCGTGGGATTGGTTTGCTAGTAAACCTCCGCGGGAAGCCTGGGGTGACTTGAGCAGACCTCGATTCCCGATACGTTCCTCGACCTCGTGAAGCACGCTGTGTGGGATGTATCCCATGTCCATTAGGTTCACAACAGCGACAAAACACAAAAAGGTTGACGCTGCCAGCACGTTAATCTCACGCGACTGGCGAGGTCGGGAATAGTGAGGGCAACTATCTGCTGGCGGGCAAGCGGGTGGCGCCGCCGGCGGGTTCCGTGCCTCTGTTCCCCACCACAATGTTGCGGTTTGCATTCCTTTCTCCCCCGGGGTCCTCGCGTTCCTGTTGCAGGCAGATCACACCCCCAGTCTGGGCGGGCCCATTCCCCGTTGGACAGCGTCTGGTCGTACACCGGGCGTAGTCGGACGTGTGTGCATAGAATACGGGTTTACGGGATCGCGAGCTCGGCAAAAAAAGAGGACGTGAGAAGGGAAAAGGGAATGCGAGAAAAACAGACAGTATGCTTCTGGCACACGATAATCTAAAGCTTGCGTGGCAGTGCCATCGATCGACCGCATGCGATGGGGTTGGGGCCGGTTTGGATGGGGGAAACACGCATATACACGACCAAACAAGGTCACTTGACCTGTGGTCACGGCGGCTCTGGACGCGTCAGCATGGACCACCCGCCCACCGGTCTACCGCTGGACGCGCCGGTTTGACCACCACCTTCGTCATCGCCTCGCCGTCAGAGCTGCGCGTTCCCTGCAGAGAGCCTCGCCTGCGTTGTGCGGCCGGGGGGGCGTCTCGGCATGCCTCGCCAGTTGTGGCGGCACGCGCCGCGCGCGTGCGGGTGAGGCACAGGCGAAATGTACTCTATTTGGTCTGTGGCGTCCGAAATCATATGGTCGCACATCAAACAGCCACTCTTCGTCTTGTGCTCTCCACCTGTGGGGGGATGGCAATGCATGTCACACTGTGAGGCTATCGGGCCCCGAGGAGACTGTATTGCGCTCATGGCACATGCATGTAGCGCAGCTGTGACTAGGAGAGGTAGAAAAGCATGGGTTGTTGTCCAAAATCGGTGGCGGGGGCCCCGCACTCCCCAACGAAAATCGCCCAAAGAGTGTGTGTATGGCAGTGCTCACGAGACGCGCTGTGGGATGCCCGCGTGCACCACTCCACCACTCCACCGTTGACGTTGGCCCCCCGCCGTATACAATCGTCTTGGCTCATACACAGGCCCCCCCTTCCTTCATCATCTCTCTATCTATAATCTACTGCACGCACATCCAACATACACACACATACACAACTGCTTGCCATACGCACTCCAAACGTGACATTCGCTTCTGTCCCCACGCAAACCCACCGCCTCGCTACCGCCCGCCAGAGGAGAGTAATACCGGGGCACCTCGACGTTCCCCCCCTGAATCTCCCCCAAAAGTCTTGAACCGTTCTGTCAACGAGCCCATTCTCACCCACCCACCTTTCTTTGATCCGCCTGTCCCTGTACTCCCCCCGCGCGCGGTCGCCGCTCGCCCACGCACAGCGTCTCTCTCTCTCTCGCATCTCGCACCTGTGACCGTTGCCCGCTGTCCCTGCCTCGCCAAAGCCAAAGCCCCTCGTTTCTGCGCTCCGTCTCTCTAATTGTCGGCAACACGCCTCGTTACAGTTCACCTTGCCCCCATCTGCCCCACGAGCTCATCCACTCGCCATCCTTTAATAAAGCCAAACCACCAACCTCTCCACAACCCACCCACACCCACCCGTGTCTGTCACCACCTGCCACCCACCACCTGCCCATCATACAACCCGCAGCAAAACCAACCACCACCCACCACTCCGAGATGCCTGCCACACTCGTCCGCCCTTCCCCCCTCCACCTCTGCGCCCACGAGGCCGAGGAGGACTCCAAGTCATGGTCCCCCTCGAGCTCGGACAGCGAGGCCGAGGATGAGTGCAACTCTGCCAACAGCGACAACAGCGACGAGATGCCCTCGTCGGCTCCCGTCCAGCGTCTCATTCGCACCGGCCCCGCGCTCCAGACCCGTCCGCGTCTGCCGTCGCCTCCTCGCACATCGCCTCTTTCTCCTCTTGCTTGTGGCTCGTCCTCGACCGAGTCGGCAGCGGCCTTCCCTTTCCCCGCGGCTGGGCGTCCCCGTCCTCGCGGCCTGTCGCCACTGTCTCCCGTCGCCGCCACCGGTGGCCTCCAGCGCGGTGCCATGCCCAAGGCCACCCCGCTCGCGCGCACCTTGTTGAACCGTTCGCTCTCTGGCGGCGCGTCGTCGGCCGCTCCCAAGAAGCCGACCAAGATGATCGTCCCCACCAAGCCCTTCCGCACCACCTTTGACCTCGGCCTCACCTCCAAGGAGCTCGCTCGCAGGCCCTAGGGCAGCGAGTTTGAGACGAACGCGAAGAGCCAGAAGCAACGAACGAGCGAGCGATGATGGGAGCAAGCAAACCAAACGAGTACCTCGAACAGCAGCCTCGACGAGCACCACTCTGTCTTCCCCCCCTCCCTCCTTAATCGACGACAAGATCAGAAGAGTCGCCACTCCCCGACGCCATAGACACCACCCGCCTCGGCGGCACACACACACACCACACACCACCTCCATATGTAGTATCACCACCCATCCAGCAGGGCTGTAATTCATTTGTAGAACCACATCCATAGCAAGCCAGCACACACAGCGATGCATTCTGTGCCTAATGAATAGAGCAGCAGCAGACCCAGGCGACAGTAGCCACTGAACTGAACTGAGCGTGATCTGTAGCAGCCAGTGCACAGTGCACGCGTCGCCTGCTGATGTGGCAGCGGTGTCGAATGGCCGCGCGCCAAATGACCAGAAACAGCACGCGTCGACGAGCCATGGAGATGACCCGGTGGCGCGCATCCACATCCATCCGCGCCGCACGGGCAATCGTCGGTGTGTGGGGACACGCGCACCTGGGGCAGATCATGAGCATGCCCAAGCCCCGATGAGTCATGCATGCAGTGATCAGTGAGCCAGACTCCGATGGCCGTGGCCGACGGTGTGTGCTGTGCTCCATGCTCCACGATGCGCGAGACATGGCCGCCCACTGCCACAAGACGAGACGGCCTGCGCCACCCAATCTTGCCAGCGCCAGAGCGCGCTTGGCGCTACGCAGATCCATTTGGCAGAGCCTACGTTTTTCGCTCCAACACTGCACCATTTGATGCATTTGATCCCGCCAAACACGATTTCTGCCCCAACGAAAACAAGACTGGTTTTGGTTTTTGGTTTTGGTTTTTTTTTTTTGTGGGTGGCGATGAACTGCCCGGACCTTGGCGAGACCTTTTCCTGGATCCCTGCGTCCAGTGGATCCTACACAGCTGCGTCATGGCACGCGACGGCGACGTCGTCGGGCCCTTTTGGCTAATTCTGAACCAAACGGCTCGCATTAGATGCAATATCCCGAAATTGTATTAACGCAACTTGAGGTGCGCCTTTGGCGTTCGGGTCCTGACCACCAGAGAGCACTTTTCCGCGGCCGGCCGCGGTTCTGCCACCCGCGACGCCGGTCGTGCGCCGTGGGCCATTCGCTAATGGCCCACGCTAATCACGCACCATCTTGCCCTAATCGCCCACGTCGATCCTTTACCCGGCCGCCGGCCGGCTCGCTTTTTGTTTTTTGCCCCACTAAGACTGCATTCATGGGACACCGCAGCAGGTGACTACCTCGTGCGGCAGAGGTGGGGGGGGGGGGCAGGGGCGTGTGCGTCCCAAACGCTGCGACAAGATGTCCTGCAGGATCGAATATGCCACTTTCCCGTTCGCCTCGCGTTTCCTAAGTCCCCAATGAAAGTGGGCTCGGTGATCCATTGGAGAGGATGAGGACAAACGCTTGACGCGTCACGCGAGCCGCGCGGTCGGCAGTTGGCCTCGACGCACACGACCACGCCCACGGCTGCCCACTGCCACCAACCGCCACCACCTCCCCCCACCATTCCCCACACTCTTCAACCCCACGGAACTGCTGGGCTCCGCACGGGGGTGTCCGTCGGGCCGACCTCGTCAGCCAGCTGTGCGGCGAACACGGCGAGGGGTTACATGTACTCGCATGCTGATGGCCCGTGCTGTGCTGGCTGCACGGCATGCTACAGCAGCATTGCGGGATATCTGCGCGGAATATGTCCAGGATTCCTGTCTCGCTCGCTCGCTTGGGTCAAGAAATTTGGGGAAGAAGGGGTTGGCCATGTTGGACAGGTGACAGGTGACGGCTTTCAGTTGGGACAGACACATGCACGCACCCCACAAGTTCTAGACTGGACATGTCCCATGATCACATGCACCATCATTGTGTTTGTGCTCCATCTCCCCAAAGATACCCATGAGCCACGGTTAGGAATTGAGTAGACTGACAGTGTCAGTAACAAGTTCTGCCTAATGCCCAGCCGCTGTTGGTGTCACGTCAACTTGGTAGTGCCCACTGGCTCTCATTCAGTGGGTAGTACGCCTTGAGCACCCTCTCCCACCCCAACTGTCGTCTCACTGCGTCGACAGGTCGCACTGTTATCCCACTTGTGGCGGTTCGCGACTGGGGGTCTGGCGGCGACCACGGTGCCGGGCCCGCGCCGATCCTCGCATCCCTCCTGTGGCCGATGGTCGGCAGTGCGTGAATCAGATGGACGCTGGTAATCGATCTTGATCACCATGAGAAAGGGAACACGAGTCTGGACCGACCGTGTCGCCGTCCTCGTCCCCGAACAGATGAGGTCGCCTCCGCCATCCAAATAAGGTCGTGTCTGACATCTCACCCCCAAGTGCCTCGTTGCGCTCGGAACCAAACTGGGGGAAAACACACTATGCTCCAGGCGAATTCGACGTTGTGTTGCATACTTGGTTTTCGCAAAAATGTCTCCTCCAAGCCCCAACACGCACCCCGCTGTCAAAAGCCTCCGTGTGGCAGCTACGACGTGCTCTTTGCGCTCTTGCTACAGAGCTCACACCTGTTCACACTCAAAGTCACTCTCGTTTACTCTCCTCTGCACAAAGTTTACAACACTCTGCGAATGCCTGACTGCGATACAGGTACCCAATTCCCGCCATTCCAGCATTCAAGTTGTAACATTCCGGCATCGTTTCGGTCCATTCCTTCATTTCAACGGGCAACTACATTTCTCACTGATTCTCACTGTCCTTGCCAAGTCTACTCCTCTTCCTCGCCTCCATCCACGCCACGGCGGCGGTACTTTGTAGTCACCCAGCGGAACAGCTCGGGACCGGGGCACCGACCAAGGAGGACGTGGTAGCAGCCGCCCAGGTCGTCGACGTACTTGACCAGACTGCCCCCACCGCACCTGTTGTTTTGCGTCCAGTGGCAGCCCGGTCTGATACAGCAGAGGTTGTTGGTTCCACCAGGGCAGTGTCCCGGGAAGGTGTTGCCGCCGTTGCCGTTGCAGTCCGAGGTCGTGGTGCATACACCTCGAGCGAACGTCAGTGGCGGCCGGGTAGAGGGACGACGTTGGGACAGTGTTAATCGCACTCACCGGTCTGCAGCTGGCTTCCGTAGTAGAAGGCACAGTGCTCGTTGACGGCGAGAGCTGGGGTGGTAACAGCCACAAGGGCGAGAATGACGTTGGTGACGAGCATCGTGAGTTTGTGAATTGAAAGGTGGGATGAGGCCAGTCTCGTTCGACGATCTGGAGAACTTATAACCTCGACGCGTGACGGACGACGGCGCGCCATATTGGCCAAATGCCAAGACGGTGTGGTCCCATGACCGAAGAAACTCAAGACGGCACGGCACACTTGTGAGCACGGGTGAACTAGAGGGTGTTCCACTGCTAAATCATAAAGTATTTCATTAAAGCGAACAGCAATCGTAAGGGCACAGGCGGTGCGAGAGCTACATGACATGACCGAGTTGGCCGTTTACGAAAAAGAAGCTCCACGACAGCCAACGTGGATACGGATAGGAACGCTCCGCGGGTTCGTTTCATGAACAGCGCCGCGTCATATACAGTACTGAAGACCTCGTGATCCGAACAGTCGAAGCAAAGCCTCGAACGGGGGGACGGTTGTATCGTGTCCACACTGATACGCATAACCCTTTCAAGCTCGACAGCCGTGCAATTCGGCTGTGAACCTTATGGGAGCGGCTGCGCCTCGTGACGGGGTACGGCACTACCATGTTCCTGCACTTTGTATTAAACTGGTGGTCGAGTGCAATAGAGATATGTGGTTCGCGCCGGCCTCCCAACTGTACAATGCCGCTTCGTCGAGGAAATGAGTTAAAGTTGAGTCACGACGCTTGGCACCGAACGTGAAATGTTCGGTTTACGCACGGCTCCGACGACGGCGGGGAGACCATGTCATTGTCAGTCACAATATATGGAGTTACACCAGTCACCACGACCAAGTCACTCGCCGCGTCACGACCACCTCGCTTAGGAAAAAGCTACGGTGCGTACGCTGAACCACATTTCAAGCGGTTGCCACCGAGGAAAATGGATAATAAAGAGTTGGATCATAAAATCGTTCTTATAAACTCCAGGTCCTGTTACTGTGCCTTCCCCGCAACGATACGGATACTGCGATGAGATGGACCGAGTGGCTCGTATAGGTAGCTCTTCTCGTCTTGACTTGTTCGTCCCTGGTTGCCATTCCGGCAGTTGGACCAGTTTGACTGCTTGCGCGAGCACGAAGGACTCTTTAAATTCCACGGTACACTAGGTAGCGTTGGAGGGCTTTTAGCCTCCCCAGCCTACCTCACTGTGAACGCGTTGGGGTTCTTGTCACCGAGCCGCCCACTGGTGGAGCAGGTGAAACTGTCAAGAACTGGCGTCGCCACAAATCACGAGGAACGTCCTCCTGGGGGGTCCAAAATCCGCACGGCTTCCAAAGGGTGCCGCGACTGTCATGTTGACGTTGACGCTGTTGTCTCGTGTCACTCCCATTCCAACAACCCACATCAGTGCACGTTGCGGCTGCAGGACCTCATGCATTGCCAACGATGCTCTTCAGTCCGACCACGATGCAAGATGAGCGTCCAAAGAGCGACGTTAGGGGCCATTGCGATATTTGCCGATCCGGCTTCCTCCGAGTTCAAAAGTTAGTGTCCGTCAGCATACGTCAGTGGCACCAGCGCCGCGCGTTTTTGAAAAATGAGATGAGATGCAAATAACCGTGCACGCCTCTAAGACTACAACACTGCGACCGCCGCACGCCGAACCCTCCCTCGCTGCGCGCCGCAACTCTAAGATGAACGCCATGCTCCTCTACTCGCCGCGCATCCACTCCTGCACAGCGACCTGGATGCGCTCGCTGACGGCACCAAAGCTGTCCAGTGCCGGACGGACGTCGAGCGAGAAGACGGGGTTTCCGTCCTCGTCGTTGGGGGCTGAGTAGTAGTCGATAACGTAGCGCTGGGCGGCCTCTTCCTTTGTCTTGTTGCCCTGCGCGTCCAGGATTGGGCGCGTGACGATCCAGTCGTGGCGGTCAAACGGCTTGTCCGTGTTGAACTTGGAGGGGAAGAGCTGGCCGAGGAACAGGTGCATGCGAGCCTTGGGTGACAGGTCTCCAGGACGGCCCTGGAAACGCGCGAGCTGGGCGTCCTCTCCACTGTGAAAAGGTCAGTGTTGCTCGCATGGGACTGGCCTGTGGCACATGGGCTGACGAGTTGACAAGAGTGAGGGGGAGTTGAGGGCTGCTGTGAAAGCGATACCTAGCTCTGCCGGCCCCGCCCAACTGTCCCTCGTCACCACCCCGCCAACCCGCTATCGCAACCTTTTGCACTCACCCAGGCAACCTCTTCTCCCACTTCATGACCTCGTCCCAAGCACCCTCGTTGATCCAGTTGTGAATGTCAACGACCATCTCAATGCTCTCCTCGGGAGTCTCCCAGCCCTTGCGGACAAGAGCGTTGTAGAACTGCTGCGGGGAGGGATACTCCCACACGCTGCCCGAGCTGCTCTCGCCCTCGGTAGGTGGGCGGGGGATACCAGACAGAGTCTTCTCGGTGGGCAGGTCGAGCTTCTGGCCGGGAGCCTTCTGGGTCGCACTCAGTCCCACGGGCATCGAGTTGAGAGGGTTGAGGGAGCCGGGGGCGCCGACGGCAGTACCAAAGACGTTGGCGGCAGCGGCACCGGGCATACCGCTGTGGTCGATGGGGCACTTGGCACCGTCGGAGGGGGCGGCCTTGGGCTTGGCCATCGAGGCATGGTCGACGGGGCACTTGGCAGCGCCGTCGGCGGCGGCAGCTGGGGCAGGGGCAGCAGCCATGGCGGCGTGGTCGACGGGGCACTTGGCAGCACCGCCTGCGGGGACTGGAGGGTGGTCCGCGGGCATGGCGGGGGCGGGGGCCTCGGTGGAGGAGGTGAACCACTTCATTGCTGTTGGTGTGAGGGATGGAGAGATGACAGAAGTGGGAGAGATGCGGCCCATAGCAAATCATGATCCCCCGAAATCAGAGCCGCAGCGCCGAAAATCAACACGTGACGGTCGCGTGGGAGGGAACATTGCCGATTACGTAAATTGCGCTGTGGCCATCTCGTCAACAACAGCATCCATGTTCATCTCTTCCAACCACCGCTCTCCCTCTCTCGCCATGTCAACACAACACAGCACAAAGGCAAGACACTACGCAGCCCTCGCTGCCCGTATCCGTGAACTTCGCGGCAACCTCGACGAGACCGAGCAGCTCATGGGCCACATGTCCGACCACCTCCTCGGCATGCGCAAGCTGGCCGCCGCGAATGGTGCTCAGTGAGTACCGCAAGGTCTGCAGACTCTGTTAGGGTACAGCTTTGCCCCCCACACAGGAATGAAGCTGACGCACTGCTCTTAGGTTTATGGCTGTCTCCCGCCTCCTCGATGTGGAGCTCACCGAGGCCAAGGAGGCTGAGATGGCGCGCCAAGCACAACAAGAGCAGTAGCTCAGCTTGATCGGCCGCCGGCAGCTACGACCCACATCACACCCGTGTGTCGCGCGTGTTTTATGCGCGACCCGGTACAAGAGTGTATATAGATAGTAATTGATGTTGTACCATACGCAGCGGGCTACCCCCCATCGTCGCACTCTCACCACTCAACCATCAGCTGCATCCAGCCCTCAAACCGCACACTTCTGACTCAAAGACTTGCAGCGCACCGCGGTCCAGGACCAACAGATAGTCATGATCATACACTCAAGCTAGCCCAGTGGCAGCGACACAACCCTAACAAAGACAAACAATCTCCGACACGCCCGCCCTCCCTCCCGCCACCCTATCCCTTTCGTCTCTAATCAAAGTCGAGCTGGTGCACACGCGTCTTGAGCTGACCCTTTGTCAAGCCACCCCGCAGGTCCTGCGGGATGTTGAGCACCTCGACGTAGTTGGATGGGAAAATCCCCTCGTTTGTCGACGTGGCCAGCTTGCCTCGCCACCAGTCGCCGCCTGCACCCGCAGAGTCGAGGACGACGACCACTTGACCCTTTTTGAAGCCCAGGTCGCCAGACTCGGCAGCCGAGAAATCGAACAGGGCGACGGCGCGCGCGTACCCGTCCTTGTCGTCCAGGCCGGCCTTGCGAGCAAGGACGGGCTTGGGACCCGTGGTGTGGCGCGGGGCGTAGTCGTCAAAGGGATAGGACGAGTCATCAAAGTCATACCCTTGCCTCTCATCGTCCGAGTCGTCGCGGGAGCGAGAGCGCGAGTTGGAGTATGAGTTGGACGACGAACGACGGCCGTGCACGTCGGCGTGGCCGTTGCCGTTACTGTACGACCCGTGGCGCGAGCTGTGGGACCCGTTGCCGTTCGCATGGCCATTTCCGTAGCCATTCTTCCGCGGGGATGTCGAGGAAAACTCGGCTTCGCTCCAGTCGGCACTTGGAGCAGCATATGTGCTAAACGGACGCGCTTTACGCCCACCGTTACTGTTACCCGTCGTGTCCGCGCTGACCACAAGATCGCGTGTCCAGTCGCGGCCAGCCAATACCGACGTGCTTTCGCGCAAGCTCACTTTGCTGCGCTCCTTGCCATTCTGACCCGGGTGGGCATTCTGGTAGGCACGCTCGAGAGCCGTATCCTCGGCAATGTCATCGAACGGTAGGATGGTACCACTTCCCCGACGCGAACGGTTGGGGGTCCCGTTGCTTCCCAGGCTGCCGCTCCTGCTACGAACGCCAGCAGAGAGACGCGCAAAGCTGGCCGTGAGGCCCTTGTCATTGGCGTTCCACGTGCCGAGGAGGTCCGAGTCATCTACACCGCTGCCCTTACGCGCACCGAGGCTCGAGCCGCCGTACGACAGCGAGCTGGCTCGGTTGGGAGAGGAGCCATTGGCGCTGCCGCCGTTGCCAAAGTCGAGCAAATCTTGGCTCTGGGGGACTCTGGGCGACTCGATGGGACTGTCTGTGGGCGACGTGACAGCGGACCGTGAGGTCGGGGTGGCGCCACGGGACCCAAACTCCGAGCTGAAGGGCGACGGTGTCGCCTTCACCTCGTAAGGACGCCGGGGGTTGGAGCTCGCTCGAGGCCGGGCGGGAGCGGCCGCGGGACCGCCGTTGGCGTTGTACGTCTCGCTCGAGGGACCGGCACGGCGGTCGCCCTTGGCCTTGCCAAAGTTCATGCTTGGGATGAGTGTGCTGGATCGGCGTTCCCATGGGCGTGCAGGGGGTGCGCGGTCCGTCGGCGTGCCGTCTGGTGAGATGCGTTCGCGGGGGGCCACGTTACTGCTAGGTGTCGAGGTCGGGTTTGGGTCAAACACGGCCACGTTACGGTCACTGTCATTACCCCTGCTCTTCGACGACCCGATGCTCCACAACGACGAGGAGCGCTTGCGATTCGCGGGCCTCGAGCCGCCGGCACCAAGACCTTCACCGAATGCGTATCCGCTACCGGCTTTGGCGCCCTTGCGCTGTGGGGTACGGCCCATGGCACCCATGTCCTCGTCCTCGACCCAAGTCTGGCCTCCGGGGAGGCTCGTCGCACCGTCCAGAACGTCGATGAGGTGATACGCCCAGTCTGGCGGGTCGAATGTGCCGGTCAGGATCTGCTTGGCGGTGAGGTTGTCGCCGTACGCAATACGGTTGGCATCGCCGCGTTCGGCGATGACAGACCCCTCGACTGACATACCGCCAAACAGGCCCTTGGTCTTGGAGTACGAGTACATGGCCGCCAGCTGGCCCTTGGTGTTGAGCGCGCCAGTACCCTCGGCATTACGACCGAGGGGTCCTACGGCCACGGACAGGTTGCCGCCGAGCGTAAACGATCCTGCGGCCATGAACGATGCCACGGCTGCACGAGACTGCGGGCCACTTGTCAGCAAAATGTACCACTGTTATTGTCATGTTTTCGGAGCTCGGGAACATGGTCTCGAGACGCCACTCTGCACGCCCAGGCCCCAGGTCGCGATCGCCGCGTCCTGGTATTGCGCAGTGGACGCAGGGTCTGGGCGCCGTGCGCTGCGGCCATGCGGCGGTACACGGGGCCCGCATAGCACCCCCGTTCTGGCGGCATATGGCGACGCCGGCGAGGTTTTGTTTGTGAATTGTGATGGGGAGAGGGAGAGACGGGGAGGAGGGGGATGGACTCACGTTGAGCACCACAAGAAAGTCCGTGACCTCGGCGCCAATCTGGCCGCCTACTCCGAGACCGCCGATGGCGATGGCAGAGGGTGGGGACCACGCTGGGCATGTTAGTGGCGCTAATATGGGGCTTTGAGGTACAGCCGGGGCGACCGGGGTCCACTAGTGGGACGACGGGCAGCCAAAGTCGTCCGCCGACGCATGTGGACAGCCAAGAGGCCCAAGAGGACGGCCATGGCCCACATGGGCGCCCGCGTCGAGGGAGCCGCATTGTTTCCACGCAGGACACTCACATCCATCCTCCAGACGGGCAATGACCAGGCCGCTGCCTGCGCGAGCGCTGAAGACGAAGCCGGCCTTGGCAACGGTGAAGATGGCGAAGCCGTGTGCGCGTTCCAGGACGGATCGAGGAATGACCTGTTTGTCAGCTTCTCGTTTTGGATCCTCCTAGCTGGGTGTGGTAGAGTCGGAGAGGAGCCGGTGGGTGAAGCACTCGGCGCTGCGCCGACCTCACGCCGCCTCCAGCTGTCCGGCGAGTGAGCAGCGGTAGCCGCACACACGGCAGCGCCGACAGAGCTCGCTGGCCGCCTGAGCTGCAGTCCGACACTTTCGTGTGTTTAGAGCTCGCCTGGTCCAGCACGCAGCTCATCGGTCACCGAGCACGCCGTACCACCTTTGCCCACCCGCCGGCGGCATTTGCCGCCAACCTCCGCGATGCGATCGCTCGCTTAGCAAAGTACGTACTTTATCCAAGCCGTTGTTGTTCACATCCACGAACTTCTGCACTGATCCCAGTCAGCGGCCTGCTCCCACGCCTACTCTGTGCGATTCTTGGACGTACCGATCTTTGCCGCCTTGCGGCACTCCTCGCGGAGGTGTTCTGTCGGGTCAGCGCAGCTCCAGAGTGTCATTGAGTGGGCCGATGGAGTCTGGGTAGGGAGTGACACGTACGCGGCATGGGCGTGTTGAGACCCATTGTGTCGACTTGCTAAGTGGAATCGGCGGCAGGTGGGAGTCGTGTGAGCTGTATAATGTGTGCAAGTGTAATGTATGTTGGGTGTGGGGGGTGTGTGTGTGGGCAGTGTGATTGGAAAGAATGGGCCGATGGCTGCCGACTACCGTGCGGCGGGGACCAGGGTGGAAAATGCGGGGGTGGAAATGGGGGGTGTGACGAGGAGATCACACTGGCGGGCTGGCTGGCGGCAGGAAAGTTGCACGCAACTGAAGAACAGGTCACGATGGTATGGGTGGAGATGACAAGAGAGGGGAAAGAATGAATGCGACGTGCAGATATCGAGGATATAGGGGGCGGCGTGGTGGGATGAAAGCCGCGGCTGCGAGACAGAAGCGGTGTCTACGTGGGCTCGGCGACGACACTCTGGCTTTGTCGGTGACGGAACGATGACGGGTGTGTGTATGCGTATACTGCTGCAGACGACGCAGGCAGGTGTATGCACAAGAATGGAGGGAGAGGCCGAGGACGCAGACAAGAAGGTGACAGCGGAGAGAGCGAAAACGTGTACGATGGCGATGAGAGGAATGGGGGTGTAGTGGGATTGCGAGACCCCTCTTCTTCAGTGTGACTTCCATCTCGGCACTGCGAGCGTCGTCGCCGTTTCGGCCATCATGAGACCATTCACCAACCCACCGTCCCTGAACCAGTAATCTCTCGCGTGCGTACAACCCACACATCGTCCCACACCTCCCGCAAGTCTATCCATGCATGTACATCCTGCTTCTTCGTCTACTTCTTGTCCTGGCCAAGACCCGCAGCGCTGTATCATGTCAGCTTGTTGCCGTCGTCGCACGCCGAATTAAAACGAGCCCGAGGACACCATAGTCGAGATCAACTGGCAAAGTCGCAGCTGGCGGGCCGAACCGCCAAACCTCCAGAGTCGTCTGACACAAGAGTCTCACCACCCCGGCTTTTGGGCCGCAAAGCGCTGCCGGCCTGGGCTGTCGCAGCCAGGTCCAGGCTCGTGTGACTGCGATCTACCACTGGTTGTGCGCTGTGCAGCTAGGCGCGGGCCGGTATCCTTTGCGGCATGCAACTGGTTACTCACTGGTTTGTGGCGACCTGAATGGCACGGGCCATGGTCGAACGCACACGACCGTCCTCCATCGTCAGCAGGCCGGCAATGGTGCAGCCACCGGGGGCTACGAGACGTCAGAGGTTGTACACAAGAGAGTGAACCGATCAACGCAGCTTGAACTCACTGGTGACACTGTCCTTGAGCTGGGCCGGGTGCAGGCCAGCGTAGAGGGCCATGCGGCCGGTACCCTGGATGGCTGAGGAGAGAGCGTTAGTGTCATGTCGTACTCGATGCACAAAGAAGGAGCATACGGTGGTAAAAGGCACACGTCCGCAAGGTGTTCCACTGGCCACTGTGGCCCCATGGGCGTGTTCTAGCGCATGGAAGAGGACAAGGCACGACGATACCCAAACGTACGCGGTCGGTTCGACCAGCCACCACGCACACGCAAGAACAACACCCTCCTTGCCACATCACACTTCTCCTTCCCAAATGTGAACTGATGGGGACTCACTCTGAGCAGCAATCTCCTGGGCCTCAGCACGGGGCATGCCCATCATGACGGCACCGTCGGCCATGGCCTCGAGGACAAGAGCAACAAAGGCGGGACCCGAACCGGCGAGAGCAGTACAGGCGTCAAAGTGCTTCTCGTCGAGGAAACGGCAGCGGCCGCACGAGGTGAAGATGGCCAGGATAAGGGCACGCGAACGAGCGTCGGTAAGGGGGGTAACGATGGTCATACCCTCGCGGATCTGGGAGGAGAGTTAGCGAGAGGCCCCCGGGAAATAGTGGAGAGCGTCGGGAAGGACGTGGAAGAGCCGCCGTTCGGAGAAGTGTGGAACGGATGGGTGAGCGTGCAGGAGTGATTGACTCGGGCTCAACCAAGACGGGCTTCACTTGACAGTGGACCGTAGAGCAGGTGAATCGCTACCATGTGCCACTTGGACTCACCTTGCATGGGGTGTTGGGCATGGCGCGGACCACAGTGGTGCTGGGGGCGACCCACGACTGGAGCTGGGACATGGTGACACCGGCACAGATGGAGACGACAATCTTGCCCTCGATGGCCTCCTTCATGCCCTCCTCGTGGAGAATAATCTTGGCAATGTTGGGCTTGGAGCAAATGATAATAACGTCGGCCGCCTTGGCAGCGGCAACGTTGGCGCCGTCGCCACAACGAACGTCGACGGACGAGCCAAGCTGGCCGACCGAGGCGAACGTCTTGCGCAGCTTGCGGGCAGTCTCCTCGCGGCTGACAGTGGCAATGAACTTGGCGGGGAGGGTCTCCTCGGGCGCGTCAAGGAAGAGCGAGGCAGTCGGGGTCGAGATGCCCGAGCTGGGCTCGCGAGGGGTGTTGCGGCCGTCGGGGTAGGTAGCCAAGCGGTCCTCGAGGGACGAGAGCACACCCGAAAGGATGGCAATGCCCATGGTACCGCAGCCTAGGATCGTGTCAGTGTATCCATGGAGAGAACTGGGTGGCGAAAGAGGGAGGACGGGACGCAGACTATGTAGACTGGCAAGACGCGTCTCGACGTCGCGTCGACGCACTCAGTCATTGTCATATGCGTGCGTCATGGCATGTCAAACGCAAGCTACGCATGTCATGACAGTAGCGAGGCAGCACGATGCCATACACGTATGGTCCGGCCGCACCGAGCTGTACCGCAGCTGCTGGACATGACCCATGTGGGCCAGTCGAAGCAAGCCTAGGGGCCCTTCCCTGCTGGCCTCCGCTATCTCGTCGAGCACGATGCGGTTCCAGCCAGAGCCAACTCGCGCGTCCGCATCGCTCTCTTCCTCCCTGCACGCTCGTACGCACGCTCGTACGCACCAAGAACGCCAAGAGTGTAGCCCATTTTGGTATCGATGCTGTTTTGCTTTTTCGGAAGAGGAGAGGGTGAGATGGATTGAGATGACGCCAGAAGATCTCATTACAGAATTCGGGACGGAGGCGATATTTTCGACTCGTCCCCCGTCCATCACCCCGCATCGGCCCGGCTGCGATCCGCGGCGACTGGGACTGGCAGGACGGCGGCGGCGGCAACGGCATGAATGACGGACACACAACATAATATACTGTACAACAGCCCACTCCACACCATGTCCGAGACCAAGACTGTGAGCACCCACTCCACTCATGATGCGTGGTGCCCGCCCCGCTGACACGGTTCTGCAGTACCCCGAGATCAAGCGCGGCGCATCGCTCCTCCTCGCCTGGCGTCTCGAGGGCAAGCGCGTCCTCCTCATCGGCGGCGGCGTCGTTGCCGCCTCGCGCCTGGGCTTCCTCCTCGAGTCGGGCGCGCACGTCACGCTCGTGTCCCCCGCACCGCTCGAGCCGTCCATCGCGCACCGCGTCGCCACCGAACCCGAGCACCTCACCTGGCACGAGCGCGGGTACGGCAACCCCGACGCGGCGACGCCAGAGGAGATGGCAGCCGACAAGGAGCTGCCAGTGGGAGACTTTGACATGGTCCTCACTGCCGTCGACGATGTGCAGCTCTCCCAGGCAGTGTGCACCGCCGCCCGTACGGCCCGCACACCCGTCAACGTCGCCGACGTGCCCCCCGAGTGCGACTTTTACTTTGGCGCCCAGGTCCGCCGTGGCCCGCTGCAAGTCATGGTGAGCACGTCTGGTGCTGGCCCAAAGGTCGCCGTCATTGTGCGCGACACCGTCGCCAACGCCATCCCCGCCGACGTCGAGGACGCCATCGCCGGCGTGGGCGCCCTCCGTACCGAGCTTCGTCAGCGTGCCCCCGGTGTCGGTGGTGCGTTGAGTAAGCGCCGCATGAGGTGGATGATCGATACCTGCGATGCGTGGCGTCTCGACCAGATGGGTGCGATGAAGGACCCCGAGGTGCGCAGGCAGTTGCTGGACGATGGGTGGGAGCAGCACAAGGTCCTTCGTCCCGGGGACGTCGGCGCGGCCCCCGGCGGCGTCAAGGCCTTGGTGGGTGATGTCGTGCGCGCCGCTCCTGCCTGGCTGCCTACACTTGCTGCGTTTGTCGCTGGTGCCGCCGTAGGTGTTGCTTGGGTCGACCGTGTGCGCCGTTAGTGTCTAGGTTCCAGATATAGAGAGCATGTATGACCGTATCGCACTCTGGCTCCGCCCCAGATCCTGTGTCTTCATAATCGACCATCAGTCTTCATCAACCTTCGGTGTGTCCTTTGAAGCAACGGGTGCTCCCTGCAGCAGTTGTCTGTTCCAGATGCTCTAGCTCGTGGTGATACAATCGTCTACAAGTGATGACTGAACGCCTCATCCTCCTCCAACCCATCATCCCAATACCCTAGAGAAAAAGCCACGCCACGTCTACTTGAGCGGCTTCCTATCCGGCTCGCGGTACAGCTTGTGCTCGTGAATGTACTGGATCACCGAGTTGGGAAGCAAGTACTTGATGCTCATACCGCGGCGCACAAACAGGCGGACCTTTGTTGATGAAATGTCGTTGTAGATGAGCTGTTTGATGACTATCACGTTGCGTCGGTGGTGGTATAGAATGTCGTGGCTGAGGAGGAACGCCCACACGTCCGAACCTGCGCGCTCGACAATGAGACAACCGAAGCGTCCGAGAATGATGTGCAGCTGGAAAAGGGTCACGTCAGTTGGGGTACCATCTATGCAGCCTGGCTCAACTCACGTCAGGTTCGCTCCACACGCCAGGCTCGCCGAAACTCTCAATCAAGTCGCCGCCGGCAAGCAGCATGATCTTGTACTTCCGCCTTGTGCCGTCCGACATGTGCACGCCGCTAGCGTCGCCATTGCACATTTCCTCAAAGTGGTCCAAGACGATGGCTGTACGCTGGTACTCTGGCTGACCAGCCTCCCATGGGTCGACCATGAGCCAGGTACTAGTGTGCTCGACGGCAAGCTCGCACATGCGCACACGGTCGATGGCAGGTGCGAGGCCGGCCTTTTTGTAGTAGCTCGACACGGGCGAGTAGTAGCCGGCCATGATCTCGTACGTCTGCGACTCGAGGATCTCGTCCTTTGCCATCTCGAACATACGCAGGTGGAGGTACGTTGGGGGCGAGAACGAACCACACGCAACGATGACCAGGGGGATCTTGGACTCGTCTGTTGTCTGTCAGCAAACACTGTCATGATGCTGGTGGTGCGCAACGTGCCCCAGATGTCGGCACAAGTCGTCCATTTGACACATGCGCCCAAGGCCTGGAAACTCACCCTTCATGGTCTTGCGCAGCCTGTGCTTGGGGAACGCATACGGGGCCTCGCCCTTGAGGTAGGCCTCGCTGCCCTGCTCGGCCAGCGGGGCGCTGGCGTCCGCGTCCGCCTCGCCGTCATGCAGCCCTGTCAAAGCGTCAAAGCGCGACCGCTCAGAGCGCCTGCGAGCAGCCGTGGCCTTGTGCAGCGGCGCAGCGAGCGGTCCCGGCAGCCTAGAGGCCGACGTGGAGCCGCCCGTCGACTCAGGCGAGACGGCGTTGACAGTTACGGCCGAAGTCGAGGCGGGGAGGTCGAGCGACTGGACGCCCTCGACGACATCGCCAATCTCCTCGGTTTCGACGACGGGGCTCGCCTCGGGCTCCGTCAGGGGAGGGCTGTCGCTGTCGTTACTGGGCGCAACGCCCTCCACCTCCTCGGGGTCGTTGACCTCCACGTCCGCGTCCAGAGCCGCAGCGTCGACCGCGCGACGAACACCAACGACAGGGGAGGGAGGGTTGCCGAAACGGTAGCCGCTGACGAGACGGCGCGAACGTGCGCGACTCAACTCGGCGTCGGCTGTCTCGTCGTCAAAGTACGGTGCGTCCGGGTCGTCGGAGGCGTTCAGTCCCGAGGTCACGGCGTCGGCGAGCGAGAGATGGTCAGGCTCGAGGGAGGGCATACCGGCGCCAGCAAATGGTGGGCTGGGAGGGGTTCAGTCAGCAACTGTTGACGTGGGCAAACGCGAAGGCTGGGTGGCCAAGTGGCGGCGCGGGAGGAGAGAGAGTTGCGGGCGGAAATACCAACCCGCGCGGTGTGCGGTAAAGTGAAGGTGCGGTGAAAGCGGAGCGGACTTGATCCACCGACGCAGTCTTTGCGGAGTGCAAAAGCAATGGTGAAGAGAGGCAAGGAGATGAGCAGAGTAGCATACTCGGCGCCCTCTCGTCGCCATCGCTTTGGCCTCCTTCTCCCCCACAGTCCACGCAGGCCTAGCGGGAAACCAGCTCCCCCGGGGAGGGGCTGTCGACTCGCTCCACCCCTTAATTGGCCTTAGTCAGTCATAACTCACGAGTCGGCATGGAAGCTGTGCAGGCCCATGGCGGGCAGCACCGGCGCTGGGCCCTTGTACCCCGAGTTCATGATGGGGGCCATAGGTGTAGAAGTTGGCAGGCAGGTCGACGAGAAAAGAGGAGGAATGAAAAAGGTGGGGTGTGCACACTAGCGGGTCGCGCGAGCAGCGGGGTATGTTGTTTGCGGCAACAAACGTCGAGGCAGGTCCCGATGTTCCGACACGGACAAGTGGAGTGTGCGGGCGCCGGGTGGGGTGCGCGGGCGGGGGATCTGCTGGGGAAGAGGGAGGGGGACAGGAGGGGTCGATGCGGCTCAGCTGGTGACGAGCACGGCGTCGGGGCTGGTGGCAAAGAGCAAGAGACGGGGAGGGGGGAGTGAGATAGACAGTGACAGAGAGTGGGTGACAGCAACGAAGAACCGGACAGAGCACGGGGTGACTGACTGTTCCTCTTGTGCCAGCTTACTCTACTATCTCCGACTCCAACGCGGCTCGAAAGATGAACCGCAACGGCATTCCACGGGTGGGGGGGCGAATTGCCTCTATGGGCGAACGGGGCCGGTTCTGCCATGTCCGACGTCTCCGCGCGCGCTGTCTCTGGATCTCTGTCTGCATCTCTGTGCTTCGCTCGCTCGCTGCTGCATGCATGCACTTCCCCCCTTACCCCGCGCAAGAACCCTCTCTGTACACACCCGGTCATTGCACATAGTAGTGTTCCCTGACTGAGCACAAGACGCCATACCAAAAAGGTAGCCCGCAGGCCGCAGGGAACAGCCTGGTCCCTTCGTTTGCCAAAACCTCGGAATCTCTTGTCATCACCGCAGGAGCACGATCCCCGTCGCCACTGCTCTGGTACATGTCTGGTCTACACTGCCGTCACACAGGCGCCGCGTTCGGCCACAACCGATCCCGCCACGTCGGCCACCAGGTCGGCACTGAACAGCACCTCTGACCGGTCACCGTTCAGGTACACGGGCAGGTTGACCGTACCGGCCTCCGCGGCAGCGGACAGCGTTTCACCCATGTCCCGACGAGTCCACACGAGCTGCGATGGACCAAGTGCGACGACCTGGCCGTCGTTGAGAACAATCTTGCCCTCGCCCCAAGAGGCACCGTGAAGCTTGAGCCCTGTCGAATGTCAGCACTTTGGTCTTTCTGCTTTTTCTAGCCGCGTTCCTGCCGACCGACAGTTGGTCGTCTCGGATGATGCACAGCAAGGCACTCTCACCTTCAATAACGAATCCGTCCGCGACAGCGGTAGGTTCTTCAATCTTGAGACTAAGGGCCAGCTGTTCGAGCGACCACCCTTGGGCGTGCGCCGCGGCTTGGCGAGTGGCGGTAATGTATGCCTCGGGCTGGAACAGGCCACCGAGCCAAATGCCGTTGCCGCCGGTAGCACCCTGGGTTGCAATTCGTTCCAGTTGAGCAAGACGAGCAACGAGGTCGGCAATGTACTGGTTGACAGAGGTACCACGCGGCATCTTGAACTTGGCCCAGTGTGGCGGCACGTTGCCACGGTTCAGGTCCGTGAGCAGCGCACGAAGCTCGTTGGTCTGCTTCATGCTGCCGTCGCACACATGGACCAGGTCCGAGAGGTCCTTGCGCACACGTTGGAGCAGGAGACGGCCAGTCCATGCCTCGCGGCCAAAGAAACGCGACAGGGGGTCCAACACTGTGGGCGGCGTCGAAAGGGTCTTGGGCAGCGCCTCCAGCCACTCCTCGGCGTTGGCCTTGAGGGTGGTCATCCAGGCCGGGCGGCCTTCGTTGGCAGCGACAGTCGGATTGATGTCGTCCTCGTCATCGTCAGTCGTGCGCATCTTGCGAAGCTTGACGACCGTCGCGTTACCTGAATGTCAGTTCCAATCCAAAGCAGCGTGGCGACTCACCCTGGGCAGCGGCAATGACGCGCTCGGCGGTACCAGGCAGGCTGAGCCACGAAGGCGGCTCGTTCTCGGGGAGGGCGTGGGCCCAGGCAATGAACTGGGACATCTGCGTGCCGTCGGGGACGATGAGGGGGTTCTCGGGAAGGTTGACGAGAGCAAAGTCCGGGTCATAAGCGCGAGGCGTGAAGATGGCGTCGACAAACGCATCGAGGACACGCTGGTCATAGTCCGAGTCGACGCGACCACCATACACGGCCTGCTTGATGAGGGTACGCAGGGCAACCCAAGGAATTTGTCCCGGGTCAACGTTCGCCTTGCCCTTGGCGAGCGAGTTGATCCAAGAGTCGATCGTCTTGAAAGCGGCGTCAAAGTCCGAGTCGTTAAACTCGTAGCTCTTGGACCAGCCGAGGGGCAGGTAGCGCAGACGCTCCTGGACGACGGCGTGGAGCCATGCGAGGAGGAAGAGCAGACGAGCCTTTTCGGCAGGGCCAGTGGAGAGGCGGGCCGTGGGCAGACCACGCAGCGTGTCGAGCAGGTTGGCACGGATACCGGGGGGAGGCTCGTTCATGATAATGCGCGACTGGCGAAGAATGTTGACCGGGATGACCGGGTTGGTCTCCATCGTGAGGAAGAGGCGGAAGCCCATGGCGGGCGATAAGCTGTGGAGACGCTTCTCGAGCTGGGCGAGCCATCCGGGGGCAAGGTGAACGTTCTTGAGTAGCACCCAAGAGCCAGTACGGGCAGCATTGGCGATTGCCTGGTCCGCGAGGGTGAAGCCTTCGACGGAACCCATGGCCACCGAAGTCCACTTGACACCGAGGGTGCGGCAGAGGTTCTCGATGCGGTACGAGGCATCATAGCCAGGCGCCGAGGCCAGGGCCAGCGGGTTGGTGGGCTTGACCTGGTTCTGGACAATGTCGCCCAAGTCGTACTCGGACTGCGATGCGAGGTCGGTGTCAAAGGCCTTGTCGGCAAACTGCGCCAGAGCCTGGACCATGCGGTCGGGGCGGAACAGCTTGACGAGGACGAGACGGCGGGCAGCGGTGATAATATTGTCCGCCTCCGCCCATGCCCAGGGTACATTGCGCTCGGCCTCGGGGGACGACATGAAGGCCAGCCACTCGGCAGCATTGGACGCGATGTGGGCCTCGAGGGCCTTGCTTGTCTCATGGCCAAGGTGGCTGTCGAGGATACGGCGTTGCTCAAGAGTAACGTGCGCATGGTCACCATCCTGGCCCGAGGGAACCTCGAGTAGAGTGTCAATCTCGTCCTGGAGTGCGCTGCCAAAGTCACCACGCGAAATGCGGAGCTTGGCGAGGGTCGTGGCCAGAACCATGTAGTCGGCATGCAAGAGCGAACGAGACGTACGGCGGTAGGTGACGAGGAAGAGGTCGTTGAGGAGCGTGTCCTTGCGCGCGTCGAGGTCGGTGACGCCCTTGAGGTTCGGGTTGTGGTGGAGGACATAGTCAAAGATGTCAAGGAAGTAGTCGAGCGAGAACTGGTAAAAGTGGTTGACAGTCGCAAGCTGCTCGAGTGTAAAGTAGATGCTGCTACACGCCGAAGCAAGAGGCAGGTACTCGGCAGTGACGTTCTCGACCTCCTTCATCACAACGTCCGTGTCCTCGACCTTGCGTGTGACCTCGGCGGCCTCCTTCTTGAGCACTTCAAGGGTCTCGATGACCTTGTCGTCGTCGAGAATGCTGCCAGTCGACTCGTTGAGAGCCTGCAGGAGCGCACGCTCGAGGTGGCGCAGACGGAGACGGAACTCGCCTTGGAGCTTCATCAGGTCGGTACGCTTCTGGTCGATCTCGGGGCGCTCGACCTTGAGGACCTTGTCAAGAGCCTGTGTCTGAAGCGAGCCACGGGTCATGGTAAAGTTGACAAAGGTGACACGCGAGCAGATGTCCGGCGAGAACTCAACAGACGGGTCGCGCGTAGAGAGGAACATCGTGAACGACGGCGAAAAGTCAATGTCCTGGTTACCAATGCGGATGAGCACACGACCACCGGTACGGCGAAGCTCGCGGTTGAGAACCGAGTTGAGAATGGGGTCGAGGTTCTCGACGTCCTGGATGAGCAGCGGGTTTCCGAAACGCAGAGCACTCTCGAGGTTCTTGAGGAATGCCTCGTCCAGGAAGCTGGTGACGGTAATCTTGCGGTCGCGGTACTCGTTCTGCAGGAACGCGGTCGCCTGGCCCGTGGGGTCAACAATGAGAGGGTAGCGGTTGTATCGCTTGAGCATGACCGCATTCTCGACACACAGGCTGTCGGCAGGCAGCGAGTTGGACTGCCACGCGAGACGCTCGTCCGCTGTGGACAAGAACTCGGCCAGAGCGAGGTCGGTCTTGAATCGGATACTGGCCTCGGACAGGTGCTCCATCCAGGTGTTGCGCATGGTGTCGCGGTAGTGCTGGTCGAAGAAGCCCGAGTAGGCGAGGAACGCGGCCGAAATGAGGACGTCGCCGACAATGGTGCCCATCTCGGTCTCGAATGTCTTGCTGCCAGCGTCCCAACGCGACTGCTCAGAGGACAGGCTCTGGAGTAGCGTCATGCTGCGGTCCACCTTGCTCTGGACACGGTCCATCTCGCTCTTGATCGACTGAGTCTCGGAAATAAGGAGAGCGTACTCTTCCTTGTAACCGGCAATCGAGTCTTCGAGCTCAGCAACAGTCTCCTCAACAATCGCCGCCTGCTGCTTGGTGGTCTCGGCCTGCTCCTCGAGCGAAGCAACCTCCTCGCGAAGAGGCGCAACCTTGTCGAGAATCTCCGAGAAGCGAACCTGGGCAATCACCCACTGCACGAGGGGACCACATGCGCGCGAGGCGCGGTTGACAGTCTCAAAGTTGAAGGCCGGGCGGCTGATGTACTCGCGCATCATGCGGTCGCGAATGGTCTTGGTCATCTTTTGAGTGTCAAAGTTCTGGATGCTCGAGATAAAGTCGTCGCGACGGATGATGCTCTGCACCGACTTCCAGTTTTCGACCTGATGACCAAGCACCGTGCACGCCGACTCCATGGCCATCTTGACGGCCTCGGGAGGGTTTGCCATTGAACGCACTTCGGACAGGTGCTGCTTCTTGATGTTGCTGACGGCGGCGAGGGCATCAAGCACGGCGGGCTCGGCCTGAGCAAGGTCCTCACGGACAATCTCCGAACGCTGCTGAATGTACGCGTCCTGTTCTTCAAGCGCTGCGCGAATCTCAACCGACGCAGCCTTCTTGGCCTCAGCCTCCTGCTGATCGGCGACCATTTGGCGGAGCTTGAGGTTGGCCTCGGCATTCTTGGACTGGAGTTGCGAGCGTTTGGCAGCAAGGCTGTGGCGCAGCTCCTCGACCTGTGTGACGGTGGCGCGGAGCTTGTCAAGACCGACGTTGAGATGGCGCTGCTGCTCCTCGAGATCCTCCTTCTTCTCGGTGAAGAGACGGACGTAGTGGTTGATGAAGTCCAGGAAGTGGCGGGGCGTGATGTGGTTGTACTTGCCCTGGCGCTTGGCGAGCTTGGCCGTAATGGCCTGCATCGACTGGTGGACGTAGACCATGGCGTTGATGACAGCCTGGCGATGGTTGGGAGGGATCGTAAGGTCGCGGTAGGCGACAGGGAACTGCTGGGGAGCATGGTAGGCCGTCGACGAGTCGAGATCGAGGGTCGACGTGAACTCGTAGCCGACCTGGTAGAGCGCTTGGTCGGACCAGTCACCAAACCAGTCAAGAACACAACGGTTGAACAGGGCAGGCGAGGTGGCTGCACGGGTTGCAAGACCGTTGGCGGGAGGGTTCATCGTGAACACGACGTGGAGGTTGCGAGCGACCTGCTGAGTGAACCAGCGGTACAGCTCCTCGTGAGAGTCGAGCATGAGACCGTCACGCTGCGAGCCCTCCTTACACGCGGTCATGAGCGCGGCGTGCTCGTCGCCTTCAAAGAGACCAGGAACCTCGGCGTTGGCAAGGAGCGTGTTCATGCGTTCAAGGAAACCGGCGTCAAGAACGTTCGACTCGTCCATGATGAAACAAATCTTCTCGCCCTTGCAACCAGCGCGGCGGAGGACAGTGCGCAGGTCGTCGTCAAAGTCGGCACCAGTGTACTTGTTTGAGACCTTGATCTGGAAGATGCTCAGGCCGTTCATCCAAGCCACGAAGCGCGACAGCGTCGTCTTACCACCACCAGAGACACCGATAAGGAGCAAGTGGCCCTGGATCTGGCGGAACACACGGTCGATACGCAGGACGTGGTCGAGCACATCGTTGAACAGGACGAGGGGAACATCCAGCTCCTCCTCGTGGAAGACCTTGAGGCGTGCCTTGGTGTATTCACGCAACTGCTCACGATCGACAGGAATGTAGTTCTTGGAGGTCCAGTTGGAGTAGAGAATGGGGCGAACGAGCGCCTCGGAGACGTTGGCGCTGGGGAAGTGGCGGATGGCAGTCTCGTCGAGCACCTCGTCAGTCCACTTCTTCTCGTTCTCAGCGACGAGACGGTCCTGGAAGAGACGAAGACCTTCGTGTGCCCAAACGCGCACAAGTCCCTCAAGCGAGAGGGTCTCGAGTGGCTTGATGGCCTCATAGATACCACGAGCCCAGCGGGTGAGCTCACGAGGCGAGTAGATGTAGTGCGCCTGGACGTCGGCAGTGAACCGCTTCTGCGAGGCCATGTAGAATGCGACCATGGCGTCGGTAAGCGAGTCCGAGTGACCACGCAGGTTGGGCACGACCTTGAGGAGCGCACGGTTAAAGGTGCCGTAGATCTGCTTGAGCGAAATCTCGCCGGGGTAGTCAACCATGACGACGGGAGCGTGGCGCATGAAACGGTGAGAGAGAGGGACACGGCCAGGGTCGGTGGGCGGGTTGCACGCGCCGACAAACTGGATACGCTCGAGGGTGACCCACGAAAGGTCAGACGAACGCCAGAAGCCGTTGCGCTCCATGAGCTGTCGAATGAACGAAATGACGCGCTGAGTACCGTACTTGTCCGTCGCGGGCAGGTTGATTTCGTCGCAGAAGACAACAAGCCAGCGGCCGATCTGGGTGGGGGCGAGAACAACGCCGTTGGGGGTCTTGCGGTACTCGCAGTACTGCTCAAACGTCTTGAGAATGAGCTCGGGAGTGGTGGCGCTTGAAAAGTTGAGACCGACAACCTCGAGGTTGCTCAGCTTGCGGAGGGCGCTGAAGAGCGTCATGGTCTTACCCGAACCAGGAGGACCACAGAGGATGAGCGGCTTGTGTTCGGCCAGCCAGCTGTAGAGCACCTCCTCGTGGCGAACAGTGTCGACGGTGGGGATGACCACGTCGGCCGAGGTGATAGCGTGTGTCTCAACTTCGATGGTGGGAACACGCGACTGCCACGAGATCCACTCGGCAGTGGCAACGTTGACATCATAGTCGATGAGGGAGGTGCCGGGCACCATGGTGGGAGTCTCGATACCAGAGGTGAGGCGAAGCTGCTCGCCAAGCTCGGCACGAAGCTCGAGACGGCTGTCGCCGACAAACGACCAAATGACGTTGAGCAACAGACGGCGCTTGACGTAGGCGTCGACCTTATCGGCCGGGAGAGGGAAGTCGCTGTGACGGACATTGTACTCGATAATGTTGCGGCTGGTGGCCTTGAGGAGCGAGAAGAGCGTGTTGATAGCACGGACCGCAGTGAAGTCCATGATGTGCTCCGACTTGGCCGCGAACTCGAGGGCACCGTGGATAAGACCATCAGAGGCAAAGAAGGGCTCGAGAATGGACACGACAGCGCGCTGGGTCTCCATCTGCTGTGCCGCAGCGTCGGCGCCGTACTCAAGAACGTCCTCGTCACTGGCGCTAATGGGCTCAGTGGCGAGAAGGTTCAGGTGGTGGCGGCAGAGCATGTCGACATCGATAACCTCCTCGCTGAACCAGATCATACCGCAACGAGAGACAGTGGCAAGAGTGGCGTAGCGGAGGTGCTCAACCTCGAACATGACGCGAACGTTGGGCGGGAGGTTGAGACGTTCACCGTTGGGCAGCGTGAGGAGCTTGTTGTCGTCAAGGACCGAGTTGAGGTTCTCAACCCATTCGGGGTCGACATCGCCGTCAAAGATGATCCAGTGGCGCTTGGCAGTCTCTCCGCGGACATTGTCCACAATCTTGCGCAGAATGTGGGTGAACAGACCGTCGTTCCACTCGCGCGTTGTCGGGTCAAGGGTACCGTAGAGGGCCTCCTTGTCAATGGCCTTGGGGTCGATGACATACGAGGCACCCTCGACACCATCGACGCGCTCGAGAGCGGCAAGCAGAACCTGCCAGGCCTGCGACTTTCCGGAACCAGAAGGACCAACCATCATGAGACCATGGCTGATGTTTTGAATCTGGTACAGCTGGATGACCTTGTCGAGCCAGGCATCACCAACAACGAGGCGGCGCTCGGCACAGACCTCGGAAATCTTGGCCTTGAGAATGTTCAGGTCGACAGGGACGTAGGCGACGCCAGGGAAGACGTCCTCGACGAGGCTGAGCAGTAAGCATTGTTCATCACTGTCTTCCGCGCATTACTCACGCGCGAAGGAGAGGGACATCGTCGGCCACAAGCTTGGGCACAATTGTCTCCATGACACTCTGGATCATGATCTGCTGCTCGGTAATGTCGTCAGGGGTGTCGTCATCGGCAGCAGTGCTGAGGTGACGGTCGCGCTTGAGGATACCGGCGCTTGCAAGCACCGATTTGAGGGCACGCAGGCCAAAGTCGTAGTGCGGCTGGGCAGAGAGCTGCTCCGAGCAGAGGTTGAAGAAGGGGACAATCTTGGACGCAAGGACTTCGGCCGTGCGGAAGCCCTTGGAGAAGAGGAGCACCTGGGCAATGAGCTCCTGGTCGGGACGCGTCATGGCCATGCTACGGAAGAGCTTCTTGAGGTTGTCAGGGAGGTTGGAACGACCAGCATAGCCGGGGTTCATGGTGATGAAGATACCGGTACGCGAGTTGATCTTGAGCTTCTTGCCCACAAGCTCGACCTGGACGTCCGGGTCGGTGACGGCCAAGGCGAGACCCTGCTGGATGCTCTGGACCTGCTGCGAGACAGCCGACAGGATACGCTCCTCGAGACGGTTGAACTCGTCAAAGCAGCCCCAGGCGCCGACTTGGCAGAGACCAATAAAGATACGGCCCATGGCCTGGAAGTCGAATGTCTCGTCACAGCAGAAAACGAGGACGAAGCGACCAAGCTGCACACCAAGAGACTTGACCGACTCGGTCTTACCGGTACCGGCAGGACCGAAGGGTGAGCCACCGAGCTGGTTGTCGAGAGCCTGAGTGAGAGTGAGGTAGCAGCGGTCGGTGAGCGGGGTCTGGACGAGGCGGTCGGGGATACCGAGGTACTCGTAGCCGTAAGGGAAGACGGCGTCGGCCATGCGGACCTCGAGGCGAGCAAGCGGGTCGTCCACGGATTCGTTCAGGTAGAAACGCATGTAGTACAGCCAGTCGAAGCTGTCAACAGTGTTGGTACCCGAGGCAATGAGCGCACGAATAGCGTCACGCTGGTGAACGAGCTCGGTAATGAGGTGCTCGCACTTGCGGCGCTGAAGGACGGGAATGTCCTGCAGGACAGTGTCGGCGAGGAGGTCCAGCATGCGCGACACGAGCTCCAGGGCACTCTTGAGGTTCTTGTTGGTCATGCTCATCTCGACGAGTTCGGTCCAAGCAATCTGGACGGCCAAGACTACCAGCTGGGCAGGGAAGGCACCGATCCATTGAAGAAGTCCCTCGGGAACGAGTTCGGCGTCCACACGGAAGATCTCTTTCAGGTCCTTGACCGCCGAGAACAGTAGAGCGGCGAGCGAGAGGCGCATCTCAGACTCAATCTTGGCGAGCCAGTCGTTGATCTTGGGGTAGTCCTTGAGCATGATGGGCTGGCGGAAAGCAACCTCTTCACCCTCGCGCGAGGCAAAGGCCAGGATCTGGGTAGCCTCCTCGTCGAGGTGGAGAATCGAGATACCGGCAAACATCTTTTTGAGGTGCTTCATGACACGGTGAATGTCCTTGCTGTTACCGATAATTTCGAGCAGGTCCTCGTCACCGACAAAGTAGAAGCGAGGGAACGACGAACGCTCCTTTTCGAGGTACTCGCCGAGAGCCTTTTGGATTTTGGTGAGAAGGTCGGCGAGTCGCTCCAGGTTCTTCTGAATGCCCGGGATGTTGAGCACGTCGAGAACGAACGGCGACTTGTACACCTTCTTCATGACCGAGAGGAACTCCGAGTTGATGTTCTGGAAACGCGAGCTTTCGACTGGGAGAAGGTGCTTGATGTCGGCCGATCCCGAGAAGATGCCCTCCAGGTATACCCACTGACGCTGGACGTCGATCCAGACATCGAACAGCACATGCACACGGTTGAGCTTCTCCTCCCACGACGCAGCCTCCTCCTCAAAGACGCGGTAGTAAGGCGAGAGCTTCATGGCCTGCAGCGAGTTGAGATGCTCGCCGCACTTGTTGAACAGCTCGTCCCAGCCCTTGATCAGGCGGCACTTGTTCTGGTAGTTTACCAAGTCAAGCGTGTAGGAAGTCCAAGTTTCGCGGACCTGCCTGAGGAATTCCTCCAGAGCCATCTCACCCTGGGCCTGGGTGACAATGTCCTTGATGACAACCTGGTTCTTTTGGAGGTCGAGGTCGTAGACCTGGCCAAGAGTCATCGACAGGGGATTGTGGCCGGCAGGCAGGCGGAGACCCTTATAGAGCTTGGACCAGTGGCGCTCACGGAGCGCCTCCGACTTGAGCTCGCTGATGAGAATGTTCGACTTGAGGAGCGAGCGGACGGTTTCCTGTACAAACTCAAATGCGGCGTACTGGCGCATACGACTGGGCAGGTCGCGAGTCGAGGCGAGAATGCTGTCGAGTTCCTGGCGCAGCTTGCGGGGCTGGACGGCCGACCACAGCATCTCACGGAGCTGGTTGAGACGGCCCCAGATACCTGTGAGGGCAGTCCAGACAGTCTTGAGGTCACGGAGTTCCTCAGTGACGGGCTGGAGACGCTCGTCCTTGGACTGCTCGAGATCGAGGGCCTCCTTGGCACGGCAAATGAGACCATAATCGTCGTGGAGCTGGGTGAGACGGGCCTCGAACGCATTGAGCGTGTTGATCGCCATGTCGGCCTTGATGTTACCCTGGAGGGGCTTGTTGGCTTCCCACTCGGCAACAAAGTCGCGGATGCGGCCGTCGACGACCTTGTCCTCGGCGACAATCTTCAGCTGCAGGCCAGCGACCTGCTCCTTGATCGAGTCGTCCTTGCGCTTAAGGAGTTCAGAGAAGGCACTCCATTCGCCCTGGATCTGGTCGACATACAGCCAGTCCGAGGGGAAAGTGTAGCGCTGGCGTTCGAGGGTTTTTTGACCAGCGGAAAACTGCTCAATCTCGGGACCCCAGGTCTCGACCTTGCGCTTGAGGTCCTGGACAAAGGTGATGAAAGAGACGACCTGGGCGGTAGAACTGCCCTCGATGGCGTGCGACTCGAGGTCGGTGCGGGCCTTGAGAATGGCGGCGTACACCTCCTTCATGGTCATACCCAGCTTGGCGCCGTACTTGGCAAGCAGATCGCGCTGCCACGAGTCGTACTTGGCGTTGACCTTGGACTGTGCGTTGGCGTAGTCGATGATACACACGCCAAAGTCCTTGCGCGTGTCGGTGGTGTCAAACGTCGAGCGGGCTTGGCGAATATCCGAGAGGAGTTGGTCCCAATCGGCGAGCGAGTCACCAAGACGGCCGTAGACGTACTCGGCCTCGAGGTCCCAGAGCGACTGGAACTGGAGCCACTTGTCGACATAGGCGCTGACGGTCTGAACCTTGCGCTCAATGAGCGAGAGCGGCTTGTCGAGGGGAAGCTCTGTGCGCGAAGTGAGGAGACTCATGTACGTCGTCTCCTCAGCAGTAGCCTCGTCGACCTGCAGGCTGATCTCGTAACGCGAGCTACGGATGCAGTTGAGGTTGCACACGACACCCAAAGCGGACTGGAATTGCGAGAGCCACTCCTGGCGAGCAAGCTCGATAGGCGGGTCCAGATAGATGACCTGATTACGGATGCGCACCTCGTAGACGAGAGGCTTGATGGCGAGTTCAGATGACTGCCAGTTAGCCATCACCCGGATGCGAAATAACTAACCTTGGAGGCCTCTTCAGCAGAAGTAGTCTCTTGGTCACCGTCCTGCGCCTCGTCGGCCTTGCTAAACTCTTCGCACCACGTGCCAATAGCCTGCTCAAGACGACGGCTAAGGACCACGTCGATACGCTCGTTCAACTTGGACACCCAGGCGTCGAGGTTGCTGTAGCCCTCAAGGTTGAGCTGGTCAATCTGGGTTGTCAGTTACATCTCCGACTTAGTAACCAACCGTCTTCTGGACTTGGCCAAGAAGCGCAGAGAACGCCTCGGCGCGGTAGTCACAGGTGCCCAGCTCTTCGACGATGCGCGAGATGTCCTTGGAAATGTCGATAAGCGCGGCGGACTTGTCCTGCAAGAGGGAGACAACGCTAGCAAACTCGCGAACGTAAACGAAGTGACGACTCTCGCGGCTGTCCGATCCGGGGAGGAAGCGGTGGGTATCATACGCGTTGACAAGGTGGTCCCACTGCATGTTGATACCGCGGCCGATCATCTGCTGCGCATGGTTGCGGTAGCTGGCGAGGAGGATGGCAATGTCGGGGTTCTGGTCGATGAGGTCCAGCGTCTGGGTGTACATCCGGACAGACTCCATGAGAGATACAGCGTGCGGGTAAACACGTTTGGCATCCTTGGCGCGGTGGGTGATGGTGAGCGGCACTGGGAAGCCGAGCCAGATGAGAGCGCGGACTTCCTTGAAGAGAGCCACGACCTGAGGGTCAAACTGCACGATGAGCTGCAGCTGGCCCTGGGCACTGGTAGCCGTCGCGCGAGAGCGGATAATGTCAAACAGACGGCCATTGACGGTCAAGTTGCCGCGGCGCGTAATCTCGGCAATCCAGGCGTCGTACAGGGGCTTGGTGTCGAGCTTGGCACGGAACGACGCAGACTCTACCTGGAGCTTCTGGCCCTCAGCATAGCTCTCCCAGCCGCGGCCGAGAACGTCCTCTACGCGTTTCATGTAGGTGAGGAGCTGGCGCTCGATCTGACGCGCCCAAATGATGGCACTTGAGACAGAGGGGAGGTCACGGAGCTGCGACATGTGATACGCCTGTGAGTGGCGGTAGTTGGCGGTGAACTTTTGACGCAGCTCGCGAATGTCATCCTTGACTGAATCAATCAAACGCGTCTGGTACTCTTGGATGGCACCGCGGATCTGGTGTTGTTAGGTCGTGCCAGAAATAAGTGGGTAGCTTACCTTTGGGCGGACGAAGAGCGTGTTAAACTTGGAGAAGACGCGGAACATTTCCTGGGCCGTCTTGGTGGTCGCGAGCTTGTCGCGGAGGCGCGAGATGATCTGGTTCTCAATACGCGCCACGCGGTCGTTGTACGCAACCTCGGCAGTGTACCAGATCTCCGAACCCTCGGGGGTGACGTCAAGGACGTCGACGTTCTTGACGCTGTCGAAGGCGATGCGGACCTCCTCCTCCATGTCAATGTCGAAGGGAATGTCGTTGCCAAGACCGCTAAAGTTGCGGGTCGAGCTAGTCATGACGCGGAGCTGGTCGTGCGAGCGGCGGAATGCACGGAGGTAGGTGATACGCTCGTGCAGCTTGGCGTGTGCTGGGTTGATCTTGATGGAAATGAACTTTTCTTGGCGCTTGCGCATCACCTCGCGGGCTACGTTGGTGAAGTCCTTGATGTTCTCGTCCCAAGCCGAAAAGACCTCGGCGGTGACGCTCATGACGTCCTCAAACTTGCCGTAGTCCATGTACATGAGACGCTGAGCGCCGAGGACGCGGAGGAGCTGGTCATTGAAGTCGGACGAGATAGCCTCGACGAGGGGCAGGATGCCACGGATGGGGTAGGGAGACAGCTTGAGCTTTTTGTTGATGTGGGCAAAGATAAGGTAGACTGCTTCCTGAATCTTCTCAAGGTCGGTAGCGGCAAGGAGCTCGTCAAGGGGAAAGTCCTTCATGAGAATGTTGTGCTTGTGGACAAGGTCGGCAGCCTCCTTGATACCGGTATCAGCGATGAAGCTGACGGTGGCGTGGAAACGCTTGGCGTGCTTGAGAACGTCGAGGGCGAGCGTGACCTCATCACCCTTGAGCTGAGCCTCGATTCCCTCCAGAGCGTGCTCCATGCTGAGCCAGAAGTTGATCTCCTGGGACGCGGTGCCCGACGAGACATCACGCGACAGCTTGGTGACGGTCTGAATCTCCTTGATCCAAGAGTTGACGTCTGCCTGGAGCTTGTTGAGGAACGCTGGGTCGGCGAGAAGCGAGGCGGGCTCGACGGCATCGACAGAGAGACGCTGACCATTGGCCTGGCACTGAGCGACAGCCTTGCGAATGGCAGGGTGCACGGACAGGTGGACCTCTGGAATCTCCACGTTCTGCTTGAGATGGAGAAGCGAAAGCTCGAGCTCGGCGAACTTCTTCTTGGTGACGGGAACACCCATCTGGGCGTCCTGTCCCTTCTTTCCCTTGGGAGCCGTCGTTCCGTCCGTGAGGTTTCCCTTGGACGCGACATACGAGTCGAACCACGGAGCAACACCCCAGTGGACAAGTGAGTGGAGGCCGTCATACGGCGTCGCCTGCGAGGAGGTCGGGGTAGAGATGACGGTAGGCGGGCCAGAGGCCAAGCCGCTGTCGGCGACAAGCAAGGGCGCAGCGGATGATGAGAGCTGCATAAAGTGCAGCTGGGCGCCAAGGGGCAACATCGAGTCGAGCGTCGGGGACGTCTTGATGAGAGCGAGTGTCGAGAGAACATTCGCACTGTGAGGAGGTGTAGGGGGGAGATGGAGCTGGTACGCGATACGAGAAATGGGTTGGTCTACAGTTAGTTGAGCAGCTCGGACAGTTCCAGTGCTTACCTTCTTCATCGACGTCCAGGTAACGCTCCTTGGTGACATAGACGACCTGACAGCCGGCGTCGAACGCAAAGCGCTGGGCCTTTTCGTCAAAGTTGGGGTCGTCAAAGAGCCCGTGCTCGAGCTCCTGACGCGTAGCAGCCATTACTGTGGTGCACGTCAGCTCTGGCTCCGTCCGCGACGAGCTGTGCATGTGTTGCCAGCAAGTCCCGCCATCGTGCGCACTGACCTGGTGGGAGGAGGGAGGCCAGGTAGGTCCGGAACACGGAGACGTCAAAGGTGAGCGCACCGCTGTGTGCGGTGGCAAAGGCCTCGCCTTCGTCATGCGAAGGAGAGGCCATGGTACGTCGATGTTTGGGTTGGTTTGGGTGTGGAAAGGTGGTGTGAGAGTGGTAGAAACAGAAGTTGGATGGCGGGACCTGCGCAAGTGGACGTCTGCGGTACCGGCGTCCTGGGCGTCGCGTGGACGCGTCAGAGCGTCAACAGGGGCTCGGCGCTGGTGGCAAAACAAATGGCCGATTAGCCGCGACATTTGGCCTCCATTAGTATTCGTCCGGGTTTGTTTTCAAACTCCAGCTAATCTGAAACCTGTGGCAGGTGAAACCCCGTGGCCCGTGGGCCGTGAGGTGGCAGGCAGCATAATGAGCGGGGCCGTAGTTCATGCCTGACTGAGCATGACTTACAAAGTGAGGGAGGGGCCTACAGATGAAATTCAGATGAAATTCATTTATCTCTGATCTCTGAGTCAATCTGGTTGCGGGAATCTGATAAAACCTGACAAGTGCTAACAACTGCCAATAAAACTCCTCTGTAAACATAGGCCATGGAGTGTACGAATACCATTGTGGCCCACCCATACATCAAAGCACTACTAAAGCGAATCACATCAAAGGTCCTGGATTGAAGTATCCATCTTTATCTACTCTCACCACTCTGTACCAGGACATACAGCCTCTTCCGCGGGTTTAGGCTCGTTCGTCGCACTTACCGCCGTTGATGTGTCGGCGCAAACGTGGCGAGTGTAACACTTCGAGTGAGCCCAGTCGTCTGCTGCACCAGAAGCAGCTACACGAATTCCAAGCTCAGCACAATCGACTGCTTGTTGTTCTTCCAGGGCCTTGAACGCTTCGCCGTTGTCTGCGTTTGCGTGTAAGTGAAGAACGAAAGAAAGAGAAAAAATCGATTGATGGCAATATTATTAATTATCCTACACTTACGGTGGAACGCTTGAGCGAGTACGCTGCGGGCCACAAAACGCATGTTGATGACCACGTCAGCCGCACCCTTAGCCGCATGGTACATGCTCTGTGGGCTGGGACACGTCGGGGCGAGTTTGAGTGCAGCAGCGGCGATGCGTTCCCACAGCCGAGAGTTGCTGAACCTATTAGCTTCATGCCGCAAATGCCCACTCACAGCTGGGCGATACCATATTCACACGCTTCGTGATAGGTAAAGAGAAGTGGCGTGCTTGTCCAAGGGTAGAGCTCCACAAGAGCGGTGTAGTATCGGCACAGGGCGGAAAAGTAGTCGCCGCTGTCAAAGCTGGGGGGGTGAGAAACAGGCATCACAGGCATCTCAACCCACTCGACATCGCCTTCTGCCTGTACCTTCTCCAGACGTGGCACCAGCACATCCAAACCCTCAATCTTGTGTCGTGGTTTATGCTGTGCTACCATGTGGTGTGGGCGCACAAGTGGGCGAACGAGCTTCGTGCCCTCGGAGTCCTCGTTCATGAGGTCAAACAGCGTGTGGCACAGCGTCTCCAGATGCATTGCGGCGTGGGCAATGCTGGCGCGCTCGTGGTAGGGAACCGCCTTGGATAGCGATGTAAGGCTGTACTCATGTCCAGACAAGGGTTCGATGGCTCTGGCGGTCAGCGATGGGAGTACGGTATGTACGGTGTATGTGTCCTAGCATATCAAACGTACCGCTGTGCCCTGGCGGCGTTCGTCGCGGCGGCTGAGGTCATCTGCTTCCAGCTCTCGATGAGGTTACCACCCCCGCGGCCGAGAGGGATCAAGTCCCAGATTTCAGCGTCAAACGAGTGATCGGTCTGGTTGTAGTGGCTTGCATTGAGGGGGGCGACCTTGGCTATGTCAAGAGTGTCCCCACCGGCAGTGAAGGGGACGAGGAGGGTGGCTAGTCGGTCAGCGAAGTGCGTGACTTCACTGGACATGATAAATGTGAGTGGAAGAGAAGGAAGAGGGTGCCGTGCATTCGTGTATATAGGGGACTGGAAGGCGGTGACGCTTGCAGTTGCATCTGTGTGCGTGCGTGTGTGCGTGTGTATGTGCGTGTTGTGTGAGTGATGCAATGCGGCGACTGGAGATCTAGCATTTTTGCCTTGTTCGTTCTAGGATGGAAGGAATCTACATCTACTGCTCACGGCCAGCTTGGTGCTCGCGCCACTGAGCAAGCCACTCCTGGATGAACAGGACCTCAAACTCGTGCACGTCTTGGATACGGGCGGGCTCCTTGGAGTGATCCTTGAGGCCGTTCTTAAAAGGTCAGCCACAATTCCTAAAGCATCACCTTACCTCGTCATAGTGGTGGATAGCATCGTAGATGAGGTGAAGTGGCTTGTTGACGGACGACTTGCGCTTTGGTGCCACATCGCTTTGAGGGGTCTGTAGAGTTGGCATCCTGCCACAGGATTCAAAAACTCACCATCACACGCCAAGGGTCACGGTCACCATCAATAAACGCCAGACGGTCAGCCTCAATGGCGTAGTCGCCACGACGGTTGACCTCCTCGACATCGGGCCACTCGGGGACAGTAAAGTGCTCGCCAGGGAGGTACGCCTGTTTGCAGATCTTGGAAGTGTACTCGAGAGTCACACGGCGAGAGATGATGGAGGGACTTCCATCCTCGGGAGCAGGCATGAAGTAGCCCCACTGTGTGCAGACTGAAAGGTGAGTCCAAGAACCTCGCTCTGGCACCCACCTTGGAAGAGCCACAAGCGCCAAGTCTGCTTAAGGTCGGTCTCCTGGAACTTGGAGTCGTCGTGAGAGCCAAAGCACTGGGGATGAGCTTCGCATATGGTCGGCAAAACTGACCTCTTCCACATCCGTAGGGCAGCGCGATGCAACGTTGTTGTTGATGTAGTTGGCGTAGTTTACGACAACAGCCGGGCTACTGTCAGTCTGCCCCGCCAAACCATTACTCACATCTTGACAAGGCCAATCTTGCTGTCAGCCTTGCCGCTGGTGAGAGCAGTGCAGAAGTCGTTCCAGCCGTCAGAGCCGACCTTGGGGTCCCAGTTCTGAGCCTGCCAGTAGCCTGTGTGGGTCAACAGAGAGCGCACGACGAAACCCACCGAAAGGAGATCCAATAACGTCCGCGAAGTCGTCGTCCTCAAGCCCGGAAAGACCAAAGAGACCCTTGACGAGATCGGGGACAGGACTAGGCAGGTCAAGAAGCGCGTCGATCACACCGACAGCCATCTGGAGATCGGAAATACACTTCTCATCGCCATACTCCTGGATCGGGTCAAAGTACTGAGGGAAGTTGATCTGCGCGTGGGTCACGGCTGAATGGGTCAGCAATGACGAGAGATTTAACACCCACCGCTGCTGGCAATTGCGCCCCAAACGAGGTGAGGATACTCGATCCGCATGTGAGCGGCACGGGCACCGGCGTATGAACCGCCGTAGTAAATCCAGGCGGTGTTGTTGGGGTGGAATGTGTAATCGTCGGTGACGTTGAGGAGGGACGGGTGAGGTTTAAAGTTGCTGATAAACTGCAAGAGGTCAGTGACAATGTTAGTACATCGAGACTCACGTTGGCAGAATCCTGCAGAGCCTCGGCGTTGTTAAGGAAGCGGAGATCGTCCGTCGAGAACGAGGGCACGGGGACCGACTCGCCATAATACCTGAAGTTGAGCTCTCGAAACGATATGCTAGCTCACCTGTGCTCCAGGACAATAGACAGACCTCCGGTAGCCTCAGACAGAATCTGGAGAATACCCTTCTCCAAGAAGGGAATCCTGTCTTCACCACTAGTTTCACCGCCATCGAGAAGGAAGACAGGACCGCCTGGGCGGTAATGGGTAGCATCGGCCCAGTAGCGGTGACAGAACGTGCCCTTGACACCACGCTCAAAGTGGGAGATGGGCTGGTCAAAGCAGTAGGCCTCATACTTGGGTTTGGATGCAGAGAAGACCACTTGAGATTCACTGTCAGGTCAGTGATTGATATCAAGCTGCGACACCCACGATGTCATCATCTCGGCCTCGGCAGAGAGCGCCTTCCAGAGACCGACCTGGGGGCGGCCTTGGAGCAGCAGCTCGCTGTGCGTGGCAGCATCAAGCTTGACAGCCTGGGATCCCGCGGCCAGCAGGAGGAGGGCTGATAGGGCGGGCAGCATGGTTAGTGAGGATGAGTGAGAGGAGCAAGAGGAGCAAGATGCGGGGTTGGCCCATATGGGCTGCACCGTTCGGAGCCGGCGATCGCCGGTGACGACAGCGGCGACAAACGCGGACACCGATCTCCGCTTCACGAGGACCGAACTTTTCAACCGCGCAGCGAAAGCAAAGAGCACCATAGGAGGACAAGAGGCAACGAGTACATGGGGTGTACAGAAACAACTACAATGGGCTGGGGATATGTAACGCGCATCCTTCATTCCTGCACACTGTGATGTGATGCGGGCTTGGACCGAACCATGGAAGACTGCTGCACGAACCTCCGACCGGCAAAGCGGCGGGAGACGGATCTCGCTCTACGCCCTTCCGAGCACCTGTTTGCTGTGGAAATAGCAGCGCACAAGCGACTCTGTATATTGTCAGCACACGGCCAGTCAAAGGAGCAGAAAAGTGTCAAAACTCACCTATAAGGAGGGGCGGATGAAGAAGAAGAAAAAAAGGCGGCGACGCTGGCCATTTATCTACCTTGGGAACGGTGCGAGGGAGCGCGGAAGCAAATGTCGGTTGTTGTGCCCTTTGGGATGTGGTCACGTGATGTCGTCCGAGATTTCAGTTATGGATGGATCTTCTGGTCGCTCGGCTCCGTTGACAGTCAGTTAACTTGCCATTGCCGTCTTGTCCGAGTCACCGTTGTCGCCACTGGCAGGTCATCAAGCTGCTTAATCTCATATCTCGACTAAGAGGCGTCCACCGCCTTGATTCAGCAGCATCTCTGCGGATCACTCGTTCATTCGGCACCTCTGTCGCACGCAAGACCCAGCACCAGTCCACAGTCCCCGCACACAAGATCGTCGACGATCGCGCCATGAACAACCCAGCATGGAAAGTGCGCTGCCTCTCGGCGCCGGGCACTGATACCGACATGTCCCTCTTCGTCAACTTTGACACCATCCGACTGCTGTTTGGTGCTGGTGAGGGCGCGCAGCGCACATTCCTCCAGAAGGGCCAGAGCTTCAAGTACATGGAGGCTGTCTTTCTCCCAGACGGTGCCACCGGACGTGGTGGCCTGCCAGGTAGGTTCCCTGTGCGTTGGTATTCAAGTTGACACTTGTAGGTATCGTGATGAGCACTGCCGACTCCGGCATGAAGAGCCTCAAGATTATTGGCCCTCCCGACACTGCTCATTTCATGTCAACATTCCGCTCATGCGTGATGCGCACCGACTCCCGGATCGCGGTGACGTCCCACCCCCGTGACGCTCGTGACGAAGCCCGCCTCTTGTTGGATGCCAAACAGCTCAAGGTCCACGGCGTTATGCTGCGACCTGATGAGGCAGCGTCGCCACCAGTTGCATCGTCCATGGGCCCCGCCGGAATGGATCCTGCAACGCTCGAGCAATGGAACAACGCCATCCTCGAGGACATGTTCCCCGCCCAGACTCGTCCTACCATGTCCCTTCCCGGTCTTCAGCGTCCTGGTTATCCAGACGATCGCTACCCTCTCCCTCTCCCGTCCGACGCCGATGTCAAGACTGACATGGTGTACATTTGCCAGGCCGCCACCATCCGCGGCAAGTTTGACAACGAAAAGGCAAAGGCACTTAACGTCCCCGGTGGTTCTATTCGTTCCAAACTTACCAGTGGCCAGGCCATTGAGTTTGACGACCCAACTGCTGAAGGTGGAAAGCGTACAGTCCGACCCGAAGATATTCTGGTTGGTGGCGGCCCAGGTGGCATCTGTGTTATCGTGCACTGCCGAGAGCACAACTTTGAGCGCCTTGTTTCGTCCTCCGCATTTGCGCCGTACCAGACTGGTGTGCAGCAGGAGCACACTGTCCAAAGGATGGTGCACCGTGTGGATCGCTCTGTTTGGCAGGACGAGCGGTACGCCAAGTGGATGGAGTCGTTTGGCGAAACAACCGACCACATCTACGCCGACCCCACTGGCAACAACGAGACTCTCTTCAGCTCGTCTGCATGGATGCAGCTCAAGCTCAATTCGCTCAACCCCGACTTTTTTCCGCCGACACACCACGTAGTGGACCCACTTCCCGAGGCCCTTAAGAGGCCAAACGTCACTGTCCTGAGCCACGACCTCCAGATGCCCATGCACCAATATGGCGAGGCAGCAATGCGCCCCAGGTCTGGTTCGGACCCAGAATTCCCTTCCACGTCCGAGGAGCTTGCAGCCGCCATTGAAGACCTCCCCAACCGCTATCCCGAGTTTGGTGCAGTGGCCCAGAAGGCGAGGGACGCGGTTGAGCGGGAGGCCGAGAGACGTAAGAATGTCCCACTCATGCCCGGCGACGACATTGTTGTCACTACGCTCGGCACAGGTAGTGCCCTCCCTTCAAAATACCGCAATGTGTCGTCGACACACTTTGACGTCCCCAACTGGGGTGGAGTGCTGCTCGACTGTGGCGAGGGTTCACTCGGCCAGCTCCGTCGTCGCTTCGGTCCGGATGGACTGAAGCAACTGTACAAGGATCTGCGTATCATCTTTATCAGCCACATGCACGCCGACCACCACCTCGGCTTGGCGAACATTCTCCGGGACCGATTCCAGGTAAGTCGCGCTCTGAACCATGAGATTCGCAGACTGACATGGCACAGAATGGCATTCACAGCACCCTTTACCTCATTTCCCCTCACCCCATCCCTCTTATGCTCATGGAGAATGGCGCATGGCAAGAGGATGTCCCAACGGAGGCTCTCGAGAACCTCAAGTGGGTCAATGCTGCTCGTTTGAAGAAGCCGTGGGCCGCGGAGGACTTGCAAGCCACTGAAAAGGCGCCCAAGGAACCGACTGAGGATTTGGGCAACCGCCAGTGGGCCGTTGGTGATAGCGGCAGGATCTTGTCCAGTGGTATTTCGTCATTGTCCAAGCTTCTGGCAGACGCCACCCCCGCCGCACCTCAGCGTCTTATGGCCCTCGACGACTTTGACCCGAGGGTCTCGGAGAACCAGCCTGAAGCAAGCGCGTCGGCCACGACGACGACGGCGTCCTCTTCTGACAATGCCACTACCGTCACTCCTCCTGATGTAGCGGAGATGGCAACAGAGCCTGCCACGGACATGACTGAGCTCGAGGTCGCCGCTGGAAAGCGCAAGTGGCCGTTCCGCAATATTTTCCGCTTCGCACCGACGGTCATGTCCCGCAGCACCGCTACCATCACCGAGATGATGACCGACCTCGGACTTGCCGAGATCGTCACCCCAATCGTCCCCCACCGCGGCGTGTGTCACGGTCTTGTCATTGAGCACAAGGACGGATGGAAGGTGGTCTACTCTGGAGACACCCAGCCGAGTAGCGCACTCGTTGGCTACGGCAAGGGAGCCACCATTCTCATTCACGAGGCGACCATGGAGGACGACAAGGCCGACATGGCCAAGGCCAAGGCCCACAGCACGTTTGGCCAAGCCATCGCCGTCGCCCAGCGCATGAACGCAAAGTATCTCGTCCTCAACCACTTCTCCCAGCGCTACCCCAAGTTGCCGCCCAGCCTGTCTGCCTTCCGCCACCGCTCGCCCTCGCCCAACAGCGTGGGCCAGCAGTCAGGATCCGGTGCTCAGCCGGTTGTCGCCATCACCTTCGACCTCCAGTCCATGCGTGCGGCCGACATGTGGAAGATGGCCTATTACTTTGACGCCATTGAGATCGTCTTTGATGATGTCAACAGGGAGGACCCGGACAAGGTGGACCCGGAGTCTTCTTCCCGTGCTGAAGGCAAGCGGGGTGCCAAGGGTGACAAGAAGGCCAAGGCTCCCCGCGCCTCCAAGCCCAACGGCGGCAACGGCGACGCCAAGTACGCTGCGCCTGCGCCAAAGAAGTGGGGTATGAAGGCCAAGTCGTCCGGCGACGTTGCCGAGCCGTTGATGTCCGAGCAGCGGTACCTCCCTACTGCCCCCGCCCCCACCTCCGCCGTCAGTGCCGAGGAGGCCGCCGCCAACAACAACACCGATGGTGTGGCTGGTACGAAGCGCGAGTCGAGCACCCCCGAGGCTGAGCCCGCCGCGAAGCGCGGCCGCGGCCGCCCCAGGAAGAACAGTGTGGTCCAGGAGACGACGGTGGATGCCGAGCCTGTTGTGAAGCGCGGCCGTGGTCGTCCCAGGAAGAACAGTGTGGTGGTGGAGGAGGATGCGACCATGGAGGCTTGAGCGAGAGTGAGAGCTCCTGTTCGGTGGAGGAGTAGGCGTTGAACTGGAGGACGCATACAGTAGACCTGTCACTGTTAGACATACACCCCTCTTTGCATTTGCATATGTATATTTTTTTCACTGTTCTGTTGTTGCATCTGACCATAGAAGCGGCAGTTCACTCCAAACACGGTTTGCTTTTTTATCAGCCGCAAGTTGGACGCGGCAATAACAACAAAGGCCTCAGGCACGCCCAGACGCGATCGAAAGTGATCGACGCCGACGGTGCGGTACATTTTGCCATTGGCACAAATTGCTTCCGTCGAGCCGTTGGACCCGCATGACCGCAACAGCCGACCCACGCGAGCAAACGGCTGGTCCTTCCGAGTGCGGGGTGTTGCTCGTGGCGGATTGAGTGGAGATGGCCTGATGGGGGGTGCAACGAGTTACGCATCCACAAACTCGCACAACTTTTGCTCCATTCCTCTTACAAATACCCAACGTCTGCGTCACGTACGTCGCCGTCTCGATCGCAAGCACACCGCCATCGCCCTTGAACCGCGACCCCTCTGCGCGTAAACTGCTCGCCTCAAGCCCTCCCCTCGCCTTTTCCACCTCCGTCTCCCACGCGCCCACCGCGTCTTATCACCCACCATGAGCGACATGTCCGGCATGGATATGTCGGGCTCGTCGACGAGCGCCATGACCATGAAGATGTATGTCCACGGCACGATCGGCGGCGACGGTAAGTACACCACTCCCTCCGTTATGGGCCACTGTGGCAGCTCGCTGACGACTCTGGCAGTGTTGTGGTTCCGAACATGGCAGCCCGAGTCGGCCGGCGCGACCGTAGGCGTGTGCATCGGCCTTTTCCTCCTCGCCATCCTGGACCGGTACGTGCACGCGCTCTGGCGCGCGTGCTCGGCCTCGTGGGCACGCGGCAAGGTCGGGTTCGCGCTGCCCGTCGCGACCGGTGACCTGGAATACGAATACGAGCGCGAGGACCGCGCCCAAGCCGTGGCTCGCGACAAAAGCACAGCAACCACCACCGCAACCGCTCGCGCAGTGTCCGTGGCCCTCGGGGTCGTGGATGAGTCTGCTGGATGCGGGACCGCTTGCCGCAGGACAGGTGCTGCGGGCGGCGGCGACAAGGAAAAGGACCTGGCGGGGCCCCTGGGTTGCGACTGCGGGTGTGGTGGCGAGTGTGGCTCCAGTTCAGCCCCGGCCCCAGCACCGCAGTACCAGTCTGAAGCTCCTTCTCTGCGTGCATTCGACGAGAAGCGTTCTCCATCTCCGGGCACCCCCGAGAGCGGCCGTATCGAGGACGATGTGGCCCACCTCCCGACGGCAGTGCGCCGCACACTGGATCCCAAACGCCGCCGCCGCTGGTCCCGGCCCTTCCAGTGGAGTGTCGATATCCCCCGTGGCTGTCTCTGGGCGTTCCAGACGCTGCTGCACTATCTTCTCATGTGAGTGTAGCTACGTGGTTCGCCAATCCTGAAGCTAACCATCCAGGCTCACAGTCATGACGTTCCAGCTCTACTGGATCATTTCCGTCATTGTCGGAGCGGGTGTCGGCGAGGCCCTCTTTGGCCGCTTCGGTGGCCGTTGAGAGTGCTGCATATTGTGTCACGTCCAGGTCGTCACATTCATGGGCATGGGCCAACCCCCCACCCCAACCTGTAGAATAGCACATTGGCATGCATAAAATACAACAGTGTCGTCTCTTCTTCTTCTACTCGTCATCGTCGTCTGGGTCAATAACCCGCTGGGTGCGTAGGCGCGGACGGGCGCGCGCTGGCGAGTCGACGTCGCTGTCGGGGTCGGCCACACGGGGGCTGCGGGTACGGCTGCGGCGTGTTGGTGGCAGCGCCTCGTCGTCCTCGTCGTCCGCCTCCATGGGTTCGTCCTGGCCCTCAATAGGCTCCTCCTCTTCCTCATCCATGTCCTCCTCCACCGGCTCAACAGGCTCGTCGTCCTCATCCTGGACAGCAGGAACCTGCTTCGCCTTGCGCTTTCGCTTCTTGGTTCCCGTAGCAAGCATCGTGGCAGTACCACGCTGCTGGGCCAGTTCTTCCATTTCAGCACGCAGCAGAGCTTCACGCGCAAAGAACGCGGCATCAGCCTCTTCGTCGTCGTCCGAGTCCTCGATGAACATGGCCGACTTGAAGGTCTGGATCTCGGCTTGCTTGCGCTTGCGCGGAGGGCGAACAATCTCGATCTCTTCGCCGTCCGAGTCGTACTCGGGAATGGCCCTTGCACGCTTCTGAGGAGCTCGAACCTTGCGCAACACGGCCTTTTCGTCGTCGACATCGGCTGGATCGCTGAGGAACTGCCTCACTGCACCGACGGCCATCTCGATGGCGCTGGGAAGGACAAGTGCGGGAAGGAACCATGTCTGCTCGTCGACGCTCTCGACGTCGGTGGCGTCAAAGTGCAGCAGGCGCAGCATGAGGCGGAGATGAGGGTCGCGCTTGGTAGCTTCAAGGAGGGAGTCGTTGCTGGGCTCAAAGTCTGGCCGCGTTAGCTATGCCAGCTAGTCAACCCACCTTGCTGCTGGAACTTGTCCACTGCTTCCTTGCTAGGCACATTGAGGTTGCGAATCTCGTCATCCTCGTCTTCGCTGTCGTCTGGATTGGCATTTCGAGCCGCTGCCAGGACGCTCATCATGATCTCTTGCCTTCCTGCCAGAGCAATGTCTAGCAACTGCATGTCAGTCAAGTCCTTTGGATATCGTGACTTACGTCCAGGATCTCGTTAATCCAGCCCAGTCCTCCGTCCTTCTTAGTCACCATGGCAATAGCGATACCCATCTGCTGACTCCATGGGATGTTCTTGTTCTTGATGAACTCGATGTCTGTAGCAGCCATCTGGCTGGTTAGCTCCAGACATGGCCTGGTAACCCACCTTCTCGCGGATACGATCGCGCTGACCGGCCATGCCGTCGTCGTGCTCATCGTGATCATAACTCTTCATCGACGAGCGAGACTTGGGCGTAAGAGCCTCAACCATGAGGAAGGGGTCATCTGCCATGCGCTTGAAGAACTTGCGCAGGATGAAGTTGATCGTTTGGACGAGATCCCGCGCACTGTCGCCTTTCGGAAGGCCCGGCTGGTCGTCCAAGATGCTGCGGAACAGATACAGGGTGGGGACCTGCTGGGTTAGCGGCCACATAGTATTCGGCAACCCACAGTGAAGTAAAGGCTCTCCGCGCCGGCCTTGACCACCTGGCGGTGCATGAGACCAACTACGCGGCGGAGCTGCTCGTTGGTGTTGAAGGTGCGGTACCGCATGAGGTAGGCAAGTAGCGTGTTGGTGACGGATTCTTGGGCGAAGCGCTGCCGGGTTAGTCAAGACACATCAATGTACCCACCTTTTCGAACGCAGCAAAGGTGAAGGCATGTTCCGCGTAGCTTGGCGCCTCTTTGTCGGGAACATTGTCCTCTTCCTCAGAGTAGGCATACTCCTCAGGAATTGGCGCCTCACCATCGGTGGCAGCCTTGGCCTTCTCTGCACCAAGTCGCTTTTTGCGGGAAGCTTTACGCTTGCGCATAAACATAAACGTCTTGTTCTTGGAGTACTTATCCAACATGCGGAGGAGGACGTAGGCAAAGTGAACGATGGACTCGAGGTATCCCAGACTCTGTGTCGTGTAGCCCGCCACGACTTGGAGGGACGCGTCGAGAATGTCACCGTTGTAGTACAGCTGGTTCTGGAGGATCTCGGACACCTCGGTATCCTCTTCAATACTTGACTGCGACATGCCATCGATCAGGAGAAACTGAGGGTCAGCCACGGTCGAATATCTCACTCACGATGTGGGAGAAGCAGTCAATACTGGCTTGAAGCTCAGTCCAGGCCTTGTCGTCCATGGATGTTTTCATTCTCGAAGCAACCCAACGGACAGCGTCCAACTCGGTCATCGCCGCCACCAAACCTAGAGGCAGGTCACTGTCGACCTTGGCCATGACCGTCTGCTCGCCATTGTCCTGTTTATGCTTGGCGTCCTTCTCCGCGACTGTCAGAGCCTTCGTCCTCAGCACGAGAATGTACTGGACGGCAAAGCGAGCAACAAAGAGGGTGCGCAGGCTGTCGGCGGGCCGGACTTTGCTGCGCTCCATGCGAATGTCCTTGAGAACCGATTCGATAAAGGCTGCGACTTAGCCAGAGAGGTTTATAGTAACTCACTGTTGAAAGTATCCAAGAATTGACGAGCAAAGTCCTGGAGCACAGTAATAACCTCGGGGGTGAGAATGGTGTCGACCATCAATTCGTCGACCTTTTTGATCTTGGTAGCCGTTCGGCGCTTTGACTCGTCGAGAAGCTTACCCGCGCTGGCGGTGATCGCACTCTGGGAATGGAGAATGACCTTTTGGCTTCCTGTTCGTACAGTGATAGTCGTACCAAAACGCGAGTGACGAGTGTTGTGTTTGCCCTTGCGAGCCTTTGCCAGGTTCTCCTCTTCGAGGAGCTTGACAAGGTTCTCCATCGGCGCCTGGAGGTTAGCTACCGGGATGTGCTGGCAGCTCACCCTCTTCTGATCCTGTGCCAGATTTTCAGGCTTGATGGAGCGGAAAAGGAGATACACCATGTCGAGGACCAGCATGTTGTACTGGTTGAACTCGGTCTTGTTGGCGTTAGATGCGAGCGTGACGATGAGCTCAAGGTAGGTGAACTCGTCAAGCTGGGCGATGAGGGTGGACTGGGGAGGTGAGCACTTCCCATACACTTTCACCAATACGAACCTGAAGAGTCGAGAGTTCCTCCTTATCTCCAATGGCACGGTCCTCTGCAACAATGTCCTTGATAGAGAGCAGGTTGCGGACAATGTGCAGACCTAGCGAGATGATGCGTTCCTCCTTTTCGTCGCGACGCTGTTTAGCGAAGCAGGGCAAGATAAGGATGAGGAGCTGGCGAAGTGTCTGAGATCGAAGAATCATTGCCTGAGGTGGGTTAGCACTTCGATACAGCCCGCTTACCCACCTTGTATTGCACCTGTGCGCGGAGAAGACTGGCATAGTCGGTCACGACGTCTACTTCCTCCTCGTTCATCTCCTGCAGCTCCTTGGCAACGTCGATGGGCCATGTCAAGGCGGCGATGAGATCGACTGTATGGGTGAGCTTCTACGCCGGCAAACGTAACGTACATGCCATGAGGGACACCTTCCTTCCCCAGTCACCACGCGAAGTGCACTCCTTGACGAGTGCCAGCAGTTCCTTCATGAGACCCGCCTTGGCCATGCACCTCGCCACTGTGCGCTCGTCGTCGGTATCGTCTTTACGCCATAGCTTCTTCAGGTCCTTGAGGACGGGCAGAACCGAGTCACCGGGACGGTATATGGTTTCAAAGTGGCGAGTGTCATGGTTGAGGACCTGCTCGTAGCCACCCAGCGCGTTGACGAGGGACTGGACGGCAGGCATAAAGACCTCGAAGCGGTCCTCCTCGTCACCGAGCATCATGTCGGGTGGGCCATGGTCACGGGCGTCGTCGTCGTCGTCCTCAAAACCGATGCCATGGTCGGAGGAGGCGTATGGTGCGCTCATGGCTGGCTGGTTTGTGTGGTTGTTGCTAGAGCTGGAGGGTTTGTTTTCCTTTTGATCTCTCTCGTCATGAACCGGCCGCCCCGCGCGCCATGAACGCGACGCGACCGACTTCAACGCGCCGCGCGCGGGAGCAAATTAGTCACTGGGTGTGTCAGGGAGAGGTCAGATGCCGGGAGTAAAATGAACATCACGTGACGCAAACGGTTTGTTACTTTCCCACGCCCGTGTCCCCGTCAGGTTTGCAAGGCAATTTTGTCCCGCCGCGATGGAGAGAGAGGGGGGCGCTGGAAATTCAGCGTCCTCGACGTCTAGGTGGGTCACCCCGTTTGCTGCTGCTATCTCGACATCGGCGACTCTTAACGACAAGAGGACCGGCAGACACTACATCCCTCTCCCCCCCCCTTTGTCACCACCACCCCCGTTCTAAAAGAGCCCAACATGCTCGTCCTCACCGAGACCCCCATCGGCTTTGTCGTTTTCAAGCTCGGCAACGACTACAAGCTCGAGTCCAAGGACCTCTGGAAGGAGTTTGAGACCCCCGAGAAGGCCAACAAGGCGTAGGTATCGCTACAGTCGAGGATGGCGAGGATGGACAAGTTTCTGACCCACCAGCCTCAAGGTCCACTCCATCCAGCGCTTCACTTCGACCGCCACCGCCGTCGAGGACCTCGCTGCCATCCAGGATGGTCGCTTGACCGACTCGCTCGAGAAGTGGCTCACTGAGGCCACCAGCGGCGAGGGCGAGAGCGACAAGAAGAAGAAGAAGAAGCTCGAGGAGAAGCTCATTGTCTCTGAGCCCAAGCTTGGTGCGTAAAACAGGCAGTTGGATGCTCTCGTGTCTTGGGGAACAGAATTCTGACTTTTGGTGTAGGTGCTACCATTGCCAAGTCGCTCAAGATCCCCGTCATCTCGGACTCTTCGACCCAGGATCTCTACCGTGGTATCCGCCAGCAGCTCGCTTCGCTCCTCGGCGGCATTGACTCGAAGGACCTGAACACCATGTCGCTTGGTCTTGGTCACTCGCTTTCGCGTTTCAAGCTCAAGTTCTCGACCGACAAGGTCGACACCATGGTCATCCAGGCCATTGCCCTCCTTGACGACCTCGACAAGGAGATCAACATCTACTCCATGCGTGTCAAGGAGTGGTACGGCTGGCACTTCCCCGAGATGGGCAAGATCATCACCGACAACCTTGCCTACGCTCGCGTCATCAAGGCCATGGGCTTCCGTACCAACGCTGCCACCACCTCGTTCGAGCTCGTTCTCCCCGAGGACCTCGAGGCTACCCTCAAGCAGGCTGCCGAGCTCTCCATGGGTACCGAGATTTCGGACACCGACATGGCCCACATCCACTCGCTCTGTGACCAGGTCATCTCGATCACCGAGTACCGCACCCAGCTCTCGGAGTACCTCCGCAACCGTATGCAGGCTATCGCCCCCAACCTCACCGCCCTTGTCGGCGAGCTTGTTGGTGCCCGCCTCATCTCGCACGCCGGTTCGCTCATGAACCTCGCCAAGTTCCCCGCCTCGACCGTCCAGATCCTTGGTGCCGAGAAGGCTCTCTTCCGTGCCCTCAAGACCAAGCACGACACTCCCAAGTACGGTCTCATCTACCACGCCTCCCTCATCGGCCAGGCTCCCCAGAAGCTCAAGGGTAAGATGGCCCGCATGGTCGCTACCAAGGCCTCGCTCTCCATCCGTGTCGACGCCCTCTCCGACGCCGACACCAAGTCGGACGTTGCCGGTGCCGAGATCGGTATCTCCAACCGTGTCAAGCTCGAGTCGCGCCTGCGTGCCCTCGAGCACCGTGCCGGTATCGTCTCGACCCGCACCGTCACCACTGGCCAGACCTCGCGCCAGCAGCCCAAGTTCGAGCTCTCGGGCTCGTCGGGTGCCTACAACACCGCCTCGGACGCCGTCAACGGCGAGGCCATGCTCCCCACTCAGCCCACCGAGGAGAAGAAGGAGAAGAAGAAGTCGCGCAAGAGCGAGCTTGCCGCCGACACCACCATGGACGTCGACGGCGACGAGTCGATGGTTGCCGGCGAGACCAAGGAGGAGCGCAGGGCACGGAAAGAGGCCAAGAAGGCTGCCAAGGCCGCCAAGAAGGCCGACGGCGGCGAGGAGGGCGAGTCGAAGAAGTCGAAGAAGCGTCGCGCGTCCGAGGCCAACGGCGATGCCGACGACGGCGAGAAGAAGAAGAAGAAGAAGAAGAGGGAGTCGGAGGCTTAAATGTGCCACCACTCGTAACCCTTCTTCTACCTTCTCCTCTCTCCATCTCCCAACCCTTGCCTTTAGCATTGTCACTTCAGATATCCGCCTGCGATCGAGCAGCCGCTGTATGCACAAAATACCTACCGAATCGTTCGTTCGCTGCTGCACTGTAGACGTGGTGTGGAACCGGCTCTTGAGACATGCGAACACAGTCTAACCACTATACATTTCTCTAGCACAACTTTTGTCTAAACCAGTCCAAGTGCAGCAAGTGCCCACGCACAGCGCGCAGGTAGTACGCATACGCGACCGCACCACCAACGACAGCGGCATAACTGACGAGCGCCGTCCACTTGAAGTGTGCCGGGGTGGCAGCCGCCAAAGTAACCACATACTTTGCCAAATTGAACAGGTTCTGGAGGGCAATCTGGAGCGCCGCGAGCCTGTTCCTCCTCGGATGGTGTTCAGTGGCCAGCTGGAGGACTTTGAGCTGGCACAGGTCGAAGCTCCACAGTCCAATACGGCTGAGGGCGATGCCGCCAAAGAGCAGCGTGCTGTTCCACGCGGGGCCATGCTCGCCATACTGGCCTGTTCCGTAGAAGAAGGATACCAACGAAGGGAGGAGACAGGCGGCTTCGAACCAGATGGACCAGGCTCCAGCACGTTCAAGACCCATATGTGATTCGAGGAGGGGCATGACTGCTGTGCCGAGGAGGCCCGTGAGGACGCACACACCCTGGGGGTCAGCTTTACCTCGCAAGAAAGGAACAGCTCACTCTCATGACCGCGACAAACCCATCGTCCCACCCGCGAGCGGCCTTGACATAGGCGATGAAGGTGCCGTCGTACGAGAGCGTGGTGAGGTAGATGGTGGCAATGGCGACTGACGAGCCAAAGATCGGCAGACGAACAAACTCTGCCCAGTCGTCACGTTCATGGCTGAGCCAATCGCCCCACGTCTCGTTGCGGCGCTGCTGATCTTGGGTATCTGCTTGCGCCGTGGTCTGCACGGCCAGCGACCGGAAGTGCGAGTATACGACTCCGACCCAGAGATACTCTGACGCTAATGTCAAGAGGGACAGCGAGAGGAGAATGGCGGTGGCAGTAGTGTAACCCCAAACGGTGGTAAAGAAGGATACGACGAGCTGAGGGTTAGAAAACTCGGCAAGCACCGCAACCCACGGGAGCACATAACTTGGCGGTCAAGTCGATACGCCGAATAGACGTGTTGAGGCGCGTGAGGAGGGCCGAGTCGCCGGCCGCGATCGTCGCCACCCTGTTATCAGTACTGCTCCATTCAACATGTTTAGAGCCATACACACCAGTCACGCTCAACGGCCACGGTGAGGCCTGTGTTCGCGAGGCCAAGACAGCTCGAGCACACAATCGTCAACAGGAGAATGGTCCACACGGCGACCACCGTGGTGGCATCCGCGCGACCATGGAAAGCGTCACTCGCGGCCTCGCGCAGGGGACCGAAAAGGACTATCGTCAGCTTCACTTCGGGAATCGCTAAGCTTACAGAGGAAGAGGCCATAATTGAGAGCTTGGAGTGTCTGGCGTTAGACCATGGCGCCATAACGCTATCTCACCTTCTGAGCACCAACGGCACCGCGCACAAACTCGAGCCTGGGCATTCGGTCCACCAGTCCGCCGATATAGCTCGACAAGATCAATCCCGCACACGTCGTGCAGAAACCGACCAGTGATGCGGGGACCAGAGTGTCGCGGTACACCTCGATGAGGAAGAGGAAGGCGGCAAAGTTGTAGGACCCGTCACCGAACGTACTGTCCGTCAGTATAGGTGAATGCAGGTCCCCGTTGGTCCCTCCCACCTACCTCGATACATGTTGCAAGAGGAGACAGGTGATGGCCCACTTGCCCACTTTGGTTGTCTGTGGGTCGTCGTCCTCACTGCCTTCCCTCGCTGCCAACGACCAGTCGGCCCGCGCGTCGTCCTGCAGAAGTGGGACGCGGTCGGCGTGCGTAATGGAGTCGCGGGAGGAGCTGGCGTGACTGGGTACCCGGCTGAGTTCTGGCGAGGGTGTACCCAGTCTGAACATGGTCGTGCAGTTGTCTCCGTGACAGTGGTACAGTTGATGATAGAAACAGCGCCAAATATTGTTGTGCGACATTGCGGAGATATTGGGGTGGAGGTCGGAGGAGGATCCGTGGAGCCGATGGAGGCGGAGTGGACGGCGGCGCCCCTGTCCATCCACGCAAGTGCGTCCTGACGACGCGACGACTGTTCGTCTGTGCGGCGTGGCCAAGAAGGGCATGATGGGTTGCAGTTGGGCAGATGGTCATGTTAGACAGCATGAGCCAGCATGGACTGGGCGTGGGCGCCCAAGTTATACACAGTGGGTTACATTCGTCTACGGGCGTCTCTTCGTTTTATTCTAAGGCCTATCTGGTTTGTTTCTACGTGACTTTACACCTTCTTGTCCCAGCCATACTGCTCGACAAATGCAGCGAGACATACCTCCATCGCAAACCTCTTGACTGCCTTCTTCTTGATACCACCGCGCTTCATATCCTCGTCACTCGGCTCGGCAGGGACATCGTCAAGGAGTGGCGCCCACTCGCGGATCCTCTCCATCGCCTCACGGGGAGTCACCCACTCGCGCTTGCGGTCTTTAGCCTCATCCCTGCGACCATCGTTAGCAACAGAACACCGATGTTGAACTAGTGTCGCCAGCGTGTGACCCTTGCTCGCACGTACCACTCGTCGAGGAGCTCGCTCTCCTCCAGAAGCAAAATGGCATGGGCGTGCCACACCTCCTGCCGCTTGTTCTTGGGCACATGCTGGAGAGTGTGCTTTACGAGGAGGGGCGAAATGGCTCCAGCCGCAAGGATCGCGGGTACACCAGCTGGGCGAGAGTAAGCCAACTGTGCGTACGGTAACCGGTAACGAGCAGCAACGGCAATTGTCATGGCCGGGGACAGCCGCCACCGGGCAGAAAGTTCGCCAATGGGTCGCAAGAGTTTGGTGTACCAGCGCCATCAACAGCCTGCGTCTGCCGATCTGCCGGATGGTACGACTGGAAAACGCCACCATTCGCATCAGATTAGGAGACGCGCATCACTGGCCGCGTACACAGTCCCCTTCCGTGTCTTGGGAGCGGACTGTTGCGGCCGGTGTGTGCGTTCTTCTCATGTCGCAGCATTCCTTTCGGGCATACACACGCACCTTCCTCATTGGCCTCGCGTGCGGCAGCCTGGCCGGACGTCTCGCCCTTCTCGACGCCGCCCTTGGGCACTGATGGCGCGAGAGTTGGCACGCCGCCGCCGTGTCGGTTGGAGGTGTCAGCAGGAGGGGTTTACACGGCGAAGAATGTCGCCAAGAGCCATATCGGGTTTCGGTTTCGGGAGGATGGGGAGGACAGAATGAGCACGTTGGCGCGCAGGCAGAAAGGGAGGGGGTGGAGGAATGTGTCAGAGCGAGAGAATGGGTGGCCAATGTCAGTGACCCAGTAACCGGGATGAGGTGCGAATTTCACGCACAGATCCAGAGGTTGGGATGCTTCCTGGAGGAAATTACCAAGATTCTGTGGGTGGCTTCACAAAAGACGACTGCGAGGGCGACGTCACGGGGGTGCATGATTGTTGAAAGGTGGTTGAAGGAGTGGTTGGTGTGGTGGTTGATGGGACGCGCGAATACTGTGCGCACCAGCAAGTCACTTTGCACAGACGTCATTGCTATTAGCGGGATCAAAGTGTAATTGACCACGGTGGCTGGAATTACCCTTTTGGCCTGCGCCAGTCCTAATGACGACGCGGCCAGCTGGGCCCCCGGTTACGACGACTGCCGCCTGCCCGGTTCGGCTCGCTCGTTCACACCACCTGTGCTCGGCTTGCTCTCCCCGTGGCCCCCGCTCTGACCCCGCCCCCGTTGTTGCCAAGGACGATCCCATCGACCACCACTCTCTCTTTGTCTCTCTTTGTCCATCTCCCGTCTCCCCCTCCCCCCGTCTCCGTCTCACCACTCCCCCCCCTCTTCCCAGGCCATCAAGTGGCCCCTTCGCCGCGACCTCATCGCGCTGCGTCGACCACCACCGGCACACAATGATCGACCAACTCCTGGGCCGACCGTCGCCAACGGTGCGGACGTCCGAGACGTATCTCGTATTGTTCTTCTGGATCTGGAGGCTCTACAAGGGAAGCGCAGTGCGAGTCCAATCAGGCCGCCGGCACAACGTGCAGCGCTACAACCTCGCCGCCGTCACCCGCAACCAGGCATGGTGGCGTCGCGTGTGGAGCTTTCTCGTCGCGCGAGACTCTGGCAAGTCTTGGATGACGAGCATCAATCACAGATTGAGTGAGTGGCAACCGACACAGCACGTGCAATGACAGCTGACGCGTGCCCTCTTTCTGCAGAACACTTTACGCCCTATCAGCTCGTCGTCGGCACATTCACCTTGATGTATGCGTTTCGTCACCTCGATGACCTGTTAGGCGTAGCTGGTGCGTTTTTGCCGCCCCCTCTTTTTTTTCGTCGCTGACCTGGGTTAGCTCCCGATCCTATGGCTGGAATGGTACGCACTCCTACTTAGACGCATATTCTGACCATCAGTATTCACGTTCCTTCTACCGCGCCACATGGATCAACACGGCTCTCGACGCTGGCTTTGCGAGTGCCATGGCTGTCCGACCCAAATGGGCAAAGGACATTATGTCACTCGTGTTCGCGGCCTACTATCTCATCTTTGCCGAGCAGGGAGACGAAGTCGTGCGTACACTATCCGTCAAACGTGCTCAGGAACAACATTGCTTATCCGACCCCAGTTACGCCGTTGGCGCGCCCTCTGCAGTGTCGAGATGCTGCGAACGACATGGGAGAAGACTAACAATCCCTATGTGAGCTGGCCCCTACTCATGGTGATCGTGCTATCGAGCTGACGCAATACCCAGATCCGATTTTTGACCCGACCGGGACGTGCGAGTCTTCAAGTTGTGAGGAACGTGTCCATCGCACGACCCTCCACCTCGTCACGCGCCAAGCTCCCGCCTGTGGCGGGACTGCTCCTGTTCAATGGCTCCGAAGCCGAACTCGCAAAGGCCACCGAGCTCATTGTCGATTTCCCGGGTGGCGGCTTTGTGGCCATGGGTCCCGAGTGCCACGAGGAGCGTCTTCGTATCTGGGCCAAACGCACCGGCAAGCCGGTCCTCTCCATCAATTACGGCAAGGCGCCGGAATATCCATACCCGTGGGCCATTGAAGAAGGCATCGACGCATATCGCACGATTACCGATTCCAAGGGCGACGTCCTCGGTATCAAGAGCGGCAAGCTGCGTGTGGTTCTCACCGGCGATTCGGCCGGTGGCAACATTTGCACCACCATCATGAACCGCATCCTGGAACACCACAAACACATTGACCGACCTGTAGCCATGATCCTCGCATACCCTGCACTCGACTTCAACTACACCTCGTGGATGACGCCAGCCAACCTCAAGGTGCTCAAGACTGAGCAGTCCGAGACGCACATTCCTGGTCTGGCGCTCGGCAAGGACCACTTGGCCCACAAGTCGCCACTCAGTGTCGTCGATGACGTTGGCAAGCGTCCACGTCGACCTCCCGCAAAATCGCGCAAGAGCTGGGCGGACTCGATTACTGGCAAGTTTGGTATCACCATGACCCCGACGAACGGCCGCAACCGTCCCTCCAGGGCCAGGAGCACTCCCGGAAGCCCGGTCATGCACACTCATGGACTCCCCCGCTCCATGTCCAAGCGCGGCTCAGGATGGTTCGCCTCGCATGGCGAGATGACTGATTCGTCGGCAGGTGGCATGAGCGACTCGGAAGACTCGGAGACGGACGACGAGCAACACCATGGCAACGACCGCCGCAGCGAGGCTGAAAAGTCTCTTGCTGAGCGTGTCAAGACTCCTGGTGTGCATGCCGACGAGCGGTTCACCGAGGGGATCCTTGCCCAGTCGCCCGTCGCCATTGTCAACGAGGAGGAGGCCGTGCCGGTCAAGGTACCCATGCCTGTGGCAAAAGCCCGCAAGGCACCTATCGGCTCGCGTCTCACCATGACCAGTCGTGTGGGCTATTTCCAGGACCGTATCATTACCCCGTCAATGATGCGCGCCATGGCCATTCTCTACATTGGTCCCCAGGCTTGCCCCGACTTTGAGACCGACTACTACATCTCCCCCATTCTTTCCCCCAGCAAGAACCTCGCCTATTTCCCTCCCGTCTACCTCATCTCCGGCGAGCGCGATCCGTTCGTCGATGACACTGTCCTGTTTGCCGGTCGCCTCCGTGAAGCCAAGCGTACACGTCGGTCCGAGGCGGAGAGCAAGTCTACCAAGTCTGGAGCACCTGCGCCTCCCAACCGGCCTTCCAAGTTTGGCGAGAACCTGCGTCTCACCACGGGTGCCCCGGCGGCTCCCGCTGCCGCCACTGACGGCAAGGCCACAATCCCGGACCACATCGTACGGGAAACCGACGATGACTGGGTGCAGATGCGCATCATTGAGGGCTGGGGCCACGGCTTCATGCAGATGACTACTCTGATGCGCGAGGTCGAGTCGGTTCTCATTGAGATGGCCGACTGGATCGACGAGTCGTTTGAACGCGACACGTTGCTCCAAAAGGAGGACGAGGACATCAAGGCCGTCCACGCCGCCGCCCGCGCTGCATTCACTCCCGAGGGCCCTGTTCAAATCACGGTGCAGGACCCGATGCCTTCGCCCTTGCGATCGCGCCACGTCAAGCCTGCGCGCGAATACAAGCAAAACCCGACCGGCAAGGCCCTGGGTGGTGCTGATCTCGGCGGCATGAGCGGTCTCGACGACGACAACGACGGCATGATTTCGTTCACCCCCAAGAGCAAGCGACGCACCCCTCCCTCGTCGCAGTTCATCCCTGTCCCTCGCCGCTCGTCACGCGACTCCCTCACGCGCAACAACTCTGTGCCCCGCTTCGACGACGACTCGGGATCCTCGGGCGAGACCATGTCCGTGTCCACGCCGACCGATGCCTTCTCCCTCCTCCCCGTGGCCCCGCCCCGGGGCGGCGGCACGTTTGCCTTTTTTGGCTCGCGCCCCGTCATCGCTGGCCCCAAGCCGACGGTCAAGTCGGCCGCCACAGCCTTGTACGGTCCGCAGGGGCGCAAAGTCCCCGACTCGAGTGGCATGTCTGGCAAGGCGCCCAACCCCCTCGTCGCGGCTGCCGTTGCGAGCGCGGCGCGCGCCGCCTCCCCCGCACTTGCTGCAGCGGGCCTCGTGCCCCAAAGCGTCCAGAATGTTTCCCAGGCCGAACTCATGCGCCGTAGGCGGCAGGAAATGGTCGCTGGTATGGGAGAGACTCACTCGGTACAGGGCAGTGACCGCGAGTAAAAGGCGAGGGAGGGGGTAGGAAGAAGACCTGCGGAGACGATGGATGTAGGGTGAACAGAGGAAGGAAAAGAGGACGGTGCCAAGAACCGTCATCTCATCAGTTGTCACGCAATGTTATGCATGTGTAATGTCCAAAGCCCTCCAGCCAATGCTGCCAAGCGACGGTACGCGACGGTGCCACAGCTTACGAGGCGGAGCATCATTAAGTGGCCGACATTCTCCAATATGGGCTCGAGCCAAACGTCCGCCCCGCCGGCCCTTTCACCGTCTGCTTGCGGGACGCAGCGGCAACCGACGGATGTTCGGCCCGGTTGCCGCTCACCCACCCTGTGCGCTATACACCGACAATGCCCCGCTACCCACCTGTGGACCCCAGCCTAGCCCAGCTGGAGCAATGCGCAATGCTTTGCTTCTCCTCACTGTCTTTGACCTCACGCTTTACTGAACTTGCTCAACCCCGCTTTCCAGATACACACAAACAAACATGTCTGCCCCAATCTTTGACGCCGAGCTCGAGGTCGCGTGCCAGTGTACCCTTGGCGAGGGTGAGTGAAGCGCAGGAGTGGAGGCGGGGAGCGGAGCGTGGGGAAAGGCGGCAATGGTCAGTGGGCTGGGGCTGACCTGGACAGGTATCATGTGGGACGACAAGACGGAGCTGCTCCACTGGGTTGACATTGACGAGGCCAAGGTGCACTCGTGAGTACGCTGTGTGTGCGCGCGTGGGCGTCCGCATGCTGCTGGCCGTGTCCTTTGGCTACTGGCTGCTGCCTACTGGCTGCGCGGGCGTGGCGCCGGGTGGTCTTCAAGAACTTTGAATCGCCAGCGCTATCCCCGCGCATCGGACATGACCACGCTTCACGCTCTGTTGGCAAAGCACATCTGACACTGACAAACAGCTACGACCCCGTGTCCAAGGCCCACAGCGTGGCAGTCTACCCCGAGACCGGGTTCGTGAGCGCCATTGCCCCGCGTGTCGATGGTCCAGGCGTGAGTATCGTCACCATTCCGGTTCGACCTCAGCTTCCCTTATCCCAATCAAACACACCAGCTGACAGTATCCACCCAGCTCGTGGCGGGCTTTGAGTTCTCGGTGGCCCTCATCAACCCTCCCGCGCCGACCGCGGCGGCGTCCAGCACCCCCATCACCGACAAGGCGACGGCCACCGTCGCCGCCCCGCTCACGCAGGAGTATGTCGCGTCCAGCATGGTCCGCTTCAACGACGGCGCGTGCGACCCTGCCGGCCGCTTTGTCATCGGATCCATGACCCGGCCCGAGAAGGGTGACGGCATCCTCCGTGGCGAGTTGTTCAGCATCGACCCCAAGACCGGTGCGAGCACGAAGCTCCTCGAGTCCGTGGGCTGCAGCAACGGTATCGACTGGAGCCTAGACGGCAAGACCATGTGTGAGTGTATGGCGCGGGCGCGCCGAGAAAACAGTCGCGGGACAGTGCTAGCTATTGCCGTGCGCACGTCTTCACGCCCCCCCCCCCCCCCCCCCCCCCCCCCCCCCCCCCGACTCCTCCTTCGAACCCTCTACTAACGGTATGGAACAGACTATGTCGACTCGAACGAGCCCCGCGTCAGCACGTTCGACTATGACGTCGCGACGGGCGCCATTTCCAACCGCCAGACGCTCGTGTCTCCTCCTGCAGACATTGACGGGCGCGCGACCGTGGGCGCGTTTGACGGCCTCGTCGTCGATGGCGCGGGCAACATCTGGGTGGCGCGCTGGGCCGACCAGCGGATCGTCGGATACACGCCGCGCGGCGAGGTGATTGCCCACATCCGTGTGCCCGGCGTCAAGTCGCCCACGATCCCGTGCTTTGGCGGCAAGGACCTGAGTACAATGTACATTGCGACTGCGAGCGCCAACCTCGCTGGCGCGGGCGACATCCAGGCCCAGTTCCCCCAGTCGGGCGATGTGTTCAAGATTGAGTGTGGACCGGGTAGCCCGCTGGGCAAGGTGCTGGGCGATCAGTGGAAGGGCCGCGTGCGTCACCGTTTCGCTGCTTAGTAGTAGGGGGTTGGTTAGATTTAGGAGATAGAGGCGGCCGGACCATGTAGGGAAGGGGTAGATAGAACACCAAATACAGCAACACGACACCACAACGGAAATGAAGACTATGCTAAGGAGAGAATGCGTCTCGCGGCTAGGGCCACACAGGCGCTGCTGGAGGGAAAGAGAAATGGGTGCTCTGCGGACTGACGCGTCGAGTCGAGGGGAGGCCAGTCTCACAGACACAGGTCCGCTCGCTCACACCCACTGCGACTTCTCCCACTGCGGGTCCTGCAGGAAGGCGCACAGCACCTTGCTCCCGGTCTGCAGCAGCGGGTGGCCGGCGACAATCTCGAGGAAGCGCTGCAGACCTTCGCGCCTCTGCTCAATGACGTCGTCCGTGAACCGGTTCGTGAACACCTGCGTGGGGTCAGATTGGGTCCTGCTGTCTTCCATCTAACGCACCTTGCCTGGGAGAGGAGGAATGTTGACACGGGTGCTCTCACGCTCGAGGACGTCGCGGAACGCCTCAAAGTCCGAGTATCGCCTGCGGACAATCGAGTGCTGGATCTTGAATGCGGGGATGTTGGTCTGCGCGGGTTAGCCAATGGTCCACGGGCGTTAGCAACCCACCATGCAGACAATCTCATAGTCGGTATACATCTTGCGTCCAACGCCTATCGGAGATCAGCGACAACGTCACAAGACCGACAGGCCCGAGCAAGGGCGATACGCACCGTGGGTGAGGGGATTCCGCACCTCAATCTCGAGGAACGACTCTGGGACAGCGTACATCTCCTCAAACTGGCGTCAGCTTCTCCTGTGAGTACCAGCTCACAGTCTGTGGACGCCCAGCGAGACGGGCCATGTCCGAAAAGGTGAGGCTCTCGGACCGGGCAAACGGCGAATGCGTCGCGTCCACTGTAAATGTCAGCGACTATGGTCCTTGAGCATCCAACGAGGCGCAGGCGCGCAGGCGGGGTGGGGATGCATAGCTGCACGCCAGCTGCATGGGAAAAGTTAGGAGGAAACATACCCGACGGTGTGGGCTGCACAACTGCGGAGGTGTCAGCGGCGGTGCTCTGTGCGGAGGTTCGGAGGTGCGGAGGTGCGGAGGTGGGCGGCGGGCGTGGCCGGTGTACCACGTATGGGAAGGGGGGGGCAGGAGTGTGAGTACGCACGGCCACCTTGTGAGTACGAGTCCATTTGGGGCTGCAAGAGAGAGGAGGGAGGAAGGGATGTGAGTGGCGAGTGGGTGTGACTGGTGGTGGTTGATGGTCGGATGGTCGAGGGCGATGGCGAGGAAGGTGGCCACACGATGGCTTCCAAGATGGCAAGCAGCCGGGGCGGTGGCTTGCACGCGCTGGCCCCAGGCCTTTGTTTCCGCCCTCTCTCCCCTTGGCCCAGGCTTGGCCTCGTTCCCATTAGGAATATTTATTAGTAACAAGTCCTAATACGTTATTTGGTTCCCGGAAAGCCCAAACGAACCCGCTGGCCCGTGGCGGATAAACAGTAGGCTAAATGACGAGAAACACATAGACATCGCCAAAGAAGAAGTAACGGTGGTCTATGCGTGTCGTGCTATGCGTTTCCCGAAATGAGCTTCATTCATTCACATCACATTCTGGCTTCTATGCTGCCCTTTCCCACACACGCTCGCCATCGAGCCACGTCTCCGTGACACCCGCCTGAGCCTCGCGAAGCGTGTCGACGCCGTCCCGGAAGGGGTCGACGGCAAGCACACAAAAGTCGGCCTGTTTGCCCGGCGCGAGCGAGCCATACATGCCTTCCTTGTCCATGGACACCGCAGTGCCCATGGTGTAGTACCGGACGCTCTCCTCGAGCGGGATGCAGAAGCGCTCGAGGTTGAAATGCGCAAACGCCTCGGGCTCGTTGAGCGTGGGTTCAATGATCGACTTGCGCGTGGCCGCCGAGTAGACGTTGGGCAGCGCGTGGTGCGGCGCGACGGGCGCGTCGGTGCCAAACGAGACGTTGGCACCTGCGTCGCGGAACTCGGAGAGCGGGAACGCCCGCGCGCTGCGCTCGGCGTCGACCTGGGCGTGCCAGTTGCGCGCGTACACCGGGTCGGCGTGCAGCGGCTGCAGGCTGGCGGTGATGCCCGTTGCGGCCATGCGGCGCACCGTGTCGTGGGTACACACCTCGAGGTGCTCGATACGGTTGCGGCGGTGGCGCGGGCCGTTGGCGGCGACAATGGCGTCAAAGGCATCCAGCGCCTGCTCGCTCGCTGCGTCGCCCAGGGCATGGCACGCAATCTGCAGACCGAGGCTGTCCGCGAGCGTCAGCACCTTGGTGAGCTCGTCCTTGCCCCAGATGGGCTCCGGCGTCGCACCGTTCGGATACGGCTCCTTCATGTATGCAGTACACGAGTCGACGACGCCGTCAGAGATGATCTTGATGCCGACGAGGTTGAGGAACGGCGCCTTGTCCGCGAGGCGCTCCTTGTGCCGCGCGGCCGTGTGCACCCTCTGCGCGCGGTCCTCGTCCGTACCCTTTGGCGTAATGAGCCAGTGCATGTTGAGGCGAAGTGGCAGGCGCCCGCCACGCTTGTCGTACACGTCCTCGAGCGCAGCCAGTGAGTCTTCGGACATGGCCATGTCGACTGCGCCAGTGACACCAGTGGACGTGAACGCGTCCAGCGCCGTCTCGACCATGTCGACCGCCTGGGCCAGTGTCGTGTGGTCGGCAATGTACGGCCAGACAAAGTCGTGGAACGCCGTCTCGAGGAGCACGCCCGTGGGCTCGCCGTGCGCATCACGCTCAATCTCGCCGCCCTTGGGGTCGGGTGTGTCGCGGGTGATACCGAGCACCTCGAGGCCCTTGGAGTTGGCCCAGCACGAGTGCAGGTCCATCGAGTCAATGAAGACGGGGACGTCGGTGGTGATGGCGTCGAGGAGCTTGCGGTGCGGGTGCTCACCGAGCGCATCCCACATGAACGAGGCGCCAAGGTAGTACTTGGCCCCCGGCTGCTCCTTGATGCGCTGCCTGAATGCCGCCTGCACCTCGGCGACGCTCAGCCGCAGGCAGTTGACGCGCCCCAGCGCGTTGCCCAGCTGAAGCAGGTGGATGTGGCCATCCAGCAGACCAGGGAGGATGACCTGTCCTCCCATGTCGCGGTCCTCGCGCTTCACGTCGCCCACCTGCAAGTCAGAACGCGTTATCAGTTTTGGGATGGATGCCAACTTACTTTCTTGATGGCGTCATAGGCACCGTCCTCGTCGCCGACGTAGACCACCTTGTCGCCACTCGTCACGAGCGTAGAATACAGCTTGTCATCGCCGGGCGTGCTTGTGAACACCCGGGCGTTGCGGAACACCTTGACTGGAGAGGACATAGTGAGGTGGGCAGAGAGGATGGGAGAGGGCGGTTTAATGAACCTGGGTCTAACGGCTCTGATCATATCCTACGGCAGATGGTGAATGCCCACCAACTTTCAGGCAATTCAGCGGACCAGCGGGTAAACAACTGATAGCGTCTGAACCACACTTGCTGCATGCATTGCTGTCAATGAGTACCAGAGTCCGCTACGGCCGCGGGTGGTTCCAAGGTATGCGGCGGGTACCGAGAAGGCCGAAGAAGGGCAGCGATCAGCAAGATATTCTGTGGGTCCGTCGCAGCTGTCCCGCTGGCCATTTGTCTCGTCCGGGATTCCAAACGTCATAATCCGATGGTGGAGGCCGATGTTTCTTCGTCCACTCTTCTAATCTTGCGCTAGTGACGGTCTCCCCCACGGGCCCTCTCGCTGCCCATAAGCACCTCGCCATGGCCTCGTCTTTGGTCTCAGGTAGGTGAGCTGTTATGTGTTCTCACCCTCATCGCGCCCCCCTCGAACGCGACGCTCGAGGCACACGTCGGGACAGTCATCACCCTCTCGCCGCGGCCGACGCCCTGCAACTCATAACTGCCCCGTTTCGTCCTTGTCTTCTTGTGACAGCACACCTTGCTGTGGGACACCTTGTGCGAGGGTGAACAAGAACCTCTGTACTCTGACAGGTGAGACGTGGTGTGCCGAGCTTAGGAATGCTGCGCGCCACTGACGGTGTCCCCGAGATCCAGCAGGCCCAGACAAACAAGGCCATAACGTGAACGCGCGTACCTGCAATACAGCTCTGTCCTCCCTTTCAACGACACGCGCCGGCGATGGCAATGCGTTCGTCGAGCTGTACAAGTGCATATGCCCGCCTCAAAGCTCCGCATCTGTCCAAGCGCGTCGCCAGGGCATCCGGACTCCCGATCCACCCTGCACCAGAACAGGTGGCGCCGAGGAGGTTCGGCGCGACCCATTGTGGGAGCGCGTCGCTGCGTTCCCGTAGAGCCCCAGCGTCGGGGCCCGGGACATGCATGATGCAGCCCCTGCGGTGCATCCCAGCACCCCAGTTGTGCGTTCACATGTCGCCTCTTGGCGCCGGTCCTTGCGCGCGCACTGGCACTACTGTGCGGCCCGGCCTGGTCGAAGAGACGACACGCCACGCTCCGTGCTGAAACATACGGACGAGGCGCCACACCACCTGGCCGGCGGCCCGCGTTGACCTGAACGTGTCTCTACTGACGACACGGAGCGAGACAGCAATGGCGCACTGCCAAAGTCGAGGCCACCCGACGAAAGCATACATATATACACGGCGGGCAACTGTCATCACTATCTCTTTCTCCAGTCCCCAGGCGGTCCTTTGTTCTCTTGTTACTCACACACTCGTTATTTCTCCCCACCTTCGTTTTACTGCTACCATGAAGCTCGCCGCCGCTCTCCTCCTTGCCGTCCCCGCCATCGCTGGTCGATGCGGAACCCAGGCTGCCCACTCCGCCCACGCTAGCTACGTGGCTCAGTCTGTCCAGTCTGCCCAGGCTGCCCAGTCTGCCACCTCGGCCGCTGTCGAGGTCCCTGCTGCCTCGTCGGCCGCTGTCGAGTCTGTCGTCTCGGCCGACTCGACTGTCGTCGCCGTCCCCGTGACCGTCGCCGCTTCGAGCGCCGCCGAGGTCACCGAGTCTGCCGCTGCCACCGACTCCGCTGTTGACCCCGTCGTCGAGTCGGCTTCGGCCACTGCCGAGGCCGCTGCCACCTCGTCTGTCGCCGCCTACAACAACTGGGCCTCTGCTCAGGCCTCGTCGTCGTCCTCGGCCGCCCAGGCTCAGGCCACCTCTGTCTCGACCACCCAGGCCGCCGAGGCCACCTCCGAGGCCACCACCCAGGCTCAGGCCCAGGTCAGCTCCGAGTCGACTGCCCAGGCGTCCACGACCGCCTCGTCGGCCGCCGCGGCCTCCACCTCGTCCATCTGGGACTACCTTAGCACCGTGTCGTACTCGGGCACCTCGACCTTTTACGGCGGCAACCTGAACGGCGGCGCGTGCTCGTTCACCACCCTCTCGACCCTCCCCTCGGGTATCTACGGCACTGCCTACTCTGGTGCCGTCTGGGACAACGCCGCCGAGTGTGGCGCCTGTATCGAGGTCACCGGCCCCACCGGTGCCACCATCAAGGCCATGGTCGTCGACGAGTGCCCCGAGTGCGAGCAGGGCCACCTTGACCTGTTCCCCGACGCGTTCACCGCTGTCGGCGGCACCGACGGCACCGTGACCACCTCGTACCGCTTCGTCGAGTGTGGCCTCACCTCGCCCATCACCCTGCACAACAAGGAGGGAACGTCGCAGTACTGGTTCGCCATGCAGGTCGTCAACGCCAACGAGCCCGTCTCGACCCTCGAGGTGTCCGTCGACGGCGGCAGCACCTGGACCGCCGCCACCCGCACCACTTACAACTACTTTGAGTACTCGGCCGGCTTTGGCTCTGCCTCGATGGACATTCGCGTCACCTCCATCACTGGCGCTACCATCACCTACGAGGGTGCCACCCCGGACGCCGAGGCCCAGTTCACTGCCTCGTCCAACTTCTAAGAAGGTTGCCGAAAACACAGTGCCACACCCACACCGTCCCCCCTACTAGTTGCTACGTTTGTTTAGTAGCTAGTCCCTCTCAGTCTGTTGTCCCTGCGGGACCGTATGCATTTGCCCGGCCGTGCCGGCAGTGCATGATTGAGCCAACAAGAGCAGCAAGGAAGAGCAGAGCTGTCAGCTGTATGACTGACTGATGTGTTTTTTTGGCACATCTGTCGCTTCTGTCGTGTTTCGAGGCCCAAACCATCCCTTGTCGCATCCATCGAGGCACGGGGCTGGCGCGACGATGGCACGCAGGGGTTTGCTGCTGTGGGTGTGTGTTCCAGGCTCTGTTCCAGGCGCGCCGGCGCGTGGCAGGGTGTTTCGCCCTGATTCAAAGGCATTAGATCATTAGAACTGCAGTGGCGTCGAAAGTCTAAATGAGCCTAATGGTTGAAACTGTAATGGAGGAGGGCTGCCTGTACAGTGGGTTTCAGGGGTTTGCTCGTGTCTCCATACGCGCGCGGGGAGCGGGGAGCACCGGGAAGTGGTGGACAGTGCGTACAGTGCGCGCACGCACCCAGTGAGCAAAGTACTGCCAGTAACAGCGGTCGTTCTCGTCGTCGTCGAGCAAACGACGCTCCGTTCTATTCACACACATCTACCACAAGCTATCACCCAATAATACACACACGCACACGCACAGCACACAACACATACCTCCGCGTGCGCTCCGACGTCGTCGCCCCCACCCCCCACCCACCCCCGTAACCCTATTCTCCTCGCAGATCTCGCACGCCGTCGTCGTCCTTGCTCTTCTCTTTCTTCTTCTCCCAGGACACACAATGGTACATACCCCATCACCATCCAAGCGCTCGCAGAACAGTGTCTCACCCTCCTTCCAGTCGGGAAAGAACGAAAATGCAGTCCCAACAAACCTCATCACATACAAGGGTCCGTTCCTCCCATGAGACGTTTGCCTGCTGGTCGCCGCCGCTGACATTCGTTTCGCAGGACGCCGCATCCCAGCGCGCATAGACCCAGATGCAGTGAGCATCGCTGTACCGGCGACGAGGGGCGCATGTGGCCGTGGCCGCAGCACAGATGGAGTGCGGGACAGATCAACTTGTCCCGCACCTCCCGGCAGAGCCCCGCCGCCGCCGTGGCCATTACCACCGTCGCGTTTTGCTGACCCTCTACAGAGCATTCTCCGCGTCGTGGAGATCATGGCCAAGAGCTTTGGCGCGCCAGAACACCACATTACGCTGGCTCTGCGCGACGAGAATGACAACCTCGTAACACAGACGAACATTGGTGCCAAAGTGTCGTCCAAGGAGACGCTCAAGTGAGTGTTGGCGTTGACATCCGCACAACAAGTGTCTGACAGCCTCAGGCTCGTGGCCGCTCCCGTGACCGAGGCTCTTGCTGTTGTTGCCTCGCTGCATGCCGCCAACGACAAGCCCGGAGAGGCCGGCGACCCCATCGTGCTGCCCAACAACGCCGAGGTGCTGCCGCCGAAACTCGCCCTGTTCAACCTGCAAAAGTACATCAAAGAGGACGACTTTGCCGTCGAGTTTATGCTCAAGGGCGGCGTCAAGCTCCTCGTCGACATGCTGGAGAAGGAAGGTACCGGTGCGCTAACGGGCAACTCGCTGGCGTACGCTCTGCAGGGTATCCGCGGTGTCATGGACTATGACAATGGCTGGGGCGACCTGTCCGACGCGTTCATCGACCGCGTCATCGTCGTGCTCGCGAGCTCGAGCGCACCCAACGTCGTTCGCCCAGCCACTGTCATTGTCCGCAAGCTCATGGTGGCGTCACCCAAGGCCCACTCGTCCGGAAAGGGCAAGAGCAAGGCCCGTGAGGGCGATTCCGTCAACCAGTACGGCTTTGACCGCGTCTTTACGCGTATCGTCGACGTCGGACACATGGTCCCCGATGATCACGGCGGCTCGCCCGCAGAAGCCGTCTTCCGCCCCATTGTCAAGCGCTTGGAGGGAACCCGTGACCTCGAGCTCGTTGCCCAGAGGTAGGTGCCAGGCTCAGTGACGCAGTGCTCACCTTTCAGTCTCGCCCTCATCAACGCGGCGCTGCGCTCGGCCCAACAAGAAGGCAGCAAGCGGTACTCTGACCTCATCACGGTGATTGAGGCTCTCGGCACTCGCAAATACGTTGCGCGCCTCATCCCCTCGAGTCAAAACAACCCTGTCGAGACCCGTATCTTTGATTTCCAGACCCGCTACGCAAACGTCCTGCGCTACCACTCGCTCCGCCCGGTGAAGCCGCAAAACAACCCCACACATGAGCGGTACCTCGACGACGTCTGGCAGACGGGCCGCCTGGACTCGGAGGACGGCGGAGGCCACAGGGCGTCGCCGCGCCCCAGCATGCAGGACTACCAGTCCTCTGGCCAGAGGACGTGGGACGGCTGGCGCAGGATGGGTCTCTCGATCGACTATGTCGAGGCGTCGGACCCGCTGAATGAGACGGAGCTGTTCCGGTCAATAGGCGAGCTGGGTCTCGAGTGCCTGCACTACTACGCCGTGCACGAGGACAACTTCCACAGCGTCGTGCTGGAGCAGCTCGCCCGCCCCGCTGACAGGCGGTGCCCGATCGGCAAGGCGTCGGCAGAGTGCGTCAAGGTCCTGTACGACCACTACAAGATTTCGCAGTCTGCGCAGCGCGGCGCGTCCCATTTCCAGCCGTTCATGCTCAATTTCCCGCGCCTGCACTCGCTTGTCCTCAAGTTTTTCCTGCGCATGTGGCAAGACTCCGAGTCGCGTCTGGACGACTTTGAGCGCCTGAGCTACTTGGTCCGGAGCCAGGTCCGCCAGACCCTCGCGGACGAGCACAGCAAGACGTGGCTCGACCTCGAGCACGACTTTTTGGGCGCCGACTACCGCAACATCCGCGAGGGCCAGATGGAGATGATTGACAAGGAGGACGGCCTGCTGGAGCGTCCGGCCGTCGCGGCGCTGCGCGCCAAAGTCGGCCACGAGGCGTACGAGGTCATGGCCGAGCAGCGCGTCATCTGCATGCAGCAGGGCGGCTGGTTCAACACTGCGCATGTCCTCAAGTCGGGCATCGACGTCACGACGAGGGCCAACCCGACCCGTCCGCACCGCTTCGTCCGCTTGGTGGGTTGAGAAACAAGGGGGGGAATAATGATATCCCGTTGCTAACGGTCAGTCGCCCAACCGCCGCCAACTGGGCTGGAGCGAGTACACTGTGCGCCCAAAGGAGAAACCCGCGTTTGAGCAGCTGCGCGAGAAGAGTAGGTGCACATGCACATCAAATGTATCGCCGCTGACCTAGTCCCAGTCGACCTGGCCAACATCTCCGAGGTGCGCGTCCAGACGGGCTGCGCCGTTGGCTCGCGCTCGCCCGACACAGTCTCCAAGAACAGCTTCTCCATCATGGCCTCGCCCGAGCTGTCGCTCTTGGACCTGGACGCCATCCACGCCGCGCAGTTTGCAGAGTGGGTCGACGGCCTGCGCGTCCTCAAGCAGGAGGTTCCCATGAGTACCCAGGAGAGCGCCAATTACATGCACGTGAGTGTCGCGGGAAGGTGGGGGGGGGGGGGGGGGGGGGGGGGAGGGGGAGTGGCAGCTAAGGGGAGATCCTTTGGTAGCTGACACGTTTCAGATCCTCACTGAGCTCGCGCTCAAGGTCCGTCTCCTCGATATCACGGGCGACGGCATTGAGATTCCGCAAAAGGTCACGTTTGGAACGGCGCCCAAGAGCACCGACTTTTGGTTTGCCAGCTAGCAGAGGTCCGTTGCGCGGCGCGCGCGCCGCCTTGGGAGGCTGATAGTGGGTAGTGGCATGTACGAGTTGTATAATGTAATGCTGTTTTTTTTGTTCTTCTGGGGACAGGACTACTGCTCTTCTCACTCGGGCATAAGGTCCTCGCCATCCTCACTCTCGGGTGTCCTGCTGCCCACGCTCCGGTCCATGGCGCGCATGAGCCGCAGGTCGTCCGAGTCATACTCTGTGCTGCGGTCCGGGTCGCCGCCTCCGTCGCCGTCGCGGTCCTCTATGCTCGCGTCCAGGTCGACGACGGCGTCTTCCGCTTCCAGGCCCGGAGAGTGTTCCGACGGTGGAGGGAGGGGCGAGGCTTGGTTGTTGTGATGGTTGTCCTCTTGGCGGTGTTCGTGGTCGGACGGCGTGGGCGACTGGGGGAAGCGTCAGCGGGGAGCGTCAACGGGGGCAAGGGGAAGGAGGGGTATATGCGCGGCTTGCGATGTCAAGCGACAGCTGCGCGTAGGGGCGTCGTCGGGCGAGCGCGCGCGGTTGGGTTGCGTTGGGGGGGCTCGTACTGGACGGCTGCATGCCAAAACCAGGAAACAGCCATCATACTCCCACCCCCACAGCCGCCAGGGCCTGCCATCCTCGGTGCCTCCATCCTCCATCCTCCATCCTCCATTCACCACAGCCAACTGCACTCACCGGCGCCGCCTCCATCTCCATCTGCGTCAACCGCCTCCCAAACGGCAAGAGAAACCGGTGTCCAAAGGCATTCACCGACGCCCGCTCCTCCTCCACCGCCTCCTCCTCGTCGCTGAGATCGCCCGCGTCGAGGCCGAGCGAGATGCCCGCCGGCCGCAGGCCGCGGAGGGCGCGCAGTGCCGCGCGGTCACAGGCGCGGCGCGCGTCGCGCCGGCGGTCGCTGGCGGACGGGGCGGCGGCGGCGGCGCCAGCGCCAGCGCCAGAAGAGGGGCCCGCGATGGCCGTAGTAGTACTCGTCGTGGCACTGCTAGTGTGTCCGCGTGCGGGCGTATGTAATGCGCGTGGCGCCTCGTGCGGGGAGAGCACTGCGCCCGACACGCCGGTGGTGGTGCTGGTGGTGCTGGTTGACGCTGGGCGTACATATGGCCGTGGTCGGAGCGAGGCGTGGGCGCGCTCGCGGGCCGAGATGGGGAAATACGGATAGTACGAGTACAGCGTGTCCAGGCGGGCTGTGGGGAGTGGCGGGTAGTTTGAGCCTGGGAGCATGGTTGCGTGGTGTGTAGTGTGTGGTCAGTGATGCGGAGGGTGGTGGGTGTAGAGTTGGTTGAGAGAACGACCGTGTGGGGTGAACGGGGGAGCCGGTCGAGCGAGGGTGGGCGTGGCAATTGGGGAAAATAAAAGAAGGTTATTAAACGGCTGTCAAGGTGACAGAGGAGGTCGTGAGTCGTCGTTGTGTCGTGTGAGGTCGGTGATGAGGATGAACAAGAGGGGACTGGGTTTGTTGTTTTGGCAGCCTTCAACGGACTGAGTGGAGGTGCCGGCGGGAGCATTTAACGTCGCCCCCAAGAGCCACACAGAAACCATGTGGCACCTCTCACTGCCACTGACCACTGACCACAAACTAACGACCCATGCAGACGACACTACTATACATGCGCATTTTGGATTCTCTACATGCGCGACTGAATCACAGGGGGGCGGCCAGCGTACGCGTTCTCCAGGAGGAGGAGGAGCTTCTCGCGCTCCAGGGGCGCCGGGTTGGGGTACTGGGCGGTGGAGGCAATGTCGGCGGCCTTGGGCAGGTCCTCCTCCTTCATGCCGAGCTCCTTGAGGGAGATGACGGTGCCGAGGGTCTTCTCGAGCTGCCAGAAGGCCTGGGGCGCGTCAATGTCCGAGCCGATGGCGACGCGGATCTTCTCCATGGCGGCGTGCGCCGCGTTAAAGTTGTACGCCATGGCGTGCGGGAGGACGACGGTGTGGACCTGCGCGTGCGGGAGGCCAAACGAGCCGCCGAGGGTGTGGCACAGCTTGTGGTGGATGGCCATGCCGACGTGGCCGAGGCACACGCCCGCGGCCCACGCGCCCGACAGGGCCTGCGAGCGCGCGTCAATGTCGTTGGGGCTGTCCTTGAGCGTGAGCAGCGCCTTGTACATGTTGCTGATGCCCGAGAGGGCGACACCCTCGATGATGGGGTTGATCTGGGGCGAGTACAGGGCCTCGACACAGTGGGCAATGGCGTTGATGCCCGACGTAAACGTCAGCTGGGCGGGCAGCGACAGGGTCAGGTCGACGTCGTAGATGATGGTGGTGGGGAGGATCTTGGGGTCCGAACGGGTCGTCTTGAGGTTGTTGACAGTCTCGCCGAGAATGGGCGTTGCCTCGGAACCGGCGTACGTCGTGGGGATGGTGATGTGGGGGACACCAGTGCGGATCGTGAGGGCCTTGCCGAGACCGACAGTCGAGCCACCGCCGAGCGAGATGTAGCAGTCGGCGTTCAGACTCTTGGCCTGCTCGAGGGCCTTGAGGGTGACCTCCTCGGGGGTGTGCATGACAGCATCGAGGCAGCTGGCAACATGTCAGCTTGGGAGTCACAGCCGATAGCGGGTTCTACGAGGGACGGCGGTGACAAGTGTCTCCAGGGCTTGTCGGCAGCCGGCGGTAACGGCGCCGGGCCAAAATGTCCCCCCATGAACCACAATTCTCTACTCACACACCGGCAACGAGGTCGCCGAGGCTCGCGCTAATCTTGTTGGCGAGGTCGATCTGCCTGTCGGTGTTCTCGGTAACAATCATGACACGCTTGGCGCCGAGGCGGTTGACCTCCTCGGGGACCTTGGCGAGGGTGCCAGAGCCGAAGATGGTGCGGGGGATGTGCGCCTGGAAGGTGAAGGGAGCGACCATGGTGGAGGAGAAGCGGTGGGTGGGGGTGGGGGTGGTGGTTGGGAGGGCGGTAGCGATGGCGCGGGCGACGGGAGACGTGCGCAGGGAGGTGCGGACGATGGTGAGGCTGGTGGGTAGGGTGCGCGCGAACAGCGTGGGCAAGGGTGGAGGTGCTCGTCGGGAAAGTTGACGAGGGTAAGGAAGCGAGGAGGGTGTTTGTGGGGTTAAACTGTCAAGACAGATGAGAGGTGTGAGCAACTAAAGTTGACTGTCGTTGGGAGGAGGAGATGGAAAACGCTGCTCTTGCGTTTGGGTGGGATGTATGAGTCATATGATGGGTGGATGGGGTCGGGAGCCCCGAGCAAAGACAAGGTCAATCCGGCATGTTTGTGGCCGGGAAGCCGGAAGATGGTTCCGGTGGCCCCCTGCCCGTTTTAGTCGCCGCGCGCCAGTATATCGGATCTTCTGGGGGGCCATCACGTCAGTGGTAATACAGTAGCACAGCACTGCAGCAGCTCGTGTATTACTGGACACGTGTACTGCATAGCCATGTTCTATCAAAATGACAACGAGCTTGTTGCAGTTGGTTTTAGTTTCATTGGCCCGGCGGGTGCTCACCGTGGACTAGACCCCGCAGCCTGGACTCGAAAGTCACCGAGCCTTGACCCGGCGGCACCGTTATTTCCTTGCCCTCTGGCCCATTCCGAGGCGAGGGCCAGTCCGAGGCTGGCCGATTGCTGGGGGTCCAGGTGACGAAAGCGGACATGTTCACCGTTAAGAGAGTCCCGTGCGGGTGGTCCCGGCGCGCCGTGGCCGTGGCCGTCGCGCGTCGACGCGTGGACTCTGGGGGGTGAGTGTCGGTCTTGGTGTGTCTTGTCGGCCAAAAAACACACTATGCGGAGATAATAACCCGACAGACTGGAAAATGTCAGTCGTTGTGTGTTTCCGAAGCACGGTGCTGCACAAAAGACGTGTTGTGCTGCCGGGTGCTGGGTGATCGATCGGCCATCTCATGTTCAATCGCCATTGTGCACTGGCACATTGACCCACCTGATGTGTAGTCTACAAGGCCGCCAGCTGCGTTCGCGACCTCATATGAGCAGTCCGCGTACCTCTGCTGCCCTTGCCCATAGCCTCGCCCATGGCCAGCCCATTCTCATTGGCACCTGTGCACCGGACACCGGCCCAGCACACCACTTTTGCTCGGCACAGCATGGTATCTCCGCAGCACGCAGCAGCGACCAGCCTCCTCGCTCATCGAGTGCTCGGCACGCTGTACTGGGTGCCGCTTCTGTCTCGACCCTCATCAATGCGCAACGCAGGCTGTAATCTGTTCCTCCCAGCCAGGGGCGAGCGATGTCCACACATGGCCACAGCCATGTAACGGTCGCAGCTGCATTTATGTAGCTGTTAGGCGCGATGCGGGCCCCCTCACTCGGATCTCGCAAAGTGAGAAGTGCCCTCAGCCTTTGGCAGGCTTCAGGTGCTTTGACTCATTGGAACGCCGTCAGCCGACGGTTGGCTGGCGGCCTGCAGCCTAGCCTGGCGGCTTTCCCGCCTCTCAGCACACAACTGACCGGCGCGACCCACGTAGGCCACCTCCAGCTTTTCTCATGTCGGTGTTCGATCACGACCTGAAGCGACATGCGATCTCTAGGTCTCAGGAGAGAGACGACGCTTGCGCGCCGGGCGGGCGGTGCAGCCAGCCGCGTCAGCTCATTTGCTGCTTTGCTGCCTGGGGTGGGGAGGTTATGACGAACGCGTAATGTCGAAATTTGTGTTTTGCCACTGGCCACATCCCAGTGCACAGCTGGCTGGTTGGTCTAAACGGACAAGGATATCTGCATGGGCTACGGGGATGAAGGTTTAAGCTATGGGCATGCACACAGCGCATGCAACGAACCGACCACCAGGCGATTAAGGGCGGCATCAGAAGGGAGCATAAGACAGGCGGCGGTGAGGTGTGGGGTGGTGGGAAGAGGCTACGTCCGCCTGTGGATTTGACGTTTGCGAGACTGGGGGCTCGAGGGAGGAACACACTTGCGCGCAGCCGAGAGAGAGGGACGTCACGGTCGTGAAGCGATTTACTTCCCCTTAAGACCGTAGTAGAGACCCACGACAAGCGCAATGATACAAATGATGAGGACTGCACCGTGTCAGTCGTGGTTCTATGCCGGGCAGTGGGGGTACAATTACTCACTGCAGATGATCAGGCAGATGATCTTCTTTTTCCTGGCAGCGCGAGCCTTGTTCACCGCAGAGTCAAGCTGGGTGTTACTAGGAGAGGGTCAGTTTTACTGCCCCAATGTGTGACAACAGATAACTGGCCGGTACTCACCCGCGCTGGATGTCCGTGTTGACCTGCTGGGTCTGGTTCTCGACGTCGGCAATAGCCTCGTTCTGCTGCTCGACGAGCATGGCCATCTCGTTGAACATCTGAGCGAGCTCGGTCATGGTCTTCTCAATCTTCTGGATCTCGGCATGACGCTCCTGGACCTCGCGGTACGCGCCGCGGGCAGCACCGTAGCGGTTGGTGTTGAGGAGGGCCTGGGCGAAGACCTGCGGGTTGTCGCTGTCAATGACGTCCTTGATCTCCTCGGGGGTCGCGTCGGGCTTGACAATCTTGTACTGGCGCTCGGCACGGTCGCGGGTCTTCTTGCGGTACTCCTTCTCAACCTGCTGGTGCTCCTGGAGCAGGCCACGGAAGCGGTTGTTGGCAGTGTCGACCTGCTGCTTGAACTGCTTGTTGCCCTTGGACTGCTTGGCGAGCGACTTGATGGCGAGCTTGCACTGCTCGCGGGTGCTCTTGGCCTGGTCCGACAGCCTGTCGACGTTGGCAATGGCGTTGGGGTCGCTAGAGTTGAGGCTCTGCTGGTGGCCGTTGCGCACAGCCTGGATCTCCTGCTCAAGCTGGGCCAGGAGGTTGTTGGTGTCGGTCAGCTGCGACCAGAAGTCACCGCCGCCAACACCACCGCCAGTCTCGGTCATTGGGTAGTTGCCGCCAACGGGGCTGTAGGCCTGCGGGACCTGCGCGTACTGGTCATACTGCTGCTGGGGAGGGTACGACTGCTGCTGGGCCTGGGCATAGGGGTTGCTACCAGGTGCCGAGTGGTCACTGCGAGAGAAAGAGTCAGCCAACGAGTTGCGCAAAACATGTGGTCCGTGTGTTTCGGCGAGGCGAGGGGGGCGGTGAACCGCCGTCTCTCATCTGGCCGACAATCCACAGTCCGACACAATTGTCGTAGACACTCACCCATAGTTGATACCCTGCGAATGGTCAGCACGTATGTCCAGTCGACTGTTTGTCCCACAACTACTACTCACAGAGTTTTGGAGGCGGTCACGAGCCATGGTTGCAAGAGGTCAAAGCGGGGTGTGGATGTGGTGGAAGGGGGGATTGAAAGGGGGCTGGGGCTGGGCTCTTGCTTTAGATCCAAGAGGGGGGAGAAGAGCAAAACGCGAAGGCTGATCTATTGCGCCTGGATGCTTTGGATGGCAGTGACAGGTGTGTGCACAGGAGGAGCGAGGTGGACGACCGAAAGAGAACGCGTCTTGGGCCTGGACTGTGTAGCCAAGGAGGTTGGGGAGGGAAGATGTTGTACGGGGGCCGTTGGGTGGACGGGGACGCTGCTGTGGGGAAAAGGGGGGAGATGAGGAGGAGGAAGAAGACAAGGAGGGTGTGAGAGATGGGCGATGTATAGATGAAAGGAAAGAGCCTGGACGAGGACGACGAGGGAGAGAGGGGGATCGAGAGGACAGCGAGAGGGAGAGGGGATGCGGGTCCAGGGACAGACGGGGGGACAGCTGGGACGACCGGCGGGCGGGCGGGCGGGGGAAGACGACGACGAGCGGGCACACGTCGAGGCCCACACAGTATGTTTTTGATTCCGCCCGCCCGCGCGCCCACAACCGTGTCTCTCGTCGTCGTCTCGATTGTGTGTCTCTCCGCCCACCGCCTCGTTTTCAACCCCGCGCGCTGTTCCCTGCTGTTGCATACAACATACCCATACCCACACCCCGTTATACCCATATCTCATATCCATGGTCCTTGTTGTTGTACAAAAGACGCGGGTTGTCCATCTCTGCAAATGGCCCCATGCCAGACTGCCAGCCACCAGCGTCATGAAAAACAAGGGGGAGATTCCACACTCTGCACACACACATTTTTCGGCGCCACAGAGGGTACAGCGGGCCCCTTTTGCAGATTGCAGAGTGGCCTCTACGTGCTTGTTGCTCGTGCTCGTGGACGCATGCAGCTGCAGCACGTAGTGACCGGCTCTGTTCCACTCGTCTACTTCTCTCGCCTGTACTCACACACCAGTTGGCCAGTTGCCAACGCGGTGCCGCGTGCGTACGCCAACGGCGCGTTCTGCCCGGGTTCCTCGGACCAGGGCCGCAGAGCCCAGGCGCCAACAAAAAACCGCAACAACAAATTGGCAGTGGCGCAGTGGAGGGGGAGCGTGCTTGTGGCGGCGATGCATCTCGTACATCTCTCATCCCATCTCATCTCGTTCCGCGCGCTTGTTCGTCGTTGACGTGAGGGCACAAGACAAGACATACCAAGCGGTGTGACGAATGGCGGCCGGGAGCCCAAAAATGAAAAATGAATCCAAATGGTTTTGGGTGTGGCGTGAGGCGATGACGGGCGGTGCTGTTCCCGCGGACTGGAGCGGTTGTTTGGTGTCATTGTTGCGGTCTGGTCTGCGGCCTGGGCCATGGTAGCCTGGAATTTGTGCCAAGCGGTAATCAGCAGGTGCTGGCGGATCACATGCAAACATGTATGCACCGTTGTCGACAGACCGCAAAAGCTGGGACGGTTGTTGACTGGTGTACTGGTGTGAGCCACCGACCACTCCACCCAGACCCGCAAACCACATACGTGCCTAGTCTCAACACCAGCCCGCGGCTCATGCTTCATGGGTGGTTCAGTTCATCTCTTGGACCCATGCTCTGGACGATTTATCCAGGACGCGTATCAACCATAATGTCACATGTACAGAGGACCCCAAAGGTCACCCGGCGGCATGCTCAGGAGCGCCAGACGCATGCGTGTCGAGAAGAAGGAAAATGAGGCATGCGCCTTCGTGCTCCACTCTCTCAATCGAGAGGGCTTCCTGGCATCCTGGCACTGTCCTCGCTGCTCGCTGTCCGCAATGTGCGCGCCGTCGCCACCTGTCGGCCGCCGCGCACTGCCACTTTGCCACCCGCGCCATGCCGCTGCACCCGGATTCACTTCACGCTCGGTGGAAGAGGAGAAGGAGCGGCAACAATGACGATGGTCGGAAAAGCCGAAGACGACATTAGTTGCTCGGCATATCCTCTCATCCCCTCACCAGCGTGCGCTCTGGTGGAATCGGGGGCACGGCACGATCCGGGTGTCGGACATGCGCGACATGGATTTCGGGACGTTCGTTTCCTTGATGCGATGGCCACTGGCAACTATATCTCGGCCGCCGTTGACGCTGACGACATCGTGGTTATTTCTCGACCTTTGGATCAGCAAATCGGGAGTTACCAGTTCCTTGGCACCTGCTGCACCTGAACGCTGTGCTGGAACATGATCATTGCACTCGGCCATGTGTCAGTCCAGCTGGCGCCACCGATCAGCATCCGTAACGTCTTGGGGTATGAGATATGATCATTCGAAGCGGTCCAGAAACGCCGTCAGAGTGACGCCGTGGCGAGGGTCAATGACACTCAGGTCAAGGGTTCAGCCTGACAAGTGACGCCGTGATTACAGTGGTGCATCGCACGTCCGTCTCGGTGCTCCCCGCGCCCCGTGTCTGCTCGCCTCGTCCTCGTCTAGTGACAGCACTGATTACCTCCTCTTACCGCCGCGCTTGTTCTGCGCGCCCCTCGCAGGAGCAGGAGCGGCTTTCACGGCCGCGGGTGTCGACGAGCCGCTGCCGGCCTCGTTGGAGCCAGCGGACGCCAGCTTGCCCGAGAGCCTGTTGTCAGCTACAAACGTGACAAAGGCCCAGCTCACGATCCGCTCCAGTCCATGCTCTTGGCCATGCGCTTACGCTGAGCGTCCATCTCGGCCTTGACCTCGGGGTCGTCCTCCATCGACGCCTGGGGGTCAGCTCTACGCCTGGTATTTGAGCTCACGGTAATCTTGGGCAGGGCGATAGCCATGACGGCCGAAAACAGCATCATCATGACCATGGGCGACTTGAACATGGCAATGAGGTTGACGCCCGGTGGCGGGGTAAAGTAGTCCTCGGGACCGTTGGCGGCCACTTCGAGCGGGTACGAGAGGGAAGGCGAGGTGGTGGGCAGGATGGCGCGGTCCGGGAAGAAGGACTGGACGTGGAGCGCTTCCCCGGCTTCGGCGGGGACAGTCACGACGAGCTGCTGGGTTAGAGACGCGCTGCACGGTTCGGTACCCACCGAGGACATGGCATAGCCTGGCACAATGGGCCGGATGAGGTGCTGGCCGGGAGCAACGTCGAACCTGTCGTTAGTATAGGTCAGGCGCGCGAAGGCAGTACCTACAGCTCAAACGACCCGTCGACGCGGAACAGGGTCGAGCTCGCGCCATAGTCGAGATCCACTCGGCTGTCGATGGGGAGGGCGGTGGAGTCTACTGTCAGCGACGGCCGACCGATGCAAGGCAAACTCACTGAGCACTGGGTTGGGCACCAGGCGACCACGCAGGTCGGCACCGAGAGCTGGGAGCGCACTGGAGTTAGGTTACAATACGGGCAGAAAACCTACGCGAGGAGGAGGAGAGCGGCGGCGTGCATGGTGCTGCCGATGACGATGTTGGTGAGCTCGAGAGGAACGACGACGAGCCGAGATCGTGTAACCTCCAACTCGCCCACGAGGGTCCATCCAGGCACGGTAATGCGCGCCCCGGTGCCGATTATAACAGTGGTTTCAAATGTATTTGTAATGGGAGGGGCTATGACATTAGAAATGACATCAATCCCACTCTCCTCTCTCCCCTGTGTTGTTCTTGGACACTACACTTTCCACCTGCCCACAACTTTGAACAACCACCGACCCACAGTCACAGCGACCAGCAGGCGCCATGGCGGAGAACATTCTCGGCCTGCTGCTCGTGACGTCGTCGGCACAAGACCGATATGTCTTTCGGTATCCGCCTGACCCGACGTCGCCAGAGGTGCGGCTGTCGCAGCCCGTCTACTCGCGCGCAACATACACTGCCAAGGACACGACCGTGGATACGCGCCCGACGCACCGCCTCTTCCCGCGTGGGATGCACGCAGACGGAAGCCGTACATCGGGGTCTCGTGGCGGCGGCGGGCTCACCGTCCCTCCATACAGCAGTGCGGCGTCCAGTCGCCCGGGGCTGCGGTCTACTCGACACCTCGAGGGATCCGATAACTCGTCCGCCGCGATGCCGGCGTCAGGCAGCAGCCTCCACTCGCACCTCACTCAGGTGGGGTCCAGTGGCAACTCGGGTACCGACGACAGCAGCTCTGACGACTCGGACGAGGATGACCGTATCTTCGAGGGTGGGGGCGGATACGTCCCCCGCCGATACAGCAGCGAGGCCGAGTCGATCCGGCCCAACGCGCCGCGAGGCCTGTCTGAGATTCTGGAAGGGCCGCGGCGGTCGAGCCTCGTCGAGAGCGAGGCGACCCAACGGCCCGGAGGCGCCAAGAAGGGGAAAGAGAACGGCGCCTTTATCGAGGCCCAGTACAACTATGCGCTCGGCTACAGCCTCGACTTTCTCGCCGACCTGCTCACACCGCCGCGTGCGGCTTGTAACCGCAAGTTTGAGGTGTCGGTCGACGAGCTCGTGTTCATCGGCCACCCCGTGTCCTGCAACCCTGATGGACGATGGGCGTACCCCGCCGAAGAGAGTAGCGACGAGGAAGACGAGCCGCGACGAGTGTCCCGTGGTCGAAGGATGAACGATACGCCTGGGCCGCGCGATGCGTCCCTCCGCACAGTGGCCGAGGCGCCCGAGAGCCCCGTCTCGAGCCGTCTTCTGAGTGACTCCAACCACTCGTTGTTCCGGGCCATGTCACGCAACTCTGTCGCCGCCAGCATGTCGGCTAGTGGAACAGAGGGCAGTGGTACTGAGACACCCTCTCGGCCCAATGGCAAGAAGCTCGAGGACGACAAACCCGTGCTCCAAATGTTCCACTTGGCGCTCATTCTCGACAAGCCTGACCCGCAACCCGACAGCGACGTCACACCCAACGACACATACAAGACCGTCTACCAGGAGATTGCGTTCAAGTGGACCGCGGCGGCGTTTGCCCTGCAGGTGCGCGACAACTGGATCGCGACCCAGGCAAGACAGATTACGCGCATTCGGGAAAAGGCCATCTCAGAGGGTGTCTCGGTTGTCGACTGCCTGCGAATGTGCATTGAAAAGACCGAGCTGGGAGCCAGCCTCCATGAGCTGTTCAGCGCACTGCACAAGGTCAAGAGCAAGCCGCTCAACACGCTGTTCTCGCACCTGGCCACGACCGTCAACGTCAACGTCAGCAACATTCCCATCTCAATCGCCATCCCGCCGCGCGAAAAGGACGACGAGGCCGCGTTACTGGCGAATGGTGACCTCGACAGCTCGGAGAGTGACGGCGAAGTGGACGACGCATGGAGCCTCACTGGCGCGGACGGTGCGCTCGTTGCACGCAAGCAGCCGCACTTGAATGTCGAGCCATGGCAGGCCCTCTTGGTCCTGAATGAACACGAAGCAGACATCCACAGTGCCGCTCTCCGTGATGGGTTCCGGCGTGACTCCAAGTCGCAGAGGGCCGAGGACGAGCTCATGGGGGCGCTCGTGCGCGCCGCTGATGTGACCAGGCCGTTGCATGAGCTTGCGCACCAGTTGCGTTACGACCTCGAGGGTATTGTCATCCCACTCGCGAGGGAGCTTGTGCAGAGCAAGAGGGCCATCCTGGTCGACGTCGTCAACATCCGTCTCCGGACCATTCTCATCCCCGCCAACGTCTCACAGCACCTGCGCTCGCTGGACCAGCACACGAACCTGTGGCGGATGGCGTTCCCAAGTCTCGGCGACCTGCGCGCGTTCATCTCGATGGTCTCGTTTGCGCCCGTCCCCTTCCGTGACCTCCTCCCACCCGAGGCCCAGGCCGACCCGCCAAAACGCGACCTGTACATCCGTGCCATCACCTGGCTCCTGCGAAACGACCTGGTACTCCAGTCCCACGTTCGCGCGCGCGTCATCGTCTCGCCAGCAGTCAAGGAGACGGCATGGCGGCGTCTGTGGCACAGGCGTAGGAACAAGTGGCTCCGCGAGCGCAAGGCGTCCATGACATCTACGCGCTCCAGCCTGTCCCGTCCGAGCTTTACGTCTCCGGGCACAGACGCGTCCCCCAAGTCGGACCTCATCACTCCTCGCGCGGTTGTCGTGGAGCAATCCAACCCGATGGACGGGTTCGCCACGCGTGTTCCCCGTCCCTCCCCCCCAGGGGTGAGCACGGTGCTGAAACGCGAAGCCGCCCGGACGGCCACCTCGGTCTCCAACCCGCTCGAACTCCGGGAGACGACCACGTTCACCAGCTACCTCGACTATGACAGTGACTTGGAGATGGACTCGGACGTGGAGGGCGACGAGGCGCCCGCGGGCGAGGCCGAAAATGCCTTTGCCCAGTTTTCGGTCGACGAGACCGAGCCCTCGATTGTGCCGAGTTTTTCGTCCAGCTTCATTTTCCTCCCTGCGCACGCGCAAAAGGACGAGGCAAGGTGGCTGAGGGTCATCCGCGAGCACACGACGGACCAGGTGATGCGGTCTCGGTTTGATCTGTGAGTTGTCCAAGGTGTTTGCGAAACTGACATTCAGGTGTGTGCAATACTTCGACGGCGTGACGACGTTTGAGGAGATCATGTACCGTACCAGTCTGAGCAGGCGCGAACTGGACCGCATCGCACTTGTCTTCCGTGACGATGTAAGCTTATCGCAGTGTGCTCAAGCTAACAACGCAGATTATGATCACCATCCACCCATGATACCGCAGTGTTTTTTGGCGTATTCCTTTTGTAAAAACCTAGTAGAATTCGGTGGGCATCATGAAGTGCATGACCCGTTCTAGATAGCCGACCAAGCCCCGTCCACTGACAGACTCGCGCCGGTGGTCGTATCCGCCGCGTCGGAACACAAGAACACGGCCAGCGCGCCGAGCTTCTCGGGAGTGGTAAACTTGCGCATGGGCTGCTTCTCCCCCAGCATTGCGTCCGTCTCCTCCTCGAACGTGGTCCCATTCTTGTCCGCCCGCGCCTGGATCTGCTGCTTGACCAAAGGGGTGAGCACCCAGCCGGGACATATAGCGTTGACCGTGATCCCCTCGTTGGCCGTTTCCACCGCCATGACTTTTGTCATGCCCACCACGCCGTGCTTGGCCGTGACGTACGCGACCTTGTTTGCGGACGCGACGAGCCCGTGCACCGACGCAATGTTGACGATGCGCCCCCACCCGCCGGCCTTCATGTGCGGGATCGCAGCCTTGGACGCGTGGAACACCGAGCTCATGTTGATCGCAATGATCGCGTCCCACTTGTCCTCGGGAAACTCGTCCGTCGGCGCCGTGAACTGGATACCGGCATTGTTGACCAGGACGTCGACGGATCCAAAGGCTGCGACAGCGTCCGCGACCATTTGGCGGATCTCGGCGGGCTGGCTCATGTCCGCGGCCGAGTGGGCGGTCTGGACATTGTACGTGGACGCGAGGGTCGCCTGGAGGGTCGCAATGGCCGTGGGGTCGCCAAAGCCGTTGAGCATGACGTTGTACCCCGCCGCGGCGAGGGCGGTCGCGATGCCCTCGCCGATACCGCTGGTCGAGCCTGTGACGATTGCTGAGCGTGTCATGGTGGTTGGTGAAATGGTCGAGTTGGACAGTTGGGCTATTTCGGTGACGTAGAGGCCGAAAGTGAGATGAGACGGCTATGTCCGGCCCGAGAGCCGAATGCCGCAGGTGCGTGTGGCGAGTGAGTACCATCGGTGCTCGCGACGTGCACGCTCTGTGCATCTTTCTCAGCATGCTATAGGCAGCGTGAGTGACTGGGGACCTTGCACCATTCTGTCAACGTCAGTGATCATGCTCCTTCCGGTTTCATCCCTTCGGCTTCATCACCAAAACCTCCACTCCTGGAGGGTTCCTAACATTCTCGATGCTGATGGAAACACAGTGCTGCTGATGGCGGCCTGATGGCCGTGACTCTGCGTTCTTCCAGGTCGGTCAGCACGGACGCATCCAAGGGGTCAAGTGATGCCTACCACAGACCGCAGGTATGTTTTCCTGATATCACCTGGGCCTGTCGTTGATGAGTGGGGGGCAAAAATCAGTGAAAAATCACCGAAAATACGTTGTGCTTTTGATGGCACTGAAACGCCATCAGTGGCCACGATGAACCACCGACAGGCTCAGCCTTTGGAGGATGCCATCACTGATGGAAGGGATATCCACCTGGTGTGGCCTACTTTGTGAACTCGGGCCATGAAACGCGCCGCATACAATGACACTGATCCCCCGTTAATGGCAGCCGTGAAACGCCACAGTTGAGACTGCTTTGGAGTTGAGCACACTCATCAGACAGCGCAACACAGCACAACAGTTAAAAGTACCTCAACATCCAAAAGGATACGATCCAATCGCTCACCTCTCGATCTGCAACATGGCCCTCAGCCCCGACAGAGTCGTAGCACGTTGCTGTGCGGTAAAGAGCTGCCGGGTCGTACCGAGGTACACCTGCCATGGGTGCCCGCACACCTACTGCTCCACGCATTTTGGAAGTAAAAAAGCTCACCCCTGCAAGGCTGTCCCAGTGAGTTCCATAGTGACCTGAATGTGTGTCTTGCTTGCTGACAATGTAGCCCAACGACTTTTCCAATGCTTTCGACTACCGCAGGCTTGCCGATGTAAGTTTGTCCATCGAGGCAGCCGTTGTACCGAGCATGGTTTGAACTAACTATCCGCAGCGCATCATGCTCGTCTCCTACCTGTATGCAACCCCCATGAGGTCACGATTGGACGAGATCCGCCCTGGTGTGGGATATCGCTTCGAGGCGCCGACTGCAGACATGCTCATTAAGGGATACGAGGCCAACAAGGCGCTCGAGGGTGGTCTCAACATCCACATTCCCATCACGTTTGACGACGGCGTCAAGTGGCTCGTCCGGGCACGCAAGTTGAACCCAGAAGTGGACAAGACGTTCCAGCAACTGGGTCTCGCCAACGAGCTACACACCATCAGCCTCCTCCGGGCCATTGCCCCAGAGTTTATCCCCAATGCGTGGGCCTCCACGCAGCATCCTTGTGAGTGTCGATTGGCGAAGCGGCCACCAGTCCCAAACGCTAACAACATACCCAGCTCTGTACCACATTCCGCACATGTTCGTCGAGTGTGCTGCTGGCAAGTCGTACAAGTCGTACTTTGAGTTTATCCACGAGCACGACCCCGTCGCATACTTCCATCTGCTCGAGCACCGGCACGACGCGGTGGTGGGGGACAAGGCCGTCCAGCCGTTCCTGGTCACGGTCCGTGACTTTGCCCAGTTTATGATCAAGATCTTGTCCATAAAGTTTCGCGGCGTGGGCAGTCTGTGGCCCAATGTGTATAGCACTGCTCCCATCGGACGGAGGAACCCGGGCCATGTCGGCAAGCTGGTCTCGCTCGCGTACTCGGAGGTGACGGGCCCGTACGTGACCAGCAGGGACTTTTACCTCGAAGTCATCAACGAACGCATCGACAGTGTCTTGAAGGGCCACGACCGCCAGTACGGTAAAAACTACAGGGAGGGCGAGTGGGACGATTTCTACTTTCTCGCCCTGCTCGAGGTACACCGCCTCGTCTCGGAATGCGACGAGATGAGGCTCGCCAGCGGCCCCACGTACCTCCGTCACGGTGACGAAAAGTTTGACATCATGTTCCTGCGTCCCGACGGACACCTCGCCGCCATTATCGACTGGGAGTTTGCCTACACGGCCCACTTGCCCGAAGCCATTGCGTGGGAGGTGTTCATCAACTTTGACGACTTTCAACTTGGCAAGAATGCCCTGCACCCCATGGAGCTCGCTCTTATCGAAGAGTATGAGCGCCTCGGTCGGTCCGACCTCGCCGAGGCCTTCAAGGGCTGCCGCAAGTATCAACGGCTCCGGTACCTCCTCCACAACCCGTTCTGCTACTGGTCCACGGCAGCCGAGATGTGGGCGTTGCGCGACGCGTTTCAGCCTGGTTCAGCTGGGTCAGAGCCGCCAGAGACAAACGAAAAGTGGCTGTGGGAGGCGACGGACCGGTACTTTCTGGATCCCCGGTGGCTGCACTACCTGACGGTGTGGCCTACCCACGGCGACGGCCGTCGGTTTGATACATCACGCACTTGGAGCGAGCTCGCTATGCCCCCCTCGTACGCTGTTCCTCTCAGCTCCAACGGTGACGGCGAAGAGGACGCAGACCTCGACCATGCAAGGACCCAGCGGGCGTCGTGGGACGCTCAGGTGGCCGAGGCAGAGGCCACCCCCTTCACCCTTATAGTGCCGACTGTGGCACCCGTCTCCCCTCCTCCAGCCCAGCCCGAGGCGACCACCAGCAGTATGCCCAGTGGTATTCCCGTCCCCACCAGGCCCATTCGGCCACTCAAGGCTGTGGCTCGCGACCCCAAGGCCAAGGGCCCAGTGGCTGCCGTGGGACTCGCCGCTGTTCCGCTCCTCACCCCCGCGGCGTCACGCAGGCCGCTTGTGGCTGGCGCGGGAACCAACCCCCTCGCCGATATCACTGCGCACGCCGTGAACAGTTCGGCGACCCAGCAGACCAACACTGGCAAACCGGCCTTCATCCCCGGCACTGTTCCTCACGTCGGGGCCAGCGGCGTGCGCAGGCAGCCCGAGCCGTCCCCGCCGCCCGTCCACGCGTCGCCCAGACAGAACAGCAGCGACGAGGACGCCAGCACCTCGTCGTCGTTCAGCGACGGCCAGCTGGCCATCAACCTCGCCCGCGAGCGTGCCGAGCGGGCGGTCGCGCAGGCATCCCGCCATCGCGACGAGCCGCCACGAACCCTCTCGCTCGGATCGGAGTTTGACATCAACAAACACGTCCTGGGCCTCGGGTCGCTGGGCGACTCCCCGCTGCTCAACGTCAACCGCCGCGGCGGCGCGCGTCCGGACCGCACCCCATATCCCGGCTACGCAACGTTTGACAGCCCCGAGGCGGCGGACGGCGACGTGGACGTGGACGTGGACGTGGACGTGGACGAGGCGCCGACGACGCCGACGCGCGTCAACGGCCTGGGGCTGGACCTCGGCACCCCGCGCCAGAGCCCGTGGAAGGGCGCCAACATCCTCGTGCCTCCCGCGGGGGCAGCGACGGGGATGGGAACGGCGACGGCGACGGCGACGGCGACGCGCGGACAGCGTAACCTCTCGACGTGCGTGTACGCGCCCACGACGGCGCAGTACGACCCGCTCGAGGGACATGGCGAGCCGTCCTCGTTCAACCCCGGCATTGACAGCGCGCGCATCACCGAGCTTGCCGACGACGCCGTGGGCGACGCCACCGCCGGCGTGTTCACGGCCCAGGTCGCCGTCCACGCTCCGGTGCGCTACCTGCCCCTGCCGGCCGACGAGGCGAATGGAGAGGCCAACGCGGGTGTCTGGTGGAACGCGCGCGGGGACAACCTTCCTCGCTCGCTTCCGTCCGAGGTGTCTCTTGAGGTGGCGGAGCGCGACGCGGGGCCACTCAGCCTGCTGCCCGCCACGCCGACGCCGACGTCTAGCGCCCTCGAGGCGCCTGCCTCCATCCTCAAGACGAATGGCATGGTCCCCACCGCCACGCGGGTCGACGAGACCAAGGCCAGGCGCAGGAGCTGGCCTGACGTGTTCCAGCCGCCGGCCCCGGCCTCCACGGTCAGGCCAACGGTCAAGGCCACGCTCAAGGACAAGAAGCCGCCCCGCCGGTCGCTCATGGACCGGCTCAAGGCGCCGTTCAGGCCCAAGAACATCCACGAGGTGCGCGTCGAGGTGCAGGGGTTCTCTGCGCGGACGCAGGCGCGGACCTGGACCCAGGCTCCTGTCGCCCCCATGCCCAAGTGCGATGTCGAGCTCAAGGTAGGTGCCGAGAGTCAGGGCCCGGCCCATCCCAAGGTCGATGTCGGGCTCGAGTCTCAGCCGGAACCGGAGACCACGACCAGCGACCGCAAAAACGTCACGACTGTCATGTTGCGCCTCTTCTTCTTCTTGACCATCTTCGTCGAGGTCAAGCGGTGAGACAACAGCAAATGGACAGTACCTTTCCCGTATTCTCCCTGTTACCTTTCCTGTATTCTCCCTGTTTCCAATAGACCAAAACCCCCAACAACAAATATCAGTAACGAAAAACGTCCTCCACGTTAGTAAACGAAATGTAAGACCGAATGACATGAAAAACAACGAAGTCGTGGTTTGAAGCGCGCCGGTGTCGCGGGGGCGACCCGAGATGCATAATGAGTCCAGCTCTTGACCCAGGGGGTACAGTGGACGTGTCGATGGCGGAATGCGATTATAGGAAGGAATGCTGGTTGTTTCTTTACTGCTGTCCTCCCGGCGCCGGGGTCATCCCGCGCGGGGTGGACACGAGCGTGCCCCCGATCGGCATGGGCAGTGGCAAGAGCTTGTCGCCGGGGGCGACCGACGTCGAGCGGGAACTTGCCGGTGTGGTGGCCGACGACGCGGTGGCCGAGGATGGCATGGGCGCAATCTCAGTCTTGAGCACGCGCGACGCCTTCTTCTTGGGGTTGGGCGCGTTCTGGTTCTCGCTCATGTAGAAGCGGCGCAGCATCATGATGGCCTCTTCGCGGTAGAAGCCGCCGACGGCCTCGAAGGGGGCGTGTGTGTCGAGCATGTCGCTGGGGAGACGTGTGAGCGTTTGGGTCTGGCGCAAGCGCAAGATATCAAGCGAGGGGAGTTGATCCGCAAATGCAATGCAGCTCCCGTTCCAGCGCCGACTCACCTCGTGCTGACGTCCAAGACACTTCCACAACCGCCAAACCGGTCGTTTCCGCACCCATACACCACGCGCCCGATTCCCACCTGTCGCAGCGCACTGGCACACATCACACATGGCTCCACAGTGACGTAGAGGGTAATGGCGGACAGGGGCGGGGGGTTGAAGGGAAGGAGGTGGTCGATGGCTTCGAGCTCGGCGTGCAGGGTTGCCTGGGGCGTGTTAGCAGCGAGCTCTGGTCATGACTTGGAAATAGAGAGCTCTTCGGGTGAGAAGCAAGGTACGGTACATGGCTACAGCTGTTTGCGGACTGCGAGTCTTTGTAGCTGTGCCAGCACGACCCAAGGCAACGATCATAGCAGGCTGGCTCGCACTCACATTCCTCCACTCGTTTGTCCTGTTGCGCGCACGCGCAATCGCCTGTCCGTCGCGCACAAACACGCAGCCGACGGGCACCTCTTCGTTATCCAGAGCCTCTTGCGCCTGTGTTCAGAGCAGCACGTAAGTTGATGGCGGGTGGTGGGATAGGGGGGTGATATCGAGGATCGAGTTGGGGATCGGTAGCGCAAGATGAGGGACGCAGTCGGATGAGGTCACGGCCATATGGTCAGTCGCGGTCACGGAACGGAAGGACGACAGTCAGCATTATCCTTGCTCGGCACACCACCACTAGACTCACCATCGCGAGCGCCTCGGCCATCCACTTGCGGTCCTCCTCGTTCTGCTCCTCGACGGGGACGTAGATCTGGTAATGTTGTCAGCTAACCCAGCTCCTATCCGTCTAGCTTACCGCCTTGTTCATGGTTGCTTCTGATCTCGCTCTGTGGTTGTCCCTCTTTTGCCGTCTTTTGTAAAAAAAGCGTTACAATCTGAAAGGTGGAGGTGTTGACAGTAGTTGTTAATCCAATTCTGAATCCAACCTAACCCGAATCATTGAGCAACTTCAGGAGAAAATCTCGGACTCATTTTGGACGTGGTGGAGGTTGTCCACTTTGGCAAGTTGTGCTGTCACCACCTTCGTGGTGATTGTAGCCCGACCGCCGTGCGCTCACTGCTCAAACGTGCTACACGCCACCCTCTTCCGCAACCAGAGCTTGCACTAATACACATTCGATGCATCCATGCACAGAAAACGCCTCGTCTGTTTCCTAACACACTGCAAGCTGGAACCTCCGTTGGGTCGGCGGCTGCTGGGCAGGGACAGCCAGCTCTGGCGCGCTGTGGTCCATTTTGGGGGGTATCTACTCGACCACACGCAGCTCGCGCGTACGGTTCTGGGCGTACAGGTCCTTGTACTTGTCCCAGATACGCACCAGCTCGGTGATGTATTGCTGGTGCACCTCCTGGACCATTTCCTGGGTGGGTTCGCGGCACTGCTCGGTGGCAATGGGCCTGCCGACTGGGGAGGTGTTAGAAGCGAGGTACCCACAACTCCGCATTGAAGCTTATACTCACTGACGGCAACGATGGGGTGGCGGAAGGGCTGCGGGTTAGTACGATTGTGAATGGAACGCCTCTCTGATAACCCACCAAAAGACCGTAGTTGTAGTTGAAGATGCTGTACAGGTCAGCCTGACACGCGCCACTTGGCACCTGAACTCACCCTCGGCCATGGAAGAGAGGGAGAGTAAACCCAAACACCTTCTGGAAGCGCTTTTGGAGCTTGTACACAGTCGAGCCCTTCTCGTTGGCACTGGGGGTTAGCTTAAGCTGCCGAGTACGTTAAACCAACAGTTGGTCATAAATCTGTTGGTCAGCTTCAAGTACGCTCAGCAGCATGAGGAAACTCACATCGTTCTCGCCAAACGAGAACACTGGCACGAGGTCGGCACCCTCACGGATGGCCACCTTGATAAACCCAAAGCGCTTCTTGAGGGTCAGGTCGTGGGTGCCCGGGTGGGCAGCGAGGGACTCGGCGGCACCGCCCACGACGATGGTGATGGCACTGCCGGGGCCCTGGGCAAGAATGTTGGTGCACGAGCGACGTGCGACGGAGCCCATTCCCAGCGCCATGAGGAGGTCGCGATAGATCGGGATCTTAAAGTTGGAATCTGGCCAGGTGTTAGTGGAGCGGAAACGACACACCGTGGCGCACTGCACTCACCAAGAGTCAGGAGGTGGGGTTTGATTCCTGGGTAGTACTCTCCAAAGCCCGTCGCTTCAGTAGCAAATGTCGCCAACGCTCCCCTGAACTGTCAGCTGAAACTCACATCCAGGCCACTCACATCCCGATGATGCCGTGCGGGTGGTACCCAAACACGTAGCGCTTGTCGGGAGGCAGCTCTGCCTCCTTGACAATACTGCGACGACGTCAGCAGAGGCCCATGGCCGCTCCTTGCAACTCGTGTTGCAAAGAATATGATTCTGCCGTAGTTGCGCAATGAGCTTACCTGCACGGGTAGTATTCTGCCGGGTTGTCAGCTAAAGCTCGCATCGACCATTTAGCTGGACTCACGAGCAAAGTACTTCCATCCAACAAAGTTGCGCGCCCACTTCCTTGGCCTTCCTCCGTGGAGATAGGCCTTGTCGACCCAGTTGATCCAGATGACGTATGGGATGATGATGGGCCACAGGAATGGAAGAGAGCTGCCGGGGTTGTCTGTCAGCTGCCACTCGGTGTGCACGGGGGCAAGGCAGATCGTGCGGAAGAACGGCCCAAAACAAGGAGGAGAGGCGACTGTGCGGTCCAGAGTCCGGCTACACAATGGGCATTCTGTCGACCGCGCCGGAACGCCAAAGACGCCAGCAGCGCCGTGCCGGTCGCTGGTCGTCTACGAACAGCAGAGAATGTGTTCCACAGCTTCGACGCCTTCCATACCGTGCGCGCCCGTTCCCGTCTTCGCCCCTTCCCCCTCGTAACTCTTTCCGCAGCCGCTAGGAACTCACACAAGGAAGAAGAAGATGATGACGCAGATGGGCATGAGAAGCGCCCAGATGGCGACGGCAGCGGTCTGCCAGCGACGGTGGGGTGGGATGTGGAGAGGCGCAAACCTAGTGACCAATATCAGCTGTGCTACTTCCAGTAGGAAGGGGACGCGGGAGAGTCAGAGGCAACCGCAACCTACTTGATCTGGACGGGCCGTGGGATGCTGATTTCGCTGAGTGGGGGCAGCTTGAGCGCGTCGAGGATGGGGCTCTTGAGCCGCTTCTTGTCCTTTGACTTGGACTTTGTCTTTGTCTTTGTGGTCAACGAGTCTGCCGCCGAGTTGCGCGAGCTGCCAGAGAGGAAGCCGAGCGGTTTGTACTGTGCGTCCGGGGAGTGCAGGGCGTCGAGACGGAGGAGCGAGGGAGCCGGGGAGACGGCGGTGGAGACGTCGGACTGGGCGGGCGAGAGGTCTTCAGAGTAGTCGTCGACGCCTGGCGCGTTGAGGCGAAGACGCAGGCCAGCCGCAGCACCCGCCGAAGAGACGTTGCCGAGTCCCAGACCGCCGCTGTCGGTGGAGTCGAGGTCGACTAGCGTCGAGGCAGCCGGGGAGGTGGATGCCGAAAATGACGCCGAGCTCGAGGGTGGGGAGCTGGACGCGGTCGTTGCGGTCGTCATGGCTACTATAACGCAGCGTTGGGTTTATGTTGCGGAGCACCAAAGACAAGAACTCGCGGGGGCGACAGGAGTGCTACGGTCGAGTCGACGGTGGGAAGGGTGAGGGCGCGCGGGGCACTCAATTGTGCAACGTGCTGTGCGCAAGCTAGTGGGGTGTGTGGCTGTTGGCCAGCGAGATCAGAGCCCGGGGGCGGGGAGGTAGGTAGGCAAGAGGCGGGGTAGATAACGAGTGTGGAGAGGTTGCGAGACGCCGAGGTTTCAGTCGGCGTGAGAGCGTGAGGGAGGAAGCGGTGGTGGTGGTGGTGGTGGTGGTTGCTGTGGGCTGTGGGTGCGTTCGGCAATGTCAAGAACGGCGCGCGGGAGAAGGGCGTGGGTTATCGGGTCTTTGGCGCTTGAGGGCGGGGAATGATGTGCCGTGTGTGGGGAGAGAGATGAGAGCGAGAGAGTCCCCTTTGTGACGAGGGTGCGCTCTGGTGGGTGGTGGTGGTGACGTGCGCGCGATTGAACGTGTGTGCTGTGTATAAAGTGGAGAGAGTGGAAAGCAACGACCGGGCGAGACGGCACAGAGAAACACAGTGTGTGAGAACGGCGGCGGCGGCGGCGTCGAGAGATGATGCGGGCAGAGGCGGCAGGCGCGGCTGCCAGGAACACAACAAACCCACTGTAGATTATCTCGCTCTGTCTCTCTCTCCAAGACGTCACTGCTACTGCACCCGTCTTGCGTCGTCGGCCCGTCCCACGCGCGCAGGCCTGAAGCCGGTCGCACAATTCCCACCCACAGCCGTCTTCCGGGGCCACAACAAAGGGTACAGTCTGCCAGCGAACCCTCTAGCTTCTAGGGCACTACCACCTTTCTCCTGGCTTTTTGTCGTTGCTCTCTCTCTCTCGTCATCGGCTCTTGGCTCTCTCTGCTGGTGCGCAGTACGGGGCCCGACCGCTACAGCCAGGGACCGGCGGTACGCCAAGTGGCCAAGTGGCTGTAGCACAGAAAAGACACTGGTCAATGAACGTGCACACGTCAGTCGCCAACGCTGCTGTCACCGGCCACAACGTTCCCGACAGGGGGGAAAAGGAAAAAAGAGTAGTACGACATGGGTGCTCCGATGTTGCATAATGGCCGTCGTATCGTGGCACCGTAACCACACCAGCTAGGTCGAGCCACAGGTCACAGGCCACAGGCCATAAGGCCATGAGACACGAACTAGACGCCATATAGGCTCTAGGCATGCATGGAGGTGACACCAATCCGCCGCTGCTACCGTCGCGCTCATTTGGCCGTCACTTCAGCGGATCAGCAGCCCAACGGCCAATGGACAGCCGGGCCATGGGCCATTGGTCCCCGTCCACCCCCACCTCAGGTTCCCCCACGCACGCATGGTGGTGATGGCTTACGACACTCTCTCATTGTATCCTGCAGAGGATTGCATGGCCGATATAAACCGATCTCCCCCGTCCGCCGATTAAGTACGACTCCACTACTCTATCCTGTGTATGGTGATACTGATACTGAACTGTGGCTCATTCAACGTCTCTACACTCTCGCGCCCACTCGCTCCCTCTCTCTCCCCTAGCGCTTGGTGTACTTGCGCTCGAGGTAGCGTGCGGGCAGGAACACGATCGCAACACCAACAAACGCAAGCTCAAAGCCGAGGTCACCACTGTACAGTGGCGTCAGCCAAACATAAAGTCCAAAACCAAAAACCAAAAACACGAAAACTTACGCGCCACCAATCTTGCGTGCGATCCAGCCGTTCCACCATACCTGGCTCATGCCGGCGGCGACGAGAGGGATGCCCTGGGGTCGTGGGTCAGCACATGGGTGTACACGGACAGAAGTCAAATGGAGGACGCGAACGGGCCATGCCAAGCAAGCGCCGCCCGCGGTATACCGGTGCCAGGACCGGGCTAAACGAAACCCGGGTTTGCAGAGGCTACAGGACTCCCCGGCGGCCGCTCACGCTGGCTGCCGCGGTAGCCACAAACTGTCTGCGCTTGCCTCTTTCTCTCAGTCACACTCACGACGCAGCATCCGGCAATGAATCCCAGGCCGATAGGCAGCTTGCTGGGCTTGTTGTAAATGTCCACCGCGTACGTCTTGAGGCTAACGGGGGCACGGAAGACGAGGGGCTCAATGATCGCTGGCGGGAGGTACAGCGCCGACCAGTATCCCAGGACAGCAAGGAAGTTTTCGAGCACGGTGTAAAAGTGGGTCGAGCCGACAATGGCCACGGGCAGGTAGACGCCGGTGACGACGATGGCGAGGAAGTAGCGCGGCACCCTGACGAGGAAGGGGAGGCAGACCTGGGCCGAGAGACCGCACGAGTAGATGGTCGGCGCGACGTTGGCGACGACCGACAGGCAGAACAGGACCATGACAAACTTGGCGGCGCCACCGGCCCCGCTCATCACAAACAGGAGGTTGGGCACGCCAATGTCCGCGGCGGCAGACCAGTGCGGCAGGCTGAAAGCGGCGAGCTGGCATGCGGCGCCAAAGATCTGGATGCAGATGATGGGCACGAGCAGGCCGAGGTAGACGCACAGGAAGAGCGGCACGCGCGGCGTGTTGGACGGCAGAAGGGTGGTCTGGTAAACGTTAGCGATGTACCCTGGTAAACGGTCGTGTGCACGGTCCACAGGCAAAGGCCAAAACAAGCCGCCGCCAGCTTCAGGAGAGCTGGGGTGCGTCTTCCTCGAGCTTGCACATCACGCGCACAGAGCGCGATGAGCTGCGCCTCGCCTGAAGCATCGCGCCCGGGTCCGACTTTGTCTTGACAGCCGTGCCACGCCCGTTTGTTCCTGTACTCACAAAATCCGACGCAATGGCCGAGTACGACACGGTGAATCCGATCTGGCTGGCCGCGTAGCCCAGCACGCCCGACGCAGTGACTGCCGTGGCAGCCGTGGCGGTCTCGCTGACAGCGAGGTGCAGCTTGTCGCCCGTAACGCCCACAAGGACAATGTAGAGCATGAAGACAACCGGGAGGGAGGTGAGGGAGAGAATGTGGAGGGCGCGGAGACCGATGAACGAGAGCTGAGGGAGAAAAAAGTCAGCGCCACCAAGCCTGTTGTTGTAGTAGTCGTCCACTGCTTCTACTACTCACGAGCACGCCAATGATGGCCACAACGACAATTCCCACATCCCAGCTCATCGAACTGTCACTGGCGAGCGACAAGCACTGTCCGCCCAGGATGGTCATGAGCGACAGGAATCCAATGAGCGTCACGCAGTTGGCAAAGCCAATGACCATGGCGGGGAAGTATCCCAGCACGTAGCGCGCCTGGACCATCTGGCGCATTCCCGTGCGTGGGCCGTTGGTAGCCAGGTATGCGGGCGGGAGACACATGACGGCGTTGAACACGACGATGACCCACACCGAGGTCTTGAAGTCGAGGCCGAAGAGGGACGGGCCGAGCATGCCTTCGGAGAACTGCGCGGCTTGTCAGCATGGCAATCTCGTCGAGGGGCATGGCCGCTGCTGCCCATTCGTCTCCAAGCAGCAGTGATAAGCCTCAGGCGCGCCTCACGGTAAGAATGTTGGTGTTGAGCGCCGCCCAGAACGTCAGCTGCGGAAAGTAGCTCCTCCAGCTCAGCCTCTCGCGCTCCTGTATCTCTGTCAGTGTCATATCTTCCACACCATCCACACGATCCTCCGCACTCACGTCCTCTGGCCGCGGCTGGATACCCCTCTCCTCGACGCCGTGCTCGACGAGAAAGTCGCTGACACGCTCAACGCGTCCCTTGAGTCCGACGGGGTAGACCCTTGTCGTCGTCTCGGACAGGTCGGGCGACTGGGTGGGCACAGCGGCCGGATAGGCCTTTTCGTAATCGGTCGACGCCGTCATGGTATGCGTTGTTTGTCCAGCGCTGTCGGCGGGATCAAGGCAGCAGGTAGGGGCGACGCAGGCCTAGCTGTAGTGTGTAAAGCAGAGCAGGAGTCTGCACTGGCGCACTGGCGAGAATGCACGAGTTTTGGGCAAGTTGAGCGAGAAGAGAAATGGAAATTGTGGGCAAACCACCTTGGTTGGCATTATCTACGGGGCCTGACTGACCACGCCTGAACTTTTCTAGTCGGGACCCGAGATCTGGGCGTTCTGTTGCTCCGCTCCGACTGACTCGAAAGGCGCCGCCCACAACGTGACCCAAAGTGGCCAGTGGCCAACAACAAATAAATGACGGCGGCGGCAGCAGCGAGAGACCCTTTTCCTTGCTCTCTGCTCCCTGGCCAGCCTGGAGCGCTGCAGCCCTTCCGAATCGCCCCCGTCCAGTATTGCGTGCGTGAGGCAAAATGCTATTGCGGGCGCTGTTGCTTGGGTTCCGTTGTTCGGAGTAGCCGACGCTTGCCCGCATATCTCGCGCGTAAAATGAGATTGCGAGGCGAGAGGCGAAGCCTCCACCTGTGACCGCACCATCGTGGGCCATACTGTCATCTGACTCTTTGGACAGGCGTTGGAAAAGAAACAGAAGGAGGAAATGGGCAGCGGGGCTGAGGGGCGGCAATGTAGATGCCTGGGTCGTGGGTATCGGGACGCCATAACAAACGGGCAGGCAGATCGCCAACATGCGGTGACCAGTGGCCGTTGACGGCCAGCTGTGTACAGAGCTTGGCAGCTGGCCGGGAGAGGCCAGGATACGACCGCTCGTCCTTGGAACCCTTCTGTACTTCTGTGCTGGTCTTGGCAAATTCCACGGTCAGAACCGATACATCTTCCGTGGCACCGGAACTCTGGCCTTCTTGGAAATAGATCTCCACACGCTCACTCCACTATCGCTCGGCAAACACATCGTCTCGAGCGAGCACATTTCGTCACACCTCCCCTCCTTTTCCTCCGCCCGCCCTCGTCTCTCCCCGTCCGTCCTGCGTATATGTACATGCATCGCAAAACTAACCTTCTTCTAAGCATTCGCGCCCAGGTCCCCGAGGGCAGTGACGAATGCGCTGGGGTTGAGAATCTCGGTACTGCCATATGTGATCTTTTTGCCGCCGCCGCCGCCCTCGCGCTGGCTCCTCGAAGCCCATTCCTGGAGGTTTGAGTACTCGACGTAACCGCCGCCGCCTACGACGAACACCACACTCTCCTGGTACTGCGTGCGGCCGCGGGTGGACGTGTTGGTGGTGTTGCGGCTGCGGGTCGCGCGCGGGTCAAAGAGCAAGTAGTCGTCCGTGTCTTGCAGCGCCTGCGTGGCGGCCGTCGACGGCTCCATGAGGGCCTCGACGAGGCGCGTGATGGTGAGCTCCTTCTTGGCAGGGAGGAAGTTCTTGACGCCCGAGATGATGTTGTCAAAGCCCACACTGGTGATACCGCCTTCGCGCAAGCGGTCCGTGATCTGACATGTCAGTTAAAGAGCACTAAACTCGGAATCCTTCCACTCACGCGGTTGCCAAGAGCGCTAAAGCCCTTGGTCCACTCGCCACCGGGGCCAGTGTTGGTCTGGGCGGCCACAGTCGGCTGCGAGGACATCATCGTCATGCGGGTGATTTCCCGGACCTTCTTGACGTATTCCAGGGCGGCAACGTTGGCACCGTGCTCCTTGAGCAGGTTGGTGATCTCGTTCAGGTCCTCCTTGGACATCTGGTAGGCCGAGAGGTAGTAGATGATGGCGAGACGGAGCTGGTCGTCGGCGGTAGGGTGCGCAATCACACCAGGCTCGTCGGTCTTGCCGTTCATCGCGTCCAGGATGAGCGCCTTGGTCTGCTTCGAGGCACTCTCCTCGAGCTGGAACAGGTTGTCCAGACTGCGCTCCTTGATGGCCTGGAGGAGGGCAGTGGCAATGTTCATGTGCGTGTCGAGGGTGTGCTTGCGCGCAGTGAGCTCGGGGAGGGCGGTAATGGCCGTCTTGAGGTTGGCGGCGTTGGACGTGAAATCAATCTGGGACACGTCGTTGACGTCACTGACACCCGTCGAGCGTGTAATCTCAGCAGCGTCCGCCTTGTAGCGGTTGAGCTCGGTGTCAATGTCCTCGGCCACCTGGGGGAAGGGGTTGCCGGCGTTCTGGGCCCAGAAAAAGTCTTTGGAATCAATGTCGTAAGACTTCTTCTGCAACCGGCCGTTCTCGGGCGACTCGACGGTGACGCGGTTCAGCTTCATGTCGAGAACGTCGTGCACGAGCGCCTGGTACGTCCACGAGTGTGACAACATCGGGATAAGGTCGACATTGCGATCCAAGATGACAAGAACTGGACGTGTGAGCTGGAACAAACTCAAAGAGGAAGCAACTCACGAGGACGCTGCAAGCTGTCGGCACCAAAGCCAGTGCCTCCTCGTTGCGACGAGGTGGACGAAATGTGGTCGCGGAGCTTGGCGTCCAGCTTGCGGGCAACCATCTCGGCAGCGTTGCCTCGGGGCGCGCGAATAACGGGGACGATGCCTGATTGTCAGCTACGTCACGAGGTGATAGCTCACCCATTGTCACAATAACGCTGAAGAGTCCCTTGGCGATACGCTCCACCTCCTCCTCAATCTCCACCTCGGTCGCCCTGGGGTCGTTCAGGACCACATAGCTGGGCTTTCCATCCACCTCCTTCTCAGGCTTGCTGCCCTTCTTAGACCCAGCGCCGTTGACCTCGCTCTTAACCTCCCGGCGGGGCAGGAGCGAGAAGAGGCTCGGTGAGGGAACCACAAAGTCCAGGAACTGGTCGTGAACCGACTGGATAAGCTGACCAGACTGGCCTGTAGGGTCGTTGGCCAGGATGAGAGATGCCAGCTCCTCGAGGAGATTGCGCGGGAGGGCAGAAGTGAAAGAGAGGTGGTAGGCAGAGTAGAGAGGCGGGTTCAGGTCCTGTCTTGTCAGCTACGAGTTGATACCGTGAAGCTCACCTCTGCAATCCTACGAATGTTTGTCAACGTCGGGGACACAAAGTAGACAGCAGGGACGTCCTGGAGCGCTGGCCTCTGGGTGTGGAGTTGCCTGTACAGTTGTCAGTGACACGGGCGCGAAGTCCAACTTACATGTGCAGCGTCACGCCCTGCTCGCGCAGGTCCTGGACACGCAGACTGGTAGCAAGGATGTCCTTGCTGAGGTCATCGAGGATAAGGACCTTCCATACCAGAGGCTGGGAGCTCTCGTCAAATGTGGTGGAAGGGGTTGCTGGGCGGGGAAAGGGGCCGGTGACAGAGGAGCCAGCGTTGGCTGCTGGCGCCTGGTTGAGGTTGAGGAGGGTGAGGAGGGCGTTTGTCTGCGAGTCGAGAAGTGTAGAGGGGGACATTGTTGCGCAGTGGTGACAAGGTTCTGCGCGACAACGGGAAATGAGAGAAAGGGCGACAGCTGCAGATGCTCTATCGCAGCGTTGGGACAATAGCCGCGCCAGGTGTGCCAGACCGACATCGAGAGAGGTGTGCGCGTCAGGCTTGGTGGCGTGGAAGTTGGAGATCTCGCACGTGACTTTTGCATGGCTATCGCGTGGCCGTCACGTGGTCTATTCCCTGACTCGACCAGTGTGGGCCGCGGGGGGAGGATTTCTTCCCTCGTCGTTCAACAACTGAAGTTGATCTGGCTCCTCAGCACTCGCATCGTCATCGCCGCCGTCCTCCTCAACGCTCTCATCCAGCGGGCGGCTAGACTCCTGGCGCATCAACAGCGACAACCACACACTGAAAAAAGGGAGTCGGTCAGCAGCCTGCACCACCCATCCACTGGAACACATCCTCTCGCCTCTCTTCCCCGTCCCCCTCCTCCACAAGGTATCCCTCCAGCCGTTGACTTTTGTCGCCGCGGGCGCGTTCGGTCAAGATGGACGTTGACGAGTTCGTCGACCACAATGCCAAGCAATTTGTCTCCCAGGATGCTCCCAAGCGCATGTGAGTTGAAATGCCGCGGTCTGCGCACACCAACTGACGCTTCTCAGAAAGCACATTGCTTTCCAGCCATTTGCGCCAAAGGACATTGTCCGTGTATCCGAGGTTGAGGTTACTATTCCCGAGCTGTACAAGAACCACGAGGATGGCTCGCGTACTACTGCTCCCCATGGGCCCCTCGATGCCCGTCTCGGTCCCAACGAGAAGGGTGGCATCTGTACCACCTGTCACGAGGACCACACCCACTGTGTTGGCCACTACGGTTTCGTCAAGCTTGCGCTCCCCGTCTTCCACATTGGTTACTTCCGTCCGACTATCAACATGCTCCAGTGTATCTGCAAGGTCAGTGAAGCTCTTGATGGTCACTAGCACCCAGCTGACGCTCCAGACCTGTGCTCGTGTCCTGCTTCCCGCTGAGGAGCGTGGTATCTACCTTAAGCGTTTCCGCCGCCCCAAGCTGGAAATGCTTCAGCGCCAGGGCGCGTCCAAGGGTGTGCTCGCCTCGTGCAAAAAGATCACTACCTGCCCGTACTGCTTTGCCTCCAACGGTATCGTCAAGAAGTCGGGCACGCTCAAGATCTCGCACGAGCCGTACCGTTCCAACAAGAACGCCGACGCAAAGCAGGAGTGGCTGTCCAACTTCAAGACGGTCATCTCGGAGCAGGGCGCCATGGCGACTCACCTCAACAAGTCCGTCGAGGACCTGAACCCTCTCAAGGTGTACGAGCTTTTCCGCCGCGTCACCGCCGAGGACTGTGAGCTCCTCTCCCTCCACCCCGATAGCGGTCGCCCCGAAGACTACCTCTGGACGTACATTTCAGTCCCTCCTCCTTGCATCCGTCCCTCGGTGGCCTCCGAGGCTGGTAACAACGAAGACGACCTTACTGCCAAGCTCGTCGAGATTGTCAACCAGAACCGCATGCTTTTGTCGGTCATGGAGAAGGGCCAGGGTCTGTCGCAGACCATTGCCAACTGGGACGCTCTCAGCCAGATGGTCGCGTTGTACATCAATTCGCAGACCCCCGGTATCAACACTGCTGGCTCCAAGCCTATCCGTGGCTTTGTCCAGCGTCTAAAGGGCAAGAACGGTCGTTTCCGTGGAAACCTTTCCGGAAAGCGTGTCGACTTTTCGGGCCGTACTGTTATTGGTCCCGACCCCAACCTGCGCATTGACGAGGTCGCTGTCCCCGAGAAGATTGCCGTCAAGCTCTCGTACCCGGAGCGCGTCAACGACTACAACATGGAGGCGATGCGCAAGGCCGTTGTCAATGGTGCCAGGCTGCACCCGGGAGCCAACATTATCGAGACTGGCCGCGGTCCTTACCCCCGTCGCTCGCTCCAGCCCATCAAGGACATGGAGCGCCGAAAGGAGATGGCCCGTAACCTGCGCATCGGTGACATTGTCCACCGTCACGTCCGTGACGGCGACATTGTACTCTTCAACCGTCAGCCTTCGCTCCACAAGATTTCAATCATGTGTCACCGTGTCCGTGTTCGCCCTTGGCGTACTTTCCGTCTCAACGAGTGTGTGTGCAACCCTTACAACGCCGATTTCGACGGTGACGAGATGAACTTGCACGTCCCCCAGACCGAGGAGGCTCGTACCGAGGCCCTTACCCTCATGTCGGTGAAGAAGAACCTAGTCACCCCCCGTAACGGAGAACCCATTGTCGCCGCCATTCAGGACTTTATCACCGCGTCGTACCTCCTCTCGAGGCGAGATCGCTTCCTGGATCGCCAGCAGTTCACCCAGATCTGCTCGTACTTTGGCGACGCCAACATTGAGATTGAACTCCCGCCCCCGACTATTTGGCGTCCCGAGCGCCTCTGGACCGGAAAGCAGGTGTACAACTTGCTCATGCGCCCGAACAAAAAGTCCAACGTCCTGGTCAACCTCGAGTCCAAGTGCCGTACTTTGGAAAAGCCCAAGGAGGAGGACAAGTTTATTGTCGACATGTCCCCCAACGACGGTTACCTCGTTATCCACAACAGTGAGATCATGTGCGGTGTCTTTGACAAGAGCACTGTCGGAGACGGTAACAAGAAGTCGGTGTTTGGTGTTATTCTTCGCGACTATGGACCGAACGAGGCTGCCAATGCCATGACGAGGCTAGCCAAGCTCTCGGCCCGCTGGCTCGCCAACCAGGGTTTCTCGCTCGGTATCAACGACGTTATCCCTGGCCCCATGCTCCAGGCCGACAAGAACAACCTGGTCGACACCGCCTACGAGACCTGTGACGAGCTCATCCACCTCGCCAAGCGCGGAAAGCTCGTCAATGACCCCGGGTCCAACCAGGAGCAGACCTTGGAGAACAAGATTTCCGGTATCCTCTCCAAGGTTCGTGAAAAGGTCGGTGAGGTGTGCATGACAGAACTTAGCCGTCACAATGCCCCTCTTATCATGGCCACCTGTGGTTCCAAGGGTTCCAAGATCAACGTCGCCCAGATGGTCGCCCTAGTCGGACAACAGATTATTGCTGGTAAACGTGTCGCCAATGGTTTCCAGGACCGTTCGCTGCCCCACTTCCGTAAGAAGAGCAAGGACCCGCCCTCGAAGGGTTTCGTCCGCAACTCTTTCTTCACTGGTCTCACTCCTACCGAATTCCTCTGTCACGCCATTTCCGGTCGTGAAGGTCTCGTCGACACTGCAGTCAAGACTGCCGAGACTGGTTACATGGCGCGTCGTCTCATGAAGGCGCTCGAGGACCTGTCCACGCAGTACGACCTCAGTGTCCGCAACTCTGTCGGTGGTGTCGTGCAGTTCCGTTACGGTGACGACTCGCTCGACCCCGCCTGTTTGGAAGGTGACGCCACCCCCGTCGACTATGTCCGTTCATGGTCGCACGCCTGCAACACTGTCGGCAAGGGCGGTGTTGCCCTCTACCCGTACCAGATTTCGCAGATTGCGCTCCGCATCTACCCCGAGTACCTGGAGACTCTGTGGGAGGAAGAGGAGGAAGAGCAGATGCCCTTCAAGCGTGGCCAGCGCCAGCACGCACGCAGCAAGAGGGCCAAGCCTGAGATCCCCGCCGTCCCCGCCGAGTGGCAGCAGGTCGAGACAAAGTACCGCGAGAACACTTTCCTGTTTGTTATCAATGGTATTGTCAAGCCCATGGCTGTTCAGCGTGCTGCTCGTGGCATGCCCTCGGCCGACACTGCCGACGGTATCGAAGAATACGAGGAGCTCTTGCGATCGGACGACTTTGCCGTCCAGCAGGTCCTCGACAACGCCCACAAGGTTACGGCCGAGCAGCTCGAGTCGTTCCTCGAAAACTGTCGTGTCCGCTACCTCCTTGCCACCATTGAGCCCGGATCCACTGTTGGTGCCGTTGGTGCGCAGTCGATCGGTGAGCCCGGTACCCAGATGACCCTCAAGACTTTCCATTTCGCCGGTGTCGCGTCCATGAACGTCACTCTCGGTGTCCCGCGTATCAAGGAGATTATCAACGCTGCAAAGGTCATCTCTACGCCTATTATCACTGCGGAACTGGAGCGCCCCAAGGACGAAATGGTCGGCCGTATCGTCAAGGGTCGTATTGAGCGCACCACCCTCGGTGAGATTGCGTCCATCATTGAAGAAGCCTGGACGGGCGGCGGCGCGTTCCTCGAGGTCCACCTCGACATGAGGGCCATTCAAAAGCTCCAGCTCGAGATTACGCTTGACAGCGTCAAGGTCTCGCTCATTCTCGCTCCCAAGCTCAAGATCAAGGAGAGCGACGTGACCATCAACTCGAAGAAGGGGCGTCTCAAGATTTACGTCAACGACACGGGAGACAAGGACAAATTTGACGGAGTCTACGAGCGCCTCAAGTACTTGAAGCGCCTGATTCCCGATGTCCAGGTCAAGGGACTTCCCGAGGTCAACCGTTGTGTTATCGCCCACCCGGAGGGACGCAATGACGAGCACACCGTTCTCGTCAACGGTTACGGTCTTACCCAGGTCATGGGTACCGACGGTGTCAACGGCTACAAGACGACCACCAACCACGTCATGGAGACGTGCAAGGTTCTCGGTATCGAGGCCGCCCGCCAGACCATTTACGACGAGATTCAAAACACCATGATTTCGCACGGAATGAACATTGACCCGCGTCACGTCATGCTTCTCGGAGACGTCATGACGTACAAGGGTGAAGTGCTCGGTATCACGCGTTTCGGTGTCCAGAAGATGAAGGACTCGGTTCTCATGTTGGCCTCGTTCGAAAAGACCACCGACCACCTGTTCGACGCGTCTCTCTTCTCCAAGGTCGACGAGATCGAAGGTGTCTCCGAGTGTATCATCATGGGTACCCCGGCCCCCGGATGCGGTACCTCTGTCGCCTCGATCGTCACTCCGGCACCCTTGCTCCCGCCCAAGAAGGCACTCCTCTTCGAGTCGGCATACAAGCAGGGCAAGGAGCGTCGCGAAGCCGCAATGGACCTCGACGAGTAGTGTGTTTCGGTCGCTTTCTTCATTTGCCGCAACCCCCTTCAAATCCCTTCATCCCCCCTCTCCCACCCCTATCCCACATATATAGCATATTCCCTCGCATTAAGCGGTTCCGGGGCTTGCAAAGCCAGCCTGATATCATGCATTGTCACAGCAGCCGTGTCTATAAACCCTGCAGCAGCGCACCTCAGTCTCTTCGTCTTGGTCTTCACTCTCTGTATGTTGTGTGGCATCATTAATTGTACGGCAAAGAGTTACGGAAACCCCGTCCCAAATTAGATGTGGAGCTTCTCAGCAAGGACCTTCTTGACCTCGGCGTAGACCACGTCGGTCGAGGGGCTGGCGTCGACGACGACGGCGAGACCCTTCTCCTTGTAGTACTCGACGACGGGCATCGACGTCTCGCGGAAGGTGACGAAACGCTTCTTGAGCGACTCGACGTTGTCGTCGGCACGGCCCGAGGTCTTGGCGCGGCCCATGACGCGCTCGACCATGACCTCGTCCGAGGTGTCGAAGAAGAGGACGAGCGAGTTCTGGACAATCTAAAAGCACAAACAGTCAGTATGACGGGGGGAACAATGACGACCGGGTTCAGGTTTTGGTTAGACAGACAATCTTGTGTACCTGGAGGCCATAAGCCGGTCGCGTACGCGGGTACTCACCACCTTGTCAAACATGAGGGCCTGGTCCATCTTGCGCGGGAAGCCATCGATGAGGAAACGGCCCTTGCCCGACTTCCAGGCGTCGTTGTTGGGGGGGTTGGCGTAGGCCTCCGACATGGCGTTCTCGAGGAGCTACACAAGAGTGTCAGCGATGATACCGAGGGCCAAAAGGTTTCGGCCCGGCTTGGCTTCCAGACTGCCAAAGTCCGAGATCCAGATCCCCGATCTTCTCTCGGCCGCGATCTTGGGGCTCGACGTGAAACTCGTGCTTCTCGGACCAAACGTCGTCGTCCACACCAGAGTGACGAACATTGCGACCACATACACTCGCACTGACGAGGCTCTGACGTCGTGGCCCCACCGTCGGCATTTCGTCACTCGCTACACACCTTGATGGTGACCTCCTGGGGGACAATGAGGCCGTCCTTGATGTACTGGCGGATAAGGTCACCGTACTGCGAGCCAGCGCGGTCCTGCTCGGCACGGAGGAGGTCACCAGCTGTAGCGAGTCGTCAGCTCAACCAACGTGGGGCGAGAGTGCGAGGCGTACCGGAGAGGTGCACGAAGCCGTAGTCCTGAACCAGGAGCGCGCACTGGGTGCCCTTGCCTGTGTATAGTCAGTATCGGGCTCCCTTCCAAGCGTCCAAGCCAAGCTCTCGCAGCTGACGGCTCCACGGAGTGCGCCATAGCTTGGCCGCACTTGGACTTGTCAAAAGCACACTTACTGGGGAGGTTAGCTAACGTCGTCTGCTACAATCAATATGTCACTGCAAGAGTCAGCTACGGCCGTGCATGTCATGATAACGTACCGTACCCAGCGCCGGGTCCACCAAGGACGAAGACGACGTCACAGCTGTCCTTCTCAAAGACGGGCTTGTCGGAAGGGAAGAGAGCCGCCATGTCGGGGAGAGCGAGAGGAGCCATTTTGCGGGAGAGAGTGTGCTGGTGGTGTGGTGGTCTAGAGTCGTCTACGAGCGAGGCCGAGATATTTATATGAGGTTTAAAAGATGTAGTGACAGGGAGAGCGAGAGAGAGAGAATGAGAGGATGAGAGAATGAATGCGAGAGAGACAGCTGAGTTCAATGCCGAACGCGAAGTGACGGGGACGGGCTCTCCTCCAAAGACCACACACCCCACATGGCGCGCGCGCGATCGGCCAGGCCACGACTCGGTGCCTGGACGCGACCTACAGGCAAAATAAGCCCCCAAAGCCAGTGGCCAGTCGGTGGCACCCCTCGTCCACACCAACTGGCCTGTGGACTGGATCCACTAGCTCTCCATGCAACTAGATGATCATGCTGCGCCAGATCGATATGCATACAACAGTGCAAAATGAATCCTCTACTCACGGCCCTCGGGGCCGGCCATGTTCGCCTCCTCAAGCGCACGCTTGGCCATCGTCTTGAGCACCTCGGGCTTGTCTCCAAACTCGACAAGACGCAGCCTCAACGCGTAGCACACTGCATGTCAGCGGCTGAATAAACAAGAACGGCACAGGCCACTTACCCTTCTCAATCTTCTCCAGCGAACGCGTGGTCTCCTCCTGCTTACGGTCCAGCTTGGGGACCATTTTAGGGGGGATGGCATCAAAGACTGCGGGTGTCAGCTACCACGACGCATACTGGGAGCTGAGGCTTACTGAGCTTGACGTCGCGCACAAAGCTGCAGACCGCAAGGGGGACATCGTGGTCGCCGGTACTCAGAGCTAACTGTCAGCAATGTCACTCGGATTGGTGCATTTTAGCCTCACCGTTCGTGGCGTAACGCATAAGCTCTCCAGTCAGGTCCGACATGCCCAGGATGTAGTCCTGGGGCGTGATGATAATAAGCTGCTGGGTCAGTCACATGCCAGCTCCCATTAACCCACAGGTGCACCAGACTCGTCGCTAAGAGCCTTCTGAAGCTCGGCAAGGGGTGCAAGCTCCTTGGTCTCGAGGTAGTAGAGGAAGGTGTAGGCCTCAATGTACTCTTCGAGGCCACCGGTACTGTCGTTAGGTCCGATTCTGCCAGAGATTAACCTACATGCGGTCCTTGAACTGCCAGAAGTTCTCGTTGCCGCCGTCGTCAGCGCCAATGGCGAGCTGGGCGCGGATCGCCACAAAGTTGGCGTGGATTTCGCGCTCCTTGTCGCGGCCGTCCTTGAGGTTCTTGGCACGAGCGGCAGGGGGAGCAGTGGCACCACGGTGGCAGTGGAAGATGAGCTTCTTGGAAAGCTGGGTGATAGCGCGCGAGCGGATAATGATCTGCTCACGACGCTCATTCTGTTCGCGGTGGTCAGCAGTCCGCTAAGCACTGTTGTACCCACGGCCTCATCCAGCTCGCTGCGGTAGGCCTCAAAGGTCTTGGCGAGGTGCTCGCGGCGGGTCATTGTGGGCGCGATGGGCGCTGGGACAGCCTCTTCCATGGCAACGTCGGCCATATTGTGTGTGGATAGTGCGAGGAGGTGGTGAAGTCCGAAATCTTGGGACGGCACAGGAATAATATGGAGGTCCAGGGCGACGACAGATGATGGGGTCACGTGATTATTAGAATGGACAATTAGAATACCTGGTTAATCCTTTCTAATCGGCCCATTGCCGCCTGGCTTGACGCGTGTCCACAACAAGTCGTGACGTCGGTCATCTTCCACCTTCGCAACTGTGCTCTACACTATCCGCGATGGCGTCTCTTCGTCGCCCGTCACAACTCTTCACGGGCAAGTCCGGTAAGCCCGAGCCGTCGATGGGTTCGCGCCCGCGCAACCCCAGCGGCGGCCAGAACCGCGATGCTCGCAAGTCGACCGTCGAAACCAGGATGAAGTCGAGGCGAATGAGTATGAGGTGAGTTGCTGCATGGCGCCCGCGCTTCTATCAATTGCTGCTATCAAAGTAGTCTGTGACTGACAGATGCAGGTATGCTGGACCCGAGTCCTTTGGCGTCGGGCAGGCCGGCGGCGCCAACTTCTTGATGTCGGATCCCTACCAGTTCCAGCTCGATGTCGCCCCACCAATCCAGGAGGAGGACGAGTACGACTATGACGCCTCTCAAGCTCCAGTGCGCATGTCCCCGTCTGTTCGTCCTGGCAGTTTGTACGACGCGTCTCCCAGGTCGTTTGCCGAGCGTCAGCTCGAGGCGGAGGATGCCCAGGGTGGCAGCGCGCAAGACGAACAGATCCGGCGGCGAGGCCAGGCCGAGCCCGTTCACGAGTGGGACTTTAGTGACTTGGGCAAGAGCGATGTCGATGTTGCAGCATGTGGGTTCTATTGTGGCGGGCGACGCTGACAGACAGTCATTCGCAAAGCATTGGCCGGTGCAGACAAGGAGGAGAAAAAGCGCTTTATTGCTGCGCTTCAAAAGCAAAAGGATGTCAGCGCCAGTGATCTCCAGAAGAATGTCTTTAAGCAGTAGGTGCTATTTTCCGCACATTAGCTAAAGCACCCAGCTATGCCGAGTTTGTCAACATCTCCAAGGAAATATCGACACTCGAAAACGACATGCTGGAGCTCAAGGAGCTCCTGAACGAGTGGAAGACTGTGCCGCAGCTGATGGGCATGGACGACACCCTTGCCCCCACACTTGACAAGGAAGGCAACGTTGATCGCCACCGTTACCACCGTCGCAACTCGCCCATGGACCTGCAGCAAATGTACAAGGTGCAGCTCAGCAACCTGTGGTCGTCTGTCGAGGGCTCGCAAAAGTACATTCCGTTTGTGACGGGACGCCACCTTGTTTACGAGACCCACGGCTTCGTCGAGCTCAACGCCGCCACGTACAAAGCCAAGCAGAACGTCTCGCTATTCCTTCTCAGCGATGTCCTCCTCGTTGCGGGACGCAGGAGGTTCAAGGCTGGGCCCAGTGCCTCCACCAGCCCGGATTACGAGCGTGGTCGCATGGTCGCAGAGCGGTGCTGGGTGTTGACCGACCTTGTGGTGATTGACCTCAAGGACAGTGGAGGTGGGTGTTCCAGGATTCTGAATCAAACCGCTAATGTCAGACCTCACGAACGCACTCAAGATCAAGCGCGGCAAGGAGGTGTGCGTGTGTCGTGCCGCCAGGCCAGAGGACAAGAAGGCTCTGTTGAGCGCCTTCCGTCAAGTGTCCCAGGAGCTCGCCGAGAAGCGGCGCAAGGAGAGCGAGGCAGAGCAGGAACGCAGGAAGACGCTCTGGCACGGCGAGGCATCGACCAACCGCATGACCCGCATGTCCTTGTTCATGGATGGCGGCGGCAATGCCCGCCCGCTAACAACCATCGGCACGTCTGTCACCGATGACTCGGATCTGCTGTGGATCGACGAGTACGGAGACGACCTCACCATGGCTATTGCGACGCAGGACTGGGATCAGGGCGTCAAGCTGGTCGAGCGAGGGCAGGATCTGCTGCGTACTGTGGCGAACAATGCCACAGCTACTGAACTGCTCAAGTTTAAACTTGACACCCTACGTCCCAACCTCATCACCCAGATTGCCAAGGACCTGGGCTCGCCCGACATTCGCAAGGCTGCGGCTGCCCAGCTCATTGCTCTTCTCCAGCGCCTCAGCCGTGCCGAGCTCGCGCGCGATACCTTCCTGAAAGCAAGGCACGACTTGATGCTGCGTCTGGTCCGCACGATCAAGCACGAGGGTGACATTAGCATGTATGTCCACGAGCTCTCCGTGGTGTGTTTTACGATCGTCCGCCACACGTCCGACTGGTACATGAATGCGTTCAAGGATAACGCGATGGCATCTGGTGGGTTAGCCATATCCCGTCACGACTAACCGTTCAGGCTTTGTCACTTGGGCAAAGGAGCAGATCGACTACTTTGGTGACGTGTTCCGTCGTCAAGTATATGCGCCGACTATCGACCAAGCGGTTATCGACGAGTGCCACAAGGTTACTCTCTCTGCCAACCGAAAGCTCCTGCGCGACGCTGGCCTCGACTTTACCTACCTCCTCAACGCTGTTACTGCTCGGGATGTCAGCAGTCCCTCGACGTCTACTTTCCAGGAAAGCAAGTCGTCGAACCGTGGGTTCCGCCGCGACACACATATGCCTGGACCGACTGTCAGTCTGGCTCCACCAGCCCTGGCCAAGTCGACCAGCAGGTCACCACACAGCACCGCATCGTCACTCGAGTCAGAGTCGCATCTCTCCACACCACTGTCAAAGTCCGCAAGCCGGTCGCCTGGTGCGGCGCAGGCTTCGCTCCCTACCCCGGATCTGTCTAGAGGCAACACGGCGCCGTTGTCCATCAACCGCCGGCGCGGTGACAGCAGTGCCAACCGAGCTGGTCTTCGGGACATCAGTGGCGCAAGCATGGTGAGCGTCAGCAGCGCCAACAGCGCCATGTCAGCGAGCACAACCGGTACGGCATCTCCTGCCCCTCGCCCGCCACCCAGGAGCGACCGCCGGTCTCGAGCTCCGCAGCTCTAATGATGTATTGTATATAGAGTGCCTACATGCTAGTATGACGGGTGACTATGCTATATGCGCCTGTTTCTTTTTTTTTCTGCTTCTTCCTCTTTTGCTCCCATGTTCAGATCTATCCGAACATCTTGGAGTAGGCCTTCTTCTCGGCATCCTTGCGGGCCTTGGTGCGGACCTCAATGTCGCGAATAGCGTTGAGGACACCGGCGTCACCGGGGACAGAAACGAGAGCCTCCTTGAAGTCCTTCTCGGCGGCCTCGTCCTCCTTGAGAGCGGCGCGGCCGAGACCACGACGGTAGAGGGCCTTGCCCTTCTCGGCGGCCGAGAGGTTGTCGACGTTGAGCGCGCGAGTAGCGAGCGAGACGGCGAGCTTGTTCTGGCCGACCTTGAGGGCAGCGAGGGCAGAGTTGGTCAGGAGAGGGAAGCGGCTAGCATGTCAGCTTGATTATGAGGAGTGGCAGCTTACGTGTTGCGGTACGACTCGACGAGCTTGGTGTCGGCATCGTCCGGGAGCGCGGGGTGGACGTCGAGGTAGCGCAGGGCCTTCTGGTACTTGGCGAGGGCGACGACAAAGTTCTTGTCCTTGAACTCACTGGTGCCAACGTCCTTGAGCGTGAGGGCGACCTTGAGGGCCTCCTCGGGCTTCTCGGCGTCAATCTTCTCCTCGTCGGCGGGGTAGTCCTCAAAGACGTCCTCGCCGCCCGACGACGCGGCGGCAGCGGCGCGCTCGCGCTTGGCGTCCTCCTCAGCGACCTCCTCGGCGGAAAGGACACCGGCCGAGATGATGGTGACGTCGTCCTCGGGCTTGTCGCCGGCGCTAGTGGGGATGTCCTCGATACGGCGGATGAGAGCGCGGTTCGAGCGGACGCGGCCAAAGACCACGTGCTTGCCGTCCAGGTGAGGAGTGGGAACGGTGGTGATGAAGAACTGGGAGCCGTTCGTGTTGGGACCGGCGTTGGCCATGGAGAGGAGCATGGGCTTCTCGTGCTTCAAGGTGAAGGCCTCGTCGGCAAACTTCTCGCCGTAGATGGACTCGCCGCCAGTGCCGTCGCCGCGAGTAAAGTCACCACCCTGGAGCATGAAGCTGGTTCTTGTTAGCTCTGACCAGCATGACCAGCCGCGTAGCTTACCCCTTGATGCAGCGGTGGAACGACGAGCCGGCGTAGGCGAGCTTGGTGCCAGCGGCGTTGGTCTTGTCACCAATGCAGAGGTGCTTGAAGTTCTCGACGGTCTGCAGTGCGTTAGCTATGTACACAGTTGGACAGCTAAGCCGAAGCGGACGGTACGCACCTTGGGAACGACATCGTCAAACAGCTCAAACTCGACACGCGAGGGCGAGCCGCCGTCGATGGCAATGTCAAAGTAGGCAACAGTGTTGGGCATGTTTGGTAGATGTTGTTTTGGTGGGATTGAACGAGGAGGGAGAGTAAACGGTAACCGAATACATTGATCACCGAGGAACCCCTCGTCTGGACGTGACGACGAGGCACAGGGCGAGGGCTGTGGAATTCGAGCAATTTCCAGGGCTTCTTCCGATCTTCGGCAACAATTCCACGTCTGTGGCTACATTCTCCGGTCTTCCACAGCGCGTCAGATATCTTGCATAGACAGCTATGTATGAACCAGAGAGTCCGCCAAGGCGCCCGCATGATCTTTCAGAAGCATTGACTGTATTTTGTCGTGTTCTTCCTAGACGGGCAAATGAACAAAACATCAAGGCTCTCGTGGTGTAGTGGCTATCATACTTTCTTAGGGTCCAGTACTGGTCTCTAATCCTCCTCCGATTCGTCTCCGTTCTCTAGCTATGGAAGTGGTCCTGGGTTCAAATCCCGGCGAGGGCCTTCGTTTTTGGCCGTATGCACAGCTGCTATGCATCTGCGTGTTGTCCTGGAGCTGTTGGATGGAAAAGAGCAGTCGGGCGGATGGTTTGGTGGTTGAAACGTCGATGTGTGGCAATGGCCGCGGTTGTGGGTCATTTCCGCGCGAGGCGAACAACCGGGGGTCTGTGGGATCTCTGTCCGGGCTGCCGTGGTGAATGAGTGAGTGCCCAACATACAGTCTTGGTTTCCAGCGTGTCAAGTTGCAGCGGGGTGACTCTTGAACTCGCAACAGACAAACTAGGCCGGGAATCGGAAGCCGCTAACAGATGCCACCCCCGTACCACCGCCTCGCTTGGCCTCCAGTCCCCGACACTGTGATCAATACAGAACATAGCGACTAGCTGCTTGGCCTGTGTGAGAGGCATGCATTGGGTGATATTTGTACAACTTTCTACTAATTTATTATGAACGCGGTGCATAGGCAGAAGACGACAGTTGGCTTCAGTTCCCTGGAGGCCCCACTTCCTTCAACATCCAATAGGATTCTTCCGCTATGTCTCACATTGTTCCACCGTTCCCAACTCAACATGTGTTGGATATGGAACGAGCAAAGAGCCCAGGATCAGGGCTACATCGTGGAACTGTGCTGCGCATCTGGGGGTCTGCATGTGATCTGTAACGGAGCAGACGAACACGCAACTACCCTATGGCTCAGTTGGCTAGCGCGTGGAGCTGTTACTCTTTAACAAACTCCGAGGTCCACGGTTCGAGCCCGTGTGGGGTAGGAACGTCTTCTTTTTGGACCTTGTGCATTCCCAGAGACGTGTGGGAGACGCTGGAAGAGAGTGGGAGGTCAAAAGGAAGATGTAGATGGTGGTTGGCACTAGTGCGCCCTCGGCAAACTTTTTTCCGATGAACTGCCACACACGCCCACCTGTTCACGAGCTTTGCCGCGCTTGTTGTCCTTCTTGGTCCTACTGGCAAGTAGCGATATATACATGACGTTCATGGGCTTCCTCTTTTATATGTCTAACTATGTTCTTTAGGGGATCTCTACCTACGGACAAACTTTCGCAGCACCCCGCGCAAGTTGGCAATCTTATCCGACTTGCCGGACATCTTGGCGGCCAAGTTCTCATTCTCCTCTTCGAGGTCTTTGACGCGCGCGCCCAGCGCCTCGTTCTCCGCTTCCAGCCGGCCAACCATTCTCGACAGCGCCGAGAGACGGTCGCGCTCCACTTCCTCTGCCTGCCTGTCCCTGTCCACCACGGCCGCAGCGATAGCCTCAGCCGTCTCGGCAGGCAGCGCGCGGAGGAGGAAGGACAGCTGGGACGATGGGGAGCGCGGGGTGGAGTGAACGACCGAGACGGTGTCCGAGTCGGGCGAGTTGGGCTCGGTCATGCCGCAGTGACCAGTTTGGAGGTGAGATGGGGTCCCGGAGGACGGTGATGAGCGGACATGTCCCTCGCCGTCGGCGTTGTAGTCGTCGTCGTCCCCACCCTGCGAGGATGACGATGAGGCCCATGCGGGCAGAGTTCGCGCCGAGGCCGGGGTACACAGAACGCTGGGGATGTGCTTGTGCGGCGAGTGTCTGAGCGAGGTCGGATCGACGTATCAATATCACGTGGGTGGGTAGACACCTCCTAGTTCGTACTCACGGTGGCCTCAAGAACGGGTGACGGTTTGGTGTCGCGGGAAAGTTGGTGGCCAGCTGGAGCTCGCTGATGGGCTCCAGAGGTGCTCGGCGCTTGCGGTCGATCTCGAGCGGAGTGTCGGGAGCCTTGCGCTTACGCAGTTTGAGGACGTTCATGGTGAAGCGATGCGGTATGTGGTGTGTAGGTTTTGACCCATGGGTTGAAGGTGTCGGGCGCAAAGGACAGGGCCTGGTCTGGCTGTGCGCTGGTCGATGTCGTCTCGGGGTTGTCCAAGTCCTTGAACACACAAACAGCGGGTGGCGACAAGTTGGAGAGGTGTATAGAACAAAAGCGGTGACAGTGTTCTGATGGGAACATGTCAACAAACCTGAGGCACGCGAGAAGCCAGAAAACACAGCAGTCGCGTCCCGAGCCGCAAGCCTAGCGGACGGTACGGGTGCGGTCGGCCAATGCCAGGCGCGATCCGAGCACACTTGAACTGGGGTCAGAGCCCAGAGTGAAGCTTTCATGAAGCCCGTGCGCCGCCAACATCCTGGGTGGCGTGTGACCCCCTGAAGATGGCAAGTGGAGGTAAGCGATGCAATAACTGGGGTGAGTGGCATGGGAAGAGTTCATGAAGACTAGGTATATGAGTTCTGGTTGAAGTCAGATGGAGAGGAGATCGCTGTAAGATAAATGAATAAATTGAGCGTGGTACTTGGTCAACGAGGAGTGAAATTGCCTGTTCCTTGGTTGAATAAATGCACAATTATGAGGTCTATGGTTTGTTGTCAGAAAATATACACTCCATACTGGTACGGCAAAGTCTTTGAAGGGGATCATAGGCCTCCAGAAGGGTTCCCGGGACGAGAGGTTGCTGGAATTATGGTGGTATTTGCGTTCTATGATGTTTTTGCCAGTGTCGCTGCCGACCCATTAAAAGTCGTGAGATAATATTTTACATGCCGTCTTGACGTTGATATGGGTTGCCACACTCCACAGGAGGCCACTCTAGTCGAACAGACCCGTCAAGGCTGCTGGGAGTGACGCAGCCAATTGTCCACCTCGCTGTCGTCAAAGCCCCACTGCCCGTCATTCTGCAGCCACTCGCCCATACTCGGCGTCTTGATACCGAGGTTGTGGGCATAATTGAGGATGTCGACCATGTCCACTTGGCGATATTCTCCTGTCGAGAGAAGTGGGGCCACTGCCGGCAGGTTGATGAGCGAAACAGATACGTCTCGGGTGGCCATGGCTGCCCGCTGGGTCATGCCTAGCGCGAGACCGTCGACAAGCCGCCCAAGCCAGGTACCGTGTACGCCGGAGCTGTCGCAGCCGGGACGAGGAGAGGGGCGCCATAGTGCGCCTTGAGGTGTGTGGAAGACGAGGCACAGTTCCAGCTGCGTTGTTGATTGTCCTCGGTTCTGCTCCCAGACACCCAAGTTGTCAAGAAAGTAGATGACTCCGTCGGCCGAACAGCCCGCCGCTTCGTATTTCATGTTTGTACCAACGATAGCTGATTCGGACGGGATGACGAGCACGATACGGTCGAGTTTACGCCCCAGCTCATGCGGCACGAGTGTATCAGGAATACGGGAAAAGAGGAGCGGCGCGCCGCGAATGACGAGGGTGGACGGTTCCAGTCCCGTGAGCAGGTCGCACGGCGCCGACACTGACGAGTGTGGGTGCGAAGGTGTGTGCAAGCCAGTGTGTTGTCCTCGGAGCGCCACTGGGTGGGCATGCTGAAGGCGAACCACACGGAGGTGTGGGAGCTGAAGCCGGACGTGCATGAGCAAGTCGGGCGGATGTGCGTCAATCACCAGCTCACGGACCATATCCGCTGGACGGCTGAGACGTTGAGGACGACTTGTATCGGGATCGTTGCACAGAAACATTGGCCGGCCAGGTTGCGCGAGCGGTACGCGTAGCTGCTTGTACAGGTGCTGCATGGCTGTGGCCGCAAAGAACGAGTTGACCTGGATGGCGGCATGGAGCGTCCCCCGCGAGACGAGTGCCAGTATATCCGCGAGCACTTCTACCGGGAACGGTGAGAGGCCGTGCGGGGCCACCCCAAAGCCGTTGTAAACGTCGGCCATGGGATGAGGTAGGTGGGGACCAGCGTTGAACGTGAGGTTGGTGGTGTGTAACAGAGTTGCCGTTATTTGTGTCGTCATAAGTTGGGTGGCGTCCGAGGTGGAGGCAGGTACTCGATAAGCTCCGTGAGTTCCCATTGCTGGAATCACGGCCACACCCCAGACTCCCAACTCCCACAAGCTCTCCCATCGGCTCTGAATCACCGAGCCACAGGAAGACTCTGGCGATGTGGACCAACTGCCTCACGAACGCACCCCAGATACCTCGAGCATAAAACACATAACGCGTGCCAGACTGACAAAAGCGCCGCACCTTAGTTGGTTTGCAGCTCGCCTTCCCTCGTCGTCTTCCTCGCCTTCCCTCCTTCCCTCCTTCCCTCGCCTCTGATTCATCTGCAGTCTACCCTCTCTCCCCGGCCCCTGGGTCGCTTCGATTACATGCATATCAGATGGAGGCCGGTCGATGCCAGCCTCCCTAGTCACACGCGGGTCCTCACAACTACACACCCTCTTGCCATTCTTTTTGTGGTAGAGGTCTGTCTTCTACATGTGCTGCATGGGCTCGCCGCCCGCAGCCTTCGCCTTCTCCGACTCGAGACGGTGGTACAGCATCTGGACAGCGACGTTGATGTTGCCGGGCTGGCCAGTGATGGTGACGAGACGCTCGTCGGGGTTGGCGACCTGCCCGGGGCCGGGAGCGGTGCCGGGCTCGGTCACACGGATCTGGCACTGGGACTGGGCACGAATCTCGTTGATCTTGACGCCAGCCTTGCCGATAACTGCAGGGGGATCAGTACCAACTCTTCTGCTGTCTTCCTGCTCCACTCACTAGCTCCAACCAGCGAGTTGGGGATGAAGATCTGCTGAGTGCTGGTGCCGGGGGCAGCCGGGGGAGGGGGCGCACCACCACCACCACCACCGGGCGCACCAGCACTGGGGCCACCACCACCACCACCGCCGCCGCCACCACCACCACCACCACCACCGGGGTAGGGAGCCGAGGCCTGTTGGCGGTACGCGCCGGCTCCGCTGGAGGGGCCCGGGTTGCGCTCCTGGTACTCGAGGAGGATAGTGCCGATGTAGTAGACGGCGATGTGGATGGCGTCGGCGACACCAGAGACGGAAAGGACGCGCTCAGTCGATCCGGGGAGCATGACTTCGCTCGCGTTGAGACGGGCGCCAGAGGCGTCCTGGATCTCCTTGATCTTGGCACCACCCCTGCCGATGCTGAGACCCGTCAGTCACAGTTGTACGCGAAAAAAAAAAAAAAGGTGACTCACACGCTGCCCATGCGCGAGTTGGGGATGATAAACTTGATCGTAACGGCTCGCGATCCCGGGACCGAGGCGACGTCGAAGGGCTCGTCATTGATGCGGCGGACGATGAGGCCGAAAGCCTGGGCGAGTGTCAGTTGCCATTCCAGCACATTCCTTTTCTTGTCTGTCAATTCACCTTGCTGACGGCATCGAGAGGACCAAAGACGTTGAGTATCCTCTCCGGGTTGCCTGGGATTGACTCGGAAATAGTCACACGGGCACCAGACTTGTCCCTAATCTCGTTGACGTGCGCGCCAGAGCGGCCGATAATGACAGAGGCATCCTGGGTCACAATCAAGGCACGCATAGAAATCTGCTGCGCGGGGGGGTCGGAGGGCTTGGCTGGGGTCGAGGGGATGGTGGTGGGAAGAGCCGTGATGGAGGCGACGGAGGAAGGTCCAGGCTCGCTGGCGCTGCGCAGTCGTTAGTTGTTTGTAACAAAGGAGCTGAGAACCTGATCCTGCCTCTTGGGGAGAGGCAGACGAGTGGTCCTTTGTGGGAATGACGTACCTGTCCATGTTGGTGTCCTCCATCTTGTCGTTGTCGGCGGCGGCGCCCTTGGTCTCGTTGGCGGCGGCCTTGGGGGAAGAGGGGAACGGTTCTTCACGGCGCTCGCGCTTAACCGCGGGCTCTGGAAGGGGAGAGGCGGGGCGCTTGGGGGCTGCAGACGAGGAAGAGTCGGACATTAGTTGTCGAGGGCCGGAGGGGGAAGGTGGTTGTCTCTGTCAGTGGGAGGTTACGAGACGAGCAGATCGCGAGCGAGTGGCGAGAGCAAGAACGAAGAGACCGGAGAGGACCGAACGGGGATGACGATAGAAGGGTTTGCAGCGAATTGGGAGGAAGGTTGAGGGGAGAGAGTCGAAGTGTAGGTCGAGGAGAGTGATCGATGAAAGGTGGAGGGGGTCAGGTGGAGGGGGAGAGGGAAGGACTGGCGACTCACGAGGAGGAGGACGCTTTGGGGGTTGTGTTACGCGCTTGTCGACCCGGAACGAGGTGTGGACGGGGCGGGGGGAGGGGGAGGGGATGGGGGGAGGGGGATGGGGGGGAGGGGAGGGGGAGGGAGGGAGGGGTGAGGTGGTTGGAGGAGGTTGCTTGGACGGGGGCGGAGAAGAAAGATGGAGATGGAATGGGTGCACAGACTTGTTGGTGGTGGTGGTGGTGCACTTGGCCTCTGACACCGCGCGGGTTGGGTTTGAATGCGACCTATTAGTCTTTTGCAATCCTCCTTTACTCCCCATTTGGGCCATTAGCCAGCCCAAAAGGCTGCAATTGTAAGGCTGGGAAGGCTGCCTGTGCACGAGGCTGTCCCCCGCCCTCGGAGTTATAAACGACATGAGCCGTGTGGCACTTCCCCTGGGTGGTGTCTGCGTCATTACCGTGTGTATGTGCCCCCCTATGTTGTGTGTGTGTGTGTCTGACCGCGGAGATGGATGGGATATGGCTCTGGCAGCTGGCAGATGCGGGCACAACCATCTCCAACTTTTATCACAGCGGGTTACAGCTCTTGCCACCCTCTCGTCAACATGTATGCATGTGATAGCTTCCACACATGCTCCCCATGCACCTTGTCCTGCGTCCCATACTATATGCATGTCCGCAGCTGCTGGCCATGGACGGATGACAGCAAGTGGGCCTTGTGAATGCCCATTTCCACGCCCTGTGGTCTGCCCTCCCCCCTCCCTGCGCGTCCAACCAAACCGTCCGTCCCACCTCGTTCCGTCGTCTCCGTCACCACCACCATCCACTCATCCTTTTCAGCCCATTAGACATTATCCATCTCTCTTGCATCTACCCACTCGGCGATCCACCTGGCGCTACGTTCATCTGCCATCGAACGCCCAGCCCCGACATTACGCCGCCTCGCCATCTCCGACGCGTCCAACCCTTTGCGTGCATAAGGCCGCCGCGTCCGGCATTGTCTCGCCCAGTGTTTGCGTCCATCCCCCCGGCCAACAATCTTAGTCTTTCCCATCCTGCCATCAGCACAGTTGATACCCCTCCAACGACCCCTCCGAACCAGCGTGTGGCTCGCGTCTTCCCAAAGCGTGACGCGGGTGTGGCAGTAGGCCGTTCAGCACAAACAGCCAAACCACCCTTGTTGTTGTGCAATAGATTTGGCCGCACAACACCAACCGCAACTCTCCACCCTTGCCACCGCGCCCACCCCATCGTCGGACCGGTTCGCCATGCCGCTCCTTAAACGCAAGCCCGTGCTTATGCACCCCCTCCCCTCCCTCACGGCCATTGTCCAGCCAGTCCACGCTCCCCTACCAAATGCCCAGGCCTCCACCTCGGGTGCGGATGCCTCGCCATCGGCGGCCGCGACTGCCGCTCCTCCTCCCCCTCCTGCCGACCTCCCCAAGGACGGCAAGGACGACGACGAGCAGCTGGAAAAGCTTCTCACCGCCCTCAATGACCCCGTGATTGCTGCCCCCCTCCCCAAACGCAGCCAAAAGGACAAGGCTGCCGACAAGGCCAACGGTGCCGTCAACGGCTCGGCCAACGGGACCGTCTCGTCCATGCCACCACCCGCTGGACCCGTTCCCAGCTATCGTGTCAAGAATGTCGAGGTGTTCTATATCCCTGAGACTGGCGAGATGTTTCTCGACTACGAGTACGTCCAATGTGGCCTTGCATTGAGCTGCGTCCACTGACATGCCTAGGTCATTTGCGTTGAGGAGAGCCTTTTACGAGCAGCCGTTGTTCCAGTGCGAAGGTGGGTTGCTTTACATCCAGCTGCAGCTGACCACTTTAGTGAGCGGGAAATCGTCGCTCAGCTACTTCAAGGCGCTCCAGAACGAGTCTAGGGAAGTTCGGCAGCTCCACTCGCGTTTCCCAAGGCAGCTCAAGAAGGCCGTCCTCCAATCTGTCCAGTTCCGTGCGTGCCCTCGGAGTGCCTGCTTTGTGCTGACCTGGCCCAGAGATTGAGGGAAAGCTGGAAACTCTTGCCGACCGTATCTTTGAACGCTTTGTCAACCGCTTCTTTGACGATGAGAGTAGGTTTGCAGTACGATTCATTTCGCTGACCCGCACAGAGGTGTTTGTCGATGTGCAGGGCGACAAGTACCTGGCCCGCATTGTTCACACCTTTCCTCCCAAGAACCTTGTTTCTCCAACAGACGGCCCATCTTTCCACCCGTACGCTACCGACCTCACCATGAGCAACGACGAAGTCAACGAGCGCGATGACCCCATGAAGTACTTTTACCAGGTCCGTCTCATCGAGGAAGGTGGGGAAGGCATAACCACCGAGTATGCCAGCACCAATGGCGCCAGCAACGACCCCGAGGACGATGACAAGGGCGAAAAGTGGCAGGGGAGCGTCATGGAGGCTCAGGCCGACAAGATCAGGTGAGCTGACCGCTTTCATTCACCAAGCTGACATACAGTCGTGACCGCATCAACTTTTCCCGCGCCCTCCTCAAGCGTTTCATCCGTGACTGCGTCGCCCGTGACGCTGCCATCTACTCGCCATGGCTCGTTAAAAAGAGTGTTGCTGCGCGGTACGGCCTGCCGACTGAGATGTCGGACGAGGTCCGCGCTGCCATCGACCAGCACCGCCGGAGCCAGATGGAGAAACGCAAGCGCGACCGCGACGAGCGTCTCGGTATCGTTCACAATGAGGACGAGGAAACGGGAGCGGACGACGAGGCTCCTGCGCCCAAAAAGAAGAAGATGACCAAGGCCGAACGCGACGCCCTGCGCGAGGCTGAAAAGGAGGAGAAGGAACGCATCAAGCGGGAGGCCAAGGAGGCCGAGGAGGAAGAGAAGAAGAAGAAGAAGCCCACCAAGTACCCATGCGAGGGTGAGTCTACCAGACAAGAAGGATATCCACAGGACTGACACGCAATACAGATTTGATGGTGGAGTTCAACCCGGAGCGTGATGGGCCAGCCGGACGTATCGAGGTGCGACCAACACCCGACGCTGATGTTCCCTTTGGCGACCAATTTGAGGCATTCCTCATGTCGTGGAGCTTCCTCAACGTCATGGGAAAGCCTCTCGGCCTGTCGCCATTCACCGTTGACGACTATGAGCAAGCACTGTACCACTCGGACCCATACACCTCTCCAGTGCCCCTCCTCACGGAAATCCACGCTGTGCTCCTCAACGCACTTGTCACGGATCTTGCCGATGGCCACGACGAGGTCAAGCCCCTGTCTCACACTGGCCAGCAGATTGAGAACGACACCGACTACTGGGAGGGCACCAAGGGGTCCACCGCCGAGACTCTGCGCCCGGTCGCTGAACCCATGGCCAAGACCTGGCGAGAGCGCGAGCTGTCCACCCGCGACAACCGCAAGGGCTGGGAGGCTGCCCTCGTCGGCTGCCTGTGGGACCGCGCAACCCTGGACACTCTTCCGCACTACCTTGACAACATCCTGCATCTGACCTTTGAGAACAAGCCAGCACCCACGCGCCCCACTTGGTCCACTGGTCCACGATCAGACTCTGGCGGCTCGGGGCTCATTGTTGCCAAGCCCGACAAGCGCTATACATCCCTCCACCACACGCACAAGTTGCGCATTATCGACTTTTTGATCGAGCTCGTTGCCCAGACGGCTGTCATCCGCGACTTTATGGAGGACGCGACCCAGCAGCTGACCGAGGTTCGCAAGGACCAGATCGAGGCGCGTCGCGAGTGGCGCCGGGTCCGTGCCGAGCGGGATGCTCTCGAGCCCAAGGAGGAGAAGAAGGAGGACAAGGAGGATGGCGATGGTGATGTCCCCATGTCTGATCCTATCAAGGGCGAGAATGAGTCACGTCCGGCATCACCTAACGGTCACGCCAACGGAACCGCGGCCAACACCGAAGCGGACGAGCTCGACGAGTCCATGATGGACGACCACGATCATGGCTCTCCCGTGTCGTCACCATTGTCCGAATCTGCGCCCGCTCAGACTGGTGCACAGCGCCGCCGTGCCATGAAGGAGAAGGCCGCTGAGCGCGAGGCCGAGGAGGCGATGAAGGCCGCCAAGGCCGCCAAGCAGCGCGAGGAGGACAAGATCAAGCGCGCCGAGAGCAAGCACATTCTCCAGGAGAAGAAGCGTCTCGACGAGGAGGAAGCGGTCCTTGACACCAAACTCCGTCAGCTCGACCGCGACTTTAGGCGATTCTACTACACCCTCCGTGCGCGTCCACTCGGCTCCGACCGCTACGGCAACAAGGTCTGGTGGATGGATGGCCTTGGTTCATCCCCTTTGCCCACCGACAACGCCAAGGGCATGTGGGGTTCGGCCAGGCTGTACCTCCAAGGCGCCGACGAGTTGGAGGTCGAATTCGCCCGCCAGCCCGCCGAGCTCACCACCGAGGAACTCGAGGAGCGCCGTAACAAGGACGAAGGTCTGCGTCTCCAGCCAGGCCAGTGGGCCGTCTACGACACGCCCGAGCAGCTCGAGGCATTCCTCAGCTGGCTCAACCCCCGCGGTGTGCGTGAACTCCACCTCCAGCGTGCCCTCAAGCAGTGGTGGCCCGAGATCGAGGGCTCGTTCCACAAGCGCCGTCTCGCGCTTGGAATTGAGAAGGACGCAGAGGAGGAGACGTCCAACCGCCGTGTTCGACCTGTGCGCCGCGCGGCTGGCGGCGACGAGCCGGCTGGGTACCTCAGCTGGAAGAACCGCCGTGCCAGCGGTAAGGGCGAGTAGGGAGGGCGCTGGATGTCATTTGTAGCGAGAGGAGAGGCGAGCAGGTGTATAGGCATATATCACAGTCTTGGTCATGCATGTCTGGCTAATCTCATGTCTAGGCCCGGTGAAACGAGGGCAGAGAGATGAGAGACGAGAGTGTCGAGTCTGTGTGGAGCGGGTTTGAGTGGCATCAACATCAGCGTCACCCGAGTCGACCGTCGTTCAGTGCAAAGTCCACAGCAGAGACCCTTCGCTCTGTCCCATGCTATTCGCCATCGTGAACAGGTTCCCGAACCCCCGCGAAAGAATGCGATGCCAGAGGTGATACATGGACATGGTACTGCCTAGAGTATAGAGCAAACTAGAAGACGGATTTACTGCCTCATCTGTTCTGTAGGGGCTGTCAGCAAGAGACTCTGGCCGTCTCCCATCCCGTCGCGTCTTGCCCCTCTTCCACTTTTGTGGTTCGTTGGCTCAAATAATGGCATACAAGGAGCCAACTGAAAGCAGAGTAAAAGGCATGAGGGGAGGGCGGCGGTGAGGCCACTTACCGGCGTTGTGCTCGGCGAAGCGAGCACCGACACGCTCCGAGTGCTTGAGGAACTTGTCGGCACAGTTCTGGACACAGGTCGACTGTTATGGAGTATCAGTATGTCGTTCACCGAGCTGTGGAGGAGGCATGTGGGGGTGACGGATGCGCAGGGAGCAAGGAGCAGTCCGACAACACCACTCAGAACCCGAAGAACACGCATCGCCAAGGAGACTCATGTCCAGACCTCTGCAGTTGAACAGCACCAGTGTGCGCTCATACGGGGCCACAGTCTGTCCGAAGGGGACGGGGAGAACATGGGGGAAGCAAGGCGGCGACATACCTCGTTGGTGGTGAGAGCCTTCGAGGTGAAGTCCTGGGCACAGGCGTTGAAGCACTTCTCAACGAGACCCGAGTAGAGACGCATGAAGTCCTGCATCTGGAATGGATGTCAGCCATGTCCCTTGGTGTTACGAGGATCGAGCAGGAACAGAACGGCACAGCGACATGAACACCAAGCACCACTCTTGAGTGTCCTTTGTGCACTTGCTTGCCGCTCTCCCTCCTTTACCGGCGCCAGTTTTCGGCCGGGATCCTGCGGGCCGTAGGTTCATGCAAAATGCACCTGCTTACGCTCGATGACCTTGGACATCTGCGCCTGCTCGGCGGGGGTGAACTGGGAGAAGTCCATGGTGGCGAGTTGAGGTTGGTGTGGTGTGGGTGGTGGAGGGAGATGGAAGGCGAGGTCGGAACGAAAAACTCGGGGTGCGTCAGTCCGGTGGCCAGGACAGAGTGGATTCAGATGGGATCGGTGGCGGACGTGCAAACGTAACTGCCCGAACGGACATTGGCCTCGAGGCCCAGCATTCTAAACGCGTCCACTTTCGCACACTTTCAGCAACGCACCACACACCTGCACTCGTCTCATCGGCACCGTCGCCACCCCTTGCACCACCCCACAGCACCTGCGCCAAACTTGCACGCACCATGCCTGTGCCTGCCGCTGCGCGCCGCGCCAAGCGCGTAATTGAGAGCGAGTCCCCATCCGAGTCGTCCGTCGTCGAGGATGCTGAGGAGGACGACGTCGAGGAGGACGAGCTCGACGATGACAGTGATGACCAGCTTGGCGGTGAGTCTCCCCGCATCCATCCATCTATTCACTCCCTCGTGCTCGCCTCTTTATCAACCTCCAGCAGCTGTGCTGTCTCCACCCCCTTCCCGTCTCGTGCTGACATCAACCCAGCTTCCTCGGCGGTCCCAAGCGACAATGACGACGGCGACGAGGACTTTGACGCCGCGACGCCGGAACCCCAGGTCAAGATCAAGCTTCGCGTGACCTCTGCGGGGCGCGGTCGTGGCCGGGGTCGCGGCGGTGCTCGCGGCGGTGGTGCGGCGGCTGTTGCGACTCGCGCCGTCTCGACTGCTACCAAGCGCAAGCGCGAGCCGACCCCGGAAGAGGAAGAGGAGGACGAGTTTGAGGATGAGGAGGGTGGCGCGATCAGCCCGTCCAAGATGACAGCGAGGCAGAGGGCGAGGCAGAACAAGGACTTGCAGGAGACGCTCATTGCGCTGCCCGGTGAGTGACGGCCGTGTGCCGTGGGACGTTTGGAGACTGTGCTGACGCTTGCTTCCTCTGTCACCTTGACAATGTTCCAACTTCTATTTGTCTTCTTTCTCACTGCTACCGCGACGCCTCTCCCACAGATGGTCTGCCAAAGATCAAGCCAATCCTCACCGAGGCTGAGCGCCTGCAGAAACGCGAAGAGATGGCCCGCCGTCGCAAGCGCCAGAACGAGCAGAGGCTGCAAGATGAACAGGTGAGTCGCGCGTGCTATGCTGCTGGAGATATGTGCGCGTACTGTTTGGTTAGGGGCACTAGTCTCATTTGTTTGGACGTGATCACACGGCCGTCTGCCCGTGTCATGTCCCAGCTGGCGACCATCTCACATGTGGCATCTCTCTACGGCCACTGCGCTCCGCTCCCCCTCCCTCCCTCCTGCACGATACAGCTGAGGGGGCCAAAACTACCTTGCAGCAGCTGACCAGTCCAGGACCAAACCATCAACCGCCTCCTGCGCGCTCAGACCGGCCGCTCGCGAACCAAGCTGGACAACGCCTCGCCCATGCCCGACGACAGTGTGCGCGGCTCGGGTGCTCCCTCTGGCATGAACTCTCCCGTCCGTCGTATCCAGCCTCCAGCCGAGGGCGTGCACTACCGCAACGTCATGGAGGGCGACAAGCTCGTTCTCAGCATCTCGGTGCCGCCCGGCCGCGACGAGTGGATCGCCATTGGCAGCACAGAGGAAGAGGACAGCAAGCCAAAGCTCGGCGCAGGTAAAGAGGGGCAGTGCGGCGTCAAGGGGTGCAGCGAGAAGAGGAAGTACCGCTGCGTGGCCAAGTTTGAGGTTGGCGGGTGCAGCATGGCGCACCTCAAGGAGGTGGAGAAGGGCCTCAAGGCTTGATTGAGTTCTGAAGGGTGGCTCCCTGGGAGTAGCCTTGCACATGGCTCGCATCGTAGAAAGTGGACTTGTACTCATACGCATGTTACATTAGTGAGGTATTGAGAGGCTGCATTTACGCCAGAAGCGCTGCGTGCGTTACACAAGAGAGAGGGAGAGCGTTCCCGAGTCTGTCATGTGCCAACGTCGTTGAAGAAACCAGGGCTCTGTTCGACCTACGACATGGCACACAACGTCCCTGCCAAGCAGACACAAGTCAGAAGCATCAGTGGACGAAACTGCAGCGTGCAACAAAGCGATGGGTCTGGAGAAATGGTCTGAATACACAGGAATACGGTGCTCTGGATGATGGAACTTCATCACGCTATGACCCTATCCCATAACGCCTCTACCGGTACAAACACACTCAGCACTGAAGAATTTAGAGCTGGGCCTGCTTGGCGGCAAGGGCGGCGGCGACAGCGGGGTTGACGCGCTTGCCGTCCTTGAAGATGGCGCGGGGAGGGGGGGCACGGTTCTTGCGCGAGTTGATAGCTCCGGGCTTGTCCGAACGGACGCGAACGACCTTGGCGTGGATGGCGCACGAGATGCAGTAGGCGAGGCGAACGTAAAGCTTGGGGAGGGCGTACTCAGCGTAGACCGAAGCCTCCGACATGTCACGGACGGCAGCGGCCTCAACCATGTTCTTGACCGAGTTGCGCTTGATGGCCTTGTCCTGAGAATGGTGTCAGTGGGGTTGCCTTGTGTGGTGTAGGAAGGGGATGGGCTCCGGAGTTCTGGGGTCTGGTTTGCGACAGGTCGAAACTTTGGGAGGTGGGGCAACGGTGTCCAGACAGACAGCAGCAGCGAGTTCGCAAACTCGATGCACTCGCTGCACACTGCTGTAATCGATGCCGCTGCACACTCGTGTGCCCCAGTCTCCATCGTTTGGTGGTGGCGTTGGAAAGTTTCGACCACCTCGCAATCCAGATCTCCCAGTTCTCCAGAACCCATCAGCCCTGCTGAGGGCTCACCTTGGGGACACAGCGCGAGCAGTTCGAGCAGCGAACCGACTTGACGTGACCACGTCCCTTCTTGTTGCGGCCTCCGCCCCTTCTCTTCTTGGTCATTTTGGATACTGTAGCAGAGAGTCAGTTGGGAATTCGACACTGGTTGTGCGGGAGGGTGTGGAGATGGCGGAAAATGGGGGGATAACGTCGAGAGCCGCGGTGTCGAGGTCGGGCGCGTGTGTTGGCGGGCTCTCGTCGTCGTGTAGAGGGAGGGGGAGGCTGGATACCCACGTTTTGAGGTGGAAAGGTTGAGGTACGAAGAGCACCACACTGAAGCGCGTTCACCAAGTCAATGCAGCAACCCAGACCGGTTTCACCGGCGCTTTGGTCGGCGAAATGGCGTGTGGCATTCTGAAGGGGGGCAGTCGCACCGGTCGGCGATTGCGGGTTTTGTATACGATCCCCCCTTATTTGCGTCGGACCTGGGATGATTACGTCATACATGATTGTTGTGCTACTGCTACTATCTACTCGCCCAGCTTCTGGCCGTGGCCCCATCGCCTATCGGCCGTGTAACCTGGCACGCTGGGCTCTTCCTCATCATCATCCTCGTCCCCCTCATCCTCTCCCTTGGACTCTGCCTCTGCCTCGGCATGGGCATGGGCATGGGCGAGTGCCCTTTCGTGGGCCATGCGACCCATACGCTCGCGTTCTGTCCTGTCGCGAACCAGCTCGCGGTCCTCTTCGATCTGACGCTTGGCAGCGGCAACGCGAGCGGCTTCCTCGGCCTTGTGTGCCGTCTTGGAGATGTTGGACACGGACAGGCGTTCTTGCAGGCTCGGGAGCTGCGGTGTCAGAGTTCATATAACGCATTGGCAACTGGCGCAACTCACAGCATCGCGGAGCACGTCCGCAGCCAGGCCCAGCTCGTACATGCGCTTCTGGGACTGGTCGAGGATGAAGAACTGGACAAAGTTACGAGTCTCGGTGTGAAATCCCATCTGGTAGTTAGCTATGTCAGGAGCGTTCACGAAGCTAGACTGTAGTGGGGCAAAGGAAGCTGTCCTGTGTACCCTTGTGGCCATCCCAACTCACAGTGACCATATACTCCCTGCCACCGGGCACTGAGAGCACTTTGTTCTTGAGAATCGTGTTGTCACTCTTAAGGGTGCGGAACTTCTCCTCGCTCGAGCCTTGGATATTGGTCGCAATCTTGAGGAGTGTCTGGAAGCGTAAGTGCGTGTTGGCTTTGGACAGTCGCGGTAGGCGTTGGGGAAGTGTGTGTTGACTGCATCATAGTTGCACAGCGATAAGTGAGTTGTTGACATCAGAATGACTAGAAGCCATCGCCACGGCCGACGGCTACGGCCTTCGTGTAGCCACAACCTTAGCTGCCCACCTCCGCACCTTCCCTCCCCACCTTCCTCGGCGGCCTCCACACCGTGCCTACTCACCTCCACACACTCAGCGGCCTGGCGGTATCCACTGTCCCTCACGATCGTCCTGTTGAGGATCCTGGCCACCTCACGACGACGCTCAAGTTCTTCGCGAGCTGTAGGCCTCTTCCATGCCTTTGGCAAGTTGCGAGGTGGGCCATTGTTGCTGCCGAAGAGAGGAGTTGAGGTGCCGGACGAGGCCGCGCCAGCGGATCCCGCCGATCCGGGAGTGCCAGCGCCGGGAGCTGAAGCGTCGGCGACAGTGTCACGCTGTGGGTTGAGACGCGCTTCGATCGCGGCCAGACGCCGTGTACGTTCGTCGTCGGCGGTGGACATTGTTTGGGTGGGTGGGTGAGTGTGTTGAGTGAGTGAGGTGTGCGAATGGTGGCAAACGACGTCAGCGGAAGCGGGGCCCTTGGGGATGGCGGGAGCATTTCGTTCTGGTGGCGACGACCGAGATGCTGATGTGATCCATGGTGGCGGGTGGCACCCCCGGGTGACCTTGGCATCGCGGTCGCGACATTGGTGTGCCGGATGCGTATGCAAGTTGGGTGTCCTCTCGGGATCTCGGGGATGTCACAGCCGTCACCAGAGCGGTTCCGTACTTCGGCCGCGTCTCGCATGTTGTGGCGCCACTTGTCACTGACACCTGCTTGCGCGTTATCCAGTGCAGAGATGTGCATGCAAATGTTACTTCTATCCCAACCTCTACAAGAAGTCGACGCCAACGCCAATGCTAAGCCCACGGGCAAGGCGCTCGCCGCGGCGCGCGATGAGGGGCATCGAAAAGTTGAGCTCGACGCGTAGCGGGTCGAATCTGGCATTCATTAGCTCGTGGCATTCATTCGCCCAGAGACACCTACCGGTACATGAGACCGACGCCGACGCTGAGGCTCGGGTTCGAGTACATCTTGGCGATGTTGTCGGCAAACGAGTTGTCAACGTCGTAGCGGACGACCTTGCCAGCGTTGATAAATGTGTGGATCTTGAGCGGCCAGTGCTCCTTGCTTGGCACTGGGGCGAACAGGGACGCGCCCACCGCGTATGCCAGGTCACCACCAAGCGAGTCCACTGATGTCAGCTCCAGTATTCGACAATGACCAAGCTCACTCCTGTCGGTCAGGCCCAGGCCTCCGACCTTCCATCCGCGCACAGAGTTGGGGCCACCGAGGTAGGTCCTGTCGGAGAGGTAGGTCGACGCAGGGGCACCGTCGCTTGTGGCGCCAGTACGAGCCCACAGAGGGTAGAGGAGGGAAGTGAACGACGAGACCGAGACGAACTGGGGTCAGTAGACATTACAATAGGAGGAACCCACGAGGTCCGAGCCGGGGTACAGCTGGCGGCCGGCGTGCGACTGGGTAGTCGACTTGAGGAAGTGTGCGCGCTCAGACGAGCCAGGCAGACCGGCGTATTCCTGGTGGTCAGCACACGACTGGGATAATGGGACTCACGTGGGTCGCCTTGAACAAACGTCCCGTAGTACCGAGGTAAGGGTCGTCACGGGTGTCCGAGGTCCAAGTGTGCGAGATGGACGACTTGGTCGTGGGGTTGGCAAGTGCGCGAACACTTCCGTCAGCGACAGTCCGTGACAGGATAACTCACGAGGCAGACGCGCGCGGGGCAAGGTGCGAAATGTCACGCTGGACATACTCGTACTGAACGTCATGGACACCCCAGGGCGAGATGGCCGAGAGCTGGACACGCGCACCCTGCTGCAGCTCGCGGTGCGACGCAAACGCAGTGTTGTCGCGGTCGACGGAGAACGCCGAAAGGCAAAATGAGAGGTAGGGCGACGAGAAGACCGGGGCAGTCAGAGATGCCTGGGAGTAGGTCAGAAATCAACAACAGAAAGATTTACCTACCTGGTAAGCCGACTTGGTCTTCGTACCAAGAGACGCGTTGAACTCGAGTGACTCGCCTCCACCGAGCGCGTTGCGAAGACGCGCAGTAACGTTCTTCGATTAGTACACGACACCAAAAGGATAAGTATATCACTCACACCTCCACCCTCGTTGGCACCAAACTCGGTACCGGCCTTGAGGAACACCCTGCCCTTCTCGCGGAGACCGAGAACGAGCTCGACCTCGTTGGGCTCTCCGCTGGGCGACGGCTCCAGGCGGATACGAACGCGCTCCATGTCAAAGACATTCAGCTGGTCGACATGCTGCACGAGTGCCTTGGTCGTAAGGAGAATCTCGTGCAGAGTAGTGGGGGGAGGAGGGGTCGGATGGAGCCAGCTGGGGAGACGCGAAGGGCCGAGGAAAGGGGAGAGCAGGTGGTCGAGGAAGCCGGTGCGCGTCGTAGGCGGCGGGGGAGCGAGACGAATCGACGTCAGACGCATAGGGCGGTCCATGTTGCCGTGGACCTAGGAAGCGTCAGTACTGTGCCATCTCAATCGCTGGGTACGCACAACCTCGCCGACGCGCTGCTGGGCTGCCTCGTATTCGCCACGGAGCTGGCGCTCAAACTCCTCTTGCTGGAACGCGCGCACCTTCTCCGGGTCGGTCTCTGTTGTCATTCAGCTCTGTAATCCGCGGCACAACAAGTAGCAGATTATCCTCACCCTCGACAGGCTTGTCCCATCCAGGCTCACGGGCGTTGCGGAAGATGGACGACGCGAGCAACGGCGACAACACGGGCGGCGGCACGGCAAGACGCTCCTGTTACTCCATCAGCTTGACTCTTTGCTCCCAAACCCACCTTGAGGCCAATCTCAACGTCCACCTCGGCCACCTCGGCCTTGGGAGGTCCACCCTCTGCGTGCGGGTCCATCGCGCTGGTTTTGATCGAAGAGGGAAAGGGTATAAGAGAGCCGAATGGGAGAAGTACGTCAACGAACGTTCGGCCGCAGGTGGATGGAGGGGGTCGTTTTTGGCGGTTCGGAGCCCCGGAACAAAAGTTGGACATTGGAATCAGGCGATCTCATCGGGTGACGGACGTTGCATCTTCATTTCTGTTCTACATCATCACCATGCCGTCTAAAGCTGAGGAGAACCTCCCGGCCACGAACGAGGGTTACGGTACCCGCGAGTATTGGTGCGTACACTGAAGCAATTGGGGCACAGCTGACGGGCAGGGAGCAGCGGTATACTGTGTACGCCTTGAGTCCTGTGTGCGGTCGCTGACAGCAGCGAGGGTGTAGGCCACGACTTTGACTGGTTCCTCAAGCCCGACTACCTTCTCCAGTTCTTTGACGGCCTCACCAAGGACATTGATGTTGGCAAGGATGCCCGCATCCTCATTCTGGGCTGCGGAAACAGCTCTCTCGGCGAGGCCCTCTACGATGCCGGGTGGCGCAACCTTGTCAACATCGACGTGAGTTGTTTTGCCTGTGACGCGGGTAGCGCTAAATATCGCCAGTATTCTAAGGCTGTTATTGAACAGATGATTGAGCGCCACGGCGAGACACGCCCACAAATGAAGTGGCTCGAGATGGACGTTCTGGACCTCAAGTTTGAGCAGGAGTTTGACCTTGTGGTGGACAAGGCAACAATGGAGTGAGTACTTGCCCACGCCTGATCTCCCGACTCGTTCGCGTTCTCAGCCCTGCGGTACCCCTGATATACGTGGACAGTTGCTGATCGTCCCCAGCGCCATGTTGACTACCAAGGGCGACCCATGGAACCCTCCCCAGAAGGACATTGACATGTGCACCAAAGAGGTCGACGAGGGTCTCCGTGTCCTTCGCAAGCAACTCGGCTCCAAGTTTGTGTACTGGTCGTTCGGACAGCCCCACTTCCGCAAGCGCTTCTTTATCAACCGTGCTGGATGGAAGTACAGCCAAAAGTCGGTCGGGCCAGAGGACGGGTTCGAGTACTTCCAGTACCTCTTGGAGTGGGAAGAAGTTGTGGCATAGAGGGTCAAACCATATTTGGAGAAGGATAATACAAGCAAGGGAGCAACGATATGAAAGGTTGCGACAACGGACAACAAACGACGGTGGTTTAACGGCCCGGTATCCATCCAGCGTGATGCATGGTGTTAGAGTGAGGGCGAGATTGGTTGACGGGGATGGATAAATAACAGCAGTGGTATCTCGCGTGTTCCTTGTTCAAGGAGCAACGCCAGCGTCGCTAAGCGCGTCCCACTCGCTGTCGCTGCGCCAGTGCTCATCCTCGCCCCAGGACGAGACAGAAGGCGCAGTTGCAACAGCAGGCAGGGCGGGCATCGACAGCACAGCAAGATTCTCCAGGGAGAGCGCTGGAATGTCGACGGTGATGGGCGGGCTCATGGCACGCGACAAAGGAGTGGAGGGCGACAAGGGCGAACGGGGCGTGTAAGTCTCAGCGTCAACATAGCTCGTGGTCGTGCCGGAAACAGAGATAACCTCAAGATCATCGCTGACAGTTGGCGCAGCAGATGTCGATGAAATGGACCCAAACGTGGGAGATGAGATGGAGGCAAGCGTCGGTGAGCGTTGACGGGCGGGTGAGGACACCATGGAGCTCGACACTGGTGAGGATGTATACGATCCAGGAGCCGGTGAGGTGAGGCCTGAGTGGTCGAGGATAACAGTTGACCGAGATGACCGGCGCGATGGAGACGCCACCGCCGCCTCGTCCTCACGTGTCTCAGCCTGAGCAGAAGGCTGGAGCTGTTCGGCCCGCTCGGCCAAGTCAGGTGCTTGGAGCGATGGCATGTTCGGACGAGCGGTGGTGGGTGTGACCTCGGCCGCCTCTGGAGACGACGGTGTGTGGACATTGATGAGCTGGATCGGCGGCACGGAGATGACACGGTGAGGGACAGGCTGGGCCATGGGCGGCGGCGAGGGTGGAGACCGGGGCGTGTCGTTGCGGTGCGGCGCCGGAACGGGGTGGTCGTCGAAACTGCGCATGCGACCGTCCGGGCAGCGGGGGCGCGGCGGCGGCATGAACGACTTTTCGTCGCCGACCACTCGCGCGTCGTCGAGCTCGTACATTTCGGCTGGACGGCGGTGGCGCGGCGACCGTTGATCCAGGGCTGTACTTCGTCCACTTGACGGAGCCTGTCGCTGATGCTCTGGACTCGACTGTACGGGAACGGGGACGGCCTCGTACCCGTGACGTTGACGGCGGTTCTCTCGGTGCTGGGCAATGAGGGCGTCGATCAGAGGCGCGAGGTGGGGATCATAAACAAACTACCAGTTAGGTCGACTCGCGGTTACGCGTCCCGCCTTCCCCTGGTCACCAGACACCAGGAGTAGCAGGAGAGCGCTTGTCAAGCGCTACCTACTCACCTTCTTGAAGGCATAGCCAGAGCCGATGACAGCCAGCGTCGCGCCAACAAAGATGGGAATTGGGTGGGGCATGGTGGTGTGTGGTGTCTAGAACTGTATTACGGTGAACCGGTGCTGTGTTCGGAAGGTGTCTCGGTCGTCTAAAGGGGCCGGCCGGTGGTGAGTGGCGGTGCTTGTGACGAACAAACTGGGTGGCGACAAGGGGCGCTAGTGTTGGAGCGGGTGGGCGGTAAGAGAGTGGGGTTCGTTTGATGGTGGAAGGGATATGGAGTAAATGAGAGAACTGGATGGAAGTTGGGATGAGATGCGGAGAGAGAGAGAGAGTTTAGGCAAACGATCTCCGGAAGAAGGACGATTGCACCGCCGGCCTCAAAGCGGAGCACATGAAATGCACCCATCCTCTCTCATTATTAACGGATCACGGATCGTATGTAGAATGACGATGATGTCATCGTGCAGTCTACCAGCCGTCTAAAGCAGTGGCTTAGGCTGGCGGTGCGGCTCGCCGCCCAACACTTATGCATGCATGCACCTGCCCGCTCCTGCCCCCGACTCTCGTACATTCACGGACTGTCCAGACTTGCGACGGAGCGACCGTTGTGCACCTGCTTGTTGGAGCGTGGGAGAAACTAGTGCACGTGATGGTCGCCAGTGGCCACAAGTGGCAAAGTGGCTAATGTATTAACATTAGGTGAGAAGACGACGCATCTCCCCGCCGGCCGCCGGCCTGCGCACTCAATGACCATAATTCATGTATGTTCTGCAGCCTTCACTGATTACTGGGCATTACTGGTTCACTTTATCCCTCTATGCGCTTCAGATCGTACATGCGGGTGCACTAATGATAGTGTGCAGTTATTCAAAGTACTCGACGGCAAAGGAAGAGCGCTGGTGCCGAGACCTGTTGTCTCTTCCTCCACTATAGCTGTCTCTAGATGACGGGATCACCCGAAGTGCAGAAGACTCTCAGAAGACGGTATATGGCAGGAGGAGGTGGACCGAACAGTCTAGACGGGCTGAACGAGTGGGTCCGGTCCACCGCTAAAAAACCCCTCGCTTTCTTTCGCCACACAGCAGTCTTCCTCCCAGCAAACTAAACCAACCATCACAGCATGACCATCACTGCATGATATCATCCATAGAAGCAGGTGTCTGGCTCCAGTGTCGAGTGTGGGTCTATCCCGCCAGCGTAGCTATTGTCATGCTCGCGGCGGCAGCGACTGTCTGTCCCCATCTCGTCCAAGACTTTGTTGTGAATGTGCCTCTCAGGCACGGCGATCGGGGTTTTCATCCATTTACGAGCCGCGCTTGCTCCGCACTTCCATCCTTTCTCCTTATCTCTCACAATCTCACCGCCATGTCGGTTCCGCCAGGCTCGTCGGATCCTCTGGGGGACGTTCTCTCGCCACTCCCGCCAGAGGTTCTCGTCACCATCATCGAACAGCTCCATCGCACCGACCTCGCAACCTGTTTGCGGGTCAATTCGGTATTCTGCTCCATTGCGCTCCCACTCGTTTACCGTCACCTGCGTCTGAACGAGTTCGGCCCATGGCCCTCGTTCGATGACCATTTTGACGATCACGCTGTTCCTGGACCTCTGTCTACCGACAGGCCCAAGTTCCTCCGCCGCGGAGCGCTCGGCGAGGCCGTCCGGCGCCTTGACGTTCTCCCGCACAAGACCACGGTCTGCCGGTCCAGCACATTTGACCAGAGTGGATGGTGGCACGCCCTTCCACCTCTACCGCGCCTAGAGGTGGTACGTGTCTTCATGATGGCAACGTGGGCCGGTGGACGCGTATTCCACACCAACGTCGATCCCCGCGACGCAGAACGCAAGCCGGACATGCCTTGTGCCGCCCTCACTCACATACGGTCCCCTATGCTCGTCATTCGAGGTGTGACGCTCGCCCAGAGCACTGTTCCCCGACACGAGATCCCGTGGCAGTTCTCAGAAGGTGTTCGTCACTTGGCGTGCGTCTTCCAGCCAGACCACCCATACTTCCTCCCCCGCGACGCCTCCGAGCACGCTGCCCGCCGCCAGGCAATGCATTTCCGCTCACGTATTCCAAACATGGCATCGCGCCTGACCGTTGTCTTCTGGCCGCCAGGCCCAACTATCGCTTGGCGGTCATCTGCTCAGACGCTCTCATGGGAGCTCATCTGGGCGTATGCGAGCGCCCTCTTCTCGAGCCTCGCGGCGTGGGTTGCTCTTCGCCAGCCTCAGGCCCTCACACTCGTCAACGTTCGCGCCCTTCGACGTGTTGACGGCAGCAGTACGACGGATGAAGCGCTGCGCGAGGTGGATGCCGAGGTGGAATCCTTCTTCCGCTCTGCGGTCGAAGAACGCTTTCCCGATGAGGGGTTCCGCGAGAAGGTCTTGAGCGCGGTCAGGATCATCGATATGGACGAATATCTCGAGACGGACGACTGGCGCACCGTCTTTGAGCCTGGCGAGGTTGCACCGTGGATGGGCGGCGGTGCCACGGTAGTGTACCCACCGTCTCGTAGCAGCAGCGGTGTCGACACGCCGTTGACCAGCACTCCTGGTACGCCAAGCACGACTGATGGATCTGTCCGGGCGCTGCCAATGTTCCAGTTGACGGTGTCCGGGTAGGCTGATCGGCGCCTTCTTGCGCCTTGGCCACCCGCGCGCACACACGCACACAGTCATCTTGCCTTCCTCCATTTGGCATCTTCCTTTCTCACCATCACTCTCAACATACACTTGCATGGTGAGCTCACTTGCACCCACCGCTGCTAAACTCCACCAGCTGCAAACCAAGGTGCCAACCACGCAGGCACCGCTGGTGCGTCTGCCCAGCGAGCTGCAATCCCTCATCTTCCAGTACACTCCCCGCTCAGGCCTCGTCACCTGTCTGCGTGTCAACTCGGCCTTCTACCATTTTGCACTCCCTCTTCTGTTCACCCATGTTCACGTTCCCGAACTCCACGGAAGGGGACCTGCTCTCACAATGGTCCGCGACGCCGACGCCGAGGGACCGTTTGGTTCTCAAACCATGAAGCGCCCTCTGATGCGCAAGACCTGGCTCAAGAAGGTCGAGTTTATCGACCTCGATCCACACCGCAAGGGAAAGTGCCCAAGCGTCCTCCGCGGCTATGACAACCTCAAGGTCCTCCGAATGAACTTCGGCAAGAACACACGCTTCACCGATCTCCATCACCCTCTTCGCTATGGTGTCAACTCAGTCAAGCCGTGCGCCAACCTTCTCTACATGCGCCCTGAGACTATGATCGTGCGCGGCATACATGTTAGGGCTCACTCAAACCTCAAATGGGTCCTGCCTGTTTCTATCCTGGAGCGCACGAAACGACAGATCTTTGTCATCACGTATCCAGCAGGCCGCCCTAGCATCGGGTGGAACCACCTGGTCTCCCACTTTGGACCTGTCGTTGAAGACATCACGATCATCTTCTTTCCCATCGCCCGTCCCACCGTTACTGTCGAAGCGATTCTCGAGGACGTTCACAATGACAATGCCAAGGGACTGCTGGACACCTGCGCGCCATCCAAGTCGTACATTCACATGATGAGGTTGATTGTGTACCAAGCGTTCAACAAGGCCACCCTGCGACGTCTCACATTTGTCAACGCCAACCCGTTCCACTTGGAGACCCCCGACGAGGAGACATGGAGTGTTGGCGTGGGGGTTGACGACGTTCTGTTGAAGGCGCTTGTCACAGAGGCCCGCAGACCAGGCTTTGGTCGCAAGGCCAGGACAGAGAAGGAGGTCAGTGACATGATCCGCACTATCGGCCGCTGGGAATACCTCGATTCTGAAGAGTGCAAGATGGTCTTTGACCCGAATGAGGTTGACTCGTGGTTTGCTTGCGCTCCCAGCGCCTAGTCGCTGCACTTGTCTACAATTTCTCACTTTGCTCTTCCTCCACCGATTTATATTCCTGTTTAGATGAGATGTAAATCCAGGTGCCATGTGCTAAACCCGGCTGTGCGCTGTGCCTTGCCGACCTTGCCGACACTCGGCGAATTGCCCCGGTGCTTTATCCGGGCCATCTGACCCATGCGGTTCACTATCTGTTGACTCGATCACGCTTCCCGACTCGCTCACTGGATCGTTTGAACATTACACTAGATGCCTTGACTCGGCTGTATATATAATTCGCGCTACAGGCCATAGACCTCTCCATTGGTGCTACCTTCGACATGACGACGACAACGACGACAGCCATAAAGTCGACACCGGCTCCCGCCGCTCAACGCTGGGCCCCTCGCCCATCACCCTTCTTCCCGGTCCCCGAAGTCCAGTGGGATGCCGAGTCTGGAGAGCCGTACCTCGCGATTGAGGGTCATCCAGACCTTCATTTGACACCGTTTCATGACACTCAGGAGGATGCCGAGGCATTGGTGAGCTCGCATGTCCTACATGTGGTTTTGCTGACGCCAGACCGCGAATGTCAGGGTCGGGTACTGGAACCGTGGCGCACCATTCCCGTTAGTTGGTGTCAATGAGTTAGCAGCTGACGTCCCAGAGGCACTGTTGCCGATTCTCAATCACGTCTTCTCGAAGTATGCCCGGCGCAGCTCGAAGCCGTTGCCGCACTCCGCGCAGATCCTGGTGCCACCGTCTCGATACTCCCATTCACTGTCATTCGTGACGCTGCCACTGGGCTGTATGTCGGCGAGGCTGGTGTTTGGGCAGGCGGTGTGAATACTCCAGACGTCTGGAAGCTGGCATACAGTGTTTCCCCTACATTGCAGGGGAAGGGCATCGCGACCGCGGCAGTGAAGACTGTACTTGGGTACGCTGCAAAGGCCATGGGTGTGAGGAAGGTGGAGGCGGTGAGTGGCACTTTGACACTGGACTCGAGCCAGACAATGGCAGTCACTTGATATTGCCGTGCCAAACGCTAATGCACCAACACAGACGATCGACGCAGCCAACGTCGCCTCGTGCAAGCTCGTGGAGAAGTTGGGGTTCTCCGCCGCCGAGGTCCGCAAATTCACTTGGAACCCGGCAAAGGGCGGTGACGAACGCGAGGCTGCCATCTTCCAACGCGAGTTTGGTCCCCCCGTCAGTCTTAATCCGGCCCCACCCTTTCCTGTGCCCGAGGTCAAGTGGGACGGCGGTGAGCCGTACCTCCAGCCACGGCCAGATGTCATCCTCACGCCATATCGCGATACCCCAAGGGACGTGAAGGAGCTCGTGAGTGATGCGACATGTTGCTACTAGGAGCTCTGGGACTAATGAGACAGATGGAGCTATGCAACGAGCACGAAGTGGGGAAATGGTCACATAATCGCGCCTACCCATTCGAGGAGAAACACGCCCGCAAGCGCTTCGACGGCTCCATTCCCCCGCAAACAGTCGCTGTGGCTGCTCTCCGTGCCGATCCCAATGCCGTCGTGGAGGTAATGCCATTCACGGTGATCCGCGAAGCCACAACGGGCCGGTACATTGGCGACACTGTGTTGCGGTTTGAGGGCTCAGGAGAGGAGCGTGTTGCCTGGCTCGCATATGGTCTGCATCCCGAGTTCCATGGTCGCGGCATTGCAGCGGCCGTTGTCGGCGCCATGCTGGGCTGGTCCAAACAGGGGATGGGAGCGACCAAGGTCCAAGCTGTGAGTACATGGGATTGTGGTAAGACGAGCAGGGACTGATGCCGCAGACTGCTGAGACGACCAACCCTGGCTCGAATGGCTTGCTCAGGAAGCTCGGGTTTACAAACGTCGAGACAAAATGGGTCAAGTTCCCCGAGGACAAGGGCGGACAGTGGCGTGAAGCTGGTGACTGGTTGAGGGATCTGTAGTGAGAGAGAACTAGTTTAGATTAGTTGTAGGGAGGTAATATGGATGCTGCCGTGATCAGAAACCGGTGTAAGCTGGAGTGACATATGTCGGTGGTGGGGTAGTTTTGGTGAAGCACCCCGTCAGATTGTGCCTGCCGCGGTGATGAGTTTCACTGCCACCCGTCATCAAGCCTCGTATGTCGCCGGTAAACAAACCCTCGTGCGAAAGAGTGACAAAAGGAAGGTGTTGTTCAGATAGGAGCGAAAGACATTGATGGAATTGTATCGATCATGATAAATCTGATTGAACTATGCGTGATTTCATGGTATCATCATAACGGCACACCTGACTCTCCTACCTGTTGGACGGAGTGTTACAAAACGCATGCGTAACTCACCCGCGGACGAATGCGAGCGAGCACACCTGCTGTAGATGCGTTGCCTTCTACCCGAATCGAACGGGTGACCCTTTCATCAAAGCAAGTCCACTCCCGGGTGAAGAGGGTGGAGCACTACTAGTGAAAAATTCTAGCCACTGAACTAAGAAGGCAGAGATGTTGTGGTGATCAGCGTATTGACTGTTGGTGAGGGAACCTCAGGGACTTGTTTATCCTGGTCGAGGGCGGTCGAAAGGTGTCAGGCATGGCTACTTTGAAAGTTACGGAAGAGAGGATTCCTGGCATACCAGTCGTCGGTCCTTGGTGCCACCAGCCTGGGAAGTATGGGGCAAGATCGAAGTATGGAGCAAGGTCGGAGCCCCCCAAAAGACGTCGCCTCACTCAGTACAAAGTGTGGTGGTCTTGTCTCTCAGCTTTGGGAGCAGCCTTGCCACTTCAAACCTGAGGAGGGGGGTCAAGCTCATGCGCTTGGGTCCAGGTAACAACCTCTAGACGGCCATAAGCGTACAACACTGACGATATCACCAGCATTACATGTGTGCTACTATTCCTCAGCTTATGGCACCTTATTTTATTTTATGTTATTTTATTTTCCGGCCATTTTCCCTTGTTATTCCAATTCAGAACTTGAATTCGCGGTACACATTGAACACTGACGTTAGCTCCCTACGCAAACAATACCCACTGTGGGATGAGAACATGCGAGGACGCTCGAGGAACCCTTCATACTCGAGGCTCGAAGCGAGTTCAACAAGTAGCTGACGATGAGTGAGACAGTTGGGGTGGCTGCTAACTGAGTCCATGAAAGCCTGACAAGTTTAGCACGTCGTTCGCCTTTCACGGATAGGCTCACATTGAGAAGGGGTCCCGTGTCCTGGGCAGCCGTAGCGGTACGACCAATCTTGGCTTCGTGGCAGCCATCAAATACCACCACGTCATGAAGGGTCAAGGTGTTGTTGTACTCAATGTAGCTGTACTGGCCTTCGGTGAACTCGTCATTGATAGATCCGTTGTCGAGGCGGCGCATTTGTGACACAACGCTTGCAGGGTCAGTGTTTGCTGCACTGTACCAGTACCGCATTGTGTCTAGGGTGTTCTTCAAGACTTCAGCGCGGCTAACATAGGTCTGCCAGGTGGACTGGAGACCGTTAGCTTCAACAGAGTCAAGGCGTGGGAGGAGACACGTACCCAGAAAGGAAAGTTCAGACCCTTGCTGTGCGGCACATCGAACAGAGCCGTGAGGCGGGCAGCGCGAGGGAGAGGGTTAATCAGGAGGTGTCGCCTAGGATATGTAAGTTGCAAGGCAGTATCTAGAACCCACACTGCAAGTCAGAACAAGTTCTGCAGCCGCGTATGACTCACAGTCCCCATTGTTGATCACGCCGGTGGTCCGGTAGTCAACAGGACAGATATATAAGGTCAACATCAGCGTCGACGTCTTCACTCACCGCCACCTGATCCTTCCGTACTGTTTCCCGAGCTGACAGTCAGCCAGATATATTCACCAGGATCTCATGTGCATACAAGTAGAAGAAATACGCATCGTCGCGCTGGGCGTCGGGAGCAAGCCACCTCGTGAGGTACTGCACAATGTTCGCGCGCGAAGGAATCTTGTCGTCGTCACCCCCATCATCCTTAAGCACTGTAACGTTTGGGCCCATGTAGCCGTGTTGGGCTTCGCCCGTCAGAACGTAGATCTTCTGCACCAAACAAACTTACTGATAAGGAATCTTTTAAGATCGTCTACATCCAAGTGACGCCACCTGCAAGTAGCATACCCGTACGAGACACCAATCTACTGTGAGCCTCAAGAACGTCAGGAGTACTAACCAGAAGAGCTCGCTTGGTTCCAGTGCCTGAAGGTTAGTGAACATGGCTGTTATGACGCTCACAATTGGAATACTCAAAGTCGATGCTATGGTCGGACGCTCTGCTACGGCCGGACGTCGTGGTCGACGAGAGTGACAATATGTCCGAGGCCGCGGCTGCACTTCCCGAACGCGAGAGCGTCCGGCCAGCTCGATTCAAAGGGTCGGTACGAGAGGAGTTGCTCCTCGAAGAGGAGCGGCGGGGCATGGTGTTCTGGTGAGAGAGATGGGGAAGAACTGAAAGCAGCTATGTGGAGACGTGGGAACTCTCAACGCTTCTCTAGTTATCCGATGGGTGTGGGGGGACGCGTAGCCACGTCATGGCAGAATTTCAAATGCGCTGTTTATATACACTGAAGGACACGATATAAACAGGATCAGAGTGTCAGAATCGCCCTCTGGTGTACAGAAGATTGCTTGTATTGTAGGCAGGCACATAACGACGTCGGCTTGTTGAGTGGCACCGGGAATCAGTCGAACCGAAAGGGAGCCTTTGGCAAGCCACGCACGTCCACATGGCTCACAAGGGCGGTAACTAAGAGCTATGAGACGGTCCTCAATCCCCAGGCTCATTATTATACCAAGGATGTCCATGTGCATTGGACACATTTTCCTTTGTGGTGGTTTCTATGTGTCATTTGCATGCTGATGGCAGCATGTGGCATCGGTATGTGACTTGCCAGAGAATGCCGTACGTTCCTCTGGCCATGCATTTTACTGAAAACAACACAATCACTCTTACACAAAAACTGATCGGACAGGGGATCCCCGTGGACACTGTTGCCATCACCTGGTTATGATTTTGATGGGAGAGAGACACAGCACACGGCGCAGACGCCACAAGAGCTTGCACCTCACAACGCCATTCGCATCATTCCTCTCACATCCAGTCTTTTCTCCATTACGCCACTTCCTCACCCAACTATGCCTAGGTACTGCACTATGACGTCCCACCGGTACATTCGTAAGTGCACAGCACCCCCCACATACGCAGAACACGTTGACCTGATGATATGTAGCGCGCGAGCCTGATCTGGACGACCCGAGGCGAATCATGGTGCAAGTACACTTCCTCCGCGGTCGCTCCCGCCGTATGCTCCTCGTTCCCATGGGTCGGGACATGATGATCTATGACCTTCTGGTGTGTACACGCCCCATTGTACTCGGACTGACACTTCAGGAGAAGATTGCCGCCCAACTTGATGAGGACAATAGCAGTCTTTTGTGCGTCCCATCACTAACCACTGATGCCTCAGTATTGACACCCATAAGCCTCAAGTTCGGCGAGTTGGGCGAGGACCGCTTCCTCGGCGGTGGCGAGTATCTGTATGAGCTCACGCATGCCGGGCAGAAGCACGTCGAGATGGATCTGGAGATCATGTGAGTGTTCTTGCGGTCTCCGGCCATCACACCAAGTCATCGCCTTCCCTGAGTCTGACCGTCAACGCAGCAACGATGAGTCGGACTCGGACGACGAGTTCGACCTGCTCAATCTCCACGCCAGGTTATAATGGATGACCTTTTACCCCAAACCACGACCATTGTAGATCACTGCACTCTGATGACGAGATCCATAGAACCATATCCAGACTCACGTGAACCCTCACACCTGGTACCGGCGACCGGGTGGCGGCTCCAGTGAGCTCAATAGCCTCCTGCCCATGTCATTGTCCCTTCCCAGTCAGTTCATGGTTCCAGCCAGTTGCAGCTATCCCAACACCAGAAGCCGCCAAAAGAGCAGTGCTAGCACTGCATGCATGCCTCCGCTTCTAAGTACTCCGCCGCTTCTCTACCTTTCTGCCTCTCCCTTCCTCGCTCTCACAATTAAACAGTGAGCTGGTACTCGTACTCGTCGCTGCCACTCTGCGAGACCCAGAGGATCATAGCGGACATCATGATGCCGGCGTTCATGCCAACGTTGGCGCCGCCGTAGTAGAGGAACGATGTGAAGTCGGGGACAATGTACTTGAGGATGAGGACCGTCTAGCGGGGTCAGTTTGTTGCAAGTACAAGGCACCCACAAGACTGCCAGCAAGGCCACCGGCCATGAGGGCGACACCAATGAAGAGTACCACACGTGCGCGCCAGGCGGCGGGGCCCTCGCTACCCCAAGCATCGCCCGAGAACGCCGAGTTCAGGTGCGACTTGTCGAGAAGGGAAGTCACCAAGAAACCAACTGTGAGGCTGGTTAGCAACAGATAAAGCAATACTTGAGAGAGACTTACGGGTAGAACAGATCGCTGGAATCCAGTCTACAAAGGTGATATGGACGGGCACCGTGTCGTACGGCGCATCGGGAGGAGGCTTGGCGTGCTTGGAGAGCGTCGCCGCGTCGATCATCAGAAAGTACGAGATGGTGAACTGTTTGTTAGTCGGTACCGAGATGAGCAACTCACAAGAGCACCAGAGAGGTAAGTGCCAACCTGGCGAACCTTGGGTCCCACATCGAGCTTGGGAAGGTTGAAGCGGAAGACGCTACGAGGGTCGTACTGGGACTGCAGGCGTCAGCTTGCGCCTTTGTCGGCCGCTAGAAGCGCAGGTTTGAAGCAGTGAGGTGTATACCCAAATGAATCCAGACCATAATATATTTCCTTCTTGAGCGTCTAAGCCTTTGTACTCACTCGTGGGATAGACATGCTGGTGTATGGATGGATGGAGAGTGGTTGGCTGTGCAACTCGATGATGTCGGCCGCCAGTGGTGGCCATGACGCCAGTGCGCGGGACCAATTATCAATTTACGTAATAAACACGTGACGGGTGTTTTGACCGTCATATTGCAGGAAAGGGGCCGCTCGCCACCCAGCGCGCGCCCGCCGGACGCGACTGACCTTCCCTCTGAATCTTCCTTCTCTTCCGCCCTTCTTGTTAACAACCACCGCCCTCTACAATAATCCCCCGCCCGGGGCCCGTCTAACAGCAATGGGAATCTCGGGCCTCCTTCCTCTCCTCAAGGAGATTCAGCGGCCCTGCAACATTGCCGATTTCAAAGGCAAACGGTGAGTCCACACTGCCAGACAGAGAGCGCGCGTCGGGGTATCAATGATGTCTAACACCCATGTGCAGACTTGCGGTCGACGCGTATGTGTGGCTTCACAAGGGCGCGTTCGGATGCGCCGAGGATCTTGTCAAGGGCAACAAGACGACACGGTTCGTCGACTATGCTATGTACCGCGTACGCATGCTACGGTTCCATGGTATCACACCGTTTGTGGTGTTTGACGGCGGACCGCTGCCTGCCAAAGGCGGGACAGAAGAGTCACGAGCCAAGTGAGTTAGCAATGCCTCGAACAAGCGACTCTGTACGTTAACATATCGCTTACACCCAGGTCACGGGCCGACCACCTCGCACGCGCACAGGCATTCGAGGCGCAGGGTCGTTTGAAAGAAGCCCGCGACTGCTACACCAAGTGTGTGGACGTCACCCCAGAGATTGCCTTTCAACTTATCAAGGTGAGCTTCCTTGTCGTGTCGTGTTTAGCGCATTGAAGCTGAAACCTCAGGCTCTACGTGCCGAAGGTGTAGACTATGTCGTTGCACCGTACGAGGCCGACGCGCAGCTTTGCTTCCTCGAGCGTGAAGGCTTCGTCGACGGAATCATCACCGAAGACTCGGACCTGCTCGTCTTCGGCTGCAAGACGGTCATCTTCAAACTTGAGAAGGACGGCTCCTGCATCTCTATTGAGCGGTCGCGGCTTGCCACAGTGCGCGACCTCCCAATGCATGGCTGGACGGACGTCCAGTTTCGTCGTATGGCGGTGGGTGCCGATTCTTCTCCATAGTTGCTGACCCACCAGATGCTGTCAGGATGCGACTACCTCCCCTCCATCCCCGGTATCGGACTCAAGAAAGCGCATCGCATGTTGCGGCGATACAAGACGGTCGAGAAGAGTCTGCAGGCGATACGCCTTGAAGGCTCACACACCATTCCGCCAAACTACCTAGCCGCGTTCCAGCAAGCTGAACTCGCTTTTGTGTATCAGCGCGTGTTCTGTCCCGAGCAGAAGCGTCTTGTCCCGCTCACCGACTTTCCCGATGAGGGTCTTGGCCACTACGACGAAAAGTGGATCGGTCTTGACGTTGATGTGGAGATTGCCCGTGGCATGGCATTAGGCGACGTCCACCCGGCCACTCGAGTGCCCATCAAGGACCTCTGGCCAGATTTCTGTCCAGAGCCCAAGGGCCAGGGAAAGCCTCCCGGGCTGAGCGAGTCCAAGATCGGTACGCTTGACAAGTTCTTTACCCGCGTCAAGCGCACCAAGTCGACGCCCGCTGTGCAGCCGGTTGGTCGTATGGCCTCTGGTCCGTCGCGACTGTCCGACCTGCCACCAAAGAACGGCCTGTCACGCCACGCCTCCGAACCCAGCCCACCTCGTCCGGTCGGAAAGACGAGCAAATTCTTCGGCGGCAAGTCACTCCCGGTCATTGATGATGAGCCAGAGGAGAAGTTTGACCTCAAGTGGGAACAGTCTGAGTATGTCGAGTCTCAGCTCCAGGCTGGACCTTCTCGCACGCGGTCGCCGTCGCCGGAGCATGTCCGCTCGCCATCGCCCGAGATTGAAACCCAACATTCTGTTCGTTCTCCCTCCCCTTTTGTCTCGACATGCCACCCTACGCCTGCGCGTCTAGCTATTGTTGCCGACGACGAGCCGTTCACCTCGCCATTCTCGCACATTTCATCCCCGGCTCAGGCCACTCCGCCTGACAGCCTGGACCGTGCTCTCGACCGGCCCATCACTGATCGCTCCGAGCCGCCCTCGCCAACCCCTACCCGTATTCTGGTCTCAGCATCATCACAGATGGCGACTGTCGGATCGTCTACTGCCACTCCACTCCGGTCTGTCAAGATGAGGAGCTTGACCTCGATTCTCGTACCAGCATCGTCCCCGTCCATCTGTCGCGCGACATCGGACAATGCCTTGAACATTGTCGCATCGTCCGACTCGATTGGAGACGACGACATTGTCACGCCGTCTCCTGGCGTTCTAGCCCGGCGCAGAGCCAAGCGAGCCGTCGAAGACGCCGACGATGAGGAGCGCGAGCGCGAGGCTCGAGCCCGTGTTGTCGCTGACGGCTGGAGGAACAAGTATGCCCTAGGAGCTGGCAACTCGACACCGACGTTTGGCCGTAAGCGGGCCTCTCTCCCCCTCACTGCCGCTGCCCCACGCATTCTTGGCGCGAAGGCACTCAACCTTGATTCTCCCGCACCTGCGAGGGAGGCCAAGAAGATCAGCACGCCCAAGCCCTCGCAACCTGTCAAGCTTCACACCCCAATTGCCACAGCCATTGCACTGCCCATTGCCGCCGCCAAGGCCACCACTCCCATTACCACTGCACCCAACCCCCACGGCTTGTCGTGGTCTGCACTCGAGCGCTTCCGTTTCGCTCGTCGCTAGGATTCTGTTGAATCCCTGGTGCCGCCCCAGCACCAGTCTTGTAACCTGTAACTGTAACGCGTAATACTTAGCTAGCATGGTATGCATACTTGATGACTTTGCACCAAGAACGGTCAGTCAATGGTCAGCATGAAAACTGGCGCGACCTCTGTTATCCTTTGACAGGCATAGCACACTGCATCTGCCTTTTACTGTAGTCTGTCCCCCTCTCTAAGCGGTCGCGCGAACCGGCGCGCCGGTCCTGGCAGCCTGCCTCCGGAGGGCAGACTCCTGGGCGCGCTCGATAGCGGAAGCAGCCCAAGCCTCGCGCTGGGCCTCCAAGACAGCGGCGGCGCCGTCGACCTCGGCCTTCTCGGCGGCGTTGAGGGTCGAGTAGTTGACAGTGACGAACTGGTTCTTCAGGCAGCCGCGGATACGGGGAGCGGGGACGCTCGTGGGCTCCATGAGCTTGCCTGTTGGAGGCGCGTGCCGGGGCCGGAGGAACAGTCAGAGATGGAGAGAGAATGAGGGGTGAGGGTAGTAGGACAGAGGGTAGAGGTCGAGGAGATGGAGGCAGGTAGTGATGTGAGGGAAGGCGACGAAAGGTAGCCGGAGAAAGTCGCAGAGGTCGCGCGACAAACATGACGAGGACACAACACGGAAAGCAAGGGGTACAGTGAACAAGAGAACACCAGCGTCAGCTATATCCTCTTCTCTTTATCTGCAAGCTACGCACCCCTCCAGAACAGCTGGCCCCAGGCCTTTCCACCGACGTTGATCTTGCCCTCCGTCTCCCTAAACTTGAGGTCGGTGTGGGAAACCTTGTAGAACGAGTTGGCGGGCCACTTGACAGGACGGACGAGGGCGTTGAGACCAGACTTGGGGAGCTGGGCGAGGAGGACAGGGAGCTTGAATGCTGGTGGCTTCATGGTGTGCTGATGGTGTGTTGTGGTGTAGTGTGGTTGCACAATCCAAAAGTCAAGCGTTGAGCAGCGACGCCGCGGCATCAGCTTTCCGAGTTGGAAAAAACAGGGAATACAAAGCAAGTCAAATGGACATCTCAGGCACGGGTTAATTAAAGGGGACTGGATTAGGATCCCAGTTAGAAAGGGGTTTCGCGTGGTCACCCGACTCGGCAACTCGTGCAGACAACGAACCGCTGCACCGCTGTTCTGTTACACGGTATGCACTAGGGAGGTTTCAAAGGTTCCATTCGCGACCATCTCCCTTCAGTGGTTTTTATGCATCTCCTTAGTTATGCCCATGGCGTCTCCACGATGTCTGTTGATCTGTTGGTTGGGTGGATTCGCCACCTGTGCGTTGAGCGGACGGAAGCAAACTGTACCTGCACCGTGGGAGGATTGTTGCCCCGCGTCTGTTGTTGCGACCCGAAGATCTCTACACCGTCCACCTCGTCATCTCCTTCTCTCACAACCACATCGTTCGACAGCAACACCTTTCCTGCCTCTTGATAGCCTGGACAGAGGCAGTCCCATCACTACTCCTCTCCTCTCAACCATTCACATATCCCCGTACGCGTCCTTGATCTCCACCACCACAACCACCACCACAATTGGTGTCCCTCCTTGCACCGGATGCCTGAGGGCATCGACGACACAATGGAGCAAATCGCAGTTCACAGGGCGCTATCGCCAGAACAACCACTAGCCCCTAGCCTCGTCACGTCCGAGTTACCTACCAGACAGCCCACTCCTACACCCGAAGCTGCTGCTGCTGCATTGCCATCCCCGTTCGCCGCATCGCCTCCCCACGTTTCGCCACCACCTGAGCTCGGGTCCATGGCGGGCTTTGACGATATCCTTCCGCTTCCAAGCTCCTACAACCCCGATGTTCCGGCACTCCCTGTTCCAGTTGCCGACGTGGATCAAGAACTCATGTTGCAGCCGATCGAGCAGCCGGCAGAGGAACCAGCTCTGGAAAGCGTGGCTGAGCGGATCCAAGTGGACACCGACGTAGGCGATGAAGAAGGCGAGCGGGATCCTAAATGGAGCGACGACCCAGCACTGGCAGCCATGCTGGAATCTCTCAGAGGTACCGAGGACTTGGAAGGCTTGCCTTCGTACCAGGCCGATTCGGCTCCTAGTCAGGAGCAACAAGCCGCTCACGGTGCCATTGAACATGGCCACCTGACGGACGAATACTCGACCTGGGGTCTTGGAGACAAAGACGGCAATGGGCGTCAAGGTGGGTGCAATGTTCCTTCCAATGCTTACTAGTCAGCCAGCTCGCCTCCCAGTTCCATCGAGATGTCTCCTATCCCGGACCTGCCGACCGAATTACCAGACGACGTCGAGATCGCCCCCATCGCCTCACTCCCCGAGGATCTCGACGAATCCGACAACCCCCTCATGTCCTTGGGCGCCATATCTCACGCCGAGTCATCGACAGCCGCAGCCACCAGGGCTCGTGAGGAACACTCTCAGACTCTGGGAGAAGTTGGCTCTGCGTCTCCTGCCGCCAGCCCTGTCGTCGTCGAAGAAGCTCGTACTCGCAAGCGTGCAAAGTCGCCGGTCGACGACACACCCACGGAACAGGAGTCTGAGAGCGAACGTGATCAGACCAATGCGGTAGATGCTGGGAAGCCCAAGAGAAAGTACCGCAAGTTGAAGGATATCGATGGAAAGCCACTGCGAGGTAAGTTTGTAGCGCGCTCAAGAACGTCACTGAACGTGCAGTGTCAAACAAGCCACGTAAGAGGCTCGATGCGTCTCTTGGTATCTATCGAGATGGAGACAAGCCTCTTGAAAAGGTTGCCCCTCGTAGGTTCTGCAACGTCCTACACGAAACTGACGGACAAATCCAGGAGCTCCCACTGTTTCGGACAAGAAGCTCGAGGCAATGTGCATTGGAAAGACCCAGGAGCTTCAAATCGCACCATGTATCCGCCACCGGTACGATGGATTGGGAAAGTGCACACAGTGTGTCAGCAAGATCGGCGGCGACTCGTGTCGTTTTAGGAATTACCGCAGCTTCCCGTAGGTTAACCAGCTTGCTGATGGCTAATGCACACAGACTTGACCCTAAGACTGGAAAGGTCAATGGTCCGGGCTGGTTCGAGTCCACAGAGCTGGAGAAGCCTATGACGGAACTCCCACAAGAGTTCAACACGGACTTGTTAGAGAGTCACATCAAACGGGCAGAGGTGAGCTTAGCCCAGTTCATCCACAAGCTGACGTATAGCGAGCTGTTGCGCCACTCCTTTTGCGTCTTGTCACCCGAGAGCTGCGGCACGTCGTCAACAATAACGCCATCCACCGTCCAATCGACGCAGCTCAACACCGCTCTGTTTGCGACTTTTGTGCGTCCACAATCTTTGCCGGCTTCTGGTTTTGCACAAAGTGCGGACGCGACTACTGCCTGCAATGCGAGCGGTACTTTGGCGACAGCAACGAGACCATGAACATTTCTCCATGGCCACTGCCTGACGCTGCCCGTCCTCGAGTGCACCGATGCTCTGGCGGCAGGAAGGGTAGCCAAATCAGCCACTTCCGCCCCGACCTCAAACCCACTTCTCGCTTCTCTGCCGATGAGCTTCGTACCAACTGGTTGGCTCTTATCGATTTTGTTCTGGACCCAAGCGACAAAGTGAACATCGACGAGCAGCTTCGAATCATGGGTATTGACTCCACCAAGGAGCCCGCGCTGGCGTCCGTCGTGCGCGAATGGTACCAGTCTCGCGAGAGCCAGCAGCACCCTCCTCCCTCGAGCCTGGCTATGGCGCCTGAGCTGGTCGACGCTCTGTATGAAGCCTCAAAGGATCTCCCAACGGTCCCAGATCCTGTAGGCCTCAGCTCGCATCCATTCATCTACATCGATGCCGACCAGCTCACCGACGAATTGTTCGACCAGCTCTGGAGCCGTGGTGAGCCCATGGTCGCCCACAACATTCTTCCTAGGTTCAAGATGGACTGGGGACCCGACGAGTTTATCCGGCGCTTCGGCACTGAGCCGTGCTACGTGATGGACTGCCAGACGGAGATCTCAAAGAAAATGTCCATCGGCAGGTTCTTCGCCCTCTTCAAGGACCGCCAGGGCGAGTACATTCGTCCCAGCAAGACATCAACTGCCCAGGGACCCATGCGCAGCACCCAGCCAAACGATGGCGCCCATGCATCGAGGACGCTTGCCAGTGCCACAAGCACTCCTGGTCCAGACACTGTTGAATCAGCGTCTTTCGTGGAGACACAGGCGAATGGCGACAAGTCGGGTAACGGCTCTGACAGGCCGGGTGACCTGGCTTTACGTGCCACATCAGCCGCGCTACCTGTGCCCGCGTCACCAGCTGCACCTGCTGCTGATTCGTCGTCGGCGACGCCCACCGCTGGTGTGGCAGCTAACGGCGATGGAGACGTCAACGGTACATCTGAACCGAACGACTTCGAGCCATTGTTGCCAAAGCCGAAGGCAGCAGTGACCCAGGTGCTCAAACTCAAGGTGGGTATTTGGACGACGGTCACCTTACTAACCCTCCAGGACTGGCCGTCGACAGATGACTTCTCGACCGCCTATCCCGACCTCTACAACGACTTTTGCGATGCGCTCCCTGTCCCAGACTACACTCGTCGCAACGGTGTCTTGAACCTCTACTCCCACTTTCCTCCCGGAGCAACACGGCCAGACATTGGACCGAAGATGTACAATGCGTTCGCTGCCCAGGAGGGACCGGACGGCCAAGGATCCACCCGGCTGCACATGGACGTCGCGGACGCCATCAACATTATGCTATATGCCTCGGATCGCCCAGACGGTTCTCCAGGCTGTGCGGTGTGGGATCTGTTCCGCGCCGAAGACGCGGACGCGATCCGCACGTTCCTCAAGGACAAGTATTCGACGAGCCACAAGTTTACCGACCCGATCCACGCGCAAATGTTCTACCTGAACAGTGACCTCCGCCGCGAGTTGTTTGAGAAGCACGGTATTGCCAGCTTCCGCGTGTACCAGTACCCTGGACAGGCTGTGTTCATTCCAGCGGGCTGTGCGCATCAGGTGTGCAACCTCGCCGACTGCATCAAGATTGCCTTGGATTTTGTCTCGCCTCGTGAGTGGCAGTTGCTGAAAGGATCCGCGCTGACGTCAGACAACGTCCGCCGCTGCCAGCGTCTTACTCAAGACTTCCGCGAGGAAAACTTCAAGCAAGCATGGAAGGACGACGTGCTGCAGTTGTACAACGTCATGTGGTGAGTACACTCTTCGCTAGAGGCAACAGCCGCTGACTAGTCAAGGTACGCGTGGACCAACGTTCGCGAGACTCGCGAGCGCAATGCCCTTGAGGCGGCCGCGTATGAGGCCGAGAGGGTGAAGCGTGCCGCCCATCTCAAGGCTCTCACCAACGACCCTTATGAGCGGATGCGCAACTTCCGGTCGCCTTTGACCAGTTCCGTGCGGGACGACCCAACGCCCACATCACCACTGGGTTCAGACGAGCGAGGTACCGCTCAGGAACGAACTTCGCCCGCCAAGACGCCTGAGGGAGCAGATAAGGATGCCTCGGATGTCGCTTCGGACTCTCCGGCGCATGCACTCGCGCTTCGCCTGTTGGACGCAGTCTTGACTCGCGACCCTCCACCTCCTCCCCCACCTCCTGTGCCCAGCACTGGTGTACCCATCAAGCCGGTCGCACCGGTCCGCCAGCCAACCCGCGAAATGCCCCGTCGCGAAACGCCAGAGTCGCTCCGACTTTCGGACCAGATCCGCGCGGGACATGTGCCCAGTGCCCTGGCCCTGTCTGTGATTTCAGCCGACCTGCGCGCTGGGTCGATGGACCTCGACGACTTGAACCTGTAGATAGAGGATAGAGAAGATCGGTTGCATGTACTCGCGCCGACCGCATATCGCATGTCTAGCACCAGGAAGCGTAGCAGAGATTACCCGTGGTGTGTCACGCGTGTGGTGGAGGGCATGTTCTGCCGCGGAAATTCCAACGCGTCAGAAGCGATAAGCGACTGACGAACCGGCAGACCCAGCGGTGCTGCCGTCGTTTCCAGGGCGGGCAAAGCCGCCACAAGGCCACAAGCCGTAAGCGAGACGCGGCCACCGCCAGCGTGGACGCCGGCGGGTCACTCCAAGTCGGCCAACATTCTTAGGATACAATTGATTCGAACCCAACTCTTCTTTCTTCATTCTTCCACTCTCTCTCTCTCACTCTCACTCCCTCTCACTCTCTCGCATCTCAACATGTCTGCCCGCCTCCGCCTCGCCAACAAGGTCACCATCGTCACCGGTGCCGGCTCGTACGTATCCTGCTTTGCTCTCTCGCGCGATCAGCCGAGGAGCTTGCTGCTGGTCCCCGCGTCATGCGTACTGTACTGACGCTGTCTTTTCAGCGGTATCGGTCTCGAGACCTCGCTCCAGTTCGCCGCTGAGGGCGCCCGTGTCGTCCTTTCGGACATCAACGAGGCTGCCGTCACTGCCGCTGCCAAGCTCGTTGCCGAGCGTTTCCCCACCTCGGAGGCCATCGCCGTCAAGTGCGACGTGTCCAAGGAGGCCGACATCAAGAACCTCGTCGACACTGCCGTCGCCAAGTTTGGCCGTCTCGACGTCCTCTTCAACAACGCCGGTATTATGCACCCTGCGTGAGTACGAGAGCGTGCGAGTGAGGTCTGTGTGTGCAGGACGAGAACCGTGGGCGGGGCGGCACTGGGCTGCGGTGATGCGGAGGCAAGCCATCACTCGAGGCGGCAGTGAGAGCGACGCCAACCCGAGGCGCGTGCGTCCGGAAGCCGAGGGGCGAGACCCAACGCCATCATTCAGGCGGTTACACCCCTTTGCCTGCCGATGACCGCGTCCACTGTGTGCAGATGCGTACAGCGGTGTCTCCGCGTCTCCCACACAGACCACACAGAGCTGCCCATCGCGTGAGGTGCCATGCTGACAATGACAGGGACGACGACGCCGTCGCTACGGAGGAGAAGATCTGGGACCTCACCCAGGCCATCAACGTCAAGGGTGTCTGGTGGGGCTGCAAGTACGCTGTTCTTGCTATGCGCAACGTGAGTCTCTGGAGCCAGGCGAGGTGGTGCACGCGGTGTAGGTGTTGGACCCTCGCAACCCTTCCGTCTACCTACCAGGAAGCGTGCACCGCCTCGACTCGGCTGTTGTTTACAGCAGGCGGCCATGACTGACATGGTCTCAGAACAAGGCCGACGCTGCTCTCGGCCTCGGTATTGGCGGCTCGGTCATCAACGTTGCCTCGTTTGTCGCCAAGCTCGGCGCTGCTACCCCCCAGCTGGCATACACCGCCTCCAAGGGTGCCGTGCTCGCCATGACCCGCGAGCTTGCCATGATCCACGCTCGTGAGGGTATCCGCTTCAACTCGCTTTGCCCGTGAGTCGTTTGCTTTGGGTGTGCAACGACGCTGGAGTAGAAGGAGGGGTCTCTCGAGAACCGTCCTTCGCAGTCCAACGTCTGCTGCCAGTTGCCTCAATCGCCCATTGCCTTTGGCCTGTAGCTGACCCATCCAGTGGCCCCATCCGTACCCCCCTCCTCATGGACTTCCTCAACACCCCCGAGAAGCTGAACCGCCGCATGATCCACAACCCCATGGGCCGCTTCGGCGAGGCCGTCGAGCAGGCCAAGGCTGTCGTCTTCCGTAAGTCGCGCAAAAAGAGGCTCCCCATTGAGCCTTTGAACACGCCCGCGCTCTGCCCTCTCTGGACCATTTGGCTGACCCCTTCCCTCAGTTGCCTCGGACGACTCGTCGTACGTCAACGGCACCGACTTCATGGTCGACGGCGGTCTCCACGCGTGCTACGTCACCTCGGAGCAGGAGCAGATTGTCCCTGCCCCCAAGGGTCTCCTCCAGCAGTAAAAGGCGCAGAGCGGACCCCTCATATCAGTTTTGTAGTAGAGCTCATCGGCTGGGCTGGGCAGCGAGTGGCAGTCTGTGGCCGTGGCGGTAGTAGAAGTGAGAAGAAGAGAAGATATGCACGATAGTGTTAATTGTTCCATTCAACGGTGCCATGGTGCTGCTGCTGCATGTGGCAGTTGTACATCCTCCACAGCCCTCACTGCATGCACTAACATCAGCGTGCACCTGCCGAAGACATGGAAAGGCTGTGGGTTGATGTTTCCTGTGGACGCACATGGCACCGTGTTCCAGGCCGCGACGCGCGGCACCCGGGGTGCGCCACGCGACATTTTCCGGGCCTCCCGGAACGAATGTTGGGATCTACCTTACGCGCCATCCGGTCCACCCGACTCGTTCTCGCTTCAACCATCTCCCGCTTGTCGTTTGTCGTCGCCCACACCCGGTTTTCCCGTCATTTCAGTGTTCCAGCAGCACCCATTCTTTACGGACCTCCTGCCGGCCCACCTCCTCTCGGCACTAGAGCTCTTGGAACAAGACACGTTGTGTTCAGCACCAGCACCAGCACCAGCACCACCCCCGTCGTCCACCTATACCGCCTATACCGATTCAAAAGAGACACTGCCCACAATGTCCGAGTTCACGGTCCCCACCCTCGCCAACGCTGCTACCTGGAAGGATGTGCAGTGGCCCGAGATGAAGAATGACCTGGTCCTCCGCGCCGCTCGCGGTGAGGAGACTCCCCGCGCGCCTGTGTGGGTCATGCGTCAGGCTGGAAGGTACCTCCCTGGTAAGTGCCGGTTGTCGGGAGCGAGTTGGCGCGAGGAGGTGGCCTGTGTGCTGGACTTGGGAGAGTGTAGATGACTCTGGAGGTCTACGGCGTGAGCTCTGGGCGTCTTTTTCGTCATGAGCTCGTACCCCGGGCCATCCTTACTTCCTTTCAACCTTGTCGTGCGGAAGCGACGTCCACCACCTCGCGGTGCTCCTGCCTTCCTTGTATTCATTCCCGCTTACATGCTTTACAGAGTTCCTCGCTGTCCGCAAGGACCACTCGTTCTTCGAGTGCTGCCAGACGCCCGAGCTTGCCGCCAAGCTCACCCTCCAGCCCATTGACCGCTACCCGCTGCTCGACGCGTCGATCATCTTCTGCGACATCCTCGTCGTGCCCCAGGCGCTCGGCATGGAGGTGCTCATGGAGCCCACCAAGGGCCCCGTGCTCCCCGAGCCCCTCCGCAAGCCCGAGGACCTCGCGCGCCTGCGTGAGGTCGTCGACGTGCAAAAGGAGCTCGGCTACGTCTTTGACGCCATCTCGCTCACGCGCAAGGGCCTCGACGGCCGTGTCCCGCTCATTGGCTTCTGCGGTGCCCCCTGGACCCTCATGGCGTACATGTGCGAAGGTGGCGGCAGCAAGACGTTTGAAAACTCCAAGGGATGGCTGTACAAGTGGCCTGTCGAGTCCAAGAAGCTCATCATGAAGGTGGCGGATGTCTGTGCCGACCTGCTTGTCGGCCAGGTCCTTGCCGGTGCTCAGGTGAGTTAGGATGTGGAAACGCTGTGACTATGGCTGCAAATGTCCTGCCGTTCAGCCATGGCCAGTGCCGGCTACCCATTTCTCGTATTATTATTTTTTGCCAACAGACAGATGCTCCAGGTCTTTGACTCGTGGGCCGGCGAGCTCACCCCTCACCACTTTGCCGAGTTTGCCCTCCCTGCCTGTGTCTACATCCAGAAGAAGGTGCGCCACTGCCTGCGCGAGCTGGGCCACGCCGACGTGCCCATGACCCTGTTCGCCAAGGGCGTGCACTCGCCGGCGTCGCTCGCGCTCCTCAAGAAGGAGCTCACGGGCTACGACACCATCGGCCTCGACTGCGGCCTCGACCCCGTCGAGGCGCGCCAGCTCCTCGGCTCGGGCCTCAACCTCCAGGGCAACTTTGACCCGGCCATCCTGTACGGTGGCCGCGAGGGTATCGAGCGCGAGGTCGCTCGCGTGTGCCCCCGCTTCCACGAGGCCGGCGAGGGCTGGATCGCCAACCTCGGCCACGGCATCACGCCCAATGTCAAGCCCGAGGACATGGGATGGTTCCTCGAGTGCGTGCACAAGTACTCGAAGCGCGCGTAAAGCAGCAGCGAGCAGCGAGCAGCGAGCGATATACAGTTTGAAGCAGACAGGCAGACACAATGCAGTTTGAGGCAGTATATTAGCTGGGGCTTGGGAGGGGGGGCGCGTGGGATTTCTCGAGAGAAATCCTCGCAGGTAGAAGACAAAGACAAAAGACACAGACACAGACACAAGAGATTTGTTGCGTAAAGGGGGCATTTGAACCATGTTACTGCAATGCATCTGAATACCACTCGACTGCTGTATGTTTAAGGGCCTGTCCGGATGTCGGTGGCGCCACCAGACTGGAGGTTATCAGCAGGAGAAGAGGAAGATGCGGTAGTGGAAGCGCCAAGGTTTACAGAGCGAGAGCACAAGAGAGAGACAGGGAGAGAGCGTGTCTGTGTTTGTTGCGACAATAAACGTCGACGTCCAGCTGCAGGGCCTACGACGACATCTCCCCCATCCTCCGTGCTCGCCGTGCACATTCCCCTGGCACCTGCTTCCAGGTTTGACTCACCATAACAGCCTCCATCTCACGCTCGGTCATCTCGGGCCTCTGCCAGAGATACGACGGCGCCTCCCAGTCCTCAAAGTCGGCCTGCTTGGCCGAGGCCTTGTACAGGGGAATGTAGCCGGCAGTGGACACGGCCTTGCCGGCGGCGGGGGCGGCCTGGGACTTTGCGATGAAGGCAGCAAAGGCCTCGACAATCTCCTTGGGCGCGGCGGGGTGCGGGGCCGGGGTGTGGGGACCTGCACAATGTCAGTGGGCTGCGGGTTAGGTCGGTGGTGGTGGAGGCGGGAAGAGTGCAACATTGCGCGCGCGCGGTGAAGTGGGCGCGAGGACCTGGGGTGGAAGGGGGGGATACGCACCAGTGGGCCATGAGCGCTTGCCGATGAACTGGATCATGGGGGTACGCGCGGCGGCGCGGACGAGGGTGGTGGCGTGCATGGTGGTGTGGGTGATGAGCACGGAGCAGCGGTTGTCGCACACGAGACAAGACTTGAAGCACACGGGCTGTGATGACATGTACTGTAGAGCGGCGGCGGCGGACAGCGGCGGGCAAACGGTACATACGGTCCACCGATGGGACGGAAATGCGCGGAGGCAGGGCCGAAAGGACGCTCTGGGCGCGCGGATATTACATGGCCATATGGCCACGGCCGGTGCGGCAAGGCGTGCGGATGTGTTAGGTGTGCAACGCAGTGCAGGCCTATGATGAGTGGCATGGGCAAACGCAACTTGTGCAGCCTGTGGTGTGCCATGCTTGTATCGAGCTCCAAGCTGGGGTAGGGCCTTCGCGTCGCGTCAGATCGGTAAGACGGAGAGAGAGAGACAGGGGCACAGTGTACAGTGAGAGATGCAGAATGGCCAGGACGCTCACTCCCAGCACTGCTGATCTGCTGAGCCTCGCCTGCACGCTGACGGAGCTGACTCTTGACTGCAACGCAGTTTGCACAACTGTACAGGCCGCATGCATTTGTAGCCTGTAGCGTCCTGTGATCTGTGATCCTTCCTAGATATCTATGCATCAGTTGGTGGGGCTGGAGTATGAAACGGAGGCGGGCAAGTTGACACGAACTGTATACGCGTGGGGACAGAGTTCAAAACGTTAATTTCAATCACCACAACCCATGTCCACACCACCTCCAATGCCCAATGGCACACATACACCCACACACGCCGGGTCGTCGTCCCGGACACACCACACGCCTGCCCGTAGATCCGGTTCCCCACAAACGAAATGGTCGTCCCAGGCGGTGGCGGCGTTTGTAGCGAGAGAGGGAGAGGGAGAGACAGAGACAGAGACAGAGACGGCGAGAAGGGTTACAATTGCACGCAGGGGTATATATCAAGCCATGCAGCCACTTTTGACCAAGGCCAGGAGGGGTGTGAGGGAGAGGGCAGAGAGACAAGAGACAAGGATTGGTTGCTTGGGTGTGTTCGTTCGGTGGGTGTTTCATGTTCGAGGCGGATGGGGGAAGGGTGGTTTCCATGGTTTGGCGCGTCCTGCACGTGTCGCAACGGCAGCGCCGCGCGCGCCACGCGTGTGTCGGGAGCAAGCTGTACAGGGGGGCAGAGCGATGTGGGGGCTGCCGTGCGCAGTAGAGTGTGCAGCGAGAGAGCCTGCGGGGAGCCCGGGAGAGGGAGAAGGAGGGGGTGGGACACAAAGGGGGAGAGCCGACGCGTACAACCCGTGCCCTGCCGGGACAAGGGGGCTTGGTCGCTCGATGCCACCACCGCTGTGCCACCACCACTGCCGCCGCCAGCGAAATGAGAGACACACCCCGCGCGACCACCCACACCATAATTCCCCTTTGTAACCACACACATCTCGTTTCTTTGCGTCGCCCATCACCCATCACTCCACGCTCGCTCGCTCCCATCTCCACCATGACAGCATCCAACATCCCATTCAACGTCTCAGAGCACTATACCGTCCACGAGGTCATCGGAGAAGGTGCATACGGCGTCGTCGTGTACGTACTCCCTTCATCATCATCATCATCACCACCACCCCACAACCGCCGCTGACGTCCAGCTCGGCCGTGCACAAGGCGTCGGGCACCAAAGTCGCCATCAAGCGCATCACCCCCTTCGACCATGCCATGTTCTGCCAGCGCACTCTGCGCGAAATCAAGCTCCTGCGACACTTCCGGTGCGTACCTCTGCAAAACGGGGCAACGTCGGCGCGTGATGTGCCGCGCAACCTCGTTCATGTCACGACTTGGCATGGACACCCATGAGTCGGCCGCGCCGTCAAAGCGGTCAGACGTCGCGCCTGTCACAGTTGTGCCAGACTCCCGGGAAGCACAGAGAGTAGCTGACTTGCTTCTCTACAGTCACGAGAACATCATCGCCATCCTCGACATCATCGCGCCCTTGTCCTACGAGCAGTTCCATGAAGTGTATCTGGTCCAGGTACGTCCTTTGCCCCTTCTTCCCGCTCCCCCGGCCGCGCGACCACCCCCCAGGTCGGCGCCCTCACCAGTCCCGCGTCCTCACTCCCACTCCACTCTCCTCATCCACTTGCACTCTGCCCTCGATATCGCTTCGGAAGCTGACGCCCGCCCAGGAGCTCATGGAGACGGACCTGTACGTGTCCTTTCGTCAGACGGCGACCGAGTACGACCCAGTGCTGACCAGCGTAGCCATCGCGTGATCCGCACCCAAGAGCTGAGCGACGACCACTGCCAGTACTTCCTCTACCAGGTAGGTCTTTGGGGACGACGGGCTGCCGGACCTTCCCTGTGCTCCGTGGCAATGTCACGCTCCGACCCGACGTGACGGAACGCTAGTGCAGAGGCAGCGCGGCATTGGCCCGTTTGCCAGCGCGCGTCATGCCATGCACCGGCAACCACTGGTGTCCGCTTGGGTTATGGAAAGCAGCGTCCTTGCCCTTCTCGTGTCGCCGTTCAGACCGCTGACTGGTGACTCTAGACGATCCGTGGACTCAAGGCACTGCACTCTGCCAATGTCCTCCACCGCGACCTCAAGCCCTCCAACCTCCTGCTGAACGCCAACTGTGATCTCAAGATCTGTGACTTTGGTCTTGCGCGCTCGGCAGCTCTCCCTCCGCCCGACGCTGGCCCGAACGGCGGTAACGGATTCATGACTGAATACGTCGCGACCCGTTGGTACCGTGCACCCGAGGTGATGCTGTGTAAGTAGCGCTACATGCCAATCTCTGGCTCTGGGGGACGAGCTGACACCAGGCTAGCGTTCCAGGAGTACTCTAAGGCGATCGACGTGTGGTCTGTGGGCTGTATCCTTGCTGAAATGAGTGAGTCGGAGCGTCCACCTAATGCAGTGCTAACGGCGGCAGTCAACGGCAAGCCCCTGTTCCCCGGCAGGGATTACCACCACCAGCTGTCACTCATCCTCGAGTGCCTTGGCACGCCGACCATGGACGACTTCAACGAGATTACGTCCCCCAGGTCAAAGTACGTCATTGCGTCCGCGCTTTTCTTCTTTTTTCGCTGACAACATTGCAGAGACTACCTCCGTGCGCTCCCCTTCCACCGCCGGCGCGACCTGCGCGAAATGTGCCCCAAGGCCAAGCCCAACGCGCTCGACCTCATGCGCCGGTGTCTCACGTTCTCCCCGCGCAGGCGTATCACCGTCGAGGAGGCTCTCGAGCACCCTTACCTGGAGCCGTACCACGACCCCTCGGACGAGCCGGGAGCCGAGCCTCTGCAGGCCAACTTCTTCGACTTTGAGAACCGCCAGTCACCCCCGAGCAGGGAGACACTGAAGCGTGAGTTTGGAACCTGATAGTTGCGTGCGTTTCTTGTGTGCTGACCCGTGTTCCCCAGGCCTCATCTACGCAGAAATCCAGCGCCCACTCGGCGACGCCTAAGCGCAGGACCCCGCATTTGCCCCCCTGCCCCTCTGCCCTCACGCCACCACTACCCGTGCCGCCGTCTTGTTCTCTCCCTCGTCTTGACGGTCGTTGCGGAACGACCAACCTCCTGGCCCTCATATCTCCTCGTCCCGACCAGCCGCCCTCGCCACCCGACTGGGCCCCCAAAGAGCCTCCAAATCCGGCCCGATGCCACATACCCACTCCAAAGTACCTTATAGCCCGTATCCGGTCCGGGCGGGTTTGGCCCGTTGTATGCATGCAATAACCGCAGACAGGGGAACGATTGTCGTGATCTCTTCTGACTCCCTCAACTGGCCGCGCGGGGTTATAGGATCGAGTGGATCGGAGGCTCCCCGACCTCTGCGTGTGTGTGTGTGTGTGTGGCGGAGGAGCCACACTTCTAAGTGAGACACAAGTGACGCAAGACCCCCGCTTTCCTCGTTCACCCCGGCTGCATTCTTGCTCACTCGCCTCGCCACCCAGGCCGTTCAAACCGGGTGGGATCTGGTGGCGTAACCCATGAATATGACAATAGGTACCCCCCCGGTCAGGCAAGTGCGGCGTGGTGAGGGGTTGGTGAGCAACGTGGAGTGGACGCTGGACGCTGGACGCTGAACGTTGGGCGTGGACGTCGAGTGGTCGCAGCCTGTACCTGTAAGTGTGTTGCGGGGAGTTGTGGCCGCCTGCAAGAATGGACGGGACGGGACGACCCATTGTGTCTTGTCTTCGCGGCACGGCGCTGATGCCTGACCCCGCGGCGTCGGGTGCACGGTCCTCGCACCCCGCTCCAGCTTGGCCATGGCCAAACATGGGTTTATTATTGTCTTGCCCTGCGTCTCTACGTCTCTGCATCCTGGGAGTATATCTGGCAAGGCGCATGGACGCACGTCGCAGGCATGCAGGCATGCGTGCTCGGCGTGCGGCGTGGCTGTGGCGGTTCCGCTTCCATTGCCGATTCCGTTTGAGCCGTTCGCTCCCCGGTCCAGCCCACGAACCCCACCCTCACCCCCACCGGCATTCACATCCCTTTGTTCTCTGCTCTGACAACCGCGTCCCATGTGGCTGAGTACGGTACGTCGCCACCCAGCCAACGCCACTGGCCGCGGGGGTGAAGTGCGTGTGACCTCGACAGGCGAGCCAGTGAAATCTCGCGCAACCCCTCCAAGGAAGGCCGTGGCGATACGGTGCGCCAACACGAGCAAAGCCAATAAGCCGCAGTTACTCCACCAAGGCATGCACTGAGCTATGGCTTTGAGGCTGGTTGCATCGCTTGCGTTCCCTGCCAGATAGCCAAGCGCGAACAGGACACACACAAGCGAATGGGCGCGCGCGCCCGAATAGTGTCAACTATTTTTTGACATTTTGGACGCAGGCTGTGGCGCCTCTATTCAGTTGACCTGTGTGCCGGCGGGGGCGCGGCGGGGGCGGGGGCGCGGGGGGGGGGGCGTCTGTCGCGGCTGCTCGGCAGTGTCAGAAATGGCAGCCGCAAATTGAGCAAAAGCGCTTCATACATATGACGAATCCGAGGATCGGGATCTGGAGGGGAGCGTATCGGTCACACACAACAGATACCTCATGCAGGTAGAGGTACATCTTACGGCCGAGGAATGTCCGCCCTCCATACATAGCGGGCTGTACGATCGCGCCTGCCTGCCACTTGACCTCGTCCACTTGTCCTCTTGCGATATGGGCGACTGTGCTCCAGGTGTAGCCGATCGGGCGTGTTGGCTCTGTTCGCACACGCTCCTTGTGGCCTGTGATCCCTGTGACGGCCGTCGGATTACGCTGACGACACCGACAATGACAACGGCAAGCACAACACAATGACAATGACAATGGCACACGCGGACATGCGCATGGGCCGATCCACTCTGATCTTGGCTGACAGCGCCGTAGGCGGTCATGCTGCACGCAGCCAACGATACCCAGATCCAGATCCCGTGGCCATCTCAGACTCAAGACCGGACTCAAGACCATCTCAAAAGCCTACTCGCACTACATGTAACAATGCAGACCGCAGACACAGCAGGCAATCGTTACCGAATCAATACAATCAAATACACGGCCGCCAGAGCCGGTCCCGGTCCAGACAATGCTGTTTGTTTTTCCTTTTCTTAAATCGTTTTTGTTTTCCCGATCCTTCAAGATATTGGGAATGTGTCCAGCAAGACTTTGCTTTTTGGGGTCGATTCCGAGATCCCCGCTCGCGCGCCACTCGCCACTGTGCTTTGTGCGTTGTGCGTGTACGTGCTCTCGGTGTCGGCCCGGTCCCGGGCTTTGATCTTCACGTGCGTGCCGCGGGCTTCACTCTGATCGCAATCTTCGCGCGAGAGGGGGATCTAGGTCGTCGCTCGACTGCTTTGAGTATCTCAAGGGGGGTGGCAGATGAGATGACACGAGATGAGATGTAGATGCTACCTATGACATTGTGTGTTTCCTGACAGCGATGAGGAGGGCAACAATCAAAAAGAGTAGCCGCGAGACATGGATCTGGGGACGAGGCGTATGGGCCGCCGCGTCGCTTTTGGTCTAGGCTTCGTGGTGGCGTCTACTCAGCGGGGGGGGGGGGGGGGGGGGGGGGTCACCTCTCATGCAACCAGTGGCCAGTGGGCCAGTGCGCTCCTTAGTTGGGTGGTGGCGGCGACCATGTTCTTGCCTTGGCATAAACCCAGGTCCATGCGAATAGCCCAAGAGCTAACGGTTCTACAACAATACAATATCTCGCACGGATACTCCTGGGGGGGGGATGCCAACGAGAGGGGGATACTGTACACCCGCACGCTCTCGCCAGCTACTGACTGCTCTCATGCTCTTCCGACATGCTCGACCGGGAGCTCCGGGCGGGGTCTGTGGCCCTTATCTGGTGTGGTGGTGGTGGTGTTCTGGTAGTCGACGAATGCGCAGCTATTGCAACAAGTTGCTCAGCCGCACATTGATGGAGCTTGATGGAGCTTGATGGAGCTTGATGTGGAAGGTGGTTGGTTATTCGGTCGCTCGTTCTCTGCCATTTTCTCAAATCTTGTCTGAAATCTTCGAAACTTGGTCATCTCTTGCGTGTGTAGCCCTTGTCGTGTCCGTGTAGATTGGGAATATATGAGACCGGGGATGCCCAGATTGAGGGAGTAGAAATGTGTCTGCCGGCCACCCGCCCAGCGCTTGAGCAGCGAGGACGGGCTTGGCGTTGTGACACGCTTCTCCTCGGCTTCCTGGCCAATGCCATTCGGTCTGAATCGACTACGTTGGCCCCATGCTCATCATGCTCGGGGTGTGGCTGTACCTCGGGCCAGCGGGGATGCTCGAAAAGTCGCCGTCGCCACCGTCACGTTTACGGCGCAGCTGCTCGTTGTGAAACTGCAAAAGGGTTGCGTCAGCACTAAGCTACACAACAGGAACCACGCCAAGATAGGAGATCTCGTGCTTGGGTGTGTGACAGCACTTTGGTGTGCGCGGGTTCCACCTGGTATAGACGGGGGGGGGGGGGCAACATGCGAGGTGAGGTACCCCGCGCGGTCGTTACCGCCACCCCGCCGCCCCGCCGCCGGAAAAAGACCCAAGAGGGATCTTGCTTTTTGCCACCACCCATTTGAGATCTCTGAAACCGAGATCTGGATAAAATAAAGATCCTCATGGCTTTTAATTCAAAGGACCCTCGCCGCCTGTTCCTCACTCCGGATCACTCCACATGGGACGAAACCTGGGCAAAACACTCACGTAGCACTGGTCGCACAGACTGCGCGGGCCGCCGGGTCCGTCATTCCACTCGCTCGCCTGTGTCGTTCGGCACGATTGGCAGTGCCAAATCTCATGCTGGGGGCGAGACGAAAGCGGGGCCGGGCGGGGACCGGTACGCTGGTCGGACGGGTATCCTTGCTGCTGCATGACGCCTGGAGGAGGCAAGGACTGGCGTGGGCGGGAACCTGGGGCACCACCCCCCGTGGCAATGTCACGTTTGGCTTGGAGGGCCTTGTCGCGCAGCACTTCACGGCGGGCACGGATGAGGTCCATCTCGCGCTCAGCTTCAGACATCTCGCGGCTGGGCGGGGGCTGAACAAAGGTCGGGTCAAGGTAGGGCTGGGAGCGTGATTCGAGCGAGGCGAGTGTCTCGCGAACCAGGGTTGCATAACGCGAGACACGGGTGTGCAGGTACGGCGGCGGGGGTGCCGGCGTGGGGTTCTCCGGGGTGACAGCAAAGTCGGCGAGCAGATTGATAAGTTCGTTGACGTACAGTGTCAACTGCGCACGGCGAGTTAGCTTCAATCGAGGCTAAAAACGAATACGAGGCGCCCCGGAAATCGTAAAACGACATTTAGCCAGTCGGCCACCAGATCTCAGGCTTAGGTGCGGATGGTAGGGTTCCCCAGATCTGGTCTGCGCCGACCCATGCGACACGGGTGTTGTGGGGATCTCATGATCTCACGCACAGATCCCACGCAGCAGCACCCATTGTCAAGAAGCACCGCGCGGTTGTGAGACGGCGATGCAGCACCCACCCACCCCCCCGGCGACCAACAACCACCACCACCCCGCCCTCCCCCGGCTCCGCAAGACACTATTTGTGCAGCGGAACACCACCCACAGACAACATTCTGTACTCACCTGTTCAACCTCCTTGTCGTACGGTGCCATCTTGGAGGGTGGCCATTCTGTAGCGTGGCGCATGTTGGCGGGGAATGGAGGGGGAGGGGCGGCGCCAAGTGCCGTCGTGGCGTGGTAAACCTGGAGGGGGAGGCCTGAGATGCCTTCGAGACCAGACGTGAATGGGGTAGATTCGATGGCGAGACGCCAGCCGGAAATGTCGTCGGCGTCGGAGACGATGAGGGGCTCAGTGTTTTGGATGGTGGGGGCGGCTGATGGTGTGAACGAAGAGGCAAAAGTGTATGCCTTTGGGTGTTGTTGTTGATGAATGGGGAGGGGAGTGTGAGAGAGATGAGAAGAAGCCGTTGGGCTGGTTCTTAAATCAGACGGTTGCTGGAACGGCTGGGGTTGAGTGGCCGAGTTGTTGGAAGCTATATCGCCAGATGTGCCGATCTCGGGAAACGACACTTGGTACTCGCCGTCGGGCTGCAGGAGCCACGTCGACGACGCCATGATGCCTGCTTCGATGTGCTCGGGCAGCGGCGCCATGACGCTGCCAGATCCACTTTGCCCAGAGACGACTTGGGAAGAGGAAGGGCCGGCTGCAGCGTGGCCTGATGCGGACGCAGAAGATGAAGCACTCGGCATGCCTCCCGGGCCGCCGCCGCCGTTTTGCTGCGTCTGCTGCTGCTGCTGCTGCTGGTAGAAGGGGTACGTGGGGCTGCTTTGCATTGTCGGGGCGGTGGTTGAGTCGGGCGCTTGTGAATTGTTGGTGTTGGCCAGCATACTCGAGGACGACACCGGGGCGGTGTTGTTGTTGCTCGATGCCGTGCCCGGGCCTGGCCCTCCGGCGGTGTTGCTGCTGCTGCTGTTGCGTCCATACTCGTATCCACCGTACAGCGGATAGTCGTACTGGCCGTACTGCTGCTGATGCTGGGGCGACGGCGATGGATGGAGCCCTTGCTGGCCGCTTGCAGCGCCAGCACTGGGGTAGGAGCCGCCGCCGTTTGACGAGCTCCCACCACCGCCCAAGCCTGTTGATCGACTCAGCGACCCATATCCGGCGCCGTTGGAGTCGGAAGACGGGCCGCTCGACGCCGCCGCGCCTGTTCGTGCGCGGGGGTCATGGTAGGCCATTGGGTAGTGAAGGATATTGGTATGGATGAGGGGTTGGAGGTCGATGCAAGAGGACGGGGTGGAACAGTTAACAATCAATGATGAACGCGCGCGCAGGAGGTCAGCTGTCCACTCGCCGCTCTCTTGTTCGGCGGGGGCCTGACATTTGGCGGCGGACAAGCGTCACCCACCGCCGCATGCGGGCAAGCAGTGGAACCGCCGACAACACTCCACATTGTCCTTTCTGCACATTGCACTGCTAGGTAGTCTACTCCAGCACATCCTCTTGCCACCGCTTCGTCTCCACATGCACATCCTTCCTTGCATCGACAACAATCAGTCAAGAATAACCGGCACGGAGACAAGGGCTAGGGGGGGGGGATTGCCGGAGCTTTGGCACAACAAAAAGCCCCCAAGCCCACCACCCGCGTCCTTTGTCCTTGTGGGAGGCAATCTCCGTGACGGGCCATGGCTTCTGTGAGACGCATACCACAAGCCACCTTGCCTCTCTGGGGGGACACAAAGACAAAGCCGTGGACAGGCCTGCCTGTTCTGTGTTATTGTTGTTGGTGGGCCCCGCCGCAGCACGCAGCATTGTATACACACAGGGGCGCCATGTGCACCATGTCGACCTGATTAGAAAACAGGGGCTAACCTAATACGGCCATTAGCCTTTTACTGTCGGGCAAGTCCACCTCCCTCCCACGTGGCCCGAAATCCCCTGCACCCCTGGCTCATGGACGCGCAAATGACCAGAGAAAGGCCCGTACTAACGTTTTTTCCACAACAACAACACCCCACCGACCATGCACTGTGCGTCTCTTCCCACCCCCTCCTTCCACTGCTAACCCCTTCCAGACCCATCCTCGGCGTCGGCCACCGTGGTCCTGCGCGCGAGCAGGGTGCACGCCTTTGCAAACGTGCGCACGCACACGGGCTTTGTCAAGCGTAAGGCCGAGCCTCCAGTCAAACCCCACGAGTTCTGGGCTACCAAGACGACGGAGAAGGTCAAGCCGCAGGTGCCCCCTCCCAAGCTCGACATTGCTCGTATGATTGCCGACCCCCAGGCTACGACGCGCAACATTGTCGAGCGCGGTATCGAGTTTGACATCAACCAAGTCATTACGCTTGCCCAGCTGCGTGAGGAGGAGAGGAGGGCAGAGCGCAACGTCCTCGATATGCGTACCGAGCACGGGTTGCAGTCACATGTCTACCGCGACAAGCACAGGAAGAGGGAGAAGAAGAATGAGAGAATGGAAGCCAGGCAGCTGAAGGTTGCCCTGAAGGACGAGGAGACGAGGCTGCGCAATATCACCCAGCGGGTTGCCGATGCCGCCTCCGCCTTGCCCAACTGGAGCCACCCGGACGCCCCGCGCGGCGGCGAGGATAAGGCGGTCTTGCTGGAGCAGTTTGGACCCAGGCCCATGGCAGACGACGAGAACCGCAGCCATCTGCGCATCACCGAGACGTTCCACTGGCTCAACTCGTCGGCCTCTGCCGTGTCGACTGGCACGTCGTGGCCGTTCCTCATGGGCGCGGCCGCAATGCTGGAACATGCTCTCACGGGATACGCAATGTCCAAGGCCATCAAGGCCGGGTACATGCCGGTTGCTACTCCCGACGTTGTCAGCACCGACATTGCCCAGCGCTGTGGCTTCCAGCCCCGTGATGGTGAAAATGGCCCTCGCCAGACGTACAACATTGAGTCTCACTTGCCCCCTAACGAGGACGGCACTCCCCAGGCTCCCCACCTCTGCCTCGCCGGAACGGCCGAGATTCCCCTCGCTGCCCTCTGGGCCAACCGCCAGCTGGTCCGCGCCTCCATGCCCGCCAAGACTGTTGGTGTTGGCCGCGCGTTCCGCGCCGAGGCCGGCGCCCGCGGTCTCGATACCCGCGGCCTCTACCGTGTCCACCAGTTCACCAAGGTTGAGCTCTTCTGCGTCACCTCGGCGGACGCGGGCGAGAGTGACCGCATGATGGAGGAGATTCGCGAGCTCCAGAAGGACATTGCCATGGGTCTTGGTCTGTCTGTCCGGTGAGTTGACAAGATATAGCCCAGGGCCCAACTCGTAGCTAACCCCTCAGTGTCCTCGACATGCCCACAGAGGAGCTCGGCGCCTCGGCTGCGCGCAAGTACGACATGGAGGCATGGATGCCCGGCCGCGCCAAGTGGGGCGAGATCACCTCGACCTCCAACTGCACCGACTACCAGTCCCGCCGCCTGCACATTCGCTACCGCGACGCCGTGGGCGAGCCACTGCAGTTTGCGCACACTTTGAACGGTACCGCCGCCGCCATCCCGCGCCTGATCATTGCGCTGCTCGAGAACGGCGCCCGTCTCGACGGCAACGGTATCGTGACCGGCATCGACCTGCCCAAGACCCTCAAGCCGTACTGGATCGGCCCAGAGGTCGAGCAGGCCGAGGAGGAGGACGCCGTCATCCGGTTTGTCTAGAACACGTCTTTGTATAACATCATAACACCCCCCCCCCCCCCCTCTGCATTGCACACCACTGAGCATATACACATTCTTGAGCAGCGGCGTGCGACGTCTAGGCGGTATCCGTGTGGGGACTGACAAGGGGCGTACACGCAGCCTTCTCATGACCTCGCCTCATCTGGCATCCGCGTCAATACTGTGTGCCGGGTCATCATGGCACACGTCCTACCAATCTCACACAGGCTCGTTTCAGGACGACGTGAGACCTGCGATCTCAAACGCGCACTAGATCGTGCTTCTCGTCTTCGTTTTCCTCGCTCGTGATCTCATGACATGACCATCGCGCTTCGCGTCATGCAGTCGTGCCGTCCATGGCGTCACTGACAGCCGGAACCGTCCGTCGACGACCGCAACGCCGTCAACGACGTGCGCAGCGGTCCACACCCCCGTAGTGTCCCCAGGTGCTATATATACCTCTGCTCTGGCGTACACTGCGGTACACTGCGGTACACTGCGGTGGCACCGTGCACACTTGTCCGTCAGCCACGCACACACACACGCGCGCAAACGTCTGTGGCAGAATGACAAACGACACACACCGTCTCCGTCGTGGCACACTTGCAGCTTTCGTGTGCTGCCGGCCTCTGGCCGGTCTCTGTATGCTCGCTCGTCAGAGATCAGAGACAGATCGCGATCTGTGCGTGAGCCAAGAACCCAAGCAAAGACCCAAGACAAGTGTCCAAGAACCTCAACGGCGCGCTCATCCTGCATGCGGACATGTTGCTGCGCTCGAGCCATACGCACGAACACCCGGGTCCCTTTGCAAGCCTTTGTATGGCGCTGGCCGTGGATAGATCCCAGCGGAGCACGCAGCGCGGTTAGCCCGCCGCCTCGCGTCGTCGCATGCCGCGCCGCAGCCCCCGTCGCCCGTCGCCCGTCGCCCGTCACACGTCACCCGTCACCCGTCGCCCGACCGGCCCGCCACGAGACGCCCACATTCCCGTTAGTCGCGTCCCCTCTCCCTGCCCAGAGCGCAGAGCGTCCCCCAGTTCCCTTTTCGTCAACCCCTGCCACACCGGCCACATGCGACATGCATCTGCAGCCATTCGCCATTGCACGATGCCCAGCGAGGCCAAGAATACTCCTTTTTTTTCCGCCTCGTTCTCGTTTCTCCTGGCCAGCGTACAGCAACAGCAGTGCGTGCTACACTGCGCCCGGCGTTGCACGCATACAGATTGCGACGGTGGTACGCTCAGACCACCAACCACGACTGTGGCGTTTTTCGGTGCGGATCGGTGCGCGTGTGCGCGTTCAGGCGCGTGTGCGCGTTCAGGCGCGCGTCCTTCCACCGCCTCCAGCTCAGGAGCGCGCCTGTCCTTTTGCCCCTGGCAGCCAACTGCAACTGCCATCCAGTGGCCAGTGGCAGTCGTTGTGCAGTCTGCGTACCGTACAGTGCTCATGCTGCCTTGCTCTCTCGCTTCTGGTTTTGGGGGAAATAAAAACTAGTAGTGCATGCACGGGATAGACGAGTCAGTGTTCCTAGGAAGACGGGCAGAGTGTGTGCGGGAGAGGGTGGGGGCGGCGTGCCCGGAATGAAGGGTATGCTAGATGGCGGAGGCGGAGGGCAGTGGAGATGCGGCCAGTGCGCGCAAGCCAGGAGCCAGGGGAGGGGAGCGAGGCGGGCTGGGCCGTCTCTGGCCAGCAGCGCGCCGTTTATCGTGTGTGTGTAATTCAAGAACTAGGAGGTCGTTGGGCGGGTCCGGGGTCCGTCTAGAATTAGACGATGACAGCCGCAGCGGCCACGACGGCCATGATGGCCGCGGCGGGCGAGACGAGCTTGCCCATCGAGGCGGCCGAGGCACCCTCGGTCGCGACGGCCACACCGGTAGCGTCGACGTTGGTGGGCTTGCTGGTACCAGTGGTGATGCCGGCAGTGTAGAGGGTCACGCCGTTCGAGCCGACACCCGACTCGACCGAGGCCGACCCCGAAGTGGTGGTGGCCGAAGTGTCCTCTCCCAGAGCACCGTCACCGTAGCCGACAACCTCACCGGCCGAAGTGGTCTCGTTGAGGGTGGGGTTGACATAGGCGCCGGAGGCCGAGGCGATGGTGAAGCGGGTGGTCCAGAAGGTGCCCGACTCGCCGGGGTTGGTGCTGCGAGGGGAGTCCGGTAAGCAAAAAGGACAGCAGCAGCACACACACACACACGCAAGCTACTCACAACTGGAGGAAGTAGATCTTCGAGTAAGGGTGGACCTGGGGAGCGACAAAGCTGTACGAGGTCTCGACGGTACCGTCGATGCCCTCGCCAACGGTCTCGAGCGAAGTCATGGCCTCGTTGGAACCCGTCATGAGCTCGATGGTCATGTTGCTCCAGAGGCCCGACTGGTCAACGGTCCACTGGGCGGTGATGTTGCTGCCGGCCTTGACGAGGGTGTTGCCATCGGGCTCGGTAGGGGTGACACCTTCACCGCTCGTGGTGGTCGAGTCGGTGGTGGTGGCAGTGGTAGCGGTGTCGGTGGCCGAAGCAACGTCCGTGGCCACGTCCGTGGCGGCCGCGTCGGTGGCAGCGGCGGTGTCCTGGGCGAGGACGGGGCTGAAGGCAGTGAGGGCCGCGGCGAAGAGGGGGAGGAAGGCAGCACGCATTGTGTCGGTTGATGCGGGTTGGTGTAGTCGCGAGACGCGGAGGCGGTGTGGGAGGGAGGTTGAAAGGTAAAAGAGTGGTGGTGGACGGTGAGGGTGGCCGCGTCGTAAAAGTGAGGGGGTAGAGGGGGAGAGTCGTGAGATGTCCCGAGAGGTGGGGGTTTCGTTAGCTGTCCTGTGATGAGGAGAGGGGATGAAGTGGAGAGAGAGAGAGAGAGAAAGCGAGAGAGATGGTTGATGGATACGGGTTGGAAGCGTTGTGAGCATATTCCCTCTGAGAGCCGAGCGAGTCCCCCATTCCCTCTGCCCCCCCTTGTGGCCCAGGGCGGGCGGGCGGGCGAGCGGTGAGAGAGGTCGAGGGCCGTCGCCGCAAACAACGCCCACACCCACCCGCTGCCAGGCAGGCACACACATGCACACACACATACACACCGTACAGCGGCGACGGAAGCAAAAAAATAAATAGACACACACCCATCGTTGGGTTTTGGGCCCACAGCCTGGCCCCCACCTGCTGCTGCTGGGTCTGCAATTTGCCTGCAGGGAGATGTCACATTCACTGGCAAGATAATGGTGTGACACAGAGAAAACGCACAGCATGTCCAAAGTCATTCCTTGGCACGTCTGCCCATCAATGTCATATATATACATTTTGTCCATCTTGTTCCCAGCGACACACCCTCTTCATGTCTCGGGTGCCACACCTTCCCCAGCGGCCCAGCGGCCAGCGGGGCCGGGCGGGTGGGATGACGTACAACACTGCGACCCAACACCGCCCCCCTGCCCAAACTCTCTGACTGACACTCTCTCGCTCGTCCTCTCTCTTCTCGAAGAGACCCAAACACATTAGCAACGGAGTCAGAACTGCTCCTGCCAAGAGAACGCGTGCAGATATACCGTTGGAGAACCATGTTTGGCAGTGCCTCTTACAATGTTGACAGTCGTCCTTGAATGCATACCGCAAGGCCGCAGGGTCTCGATGGACCCCCTCTCGGCTCGGCGGTTCAGCTGCTGTGTGCGCACGGTGCACGGGGTGTGACGGATTATACGCGTCGCAGTAGGAGTGTCACTGCCGTAAACTGTACGCGCTGTTTGGGACAAGGGCACGAGCATCAGTTGCAAGTGGCATGCAAGTGGAGATCGCAGCCCTCGCAGTCGTGTGTATATCATGCATCATCACATTGGGTCAAATGAGGTGTCCGTAGTCACCCCGGGCGATCCGTGGCGGCCAAGGTCTGGCCTGCGCAGTCGGGTTCAATGCAAGCCGCATGTCCCGCGCACAGTTTGCACCTTTAGCTGGCGTTTACCTGAGCCATTGCGCAGACGTGACGGACACCAGCCAGTGCACAAGTGCACGAGGTCGGTGTTGGGCACGATCACGGTCCCTGGCGCAAAGTGCATGCTGTGTCCTGTCCCGCCCAGTCTCCCCTGGGTGGAGATGTGGCCCCGTTGCGCTGTCATCGTGGCAGAGCTGGCATGCAGCTGTTTCTGCCACCCAAAGCCGTGTGCCTCCTCCATGCATGAGCCATTCTTCAGTCCCACCAGCAGCTTTTACATAGATGCAAGAGCACCTGTTTTGAAGAATCAAACCTCTTGTCACTGATCACTCCCCCCAAGGGCACGTAGAAGGCGATGAAGCGGGGAGAGGGGAGGGGTTCAAAAGCCCGCCGGTTCGAATCACATCAGCAAGGACTTTCTGGCGGATTGACGCAAAAAACATAGTGTGTATTTCGCGCTACTGGCAAACGCATTATCCACGGCGGCCCTAAATGGCCCCCACCCACACCGCCCACACATTGTGTTTCCCCCGCCATTCGGCCATTTGCTTCCGCCGCCCGCCCCGCAATGTGTGTGTGTGTGTGTATCCTGTGACGTCATTGCTCATGGCGCACCCGAGAGAGTGGTGGGGCAGTTGGGGTGCTAACGCAGAGCGCACCGCGCACCACGCTGGTGGAACTGTGGAACAATGACATCGATGGATCATGGACGAACCACACAGGCGACGCACTCTCACCTGCTCCTTTCGGGAACTCCAAAACGGCGGGGGGCTTTGGTCTGTCGCTCAACACGCCACTCATCCCACTCACCACTCACCCACTCGTTGCCCTCTACTCGTCCACAGCAAGGCCACTCTCACCACCATTCTCTGGCCGCGCCACAATGAGCAGCTACGACCAACCGGAAGAGTTTGTCTCGATGGAGCAGTTCCACGAGACGATGCGTCTCGTCAGACTCCAGATCGCCCTCCCCGTATCGGGTGCGTATGGTGTGGCCGCTTGGGGTCTTTGTTGTCTCGGCAACTTCTGTGACGCTGACACCTGCTGCCTCACAGTCCTCATAGCGCTGGGTACCAGTATCATCTGTACAGTGGGACTCAAGCCCAACATTGGTGCGTAGTACTCGATATCGATGGCGGTTCTCTAGACCATCCATCGTGGATGCTCCGGGACTCTACCCATCACTGTTGCGTCGTCTCTTGGCGAGGCTGCTAACACTCCGTCTAGGCAATGTGTCGTCTGCGCACCCTACCCTCCTCACGCCTGACAACCTGCTGGTGGGACTATACTGGGTGGGCCTGTTTATAATGCAGCGTGAGTGGGATGCGTGTTGTACACAAGCCGTCGCTGACATCTAACAGTCGGCCTGTGTCTCCTCGTCGTGTCCACCAGGAGTGACCAGACAAAGGTAAGCTGAGGTCGCTAGTGTGGCTGAACTTGAGCTGACAATCTCAGGACACCCTTGTCCATGGCGTCGGTATGCGGTTCGCCATCGCCAACTGCCTCCATGCCACATGGGTAGTGTGCTTTGTGAGTTTACAGCTAGGTCGATCTCGTCCCATAGCTGACCATGCGTCTCTCACAGACCCTCGAGTGGTTCCTCGCTGCCGAAATCATCGTGCTTGTCAACACCCTCAACGTACTCACCGTCTTCATCACGCTCCTCCCGTTCCCCCCGTCCACCTCGCACCCCTTGGACTTCATCCTCATCCACGCCCCCGTCACGGCGCTCTTTGCGCTCCTCCTGGAACTCACAAGCCTGCACGGGGGCATGGTGGCGCTGCACCTGTTCTCCAACGACGCGCGCTCCCTGTGGCCGGCCCTCGGCGGCCTGCTCGGCGTACACGTCACCACGGCGTTCTGGGAATGCTGTACCCTCAACTTACCCCTGGCCGTGGCGAGCGAGTACCTGCTGGTCGCGCTGCTCGTGTCCAAGCCGACCGGAGCCAAGATTCCCGAGATCCCCACCCGGCCGCCGCCGCTGCTCGCGGCCATCATTGCATGTCTGGTCCTGCACCCGCTGGCGCTTGTCGGGGGCCTGATCTGGGGCAGGGCCAAGAGGGAACAAGGCCGTATCAGGCTCGAGGAGGAGGTCGAGGCTGCCGACGAGCGGGCGAGGGAGGCCGAGGTCGAGGCCGAAAGGGCGAGGGTTAGGCTGGAGCGGCACGAGTGAGAGGCGCGTGTGGAGTGAGAGAAAGTCGCAAACCAAACAGACCCGAAGAAGTAAACCCCCCTCCCACCGCTTTGCAAGCCCCTTGTTTTCCCATAATGTATACCCTCTTGAGCAACTGCTACACATGCTGCATGCCGCTCTTGGGCTAGTCGGCTATAATCTACCACTCTTGTCTACACTAAATGCTCTTCCTCCCCGTCCTCTCTGTTGCCCTCCCTCCTTACCAGCCAAAGGCGTCACCGAGGTAGAGCGCCAGCCCAGCCCCGTTCGAGTTGACCACGTCAAGCACCTTCTCCTCGACAGCACGGAACGCTGCGCGCGCACGCTCACGCTCCTTGTCGGGAAGGGCCGCCTCGGCCAGTCCCCGTTCCTCGTCCTCTTCTTCCTCTTCCTCGCGCAACACGTTGATGGGGATGGGCAGACCGAACCGTTCCTCTGCCAGGTGCTTCTTCTTCTCTTTCCGCTGCGCGTCGCTCAGGCCCATCTCCTCGGGCCGTGCCGCTGCAATCTCGTTGCGGAGGTTGCGCGCCAACCCGCGGATCGTCAGCGCGGCGAGGAAGGCGACACCCGTGGGCTGGCGCGTGGCGTCCGTCTCGGTCATCTGGACGGTGAAGTGGAGCAACTGGTTCAGAGGGAGGAGCGGAGGAGGACGGTTGGTGATGAGTGCCTGTTGGAGAATGTCGCGCGGCTCGGTCTGGTACACTGGCAGTGTCTCCGGGACGTTGGGCACCTCGGCGGGCGGGAGGTGGGTGAGGAGGTGCTTGACGCTAAAGGGCGCCTTGCGGCACGAACCCCAGCCACAGGTTGTGGGCGCGATACCCAGGTGGGTCTTTTGGACGTGGTCCAAGAGCTCGGCGGGGTTGGTCGCGCCGATACGCTGGGGGCAGTCGACCCACACGCACGCGAAACGGTCCGTGTCGGCAGTGCCATTGCGGAAACCAAGTCCAGCAATGACAAACTTGCGCTCTCCGCGCTCGTCGGCCCACAGCTTGGCCTGCGCCGCAGGGAAGGCGACCTGGACATTCTTGATGACCTCGGATGCGCTGAGCAGCTGCTCGACGGTGGCAGGGTTGGAGAAAAAGTCGCGGTACGCGTGCCAAAAGGTGACTTGCAACAGCTGCGAGTGCGAGCTGTACACAAAGGTCTCGTGCATCCAGTTGATGGAGCGCTTGGGTTCGGTCATGGCCCAGAGCTCCTTTTTGATCGATGTTGGGAGGGCGGGCGCAGCGTCGCCGACTTCACGGAACACGCCTGGTCCGTTGAACATCTCCATGCGCTGCTGGTCGCGCTCGCGCTCGGCAGCGCGCCGCCTGCTGGCCAGGCGAGCAATGGCGCCCTCGCTGGCAGGGTTGAGGGCCTCGACTGGACGGAATGCGTGCGGCGGTGCAATGTTGACCTCTTGCGGCTGCTGCTTGTAGTGCAGCAAGTGGACGAGCGTCTTGAGGTGTGCGGGGAAATCAGGGTCCCAGAGCATGGTGCGCGCATAGGTCGCCTGCGGTGCCATGGCAGCCAACAGATCGAGGATGAGCTCGAGAAGCGCTGGTGGAGGGTTGATTGTGATGAGGTAGAGCATGTGCTGGATGAACCCTTCAGGCGGTGGGGGGAACATCTGGACGTTGAAGGTCGTAATCAGGATCGGGAGGATGATAAGCAACATTCCCAGGTCGCGCGTGTCCATGGCGAGGTAAGGCAGAACCTCGGTGAGCAGCTTGAACGTTTGCGGGTTGCAGTTCAAGAACTGGTACATGTTGTGCACAATGACGAGGAGGTGCTGAATCGGTTCAGGCGAGCGCGTCGCGACCTCGAGCAAGAATCCGCGGGGCAGGTCGAAGAACCGGAACAAGAACTGGTCAAAGTGCGCGCGGGCCATCGCGTGCGCGTTGGTCGGCATAAAGGTCGCGTTGCGCAGGATCTGGAGGGATGTGGTCGCGCGCTGCTCGACGGCCGGGTCGCGCGTCCACTGCGGGACGGCGCCGAGAGCAATAGCGCGTGCCTTTTGATTGTACGCGCCTCCTTGGCTCTTAATGATCTCCTCGTAGGCGGCCTCACGCTCGAGCTCCTCGAGCCAGCGGGTCGGCCAGTCGCGCAGCGCTGTGACGGCGTCGACCCACGCCTCAAAGTTGAAGACGTCGGTGCGCTCAAAGCTCGCAAGCACAAGGCGCGGGAGCGCCCAGTCGACTTCCTCGGCGACACCCGAGCGGAGTGCCAACCATAGACGGTTGCGGGGCCCAGGATGCAACTCGCGCGTGCTCGGGGTGTAACCTGCGGCCATGGACTGGACAGGTCGCTGGGCCGGGGCCGGCGCGTGTTGTTGTTGTTGTTGTGGGTGGCCGAGGTGAGGCTGGTGCACGCCGACCGGCCTGGCAGCTGAAGGAACGGCCATGGCGCGTGGTTTCTGGGTGTGCGGCGATGTGGGGGCTGCCAGAGACGAGCTGGTGGATGGGATGGATGGATGCAAAGGCGGAAGGTGTTGATGGACATGACTTGCATGGTGAGGTGAGAGAGGCCGCCGCAGGGACTGTGATCCGTTTGGTTCCGTTGGTATGTTGACAAGTTGGCTTTAGACATATTTACACGTCATAGTTCAAAAGTTGACGTCTGGCCACCCGAAGTTGCTGAGATATGTCCATTGCAGCAGCTCTCCGTAGCAAGTACCAACAACCACACACTCCCCCCTATCATGGACGCCCTCCTCGCCTCTGCTGGGCCGATGCGGCAAACCAAGCGCAAGCGCCCAACTCACGGCAAGGGTGCTGCCTCCGCGCACAAGACTGTCGACCGCGGACCCGACAAGGAGGCCGTCGACCCGTCGCTCAACTCGATCCTGACGACCACGCGCATTCCGGGCTCGTTCCAGGCCAAGAACCTGGCGTCGGGGTCCGGTGCTACTCCTCTTCGACCAGACGCTGCCGTGGGCAAGATTGCCGACAAGAAGCTCCGTGCCAAGGTCGCCAGGAGGGATGTCGCCACTAAGCGTGCCACTGCCGAGCGCTTTGACGTCAACGAGTGGCTCAACGCACCGATGTCTGGTGGCCAGGGAGGAATTGAGGCAGACGAGGAGGCTGGCGAGAGGACGTGGCGTGTGGGGCAGGACGAGATTGTGGCCGAGGTCGGATCTGCGGCTGCTTCCAAGCGCTTCGACCTCAAGCTGGACGACATGGGCGACTACAAGATCGACTATACGCGCAACGGCCGTCACCTCGCCATTGCTTCGTCCAAGGGTCACGTTGCCACGTTTGACTGGCAGGCAGGCAAGCTGTTGTCCGAGATCCAGCTCCGCGAGGCTGTGCGTGACGTCAAGTTCTTGCACTCTGAGAACTTTTACGCCGTCGCCCAGAAGAGATACGTCTTCATCTACGACCACAACGGTGTCGAGCTGCACAAGCTCAAGAACCACATTGACCCCACACACATGGAATTCTTGCCATACCACTACCTGCTGGCAACAGTCGGCCACGCTGGCCACCTCAAGTACCATGACACGTCGACCGGTGTCATGCTCACCCAGACCGCCACGCACCTCGGCTCGCCCTCGTCCATGGCCCAGAACCCGCACTCTGCCATTGTCCATCTCGGCCACGCCAACGGCACCATGACCCTGTGGTCGCCCAACCTCACCACTCCGCACGTCAAGCTGCTCGCCCACCGCGGTCCCGTGGCTGGCATCGCCGTTGACCCGTCCGAGGGCAGCGCGGGACGCTACTGCGCCACTGCCGGCATGGACGGCACCGTCAAGATCTGGGACGGACGTATGTGGGGTAAGGAGGTGCGCTCGTGGACTGTTCGCAACTCGCCATCCACCCTGAGCTACTCTGGCCGCGGTATCCTCGCTGTTGGCGGCCGTTCGGGCATCACCACGTACCGCGAGCCCAACAAGAGCAGCAAGACGCCCGCACCCTACCTCACCCTCCCTCTCCCCGGTCTGGCCGCCAGGTCGGTCAAGTTCTGTCCCTTTGATGATGTGCTCGGTGTCGGCCACGGACGCGGTATCTCGTCCATGCTGGTGCCCGGATCCGGAGAGGCCAACTTTGACTCGGGCGAGGCGGACGTGTACGAGTCGTACTCGCGTCGCAGGGAGCGCGAGGTCCGTTCCGTCATGGACAAGATCCCCTCATCCCTCATCACCCTGGATACCGACTACCTCGGCCACATTGCGCCCGACAAGGGCGGCGAGACGCACGCCGAGCGCGAGGGCCGTTCGTTCCGCAAGCTCAACCGTCTCGAGCGCCTGCAGGTCAACGGACAGCAGGAGGAAGGCATCGTCGGCGGGCTGGAGAGCGACGGCGAGGACGCCGACACGCCCGCCGCACGGGAGGAGAAGAAGAAGCGCAAGATGCGTGGCAAGGGTACGGGTATGAAGCGCTTCCTCGCAAAGAAGAAGAAGAACGTCATCGACCCTTCGCTGGTGAGTTTTTGTCTGCAGCAGCCCCCTTCCCCCCGTCCTGAACACTCGTTTGGTTTGCTGACATACCGTTTTCTCCAGATTGCCGTCCGCGAAAAGGTCGAGGCACAGCAGCGCGCCGACGAGATGGAGCGCAAGGTCGCGCGTGGCGAGGTGGTCAAGGAGACGGGCGCTCTGGCGCGCTTTGGATAGACGGTTCTCGTAGGGCTTGTTGTCGCATTCTGCATTCTGCATTCTCCATATATTTGGTGTGGTGCGCGCTGTACAAAAGTTGCTCGGGGGATAAGTGGTGGCCGCTGGCCGCTGGCCGCTGGTGGAGGTGCCGGGTGGCGATCGTGGTGAGTGGCGAAATTGGGTCAAACGGAAACCTTCCTTCGGCGTAAAGCCTTACGCGGCCCGTCACCGCCCCACTCATTTGCAGGTTTGCCTTAGTCGCCACCCTGGGCCCGTCCCGCTCCACGGTCATGCTGTGCTGGTCCCAACCATGCAAACAACACGCAACCTGCAACTGCAACACAAGAGTAATCAAAGACATGGCACAGCTGCATCACAAGGCCGGCCAGCTAATAGCTAAGAAAGGAGCAAATCGAAGGAAGAGAACAGATCGCTCTTTGCTATATACGTCGAGCGACTGGTGAAGCCAAAGGTGGTTGAAGACGATCATCCCAAGGTGGGGTTGGGGGGAGATCAAGTCGCTTACGAGCGCTCACCGCGGAGGCGGCGGGCGAGCTGGAGGTCCTTGGGCTGGATGGTGACACGCTTGGCGTGGATGGCGGCAAGGTTGGTGTCCTCGAAGAGCGAGACGAGGTAGGCCTCGGAAGCCTCCTGGAGGGCAAGGACGGCCGACGACTGGAAACGGAGGTCGGTCTTGAAGTCCTGGGCAATCTCACGGACGAGACGCTGGAAGGGGAGCTTGCGGATGAGGAGCTCGGTCGACCTGGGATTGGTTAGTGATGTTCTTGGTATGCCATGTAGGTATGGTGTACTCACTTCTGGTAGCGACGAATCTCACGGAGAGCGACGGTACCGGGGCGGTAACGGTGGGGCTTCTTGACACCACCGGTCGAGGGGGCCGACTTGCGGGCAGCCTTGGTAGCGAGCTGCTTGCGGGGGGCCTTGCCACCGGTGGACTTGCGGGCGGTCTGCTTGGTACGAGCCATTGTGGTTGGGAGTTGTGGGGTGTGGGGTTGGGAGAGAAGTGGTTGATGGAGAGAGAGAGAGCGGATGAGGGAAGAAGAGCAGAGGAGAGACAATGTTTATAACAGCGGGGACTGCAGCAGCAGCAGACGCACCGGCGGCCAGGGAAAACAAGCACGGAGCGCACACGACGGCTGGATCGCGGCCGTTGGTGCCTGGGGAATGGGTGGTGATGCAAAAACAAAACACCGGACCGTTTTGATCTGGCCCGCCAATAATATCACACACAGGTCACGTGCAGGTTTTACTAGCCACGTCAAACAAGATCAGTCCGACAGGCAGGCTGTGATCCTGTTGCGTCAGGAATAAACGGGCCAAACGGGGGTGCGAGAAATGGAGAAGGCTTGCACGTCATGCGATCATGCTTGGCGGCCGCCGCGTGGGTGTGCGTGTGTGTGTGCATGCACGGAGCACACCCCCGGCACCCCCGCATGCTCGACATGCGACATGCCACAGCGTCAGCCCCACGTGGCCGCAAACTTGGCTCTCGCTCTCGATGGGCCGGTTGGCGAAGCTGGCAGCTCTGGGTATATGCCTCTAGTATGAGGCCACTGGCCACGATAGCTCTGCATGTAGTTTATGAACAGTAGTGGACAGTGCAGGTCAACAGAGTCAACCGTTCCTTTACCAACTGTTTGCATTTTCTAATTAGCTTTTGAAGGATAGAATGCCGCCATTAGTGCAGTTGATTGCCGATGTGGCATTTTATATTGGATCCAGAAGGAGTCGTCCTTGAGCGTCTCCACTGACACTATGCATCTGATCACATATCTGGTAGCGGTGAGGTTATATTATAGAGTGCCTGCGTGTAGTATCAAAGTCTGTATGTACATGTTGTCTGGGAGAAACACGGTCACAGGCAGAAACTACACATTGCTCCTTTATAATTCTACTCGACATACAAACTCAACTCCCCACAACCAGCCAGAAAAGGTAGCAGGTGTAAACAACGTCCCATAAAGTCAGGAAAGGTACAGAGAACACGACTGCACATGCACCGAATGCACCAGAAATTTATGCGGGTGGATAGACCCCGTCATCTACCTGCACCGGGCAGTTCCCGAGCAAGCCGCACGCTTTGTCCATTCCCGCCGCCCACAGGAGCCTCAATTGCACACTACCACCTCCCAACTGCTATTAGCGCTTTATCCACTGTAGGAAGCACTCATAGTACGTCTAATGCGTGCATTGCTGAGGAAGGAGGTCTGCATATGGTCCGTCTTAGGTGAGAAGATGCCACGAACGGAAGTAAAATGCAAAGAATAGGGTAACAGCAATTTCTAATCCAGTAACATCGGCTCTAACGGAACGCTAACGCTTTTGACTTCTCCTTATTAAATGCCCTAATCCCATCATCCCACGCGAAAAGCACGAGGGCTGACGCTTGGATTCGCACCCAGAGCGTCTGATGCGACCTGTCTCTCGATGCGTCTCGCTCCGCAACTGAATTTCCCAACGACAACTGCAATGCGCCAGTCAATAAACAACTCCAACACAAGGATGCAACGGTGCAACAAGAGAACATTGTAGGGGCGCGAAAGTCTGCATCGCTATGGATGACAAAAGAAGTACTAGCGAAAACGAAGTGTGGTAACGAAGGGGGTGCGAGCGGCAGGATATGCTGCACGCTTAGACTTCCTGGGAGGCAGCGGCCTTGCCCTTCTTGCCGCCGGTCTTGGCGGGGAGGAGCTCGGAAAGAATGTTGGGGAGGACACCACCCTGCGAGATGACGACCGAGCCGAGGAGCTTGTTGAGCTCCTCGTCGTTGCGGACGGCGAGCTGCAGGTGACGGGGCACGATACGCGACTTCTTGTTGTCACGGGCGGCGTTACCGGCGAGCTCGAGAATCTCAGCGGCGAGGTACTCGAGGACGGCAGCGAGGTAGACGGGGGCACCCGAACCGATACGCTGGGCGTAGTTGCCGCGCTTAAGGAGACGGTGGATACGACCGACGGGGACTGGTGCAAGTCAGCACCCAATGTTGGAGAGGGCGAAGGCTATGTGATGGAAGACTTACACTGAAGGCCGGCCTTGGACGAACGCGACGACGACTTGGTCTCGGAACCCGACTTGCCACCAGACTTGCCACCGGAAGACATTGTTGATAAAGGTTGTGTTGGGGGTTGGGGGGTGGGGTGGTGAAGGAAAGGAGTTGTTGCTGTTGCGGAGAGATGGGAGGACCTTTGCCGACAAGACGTCTCTGGAGCTTAAGTATTGCCCAGGGGGGTCCCTACGACGACGCCTCCTGGCTGTTGACGTGGGAGCGGCACCGACCCTTTTTGCCACGTCAGCGTATTTGGGTCGGAGATCATTTTCGCCTACGTGTCGAAAAGGGTCCATGGCATGCATGCGTCAAACACGCAGCCGTCCGCACCCACTCTGCCCGCTACTTAAGCGCAACAGCACTTCATCTTCTCGAGCCTCCATCCACCGTCAACACCACTACACATCCCACCACCACCACCCCACCCAAACTCTACTACAATGGTGAGTTGGACACATACCCGCACCCGCTCCACCCCACGTACACCCATAGCTAACATACCCCAGCCCCCCAAGTCGTCTGTCGCTTCCAAGGCCCCCGCCTCGCAGGCCTCCAAGGCCCCCGCCGCTGCCTCGAAGGCTCCCGCTAAGGCCGCCAAGACCTCGTCTTCGGCCAAGGAGGGTGGCAAGAAGCGCACCAAGAAGCGTGTCGAGTCGTACTCGTCGTACATCTACAAGGTCCTCAAGCAGGTTCACCCCGACACTGGTATCTCGAACAAGGCCATGGCCATCCTCAACTCGTTCGTTGCCGACATCTTCGAGCGCATTGCCACCGAGGCCTCCAAGCTCGCTTCGTACAACCACCGCTCGACCATCTCGTCGCGTGAGATCCAGACCGCCGTCCGTCTCATCCTCCCCGGAGAGCTCTCGAAGCACGCTATCTCGGAGGGCACCAAGGTGAGTACCGGTGATGGCCACGGATGAGAGGATCACGTGATTCGACCGTCTCGGTTGCCATCATTCCCAGTTTGAACTGCAGCTGACAAAACCCTCAGGCCGTGACCAAGTACAGCTCGTCGTCGAAGTAAACGGGCACCTCTTGAGAACCCCAGCTTCACATTTCATCGCGGGCACTAGGCTCGTCGACTTTTCGTTTTCGTTCTCCTCTTTGTTGATGGATGTATCTTCCATCGTGACCTCCAATCTATCCCCATGTTGCAGCTGCAGGTCAATGGCCGTGTTGTGGTAGACTTGCTAGGGACCGTCCTAAGCAGTTGGTGTGTGAGAGTTCTCAGACGGGTTCCCGACACGTTCCGGGGCATTGTTTGGGCGTTGGTCCTGCCGCCGCCCTCCGTCACTTTGGCGACGTTCAGTGCACGGCAAGGGCTTCCACGTTCAGTGGAGGCAGGCGGTGGACAAACCCTTCAGCGTTGGGGTGCGAGAGACAAGGGGTGTGGGTGCGAGGCCAACAGGGCCAACTCTGATGGCTGGCAGACCAGGCGAACGAGACGCGTCGCGTCCGCTGGCGCCAGCTCGCCATGTGGCACCCACGCGGACGAATGTTAGGAAGTCACGACCTGCAGACCATCAGGCCACCAGTGCCATCCGCCACCATTCGTCAGGCAGGATCAGTCCGTTTTGCTCAACATTACAGGCTGTTGCAGACCGAAGGCAGAGAGAGACAAGGGATTGCGGACTCACGACGACTAGATCGGGGGACCTCTGGTGTCCGGATCTCTCCTCAGCAAGCCCTCCGCCTCGGACAGTTGTACAGTGGCGCTTTGTGTCGTTGTGCGGTATGGTGAGAAGGGAAGAGATCGAAGAGACGTGCTCACGGCAGCGCTCAAGGTAGCATTGTATCCTAGAGGTGTTGACCTGATACAGGCGCACACAAGTGGTTGGCGCATGTGGCCGTCAGTTGCAGATGGCCGAGCATTCTAGCGAGTCCAAAACTCAAAAGTGGAGGGAAGATGGAAGATGAGTTGGAGTGAGGAGTTTAAAGGAAGGTTGACGGTGTTGTCTGTGTGTATCGCAGCGTGGGAGGTGGCGAGCCCGTTGATCTGTGTGTCCACGGTGTTTGCATCGTGTGAACACGAGCAGAAAGATCGGCGCGTGTGTGAGTGAGCAGCTCCACTTGAACGCACAATCCCTCCTCCCCTCTGTAGCTCTCTCTGTCTTTTCACTTTTGCCCAACGTCCACTTGCCTTATTGACACTCTCCAACATCTCCATCCTCTCTCTTCTGGGTCTGGACTTATACCACACCGCGTCACCTCAAGGTACATCTACCCTCCACCTCCTGCTGGTACAGTCCCCAGTACTGACAGTCGTCAGGTAGGGCCGTTTTCGCTCTTGCGCCACCCCTCGCCACCCTTTGCCAGCCTGCCCTCAAGCCCTCCAAAGGACCCAAACACAGCTCCTGCTATACCAAGATGACCATTCCTGCAAGCATGAACAACCTCAGCCAGCAGGCTGGCGCCACCAGTGTCAAGCGCGAGCGCTCCCCCGAGACTGACCAGTCTCCCGAATCCTACACTTCGACTCCCAAGCCCAAGCGTCAGCGTCCCAAGAACGACAAGGCCCGCGAGACCATCCTTGCCGAACGCGAGAGTCACCTTGAAGAGCTTGCCACTCTCCTTGTCAACCGTGAGGCCCAAGTCGCCAAGGAGGAAGCTGCTGTTGCCGAGACGAAGGCCGCCTTCTACCACCGTCAAGAAGAGCTCAACAAGCTTGCCACCCAGATGGCTGTGCGCGAGAGTGCCGCCGCTACTCAGGAGGCCGCCACGACGAAGCGCCTCAATGACATCTTCCACCTCGTGCAGAAGCAAAACGCCCGCGAGGCTCGCCTCAGCGCCTGCGAGGTGGCCTATAGGGCCCGGTCGGCGGAACTCGACCAGCGCGCCGCTTTCCTCGAGCAGAACGCCGCCTTCGTCAACCAGATGCGCGCCGGCATGCTCGTGTCCTGCGACCACATCAATGCTGCCCTCGCCGCCTTCTCGTACTCCCACCAGCAGCAGTATTACCACCCTCAGCAGCAATACAGCGGCGCCTCCACTCCTCGTCCCATCCAGCTTACCCACGAGGAGAGCCAGCTGCTCCAGAACTTCCACGCGTTGAAGGCTAGCGAGTACATCCAGCCTTTCCCTGCTCCCCCACACCAGCAACCCAGGCAGGGTTAGTCCCCACGTCTCCTCGGACTCTTTCCGGCACCCAAGTCAAATGTATCTAACTGGATCCCCAACCTCGACTCTGGCAGCCCTTTTGCTCGCGTATTGGTGCATTGTGAAAAAGATCAATCCCCCCAAAAGGTGTTTCTTTCGCGTTTCACCACAAAACAACCCTGTTTCATTTGACGGCGGCCGAATCTCGCCACTCATGCTATCGGTCTGTGGATCTGTGCATTGCTTCACTCTTTGCCCATGGGAGACAAACAGTAAAAGGAATAGGTCTGTAGCATAGGATCAGGTCAGCAAGGTGTATGCATGTATGTATTCATGGCACACAGCATGAGTGCAAAGGTTTGCTGCCCAGCCAAATTCCCCCCCTTTTGATGTTTCCATTTGCGGTCATCTGATTGCCTGATGGTGTCGGTGCTTTGATCTTCTCACGCACAGGTCACCTCGTTACGCCCTTCTCCCACCGCGACTTCCACGTCGACTTCTTGGTTGCCCACCCGTCTCCCATTCACTCACCAGTCCACTTTTAACCAGTTTGCTGCAGTTCTCGTCCTTTGGCCATGTCTCAGTTCACCTTCAAACGCAAATGGGCGGCCATTATGATGGAAATGGCGGATTCGAACCCAGGCTGCCACGGCGACAACCGCAATTTCAAGCAAAGGCTGGTCGAACTGAAAGTTCTCGAGAGACTCGACGACAAGCAAAGACGTTTGCAGCAGCGGGAGACAGAACTCGATATCAAGCAGACTCGGCTGGAGCGATGTGAGAAGGAGCTCGAACAGTCCCGTGCCTACTTTGTAGACCTGTGGGACGACGTCCACGAACGCCAAGTGGCCCTCAAGGAAGACGAGAAGCTCCTCAAACAGGGAGAGAAGCTGGTCAAAGAGGGCGAGAAGTAGCTCAAAGAGGGAGTGAAGCTCCTTAGAGAGGGCGAGAGACTCCTCGCAGAAAGGGAGAGACGGTTCAACCAAAAAGTCAGCCAGAACGAAACCCACTCCCACTCCCAGCAGCAACACCCGGTTGCCGACACCCGCGATGCCCGCCTCGACACCCCCGAGGTTATCTCCAACGAGGAGTCGGACAGCGACGAAGAGACACTTGGCGACAGCCTGATGCGGTCTCTCCGCAAGAAGTTTCCAAACGGGCGTGCTTCGAACACTGAGGGCGTCGTCAAGACCAAGCAAATTGACGAGGTTCCCTCCTCCGGGCTCGACTGGTTCAAGGCTCGCTGCGCCTCCGTCGAGGCCGAACTCGACCAACCCAAAGTTCGGCTGGACACTAAAAGTGTCCACCCCAAGCTGGAGGCGGTTGAGGCCCACTACAAGTCAATTTTTACTCCTCTCAAGTTCCACGACAAGCCCCCCCGCGCCGAGGCTGCCTGCAGGCCTCACGAGGACTCATACGACCGATCCAACCCCTCCTCCGCACTGCCGACACTGCGCAGGCGCAGCTCGAAACAAGCGCCCGGGTGACCAACGCCGCCCGGCGACCACGCCGAATGCCAGACTTGGACTTCAAGGCCCACTAGGGCCACTAGAGACCTCCGTCAAGAAACGATATTCCCATATCCGCCAGATTGAGAGACCTTGCAGCTGCGACCCCTCTGACGATAAACGAGGGCCAAACGTACACACCACGACGGAAGCCAGACAAAGGCAAGCCGCAGAGACGTGTACGAGCTGACCACCAGTGCTATGTTTACAAGTCCATCCGGACGGAGAATAGTTGAAGCGGTCTGTGAAGTGGCAGTATGTAGCAGTAGGCCAAGACATGTATGCAGTTGTGACAAGGAACCAGCGTCCAGACATAACAGCAGGCGTAGGCAGACAAGCAGCTGTGTTGACCAAGGCCTTGCACGCCCTGTCGTGCCCGGGGCGCTGGTCGACGTGTTTGGCGACCGGTGCCCCCGACATCAAAACCACCAAAACCACCAAACACACCACTCTCTCTCACCTTCACCAACACAACAATGCCTTCTCCCCCGTGAGTCTTTCAACCGGTTGTAGCGCCCCAACAAGGCTGACAGTCCTGAAAGGCAGACCCCATCCGTGATCCTGGCTCTCAGCGACCATATCGCCGAACGCCTGGACCAGCTCGCCATCAGGGAGACCCAGCTCGACACGAAGGAGGCCCGCGTCGCCGAGGTCGAGCAAGCCGCCGCAGCCAAGGCGCTTGAACTTGTGGAACGCGCTGCCGTCCTCACTGAGCGCCAGGACCAGCTCGCCGTCAGGGAGACCCAGCTTGAGAAGAAAGAGGCCCGCGTCGCCGTGGTCGAACAAGCCGCGGTAGCCAAGACGCTTGAACTTGTGGAGCGCGCTGTCGTCCTCACCGGGCGCGAGGACCGGCTCGCTATCAGAGAGAGCAAGCTCGACAAGAAGGAGGCCGGGGTCAACAAGGCCGCGGCAGCCGCTGTAACCAAGGCGTTCGACCAGGTGGAGCGCGCTGCCGTCCTCACCGAGCGCGAAGGCCGTATTGCCGAACATGAGGTGCGCGCTGCAAAGGAGGCGGCTCAGCTCTCCAAGATTCTCGACAAGGCCGAGCGCCTCCTTCAACGCAGAGATGCCGACAACGAACGTATCACAATCCTCATTCGCCACATCGCAGGCCTCAATGCCCAGAGTGCCCAGTATGAGGGCGCTGCCAAGCTTGCCGCCACCCGCAATGTTGCCCCGGTTCACTCGACCAAGTATTCCGCGGTCCTGGACCACCACAAGCCCAAGCTGTAACTCGATATCGCGTCTCCGCCGCGGTGGACGTCACATCGCTACTCAAGCGAAAATCATACCACTATGTTCTGTAAAGAAACCTCTTACAAGTTCTGATTCAGCTTCAGGAAGATCGAAAGGAGTACGTCGGGTATGTACGTGCCAGCTGAGATATTCACCCTTTAGCTGACTGACGCAGAACCCCAGACTCGGTCGTCTCCTTGTTCGTCTCAGTGGTGGCGGTTGACTGGTGGAGGATGGTGCATCAGTACTAAGTAACGATGCCATTGTTCCCACGTTGCTCGCCTTCTCTCTCGTTGCATGCGTACACGCGCTTCAAGTGATTCCAGTGATGACACTTCTCGCCTTCCTCCCATCACTCACGCTTCTCACATTCTCCATCAGTATACAAATGACTGTTTTCAGGTGAGCTCCATAGCATCACATCGACACTGACACGCAAAGCCCGCTCTCCCCGTCCATCACGCCTCCGTCCCATAGCGACGACGTGCGTGTCGCCGACAGCGAGCCCTGCCTCGCCCAAGCGGATAACTCCAAGCTCCAGCATTCCGTCGAGTTCCACGAACGCGTAGCACGGTTCAACATCCAATCGGCCCGCCTCGCCGCCCTCGAGGAACGCATGGACGCCATGGACGCCCACCTCGCATCGCAGCTGGCCCACAGCCAGCAGGTCGCCGACATCGACATGGCCCGGCTGCGCAGGCAGCAGGCGTCCATCAGCGAGCAGCTGCACACCGTCCTCGCACTTGGTACCCGTAACCCCATGGCGTTGAGCGCCGACGAGCGGGCATACCTCGGCAGACTCTTCTCGCAGGTCGGACAGCCTGGGCATGTGGTCTTCAACCCTACTGCCGGCCCGACGGTTCATCCTCCCCCCAGCTCTGGTGCGGGTCCCTGGTGATGTCTCCGACAGCAGCAGTGGTTCAGCCTGGCCTCGCAGCAGTAGCTCGGAGTACCCGAGGACCAGGTCGCATTGGGTCCCGTTGATTAAGAGGGACAGGTGAGTTCTGGTGAGCTTGAGGGACACCGTTGACCAGCCCAGATCCCCCACCACCCATTCGTTTAAGAGATTCGATTCGTGTGGAGCCTTCGGCATGAGATTAGATATGTAGCAGGGCGGGCGTATGTCAGCAGCATAGTGTCTGTGTGTCATGGTGTGAGCCCCTCCAAGCGCACGTCAGAAGACTCCTGTCAATACTGAGTGCCCCCCTCACGCTGCTTCACAAACTGCATTGTCGAGAGCACAGCAGCTCCCTTTTGGGTTCCACTCCAGTCTTCCTTTCCATACACACCTCGTACCTCAAGATCCACACAAACGACACGGGGCTGCTTAGAGCTTGGCCTTGGGGACGGCGGCGACGCACTCAATCTCAATGTCGGTGCCGCGGGGGAGGACGGCGACGCCGATGCACGAGCGAGCAGGGGCCGGGGTGGGCATGCGCGCGGTGTAGGCCTTGTTCATCTCGTCAAAGTGCTCGTACGAGGTGACCTGTGGGGTCAGCTTGAATCAGGGAGGTCGACGAAGCTGGCACAGTGACAGCTGAAGCGGCGGTTCGCAAGCTGGACATGACGAAGAGAAGCAAATAGGCGGAGCAGGCTGCTATGCGCCATTTGACACCCGACCGCCCTGAGCCCACTCACAAAGATGTTGGTCTTGACAATGTGCTCCACACCCGAGCCGTGGGCCTTGAGGACCTTGGCGAGGTTGTCGATGCACTGGTTCTGTTTGGGTGTCAGCCTCCGCCCATCTTCCGCAGGCAACTGATTCGCGGTGGTGAGAGGAGAGGGTCAGGGAAGAAGAGTGGGTATCTGTCCGTTAGAGCCCACTCTTCGGGGAACGGGGCGAGCGATGCCAAGCACGACAGCCGGCTGCCGCGTCGACATCGACGACGAAGCGCCCGTTGACGCTACCAGCGTCACCAGTAGCCAGTGGACGAGCACACGACAAGAGCCCGTGGGCAGGAGAGCACGACCGCCAGCTGTTCCCACCGGATTTGGACGCCGGTATTTTGGCCGGGCATCCCGCAACTCGACCCCCCCCCCCCCCCCCCCCCCCCGCCCCCCCGACTTCAAAGTGTCTGTACTCACGAGGCGCTCAGTCATGGTGCCCTTGACGAGGACACCCTCGGGGGTCATGGGGATCTGGCCCGAGGCGAAGACGAAGCCGTTGGAGATGATGGCCGACGCTGTGGTGGTGTGAGATCCACTGGACGATTTCTGCCCTCGGAGGCGGAGTGGAGTGGGCGACTTACAGAGGAAGGCAGGGGCGGCGGGGAGGCCCGGGACGGCGTTGGCGGTACGGTCAGACATGTTGGTGTGGATGTGAGCAATGGTGGGTTAAATGTGGGCAACGGCTGGATGTCGGTAAGCGATAGTTTATATACGCCTGGGACGCTGCGTCATATCTGGAAGTTGGGAGCCGCTCGGATCTTGGCCAGGGACGATAGCGGAGACGACCGATGTGGCGGACGCCAATAAGGAGTCGCGTAGCGCGTCGAGCAACGTGCTGAATAAGACACGGCGAGCAGTGAGTCGAGAGTGAGGAACATGGGCGGGGAGGAGAGACTGGGCTGATGGGTTGGGTGTGCATGAGGACAGGGCTATGTGGCGCCACGGTTGAGGGCAGAGGGGGATCGGCTTGAGCGGTAGAACGATCGTCTGCCTGCTCGTCCACATGTAGGTTTGACTGACGTATCGACAGGTTGCACGCCGCACCATGAGGCTGGAGGAAAGAGCGAGGCTGCATGGGGTATGGACACTCTCTGCACCAGCTTGGCATATCCGGAACGATCCCTCGTCCTCGCGCCACTGATCCACTGATCGCAGCCTACCCTTGACCCACATTTCCGTCCGTCCGTACATCCATACATCTCTAAACCTCACTCATACTGCTCACAAGCCTGCAGTCCACCAAGAAGCAACGCTGCAGTGCCGTTCTTCTCCTTCCCAGCCTTGAACGTCTCCAGCTCGGCCCCCTGCAACCCAGCAAGCCCAAAGTCGCCCACAAAGTTATCGTACGTCGTCTGCGGCTTGTCGACACACAGCCCACAGAGGATCTTGGGCAGTTCCTCCCTAAAGTCGAGACGCGGGAACGTCGCCACCACCTCCTTGTACTCGTCGACGGAGATGGTGCCCGTGGGGTGGTTGGGACCTGTGAAATCTGCCAAAACACCCAGACTGACGAGCGCGACCACGGGCTGCTTGTGCGCTGCAATGCTGGGCGTGGTGTGCAGCGCAATGGCGTCCCAGACGAGCTGGAGACGGTGCTCGTCCCATCCACTGGCGTGGTTTGCAATCTCGGCGTTGCCAATAAAGTCTCGTGCGAGGTTGGCGCCGTCCACCTCGAACCGCTTGTCCGTCGACAGCAGCGACTTGGACGCGTCCTGCGCCCAGCCCAGGTCGTGCATCAGGACCGCGAGGGTGAGTGTCTCTGGGTCGGCAGATGCGTAAGGCGGGAGCTTGCGCGCGAGGATGAGCGCGAACGCGACGCTGCGCAGGCAATGGTTGACGGTGGACGGGCTGGTGAGCTTGCGCGAATACGCCAGCGCGGCGTTCGTGAGCGGGGTGCTGGGAATAGCCACCCGGCTGATAGGCAAGTGCGGGAAGGTGGGGTTCGAGGGGACCATGCTGGGGGGGAGAGTATGGCGAGAGGAAGGAAAATGTTTGGCATGGACACGCTTATGAATGACCTGCCTGCATGGCCGCGTGTTCCATGCCGATGAGCCGATTTTGATCGCTAAGCAGGTCGACTCGGATCGGGTATCGGGTGTGATGACGTCGAACGACGCTCTATTTCCGCGGCTAATAACTTTTGTTTAACAGGCACGTTTGGAACGTGCAGAACGCGCAGAGAGAGGGATGCTTGCTGGGACATGGTACTGCGTCCCTCTAGATCGTATACAGATGCGATTATAAGTGCACCTATCCTCACCTCTCGCCACCCTTGAACATGACGCACACCTCGCCCGCGACTACCAGACACGCCACAGCCATGGTGACACCCAACGGCGCCACGTTCCAGCGCACAAACTCTCTGGCGCGCACCGCCAGACCCTTGTGTGCGAGAATGTCGCGCCAGAGCAGTCCAGCGAGGGATGCCGAGAACCTTTGAATAAACGTTAACAGACATAAAGGCCATGTGACAAACCACTTACGTGAACGAGTAGGCGCCAAAGTTGCTTCCAATGGCCAGGGAGAGGACGCTCCCGTAGAGCGCGCGTTTTGAGGGCCGGGCTTCCTCGTTCCACACGGCGAGGACGCGGGAGAGGAGGACGGTGACGCCGATGTTTGTGCCAAAGACCTGGACAGTCAGCCCCACTTGTTCGTTTGCTCCTCTCGCGCCACTCACATTGCATCCAACAACGCTCACCACCCCCATGAGCCACACACATCCCGCCACTCCCCCGACGCGCGCCCACGCCGCCCACCAATGTGCCCAGACGGCCACCCAGCCGGTATACTCGAGCGCGTTGACGAGGATGAACATGCTGAAGGCGAAGGGGAGGAGCGGGAGTGGCAGCCGGGCGACGATGGCAGATACCGTCGGGAGGCGGCGTCGCAGGCGGACGAGCGGGTGGGCGTGGAGCCGGGTGACCTCTGCCTGTGCCGTGCTCGAGCGGCCTTGCTGCTCGACATCGCCATCTTGTGATGGCTGGCGTTGCGCCATCTCCATAGTTGCCTCTGGCCTTGTCCTTGCCAGATCATACACCACATCCCGCACCAACACCAGCATCGCCGCGGGGGCAGTGACGGTCCACACGCCCTCGACGCCCTCGAGCTTGCCGCCAGCGCTCAGCCCCACCAGAAGGGCGATAGTGGCAATGAAGATGGTCGTGGTCCACACGGCGCCGAACGGATCCAACAGTGCACTGCGCGGAACGACGTGCGGCGACCTGATAGTCTTGGGGATCTTGTGACGGAAGATGAACAGCAGCGAGGGGTACAGCACGGCGCCAGCGGCCACGGTGGGGAGTGCCGTCCACGCTGAAAAGCTCAGAAAGCTCAGTCCAAAACTTGCCGTCAGGACGAGGTTTGTCGGGTTGGACGACACGAGCAGCGCTGATGCGAGGTTGGCCGCTTGGAACTGCATGAACACAAAGGGCGTGGAGAGGACGCGCGCGTGGGACGTAAAGTACGCGACAAAGGGTGTTCCCGAGAGCACCACCGGGTCGTTGCCCACCACCAAGGACAGGAGGAGGAAGAGGGCGTACAGCGATGAAAAGAGTTTACGCCCGCTCGTCGACGCGCGCATCGCCACGGTGAAGGCCAGGTAGCGGAGGAGGCCGGTACGGTCCAGTGAGAGCGAGATGTATGCCTGCGAGCCAAACGTCAGCGTGTTCACATGGAATGCGGACAGGTCCCCGGGAGTGCGGCCACTTACAAAGCTGAGAAACAGCGTCATGATGTCATACGGGCGCACGCCTGCAATCCCCACAATGCCTCCCCGTACCACGCTCCCCGGTATGGCCGTCGAGGCGAGGGGGACGAGGACGCCAATGACGGGGGCAGTGGCTAGGCCGAGTGTGAAGTGGGTTCTCTGGGCCCGTGGCTGTGGCGACTGTGGACGGTGTGTCGTCCGAGTCGCCTCGTCGGTGTCGTCCTTGACAGCGGGTGGCGAGCGAGGGAGGTGGGTAACTGTGCTCGCGGCCGAACTGGGTTCCGTCGCGGGCGACGGTGTCACTGGGGGACCCTGCTCCACGACAGTCTGCGCCTCTTCCTCTTCCTCCTCTTCCATATCGCTCTCGTCGTCATCCTCGTCCGGCTCAGCCGCCTCATCGTCTGCAGGGCCCAAGATCGCCTCCTTGACAGACTGCACCGCCCGCCCAAGCGCGTGCGGTAACGGTATATGCACGGGGAAGATGACCAGTGCGTCTGCGTGCGGACGTCAGCCAGCGTGTCTCGATGGCTCACGTAAACCACCCCAACAATCGACGGGGTTGGCGATCCGTGATCCGTGATCCGTGTTCCGTGCTCCGCGCCCTTCGGTATATCGCTGCTGTGCACGCCGCAATGATGCTTGAAGCAGCGATAGTAGACAGAGCGATAGGCGATCGTGTTCATTGAGATGGTCGATCGTGGGTTTGTCGTCATGCACCGCGAACATGGACATGGGGCAAGGACGTGCACGGCAGCCACGTGCGATGCCGGCGCACACGCGCACACGGTCAACACTCACTGACGACGAAGAAGACCACGAGCGCAACGACGCTCCGTGCGTCAATGGCATGAGTCATCGCTCCACCATCGAGGCCGAGACCAGAAAAACGGGTGGGCGAAGCGAGTCGATGAAGCGCAAGAAGGTATATACTGTAGAGTGGCGAAATGCGCAAGTGGACAAACAAAAAAAAAAACGTTTGCTTTTGGCGAAGATATACAAAAGTGGGCCAAATATGGCGGTCATGGCAAGGCACCGCCCACCCAAAAGTTCATGACGCGCGCGCTCACCGTGTTGCTGCATGTGCTGTGGGAGCTTGGCCGCTTGACCGCTTGGCCGCTGAGCCGCTGAGCCGCTGAGCCGCTGGGTGCCTGCCGAGATCCCCGCTAGCGTCGGCCCACGCTCGTCTTTTGCGCCACCAGACACCGCGCGCCATACGGCTGTACCGGCTGTACTGGCAAAGGGTTGTAGAGGTCTGGACCAAGACGCCACCCCACCACACAGGATATACGCACTCCCGGCACCCAGTACCCACACCTCGCCTCCCCGCTCGCTCTGTGCAATGAAGTGCATCGACTAATTCGGCAATGGACTAACGCAATGTAAGGGGGTGGTATAGACGGGACAAATCTTGTTGTGCTGGAAATAAAGGACGAGAGAGAGAGAGGGGGCGAGCGATTGTCGAGAGCGAGAGAGAGAGAGAGAGAGCGCGAGAGAGGGAGAGAGAGAGAGCGATAGAGAGATAGAAAAGAGAGAAAAAGACAGAGACGACGGGAAAGACAGGATAGAGAGAAAAAGAGATAGATAAAGGGGGAGAAAAAGGGGGTGTTGAAAGCGCGATAGTGGAAGTGTTTTGATGTGGAGTAAATGTACGGCGTTGGTTGCGCTGGTCCGGTGGGTCGGTGTTGGATTGGGTTGGTTGGGTGGGTTGCGTTGGATAAGGGGGGACAAGACATGAAGAAAGAAAGATATCGGGGCGACACAAAAACCAATGACCATCAGATCCTCCTCCTCCGCCATCGACAAGCGCTGCCTGGGTGAACAAGGCAATTGGCCTGGCCGTGGGGCATCATGTTTTCTCTTCTCTCTCTCTGTCGCCGCGCCGGGAGCCGAGTGTAGTGGTTGGGGGGTGGAGATGGGGTGGTGGATGGTGACAACAGGTGTGGGGTGGGGTGGGGCTCATGCTAGCGGCGCGCGATCTCGCTCACGCTCACGCGCGCAGGGGCGCTCTATGCAATGCCCACTTCGCCCTCGTTGTCCTCGCCAATGTTCTCAAGGTAGAGCGCAAAGTCGATACCATCGCTTCCTCCCGTCAACGAGTTCATCCAGTCGAGGTCCGTGTCGCTGCCAAACAGCCCAGAGTCGGCAAGCACGTCGCCAGTGGCAAACATGCTGTTACCGCCGCTGTTGTTGTTGGCATTGTTGGTGGCTGAATTATTATTGTTGGCATTGGCGTCGGCGGAAATGCCGTTCAACAGGCCACCAGCGTTGCCGACTGGTGTGGCGGTGGATCCCGATGGTGGGGACGGCGTCAGGCCGTGCGTAGACGTCGACTGGCCACCAGAGTCTGGGTTGACGGTGATGATACCGGTACTCGGTGAGTTGCGCAGCGATTTTGGTGTGGCAGAGTCGCGCTGCAGGGCGTCAGTACGTATTATCCAAACAGCAAGCACTCACAATGAGCTCCTCTTTTTGCATCTTTGGTGTCAGAGCCACCTTGCCAGGCTGGGTCTGAGGGGTTGTCCGGCCCATGACGGCGGCGGGGCTTTGAGGCGGCAGCATGACGCCCTCGGGGGGGCCGTTCTTGCTCTGGTTGCGCTGCATCGTCTGGCCGGGGATGCCGTTCATGGGCGGATTCCTGGGCGACTGGGATGTCAAGCCCTGGGCAGGGCTCTGCGCGTCCATGGGTCCATTCACCGACATTGGACGTCCAGTCTGGCTCATGCTCTGCTGCATGGCCAAGACGGCCTGCTGGTGCTGGAACCCAGGCTGCAGCGTCTGCGGCTGGATGAACGGGCTCGGTGCGGCGGAGCCAGAGTTTCGGCGCTGGCGCTTGCGATCAGGCGGTGTGCCCGCGTTGTTGGCCGAGTCGCTAGCCTGAAAAGATGTCAGCAAAGGACACTCAATATGCCCAAAAGAAATAGAAATGTGCGGCCCCACCTGCATCGGCGTTGAGCCATCGAATGCCGCGCTGTGCGACCTGGGTTGTCCACTGACCTGGCGTGCCTGCCCGTGTGCACCCTGCTGCTGCTGCTGTTGTTGCTGTTGCTGCTGCTGTTGCTGTTGCTGCACCAACATCGGCTGCTGGAACTGCTGCGGAGTCGAAGCAGGTGACGCGCCAGGCTGTTGAGCCTGCATCATCTGTCGCCGCTGCGACTCTTGCAGGGTGGTCTTGTACGTCCGTATCAGGCTGCTCTGAAACGGGTTAGCACGTTACTCTATGGGGATACCCACTTTGTCATCCTCTGGCAGGCTATTCAGGTCCTTGCCGGAAAACCCCAGCTGGTTGACGGTGTGGTTCATGACGGCCGAGTTGACCTGTCCTAAACCCAAGCCGTGGTACGACATGGCGTTGGTCGCATTGGCGAGCTGCTGCTGCTGCTGCTGGTGCATGGCAACCACCTGCTGAGGAGTGAACTGCTGAGGCCCATTCTGCTGCTGCATGCGCTGTTGAGCTTGCTGCTGAGCCTGCTGCTGTTGCTGCTGCTGAGCCTGCTGTTGTTGGGCCTGCTGATGCTGCTGCAACATTGCGTGCTGCTGGGCGGCGGCATGCTGCTGCTGAGCCTGGGCGTGGGCAACTTGGGCGGCCTGTTGCTGCTGGGCGGCTTGCTGGTGAGCGTGCATTTGCTGTTGCTGTTGCTGCTGCTGTTGAGCCTCGTGGAGCTGCTGCTGCTGATGCTGAGCTGCCTGCTGCCTCGCCTGCATGGCCTGCGCCTGCGCCTGGACCTGTATCAGCTGGTGTTGCTGAATGGTCTGCTGGTGCTGCTGCGGTGTCATGGGTGCGGGGCTTGCGGCGGTTTGCGGGGTGGCGGGGTGCATGAACGGCCCGCTGCCCTGTGGGGCCATGCCGACAGACACGGCGCTGGGCTGCTGCATTGGCATCATGGTCGGGGTGCCGCCGTTCATACCGGGCGGTGGGCGCATGTGTTGCTGGTGCGGGGAGGGCATCACCTTGGGGTGTTGCTGCTGAGCAATGCGCGGGGAAGGAGCCATGGGCGAAGGGTGGCTGGGTCCTGCCTGGGCGTTGGGAGGCTGCATCGCGAGATGGGCCTGCTGAGCAGCAGCGTACATGTGTTGCTGCCCCGGAGGTGGTGGGCGTTGCTGGGCGGGCGATCCGCTGGGCGCACCAGGCTGGGCGCTGAACCGCTGGGCGGCAGCGGCGGCGGCAGCGGCAACGGCCTGCTGCTGCTGAGCCTGCTGAGCCTGCTGCTGCTGGGCCTGTTGCTGTTGAGCCGCCTGCTGGGCCTGCTGTTGCTGCTGCTGCTGCTGCTGTTGCTGGAGGAGAGCCTGCTGGGCCTGCTGCTGAGCCTGCTGCTGCTGGGCTTGCTGCTGTTGAGCAGCGGCCTGCTGTTGCTGGGCCTGCTGCTGCTGTTGAGCCTGGGCCTGTTGAGCCTGCTGGGCTTGCTGTTGGGCCATTTGCTGCTGCATGAGCGCGGCATGCGACATGCCCGACTGCTGAGCCTGGGCCTGAGCCTGAGCCTGAGCCTGGGCAAGCGCTGCCTGTTGTTGGGCCTGGGCCTGCTGGAGCTGGGAAGCTTGTTGGTGCTGCCTGATATCCAAAAACTGCTGGGTGGGGATACGCTGAGGGACGGTACCGGGCGTGCCAGCCTGGAACTGTCCTTGTTGCTGTTGCTGAGCACCAGCAGCGCCCTGCTGTCGCAATGCGCTCAACCGGCCGATCGCTTCTGTGTACGCGCCCGGGGAACTCAACGCCGCCTGACCCTTGCCGTGGATGACGGTCTCGTGGAACACACGCCACACCTCTAGCAGAAAGCCTTTGGGGTGCTGGACGGGTGCCGTCTGCTCGGCGAGAGTGGTCTCGTTGCGGAGTGCGGCGGCGGTACTTGAGAGATCGTTTTTCACCAGATAGTCGTAAATGAACGTTCTCAACAAAGAGTCTGGGTCGCGGGCCTGGCCCACTTGCGATTGGACGCCCGACCCCACACGGGTCATGTCAAAGCCTTGAGTGGACATCTGATGTTCCATCGAACCCTGCGGGTGGACGTGGCTCATGACGGGCGTCACCTGCTGAGGCTGTTGTTGCTGGCCCTGCGCAATGGCCATCTGACCAGGTACGTTTGGTGGGTGCTGGGCCTGTCCAGGCTGTCCAGGCTGTTGAAGACCGGGATGTTGCTGGAACTGGTGCTGCTGAGCCATTCCAGGCTGTTGAGGGGGACGGACGGGGCCGGCTCCAGGTCGAGGACGCATCTGGACAGCTGTTGGCCTTGCGGCCATGGCCATGCTTGCGGCCTGGGCGGCGTGAGGTCCAGTGAACTGGGGATGCACGGCACCTGCTGGCCCTGCGACGGGGAACTGGTGCTGGAGATGAGGAGAAGGGGTCATGTGGTGGGCGGCACCTTGCTGGACCATTCCGGGTCGTGCAGCCTGGTGTTGGGGCTGTTGCTGCTGGGCAACCGCTGCAGCGGCCACTGCTGCCTGCTGCTGCTGTTGCGCGGCGAGTTGCTGCTGTCGCAACTGGGTTTGCTGCTGTTGGGTAAGCTGCTGCTGCTGCTGCTGCTGCTGAGCTGCGCGCTGCTGTTGCTGAAGTTGGAGAGCGTGTTGCTGGGTCATGGGCATCGTGCCGGGTTGAGGGGGACGGACACCGACCTGAGCGTAGGGTTGCCCATACTGCATCTGCATCGGCATCCCCGAGGGGCCCGGTTGGCCGGGTTGTTGCATGAGGTGTTGAGGTGGACGAGACACGGCTGGTGACGCGTGTGTTGGATGGATGATTGGAGGGTGGGGCAAGGCCATGGCCTGAGACAATGTCAGCATACTGGGGGGAGGGGCGCTGCGTGTGTATTCTTTGTTTTACGCCCACCACAAAGAGAGAAGATGGGGGATGGAGCAAGCAGCACTCACGTTTATCGCCAGGGCCTCGACTCAATGGTCCGTCCTAATCGTGTCCAAGCTCTGGAGCCAGCAGCGGCGCGGGGTGGGCGAACGCCGCAACGATGGTGGTTGCGCGGCGATGCGGAGGCCGAGGGGATGGGGAAGACAGACAAGTCCCTTCGGCTGGGAAACGCGCACACGAGGATGTAAGGCCTGCGACTGTCGTCTGTTTGAACAGCAGCTGCGGTGTGAACGAGGACGGAGGGGGGGAGGATGTCAGGGATGTGGGTTGTGTAGCGCGTTTGGGCGTTGGTTGGGTTCCGACGACCTCGGCGGCGCAGTTTCAACTAGTATGTATCAAGACAAAGAGACGCGCGTGATGTGATGCAAGGTGCGTGATGGATGCGTGTCTATCGGCCGGTGAGATGTGGATTGGTGGGCGAAACTAAGATGTGGTAGCGGTGGATGATGGAAACCACCCTTGATTTCGGTCGCAAAGGGATACAGTTGGGTGCTTTAGTTTACACGCGGCGAGACAGATCGGCGATGACAGGCGGCACGTTTGCGCTCAGGCCAGTGGGGTGTGCAGTGTGGATGCGCACACGGGTGCTTGTCGACAGTACCCTCGGCGACACCACGTAGATGTGGAGCGGAGACGGATGCGATGGCTGATGGACTACCGTCAGCAAAAGCAAAGGGGGGGGGGGGGGGGGGCGGAGGTGGGTCCCACCACACGCTTCCTGGATCCAACCCTCTACGTACCCAGATAAGCCGTGCGATGCACCGTACGGGGCGACGGCGACGTTATAGACGCGTCGGGGGCCGTGCGAGGAGCGAGATGCGGCGGGTTCGCGGTGTTGGTGACCTTTGGCTGGCGACGCGTGCTGCTGGCAGGCGGACACGACAAAAGGCGCGGGGGTGGATGGCGGCGGCTTGAGGCTGCGGGGCAGTTGGGGCACGCTGGAAGGCAGGCCGTATACGGGGGCTGCAATGGGTTGCACGAGAGTCAACAACGGCTTGGGGTGTGAGATGGAAGACGCGCGAGACGACTTCTGGTTTCACGAGTTGCTGGCTCGGCGGAGACAGGGGGGGAGAGTGTGGAAAGGGCGGCGCGTTGGCTGGCGGGACGAGGCGAGATGTGGATTGTTCGCAATAGGGTCCACGATATCTCGCTTCTAGGCAGTGGCGAGGGCTGCTCCGTGATCGAGGGTGGTGCGTGTGGACGTGATAGATGCAAGCAAAGGTGGATAGGTTGCTGCCAGTGTTGCAGTCGAGTGGAAAAGTGCCGTGCTCGGGGGCTGAAGAGAAGACGGGTGTTCCCACGGACGAAGGGGGGGCAGAGAGGGGGGTGGGTTGGGTGGGGAGGGTAGGTTGGCGAGGAGCGTCGGTTTTGCTAGGCACCAGAGGGGGCCGGGGACGGGGTGGGCGACGGGGGAGGTGGTTGGGGGGGATGAGATGGTGGTGAAGATGGATGGGATGGGTCGAGCGTATGACAGCTGGCGAGGACGGAGGATGGAGGAGGAGAGGGGGGGGGAGGGAGACGAGGAGGAGGGTGTGTGCTTGTGTGGGAGACGGATGTGGATGGGAGAAGGATGCACGCCGAGCGAGAGAGAGGGACCACCACACACACAGGGGGGGCAGCGGGGGCAACGGGCGAGAGAGAGAGAGCGAGGACGGGGGGAAGAGCCGTGTACGCTCAAGGGACCTGCACACGCCATTCTGGGCGCCCACCCAGGGTGAAAAACCCGCGCACCCACCCACACACCCACCCACACACAACGGTTGTTCGCCGCTCAGTTTTGCCCCCGCTCCCTCTCTCCACCCAAACCCTCCTCTCCCCCCTCTTTCTCCCCCCCTCCCAGGCAGCTTCCATTCAACGGCTCATGCATGCATGCTTCATCCCTCTGCACGCTACTATCCTCCCACAGCGACATCCACATGTATGGCTTGACAAAGGCCTGGTCGGGTAACACTAACGGTACCTTTTGCAAAACAAACAAAGAGGACAAAGGGACCCCAACCACCCCAACCACCCCGAACCGTTGGATATGGCCCCCCGCGTCGATGACGGCGCTACGTCCGTTCCCAAAGAATGATTTTGTGCATCGTCGTCCGTGATCCGTTTGTGGATGAAAACACTCTCTCCCTACAGCCATCAGCCCTCAGGTCCACACGTGTACGACGTGTACCCTTGCTTCCGTGGACGGGTTGTCGCGAGGATGATCGAGGAGAGGGTGCTCGTCGTCCGGAACTGTGGAACCCGATAAAACGGAAAGAGCCCAACAGACGCGCCCCCATCCGCATATCCAGGCGGGCAATCATTGTGGCACATCACTTGATCACCCAAGTGCTTGAGCTGAACAGATCGGCATGTACATAGGCAGCGGACATGGTGGCCATGTTTGCATGTTGGGCCACCCCCACGATCACGTTCGTGCCCGCATCCGTGCTTTGGATCTGTCGGTTCTCGCTTGTCTCGGGGGAGGGGGGTCCCCATAGACACTTGACTGAATTTCACTGGACGCCAGGTCACCGACCCACTGGCCACTGGGGATGCCAAAATGTACCAATGGGGGTGCCACTGGCTGTGGGTGTAACCGTTCACGGAATGCAGGCGGCTACCACGCTCAGAACAATACTCGTTTTCCTGCAGTGGCCAGGCTCCGCGGATCGCACATCGTTCTTGTGATATCTGTGCCACCCCCCGCACAAACGTCCAAAACCGCCGCCCGCCCGCCCCCCGTCTATTGACAACCGACACCCCACTAATGCTCCGAGCAGCCCGCGATTGATCTAAAACCAAGCGCTATCGGGGTTTTTTACATGCACTGGCTTGCCCGTCGTTTGCAATGTTGGCTACATGCAGTTGCAGTATGGGGCTCAGGCAGTTTTTGGCTCTGTCTGTCTGTCTAGTGTCTGCTGCTTTTCCTGCCACGCCTCCTCGGCGTCTGCATGCTTGGCCACTGACTGGTTAGAAGCCTGCCTGCATGCCATGGGGTTCACCGTTGGGCTCATCGGCTCTCCCACATCCCGTCAAGAGCCTGGCGCGTTCGGCCGGGTCGTTCCTGGCACACTTGCGAGCCGTCAACCTTATACACACCGCACTGCGGTTTTTTTTTTTCCACCTGCGTGGGCCGTGGGCCGTGGGCCGTGGGCCGTGGGCTTTCGCGACGCCCGCGCCAGCGGAAAGTGCACCTGTGCAGCAGAAGGTGACCGCCCGGCCGCATAGCGCTGCTCCACGCTTTTCCTTTGCGCTTCACGCTGCGCGTACAGTACATGCACATACGCAAACCTAGGCGCGACGCGAGTGAATACGTTGAGCGCACAAGTAGTGACGCCACTGCGCCTCCGTCCAAGCGTGACGGTCGCCCCCCCCAGCCATATGCAGCCAGAAACTCCAGAGCATCCAAGGGTCCTGCAAGAGTCATAACATTAATCAGATACGATTGAAAGCCCCCCCTCCCCAAGACCGGGATTATAGGCCCCTCGCTTGCCCGTATTAACAAAAACGCTAGCACTTTTTTTTTTCCTTGCTGTCGCTTTTTTTTTTTGTGGGCTCGGAGGCAACTTGCAACTGTGCAACTGTGTCTCACCCACAAAAAAAAGGGAGTCTCGCAGATCGTCCGCCGCCACCACACTAAACGGCAGTGAGCCATTTTATTTTCCATACCCACGTCGACCCGTCAACCAGTCCCTGCCCATATCGAATGCGGACGCGCGGGCAGCCACCCACCCAATCCATATTTTTGTCTCTGCCGTCGGTTCCAGGGTCTGAGCAGGGACGGTACACTGAGATCCAGTGACTAGCCAGCGGAGGCGAACTGGCGGCTGGCAGGCTGGCAGGCTGCAGGCTGCTGCACGCTCTGCTGGCCGCTGACTGTGCCGGCGGCGTGCCGAACCGAACCGTCGGCACTGGTCCAAAGGGAACAGAGCAGAGCACGGATGGATATGGGGGGCTGCGGGCGCTGGGGGTGCATTTCGCTGGGGCATCTATGGACCGGGGGACATGGCCACGGTGCACCGCTGCACCGATGTCGGACAGGGGGAGGTAAGGTGGGGCAGAGCTCCGCCGGCGCCGGCGGTTCGGTTGATCTGGGCGGCGGGAAACGCGCGCCACCCGTCCTCGCCGAATTGTGCTCGCCCACGGGCGGTCTCGCCGCCGTGGCTTGGCACGCGCGTTGCGTCCGTCCCCCCCCCCCGTGCCAAGCTCCGCAGAGGATATGTGCAGGATATGCTGTGGACGATATGGGGGGACCTGCGGGATTGCTAGTGCGGCTTTGTGTACAATGCAGAAGCGAACATTGCGAACGGATCCAACGGACGGCCGATTGCTACTGAACTACTGACAAGCATAACGCAACTTGGGCACAGCAGGAAGGCAGGTCGTGCCGAGCGGCAAGCTCTGCGGCACTGCCCGGCCCATTCCACGATTAAGATCGGCAAGGGTAGGTCCAGTACACTTGATCTTGACAACAGCCAACACAAGTGGCAGGAGTGTCAACCGTGATCTGGGTCCGTCATGTCCCGTTCAGGTCCAGAGATCAGTCTCACGACAGACAGGCAGATCAAGAGAACTCCCACCTATCCGCGACGACTCTCGGGACGCGGCTGCACCATGTGACGCGGATGCACCATGTGATGTACGCGTCCCCCAAAGGCTGCTGTACCTGTCAGCAACTCCCGCACAAATACCTAGCTCTTGGCCGATCAGAACAACACACCGCCATGCTGGAGCCCAGCTGCCTACAGACTGCTGCCAGGTATGCACCGAGGCGAAACAAAACATGCGAAACACGGACAGGAGCAACGGGTTCTGAGGTTGTGGGGAAACGAGGCATGCCACTTTGCACACTCTGTCTCCTGCCGTCACCTGTCGCTATCGAACTACACCGTTGGTGACAAGCCAGTGGTCCAGTGACTCGGCACGAGCGCTTTCCGCCGCGGCTCTGTTCCAGCATGGTGCCTAGTGTGGTGAAAACACACCCAACACCCTTCCGATTCACCAAAGGGCTCCACGGGCCACAATGCCTCGTCCGTTGTTGTTTGCGTCTATTTGATACACTTTTTTTTGGGTTGATCGGCCCGAGGATAGGAGGCGGCTGATGCTTCTCTGCACCCACCACTCTCCATGGGCCGGTCAGCGAGAGACTTGTGCCACTCCTCGTGACACGTGTACATGCACATGGCAGTGCGAAACCTCTCGGTGCATACGTGCGCGATGTGGGCCTACAACCTCGCTTGCGCATCTGGAACAACCCCCAACAATCCGCGTCCAGTTCCGTGTCCGTGTGCCACACGCGATTGTACGCAAGGAGAACGACGAGAACGATCTGCCAACGCGATACATATGAGATTTCGCGACTGTTTCTCCGCCACAGTGACATATGAGCCTATGAGCATATGAGCATATGGGCCGTCCGGCCCGTCCCAACCACGCGGCGCCGTGCGACGACACGCACGAACGCACCCATGCAGGTATGGATGTGGCATACGTTCTCTCTGGTCGGCCCTATTCTGCGGATCTGCGGATCGGGCCACAAACGAGACGCCCAGCCGAGCGCGCCCCCCCGAATGGACGTGCCGAGTGCCTCTCAACACTCCACCTGGCACGACTCGTAAAGCTAGAACTGTGCAAACCTAGAACGCTGTGGAAACACTCACGGGTACATATATGTGATCTAATGGAGCTGTGGATACGCGGCCGCGGTCTATGGTCTCTTGATCTCTGATTTATGAAACGTGTATACGGGTCGCTGTGGGCCTGTGCACATATTGCCACCCCGCTCGTCTCAGCCACGATAACCTCCCCCCCTCCCCCCGGCCTAGTACCTCCTCTCGTCATCATACACAGGGTAGCCCTCTCGATATGTCGGATAGCCGGGGCCACCACCGGGCGCGCTGGGCGGCGGAGGTGCCGCATAATTATCAATCCGGCCGGCACGTGCACCCCCGCCGCCGCCCAGCTCGCGGGTCTCATAGGCGCGCTGCTGCTGCTGCGCGTACTGACCGCCCGGGATGTAGTTTGGGTGGTCCACCTGGCCGGTCGCCTGCGCCGAGTACGGGCAGAACCGGCAGTTGCAGGGTGGGTGCGGTGGGGTTTGCATGCTGCTGTTGTTGTTGTTGTTGGCCTGGTTCTTCTCGATGGCCTTTGCGACCTTGGACGTGGCGGCGAGGGCGGTGCCTGCGACAATTCCTGTTTTGATGAGGCCCATGGTGAGGGGTACGGGATGCTTGTTGGGGTGGTACGAGGAGATACGTTTGGGGACGAGGCTGGAGGTGTGTGCTGTGGCAGCTGGGCAGGAGCTAGCTCGAGGTTTGTGCAGATGACCGCAAGATCAAACGGGGGTAGTGTGGGTGGTGACGGTGGTCCCAAGTCTCGATGCGAAGGAACTTGCTTGGGAGGCAGACACTGGCTATAAGTAGCCCCCCAGCAATGCCTTTCGTAGACGGGATATCAGCGAGGACAGCATGGTCTGGTTTCAGCGCGCTCGCAAGCTCGCTACCGCTGATCGTCGGTGCCACCACCATACTGATTCAACAGTCCAGCCGGCGGCAACCGAATGTTCTCTCGCCTCTCAGCTCGGTTCCCGTCGTTTTCGGTCAGCGTCCTGACACAATCAGTGCAGACACTGATTTGGCACCTCTCAATGTTGCTGTCTGGATGGCAAAGCAAGCGTGCTTTCAATGTAATGGAAGTCATCCCAGCTGTGAGTCTAGGTGGGGGTCACGTAGAAATGCCTCAGAGAACACTTCCGTCAGGACAAACTGGGACGCCAGCGGCCTTCCGTTAGGCACTCAGCTTGTAGGGTCGAGATGCCGGGCGAGATCTCGACCAAGGCGTCTGAAAACGGCAGTATTGACGTGAGCATGCCGACCCACATGCATTCTTGTTATCAACCTTGAGCTCACTGTCTGTGTAATGCGTGCAACGTCGGACCAGGTAGCGGTTGGTGGTCGGAGTTCGGTGGGTCGGTGCTCTCGGTGTCCAATTTTCGGCATTCGACGCTCGGAGTCCAATTACGACCTAAGCCTCGGAGGACGCCGAGATAATGGACGTCTGAGCGCCGCGTCTGCCCACCTATATGGAGTGCATGGTGTCGCTGCACATATATATCGGATGCCCAAGATTGAGCATCTGCAATACTCTTCAGCTGGCACCATGGCTTCTCCATTTCCTCAGCAGTTTACGTCGACGGTTTCGCACTGGCAGGCGACAGTGAGTTACCGATCAAACTCCAACATATCCCTGACCTCTAGAATCGCGGCCCGTCCGCCCTATGGGACCACGGTCGTGACGCTCCTCTGCCTTCCAACGTCGACTTTCTGATCGTTGGAGGGGGCATCACTGGTATGTCGTACTGAACGGGCGGGCCAGCGCTGAATTGCAGGCGCATCACTCGCATACCAGCTCACAAGACCCGGCGGAGCGGGAGTCGGCAAGCACATTGCCGTGGTGGAAGCCAAGGACCTTGCCTCTGGCGCGAGTGAGTGCAACGAGTGTTTCTTTTGGTTCAGGCTGACGTGGCTCAGCTGGCCGCAACGGTGGACACATCGGTCCTTGCTCCTGGCTCTCCTTCCCGTCGCTCACCGCCTCGCTCCAGGACGGTGGCGCTGGGATCGATGCCGAGGCAGCCCTCGACGTCATCTTCAACGAGGCCGACACACTAGCACTCGCGGCGGAGATTGTGAGATCCGAGAACCTCGACGTAGACTTCTGGAAGGGGCACAAGATGGAAGGTGGGTTACAGTACCTCCGTGCTGTCCCTCCGCTGACATGCTAGTCTTTACCACCGAGACCGGAGCCGCCAAGAACGTGGCAGCCCGCGAGGCCTTTGAGAAGGCGCGTCGGGCGAGCAAGTATGCCAACCGCGAACTCGAGTGGACACTGGTCACAGATCCGGTCGAAGCCCAGAGAATCTCTCGTACCGAGGGAGCACTCGCTGTCAACATTGGCACTGCTGGGTCGAACCACCCTCACCGCCTTGCCACCGCCCTCATGAAGCTGGCCATGGAAGCCAGGTCAAGCAAGACCGAGTTGTACTCTCACACTCCAGTACTGAAACTCTCGGAGACGCAGGGTGGATGGGCGGTCGAGACTACTCGCGGTTCCATTCGTGCCGAGAACGTTGTTCTGTGCACCAACGCGTGGACGAGGCATCTGTTCCCGGAAGACATGGAGAGGAAAACCGGAATTGCCGCACAGTGAGTCGAGACACGACCGTCCGGTAACCTTTGAGCCACACCAGTGCTGACAACACACACAGTGTAACTCCATTCCGTGGCCATGCAGCCCTCGTTGTCCCTCCCGCATCATACTCCGGCGAAGACAGCATCCAGAACACCTTTGCTGTCGAGAACGGTCCGTACCTCATGGCGACACCACACTCGGGACTCGTGTTTGGCGTGTACAATTCGACCGCGCTGGCTGTGGGTTTGGCAGGGTGGGACGAGATCTTTGGCGTGGAAGACGACTCGGTCGTACTGGACTCGTTCAAAGATTGTGAGTGTACGGCAACCGGGTGTGGGCTGACAGACAGGGCTCGTTGACTACTGCCCGAAGGGGTTTGTGGAATGGGGAGACGAGCTGCCAGGAGAGGGCGTGAATCAGATGTGGACTGGTGAGTAGCCACAGAGCTGGGTGCGGGTAAACTGACAGTCACAGGTATCATGGCTGCTTCAGCCGACCAGATCCCGCTTATCGGAGCCGTCCCAGGCAAGGCTGGACTATGGGCCGCTGTAGCCTTCCACGGTACGTTGCCGTGTGTCCAACATGCATCCCAACTGACACACCAGGTCATGGGATGGCGCGTATCCTCACTGTCACACAATCATTAGCAGCCAACATCAAGACAGGGGAATGGGACAGCCGTCTTCCGCGCGTGTTCGAGATTACCGAGCAGCGTCTTGAGAGGGGGCGAAGTGCGGCGGCAATCCCACGTTTCCAGCAGTCGTAGACGTAGATAAATGTCATATGCACAACAACCATAGAGCCTGCCCGGCACTTTGGTGTCCCCCCTCCCCACTCCCTCATGAAGCTTGCTGCATGATGCAATCCATCGGTGTCATCCGTAGCAGGTGGGCAACGGAGGGCCGGCCAATTGTTGGCCAGTCATCCTCCGACTCGCATCGGCCAAGACCGAAGTTGCTCTTGCTATCATCGGCCCGTGGTGGGCGGGTTTCCAAACCCTCAAACGAATCGTCAGTACACCCCCTACATAACCCTCGGCACTGCCATGACGTGTGTGACCTCTTCATCTTCCAGCTATCTGTTACTGACATGCCCACCACCAAGCCCAAGCCTGCTTCGCCATTTGGCCCCAACATCTTGCCGGCCCAGTCGACGACATCGCACTGGCAGCGGAGTACCGCAGGCAATGCCTTTGCGACGTGCGGCATGAACGACGCGTTGCCCGCTGATGCCGATGTCGTGATCATTGGCAGTGGTCTGTCTGGTGAGTCTCGGAGAACGTTTCAGTCAACTGACAACAGGCGCGGTGACCGCCCACAGCCTGCTGTCCTCTCCCAACCGCCCGGCCTCGGTGGTCATCCTCGAAGCCCGCGAGGTGTGCTCTGGCGCCTCGGGAAGGAACGGCGGGCACTGTCGCCCGGACGCCTTCCGCGGCTTCACCTCTTTCGCCCAGCTGCACGGCCCCGAGCAAGCCAAGAAGATCCTCGAGTCGGAGGCAATCACATTGAACAAGTCGGTTTTGGGAGTGGTGGAGAAGCGGTGGCTGACGTCAGGGTTGCTGCGTTTGTTGACAAGCACAACATCGAGTGTGAGCTTGTCCTCCGCCCAACAATGGACGTATGCCTCACCGACAGCTTTGAAGAATACGAGACCAAGGCATTCGGTCAAGCCAAAGCGGGCGGTATCGACCTCAGCGGCGTCAAGCACCTCAGCAAGGATGTCACCGCAAAAGTACGCCCGGAATTCCAGCAGTTTGAAGCTTATCTTTCAGGAATGCCAGGCGCCGGACGCCGTCGCAGGCTGGCAGTGGTCAGCGTCGTCTGTCAACCCCTTGAAACTCGCGTACGGCGTATACCGCGCATGCTACGCCCTGGGCGGGTTTGGTCTGTACGCATATGCGCCAGTCACCGAGGTTGTGCCCAACGCCACCTCCTCACACCCGTGGACCGTCGTCACTCCCCGTGGCAGCGTCAACGCCGCCAAGGTGGTCCATGCCACGAACGCATACAGCAAGCTTCTCCTCCCGGAGCTTGACGGCCTCGTCCAGCCGTTCAGGGGTATGTCCTATATGGCAATGCAATTTGCAGTCTCTGACCTCGCCAGCTGGCGCAGTAAAGCTCGCCCCCGCCCCCAACAGGGCATTCAAGCCTCTTCAGCCGACCATGTCTCTCCGCCGGGAGCTGCACCACTTTTACAGCGTGTAGGTCGCGTGCATATGGGTTTGGACTGACTCCAAGTGCACCTCAACCAGACGGCGGTATCGTGCTCTCGTGCTCTCGAACATGGTGAGCTTCATCTTGTGGCGGGGTTCTGACCGTTGCTAGGACGGGACAGTCTCCCGACGAATACCAGGATCTCTTCGACAACATGGATGACTCGTACGCGCCTCTCGTACAGGCCATGGACACTGTGACACAGGTGGCCAAGGCCCTTCCCAGCGCTCAATATGGCCCCAGTCGAGCTGGCGGAGTCGAGTCGAACTGGAGTGGCATCATTGGTTTTGTAAGTTATGACCGTGGCGTGGCTTGTAAGAGGTACTGCTAACTAACTCCTCACTCAGACACCCGATGCCGTTCCGTTTGTCGGTCCCCTCCCAGACAAGCCTGGGCAGTATGTGATCGCTGGGTTCAATGGTCACGGTGAGTTTTCGCGTTCGCTTTTGCAACGGTCGCTAACGGAGAAGGCATGGCTCGTATTTTCCACACTGCACCTTGCCTCGCCGACGTCATGGTCGGAGGCATGGACAAGTGGGATCCTACTGTCCCAACTGCGTTCATCATCACCACAGAGCGCCTTGAGAAGCTCCGGGCCATGGACACCGACTCTGTCGTGAAGAGCAGCGAAGAGGCCAAGCTTGGTCAAGTGAACGAGCGGGCCAAACTTTAAAGGCATATATATACCTTGAGGCAAATGTAACGGCTAGTGGACTTGGAAGTTTGTGAATCTTCTAGCTTCACATTAATGCATGCAAGCCATTCGGAAGCAACGGATGAAATGGTGGTCTGCATGGGGGATTTAGTTCGAGTTTTTCGGCCAAGTTCGAAACTCGCATCGCAAATGAGAATCCTCGCCTTGCACCGAACTCATCTACACATTCGTGTATGCTGTCGTCCAAGTGCCAACGATGCCGCCCTAAACGTGTGAGGCATGCGCCGCCAGACGGCTTCCGTGGTTGATAAGTGAAAATATTTAAAAATGACATAAAATGGGAGTGAACTACAGGAAGACAAACTGCAGTTCGCTCAATTCACCACCGTGACAGTCGACGTCAGTGAACAACGTAGCAGATGTTCCAAAACTGTCTGCGATCCCCTCTGTAGCGGAGGAAGCGGTGTCCTACGCAAAGTGGAACAACGGCTGGCTAGCACATTATTGAACATCGCCACCTCTGATTCGAAACGCCACTTCTACCAATTTCGAGCTTCCACTTTCCGTTCCAACACCCTTTTCCTCACTCTCCACGTCCCCACTTTGGCTTCTTAATCCTGCGCGTTCAATGCATGCGCAACATCCCGCCTCGAGGACGTTTCGGAAGAGTTGTAAGGCAGCGGAAAGGAAGCCGACATCCTCGGCGAGATGGCCGAGCGGTCTAAGGCGCTGTGTTAAGGTGTTCCACTCCTCCTCATCATCTTGAGATGGAAGTTGCTCATCCGCAGTCTTCGGACGTGGGTTCGAATCCCACTCTCGTCATCAGGGGCTTCATTGCCTCCCCAACCAACCTTTTTAGGCATCTGAGGGACGAGGACGATTCGGAAAGTCAAGTTGGATCGTCAGCGGAGGTTTGGGAGTGTCGGACAAAGTGGCGCCCATTTCGAAGGGTCGTCGCGATTGTGTAACTTATTGGGGTCTGTTCTGCGACATATTCAAGCAGCTGGTATTGCATACACACGTTATCAAGGGTATATTCCAATCAAGTTTCTCTACTCCGCCCCCACGACCAAGTGTCTTGAAACGTTAGCGACTGAGTTGCCCAGGAGTTTGTCAACTCACCGGCACACGGTACTGGGGCGGCTCTCAAAATCAAGCAGTCACACTTTTAGTTACCAGTGCTAGATTGTCAGCTTTGTTTGACAAAGAGACCGCGATAACTCACGGGTCTGCTGCCCCAGTATGGCACTCGCTGGTGGCTACCACCCTGCACCGGAATGCTCCCGCATTCTGCCCGGCGGAGTCGACCCCGGTGACTGGTGCACTCATGTTGACGGTCTTGACGAACTCCTTATGATTCATTGCACAAAAGTTACCTTGTTGGTAGATGTCGATAGTTGCCCAAGCCATGTTTGCCGAGAAGAGAAGGGCTCCGCCGTCAATGTCAACCGTGCTGGCAATCGGTGCGAAATTACAGCCCGCGGCATCTGTTGAGGTGTGGCTCTGGCTCCATGTGTACCCAGGCTGAAACCAGCATTGGCGTTGATACCCTTGAGTGCCTCCCCAGCCACATCATCTGCGGAAGGACCCCCATCGATACCGATATTGAGGCTCTCCGAGGTGGTGATTTGGTTGCCCTTGGCGATGTTGCAGGTGCTCCCAATTCCGGCATCACACCAGATAGGGTCAATCACGCGCTGCCACGGCTGAGGTGCGGCTTGCCCAGTTGCAGTAACAGTCTGAGTGTAATGGAACAACGGCGGACAGTCTCGCTTCATATGAAGTGAGACTGGAAGAGGCTCAATTCCCATACGACGACGGTGGACATTGATCTCTGCGAGGCTGTACTCTCGCCCAACCTTGAGGCTACTGACTCCGCTGTCAGAGGACACGATACTGGTCGACCTGGTGGTAGAGCGAAACGGCTAGCAGCAGCAGTTGAGGTTACACCGCTGTAATACTAGTCGAGAGAACGTATTGTTGTAGACAGGAGATGATACAATGGCTAGATAACTACAAAGGATACAATGAGGACTACTATGTATAGCGTTCTCTAGCTCATGGATACGAATGGAACCTACATACGTTTGGTTCAAACCTACCTAGGTTCCGTTGGGACATACTCAGTCTGTCACACGACGGTGGAGCGACATGGTCCCAACGGTCAGTAAGGGACCAGAACACCGGACATCGACGATATCCACTCACCACCAAGCTTGCCAACCACTTACTGATAGCGGAAAAGCAATGACCCCATGACCTCAAGTGATACTTCGCTGCTGTGCGGCCACGAGTCAGCTAGTGAAAGTGCTGTAACGCTCTTGCGGCCACTGTCCAGTCAGTGCTTGTGCCTATGCACATCATTGACAGCCCGTAACATATCTGGTGTGTCCGAAAAAGGTACATCGATTCGCTTGATATGACCGCAGCATCAGGGAGTGTAATGAACAGTCTTGCTGACATGCTGACACTCGTCTTGATGTCACCAGTTGGTGTCTGTGACGGTCACATGGCACTCGCACTGCCACTTGGGTTGCTCAGTAGTCACACCTGTAGTCTGGTGCCTTGAGATGACACCTTGTGTTGCCTTCCCCCTTGTGCCAGCTGCCCAGGTCGCATGTTGAGGCGGGAGGTCAGCTAGTATTTAATAGACCATCTTTGGCTCCACACATCGGACCAGCCGCAGTAGATACAGTACCCACAACTCACCACAATGTCGGCCATATCCAGTTTCATTTCGGGGCCCACCACTGTGGCCCCAACCCAACCCGCCACCTCCGTCTCACCTACTGCAACATGGTCCTACGACCCGCCCACCAATTCGTCAAGTGGACAGTTCCCATCTGCGAGCTGGAACGGCACTATCCCTAGCAACCACACCGTCTGCGACACATCCTCCAACAACGTCACCGTCATATGCTGCGACTTGAACAATGGCACGATGCAGACGCACGACGGTTTCGTCATGTGTCTCTCCCCACTCACTCCTGGCCAGTGGGCCGCGTGCATGGTTGCTCATTTGGACAATCCTGCCATGGGCTATGATTGCCATAGTCCCAAAAATGACGCGGTGCGCCGCATTGGCAAAGTAGCTTTTCTCGGCCTCATCGCCAGTACGGCGATCTCGCTTCTGGCTGCCCTATGAAGTTTCCCAGTCCCTGCCGTTCGTCAAACACTGTCACGGGGTTGATGGAGCTGGAAAGCATCTTGGATGTATGTATGTTGCCGGTTACGCGGAGTGTCTGGTGCCTTCAATGTATCTCGATGGGCTCGGGTCAAGTCAGTGGCCAGTGAGTGTAGTGCTGCGGCAGTTCACCGTCTGTCGCGTTCTCCCCAAACCACCTGTATCGCCCGTGGTTGGCGGACAATCGCGTAGATAGCCCGTGCCCCAACACCTAAGACGGACCGCACCCCTGTGGGGATGTGGTCCGTTCTCGTCTTCCATTTGTTACGACATGCATGTTCACATGGCCGTAATGATGTCCGTTGCGCCGGACTATTTGTCTACTACCCTACCACTTTACGCTCCTAGAGGGAAGGAAACGCACTCTACTTGGCAAGGGCAGCCTGGAGGGCCTCGAAGACGTCAAGCTCAATCTTGGCCTCGGCCTTCTCGGCCTCGGGGGCGGACGAGGCAATGACCTTGTTGGCCTCGGCGAGGCCAGCACGGACAGCCTCAAGCGAGAACTGCTCAAGGGGGTAGGCCTCGACGGCGTTGATGGTGAGCGAGTTGTTGCCGTGGACAGTGGCGAAGCCGGTCGAGACTGCGAAGGGGTGTCAGAACAAGGTTGAAATGCAGTGCGATGGAGGAAAGAGTGTGCGGCTGCCACATTCCGCACGGCTGTCGGGCAACAGAAGTGTCACAACAAGATATCCCAGGCGCTTCGGCCAAATGTCAACGGCGAGAGTCGCAGTGCTCAGCACAGCTGGTCAAGGTTGAGGGTAATAACAACGAACCATTGTCTGTGCAATGATTTCCCGGACGTTTGTCTCTGCACCACAGCCGGAGTCTCGTCCGTTGAAGAGACTCTTGGCAGTCCTCCATGTCCACTTCTTCTACACTCACCGAACCACTTGTTGACCTTGCCACCCTCCTCGATGACCTCCACAACACCGGGGCGGAGAGCCTCGATCGAGGCAACGTGGTTGGCGAGGATACCCATGTCACCGGTCGAGGCGGGGATGTTGACCTGGGTGACACCCGAGGCCGAGTAGATGGCCTGCATTCGTTAGTCAAAATGTCCACTGAACACACACAGGACACGCAGGGACAGCACAGAGGCATAGAAGGTGCGCGCGGAGGCCAAAATCTCGGCGGTGACAATGGCAGAGAGTCTCGGGACGTCGCTGCCCCATCGTCCGAGATCGCGATTCAACGTTGGGGCGTGCGGCGTCGAGACCATCCCCCGGAATCGTTGGGCTCCTCCTCTTCTGGCCACGCGCATTCCTCTTCTTCTATGCCACCCTAATGCGTATCCCTGCGGCACACTTGTGTGTGTCCTATGTGTCGATAACCCACCTGGTGGGGGAGGACAAGCGAGAGCTTGAGCGCGCCGTCCGCGACGTCGGCGTAGGTCCTGCGCGCGACACGGGCGGCGGCGACCGAGCGGGTAGCGGCGCGGAAGGACGAGGTGAGGCGGAGGGCGGACATTTTCCTGCAAGAGCGTGAGCTGGAGTAGGGGATGGAGGGGTGCGTGGGGTTGCTGTGGACGCACGGAGATGAGTAGTGAGGGGTGGAGGAGGGTGGTCTCTGACAAGCTGCTAACCTCGAAGACGCTGCAGCACCCGCCAGCGCCCGCCTGCCAGCCAGCGAGCAGCCAGCCAGCCAGCGAGCGAGACCGCAGGGGTGCATACAGCCAAGGGCCCGACAGCCTGCGTCTTCCGAAATCCCGCGGCGAAAACGCGTGGCATCCCGGAGGGAATCGGTATCACTGACGAGGGGGATCTGCAATGACGTGTAAAAGAGGCAACTGTCGCTCGTTCAGGCACGGATTCTCGCGTGGCGAACTCTGAGATTTTGGATTGTGCATTTGCCGCTGAGTGCTGGGCTCATCGATCTCAGCAACACCCACACCCACAACCATGGCCCGCGGCTCAGCTTCAAAAGCCAAGGTCTTCACCGCGTCCTCGCAGGCCGGCTCCGGCAAGAAGCGCCGTTCCGGTGGCGGCGGCGCCAAGAAGGGCGGCGACAACCCCGACCCGTCCGAGGCCTACACCTTCATCCCAGCTCTGCCAAAGCGTCACCGGACCAGCGAGCACCAGCTGTCGCTCTCCCGCGAGGAGAGGGACGAGGGACCCAGACGTCCCAAGCAGGCCGACTCGGATGACGAGGCCATGGAGGCGCGCATCCGCAAAGTCGCCATGATGATTGCTGGCGACGACGGCGGCGAAGTGGAGGACGACGACGACGAGGACGTCGACTCGGATATTGCATGGGAGTCGGATGGCAGTGACGAGGAGCGCTGGGGAGAGGTCTTTCGTGATCTCAAGAAGGGCAAGGGTACCAAGGGCAGGGAGGTTGTCAAGAAGGTGGGTGCCCGGAAACGTTACGAGTCTGACCCATTTAGCCGTCCAAGCCCATTACCGTCAATCTTGACGAGACCGACGACGAGGAGAGCGACCCCGAGGTTGAGCGCAGCCCCAAGACTGCGTTCAAGTCGGCCTTCCCCGAGGAGGAGGAAGAAGACGATGATGAGGACGAGGACGAGGAAGACGACGAGGACGACGAGATGGACGACGACGATGAGGACTCTGAGGCGTTTGACGAGGACCCCGAGCTCCCGTCTGACCTCTCCGACGAGGACGACTCTGATGACGAGATGGACGGTTTGGACGCCTTTGCCGACTCGCTTGCGACCGCCGATCAGAAGAAGCGCAAGGCCGACTCGAACGACGACGAGGACAAGGGCAAGAAGCGACGAGTGCTGCCCGTCATGTCTGCCCCCGGTCTCGGTGACGGTGGCGACCTGGCATTGAAGAGCAAGACCAAGGTCGACCTTGCCTCTCTTATTGCCTCGGCACCTACCCTCGCCGGTGCCTCGTCTCTTCTCCCTACCAAGACGGAGAAGAAGTCGACTTCCGTGCTCAAGGGCGGTGTCCTCGCTGCCCCTCTCCCGACCGTTGTCCAGGAGCGTCTGGAGCGTGAGGCCGCGTACGAGAAGACCAAGGAGGAGGGTCAAAAGTGGTCTGGTGTCATGAAGCGCGTCAAGGAGGCTGAGCACCTGAGCTTCCCTCTGCAGGCCTCGGAGCGCGGTGGTGTCAAGGGTGCCGGCGAGGTTCTCGCCACCTTCAAGCCAGGAAACGAGCACGAGTCGGCCGTCCAGGCCCTCCTCTCCAAGGCCAACCTGACCGACGCCGGCGTCACTGCCGCCGAGGACAAGGCTCTGCAGGGCCAGGACCTTTCCATCGAGGAGATTGCCGCACGCCGTGCCGAGCTCCGTCACCAGCGTGAGCTCATGTTCCGTGCCGAGTCGCGTGCCAAGCGTGTCTCCAAGATCAAGAGCAAGACGTTCCGCAAGCTGGCGCGTAAGCGCGAGGCCCGTGCTCTCGACAAGAACGGCGAGCCGGAGATCAGCCTCGAGGACCTGGAACGCCTCGACCCCGAGGCCGCTGCTGAGGAGCGCGAGCGTCTGGAGCGTGACCGTGTGCGCGAGCGCGCCACCCTCCGTCACGGTGCTCGTACCGGCCGCTGGGCGGCTAACATTGGTGCCGACGCCGACGACGACGCACGCATGGCCAAGCTCGAGATGCTTGAGATGAAGGAGCGTCTGCAGCGCAAGATTCATGCCGCCGGCAGCGACAACGACAGCGAGGCTAGCGAGGAGAGCGGATCGGATGACGACGAGGACGCAATCAAGACGCGCGCGTTCAACCAGCTCGCGGCTCTTGACGCCAAGACCGCCGAGCTTCCTGCTGGCGGCAAGGGTCTCGCCAACATGGCCTTCATGCGCAAGGCGGCCGAGCGTGACCTTAAGAAGGTCAAGGAGGCCGAGGCAGCTCTTCGCGACGAGCTCAACGAGTTTGATGGCAGTGGAGACGAGTCGGGCGACGAGGTCCACGTGATGAAGGTTGGCGAGGGTCGTATGGTCTTCTCCGGTCCTACTCCCGGACCTGGTGCCGCTCCCGGCCCCGCTTCCACCACCTTTGGCGCCCAGGCCAAGGCCCAGTCTCCTACCCGCTCCCCTTCCCCCGCTCCTGCCCCTCAGCTCTTTGGCGCCAACCCGTGGCTTGACGAGTCAGCCTCTTCGGGCCCTTCGCGGAAACGCAACCTCGTCTCGACCTCGGCCGAGTCCAAGGCCGTCCGCGCGATCAAGAAGGCCGGCAAGGACAAGGCCGCCGCTGCCGACGACGAGGTTGTCGAGATCAGCCTCGACGTGTCTGCCAAGAAGGCACCCACCAAGGCCAACGGTGCGCCTGTCAAGTCGATTCTCAAGAAGAAGACTGCCACTCCCGCCGCCAAGGCCGCCGCGCACGACAGCGACAGCGACGGCAATGTCGACGAGGACCTGCTCCCCGTCTCGGGCGTCAAGGCATTCACGCAGCGCGAGCTTGTTGCCGAGGCGTTCGCTGGAGACAATGTGGTTGAGGACTTTGACGCCGAGAAGCGCCGTGCCATCGAGGCCGACGCCCCGACCGTCGAGGACACGACCCTTATTGGCTGGGGATCGTGGGGTGGCAAGGGTGTCAAGAAGAACAAGCGCAAGCCCAACCCCAAGTACCTCAAGACTGCGCCCGGTATCGCTCCCGAGGAGCGCAAGGACGCCGGCCGCGCCAACGTCATCATCACAGAAAAGAAGGACCGCAAGGCAGCAGCGTTCTTGCCCAAGGACTTGCCGTACCCGTACACTTCGGTGGCGCAGTACGAGGCCAGCTTTGCCAACCCCATTGGATCCGAGTTCAACTCGCGTGCCGGATTCCAGCGCGAGACTCTGCCGCGCGTCACAAAGAAGCCCGGAGCCATCATCGAGCCTATCCGCAAGCTCTTCTAAGCATAGAGACAGACAAGAGGGGGCGTGGTCTTGCGATGGGATGTACAGTAGCGCATTATTTCATGGCATTCGTGTGTTTTCATTTGAAACGAAAGGCGGTTGCGGTTGCATTTTCGGTATGCTGGTTTTCGCTCGTGGCACTTACACAAACTCACTGTTTTCTGGTCCATCTTCACCAGCAATGCCTGCTACGCTCCCAAAACGTCCAAAAACAATTCCTGGGATGCATAGAACCCAAAAATGATACGAGCTATGCTCGTACAAGCCTAGTATGGGGCTCGAACCCATGACATTTTGATGTCTTAAATAATAAGAGTCAAACTATCTACCGACTGATATAACCAGGCTTGATGTTTTGTGGCTGCCTCGTTTGGTTAGTAGACGAGCCAGTCGAGGATCACGTGATCCTTCTTCTGTTGATTGCCCGTCCTTCTGTTGATTGCTCGTCCTTATCTTGATTGCGCTTCTCACTCGTGTTTGCAGACTGCCCGTTGGCTTTGGCGCATTTCTGCACCCCTTGTGCAGCTATTCGACTGGCCACCCCGAGGTTAACGAGTCTCCTTTTGGTGCAGGAGCCATCCTTCGCCGGTCTGTTCCTCTGGCCGCCCCAAAGCCACGCCCGCCACGGCTGTCAAACAAGCGAAGGGTGCAAGATGATGCAGAGTTGTACAGTATGTGCTATATGATTGATTGTATCTACCAGTGCCCTCCTCTCGTCTACTTGTGCGACATCATCTGTGGGTGGAAGTACATGTCCTTGGGCGGCGTCCAGTCCTTGTCCCAGCTTCGGCTGTGACCCAGTCCCTCGTCGTCGGTCAAGTGCGCATACTCTACGTCCTCCTTGAGTGCGGCCAAGAGGTCGAGGGGGATATCAGGCGGGGTAAAAGAGACTTTGGTAGACTCAGAAATGTCAGAAATGTCGGCAGTTTGGACTGTCGCCTTGGGCGTGCGAGGCTTGGTAGCCTTTTTGGCCTTTGGTGGCGGCTGGTCGGGGAGGGGAGGCTGGCTGTCGAGCCACATCTTGGCGTTACGCGCCGATGTGCCTGCCTGAGCAACGAGGTAGCGCTTGTGGGCAGGGGAAGCGAGGTCGTCAAATATGCGCACGGGCGGGCCGGGGTCTGCCACACGGGGGAGTGGGTTGGGGAGCACGTCGGTGCCCAGCGATCCGCCAGTGATCTTGAGAACTTGGTCAATGTCGAGACTCTCTCCTGGAGAGAGAGCGGTCGGGTGCGACGGTGTCACGCACGTCATGTCCGTCTCCTTGCGGAGGACGTGGTCTACGTCCACAGCCGAGAAGAAGGCAATGCCCTGTGGCATGTCGTCCAGACCAAGGTTGTAGCAGAAGAGGGCACGAGTCCACGCGTTGGCGACCTGGAGGGCGAGCGCACATCGGTACTTGTCTTCCTCGACAGCGAGGGTAGCGCACTTCATCGTGTACTGAGATGAGGTAGCGCGCCTTGATGTCGTACTTGGCTGTAAGGTACTCCATCGCAGAGATGAGAAGGTGGAGGTAGTCGACACCCGACGACTGGACGACCCAGTTGATGCGCGAGGGCAGGTAGCTGTGACCTGCGTCCAGGAACGACTTGCGCAAAGCACGAGTCACGCCGCAACCAAGAGCCGGGGTCGTGGGGCGGTCCATGAGGGCAATGGATTCAAGCGTGTTGAAGAGGTAAGACTCGGAGCCACCATGCCAAATGTATCCGGCAGCGGCGACACCCTTGTTCTTGGAGCGGAAACGTCTTGTGGCCCTTGGTACGTTTGTACAGGTTGGTGGACAGCTGGTCGGCAGCCTCAGTGGTGAGGTTGCCGTCACCCTGGAGCAAAAGCTGGATGGCGTGGGGCTTGCCTGCACCATAAATACGCGAATAGTTGAACACCTTGGCCGCGTCACGCGAAATGGACAGAATGCTGGCAGTCTTGGAGTGCAGGTCCGTACCCGCCGACTTGGTGCCTTCAAGAGTCATCCACCCAATAGCCGTGGCGCCGTGGAGGCCAAACTGAGAGTCGCCCATGACACTCGAGATCCACAGCTCCTCCGAATCGACGTCGGCACCGACGATGGAGTAACCCTTGGGCGCGCGAACCATCGACTTGAGCTCGGAACCAACACGGTTCTTCTTGGCGTTTGATGCGGTAAGCCAGGTGGCCTCCACAGCACGCCGGGTGACGGTGCCCATCGTAATGACCTGGGGAAGGATCATACCCTGCTCGGCGCCATCCTTGAACACGACAAACTGGCCCATGATGCGCTCACGCGCAGAAATCCAGTACGAGCACAGGGCGTTCATGTTGGTCGCCGTCTTGGCCGCGCCGGCAAGCTGCTGATCCGGGTCATCGGCAAGGGCGCTTGAGAGCTCTCCCGACTCCATGGGTTTGAGGAACGCTTTCGATAGCGGGTTGCCGACATTGTTTCCCTCGCCATCCTTGTGCGGAAGGCGGAAGTATGCGTACTCTGTGTCCTCGGCAATCCGTTCGTCGCCAGCCACGGGCTTGAAGTGGACAGCCTTGACCTCGGCAAGGGACGAGTTGGTATCCTTGGAGACTTCCTCCTTGGGCACACGGTAGATCCACTTGTGCTCCTTGCTATATGCCAGAGGGTATCCCTGCCACTTCATGCGCAAAAGGAGGGGAGCAAGGGTCTTGCGCATTGTCAAGTCCAGCTCACCAAACTTTTGCTTCTTGCTCGTCGGGGATGCAGTGAGGTCCCAGAACCACTTTGGCCAAGTGCCATGAACAGCTTCCTTTTTGCGGGAGGCCGCGGTAGACTTCTTCGCGTCGCCAGTTGAAGTGGTCCAGTCCAACTGAGCACTCCAGCTGTCCTGGGATCCAGCCTTCCTGGTCTCCTCGGCAAGGGCAACGAGCTCGTCCTCGACATCCTTGATACCCTTGGTGAGCTTCTGGAGAAGCTCGGGATAAGGGCTCGTGAGGACACCCTTCTTAACGTCCTTGGCAATGGTGGCGCCAGTGAGCTTGGTGCGCTTGCTGGCTCCCATCAGGGAGCAGCGGAAGAATGCAAATTGCTCAGCCAATGGCTCCAGGGCGATTTCCCCAGGTCCAAGCTCGATAGGGGCGCCGTGGAGGTCGATGAAGTCGGGCATCGTGTCCCAAGGGACAGAGAAACACCAGCCATGTCCCTTGATCTGATACACGGGATAACCGTGACACGAAATCTTGAGGAGTAATGGGACAATGTCTCGCTGGAACTTGGCCTCCAAGACTGTGTCACGCTTGGCCGCAATAGGCTCGTACCATTGTGGTAACGTCGGCACAGTGCTGGCAGACGGAACTGGTTCAAGAGTAGACTCGGCGGCTTCAGTGGAAGCACCGGCGGGGTCCTCTCCAAAGCCGTCTGGCCATCGAGCATTCTTGGGCGACCAGTCAAGCTGCCTGGTCCAGGGGTCTTGGTCGTTTTGGCCTTCCCTCTTCAACCTATCGGCAAGGGTGCGGAGGGCCACGCGGACGTCCTCACGCAGGTCCTGGTACATGGATTCGGCAGCCTCCAGGTACTTGCCCCAGCTGTGGTCGACGGGCAGGAAGCTGTTACCCATGGAGAGGACACCTGCAAACGACGCAGGGTGTGGGCAGCTGGTAAGATAGAGCGGGAAGACGACCTTGTACACGTCGTGTGTGACCTTGACGTCGTTGGCGCAGTACTTTAGCAAGTCCTGGAGGTCGGGCCGCAGTTGAGACGCATGCTTGACCTTCTCGTCACCAAATGTGTCTCGGATACTCTTGTCCACCTCAATTCCACAGTGGAGTTTGGCCACGTCGGCAAGAGAGTTTACGCTGGTCGTCTCCTCCCAGGTCTGTACTTCGACTTGAGGATCACTTTCGTTGATGTTTGCTTTCCACTCTCGCAAGCTTTCTGATAAAAGCGCATCACCACTGCTGGCCGCCTCCTGTTGCAGCATGTCCATGGTGTCCAAGTCGTTCTTGATCTTGTCACGTTTGTTGTTCCGATGCTTGATCCAGGTCGGGCGCTGAACAGACGTGATGCCACGAGTGGCTACGTGAAGGGAGAGCGTATCAAGCCATCTGGTCGGTGTGCGGTCCAGAGAATACTCTTCCGCGACGCGCTGACGATCATAGCCAACGTTGTGACCGATAGCAATGGACGGGAGCTTGCTGTCGCCAAACAGCGGAACAAGAGTGCGGGCATGGTGCTCGTTCAAAGTCTTATCCCATTGAGGGCGCGGCTCTGCCTCCTCCGTCGGTGCCTCCTCAAAGATGTTTGGGCTCAACCAAGAGTACCAGGCGTTGGGACTGGCCGCGGTGGCCATAACGGGGTAAGGGGAGAGCTTATACAGCGTCTCCACGTCGAAGCACACCAGAGTCTCGCCACTCAGGTTGTCCACGGGCGTCACGCTGCCGTCTAGTCCATAGCGCACCCAACCTGGTCTGTCAACCGACCACTTCTCAGGTACAGGCGGAAGGTCTGCGTCGGCAAACTCCTTGGCCATGGAGCGGTATGGCTCGGCCGTGTGTGCTCCCACGGCATGAAAGTGCTCGCGAATGTTGTTTCCTTCCAGTGGTGGCAAATCAAACGAAATTTCAGGCAGCACGGCGGCTCCGACCGGAGACAGGCCATTGTCGGCGAGGTGACTCTTGGAAACGCTCAATAGGGCTGATGGTGCTGCAGGGAGTCGCTTGCCAGGGAAGATCTGTTCGTGCATGCGCTTGGAGAGCAGTTGCACACCGACCGGGTTGCGACGAAGTCCTGTCGCTGATGTTAGCTTGACGTCGGAGATCTATATCGCGAAGCTCACCTTGCTCGGTGACGATTTCCTGGGAAGAAGATTGCTCAACAAAGTCGTCAAACAACGCTGTCGAGAGCCCTTTCCTTCCCCTTGAGAGTCGGTAGTCGTCGGACAGCCTTGGAAGATCCCGGGACTGGCTGGCGGGGCTTGTCCAGTGGCGAGGAAGGTCCCTTCTCTGGAGCAAACGACGACGCAGCTGCCAAGATAGTCTCATCCTGGACCTTCTTGGATTTCGTAGTTTCGATGGCGGCGTTCATCTTCTTCAGCGCCATGTACTTGAACAAGGAAGGCAGCTTGGACGTGCGCATCTCACGAGCTGGCCACGGCGTCAGTGTCGCGCCACTCGCGACAATCAACAAATTCAAGGCTACTCACCGATGGCTTCCTTGTCATTGCCGCTGCCAGAATCTGCAAGCATCATGGCCTGCTCATAGTCTGACTTCTCAGACTTGCGATGCAAGTTCTCGGGGACGCCGAGGTCGCGCTTTGGTGTCACTGTTCGTGCCGTAATTGCGGATGGCGTGAAGGTGCGATGGTGAGGGAGCTGTGATGGAGGCAAGAGCGCCAATGTTGGCCGGCACCGTATCCTCGCTGGCCGGGTGAGGCGAGCGACCTGGAACAGGCTCGATGGCATTGTACGTGCCGCCTGTTGAAATATGGGTGGCAAGGACGAGAGCTGGATGAATGGAGCAGATGAATGGATGGTGGACTCAGAACATAATATTGGACCAGCCGGTCCAGTCACCTGGGGGGTCACTTGCTGCCAGAGTGACGGAAGCAAAATTAGTCAACAGCAATCGGTGGAGGTGCGAAGTCCAACACAATGACGACGGGCGGTGCCGGCAAAGGTCAACACACGCTGCTTCTCGGCGCAACATCGCTCTTCATCCATCTCCAACGCGCTCGCATCGCGCATTTCTACCGCCATGGGTATCTTCTCGTGGTTTTCAAAGGTTTGTTCTGCCGCTAGCTACAGGATCAATCCATGGCTGACAGAAAACAGCCCGGGCCGGCCGACTATGAAGGTGTCCTCGTGCGCCTCGCCACTGAAATCAATGAGGCCAAGCGGCATCTGTCCGAGGTGCGCCTGCGCGAGCGCCGCTTCTCCCTCTTTCTCAACGCATACGGTGTTGGCCTTTGGGCCATCTGGGTCGGATTGTGGTGGTTCCACAGCATCCCTTGGTCGCTTATCGGCTGGACCGAGGCGACCACGCAGGCTCGACTTGTTGGTGTGGCCGGAGTGATTGCCGGACCCATCGTGTAGGTAGAAGGATTGGAGTGATGGTGGGAGCACAGCAACTAATGACCACAGAATCTGGATTCTTAACCGCACTCTCTGGCTGATCTTCCGTCGTATCCGCACAAACGAGGGTACGTTTGTTGTGTTGACATTACGCGAGTCCTGACTGGCCAGAAACCCACCTTCGCATGCTACTTGTGAAGCAGCGCAAGCAGGTCGAAGAGATCAAGAAGATTACCAACTTTGACACGACCCGCAAGCTGCTCGAGCAGTATGATGCCGAGTTTCCCCCCAGCGTGAGCTATGAAGTTCAGGTCCAGCTAACGCAGCAGACCCCGCAACGCGGCCCCATCCAACCTTCAACTCCGTCTCCTGGCCACCAGGCGACTCCCAACTCTCCTTCTCCCGATGGCAAGCAGCGTAGCGCGCCCAACTCGCCTACTACGCCCGACGCTCCCAACGCACCCTCCATCCAGGTCCAACAAGGACCTCTTGGCACACCTCGCGCCCCCGGTCACCTCATTGGTGCGGGCGGCACCCCTGCTCAAGGCCGTGAGTTTCCTTGATCAGACGGCAACTGACCCAAAAGAGAGGACACCAGTCCCCGTCCCCCCTGGTATGACTCCAGAGCAAGCTGCCCTTTTCCAGATGCAGCTCCAGGCTATCCAACCTGTTCTCCCGACACCAGACAAGAAGTGGTATGACCGTCTCGCCGACTCGATTCTGGGAGACGACCCTTGTGAGTTCGCTTGTCCTCACAGTTTGGAATATATCTGGCCACGTACTGACATGTAATCCAGCTGAGCCTGCGCGTAGCAAGTACGCCCTCGTCTGTGCCGAGTGTTTCCGACACAACGGCCTCATCGGCAGCCAGTACGAGTGGGAGCGTCTGCGTGAGTCCCGCGTGAGTCTTGGCCCTTGCTGACCTCGCAGAATGGATCTGCCCAAGGTGTAACCACCTCAATCCCCCACCCCTCTCACGCATGCAAGAGGTCGCCAACGAGTCTTCCTCCTCGGCTCGTGAGGAATTCCCCACCCTCCCGGAAACCCCTTCCAAACCCGCCAAGCTGCCCGCTGCGGCACCCACCACCCCGGTCCAGAGGCCAGCAGCTCACTCCCACCACCTTCGCGCATCCCCTCGTCCCCGTCGCCAACTCGGCGAAAAGCTCACACCGCGCTCTTCCAGGCTCAGCACTGAAGTGTTCTCTGCCGCTGATGAGAGTGATGAGTCGGGCGAGGAGGACTTCCAAGAGACCGAGGCGATGGAGGTGGACAATTAGGGTGTGGGCCGTGAGACTATGGCTTCCTGGCTGTGAGGGGTGGATGCATCTCGTTTCTGGAAAGTGATGGGCGTGCGTAACCAACTGATCGACTAATGTCCATGCGGAAAATTCAAGAAACGGCCATATTAACCCACGTGCGGTACCTTCACCAACACGAACACCCACCCCCTCCCTCCTATCGATAACCCTCCCAGTGCGCACTGCCTCCCAAGCGAGCCCGACCGATATCCGCTTCAGCCCAAGCCTGCTTATCAACCGTCGTCAATCCTCCTCGCTTCTCGGCTGTCCGGGGGGGGGGGGGGGGCGTGTGCGACGTGCCGGTGTCGCGCACGGACAAGCGTGTGATTGCGCACCTCTCCCACCTCCGATCCTCCGAGGCGGCGCACCTCTCCTTCCTGGCACGGCAATTGACGGGGGAGGGGGAGGGGAGGGAGGGGCAAGTGGACGCAGTGCATTATGGAAGTGAGGTACACGCCGCTGCCGGCCCGCGGGGCGGACGAAAAGGTGCGGGAAGTGGGGGGATGGTCCACATGTCAGTCGCCACACTGCTCACACGACCACCTCCGTGAGCTGTTACTGGTCGTACGGAGAATGGTTGACCTGAAAGGCTTGGAATGGGGGCTTAGTCTAAGAGGTGAAAACTCGGTGGTGGCTGTGGGTGGCACGGGCAGAGTATGGCGCGGGTTTCGGACCGTTAGACATAAATAACGCGCACGAGTTGCGTGAGGCTCTCTTCTCGTCTGTCCACACCCATCCATCCGTCTGTCACTTGCTACACCTCACTCACTCACCTTCGATCGAGATGGGGGGTTTTTTTTTCCTTCTTCTTTCACCCTCGTTTACGTGACTCGTTCACACAAGGACCAGCTTCGCCAATACGTACCAACTGAAGTGCCAGATGCCGCCATTGGTTGTGCGCACCCTCCAGCGTTGTTGAGCAGTGGCATCAACCTCGGCCGATGGCCTGCCAGGTCTCTCATGGTGCGAAACACAGCGCAGCCGGGTTTGCCCCCCCAACGCTCAAAGTATGGCTCCTTGGGCTCTCCCAAGACCTCTCTCCGAGACCCCCCATCCGACGGCCAGTACAGCCCTCCCGGAACTGTATACCGGGTTGATAGTAAAGAAGGTGGCACCCCAACATGGCCTGTCAACTGCGTGTGCCGCAGCCTATTTTTGTGGCTGTTTCCCAGGCCCGGTCTGGCAAGGACGTCTTACGAAACAGGGAAGGACGGCAGAGCCGCCATCACGCCGTTAGCCGATGTTGAGCAGTAGTCTGCAGCACGAGCACATGGGGCATTGCTGTATGGCACATGGGCCTGTTGCTGCGTGCCTCATGTGAGCGGGTGAGTTTGGTGCGAGAAGATTGCGCTCAACACTCGCACGCCAGGGATGGCTCAGCGGCTGCGGCACTCAGTTCCAGCCGTTCCATCGCTACGAGAGCGTAGCTTGCCGCCATGTTGGTGCTTCTTCGGCTCGGAACTGATGGACTGGCGGACATTGTGAAGCCACTCTGTTGCGCCGACTCGCATGGACGCATGGCGGACAATGCCGACCCGTCTCGGCCCTATCCCGCTCAGCCAATACGCTGCCGGACATGGACGGCATGATGGCATTCCGCTGCCCTCATTTATCCGCCAAGCCCTTACTCTGCAACAGATCCTGGGACCTGGCCCAGGATAGTCTGCTGGACTCGGCGACCAACCATACTGATAGCTTCAGACATGTGTGTTCACGAGCCGACATGAGAGGCGTCGACTGGCTGGAGAGCCGGAGCTTTCGGTGGAAAAATGGTGGAAAAAAAAAAGTTTGACACAATTTTTCTGTTTTTGATGGCTCTTCCGCTAGCAGTCATATTCAGGTTTTGCTGTGGTGGCTGCCATGTGTGATCCATAGCAAGGACACGGCAGCGCTGCTCGTGTGCACCGCTACTGCTGGTCGTGTGCAGTGATCGTCCCTCGCTGCGCGTCGCCCAGACAGCATTGATAGCAGGTTATGCTCAGACAGGTTCCATTAATGCTCAGGCAGGTTCCATCCCATGCCCACGGCCCACGGCGAGGCTGGTGCGGCTAGGAATAACTCTGGCCAGGCTTCCACCGCTCGTGTACGCGGAGGGGCCGAATGTTGCCCCGGGTACCCGGGTTTGGAGGCAGAAGCCTGGTGGTGTCATGTCCGAAAGGGACCCGGACGGGGGGAGTTCCACTGCCAGGGCCTGTGGCGCTGGCACAGTGTAGTGTAAGCCACTGTTGGTCAAGGTAAGCGGGGGGGGGGGGCATGGAAGACCTTGTTCCTTGTTGCTCAAGAGCAGAAGGGTTTTGCTCGTTCAGACGCGTTCGTGTTCGGGCGAAAGGGGAGAAGGCGGGGGGAGGGCCGAGAGAGACCTCCAGGCAGGCCAGGCTGCCGTGCTTTGACGGGCCGCCCGAACCCTCTCTCACCCCCATCGGAGCCCGTCGCTGGCTGGATGACTAGCCTGGAATGCAAAAAGGACGTTGTCACCTGTGCGCCGCATGCGCCGCATTGGCTGACATGCGCGCGGGTTGCGGTAAACATGAGACGAATTCCTAATCATGGAGGGCATGGCGTGACGTTGTGCCGGTTATTCAAATTTGATTCCGCTAATGGGCCGGTTCTGATCTCTCTCCTCTTTTCCTGCGGCGGAGGAACGGACGGCGCGCCCGCTCTGGTCGTTCTCCTCGATGGCTGATGGGCCTGCCGCGAGGATCTTGTTCTCTGCCATCTCTGCCCACAGTCTGTCGCTTCACAACCCATCTCTCTCTCTTACTCGGCTCTCACATTCCTCTCTCTTCCATTCCCATTCCCATTCCCACATCGACCGTATCCGGTCCACTCAACCCGAACAGTCCATCTCCACGCAGACTGGTGATACGCAACTCTGGTATACACTGCCTTGGTACCACCACCCTCAAACTTGGTTCCGCCTTACTCCCATCCCAGAACCTGAGAGCCACACCGAGCCCATCCGCCGCCGCCGCCTCTCCGTCAGCACCAACCCGACGACAACGCGCTCTCGATTAGCTGTCGCTGTTGACTCGCTCAGCTTCCCACACCGCGTTTCCATCCAACCACTCCGCCATCCTCGGTCGCCACCACGTCTCGGATCCACTCCGTCTCTCACCGGCTTTCAGCAGCGCGCTCGTCAGCTGCGCGCCCCTTTGTGCAGGGTAAATAGCGTCCCCCCCCCCACCGAGACCCGCACGGCCTGTGTCCTTTGCCCCACACGACATGGAAGCGACTGCTCCGGCTGTCCTGTCCCCGAACTCGTATTACTCATCCCTCGACTTCTTCTCCCTCGCCGGTCTTGACGGGCATACACCCAACCAGGACCTCGACTCGCCCGTAGGTCTAGGTGGCGAGGCGCTCGACCCCGGCCCATCCCATCCGCAACGTGCGTCGAGCGACAACGCTTCGCCCGACGCCCCACTCGACGATCCATCGCCCATCGCGCTCGACATTTCCCGTAGCTCCAGTGCTGCAGGGCACAGTAGACCTGCAGTGCCACAGCACAAGACGTCTCGTTCGTCTCTGGCATCCTCTGGCCATAACCACCAACAACAGTACAACCCTCACCACCACTTTGGCGCGGCTAGCTCGATGGATGTCGACCAGCAGAACAACAGTGGCCAGGTGTCGGGATCTGGCCACAACACACCCGCTCTCGGCGCGTCCCACATGGTGAACATGGACCTGGCGGGTGCGGCATACGATGCTCTCCAGGCAGGCCTGCTTCAAAGCCAGGTAGGTTGTTCACAGCTCACGATTCCACAACCGCACACACGTCCCTCCTGTCCCCTCTTGAGCGGACGTTGCATGTTCCGCTGCGCTCGGACCTTGTAGTTTGCTGACGCGCCACCCAGCTCGAGTCTATCCACATGCAGTCGCCATTTATGGGAGCCACCAACCCAACTTCGCCCTACGGCACCATGGCACAAATGTTCCTCACCTCACCGCCTGAGAACTCGGCCTCGACCTCTTTGCCCGACTCGCACAGTCAGTTTGACCGCCCTGCTTTCCAGCGCAAGTACAGCTCATCAAACGGTCTCCCTGGCGTTCTCACTCCGGGTGAGCTCACACCCCCTCCCCTCTCCCCCGCGCACACTGGCCGGCAGAATATTTACTGACGCTTGTAGGCCCAAGTGGCGAGATGATGCCTGACAACCGCATGGACCTCATGAGCCCCATGCAGCTCGAGATGCTCGCTCGCGGTGAGATGATTGAGGGGATGGAAAACGTGCGTAACAAACAACAGAAGGCCGCTGCACAGGGCTGACCCTCATCCGCAGTTCAACCCCGTCCCGTTGCTGTCCCCTGCCCTTTCGCAAAGTGCATCGTCGTACACGTCTCCCGTCGCGCATGTCGCTTTCAACAGCGCCAGGGATGCAGCAAGCGCCAACCAGCACGCCCTTGAACAGCTGCAAGTGCAGCAACTCCAGTTCCAGGAGCAGCTTGCTCTTTTGCAAGAGCAGCAGCGTCAGCTGCAGGCCACCGCGGCTGCCGTCGCCGCGGCAAGTGGTTCTCCATTCTTGGGCGCCCAGCAGTCGTCACAGCAACAGTCCCGACAGGCCGTGACGCCTGGTGTCTCTGGCGCTCACTCGGGTGGCTCAATAAGCACACCTTCACCCGGCTCGTACTTCAGCCCCCTGACGTCGCCCGCCCTCGAGCCTGCGGTTAGCAGGTCTGCGGCCCTCCGTGCGGCCGCTGCCCACGCCCACGCCCACGCCCACCTGTCGCCCGCCCTCCACAGTCAGCAGATCCAGCGCCAGCCTCATCCACTTTCGGCCTTGTCGTCACCGGCTCTCAACCCCGTCGGCTCCTCGGGAGGAGCTCAACAGACTCTGTCGCCGGCCCTCGCGCCTCAGAACAGCAACGACTTTGGAGACCCAGACTATCTCAATGCTCTCCAAGGAATTCTGGACGGCTCGTCGGACGCCAACAATGGGTTCCAAGGTTCACCAGTTATTGGACCCAGCGGTGCGCCCCTCTCCTCGCCTCACCTTACCGCCAGCGGTACAGGTCCCCACCGGTCCCTGCCGGCCAAGTCGCGCCCTTCGCCCATGATGAAGCCGACCCACCACCGCTCTCACGTCAGACAGCCCTCGACCTCTGTGCCAACGTCTCCCATGGCCTTCAAGGTGCCCCAGCAGGCTGGTAACGGCATGGGATATCTGCCTCCAGCTGCCATCGACCAGCGTGGTGTTCAGCAGCAGCAACAACAGGCCCAGCAGGGATCGCACAGCACCTCGTCAACGCCCTCTCCTGTCGATCTCACCCATATTATGCCACCACCACCAGTGCCCAGTTCGAACGCGAGGCCCAAGAGCCTCATGCCTATGACTCCCGCGACTCTCATGAACCTCGGCAAGCACGAGGGACCTGCAGTCATACCCGAGCACCAACAGGAGTCCCGTCGGCAGGCCGATGCGCCCCCACCGCGTGCTGCAGCCAAAAAGGCCACCACGGCCATTGCACCCGCGTCCCAGCCCGCTCCCAAGCGTGGCAGCAGGCTAGTCCCCTCTGGCGGTGCGGCTGCGACAAAGCGCGCCCTGGCTATCCGTCCTCCAGGCGGTGTGGGTGTCCGCGCTGCCACCAAGGGCGCAGCAGCCGCTGCGGCCGCTGCTGCAGCCACCACCGAGCCCGAGACTCGCCGCACCTCGCACAAGGCTGCAGAGCAGAAGCGCCGCGACAGCTTGAAGGCAGGCTTTGACGAGCTGCGCTTGTTGTTGCCAGCTATCAACACTGAGGCGTTGGATCCAGAATCCGGCGAGCCCATCCCTGGCTCGTCTGCTCCCCGCTTGTTACCCAAATCCTCCCTTGTTCCCGACGACAACCCCAACCGCGGCGTGTCCAAGGTCGCCCTCCTCAAGTTCTCCAACGAGTACATTGTCCGTCTCCACTCCAAAGTCGAGAAGCGCGACGCATACGTTGACAAGCTGCGCGACGAGATCCGTCGTCTGCGCGGTCTTGGCGAGCCGGAATTTGCCGACGACGAGATCCGCGGCGACGAGGGCGAGGACCTGCTGGACATGGACATGCTCGAAGGCGAAGAAGACGACCTGGGATCCGACGAAGAGGACGAGGATGAGGACGACATGGACGTGGACGAGGGCCGGGAAGTGGCTGCTGCCTCAGTGGCCACTTCGAGCCGTAAGGGATCTGCAAGTAGCAAGGTCGGCAAGAGCCCAGCTTTGGGACCAACAAAACGCCCTGCACCCCGGAGCGCGGCTGGCAAACGCCGGGGAGAGTGAATAACCAACCACCTCTTCAATCATTATAAAAATATATCACTCTAGATGAGGGGAACGGAGGAAGGGTGGGGAGGCTCGTGTCGACGGAGGAGGGGCGAATACAAGGCGTGAGGCCCAAAGAGGTTTAGAGTTCCGCCGAGGAATAGAACTGTAGTAGCTAGACAATATGGATATTGCGGTGTACATTTTAGCTACAGGCTCCACCCGCATATGGCAGCGGGACGTCATTGTGTGGGCCTTGTCGCGGGGGGGGGGGCGGTCACATGCCCATCCATGCGAGCTCCCGCCATCCGCAGCCGCATTCTGACGTTGTCGTGTCGACCCCATTCACATGCCACCGTCACGCAGCCGGTGGTGGCCGCCAAATGGTGCCTCGTGCCGCCGCAATCTAATCTCGCCTGCGCTGCACTACCAAACCGTGCAGAGGTGCCAGGCTTTAGCGGATGAGACGGGACGGCCTCGTAGCCGCCGGCAAGGACAACAGGTCATGTGCCCAGGTTGCCGTGGCGGGCTGGCTGGAGTAGGCGTTCCCGGCGGGGCGGTCCTATGTACACGCTTGCTATTGAGAAATTGAGAAACGGGATCTAGGCTGTCGGCTGTCGGGTGACAACCGTTAGTGTGGCGTTTTTGCGGACGGATGGAAGGAATATCGCGACTCGTCAAGTTCGTTATGGACAGCTGTTTCGTGGGTCGGATGAGGAAGCCAAGACGCCGAGAGAGTCATGAAGGCCGAGAAGCGGGGAGGCTGAGAGCTGGCCTTGACGTTTGACGTTTGGGCTGATACGTATACATGCGCTCCACTGCTCCACTGATCCACTGATCCACTGATCTCTGAATTCAGTGGCCACTGGACACTGTCCATTTGATAGCCGTTTCCTTGTGAGCGACGCAGGGGCGCAGCACGTCGTGTCCAGACAAGGGGCCTTGACGAACTGCGCGGCTAGTCGTATGAATGTGCCCTCGATACTCGAGGACCATGCCAGATGCATATGCGACTCGAGGAGAGTGTTGGGCAATGTTCCGTCTGGAGGGCCCGGCGGTGGGAGCGTGTGAGTGAGGAGGACGTGGGACTGTGTGTCCTTCCTCGTCAGTCTTCCCTCCCCGCACCCATCCTCTTCTTCCCACTCGTCCTCGTCTCTTACACTTTCCATCACTCCAACTCGTATCTCGCACCACATCCAAACCCCCAGCATACCAAGCCGAACAATGGCAAAGCGCAAGACGGCCCCGTCTCCACCACCCCCCAGCACCCCCACCCCCTCGTCCCCCATCCCACCCAAACGCGCCCGTCGGTCGGGCAAACGTGCCGCCGAAACACTCGAGACGGAGGCGGCACGTGAGGATGATGACGACAACGACTCGGACGCGGTGAGCTCCGGTACACCTTCCGCGTCGTCGGCGTCGACGGTCGAGTACTTTCCCGCTGTGAAGGGCAAGGGGAAGGGTGGCAACGGCAAGAAAGCGGCTGCGGGCCGTGCGGCGTTGGCTGTGAGTAGCTGCAAATTGTGTCCACTCAGCCTGCTGACAAGCCTAGCAGGCTGGGAACAAGGGCAGTAAGAAGAAGGTCGTGCCGGATACTGTCGACGTCGCGGCCAAGGTGTCCAGCACTAAACCGGTGAGTGGCCCACAAGCTAGTTTTGTCTCGATCTCTGCTAACTCTGTAGAAGCCTGGGAAGAAGGGCGTGCAGAAGCGCAAGACAGTCCCCAGCGTCAATGAGGATGCGGTCGTCGAGATAGACGTCCACGCTGAGGGTGTATCTGCGAGTAGCTGCCCCATTTCTGGACGATTCAGCTGACTCGCAGCAGCACGGAAAAAAGGTCACAAAGAAACGCAAGAATGTCCCAGCCCCAGCCGCCGTCACCGAACCCGATGCCGACCCCGAGCAGGCCGCAGATGGGATCGAGGATATACCCGTGACGACGCCCAAGACGCCCCGCGGCGGACGCGGATGTGGGCGTGGCCGTGCGCCCGCTGGAGTTCGTGCCACGGCGAACCGGCCTGCGCCCAAGAACACCAAGGTCAAGGGGCCCAAGGGCGCTCCTGCCCCCGTCGCAACGCCGAGTCTATCATCATCGCCTAGCTCCAAACTCACCTCGCTTCCTGACTCTGTGGAAGAGGTCAAGAATCCCAGAGTGTCCGAGTTGAAGAATTCCATAGACCCCAAGCAGGAAGAAAGTGACGACAGCGACGGCGACCCCACTACCAACCTCAAGACCTTGGCACACTGGGCCGAGAACGTCCAACCAATGCCGCCTTCCCACTCGCAGCCGCACTACTACGGGGAGCCTGTGTCATACGCGAGGCCGAGTATGGCCAACCGGCGTTTTCATTATCTGCACGACGCTTCCGCCCATGTGGCCCCGGCCCAAGCCCATTTTCAACTGGCCGCCAACCCACCTCGTCCACTGCCGTGTCCTAGCCAAGTCCAACCTCTCCAGGCTGCACACTTGGACTTCGGATTATCCCCCTTCAAGTTTACCACACCCTTCTCTTCATACTTCGCCCAACCCGGCGGAGGCATCCAAGCCATTGAGGCTCGACGCACCTCAGCACGCGAAGTAGCACAGGAAACCTTCCGAAGCGAAGTGCACAAGATTCGCCTCGAAATGCAGCATCGCCTCCAGATCGCGAGCACACAGCGGCAGCATAGCCTTCAACGTGCCGGGCAGCAGTACAATTACGAGATGAGGATTCATAGCCTACAGGAGAACCAACACACTCTGATTCCCAACGCACGCTGGTTCAACAGTCCGCCAACTGGTTACCACTTGGCTGAGCTCGAACACCAGACGGCCACTCAGTCTCTTCTCCAAGAGCCCTTCCACCACAGGGTGCAGTATGGGCACATGACAGCCATTGAGGACGAGGCCGGACCATCCAACGTCAAGGCTCACGGGAACGGGTCGTCTCCCACAGTTGCTAGCCACGCACTCGCTGGCGAAGCACATGGCCGCGATCGTGCCGACATGCTCAACGACGAGAAGGATTCGTTTCAGGAACTCGTCAAGCAGATCAACACATTCCTGCACGACAATCAGCTCAACTTGAACGAGATGGTATGGTCCCAGGTACTCCAGATTGAGCCCGTGAGTTTGTGTACTGTGCGCCGCCACAGCAGCGAGGCTAACTCTCCTCCTCCAGATCGCCGAGCACCTCGCCTTCTTCCGCAAATACGAAGCCCTGTTCATTGCCGAAATAGTTCAGCTGCAGCACATCAAGGTCAGCCCCGACGACCGCGAGGCTGCCCGCGTAGAAGCCTTGCAGAACCACCGTAGCCTGTCTGAGCGTCTCTCGGAAGAAACGGAGGGGGAGAGCCAGGCCGACAACACACCTGGCCCCTGCCCCTTGCCTGCCACGAGGCGTGTTGGCGAGGTCAATGCCAAAGCCGCAGGAAAGGGCAAGGGGAGGGCCAGGCCCAAGGCTGCGTCGAGGGGATACCTGCCCATCCCGGCTACTCCTGGCCTGATCAAGGCTGCTGAGGATGCCACCAACCTCATGAATGAGACGCGGAGGAGGACATCCTTGGAGGAGCCCAAGACGAGTATTCCGGTGGAGCAGCCTCCGCCGGGTAAAAAGCAAAAGCGTATGAAGTGAGATGAGAGGAGGAGGAGAAGATTAGCCCACAAAGGTACATTTTTCCAGCTGGAGGAGTGCAGTTCTGGCGTGTACGCGTGTGGTATACAAGATGGAAGTCCATGGCACAACGGGTTGGGTTCATCCTGGGGGTGCCAAGGAACCAAAGTGGAGGCGGTCCACTCCGTGACACGGGCTATTGAGCCAACTGACCCTATGTACCTATGTGCTGTGCAACCCACCTTTGTCTTCCCCTATCCGTGATCCGGAAACTGGTCCAGTTTCAAGACCCCTCCCTCGGTCACTGAAGCTGACTCCTACTGTTGTCTCCAGCCGTCACATCTCCATCAACGAGCTCTTAAGTTGTCGACAAAAGAACCCCCGGCGTTGGGTGATGGCGCTCGGACCGCGTACCCTCACACACGCACCCCATGTCGGAGAAGGACGAGATTGCACTCATTGTACTTCGATGGGTACGAGATCTCACAAGAATGAACGGGACGGGGCTGGCTTCTTGCTTCTTTGTTGAATTTGACACCTCATCACGGTCGTAGCCTCGCGCCATCCTTCAGCTTGCGTTTGTGGATCTATTTCCACGTCCATTGCCATCTTCTTACCTCACATCACACGCATCACATCTCCACCATGGCATCTAAGAAGAAGGGAAAGGCCAAGGCCAAGGCCCCAGCCAAGCCCGCACCGGCACCCCCTATCAAGGTCACTCCTCCTACACCCGAGCCAAAGGCCACCACCAAACCCAAAGCCCACCCCCGAGCCAAGCCCAACCTCCGTTACAACCCCAAAGAGCGACCTGAGTGGTGGCAGCACAGTCTTGCAGTCGAGCGAGACTCGGATGTCAAGAAGGAGCTGGACAGACAGACAAAGCTCCGCACCCCCTACCTTGACCGTGTCGACAGCGCCTGGGATCCCAGGACAACAAACAGTCCGCAGAACACTCCCACCCACAACAAGGAGTACAATCATGTTAATGCCCTGAGGCACGACCAGCCAGCGGATAGGCGTTGCATCCCGTGTGTGAGGCTCGGGCTCAAGTGTGCCAGACCTACGCTCAAGTATTCTGTCTGTTCCAACTGCGCGGACTCGGGCGAGGAGTGTGGATATATCTGGTGAGTTGCAAAGGCATAGTGGGTGGACGTTTGGCTGACTCAGTCGTAGGGACCCCCCAGCACACTTGGACGAACCCATCGGCCGGCCTCCTTCCGTCTACGTGACTGAGCTGCTGCGCCAGAACATGGGATCCATCCACCTCGCCGTCTCTCGCGCAGGCAGGGGCGAGAAAGAGGAAGAGTCTTCCCTCCGCTCCACCATCGAACCCGACCGCTCGCCACCAAGGGACAAGTACACCCCCATCGCTCCTCCCGCCAACCGCGCGGGCGCGGGCACGTATGATGCCGACTGCCCGCGTCTCCCCATCGGCCTGCTTTCTCGTCTGCCTGATCTCCACCGCTCACCATCTCCAGACACACAGGCATCTCTGCCGACCCCGACGGGCACCACGCCTGTCCAGATTGGGAAGCGGAAGACGCGGTCCAGCGAGGCGCACATTCCGCGTGAGCCTGTGGCCAAGCGTTCTCGCCCGACTCCAGCACCCGTCCGTTTGGCCAACACCGACACGAAGGAGGACGATGGTGAAGGGTGCTACACCCTCTCTCGTGCCGAACTCGCTGCGCTCTTGGGTATGGCGTACGTCACTGGTGCACTCAACTTTGGAATACCTACGCCAGACGGTGATGGTGGCTTGACCTCCTCCCTCTCCAACGAGGCCCATGTGGACGACGACACCACCCAAGTAGCCTACCGTGCTGCCTTACTGGACCTCATTCCCGAGCCCTTTACACACATCGAGGATGTCACCTCCGACCCGGCAATCTACCTCTCCACTCGCGAGTCTCGACTGTTGCAAGGCGCCTTCACAGGCGAGGCGCGGTACATGGACCAGTTCTGGTCCAAGTGGCACGATCGCAGGGTGAGGTCCCGCATCATGAGGCTCGCGCCGAGTTTGAGCAACATGGAGCGTGTGCGACCTCTCAAGGGCACACCCATGCCGGTGCATGACGCTGGTCGCCCCGTCCTAGAGCGCCATGATTCTGGCTCGTCGGCCGACACAGACATGCGTCTCATGGCATCGAGACCCAGCTCGCTGATCCGCCCCTCTCACACCGTCTTCCCGACGCCTCGTGCATCACCGCCTGCGCCCACGCCAGTATGGGACCACTCGGAAACGAGCATGGACACATTTATCAACACCGTAGTCAAGAACACGGGGAGGAAAGTCGGCGCGTTCCCCTCCGAGATGCCGGGGATCCTCCTTGGCGGTGCACACCAGAGTGTGAGCTTCGATGTGCAAAGTGCCTAGCTGACAAACCTCAGCTCCTCGATGCCGACCGGGTTATCCGTGCTCTTCCACCCACGAGTGAGGCAGGTCACTGGCGTGTGGCCGTCCTGTTGCTCAAGCAGCGGGTCGCGTTGCTCTGGGACCCGAGTGCCCTTGACACTCCCCCGTCGCTGGCGGAGGAGACCGTCAATGTCTTAGCTGTAAGGTTCACTTATCCTAACAATCAAGCTGACTTGTCCAGGCCATTATCGACTTCTACGAACATGTATGGCGGGCCGGACACCGCGAGCCACCACATGCAGAGGGAGGGTGGGGTTTTGAGATGGTCCATGGAGGGGTATGTTTAGCTCGAGAAGTTCCGCGTCGTTCTGAGCTGACATTTCCTCAGGCTCACGTCCTCCCCATCCCTGAACACTTGGGAGATGTCAAGGAGCGCAGTGAAGACCGAGACATGACACTTTCACGTCGGTGTCGTGCAGGCATTGCGTTCTTTGCCACTGCGTCTGATGACGAGGTGGACAAGTGTGTGCAGAGCTGTCTCGTGGCGGTAACTGAGGCCTGAAGAGCCTACAGTAGCTTGCCACCTTTGACTCTGTGGCACTTTAAGTCTGTCTCGTGTTAGATTTCCTCCCCACGCTGCACCAGCATTCTCTCAGCCGCCTTGTCCATGATGTAAAAGCTAGAAGTGTACGAGTGTATCCAAACAATATGCATGTGTCAAGAAACGGAGTCGAGCAAGGACGCGGATCCGAGTCGGTCAGTGTGCACCACATGGGCGCTTTTAGGCAGACAGGTTTAGGCGAGATTGACGACCGGCCGACACTGCATCGACGTCAGCGATCAGCGAGAGAGGTTGCTTTTGAGTCGGCAGCGCACCTGTGCAACCTGGAGCTACATGTGGTCCGCCAAAAGCTAAACATCTGTCAACATCCCCTACTTCTTCCAACCAAATCCTTACTGCTATACCCACCCTTTCGCTATGATCATCACCATCCTCACTGACCCCTCCCCGTCCGCCACCGTCGACGCAGCCGTCGCTCTGGAGCAGGGCTTCAAGGACGACCACATCAGCATCGCCCTCAACCCGCACAACAACCCCGATCTCCTTCTGGCAAGGATGGGGGCGGCGGTCACGACTGCTGTCCTGGATTTCCAGTGCTACACTGCGTCCTTGGATGGGAGCAAGGTGGATGGTGTCATGCTGGTGCAGCCCCCCGGGTTCGAGCATGGGGTGTCGTGAGTGGAGGAGCTGAGGGCGGTGGGACTTACGAAAGGGGGAGGGGGATAGGGAGGCTGACCATAACCACCAGACCCAACTCGAAAGGACCCCATACTCAGCTGGCAAAGGATCTGAGTACGCCCGAGGCCAACAAGGCGATTGAAGGGGTGAGTTGACTGCAGAGTGCCCGTTAAACGCCAAGTGGAATGCCCTCAACGCAACACCTTCCTTCCGCACTGGGCACACCTTGCCTGCGCAACCATTTATACAGCCCTGCTGACACTCTCTAAGCTCAAGAACCTCTTCAACGAGCTCGAGACCAAGGCATTCGGCCCTACAGCCGTCCGCGATACTTATTACGTCTCCCACCTGGCCACGGCACCTTGGGCGGCGGGTCACGGTGTCGGCGGCCAGCTGCTCAAGGCCATCATTGAGCGGGCTACGAAGGAGGGTGTTCCCGTGACGCTCGTGACGATGACGCCGAGACACGTGAGTAAACTTGTGATGAGGAGGGAAGGGAGTTGAGGCCAAGAAAGGGGAGAGAGAGGTGACGAACAGAGTGCCGAATGGAGTGCTGACACCGACCAGGAAGAGTACTACAAGCGTTACGGCTTCACCACAAAGCACTACATGACGTATGACCTGAACGGCACACCGACAGAGTGGTGGGCCATGAGCACCGACCTGTAGACAGTCTAGACGCCGTTGTAGATTTCAGACATTCAACGGGGCTAGTCCAGGCGGCGGTCAGGCCATTCTCACTTGCTTTGAGCCTCAGCGAGACCCCACACGGGCTGGTGCCGTTTCCTCGGCTTGTGATAGGACTGGTGCATGCGGGCATATATGCATATATGGGGAGCTGTGATGGTTCTACTTGCCAAGACGCTTGCGCTCGGCGCGGGTCGCCTGGGGAGTCAGCTTTTGCCACAACGAAGGCTGAGGCCTTGAAGGCACAGAGGCCCACTGAAGCTCTCGGATGAGGACGACCAGCGTCATCCACCCGTCACTGGCACTCACCTTTCTCCTCTTCTTGTACTTGTGCTTGTTCATCCTCTTTTTCCTCTTACGCCTGACCGAGTCCATCTCGACAACCTCGTCCGCCACTGAGGGCTCGAGGCGGGCAAGGAGACCCTCGAGGCTGGCGACGGCGTCGTCAATCGAGGCCTGCTCGGCAGCCGAGCGGGTAGGCTCAACGTTGGCCGCGCCCATGCGCTTGAGAGACTGGTCCCAGATGGCCGAAGCGGCGTCGACGTGCACGGCACGGGCCTCGTCGAGGAGAGTCGAGAGGCGGGTGTCGGCGTCAACGTCGAGGGCACGGAGCGAGGTGGTGGGGCGGGGGCCGAGGTGGTGAGCCAAAGCGGGGTGAGCAAACGCCTTGGTCACACGGAGGTGCTCGCCGAGCGAGGAGGCAAGCTCGTCAACGGCAGGCATGGCCTCGAGAGGCGAGGGGGCAGCGGGGCGCTCCCAGAGTCCCGGGACAGCTGCGTCGGCCGACATGTAGCCCTGGGTGCCAATGTGGACGGGGAGGGGCATGTGGCGAGGAGTGAAGCCGAGGTGGAGAGCAGCCTGGGCAGGGTAGAGGTTGACGGGAGTCCAGCCGGGCGCGGCGGGGCGGGGGAGCTCAGACGACACGAGGTTCATGTCCGCACGGAGGGAGCCCTCGGCGGAAGCAGCGGCGTCGCGGCGCGAGAAGAACGAGCGCTGGAGACGACGGCCGTGGGTAGGCTGAGCCGAGGTCGAGCCAGAGGTAGACGGAGAAGGAGCCGCCGCCGGCTTGACCCGCATGGTTGTCTTGACGCGGACGCGGCGACCGTGGCCGCGGGTGGGGGCCTTGGGGGCAGCGGAAGCGGCGGCTGGCGCCGTCGCCGCACGCTGCGAGAGCGACGAGTAGAGTCGCCGCAGGAGCATGTGGGTGGTGGGGAGTGTGGAGAGTGGTCGATGGAGAGAAACAACCAACGCTCTCTTTGCACGCGCGGCCGGGCGAGTAGGATCGTTTCGGAAAAGAGGGCGGTCACGTGACCCACAGCCAAAAGTGACGGCGGATTGATATTTCGGCGAGCTCGAACGGTCCAGGACTCAATAATCTTGTGTCCACCTAACAACAATGTCCAAGCGGTCCCACCAAGTCATGGATGCCCCAGGCCCCTCAGAGCCGCTCCTCCGCGAGCCCCAAGTAAGCTTACCGATACACCCAAGAGCTGACCTCCAGAAACGGTTCTACCGCCAGCGCGCTCACGCCAACGTCTTTGTTGACCATGAGCTCGACTAGTGAGTGCCCCTGGGTGTTTGTTTAGCAAAGATACGAGGCGTTTGGCATGCCTAGTGGGATATTGGCGTCAGTCTCCTCGACCTGGATGTCTGTCGAGGTTGGGACTCATGCTATCGTCTGCGCAAGTCCTTCCCATCAATTCCATTCTGCGGCTGTACTGGACCTCCTGCTGACGCGCCAGCCCCGCGTCGCCTGACCAGATGGACTGGTCGCTCCACTACCCCAACTACTTCCCCGCCAAGGACGGCCAGGACTTGAAGCAGGTCGAGTGGGCGGACGTTGGCTGCGGTTTCGGCGGTCTCCTCATGGCCCTTGCCCCCCAGTTCCCCGACACCGTCATGTTGGGAATGGAGATCCGCGTGTCGGTGACACAGTACGTCGCCGACCGTATCGCCCACGCCCGCCAGGCCGCCATTGTTGCCCCCGAGGGTGCTGAGGAGAAGAAGCCCGGTGGCTTCCAGAACGTCTCGGTCATCCGCGCAAACTCGATGAAGCACATGCCCAACTTCTTTGCCAAGGGCCAGCTGTCAAAGATCTTCTTCCTCTTCCCCGACCCCCACTTCAAGGTCCGCAAGCAGAAGGCGCGCATTGTCACCACTGCCCTGTTGGCCGAGTACGCCTTTGTCCTCCGCCCTGGAGGCATTCTCTACACTGTCACGGACGTGAAGGGTGAGTTGGAAGCATTGTTCGAGCTTGTCCCGAATCATAATGGGGACCAAGCTTGCCAATCCAGCCCAGACTAGAGCTAATCCATGCAGACCTCCACGAGTGGATGGACCACCACCTCCGCAAGCACCCGTCGTTTGAGTACATCCCCACTGAGGAGCTCGCCGACGACCCCATCCTTCTCGCCGCCAAGACTGCCACCGAGGAAGGCCGCAAGGTCGAGCGTAACGGCGGCGACAAGTGGGTCGCGTGCTTCCGTCGTCTTCCCGACCCCGAGGAGTAATACGGCCAGCGAGGACTGAGTGTTAGAGGGATTTGAGCGATTATGCATGTGTAACAGGATCTTACCCAATCTGAACCGCGACTGGCGTCTGACTCCCTTTCAAGACTCATAACCTCTCCGTGACCAATGTGGGAGCGCCTTACACCGATGCTCCTCACTCGGTGCTCGCACCAGGGGCCACCTGGATCTCATGGAGACGGGTTGAGAACATTGCTAATCCCACTAAACGCACTAAGTGCCGTGGTGGGCGGCACTGGCGTGGAACCGGCAAACGGGTGTTTCACAAGGTATGGTGCAGGAGTGGGGGTGGCACTCCAATGCTGGGTAATGAATGTTTCGAGTTCGTTTGGTACCAGAAGGGGGACACATGTAAGGGCCGGGACAGCATAGTTTTGAGTGGACGGAGTGGTGAATGATGAGCTGGATATGTGGACGAGAGAGCGGGGGAGATGACAGTGTGGTGTTGGCAAGACAAAACGGGGGATGTGGTGTGGCGGCGCGTGTTTTCGCCGTGGGCCGCTCAGCGTGCGCCTTGATGGTGTATTCTCACTTCCTGCAGCTGATGGCCATGTTTCCTTCTGGAATTTACCAAGACCGCACTGTGTAGTGGTTCGTACGAGCAAAGAGATCTAGCGTGGGGAATACAACCGACCCCCGACCGCTACTCCACTTCTGAGGTTGTGTGGCACACTGTTCCACGCCATTCTCCATCCTCCTCAACATCTGCACCATGTTCCGAGAGCTGGGGAACCCCCAAGCCAAAAGAGAAGGCTTCTGGAAGCGCTGCATACACCGTAAGGGAGTCGAACCCCTGCCGCGTCGAGTCTGCGCATGGCAACGACGCATGATACCGTTTCACCAACGGTGTTAAGATGTTGAGGTGAATGTCATGATCGGCGCGCCGGACATCCTTCTGCCTTCCTTTTGCTTGATCTGCTCCATAGGACGTGTACAACGGTAACATGTGACACTCTAGATGTTCCTACCCAAGCCCCTTTGCCTCTCAAGCTCGTTCAAAACCTCGTCAGTGTTGTGGTGCTCTCGCCTCTGACATCCAACGCTACTTCGTCAGCTTGTTTTCGAGGTTTCCCCTTTCCCGAGCTTACTTGACAACATCACAGAACTGGAAAATGACCTCCCGTACTTCCCCCTCGAAAAAGTTCTCCCACCCAGCGTCGGCAGTGATCCATACCTCTGTCCACATGCCGGGGACGGTACGACCATCGAGGTCCTTGTGACCAGTTCGACACTCGATGTTGTGTGGCGTCACTGGGGAAAATCTCCGTCAGTCATGGACATTTCGGACGCCGCTAGGTTGGTGATGGGTTGTACGCACCTCGCTTGAGCAGCAGTGCAGAACTGATCTCGTGGGACACGCTCGCGGCGGTGTCGATATCAAGCCGGCGGGAAAAGTAGAAGATGTAGTGCTGCGCCCGTGTCAGCTCGCGTTCTCACCGGGCTAACTCACCGTTTGACCCTTCATGGGGTTCTTGAAGTCGAGATGAGGAAGTGTCGGTGCCGGCCAATGCGTGATCACTGGGTTCTTGGGAGGCTTCCTCTTGCCTGGGGTTTTGGTTAGGGACTTGCCCTTACTGGTGGGAGTCTTGGTTTTGGTTTTGGCCTTGACGTTGGCCTTGCCGTTAACTGCTGCACGAGGCTTCAATGGGCTAGACATTGTCGACTTCTTGCCCTTCGCCCTCTTCGTGGCCGGAACAGGTGGGATGAGCTTCTCCAGATCCACTGGACCCTTGTGAGAGCGAGGCCGACTCGGTGTCGATGGGGAGGTGACGCTCAAGATTGGCACTAGGGGGACGTGGAGGAGCTTGAGCTTGAGAGCCGCGACCATTGGGCTGTGCTATGTTCGGCGTGTTGAGGTCTGGAAACGTTTGGAAACGGGGACGGGGCGAGCGAGGGCGAAGAAGTGTATGTATGTATGTAGAGTCGGTAGGTGCGAGTGTGATTGATGCAAGAGGTTGAGCTTCTCGCATCAGTGATTGAACGTGTCAAGGCAGTGTGAGAGTTGGCGTGTGTGGGGGGAGGTTTTGTTTGTTTACGAGGTCTGTGGCAAAATGATCGCCGCACACGCTCTCGTTTGCCACCCAGATCCGCTTGGACCGGGGCAGTCAAAAAGACGCCATGCATGCAGGTCTACGCGACAATGATGCTGTAGTCGAGCATTTCCATTTCGTGGAGCATCTGTCTCTACTGCTGCCAATGGGAACCTGTACATGCCCAGGAGACTGCTCGTTCTTTGGTGTGTCCGGCGTCCTCAGCCACAGCACCAGTCAATATCCATGCACCGTCATTTCGACACTGATCCCATTAGCTGTCTATCCGGCTGTCTACTGCATCAAAGCACTCACAGTCTACCTTGGGCAACCACATTGATCAGTCGCCCTACGGGCTTTGCAAATCTACCATGATAGTAGGCAGGACAGGTGATGCTAATTTCAACGACATACAGCTGCTCATCACCAGTGAGGCGAGGGACGCAGTCGTCCTGGGTGTATTCGATCTCGTCCGTGGTGACTGACAGGTATTCAGCAAGTCATTTTGGAGGGTAGGAGTTCAAGAAACGTACCGCCGACCTCGAGCAGGATGTGATGGATGTAGGACTTTAGAACCTCCCAGACGGCGGGCGTGATCGCGCCTGCGAACCTGAAAGTGGTGCGCTGGATGTCAGGTGAAATATGTAGTGTAGGTTCAGGTCAGGACTTACATTGTTAACATACAACTCCATTGCACTTGGTGTGGGGTTTCGAGGAGTCTTAAGCTCTAATACAGAACATGGTCCTCTTTATCTATGTGAGACTCGGTATGTTGGCCTCTGATGGTGCTGGGTCAAGGTGAAAACCAAAGTGGCACCGGATCCCGTCCGCATCAGCATCCACCCTCATTGAAGGTCAGTGCCCAAACGACACTCCAAATCATTCTGGCTCAGCGGAGTGCCATCAAAGCATGTGACATGGGGGCGGTCAACTGATGAAGTGATGAAAAATGAACCTACAGCCTTGAGCGGTGTACGACAGCAAGTGTACGCGCGTATACGCACCCATCAAAGGAACGTCATGGGGTGAGGAAGCCAAACTGTGTTTGCCGCCTCAGTCCTCTTCCTCTATTTCTCCCCAGCGCATCCCGTCTTCGTCTCTCTCCATCATTGTTGTCTATCACATTAGGTGTTTTCTTTAGCCTACACTTGAACACGTTACCCAGACTCTCAACACATCGCCCATCGGCACATCGTTTATAGGTGGTCTACCCCCCAGCCGCCAAACCTCACCTCACCAAAAAAAAAAACCCCCCTTTCTTCCTTGTACATCAAACACCACCTTACACCGACAAGATGGCTTATCCGTGGGGTATGCCTGGCGCCGGTGGATACCCAGGCATGCCGTATGCCGCTTATGGTTACCCCGGGCCCCATATAGCTGCTTATGGTGGCATGGGTGGCGGCTACCCGGGTACCGCCAGCCCTGCTGGAACGCACCAGTATGCCACCGCCATGTCCCCGATGCCGATGGGTGGCATGGGAGGTGCACAGATGCCGTATATGCCAGAGATTCCTGGCATGCGTGGCCTGCGTATGGGTATGGGCCCCTCTGATTACCCCACTATGGGTCCCGTTTATGGGGGTGGCGGTAACCCTCACGCTGGCGGTACCAGCTACGGCGGTGGCGCGGCCCAGCCTCAGGCAGGTGGTAACTACAGTTTGGCCTTTGTTGTGAGTCTTCCATTATACATTTGCAGGAGGTTCTAACAAACTAGGGTGGCATCATCCACTTCTGCCGTCCTTTTGGGCAGATGGGCCCCCTGCAGCTGAGTGACGGTCAGCTGGCAGCCATCTGGGAGGCGATCAAGCAGCTTCCTGGCGTCAGTGGTGGGTGCAGATCATCTTGAGCATACATCGTTTCTCAAACTGACACGGTCATCAGAGCTCAACAATCCCAAGTGGGAGACGTGCAACGAGAGCTATGCGCCTGGTATCATCTTCGGCGGGCACCTGGAGGCGTCTAAGGTTGCAAGCTGGAAGGTCAGGGTTGACTCTGAGCTGCACAATAACCTCCCCATGATTGTGCCTGGATGTCGGTGAGTGTGGATGCCTATGCGCAGTGGAATAGTCGTTGAGTGACGAACAGCCCCCAGGTGCGCATTCGTTTTTAAGTGCCCATTCAAAAACACGTACACGACAAGTGATCAGCAGAGAGTCGGAGGGGCTGAATAGCATCCATGAAAGGGTCGCATGTGGATGATTGATGAAAACGACTTGTTGTGGCGGAATACCCCGCTTTCCATAGTGGGATGATGGATACCTCCGACGTCCTGCCTTGACCTTCCCCTTCCCTACATGCGTCAGTTGTGCAACGAGCCTGCAAGGGAAGAAGGAGGTCTCTGTTGGGATTTGATGCCGTTTAGCGCCCGAGACCGATGGTCTTAAGCTGGCAGTTTGTCTTTCAGAAGAGGATGGGGATGCATAGGCGTCTACAGAGCTGCTTATATGCACACAGAAGGGAGGCCCGAGCACTACAGAGAAGCACGAGGACAATGAAGAAGCAGAAAGAGCAGCATTGGTGCAGTACCCTCGTTCTCCGGTCAGCTCGGTGCCACACTGCAGTGGCGCAAGTGGTTACGTAATCTCAACAGGTCTCCAGAATGAACACATGGTCATATGTCTAGCTGCAGCCCAAGCAACGTACTCGGCGAGATGGCCGAGCGGTCTAAGGCGCTGTGTTAAGGTGTTTCACTCCTCCTCATCATCTTGAGATGGAAGTTGCTCATCCGCAGTCTTCGGACGTGGGTTCGAATCCCACTCTCGTCATCAGGGGCTTCATTGCCTCCCAAACCGTCCTTTTTGAGGTTTGGGAAGGTTGGAAGAAGGTGTTGGACGAGTTGGGACAGTGCGGAGGATTGAAGCATGGTGGGTGCCGACTACTGCCACTTTGGCGGTTCGGCCAAAACTTCCGATCTGAATAATGAAAGTGGCACACTTTTCGTTTGCCAGTCGGTCATGGGTGGCAAATGCTACAATGGGTGCGTTTTGGTGCTACCTGTGTGCCATCGAAGGAGAAGAACTACCACGCCTCAACCAAGGATGTCCGAGGGGCGTGGGACTTCGGGATACCATGTACGTCACGTCGGGCTATAAAAGCGTCTTCCCATGGGAGTTACTGGAGGTCCCTCATTGAACATGGTAGAATCCGCAGCGACAGGTAGCATGTGTACGTGGGGGCGAACATGGGCCTTTTCTTGGTATTATCTGCCATCTGCCATCACCCATCATCATCTAGCCGTCATTATAACCAGAACATTCTCTTTGAGCTTTGTTCTTGCTTTCCTGTTTCTAACTGAACAATTCCCTCTCGCTCCTCTCCAACGACAACATAGTATACCAGTACAGCAACGACTTCCACAGTGGTGCCTTCAACGATCCCCCGGATGGGAAGCCCAACTACGAAGATGTCCCCGGCCAGCAAATCGACCAACCGTTCGAGTTCCAAGTCTCAAGTCCAAACACTTCCGATAGCGACTTGAAGAGCGCCGAAGACGCCGCTCACTCGAAGAGCTCGAGCACGCAGGGCTCAGCCAATAGTGTCAAGGCGTCATTTGTCGTATGTTTCTATCAGCACCGTCACCGTTGAGCTGCTCTAGCTCACAGTTAGGGCGCCATGGTATACTTTGAACGCCATAACTGTGACCTCACGGCAATGGACCTGGGGCACATTGAGAATCAGATAAAGTCTATGCGCGCGGTACAAGGTACGTGAAACAGCACACCAGTCGACTTGGGGTGCACTGCCGCTGACGCTGATTGTATCTGATAGACCTTCTCTACCCCCAGTGGAAGACCTATATCGACAAGGCCACTCTGGCGATCATGTTTGTCGGCTATATCAACAGGTCAGCCGGTCAAGTCTGGCCAGCCACGATAGACAGCGAACTCCGCAGCCTTTTGGGTGCCCTCTTTCCTGGAAGCTGGTACGGTCTTGTCTTGAACGGTCTGCACATTAGAGGTTGACACTGCAGCCCCAAAATTACGACACGCCAGCGTTGAGTGAAGGTGCAATGGAGGTGTCTGGGACGAAAAATGTGAATATTCAGAAGAATATCGATAACGGGCCGAGGCTCAGAGCTTCTGTATCTCAGTCTACAATGGAGTGAGTGAACGTGCTGGCCTTCTTAGTTCAGTGGTTAGAATTTTTCACTAGTACTCGTGATCACCATATCACTACTACGATGAAAGGGTCACCCGTTCAATTCGGGTAGAAGGCAGTACGACGTCTCGAGCGTTCTTTTTTGGCGGCTGTGACAAGCAGACGATGCACTTTGTGACTGTGTACGGTCATACATATCGGGGGTGTGGAATGGGCGGGCACATGGTGTTCCAAATGCGCCACAGGTGGTGAAATGAAAGATGCGACGGAATAAACCGAAAATTCAGCGAAAATCTGACGAAATTCAGATCCCGACGCGCATATAAGCGCCGATTGCCATGTGCGCACGAGATGTGGCGGATACGTTTCATTGTGGGTTCGTTTCATGTTGTATTGAGAGCTGCATATGTGGAGCTGCTAGTTTACCGATCCGCACTGTATGTTCGTTCAGGTATTTGTGCTGCTGAACTGAACACTTGGGGTGGTGTGCGTTGCGAAGGAGTGGGGACGAGAATGTCAACAACACAAGCGTCATGTCCCTGCTCCAGCCAACATAACGGTATTTGATGTAAACAACGATGCTGGGAGACAGTGGTGGCTACGGATGAGCGGCCGTTTCGACCGCTTTTGCCACCCGTGTGTGTACATCTGACGCCACAACAACGACTTCTGGAAGTCAAGGTGAGACACGATGAGTAGGAACGCACCTCATTCACCCAAATGCCGCAGCAGTAAATCCCCTTCATGCATCTCACCCCGGTGGTCCCCGGTGACGCAATGCTGCCCGGCGTTGAGGCCGACGCAGCCACACGATGAGAGAGCGACTGTCTCCATGCATCGTATCCTTCTCATGCTAGTGTAACTGGCGGAGCTGCAATACTGTATGTATCGACTCGAATGGTTTGCGACATGCTCGAGAGATCGGCCAACAACGTTTGCCGCCACCCGTGTCTCACCTGCTGATGGTAGCTGGCCAAGGCAGTGAATTGAGTCATCGCCTTCAAGCCAACCCCGATAGCGTCGGGACCAGCTGGTAGAGAACGTGGCCAGTTGGGAGATACCAACGTTGCAGCTAATGCTCCAGTGGAATGATGGACCAGCGGATGATGCTTACAAGTCTTCTTGTCACCTTCAACGGCCCGGAGCCTGCTCTCCCGATGAGTTGATAAGAATAAGGGAGCATGTATGCAGACACGGAGCTTCCCGGCCGTTCCAAGAAGGTGGGGCAGGGCGGTACGGCCGCATCCACAGGCCCAGCGTAGTGTGGCAAGGCGTACTGGCGCACTGGGAGAAGCAAACCTCTTGACACATGTTCACCGGCCGCCGGATTTGCAACGTGTCAAGAATGAGTGTACCGTCATAATAGGGCAAGGGCTGCGTATCTGTATATTCAACGTGGCCTCCCATATAAGTAACCTGACCGGTACGGTCTGGGAAGCGGTGGGGTCCGTCCGGTATGAAGATTGGTGGCGGTGGCGTTTTGACTGAGGTTCTTGAAAGCGACAGGCTGCAGGCTGTCTGCCTCGCCAAAATCGGACCGTGCCGCCGGCAGGTCTGCTCGGCCCAGTTCACCAATTGCCAGTGCTGTCACTTGTTTGCAGATAGACATTCCCATCTCCGGCGGCCATATCGTGGGACTCCGAGGCTCATACGATGGGCATCACACTCCACGTACCAGAAAGAGTGCGTAGGATACACTGGCCATCTGTCATGCACAGGGGAGGAGCCGTGTACCGAACACAACGGACAAGGCCGATAAACAAAATCGCTCACTTTCCCCGCACGAACCCCGGTAGGAGGCACAAACACTGCCCTGGTGGCGGCCTCCGAGTCCCAGCGGTACTCGTTTCCAGTCCACATACGGAGTCGCGGGGTGGACGGAGGACCGCCCGAAGCGGAGAGGAGTGCTGGCGTCGCTTTCTAAAAGCCCTGGACGATCCCCAGGCGGAGTGTGTCCCTGGGACATGCCAGAAGTCAGCTGGTGGAGGCTGTACAGCACCGGGGTGACATTGTCGGCAGACCCGCTGGCGGGTGGAAGAGAGAGTATAAAGCACCGACGGCGACCCATCACCCCCATCCCCATCGCACAACTTTCTTGTCATGTTCCTTCACCAGTATCATCACCAGCAGCCAGTGTGGGGTGTCCCCATGCCGACCCACCCCTCGCCACCTATGTACCCGGGTCACCTCCCCGTCCTTGGTCTTCACCAACACGCACCCGGTGTCATTCCACGTGGAGTGATGAACCACCCTCACACTCGTCACTACGAGCACTATCCGGCGAAGTACCGCCCACCTGAATGTCCAGCTACCCAACAGATGGTGAGTGACCAACCGTCCCCAATAGCCAGAGCTAACTCTTCTCAGCGCACGACGTTCACCATCAAGTGGGTGCCTAACACCCAACAGTGGGCTCAGCTTGAGCGCCGCCTCCGCATGGCGATGATCAGCAATGGCTGTGGGTGTTCATCATTGCCTCTACCCATCCACTAACACACACTCAGATCCCGTGTTCGAGATTCGCAACGAGGTCAAGCACGGCGGCAAGACTCTGATACATCTCATGACCCCCACGGAGTACTGCGGCAAGTTCGAAAGCGACATCAACGAGCTGCTCTACGAGCTGTTCACCAGCTGGGGAATGAGATGGAGGTAAGTACCACCAGGAATCTTTTGTACTGGGGCCATTGCTGATGCAATGGTTAGTGGCAGGGAGATCAAAATCCAAACCTACGCCTACGAATGATTGACAAACAACGAGGGTGACTCCTCCGTTGTTTGAGACGATCAGACGCTCTCCTTCTCGGGATGTGTCGGAATGACTCCCCAGTGAGCCAGTGACAGCCACCATCACTAGCTTCCGATGCTAGCTGATGGTCATCCGACAGAATATGCGCATCACTGCTCAAGCGATGGCGCCAAGTCGCTCTGCCTCAGCTTTCTCTATCGTAGTTGTGTATACACTGTACTGCTTGATAACGACCTTGACACGATGGAGATTTGTCTTGAACAGCTGTGTCTTGCAACCTAGTGATTTGAGCAAGGAATTGACAAGACTGTCGCCACCCGTCAATATTGGCATACAGTACCAGACCCCGGCAACGCAAAAGTCCACTGTATACGACGAATAACCAAACTCGCAGCAACTGTATGCTGAAGTCGAGCGTGCCTACGATAGTGCGGGACCCCATGGCACGCCCATGACCCCGAACTTGCCACGGCCGTAGGCGCGTCGTTGACCCTCTTTTCCGTTCCCCTTCACATTCAGTGCTTCACCTTTCTCCCCCGATCCCCGCTTCCCACGAAAGAGCAGGCGCGAGACAGTGCATGCGGCCCAATGCTTCTTCGCGCCTCTGGGTGGCGGTGGCGGGTCGCACGTCCCACGCCCCTAGCCCGTCGACTGCGAGTCAGCCTTTTTTTGTTGGCCGTTGTCGCGTGCATCTTAAAATATGTTGTATGCTGATGTTGGCAATGCTTAACTAAAGTCTATGACGGCATATATGACATTGAAGCACAGGCAGGCATATTGAAGCACTAACAGTCACTATTATGACCGACTTGATTGGAAATAATGGCGTACATGCACTGCGTCAAACAAACTCTAGCGCAGACCGTCCTGCTCGAAGCATACATATTGTAAGATTGAACTGTCATGACGGAAAGCAACTTCACTGAGAGATCCCCATGCGATGCACACTATGCATTTCAGGTGCGTTGAAGCGAGCCTATGCTTGATCCAGTTTTCGGGTTTGATGTATGATCGTCGCTCGCCGAAATGATTCCAGCGTGACTATTGTCTCACCCGTGTGCCACAAGAAGCTTGGCCCACGGAGTCAATACTGAATTCGCCCAAGAAGGAAAGACGCTGGTGAGAACTTGGTGGGAACAGGGGAGCGCCATTCACAGTAGGACTGCGGAGGTGCAGCCCATAGATGGCATCCCTCTGTATTCCTGTTTAAAAGCGAGGATCTAAGGGTGTAAACTAAGTGAAGTGGAAGGTCCTTCCTGTAAACTTCGCAAAGGTGGCGGATCCCGTCGGCGTAACCTTAACGTACCATGATATTTACGGCACTAATTTATCAGAGGCAGGAGGAATGTGTCTCATGTTTGTGGCCCCCAGGCAGCGGCAGCCAGTCATTGTTGTGGAACAAGAGTGCCATACTTGCCACAGATCCGCCGATCACCAAATTCGAGGTTTCCGAACTGTATAGACACTGACCATTCAAGCTGCTTTATGGAAGCTCACCATCGCTCTCTCCTCAGACACATCAACCCCTATATTGGCATAGTGGGATCATTCCTCTCACTAAGAGCAACGAGGGAGGGTCCTCTTGTTCGCGGCATTCTCCGACTGGCCGGACCACCGGCATCCGCCCCCACGCCTCACCGAATTGAAGAACTTCACACGCTTATAAATGAGGTAAGGCGTTTCTGGATCTCCGGATCGCTCCGGGATTGTTCCCAAACACTTACCAGGTAGTAGGAAGACGCACTGGAGGGGTACATACTTCCGTGTACGGCCCAAGAAGCATGTGTGCATGTGTGGCGTCGGATTTCGGGTTCAAACAACCATTCGGGGTTAATGATGTAGCCTGCATCCGAACTCTGACATCATGGTCATGGTGTCTGGACATCAGGAAAGGTGCTTCCAGACAAGTCTTACCGCGTCCGTGGATCAGTGGGGCTGTACCGTGCATTTGAGATCGACGAGTGCACAAATGTATTCACACACACAATGACGTCTATTCTCCTCCCATTGCTTCGGGACCCTATCGCGGTATCTTGATAGAGGCTCTCTCGATCGCTAGAACGCGATAGGCTTTCGTCCTTTAGATGGGTGTTGCCCAAGTGGTGCCGGTGAACAGGCAGGACGGCTGCGAGTGCAACCGGATGATCTGCGGTCGTGCCCCCATTCCAACACTTGTATACCTTTATGGAAGCGTGCGATATCAGGTTCTGCGGGAACATCAACGGGGCCTTTGATGGCGGTGTTGAGAGCATTCATGGTGACCGGACTGCTCCGGTGGATGAAGTCCACATGAGGTGCTTGGAGCCAAATTGAGTAATTGTCGTGAAGCTAACGTGCCAAGCAAGGAACACAACTGGGGCTGTGGCCAGGAGGGCCTGTGTGGCAGGTTCCATGGGAAAACGCACTGCCACAGCCCCACGATCGACTATTGTTCTTGCCGCGGAGTAGGTATGTATCTTGTATCCCAACGACGGCGGAGGAAACGTAAAAATGGGCCAGACCCATATCGAGCGGAGCCAAGCTCAGCCAAAGATCCCAATTCTCAAGGTCGGTGCGAGAAGCTGAGTGCAAAGGACCATCGGCTGTGTACTGTGGAGTTGGTGACACTCGTGCAGCGTGGGCCAGTCGGGAGAGTCTATCGGGACCAGATAAGAAAATACCATAAAACATCGCGTCACGCGTCTCTCTCTCTCAACATCCCCGTATCCCACACCACCTAACTACTCCCTCGAACTCGTTCAAAACCAGTCAACATCAAGGACTCCAAGACATGGACTCCTCCAGAATCGAGTGTGATGGAGATGCCTTTGGGGTCAACCGCGGGAGTGAGTTTCCAGCCTTATCGTCCAGCTCAACTGCTGACACTCACCCCAGCCCTTTGCCAGGCTGTCTGGCACCCCTGCGCCCGAACAGCGATCTGCGACTACTGTGGCAGATTCGTCACGTAAGTTCTCCATTTCAGCAGAACATAATCTGACGGCCAGTGAGATGCGCACCCCCGGCCGAGGTGAGGAGGTGGACGGACGTTGCGGGCCTGGGGACGGCTCCGAACCGAAGAACCTGTCGGATCTCCCCTAGTTCCTCGCCCAGGCTCCCTCCACACAATCCTCAATACACCTCTGACGGCTCACTTACACTGGAGGTCCCATTTCGTGACCATCATACATACTGTTTTGATAGTCAGTATAGCACAGTGTATTTGCAGTGCGTACTGTAGCATGCAAATATGTAACTATAGAAATCGCAGAGGCTGGTCGAACAAGCCATGTCAGCACTGAATGACTTTCGACTCATCCAGATATACCTCCCTTCTATCTGCGGCCAAAGGGCCTACTATATGGACTGTTATATCTGGGCAGAAGAATAACAAGGCAACATACAGTACATTATAGTCCTGTTGGTCCAAATGAGGCCGACCTTCGTCAACCAACAAGACAGAATTTCAAACGAATATCGGCATATTTCCGGTCACGGCCAACCAACCTACCATTTGCCTTCCCGCTCGACACCCAGTGATCCTCACCACCTCCCAGAAATGGCAAAAGAAGAATATCTATCGCCACCTCGTTTCGATCGAGGGATCTCCAGGTTATCAGGACGATAGTATGAGCCTGGCGCTTTCCCACTAAGCCATAGCGATGTTCGATGTTGTTCAACTGGATGACGAGGAGAAAAGGCGCGACACCTCAACCTAGATGGCCAGACTTGGGGCCTCGGTTTCCTTTGGGGCGTAACTAAAGGTCTTGCTACCTCCTGTTACCAGTGAGGTCCCTCCTTGTTGGATTGGTTATGCGAAAGTGCGAGGGTGATTTTGGTTTTTCGGTCCACTTTGAAGGTGATCACAACAGTAGTATGAGCCTGGCGCTTTCCCACTAAGCCATAGCGATGGTCCACGTGGTCTTCCGTTGTGCGGAGACATGTCCCGAGTCGCCTCTCGCCAAACCCTATGGCAGCCGGTTGGCTGTAACAAGTAGAAACCATGGTCATGAAGGGGGGCTGTAAGGGAAGGTGGGAAGAGGAGGTAGGTAGGGGAGGTAGATCACGTCGTTTTCGTTGAATTTTGTGATTTTTTCTTTGTTTGGTGATTTGACATTAGACACTGGCAATAAACGCAGGGGGGAAGAGTTGATAGTCATTCGCGGCGCTCCCACATGAGTGCCTACGTGACACGGCCTCAGATAAGTCTGAGGCGGAAACAGGTTGCGAAGTTTCCGCCATTTGGACGACGTATTGCCCAGCGAGGATAAGCTTCAGAGATGGATACTGCCGACGACGAGGACCAAAGCTGGAAACTGAAATCCCCAGCACGACAAGAATGGAGCTGGTACTGGACACGAGGTACTCCATGAAGCATGTGTGCCATGTTTGCCCTTCATTACATGCCTCCGACTCAACCTCGGGCTGGCATGCGTCTCTCACTATGTAGCTACACCCCATCCTTCCAGGCAGCCTTCTCTGCACGCATGTTGCCCTCCATCTGCTTTGACTGGTCACCTGTGACCATGCCCGCAACACTCTCAATCTTGCCCTTTACGCCCTCAAGCGAAGGGACGGGCGCAGTAGCCACACCGTCACTGGTCGCCTGCTTGTACTTCCACTGTGCCTCCTCGTTCTCGACGTTGCCCTTGGTTTGGAGGTCCTGGTTTCCCGTGACGTATCCCCAAGTCCTGGAGAAGGTCAGGGTCACATTCACAGAGGACAAGCTGCCCTCATTACAGCACGTCAAATGTTTACAGGACTCACGACTTGACCTTGGCCGAGGCGGCTTCCACAGTCGCATCTTTGGCAGCCGCACTCTTTGCCGCGTCCACTTCTTGCTGGCCCTGGCTCGACAGCGCTTTCCCGTCGCTAACCCAGGCATCGCCGCCGAGGGAGGAAGGGAGGACCGATCCCACCGCTTGGTATGTGGCCCCTTGGGCATTCTGACGTCAGCCCGTCTCACCCTATAGTAACAGGTAGTGAACTCACCTTCAGTTGTCCTGAGACCTGCGATGGCTGCTGTTCTTGTTGTTCAGACATTGTACGATGTGAAGGATGAAGTTGTGGAGCGTTTCAAGAGTTCGTGATGGTCCGCACAACTGGAGGCGGGAAGCGGGAAGCAACGTGACGTCATACCGCGCCTGATCTCTTTTGGGCCACTGTCGTTTTCTGCGAGGTCCACCCCGAGTTTTGGTTGAACAAACAGTAGTTTGTTGCGTCTACAGTAGTTTGTTGAGCCTACTAGTTGACGAACAGTCTGTGCCGACAACTTGAAGAGACGTCGTTCATTTATCTCACCCCAAGAGGATGGAACTACTGGGGTTGGAAACTGACAATCTTTTAAGGCTCCTTATTGCAGGAGGCATTAGATCCTCGTTTCAGTTGGTCGGTTGGTCGGTCTCTGAATGCCGTGGTCATTCCTGGCACGTAGTCAGAAACGTCTGGTGCTGCAGTTGTGATGTACTCTGCCCATCTGCCTGGTGCCAACACGGCACTGTACACGCCATTTAATTAGTCATACATAGCCAGTGGCGCAAACTCTCGTCAGCCACTGCAGGGAAAGGAATGAGGACCCGACTTGCAAACAGGTGTTTCGTTTCCACGTTGCACACTCTGCTCGACTCGTTGTTCGCTTATCGCTCTTGTGAAAGGCACTGTTTGGTCACCCATGACTGCGCAGGCCAAGCCATCGTGCGGGACACGACCACGATGAGCACAGCACGTCAAATCCTGCGCCCGCTTCTCGTGGAGACAGCCGCCCGTCGTGTGAGATTGCCGTACGCGTTCCAGTTCGGTTCGCTCCGGTGTGGCTAATGTTGCCCGCAGGCCGCAGGACAGACAGTACCGCTCAACATGGGGCGTGGGTTATGTCTCAGCTTATGGATGGAGCTCGCTTGGAACTGGTCAGCTGACACATCGTTTCAGGTCAATCAAGGAGTGATGGTCCCGCCACATCGGTCTCCCAGTTCCCGGATTGTGGTACTCGCGACACCCAAGAACCCCCTGTGATGTTCTCAAGACCAGCATATTTCAGCTTGTGCATACAGCTGACTCGCTGTTCGTCTATATTTACCCAGGCCTCTTGTAACTGTGAACCACAGAAGCCCTGTGTTCTGTATAGTTTTGCCGTGTGCGGCGCTAGAAGAAGGATGACGTTCTGATTTTGAGGAACAACCGCCGCGAGGAACGGGCGTTTGGCGTGTCAGGTGAAGATGTTGCCAAGGTGTGGTGTGTGGTGTGTGGTGTGTATCTCTCGAGCGAGTAACCAGCGAGGCAGCGCGAGACTCGCTGCCCCTGTCGGCATGGCACTCGGCAAAGGTCATGCAACCCGCGGCAAAGGTGATGACTGGTAAAACAATGCGGCGGCCGGCTGCACTGCATGTGTGAAAGCGTGAAGGAAGCCTTCGGCTGTGTATTCAGGAGCCTTGCGGGGCCCGTTCGTGAAGACTCGGGGGGAGTAAAAACCAAAAAGTGCGAGGCAAACAGCTTGAATCTTTAAGTCTATACTCTGGTACTCTGGAGTGCTTTGGTTCATGGGTTGGGAGGTCGTGACGTGGCCCGGTGTGGCGGATTGCCAGAGGCGTTCTGCCCACAATTGCGGATTGACCAGAATGTTGACGAATTGACGAACCCACTCTTTGGAATTGGTCGTGGTGCCGTGGCGTGGAGTAACTGAGCAGCAGACCAGAACTGCGGCCAAGGCAGGAGTGGTGGGGAAGAGGCGCAAAGTGAGAAGCTGCACACTGTGCCTTGCATGTGCAAGTCGGCGATGTTGCCCGCATCCGTGCAACCGAAAGCACCTTTGGTGGTGTACCGCCGGTATGTTGGAAGCTGAACGTAGGTGGGGGAGTGGGCGGGTGGGTAGGGTGGGCGGCCTTGGGGGCTAGGTGGTGAGCGGTGAGGCAGCCTCGACATGGATGTAGGGGATGACGCTGCCATCAACCTTCCTTCTCTCGAAGCTTCCCCGACATTGTACATTCCAACCCCAGCATTCCCCTTCTATCTTCGGCTCCCTCGCCCTTTGTGTTCACTGTCATTTCTCTTGCTCTTTGTACCTTTTCATCGTTCCACCCCTGCTCCTCCCTTGGACAGCTCTTCACTATCACCACATCACACGCCGCCAATCGCTTGCGGACACTGGTTCAATGTCCTACCCTCCTGACACCCACTACTACAGCAGGTATCAGCACTACCAACAGGCCAGTCCCCAACAGACCGGCGAGCCGGTCGCCCATCCCAGCGGCAGCATACGAGCTATTCCCGTAGGGGTACCACTCCCACGGCAGGTAGGACCACCTCCCGTCCACAGTCCTCCGGGGTTCCACAGTCCTCCCGGGCTCCACAGTCCGCTGGGGCTACCCTCGCCAGTGAGCGTCTACAGTGACCCATCCTCCTTTTCGCCTCCAGCTCTTGCCGCTCCGATATCGACTGCAAATTCTATTATTGGTGCCAGCCCGCAACCGGGTCTGCTGTCGCCACTCAACTTTGACGTCGTCAGCGGCCCGCACTCTAGGCCAAACTCGAGTTATGGGCGCCACTACACCGCACAGACACAAGTGTCCCCCACACTGCTGCCTCTCATGACCACCACGACCACCGCTGCAACTGCAACAGCACAACCGTCCCATGGCAGTGGATGCTATCCGTCTGGGTACCCCGAAAGTGTTAGTACGCCGAGCGAGACCTGGTTCCTTTCCCAGCCGCTCGATTCCCGAGCCAGCGCAGCCTACCAGACCCCCTTCTTGACATCCCTCATCGGGATGTCTACTCCCTGCGACCCCCTATAGGTCGTACCTCGAGTACCTCCCAGTTGACGGTACCTTCTTTCCCTTCTTCACGAACCCAAGCTGGCTGGCGACGAGCCTGTCGGTGCGGAATGCGTGTGGTTGCTTAGCGTGCAACTGGTTGCCTTGTGGTTTTCGCACATGCCACACACTGGCATGTGCCTGTCCCGCAAACTTCCTATCCCCTCCACTGGAGCCATCCTTATCGTAACTCCAGTTCTTTGGAAAGTGCGAGAATGGCCCAGGTGTCTATGAGCTATATTAGAGTTGCGAACTGGCACGCCTCTGCCTCGCCGTGTTTCGTTTTCTCGCCCGTGCGACAGAAGCTGGGGTACATGGGCGTGGCACGCCCTCCAACTTCCATGTCGTTCATAGCCTCTGTGCATTCCTCGCCTATCCGCGCGCATCTGCAGTGGTGTAGCCGAGCGCGGTGATGCTGACGTACATGCTCTGTTACAGGTCACAGAGTTCTCATTCTCCCTCCTTCTCACCGACGACCATTGGAACAAGCTTTGTGTAGCGATAAACCAGTTCATGTTCAAGGAACGCAGTGAGTGTCGTCCCACGACCCCCCCGACCCGACCGATCGAACGAAGCCTCGTGAGACGCTACAGTGCAGTGGGGAGTGGCTGACGTTCCCACCCAGTGTATCCCTTTGGCCTGCACATCGACCGCAAGAAGAGCCACGATGCCCCCACCAGTCCCAGTGGATCGAGCGCGGGCCCAAGTACCACCGTCATGATGGTCGGCGCGACAGCGTGGGATGGCGAGTTTGAAGAACAAATAATGATCCTCATCCGCGAGGCAGTTGCAGATCGCGACCTTGAGTAAGCTGCGATGCTTTCTTTCTTCACGTGCAAGCAGCTAACATGCGACCGTTTAGCATCGTCGTGCACCAGTCCAGGTCCAGCCAGTAGCCAATGGTATCCATATCCATGCGCGCGCAGCAAAAACAGTACACCTCTCTTTTGTATTCTACGAACCGCCGTTGATCTAGAGTAATAATGTCAGCATTGTGTTCCATTCTACACGCGTGTTGCTTGCTCACCTTGTTCTTCACGCGCGTCAGGTACTGCGCGTAGCTGCTCATGTGGTCCATACGGTCCTCGATGAGCAGGCTAAGGGCCCATGAACGGAGTGCGGGCTCGGCATCGCTCTTGACGACGTACAGGTACGGCCTGTACACGCCGCGCCTCAGCTCGCGAGTCTTGGCAATGATGGCGTTGACGCGCTGGTTGAAGGGGTTGTCCAGGACGGGCATGGTGAACTTGCCACCGGTAAGCTCGGCGTACGAGGGTAGGTCGAAGACGTCCTGGACCAGGCGCGGGACGGCCTCCTGGCCGACCCAGAGGAAGATGTTCTGGCCGTCCTCGATGAGGAACAGACCATGGCGCTCCAGACGCTCCGAGGTGAGGTTGAGGGCGGGGGGGAGGATGACGCCGTGCTCGCCAATCGTGCCCGCCTCGGCCGGCATGTTGTGGAGCGAGTAGAAACGGGCATGGATGTAAGGGACGAGAGACTGGCAGGGGAGAGTCGTGAGGAGGTCCTGGGCGTATGCGCGAAGGTCGGGAGGGATAGTAGCGCCCTCGCGGAGACCGACGTGCTTGACAAGACCGCAGGCAAGGAGGGGAAGAAGCGAGAGGTTGGCGGGGATGGCCAGCTGCGCAGAGGCACCGGCCGAGCCAGCGACCTGGTTCTTGTAGACCTGGAGCATGTCGCTGAGACGGTTGGTGACGAGGTTGCGCGCATCGTCGAGGGACGAGCCAGACATGCACTTTTCGACGGCCTTGTTGGTGAGGAACGACGTGATAGCGACCTGGTCGGCCGAAGCGTACAACTGCGCGATCGAGTCCGTGGTAGGCAGAGCCTGGGTGATGACACGGATACGACGCTCACCGTAGCAAGTGGTGTGGAGGACGGCAGTCTGGAGGACAACGAAGGGCTGCTTGAGGTCCTCTTCGAGCTGGAGCTCGATGACGTAGTTCTGATCCAGGGGGAGAACGGGCAAGGCGAGCAGGTCGGTAGAGCGGATGAAGAAGTTGCCGTGGAACGCAGACATACGGATTCCGCGCGACGCACGGACACGGATGACAGCCTCCAAACCGACGGGCGTAGCGAGAACCTTGCCAAACTCGGTGGCAAACTTGATCGCCTCCTCGCTGCGCGACGCGTTGAAGCCAGGGTACAGGTAGGTCTGACCCGAGGTGTAGCGCGGCAGACACGAGAGAGTCGCAACGTCGGTGTACTGCGACGAGAAGAGGAACATGTCGACCGAGACCTGTGACTTTGAGCACTCGATGGCGAACGTCTTGTAGAAGCTCGACGCAGCCTGGAGCAGCGAGCTCTCCTTGGACGTGCCAAGAAGCTTGGGGTCGTCGCGGGCCTTGAGGGCACCAGTGCCAATGGTCGGGAGCGAGGCAGAGAGGGCAATAATCTTGCCACCAATCTTGCCAATGAGCTCGTGAGCGGCCTGGAGAGCCGAGCCGAGAGCGTTGCCCACAGTGTGGGTGTTCTGGAACATGTCGGAAAGCTTGCCAAGGAGGTTTTCGATAGCAGGGCGCGACTCGGTGAGGTTGACAAGGAGGTCGACAGGCTTGGGGAGGAAGACATCCGCAAGGTCCGAAACGACCAGCATCGACGACTCGGCATTGGCACCGGCGGGGAGCGAGAAGAAGTGGAGGCTGGTCGAGACGGCAATGAAGGCGACCTTGGTGCGCTTGTCCTCGTTGGGAATGTTGTCGAGTGACTCGAGGATGGCACGGGCGGCAGTGGCCACCATGCCGTTCTGGATGGCCGCCTGGCTGACGTCGATCACAAAGCAGTACACGGGAGGCTGGGGAGGGCGAACCATGTACTCGGTGGGGGCGATGAACTCGACGACCGAGTGGTTGAGCTCCTTGCGGGCCCAGCGGTCGGCAGGCTTGTTCTCCCGCGAGTCCCAGTCGAAGAGCTGGGGCACCTCGTTACTGAGACCACACATGCAGCACTTCCACCTGTTGCCTCCCTCAGTGAACGTCACAAAGGGGTTGATGTAGACGCGGCAGCGACGGCAACGAGCAATGACCGAATCGGAGACGACAGGGACGGGCTCGTCGCCGTCAGACTCGCGGTACGAGCGGTAGGGGGCCATCACAAGCGCAAGCGGGAGCTTGGACTTGTTAAGCAGCGACTGGGTGGTGGGCATCGACGCCAAGGTGCAGCGCTGGTACGAAGGGTCGGGGTAGATGAAGGCCGAGTTGGTGACAGAGGCGTTCGAAGGAAGGAGCGCCTGGGGTGGTGCCGCGTCAAGACCACGAACATCGGGCTGCATGCCGATCAGGTTGACAGTGTTGACGGGGTGGAGCTGCTTGGGCTCCGCGTACGCCTGCTGTCCGTAGCCGGGCTGCTGCTGGGCACCACCGCCGTAACCCTGCGCGCCGACGTTGAGGTTCTGGAACTGCCCAGTCACCTGGTCAACACCACCCTGCTGGGGGTACGCTGGCTGCTGGAATGCGGGCTGCTGCTGCTCCATGCCTGGAGTGAAGAGCTGGGGCTGGGCAGGCTGCTCCTGGCCTGGGTAACCAGCCTGCTGGGGCTGCTGGAACCCAGGAGCTCCGTACGCCGGCTGCTGAGCCTGCTGCTGGGCCGGGCCGCCGTACACCTCGGCCATCTGAGCGGTCGGGTATTGTCTCCTCTTGCCGTGGTGGGCGACGGCGGCGGCTGCGGGGCCAGTGGGAGCAGGAGGGGAGACCGAGGGGTTGTTGGAAGGGAAGGAAGGCCTCGTGGGCACCTCCCACTGACTGTGGCCAGTGGCCTGGTCTGGAAATGTTAGCAACACGTCATGTCGGCTTGGTTGTGACGATGAGCTCACCAACGTAAATGGTAGCGCCCGCGGCAGCGTCCCTAACAGTCAGTGAACAGGTCTGAAGACTATAGTTTCTCTAGAAGGCGGCCAGGTTGGTGCCATGGCAAGCTGCAGTAGCACAGCCGCTAGGTATTGTTGTACAACTCACCATCGGGCCTCCCATCCCTGAGGAAGCATGACTGGTTGAACGTTCATGGCGTTCCGAGCTCGCCTCGAGTGTGGGTATTGACGGCGGGGTCGTGAACGTTTTAGTGGCGGCTACTCTGCTGCTTGTCGCTGTCTGAAGAGTAGCTGAGGACGACGTGGAAGAGACGGGAAGTGGGGAGGTGTGGTGGTGGTTGTGTGACTGTGTGATTGTACGTGTGCGTCGAGCGTCCAGGTGGCAGCGCGCGCCGGCCAGGCGGCCAGAGCTCGAGCGTGGAGGGCGGCGGGTGTGTCCACAGCGGCGGCGGCCAGGCAGAGAGCCAGGCGCCGTGACGTGCCAGCAGGCCAGCAATCGGGCGGGCCCTTACGCTGGCTCGAGGGGTAATTGCCACACTGCTGTTATGGCGCGGAAATACTCGGCGAATTCAGCTCGTGTGGGTGCCCCGCACTCACCCAGCAGTGCGCTATGTGCTGCCAGTCGAGGCATTGTTGTGACGGTTGCTGCAGCATATACACGCCTCTGAAATACCATCATCTCCATCTCTCTCGCCGTCTCTCAAGCACCATGCTCCAGACAAGTCTGTTGTCAACAGGTCACGCAGACCTCGTCACCCGTAAGCATACACACCTTGCATATAGCAATGGCTACCCCCCCGCCACGAGCTAACACGAACCAGATGTCGTCTACGACTTCTACGGCGTGCGACGTAGGTACGGCTTTCTGACCGCACTGACAATCCAGTGGCCACTTGTTCGGCCGACCACAAGATCAAGCTGTTCAAGAAGCAGACTGACGGAATCTGGGAGCCGGAGACCGAGTGGAAGGTCAGTTGGGGTCTTCCCCTGGGCGGACATTAGCTGACGATCAGGCTCACGATGCTCCTGTCCTGCACCTCTCCTTTGCGCACCCCGTCCACGGCTCTCTCCTCGCCTCGTGTTCGCACGACCGCACCGTGAGGATATGGGAGGAGCTTCCCACCTCTGCCAACCCCGCCCCCGGCGCTGCCCGCTGGGCCGAGCGCGGCACTCTGACTGGCGCAAAGGGCTCCGTCCGCGCCGTCGAGTTCTCGCCCCCCAACCCCGCGTACGGCCTCCGCGTCGCATCCATCGCGACTGATAGCCATCTCCGCGTCCACACGTCGCTGGACCCAGACCTGAGTGACTGGTCGCTCGCCCACGACGTCCACATCCCTTCCCTCGCTGCGCCTGGCGGCCACGAGGACCTCTCGTCCGCGGCGACGCTCACACTCATGGAGGGCCCTGCGACCCCGGCCGAGGCTGCGACTGGCGGCTGGGGCCTGAGCTGGTGCAAGGAGAAGTGGTGGGGCAGCGTTGTTTCCGTGTTTGCCGGCAACTCGTCCACGGCCAAGGTTGTCTCCCTCGACCCCACGCCAACTTGCCTCGTCACCCTGCGTACCGCCTCGGCTTCCCCGCTGACCTGCATTGCCTGGGCTCCTAGCTGCGGCAGGTCATACCACCTGATCGCGACGGGCTCGAGGGAAGGTGCTGTGCGTATTTGGCGCGTCGAGCCGCCTTCCGAGGACGAGGGCACCAAAACCTGGACATCCGAGGAGCTTTGCTCGTTCGCCAAGGGCGTGCGCGTCGGCATGGTCGAGTGGAACGCGACCGGCACGACCTTGTCTGCGTCCACCGACGAGGGTGTTGTTTCCATCTACAAGCGTGAGCTGAATCTCTGGTCTCCTGTGACTGAGCTGACATGTTACAGCCACATACGCCAAGAACTGGAAGCTGTTGGGCCAGATGTCTGCCGAGGAGCCACCAGCCGACGAGGCATAGGGTTCGACATGCCACGAGAAGCGCTGCTGGGACGATGTTCAGTTGCGGACGGACGGGTGCTTGCAGATAAGCATAGATACCGATGTACATGTGTTAATTGGGTACACTCCAACATGTCCAGTCAGCGCAGGGGCTAATCGCAACTGAGCCTCTTTGTTTCATTCCATCCATCTCCTTCGAATGGCATTTGGTAGATGCTATGCTGACTCGGTTGTGGCGCCGAGCCGGTGCTGTTTGCGCAGTCGCAGCTGTCACAGCTGTTGTACAACCGTTCATGCGTTGTGTGATACCGGGGCGCCGTCGAAGGGCTCCTCACCAGACTTGTGATTGCATTGGAGCTGCACCTGCACCCAGGGCCGCGGCAACACGTTCTAAAGATCAAGAATAGCCCAAAGACAACTGGGCTAACTTGGAGGATGAGGTGGAATTCGAGTGTTCAGAGGTTAGAATACATAACCTACGGACCGGAACATCAATGACTCGAAATGCGGTACAGACCAGGCATGTTTGTGTTGACGGGGGCGGCCACCCGAATCTGGGACCACCTCTTGCACGGGTTTCGTGCCCCTCACGATCTCACAATACTGCTGACAACTGCAACTGCACCCATATTTTTGAAGCAATAACTGCATGCACAATATCAAATAAGCGATGGATGCACACCAAACACCCGCGACTAAGCGACCAGCGACAGAAGAAAAGGGAACCTTTTTTAATAATGTACTTGTCTCTAGTTGATGACGGCGATACGGTCGCGGTTGTTCTTGAGGGCGACCAGCCTGGTGATGGCGTCCTCGAGCTTGATGGTCTCGGCACGGCCCTGCACCTCGTCGTCACGGTTACGGATATTGACCGAGCGCTCCTGCATCTCGTCCTCGCCGACAATGCAGATGATGTTGGTCTTGTTCATGGCCGCTGTCCTGGTCTTCTTGGGGAGGGTGGCGTCCGAGAGGTCGACCTCGGCGTAGAGGCCGGCAGCCTTCAAGGCCTCGCAGACCTCGGTGGCGTACGCGCCGTATGCCTTGACCGAGACGGGGATGACGACAACCTGGCGGGGCGAGAGCCAGAAGGGCCACTTGCCAGCGCAGTTCTCGGTGATGATGGCCATGAAACGCTCGATCGAGCCGAGAATGGCACGGTGGATCATGACGGGGCGGTGGAACTGCGAGCCAGCAACCTCTCCGGGAAGCTCGGGGCCGCGGTAGCGGAGACCGAAGCGGTCGGGGAGCTGGAAGTCGAGCTGGATGGTACCGCACTGCCACTTGCGGCCGAGGGCATCGGTGAGGTCAAAGTCGAGCTTGGGGCCGTAGAACGCAGCGTCGGCCTCGTTGATGTGCCAGTTGCCGGGGAGCTTCTTCTCGAGGACGTCCTTGAGCGAGGCCTCGGCCTTGTTCCAGACGTCGAGGTCGCCCATCCACTTCTCAGGGTTACGGGTCGAGAGACCGACCTTGTAGGTGAAGCCGAAGGGCTTGTAGATGGCGTCGAGGAACTCGATGGCACCCTGCAGCTCACCCTCAATCTGGTCAACAGTGCAGAAAATGTGGGCGTCGTCCTGCACGAAACGGCGGACACGGGTCATACCCGAGAGGGCACCCGAGGCCTCGTTACGGTGGAGAACACCAAACTCGGCAAAGCGGAGGGGGAGCTCCTTGTACGAACGCTCACGAGCGTCAAAGAGGACACAGTGACCGGGGCAGTTCATGGGCTTGAGGGCAAACTGCTCGTCCTCGACCTTGAGGACGAACATGTCCTTGGCGTAGTGCTGCCAGTGGCCCGAAGTCTCCCAGAGCTTCGAGTTGAACATGTTGGGCGAGCCAACCTCGACAAAGCCACGCTTGTTGTACTCCTCGCGGACAAAGGCCATGAGGGTGTTGTAGATACGCATGCCGTGGGGGAGCATGAAGGGCGAGCCGGGCGAGAGGTCCGAGAAGAAGAAGAGCTCCTGCTCCTTGGCAATCTTGCGGTGGTCACGCTTGGCGGCCTCCTCCTGGAGCTTCTTCCACTCGGTCATCTGCTTCGAGTCCGGGAACGACATGCCGTAGACACGCTGGAACGAGTCGTTGTCCTTGTCACCAAGGAAGTAGGACGACGAGTTCTGGAGAAAGTGGTTAGCTCCGGACATATTTATACATGCTCTCAAGACTCAAGACTCACCTTGGTAACGGCCATCGACTTGACGCGGCCAGTGTGGGGCACGTGGGGACCAAGACACAAGTCGATGAGAGGACCACAGCGGTAGACAGTCGACTCAGTTCCGTCGGGGACCTTCTCGTTGATGTAGTGCTGCTTGTACTTGTTGTACTTGAACATCTCGAGGAGAACCTCCTTGGGGAGCGAGAGACGCTCAAAGGGCTGCTTCTCCTTGACAGTCTTCTGGCAGACAGTCTCAATGTGCTTGTGGTCCTCCTCAGTGATGGTCTTGTTGTTGGCAAGACCCATGTCGTAGAAGAAACCGCCCTCAGGGAGGGGGGGACCGTAGCCGAGGCAGCAGCCCTCGTACGAACGCTCACAGGCCTCACCGAGGACGTGCGCCGACGAGTGCCAGAAGACCTGGCGGGCCTCGTAGTCGTTGTCGGGAGAGTCAAAGTCAAGGAGGGCGAGCGACACCGAAGCCTCGAGGGGACGGTTCAGGTCCCAGAGCTCCTGGTTGTTGACCTTGGCGATAATGACACGGTCGGCGAGCGAGGCGGCAATGCCCTTGGCGACCTGCATGGGGGTGGTCTCCCAGGCAGTGCCCTCAACCTCCTTGCCGTTGGGAAGAGTGATGGTGATGGGGACGCGAGGCTGCTCGGCAACAAAGGCCTTGTACTTGGCCATGTGCTCGTCAAAGATCTTGATACGCTCAGCGAAGAACTCGGGAGGAGGGCTCAGCTCGGCGCCAACGGCACCGTTGGGACCACCAGAGCCGGCCTTCTTCTCCTTCTTCTGCTTCTGGGGCTTGTCGCCGGCAGGGGCCTTGGCGGGGGCAGCAGGCGCAGCGGCGGCGGCGGCGGCGGGAGCGGACATGTTGGTGGGGTGGGGGTGATGAGGATGGGAGGAGCAGGCGCGCGTGGTGGTAGTCGCGAGGATGGAGCGTGCGAGGGGGGTTGCCCGGGGGAAAGAGGATGCAAAGGCGAATGAAGTAGTGGCAGCCGAGACGAGTCGACGGGGGAGCATAAACAGGCTCTTGGGAGTAGTTTGAGTGGCGAGTCTGGGAGCTCTGATGAGAGAGGACCGAGGGTTGATGGGAGTCACTTTCCAACTTTCGGAGTCGAACAAAACGCGGCGCCGCAGACACGAGAGGGGGCGCACACACACACCGTACACACCACACACGCACAGTGCGTTTGAACATTATTACTAATTACGTAATAATGCCACGTGAGCGGAAGCAATTTGAACACCCCCTCACCCATTCCATTGAACGGCCAACCTCACTCGCGCACTCTCCTGAACTTTGGATCATCGTCAACACAGACTCCACCTCCCCTTCCTTCGTCCTACCTACCCTCGACATCCCCTGCTTGGAGGCTCCCCAGGCGTCTCCTTCAGGCTACTGTCACCCGTCCTTCTCCAGTCTCTTTTCCCCTCGCCCGCCCGTTCTTCTTGCGATCGTTCACGTCCCGCCCAACATGGCCGAGTCCGCCGAAAGCCGCACCATCGTAATCGTCGGCCAGGGCGGCATCCAGACCGATCTTGACCTCGACTCGCTCGCCGATGCTGAGGTTGCTGAGGTTATCCCCGATCTCCTCGCCGACTACTCGGCAGAATGCAAGGACTGGACGCTGATCGCTCGCGAGCATTGGCGTGCCGGGCGTTGGGCGCGTGCCGAGGAGCTCCTCGTCAAGGGCATCAAGTGTGAGTGGTCTCGCATGATCAGAACGTGCTGACCGAGACAGTTTTTGCGAGTGGGCGTCTTGCCGACCATATGGCTCTTGTCAACCTCCATGCGATGCTCGCGCACCTTCATCTCGCGCTGTCGCGCAACGCGCCAAAGTCCATCTTGGCTACTGCCAGTGAGTCCCGTCGTCATCGCAGTACGAAAGGCAGACCTGACGCTTGCAGAGTATGATATCCTCCAGTCGGAAACGCACACGAAGGAGTACCACTACAACGAGGCGACTACCCAGTTGAATCGCGCCGAGGAGGCTCTCAGAGCCTCGGGAACCGGTGCCGACGAGGAGCCCATCAGTGTGGCAATGGGAAAGAGTAAGCTGAACAGACACCGCGTGGACTTGGCTAACCGCTTTTCAGTCATCCTCTACCTAGCTCGTGGACAGCCCAACGTTGCCCATCCTCTGGTCGACCGCTTGCTGCAACGGCAACCAAACAACCTCGCGGCACTGACCGCCCAGGCCCGTTTGCAGTTTGCCAGGCGACAGCATGACCAGGCTTTGGTCACGTACCAGAAGATGCTCCAGCTCAGCCCCAACATGAAGCCTGACCCCAGGATAGGTCTTGGCCTCTGTGCTTGGGTTCTCGGCGACCGGAAGAGGGCCAGGGCGGCTTGGGAACGCGCCATCCACCAGGACGCCGACTCGTGGGCACCGTTGCTACTTCTCGGCCTGTCATTACTCAACATGGCCCGTGAGCTGCAGCACCCTGCCGACAAGCGCTTGAAATACGAGACGGCCGGTGTGTCGCATGTTCAGAAGGCGTTCAGGCTCAATAACAAGAGCACGGCCGCCGCCCTTGCGCTTACTGTTGTCGCCTCCCTGGGAGACAATATCCCCTTGGCGTCCAAGCTCGCCGAACGTGCGATCCAATTTGCCGACAACAGGCGTCACTCGGTTCTCGCCAACTCGGAGCGTGGACGACTGGGATTCATTTCAGGTGACGTTGCCGACGCCGGTCGATACATTGCCGCCGCGAAGGGCGAGGACCCGTCCAACGTCAACATCATGGCCGAGTTGACTCTTGCTCAGATTGCTATCAAAAATGGCAAGTTGACAATCTACAAGCTACATTGCAGAGACTGACATTCAGGCAACCTGCGTGAGGCTCTCAACTTTGTTGAGCAGACTGCGAAGCGCCTCTCTGGCAAGGGCCCGCTGGAGTTCACTGTCCTCCACGCCTCCCTTCTCGCGTACCCTCACTTGGGTATGCCTGCCGACGAGTTGGCGCGTAACCAGCAAACGGCCCGCACGATGCTGTCGGATGTCCAGACGCTCATGAGCGCAGCGACGACCGAAGAGGAGATGGCCAAGCTGCGCGGGATTTCGATGGACCCCGATGTCTTTGTGGAACTCGCCAAGCTCTGGCAGGAGGAGAGCATGGAGAAGGCCATCACCTCGTACCAGACCGCCATCTCGATCAAGGCCGACGCTGGCTCGGAGGACCTGGCGGACACCCAGACCGAGTCTCAAGAGCGCAAGCCCGTGGACTACGCTGCTGTTCGTCTCTCGACCAACCTCGCATCGCTGTACGCCATCCAGGGCCAGACTGAGGCTGCTGAGGGCATGTTCCAGGAGGCGCTCCAGCAACTCTCATCTGAGACGGGCAAGGAGGCCGACATGCTCAAGACTGTAATTGCCTACGACCTTGGTCGCGCAAACGAGCAGAGCGGAGACGCTGGAAGGGCGACACAATGGTTCCGCGACGTTCTCAGGCAACATCCGGAGCACATGGAGGCCAAGGTCCGACTGTCTACTCTGGCTGCTGCTGCTGGCCGCAACGCAGACGCGCACAACTACCTCAAGGAGTGTCTCCGCGCTGACGAGTCCAACCTCACTCTCCGTTCCGCCTACACCAACTTCCTCATTTCGATCGGCTCGTACAAGGAGGCGCTGGCCTTCACCTCGCAGACCCTCAAGTACGACCGCAAGGACGCGTTCACCTTCACCGCTCTCGCCTGGCTGCACTTCACCCTCGGCCGTGAGGCCAAGTCGCCTGCTGACCTGGCCGAGCGCTCAAAACAGTACCTGCGCAGTGCCGAGGCGTACGAACGTGCGCTCTCAATCGACCCCACCAACGCTATCGCAGCGCAGGGTCTGGCTATTGCGCTTGCTGAGGACACTCTTGTCCCCAAGGCCCTCCAGGTCGCTCCTGGCAGCGTCGAGGAGATGAAGACCCGCACTCGTTTGGCGGGTCAGGCTCTGTCCATCCTTGGTCGTATCAAGGACTCCCTCCCCGAGGGTGCCGTCAACGTCAACATTGGTCACTGCTACTTCATCCGTGGCGAGGAGGAGCGCGCAATTGAGGCGTACGGTGCGGCCTTGAGCGCGTATGGCGGACGCAAGGTCTCGGTTCTTCTCTACCTTTGCCGCGCGTGGTACGCCTACGCCATCAAGGAGTCCAACTTCTCTGCCATGGGCCAGGCTCTCAGTTACGCCACCAGGGCGTTCCACGTCCAGCCCAGCGACCGCGCGATTCTGTACAATGTTGCGATGATCCAGCAGAAGGCTGCCGAGATCATGCTTGGCCTCGACCCCTCCAAGCGTCTCCTTGAGGAGCTGCAGCTTGCCCTCAAGCGTGCTCAGGAGGCTGTCACCATCTTCCGTGCACTCGCCGACGACAAGTCTGGTCCTCTGCCTTACGACGTCGACCTTGCCGACCAGCGTGCACGCTACGGAGAGGGACTGCTTCGCAAGGCGCCTGAGCAGATTGCCAAGCAGGAGACGTATGAGGGCGAGGCTGCCGCTCGCGTCGAGGAGGCCCGCCGCGTGCGCGCCGAGGAACAGGCCCGTATTGAGGCTGCCGCGGCTACCCGCCAGGCCGAGATTGATGCCCGTGCCGCCGAGCTCGCCGAGGAGCGTCGCAAGGCCCGCGAGGAGGCGCGCGAGTGGCAAGAGCAGCTGGCGGCCCAGCAGGCCGAGGACGAGGTTCGCAAGAACGAGCGTATCGAGCAGCGCAAGCGCAAAAAGGAGGACCGCGACATTGTCGACGACGACGAGGACGTGCCCGAAGGCGAAAGGCGACGTACGAAGAAGAAGGGCGAGCGCAAGAAGCGCAAGCCTAGGAGGAACAGCGACGCCAGTGACGATGGTATGGAGGTCGACGAGTCGGCTGCCGTCAGCGGCGAGGAGGACGTGGCGGCCTCACGCCGCAACGCGATCGCAATGCTCAAGTCGAGGGTGAGTTACCTGGATTCCCGTTCGGTGCGTTCGAAACTGACATCATCACCAGAAAAAGAAAAAGGCCCAGCGCGCGGCCCACGAGGACCCCGACGAGGACGACGGAGGTGGCGGCGGCGGCGGCGGCCGTCCGACACGCGGCAAGCAGTTCAAGTCCAAGGCTATTATCGAGGACTCGGATGACGACGACGACGATGACGCTGGTGGTGCGCCTTCGCCTGCGGCCAGCTCGCGGGCGGGAAGCGAGCAGGAAGATAACGGGGCGAGCGATGCCGATTCAGACTAGCAAACAGCATTGAGGAATGCATAGATCACCTGCGATGGCTTTGGGTACTGCAGATGCGTGCTTACTACTTACTGAGGCCGCAGACAACGAGGCACAACAGGTACCGTGCCGACTCTTCCAAAAAACAACAGAACAATACGTGACAATTGAGAATCGAGCCTTTGGTGTGTGCCCAACCAATCCTGACACCCATTGACGAGTGAGTGGAGGAGATATCCTCGGACATGTGGTGCCGACTTTACAGGTCAAACTTTCATTCATGGGGATACGTGTCTCTTTACTTCAACTGTCCCGCTTCTGCAGCCATTACCATTTGCACTGTGCCCTAAAACTGGTCGATCCGTCCGAGCACCCACTCGAGATGCTTGTACGCAGCGCGCGGCTGGAACTCGGGCTGCATGTGGCCAGCCATGAATGTCTGGACCCACATGAGACCGCGCTCATAGTGCTGCACGCCAATCACACCCTGGGGACCGTTCAGGCCGTTCAGGCCGCTCTCGTCAAACACGGTGGTCCACTGAACGTCTGCCTCGGTGACGACAAAGGACTCGTTGGGGGCCGACTGGAAACCGAGCTGGCCGTTCCACGTCATGTTCTGGATGGCGAGGAGGGTGGTGTTGGTCAGAATCACCGAGTCTGGAGGGTTAGTCGGACCGGTCGCTCACCCGCCAGCTTGCTTTGACAACTCACCAAAGTCACCGTTCGAGACGAGGACGCGGTTGGTGGCCTCAATAACCTGAGGGAGGACGTGTTGGATCGGGTCGGCACTCTCGTCGTTCTCGCCCTGCTGAGGTCCGCCGTCGCCGACGAACACGGCCGGGGAAACGCCACACAGGCTCCAGTTGACGTTCATCGGAGCATGGATCGCCTGCTTGACGTCGTCACGGTTGGGGTACACAAACGCACCCGCTGGGGTGTACTCAAAGTCACCAGGCATGCCAAGAGGGTCGAAGGGGATGGGGCAGCGATCGTTCTGGGCGTGTCAGTTAACACGTAGAGCAATCACAACTCACGATAGAATATGGATTGAAGCAGGCGTTGATGTCGAACACCTCGTAAAAGACCAGCTGGTCGAAAGCACACGACCAGTTGGCTGGGTTGCTGTAGTTGACGTACATCTCCGGCTGGTTGCCTGGCGGGGGGAAGGTGAGGTAGGTGTTGATGTAGTCGTTCCAGCCACAAGCTTCCTGCTGCTGCGCAAGCTCATTCATGTAGGTGTCGTTGAAACCCCACAGCTCAGCATACTTCTGTATGTGTGGCACCGTGTTCATGGCCTGGCCGGAGGCGAACTCGCCGATACACGGGTCGTACACGAGCGCACCTGCCGAATCAGTTTCCGAGACAAAGCACCTGTGACAACGAAGCCTCTTCTCACCCTGGAGGTCATAGTTCTCGGTGTTGTTTTGGTTCAACATTGCGGCCGAGATGTAGGGCACATAGCGTCCCGCATAAGACTCGCCCGTGATGTGGATCTTGTTGTTCTTGATCCCGAAAGTGTCCTGGAAGTTCTTGAACCAGGTAACAAAGTTGTCGGCAATGTCTTCCTGGCTCTTCGCAGTAACTGTGCCAATGGAGAAGCCTGACAGTGTGAGTTTTCGTCTTAGAGGGGTAAGACCAGAAGGCTTACCAGTCCCAATGGGCTGATCCACATAGAGCATGTTAGTGAGATTGTTCCTGGTGTCGTCAGCTGGTGCCACTTCGTCTTCGGTATCCTCATCGTGGCGCTCACCAACTGTACGGGTTGGGCACAGGCTGGTATGTTGCAGCCCTCCAAATGATAGGACCGTTCTCCTGCCAGAAACCTTCCTGGCTCGAGCAACCGGGACCACCATTGAGCCAGATGGTAACCTCGTCGACGGGATCGCCGACCTTGGGAGCGAAGATGAAGAACAGTGCTTCCGAGTTGTTGTTTGTGATGGGGATCAAGCCGGCGTACAGCTCTCCAAAGTCCCAGTCGACAAAGGGGAGCGACGTGACGAGGAAGGCTGTTGGGTCAGCATTATCTTGCCTCTCCCACATGATCACTTCGACGTGGTCCAGCCCCACGTCAGCTCTCTTCAGTACTCACGTTCAGTCTTGTCGCTCTTGTACCGGTAGGTGTCGTTCTGCCACCTTTTCATGAAGTCATACTGCTCCTCCAACTGGCGACGAGTTTCCTGGTAGATCTTGTGGTTGGAACGGGCCTCACGTCCTTCCTGGGTGTGAGCGCGGAGGCCGGCGAACTGGGCCACTGCAGTCAATGGAAGGAGTAAGGCTAGGAGGAGCTGGACAGGGACCATGGTGAGCCGAGGCGATGAAGACACTGAGCATACTTCCTGTGTGGCCTGTGGTTGAGCTTATATAGCTGTTCCCAGCAAGACCCAAAGCCGCTGTTCCCAGCATGGTTATAGGCCCCAGAAGGAAGAAAGGACCATGCGGTCCGACATCGATATCGCTGCGCTACGTCACTGGCGCGGTCCTAGAGCCGCAGATGCCCGACATGGATATGCCAGGGACCAAATCTCAAAGGTGCCAAGAGAGTCATCACGAGACAAAGTGTCACGCTAGTGCCGTCGCTGGGATCTATGGCTGAGTGCTGCCCATGCTTGCGAGCCCCAAAGTATAAATAAAACAACCATACAGAGCAGCAAGCCGTACTGTAAGTACGTAACGAAAGAGCATGTCGCTTCTGTCAGGTCCTCGGCGACAACAGGCACGAGTTGCTTTACATTGTGGTTTTGCGTCATCCATATCCATTAGCCGGCATGGTTGACGCTCACCCGCGTCCACAGTCAGGTGCACCCAGTGTTCGGTTTAGTTCGTTCTCACCAACTGAGGTGTGACGTTGTACGTCGTGGTATGCTGCATGCCTTCGGGCCGGAGCCACGGCCTCCATATACCCTGCATCATCTTCTTCGAAACAGCGGGTGGCCGTCCTCAAGTCTGTCAGCGCCACGCTGTCCCCGTCCCCACATGGGTGTCAGAGAGCTAGTCTGTGGATCTGTGCCTGGTTCTATGCAGCAACAATCTCCAAGTTAATATTAGACACCGTCATGCTTGTTGACTGGTTCCGTGACCGCCGCCACAGCCCACAAATTCATGTGCAGCACATGTTCGAAGCAGCCTCCGGTCGGAATCGCGGATACACAATTCCGAGCTAATTTATCCATGTGAGTTGTCCAGGCAAGCTGCTTCTGAGCCGCCTGAGTTTGCTCGGCTGCATCCCAGACAGCTTGGGGGAGGGCGATGCGTCGGCAGTAGTAGGAGGATCGGGCTCGGTTCGGGGCAGGGTAGAGGCGCAGTTCTCAGGACACACTCAGATATACAGATAACGGTGTCCTGGCCACTCCTGGCACATTCTTTTATATGGTTTCTCTGGTCAAGACTGTTCTTCCCCCTCTACTCTGTCTACCACCTCTTGTACACCCACTCACCTACCGACACCATTACGCAGCTATGCAATTTCACGCGGAGACCAGAGACCCGATAATTCTGAAAACAGCTGACTAGTATTTATTCCTCGGCATTCAAGATGCCCGCTTAACACCCACCTCCTTCTCTTTATTCTTTATAAAAACCTGCGCTCACTCCAGAAATATCCTTACGCTTACGAGGGTGCGAGAACAACTGCTGCGCGGCGTCGTTTCAATTTTTCTTCGCACCAGCATGGACTGCGAAAACCAACTTTCCCTACTGAAAGGCCGGGCCCCGCAGGACCACATGGGTTCAGATTTTACCGGCCCTTATTGCCGGGGTGTTTGCAGGTGAACGGCTTGAGGGCCGGTTCTCCCTGTACCTGACAGGACCACTCTTAAGCGATGCACATGCACTGGGCTCCAATGTGGCCCCGAGTCTAGCGCACCCCTCTACTAACGCAAAGGAGGGAGGTCGCGCGAGCACTTTTTCACTCTGCACACTGCAGCACTCAAGATGGTCCGCAATCGTTTCACCAAGGCCTCGCTGGTCCTACCCAAGGAGGACAGCTGCATCGCCCCCGATGGAGTTTGGACCAACAAGGACATGGACCCCTCCCCTCCAGAGCACCGCACCTGGACTAGCTGGACGTTCTTCAGCTGTAAGTCGCCTCCGGTTTGATCGGAGCTGATCCAAGACTGGGTGTGCGATCTCTTTCAGCCAGTGAGTAGCGATGGTGGATGTGTGGAATGGTTACAGTGGCAATGGTGACAGCGGCTGACTTCGCAGGGTGGTTGGGCTACCACTGCGGCCTTCGTCGGCATGGGCTTGACATGGTGGGAATCATGTCTTGCCGTGTTGACTGGAAGCTTCCTCTCCGCCCTTGTTATTGCCCGTAAGTGGACCAGGAATCGTCAAGGAGATGCTTGTGACTAACAATAACAGTTAACGGTGTGACCGGTGGAACTGTGCACACCCCGTTCGCCGTCACAAGTCGTGCTACATACGGATACTGGGGCAGCAAGTTTGTCGTCTTTGTGAGTACCAAACCCAAACCTCTGGCAGCTGTGCTTGGCCCGTGGTGGCTGTCAAGGCGGGGTAGTCATCCATATGGCCAGCACATGGCTGAGCCTGGACTTTGCCTAACCTGCGTTTCCTGATGTTTCTGAGCTGACCACCTTAACTCCAGTCCCGTTGTGCCATTGCTACGTTCTGGCTGTCGATCAACACCTTCTCTGCCGGTCAATACGCTTCGTACGCGATTGAAGCCATCTGGCCCTCGTACGGACGCATCAAGAACAGCGTCCCTGTCGCCCAAGGTGCCACGACCATCGACTTCATCAGCTTCCTGATCATTTGGATCATTCAATTCCCGTTCATCCTGATTCACCCTTCCAAGCTGCGCTGGGTCTTTCACATCAAGGCTATGCTTGTGCCCGTTGTGGCTCTTGGAACTATGATTTGGGCAATCGTTAAGGCTGGTCCTCTTGCGAGTGAGGCACTCAGCACACCTACCAACCGTGTCGCTCCTGGCAAACTGCGCTTCATTGCCTTTATGACCGCTGTCACCTCGGTGCAGGGCACTTGGGCTACGATGGGTGTCAATGTTGGAGACTTCTCTCGCTACACTCGCAAACCCTCCGCATCCTGGGCTCAGCTCTGGGCTTTCCCCATCATCAACACCCTCGTCTCCATCGTCGCTGCCATTACCGCGGCATGCTGCCAGGCTATTTACGGCGATGTGCTTTACCAGCCCTACCTGATCGTCGCCAAGTGGAACACTTCTCCTGGCGCCCGCACTGCAATGTTCCTTGCCAGTATTCTCTGGGCTCTTGCCAACGTTACTACCAACGTTACGGCCAACTCGATTTCGGCCGCCAACGACATGTGCGCACTCGCTCCAAAGTACATCAACATTAGGCGCGGTCAACTCATTGCAGTCACAATCGGTGTCTGGGGCTTTGCCCCTTGGAAGGTTCTGGCCAGCGCCAACAACTTCCTTACCTTCATGTCGTCCTATTCGGTCGTTCTCGCCCCCATCGGTGCTCTGATGGCATTCGACTTCTTCATCATTAAGCGCCAAAAGTACGATGTGTACGCTCTTTACCAGCCATGGGGCATCTACCGCTATGCCAAGGGCTGGAACTGGCGTGCGTACGTCGCTCTTATCTTCGGTATCGCGCCAAACATCCCTGGTATGGCATCGGCGATCAACGAGAAGATTGAGATCGGTAACATCAAGTACGTCTACATGGTGTCCAACATTACCGCCGATTTTATCGCTCTGGCAGTCTACTACATCCTGAATAAGGTCTTCCCCGCTGCGGAGAGTATCATCCCCAAGGCGGTTCATGAGACTGGACTCCCAATCGAGAATGACATTATCCGCCCCTTCCCTATCCGCGACTACGAGGACAAGGATGAGACAGGCAACGCCATTGTCGATGTAACTGCCCCCAGGGACTAGTTTGATCGCAATGACGGAGGAAGAGTAGTTTGATAGCAATTGATAGTGAGACAGCAGGTGATTGGGATGGATCAGCGCCTTGGGCGCGTCACTGGGTAGATAACATTTGAGTGACGCGGGACAGATAAGATTGCGTGTGCAGATCCGAGTGAGGATATCAGTCTTGTTGGGATCGGCACTGGGGAAGATCTCCAACCTCGCTGCTACATCCCTGCTCCCTCATGAGGCTGCCAGCCACAGTTGAGTGCCAGCCCTGCCAATCGTCCTGAATAAGTAATGACAGTCCGAAGACTGTCAAACGTTGTGTGGACGAGTTAGGAATCGAACCAAAGACCTTGTCAAGTAGGGTAGAAGATGCTAATGACACGCTCTACCAACTGAGCTACACGCCCGTTTACGTAAGCAACTTTTCTGTCCTGCTTCTGAGCCTGCAGACGCGTTTTCGATAGCTGGCAAGCGACGGCAGAACCTTGTGGGACGTTTTAGATGTGGGTTCAAAGGAAGGAGGTCAGAGTCTCAATGATCGGTAGGGGAGATGCAGATCGCCATGGAAAATAGCCCAAAAATGAGCCAAAAATCCCACCGCTTCGAGGATTCATGCGACACCTTCACTCCACCTTCCCCGGCTTTCGTCGTATTGTGTTCTGGGCTATGCACCAGCTTCCGTTGTGGTTCTTGGCTCCTATAGCTAGTGACTGCATAAAGGAATAACTTACGTAATTGGCCGCTTAGCTCAGCTGGTTAGAGCATCGTACTAATACCCAGCCTTGGTTACTAGTTCATGCGGAGGTCGGCAGTTCGATCCTGTCAGTGGTCAGCGTGAGGCGCTGGTCTTACCATCTCTTTTGGTTTTGATGTCTGTCTCCCCTGAGGGACGAAGTAGAGTGCGGGGGGTGATGAGGCGACTGGGAGTGAGTGCCACTGGACCACTTCGAAATCTGGTCCTCCGAGTCCTCGATGTAAGTTGTGTGTGCTTTATTGCACTGCTCACATCTGCAGCCTTCAACCGACTTTGGGGGCGTGCTAGTGTGCTAGTGGGCATTGCATCCAGCCCACGACACAGTTGGGTTCACGTTATGCCACGAATTCCGATCGGGATGCGTGTTTGCCAAGACCTGTGGGAGCCGACCGAAGCGAGCTGTGACGCCACGGCGCCACAGGTTCACTCGCTAGCCATGCTTAAACAGCTTTGGGCGCAACCGTCTACGTCTCCATCTCCACTCCCACCATGACCACCACCACCACCAGCGCTGAACGCCAGCAAGCGGCGAGAGAGACCTTCCCACTCAAGCACACATTGACTACTATCAGCGGTGGCTGCACGTTTACCACCGTGTTCTACTCGGCCTGCAACATGTATTATCATGCCCCAATGAGCGAACCAAAGACACCAGAGGACCCAGATACACCAATCGCGTCGGACCCTCCTCGAACGGACATACGCTTATTGGTCCTGCCTTTCTACTGCGCTCTACTGGTCGTGATCCACCTCCAACGATGGGTCTACGGTCGACCACAGAGCTGTGGCCTCTACACCGGCTTCATCGCTGAAGCTGGGTTTGCGATTGCGATGGTACTGGTCTATGCCGCTGGCATGTCGAAGAAGTGGGCCTCCGTGACCTTTATTCTTATGTACGGTGTGGTGTATTTCGAGCTCCTCATCCGTTTTCGTATTCATTACAAGAAGTTCTGCCGGGAACTCGACGCTCAAGAGGCGACTGCGGATCTGGAGCTTGGCACTGCCGCTGCAGAGCAACCCGCAACCACCCCGACCACACAACAGTCCGCGCCCGCAACCACCCTTCCCATCAGCGCTAAGACCATCATCACCCAGGCCAAACGCCAAACTGTCGCTACACTCCTCGTCACAGCCATTGCGACGGCTCTCCTTATCCTCGCAGCTCGACCGGACGAGGACACCCTCACGCCGCTCGACGCCACAATGGCAATCTATGTGCTTTCCTGGGCCACATACCTTGCTGCACTCTGCAACTGGAGCCGCCTGTTCGTCTCGAACACTGCAGTTGGTGTGTTAACCTTTGTCGCACCATGTACCGCCCTCCTGCCACCCGCCATCCACCTGTTGAACGTCTACCATCTCACGCCTACTTTTGGTTCCGTCGAAGGCCTCCTTGTCCTCGCGGTACCTGTAGCAGCCATCGTCGCGGTACACTTGTGGTATATTCGGGTGGCCCATGAGCAAAGGCTACACGCCGAGCCCATGGAGTGGGAACCCAAGCGTTCGCATGGGTGGTGGTTACCCGCAATCCCTCATTTCTTCACTACCTCGCTCCTATTCCTTGCCGCGGCGCCGAGGGGACATCCGTTCCACACTCTGCTCTCGATTCCAACCCTCCTTGCCGCTTCCCTCTTCCTCTGCCTCACGCTCGCTGGGCACTTCAAAGCGTGGATGTTCCAGCACTCGGACCGGCCCCCTCTCCGGCATCTGGCAATTGTTTGTACCACCTTCCTCGCCATCGTGCTCGGCGTCTTCCTGTCCGCCTGGCTGTTGGTCCCCGCTGCGTTCATGGGGTTTGTTTCGATCATCCGCACGTATAACCGCATCATCAAGGAAGAGGCTCCAGAACAGCAGGAGGAGATGTTGACTGCTATCCTGCCCAAGGCGTGAACAGGACGCAGTGTATATAGTTCGTGGAATAGTTTGTAAATGCACACATTGATAGGCTTCTTAGAAGAGTGTGTATTCTCATGCTGCTGTCTGAGGGCACCATTGTCGTCCATGAGGAATGCCCAAATCGAGCAACGTTCTCGGCACTGCGTACACTGGGTCGGGTAATAAGAGAGTGGTATGCCTCGCAGCGTCAGAGAAATGAGGCACTAGGAGGTTCACAGCATTTTTAGTTTCACGGTCTTAATAGAGTTTCATAGTCTTGGCAATGCCAGAATATACAGAGGCGTACAAGCCGAATGCTTTGGCGTACAACTAAATATGCTAGGGCCTGGAGTGGTGTGCAATGCGAAATGATGTGATTGATTGGGGTCCACCGAACACTGAGCTCGGCTCAGTTGAGCGACCGTTTGGCGAGCTGGAAATGACGGTGAAATGCTGAAATGTAGACGCCGGACGGGCCAAGCGGCCGCGAGGCACCGCGGCCGATAAAAAAAAACTGGATTCCTGAGGCCTGAAGCTTGGCTTCCACTGTCCAGTTTCGATTGTGGTTTAGGCGAACTGTTCGTCTGGGGACATCGTGTGTCGTGCATTGGTCGTTTGCGTTGGGGTCATGGCCATGGCCGTGGATGCCAGGATGTCATGAGATGCTGCGACGAGCGGCGTGCGCGCAGCGCGTTTGATCGTCAAAAGGTGCACGTGCAAGTGTGTGGTCCCTGAGACGTCGGATGGTGGAAGGGACTTCGTTGCGATAGAACCACGTCGACCATGAGGCGCACATGACTCGTGGCTATCGTGATCCTAGATCGTCGAGCGCAGTCGAGAGGGTTGTGGCTTTGCCACTTAGGCATGTCCAGCACCGAGGATGTGCAGGACTCGACGCCACCCACGGCAGAGCGATGAAGACTGAGCTGGCGACTCTGTGCGGCGCTTGTGGAATTGCACAGAGGGGGGAGCGGATCCCGTAGTGGTCGGTGACAGCGTGTGAGTGGGAGAGTTGGCCACAACGGAAGCGGCAGGAGAAACGGAGGGAGTGTGCTCGGCGCGCCACTGGGCGGCAAACTCGGCCGCCTCTGATGCCGACGCGCGGCGGGCGTGCTGGCTTGCGCTGGACGCACGCTTCGGTGCACCCGACTTCTTGCTCTTCATGATGCCCCAGCCGCGGCCCATGCCTTTGCGCTCTCCGGACCACCACGAGCGAGCGGAACGCTTGCCACCGCTGTTGGATCGGTGGATGTGAAAGTCTTGCAGGGGAGCACCCATGCCAGCGTCGGCGTAAATGTCGCCAGGCGTCACCTCATGAGTGTTGTCATCGGCGGCCCCAGTGGTGGCGTGGCGCGCATCGTTCGAGGCATGCTGCTCTGGATCAAAGAAGAAGGAGGACGGTTGAGTCGGAGCGCGAATGAAATCGTCGCGTCCGTAGTCGGCGGGGTCGATTGTGCTCTGGGTGAGGATGCTTGAGCCGCCCATGGTGTGCAGTAGTGTGTTGTGCAGAGGACAGAGGATGTTGGTCGTGCTCTCAGTAAAAGCTGCGATCAGAAGAGGCTCGGATCTGTCGGGAGTGGTCGCGATAAGTGAGGCGATCAGGGACAAGGCGAGGGATATCGGGTGGCGGCGCTCCGTGTCGGACTCGATTGCGGTAGAGACGGGCGGTACAGGCTGGAGTTGGGTGGCTACAGTAGTGGAGGATAAACGTGAACGTGTCAAAGTGGGCTGCATGAAGACCAAACACCAAGGGATGATATATATGTATAGACATCTGGTGGGTGCACACGGAATCACCGGCCGATGCTCCACAGCAACGGCTTGAGACACCTGGCTGGTTCGGTGAGTCATCCGCCCAACTCTCCGACTCGGCACCACTGAGGTCATATTTCCACCGTGCTGCCTCTCCTCGTTCCCCCTTCCGCCCAGTTTGCCACCCAACACGTTCCAGATCGTTCACGGGATCTGAACCTAGACAAGGTACCAACGGTACCCCGTTGGCCTATGCATATGCGATCGTGCATGTTGACTTGTTGACATTTACCTGAAGGGAGGATGCCTGTGTATTTCTCCGTCGACAGCGTACGCGTCAATTTTCGACCTCGCAGAGCACCCTCAGCCTACTTCTGGACTAGTATTCTGCAGTTGCTGTCATGCAACAACATGCTCCAACATGCTCAACAACATGCCCACTCAGCCTCCACAAGCAGCGTGCTGACACAGCATAGGCATATAGGCCCAGGCGGAAAGCGAGGTGGATGCCAAATGCTTGCAAAGCCATGACGCTCTTCCGCGGCCGTCGGCTGAGACATCCGTGGCCCAGGCCGTCAGGCCGCAAAAGCGGCCGGACTTTCCGCACATCAGTTACTAAGGGCAATGCATCTAACAACCGGGCTAGATTGCCTGTCTGATCACCATTCCACCACCTGAGTCGCTTGAACTATTAACGGCACCTATTTCGCTTTGATGTTGACACTCGTGTCTCGCCACACTGTGGCATTAATGACACGAGGCGAGGAATGGGATCGCCACTGACACCATACGGTGGCATTGATGACACGCAGCGAGGAATGGGAAGGTGAGGAATGGGACCGCCACTGATCCACTGAGCTCATCCACTGAGCTGTAGCCGCATGGTGGTGGCTGCCAGCCGTGCACGATCTGTGTCCAATGTTGGTTTGTTCGATGTGGGCAGCTACAATTGCCTGCTGTAGACGTAACTCAACGGAGTCACTCCCCGTCGGCTGTCCAACGCCTCGCCTTGAGTTCAACAGAGTCGATGGTGTATCCCTTGGGCCCAGCACTGAGGCGAACGCCCTCGTCGCGCAGCATGCGGACTTTGGTGTCGACGACCTCCCCTTCCTTGGTCCTGGAGGTTGTGTCAGTGGCGCCCTAGTTTGACCGAGACCTCTGTCACTTACTCGCCAAAGAATCCTCCCAGTGCGCCACTAGAGGCAACGACGCGGTGGCAAGGGACTAGAGGGCAGAAGGGGTTCCTGCGGAGCGCGTTGCCGACAGCGCGCGGAGACGTGTCGAGATGCTTGGCAATGTCGCCGTAGGTTGACAGGGAGCCTGGTGGAATCTGCGTGGACGTGGGGTTAATGAGGGTACCAGGCATATGGCCACATTTCAATCGTACCTGCTTGACAATGTCGTAGACAGACCACTGGAACGGCGTCACGGCGACGGTATTGAAGCTGGCCCTCTCTTTGCCGACGGGGTAGATGATGGATTGCGGGCTGCGAGACACAACCGAAGCAAGCTGGGAAGGTGAGACGTGTGGCGACATGACCTGGCGTTGGTGAGAGATGGAGTAACAAGAACAGAGTGGAGGGGGGAGCCTTGGGCACGGTAATATATATGGACAGTCGCGTCCAGTCCAGTCACCTTTGTGGGTGTCAACATTGCTTTCAGAGTGGACTTGCTTTCAGAGTGCTGCTGCGGGGGCGGCACCCGCGCGCCTAATGATGAGAAACCAATAATGTCGATCGGTGGGCCTTTTAGGTCGTCAACAATGCGTTAATGCTCCCGCGTGGGCCCAAAAAGCCCCCGGGCCCCGGGCCAAAGTGAAAGAAAACAGAAAGGAAAATACTCCCGGCGAGGGCGGTCGTGTGTGGCAAATAAGAGAGCCTTGTTGTGACGTTGTTAGAGACCGACGGGAGGGATTAGGTCCTGGGTGCACTTGTGGATTTTGCATTGCGCTGGCAATGTTGACCGCGATAATCCAGCCAACTGTCCCCAACAATCAGGTGATATAATTTGCCAAGCTAGGCACATACCCGCTGGGTCTCGCTGAGCTCCGTGTCGGGGTTCCAGACACCCAACGACGTTTCGACTGGCAGGTACTGCGTTTCAGTCTTCCTCGTAGCGAACGCTGTGATGCTTGTTCATCCCGAAACGGCCCCATACTATCCCGAGACGGACCCACATATATGCAGAAACCAATGTGCTTGCCAGGCGGGACGGTCGTGGATACGAAAAGCAGCAAGTCGCGGGTGTGGCGGTCAAGTGATCAACGGACAACCTCCGAGTCGGAAAATGTTATATGGTGAGGACCTGTACGTTCCAGCCATGGACCATATATCGTGTGCGCCCATCGACAACTTCTCCACATCCATCTTATTAGTCAAATATCCAAAGTCTCCCCCTACTCGATGTTCAGCCTTGCGACTCTCACAACGACGAGAACAATCAATAAGCACAGATGACTACCTGTCGGACGCTCCGTCACTATTTATGGCCTGGACGGCGCTCCCGAGCGGAGTGAAGTTGCTCCGCCAGTCAACTTCGCAGCATACCACCAGGCCCTAACCCCAAATGCATGGGCTTGACTGACCGCATTTCAGGCGCCGTACCTCTGAAGGGCACCGGGGGTACATAGATCATGGTGGTTCCCTGCAAGTATGGGGAGGTTTGTAAGCCGCAATTTTGGGCGATCCACATGCAGCGCAGGGCAGCGACGATCACGACAAGCCATGCCACACAAGTCAGGCTGTTCGGCGCCACTAGCTGCACGTCACCCGAAAGTTGCAATACCTCGCTACTGGGGACAAGCCTTCCGACTCCGAGCCCGATGTCAACGATGTCAGCTTCGCTCATCGTGGATGCCGAGTCACGTTACCAGCCACAGGAATGCCCTACCACGAATCGCAGGCGATGGGGACGCGTCGGCCGTTCCACTAGTGACGCATGCTTGCAGTTCTGTCGGCGAGCGTGTGAACTACGGCGTGCAACCGACAGGCCGGTCGACGTGTGCTCTTGTTTCCGCCTGCAGAGTGAGGCCGGTGAGTTGTCTTGTTCCTGCTCCACCTCGGACCAAATAATTGGCCCAACATGGCGGAATGCGATAGCTTGATCCAGGCCACGTCCTCTCATAGCAATGATGGCGTACGTTAGGATCTGTACTAAGGATGACGCGTCTGACTTGTATTCGACTGACCAGCACTGTTTATTGAAGAAGAGTTGCAGACAAGTCAACGCACCATTACCATGTTGGGTCCATCAACGGTTCAGTCTCTTGACACAGTGAGGTCCAGTAAAGCATTACGTTCTGGTGAGGCACTGATAACCCCAAAGAAGGTGTGGGTCGCTGCATCGCTGCCACTGTGCACTGTATCCAGTCATCCCTCACCCGTCTAACTTCCACGGCCCAGAGCCCCAAGGGAATCGGATCGTCAGGGCGACGAGCCTGCCATGGCGTCCTGCACGCGCTCGCTCTCCAGGAGTCGGGGAGCCAAAGGGTGCGAAGTGGTGGCCATCGACGATGCGCAGCCCTCCGAAATCCATCTTTTGCCCTTGCCGACCCGGCGCAGCTGTCTTGAAGGCTTGGCGTATTGAAAGACCCCACGAGGGGTCGGTTCACGCACGGAGGTCGGCTCGTCCACGTACGACTTGTCGCCCACACCGAACGCCGGTTGCAGTGGGCCCGGCACAGTGCTCCTGGGTTGGCAACGGTGTGGCAACCATGCGCTGTTTTCACAGTGAGTACCCAGGTCTCCCTCAATTGCCATGTGGCATCGAACGTCAACCAGGCATCGAAGGCGGGGACAACCAGCTCGTGATCGTCGTATGGGAAGTCTGAAGCTGGCACTTGGCGTGGCCACATGGTCCCAAGTTACCGACCGCAGGGGGTCTACGTCGGTTCCCCGTCGACGATTAGTCAGACAGCAAGATTGCTTAGTGTACAGGGCAGTAAGATCTCACTTAAGAAGCGCCGAGGCGTGGAAGAAACCCACATCCCTCCCACTGGCCGTGAGCACCTCTCCGAAGCGATGACAGAGCTGACCACAGGACGCGTGCAGCCAGGCGGTCATGCAAGCTCGTGTGGTGCAGACGAAGAGAGTGGCATGAAGCCATTGCCGGATGTCATGGGGGACACTGAGCAAGAAGGATGTGTGAACACCAGAGTGACCTTCGGTCCTCAACAATTGGGTCTGCCATCTGCCCACCATGGCGTCCCCAGTGTGTGCTCCACCTTGGCACCACTCTGGCATCATCCCGGCATCGAGATTGGCCCCTTATGGTGTGAATTGACCCAGCTGGCTATGTGGAGCGCATGCCCCGGCGGCCAGGCCTGAGCGGGCAACACACGTCGGCATATTCTCTCGCACACGCCATGAGGCAACCGTGGCGCCAGCGCCGCCCCCGGATGAACCGACATTGCGGATCATGTCGGGCCCTATCGACCTTTATCCCGCCGTCACACACAGCGATATAGCGTTGTTCGCTTGCGACGCGTGCTTTGTGCGCTGGGCCTGCGCCTTGCGTGTTGGACGATGGGCGCGATGGGGCGTATCAGCCACACGCTCGTCGACCATCAAGTCCTCAAGAGGTCCCACAGGTGCGCAGCGGCGTTGGGCCCCACCCAAGACCGGTGCCTCGCACCCGCTGCCGTGTTTCGTTTTCGTCAGGATATACGGGTGAGCACTTTACATCTGCCTGAAGTGATGCGGGCCACGGAGGGCGTAGGATGGGCCTGCGCGACAATGGGATGGTGAGGAGGCGTGCTTGTGTATAACATCCGCGCGTCACGTTCGTCCCATCCCACTCGCGCCCAAGGACGGAGAGGAGGGTGAAAAGATTGGTCGTTGAGGAGGATTTGTTTACTTTCCGTGAAATACCGGAAATTAAAGAGGATTGTGGAGCAGAAACGCAAGGGCTGGCCTTTTGTGGCGGAGCGGGCGGATGATCGCGGATCGGAGGGTGCCAAGGACCTCAGCGGTCAATAGACCTGGCAACAGCCATCAGGTGGGTTACCGGGCGCCGTGTGTCCTCTGATCTCTGACGAGCTCACCGAGTGCCAGCTGGGGCTGGACGTGTATGCCTTGTGCATGCCCAAGCTGGCTGCGACACGATGCAGTCCAAACACACAGACGTATAGAGACACCGATAGATGTCGGAAATGATCGACGCCACGAGGACGCTCAGGTCTCACGACAACAAAAGAGCGGATTTACCATCACCTGACACCACAATTCGGCCATGAAAGCAAGAGACAAACGAGAGCAACAGGCACCCAAGGGATCGCCTTGTGGGGACAATGCTGGGCGACGTCGTCTTCTCGGCAGGTGACCGGCAAGACAGGTAGTCACTTGATGGAGCTAGCTGCGCTTTGCCTGGCGGGGAGACTGACAAGGGCGCCGGCCAGCCTCCTGTGACGAAATGGCTCTCGGAGTTCGGTGAGAGTGAAAAAAAAGCACCAAGGCTGTTCAACCTGTTCGTGATGTGCACAGTGAATGCATGCACGGAGCTACACTGTATGGTATGCAATACTTCTGATCCTGATCGTGACTCCAAAGCTCCAACTCCAACAAGGTTCCCGGCGGGAAGACGGCAGCGGCTACGGTTCGTATGATTATGATGGTGCACCTTACTCGGCCTTGGAGAGCATGATGGGGGGAGCGCGGATGAATGCGTAGGTGACGTCGGGGGTCCAGTAACCAGACAGCGCGGCCCAGTAGCCAAAGCTGCCGGCGATGAGCTGGAAGGCACCGGCCGCGACGCGGGCGTGGTCGGAGCCAGTGAGGTTCTGGATGGCCATGCACATGAAGGCAATGCCGGTGAACGAAAGCGTGCCGAGGACAGCGACCGACGAGCGGAGGGCGGCAAGGCAGAAGAAGAAGGTGACGATGGTCCAGACGACCATGAAGAGGCCGATGGCCTGGTTGAACTCGTCGGTGAGGACACCGTCGACCATGTAGGCCTCTGTGACAGCGAAGCCGGGGAGGAAGAGCATCGAGTATGACCAGATGAAGCCACCGTAGCAGATGAAGATGGTAGCAGAGAAGGTGTTTCCGATGAACATCTCGAACCAGCCAACAAGGGTCTGGGTAATACCGAGGAACATGTCTGAGGGGGAGGTTAGAGACTATTCCGCAAGACCAAGGTGCGAAGCACTCACTCAGAAGCGGGAAGACGGCGTGGGGGTGGACAACACCGCGGACGTTGAGGGTATACAGGCCAACAACCCAGAAGCCAGTAGCGAACGAAAGGAGGCCGGCGGGCAAGGGGTTACCGAACTTGCGGTGCTGGGCAGGGATGGCGGGCTGCGAGTAGTCGACTGGGTGACCACCCGGAGTAACAGTGCGCTCGATGTGAGCCGGGCGGCCCTTCTCGAGGTCTCCAGCGCCGAGGTAGACGGGGGTTTGGTGGTCCTCAGAAGCGGCGGACATGCTGGCTGTGCTACTGGAAGATATGGTGAACAGATGGGGGTGTTTAAGGAGCTGAGCTGAGGCTCGTTGAACGTTTCTTGACAAGTGGTGAAGACGTGAGAAGTTGGAAGAGAGCTGGGGCTTTCATTCTTGTCTTGGATGTCAGCCTTTATGTACCCATCCGGACACTGCCCGCTTCGCTTTGTTGGCTGGAGGCTTGGCCTTTCCGGTGGATACCGGCCGCCACGACCAACAGTGAGCCACTCAATCAAAGGGAGCAGTGAGCGGAGGTGCCCCGAGTGGCCCCGTGGGCACAACCTGACCAGGCACCCGACCCGCTCGCATTGCGGCACTGGCGCACTGGGCAGCGACCCAAAGGGCCTCCTTGTTCATACGACCGCTGCGGTGGTGTTGCTTTGCATGCCACAGGTCATGTACTCCCGCCCCGACCCGACAGTTTCCCCAGAGCAATACCGATCAAAGATGGGTTGTCTGAGCTACTTTGGATCTATGGAGCTGGTCCAAAAACAACCCTTCATGCCTTTCGGAGGCCCGTTGGAGGTATTCAGTACAGATGTGACAGTGCTATGGGGCCGGGGGAGCTGACCCCGATGTACTAGCGTATCTTGGATGTGTCTTGCTGAGTAAAACAGCACTCGTGTTGCAACATCGTTCCCATGGCCATGGTCGTCACAGGTTTTCATGGTCGCTTGCGGAGCAGAGTAGATGCCCAGCAGATCTCTGGCTTTTCTGTAGGGATCTGGCCGACATGCCGAGCCCCCAAGGGTTTCGCTCCCGCACAACGTTTTCACTCTGAGCACTGTGGGTGCAAACTGTCCGCTCATGCCCACCTCTGGGCCGCTGACGAGATTATCAGCCCAATAGCATGTACTATGGACCCGGGTATCGCCAACCCGACCGGTACAACGTTGCGGCGTCGTTTTTGATCTTTGTGCACATCGACCTCGATGAACGTTTGTACCTGTACGACTTGCTGTCCCCAATCGATCGGTGACCGTTTAGTCCCGTGTGCCATTGCGTTTTCTCATGCGTCTCACTCGTGACCAAAGTTTAAAACATGTACCCGGCACCCAGTAGCCGACTTCTGACGCACTTCTGACCACATTGTCCTCTTGGCATCTCTCCGAGATTCCCACATCAGGCAATGATAAAATGGCCGTGCATGAGGGCATGGCCCTAGGTGACTTGACCGAGGACCTGCGGAGCAAAGAGGACCCCCTCGGTGGTACATGTCCCATCTCCTACAAGACGGGTGAGGTTACATTTGCGGCACAGGGCAGCCTTGTGGTCCCTCGGGATTGGCAATTGCGTTCCAGTACAACCTGTACCATTGTGTCAGCTCTCACATGTCACAGATTAGCGTGTTACGGGCAACGCCGCTGCCGATGTCGTCGCGTTTCGCTCATCTAACGGACGCGGCAGATATCGGACGATGCCAAACACCCCCCTCCCCCAACAACGCTTCACTCACAATGTTTGGATGAGCGGGTCGGTGATCGACATTTGCTCTTGGGGCGCCGCAAGTGGGGCAGGGTGCTCAAAACCAAGCATGAGTCCAGTGTCGAAGGCTGAAGCTGACGCCACAGGATCCATACCGTAGGCGTTGGCACCTGCCAGCCCAGGAACTGAAGACGTTTGGTACGGGACCTGGTTGTGGGGCTCGCCTGTCGATGGGACACCGTCCGATTGTCTGCCAGGTTAGCCAGTCATGGATGGGAAAACGTGAGTACCCACAATGTCCCAAACAACATGTCCAGGAGCGCATTCTCCTCCGTGTTGTTCCCAAGAGAGCCCTCCACAGGGGTGAGTCCAGTCCCCTTGCCAGTTGTCGTTGCACGAATCCTCTCGCGCAGGCGGTTGAGCATCGGCAGGGCTCTGCGGGCAACACCGGAATGGCGGGACATTTGCTCAATGATATCGTGTGATGCCAAAAAGTCGGCCCGCACGTCGTCGGCCATCATGCTCTGCGGCACTCGGCGAAGTACAGTGTATTGGATCACGGCAGCGGTGTAGGCGTGGACTACTGTCAGCTCCAGCGCGGCTTAGAAGAGCTTACAGATGAAATACCACCAGCCATACGCCGCCTGAGGGCAACGGTTGAGAAGCGACGCCACCAAGCGTGTGTGCTTCCTAGCTGAAGTGACGCAGGTGGTGAACGACGCAGCATACGGCCCCAGCAACGGCTCACTACCCGTCGCCACTGCCTTGAAGAAGTAGGGGCGGTGAAGCACTGACGTCAGCGTCATACGCACAAAGCAACTCACTCAGTAGGCCCTTGTGGAAGAACATGGTGGCCGAATGCTGCTGGATCATGTGCTTTTGGCTGAGGTTGAAGCGATCAACGTTGCCTTCGCCAAAATCGGACCACTTGAGCCACACAGGCGCGGCAGCCTCGACGCGGCGGATCTCCGAGTCAATCTTGACCACCTCGGAGTAGTCTGGAAGGATTGTCGCGGCGAGGTAGTCGACGACATACACGAACGACTGGCCAAGGCGGTAGAGGAAAATGTGGAACACAGAGTCGTCGGGTGCCAGTCCGCCGTCGGCGGGCATGTCGGGCATCGGGCAGTCGTAGAGCTGTCGAGGTGTCGAATACGGCCGGCCAAAGTTGAGGCTCTGCAGGACATCGTATGTCGTGCACTCCCACCACAGCACCCTTCGGTGCTCCTGCTGCTCAACGGACAGACCCCATTCGGACGCGTCGCGGTGTAGGCCAATGGAGCAGGCAATCCGGGTACACATGCCCAAAATCTGCCATGCTGCCTTGGTCCCATCCGAATGTCCAACGTTGAAGAGGTACGAAACCATCATGTGTAGGGTCTCGACAGCCGCCATGGAGTGACGGACCATGAAATGACGTTCTGGGACACACAGGAGGGCAGAAGCGGCGTTGAAGAGGGCAGCAGATTGAGCCATTGGGCGGTCAGAGAAGACCATACCGAGGGCCAGCACCATCAGAACGGTGGCCAGGCGGTGTGGTGGGATGTGATGGATCGCCTCATTAATGGAGGAGTTGCTGTAAATGCCTTCGAGAATGTGGCCGACCGCGAAGCGATCAACGGGGTGGTACATCCACTCGACCAAGTCATCTATTGGGTAAGCCTTCCACTCTATGCAGCAGGCAGCGATCACTCACCATACACCTTCAGCAATTCGTACGCCTCATGGGCGGGAGGGAAGAGCTCATGTACGCTGCTAAGAAGATTCTTATCGGAGCCCATGAACGGGAAAAGAAGTGTTGGGTGGGTAGACTTTCCGTTAGCGGAATGTTTCTGTCTTTTGTCAAGACGTACCTCATCGTCTTCACAAATCAACAGAGATCCAGCGCCGCGGCCTAGATATTTTGCTCCTTCACGTGATACCTCCATGTGACCAGTCCCAGGTCCGTCGGCTGTGTCCAGGTGATTATCGTCGCGAAGATCAGGATCAACGTGCGCAACGGCGGCGTCGGGTTCCGGCGACACTGCCGAGAAGGGGGTGTAATCAGGTGCGGTTAAAGTCGCTCCAAACCGAGTTGAACCAGATTGCGAGTCGAGCTGCTGACAGTCAGCACTAGATAAGCGGCCCATTGATCTCAAATCTGCAAACGTACCGCCAGGGCGGCAACACGAGCTGGGGTGCTGTGGTCCGACGAACGGCCGAGGCTGCTGTTGGGAGTGCCCATCTTGCTCTCCAACACGGACAGACGGGCTCTCAGGTCCTCATTCTCGTTCTGAAGCTTGGAGAGCTTGGCTGCATCTTTGGATGGTCTGGAGGATCGTCAGCGCCGCCCGAAGGAGGAAGACGTGGATGCGGGGCGTGGGAACGGTGCCCAAGCAGCACAGTCATGTCTTGCGGAGGGGTGAGTTGGTAGGAGTTGCACGCACCGTCCAGCCAAGGTGCCTGTAGGACATATCTTCTCGCAACCACGTCGAACGCAACTTGTGCAAGGCCATGATCGGGAGCACTGGCAGTTAGTAGAAGCTCGCACATGCTTGCTCCGTGGACGCGTCGTGGTTGCGTCGTCCCTCACCTTTAGCTTGAGCCGCACACACTCTTTGCAGCTTGGCGGGCCGTTTTTCCAGTTGACCTTGGCCTTGCCTGAGCCTGACGGCTTTGATGAAGACGGGTCTGCACTTGCGTGCATAGATGAGTGTTCGGACATTCCTCGAACGGAGAGTCGTGTGGGGTGATAGGAGTGTGTTTGTAAGAGGGGTGAGATGGGTGGGTGCAACAAGCGCAGCCTAGAGGCTAAAGAGGAAACCGCAGGAGCCACCCGGAACCAAATTCATCTACGTCACCAAACGCCATATCCGCATTAACCCACCCTTACGTTCGGCCATTTGAGATCTCGTCTGGCAAAAAGCATGCTTACGGCCGACTGTCCCTGTGCATGTCACTGATAGCAACGGCCGCCATTGTTCTGGACTCTCAAATGTCGGTCGGTTTGAGATATCAAAGCTGAAAATGTGTGTTTGTGGCCCATCGCAGCCTCTTATTTGAGACTTTCCGTTCTCGTATCAGTCAATACGGGCGAATGGAACCTGACCGATCCACCGATCACGCCGATCACGCCGACGGGCGAACTCTTGTCGGTCTTTTTGGAAACAATTCATGAACAACATGCAGTCACCCACGCGACTCTAGTCTACAATGCTCAACTGCTACTTCTTACCGCTCTTACCGAGCTTGGCCTCAAGCTCAGCCACCGACTGGGCAATGCCTCCCTCAACGTCAAAGTCGTAAATGATGGCGTTACGCTTGCGCAGCTCGGTGGCAATCTTGTCCATGTCGTTGCCTTCGACAGACATCCAGTCGTACATCTTGCCGAGGTAGCGACTGCTCTGGACGACCCAGTGACCGCGGTCGAGGCGGGCATCGTTGTACGCCTGGAACGCCGCAGCAAGGTCCTCAGAGGTCTGGACTGCAGGGCTCTGCAAGAGACATGCCAGGTATGCCGCGTCCTCGACACAGAATCCGGCACCAGCACCGTGGTGAGGGGAGGTCGCGTGAGCGGCATCACCCATGAGGGCAACGTTGCCCTTGACGAAGCTCGGCACAGGGTTCGCACCGGTGTCGAAGATGGCCCACTGAGGTCGTCAGCTGGGAGCGTTATGACCATCACTCCACTCACAATCGGGAGTTCCTCCTCGCACATGGACAGCAACTTGGTGACGTTGTCGCTCCACCCAGCAAAGTCACGAAGGGCGTCCTCACGCCTGCCAGGCTTAGTGAGGCGTTCTGTGTCCTCCCAGTTTCCATCGCTCTCGTGGAACGCAACAATGTTCATAGTCTTGCCGTGAGCCACAGGGAAGGTGAGGATGTGTCCGTTCTTGCCAAGCTGGCGCCGTCAGTACGTGGGTTAGGTTATGCTGGACACCACTCACGTGCATGACCGCATTCTGGGCAAACTCGGCACCAATAGCCTCGGTGGCCTTTTCCATGGGGACCAGACCGCGGTAGGCAATCTTGTTCGTGAAAGAAGGGGTAACGCAGGGGTGGTCGGCTCCATACATCGTAGCACGAACACGCGACTTGATACCGTCGCAGCCGACAATTGCGTCGGCCTCGGCGGTGGTTCCGTCTCCAAAGTGCATCACCTGCCTGCCGTTCGGCGCCTGGGTGATGTTGATGAGGTGCTTGTTGAAGATGCACTTCTCAGGAGGGACAAGCTTGACCATCTCGTCCAGGAAGTGGGCACGGTGCACGGCGTTCTGACCCAGGGAAGTGGTCGTGGAAAAGGCGATGGTCTCGTCGACGACCTTGCCTTCCTCATAGCTGGAGACATAGTCAAAGTATGTCTGGAGCTTTGACGACCACATGTTCCTGGTGCAGACGCGCTCGAAGCCCTCGTACACACCCTCGTAACAGATCTTCATGGCCTTGACCGCGTTGGGGGTGAACGAGACTCCGGCGCCGATCTCTCCGAACTTGGCAGAACGCTCGTACACCGTGATAGGGATGCCGCGGTTGTGGAGAGCGAGAGCGAGCACGAGGCCAGCGATGCCGCCGCCCACGATGGCAATCTCAAAGTCCTTGGTCTTGGAAGGGACGGTCATGGTTGTTGTGATAGGTAGAAGTGGGCAAGAAGGTGTGCGTTCTGTTGTCGATCTCCTGGGCACTTATGTATCCACGATTGGCCCGACGATCCGGGCCGTGAATGCCGCAGACGACACATTGATCTGGTCGGATTGCCCGACAAGGGCCCCACAATTCCCCACAATTCCCCACCATGCCGCGGCGTCTACGTCTACCAACAATGACGTCGTACCAAAAAGTAGTGGACCTCGCACACTCAACTCAACAACTTATTCATTCTACATGCACCTGCAGATGCATTCTAGCACTCGTATGCACCGGCAATGCCGCGGGAAGCATCAGGAAGGCATACGTAGAGTCGGTTGGCCCGACATTTCCTTTGCCCAGTCCAGGGGAAGACGCCGCAGACCACGGTTGGCCCTGCACATCCCTTGGTTCTGAATGCCGTCTTGATTGCCGTCTTAAAGCCCGACGAGTCGAGCGCTTCCAAGCTTCTCTTGCTCAAGTCTTGCTAAAGAGGCCCAACTCGCGTCTCCACGTGGTGCGCGTCAGCCTCGATGGCCAACATGCAGCTGAACCACGTTTCAGAGATATAGGGGTATGAACGCATGGACAGTGATCCTGTTGAAGCTAACTCGCCGATAAAGTAGCGAATGTGGGGGCGCACGTTCTTGGAATTCTTGGGACCACCGTGTCGTCATTGCCCACACCACATCTAATCAGGACTTGGCATCCAAACGGCCTTCCACCCCCACATGGTGCCACATGCTCCAGGCTAGCAGGGCTGTCATAAAGCATGGAGGCGGTCACCTCGCCCTCAAACTTTACCCTCCAAAGCAGCATGGTCTCCGCACAGCTCGGAGCCCTCGCAGTAGTCGTCGGCGCGTTGGGAGCTTCCCAGGCGAGCGCAACACACTATCCTCCAGGTAAGCGGGGACAACAGCGAACCAAACTGACCGCAGCTTCCGACTCGTGGTTTAACATCACCTGGGCTGTAAATGGGACAGGCGCACCAGGCATCTACTCGTCCTCTGTCACGCCCGACAAGTCGTACGGCCAGTACAACTGTGAGTGAGCGGAGGTCGAGCTCAGTGCTGACTGCAGGGTGTTCCGTGTGTCCATCTCCGCCTGAATTCTCTGACTCCAGATGCCCCATGTCCGCAAGCGCGAGTACAAGGTTCCCTCCAAGGACTATGAGCTGCGCTACGTTGAGGTAATCCAACGCCACCACAAGCGCACGCCATACGCCTCCAACACGTTCTTCAAAGAAGACATTAGCGTGAGAACCACGTTGTAACCTTTGGCTGATTCCCTTAAGTGGGATTGTTCCGATGAGGGACCGTACAATCACGCCAAGAGTGACGACTTTAAGACCACCCCCGTCTACTGGCAGTCGCAAACCGGCAGCCAGAACCCGTTCGAGTACACGGTCGGACCCGGCTTTGTCAATTCGACCTGCCGCTTCCCCAGCATTACCAGTGCTGGTCTGGACGATTCACGCCAGCACGGCAAGGACTTTGGCAGCATCTACCGTGACACTCTCAAGTTCCTTCCTAAGGGCAGCGAGCGCAGCAAGTACGCGTTCCGCGTGACTAACAACGTCATCACCTCACAGACTCTGAGCGGTTTCGCGAAGGGTCTCTACCCAGACGAGAAAGAGTATCCCGCGTGGGTCACAAGATGAAGTGGCAGGGGAGCTGACCCAATCAGCTGGATACAGAGTGATGACTACGATTCACTTGAACCGGCCTTCTGTAAGCTAGTCTTTCGCCTTGCGTCCCTCTGACAACAGCTACGCCAGTGCCCTTCAGAGTGCCGCTGAGGGCTCGAACGCCGACTGGATGCGACACCTCAACGCCTCGGCCGAGGCACGGACCCGTTTCGATGCGGTCTCGGGTATTGCCGAGGACGATGACGCCGGCTGGCACACATCTTGGGACCAGTGGGTAGGAGGTCGAGCCAGGAAGCTAACCCGCGCAGCCCATATGACAACCTCTCTGCAAAGCAATGTCACCAGAAGCCCCTCCCTTGTTCCGTCAACAGCACCTCTACGTGCGTGTCCCAGGATGACGCCGATACCATCTATCGCCTGGGCAACTACGAGTATGGCTACCGCTGGCGCGGGTCTGCAAACTCGACGCAGCTCTCCGCTCTCAAGATGGGCCCTTGGTTCCGTGAACTTCAGGCCCATCTGAACGCTGCAGCCCAAGAGACCACCTCGATGAAGTACTTGCACAAGTGAGTTGGCTTTTAGAGAGAGCCATTCTGACCTCAGCTTTGCCCACGATGGCTCAGTGTCCCCAGTCCTGGGCGTGCTTCAGATCGCCTACCCTGTCTGGCCGGGTATGGGCTCCGAAGTCGTGTTCGAACTGTGGCGCAACAAGACGAGCAAAACCCACCACGTCCGCGTGCTTTGGTCCGGCCAGCCTCTCCTCACCTCGACTCCGCTCGGTACCCTGGACATGACTCCATTGGAGGACTTTATGACCTACCTCGACGACACCATTCCTTCTGACCTCGTCACGGCCTGCAGCCAGTCGCTTTAAAGGTGAACAGTGTATTCTAATGCATGGCCTTCCCTTCAAAGTACTTTGGATCCTGCACTACATAAGGCAAGCAGATTCTTCAACTCGGCTACTTAGGTGGTGCCCTCCGGAGCGCGACTGACGTGGGTCTTGATCTTGGGGCTGTTTTGTCAGTTGCATGCGGGTACTGTACAACTCACTTGCACCCAGGCACAACACTGGAGAGAATACTGCGGACTTCGCGCTCTGCCCTATCCTTCCAGACACTGGCGCCCGAAGGGCGGCTCATGAACCCGCCGACGCTGATGTCGTACTCTGCGTCGCCGACCTTGCCAAAGGCCAGGAGGCCGCTCAGGCCCTCTGTGCAAGTCAGCGACGTGTCGTATCACTTCCCCGTCGTCACAGTGCACTTACCGTCCAGGATGGTAGAGTTTTCAAGACGGTCGCAGATTTCCTTGAGGTCATCGGAACCGACATAGTTGGGGAAGGTAATTTCGGCGCGCTGCGGGGTCAGAGACATGCCTTGGTTGAGTTCCAAGCACTTACCACCAGAAGAGGACCCTTGTCGCCGGAAGAGAAGCCTGATACCATTAGCTTGGTGCCATAACTGCTTTTTGAGTGACTCACCGGTGTCACCAGCACCCTCACGAGAAGGGACCTGAGGACCCATTGAGCCAGGAGGAGGCATGAACGAGGGGAAACCGCCTCCGCCCATACCACCCATACCGCCCATGCCCATTCCCATGTTACCCATCCCCATACCACCCATGCCACTTCCGCCCATGCCACCTCCGCCCATCATTGACAGCCACGGGTTGAGCGCTGCGGAAGAGAGCATGTTGCCCACCTGGTGCGCAAAGAGAGGGAACCAGGATCCCATCCCGCCCATGCCACCCATCCCAAAGCCACCCATCATGCTCATCATGGCCATCTGCATGGCGGCCATCTGCATCATGAGCGGGTTGGCCCAGGGGTTGGACAGCATCATCATCGTCATCATGTTCTGGGAGGGCATGAGCGCCATGCTTCCCATACCGGGAAAGCCCATCATGGCGTTCTGGGGAAAGCCAGGCATCTGCATCATGCCCATGTGGCCCATAGCCTGCCCTGGAGAAGGGAGGCCCATACCGATGGGTACCACTGCGCCGTTGTTGGCGTTCTTGCCAAAGTCGAACATGTTGTGCAGGTTTGGAGGGGAGTCTAGAGGAAGGGGTGGAAAGATGGTGAGTTGTCCAGGAGGGTCAGCAGGACCCCGCTTTTAAGTCTGGTGGAACCATCAGGCCTGCCTTGAGGATACTGTCGCGCACCACTCACTTTTGGCGCGGCGTGCGCGTGTGCTTCTGCCTGGCGCCATCAGTGCTTCGCTTCGGTGATGCGATCAGCCGAGCTGGTCTATGAGTGTGCGCGCATGTTCCAGGTGTCCATCAGTGGCGGATAATAGCCATTCCTACGCAGTACGCAAGAGGTGGAGTTCCGTAGAAGCGTGCATGACGGACAAATTTGCAACCCTGGGCAGACAATTTTCGTGAGTATTTTCTGTGATTTTTGTGATTTTCATGCTTCGGCTCTGATACCACTCCATTTGTTACCAGGGACGGCTTAATCTCATAAAAACAGTCAGGACCCAGCCGGTGAATCACCCTCTGATACTATTCACAACAGCCTGCTGATTGGGCCATGAATGCCTTCTTTTGGACACGGTACAACCATTCAACTGACTTTCTTCGTACCCATAGTCCTCGAAATTGCTGGGAAAACATGGTTCTGGTGGTAAGTTTTAAATAAGCTCTTCCTCCGACGTTTCGATAAAGCCTGCCGACAACATGGACCGTTATTACCAGTCAAGACTTTGCATATAATTTTTTCTTAATTTTCTCCCTCAAGGTTCTTCTCTTTCCGCCACAATTCCCCCCGCTCAAGGGCTCAGAATGTACAGGCCACCGTTGTTATAAGCCACCGTGTGTCTGCTCGTCAATACACACGTCCATAAGATGTAAGCGAAAGACTCACGCAAAGGGAATCATTACAGCCAACATCCTGGTGAGCTTGGGCTTGGTCTTGGCCTTCCAAGACTCAAAGTCCTTACCCTTGGCAGCCGTACAGTAAATGTCGAGGACGGACTTGCCTTCGAACTCCCTGCTGTTGTGGGCCACGGCAAGAACATGTTCTGCAAAGTGTCAGGCACGCCAGGAGAGGGAAGCTGAACACCACTCACCACTCTTGAGGGCAGGCTTAACCTTCTTGACAATGGCGGCCATTTGATCCTCGGTGAGCTTCTTCTGGAATGAGATGCGAGGGCCCTATATGTAGATCGTTAGCAGAGGCTCGGAAGCGGTTGGAGACTCACCCAAGTGTCGTGTCCGCCCTGGTGATAGGCAGCAATCCTCTGGTCTTCGGGGAGGCTCTCGATGGTGGGCATAGCCACGGGGAAGGGAACGGGGATCTGCATGAACATGGGCTGCTGGGGAGGAGGAGGAGGCATGCCCATTCCTCCCATGAGGCCAGCCATTGCGCCGAGTCCACCAGGCATACCTCCCGGCATTCCATCAGGCATCCCAGGCATCCCAGGCATTCCACCGGGCATGCCACCATTCATGCCAGGCATACCACCTCCCATTCCCGGCATACCACCACCCATCCCGGGCATCCCCAGCATACCTCCAGGCATACCAGGGCCACCCATACCACCGAGCCCCGCCATCGGACCTCCGCCTCCCATCATATGGTCAGGAGGACCGCCAGGAGCACCGCCAAACCCGCCCGGCATCCCACCACCAAACGGAGAGCCCATGGGAGGCCCCCCACCACCACCGAAGGGCGAGGCAATCCCAGGCATCCCACCAGGCGGGCCACCACCCCCAAAGGAGGGAGCACCACCGAACGGAGACATTCCAGGAGGCCCACCACCCATGCCGCCGAAGGGAGACCCACCCATCGCACCGAACGGAGGCCCGCCCATGCCACCTCCGCCACCACCACCGTCGAAGGGCGAGGGCATCTCCATGGGGGACATGCCGCCGCCACCACCACCGAAGGGCGACATGCCAAGGGGACCGCCGAACGGCGACATACCAGGCATGCCGCCCATGGCCGGATGGCCCTGGAACGGCATACCGCCGCCGGGCGGGCCGGGAAGGTCATCGTCATCATCATCATCGCGCGAGGCAGCACCGTCGCGCTCCCAGGGCCATCCCTCACGAGGGGGAACCAAAGGACCACGCTTGCCGTCCGCCGACCCATAGATATCCTCTGCGGCGAGCTTGCTGTAGTCGTACTCCATTGTGTTTGAGTTTTAAGATGAGATTGGTGGTGAGAGAATAGTTTCGTGTGAAGGTAGAAAACAGCTGGAAGACGCCGCTGGGGTGGCCAGCTTTTATGCTATTGGAGTCACTTCACAAACCCATCATGCTCACTGATGGAGTGGTGCTACGGACGGCCTTTGATGGGGTAGTGGGAGTGATGTCAAGCAGCATCAGGGGTCCATCATGCGGCCCAAAAACAGTGAGTGCCATATGACGTCGCAGGGGCGAAGAGAGATAGAACTCACTGTCCGTCCGTCGTGTCTGCATTCCCCTAGAGTGCATAGGAAGTGCTTTGAGCGACACAGCTTGATGCACAACGGGAATGGCGCTGGCCATCACGGAGGATATGTGCCTGGCGGACTTGCACTGTGGCGGTGCCTAAACCACTTCACTTCTCCATCGCCAGCGACCACAGGAGCTTCTTCCCAAGCTCTTGGGAGCCAAAAAAGGATGATCCTACTAACTGTAGGTGTTGTATTGGAGCCAGAGTGGATTGAACACCCGACCTAGCGATGTCTTCCTCGAAAGGAAGCCTGATGACCGAACTTCAGTCGCTCGCTCTCCCAGCTGAGCTATGTCTCCGATACTGTTTACTCTTCCTGTTCTCTGAGTAACAACTGTTGTCTCTGTCAAGTCTAGAGGAAATGCGAGGAAACAGAGAAGCATGCTGCGTCCACTGTCACTGGATCACTGGTCGCCCAGACCAATGACCGCTCAGAACGACGACAGGGACAAAAGTGTGGCACGGAAGACGGTTCGATTCTTTGCATTTCCGGCAGGTCATAAACGACCACGATGCTATGCTATGCTACTGGATTCTCCTTGAACGCACTTTCAAACGATTCAATGCTGCTCGCTGTAGACTTCGATCACGGGGCTGGACGTTGGTCAGTAGAGACCATGTATATGGAGAACTCACTCGTCGCGGCGAGAGCGCAGGATCTGCATGAGCTCCCTGTGCGCCGTCTTCTTCCAGAAGGCCACTTGAGAGCTGTCAATTACAGGAGCGGCAAGGAAAAGACGGGACTGTTGAGGCGCGACAGAGCCCATGATGGCGATAATCTCGAGGTTGTCTGTGCAAGGTCAGGTCAGGTCAGGTCCGTATTGAACAGGTGGCCTCGGTGCCCCAGGTGCCACTTACGAGTGATAGTGCGGCTGCGCCTGATCTCGTCGCCAATGGCCAGCATATCCTCGTGGGTGAGAGAACCGTTGAAAGTGAGTTTAATTCCCTTACTGTCAGCAATGACATCATGCTCCAACAGTACTCACAACAAAGTAGCGGCCCTTGTAGCGGCCATCCTTGAGAAGATCCGTGAAACCCATTTCAGGCAGCGGCCTAGGTTCCTCGGTGTTACGCTCAACGCGCGGCCGCGAAGAACGCTCGCGGCCGCTGTAGGTCTGGTTGAAGTGGCGACAATCGTCGGTGGGGTCAGACTGGCGCCGTGAGGGACAATACGTCCTGGACCTTGTGGGCCGGCTGCTACGACCCTGCTCTTCCCCCATTTCGTCCTCGCTGTCCTCTTCGTCGGAGGAAGGTTCGTCATAGTGCCCTGCAGAGCTGTATGCACGGCGGCGCCTCCCAAAACTGCCCGGTTCTTCGTAGCGACCATAGTCGTTGAAGTTGGGGGCAGACGGGTACGGTGCCGACTGGGGCGGATAGTGCCCTCCTGCACCGGCGTAGCAGTAAAAGCCGGTCGGGGGCGGCGGGTGACCAAATCCACTGGGGTGCTGATAACCAAATGGACCGCTGTCGCGAGTGACCGTCACCTGGCAGTCTGAGCCAACCATGAAAGACATTCCCGGGGGAAAGGTCGTGCCAGAATGTCCTCCATGGGGGCGGAGGTAGTACGTGTAGGGCATGCTGGCCGCTGCCTGGCAAGGAATTACCATGTACGGCACCCACGACGTATTCACCTCGGCTCGGAAACCAGACATGGAAGCGAAGAAGTTTGCCACATCCTGCATGGCGGCGGCGTTGGAGGGGAAGGAAAGCGCATAGTGGTCTATAACGGGAGAGGGCTGCACCTGGTACGTGGGGGTAGTAGCGTATGCGGGGTGGTGGTATACTTGAGATGGAGCGGCGTACTGAGCGGGAGGGGCCGGGTGCACGGGGGTCATCATGGGGTGGAAACCGTGCATCATAGGACTGCCCATAGGGGTCGTGTACGAAGGCAACACGGTCCTCTGACTGGGGTAGGTGTATGCGGACCGGGATATTGAGGGGGTATACGAGGAGGCAGCTGAATAGAAGAACGATTCACCACCAAACGAACTTCCAGCGACGGAAGGTGCAGGGCCCGGTGGGCGGTGCTCCCGTCTACTCTTGAAGCGGCTGAAGAAACCCATGTTGGGAAGAATGTGTTGTCGTGATGGGGACAGGACAGGTGCAGGCAGATTTGAGCGTGTTATTACCCACATCACCTGCTGTCACATCCTCGTCACCCGGACGCAGCAGCGGGGTGTTTAGATCGAGATACCTTCGAGTGCCCATCAGTGGCAAAACACAGTCATGCCCCGTCAACTAACGAAACTCGGAACACACCCCCGATGCGCGACCAACCCGGATGCATTAATGAACAGACAGCTATGGAAGAGTTCAGAGGACAGTGGTACACCTGGGTGTGGGCCGTCGCTGCCTGCCAGCACCTCAGTCGTGCATGCGAGGCGGGAGACCCAAAACGTGTCTAATATCCCGGTCCATCATCCAGTTCCACCTCATGTTGGTGTGGATGACCACCACATCCCCTTTACCGCGCTCACCATGCATGAGGCTAATAACGCAGCGCTGGCCTTACATACGTTAGCGTAACGGGCCCAGTCCACCAGAATACACAGCACTAACAATTGTGAAAGACCAAACATCGCCACAGCTGGCGGTCGTATGGGATCCACGCGTCCTTGCGGTCAACGGCAAACGGGCACTGGTAGCAGTATCGCTGGACAGTCAGAGATGCCCAATGTGGATGGGGTAGTATTACACTTACATACAGGAACTTGTCCTTGGCATCCTCAGCATCCGAGTCGAACTCCGGGTCGTTGAACTGCGGATTGGCCTCGTACTCTGTGGCGGCCGAGGAACAGGACGAGTACAGCGAACTGCCGAGAGACGTTGCCGGCGAGCCATCATCCACAGTCTGATACCTGACAGTAGGAGAGTCCAGAGTGTGGCCAGACTCCTCTCTCCCTGACCGTGGGTAGGAACGGCCGCTGTGACTAGCCCGCCTGCCAGCCCGCATTCGTGAGTGTGTACTTGGTTGTGCGGAATGAGGTGATGGACAAAGTTGAAGCAAAGCGTCCGCTACTGCAAATACTTTACACGGCCCCCAGTCCATCAGTGCATCACCGCGCTGCTTCAGTTTTAGCCTTCTCAGATCTCAGATCCCATCAGGAAGCATGTTTTGTTCTGAGTCAACACCTTTTGTTTCAGCCAAGGAGTTTTGGAGCATTTTCAACGGATTTTCATCTGCCGTGTCCACCGCTGCAGAACCACACCATGCCCAACCCGACGATTATCTTATTCCTACCCATATCTGATGTATACATACCTTGCCGCTGTATGGCTGTGCTCACTGCGCACCGTACTGTACTGGTGTCGAGCTCCCTTCCACGTAGCTCGTGAGGCTTCACTGGCGGTGCAACGGAGTCCGTGCGGCGAAGTTGTCTGCAACCATGTCTGTGCACAGTGCTACATGTTGTGGCGGCCAAGGAATTGTCTTCACATACCAATACACATCAGTTCACGTGTACGTACCATCCTACATCTCTATCAGCTACAGCACACTGCCGTCGTGCTCTCCACACTTCTCCCTGCTACACACACACTCTCTCTCCGTCTCCCTATTTCACCCCCTGCTCTGCCCGCCGCCATCGTTCGGCACGCTCCACACAGAGCATCCTCACCCCACTGTGGTTGGGTATATCAGTACAGTCCACGCCAGCTCATTCAGTGACGTACCGCTCACGACGGCGCGCCGATGAACACGGCAAAGCGCGCCCGCTTTTGTTCAACGTTGTCCAAAGTCGGCTGGCCGTAGGAGTCCAACAACTCCGTCAGGGTCGGGGCTACAGTGAGCGAGGGGTCAAGTGCAATAAGATACGTACCGGTGCAAGTGCGCAGCGCGTGAACGTCCCTCGGGAAGGCTGGTGGCGGGGGGAGGAGCTCGGGCAGCGGCGGCTCGGGAACTTCGGCGCCCTGGTGCGGAATGGGCTCGAGGGGTGGTGCGACCGGGAGGCCGACAAGAGTGTGGTGGGATTCGACGGCGCGCAAGTTTTGGAGGCGCGCGAGCTGCCAGGCGTCACTGCCCCGTCAGGCGTCAGGCGTCAGGCAGTGAAGGAGGACATGCTGAGACGGGCGCGAAATGACTCACCGGACGACAATGAGCAGTTGAGTCTTACGAGACTCGTGCAGGAGCCTGGCGAAGCGGACGTCCTGGGCGTTGGAGTAGATGGTAAACCACAGGGGCTGGCGCGGGGCCGGCGCTGCCAGAGACGGGTTGGCGGCGAGGTGTTCGAGGGCAGCGACCACTCTGGCGCGTGTCAGCGCGAGATTGAGGGCGCGCGTGCGCATAGTTGATCGATAACACAACACTTACTGGCGCTGCGACTCTGCGGGCGCCATGGGAGTGACAAGTGTTGATGTTGATGTTGTTTGAGGTTGAGGTTGTGGTTGTGGAATGCGGGATTTGGGTGACCACAAGTGGACGTAAGTACAGTACGTACGTACTTCGGTTTCCAATTGCGGCGAAATAGTACTGGGTGTATGTGGTGGTGGTGGTGGTGGTGGTATGGCTGCAACGAGACAACAACACAGTAGTGAATGCACCACCACAGCCGGCAGTACACAGCACTTACGCATAGATCTAGTGATAAACTGACAGAGAAGGATGGAATTACGAGGAAACCACCGTTTAGAAGGCCCGACGCAAGTCGGTGCCCGTGCGCGGTAGCGGCGGTGGGGTATGGTGGTGGCCAGCGGGGTGCGGACCGCGAGCAGCAAATACAGGCCATGGACGGGCTTGTGCACGTGTGTGCGTTGTTTCACACTTGGATCACCCAGGTTGATTATAATGCATTGTAAATGGCAACACTGCACACGGACTCCTAGGCCAGCTAGAGACCGGTGATGTCGGAGACCTAAGGGAACGGCTTGTGCGCACCCCCCTCCTCGGACTGGCGGGAAGGGGGTGTTCCTCCCTGCTGGTCACCGGGGTCGTTCCGGTGTGTCCAGAGAGTGGGTTTTGATGGTGCCCGGGACATGTATGCCCAGTGGCCAGTGATCCAGTGACGCTGACAGAGTGGTGGTGGTTTGAACAGGTGGGGCCTAGTCATAGGACATGGAGGGGCTGAGCATGTCAGCATCGTGAGCATGGTAGCGGACCCGCCCCAATACGCACCGGCAGTGACAGTGTCGGGAGAGGACAGTCTTGATCTCGGCCTCGACGTCTTGCTCCAGAAAGTCAAACGTCGCAATCGAGAAGCGGCTCGTGTACCGTCCCTCTTGGGTACGCAGGCAGAACTTGTCTGCGGGAGAGGGTGGTTAGTTTAGCGTTTTTGTGCCCCAAGGACGCAGACTCACTGTGCAGTGCACTTGTCAAGCACTGAAAGACGGCATCGTGCGCGGCACTGAGGACATCATGGGCGACCTCTGAACCCAGGTGGAAGATGGTGACGATTGCCATTGTCTGTATCGTCAGCGGCGGCCAGTCGCCACGACGTACAAAGCAGAGGCGGGGAGTGGGTGGATGAGGATGTTGCAAGGTCTTGTCGATGCTGCTCTCTTTAATCTGCTTCCAGCCTGCTTCCAAAGGAGGCAGAGCGCAAAGCTGTCATGCACACTCGGACTGGAGCGAGGCAAGACGACAGAGTGCACACCGAGTGAGTGGGCGAGGTGAGTGAGTGAGTGAGGTGAGTGAGGTGAATGTGCCTCTCCACACGCCCCCACACACGCCACTGTACACAGGCGGGCACACACGCACACATCCCCCCCCCCCCCCCCCAGCCCCACAGGGGTATACATCACACACCACTTTTCCCAAGCATACGCGCCGGGACATTGCGGGCTATTGACGGGCCGCATGCATATGTCTGTGCTGCTGGGCTGCTGGTTTGGCAGTGAAGCACGGGTGATGTCTGCACACCGCAACAGGAGTGTTCATGTTGTCTGATCCAGCTTGGAAACGAGAGGGAGGGGGGTTTGGACTCTGGGTCACACAAGGCTACGTGGCTTGCACTGCCGTCAGAACGTCAGAACATGACTGGCACATCAGTGTGCCCAGTAGACGCCGTGCACGGTTCATTTGTCGCCAACCCCCCCCGTGCCCGTGTCCAGGTGGCGGTATGCATCACTGGCAGCCATGGGAAAAGCCTTGTGTACCACCCATGCACCTCGCATACCTCGCACCTCATACACGCAGATGTCTGGCTCTGGCGCTCTGGACTCGGTGCTAGCTGATCGCTGAACACGACGTGCAGCCCGCAGAAAAGTATGCGGAGTGGGGCAGGCGGTTTGTGCTTCGGTGTGGCGGAAAGTGGCTACAGTGGCGTGCACACTCTATCTGTGGTTTGCAGATCCAGCCCTACATCACTTATCTGCGCGTGGCGCATACCCAAAGCGAATCTGCCAGAGAACTGTGCATGTGTCTTTGCTGTCGCAAGTCCAAGAACACCAGCAATTGCTGCCCAAAACACCTATACCCTCACGTTGCAGACTGGTCAGAATCACAGTCCACGTCGCTGACTGCCGTCCGCGTTGGTGCGTTCCCCGCCCGCCTACGACGCAACGCTGTGACTCTTGCACCCGTCAGTCATTGCACACGCTCTTGTCCCCCACCAACTCACTCAGTCCTGAAAGCGTCCTCGAGAATCTCCACGATCTGAAAGTCCCGTGCGTGGTCGTACTCCTTGGTGAACACGAGACAGCGGACCAAGTGCTCCGTCCCGAATTCCCAGCGAAGGTAGTAGTTGGCTGTAGCGGAGGGAGGTATGGTGTCAGCTGTGCGCGCTCGGCTCCGCGAGTGTGAGGTGGCGTGTGTAGTGGCGTGAGTGAGAGGTCAACGGGGGTACAGTACGTTGGAACACCACGCAAGCGTCACGCACGCACGCACACGCACACGCGCACACACTCACCTGGGCCACAGGCGGAGTCGAGGAGTGCCTTGAGGTCGACGTGGACTGGGCGGATCGAGTGTGCGCGTAGGCGTTCAGTGAACTGGTACACGGTCGAAAGGAGGGGACCCGGCTGGAGCTGGCCGTCAGCGCCACACGCATGTGCAGGTGCCCCACGGATGAGACGTGTCCGCTCGACATGGCCGTGCCCAGGTGGTGCGAGGGTGAACAACGACTGCCTCGTCGGGGTGGTTGGTATCGTCTAGGACGGCGCAGAAGAAGTCGGAAGAGGGCATCAGTGACCAGTGAGGTAACAGTCTCCCACTCCATGTCGTCCAACGGTCAACGTGGAGTCGGGTTACTGATGGCGAGCACCATCCTCGCACAGCACGAGACCACATCGCCAAACGGACAGACAGGATGCAGTGAGGAACGTCGTGATTTCATTAAGGCGATTCACACATGTATGATACACTACAGCTACATACAGAAGCAACGTGAACTGTTCTGTGTCGTGGTCGTGGTCGTGGTCGTGATCGTGGTCGTGGCTTGAGAGGCACCTTGCACTTTGGGGCACCACCCCGTGTACCCTCATGACACTCCTACAGCGAGACAATCTCCACACCAGTGCTGGCAGGTTAGCGGTCTCAAAAGAGCAGAAACCTACCCGTCAAAGTCCGGGATGAGGCCGTGCAGGATATCCCACACCTCGTCCTCGATGCCGCCGAGCCACACGCGGTTGACGAGGAGGTGGAAGGCCATCTCGCCGTCCGTGTCCTGCACAGGCTCAAAGTCGTAGTCCTCCACTGGGGAAGTCAGCCAGGTTGCGTTGGCAAGGGGCAAGGGGCCTTGCACTTGCCGCGGCCCAACTCACCGCCCTTGTCGTCCAAGTAGTCCCCCACCTCCTCCATGACGCACGCCACGAGGTCAAAGCCAATAGGGTCGGGGAGGTAGAAGATGATGCGCTGGAAGCATGTGCGAGGAAGGAAAGGAAGGAAGCACGCTGGTCAGCCTTTCGAAACTGCCAATACCCCAGATGCACCACTTGTCAGACACGGAAGAACCGAGGTCCCCGACGCCACACTCACCGTGTCGATGTCGTCGTCGCACTGGTGCAGCGGGAGCCAGTATTCCTGGAACAATCGCGAGACGACGAGCATGGTCGTGTTGGTGGTGGTGGTGGCGGTGAGTCGAAGTAGTGGTGGGGGAGGGGAAAGAAGTTGAGAAGCACAACATTCACGGTGAGGGGGAAGAAGGGGAAGAAGGACGACAAGGGAAGAGAAGGAAGAGTGGGTTTGGTCGTGTGGCCACCACGCCGCAAGCTCCCTTCCCAACATATGTCAACACCGTCACCTTGTCACCTTGTCGTCCCCATCACTGGTCGACTCGATGCGCCATCGCGTGTATGGGAATGCAGGGTGCGGGGAGGGTGACAGAGTGATGGTTCCCTCGGTCTGCGCTTTTGCTTCCACCGCTTCAGTACATGCGTGCATGCCGCACCTCGTTGCTTTGCGCCGCGCACCTTGTGTTCATGTCTCGTGTCGTGTACCACGACCCTGCCGCTGTACTAGCCTCGACCGAGCCGCGACCGCGTGGTTGTCACTGTACTACTGGTGCACTGTTCGCTTCCGGTCGGCTCTTGGTCTCGTCCGCTACCTCTCCAATTCCTGTCCGCTCTACACGTCTCGACAACCCAACTCGGCGTGCGAGATCGCATGCGGAGTCCCAGCCCAGCTGGTGCTGAATGCGCCGTTGTTCCATCAGGCCCCTCGTCTCTGTGATGTGACGGCGGGCTAGCGTGAGCCATTGTCAGTGGACTTTGTCACAAGCCCCTCCTCAATTGCTCCCACAACGCCCTGCTCAACCCGTCTGTCTCTCTCTCTCACTAATATGCAGTTCCTGACATACGTCCTACTCTTACTGCTGCGACCTTATGGCCCACAGACGCTACTAACGGGGGGATGTGAAAACGACTAGACACCTTGCGAAACAAAGGGAATCTAGAGGCGGTCGACGTTGCCGAGGTCGGTGCAGGCCTCCTTGACACGGGCGACAAGGGTCTTCTCACCCTCGCGGACCCAGACACGGGGGTCGTAGTACTTCTTGTTGGGCTTGTCGGCGCCGTCGGGGTTGCCGACCTGGCTGAGGAGGTAGTCCTTCTTGTTGAGGACAAAGTCGCGGACACCCGAAAGGTAGGCCCACTGGGTGTCGGTGTCGACGTTCATCTTCACGACACCGTTGTTGACGGCGGTGGCAATCTCCTCCTTGGTCGAGCCGGAGCCGCCGTGGAAGACGAGGTAGCTGTTGCGTCAGTATAACTGAGGAGTGACCACAGAGGGCGACGGAGGGAAAAAAATGTGACACCAATATGACACCTCCTCGCCCACTACCCACGCCGCCCACCGCCCCTCAAAAGGAGGCAGCGGCGAGCAAATAGCGCCCACGCAGCCGTAGCTGGTGGCATTGAAGGGAAGGGCAAGCAAGTTCTAAATGTGGTGGGTGGTTGGTATACGCTGACCGGATCGCCTATCTTCCCATTGAAGGAGAAGGTGGCACTGTCTATTTGGGTAGCGGAGGGGGGAGGGGAGGGGGGAGGGGAGGGGGGAGGAAAGAGTAGGAATGCAAATACGCACATGGGCTTGGAGCCGGCGGCCTGCTTGAGCTGCTCGGCGGCGTAAGCCTGGTGCTTCTCGAGGAGCTCGGGCGAGAGCTTGACGTTTCCGGGCTTGTAGACACCGTGGACGTTGCCGAAGGCGGCGGCGATCGAGAAGTTGGGCGAGATGGGCTGGAGGGCCTTGTAGACGTCGTAAACGTCGTCGGGCTGGGTGTAGAGCGAGGCGTTGTCGACACCAGTGTTGTCGACACCGTCCTCCTCACCGCCGGTGATACCGATCTCCATCTCGAGCCACTCTGGGGAGAAATGACGTCAGCACAGGGTACCTCGTGTTTTCGGGAATAACAAGGCCGGAAGCACACTCACGGCCCATGGGAGCCATGCGCTTGAAGTACTTGACGCAGGTGGCAATGTTGTCCTCCTTGGACTCCTCCGAGAGGTCGAGCATGTGCGACGAGAAGAGGGGGACACCGTGCTCCTTGAAGTAGGCCTCGTCGGCGTCGAGCATGCCGTCGAACCAGGGGAGGAGCTTGTGGGCGCAGTGGTCGGTGTGGAGCACGACGGGGACACCGTAAGCGGGGGCGATGGCGCGGATGAAGTGAGCGGCGGCGATGGCACCGGCGATCGAGCCCTCCTGCTTGGCCGAGTTGGAGAGGCCCTTGCCACCGAAGAAGTGGGCGCCACCCTGCGAGACCTGGAGGATGATGGGCGACTTGTTGTCGCGGGCGGCCTCGAGAACGGCGTTGACAACCGACGACGAGGTAACGTTCTGGGGGCGCTGTTAGAACAGGTGTGCGATAGGGGCTGCCCAGCGGCGGCTGCAACACTCACAATGGCCTATCGGACGAAACGAGATAACGCGTCAGTTTATGGCTCTCATATCACGCTTGGTGGGAGGGCACAAGGCCTAGACGTACCGGGATGGCGTACTGTGACACGTCAGCATACAGTTCTGTACACACACACTGGAGGAGGCTGGACAGGGATATGGAGCGAGATCTTGGGGTGTATGTGTGTCGGGAAAAGACATTCACACACACACACCCAAATGACAAGCCTCCACAACCACTTTCCCATGCCTCACGACCAGAGCCATGCTCGGAAACTCACCTTGTTCTCCTTGGCGTGGTCGAAGAGCTAAAGGTCAGTACTTTTGTCTCGCTAGGAGAGACAAACCTTCTTGGTGTCGGGGCCCGAAAGGACACCGGCCTGTATGAGTTGTCAGTAAAGGCTTCCACGGCTAGAGGGAGAGAGGGAGAGCAGGTAGCAGCTCGGCTATCGGGAAAATGGGCGACGACGACGGCGGGACGGAGATGATGCTACTGTAGAATGGAGGGATGGGAGAAGGGGAGAGGGGAGTGACTTACGGGGACGACGGAGAGAGCACCAGCAGACATTGTGAGATGTGTGTTTTTGGTTTGGGATATGGAGGAAGAGAAGAGGGGTTGAAAGATGTGGGATACTTAAGAAGGAAAGCGCTGGGGCAGAGAGCGAGCGTCCTGTCCCCCCCCTGTTTCTCGCTGTGAGGCTTCCAACTGGCTGGCAGCGGTACACTCGTGACGTGCCTTCCCTGAGTGGACCCCATCTCCACGAGCTCTTCCCGCCGGCTTTGCTCTCACTGTACCCATTCTGGTTCGCTGCAGCCCGGCAGCCCAGGTGCGGGGTAATCGCATTTCACCGAATAGCGCCGAACCATCCACAGCCTGTGGCGCCCGTGTCACCGCCGGATCGTCCCGGCCCGCCATACTGCACACCATCGCCATTCAAGTCACCGGGCACAACGCGGTGGGCAGCGCCGAGAGGGAGACGAGGGAGAGAGAAACGTAAACATAGTGCGTGGGCAGGGGCACGCCAAGGGCACGCACGCCAGCCCTCGTCACTCTACGGTCGGTCGCCCGTCAACAGCGGGACCCCGTCCACATTAACCCCGTCAAGTCTACTGCCACCTCTCACCACGGGTAGACCCGGACTGTCAATGTGGCCAGTCCACCGGTCGTCTACGAGCAACAAGGACAAGCCATTTGGAACCTTGTATTGTTGCCTTGGGACGTGGGTATTCGTGCTTGTGGGCAAGGGTTCTTCTCAAGAGTTCTCCTCAAGACTTCTTCTCAGAACACACCATGGTGATCAGCAGACCATATTCCAAACACACACAGCACACAGCACACACCGCCACGGGTGCGAGGGGTGGTAAACGCATTGACACATGCCAACCCCGCACTGCTGTCAAGTGGAGCTCCGTCAACGGCACCCGGACCTTGCTGTGCCGGCTCTAACGGTCATGTTGCTGCACATTACCGGCCACTCCGGGCCGTCGCTGCCGGCCCACGGGTATGCGCGACGCGTCGAGACGAGGTCGGGGAAGTCGCGGGGGTTGTTGTCCTGGTTGATCCGTCCGTCCGCTGCAGTCTGGAAGCGGAGGGCCTAGGATATAGGATTCACAAGGGACGTCACTGTTAGGTTCTCATCGCAGGCTAGAAAGTGACCAGGAGCCAAGAGGATGGTGCCTCATGAATATCTGTTTATTCACGAATCGGGTGTGCGTCATCGTCCCACATTCTCAGTCGCTCAAGCAGACTACACACCGTTCTAGTGCAGGTGGCATGGTTCACACGTACAGCTGGGTTCAAGACAACAGACGGAGCGTACAATATGAGTCTGCGACGGGGATGGCGCCACGCTCGTCAGATCGCCCGCAACAGCACACTGTCGGCTAAAACAATCGGTTTTGATTATTGATAACCTTCCGATGTCCACCCAAATAACACGTCATGTGTCCTGCCGATCCACACCTCCACTCAATGAGTTCAATGACGTTCGTCCCCTTCAACGACGCATCATCGTGCTACTCAAACACAGTCAGGCAGCTCGCCAGGCTCAGCCAACATGGACCAGGTCACAATCCTTCCCTTCGTCGACTTCCAGGTGAGCTGGTGGCTTCCTGCAGAAGGTGGTGACAAGCTGACGTCCAGCATGACGCCCTCGCGGTGTTTGACGATGTCGAGCAAGGCATTGTCTTGAAGGAAGACGTCTGGGTCTCAGCTGTGAGTTAACTCTTCACCACATTGTGCTAACTCTCGCAGTACCACGTCGGACAGTCTTTAGTGAACGGCAAGATTGGCGTCTCGGTGCGCGAGGGCGGCGGTGTGGACATGACATCGAGGGAAGGCGTCGAGGTCGAGCGTGTATCCAAGGTGAGCTGCCATGTGTGTTGCAAACAGCTGACGTCTTGCAGACCAACTTCCTCGTCACTGTCCCCTCTCTTTCCATCTCCAATCTTCCCGTCCGTTTCCCGCGCCAGGTGGTCAACCTGCCGTACACCAAGGCGACCAATGTTTCGGTAAGCTGAGATTCGTCGCGTGGGACATCAGCTCACTCCACACAGCCCGAACTCCATGTCAACAGCATCGACTATTCTGACAAGTCAGGGCAGCTTGTCGTTGGCGGAACAGACGGGTACGCAGTTGTCGTGTCTCCAACAGATCCCAAGGCCCTGGTCGAGCTCAAGGGGCACGTCGGCGACGTTCTCCATGTGGAGTGGTTCCCCAGCGGCGAGGTGGGTCGTCGGGTCGATAAAGTCTAACCCACCAGGTCGTCCTTACTGCATCGTCTGACCTGTCTGTGCGCATCTTTTCCTCGCAGACGGGCATCAACCCACGTACGCTTCGCGGCCACACACGCGCCATCACCGCCACGCACATTGTCGGTGTGGGCCGCCAGGTGCTCTCGGCAAGCAAGGACGGCACCGTGCGCCTCTGGGACGTTGGCAAGGGCGAAGAGGTCAAGCAGTGGAATGTGTACCCCGGCAAGTTCATTGACGCCATGGTCGTCGTCGAAGACGCGCGTGGTCTCCGCGCCCTCGGCGTGGACAGCGAGGACGAGCACGTCATCCTGGCTGCCACGCCCGACGGAACCGTGTCGGCGTTTGCGTTGTCGTCCGACTCGGGCTCCCCGGCACTGTTCACCTCGCGTGCGCTCGTCGACTCGAGGCTCGAATGCATCGCCTACTCGCCCGCCACGGGCCTGATCGCCACGGGCCACACGAACGGCACCATCGTGGTCCGCAACATGGACACTCTCCTCGCGGCGCCCGGCGCCATCGAGGACGTCCCTCCACTTATCGTTCGGCGTAATGTGGGGCCCGTATTCAGCCTTGTGTTTGTGGACCACGCGAGCGGCGACGACACCGACCTGCTCGTGGGCACCAGTGCGGGCCTCCCGTGCCGCCTGGGTCTCGCTGTTGACGGCGCCACCATTACGCCCACGGTCAAGGAGGAGTATGCGGGATGGGAGGCCGTCAGCGTCGAGACTTGGGCAGTTGCATCGGATGGTGTGTGGTGTGCTGGCGGAGAGGGAGGAGTCAGGAGGTATTAAAGTCTGTTGTATCATTTCCCGCATGCCATGTGTGCAGTCACAGCAAGACCTGTCTGCCACTCAGAGGGTCTGTATTTGGCTCCAGATTTGATTAAATTGTCCTCCCAGTTAAGAGGGTCATGTTTTCCAGCCTCGCCAAGGAGGGCTAGAGAAGCAGTTGTACTGCTGAGCTGTATACTGTAGTCAGCAGGGGTTCCCCAAGTGATACAATGTAGGCTGCATGCCTGCTGTGGGCGGTGGCAAACACGATCGTGTCCACTGCGCGGCGGATTAAGGCCTCCGGTGGAGGACCCGTGATTTCAATCTCGGATCCACTTCCCTTTCGTTTCCGACGCCAACTCGAAACGTCAACCATTCACTCTCTCCATAACCCCATGTCCGCCACCAACGAGCTCCCGCAGGCTGGGAGCGGCACCGCTGCGTTCAGCGCAGAGGCGTCGACGTCGTCGCCGGCATTCGAGCAGTGGCGCAAGTCCATGGCCCAGTTTACGGGCCTGGGCCTGTCCGACTCGGAGCAGGCGGAGCGCCAGCGCCGGTTAGAGCTGCAGACGCTCGAGAAGGACTGGGACAGGTGTGAGGGGTGGAAGAAGGAGCTCATGACGACTAGTGGGTATTTTCTGCCTCATACTTAACAGCTATCCGATGCCACAGGACGACAAGGTAGCTGACAAACGCCAGGCCCGATGATTGTCTTCCTCCTTAAACACCTCAAGATGGCCGGGTGCGAGTTCCCGTCCTCGGCCATGCAGTGTCACCCATGCGACCCCAGCCGCGCAGGAGGTTTCTCCCCCGCCCACGGTATCTTGTTGTGCCAGAACCGCGTGTCCAGCAAGAAGCACATGGAGGACACGCTCGCCCACGAGCTCATCCACGCCTACGACCACTGCAAGTTCAAGGTCGACTGGATGAACCTCCGCCACCACGCATGTACCGAGGTGAGTGCCAGATTCTGTTGCTGTGCACAACGCGTCTGCCCCTACTCTTTTGGATATTCCACACTCCCGCCGTCTATCCCTCTGGCCTCTGGCGGAGTAGCCCACAGCTGACACGGGCCCAGATCCGCGCCGCCAACCTGTCCGGCGACTGCCGCTGGTCCCGCGAGGTCCAGCGTGGCCACTACGCCTTTTCGAAGCAGCACCAGGCCTGCGTCAAGCGCCGCGCGGTCCTCTCCGTCAAGGACCACCCGAACTGCAAGTCGGTTGAGGACGCCGAGCGGGCCGTCAACGAGGTCTGGGACAGCTGCTTCAAGGACACCAGGCCGTTTGACGAGGTGAGTAAAGCTGGCAAGTGGGGCCGATCTCGCAGCTGACTCGTTATCAGATCTACTAGACTGCGTAGAGCGCCGTGTTTTACCACTCATGCCATATGTACTCCTAGCCATTGCCGTCGCCTGCGTGTCTTCTGGTTGTTGTGAGAGTGCCTGAGTGGATCGGTTTGCCATAGCCGCTAAGAAACGGCGTCATGTGGCGGACTGAGATTTCATGCTTACTGACCCAGGTATATGGTGGCCCTTTACACTCAGTAGCCAGTGGAGAGTACAGCCAGCGGCTAATGAAGAGCTCTGAGGAGATATTGCTTTGCCTGCCGCCACCACACGAAAGGGGACGGACGAACCGATGGTACCAGCCAGTAGGATGTCTCCAGTTGCCCTCCCAGCAGATATTCCAAGATTAGACCGGTGGACCTGATGTACGCAATACCTCTGTCTCTTTGCATGTCAGTCCTCAATGAACGTCCGTCTGCTTCCACTTGCCTCCTCAACGCCGTGGTGCAAGCTGCCACCGCCAGCAGACACCCCCTGCTCCAGCCACCCAGCTCCAACTTTCAAATAGCAATCAATCCGTTTACTTCCGCCGACGGAAACAATTAGTCTCAGGGCAAACCCGAACAACAACAAGAACGCGACTGCTTTGTGGATCCTTGTCAACCTTCCTAACCATAAACATCCCCCATAATCACCATGCCGGCCGTCAAGACGGCCACGGCGGGCGCTACAGCGGCCGCCTCGACAACCACCCGTTTGACACGTACACGACGAGCCGCCGCGACCGCGACCGCCGACGCCGACTCGCTCGCCAGCGACCTCGATCGTGTGCTCAAGGTGTCCCAGCCCGCACCCCAGCCCAAGGCACCCACGAGGCCGACCTCTGTCGCACCGACCAAACGCACCGTTTCAGCCTCCAAGGTCACCACCACAGCAGCTACCAAGACCGCCACTGCCAAACCCGCTCCTGCTCCGCGCGCTGCATCGACCACAGCGGCCCGAGCGGCGGCGACGAAGGCTGGAGCCAAGGTCGGGGCCGCCAGCGCCAGTGGATCCGCCGCCCTGGCACCTTCCTCGGCGCCGACTCGCACCCGCGTCAGGACGACAGCGGCGGCCACCACCGCAGCACCCACAGCGACGGGCACAAGGGCCAAGGCCAAGGCCACCAAGCCCACTGAGCGCGAGCCCCCAGCACCAGTTGAGGCCCAGCCCGAGCTGCCGTGGGTCAAGGCCGGCGCGATGAGTGCGCGCGAGCGCGCCCAGGCGGCCCAGCAGGCTAGCAACGAGGCGCTCCGCACGCTCATCGAGGCGCTGAAGGCTGGGTTCAAGTACTCGACGCCGCCTGCCAAGGCGGCGGCCGCGACCTCGGCTCCTGCCATCACACATAAACAGGTTGACGAGGCCCTGCGGCACGGTATGGCGGCGGTCAACGTCCTCCGCGAGCTCTATGGCGGCGTCAAGACCGGCCCGCAGCGCCTGGCCGTCGAGCGCGGTGCGTTCAACATTGTGTTCAAATGCGTGTGCATGGAAATGGTACGTCAGCTGGTAGGCGACTTTGGGCACTGAAAGCTGACTGGATCAGCACAAACAGGCCTTGTTGGCGCTTGGTGCTGCAAAGCCCCATGTTGTTGGGCTGTACAGCAATAACGGTATGGACCAGGCCCCTGCGCCGTCCACCGCGACTTCTGGCTCGGCAAAGCCCAAGACTCCACCCGTCGTGCGGCCCGAGTGGCGTGACCTCGCCATCTTCCCTCGCCCCACCGACGATGTGGACGAAGCCGTGCGGACCCTCGTGTGCAACTTCTCGTTGGCAACTTGGAGCTGTCTCCTGTCCCTCGAGGGTATGGACGCCGACACTGTCTCGAGCTTCCTCGCCATTCCTTCCACAACCCCCGATCCACTGAGCCCCTTTGTCCTCGCACCGTCCCTCCCAGCCACAGCTGTTGGCTCACTAGCTGTCATCCTCTACCGTCGTGCGTCGGCCATACCCAGCACCCCAGCCACGCGGCCTTGGCTGTTGTTGCGGGAGGTCACCGCTTTTGCGACTGCCATTGCCGCGTCGGAGCAGTCACCCACCAACGCGCCGTCCAAGGTCTGGTCGTCGGTCGGGCGTACCGTCCAGCTCGCCCTCGAGGCGCAGGCCGACGACGCTTGGCGAAAGGAGGTGGCCGCGTCCATCGAGCGCATGGTCGACATCATGGAACGACTCGTGGCGTCCCGTCAAGCCGACCGGTCGACCTGGTTTGGTGGCGTGTGGCCCAAGGTCGCCGACCTGTGGATCGGTATTGGTCGTAACGTGAGGTTACAGGTAGTGTTCGCTTAACTGACCTCCCCAGCTCAATGACTCGGCCATCATCGACAGTGCGCTGGCTGCCGCGACGGCTGCAGCGTCCATCTCCAGTGGAAGTGCTGTTTCTGCGCCAAGCTCGTCTGCTTCGAGCTCACCCGCCTCGACTGCTCCCTCCACCCCGGTCTCGGTCACCTCGGCGCGATCCCTTAGCCGTGCCGTCAAGACTGTCCGCAAGATTGACAATGCTGGTGCTGAGACTTTGCGCATCTGCGCGTCGCTGGCAAAGGCCCTCGTGGAGGCTGCGGCGTTGGCTAGTAAGCTGAAGCCCCTCTGGCGTTTAAGCTGACATCAGAACTCGACTCACCGCCTGCCGACACACTCCAGGCTGTTCTGGAAGGTATCGAGCTCGATAACCTCCTAGCAGCCCTGTGCAGCGTGGAGCCAAGTGACGAGTACGCAACTATTGCGGACGCATTGCGCGCTGTGGAACGTGTCCGTCGTGTTGTCGTCAAACTCATCGACCGCCCTGCCTTGTCACCTATTGCACGACAATGGCTCCTTGACCAGATCACATTCTTCGAGGGCCTCCTCGTTCAGAGTGACGACAAGGCACGTGGCCAGAACGTCGTGCGTGACTGCCTCCTTGGCGTCGTGGACTCGACCCAGAACCTCGCACGCGCCTGGGACCCGGCAGCAGACGAGCTGTTCGTCGTTTCTCTCCTCGACCGCGTCTACGCGCTCTGCGAGACTTGCTCGATGCATGCGGCTGCGGCCCGCCTGCAGTACTTGGCCTGCCTCACGCAGACGGACCAGATTGCGGCCATCCGTCTTCTCCGCATAAACGCCAAAGCGAGGGCGGCACCGCTGGCCCGTCGTGCGTGTACTTGGTCCGTGGCCATTCTCGACAGCTGCGGCGACGACCGCGAGGTCGCGGCTCAGACGCCGGCGTGGCGGTCCATCGAGAGCGCTCTGCAGAAGCGGTTTGACTTGCTGGGAATCTGTCTCCACGACAGTGACAAGAATGTGAGTATATGTCGCCTACGTCTGGCACTGACTCAACCAGGCTGCCCTCGTCGCCTACGCCCAGAGCTTGGCGTACATCGACATTGCCACAGTGCAGAAGATTGAGTCTGCCATTGCGTCGACCCCCGTGTGTGCGGTTTTTGCCAGTCTCGACGACTACAACGTCTCGCTCAAGCGCTGCACGGCGCTCCTCACCCAGGACGACCCTCTCGACACCGACTTTGCCGCTGTGCTCTTCGCCGAGCTCGCTTCCCGCAACCTGTCGACGGCGGTTCGTGGTGCCATTGCGGAACGTGTCATCGAGTCGCTCGAGCAGGCGCAGTTCCGCCCCCATGTCCAGACTACCATTGTCGCGCTCGTCGATGGGGCGCTTGCGCTCTATGACGCGGCGACTTATCCACTTCGTCGCATGCGGTAAGCTCTCGTATACTGTGGTAATGAGCTGACGTTCAGTGTGTGCGTGCGTTTGCTGTCCCTCATCGCAGCCAGCGGTGCCGTTCCAGAACGGTTCAACTCTGTCGGCAACGAAGTGGACTCGCTCGCTCAGAAGGGGTTCAACAAGGACGGCGAACTCGCATGCTTCAAAGCCGAGTATCACGCTTCCGCCCTCGTCCTCCGCGCCTTGAATGCGTATCACTCGGAAACCGAGCCGTCCACTGCTGTCGCTGATCTGGGCCACGCTGCTCTGCGCGCAATTTCCGCCACGGTGCTTCCTCCGGTGCGGACATCCCAGTTCCCCGCCGCCACTGGCAGGCGTACTGCCTCGCGTACCGTGTCGAGCAGCAGTGCGGCCGCTCGTACTACGTCTCGCTCGACCAAGACTGCCACGTCCGCTCCAGCAAGGACCCGCGTAACCAAGGCCACCGCTACCAAGACAGCAACAGCAGCTGCCAAGGGCAGTCCAGCCAAGTCGACCACTGCCGCGCAGCCTCCTCAAGCCCTGCGTACTGACAGTTTAGAACGTTTGAGCCAGCTCCTCAGTGAGTGTTATCGTGATTCATGTTGCTGACAGCTCTCATCCAGATGCCTTGTCTTCCCTGTTCGGTCTCCTCGGACATGTGCTCCCCAAACTCGAGACTCTGAAGGTGCTCCGCGCCTTGCAGCGCCACAACGATGGCACAGTCGATGGTGAGCTAGACCGCTCGCCGGTGAGCTGACATGCAGCGTTCATCTACACGTCTTCCCACTTGGCCACCGAGTACGGTCGCCTGGGCAAGTACTCTCGCGCCTCTGTGGTGTTCGCGCACGCGATCAAGCAGGCCAGCGACGAGAAGAGCCCCGCATCCATCGAGACTCGCGCCGACCTCCACCTCTCCTATGCACGCTTCCTCGCTGTCTCGGGCCACGTCGAGAATGCGTAAGTTGAGGTTTATCTGGCGTTAACTGACCGTTACAGTCGGGACGAGTACCTCGAGGCGGAGAATTTGGCGACCATGATTGCCGACCCGGTGCCGGCTGGATCGTACGCGGCGCGCTGGATCCAGCTGTGTGCTGTCAAGCAGCGTATTGCGCTCTCGCACTCGGCACTGGCGGCTATCCGATTGGCAGAAGTAAGTTGAACTCAAATGGGTCAAGCTGACATCCCCAGGGGGACGTAACAGCAGCTATCAACAGCCTTACTATTGCCTACCGACTCTGGTGCCGAGCGGCACACGGCATCTCACATATTGCTGCTGCCGCCCAGTCCGAACAGGTGCAGGAGGAGACGGAGGTCAAGGAGGCCGCCGCGCCAGCGGACCCCAAGGCCAAGAAGCCTCAAGCGTTCGCCCTCGAGGGCAAGCACCTCACGGGCTTGCAGTGGCATTACGCCGAGGCGCTTTTCGACTCTGCCATCGAGCTCGTCAACGCCACTGCCCAGCGCGGTTCCGTCAAGGAGAGCGAGTACTTTATCCGCATGGCGCGCGGGATGGTGCCCTCGATGCGTTCCTCGGCTCTCGACGCCAGGGTCGCCTCCCACTCTGCTGAACTGGAGACACGTCAGCTGCATTTCGAAAAGTCTGCAGAAGAGCTGGAGCGTGCTGCGGGCATTCTAACAGTGGTGAGTTGTTGTAGACTCTACACAGTACGTCAGCTGACATGGCAGACTGACGGGCCCGACGCGATCGAGATTCGGCGTATGCGCGGCGAGCTGTTTTCACGCCAACAAGAGGCACCCGAGGCCGACGAGCAGTTCATCTTGGCTGTTGAGAACATTGTCGGCCTTGACACCGAGTTTGTCACTGTCGAGGAACAGTCTCGCAAGGACAGTGTCGGCGCGGCGGCATCCTCCAGGGAGCCACTACTCCCCCATGTGCTCAGCCAGGTCCTGCGTCAACGTGCTTGGCTCCTCCACGAGGCTGGTATTGTTGACGAGTACGAGTCTATCCGTGAGCAGCTCGACCTCATCCCGGCCTCGGCCGGCACCAAGGCGCAGCAGCAGCTCCTCGAGGCCAGGGTGGCGATGCAAGACGCCTTTGGCAACTTCAAGACCGACCTGTTCATGAGCTCGTTGACCGAGTCGACCATTGCCATGACCATGGGCTCGCCCGACAAGCGCGCCAAGGAACGCCAGTCGACTCGCCACGGCGCACAGGTTCTGCTGGAGCGCGCGGCCCATGCGTTCCGCGACACCCTCGCCAACGTCGCTGCCACCGGCCGTGTCGAGGACGTCCGTCAGGCTTGTGTCTCGTTGGCGCTCCTCGGCGCATTCCAGACCTCGCTCGGGCAAGGCTCAGCTACCACCACCGCGTCGGCAGCGGGCATGCTTGCCTCTATCCCGTCTCTCACTCTCGAGAGGGAGCTCCTTCCGGCCATCGACAGCAAGTTCCCCAATGCCGAGGCGGACGACATGGACTGGCCATCTCTGGAACCCCAGACCTGGGAGAGCGACGACCCCATGCGGCCATACTGGGACAACATTCGTGCAAAGTACGCCACCAGCACGGTGCTCCATACCGAGCATGACCTCAGCGGCCTGCCTGCCAACTGGGCCGTGGTGAGCATTACCGTCACGGACGACCGCAACACGATGCTCGTATCGCGCCATCAGAACGGCCACGAGCCCATTGTCTTTTGCATCCCTCTCGACCGCCAAGGCCGACGCGAGGGCGAGGACGAGAGCGAGCTGTTTACGTTCGACGCGGGCATCACCGAGCTTGGCGAGATCATGGCGGCCAACGACGAGCAGATCAAGGGCATCAAGAACCTCAAGCACGAGGACCGTCCGGCATGGTGGGAGCACCGCAAGGGCTTGGACGCGCGTCTCGGCGAGCTCCTCGCGTCAATCGAGTTTTGCTGGCTGGGCGCGTTCAAGACCGTCCTCAACCCGCGCATGAAGATTGAGCCCAAGGCATTTGACGCGTTCCGCGACCGCCTGGACCGTATCTTCCAAGCCGCACTGTCCAGTGCTGGCTCGGAGATCCGCAAGGGTGCCCGCGTGCGCCTCAACGACGAGCTGCTCGCGTGCTTTGCCACGCTGTCGTCGCAGTGCAAGGACGAGGAAGTCGAGGACCTGGTCTACTTTGTGCTCGACCTGTACCAGTTCCACGGCATTGCCGTCGCGCTCGCCGAACTCGACTTTGACCAGATTGGCGTCGACGTCAAGAGCGCCATCATCGACCTCGAAATCGCCATGGGCATCACGCACCCGGTCGAGAGCGACGAGCACCTCCTTCTCGCGCTGGACAAGAACGTCCAGGGCATCCCATGGGAGTCCATCCCCAGCCTCCGCGGCAGGGCCGTCAGCCGTATCCCGTCCCTCCCGTTCGTCCTCGACCAGATCGCCCTCGGTCAGCACTGCGGCGTCGACTCGGCCCACCGCACGTTTGACCGTTCCAAGACGAGCTACTTCCTCAACCCAAGCGGCGACCTTGTCGGCACCCAGAAGCGTTTCGAGGAGCGGCTGACCGGACTCGAGAAGAAGGGATGGAAGGGCATTGTCGGCCGCGTCCCGAGCCAGGCCGAGATGGCCGACGCACTGCGCGAGTCCGAGTTTGTCATGTGAGTTGTGCAGGGCTGTCCAGCGAAAAGAGGTTCCCAACTGACATTCTCCTCTCAGCTACTACGGCCACGGCGGTGGTGAAGAGTACATTCGCGGGCTGGACGTGCGCGCGCTCCCGCGGTGCGCCGTCACGATGCTGTGGGGCTGCTCGTCGGGCCTGCTGCGCGACTATGGCGACCTCGACCGCACCGGCACGCCGTGGGACTATGTGCTTGCCGGATGCCCGTGTTTCGTCGGCAACCTCTGGGACGTGACGGACAAGGACATTGACCTGGTCACGGCGCTGGTGATGGATGACCTGGGCCTCGACGCCGAGCACGTCGACGGCCACGAGCGCACGGGCGTCTCGGTCGTGCAGGCCGTGAGCGCCGCCCGGCCAAAGGCAAAGCTCAAGTACCTCACGGGCGCGGCGCCGGTGGTGTATGGTGTGCCCGTGTATCCCGCCTAAACATATATAACTCGTTATTGTTTTTGCTGTATGTAACCAACCCCCTGATCAGTTAAAAATTAGGCATCTGGCCTCTGGAGCGATGCACAGCCGGTGCACAATGTTACATTTGCAGAATGACAGTACACGTATACGAGAGAGGACGAGATGGGGAGCGTACCGATGCGAAGAAGTATGCGTGAATTGATTGTGTGCGGGGCGTCGAGAGAGAGAGAGAGAAAGAGACATTCCATGGGTGAAACGAACGAGGTTTTGTGGGCGCTCGCACACCTCATGATAAGCGGGGTTGGACAAGGAGCGCCTCGGGGGTACTCATGCGGCGCGTGCCGTGTACGGGGTCAAAGCCCGTGAGCGCGAGGACGTGGCGCGGGAGCATGGAGCGGTCGTGCACCTCGTCGCGGTACACGACGCGGACGGCCTGCGCGGCCGAGCTGGTGTGCGCGTGGCCGCGGAGCGGGCTGTTGGTCGGCGACTGGGCGGGGACGAACTGGGCGAGTCGGGCACGTACGCCGTCGTGGCCGCCACGAGCGTCCAGGGCAGGATGAGCGGGAACAGTGTGTTGAACCGGTCGTCCTGGCGGACGGGGGTCGGTGGGCGGACGTTGTTGCGCAGCGCGGCCGTGCGCGCCGCGTTGACCTCTTCGTCGGCGTCCAGCCGTTCGAGGCGGGACTGCCAGATGGAGCGGTTCTTCATACACGAGTCGGTGTACGCCTGCATCTCGGGGATGGCGACGGCGGTCGCCTTGAACAAGGGCTCGGTGAACAGGTCGATAAAGCCCACTTGGCCCTTGGCCTGGCCGCGCGCGTCGATGCCCGAAACGACAGACACGGGGAGCTCGAGCTCCTCCTCGAGCGACGCCTGTTTGGTCCACTCGTCCAGGAGGACGGTGGACCAGTGCTCCGAAACGTCAATGGGACGGGTCTGTAGGTGTCAGCTGGGGCATTCAGGGCGTTGCAGGGGCTAGCTCACGGGGTTGCTAATGTCTGCACACTTAATGAGCGCCTGGCAGAGCACGACGCGGTCCGCCTCGGACAGGTCGTCGCGGTCCACAGGGTGTTCGCCCTGCATGGCCTCGCCATACTCCTTGAGACGCTGGATCCACGCAAAGTGGAGTGCCATGTCCGTGGCCAAGACGGCAGAGTAGAGCACTTGGCGGAACGAGCGCGAGTCAATGGCCGCGCGCGCAGGGTAGCGCTCGGCCTCGGCTGGCGATGGGTTGCCGATGAGGAAGCCAAAGCCATGCTTGCGAAGCAGGTGGACAATGAGCATGCAGTGCATGTTCTCGAGCACCGACTTGTCATCGTACACGACCGACAGCGGTACCTTGGCGTTCTTCTGCTCGGGTCAGTGTAGTCCAGGACTAATTACCCACCATAAACGCGTTACTGAGACCAGGGTGGCCAACGTCGTGCCCAATGGCCGCGATGAGCACCGCAAGGACGTCTTGCGGACGCAAGATGCTGCGTGCGCGTCGCGTGCCGAGGCCGGCGGGCGGCTTGACCTCCTCCGAGGGTCTGCGCCACACCGACTTTCCGGGTTCCAGCTCGAGGAAGAAGTCGAATGGAGGCGCCACCCCAATCCCAACGAGGAAGAGGTAGGTTGCCTGCAAGACATCGATAGCGTGGACGTAGTTGTGGTAGGGGTTGGGTGCGTGGTAGATGGCTCTGATGGCGAACAGCAGGCGGTTCACTTGGTCTGCAGGGGGTGTCAGCTACAGGTTCCGCTTCATTTGCAGCTCGACCTACCTCTGTCAAGACACAGCTCGGCCAATCCCTCCGTATGCAAAATGACCTCGAAGATCAGGCACGGCACACGGAAAAGGTCCACTTGGCTGAGGAGGTGTGGCCGGAAATCCCATTCCCTCAAAGCGTTCACGAGACGGACACGTTCCTCGTACGGGATGGGAGCTGCCAGCGTCTCGTAGTCACCCATCTGAATGTCGATCGAGGCCATGGTCTGCTCGTACATGTCGCCCAGGACCTCGGCAAACTGCGTCGTCGTACTGCCACCTGCCGCCTCTTGCTCCTTGTCGCCAGCGACCATGGTGATGCTGCTGTGGCGGCCGTGTCCGTGGTGAGGAGCGTCGCCGTCCGCGCCCTCGGCGTCCCTGTTCGCACGCTCAAAGGCCAGGGCGATGCCGCCAGTGTCCACACTGCGACGTCGTGCCTCTGCAGCGCTGATGGCCGCAAGGTTCGACTGGTCGTACATGTGCGCGAGGGATGGGAAGTGGGCAAGTGTCGTTGATCCAGGTGTGGCGACTGTCGGGCCAACGGACGAGCTGGTGGAACCAGTCTTCAGGCCCTCGCGGTCGTGGCGAGACTCGCCGTCTACACTGGCTGTAGACGCAGGCGAGATTACGCGACTCAGGTTGAGCTGCGTGCTGAGGCGACGACGGTGATGGGTGAACGCGGATAGGACCTTCTCGCTCTCGTGTTCAGCACCCATGGCGAGGGCGGTGGGAGTGAGGACGACCTTGGTCTCATCCTCAAACGCGCTGGCCCCAGCGAGGTTGGGGTGGGACGGCGAGGTTGACAAGGACGCGGCAGTGGAGGCCTTGCCGTCCCTGGCTGCTTCGACGATCTGGTTCAACACGAGGGCAGTATGCGCGTCATAGGGAGGGTGAAGGACGCCAGAGGCACCAGCGTTCATGCACGCCTCGAGGGCGGCAGGCGACAAGGTGCCGCTAGAGACGTAGCCAACAATGATCGCGCGTGGGGTCGCAATCTCCTCTGGGCTCGTGTTGCACAGTTGAGCGACCTGCTCGATCGTCCTGACCGCCGAGTTGATCCAGTCTTCCTCGAGCCGCGAGGCACGGTCCACCAGATCTTGCTGGAAGCACACAGCGCTGGGCGTGGTGCCGCGCGAGAGGAGGAGGGACAGAGATGGCAGGGAAGGCGTGTCGCCCAATGGCACCAGCACAACTTGCTGCACGGACTGTGTTGGGTCGCGAGGAGACAGCTGGGAGAGGGTTGACGTTGGTGTCATGGTGGAGATGATGCCTGGGAGATGCGAGGTCTGTCGAACCGCAGTGACTAAAGAGGGGGTGGGATCAGCAGGTGTTCTACTCAAGTACAAGGATGAGAGGGAGCCACAGATCGGAGTGTGAGATCGAGGGAGGTGTATGAGAACATGAGATCATTGTGGCCCACATCGGCGCACGCCGAGGGATCGACGGTCGATCAGACACGTGCCCACGGCGTCAGTGCGCACAGGCCATTCTTTCGCGACAGATGTCGGGCCCAACAACTCGAAACCGTCTGTCCACGACGAGAAAGCACCTGTGCGCACGCAAACATGTACGGCGGGCACAAGCAAGGTACGCAGCTCGTACGACCGGTAACAAGAAGCAACCGTCGAGGTTGGGGAAGCGTGTGCTCTCCGTCTGTGCCTGATGGCTGAGCTGGGTACTCGCCCAGCGCCATCGCTCAACTCGAGGTCGCACGCATTTAGCCCTCTCTTGCTGCGGTGTGCGCTACAGCGGGAAACACAGGAGAAGACAGGAGAATGGATGCGAGGGGCTCCCGCGGACGACAGAGACAACTCACCTTCCAGTCCACTCTGCCGCAAGCTGCCGACGAGTTCGTCACCCTCGACGCCAACGCGACGTCCTGTCGCCGACGACATGATGCCCACACCGCTGGGGACTGCAATGCTTCCTCGGGGCGCGCGCAGGGCGGCGTGGGCAGCAGCCGACTCGGGGCCGGCAGAGGGCCGGTTGTTGGACCGGCTGGCCTGTGGGAAGTGCTTGGTGCCAAAGTCGGCTGCGCGAGTCTCGCGCTGGCCTGTTGGCCCAGTTTTTGTCGTGCCGATATGACGGTGTGCGCTGGGTGTGTTGGAGGGGGAAGGTGGGCTGAAGCCGAGACTAGCGTTGGAGGAGGACGCACTCCCCGACAATTGCAACCCGGCACCGAGGCCCACGCCGAGACTCAACCGCCGACTCTGGACGAGGACGGGGTCAAGCTCCGCTTCTGCTGCTGCCGATGCATTGTTGGTTCTGCTCAGAGTGGGTATTGGGCCAGACCCGCGCGAGGCGAGAGCTGGAGGGATGGGTCGCTGTCGGCCGTTTTGGACGGATTCGGGCAAGAGAACGAGGATTGAGACCGGCGACGACGCGATAATGGGTGAATTGGCGGCCATGGCGACGTGGAGTGGGCTGTAGATGTGGGCAGAGAATGCAAGTGATGTGATGTTGTTTAACGCGTGGGCGTGCCGTGCTCAACACGACGACTGGGAACTGGGCTTTCGTATCAGTTTTGCGAACTGTAGCGAGCGAGTAACGAGGCTCCCAAGCCAAGGTCACACAAACCCTGCGCGCGGGGCTGAGATGAAGGCACGTACTGGCAAAGTGCTGGCGTCGACGGGAGTGTCGTAACGGGGTGGAAGCCGAGCCCCGGGGAGAGTGCCGACGTCGGAAGACTTGTGCTGCTCCTTGGTAGTAAGGTGTTGGTTGTTGAACGCGGAGCGCGCCCTCTGCTCAGTGATAAACGGGCGTCGGACGGACGGACGGCGGGGACGAAACGGAGTGGGGCCAAGGTGGGGTTTGCAGCGTCCAAGACAACCAGGTCGACGGCGGCCGAGCAGGGCGACAAGTGGAGGTCGAACAGGCCAGCCCGTGTGTGGGGATTGCGGCGGTGTGGGGAGGAAGGGGGATGGACGGAGTGGCCGAACGGGGATTGGTGTGGACAGGAGACGGGGTGGCCTGAGAGAGAGGGGGAGAGAGCAGTGTTGAGATTTGCAGAGGGAGTGGCCAGAGTGGAGGAGTGAGGGTGTGAGAGCAAGGAAGGAGGACGAGGATATGGGTGTGTGTGCGCAAGACGAGACGAAAAGCGGCGGCACGCACAGAGAGGGGTGAGGGGGTTGTTCGCTTGGTCTCGGTTGTGGGCGGCCTGGGCGGGCAGTGGCGTACAGTGGGGAGGGAAGGCACATGTGTATATAATTTGTTGCCTCTTTGGGTAATAACGTGGGGCATATATAGGGATGGTCCCACCCAAATTCGTCATTTCAACTCAGCCATATACAAATGGGATCAGCGTGTGTAGTCACCGGCGCAGCCACCACAGAACCCATCTCAGTCAGTCACCGCTCTCCCTCGCCGTGTGCCTGCCGCTCAGTCGCGTGGGCTCTTTCATATAGCTCGCAAGACAGAAGAAAGGTTATATTTCTGGCGGCACACCCGGCAAGTCCTTACCATAGTGTTAGTAAGTACTTGCTGTATTGACTGAATGACTGAGGCGTCTCAAATGACAAGTCCAAGTGCACCATCGTTTCAAGGCGCACTGTGCTCATGTCCGACAATGTAGGATGACATCAGAGATCAGAGACAAAAGCGGACACCCCACACACACTCACAGCTCACCGACAGCCGACCGACCATGACACTACACGAGAGAGGGAGAGTGTGTCTCACCATCATGTACAGACCACAGACCACGGGCCACGGGCAACGGGAGGAAGAGACAGTGTTCCAGACCAAAACACACTACATGGCTGCTGTTCTCTGCCTCGGAGAGCCCCGTCAGAGCTGCAGCATCATCCGGAACGACCCACCTGCCAAACTGCATTCCGCAACGCCGCAAGCAGGAACACCCCATCATCCCCTCCACCCAGGTCTCGATGGTCAACTGATCAAAAAGCTGACTGGACTATTTCGTTGCGCATGCGGAACTGTGGTAATGTGATACACACCCGCACACGAGTGTGATACTCCCCTATCGCAGCAGGGAGCGTCCGCCCCTATATAAGCTAATCTGCACGTCAGTCGACACGCCTGACCAGTCGTTCTCCCACCTTGTCCTTTTCTCTCACACCACACAAAGATTCACAACCACAATGCCTGACCAGATCACCAGCCACGGCCAGAACAGCCGGTGAGTCCCCCACCGCCGCACATACTGGTATGGACTGTCCATCTAACATGACAAAGGGCAACTCGTACGACACCCGTGTCAACACGGACACTGGCAACAGTGGATACCACTACTCGAAGTGAGTCTTCTCCGGATAAGATGACGGCGCAGTGTGCTGACGAGCCACAGCAGTAACGGCTCGTACTACTACCAGAACACCAACGGTAGCAGCTACTACAACAGCGGTGAGTCTGCTCGCACGGCGTGGACGTTCTAGAGGTTGGCTGACGTTCCCAGGCAGCGGTTACAGCCAGTACACCTCGCCTTCGGGCAACGCCTCGCAGTCTTACGGCTCGAGCAAGAAGTAACTCGACAGCCTGCAGTGCTGAGCTCCCTGGTGAGAAACGAATAACAGTAGTGGTAGTAGCAGTAGGCGCAATAAGAGAGTGAAGTGAATGCCACCAAAGTGATGGCCAGCGCCAGCAGCGAACAGTCCGATTACGGCCGCGTCCTATCGCTATCACAATGAGAGTACCGCCTGACAGTCCGGAAGTGCGGAGCCACTGAACGGTGGCGTTCGACGTTCTGACTCTGTGTTCCACCGCACTGACCACCACAACCAACCACCACCCCCCGTTCAGAGCCTGGCCGGGGTCTGGCCATGGACAAGATGGAGGAGACTGCCGCCGTCGGCGGCGGCCGGGACGACCTTGGCGCTGAGCTTGGACCCATTGTTCACTTTGAAGTGGCCGGCATGAAATGGGAATCACAACAATTTGGCCGCGTGGGACTGCCAACGACGGCCAGATGCGTGGTCGAATACGGCTGCGGTTGTTTCATCTCTCGTAACTGAGGCTCATGCATAAGCCCTGCTCAAGGGACGACTTGCTACTACAGGAGACTGTAGAGCACCACTGCACACTCGTACCAGCGCAGTAGCAGCAAGAGCAGCTGTGTCTCCCACCCAAACGGTGCAGCTTCTGCCATCCTCCGACCGTCTCTCAAGCCACCTGCCCAGCCTCTGACACGCGGCCGCAACGCCGAGATCTGCACTTGGCCTCTGGGCCTCTGTCCTCGTCCCCGCCTGAGACGGCGAGCTCGGCACTGTCGGCTGCGCTACTCTGCCAATGTCCAAGGAGATCTGGAGCGGTGCGTGTGGTCCTCGTTCGGGAGTTTCATGCCGTCGGGGGGCACCATGGGCTGAAAGGGCCAGAGTTGTATATAACGACAGCGAGGGAAGGGGGAGGTCTGGACGAGTCCTTTACGCCACACACACTCACTTTGCGGTTTCCACTCGTTGGCCAGTTCGGTATCGCTCACGTCCACACGTCCACTTGCACACACACGCATCAACCACGCCCCTTTGGCCTCGGCCCGTCCTCAGAGATCAGATATCCTCCGGGTTCTACACCCCCAGCTCCCCAGATCGGCATTTCTCTTGGCCCCTCATCGCCACTGGAAGGACTCGAGCGACTTAAGCAGAAGAAGGCTGGCGTTTCGTTCCCCTCAAACAGCAACAACCACCACGACAGTACACTCAATCCCACAACCGCAATGTACCCCGGCAACACCTTGTCTCCAGCGAGCGCAGCGTGGCCCAGGCCTGCTCCCTCGCCACCACGGCCATCGCCGCGCAGCACGTCTGGCTCGTCCGTCACTGTCGCCTGCCCCGGCGGCACAACCGTCACCGTCACCTCTGGGCCCTTCAGGCCAATCGAGCCCGGCGAGGCCGTCGTCAGCATCCCGATAGAGTACACGGGACCACGGTAGCGCCATTTTGCGACGACGGCAGCTGGACAACATACAGTGAGCTCAGCTGTGTTCGCCCCCGCCGCCTAGGCTTGTAGCTGACTCCCCAGCGAGCACGAGAGTCCACCCAGCCTCTTCGAGAGCACTCGCCCAATCCACACACACGCAACTCTCCCACTAGAAGAATGGAAGACGGGGCGCCGGGATCCAACTCACACACTTTTCGCATGCGGTCATCATTCACCATCACAGCACCCTAGCATCCGATGGGCCTCGACCCTGGGGCAACAACAGTCGAGCCCACTACATTTGAGCCCCCTCTCCGCCCAGTCCCACCCCACACTCTGCCCTGTGTCAAGCAGACCCGAGGGACCAAAATCGCACATTCAAGGCCGGCATGACACCACACCACACCACACCTCCGGGGAGAGGGCGACGGGAACGGATATCCCACACACAATTGTGAATCAGGATCTCAAAGGCCACCCACCCCACTCTCACTCTGTAGAAAACGACGGACGTAGACCTAGTCCGTATATCCATTCAGGCGCGCACCGCGGTACGTCGCGGCGGGGACGTGCCTGCAGGATGCAGGAGAGGTGGTACAGGAGCGTGCCTCTGCATATGGTGGTCTTTGGTGCTGCTGGTGAGAAGGAACACACGTAGACGATGTAGAGGCGCATATGAGGCACTCGCGCGTCCAGTCTGGCCACTTCATCCCCCGCGTGCCGCCTGTGCCGGCCGCAGACATGTTTCAGACGGTCAAGCCCACGGTACCACGGTTCAGCCTTGTCGTGGCCCAGACACGCCAGAGGCCAGAAGCCAGTGGCCAGTGGCCGTCCACCGCACCTGGCGCACGGCGAGCCACTTTGCCACTAACCGTGGGATCGTTCTGGGCTTGTTCTGCGTGCACAAAAGCACCTCTGGCGTCGGGGGAGACAAGCTGAACCCCAGAAACCAGCACTGGCCGTAGAAGCAATCCGACTTTGCGCTGCCGACACTCAAAGCACACGCAGATGAGAGCCGTGCCGTGGCAGAGGACAGCTCGTGCCATCTAGGAACAGCGTCCAGGCCCCCAGTCAACCCACACAACAGGCCGTTTGCAGGCTGCAGAGACCCCTTGACATGGCGTGTGGTCTAGCCCCCATATCCATATAGCCAGAGCAGTCGTCCGCAGATCGGTCGGCCCCTCGGACCCCTCGGCAGCCCCGGCAGGGTTGAACTGCACCGTCCAGTGTGGGCCTGGATCCATGGCGTCGGTCAGTTCCAACACGAGCTAAATGTCGCGAGGCCGTTGTCCTGCGGGTGTACGGTTTGTGTTTTGCGGTGCACTACAACAGATAGAGGCCAGCTTGACGCAGCAGAAGCTCGTGTTGGTAGCTCGGTGATCAGGAGGGCTCAGATAGTCACCGGTATGTGTTGGTCGGAGGTGTGACAGAACGGGCGCTAGCCCTTCAAAGAGAGACAGTGTACTCGCAGCCTTGACCTCCTTCAACATGCTGGGTCGAGGTGGATGGAGCTCCCACAGCTTCATTGCCAGTAGCATGCGGGGACCCGTGCCAAACGGTACACCCTGGGGCAGAAGGATAGCGTATGCAGCCCACGATCACGAGACTAGGTGACACCATTGTGGCTGAGGCGCATCCCCAATGGCCAGTGGCGTGTATACCCCGCCTTCTGTACTGAACGTACTGACGTGCTGACGCCCCGTCCAGCTCCCCAGTGTACCAGTGTACAGTGTGTCCCCAGTAGTGTGGACATGTACATGTGCGACGTGTCTGCCTCGGGGTGCATCGCACAAACACATGCTGTCTACAACTCCCACAGCAGCACCACAATTGCCGCCGCAGCCGGTGTTCTCCGCACACTCCGAGATGGGACCGCGCGTGCTAAGCGATTTCAATTAACTTTTGAAAAAAAAAAGTCGGGAGTGGAAAACTGAAATCGAAATCGTTTTGGGGGGGCAGCATTCAGGTGCAACCGAGTCGAGATGGTCGAGACGAGACGCGTCCACGCTCCCCCGAGCTGTGCATATGCAACACACCCCACACGTATGCTGCCAGGGTTGCAGGGTTCCAGCGCATGCCCATGCATGGATGCACCCCATCGTCCCACGCGCAGAACATTTTTCACTACTCGCACGCGCTGCGCTCTGGAGCGTGTGGGCGCGATTTCCCCACAGACACGGGGGCAGATGCTGCAGCAAGCGCCGGTAGCGACGTCCTCACCACAAGGGGCAAAGCTGGGCAAGGTCCTCCTCCCCCGCGCCGTTGCCGCCGGCTTGGGGAACCTTATCAGCCTCTGCGCTTGTGGGCGGGTGGGCTGATAGCTAGGATAGTGGCTGAGATTGAATTCCGCGGGGGTGCACTGGACTCGAAATAATGGTGCGATGCCTCGTGTCCCCACAACAAGCACGCGTCGGTCCATCCCAGTCGACGCATATATCAGCGCGATAGCAAGGTGTATCGGATTCTCATCCACCTGCCCCCTTGCCTTCTACTCTTCTCTCTAAGCACACACACTAGCCATGGAGTCCACCACTGTCAACCCCTCGTCGCTCGCTCTGACCTGCGGCATGCTCGAGATGGTGAGTGCCGCCCGGCCATGCCGGCCAGCTGTATTTACCAGGCATGATGCTGACTCGCAATCTCAGACCAAGCCCGTCAACCACACCCTCCACCGCGTCTCCATCGCAAAGCCAACCACTACCACTAAGACCGCCGCGGCCACCACCCCTGTCAAGGAGACCCCTGGGGACTGGTACTACTCGTACCTCTCCGTCGCGTCGGACATCTAATGCGCGACGACTCGGAACATATAGACGCACAATAACACTGCCGCGCTGCCGCCCTGCCCCAATTACACACTGCACACCTGCCGAGCTGCCGCCATGCCTTCCAGCAGCGGTCGTTAATACCAAGACCCCCCTCCCCGACCGGTACTTGCCCCCTGCCCCCACGCAAGACCCTAATGACATTGTACATAGAGACCTGTAGATTAGAAGCTTGACCACAATAGAAGAGAAGATGCACAAGCGAATGGAAGAAGCGCACGCATCTCAGGTCGCTGGATCGCTGGCCGCTGGCCTCTGGGTGGCAAGCACAAAATCACGGGTACCAGGTTCGAATCACATCAGCTGGTTTTCGGCGCAAAAACAGTAGTGTGTATTTCGGGCCAGCGAGAAACACACTACGGACCATTCGCTATGGGTGCAATCGGAGGATAAGGGGTTTCATGGCTTTCTCCGGCCTGGGTGGAGCTCGGTGAAGGATCCACCTTTGTCTATCAGCTGATCACTGATCACTGTGTGCATGGAAACACGAAGCTGTGCTCCATGTCACACAGGTGCTGAACACCCTTGGTGCGGGATCCCTTCTACCTGGGCGACGTGTGTGGCAGCTTGAATCGCCGAAGTCGTGGAACTGGCCAGGCGAGTACCATGTGACTTGTGACCAGATCTCATACCCATATACCCCCACTGTCCCCGAGTGCATAAGTGTGCATACATAGACACTTGACACTCATGCACTCAGCTAAGGTGCACGTGTGTGGTGGCCAGCGGGCCAGTGGGCGCGGTGGGACTTGTTGCCACCGCTCCACAATCCGCCATCACCAACTGTCCGCGCCACCAGCGATCCTCCGACAGGATCGGCGAGAAGCTCACACCACCACCACTCCAGTGCACTGCCACGACTACACCACAGCCTCCGATCCTGTAACACTTCAGTACGGGAGTGTGAGCATGGGAGCACGGACCGCACACGTGTGCATGTCCAGATCTGCAGTCTTGTGAATGCTCAGTGAGCCACCCGGCTGCTTCTTGAGTGCCGGCGGCGAGGAAGGCCACCTGGTACAAAGGAGAGGATCAAGGAAGCTCGACCTTCTTTAACATCAACACTCGACACAACCCCACCAACACCCATCCCACCACTTTACCTCTGTCAACCCCGAATGACTGTCACAAACTTCCAGGTGAGCCTCCACTAGCCCCCACCCACCCACCCCAGCACGACCGCCACTGACGCGTCCCAGGCCCCCGCCGACGAGTTCTCGTTCCTCTCGTGCTGCATCAGCGCAGACCAGATCACCGACCCCAAGTACACCAAGACCGATGACTCGAAGAGCCTAAAGACCTTTTCCACCATCTCGTCGGGCCTCACGCGCGTCGCCACGTCCATGTCGGGAACCTCTGTGTCTGCAAAGACGAAATCCAGTGGGTGGCGGGAAGGGAAAAGGGGGAGGGGACGAGGGGAAGTGAACCACGCACTGACCAAAGGCACAGCGAGCGGCAAACCCTAGAGAGACACGAGCGAGAACGAGAGAGAGACACAAGGCCAGAACCGAGATGATCCGAACGAGCCCGTCATTGACTGTGAACCATGAGAGAGCATGCAGTCGTCATAACACACCTCCAGTGCGCGCAGCGCGAAGCAGTCCATATGCACGTGGCAGTCGCTTGGGAGTCGATTCCAAGGAACAGAGGCGAGGCTGAGGGGCGAAGCTTGATCAACTGGTGGACTGACCGCTCACCCTCCAACGTCGGGCTCTCCGTGATCCGTGATGTGTGTGTGTGTGGAACCAACCGCACCCAGGATCCCAGGATGGCACACACTGCGAATCACTTACCCCGCGGACCCCAATTTCCCAAATTCCGCATCCACCCATCCTTCACTGATCACCTTGCCACCCCCCCGCGCCCCATAAACAATGCCTGGGACACTTGAGCGTGACAGCCAGATCCAGTCTCGGGAGGTGCGTGCACGCTCCGCAAGGTCGACTTCCCCACAACTAACGACGGTGTCGCATGCACTTTGCTGACAGACACGACAGGTGCCCATCACCACCACCACCGGCGAGCCGCGCAACGAATTCTGGTGGTGCTGCTGCGAGGACACGACCACCGACGCACCCAACATCCGCATCAGTCACCCCCACCGTCCAGACTGGAGCTGTGAGCTGGCCACATGCACAGAGCGTTGACTGACGGCGAAGGACCTGCTCACCACCGTAAAACGGTACACCTGTTCCACGTCGTTGTCAACATTCTCAAGCTGCCCATTGAACCCTTCATACACGTACAGGGACCACCACATACATTCTCATGCAAACTGCTTTGTTGTCTGAGAGCAGGATGCGAGGTGGTGCGAACGGGATGAAGGCAGCGGTCGCTTCGGGCGGCTCTCACATTCTCGTGCCGGGGTCGGCGAGCAGTGCTGCACATAGATAAAGTCGGAGACAGGAAGAGACCTGACGGGTCCCGACAACGTCTACTGATTGATCGCCTTGCCTCGCCACCCCAATGGTACCGTACCTCACCCCCTTGCACAAGCTGGCTCTCATGCTGACACCCCCCAGCCTGTCAAGTTCTACTGCGGATGCGTGCGGGGATGCACCTGCTCAGATCCAGAGGACAGCGAGAGTGACTCGGAGGGTATGTACCCCCCCTCTCACCAACGTCGCAGCTTCACTGATGCTCCTTCAGACGACGATGATGCGACCGTTGTGGGTTCCTAGTTTGGTCAGACATGAGACATGCAGTTCAGGGGGTTTGAGGGTAACACAGAGGTACTGTATGTACATGGGATGAGGTCGTGTCTCGTCGTGCATGCTGCCCACGCATTCAGGAATGCATACATGCTTCCCAACCGGTTTTACCTATGCACTGGCACCATCAGGGGCAGGTTGGTGCGAGTAATGGAACGAAGCATGGGTGGGGGATATGGTTGACGGGCCGGCTCAAAATAGCCGAAAATCAACAACAAATCGGCGCCGGCTGGTCGGAGAACACACAATGACTGGCGTGCGGGTGCGGCGTCTGCCACCGCGGACCTGCTTTCCTCCATTCCACTCGAAGGCAGGGTAATCCGGTATCAGATATCACGTATGCAAAGGTCTGGGCACTCCTGAAGTGACAGTGTAGTGCGAGGCGCGAGGCCGACAATTTCGGTCGACAAGGGTAATGCCCCTCCTCCGTCCATGCCTTGGGAATTGCCTCCCGGCCGCGCACTTTCAGAACCTGAGGGATGGCGCAATGATCGCGCGAACGACGCACCTCGTAGCAGAACCTCGACTCACAATGACACAGCTGATAGGAACTGACATACAGGTCACACAGCATGCGTCCTTGTCTGGAACTGTGGCGTGGCTTCCACGGCTTCGGCGCAACTCGGGATGGCCCGCACCGCGGTGGCGTCAGTCGACAGAAGCATAACCTGCGCGCCAGATCTCCGTGCGCCAAACCCAGAGGCCAAATTGGAACAGTATGCACCGGTCATACAACCGCCTGCACGGACCGCAGGCTGAGAGACGAGCAGCATGCTGGTGCGGGGTCGATTTGAAAAGGGGTTGGGGAAAGTGCGGGGCCAATGAGGCACACCACACACACACACACTGTAACGCGACGCGGACGAGGAATGCTGCGTCCTCGCATCAGGTGTCTGCACTTTTGGAGGTGACGTGCGTGGAACAAGGAGGTCCTGCACCGTGCTCTCGCTCCAAGAAGAGGGGTGATGGCGCCAGCGCATGCGTGTCGTTGCGAAGCCTGGGGGGATGCGAAGCCAGCTCGCGGTCAGAAAAACGATGTATAAAATGGCACCCGCCAATCCGACTTTCTCTCTCAACAACGCCAACTCTCTCACTTCACTCTCAACACTTTCACCGCGCTTCTGCACCCCAACCCCACCACCACCAAACAAACAAACAAACATGTCCGCCGAGCAGGTTGTCGCTGTGAGTGTCTGCCCTTTGGGACGTGCCCGTCACCATGCCTCTCTTCACCGCTACCTTTCTTCTTTCATAGACAATCACTGACTCTCCAGCCCGTTGAGGTCGTCGAGGAGGTCGCCCCCGCCACTGCCGAGGAGGTTCCCGCCGTCGAGGAGGTCGCTGCCGAGGCCGCTGAGGAGGTCGCCGAGGAGGCCCCCGCTGCCGAGGAGGCTGCTGAGGGGGCTTAAGCGAGTGAGTCCTGTCCCCATCCCACTACCCCATCACCATGGTGTGTGGTCCTCGCTCCGCTTCTCAATCTCCTGCATCAGTCACACGAGCACGCACTGACCGCATTCCCCAGAACGAGTGATCGTTTCCTTAGGTGCCACAACGCCACCTTTGGGGCCCGCGTGATCACCTTGGCTGTGAACACTGTTGGGTCTAGTTTGTGTGAAATAGCGCCGCGAGGGCGGGGACAGCTCAGGCTGGGCCTATAGTAGTTTTTAAGATGATGCAAGTAAATTGAGGCGAACATGGTACATTGCACACGGTTCCACTGTTGTCTGGCAGCACTCGATGTTGGAAGGTAGTGTGACGTTTTGCCATCGAGGACATGAGGCGGTTTCGTGGCGCCCCCAAGTCCAATCTTCCTTAATACACTGAGCGCTGCCACGAACACCAAAATGTAGTACCTGTACAGTCATCTGGGGCTCGTCCTTCCATGTCGGTATTAACCACGACATCCGGTGCAGTGACTCCCTTTCGTGGTCCTCTGAACTCCGGCCCCGTTCTGCAGATCGAGTTCAAGTGAATGAGTGGAGGAGCATGAATGCACGTTGTACATCCCCCCCGCCGGAGTTGAGGGTACCGCTGCCGTCAATAGTATGATATATTGAACAGGCTGACAATGCACTCGGGACCCCACAGCAGCTGGCCCCCACCGTCTGGGACTTCCGCAAGCGCAACTCATGGTCTCAGAAGTCTGCCCAGTTCGTCCTTGCCGCGCTCTTCATTGGCCATGCCAACCGCAAGGGGGACACTTGGGCACACAAGGACTGCGACGGCCGCCACAAGTGCGTTTACGATGACGGATTTGACAACACCCTTCCGCGCGTTCCGCAAGACCTCGGCTCAATCCGGTACCCTCAAACCCGGCTCGGGAGCGCTTGTTCGTGTTGAGTTCGTATGATGCCCCAGACAAAGGTCGTTCGATGGTTATGTACATGTATTCTCCTTTATGCAGTTTCCTTCTTCAACTCTGCCAGACACTCCTTGACCGACTTGACCAGAATCTCCACCATCGTCGAAATCTCGGCCTCTTTAGCATTGTAGGCGGGTGCCAGAACGATAGCCTCGCCTTGGGTCCCGTCAACACCGCCGCTCACCGCTAGGGAGAGGAGGCCGTTGTCGAAACACCTGTTCTTGACACGGGTCGCGAACCGAGGGCTGAGATCACTTGGGACATCAAACTCGACGCCAATGAACAGACCTTGTCCGCGGACGTCGTAGACTGCAGGCTCGTCCTTGAACGCCTCCTGCAGCTCGGCGACACACTGCTTGCCGCGCGCCTGCACGTTGGGGAGAAGACGCTCGATCTTGTTCACGACCGAGAGGGCGACCGCACAGTTGATAGGGTGGTTCTGGTACGTCTGCGACGACTTCCACTGGCCCGCGGCGATAATCTTGTCGGCTACGCGGGGGCCGACGAGGACGCCCGAGATGGTCACGTAGCCGCCGCCAAGGCCCTTTGCCATGGTGAGAATGTCGGGTTGGACACCCTCGCACACGCTCTGGTACGCGAACAAGGTGCCCGAGCGGCCAGTTCCGCACATGACCTCGTCCATGACAAAGAGGATGTTGTGCTTCTTGCATACGGCGGCCATGGCTGGGAAGTAGCCCTTTGGAGGGGGCATGACGCCAACAGACGAGCCGACAACGGGCTCGGCAAGGAATGCGGCGACGTTCTGGGGACCCAACGCGGTGATCTTGTCGTCGAGCTCCTTGGCGAGCTGGGCAACGTATGCCTCCTCGCTCTCGCCTGAGCGCTTGAGCTGTGGTGTCGTGACGTGCTGGAACGTATCGGGGATGTATGGTGCGTAGAGCCCACGGCGAGAAGCGACATTGCCAATCTGATACGATGAGTCGCTGAGCACAAGGGACCGATATACTCACGCCAAGGCCGGCAAGGGTGTTGCCGTGGTAGCTGGGGTTGCGAGCGATGATGTACTCGCGCTGCGGCTGGCCCTCTTCAAGCCAGTACTGCCTCACAATCTTGATGGCAGTGTCAATAGCCTCGGATCCAGAGTTGAGGAATGCCGCAGCGACGAGCGCGCCATCCGACCGAGCAGTGAGCCACGCCGCGAGGTCCTCGCCAGGCGCGTTGCCCAGCGACTGGTGCCAGGCGTAGGGAAGCTGAGCGGCCTGCTTGGCCATGACCGCGACCACGTCGGGGTTGGTCGATCCCAGGCATTGGACGGCTGCGCCGCCGCTCATTCCGTCAAGAACCTTGCGGCCATCCTCCAGAGTGAATGTGATGCCTGCGGATGAAAGTGCAATGGGCTGGCGGCCGGACGAATACAGCTGGGCGGTCGCTTGCTTTGACGACGCAGGAGTCGCTGTTGAGGTCGAGGCGTGGAGCGCGCGGACGTGGGTGAGGGGACCTCTCCTGCCCAGGCGGCGAACGAGGGAGCTCATGATGGAGACGATGAGGAAGAGAGAAGTGAACAGTCGACTCGTGAGATCTACAGTAAGCGCCGTGTTCGTGTTGCTCTCGAGTCCTCGCGTATAGCTCGGAGTTGGCCGAATCGCGAGTGGGCATGCTCGGCAAGGTTCGGCAATGGCCAAGGCAGATCACGTGAGCTGCACGTGTTTATCTGACTTGCGCTGTCTTGCTTGCCGTTGGATGCTTATGGCGGCATGGACACGCTGCACGCAACGCTCATGCACGGGTACTCAACAGCGGTACAGCGTTATGTCACAGTCGCGTGTGATGTGGTTATGAAAGGATTGCTTGAACAGACGTGATCATCATGGCATGCCTCCTCCGTCCTGAACACGCCTCCCCATGTCTTGCCGTGTGGTAGCCAGCCAGCTGTTAGTGCATGTCTCGGCAGTCGTCGCGCTGGCAGTCCGGAAACTCCTTGCATCATGGTGTGGCTTGACCCCGTTTTTGTCTTGTCGATCTCTCGAGCGTGGACGCTAACCCAAAGAAACACAGCCGAAAGCAGTTAGAATGAGTAGCAGTATCCGTTCCATGGTAGGAGATATCAATGTTGGCCGCATGCAGCAATCGCAAGTCCTATGCTTGGATATCCCGATCACGGATAGTCGCACAATCACAGAGTGTTCCACATGAGTAGCAGTGTCGTACTCGTTGCCATACGACACCCACAACCGGAGTCGTGTACGTCTCTCGGGGGGTTAGGCCATGGTATGTCACAGCCACAACTTACGCCCACAACTTACCCCCACTGCAGCTCCAAAGACAGCCACAACCGAATCTGGGGTCAGCTGCATCCTCGAGTCCCATAGATCCATAGACCATACCTAAAAGGAGATTCCATGTCACTGCCTCCTCACTTTGGCAGAGAGGAGCGCTGGATGTGGGGCGACAAAGTTGCGGCGGGTCCGTGCGGCCAGTCCGCCACTTTTGCTGTCCAACACCCATCACTGCCTCGTCCCCACCATTCTGCTCTCGGTGACAGCACCACACCCACGCCGTAGCATCTATGCATCAGAAACTCCAGTTCGCCCCCTTCTCGCATCCCGGCGAAAGGATATCTGTGTTCTACACGTCTTGTGTATAAAGACTCAACATTTCCTCTTCCCATCCCCTCGCCGCGTCGTCTTCTCACTCCCATCAGTCCACATTCATCTATCCACAGTCTGCATTCCCCCACCACACATTCCTCCTCTACACACTGTCCCACTGTCAATCACCGTCCACACCTCCCCATCCCATCATGGTTCGCACATCCTCTCTCGCAAAGGGCAAGAGCAGGGGCCTTACCCAGTCGATCAGTCTTCCCAACATGCGTCGGATGCACACGCAGACGGTGCCATCCTCCCCACTCTCGTCCTCGCTCCCTCTCCCCAGCCCTACCTACCCCCGCACCAACCCTCCCAAACGGCAGCCTCAGAAGAGACTCTCCATCAGAGACGCCAAGACCGCACTAGCGGCTCAGCCGCAGCTCCCAGAGTTGGATCCCGTACAGCGTACGGCGCCCCAAATCGACCCTGCCACCAGCACTCCAGACATCATGGCGGCAGCACATACCCTCGCCGTCATTGTGGCCGCTAGGTGCCCTCTGAAGACGTCGCCTCTTCCCGTGCTCCCTTGCAAGCCAGCTGCCAAGATCCAACCCGGTATTGTGAAGAGCGTCAACAGTGAGTGTTGGGCACACAGTCGATTGTTGAGCCGTGACTGAGCAGTCGATTGTTGAGCCGTGACTGAGCAGCCCAGGTGCCCGCATGTGGTGGGACCCCGATTGGGAGTGGCTGCACTCACTGTACCCCTTGGCAGCCGAGTTCGGTGATACCAAGAAGTGAGAAAGCGTATACATACTCCAGAATATCCCCATGTCCTAGCTAGGTAGAAGACCCCTTGTTGTGCATGAATACCAATTGCAGTTGATTGATCCATGGCAGAGTGACCGACGGGCGAAGCGGTTCCGCACTGGTCTCACCAGCATGTCCCTTCGAGCGGCTCGTTGCGTCCACCACTGATTTTAGTTTTCCCGTCCGCATACGCGAATGAACCTCCTCTAGCGTGTTGCAAGTGACTAACTGTATGCATCGACATGCACGTCGTAGTGCATCGAGGCCGATGCATGAGTTTTAAAAGACTGGTTACGCCGGCACATATGCCCTCCCTCCTCTTTCCTCCCCCCTTCTGCACAGCATGTCCATCAAGCTCCGACGTTCTCGGCGCCATTGCACCAAGGACAGCCCCAAGGACAGCCCCAAGGACAACCACAAGGACACACCACCACAGACTCGTCCCACCCCAGTATGCTTCTTTGTGGTCCACACTGGCGGTATCAGCGGGGAGTGCTCCATCACGCCCTTGACGTCCCTCGAGGATCTGGAAAGTGAGTGACAAACGACAGCAGTCTCACATGATGGTATACACGATACACGGTCTAGGGACGGGGTGGCTGACTGCACCAGGGGTTCTTGTCGAGAGTGACAAGCTGGAGAGAAAGGAGAGGGAGCAGCAATCCACCAGCAAGCAATAGGCCCCAGTGCAGGACGCTCGGGCGCCACCACGGGGTCGATCTTTGTTCACCTCATGTGAATAACGTCCGTCAGGGCGAGGATCGTTCTGTTGTGGTTGCTGGGTGCGGTCAGCCACTGTCTCGCACAGCTTCCACGGACGGTTCACGGACAGGACGCCCACCCCATTCCAGACTCGGCCAGTACGACCAACTGGCCATGTATTTTGCCCACTTGATGACCTGAGCAGAGAAGAAACCTCTATAGACAGTCTTATGAGAATGTAGCCACACCGTGGCTGTCTCCCACCCACTGCCGGTGTGCCATCACTGCTTATCTGCCGTCAGTGGACAGTCACATCCTGACCCTCTCGCTCCCGCTGCGAGACCATAAGAGCCTTAATTTTGAGACGCAGACATGTCCCCCATCCCCCTTCAACCCTCTCAAAAATGAACGGTTCGGGCTGGTATCCTGTGGGTTTATTGTTCGCGCTATGAGAGGGGGCGAGCCGGCTGACATTCCCTCCTCCGCAGTACGGCTACAACACCCCTGCGGCGCCGATGATGAGCAACACGCAGTACGTGGTTCTCCCGCGGTACAACCCCAGCCACCCGTTCATGCTTGTGCACGAGCAGTGTCGGCAGCCCGTCCACGACTCGAACGAGCAGGCTGGTAAGTCATTTCTCTGCCCTGCGGTAGCCGCGTAAAAAACTCCACTGACCGGCCCCAGCTCACGCCGCCGCTTGGTACCAGCACCAACCGGCCCAGAGTAAGAGCTGGATGCCATGGCGCCGCTGAGCGCACAGCTCCCAGTTTAGGAAAGAGCAAAGCTTGGCAATGTGTGTGCAGACTAGGGCAAGGGCCATAGCGTTCCTTGGACAATGAATATCGGATGGGTGGCACTTGCCTTCGGAGACTCGTCACTTTTGCAGCAGACGGGGGCCCAAGCACCAGTACTACATCAGTAATCAGCAATCAAACATTTTGCTTTCACAGACCTCTCGCTTTCTCACACAGCATACGGACGTGAGAGTCAGCATGGGTTCAGGATCCCGTGGGATGCGATCCATTCTTCTTTCCCTTGTTATATAACACCTGAGAGCCATCTCGTTCTCAACGCATCCACACGCACACTTCCTTGTCCTCTCTGTGAATCGTATTCCCCTTCCCAGTTGTGTTCCCCTCCCTTCTCTCTATCGCCCCCAACATCATGCCCAAGTGGAATACCGAGGAGCCTGTATTGGTCAACACCAAGGAGCCGTACGCCCTACGCTCGGCTCTGGGTAACAAGGACAGTGCCAATACCAACACGCCTCCGACCCGCAAGACCCTCAAGAAGAAGGTTAGCTGGGAGGACGACAAGGACATCTCCCGCCTCACCCCACGCGCATACACCACATACACCCCTGTCCCCTCGGCTCGCTACTCGCCTGAATGGTATCCTCCCGAGTACAACTCTGGCCGCCCACACCACCACCCGCTCCATCCGCACGCCGACGCCGACCGCCACCACACAGCCCTCAGCACCCACACCCACCCGCCACTCACGTATCCTCCCTCCCCGCCTTACACCACCTCCCACCCGCGTGCCCCTCCCCCCACCCCTACCCCCTCTGCCCCTTCCATGTGCAGGACCCCCGTCCCCAAACTCCAGAGAAAGCGTGCCACCAGCCACGAGCTCGACGGCTACCTCCCAGGCGAGACGCACGTCCAGCACGTCTTCCGTACCGGCCCCCAGCTCCCACCTCGCCCCCGGCTCTCCCGCTCCCCCATGTGGAGTGCCACCCCAGGCCGCATGATTGACGCGTACTCGTCCGACCCCGAGGGCTTCGCACTCGCACTCGTCCCCGTCCGGCACTCGTGGAACCCCACGCCGAGCCGCGACCTCATCAAGGGTATCCGTGAGATGGACGCAATGTGGCAGGGACAGCCGACCGACAGTGGCAGTGACAGTGACAGTGACAGTGACGGTGTCAGTGACCCTTCGCCACTTGTCAGCACTGAGGGAACGGAGGGTGCGGCCGAGAATGAAGAGAGCGGCCCCGGGGGTGCCCTGGGACTGACGCTGGGACCCGAGGCAGCCAAGCCAGAGCCCGCCAGCACGGGTGAGGGATGGAGGACCGTACGCCCGCTCCGCTCGTGGAAAGTGTAGGCCTGCGGGCCGGCGTGGTACGGGGCTGGTCCTCGATCCGAGATTTTCAAGTCATTTGAGCCAACATTTCCGTACTCGTCGTGTTCCGTACTTGTCGTGGTCTTTTATAATGGTGTCTTTCTGGACCTTTGGCTATGCAATGCAAAAAAAAAAATATGTGCTTGTGAAGACAGGACGGCCGCTGCGCAGCGATGGAGCATGGCGCCAGTTGTGCAGTGATGCAGCGATACGACGTCAGTGGCGGTCGAGTTCCAACCACATGCCATTCTCAGGACGAGCCGGACGAGGGCGCGACGCCACTGTTTGTGTGTTAATTGTAGATCGCCAAATAGTCCGCAGTCGACATGACTGCGAGGCGTCTCGAGTAAGTACAGTACCGCCGGTTCCCCGCTCGCGATGGATCCGTAGGCCAGTGGCCAGTGGGCAGCTTTTGCCACAGCACGCAAGATATACATGTTTCAGCCAGAGATAAGGTTAGGTATGGCAAGAAGGGGGCGTCAAAAATAATATCTCATTCTCATCTAGAAATAGGTAACAAAGTTGGACGGGAAGTCGGTCTGCCCCGGCCGGCGCCTGGCCTCGTCCAGCAGCTCGCCCGACCACCATCCGTCCTCGGGCGTGTTCGTGACGGCGATAATGTCGCCGGCCTGGAAATCGAATTCGGCCGGCGACTGGGCCGCATAGTCGTACAGCGCCTTGACATAGAAGAGCACCGGCTGGCCGTTGGCAGCCCACTGGCCCGTCGGCGTGTGCGTGTCCGGAGGCGGAACGTTGGGCTGTGGGCTAGGCGAGCGCTGCGGTTGCTGGTACTGCTGTTGCGGGGGCTGCTGCGGCTGCTGTGGCTGGGCTGGAGGACCGCCGTACTGGCCGGCAGGCTGAGCCTGAGCGTAGCCGTTTTGTTGGGCAGGTTGTTGCTGATAGTACTGCTGTGGCTGCTGAGCAGGTTGAGCAGGAGGCTGCTGAGGTGGCTGCTGCTGGGAAGCATAGCTGCCAGCAAACGACGGTGTGTGCGAGTGTTGGGAGTACTGCTGCGGCTGCTGGGCGTGTTGACCAAACTGCTGGGGCGGTTGCTGCTGAGGAGGCTGCTGCTGGGGCTGCTGCGGTTGAGCCTGCGGGTAGCCCTGGTAGTTGGGCGACGCCGGCGGCTGCTGAGCGGCATACTGCTGCTGCTGTTGCTGAGGGTCATAGGGCGAGGCCTGGCGCCCAGACTGAGAGTCGTAGGACTGGTGACGGGGGTACGCCTGGGCGTCATAGGGCTGCTGACCCGGTGGGTCGTACTGAGGCTGCTGACCGGCCTGCTGGTCATAGGACAGGCGCATAGAGGCGGCGTACTGACTGTTGACCGAGCCTTGCTGAGGCTGCGGGGGGAAGTTGGACGGGGGAGCCTGTTGCTGCTGCTGCTGCTGCTGCTGCTGCTGGTAGGGCGACTGGCCACCGTACTGCGACGCCCGCGGATCCTGGTATTGCTGCTGTTGAGCAGCGGCCTGAGGAGGAGGCGCCTGTGGCTGTTGGGGAGGCTCCTGGCCTTGAGCCTGCTGGCGCTGGGCCTCGTACTGGCGACGGTATGCCTCAGCCATCGAGTCGTGTGCAACGCCGCCGTGCTGGTCGAGCTCGATGCCGAGGTTGGGGGCACCAAGTACACCAGGAGCCGGCGAAGGGGCACGGTGCTGGGGTCCTGGCGAAGGTGTGCGAGCAGCGGCACCAGCACCGATGCCTACAAAGCCGGCACGCGGGCTTGCGGGAGGCTGCTGCTGCTGGCTTGGAACCTGCTGCTGGGGAGCGATAGACTCCATGATCGAACCAGGGCGCGATCGGCTAGAGTAGACGGACGTCGGGCGTGAACGCGAACGCTCACCGGGGAAGGCTTGGCCGTACAGGGGGAGCACCGAGTCGGCAATGTGAGTCACCGGCTGGGTAGGAGGCTGCATCATGGCAGCCGAGGGAGAAGGAGCACGACCAGTCGGGGTTGTGGGACGCGAGTGCGATGGGTGCGAGCCGACGACATTGTCCGCAAAGCTCGAGTAGTTGACGCTGTTGCGGCTAGTGTTCGACTTGCGCTCAAAGTCGGCCATCGACCTGGCCAGGGCGGCGGCAGTGTGTCCAGTGGCCGGAGGGAGGAGGGAGGTGTCGACGGACGCACGGCCAGCCGCGGGGGGCTGCTGGACTGTCTGGCGGGCAGCGCTGCTCGGCGATGGAGAGGGAGCACGGCCGACATTGCTGCCAACAGCGCTGCCGGTGGTGCTGCCCGGGCGGCCAGAGGCAGAGTAGATCGAGTCGGTACGACGCTGTGACTGCTGTCGGCGGACACTGCGAGGGCCCGGTGGGTCGCTGCGAAGCTGGGCGAGGGCACGGGCCATAGGGTCCTCCTCATCGGCGACATCGCGCGCGCTTGGGCTGGGAGGAGCGGGAGCGGCGACGACAGAGGGAGCGGCCACAGAAGGAAGAGCAGGAGGGGGGCCCATGTCGAACACGGAACCAGGCTTTGGCGACGGAGGGACAGGCGCAACCTCGCGGTTGGCTTCGGCAGGAGCCGAGGTCAGGCCAGGCATCGCAACGCCGCCGAACGGTGTCTTGGTCTCAGATGATGGGACAGGGGGGTCGTGGAGGGAAAGGCCCTGCATAGCCGGGACGGGTGGGATGAAGAGTTCCTCCTCCTTTGGCGGGGTGGGCTCCTTGGGAGCAGGAGCTGGAGGCTCCGGGATGGTCTCCTCCTCTGGAGGAGCCGTGCGGGTCGGGGCCGACATGGGTGGCCTGGACGACAGACGGCGGAACTGGGCATTGCGGAAGCTGCCAGGAATGCTGTCGTCCTCACCAGCACTGTAGTTGATGAAGCGAGGGGGGTCGGGAATGCACGACCCAGTGCCCCACCCACGAACAAAGTTGACCATGTCGTTGACGGGCTCAAACTGCTCCAGCTTCTCACGAATACGTTCGCACGACTGGGGCACGGTCAGCCAACGAGCACGTCACACGGGCACCACTCACAGTGTCATCCTCCACGCAGACTTGGGACACGGCGTTGGCGTACGCCCACACAATGTCCTTGGTGTGGACCAAGCGTTCCTCCTCGATATCTTGGACGTGCTGAGGTGGTCAGTTGAGTTGAGCGTCACAACCACGACGACTCACGTCACAGAACGTCCTCCATTCGTTCTCCCACTTTTGGTTTGTCTGCTCGAGGACGCTGACAAAGTTGCGCAGGTCCTGCTCGTCGCTGGGGATGGTCTGACGCAAGCGGTCGATTTTAGTCTGGAGCTTCTCCAGCTCGCGGCCCTGGGTAAGCTGCTGGTTGGCAGTGTACTCGTTGAGCTTGATACAGTCCGACTTGTAACGCTCCCTCGCCTGAAGGATGGTCAGCAGCTGGACACCAACAACATCCTTGCACCAGTTCCACTGACCTTGGCAACATGGCCCTCCTGCAGGCCCTTGTTGCGATACGACTTTTCGACGCTCGCCTGCAGGCCCTTTTTGAGGCTGGTGAGACGGTTGTTAAACTCGGCGTTTGGTTGCTCGACAGTGGAGTGAAGCTCTCCACTGACGTGCATGTGGTACGACGCCTGAAGTGCCGTCTCCTCCACCACCTGGTTCAGAGCAGCTGCCAGGTCGCCGACCTCATCACGACCGATGGGCATTTTGGCCAGCTTGGCCAAGCGTTTTGCATAGTCCTCTTCAATAGCTGCACTGGAACGGTCAGCTTTGGCATACGTAGCATTTAGCTCACCGCTCCTTGAAGAACAGGCGCATCTCGTCGTTGGTACGTGCCGCACCGCGGAGACGAGCCATGATCACTTCGTAGCCCCGTGTGCCCTGGCCCCAGAAGGCATTACAGAAGTCAAGCGTGGGGTCCGAGGTCTCGTCTGTGGGAGGTGCGCTTCCATTCTCTGACGCGCCATGGTACAGACGCGCCAGCGATGTGGTCGACTGCGACCGCGCGGGAGCGTGGGCGTCGACTTCGGCCATTGTGGACCTCGTGTGATGTGGTGGCGATATCCAGTGTTTTGAGTCGAAGTGACAAGGAGGTAGGTGGGTGACTAGGGGGAGCTTGTTGACGTTCACCTGCTCGTGGATGTCAAGTGGGTTGTGTATGTGTGTGTTAATTTAAAAGGGGGGATGTGACGGCGAGAGATGGATGGAGAGATGGAGAGAGAGAGAGGGACAGCAGGCTGTGACACCAACGAGCACAAGGCCTCCTTCTCCGCCCTCCCTCTCTCCCTGTGTGTTGTGGGCGGCGGCAGGGGGGCCTGTGTGTGGTGCCTGGGGGGGACGGCAGCCAGCACAGCCAACGCATCGTGCAACGCGCGATGATGCGTCTCTCTCGCCGTTGATGGTGCGCCTATTTGACACGTCATTCATTGCGTCATGGTTGCTTGCTTGATCGCTTGCTGTGAAAGGGCATGACAGGGCGGTCGCTGCTCTTTTCTGTGTGCGTCATGCACCGCCGGGAGCCAGCAGCTGCAGCGCCACCCATATGGGTGTGCCTCTGCTCCAAAGTCTGGAACGCAGAGACTGTGCCTCGAGCCACACCTGGATGTGATGTAAACAAGTCGGCGACTTTGCTTCATTAGGATTTGTGGCTTTTTTAGTGGACGCAATAGAAGTCGCGTCCACAGCATCACGTGACCTCTGTTTTTTGGAGACCCCGCACAGCGATGCTGTGGACGGCTTCCGGCTTCCGGCACAGAGCCGCTCATGTGTCCTGATTATCCATCTCCCCCATCGCTTTCGGCCACTCCTTTCCGGCCCACTTGTCGACTCGTCCGCCGTAACCGCCCCAAACAACAGTCCAGTAAAGATCGCACTCGTCGACTTTCACTCGGTACTTCAAAAAAGGAAGACTTGACATCACAAAGCAGGCGCGTGTCTGTTCACCGCTCCCCCACGCCATCGCCATGCCTCTGCTCTTCCCCAACCTCCGCGTGCACCAGATATTTGGAGGTTAGTAACCGAAACGGAAATGGAGACTGACCTTCTCTCAGCAAACACTGATGTAAGATGACTCTAAGAACCGTACGTGCATCTAACAATGCAGGTTGGCAAGACGCTCCTCACCACCGCCCTCATTCGGTCCAGCGCTTCTCGGCTCGCTCGCAAGGGTGAGGCCGGGAAGCGCATCTTCTACCTCAAGCCGGTTAGCACTGGCCCCGAGGAAGACTCTGATGTTGGGTGGGTTAGAGTTTTCTCTTCTTCAGCCGCTAACCCACAAGCTTTGTGAACCGTCATACCAAGCCGTATGCCGATGTGATCTCGACAAGGAACTTGTATTCGTACCGCGAGCCAATGTCGCCTCATCTTGCGGCTCAACTGGCACCCGACCTGGTGAGCCGTTCTTATCAGGAGCCTAGCTGACATTAGCCTTTTCCCAAAAGCAACGACGAGCTTGTCCGTGGCGTGGAAAAGTACACTGCAGAGGTGGTGCGCTCCTTGAACGGAAAGGAAGGCGACCTCTACGTCGAGACGGCCGGAGGTGAGCATATCCCTCGTCTCTCAGGCTCACATCCACAGGTGTCCACTCACCAGCTCTCCACCCACCTCACACCCAATCGACCTTCCTTCGCCCCCTCCTCCTCCCTTCCGTCCTCATCGCCTCCCCGCACCTCGGCGGCATCTCCACCACCCTCGCGTCTTACGAGTCCCTCCTCATGCGTGGATACGACGTCAAGGCGGTTCTCTGCCTGCACGACTCGTACTACCGCAATGACGACTTTCTCCGAGGATACTTTGGTGACCGCGGTATTGGGTTCTACGACGTGCGCCGCCCGCCTGAGAAGCAGGGCACTGTGGCCGAGGACGCTGCTCGTCTTGCCGAGTGGTATGCTCAGGTCGAAGGCGTTGGCGGGGAGGCGCTCGGCGAGGGTGGTGTCGGTGGTGCCGTCCAGTGGCTCGAGGATAAGCACCGCGAGCGTGTGGCGGAGATTGAGAGCATGCCCCAGCGTACTCTGGACACGGTGTGGTGGCCCTTCACCCAACATGGTCTTGTGAGCTTTTAGTATCGCTGGCAGCTGACATGCAGGTGAACAAGAAGGAACAAGTCATGGTCATCGACTCGGCCCACGGCGACCACTTTGACGCCTACTACGCCAAACCCTCCGGCACCCCCACACCCAAGGACGAGAGCCTTCTCGAGCCCTTCTTTGACGGCGCTGCGAGCTGGTTCACCCAGTCTCACGGCCACGCCTCCGAGCCACTGACAATGGCTGCGGCGCAGGCTGCTGGGCGCTACGGCCACGTCCTGTTCCCCTCGGGGACTCACAAGCCTGCCTTGGAGCTGGCTGAGAAGCTGAGGGAGACTGTAGGCAAGGACTGGGCCGACCGCGTGTTCTACTCGGACAACGGCAGTACTGGTATCGAGGTCGGCCTCAAGATGGCCCTGCGTGCCAGTGGTCGTCGGTACGGCTGGCCAGGAGAACTCGGCGGGGATGTTGGCGTCATTGGTCTTCGGGGCGGATACCACGGTGATACTGTGAGCTTTGAAGATAGGCGCAAACAGCTGACATCAGATCGGCGCCATGGACGCGACACCTGCATCGACGTTCAACACCGCTGTTGACTGGTAGGTGCACGGAAGTCTTCCAACGCTCACCTCGCAGGTACAAGGGCCGCGGTCACTGGTTCGCCCCTCCAGTCGTGCTCGTAAAGGACGGCGTGCCGACCGTGTCCACTACGGAACCCGACTCGTGGGCGTCGCTCCCTTCCTCCCTGTCTTCCGAGTCCAAGCCCAACGGCGACGGCTGGTCCCTCTCCTTCCCCACGATGGAGAATGTGTACGATCTCGAGTCCCGCCGCACCTCCTCACTGGCAGACTACTACCGCGCCCACATTCGTGCGACGTACGAGCGCCTTGCAGCTGAAGGACGCCAGTTTGGCGCTCTGATCATTGAGCCCACGTGTCTCGGAGCGGGCGGAATGGTCTTTGTCGACCCCTTGTTCCAGTACTGCCTCACCGAGGTGACGCGCGCTAGCGAGGACCTCTTCTCTGGCAAGCCTGACGGGGCCAAGTATGAGTCGTCCCTTGCCGCCATCCCTCAGCGGGACAATGCCGAGTGGCAGGGTCTGCCTGTCATCTACGACGAAGGTGAGCTGGATAGAGTTCGTCCCATAGCTGACAAACCAGTGTTCTCGGGTCTCCACCGCTTCGGCTACCATTCGGCCGCTGCCGTGCTGGGTGCCACACCAGACATCTCAGTGTACGCCAAGATCCTCACTGGCGGCCTCCTCCCTCTGTCGGCGACACTCGCGTCCAAGTCGATCTTTGCAGCCTTCCTCTCGGACAAAAAGGTCGATGCGCTCCTGCACGGCCACTCGTACACTGCCAACCCTATCGGATGCGCCGTCGCCCTCCGTGCCCTGGGCATGATCGAGGACGCGGAGACGAGCGACGCGTGGGCCACGCCCCGCGCCGACTGGGGCGTGCGTGCCGGCGACGAGAGCGCGCGGTGGAGTTTCTGGCGCCGCGACTTCCTCGAGGCCGTGAGCAAGGTCGACGGCGTCAGTGGCGCCATGGCCATGGGCACCGTACTGGCCATTGAGCTCGAGGACGCCAATGCCGGTGAGTTGTGAAGTGCAGATACTAAGTCCTCCGAAAAGCGCTGACATCTGCCCAGATTACGCATCGCATTCGGCCCAGGCGCTCCTCGACCGTCTGCGCGCCCACCCCGTCACGGACCCGCATGGCTCGGCCCCGCCCTTCCGTATCCACTCGCGGCCACTGGGCAACGTCGCATACTTCATGACGTCGCTGTTTACGCCGGGCGAGACGGTGCGTGCGATGGAAGAGGTCATCTTGCAGGAGGTTGCCAAAAAGTAAAAAAAAAAAAAAGTAGGGAAGAAGAAGACTTAGAAACTATGCATTGTGGCTTGCATCTCGGTACAAAAACGGTCCACGGTATCCTCCTCTGCTGGTTCTGTATATCCACGAGTAAGTAAGTTTTGGTGGCTTTGTGGGTATGATTACGGTTTTACTTCTGTCGCCTGATGACCTCCTCGACCTCGCGCTGTGGCAGACCGGGAGGGGCACGGCGCTTGAGCTCGCTGAGAAAACATTGTCAGCGGGTTCAATGGCACACGTAAGATACCCACTCAAGCTTGGGCTTGTCGTTGCGCTCCTTTGCGCTCTCGGCCGCCTTGCCCCACTGGCCGCAGAGGGCGTACAGGTCTGGCCGGGACTTTGCGTCGCAGCGCGCCACGAACGAGGCGGCGTACGTGGGCTGAGGCGGGGTGAGGGCAAGCAGATGGGTCTGTGGCGATGGGTCAGCAACACCAAGGTATTTTTACCCACGACAAAGGGTTCGTAGCCAATCGGGCTCTTCTTGCTCTTGGCAAAGATCTCCAGTCCATCCCAGTTATGCGTCGTGGCCAGCGCCTTGAGTTTGAGCCACCACCAGCGCTTGTCGGGCACCTTCCACGCGGACCGGACGTGCTCGGCGCGTTTGCCCAGCCCCTCCACGAGGAGGCGAGTGATCAGGTCGTCGACGGTGAGGCCCGCAAAGATAAACTTGTGCTCGAGCTCGCGCTCGTACTGCAGCTCGAGCTGGAGGAGACGTGCGGCGTCGTCGGCCATCTTGGCCTCGAACCCGCGGTCCTTGTGCTCGGAGAAGAACTTGGAGGCAGCCTTGAGGTGTTCGACGCGTTCCTCGGGGTTCTGCGGTGTCAGATGAGCAACCACGGCACATGCATCAGACTTACCGAGCTGTTACCCCCCTCCTCCATCTCGAGACAGGCATTCTCTGTTCGTCGGTCGTCCTGGTAGTAGAAATCACGCAGGAGCTGGCGGTCGTTCTCGCGCGCGTAGATTTGCAAAAGGCGCACAGCCGGAGCAAGCTGGGGCGAGATCGAGTCGTCGAGAAGGTGGAAAAAGTCACCGGGGGAGAGCGAAGCATGCAGGCGGAGGAGAACGTGGTACACCAGGTCAGTGTCGCCCGAGTCAACAGCCTTCTCGAGCGCAATCTTGTCCTGCTTCATCTGGAGCAGAAGCGGCACTTGCTCAGCCGCGCGGGGCTCGTGGTCAAGGAGCTGCTGGGTCAGCCCCGTCTGTCAAGAGCCACCCACCATTGTTGCTAGCCGCACACGTCCAGCCTCCCATGCCTTCTTGGCAATCTCGGCGTAGCTAACTCCCTTTTCGCCCTCCTGCTCAAACTTGTCCACAATCGCTTCACACAGCTGTGTGTTGCTGTCGCCGTCGCGCGGGTCACTCTTTGCGCGGGCAATGCGCGCGGCGGCCCAGTGCTTCAGCACAGCGTCCGATCGAAGTCCCAGGTGCTGCGAGACGCGCAGGGCGAGGAGGTGGAGATTGCGGGTGAGGAGGCGGGTGATGAGTGACGCCGGAGAGCCGGCATTGTACCTGTATCGTTAGAGCTAGAATGCTTCAGGCGGATGCGAGCGAGCTCCACTCACTGGTCGTAGGTGATTGGAATACCGATCTCATAGTACCGAACGGCATTCAAGACCTTGAGAGTCTGGGCCATGGCAACAAAGTCCCCAGGGTTGTACAGGTCGAGGAAGGCACGGCCAAACTGTGCTGCCTGGGAGGTTAGCATACCGCAGCCTTCAAGACACCTCACCTTCAAAAGACGCCGCTGCCAAGTGACGTCCCACTCGCGACCAGCGGCCTCGATACAAGTGTCAACAGCACGCGCGAGGTCTGGTCGGATGCTCCGGATAGCCTCGTCAGCCTTGGGTGACTTGCGCTCAAAGTGGTCGAGCGCGTCGTACAGCACCGCCGCGGGGTGTTCTGAACCAGGCTGGAAGACGGCAAGAGAGGCATCTGATGGGTCAGTACCAACAAACGATGTCGGTTCGCTACACCCACCTGGAACTTTCTGGAGTACCTCGCATGTCGATGACGAGATGATGCGCAGCCCGTCGACCTCTCCAGCGAGCACAACGGCTGGAGGGTAGTCGTACTCGAGCGTGTCACCGCCTGGGCCAAACATGACCACCTTGCCTCCCCATGCGACGACAACAGCATTGTCACCGCACCACTCGACACGGTCGGGTTGGCCTGTACCCTCGGCCGCCTCGACAAACTTTGACAGGTCGACCTCGGAGAGGTTGCGTGCAAAGTCCGAGGACACGACCCACAGTGAACCCGAGAGCGTGATCAGGGCCGAGAAGCGGCCGTTGGGCGAGATGGCGATTTGGGAGAAGGGGCCCTTTGACAGACGCTGATCGATGCGCTCCAACGAGTCGATGGTGAGCACCGTCGAGCCAGTGGAGACGACGACCTCGACGTGGCCGCTCATGCTCTGCTCGGGCGGGGTAATGGCCCACGACAAGGGAGCCTCAGTGAGCCCACTCAAGGCGAGTGGAGCCACCTTGCCACCCTTCCATCCTCGTGCTTCCACAAACTGCAGTCCTCCAGTAAGGACGACCAGGCCATCCTCCCATGCACGAGCAGACACGACGCCGAGGTCGGCAACGTCGGGACCGAGCGTGAACTGAGAGTAGTCGCCCGGGGAGGACAAGTCGTACAGTCGATACGTGCCCTCATCAGAGAGCACAACGAGAGTCGACTGTGTGAAGTGAAGCAGAACAGGAGGGGCCAGCTCCCACTGGCTGTCAGCTGGGACCGCGCTGTAACAGTCAACTTACGCTCAGAGTTGCGATGAGACGACCAGATGAAGTGTACACCTGGATCTTGGGCTTGCCGGCCGAGTGCTTGCCCAGGAGCAGAAACTTGCGCTCGTCACGCATCAAGGCTGCAGCATGTCAGCTCAGAACCGTCCACTCCAGCTGTAACTGATACCCACCAACAGGTCCTCCGTTCTTGCCCACGGCGACCAGATAGTCGCTCAGGTCCGGCACCTTCCACGCCATCTGGTAGACGTCCTCCTTGCGGTAGAAGACATTCTCTATTGTGTCCCATCTGTTTCTGTCAGCTGCAGTAACACATTTGAAGCTCACGTCGCTGTGGGCGAGATTGGGAGCGTCATGGTTGATGTGTTTATGGGTGTTGGATCGACGTCAGAGCGCACTTGCCTCTCCAGATGAGGCGTTGTGTCATGGCGGGCCGGCTAAACGGACATTGGCTGGCTGTCCGTATTTAGCCGGGGAATGACGCGCGTGCCGGTTCGCCACCACTGCACGCGCGCACACCCAACAGCCCTCTTGACTTGCTTCTCTCCACCATCGCTGTCCCGTCTCTTACTCTACCTCTTATCAGCACAGCCTACAGAAGTCCCAGAGACACGACTGCCCCTCACGATTATCCCGCCTCATGACTCGCCTCACATTCAGCTAGACACATACATTTGCATCTCACCACACGACCGCCGCCGCCGCTGCCTTGATCGCTGTCGCCGCCGCCGTCGCCTGTCATGTGGTTCCCGTCATTCCTCACCTTCCCCATAAACCTCCCAGCTCTCCCGTCCATTTCGCTCCCAGCCAATATCCAGCGCCGGTTTCTCAGCTATGTTCTCAAGCGAGCTCTAGGACGCTTTGTCGTTGCCAGCGGTCTCGACGTCGAGCGCATCCAGGCCCAGATCTCCCAGGGCTGGGTCGAGCTCGAGCGTCTAGAGGTCGATGCCAACGTGAGTTGAAATGCTGTGTTGCAGCTAACAATACAGGAGATCAACTCTCTCATACCCGAGGGCCTGCCTTTCACTGTAACAAGCGGTGAGGTGGCAAAGGTGTCGGCCCGTGTGCCGTTCCCAAACCTCTGGAGCGACCCACTGTCGCTTACGGTCGACTCCCTGACGCTCGAAGTCGCCATTACGCCGCCCTCGAGCAAGGCAAAGTCGCCTGCCACCTTCCCAGGCGCCTCGCCTACGGCACACCATATTGACCTGTCTCAATCTGTCACGTTGGCGGCAGACGACTTTGTGCACGACGAGCTCGACGCGTTTGACGGTGCTGAGCTCGACCGCTCCATTCGCGAGTCCCTCATTCTGTCACACACCGACCCATTTAACAATGACGATGTCCCCGGCGCGTTCCCTCCGTTTGGGTCTTCTGCTGGAGGTGGCGACTTCAACCCTCTACCTGCTGAAGTGGAGAGCACGACGGTGCTCGCTTCGCTCGTAGAGCGTATCCTTGCGCGCCTTGAATGCAAGGTCCGCAACGTCCGTCTGCGTGTGCGGTACGAGGACGACGACCGCAGCGGCATCCTGGAGCTGCGTCTTGGCGAGGTGCGGTATGCGGACGAAACACCCGAGAACGCCGCCGGAGGCAAGACCATTCGCCTGATATCTGTCTCATCGGTGTCAGTGTACCTCCTCCCTTTGCCGACACCTGCACCTTCCTCGCAGCTCTCGAGCAGTGGTCTGGGACTGCGACCTGCATTCTCGCGGTCTTCGTCGTCGTCCGACTCTGAAATGTCCATGTCTACCGACTCGAGTCACGACGAATTCCACGACATGGTCATGTCTCAGGCAGTCTACGACCTGCGACAGAGCACAGCGGATATGCGCCAGAGTACGATGACCTCGGCGTCTGGCATGAGCATATACCACAGCATGGTTCAGGAAGAGGAGGAGGAAACGCTTGCAACACCACCTCCGCCGCCGCCACGAGTCCCAGAACCGCCTCTGCCAGTCCAGCATCCGAAGCCTGAGAAGCCAAGTTCGCGTGACACGAGCCGATCCGCTACACCAACCGGCCCGAGTGAACCCGCCGAGACGCTCCTGCTTTCCTTTGGATCCGAGGACATTGCTCTGCGCATGACAACTACCCGACCGCCTCCTCCAGAACCCATGTCGCCAGGCCGTGTTCCGACTTCTCCTCGCGGTACCCCGACGTCTCCTCGCCGAGCGGCTACCCCAGAGTTCCCATCGCTTGATATCGAGCTCACTTTTGGCACAATCTCAGCCGTCCTCCTTCCCTCCCATGCGGCCTTCATCTTGGCTGTTGGGCAGGCTGCTGTGGGACCGACCTCTGCCCCAAAGCAGCCAGAACCCGGGACCCACACAGACTCTCAGGTTGTCCAGTCGCAACCACGGTTTGACGCCCGTGTTCGGGTCAAGGGCATCTACATTGCGAGCGTCTACGACCTGGCCAGCCCTACGGAAGAGTACGAGACTACTGTCCAGCAGTTCTTCTTGCGTCCCGCCTCGGTCTACCTCCCGATCGGCCACCTGCGCTTGCGGCTCGAAGACATTGCGGCAGCTTACCATGTGCCAAGCTTCACGGGAGTGTCGCCACGCAAGCGTGCCGACCCCAGACGCAAGCCAACTCTTGGTCCAAAGCCGCCCGTCATCACTTTGACTGTCGCGGACGCGTCCGTGTTCGAATACCTCGCCTCGGCCGAGTCTGGCGATGACGAGCCTCCCGGAGGAGCGTTCCCCGTTCTCATCTTTGACGCCAACCTCCCACGTCAGTACGAGGTGCCGCCTGGTGCACCGTCAAGTCTCCTTTTGAACCAGATGCGCACGCCTTCGCACCTCCCTTCGTTCCCAGAGTTTGACTCTGTCGACTGGCGTAATTCTGGAAACCAGAAGCGGAGTGGCGAAAAGGCGTGGCGCGTGCGGCCAAAGGGCAAGGGTATCTTGCGTGCGACGGCGGGTGCTAGCCCAGACCCACCTCGCCAGCCGGCCGTGTCCATCCGCAAGGAGATGAGTGATAAAGAACGTAAGTTACTGCCTGGAACAAGGAACTGACACCCAGCGGCATTGATCGATCTCCTCCCCGTCCACATTTTTCTGGACCTATCACTTGTCGAGCGGCTGCTCCCTCTCCTCCGGTCACTGGCGCCACTGGTGCAGTCCAAGAGCGATTTCAGCTCTACCCCTACCGCAATGCACCCGGGCGTTCGCCCCATGGCTGCTCTGCGACCTGTCGACTCTATCGGCGACCTAGGCGGCAAAATCCATCGCCCATCGCTGCGGCCCACTCAGCAGCACCCCACGGCCCCGCACCCGCTCGTGAAGCTTACGTGTCCGATGATTCGGCTGGACATTCGATGCCCCGCGCCACTCAACCGGCGTGGGTCGTGGGGCGATGGCGCCCATCTGCGCTCGGGCATTGTGACGCTGGACATTCACGGTCTCAACGTCAGCATGGCCGCGGACCCTGCGGTCCCGCCTTCCCTCACACGTCGTGGCAGCCAGGGACCGTTTGAGCCGCCCCCCGAAGGAGGGATCAATGTCGAGTGGCAGAAGATGGTGTTCCTGTTCAGCCGTGTGCCAGGTAAGCGCTCGATCAAGACTGCAAGACTAAGCCAAGCAGAACGTCGTTCCTCGGCCTTCCTCGTCATTGGGCCCCTTGCTCCCGAGCCCGGGGACGACGAGAGCGTCCTCTTGCCGACGGTCCATGTCCACTCCGAGGTGGCGCCGTTTACCGGCATCAAGACCAAGTCTGTGACGTGCCGCATCCCCTGTGTCCAAGCCAAGATCCGCCAGCCGGTGGTTGAGGGCCTGCAGTTCTTCGCAGACGACATGACGCACTGGCTTGACGGTGCGTTTGGCGATGGCTCGGCACCCAGGCCACGTGACGATTTGAAGATGATTGGCAGCCGGTTCTTTGGATCAAAGGCTTCGTCGTCTGCATCCAGCTCGGCGGTCGAGGACGAGGAGGATGATCCGGTGGCGACACTTCTTCGTGTGGTCATTAGCGAGGCCGAGGTGACTTTGCTTGTGCCCAAATCGACCGCAGCGACTGTTAAGGAAGTCAAGGAAGCCGCTGCCGAGGCGGCGCCTGAGCGTATTCTGTCGCTGCGGGCGTCTGACCTCGACGTCAAACTCGAGTCCAACATGGCCAACAAACAAGAGACGTCTGTCACACTCACGGCCATGGACGCCGATCTCTTCCACCACCCGGACCCTGACACTGAGCCTGCGCGGCTGTTTGGCCGTACGACGCCGCTCACGCTCACCACACATACCCAACCGCTCGTCAACCTGCGGTTCTCGTCCCTGACGCACCCGGACCGCACAAAGGAGACGGGTATCCGCCTCACCGCCTCGGCGTGCACAGTGTTCATCACCAAGGACCTGGACTGGGTCAACGACCTGCGTCTGTACGTCAAGACGCCCGAGGGCGTGTTTGAGGATGTTGTCCCCAGTGAAGTGACGCGGATCCACCTGTGGCTCAACGACTGCTCGGCACATGTCGCGACGCCAACGCTGCCGGGCGCGATCCTTGTGGTGGCCAATTTCCTTGAACTGCGCACGGCTATTGAGAGCGAGGCCGACGACAGTGCCGTGGACATTGGGCTCACGGGTGTGCATTTGCTGGCCATTGACGACCTGGCCGCCGCGACGCCACTGCAAATGGGCCACCAAATGTCCATTGACGCGTGGAAGCGCGCCGGTTATGCGCCACTCGTGGAGCTCGTGTCCATGGATGCGCAGGTGCTGCAGGGGATCGTGCCCGAGGAGACTGTCCTGCTTGACGTCCTCCAGGCCAAAGTACGCGTGACGGCGTGCGCCGACTCGTTGGCGTCGTTGGGCGGCCTGGCTGGCGACCTCGCCAAGTTGGGCCCACCCAAGCCTGTGCCGCAAGAACAGCCCCGTCGGCAGATGGCCCTGGACCAGTCGATCGACGTGTTTGCGTCTGTGGACTTGCAGGCGTTCAACCACGCTCCGGACATTGTGTCTGACGCAGACATGATCGGCGACGACCTGCCCACCAACCTGGACTACCTGGACCACGCTGCGCGCCAGTCGACGTCGGGCCCGTCGACGGACCGCACGACGGGCGAGTCGCTGCGGTCCTGGCAGACGACCGACGACGCGCCGCACATCTCCGAGGTCCACGGCGGCACCATTAAAGTGTTTGTGACCGAGCCGTTCGCCGAGGACGCAAACTACTGGGACTCGCTTCCCGTCGTGACCGACGGCGACTCTACGCGCGTGGGCAAGACGCGGATCCGCGTACAGAACGCGTCGGTCAACGTCTTCTTCCACGACGGCTACGACTGGGCCGTGACGCGTAAAGCGATCGAGGACGAGATCAAGGCTGTGCGCCGCAAGCTGGAGAAATTCAAGCAGCTGCTGGCCTCGGGACAAAAGGCCGACGCGAGCATCGACGACACGAGCTCGGTGCTGTTCAACTCGGTGTATATTGGCTTTGACCAGAACCAGCGTGACGACATGGACAATGCGGCACTCATTGCCGCGATTGACGAGGAGCTCGAAGACTTGGGCGCGGCTGACACGGCGTCGCTAAGCAGCTGGCAGAGTTTCCCAGATGCTGGTCCTCCCGCTGCCGCTGCGGCAGCTGCAGCCGCAGCCGCGAGCAAGCGCTCGTCGCATGTCCGGCTGCATGGCAAACGCCTCACGCGGTCCAAACGGGCCCAGCTGGAATTTGCGCTCGACGGCGTGCGCGCCGACATTGACGTGTATCCCGCCGACGACGCGACAGCCTCGCGCATGCACGTGACGGCGCGGGCATTTGAGATTCTCGACCACATCAAGACGTCTACGTGGAAGAAGTTTTTGACCGAGATGAAGAGCGATTCGCGGGGCAACGTGCGCGAGACGGACGCCGACATGGTCCGCCTCGAAGTGGTCAATGTGCGGCCCAACTTGCCGTCTACGGACGAGGAGATCCGTCTGAGGGTGGGTCGGTTGTGGAGGTGCCGGAATCGTACGGTACGCTGACACCTCTCTGCAGGCCAAGATTCTGCCGCTGCGCCTGCACGTGGACCAGGACGCGCTCGATTTCCTCAAGCACTTTTTCAGCTTCAAGCCGCTCAACGAGGAGGTGGTCGAGGTGGCCGACGACGTGCCAAAGGCCGAACCTTTCTTCCGTAAGCTGTGCAAGCTGCCCACACCGTTCGCTTCGCTCACACTGTACTCTGCAGAGCACGTCGAGATCTTCCCCGTTGAGCTCAAGCTCGACTACAAGCCCAAGCGCGTCGACTACACCGCTTTACGCCAGGGCAAGACGATCGAGCTCATGAACTTTTTCCACTTTGACGGCGCGGAAATGACGCTGCGGCACGTCACCCTCTCTGGCGTGACGGGCGGGACGCGTCTGGGCGACATGCTGCAGGACATCTGGACGCCCGACGTCAAGGCCAACCAGCTCGCGGACGTGATTTCGGGCGTGTCGCCCATCCGGTCCATGGTGAACGTGGGCTCGGGCGTGGCCGACCTGATCCTCCTCCCGATAGAGCAGTACCGCAAAGACGGGCGGGTGGCGCGCGGCGTACAGCGCGGCACGCACTCGTTTGTGCGGTCTACGGCCATGGAGATGATGAAGCTCGGCGCGCGGCTGGCGACGGGCACGCAGGTCGTGCTCGAGCGCGCCGAGGGTGTGCTGGGCGACGGCGGTGACGGCGGGGGTGTGGGTGCCGGCTCGGGCTCGGGCGCCGGTGCTGCCGGCAGCATGAGCGTCACGGCGCTGGCAGTGCCGTCGGGCCTGCACGACGGGTCGTCGGACGACGAGGGCGGCGCCGAAGAGAAGAGCCGGTACGCCAACCAGCCCAACGACGTGCGCGAAGGACTGCGCGGCGCGTACGCCAGTCTCTCGACCAACATCAATTCCGCCGCGCAGACCATCCTCGCGGTACCCATGGAGGTGTACGAGCGGTCCAATGATGATGTGAGTGGGCGAACAATACAAATGATGCTGGACACAGACACTGACACTCGTCGCCAGGGCGCGCTCAAGGCCGTTGTCCGCGCCGTGCCGATTGCGGTTCTCAAGCCCATGATCGGCGCGTCCGAGGCCGTGAGCAAGACGTTGTGGGGTCTGCGCAACACGCTCGATCCGGAGGGCAGGCGCGAGCAAGGGGACAAGTACAAGTAGAGCAGGGCAGCGAGCGAAAGCGAACTGCGATATTCGTTGTTTCTTTTTCATGGCATAATGTTGTATGAACCGCCACAGTAGCACCAGTACCGCTGATTAGCGGAGGTGCGCTGCGCCGCCGCAGAGCGCACAAACACACAATGTGCAAAAAAGAAATCGCAGATGCCCAGATGCGATATCCATCCCATCGTCCGTCCATATCCATCATATGCGCAATTGCGCTTGAGAAACACATACACAATTTCGCGACAGCCGTCGCGAAATTGTGTATGTGTTTCTCTCCGGTTTCCTAATACATATTACCTTTCGGATTCGCTTGTTCCCTAATGGATTACAGTTTGAGTTGTAATTCCGCATGAGAAACACATACACAATTTCGCGACAGGATCGCGACGGCCGTCGCGAAATTGTGTATGTGTTTCTCCCCGGTTTCCTAATACGTATTACCTTTCGCGTTGCATTTTTCTCTAATGGATTACAGTTTGAGTTGTAATTGCCCTTGAGAAACGTATACACAATTTCGCGACAGCCGTCGCGAAATTGTGTATGTGTTTCTCTCGGGGTTGACTCATACATGTTACTTTTCGGATTCCATTATTCCCCAAATGGATTACAGTTAGAGTTGTAATTGTCCTTGAGAAACAATCGCTGCAGTCGCGATTGCGACCACTGCGCTGCATTGTGCTCTGCCTGCCACGTTTGCGCCAGCAACCAGCGCGCCAGCCAGTTGAGCCATTTGAGGGGGCAAGCTAAAGAGCTTAAGAGAGTGCCCCGTTTCAGGACACGCTGGCCGTGCGTCATCCCTCTGTGCGTGTCTCTGTTGCTCTCGAGCTGAAGGGTGTGCGTGGCACCCCTTTCCTTCCCTTAGACTCGTTGGCGGCGGCGCGTGCGTGAGACCGACCGACCGCCGCCGCCGCCGCTGCCGCTGCCGTGCGCGCCGAGCTGCGAATCCGAATGCGTATCGGAATGATGGGGCAGAAGGCGGGGTATCCACGGGAGCCCATGGTGGTGGGGGGAGCAGTGCGTGGGCGGTGGGCACGCACGCACACGGCTCTGGGGGCTCTGGTTCACATCCTCGCCCGCCCTGGCGGAGGCGGAGCGGAGGGGGCGGAGTGTGCACGGTGTACGTTAGTGGGAGTGCGGGGAGGGGGGGCAATCTCGGCGCGGAGCAGCGGTGGTGGTAGTGGTGGTGAGCATGGCAAGAGGGGGAGGTTCATTGTCAGGTGACGAGGCGGGGATAATCCTCGGCTGGAATGAGCAGAGCCAGCAGAGCCGTATCCGTCGCACCTGCACCCGCCGTGGTTGATCACATGCTCGTTGCATGCACCATTTGGAGTGCTCTGGGTCACATGTTCGATTCATCTCCTTTTCAGTCGTTGCCGTGTGCCGAAATGCCGACAGCGAAAGCGAGAGAGAAGGTATTGGCCGCAACAGAAGGGTCGTTTGTCCAGTAGCAAACCAACAACGTTTAGCGAGTCGGCAATCCAGCAAAGGGTGTGTCTGTCCATTGCCATTGCATAGCCTCGTCGTCGATTAATTGTCTTTGTACGCCGGGTGCGAAGAACGAATGGCCATTGTGTGGGTGTGGGTTATTGCTCAGGCCTCAGGAGCACCAGACGGGGCGAACAAGGCCCAAAAGGAAAAATGACGCACGAGGGTTCAAGTCCCAACTGTCTCCCCGGCGCGGCGCGCGCCAACACACACCAAAACGCGTCATTCGGGTCCTCCCATCAGGAATGCCAAAAAAGGCCAAGAGCTGGGCCCAAACGCTGCGGGCGGCTTGGCCATGTGTACGGTATACGTGCATTATCCCAGCTTGTGGCTATGGGTCAAGACTGCATCGTACCAAAGGCTGTATAGCAGGATAGTCTGCCCTCATCCTCTAGGAGGCTTCGGGTGCTCGTGCATGTCATTGAGGTGCGAAAGAAAAGGAGGCGTCTGGTTGCGTGTGTGTGTGTGTTTTGTAATGGGCGAGACCTTTTGGCCCCCAGCTTGCAGACGAAGTGAGAGCCGAAGAGTGCCACAAGTGCAAAAACCCCGAGCCACCCAGGGCAAGCTCATTGCCAGCCAGCCAGCCAACGCTCTCTGTCCTGGGTGGTGGGGTGCCTCCACCCCCAGCGCCAGCCAGCCAGCAGCCAGCCAACGCCAGAGCATCCCAGCCAGCAGCCAGCCAGCCAGCGCGTGCACACCCACCTGACCTCTCAACCCCTCCCTTGGATCCCCCCCCCCCCCCCCCCCCTCGTTCCCCCCCGCCCCGCCTCCCCCCTGCTCTCCCATCCCACACACCCACCCCCCCCCCGGGCACCACCACCCCGTCTCCCATCTACAACTCGTCGCTTGCCATCCATCCATCCACACACACCCCACGACCCACCACCCATCAAACAACACACACCACACACACACACACTACACCTCACCCCCCTCGTCTCTCACTGCACAGGAACTACCCACGCACCCAACCCCCCTCGGACACTCCACATCTCTAATCCCAGTCCCTGCTGCACATCCTCTCCCGCCCCCGAGGAACGCGACCCAACAACCCACCTTCCCCTTCGCCGCAAACCACCCCCTCCTTCCTTGCCTCCATACGCTCGACGCGTACTCGCAAGCCCTTGTCTTATATCCCGGCGCAGCTTCTGACGCCGCACACAAGGTGCGCATGACCTCCCCCTTCCTCTCACACGTTATTCAGCCAGACCCCCCCACCCCACCCCCCGGTCGGAGCGGCAGCACCGCGTTCGGCGGGGGGGGCCAGGCAAACGGGGAACCGAGCAAGCTCAGCTCTACAAGTGGGCGGGACGGGCGCACGCATGCGCAGCGGCGGCGGCGGCGGTAACATCGCAATGGACCACTGCTCGTGGATCCCGTGTTGGCCACTCGGCGATGCTCCAGTGCCATCGCGCGCTTGTTGTCCCCCCCGGACATGGCGGGCCCCGGGAACGTAATGGCTGCAGCCAGCCGCGTCGTTCCGAGCATGCCCAGGCCAGCGCCGCGCCGCCGCCATCGCCGTGCTGTGCTGTGCTGGCCAGTACCATCCTCCAGCGACCGCCCCGTCCGTCCCTGCTCCCCGATGTCGGGCGTGCTGGGCGCTGCTGCAAAAGCATCCCAGTTCTTCTTGACGCTCGGGGGTGTTCCACCCAACCCCCACCCCACACCCCACCCATCCACCCCTTTTCCAGTCTCAATCCATGTTGCCATTGTGCTGACCTCGTGCCTCCCCTTTGACCGCCCGCATCAACGCCTGCCTGTCCACCTCAACCCACCTCGTTTTGACCCTTTGGCCACCATCACACTTTCCCATCCACTCACCGCTCTCTCGACGCCACCGCCTTTTGCTTTTGCACCGTCCCTACATCACACCCCCCATCACACCCGCCGCACCCGACCGCAACCGCAACCGCGACCGCTCCACGCCATCGTGCCCCTCCTCATCTTTTGCCGCCCGCGCTGCCCTTCAACCAAACAGTAGCCGCCTGTTTTCATCATGAGCAACCTCGTTAACGGGGTCAAGGTGTCGGGTGAGTGCAGCGACTCTGAGGATGGGGACATTCCGTCCCCGGGAAAGAGGATGAATGATGACGCTGACGCGGCAGCCGATGACCCGAACCGCGTTGTGACCGTCACTGCGCACGACGGCAAGTCGGGCCAGGAGATGGCCATCACGTACACCAACTACAAGGTTGTCGGCAACGGCTCCTTTGGTGTGGTCTTTGCCGCCAAGATGCTTCGTAAGTGCTGCACCTTGGGGACTAGTAGCAGCGCTGACCCCTCCCGCAGCTACCAAGATGGCCGACGGAACAGAGGTGGCAGAACAGGAGATTGCGATCAAGAAGGTGCTCCAGGACAAGCGGTTCAAGAACCGTGAGCTCCAGATCATGCGTCTGGTTGCGCACCCCAATGTCGTCGACCTCAAGGCCTTTTTCTACTCGAACGGCGACAAGGTGGGTTTCCCTGGTGTTGTTATGAGGGCCAGTGTCTCTAACTCGTTTACCCAGAAGGACGAGGTTTACCTGAACCTGGTGCTTGAATACGTCCCGGAGACTGTCTACCGGTCGCTGCGCTACTACACCAAGCTCAAGCAGATTGTGCCCATGCTCCAGGTCAAGCTGTACATGTACCAGCTGCTGCGCTCGCTGGCGTACATCCACTCGGTCGGCATCTGCCACCGTGACATCAAGCCCCAGAACCTGCTGCTCAACCCCAACACTGGCATCCTCAAGCTCTGTGACTTTGGCTCTGCCAAGATCCTCGTTGCTGGTGAACCAAACGTCTCGTACATTTGCTCGCGCTACTACCGCGCACCCGAGCTCATCTTTGGCGCCACCAACTACACCACCAACATTGACATTTGGTCCACTGGCTGTGTCATGGCAGAGCTCATGCTGGGCCAGCCCCTCTTCCCCGGAGAGTCGGGTATCGACCAGCTCGTCGAGATCATCAAGGTCCTCGGTACCCCAACCAGGGAGCAGATCAAGACGATGAACCCCAACTACATGGAGCACAAGTTCCCCCAGATCAAGCCCCACCCTTTCACCAAAGTGTTCCGTCCCCGCACCTCGGCCGATGCCATCGACCTCATCTCCCACCTCCTAGAGTACACCCCTACTGCCCGTCTCACCGCACCCGAGGCGCTGGTTCACCAGTTCTTCGACGAGCTGCGACAGGAAGGGGCCCGCCTGCCCAACGGCAAGGACATGCCAGCGCTGTTCAACTTCACCCGCGAGGAGCTCTCGACCCGCCCCGACCTCATCCGCCGGCTCGTGCCCAAGCACGCCGAGGCCGAGCTCCACGCGCGCGGGATCGACGTCGACGACTTTGTCCCCATCCCCTTGGAGCAGCTGCGTATCAGCCTGGACTAGTCGAAGAGTTTGGATGGCGAATAACCCACTCTCTAACCCCCCGCACCCTACCCTACTCTCCTCGACGTTTTTTTACTGCTCCCTCTTTGCTCCCCGATCAGCATCGCCCGGCCACCTGTCATGTTCCCCTCTCGACCCCCTCCCTCCTCTCGCGCGTTCTTCTTCTTCTTCTTCTCTCGTTTCACGACGACATCACCTGTTTCTCCTCCCTAATATCCTCCCCCGAAACCCCCCTTCACCCCCCACCCCCGTCTTTTCATCGGATTCCACTCCCCACCCCCCACCCCTACCTCTCTCTTTCTCTCTCTCTCCCGCGCGACGACACACATCTTGGACTCCCAACCAGCGGTGCCAGCAGCAGCGGGCGCCGCCGCGGGGACAAGGTGTTGTGTCGTTTGTGGGCGGAAGGAAAGGAAAGGAACGGAAGGAACGGAGAAGGGAAGCAAGGGAAGAGACGCGGGGGCCGCCGAAAGAGAGAACTGGGTGTGGTGGCGATCCATCATCCAGCAGGTGTATATTTGTGTCCCCATTGAGATTATTGAGAGAGCGAAAGGCGGAGGAGGGAGGATTGGCGAGAGAGCGGGTTCACCTGTACGAATTGGATGAAATGCATTGACTACAAGAGCGAGCGCGCGCGTGTGGCGCCGTGGCGCAGTGTCGGCGCCGTTGTCTATGGGTTTGGTTTATGAGAGGTGCGTGTGGGTGGGTTGTAGGTGGCAGTTGTGGGTTGTCGTGAGGGGGGCAATATATGCTGGGAGGGGAGGTACAGGCTAGGACGAACGACGAGGACGAGAGGAGTCTGGCTACACCACGCGCTCCGCCACGGGCTTGTTCTGGCTCTTGCCCAGACTCGCCGCCAGCCCCTTTTGCTGCTCATACTCGGCCAGGCGGGCTGCGCGTTCCGCCGCGCGCTGCTCCTTGCTCTGCGCCTCGAGCAGCTGCGGCGGGGGGGACACGACGCACGTCACGCAGTCTTCGTCGACGACGGCCGCGGGCTGGACGGCGTTGACGGGAGCGCCGGCAGCGCCAGCGGCCGCCACGCGCGCCTTTTCGAGCTCGCGGTTACGCACGCGCTCCTCGTCGCGGATGACGCCGAGGTACATGTTCTAAAAGTAGAGTGAGTGGGAGTAAGGAGGAGCGGGGAGGGAGGGGGTGAGGTCACGTACGTCCGACTCGCGCTGCTGCATCCAGTGCACGCCCCAGATGGTCACGCCCATGAATGTGACGGACGTGCCGAGGAACATCTTGGCGGCGCGGGACATGGCTGTGGCTGGAGAGGGGAGTCTGGAGGCCGTGAGGGTCGAGGATATCGAGGAGGAGCTGTGGGAGCTGTGGGAGCTTTGGGAGTGAGGTTGGAGAAGCAAGTCTCGATGGTCGTCCGGAGGGTCGTTTACAAAGACGAAAGGGGAGATGACGGGTGGATCGCGAAAACTCGGAATGGGTGAGCCGTGGGGCCATTAGGTGGTCATCAGGGGTCATTAACAAAGAGGTATTTGACCACGGGAGAGAACATCAGGACAACTGAGGTAATCCAATGTCACCGGTTTCCAATTCCAATTGGAAACCCACTTCCTAACCAACCACGCAGGTCACGTGCACGACTCCGAACACGCCCTGGCCCTGCCCCGCGCGCGCACCGACGCGTCCTGAATGCTTGGACCCGCTCTGCGTCGGTGTCGGGTCATCGCAGGTCGGCGAGGGGTTTGGTGTCCACATCTCATCGTCACTTTCTCTTACACCCAACACCCTTTACATCTCTCATCGTCGTCACGCACACACCGCTGACCCGTGTCACCGACGTCTGCCTGCTGCCCTCTGGGACACACTTCACCGGGCAAAGCACGTGTGCTCGCGATACCGTAGCGCTGGCCACACCCCGCCACCCACCGTACTCAATACCCCAACGCCAACTTCCACGCTCCTTCCTCCTTCCTCCAGCACAACTCCATTTCACCAGCTTCGGCTGCCCCCCCTTCCTTTTCTATACCCCTTCCCCCCGTAGACAGTAGCCACCATGTCGGGGAACAACATCAAGGTGAGCTGGTCCTTCTGAGTCAACAGCTGACCATATCCCAGGTCGTGTGTCGGTGAGCCAACAGGGAAGGGAAGGCGAGCGAGACGGGACGGAACGGCGGCACGCTCCACGCTCCATGCTCCATGCTCCGTGCCCCCGACCTCCAAAGGCCATTCCCGCTGACGCGCCATCCCCCCCGCAGATTCCGTCCGATGAACCGGATGGAGAACGAGGCCAAGAGCGAGAAATGCGTCGATATCACAGACGATAACCTCACGGTGCAGATGAAGAGCGCCGGCTCACTCGGTGCGTCGTGCCTTTGTTATTGTGCCGAGGAGAGCAGTGTGCTGACGCCTACAAGCTGGACCGGAGAAGGACGGTACGTGCGCGAGCCAAAGGCGCGAGCGGCCACGCTGGCTCGCCGCTGCTAGGTAGATGACCGCCTCGGTGCTAACCACCCATTGCTAGGCTTCTCGTTTGACCGCGTGTTTGACACCGACACGCGCCAGGACGAGATCTTCAACTTTGGCGTCAAGGGCATTGTGGAAGGTGCGTTTGCTGACAATGCACAAGACACGCGCGTTTGCTCACGCCGCCCGCGCAGATGTCATGACGGGCTTCAACGGCACGCTGTTCTGTTACGGTCAGACTGGTTCCGGTAAAACGTTTAGTAAGGGCAACCTGGTCTGCTGCTGCTACTCCTCTTCCTGTTGCTGACGCCATAGCCATGATGGTGAGATTAACAACGCAAGATGTTTTAATCTAACGCGCAGGGCGCGGACATTGAGAACACGGAGCTCAAGGGTCTCATCCCGCGTATCACTGAACAGATCTTTGCCTCGATCCTCTCGGCCGACAACAACATCGAGTACACCGTCAAGGTCAGCTACATGGAGATTTACATGGAGAAGATCAAGGACTTGCTTGCTCGTGAGTCCCAGCTGCCCTCTCGTCGTCTTAGCTGACCCTCTCCACAGCGCACAACGACAACCTGTCGATCCACGAGGACAAGGCCCGCGGCGTGTACGTCAAGGGCCTGACGGACGTCTATGTCGGTTCCGAGGCCGAGGTGTTCCAGGTCATGAAGGCCGGTGGTGCGTCGCGTGCCGTCTCGTCGACCAACATGAACGCCGAGTCGTCGCGTTCGCACTCGATCTTTGTCATTGGTATCCACCAGCGCAACACGGACACGGGATCCCAAAAGTCGGGTCACCTCTACCTCGTCGATCTGGCTGGTTCCGAAAAGGTCGGCAAGACGGGCGCCTCGGGCCAGACTCTGGAGGAGGCCAAAAAGATCAACAAGAGTCTGTCGGCGCTCGGCATGGTGATCAACTCGCTCACGGATGGAAAGGTGGGTACAATCCATCAGCCACTTCTGACCCACGCAGTCGACCCACATTCCCTACCGTGACTCCAAGCTCACGCGTATTCTGCAAGAGTCGCTGGGTGGTAACTCGCGCACGACGCTGATCATCAACTGTTCGCCTGCCTCGTTCAACGAGCCCGAGACCATTTCCACGCTGCGTTTCGGTATGCGTGCCAAGTCGATCAAGAACAAAGCCCGCGTCAACGTCGAAATGTCCCCCGCAGAGCTCAAGGCCATGCTCAAGAAGACGGTCGCCGAGCTGGCCATGGTCCGCGAGCACGCCGCAAGCCTCGAGGAAGAGGTCAAGATCTGGCGTGCGGGCGGCAAGGTCGAGCAGGCCAACTGGACTCCTGCTCTTGCTGCTGCCCTGGCCACGGGTCCCCCAGCCCGCAGCGGCAGCCGTCTGGCCGCCGCAAGCCCCACGCCGACATCGCTCTCGGCCGTCAGCGACAGCAGGCCCGACACTCCCACGACGTTTGGCGTCGCGCTCGAAAAGGACGAAAAGGAAGAATTCCTGCGTCGCGAGAACGAGCTTGCGGACCAGCTTGCCGAAAAGGAGAGCGCGCTCGCCACGCAGGAAAAGCTCATGGCCGACCTCAAGGACGAGATTGCCTACCTCAAGGAGCAAGAGGGCTCGTGGATGAAGGAGAACAAGACCATGTCGCACGAGCTGTCCGACCTCCGCATCGCGTCTGCCCGCCTCGAGTCCGAGTCCAAGGACGCCTCGATCACCATTGACACGTACAAGGAGAAGGTGGTCGAGCTCCAGCGTGACATTGACGAGCAAAAGGCCCAGATCGGCGAGCTCAAAAAGGTCCAGACGCGCGAAAAGGAGGAGGAAAAGGAAAAGCGCAAGCAGGAGATGCTCAACGAGATGATGGCCAAGATCGACATGGGCGGCACTACCCTCGACGCCGCCGGCGAAAAGCTCCGCCAGGTCCTCAAGGAGCTCGACAATGTCAAGGACGCCGACCAGTCGGCGGCCCTCAGCTCGCAGACGCGCGAGCTCATCCGCTCCCACATTGCCGAGAACCAAGAGGCCGTGCGCGACCTCCAGGAGCGCCTCCGTATCAGCCAAGACGAGGCCGAGCTCCAGGAGAAGCGCACCCAGGAGGTGGAGAAGCTCCTCACCAACCGCGACGCCGCCTACGAGGACCTCTTGGAAAAGACGGCCTCGAGCCAGTCGGTCGCTGTCACCGACATCCGGTCCCAGTTTGCCTCCAAGTTTGCCGCTCAGGAGGAGCGTCTCCGCGGCGAGATTTCGGTCCTCACCGAGCGTGCCGAGAGCCGCGCGGCCGAGATCCGCAGGCTGCAGAGCACGATTGAGACGTACAAGCTTTCCAACGAGGAGCTCAACCGCGCCCTGTCGACGGCCTCGGCCGGCATTGCCGACGGCGAGTCGTTCGCCAACGCTACGCGCGAGCTGGAGCGTAACCGCAAGCAGTACGAGAGCCAGTACGCCGACTTTGAGGTCATCAAGAAGAGCCTCATGAAGGACCTGCAGAACCGCTGCGAAAAGGTTGTCGAGCTCGAGATGCAGCTCGACGAGGTGCGCGAGCAGTACAAGGTCATTGCGCGTTCCGCCAACTCGCGTGCGCAGCAGCGCAAGCTCGAGTTCCTCGAGCACAACCTCGACGCCCTCAATGTGGTCCAGAAGCAGCTCGTGGAGCAGAACACGGCCCTCAAGAAGGAGGTCGGCATCGCCGAGCGCAAGCTCATTGCGCGCAACGAGCGTATTCAGAACCTCGAGTCGCTACTCAACGAGGCCGACTCGCGCCTGGCCCAGAAGAACCAGCGGTACGAGCAGCAGATCCAGGCCATCCGCGAGCGTCTCGCCGAGGTGCAGGCCCAGCAGCAGACGTCGTACAACCACGCACGTATCGCCAAGCCCCTGCGCGGCGGAGGCGGCGCCGGTGCCGGTGGTGCGGGTACTGCCCAGCCCCAGCCCGTGTTCTCGAGCGCCAACCCGCTCGCCCGCGTCCAGGACGAGAGCGTCGCGAGCGCCAAGCGTCGTGAGTTAAGGAAGGCTCCCAAGTTTGGTCCATCAGCTAACTCGTTACCAGAGTCGTGGTTCTTCTCCCCCTCGGCGTCGCCTCGCGGATAAGATTAGATCGATGTGGTTAGCTAGCACGACCCCCTTGACGACTGTACACGGATAGATATCGATGGAAACCTGCATGATGAACAACACACGCTCCCTGTCTATACAACTAATGCTACACTTCCCACTCCAGGTCACCGTCGGCGGCACCCCACGCGCCGTCGCCATCATCGTCGACGGCCTGGACCACGACGCCCGCCCACAGCCGCATGAGCCGGCGTTCCTCGGGCCCGATCCAGACGCGCGCGTCGTCCCGGCCAAGCCACCACCCGTCGCTGCCCCAGTCGTCCGCAGCGGTGCTCTGCGCCCCGCCGCCGCCGAGCAGATCTTGCAGCGGCGGCGGCGACCCGGACCGATGCAGCAGCGCGGCCGCGGCGGGCTTGGCGAGACTCGTCCCATCCACGCCGAGCAGGCGCGCGAGGGACGCGTGCCGCGCGTTCGGGGTCGGGAGCGCGTCTAGTGCCGCGAGGACTTTGGTGAGTGCCGGGTGTGTGAGGAGTTCGCGCAGCGGGGCCGATGTGGCTAGAAACGACAGCGTCAGTGAAGTGGAGCGAGGGGGGGATGATGGACATACCGATGCGTTCCAGCTCGGCGTGGCGGAGCGGTTTTGGGTCGTCGCGCTTCAGCGGGTCCTGGAACACCGAGGCGTCGGGCTCGGGCGGCCAGCGCAGGCCGGCGAGGGCGCGGAGCGGCGGTGGTGGTGCGTCGACGGCGGGAGCCAGTGGGTCCGCCTTGGGGGCGTCGAACGGTGGTGCTGCTGCCTGCTCGCTTGTTGCTGGGGCCGACGCGGGCTCGAGGGAGGGCGCGGAGGCCGTGGCTGCTGCTGTAGTTGCCACACACGTCTCTGTATAGTGTCAGCTGAGCTCCATGACTTCATGAGTGCGTAGCTGCGAGGCATGGACGACCCACCCTTGTGTTTCTTGTAGCACGCGACAGAGCAGCTGAGGGAGGGAAGGCATGTCAGCAGACGACGAGAACTGGACGCAGCGCCGGCCGGGGACGTACTATCGCACAGGGCACGCCGAGCAGCGGTACTTGGATGGCTGGGAGCACAGTCCACAGCTGGGTGTGGCCTTGGGTCCCATCGGTCGTGGAGAGTGTAGATGGCAGAACGGCGACACCACCATCTGTTCTTCCGTGACATCACAACAAATCCTCCCAAACCCTCCACCGGGCGCGCCAGCCAAAAAATACCCCCGCCGTGACCTACTGGCTGGCGCGAGGGAGGGGGAATGTCAACTCGCCCAGCCAACCGGCCATCACTTGTCGACCAACGCTCAACCACAACCGGTCAACAACAATTATGAGCTTCCAGAACGGCTACGGCGGCGGATACGGCGGGTTCGGAGGCGGTAGCGGTGGTGGCGGGTACGCCGGAGGAGGTGGCGGGTACGGCGGCGGCGGCGGCGGCGGCGGGTATGGCGGCCGGGGCGGGCGTCGCAGTGAGTTGCTCTCTCGACTGCGATGAAGATTCGCGATGGAGCTGACGGTGTTTGCAGATGACCGCGGACGCGGTGGACGCGGAGGAGGGGCTGGCGGCGGTGGTCGGACTGCCCCCGAGACCACTGCTGTGCGCCTCCGCAAGATGGTGACCAAGTTTGCCGACGACGAGGTGGGTCAGGCGTTGATGTACGTTGACCCAGTACTAACCAGCCCAGGACTTTGATGCTGTCGAGGACCCGCCCCGTCTTGCCAAGGTCCTCCGCCGTAGCTGGCGTGAGGGATCTGCTGGCGTGCTTGATGGGTTCCGTTTTGGGTGAGTAGGAACACTGGCAAGCATCGTCAACTGACAGCCAAAAGTGTTACCGAGGAGCCTCACAAGCACCACCACTACGTCTCCCTCCTCCTGCACCTCGCCTACAGCCAGCCCGAGGGCGCCGCTGAGGCCGAGGACGAGACGGACGCTCAGACCGGCGAGAAGCGCAAGGCCGAGATTGACGACACCGAGTGCGGCCGCGAGATCCTCGAGGACCTGGGCCGGTCGTTCCGCAACGCCGTCGAGGCGCGCGAGTGGCTCTCGGCCCGCCTGCTCCTCCAGTTCCTCTCCCTCCTCGTGCCTGCTGGGCTCATCCACCCCCAGTCCATTCTGGAGGTGTACAAGGGCCTGCTCTCCGTCCTCAACGAGGTCGGTGGCGGCGGCGACCGTTCGGAGCGCGCTGTGCGCGCCGTCGGCGAGGGTCTCATCCGTTCCGCAGGCTCGCTCGCCCCCGCCTTCCCCGAGGACGTCGAGGCCCTCATCGGCAGCATTGAGATGTTTGTGCTTGGCCGCAAAGGCGACCGCGCGCTGTCCAACCCCTTGGCGCCCATCCTCAAGGCGGGCGAGGAGCCTGTGCCCTACGCTGACACCCTCTCCGAGCTCCTCACTGCTCTGTACGCGCTCCGCACCTCGGACTATGTTCCCCCCGAGGTCCTCCCGCGTCCCGCCGAGGAGGCCCCCTCCAAGTTCCCCGAGGGTGCCGTCCTCCCGGACCCGTACTCGCTCTCTTCGGTGTACATGCCCCCTGAGATGTACGACCCCGACGAGGAGAACCCCCAGGAGTGCGAGGGCCGTATCGGTGGTCTCAGGCTCTTTGCCGAGGACATTGTCCCCGTGCCCGACACGGTTGACGGCTGGACTCTGCGTAGCCTCGTCCTCGACATGGTGTGCATCTACGAGGTCAACCGCAAGGACGCAGCCCGCATCCTCCTCTCGCTCTCGCGCTACGTCGCGCCCGGCACCTTCAAGTCGGAGGGTTCCGAGTCGACGTACTCTGTCGAGTCGCTCATTGTTGGCACCATTCTCAGCACCTTGTTCACTCTCCCCAACACTCCCCAGAAGCCCATCTACTACGGTTCCGTCGTCACCGAACTGTGCAAGCTGAGCCCCAACACTGTCGCGCCTCCCGTCGGCCGCGCCGTCCGCAAGGTCTTTACGCACCTCGGCCAAGATGGCCTGGACGTCGAGATTGCCCGCCGCTGCGCCGACTGGTTCTCGGCCCACCTGAGCAACTTTGGCTTCCAGTGGATGTGGAAGGAGTGGATTCCCGACCTTGAGCTGCCCGCCGCGCACCCGCGTCGCGCGTTCATGCGCCGTGTCGTCGACCTCGAGATCCGTCTCGCGTACCACGACCGTATCCTCCAGACCCTCCCGGACCCCATGCTCGAGAAGGGTGCCAACGTCGTCTCGGACGACGCTCCCGACCCGGTCTGGGTTTACGAGGACGCCACCCACAGCCTGCACGCCGAGGCCAACGAGCTCCACCGCATGCTCAAGCAAAAGGTCTCGTCGGACCAGGTCAAGGACTACCTTGACAACCTCCCCGGTGCCCGCTCGGCTCCCGGCGAGCCCATGTCCGTTCCCGTCCTCATGATGGCCACCGAGACCATCCAGCACCTCGGTTCGCGTTCGTTCTCCCACTTCCTCAACGCCACCGAGCGTTACCTCGACGTGCTCCGCCACCTCTCGCCCGACTTTGCCTCGCGCCGTGTCATCCTCGACGCCGTGCAGTCGTTCTGGCGCCGTTCGTCCCAGATGCGCGTCACCACCGTCGACAAGTACCTCCAGTACGGTATTCTCGAGCCCCTTGACGTTGTCGACTTTATCTTTTCGGAAGACTCTGCGTCGGCCGGCGACGACGCGCCCGATGGCTGGACCGACGGCGATAAGTGGGAGATGCTGCGCATGACCATCGACAAGGTCGTTGGCCGTGTCGTCGCCGTCCGCCGCCGCCTGCGTGCCGTCGACAAGGCCGACGAAGTTGCGCGCGCCCGTCGCGCCGCCGAGCGCCTCGAGCGCGGCGAGGGCGTGGGCATGGACGACGCCGAGGTCGACGACGAGGACAGCGGTAACGATCGGTCCCGCGAGTCGCGCGACGCCCAGGCGTCGCTGGACCTGCAGACCAACCGTCTCGAAAAGGTGTTCATCGCCCTCGTCCGCCGGTTCGCCGCCGAGCTCCTGCCCTGGGCGTACGGCAGCCACGAGGAGGGCGAGGAGGCCGTGGGCGGCCTCAAGGCCGTCCTCCAGCTCCTGGACAGCGACGAGGTGGCTGGCTGGCCGATGCGCGCGCGCTGGGGCTGGTGGCGCGAGTTTGTGCGCCGCTACGCCGCACACCTCGAGCCCCTCGCAGACAGCATCGAGCACTCGGTCTTCTCAAAGCCCGTCACCGAGGGCGAGGGTCCCGAGGCCAGGGCCGAGACCATGGTGCGCCGTGTCTGGGCCGACGCGCTGGGCCGCGAGTAGAGAGGGTTGTGCGCGGTGGAGTGTGGAGTGTGGGAGGGAAGGGAGAAGGGGGTATGGCGGAGGGCTCTAAGGGAGGCTTGGGTGTAGGCTCCAGGTAGAGATCATATAAAAGCTGCAATGCAGTCGGCTCGTGTTTTTTCCCCTTGTTCGTGCAAAACGTGCACGGCGTCGTCACTGGCGTGCTAGAACCTTGCCCCCAAATGGTTGTGGCTGTGTCGTCGCCAATAAATCACTGCAAACAGGTGCCATCTGATACACGAGCGACGGTTGAAATGTCAACATCACAGTTGTGGTCCCCAGTACTTAGACAGCTGTTACCACTGGCATAGTACCAGACGCTCGAGTACCTCGCGGATCCGTGAGCACCGTGAGCCGTCCACCTCCAGACGAACTCTCTCTCCGAGGTGAACTGCGCAAAGACTGCAGCAAGAACACTTGTGTGAAACACACTAAATGTTAGGCCACGAAATTGTTTTTTTTTTTTTCTTGTGGCACAATTGTACTGAATTTCCCGCCCGTTTCGCCACAGTTGAATGCACATGTCCCCGGATACTGGTTATAGGATCACAAGCAATCACAATGGGCTCATGCGCCGCTTTTAATGGAGGTCCTCCGCGGTATGGCCTGTTATGCTTTGTAAGGGGAGTGAATATTGCTTGGAATAATTTGCTGTCCATAAACGTGGTGGTGAATAGTGCCTTCGGTCAACCAAGTTTACCACATCACAGGCAAGTGTGAGTGTGACATCGTCGACTATGAACTACCTCTGTTCCCATTTCAACAACGTCATCAGGGCGCCACAGAAGCGCTATCACGTCTCCACAGGTATGTCAAATTCGACGGGATACCCGTACTTCGCACTACGTCGCCACGCCCGGCGGGTTGCCATCGTACGTCCCATGCGCATGGCAGCAGGACCGTGACGCATATAGGTTGTGAAAAGAAATCTGTGATACATAGGTCAGAGGAATTGCTCTCCAGAGCAGAGGTACAGGTGACGGAGTAGCGACAACGACCAAAATTGGAGACGTGCGGACAACAACCTTTGCAGCTGCATCTTGTCCGGTCAACGTGGGCTGTGGCCCGGCCCTCCGCGTATCCATTTGGGCAACTAGGCCACTTATTCAACCAATTCAGCAGCAGATATCTGCTTCTCCACGACATTTACTGTCCTCCAAGTGTCATGTACCCGCAGAAACACCGCAACATCACTCATGGGAGATGTAGAACAGGCCAGGAGGAGATCGGAGGGAAGGAAATGGCCGATGAAGAATGGGGCATCCTCCTGTCCGTATTTCCTCAGCAATGGCTCTCTTTTTTACATATACATTGTCTAAACATGCCAGAGATACCCCTCTACGCATCAGACGAGCCCATAGGCTCCTAGAATCTCGTCAACGACGCCGGGAGTTCGCGGCGGCACCGGCGAGGACATCAACATCCAGTTCTTGATCGTATAACGGTTAGTATGCTCGCTTGTCATTGAGATCGCGGGAGATCGGAGTTCGATTCTCCGTCAGGAAGCTCGTAGAGTCCTCCAGGACTTATCCTTTTGCTTATGATGCAGACGGATGGATGGATGACATGGAAATGATGTTGGATGGCATGGTGGCGGGTGGAGTGGTTGATGTGGCATGCGAATGGTGCCGTGAAACCCGAGATCTGCTCGGGTCCTGCGCTTAATTTCCGGCGCGTTCCTGATCTGAACGGAACGTTCTGCCGATTTGTGCGGCGTGTGGACGACGACGATGGGGGTGGCGGCTTGGCGATCTCGTTGATGGCAGGCGACATGGCCGGCGTTGACATTGGAAGCAAGTCATGAACTGTGCCCACGGCAATGCGATAGGCTCCCCTATGCACTGACAGATCTCGGGCGGCGATGTAAGAGACCACAGAGGCGTTTCAGGAAATCCGAGTCGTCGACACAAGACCTCAACAGTCGTTGATCAACATCAAAGCCTGGTTATATCAGTCGGTAGATAGTTTGACTCTTATTACTTAAGACATCAAAATGTCATGGGTTCGAGCCCCATACTAGGCTACAGCATCTGCTTTTTGGACCTGTACACTCCCAGAGCTTCTTGCAGAGCGCCGCGGACGGTCGGAAGACGGTCTGCAGATGTCGAGCAGCTGGAAGTTTTCAGAACTGGCATCGGCGCCACAGACGGAAGTATTTTTTCCTAAGGGCAAATTACACTCGGAACCAAAAAAAATAGAACATGTCTCCCCCAAGGTGTACCCACCGCCTTCCCTCGTCTTCCTCTCCAGCCGTCCACCGTGCTCAGATGCCAAAAGAGAAGCTTCCTGACGGAGAATCGAACTCCGATCTCCCGCGATCAGTGCAGAATTGCAGTGACAAGCGAGCATACTAACCGTTATACGATCAAGAAGGCATATTAGGTTGTTTGTCGTCCGGCCGTGACGCGCCCAGCGCAATTACAAAGTCTTAGTCTGTGTGCCCCCGACCACCTGCACCTGCACATGTACTGGAATGTGGTCTGCCTGTGCATTCGCTGCGTGCCGGGAGGCAGGAAGGAAGATGTCGAGGGACCGGGTGGAGACACTGACAATGGGACGGTGGTGCCACACTCTTTAAATATCCCCCCCTTTATTCACCCACTTGTGTGTGCGCAATGCGGCCCAGTCGATTGGCTGTGTGTGGGGGTGGCCATCGGGGGGCGGGAGGACCGTTTGTATAGCCGTATTACTCCGACGCTCCCAACCCCGTGATCCCCCGGTATGCACGCAGCCAGCCAGCCAGCCCGCCCAGCCAGCCCAGCAGTCTCTCCCCAGCCAGCACGCAGGCACCACACGCCCCCGGCTCTCGCTCGCTCACGATTCAGAGCCAACCGATGTCACCTGGGATCCCTTCGTCGCTGTTGCGCATCCTCCCTCACCACTCCTCACCACTCCTCACCCACCATGTCCTTCCTCCGCACCGCACCTGCCTTCCGCGCCGGCCTCGGCATGCGCACCATCCACACCTGTTCGTGCTCCCCCCGCGCCCCTCCCCGTCCCCCGTCCCCCCCGCTGCGCGAGGCAAAGCAAGTGTTGGCTGCTCTACCCGGAATCCAATAGGAGCGCCGACATTTCGACCTTGCCTCTCCGCCCCGCCAACACACCGCACACCGCGGACCACACCACCACCACCACCCTCTGCCCCGCTGGGCAACATGCCTAGGAGGACTGTTTGCTGACGCCTTGCACAGCGCGTGTGGCTGCCGTCCAGGCCTCCAAGCAGGTCCGCGCCATCGCCGCCGACGAGACTGCGGGCTTCAAGTACACCGCGGAGAACGGTAAGTGAACCGCACACACGCTCGCGCAGTCCAGTCGGGAGACTCGAAAATCCGGCCGTGTGGGCACTTCCTAGCCGCGCGCACTGGGATACATGACGGCTGGCGCTGGCGTCGTGCTCGCTACGAGCGCGCCTCTCGTAGCTCACACGCCGCTGTCGGTGGCTCGTTTTGAGCGGACATGGTTGTTCGCCAGGTCACAACTGGCCGGAAGTCCCGGAGCCGGCTGGATGCGAGCGTGCACAAACGTCAAACCGCCCCGCGCAACCTACCTGCCTGCTGACACCCACCCACAGCCATCCTCAAGGGCACTGTCAACGACGCCGTCGCTGTGCCGACCCCCAACAAGGCCCACGGCTCGTACCACTGGGCCTTTGAGCGCCTCGTCTCGGCCGCCATCATCCCCGCCACCGTCGCCGCCGCCGTTGCCTCGCCCACTGCCCACGTGAGTACAGTGACGCAGTGACGCACTGTGCAGCGCGCGCACTGCATATCAAAGCCTAGGCTTGCTGACACCTACCCCAGCCCATCATGGACGGCGTCCTCGGCGTGACCATCCTCATCCACTCGCACATTGGCTTCTCGGCGTGCATCGACGACTACGTTGACGAGCGCAAGTTTGGCGCGCTCGGCACCGCGTGCCGCTGGCTCCTCCGCGTCGGCACCGCCGGCGCCCTCGTCGGCATCTACGAGTTCAACACCAACGACATTGGCCTCACCGAGCTCTGTGAGAAGGTCTGGAAGGCTTAAAACACTCCCTCCCCGAGTTTAAAAGGTGTACCAGTAGGACATGCAGCTAAAAAAAACATATCGCAACGGTCTTTGTGGCAGTGGGCAGGGAGACGCTCTTTCGAAATGGTGTACATGAGGACATGGGAGGAGGAAGAATGGAGGGGAAACCCGGGGTTTCGCTGACAGGACACTGACTATGAAAATGGAACTAAAAAGGAGTCTGCGAGGCGTGGTTGGTTACATGATGCGGGAACGCTTGGCTTGCCAGTCCGTCGTGTTGGTCTCCTCGCTCAATGCAACGCGCGGCGCGCCATTGGCGTGGAGGGGACCGCCTTTGCTGGGGGACTGACTTCTGGGCCGTGGGTTAGTCGCTGGGGACACAAAACGGGGATCTGTCTGCTGCGACTCACCCTTCCCTCTTGACACCACGCGCGCTGGTGAATGCAGAGTACTTGCCGGGCGTGGTGTCGAGCTGGTCGCTGCTGTTGATCTCGAGGTTGGCGCCGTGGACCTTGAGGTTGGTGACGGCGCGAGCGGCCACAGCGTTGACACCACCTCCGGGGATGGCTGGGTTAGGAGGCGACTCGGCACCGCGGGGTGCGGGCGCGGGCGCCCCGTTACCAGAGGCAGCCATGATTGCGGCCAGTCGGCGCGACGAAGCAGACGAGGCAGACGAAGTGGCCGAGGTTGATCCCTGCAACGTCAGCTTTCCGACGAACCCTCGTTAGCTCACCCCATTTGGCTTCGCGAATCCTCCCACCTGCTTCCTCGCACCGCCCTCGGCATCGCCGCCCTTGGCCGACTCGTTTAATGACTTGGGTGGGGTCGGGACCTTTGCTGGGGCCGCTTGCTGGGCAGGTTGGAGTGGCTTGTCTGGGCGGTGACGGTGCTGGTACGCTGGCGCACCGCTTGCTGGGGCAGCAGCGGTCGCCATTGAGCGTGGTGCAGGTCTGCAGAGCTGTCAGAGTGGGACGAACTGGAAACAACTCACGGTGCAGGATCGATATTCTCGTCCATCGCCACCGCCTGCATGTCGTCAAAGAACGACTCCTCTTCCATGAACGCAAACTCGCTGTCGCCTTCCATGAATGAAAACTCGTCATTGATGGAACGCAGCGGCGGTTCTGGGGATGGTGGGCGGGTAGGAGTGCGGACAGCGGGAGGAGGGGGTTTGGAGTTTCCAGAGACGTGCTGAGGAACAGCCGACGCCGCTGCACGAGAGGGGCCAGCGGCCGGCTGGGGAGCAAACTCGGCCCTGCGCTCGAGGTCGTTGGCATTGAGCTTGACCTGGGCTTGGTTAGAGAACGGAAGGAAGGCGAGGGAGAGAAGACAACGTACCATTGGGACACGCATCTTGCCCACTTCCTTGGTGTAGTCACGGTCGTACAGGCAGTTACCCAGGACATTGCCAAAGTGCTTCATGGCACGCTTGACGGCGTCTGTCACTGCTTCCTTCTGAGCCTGCTGGGTTAGTGCATGCCTGAAGGGTTTCCCACCCACCTTTTCCAGCGCATTCGCCTTGCCCTTCATGTTCTCGCAGTGTCCGTATCCAATGTCCTCGTGATAGCAGCCGTCTTGCAGAGTGATGCGCACAACGCAGGTGATGCCGACGTTGCAGCGTCCCTCGCCGTTGACGTCCATCTGGAGGTAGGTAAGCGGGAAACTGCAGAAGTACCTACAAAGTCTGTCTTCAGTGAGACGATTGACGAGGACCATCCGTTAAAGCCAAACACGTCGTTGGCGAGGTTTACAGCTGGAAGACGTTAGCTTGTGACGAGCAAAACCCGTACCACTAGCTCACCTTTCCATCCTTCAATGTAGCTGCCCGTCAGTACACGCGTGTTGCCTTCGTTCTCCTTCCCTCGCCGCCTTCCCTCTCGCCACTCACCTGAGCTTGGGGCCACCACCGGGACCTGGTCGAGTACTGACATACTCTGGTCCGAGTTTACGCTGCAGGCGGGCCTGCATAGTGGCCACCCTCTCCTCGGACCACTGCGTGAAGCGACCCGGTCCGCCACCGCCAAACTGGCTGTTCCACGGCATCGGCGAGCCGTGGTGCGCTCCCCACTGGCTGCCGTCGTTGCCTGCCATCGTGCCCATGCCCATACCCGAGTTGTATGGAGCTGGAGACGCGCGATAGCTGCTGTTGCCGTTGTTATTGTTGTTGCGGTATCCGTTGGTGTGGGTTGGTGTCTGGAGCGGCTGGAGGCCGGTGGACCCAAACGAGGTGTCCATCTGTTGCAGGGATTGGGCGAGGAGGTGGCCAGAGAGTGTCATGCGTTCGTGGGGCCGGGGGTGAGGGAGCCGGGGGTGAGTGAACGTTGCGATTGACTCGTGACTGGGTATCGATAGTGCTGGAAAATGGAGTTGGGGATGGTCAAGAATGGGAGATGTGATGTATCGACTGGGTGCGTGGTGGTTTGTTTTGGTTGAATCGAGCTGACATCACCTGGGGGCAAAGACAGGCGCGGCGGGTGGGATAATTTGCTTCCGCTCCACCACCGTCACTTGGGACGCGTTTCGCGACGGACGCGCCCTTCATGACACCTGGTCCTGTCGTCTTGACATTGTTTGACTCTTTCTCGCAACAGCTTGTGGCCAGCTGAATCAAAGCATCAAGATGGCCAGCGAGATCACATTTGAGGTTGGCGAGCCCCTGCGCCGCCCAAAAGTCGCCTACTCGTCGATTCCCGAGCTCTCGGCGCCCTTCTTGATCGACCCGGCCCAGCGCAGCTACAAACACCAGTACTCGAACATTTATTTCGTCCGACTCGTTCAGCTGAGAGAGACCGTGGAGAACCAAGCTGCTGAAAGATGGAGGAATGTTCGAGGTGGGTGATTGCCTTCATGTAACCGCTGACCCATCAGGCCGGCCCAAGCTCCTCCCGCGTATCCTTGACATCCAGCGCACGCAGCTCTGCTACCTTGTCGGTACGGTCTACATGGACATGCCGCTCAAGCCAAACGTTCTCGAGGACATGGCTCGTAGTGTGGGTAGAAGCTTGTCGGGATCCTAGCTGACCCACCAGAACTGGATCGCCGCCCCGACCCCTCGTGCCAAGTTCTACTCCACGCAGGACACGGTCCACCTCGAGGACGAGAGCGGCCGTGTGCGCCTTGTCGGAGATGTGATCCGCCGCGAGAGGGACAGGGAAGGCGGTGGCCTCGTCACTGGCGTTATCATGGGTGTCTTGGGTGTGGAGACGGGTAATGGCGACTTTGAGGTCGTGGATCTTTGCTTTGCCGGCTTGCCAGATGTGTACCACCCCAAGGCTGGTCCGTCGACCGAGGGCAACGGCAAGGCAAAGGCAAAGGCCGAGGATGATTCTATGGATGTTGACGACGAGGGTGAGTTGCAGTGCTTCTGCGGCCACAACTAACATTCCAGCGAAGCCAGACGTTGAGAGCAAGACTTGGGTGGCCATGGTCTCTGGCCTGTCTGTCGGAAGCGAGTCGGCTCCCCTGGACCTCAAGGCGCAGCTCCTCGTGGAATGGCTGATGGGCGAGGACGGTGGCGTGGTGGTGAGTTTGGTGTTGTTGTACCCTTGCTAAAATCTTAGGACCATCTCGAAGGTGCAAGGATAGCGCGCCTTATTCTCGCCGGCAACTCGCTCGTGGCACCTCAGAAGGGAGCCGACGAGAAGAAGCCAGTGAGCTTTGCGGTATCGCCGCCTCTAACTGACCCCCAGAAACGCTTTGCAACCTCCAACCAACCCCTGTATCCCAACCACCCAACCAAGACATTGTCCACACTGATCTCGGACCTCCTCGCCTCCTCCTTGCCCATCAACCTCGTCCCCGGCCCCTCGGACCCAGCAGGCGCCCTGCTCCCACAACAAGCGATGCCCAAGGTCATGTTTGGCGGCAAGAAGATGGAGGGGCTGGAATGCATGACCAACCCTACGTGGATGGAGATTGGCGAGCGCAGTTTCCTCACCACGGGCGGACAAACGGTCGACGACGTGTTCAAGTACCTGCCCGGCAAGTCGCGACTGGCCATGGCCAACCGCACGCTGGAATGGCGCCATGTCGCGCCTACAGCGCCCGATACGCTCTGGATCTATCCCTTCCCCGACACCGACCCGTTTATCATCTCCCACCGTCCCGACGTGTACATTGTTGGCAACCAGCCCCAGTTTGAGACTGCCATCGTGGGCGGAGATGACCCGACACGGATCGTGCTCTTGCCCAACTTTGCGACGACCGGGACCGTCGCTCTTGTGTGTCTCGAGACACTCGAGATTAAGACTGTCAACTTTGAGGTGCCCGCTTGGATCGGCGATGTTGCCACAGCGGCCACGGAGGAGTAGAGGAGTAGATGTGAGAGAGAGACATGATGTATACGCATCCTTATGCTACAAAAAACGAGCTTTTATGTCTACTGGTCTATATTGAAAACCCTAGGCCGGCACCCTGCTCTCAAAGAGCGCCATACCCCGGTCCCCATGCCTGTAACCCATCGTCACCTCCTTGGCCGCATGTTCCCCAAAGTGCACCGTCCAGTTCATCCTGCCGCCGCGCCGCTTCCAGCCAGACGGCACGTCCTTGGCGCCTTTGACAGGCGGCGGAGCGCGCGCCGCCGGTGTCGCCAGTCCGCCGGGGACATCGCCACTGCCGTCAAAGGCGAGCACAAACGCCCGTTTCTCAGTGACACCCCACACGCGCCCGCCCTCGCCGGCAAGCGCGTACACGGGACTGCCCCGGCCGCCGGGGGAGAAGAGCGACCAGCCCGAGGACCGGGGGCTGCGCACGTCCCACACGCTCACTTGGCCGTGCTGTGCGCCGCCGGCCGCGACGCCGTGTGCGCCGACAAAGGCGCAGCTGTACAGCCCAGCATCGGACCACGGGTCGGACAGTTCCAGGACGGGTGCCGAGCCCGTGCGCAGGTCGTGCAGGCGCGCGACGCCGTCGTGCCACGCGCTCAGGAGGGTGTGGTCGCTGCTGCCGACCGAGCTCTTGAAGGGCGGCTGGACGAGGCCGTACGCTGCCGAATGCTGGGGCTGCACGCCGTGCAGGACGGCCGTGCGCTGCATCCCGGATGGCGCGAGTGCGTGTACGTGGATGCCGCCGTTGAGGCCCAAGAACGCCCGCGAGTCGGTCAGAAGCGCGGACCAGGCGCGCGGTGTTGGCAGTTGGAGTTGCGTGGGCGGCAGCCATGGACTCGACGCGCGCCAGAGACGGACGGTGCCCGCTGGACGCGCGTTGCCCGGCAGCGTCATGGAGGAAGGGGAGCTCGCGCGCGACCCGCCCGACGACGCGGTGAGGAGCATGTCGCCACATCCAGCGAGGACATGAATGTTGGAGCCCTTCGGGTGGACGTAGTGTGCCGTGCTTTTCATCGTGTGGTCGCCTTTGGCCGGGGACAGCTCGAGACGCTGCAGCGTGCCGTCAAACTGCGCGACGGCAACGCTTCCTCCAGGCAGCTCATGCACGCCCACCACGTCTGCCTCGGACCCGCCCGTCGAGATCCGGTATTCCTTGGCTCCGCCAACCGTCTTGCCCGCGAACCGCCGTCCAGGGTGGAGGAGGGGGTGGACGACCAGACTCGTGCCCACACCCAAGATCAGGCGGTCGGGCGTGAGCTGCATGGCTGGGATGGCGCGGTCACGCCACGTTGGGCCAATCTGGATGGCGTACAAGTCGTGCCGGGTGAGTGCGCGTTCAAGCTTGCTGTTGTGCGCGAACAGCTTGTCGGACGGCCACGCGCTTGACACGGGGCTCAGCGTCGTGTGTGCGACCGAGTGGTGCGTGAGGTGCAGCGGGATACCGAGAGACATGACCTGGACAACTGTCAGCTACACCTGGCAAAACAGATAGCTCACCCGCGCGTTCATCCGCCTGGACACTTGGCGTAAGCGCACGAGATCCACATCCACAAGCAGCTCAAAGACGTGCGCGAGCGCATCGTCAGGCAGGCCCTCGAGGGACGCAAGCGCGGCCATGGGATGATGCGGGTCGATACCGCCTCCGCTTCCCATTCTTTGACGTGTCTCTCCAACGGCCAACGGAAGCGACCGTGAGTGGGTGGATAAAATGGCGACGAGGTGGGAGGATACCAACGAGTCGACGAGCGCAACTTAATCTTTTGGGTGGCAAATGGCTTCCCTCCGCACACAGCCCCCGCCCCCGTCTAAAAACACAATAAGTAGAGATGGGTCCGGCCTCGATCTCAAGATTCGAACCCTCGGAATTAGGCGCCCTCCCCCCACTCACTCCTCCTCGCTCGCCCCCCACCACTTCCTCCTCTCGCCAGTCGGTCGGTCGTAATCCTGGTGGATTCTTCAGGGAGCTCTCTTGCGGTCGGGTGCAGCCCTGGTCAGAATGGCTCGGGCCAGGAGCTCTCCATCTGGCCCGAGCCATCCATCCACTTACGCGCGCGGAATCTAGGTATTAAGGCGGACCCACCCAATTAACCAGTCCGGCAACGCAGCTTCATACTTTGGTGGAAAACAGGGACGCAATGAGGGAGACGTCACGTGACCCAATCCATGCGGAGCGGTATGTGTGTGTCCATTAGGTAATCTTGTCCACCTCCACCACACGTTGCACTGCGCGCTAGGCCGTGCGTCCTGGAACCCAGCAGGGTGTACGGACTCTCCCTCATACCGCCATGTACCGCCTGTCCGCATTCTTAAATACACATGCCATGCCAACACTACAGGTATCCGGCTACACAATCCACGGGTTCAAGACCACAACTACCAACTGACCACACTGCCCTTGCTCCTTTCCTCGCTCGAGATTGTACAAGCCCGCAGCTTCGCTTTTGCCTCTTGCCTGGCTCTACTTTGCTCACTGCGCCTGCGCTGCGGCCGGGGGCGGGGGTGCGCGCCCGGTGCCTTCGTTCTCGAGCGTCTCGAGGAGCTGGCCCACGAGCGTGTCCATCTCGGCCGGGTCGCTGTCGCCGCCAGTGCTGGAGGCGACGAGTCGTCGGTACTGCGCCATCTTGGCAGTGATTCCAGCCTGAAAACTGTCAGCTTCTTTGCCTCTCCTTAGCTGATTCCCGCTCACCTCGGTCTGCGCCTTGACCATCCTGTTGACCAACTCTATCCTCTTGCGCCTCTTCTCCTCAATCTCCCACCGCAGACGGTCCTCCTCGGCGGCTGCATCAGCAGGGACGGCGGTGAGGCCCTCGAGGTCGCTATAGTCCTCGCCAGCTTGCGTCGGGTCCTCGCCATCACGCCAACGACGTTCACGTGCCTGGTCAGACTGGATCCAGCGTTCGGCACCGAGCGAGAGCGCCTCGCCAAGCTTGGTTCGGAGTTGGGCAATGAGGGCGTCAAGCTCGGCTTGCTTGGACTCGAGCGGCTTGGTCTGCTCGCTGAGGGTGTGTAGGGTCCGGCCGGTCTCGTTGACTTCGGCGTGAATGTTGGTGAGCATCGCTTTGGCCTGGAGGATGTCGCGCTCCTTGGCCGAAAGTTCGGCGTCAAAGCTTTGCGCGAGCGACTGCATGTGTTGGGTAATGTCCTGCAGGTGCTGCCCGCCAGCGAGACGGGCCGCTTCGGACGAGAAGAGGACGGGGTGGTAGTTGGCAAAGACGCCGGCACCAAGCGAGTTGGGGTTGCGAGCCACGGTGGCAGTGTTGGGGAGGGTACGTGACATCATGATATCGGGCGACGAACGGAAGCGCTCGTCCTCGAGGATATAGTCTTCGGCCGACTTGAAGTCGCGGTTGCGAATCTTGGGGTCGGCACCGTGGTCTAAGAGAGCCTTGACGATACGCTTTGAGCGAGCACGAGCAGACAGCGTCAGGGCTGTCTCGCCGTCCTCGTCCTGGAAATTGACAACGTCGGCAAGCTCTTGCGGGTAGTCGGAGAGACGAGAAAGAATAACCTCCATGTAGTAGCGGGCGGCGTGCGTCTTGCCCTTGATGAGGGCAAGGTTGGCAATGTGGTGGAAGACTGTCCGATTTTGCTTGTCAATGTTGAGGGTCGAGCGGTGGAGCAGCTCAAACACCTCGGGAAACTTGCGCAGGTCATAGTTGTTGGTAAACATGACACTACGCATGAGCGGCGTCTGCTCGAGGTTGTTCTTGTCAAAGATGCGAGCGCCAGCCGACAGCAGCAACTTGATGACACGGGTACGTCCCATTGCGGCAGCCCAGTGCAGGGCCGTGTGGTGGTCGTCGTCAATGATACCGTTGGGGTCCCAGTTGTATGGCGGGTTGGTGAGGACAGACGGGATCTGGGTCGACTCGGAGACAAAGTAGTTGAGGATAATGTCATTGTACTCGTCCTGAGTCAAGGGACCCTCGATGCCACCATACCGTGGACTGCCCTGCGGGGTATGGACTGCGCTGCTGCCGCGTGCTCGCCTCAACTGGTCATAGTCGTCTTCGTCATCCATCATCGACGAAGCCGGACGCTTCCTCGACGACTCGCCCATACCATTGCTGGAGAAGGGGCCGTCAATGTCCATACCGTCCGACGACGGAATCTCGGCGGTCGGGAGGCGCGAAGAGGCGATAAGAGGAGAAGGGGTGGCCGACTCGCTCATAGCGCCGCCAATCGACTCGGTGTCGTCTATCGATCCCAGCACCGAGTCTGGCGTACTGGGGCGCATCGCACGGTCGCCCGCTCCTAACCTCGCGCCAACGGCCTTGAACGGCATACCGAGCGTGTCCTTGACCTTGGGCTCCTTGTTGCGCTTGGTTGGGGGTGCAACGGCATGTTTGGGAGCTGGAGGGGGCGAGACGGAGCTGGGGACAAAGTCGATAATAGGGCGCAAGAGGTCTTCGACGTTGTACTGCTTGGCAAGTGCCAGTCCACGCTCAATGGGGACCCATGTGCCTATGGGTCAGTCAACAACCACCAATGTTTTTTGTTTTCGATCCGCCAACACGTACCCTGGTACTTTCCGTAACCACCTTGCACTTTCTCGTGCTCTCCCTTCTGCACCTCGCGCTCGAGGACTCTAGTACGCTGGGGCTTGTCAAAGCCCGCCACCTTCAATATCTGCGTGGCGTTCAGGTAGGCGTCTGACCGCCGGCGCATCACCGCCACATTGCGACAGATAAACTCGTACACGGGCCTGTGGGAAGAAGTGTCAATGAAAGTCATGCGCGTGCGCAATCTGGCCGTGGGGCACGGGGACCCAAGGATACGGAGCAAACTTACACGCCACTAGATCAGTGTATCGCGGAAGGAGTGTAGTCAGGAGGTTGGATGGAGGATGGAGAATGGGCGTCGCGGGAGGGGAAAGACGGGGGTGTGAGGGGGAAGCCGGAGTGTCAGTAGGCACAACAAACATTGGGACGCCAGTGTTTCCTGCGCGCCGTCGATCCTGCCAAACATACCTGTACGTTGCCTGCGGTACGTGTCAGCAAGTGATGCATCCATGCGATAGAGCTGTACGCTGCAGCGTAGAGCTGGTTACATACCTTGTAAATGGTGTTTGGGCCGCCGTCGCCCGAGGCGGCCGCTTTCGTCTTGCCCATTTCGGAAGTGAGGGTTTGGGGGTAATTCGGCGCGCGTGTGTCGCCTCAGAGAGAGGGGCTGCGACGGAAGAGGGGGGATTGCAAGAAGAGGTGCCCGATGCAGGTGGGTGTGTTTGCCTGTGGGGTGTCTGTTGTGTGTGTTGTGGGGGGGATGATGAGGTGGATGAATGGGATGTGGATGGCGGGGAGAACGATGACGGCGAGAGGATGGACAGACGGCGCGCGCACCAAAGGGGTTGGTTCAATGTACGGGCTGGCTGAAAGGGGCCCACGGCTGGTCACGCGTAGACGCGTCGAGCCCGCGCAACAGGTGGAGGGGGCGGGGGCAGACACACACGGGGGCGGGAGCATATTTGGGCTCTGGCGGGTGTCCCACTCTGGGATCGGCCGGAGATATCGGGAGATATGGAGCGTGGCACACTCGAATCCGGCGGAGTGGTGGAGGTATGCGCTAAATGTTGAGCGGGCTGGCTGTGGGTGTTCACCTTGTTGTTGCCACCCCACACCAACCACCCATCGATCGTCCTCTTGCTGCTGCTGCTGCTGCTGCTGCTGGGCAGCCACTCCTAAAACAATGAAGGTACGCACAGACTCAGACAACGCTACAATACATGTAACCGCCCCGGCTCACGCTCGTCAGATCTCCAACAACGCACCTCAGCACTTGTCCAACTACGAGGTCCTCCAGCACTTTCTCGAGCTCAAGACGGACAATGACCGTCTGCAGAGCCTGGTCGGCAACCACACCAAGCGTGCAATTCTGAACGCGCGTGCCCAGTATCCATTGGGCAAATTCGACCGTGACCAGGAAGTGGTCGAGGTCGAGGACGCCGAGATTGACGTTCTCGAGGCCGAGGACGTAGCGTCGCGCCGCGGTGTATCCGACGAGCTGGTCTGGGTCCAAGAAGAGGTCCTCAAGTACCTCTGTGCCGACTACAACGTCACCGCCCGCCAGACCGAGGACGGCATCCAGAAGCTTGCAGACGACCTGCAAGATTACAAGCTCACAAAGGCCGAGCTGCTACAGGTGTGCAACTTGGCGCCCGGCAGCGATGTCGCACTGCACATGGTCATCGAGGAGCCCGAGACACGCCTCGCCCACCCGTACGAAGAGACAATCAGCGATATGGTCGCCAACGTTATCGCCCCGACTCTCCTGCCCAGTGTCCCAACACACCTCCTCCCATTTGTCAACACTGTCAGGCCAACCGATATTGGTGAGTACTGCGGTGAAGCGAGCCGAGCCGAGGCATGGCTTGCACTGGACCTGGACCCGGACTAACACATCTTCTAGCTCAGACGATTCTGGACGACACGGCAGAGTACGGCCAGGACGAGGAGGGCTACGAGGAGGAAGAATACGTGTACGAAGCAGAGTGGGGAGCCGGTCGCGAGGGCGCGATCGACGACGAGGAGGACAACACCATGGACTAGACATGAGAGTCACCACACCCTCTCAATGTGCGGCGAAGGAGGAGGACCATTTTTTACACTTGTAGGCATTATCACATCATATTGAATCATGACGGCGGCTCAATGGGGGTTGGGTTGGGTTACGGGGTAGTAATGAAGGTGGCAGGGGCGAATGGAGTAGGGGGAAACTTATACACTACGACTACGAAACTATCTTCTGCACATCGTATGAAACGTTCATGCTGGCGCTTTAGCCAAATATGCTGCCGTTGATAAAGTAGTTGACGGCGAACGACGCCAGGCTGCCGAGAGCCAGACCCGAGACGAGGGAGAAGGCCGCAAGCGTGCCAGCAATGTCCTTCTCGTCTTCAGAGATGGCCGGGTTGAGCTGCGGCGAGGAAGCGGTGATCATGATGATACACGACACGGCACTGGAAGGTGGTCAGCTCGATGCGCATATGAGGAAGCTCACCCATTGGTAAGACCAAAGAGCAGGAGAATAATGAAATAGAGCCAGTCGCCAATAAGCGCCTTGTGCAGCTCGGCGTGTGTCGGGGTGTTGCATGCGAGGAAGAGAGGGAAGAAGACCACGCGCGCGAGGGAGAGGAGCATGATGGTCGAGACACGGAGCTTCATCGCGCCAGGGATCGATGGAGCCCATGTCCTACCGACATAGTCACCAACTGAATGGGTTAGCGGTACACTTTACATCCTTGGTGCCACCCACTGTTGAAGACGAGGAAGTGGGCGCCAATAAACACGGCCGGTTGGAGAAGCCATGGTGCCGGGTCGCGCACGGACGTGATAGTCGTCGTGATGGGTGGGAAGATGGCCTGGTGGTGTGAGCTTGGCGTGGCTATGTCAGCTCACCAGTGTCACGATGAACACGAAAGCGACGGCGGCTTCAAGACGAATGTTCTTCATAAACACCCTCCTCGAGACGTGACGTTTGCCACTAATCTCCTCGCGCTGGACGAGTGGCGCGAGCACAGCCACGTAGTCTGGGTGCTCTGTCAAATGCTTGAGGGCGGCGAGACACACCACTGCACCAGCAGCACCCATTGCCCAGAGCCCCTCAGCAGCCAAGGTGGAGTGCTTCTCCGCCGACCCACCGCTACTGCGACCAGCGTCGACGATTGCAAGGGCCAATTGCACCCCTGAGACAACCACGGCAATGCCGCCCTGACCGGACATGACGGCCAGCATCTCCGTGCTGCCCCATAGCGCAGCGAGAGCAAACACTGCCGACTGGAGGTACGAGCTCGACAGCGAGAGGAGGAGAGTAGCGCCCATGAGCACCGGGAGGAGCAGGGAGGACCCCGAGTCGCTGAGGGAAGGGAAGACGAGGGGGAGGAGCGGGAATGTCATAGCAATGGCGGTGGCGAGGAGGAGGAGTAACGACCAGCGCAGGCGGGCGGTGGGCATGGACTGCGCATGAGCTTCAGAAGGTACACAAAAGCTTACCTTGCCAACAGTGCGCTGGGCAAGACCGAGGAAGAAGAGGTTGGCAAAGCAGAAGACAGTGCCAACATAGGAAGGAAGGTTGGTGGCCAACGGGCCAGTGAAGAACGACGAGAGGAGGGGGAACGTGCAGATAAGCGCTGACTTGTCAGCTGCGTTGGACCTCCACGAGCTTACCATTCCAAGGGAGAAGGATACCAGCTCCAAGCGCCCAGAAGCAAATGTAGACATCGCGACCTTCGCGCGTCCGGAGGTCAGCCTCGCGCCTGGGTGCCGGCTGCGGTGGCGCGCCCTCCTCTGAAGCGATAGGAGCGTAGTTTGCGTACTCTACGCGGCTGGTGGAGCCGGAGAGGAGGCTGCGAAACGAGGCAAGCATTGCTGCTGGCCGACCTGTTGGGAGAGCGGCGACCAAGAGTTGGACGCCAAAAGGACGCGTATGAGGATGTTGGTGGAGGATGGTGGAGGATGGACAGACTATTGCATCACACAACCCCCCGCCTGCGCCCAGCCAGCAGCTCCGCCATGAGCCAACCTGGAAAATGGCCCCGTTCGACCAAATGGCACCTCTCCGCCAAAGCATGTTGAGCGTCTTTCCCCCCTTTCGTGTTCTGTTCCCAACAACAACCCTCTGACAGCATCAACAGTGTCCTACACGGCACAGGCGTAGAGACGAGAATTGGGTCTCTTTGTCCATTCTATCCTACACATCCCTGTGTCTCCACTTCGAGCTCGCCATCGAGCTATACCATCCTCCCTTTGAACCCACCACATCGAAAAGCGAAAGCCAAGCGGCGCCCAACGTCAGCCGACGCACTGGCGACCTCTGGCTTCCAACCGCTGCTTGTCCGACTGGTGTAACCTTTCGGACTCAGTAACTAGGATGGAGTCGATGTACGCCGAGGGCACCATGCTCAATGGCTCGGCATCTACGTCTCGCCCACAACCCCAACCACAAGGGCCACAAGATGAAGGAGTCGAGGGCAAACTACCCGGCCCAAAGCCGATGAATGGGGCCGCCAACCAGGACGAAGGGTGCGGACAGCATGGACTTGCCCCCCTCAGCTAACCAGTCCCAGACCAAGTACATCGCCCATCGAGGTTGAGCCTGCGATGCCGGTTGCATCATCTTCGTCGGCGGCAGCATCAGCATCAACGTCGGCTCCAGTGCCAGCTACAGCCCCCTTAAACGGCTCACGAGCAATCTACCCACCCAACGTGGTGCCCAACCCGGCCGCGTCTCTGCCCGCCGACCGTGTCGATGCCGTCCTGGGACCCTTGCAACGGCCAGAGTTCATCCCTGGAGACTTGGACGAGCGTATCGTCCGCTCCAGCGTGTGGATGAAGACTGTCCCATCAACCGGTACGCAGAAATCCCTTTTCGGATCACTCCAGCTAGCTACTGACGGTACACCAGACGAAGTAAGGTTCTTTGTCCCAAACTCTTGCCAAGAATGCCTCGTTGGCAAGGCATTGTGCGACCGCGATACACCATCATGTAGCCGATGCGCAAGGCTAGAACGGACATGTGTCCCAGGCGACCTGCTAGTGATCAAAATGAACGAACCGCCAGCTCCACCACCACGAGCCCCCCAGCCAGCACCCCTGCGCAGCCCGGACAAGGGCAAGGGCCGTGCTGTTCCTGGAGCGGACTCGGACGACAACGAGAGTGCCGACGAGCGCGAGCACGGTCATGAACACGAGCACGACCACGACCATGAGCATGACGCCGACACGACCGAGGGCGGCCGCGGCAAGCGTGTGAGGAAGAAGCGACGCCTCTCAGCCTCGGACGAATTGGACCCCAACTTGCTCAATTTCGACGGCACCGGCCTTCGTAAACCCCGTTCACGAGTGTCTCGTGTCGCTCACCACCTCCCACCAGCGCACAGCGGACCATTACGGCCCGAGGACGTGGTCGACAAGGACACGAGCTACCGGGATGCAGTCGTGGCTAATGACGCCCGCGAGGCGCTCGGTGACATGCGCGGATTCTGCCCAGCCTGGACCGACCGCAGGAGAGCCCTCTTTGCCGCCGCGGAATACTTGCGAAACCCCATCTCGACGACTGGTGCCAGTGTAGACATTGGCGCGAGCGGCCTGGCGCGGGGTGTGATCCTCGAGGGACACACCATCTCACCAGCATACTGGGGAGAGGGACGTATGGCTGGCACGATCGTAGCCCCTATTGGAGAGGCAAGGCGGAAGGCGCCCGACGCCGCTGCGAGTGGTCCACCACCATCACCAACACGACCTCCAGCGACTATTGCCGACGAGCTCAACATGGCGATGAAGAGTACCGACGAGCCAGAGGGCATCGCTCGTATCGCGACGGCAGCGACGGCATCGACCTCCAACGGCACCACTGCCAGCGTGCCGGCCGAGACCGCGCCGGTGGAAGCACTGCTCATGGCCAACCGCGCACGGACACCAGTCGCCCTCGCTGTCGGTCACGACTACCCGGGCGTCCCATTCAAGGTGCCACGCGCACTTGTTGTGCTGGGCTGGTTCTGGATCACCGAGGCGTGGACCGAGCCGGTTGGGCTGGGCGGGATGGTGGTGTGGAAGTTTACCTTTGAGTGGTGCACGGGCATCCAGAAGCAGCCGTGGTGGACGCCCAAGAGCAGCACCACCGAGCGTGAGCCGACACCCGCGGGGCAGGTTGAGGGTGACGTCCCTGCCTGGCCTGTCCGTGGACCAGGCATTGCCCACACGACGACTCTGCGAGGTGCCCAGACACAACAGCCACCTCCGGCAGGCCTCGGGGACGGCCAGGACTATCGTCAAGCGACCCTGTGTCCCGCCTGCAACACCTTTTCAGACCAAGTCTACGCCTCGCGTCATGTCTGCCTCAACGAAAAGTGTACCGCATACTTTGGTGACGCCTCGAACCGCGAGCTTGTGCAAGAAACCATTGGAGCACCAGCACCGTGTCGGCCAGACACGCGCATATTGCCTGAATCCCTTCGCCTGAGTCTTGCACCTCCGGGCCCATCAACAAAGTTCTCCGACGTCCAGCGCCACGATGCCCAGCGCGACTTTTGGCGCGCGTGGGTGTGCAAGCGGTGTCGTAGCGCAAACGAGCGCCGGGACTGGTTTGGATACCTCTGCGAGGCGTGTGCGCTCATCGACAAGCCAAAACGCAAAGTGTACACCTCTGAAGCGCTGGCTCCAGCCGCAAGGTTGCCCTGTACTGGAGCCAGGCCAGATGACGGATTCGCTTCCTGGACCGTGGACGCCAGTCGTGACGTGACCCAGTTCCCAGACTGCGTCAAGGTCCTCGCCCACACCGTTACACTGCCGTCTCGGGCCACCATCGAGGTGTCGCATGCCCTCAGCTCTGAGCCCATGGCCGCTCACGCTCACACCGTGTTTATGGGATTCCAGAGGCAAGGCCGCGACGAGGTGCCCTTGCGCCGCGAATATCTCAGTGCAAGCAGCAGTCGTGCTGCCAACCTGGCGCTCAGCCCGTTCTACACGTTGCTGTGCGGGCCCGACAATGCTCCCTTCACAGCCCATTTCCCCACTGGCGAGGCTGTAGCGTGGAGCGATGCGCCGAGACCATGCGGTGACGCAATGGACCTCATCTCGGAACGTGTCGGCAGGGTATACCCCGATCACGAGCCCTTCAACAGCCTCCTCACGGCGGCGATGCCGGGTGCTTTGTGGAAGGTGGACATGGCAGTAAGTCAAGTTAGGTAGAACTGTAGAATGCTAACTGACGCCAGACCGTTCCCGTTCCCGGGGGCACCCCCACGGCCTTCCTCGTCCTCGGCTCGGACTGCGTGGTCAAGTTCAAGCCCGCCTCGTCGAAGCGTGTGGGCGAACTCACCGCGCAACACGGCGACGTGGTCGTTGTCAAAAGCTCGGAGGCCGTCGACGTGGATTTCCGCATGGACGGCTTCGGGTTCATCTGCATCGCTCGTTCCGTTGCCGGCGGGAGTTTTCGCTCTTCTAACGGTATAACTGTTCCTGTGAACGGCAGCTGCGAGGCCAAGAACGATCTCGAGGACGCGCCGGAGCCCGAGGCCGAGTCCCAGCGGCGTGCATCTGGCTCGACGTCGCCCACGACATCCACTCACCACATGCCTCCTCCTCCCATACCTTCGAGCCGGCACTTGGATACCAGCTGTCCCCTGGCGAAATTCTACATTGGCCCAAAGCCACTCGACCCGACCCAGCCGCTCCACGCCTATTTTAGCCATTTTCGTCATCGCGGCAACGAGCTAGAGGCGGACGGCGCAGGCAACGACGAGAAGGCCCCCGTGTCCGAGCCCAGCAAGCCTGCTACTGAGCCTGTTCTCGACCTCGTACTCGAGCTCGAACTGCCCGACCCGTCCGACACGGCGCGTATCCTCCACCCAGGAGGGTACAGAGGCATCAAGGTCACGTACTCTGACGAGCCCGAGCCCAGCCTCGACGACGTCAAGATGGAGCTCGATGACGACGACGCCGAGGCAGAGGTCAGCGCGCCGCCGACATCGGGTCGAGGCCGGGGACGCGGCAGGGGACGCGGTCGCGGTCGTGGTCGTGGGCGAGGTCGTGGAGCTGCTACCACCGCCTCCGCCTCCGCGCCCGCGCCCGCGTCCGTCTCCGCCTCGACTGTCACTACCACTCCTACCCGTGGCCGAGGACGCGGCCGCGGCGCCAGTGCTGCCGCTGCGCCGTCTACGCGCGGGACGGCCAAGGCCGCGCCTGTGGGCCGTGGGCGGGGCCGGGGACGCGGGCGGGGACGAGGCAGGGGAGGGCGCGGCGGCCGTGGCCGGGGCGCAGGGTCCGCTGCTGGGATCAAGCACGAGGACCTCGATGCCATGGACCTGGACCAGGACCAGGACCGCCACGACATGGGCATGGACCACGGGCCAGTCGACGTCGTGGCCATGGAGAATTGAGACGCCCACGGCGGATACTTTGGCGAGGGCGAGAGTCATGTCGATGGTCCTCAGGCCGAGTAGGGCCGCGGGATCGGTAGCTCACAGACGGGGAGACTGGCGCAGTATAGTGCATGTCATGCTTTCATTTTCATGCTCCAACACCCATCCTGAGCGACTTGACTGCGTCTTTGACCAGTGGCCAGTGGCCAGTGCGGACTTGGCGACAATGTGCAATGGCATTCCTTCCATCGCTCGCCACTGCTAGCTAGCTTTTTGTTTCCTCTTTCTTAACACTGCTTCCTCACAACTCTGACACGTTTCCACTACGCGCTCAGCAGCCAAGTCATTCGCTCGCTTTCGCTTGCTCGCTTACTTGCTCTCAGCGTCGACGTGGATGAGGAGCTTGCCGGTGGTGCCGCGGCCCGAGATGTCAATCTGGGTCTGGCGGACACCGTCCTGGGTGAAGGGGTAGACCTTGTGGACGGCGAACTGGGATGTGTCAGCTCTGGCACGATGATCAAACGGTGAGCTGAGCTGAGCATAACCTCTCGGGGTTCCCTCAGCTCGGCTGGTACGTGGTGGAGCTGTGGATTCAAGACGAACCGGCAGCTCCCCCGGTCCTTTGCGCTGCTCACCTTGATACCACCAGCAGCGACAATGTCCGAAACGTCCTTGGCGAGGGCGCCAAAGTCCTCGGGCGTAGCGATGTAAGGGAACAGCGTGGGGCGGACGACCTTGAGACACTTGGGCGACAGCTTGAGGGGCGAGAAGGGGGGCACGGCGCCGGAAGCGTTACCGAACGAGACGATGGTGGCGCCGGTACGCACGACGAGGAAGTCCTCCTCCCAAGTGTCAGCGCCCACACCGTCAAAGACGGCGTGCACACCCTTGCCCTGCGAGAGGCTGAGGATCTGGCGGAGTCAGCCAAAGGGGAAGCGACGAGCGGGTGCGTCAGGCTAGCAACAGCACGCCCCGTCTCCCTGTTTTACTCACCTCCTTGACGTTGTCCTCGGACGAGTTCGAGGTGAGAAGGACGTGGTCGGCGCCGTTGGCCTTGGCGAGTTCGGCCTTCTCGGCAGTCGAAGTCGTGGCAATGACAGTGGCACCGAGGTACTTGCCGAGCTGAGGAGTACGGGTTAGCTAATCCGTGGAGCCGTGGAGATGGATGAGTGTGGAGTCCCCAATGTCCCGGAAATGCGTTCCGCCGCAGTCGCATACCACACAAGAGGACACGCAGCAGCTGCTGCATGCCAGATGCTGGTGGCCGCAAACTGTACCGCCAACGACAACAGCGGGGCCAGATAGTGGGTGCGGGGAGATGGCGGCGATTTCCAACCTCGGTCTTCAGGCAACGGCGGATTCCCACCGAGGACAAGAGCACCGGAACAACAGCGCGACGCAGAGACAGAGCATTTGAACAATGGAGAAGCGGTACTCACCTGGACGAGGACAAGGCCGACACCGCCAGCGGCAGCGCGGACGAGAATGTAGTCGCCCTTCTTGACGGCGTATGCCTCGCGGGTGAGGGCCAGGGCCGTGAGCGCGACAGTGCACATGCTCACGCCGTCGCGGGGCTCAACGTTGGCCGGGAGCGGGGCGACCTTCCACCACTGCGCGGTGGTGTACTCGGCAAACGAGGCGGCGGCGGGGGACCAGACGCGCTGGCCGAGGGAGAGCTTGCCCAGGCCGGTCTCGGTCATGGCGACCTTGGGCAGCTGGACGATGGTTCCGACAACGTCCTGTCCCATGACGAAGGGCAGGGCGACCTTGTACAGGCCGCTGCGGCGGTCTGGGGGGTGTCAGTTCATTCTAGACGACGGGCTGCCGACCTCACAGTTGTCGATGTAGTTGGCGCCAGTCCACTCAATCTTGATGAGCACCTCGTCGTCCTTGGGCGTGGGGACGGGGATGTCGCGGAGGACATTCTCCTCGGGGCCACCATACTTCTCGACCTGTCTGTTAGAAGGGGTTTCTTAAACCGGGGGGTAAGAGGGGTAGGGTGTTAGGAAGAGAGCGGGCTACGAGAGACATGCTGCGATCTCAACGAGACAGCATGTTGAGGAGGAGGGAGAACCCGTCGACCGCACCTGCCCATCCGATCTCCAGCACCTTGCCCGTGCCAGCTCGCATCTCTGATCACAGCAGCAGCGAACACTCACGAGGATGGCCTTCTGGGTAGTAGGGATAGCGACGGAAGACATTTTGCGGACAAATGTGGGCGAGACTGAGCGACGAAGGGCAGGAAGCATGAGAAGAAGTAAAACACAAGACTGACTTGGAGATGGGATGGCCTCCCCACCCCATGACGCACTTTGTCGTCTTATGGGTGCCGGCGACAGCCGGTGGGCGGAGGAACGGGGACAATTCCGAACGGGCGGGCAATGACTAATGGGCGCTGCGGTGACTAAGCCAGGTCGCAACCTGCGATAGGCGGTGTGGCAGACACGCCGTGCCAATGACATGATGGGCTCAAAGGTATGACATGATGGGCTCAAAGGCAATGACATGATGCCGCGGCATGCAATGACATGATGGGCTGGAAAGGTGGCAGCAACAGCCATAGAGGTCCCCCGGAGCGAGTCACACGAGTCAAGCGAGGTCGCAGCAGTATCTCGGTGGCAGCAAAACACGTTTGGGGGATGGAAGAGGTTCATCAAATGTGCATGAGGCGATCGTCAGAGCATTACACAGGCATTACACAGGCATTACACAGGCATTACACGGGCATTACACAGTCTCGTCCATCTAGGCCACAACCTCCTCCTTGACCGTGACCTCGGCCTCGGTGTCAGCCTGGGCCGAAGCAGCGGCGTCTGCGGCCTGCTGGACAGCACGGCGCGCAAGGATCTCAACCACCGACGACCATGCACTGGCCAACTCGTCCCACATCTGGTCATCCTCCACACCGAGAGCGACCATGTTGGACCACACAGCGTGGAGGAAGTGGACGCGGCGCGAGAGGTCTGCGACGGAACGGGTCTCGAGAGCGGCCTCAATGTCAGCCGCGCTGGGCTGGAAGAAGGCGCCGCCAGCGATCGCCGTCGCGGGGTCGATCTGGAGTCCCAAGAGCTCGGCCTGCCACTTGATGCCGGGGAAGTGCAGGCGGGAGTGGATGAGCTTGAAGGTCTCGGGGCAAGGGATCTCGAGGCCGACCACGGGCAGGTGGCGGTACTTTCCAGTGTCGAGGGCGGCAAAGCGCGACGCGGTCGAGAGCGAGGAGAGGGAGGAAGTGGCGGAGGTGACTGAGCTAGTCGACGACGTGGCCGAGATGAGGGAGATGCGCGAGGCGCACGATGCCTCCTCCTGTGGATCCTGGATGACGACCTCGTCCTCGCTCTCAGACTCAGAGCACAGGCCGTCGATGTCCTCCTCGCTGATCTCGCTCAGGTCACTGCACTCGCTGAAGTCGCTGTCGCTTGCGCTGTCGTACTCGTTCGCGTCGACAGCCTGGGTGATGGGGAGGCGGGGGAAGTGGGCGCAGAAAGCAGAGTAGACGAGGTGGTTGATGGCGTAGAGCTGGAAGGGTGCGGTGTCGTCACCACGCTTGCGAATGGCGAGGCACATGTCGGGCTCAAAACCGTAGACAGCGTCGGCGACGGCCTCATTGGTGTCGCGACCCTCAACCACGGCGGGGACGCCCCAGGCAAACGACTTGCGGGGCCCGCCACCGGCAGCGCCGACAGTGATGCTGGGGAGGTTGTACACATCGGGAGAGTCGACGGAGGGGTAGGGACGGTACAAAGACGCAGCAATGTAGAGCTTGTGCATGGTGGGCCTGAGCGTGTGGCGAATGTATGCGGCAGGCTGAGAATGTTAGCTCGTGTGCGGTGGCGGGAGGTGATGGTGCCTCATTCCCACATCAACAACAAGAAGGGTAAACAAGGAATTAACCATCAAATGTTGCGTGGGGGTGGTGGGAGTGGTGGGGGGAGGCATCACAGGGCACTCACAACAAGCTCAGACGCAAGCTCCAAGTGGCCAATAGGCGGTGCGTCAGGACGCGACATCTTGAGCGGGACCTTGACGGTGACACGGCCGTCGGTGATGTTGAGGTTGGTGATGTCCAGGATGGCAGAGGGGGGCGGTGAAGCGGGGGGCTCGTCCTCGACATCCTCGACCATGTCCTCCGGGGCCAGCGCAGGTGGAGTGGTGGGGACGGGAGTGACACTCTTGCTCCTGGCCTGGTTCTTCTTAGTCTTGAGCTTGGAGCTGGCGGCTGCGACCTTGGCCTTGGCCTTGGACGAGGACTTGCGGCTCACGGTACGGGCGTAGGGCTTGCGGGTGTGGGGCTTGCCGATGCCCAGGCCGCCGAGAGCGGGGCGCGAGGGTGAGGAGACGGCAGTGGGGCCTGCTGGAGCGTTCTCCTTGTTGGAGTTGAGGCGGAGGGTGGTAGGGGGTACGGCGGGCACTGCGAGGTTAGTCACACGGCCGGGAAGAGCTGTGGCGAGGTGGCTGGGGGACATGGTTACTCACTGATGGATGTTGTTTGGGTAGACGATCGTCGTTGTTGTTGCCCGGGTTGGTGATGGCAGTGTGGTGGATACCTTGGTGTAGTGAAGAGGGGCGGGGGAAACAACAACAACGTCCACGAGCGTCTTGGCTTTTAACTTGCACGACATGCCTTCAGCCGCTTGTCAGAATGTTTGGTGCGTGCGTGTGCGTGTGCGGGGGGGGGGGGGGGGGGGGGGGGGGGGGGGGGGTGGGTGTGTGCTGTCAGTGGCTCGTCAGTTGAGAGTGTGGAGCGTGTGCAAGAGCGCGCAAGAACAGAGCACATCACAGTTTGATCAGCGCGTGCGAAGGGCGCGAAGAACGAGGGGTGAAGGATGGGTTAACGGATTTTCTGCCTTCAACGCCCACTCACTCCGGTCGCGTCAAGTCGCGTCGCGTCGCTGTTTGTCCCATCAAGTATGTATGATATACACCGGTTGTAAACACTCATCGCTCTCTGTTCATGTTCTCATGCTACCGCTTTGCCACCCAAAGATTGGGAAGGTAAAGAGAGCAGGCCAACGTGGGTGTTCGGCGTCCTTTGGCCTGATGGCCCCGGCAAACATGTATATCCGTGTGCCGTCTGTGCCCCATCACCCCCACAGCCTTCTCGCGGCCCATGGGCCCATCAGTGGTCCTTGCTGTCAGCCATCACTCAACGCGCGCTGTCGGTCGCGCCCCCACGCCTACACCCAAAAAAGGTGTGCATAGGACAGGCATGCAAAGTGCCAACCGGGAAATGTTGCCGGTGTTGCTGGGATCGCCGTGCAGTGATGTGGCACAACACACTCTCACCAACTCATCCCTTTTGCCCTCCTCGCTTCGCAAAAAAAAATATCCCTCTATGCAGTGCACTTGGCAAGGGATCTCACCTGCGCTACCATCAAAACCCCTGCAAGGACCACTCCAGAACTCCAGTGGCCCGTCAGTGGATCAGTGGATCACAGCGGGAGCGACGTGTGGAGCGGGAGTGGGCGATGGTTTTGATCTTATTTTCGGTGACTTTCGCACACCTGTTGAACCCCATCGGACACCATGTGGTTGCGTCTCCACAGTCCACGGACCCGCTGTACCGCTGTAGTACACAGTCGAGAAGGTTTCGGACCCTTTACGTACACACGAGCGCTTGCAGCAGGGAAAGCAGCCTCCGGTACAGTCAGACAGACACAACCGGGGGGGAAACCCCCAGTCGAACAAAAGTCAAGGATCAACGAGCGGTGCACTAGACTTCATGACCGTCATTTTCAGCGCAACGCTAAATTCTTCTGGATTCTGGAATCGCAAAAGCAAACACGTCGTCCTTGGAACCGAACACGCTCTCTGGGCAATTGTGCCCTTTCCACCCAGGACACCAACACGTGTGGCTTGGAGCAAACGTACGCAGCCGTCCCCAAGGTTTGACGGACAGATCCAGGAAACTGGATGAGCAGAGAGCTCCGGGCCAAAGGAGCGGCGGCGAGAGAGCATCGTTTTTGGGGAAAATAATAAAAACTAACCAACGGTAGCGCAATTGTCACAATTGAGCTGTCTCAACCCCAAAGTTACCCGGTAAAGACTCACCCATAGACCTCCCGCGGGCCGAGCCATGGCATGTGTATCCTGGATGGAGCCAGACGATCAGACGATCAATCATCAATGTCCGCTAGGTAGTTGCGGCAAACAACCTGGAACTGGTAGACAGTGCGTATCCGAGTCCTATCCGGTCGTCGCGACGAACGCGTCGTCGGCCTCCCCGGCAATAGCAGTTAACACGAGGTTGTTTACAACCATTGTACGCAAGCTGACGCGCTTCGGAGAAGGCATGAAGACGGGTATTTGCCAGCTGTGGCGTGTATAGCGGACAAAGGTGGCACTTGGTAGTGGTCTGTTCGCCGGCTGGTCGCCGGTTGGGTGTGCCGGCGTACCGAGGTGCCCACTCCTCGCGCTGCTCGCCGTCACCGAGAGCAATGTCATTGGGATACAGTGCCATGGACGCCGTGGACGGCCACTGCTCAGGGCTCGACCATGGGAATGGACGGTGGACAATCGGGTTCAAGCACTCGGAAAAACCATGCGGGAGCCACAACGGCAGATTAGTTGCCGTCTAGATTTTTTGAGGTCGTATGGACGAAGGTTGAGAGCTGTGGCAGATGGCCGAGAGCTGTGGCACCATGCTGTCAATATCCCTCGCATAGCAGACGATATAACCATTCGCTGACGACTGGGTTTGTCCATAGCACCCCCACACTGTCAGCAATGAAGCTCTGCCTCGGCATCCTTGTGCCCCTGGGCCTAGCTTTGCTCGTCACTCCAGTGGCTTCGCGAGCCATCAAACTCTTCGACCTTGGCGACGACGACGGTACCCCTACTCGCGTCCAGATGGAAATGGATAGGGATGTCCTCGACAACGTTGACTTTTGGGACACAGCAGCCACCAGTGCCACTCCAATCGCTGCAGAAGTCGACCTCCTGAAGACTCACGGCCCGTACGACGGCTATGGCGGATTCAACGCCCAGGCGCTTCAGTCAGGTCTTGCCCTCCCCATGCCTCGCAGCGTGGTCAGGTGTCCCCCTGGCGGGTGCAACGAGACGTTCTGGGCCGAGAGGAACAACAAGAGGCAGACGTTGCCGTCGCCACTTCCTACCACACTGCCGTACGTTCTCTAGGTGGATCTCTCACCTTTGTGCTGGTTACTGATCCTACCCAAAGGGCTCTTTCACGGGATTTCCAAGTCACATGCGCACCTCCATCCTGGTCATTCACTGGCAACCCTACGACGTCTAAACTGTCTGCGACGTGTTACAACCAGCAGGGCCAGTTGATACGCTCCAGTGTACTGATCGACAACTGCATGTAAGTGACACCAGCCTCGTTGGCAGTACTGACGCGAACAGCGGCAACAACTATGGCAAAATGGAATGCTACCTCCCGCTCAATCTCTTCTGGGCCACGACTTGCAACAGCTGTTCAGTGTCGTCCAGCTGGATCATGACATGCCTTTGTAACAATGGCGATGGTAGGTATATAAGGACCACGACAGATGTCTGTGAGTAGAGGGACCCGACGCAAGTGAGGGAGGGAGATGACGCTAACCGGGTTCTAGCAAAGTGCTTTGGCAACAACAACGGCCAGCTGTATTGCAACAACCATCCGCCATGAGCCCCTGTTCGGACCTTTAGTCTCAACGCAAACAAGGACCTTCCCCAGAGCATACATATAATTCTGCACACAGACGGTGGCGATGCAAGAGATGCCGCGTGTCTGAACACTGTGCACTGTCGAGATCATAGATGATGCATGGGGTGTGTGTGTGTATGGTGAGGTGCTCGCGCCCGCGTGGCCTGTGTCGCTTGACGGCCTGCGTGGTCTGTGGCCGGTGCGACCCCGCCGGGAGTGGACGTTGTTGCGTGTGCCACCACACACGCAGTTCTCATCATCACTGATCGTCATCCTCGCCGTCACTGCGTGGTTCTCACTCGTTGCCCATGTATATACCATATGGAGGATGCATGTGCCCCTCTGCTGCATGCATTGCTCACCTTCTTCTGCACTCACTCACCGCCCCGGCTGACACTAGCACCTCAAAAGGCCCACAACCCCGCACGCCGCCGCTGACGCCGCCGCGCACGGACATCACCTCGCTGTCGTCCCACCCCAGACCCCCCACGTACAGTACAATGCAGCGCTCATCTAAAGGCAACAACCTTCATCATCACCACCGGCTCTCTCTCCCACTCTTCCACACTCCCGACCACTGGTTCCACCACAACAATCACCACGCCGCCGACGGTTGGGGCGTCTCGGTCGACCACGTTGACAGCCCGCCGCACCTGTTCCTTCCCCCGCGTCCGCCAGTTAACAGTTCGGGGACCGCAACTGCGGGGATGGACCACCGCGATCGCGACGTCAACGGCAACGTGGTCCATGGGGACACGCTGCTCAATGTCCCAGTCGCCGACGTCGTCGCGCGTCTAGGCGTCAACGTCACTGTCGCACACCAGCCTCACCATGGTTCTGGCCTGTCTCCCCCGCCCAGCAAGCAGTCATCTACAGATACGAGTACTACGTCGCCCACGAGTCCTACAGGGGTCATTGCGGGGCTCGGTGCTGGTGGTGGCCGAGCACGTACACGGCCTCCGAGCCCTGCCCAGGACCGAACGCCGCGCGCACGGTCTCTCTATGACCAGCTTCCCGACGACGAGGAAAAGCCCGGCCGCGACGAGCAGGACAAGATAGAAAAGAGGAAGCGCAAGAGTAGGCGCAGCTCGCGACTCGACTTTGACAGACGGAGCACGTACACGACCTACAGCATCAAGGATGACAGGGAGGACGCACCGCTCGTGGAGCGTGAGCGCGACAAGGACATGCTGGGTGGGGAGCGGAGGGAGAGGAACAAGGACCGAGACAAGGAGAAGCGCGCGTCCTGGCACTCGTTGACCACCTGGCTGCCGCCCAACAAGCGCAAGAGTCTGAGCATTGGTGTTGGTGCGGCGGGCACTGGTGGGCCTGGACCTGCGAGTACTGGTGCCGACAGCCCGAAAACCAGCCCCACGACGACCACGCAGATCGTGCCAGATGCACCGCGGACAGCATCCCCGACCAACATCCCCACTCCTCCTCCTGGGCTTGCAGTGTTTGATCAACAGAACCAGCACCAACAACCGCAGAAGCCTTCGCCTGTCGCGCGCATGCGACCGCCTCTGCCCAATTTCACCGACCCGGCGCCTCCCTCGGCAAACCCGACTCCCCATCCTTCGCTGGACGTCCACACTGAACCGCAGCCGCTGCATGTGTACCCGCCCAGCGCCAGCTCGCATGTCCCGTTATCAGACACTCTTCTTCCCGCGGGGCAGCAGACGCCGGCGACGACGACGACGGCGGTCGTCGCTAGCCAGGTCTCGGGTAGCCTGCTCGAATCGCCGGCGCCGCCACCTGCACCTGGAATCGTGCCACCGGCATTCACCCTTGGTGGAGGTGCGGGATGGCTCCGACAAGCGCAAATAGTTCTCTCCGACTGGTCTGGGTCACTCTTGCACAAACCGCCAGCAACAATAACAACACCACCGCATCCACCCGACCCACTACCCCCAGCACCAGCCACCACACCTTCACCAGGCGCGACGACTGCAGGAGACGCAGACGCATCGCGGCCCGTCTCGCCCTCGCCCGTCTCGCCCGTCTCGCCCTCAGCCATGTCGTCTGCTTCTCGTCCCGTCCTGGCTCGCGGCCAGGCTGTTGGGTCTGCGTCTCCGGCCCCACCGAGCATGCACGACGCACTCGTATCTACACTCACACGGCCCCTACCCCCCAGCCATCCACCCACTCCGCCGCCCTTGTCTCGCAGCGCATCGTCTCCCGGGCCGAGCGCCATGACCGGTGGCGGTACCGGTGCTACCGGTGCGGCCCCGCAGCGCTCGGCGACCCACGGCGGTGACAACGAGAAAGGCGTCGCGGTAGAGAAGCTGCTCGCTGGCGCTCTCGAGGCCGATGGCGAGCGCGTGACCCGCGCACTGAGGGACCAGATCGAGGCCGTCCTCGCTGCGCAGGACGCTATCGGTCGCGCGCATTTGAGTCTGGAGGGTGTGGGAGCGCCGCCGGTGGAAGAGCTGGACAGCCCTCCAGACAACGAGAAGACGCCGGCGGCAGTGGAGGACAAGGCCGAGGTCACGCATACCGAGGACATTGCCAAGCCGGCGGCAGCGGCGGCGGCGGCGACAGAGGCGCCGAGCGACAAGGACACGGCCGTGCCGCCCCCCAAGACCAAGGAGGCGGCAAAGGATCCCAAGGAGGTGGAGCGCGCCGAGGCGCGCCAGAAGGCAAGGGAGAAGAAGGCCGCCGCGGAGCTGAACCGGCGCGCCGCTGGCGTCGAGGACATTATGGCAAAAGTGAGTTCACTCCGCGTCGCACGCACTTGAACTGACACCGTCCGCAGCTATCCACCCTCGCCGCCTCTCTCAAGTCGTACCACGCCCTCGGCACGCCGTCGTTGTCGTTTGCGCCGAACGCAAACGCTTCGCAGGCCCCCACCCCGATCGCATCCACGCGCAGCCCGCCCAGCCTCGCACACCACGCACCGGCGCGCTCCCTCTCGTCGCGCCACCCGGTCGTCACCATCGCCCACCCGTCCGCGGCGGGGCTGGCCCCCAACCATCGCCGCCTCGAGGGAGGCGAGCCCGTGACGCACTCGCCCATGGTATCGAGTCCGCTGGCCATGACGCCCGGCTCGAGGACGCGCGCAGGTGCCGGTGTTGGTATCCACGGCCACGGAGGTGGCGCTGGCAATGGCACCGGCACTGGCATGGGCAACCCCGGAGCAAGCCACACGCAGGACAAAGCAGCCCACCTGGGAGCGGCCCGGCGACCACAGCTGTGGCTGCAGCGCAGTGGGAGCGCCGGTGCCGGCGTCCCAATTCATCCACACATCGGCAACATTGCGGGCGAGCCGATGACGATGAGTCCAAGTGAATTGGGACACCATCGCCCATGGTAGAGGAGATGGAGAGGGGGAGGAGGATACACGTTGTTTTCATGATTCCATTGTTGTATGCATAGCCCTAATGAACTGCGACTTGCGGGTGGCAGACAGTGGAGTGCACACTGCAGCACGCTGCGTTGCGATGGGTTTCTCTCACTCTTAATCCCCTGCACTCATCTCATACACTCACTGAAACACAACCGCACTTTGCGCGCGCAGGGTGCGGCGGCCGCCGTCAACGTAAAGACAATTAGAATGCTCATGATGCTATCCATAAAAAGGGCCCACTTGCTAATGAACGATGCGACTGTACAACGCTGTGTACTGTGAGGTGCAACTATGAAAAATGGGTACTCTACAACTCAGTGATTACCTGGCCCCCACCTGCGGGCCTGCGTCCGTCGGTTGACAGCCTCTGGCCGCGCGTACCTCAGACGCGGTAGATGCGAATAAGACGCTGCGGCGTGACGATGCGCGTCCTGCACAGCGGGCATTCCCGGCTCGTGGCCATGATGAGGTCGGAGCAGTCTGCGAGAAACACGTGTTAGCACCCACTCTACTGTACTACTGTCCCGAGGCCGCCAATTACTCACGCTGACACATTGCCAGGTGGCCACAGTCGACTACGGCCAGCGTGGCCTCTTCGTCCTGGCACACGACGCAGAGCCCGCGGTCCATGTCTGGCTGTGGGCCAGTGGGCGGCGGACGCTCGGCCGCTGGCAGCGGGGAGGGAGGCTGCGGCGAGGGGTTCGTCGGTGTTCCATCTCCACCGAGGCCATCAGATGGCGTCCCAGGCGTTCCAGAAGCTCCAGCAGCTCCGTCTCCGCTCCCATTCCCGTTCCCACTCGCCTCGGCCTCTGCAGCCCTCGCTGCTGCCAGCTCTTTTGCCTTCTTGGCCTCGGCAGCCAGCCTGGCTTCCTCGGCCTCTCGCTCCTCAGTCACCCTCTGCCTCTCCAGCCGCTTTCGTTCATCGACCACAAGCTCGTTGACGCGCGAAATCAGCTCTTCCTTTTCGAGCACTTGTTTGAAATCGACCTGAACGTGGTTCTGGAACAGGATTGCTTTGAGTGTGCCAATGGACAGAGACGCGAGGTACGAGTTGGGAAGGGCGACGAGGGAGTGGATCGTGGGGACGGGCGGGGGAGGGGCGCGGGGCGCAGGTTTCGGGGCTGGAGCTGGAGTCGCTCGGCTACCAGTGGCGGGTGGTGGACGGGTCTGTTGGGCCTGCGGACGGGTCTGTTGAGCCTGTGGACGAGCCTGGGCTGGTGGAGGGGGACGGTTCTGTTGCTGCGACTGCGGCTGTTGGCCACGCTGGGCATAGGTCGGTGGTGGAGGTCGACGACCGTTGGCATTCTGCTGCTGCTGCTGTGGAGGGGGGCGCTGTCGCTGCTGCTGCTGCTGGCTGTGGCCTGGTGGGGGCACTGGCTGGCCAAGCTTCGGCACTGAACGACGGCGATAGAAGCTTTCGTGCTCGGGCGCGAGACAACCAGTGTTGGGATTGCGCGCGCGGAACGCAGCCTGCACCACGTCCTCCTTTTCTTTCAGGGCGACAGTCTTGATGTCGTATGCGGTCAAGTACTCCTTTAGGCGCTTGATCGGGAGTGAGCGGAGCATGTCCAGCGGCGCAGCAGTCACTGTAAGGTGCGTAAGCAACGGACCCATGAAATGCAGACACCACACCCACCTTGCAGCATTGCCAGACAGTGGAAGCACACGGGCTCGACATCGTAACCCGGCGCAGCAGCAGTCTCACTGGGGCCCATGAACGCGTCTCGGATTTCAGAAAACACCCCGTCCGCTCCACCTCGGGGACGTTGTGAAGCCCCGTTTCGGCGCGGCATGAGCGCCTGTCCGTCGTCGATGCACGTCGAGCAGTACTCGTAACCGCAATGGCCACAGTTCTTGCCTCGCCGCCAGAGAGGGTTAAAGTCGCGTCCACATTGACGACATGCTGCGGGGTGTGTCAGCTACAGATCAGGGGTTACCGTCCGTCGGTGATGACCAAGGCGGCTGGATCAGGTTAAAGAGGGGGCGCCGAAACCTGCCAAGGCCCGTGGTCGGTGGCGGTGCCCCCCAACGATGGAGGCTGCAGTGACGAGCTGGGTGTGACTTACCTGATGACTCGACGACGGGAGGTGGGCCAGAGACTTGTCGGTTAGTTGGGTATGGCCAAGAAACTACGGGCTACTAGCTTACGGATAGGGATACCGCGCGGCGGTTGGGTTGCGCCAGAGCTCATGGCGGAGACGGTGGAGGTGGACGTAAGCGCCTGTTGCTGACCGATGGGAATGGACAGCCGACGTGGGATCTGCGAGGGGAGAGGAGCGAGATGCAGTAGGCTTGGGTGTGGCCTCGACGCTGGTGTGTGACAGAGGTGGGCGCGTCGACGGCCGATTGTGTTGGATCAGAGCTAGACGGTTGAGTGGAAAGAAACAAGATCAAGTATCTTCTGGAAGTTGTCGCGCCCGTCGGTCATGTCGGCCAAGTACGATGACGCCACCAGCGGCCAGCGGCCGGCGTGTCCGTCCATGGAATGCCCCAGGCGTCACCCAGACCGCTGCCTGGTGGTTCAGTCACGTTGGGACTGGCCAAACTCCAAAGCGAATTGAGTTTAAGTTTAGCCGTTCTACCGAAATATTAAGATGGCCCGTTAGTACAGAGGTTATAATTCCCTGGAAGGTTCCAACCACGTATATTACCACAACGGCCGGGGTTCGAATCCAGGAAGGGACAAAATGTGAATCACGTATATTACCGATAAGTGCCGGGGTTCACAGTCCAAAAAACACTGGCCGGTGTGAAATGAGGGAAAGTGGGCCATCTTACGCGACTATCTTTTATTATATTTATTCTATTAGTGATTTTTACACAGTATGGAAAGTGTTAGTTACTGTGCACAGTTAGCAAAAACAAACGGAACCAAATATTACGTAACGACTATCGCGTGGTTGTCGCGTGTCCCATGCCTGCTGGTGCCTGGCTGCTGGACGCGGTGAGCAGTGACGTTGCTGGCCACTTGGGACGGACTGGTTGTTAACAACCTCTCGTTCCAAGTCTCTTATTTACTCATCCAACACTCGCTCGCTCGACGCCGCCGCCGCCATGACAAGCGACTCGCCACCCATGTGGGAGGTATGTCATCGACCACCGGTGCACGCTGACCTGCCCAGCCGCGTATCAGGCATATAACTGGCGTCGGCATTCACGAGCTCGTGCCCCCGGCCCCGCCTCCAGCTCGCGGTGGTGGGAGCTTTCCCTTTGGTCCTCCCCCCGGCGGCTCACCACGAGCACGGAGATCGAGCCATGCTGGCCACGACGTGCCACCGTTGCATGGCCGAGCACGGGCTCCCACTCTTGCCGGCGAGGGCAGGGACGGACATATCCACCATCCGCCTGCTGCGCCGCCTCCAACGACCGTCCCGCCTGTGATGGAGGAACGGGCGCTGGCAAGGTGTTTTATCGCGCTGGTGCTTCCTGGTGAAAAGCACAAGAAGGACGAGGCCGATGCTCGTCGCGCAGCCTCCCCGGTGACAGAGGGGACAGAGTCGCCGCCAGCGTCGCCAACACCGAGTTCGGCGTCGGCGTCCCGGCGACGAACACGGATGCAGCCGGACGCTCCCAAACCCGGCCGTACACGTACGACATCCCTCCCTCCCAAACCGGCACAACCGGCACCTCGCCCTGTGCGTAAGGCCAGCGTATCGAGCGTCGCGTCCGCCCCCGCTCCGTCCCCTGTACCGTCCTCGCCGTCCCCGGGAGCGAGCTCGCCGGCCCCGCGACGCCCGAAGCAGAATGGAACCAGTCCCATTGCGTCCACAGCATCACCCAAGACCACGCCGCTCAAGGTATCCCCGGCCACGGCGGCCGCCAAAGTGGCTCGACCATCGCCCGTCAAGCTCTCGCCAGCCAAGGTCGCCCCGGCCAAAGTGTCCGCAACGACAGCGTCTCCCAAGCGGCCCGCACCTGTCGTTCGTCGCTCCACCACGCTGGGCTTTCCCGCTCGCCCAGGCGACAGACGTGCACCACCGCCACCACCCCCGCCTGTCCCCTTCTTCCTTTCTGCGATTCACCCTCCGAGCACTCACCCGCGGTGGGCCCATCTCGAGACTGGCGACTTTGCCCCCTGGCTCGGCCTCAATGAGGCTGCTGGCACGCAGGTCGAGGTCCAGGTCTGGCTCGAAGAAGGTAAAGGGGAGAGTGCCAAGTGGCGCCAGCTGCCTGGTGTTGGCGGCGTGATGGATCTCACACGTCTGGTACCTTGTCGGCCTGGACAGGTGCTGGAACCAAACACCGTCCAGTGGACGTTTAGCGCTTATCCCAAGTCGGTGTTCTACCTGCCGGCCGCGGATGCCCCGCCCCTGGAACGCGATGTTGAGCGTGGCGTGGTGGAACGCAGTCTCCGAGAGACAAGGATGAAGCATGGCCCAAGTGTCGGAGCTCTCCACCAGTGGGTTCTGACGTCGCATGTGGTCGCTAACCCTCAGACTCGTCAACATTCAATCCGTGATTGCCGACACGCAGCGCAGCATCGATGACCTTCAACGGCGTATAGACTCTCTTATCACAGGGGATGTCGACCGGTCGACGCTCAAGCGCGACGTATCTGAACGCGGCCTCAAGGTCCGCTGGGTCCGCGACCGTGTCTCCGAGGTAGAACGTACCATCGAGGAAGCCCGGGCGCGTATCACACTCCACCGTGGCCGGGTGTCGGCCCGACGCGCACTGCTAGCGGCTGCCGTCGAGCACGAGGAGACCACCAAGTCGGAGGCATGCGACCTCGCACGCCAGATTGCCGACACTGAGGACCAACGGAGCGCTCTGCTGCCGCAAATATACAGTCTTCGCGCCCACCACGCGCAAACACTTGACAGTCTGTTCCCCATCGAACCCCTCCATCCCCTTACACTTCTATACTCCATCGTGGGTGTCCCCCTCCCGATTCCTTTGGGACCCAAGGACCCCGCCCCGCCCCTCACTCTCGCCCCGGCACTCATCCCCGACGGCTGTCCCCGGGTCGACGAACGCACAACTTCAGCAGCACTGGGTTACGCGGCGCTTGTTGTCCACCTGATATCACTTCTCGGCGGCGCTGCCGCCGGCCTCGCTTACCCGGTAACCTACGCCGGCTCGCGCAGCCATGTCCGCGACGTCGTCTCGGTCATGAACGGACCTCGCTCGTTTCCGCTGTACGGTAAAGGCGTCGAGCGTTATCGGTACGAATACGCCGTGTTCCTGCTCAACAAGGACATTGAGCTGCTCATGCACGAGTCGGATATCCGCATGCTGGACCTGCGGCACACGCTTCCCAACCTCAAGAACCTGCTCTTGACACTGTCGTCGCCTGAACCGCCCCCATCTGGCCCCGTCTCGGGCCCCGGATGGGCCAGTGGCGCGGCGTCGCGCGCGAGCTCGCGCCAGCCGTCTTCGGCGTGGAGTCTGCCCAGTCGCCATCTGCGGAGCGTGAGCGCTACGTCGTTTAACTTCCTCGTGCCGGCCCCGGCTACGGGGTCGATCGGGACGTCGCTGGCCAGTGCGGGCCCGACGAGCGACGAGAGCGGGAGTGTCAGCGCCAACGCTAGTGCGGTCGTTGGACAAGGTGGGCCGTCGACCCCGTCACGTTCCGAGTCGCCACAGCCGCTATGGGCAAGCCCGCAGCGGTCGCGGCTGCACAAGTCGCACACGGCCTCGAGCTCTGGAACCCCCGACGACCGGGAATGCGACGACTCGGATTCGGAGGGCACCCAGACGGAGGGCTATGTCGTGGGCAAGAACGCATGAGGGGTTAATACAATGCATCTTCTTCAGAGCTTCTGTCGCTACATGTCTGGAGACGCCCGACCGGCTCGTCCTGGACCCAACTAAAACCCGTATTTCCTAGATCCTAGACCTCACGCCGGGGCACACCGGGACGCATGAATGTATCGCGCATCTCGGGTTCCTCCTCAACCTCGCCCGCCAGTCCGCGTCCCTTTGTCCATCGACTGCGCTCTGCGCTCCCTGTGCCCAAGTTCCGGAGCTCGGCAGCGATACGCCGCTGTTCGCGCGCCTTGGCCACGTCCTCTGGTGGTGGCCGGCCATCGCCCGCCGCCGCCGCTGCAGCGTCGTTCACAGCAAGGCCGCCGGTACCGACGAAATGCGGCACGGGGTCAGAGTCGGGGACGACGGCGTGCACGGCACCGCGGTGGTCCACCTCCATCACCTCTGTCTGATCGCCGGTCGCAAAGTCTGGCAGGAAGGTGCCGCCCATGGGCGCGCGGGTGAGGCGGTGTTCCGCCATGACGCTGGCCTGTTCGCCGAGCGCGGCGCGGATGCGGTGGCGCGTCCAGGCAAAGGAGAACATGGTTGACGAGACTGGGAACGGGTCAGTGGTCAGCTGTATCTCTGCTGTTGGTGGTGTGGTGCCGCGCAGCAGTGGTGGTGGGACTCACGGAGGAACGTGAGCGTGAGCGTGTTGGGGGTGATGCGCGGGTGCTTGACGGTGCTTGCGAGGCCGGCTGGCTGTTAGCGATGTACAATCTCGAGAGGCCAGGCCTTTTCTGATCGCGCACTGGCGTACGGCGCAGTGGGCACTGGGCACATCACAGATCACAGATGCAAACATGGCCCATCTCTTCCCCTCGTGAGCGCGACATTCTTGGTCGCGACAATCCCCCTTCACTTCGTGACCGTTCGTGCCCACAATACGCCCCGCTCTGAGCGCGCGTTGCCCGCCGGGCCAGCTCCGCCAGCTCCACTCCACTCACTCAACAAGCCGCCAAACACCATGCCTCCATACATGCCCTCCTGCGTCGCGGCGCCGTTGAGTTTCTTCAGGTCATCCTTGTCCTTGAGAGGGAGCGGTTTGGGACCGGGGTCCGACGGACCGGCCGCGTCTTTGAGTGCTGAAGAGTCAGCTCTGTCGAGCTGTGTCGTGTCAAACTGGCATGGGCCTTTGTAACGGTGAACTGAAGCCATCATGCAGCGCCCGACAGCTCCACAGGTCGTGACAGCACAGCGTTGCTGCTCACGGACAGATGAACGGTGGCGGGGTGGGGTAAGGCGCAATGCAATGCAAGCAAAGTCACCTCACGCTGTGACTTGGCCAAAGAGGTGCAATGGCCAACAGGGGCGCGGCATGCACTCACTGTCGGATGTTGCGACGGCGCGCTTGTCGAGAGCATCTGCTGCGTCCTTGAGGTCTGTAGTGTCGCCTTGGGAGAGGGAGGTGAGGGGCATGGTTGGTGTTGAAGGATGGTGTGCAGATGGGAAAGATTGGGTTGGTGACGTAGCTTGCCATGCAGAGCCATGGGCGAGGGCTCGCCGTCGCCGGCCCGGCAATTCCGAATAATCCCCCCGCGTTTGTTGTTGTTTCTGCCGGGTAGACATCTGCAACACCTGGCTCGAGCACATGGCGGAGCGCGACACACACGGAGACGCACATCAAACGTCGTCTTTCAGAACGCACATTCCATCTCGCCATGCATCTCCTCGTCGTCGTCGAACCGCTCACGCTGTGCTCATGCTCATCGCCCTCGTCGTGCGCACCCTTTCAGCCATTCCTGCCAAGCGGTCTGTGCTGGTCCCGCCCCGGGGACCCAAAGGAGTAAAGTGGCTCTTGTCGATTCCAGCAAACATCCTCTTGTCCCAACCCACGAAGCGAACAGGCAACGGAACCCCTTGGTCACTCCCAGGGCTGGCACTTGCCGCAATCGGGGACTGCGAGCTCGCCCATCTAACACCCGGCCGCCCTCTCGCTCTCGTCTTTGCTCTTGCTCTATATCCCTCAAGTGTACAAATCAACTACCCCCCCTATCAGCGACCCATATCCCAACCCCCCAGCGATGCCGTCCGCGACGCAGCCGTTCACCGTGGTCGTCAACCATCCCGCACGCGCGGGCATGTACATGGTCGTCACGTACGTATCACACAGTGACAGGTGTGGTTCGGAGCACCTCGAAGAGGCTGTCATGGATGGCGAATGTTTGCGCACGGGCGCAGCCCGTTCTGGGGTGTTGACCACATTGGGACACTGCAGCTGTCAAACAAGTCTTCAGACTCCGACTGGCCTCCATCAACTAGGCGGCCAGTGGCCAGTGGCAATGAGCTGACTCCCTCTGCAGGTCTGAACGCCCATGCTCGCGATGCACTCGGAATCACACTCTGTGCTGCTACAGCCTGACGCCACTCGGTGAGCGCATCTTCCGTGCAGGATCGTGCTCGCACTGCCCGCGCGGGCGCAACAAGTGCAGCTACACCGGTGCGCTGTACCGTTTCGACGAGGAAATGTCACGCGGATACCTCATCAACCCGGAGAGCGACGAGGAGGCCGAGCTCGAGGCCGAGATGGCGAGTGACGGCGTGCTGAGTGAGATGGGCCGCGCACCAAGGGCGACCGCGAGCGGCAGCGGCTCTGGCTCTGGAACTCGTGCCGGCGCCCATGACGAGGGCGGTTCGGAGCCAGACCTGTTTGGCTCGGCTCACAGTGGCGATGGCGACGCCAGTGGCAGTCTCACCTCCGACGACGTTGCCAGTGCCCTCGACGCACCAGAGTCCCCCGGCCCACGCCTTCACCACACCAAGCCAACAATCACCACCACCACCACCACCAAAACCAGCAAGCCTCCGCTCGCACCACTCATGGACACGGACCGTTCAGCGACCACCAGTCCCGACCTTCCTACGCCGCCCATCTCACCCATGGCCCCACCTGCAAAGCTGGCACCGGAGGCTGAGGAGCACAAGTCGCCAAGCAAGGGCAAGGGCGTTGCAATCACCCAGCCAAAGGCCCACAACCAGACCAAGTCTCCCAGCGTCAAGTCTGCTTCACTTCCAAAGCGCAAGAGTGCAGTCCGTTTTGACGTTCCGTCCTCTCCGTCGTCGTCGTCGGCCACTCTGAACGGCGCTAAGACCGCCTCCAACAATGGTGGTGTCGCCACCGATTTGGCCCAGACCAACAGTGCCGTGGCGCCGGCGTCTGCACGCACCCCCGACACTAATAACCCCAACCCCGAATATTCCACTCCCGCAGCTGCAATCGAAGACACGCCCGAGCGCGTCTCGTCACTCGCACCGCCACCCCTCTCCGACTCATCGGCCGAGGAAGAGGCCAAGCTGGGGCGCATCATGGCCAAGCTCTCCCACCTCGAGATCCGCGTCGCCGACGTGGAGGGCCTGAACGGCGAACTGCAGCTCGAAAACGCCGTGCTCAAGAAGAAGAACAAGCACCTCAAGCACACGCTCGCGGTCGTTCGTGGTAGTAACCGCGTTACCTCCGAGGCCCTCACCAACGCCGTGGCGATGATTGGCCAGCTGGAGCGCGACCGCGTCAAGCTTGTGGACGACGCGGGAAGTGCGCCTGTCTAAAGATCCCACATGTCGAGACGAGAGTGAGAGAGAGAGAGAGAATACAGAGACGCACACCAAGTAATGGAGGCGAGAGGCGGAGAGTGTGGTGTGCTGAAAGTGTCGTGGTTATTGTTTTACGCTCATTTCAAAGACTAGCTTCTTGTTCCTTTTCAATTGTTTATATCCCCCTCCTCCAAATTTTGGCTGCCCGGGTGATGGGGCAGACCATAATGTAGTACCGTACGCTACTGTAGAAACGTACCAGCGATCGAAGTAGACACATACGAGATGAGAATGTCACGATGTCTTCGAAAAAGTCGAAAGTGGGACCTGGCTGGTCGGGACAACCCATCCACACACGACCGGCCCGATGAGGCACAATCCGCAACTCACGCGATTACATTCCTGCCCTGCAGCATTCCGTCCTCGACCTGGCCCGGTTTGTACACTTGCACCAACGTTGGGATCGCACCCACGGTGAATGCCCTGTAGCTCCTCGTTGCATACATACCTGGGCATGGGCTTGCGAGTGGCGAATGACGGAAGGAAGAGAGGACGAGGCAAGCGCCACAGGACTCGTTGTGACCACGACCCTTTCCGTGTTCCCTTAACACACATCTCCGAGGCATCCACATCTCCTCGCGGCGGTCGCAATCCTTTGGCAGCACCCTCCACTGCGTCTCCTCATCCGCACACACTCGTGAACGGTGACGTAATGGCCGTTTAGCTCAGTTGGTTAGAGCGTACGCTTCACAGTCACAAAACACCAACTTCGATCCACTTCTTCACGAGTGGGACGGAGGTCCTGGGAAGCGCGTAAGGTCGGCGGTTCGACCCCGCCAATGGTCATTTTTGGCCCTCGGTGACTCGCACAGAGGCCATGAAGGTGTCTGGCAACAAAGTAGACTTGCCTAGAAGGGATCTGAGCTGCTGACGTGATGATGCCACCTCGGTCAACCTCAATCTTCCCTCCCTATTTGCCGTGCCGCCCTTCACTCTCCCTCGATGATATCCCAACGACAGCCCTCTTCACATGATCGGCCGTTTAGCTCAGTCGGTTAGAGCGTACGCTTTACAACACCCTGACGCTCCTCAACGCCACCCTCTCCTCATCCGAAGTGTGGCATGGATCTCGTTGCAATCGCGTAAGGTCGGCGGTTCGACCCCGCCAACAGTCATTTTTGGGTCTCAGGAGACCGCGAGGGGGCTCCCAAAGTGATTGCAAGTCACAAGCAGCGAGCTGTGGAGACTTCTTCTTGTTGCAAAGGTCTTTCTTGGCTGTTGAGATTACGTAACCACTTGCGCCACTGCAGTGTGGCACCGAGCTGACCGGAGAACGAGGGTACTGCACCAATGCTGCTCTTTCTGCTTCTTCATTGTCCTCGTGCTTCTCTGTAGTGCTCGGGCCTCCCTTCTGTGTGCATATAAGCAGCTCTGTAGACGCCTATGCATCTCCATCCTCTTCTGAAAGACAAACTGCCAGCTTAAGACCATCGGTCTCGGGCGCTAAACGGCATCAAATCCCAACACTTGGCCGCCAATCGTCTGCATTTTTCTTCCACCACCCGTCGACTCCAGCATCGTCTACCCTATGGCTCAGTTGGTTAGCGCGTGGAGCTGTTATCTTCAACATACTCCGAGGTCCCAGGTTCGAGCCCTGGTGGGGTAGTCTGCAGCAGCATCTGATGCTCTGCAATGTCTTTTTCACCATGTGAGAACGGTGTGAGAAGGTATGAGAAGGTGTGGTGTGAAGAGGAGGACGATCGGAGATCGGCGGAGGATTGTCGGGGTGAAAAAATAGAGTCAAATACTGAAAAATGTAAAGTTCGTTCACATGCATCAAGTACATGCCTTGTGTGTGGACAAGACACTGCGGCTTAACACTACGGAGGTCCCATGATGCAAGCTGCGGTGAACACTGTTGATGTTGACACACATCCCGTGTGGTCTGGGAGCGACGCCGAAGAAAAACCACACACCTTCCCTTTCTTCGCCTTGCTCCGGAAGCGAAACACTTATACACTTATACCTCAACCCAGGTTCGCATCCCTAGTCCCACTTCATCCCTGTATCCACCATTTCCATACAATGGTCGCCGCCGCTCTCACCATGCTGGCCGTGGCCCCACCCACCCGCCCCTCGTCCAACCACTCGATCCACTCTGGCCACTCTGTACGCTCTGTACGTCGGTTGGCCACATCCCTCACTCCAACTGACCCCCTGCCACCCAGCTCAAACCTGATGTCCAGCACATCGAGCACCTCGAGAAGCCCGACCTGTCAAAGAAGGCCAAAACCAAGCATCCCCACCGCGCAGACAAGCACGCGTCGCGTGACCGCGCCAAGGACGACCTCTTGCTGGCGCTCGCGAGGCTCGAGGGCACGATTGGCTCGCTGAAGATGCTCACCGAGTCGCTCAAGGCCGAGAACGTTATTCTTGTAGCTGAGAAGAGCGCGCTCCAGGCTGAAGTCGCGGCGGTCAAGCTCAAGCACGCTTTGCGCCACGACCACAGCCACGGTCGTGGCGACGAGGGCGAGGTGCACCAGCTCAAGGCACTCGTGGCCCAGCTCCATCAGCGCAACATGAGACTGACGGACAAGAGCGCCGGTCTGGCTGCTACCGTCGGTCGTCTGCAACGCGAGGCTGACGAGGCGGCTAAGAAGCGCTCCGAGGCGGTTGGTGTTCTCCACCGTCTCCTGGATCAGTAGGTCTGTTGTGTTTAGGACTGGACAGCGACATCGGCGGAACTGAAAAATGTGTGTGTGTGTGCTCGCGTGGAGGTTAGATTCGTTGTATATCGAAAATCGATACGCGAGGAGGGAATGCATCAATAATGTCTATGTACACGGACTGTGTGGAGACGTGGAGCTGAGCCTGCCGCCTGATAGCTATAACTTCCCATGGAACTGTTGTACCGTCTTCAGCTGCAATGGCCATTGCACTCATGGACGCACCACCAGACAGCCTTGGGCTGGCAGAATACAACGCTGCGACAGGGCGATTCCATGGGCCCGAGTGAGTCCCCCACGCCCAAGCCAGGATTGTACGAAAGCTAACGCCGTAAGCCTCCGCTGTTCCCACTGCGCTCCCGACTCTGAGACTAGTTGCACTTTCCGGCTCGCGCGTCTCCCCTCAGGCCTGTACTTTTCTTACAAGTGTGACGGGTGCTCGTCCGAGATCGCCTCTCGCCTCGCCAATTTCCGCACCCCCGCCAACATCGCCACACCGTCCCTCCACGGCCACGGCCATCTGCACGACCACTGGCCCCTCCCGCGCTGTGAGTGGGAAGGGCGGTTTGTCCGGCTTGTCCCTGCGAGCGTGCCGGTTCTCGCGCACTTGTCGTCCGCATGCGACTGGGAATGGGACGACAGCTCTGACCAACTGGAACGCCACGTTGAGCATGCCGACGAGGGCAAGGAACATACTTTCTGGGTGGTCGCAACGCGCCATGGGCCCCTCACCAGTGTGGGTGGGGTGACATTCACGACTGACCCGGAAGACCCGTTCGTCATGGCTGTAGCAGAGCGAGACGTCCGGGCAGCAGCGCCACCGTCCAGTTCCCGCGCCAGCCACGACACGGCGACGTCAACTGCGCGTACCACCCAGGATCCACCCACGCCACCCCTCGCCGAGCACGACCTACTCAAGCTCCGAGCCGAGAACCACCGCCTCAAGATCCAGAATGTTACATTGCACAATGCCAACACACGGCTCGAGGACGACAACGCCAGTCTGTCGACACAGGTCGAGGCGCTGCAGCGGGAACTGGACACGCTCGCCGCAGAGCAGGAGATGGCCGCAGAGGAGTTTCGGCACATCCTCGAGAGTATGTGAGCGTGTGCAGCAGTGCAGCAAAGTGGAATATCAACGCAGCAATATGCGGGCAGAGGTCCATGCATCATTGCTACAGTGGCCAGAGGCGAGTAGGGCACCATTGTGATGGCTTGCAGAGGAACGCGCCGAGGGGAGGGTGCCGAGTGGGGCACCGTTTTGCCGTCGAGGTCCACAGCCCAGCAGTAGGGTGATCAGCGCCCAGCCTGGGGCGGAGCAAGAGCGACATGGGTGCTGGGGGACTGTGAAGGCGAGGTCTCAAACATGATGCTGTCCCAAGAGGTGAACGGGAGCTTGGTGAGGTAGTCCTTGAGGCTGAACATCGCAGAGCCGTCGAGACGCACTGGAGGAAGAGTGGTGATGGGTACAGGAGAGAAGGAAGAAAAGGTCAACTTGTGGATGGGTCATGCCGAGGCGGCTATGTACCCATCCAGTGGTCAGTGAACAAAAGACAGACACAGACATGAGACACCACTTGCATCACCAAAACTACGGCTGATCACATGCTCGCTCGAGAACAATTGCTTCTCCCTTCTTGCCCTATCGGCGGTGATGGTTTCACAGTTACCTGCGGAGGTCAAGGGGTGATGGGCTGCGGGGCGGGGTGGGGGGTGGCGTGTCGTAGCTGTCGACGGGGTCCATGTTGATGATCTGACAACGGTAAAAAGCGGTTGTGGGGATGGATACAAAGAAGGGGTTGGACAGTACAGTTGTTGGGTTGGTGGGTCCTTCGGTTTTAAAGTGCGTCGAGCCACAGATGCCCAGGAGCAGCAAGTCGACTCAGCCTCTCCTCGCACCTCTGATCCATGCTTTGCAAGCAATGCAGCTTGCACGTTTCTCAGAACACGCGAGCTGCGAGGACAAAGGAGCAACTGATGGTGTGCGCGAAGCTGATGTGCGAGAAGCTGATGGGGCGCCCGGGGACCGTTCGCAGCGCTCGTGCGAGCGCAATCATGCGTTGTCACCATGCACCCGTCTCCGTCACTTACTCACGCACTCATGACAGTCGCTCACTCGCATCGTTCCACCTCCTCCATCACCACGCTGCACCACGGCTCGCGCCCGGTGGCACCCGGTGGCTCGCCCATACCCTCCATCACCATCCAAGCACCGTCTCGACGACCGTCCCTGGCGTCTACGGGTTCCATTAGCGAGCTAGACATCGGCAGGGCTGCTCACTCCGTCCGCGGCAAACGGCCAACTCGTCTTTCAAAGGCCCCTCGAATGAGTGTCTCTGAGATGAGTACCTCTGGGATGAGTACGCCACCTGGGCCGAGGGAGCTCTCTGGGCGGTTCATGCTCGACAAGATCGCCGCCGAGGTTCGGCGCCATCAAGATCATTTGTTCGAGGAGAACCATCTTTGGTGCACGCTGTCTCTCAGGCCGAGGTGAGCTCGACTGTCCTGGTAGAAGCTCAGCTCACACCACCAGTGCTGCACTCCGTCCCAATGTCTTCCGCATCTCATTCTCGATTGACACCACCTCGGCCACTCACCTCGCCAATGCGTTTCGAAACGCTGCGAAGAGTGTTATCGACAAGTGGGAGAGGACGCCGACGGATGTGGAGCACGTTGCCCTCTCGTGTGCCTTTGCAGTGACCGCTCGGTAGGTGTGTGCTGCAGTGTCTGTTCTGATCACAGCAGCCTCAGGAAAGACGCTTCTGATATCGCACTCTACTTCACCATGGCGTCAAAGAACGAGCTCGCCATCATCCTCCGGGACGCCGCCGACCACGTCACACCCACCTTTCCACTCACTATGCGATCAAACGTCCCCGCTAGCAAGTACCATCTCCCGAATTCCAATACCAAGAAAGCATCTGCTGTCTCGCGGCGGATTGCCACCCTCGAAACTGCATTAAAGGAGCTCAAGGTCCTGGTTGACAAGTTGCGAGCGGAGCATGCCGAGTCCAAGGCGGTGAAGGACAAGGATGAGCTGGACCAACACAAGGCTGATCTGAGAGCAAAGGTGGCAGCGCTGGAGCTCAAAGTGGATGGTATGGAGAAGGAGTTGGACGTGGTCCTCAAGACCCAAAGGGGATAGGAATCCCAGAGAGACATGACCTTTGCCTTTTATGCAGAGTGTATGGGCGGCATAGCCAGCAGATCAGCAGCGCAGATATACGATTGTCTCGGATGGTGAATTCAGCCAAGCCGCCGCTGTTGGTCACCGATCTTGCTCACACCACCGCCCATTCAGTACACGCCCCATTGCGTCAGACGTTTGAGATCCAGGTGACGTACTATGAAGACTGATGATACATAAAAGAGCCAGGGACGTCCCATGCATCTTGCATACCATCCCCAACTCGCCTTCCACCATGGGTGGTGCCAAGCTCGCTGCGAGCTTTTGGTGCACTCGCAATCCGGATGGTTCATACGTTGGAACAGAGTGAGCTCGCCCACCGCGCCACACGCACACCTCTTGCTTACATCCCAGAACCCTTGCGTGCTGCAACAACTGCAACGGCAAGCCCATGGCCGCGTCATGTCTGCCTACCATCAGAGCCGAGGGGCGCATCTACCGTACCCAGCCATGCAACTGGTGCACGATCGGTCCCCCCATCCCTCTCTGCGCGTACGCCGGCATCCCCATCCACCTATACCAGCTCCCCGGCGACTATCGTTACAGGGCGTTTCGCGCCGATAAAGCCAGAGGATACTTTGCGCCGGCCGAAGCTATTCGGATTCGACCCCGGGCGCGGTCTGCGTCCCCATCCTCCTCGACTCACCGTCGGCCCATGTCCCCCTTGCCCATGCACAAGCCGCGGGTGTGGGACAGCTTGAGTCTCCCGCAGGCTGTGCGGAGCGTCAGTGGTGGTGCTGGGGCCCTTGACAGGATTTACGCACCGCAGCCACGCTTTGTTATCCCCCAGATTCGAATTTCGCCACCCGAGAGCCATGCGTCTTCTGTTACGGGGTGGGTGTGTTGTGTGGACAGACAGATCCCTGCTGACATACAGTCTCGATTCACCGCCGACGGAAACGATCCTTGAATCGCCAGAATCACCAGACTCGGATTCCTCGGGGTCAAACAAGAGCGTTTTCCACATGATCCCGGACGACAACATGCTGCTCGAAGGGGACACAGATGTCACGATGGAGGAAGAAGAGACGCCGGCCAGCCCGGTCTTCATTCATACCGAAGAGGTTCCGGAAGAGGACAGTCCAGTACCCACGCCCCCGGCCTCTGTCCGCCGGAGCAGCTTGTCTACCACCACCACCCCGCCCGGCTCGCCGTCCAAGCAGACGCTGTTGGACAACATGATCCACGTCCACGACAAGGTCATGGAGCTTCGTACTGAAAATGTATCCCTCCAACTGGAAGTGGCCACTCTCCAATCCCACAACGAAGCTCTCAAGAACCAAAATGAAACGCTCCAGCAAAGCCTCGACGCGATCATGACTGCTGGACCCAGTACCGGGACGGGCCACGCACACTCGCTCGAGGTTGTGGCGCTCAAGAACCTCAATTCGTCGCTGTCGGACGAAGTGCACCGACTCAATGCCAAGATCACGGCCATGTCGCTGGTTCAGGAGAAGACCATGGAGGGGTGCAGGAAGATCCTCGAGTGGGCATAGGGGTAGTATATCCGTTTTCTAAAAGGTTCACTGAGTGATGTATGTACCGATGATGGGCACACCATGTCGATATGCCGACATGCTGTCGGGCGCCGGTCAGTGATCAGCGTGATCACTCCACTCTGGGCGCCACACATTCAGAGACTGATGGGTCTGCGCAAGTCCAAAGCGACTTGCTGTCACCAGCCCCTCACTGCTAGATGCATGCATCGGCCAAGTTATAATTGCAGGTGTCGACGCCCTTCCGTTCTTCACTCCCTGGCCACCCTGTCGGCCACTCCAATGTTCAACTGCTACGAGAAGTACGGGCAGGTCTATGGTCACAGGTATGTACCAAGCAGCGTTGCTTCAGTGTACCAGTGTTAACCATTGCCAGCTTCACTCCCTGCCGAAACTGGCCCGACGACCCCGAATGCAACGCGATGCTCCTTCCCGTCCCCCTCACTCCAGACATTTACCGTGTCATGTCGTGCGACAGGTGTATCAAGACTAGCTCCATCTGCAACCTCCCCGGCATCCGCGTACGCCTTACGGAGAACGGCAATGCCGTCCGTATTAACATTGACCGCAAGGACGTCAACCCCGACGGCTCGCCCGTCATTGTGCAGACTGTCCCGCGCTCTCCGCCGAGCATCAAGGTCATCCGCCGCAAGCCCGTCCCAAACCGGGGCTTTGTGGAGGTACCCGGAAGTCCGACCAGTACCGAATTCTCGTCTGGGTTGTTGTCGTACACGCAGAGCAGCACTGGTACCTTTCTCAAGCCGGGGAGGGTGGTCATTAGGGCAGATGTCCACAACAAGCTTTCGGAGCTGGCCCCGCCCACCCCGCCCATCACCCCGGCGCGGACGCCGCCCATCACCCCGACCCGGACGCGACCGACGGTTACCACCGGCTTTTCCAACCCCATCAGCCCGTTTCCCGGTGGCGCTTCGCCTTCATGGTTCAAGCCGAGCTCTACCCCGCTCAACGACTCACCGGGCCACCAGTACACCAGGGCCCGGATGAGTGTTCCCAAGTTTGTAGAACCCGACTCGTTGGTCGAGATTCTGATTCCTCCGGGAGAGGAGAGCGAGCAGTATTCCAAGTACCACAAGAGGAGCCGCAGCTGTATGTCGTGGATGTCCATTTGGGATGACAGTCACAATTCACTTAACATGTGAATGGCAGAAGGAGTGTCGTTGGGACCGAGTTATGAATCTCTGAAGTGACGTTTGGCTTGTTCAATCAGAATAAAATCTCATTTACTCATGACCTTTCGTAATTACCATCGCTATGGCTTAGTGGGAAAGCGCCAGGCTCATACGTCTGTTGTGATCACCTGGAGATCCCTCGATCGAAACGAGGGTGGCGATAAAACTACTCCTTTTTGCGCTCTGAGAGTCGTGTAGATGTCGATGAGAGGTCAGTCTCGCACCAGTCACCAGTTGCCCTGACCTCTCGCACTCTATTAGGATTGACCGGCGCCAGGACCGTTTTATGCTGCCTAAAAGGTATGCAAGGGGGTCATATGTGACATCAAAAATCCAACTCTCTCACTGTTAAAGCATCTTGTCTGCAGACTGGGAAGCTGTGATGCAGAGTGCGCCGAAGGCAGCTGATGTGAAGCAGGTTGTCACTTTTTGCCACTCGCCGCCACAAGTGGAGGTGGATTGTTGACAATTTGGTTCCGCGCGTTGCTCGGGGCATGGCAAGTGGATCCTGACCACCCTGTAACTCCGTCCACCACTCCTCGTCGACATCTCCTTGCCCCATCGACAGACACTGCTCTATACACGTCCTACACACTACCTACGCATCACCAGCCGACCAGAGAGCCCCCACAACTTGTCCCGTTCATTCGCGTCCCTGGTAGCGCCATGCCCAACACCCCCATCCCCGACATTCCGGGCGTGCTGCTCGAGGACCCAGAGACCCGGCACCACCTCAACCAGCATGTCGCTGGCCTGTGTGGTCTGCAGGGAGAGAAGTGAGATCATTGGGGCGCGTGAAATTCGCATATATCTGACCCACAGGTTCCCCGGATCGCAGCCCGTGTCGTTCTCGAGCGGGTCGCTCGACCTTTTGGAGAAGAAGGAGTACGTCCCCTGCACCCTACTTGACCGAGGTGGCTGACCCCCCCCCCAGTTTCTGGGTGTGCGAGAAGTCGGACGGCGTGCGCGTCCTCCTGTTTGTCGTCATGAATGGCATGTCCGGTAACCAGGAGTGCTGGCTTGTGAGTGTCACCATAGCCTTCACCATGGCCTCCACTTGGCTCACAAACAGATCGACCGCAAGCAGCGCTACTTCTTCCAAGACGGCCTCCACTTTACGCACTGGGAGCGGGTGGATGACCCCCTGACCGACACTGTTCTGGATGGCGAGCTCGTCATTGACATTGACCCGCGTACCGGCGTTGAGACACTGCGATACTATGCCTTTGACTGTCTCGTCCTCAACGGCGAGAACGTCATGAAGAAGCCCATCGTCAAGCGCTTTGCCGTGGGTTGCCTCGTCGAGTACCATTTGCTAACCGCACAGCGTCTGCGAGACTGGGTTATTAAGCCTCTGAAGAAGGCACTGCAGCGTTTCCCAGAGTGGAAGGAGCAGATGCCCTTCGAGGTCGTGGCCAAGGACCAAGAGCTCTCGTACCACATTTCGCAGGTTCTCAACGTCCACGTCCCCAAGCTCCAGCACGGCCACGACGGTCTCATCTTTACGTGCGCCGAGTCGGAATACCTCCCCGGGACCGACGACAAGATGTGAGTTGAGGAGGATGTTGGATACCTGGGCCAAGTTGTTGACGCGCCCGTTACAGTCTCAAGTGGAAGCCGCCAAGTGAGAACTCTATCGATTTCCGCATCGAACTTCGCTTCCCCCCTCTTCCAAACGATCCCGAGGAGTGTGACTGGTTCGCCAAGCCCGCCTTCTTGCTCAACCAGTGGGCTGGTGGCGATCGCTACGAGTACTTTGACGAGATGGAGATTGATGACGATGAATGGGAGCAGTAGGTACTTGTTCATTGTCCGCTGGCTAACCTATACAGGATGAAGGAATCTGGAGAAGAATACGACAACCGCGTGGCCGAAGTGTGCTGGGACATGGACCGTCAGGCTTGGCGAATGCTGCGTTTCCGCGACGACAAGCCTCACGGCAACCACAAGTCGATCGTGGTCAAGATCCTGCAGAGCATCGAGGACGGCGTGGAGATTGACGCTGTGCTCTCCCGCGAGACCAGCATTCGCAATGCTTGGAAGCAGCGTGAGATGGACCGTCGCGCCGGACCACCCCCTGCCGCCCAGCAGCGCCGCCCTGCCCCTCCCCAGCAGCAGCACTCATCGTCTGGCAGCAAAATGCAGGCTGGCGGCCCATCGCAGGGTGTGATGGTTGGCCTGAAGCGCTGATTTGCATGCCCGACCCGAGCTCGCACATTGGCTACACCGTCTCCCTCGTTCTCTATCTGCATTATGTGTTGTATGCATCGTTGTCCTCTCTATCGCGTCGTCCCGTCTCTTGTGCGGTCATTGTGTCCCGGCTGCGAGAGTGGAGGTGCCTGGCGATGACGGCCGTTGGACGCCGTTCGGCGAGATTTTGCTCCCGCCGGCTGCCAAAGTCATTGACCCGCTTCAAAGAACCCATGGATGATGGTCTCTCGCACTCTCTCCTTTTGCCACTGAACTAGTGAGAACAAAACACAAAACATGCCGCCCAAGGGAAAGAAAGGAAAGGGCAAGAAGGGTGGCGACGACGATGACGCTTTCTGGTACGTGTGCTCCACCTCACCGTCACCCCATCACCTCGGCCCATTGAGTTGAAAAATCTGACCATGTTCCACAGGGCCGAGAAGGAGAAGGCTCTCGACGCTAAGATGGCTACACCTGCCGAGGACGAGGCCAACGGCGCGGGCGGTGCTTTTGACGCGCTTGACGATGACGAGGGTGCTGGTGGCCTGATGGTACGTCGTCTTCATCCCGTGCTCGCGTGATGTGTTGGGAGACACATCGCTACATGTCCGGACAACCGCTGACACACCGCTCAGGCTGCCATTGCCGCCGCCAAGAACAAGAAGAAGGACAAGAAGAAGGCCAAGCACACTTTTGCGGCTCTCAGCGACGACGAGGACCAGCCGTCAAAGGAGGCGGAGCGCGGCAACATGGTGAGTTCATTGCTCCTCCATCGGACATTAGTTGTTCGCGTGCTGACGGGTAACAGTCCGACGAGTGGCCCGAGGAGGACGTCAAGCCTAAGAAGAAGGGCAAGGGCAAGAAGAACAAGCAGCCAGTGCTCTCGGACGACGAGGACCTTGCCGCCGAGGCCGCTGCCCCCGCCGACAACTTCGAGGATAAGGCACCTGTGAAGGCCTCCATGGACGACGAGTGGCCCGAGGAGGACGTTAAGCCCAAGGGCAAGAAGGGCAAGGGCAAGAAGGGTGGCAAGCAGCAGGCTGCCGACCTCGACGAGGACGACTTCCTTGAGCAGGCTGCCCGTGAAGCCGCCGCTGCCAAGGAGGCCGCGGCACCCGTTGCCGCCGAACCAGCACCCGAGGCCGATGTGGCGAGCGAGGCGGAGGAGCCCGCTGGCGGCCAGCTGCTTTCGAAGAAGGAGAAGGAGCGTCTGAAGAAGGAGAAGGAGAAGGTGCGTGTGTTGTCTGTTGCAGGGTGGCGAGGCATGCCTGGTTTGTACGGCTGGACCGTCATATCAAAGTGTCTCATGTCTTTCCCCTGTGGACGACGTTGAACCCTGGTTGTGACATTAGCTGACCCCTCCAGGCCAAGAAGAAGGCACAAGCCGCCAAGAAGAAGGCTGCTGCAGCGGATGAGCCAGCTGAGGCCGAGCCCCAGCCCGAGGTCGCTGCTCCCGAGCCCGCAGGTGATGACGAGGGTGACGACAATGAGGACGCTGGCGGTTCCAAGAAGAACAAGAAGAAGAAGAAGCCCGCAGCCAAGGCGGAGCCCGTTGCGGCCAAGCCTAAGAAGGTGTCTGCGCACATTCTGTGAGTAACAATGGGCTGGCTGTCATACTCCTGCGACCACGGGCGCCGTACCAGACTCTAACCTTCACAGTGCCATGCAGGCCGCCGTCGCCGAGAAGAAGCGTCTCGAGGAGGAGGCTGCCGCCGTCGCCGCCGAGAGGCAGCGTCTTATCGACGAGGAGGACGCTCGTATCGCCGAGGAGGAGCGCCTTGTTGAGGAGGCCAAGGCCGCAAAGCGCGAAAAGGAGCGTCTCAAGCGCGAGCAGGCCAAGGCCGAGGGCCGTCTTCTCACTCCCGCCCAGAAGCGTGAGCGTGCCGCTGCCGAGGCCCGTAAGCAGGCTCTGCTTGCTTCGGGTGTCACCGTCGCCGCTCTTGCCGCTGGTGGTGCCCCCGCTGCCAAGCGCCCCTTCTACGGCAAGAAGAAGCCTGGAAAGCAGCAGGGTGCCAAGACCCCGTCAGAGGCTGCTACCCCGGCCCGCGCCGCTTCCCCAGAGCCCGTCAAGGAGGAGGCCAAGCCTGAGGAGTCGAAGCCCGCCGACGACGAGGATGACTGGGACAAGTCCGACGACGAGGTTGCTGCTGTCACCGAGGGTGTTAAGGCCGTCAAGGTCGAGGAGTCCGAGGACGACTGGGACAAGTCGGATGAGGAGGAGACTCCCGAGCCGCCCAAGCCTGCTCCTGCCGCTGCTCCTGCCACCAAGGCTGCTCCTGCTGCTAAGGCTGCCCCTGCTGCTAAGGCCGCACCCGCACCGGCCAAGTCGAACGGCAAGGCCGCTGCCAAGGTGGAAGAGTCGGAGTCCGAGGACGGTTCCGACGATGACTCGGAGGAGGACAGCGACGAGGATGACTCGGATGACGACTCGGAGGAGGACAGCGACGACGACTCGTCCGATGACGAGGTTGAGCAGGCCAAGGAGCGTGCTCGCAAGGCCATTGAGATCCGTCGCAAGGCCGCCGAGGCCAACCAGGACAAGACCGATCTCCGTTCGCCCATCTGCTGTATTCTTGGACACGTCGACACGGGTAAGACCAAGCTGCTGGACAAGATTCGTCAGACCTCGGTCCAGGAGGGTGAAGCCGGTGGTATTACTCAGCAGATTGGTGCCACTTTCTTCCCCCGCGAGGCGCTTGTCGAGAAGACCCAGGTTGTCAACCGCGACGGCTCGGTGGACGTCCGTATCCCCGGTCTCCTCATCATCGACACTCCCGGACACGAGTCGTTCACCAACCTCCGTTCGCGTGGTTCGTCGCTGTGTAACATTGCTATCCTGGTTATCGACATTACCCACGGTCTCGAGCCCCAGACTATCGAGTCCCTCAACATGCTCAAGATGCGCAAGACCCCCTTCATTGTTGCCCTCAACAAGATTGACAAGCTTGACGCCACTGAGTGGAAGGTCCACCCCGACCTCGGTTTCCGCGAGACCCTCGACGCCCAGTCCAAGCGTATGCAGCGCATGTTCGAGGACCGTCTCCAGTACGTCAAGGGTCTCCTCATGGAGCAGGGTCTCAACTCGGAGGTCTACGACCGCAACACCCAGCCCGGCCGTATCGTCTCGATTGTCCCCACTTCGGCTGTTACCGGCGAGGGTGTTCCCGACCTGCTCAAGCTTCTCGTCAAGCTCACCCAGGACCGTATGACTGGTTCGCTCATGTACCTCTCCGAGGCCGAGGCCACCATCCTCGAGGTCAAGGTCATCGAGGGTCTCGGCACCACCATCGACATTGTTCTCGTCAACGGTGTCCTCCGCGAGGGCGACAAGATTGTGCTATGTGGAATGAACGGACCAATCGTAACGACTATCCGTGCACTCCTCACACCTCAACCGATGCGCGAGTTGCGTATCAAGTCGGCATACGTCCACAACAAGGAGGTCAAGGCCGCTCTCGGTGTCAAGATCTCCGCCCCCGGTCTCGAGAAGGCCATTGCCGGTGCCCGCATGTTCGTCGCCAAGAACTCTGACGAGGAGGAGTACTACAAGGACCTCGCCATGGACGACCTCACCTCGCTCGACAAGTTTATCCAAAAGTCGGGCCGTGGTGTCTTCGTCCAGGCATCAACTCTTGGTTCGCTCGAGGCCCTGCTCGTGTTCCTCAAGGACATGAACATTCCCGTCTTCGAGTTTGGTCTTGGTCCTGTGTACAAGAGCGCCGTTATCCGCTCAAGTCTGATGCTGGACCGCGCACCAGAGTACGCGGTCATGCTCTGTTTCGATGTGCCAGTCACATTCGAGGCTGAGGAGGCGGCCAAGCGTGACGGTGTCAAGATCTTCTCGGCCATGATCATCTACCACCTCTTCGACGCGTTCAAGAAGCACATGGAGGAGGTCAAGGAGGCTCGCCAGAAGGAGGCTGCCCCCGCCGCTGTCTGGCCCTGCAGGCTCAAGATCATCAAGGCCTTTGCTTCCAAGGACCCCATCATTGTCGGTTGTGACATTATCGACGGTGCCACTTGCCGTGTCGGCACTCCCGTCGGTGTCGTGCGCTACGACAAGGAGAAGGGTACCCGTGAGATTATCACCCTGGGTAAAATCACCGGTCTCGAGATCAACCACAAGACCATGCCCCTGGTCAAGAGGTATCAGACCGGTGCCGGTGTTGCCGTCAAGATTGAGCGTGCCGCCCACCAGGCCTCCAGGTCGTTTGGTCGCCACTTCGACGAGAAGGACGAGATTGTGTCCCTCATCTCGCGCAAGTCGCTTGACACATTGAGTAAGTGGACACGCACTTTGCAATCCCCCATGTTTCGATTGCTCACACCCCTACAGAGTCCACCTTCCGCGACCAGGTCGACATGTCTGATTGGGCTCTCCTTAAGCGCCTCAAGGTGGAGCAGGGAGTTAACTAGAACACGTCCGGACATGGCGTATGCATCGTTTTGTATCGTGAACTGGAAGCAAGGAGGCGGAGGGTGACGTGGGAGGCCCTCCTACCGGCGTTGGTGGTGCCCGGGATCGAGCATACACTGTGACCGTGTGTGGCCAATAGGGATGCGCCGATTGCGCTGGTTGCGAGCACATGACGACCATAACGACTCGCCTACAAACGATACCAACCTTCTCTCGTTCTCTAGCTCAGGCGTACAGTTCGCCAAGCAAGCTTTGAGTAGTTCTATTGTCCTCTATCGCAAAACAGGCTTTCGTGTTCGGAGACATAGCTCAGCTGGGAGAGCGAGCGACTGAAGTTCAGTCATCAGGACTCACATCTGTGAGCTCATCGCTAGGTCGGGTGTTCGATCCACCCTGGCTCCAATACAACGTGCTTACAAGCACAACATCTATTTTGGCATGCATGGCATCTGTTTGCAGAAGACAAAGAACGAGGTCGTCTAGTAGAACGAGTGCTGCGGCGGGTGTTTTGTGATTTTGATGTATTTTCGGGGATTTGTTTTCGGACGCTTCCCATCGCTGTCAGCTTGCCGCACGGTGAGGGACTGGGGGGTGGACGAAGTAGCTGTGTTGGTGTGTCCTCCCTTCAGAATCCCTACTGTGCATAGGTTTTACGCGCCATCTGCCGGCCAAGCACATGAGCTGTGTGGTGTGGTTCAATTTCATTGTTCGTCTGGGCAACATTTTTACGCCGGACTGCAGCACTGAATGGAGACTCGATTTTCCATTGAACGCCCGCGCATGTAGGCTACGGAACGACTATACTTTGGGACTGCACGGCCCTTGATTCTACATTTTCGTCCCTCTCATGCTACCTTTGGCGGTATAGGCCCACTTTTGTTATTGACGAAGGGAGTCAGGCGAGGTGTAAGGCGATTTTGCGCCACATCACCACGGCCGAGGGCGTACCGGGTGGGACGGAGGAGGAGGGAAGGTAGGTGAAGCCACGGGCGGGAGACCGATCTGGTGACGGGACATGTTTTCGGTTCTTGTTGTGCAGTCGGTGTCCTTTTCGATTTGGGGGTGAAAGTCGAGTTGCGAAGGCTGGGTCTGGCATCCACACCCACCGCCAGAGTGGACTGCTTTTATCTCTTTTTGGACCTCCCTCGCCCATTTGGCAACATACCAGGTGGTCCGGTCCGCAGTTCGGGGTCCTTGATTTGTCTGTGAATTTGCGCTATGTTCTGGAGGGACTCGCGCCATGGCGTGGGTTGTGTGAGCATACAATGTGAAGTAATGATGTCCGTTTGTTCGTCCGGCCAGTTCAGAGAGTGTGGGCGGCTATCATTGATGGCAGTCGTTCGTTGCAATCTCATCATCTGGTCTCGACCACTATGTACCCAGCGCTTGAGCACCAGGAGAAATTCCCCGAGGTGTTCATTTTTTTGGAACTGACTACAAGTGGCCCTTCGATGGTGAGGGGAATCACCGGAGATTTGATGTCTGTAGAGGCACAATTGGACCGATACCACGCACCCACGACGCATCCAATATCCGCCCACTACATTGTGCCTACCTCTCCGCCTCGTGTACACCATTACACTTGCTGTACACTGCACTGCCTTACCGGCACGCTCTTGCCTCGCCCCAAAGCTGAAAGGCAATCCTTCCATGTTCCTGAACGATTGTACGATTGTGGACCCACAACCAGCTTTCCAACTGCGATTCATTCAGTGCGACAACGTAGCCGCCGCTTGGGACCGCACATTCTCACTCATCGACGGTTGCTTCACGTCTAACAATTGCAGACGGCATGTTTAGACAGGTGGTGAGAGGTTACTACATATGTACATATGTATAATGGACAGAGACAACTATGCGACAAGCGACAGGATACACAACTTTGCTCCACCTATTGAGCCCCATCGCCACCAACCCTTCCTTCGCGACCTCTGACTCTCTCCTTCTCCTCCGCGAGCTCCAGTTCCTTCTCGAGACGGCGATTCACGCGGCGCACCTCTCTGAGCGACTTGGCAAGGTCTTTATTGTGCGACTTGACGTACGCGAGAGTGGCGCGGTTTTCATCGTCGCGGGCATTGAGCTCCGCGTGCTTCTCGTGGAGTGCGTGTAGTTCTGAAGACGCTCCACAGTCACACACGCCGTTGGTTTGCTTCTGGTTCTGCGAAGCATTCGAATCATGGTTCCGTTGCTGGTCGCGCGTGGTCTTGAGCTGGGCGATTTCGTCGTCACGTGCTGCGATTTCCGCCAGGAGTTCCCCAATCTCTTGGTCGCGCAGAGTAATGTGCCGACGGAGAAGAATCGCTGTGTCTGATGACCGGCAGGGTGTCCAAGCAAAAGGTGACGTCTTGAGCGGCGTGAGGTGCGGAAGCTGCTGGGCCGGTGGAGTCTGGGGTGTTGCCATGCCGTCGGCTTTTTCCGAGACTGGTGTTTTGCAGCCAGCGCAATGGCATATGGAAGCGTTACATGGCGCTCCAGGCGAGTCTGCAAGAAGCTGTCAGCTGACCGTAAGCTTGCAGTACATGAGCATGCCGTATGTGCAGTACCTACTCTTGATTGCATGAGAGTGCGTTGCCCCTGCGCTTGAGGATGACACCAAGCAATTCGTCACCTTACGTCAATGGCCGAACCAAGATACGAGACGGACATACCACATCTTTCAACCCATTCGAGACCTTGTCCGCCGTCGCCGTCTTGGGAACGCCGTCGATCTCGGCCTCGTCGTTACCTGCACCGCCCGTAGTGCGGGGGCCAGCCAAATTGCTCTTGGCTGGCATGGTGGCAAAACAGGTCTCAGGTGAAATGGGGTGGCGTGAACCGGCGGAAGACACAAGCAGTCTGCACTCGGCAGGGAGATCGGCAATCTGTAATATGTTGCGCCGGCAAACAACACTCGCGGGTTTGCAAGCGGCGGCTCTGATGCGTAGCTGAAAGACAAAGGAGAGTGATGGATGGTGTAGGATGCATAGAACAGAAGTCCCATCACTGATTCACCGCACAACCCCGCATTGACGTGTGTGGCTGGGGCCTGGGTTCTGCGTGGCGCACACAATCTGTCTCTGGGCGCTCACACACACATTTCGGCAGCATTTTCGGCATGTTTCAACCACTTGCATGTAGTCTTTTATACCTACTCACGCGATCACGCGTCTTCTTCGACTCGTCGTACTCGTGTGACATGGTGTTGTGCTGATGCATGAAGACTCATAGACTACAGACGTTGCTAGATACACTTGAAGGACGCTTACAACCCCACGCGCCATTGCGGGGTTCGGGATATTGCCGGCCAGGGATGATGCAGATGAGAGACAAGCACGGAGACGGATTCTTTCAACTGTGTAGAACTTGTCTCAGCACACTTTTCTTATTCACACGAGTTGCCCCAGTCAAACTCACACGTATGACAAAAAACCTAGAATCATGCAGCAGTGGTAGCCGTGGTAAGAGGGGCCCTAGCGAGATGGTACTGCTTGGGGCTGGGGACGGAGACGGGGGTGCTGGTCTTGGATTTGGGTTTGTCGCTGTACTCGTCCATGGAGATGACTGAGCTTGTCTCGTCACGGTCGTCACGCATGTCGGTCTCGTCGATGAGGTTGAGAATGGTCTCAATCTCGGCCATCCAGGCTAGGTCCGCAGCGTGGTTGTTGCGGGTGCTGGGCCACATCGTAGTGAGGAGGGAGATGGAACGGAAGGTAGACTCTGAGTGGCGAGTGGCCTGTGGAGAGAGTGTGTGGTGACAGAGTAGTGTCGTGTGTGCGCGAATGGCGGCGGCACAGCCGGTCGCCGGGTTCGTTATGAATGGTCACAAAGAAGAAGAAGTAACAGGAGTGTTGTGTGCTTTTGAGAGGGTGGTACGAGCGAGAAGCCTGGCTCGAGAATATGTATCAGTTTGCACATTGTCGGCTCATTGAGAGCGGCCGCCACCGCCCATTATATGGGCTGAGTGACAGCGGGGCAGCCTTGGCGTCATCGGGCGTCAGCCGCGGCGTGGGAAACGGTTGGGCGATCACCGACTGTTGGGATGTGCATATGCACAAGTCTGTGCGCGTCATGTCGAGCTCCATATTGACACATGCACTCGTCCATGCAAGGACATGGTGTCGGACCCGTTGACATTGTGACATCGTAGGCAATGTCCATCGTGCCCAAACCCCACCAGATCGCAAGGGCGTCGGGGCTTCGTCAGGTGCTGGCTTGCCGCCGGCCCCGGCAGCACTCGCAGGGTTGTTGGCTGCTCGCAACACATGTGAGCTGCAACAGACCAGTGTCAGAGCGTCACTTTTGAGCTGTAAGTAGTTCCAACGATCAACGTTTGCAGTCTCGCCATCGCATCGCCTTACGTGACACGTCTGGACCCTCTGCCGCTTCCCCAGGTTCATCTCTTGTCCATGTCCGCAAAGAAGCAGTGGCATTGTGGTACGCCACACACTTGCCAAGGTGTCCTTCGTCCTCTGTGTGGATGCGGCAGTGAGGGTATGTGAGATCCTGTCGGGCAATGAGAGACCGACGGGGATGGGTCAAGCCGGCGGGTCTTCTACGTAACCGCCGACTTGTACAACCGACCGTGGGTTTCCAATCATCGACTCCGGTACACTAGTCGGCTCGGGACGAAGAGCCCCGATGAGAGCAGCCCAGGCGCGAAGCCTGTACTCGCATCTATCCAATGTAAACACGTAGAGTGGCCGCAGCCGTGGACACTGACAGACCTTGCATTGCCTCGCTACCGTAGTCTCCATACGGGGACAGCACCGGCCATGTGTGAATCGCGCACAGCCTCTTCCAAAAACGGACCGAGATGTGGAGCTGCAGTCACTTTGCCTGTCATCTTGCAAGCTGCAAAAGGAAACGGGGTGAGCTGTATTTCGTGTGCAGGTGGGGTGGGTAACGGCATACAGTGTGCTCGAGACTCACACCATGTCGGCGTACGCGTCGGCCCACCGGCTTCCGCGGAGAAACCCATCCAGCTGTCTGGGCGGAAGTGGACAACGAGAATCCACTCTCTCAAAATAGCAGAGTTGGTGGCACACTGCCTCCGTGGCATCTTATGCGCTGCATCTAACGAAACTATTCACAATAGAGGAGACTAGGATGTAAGGCGGATGCCAACAAGAAGGTGATCTGCTCCACATATGTGGAACCTGGTTACTTTGCTGATGCCAGCTTCACCACGTTTGGTAACAGTGTAACCATTACGTTAGGCCGTTGTCAACATGTCGGTTGGCCTCTCGTATCCGCTGGTCCATCACAGCAAATGCAGTGCGCTGCGCCCCGCATCTGGATGCACCAAGATCCTGGACGACACACCTCTCCAGACGTAACTACTCGGTACCCCAGATCGCCTTCGCTCGTTAACGACCGGCCCGCGGAGTCCGGCCTCACTGTAGATCATACTCCAAGAAGGCACCCGTCATTTTTCCCACTGTCGTAATCTTGGCATCAAAGCTTAAGCACGGCCGCCAACGTATCCACAGAGAAAGACCACCTTGGGGCCCTTAGGCCCTCGGCACGAGGCCCGGGTCCTTCGACGGCCACGAGGGTCGGCCCCAGAGTATGCTTATCGGTTCGGATGTCGCTGCGTTGCATGCCTTGGCGGCGACGCCATGTGGTCCTTTTGGAATTTACAGCGTCGTCTCGAGTATGTACTCCACCCCACCCACGAGTTCTTGCTGTCCGTCGGTAAGTCGATCCTATTAAAGAGCAATATGACCGCTGGGAACACGTCCTCCCCCCCCCCCAAAACCCACTCTTCACTCTCCCCTTGCTTGACTTTGAACCCCCGAGCTTTCAACCATGATCAAAGGTCTCTTCCTCGTTGTGGCGGTTATGGCCGCCACTCTCAATGGCGCCAGCGGGCACTCCCTCGGTGACCTGAGCAATGATCGTTCGCTACTACAAGCGCGTGGTGGTGGTGGTGGTGACGGTGATCATGGAGGTGGTCATGGAGGTGGTCATGGAGGCGGTCATGGTGGTGATCATGGTGGCGGTCATGGTGGTGGCCATGGTGGTGGTGGTGGTGGTGGTGGCCATGGTGGTGGTGGTGGCAACGGTCACTGGGGTGGGAACGGCGGACAGAAGAACGGCTGTGTCTGCTCTGGCTACCAGGACAGCCACCCCAACCACAACGGTGGCAAGAAGACTGTGAGTGCAAACGTGGGGCAGCTTGGCTAATGGACCAGACTGTCTTCTACGACTCTAGTTCTGGCTGGTGCTGGTCAAACAACAAGCTCAAGTCGGAGTGTGGCGGCAAGGACTGGACACACGACTTTGACCAGGGTATCGACAACGGCTTTGTCAACGGTGCGGCTGCCCATGCGCTCTGCAAAGCCAAGGGCATCAAGGGTAGCTGCCGCGACCACTACACCGAGCAGTTTACCAACTCAAAGTCGGCTAGCGACTGTGACAACTGCAACTTTAGCGAGGGCCAGATTCGCGACGGCTGCAACTGTGCATGGAAGTGCGACAACGGCTACGTCAAGTGTGGCAACAAGTGCCAAAGGGGCCACAACTGCCCCAGCAAGGGTCACTGGAAGGCTCGCGAGTTTGTGCTTGCTTGCACGCGTGGCACTGTGCAGTGCCCCACCCCGAACGGCGGATACGAGTGCCTCGACACCCAGTCCGACCTTGAGGCATGCGGTGGATGCCCCGGTTCCGACAGCTCCGTCGACTGCTCTGCGATGCCCAACGTGCGCAACGTGCAGTGCGTCGATGGTCAGTGCCAGATCTCCTCTTGCCTCCGTGGCTCCACTCTCATCGATGGCCAATGTCTCTGAGTTTCGTTCCCGTACAGTCAGGTGTAGTATCTCCCCGTCTTTAGTAGAGTCGCGTGATAGCGCCGAACACTGGACAATATTATTGTTTTCCCGTAGTGAGTCCGCCGGACAGTGACTTGCCACCTCCGTACAGTGCTTCCATAGCCCGAACAGTAGACCATATGCAGTGTGTTTTTTTTTTGCATCGGAGTTGTGCTCGCCAGTACGTTTCCCAGACTACGTGGTGAGCTTGGTGCCACTCTGGGTAATACAGTTTTCTGGGGGGAATGGGGGCCTCCTCATTTTGGTTATTGTTCAGCACTTGAGACGTGCGAAGCGTGCGGCTCAGTCGTGGATCACGTAACTACATACTCTAATGTGCGTCTAATGTCTCCGACCCGATGCGCTCTCTCTCGCATTCGTTCGATAAGGGCATGCAACACGCGTGTGAGGGAAAACGCAGTGACTCGGTGGATCCATGGAATTACCATGCCAAGCCGAGAGCAATGCACAGCACAGGGAACCGGGAACCTGTGGGCGGGACAAGGCGAGACGCGACTGAGGAACAGGACACGCGGGAGGACGATGTGTTCCCCATGATGGTGCACACTCACTGCACACATCAACGGCTTCCGGCGGCTTGTGTGGTCTAAAGTCCTTTTTTGGCAAAGGAACGACGGAACTGGGCCAAGCAAGATGCGTCTCCGACAGCACCGGCCATGAACAACGTCGGCGGGCTTTGCATTGATGCGAGCGAAAACGGCGCGGTTGCTCACAAATGTGTGTGATTAGTGTGGTGTTGCCGGTATTGTGCTAGGTAGTGTAGGCTTTTTCACCATGCGACCGTAGCCTGATTGAGCGACAGCACACACTGCTGTGCCGTCGTACACACAAAAAGTCACAAATCGAAGTCCGCCGGACGTGCTTGTCTTGGTGTCATCGCTAGCGGACACACTCCTAGAGCACAGCCCCCCGTGTGCAGCTTCACATAGGACGCGCCAAGAGCGTCCGCCCCATCTAGCCTCTCTTGCCAGGACCATCCTGGGTCCTGGAAGCGAGGTGCAGCCCCACAAACACAACACAGCGCGTCACTCGCTATACCCAGCTGCCCGGCCCTCACACTGCGGTATATGTTTGATAGCACCGTCCGCCTCTGGGAGGATGAATTCAGCATGGCACGGGTGCGGGAGGGGGGGGGGGGGAGGGGGGGGGGAGTCAGTCACCAGCTGATCACCGGTGAGCATGTGCATGATGGCGTGGGAGCGTGGATGCTTATATTATTATCTCTCGATGGGGTGGCGCACGGACAGCGCCGCTCTGGAGACCGGCGTGGATGCGGGGACGAGGTTCGAGCGGCCGCCGAGCGCGGCTCGAGCGTCGCGAGCGGACACCCCCCATGCCATGTGCTGAGGACACTTGGGTGAGGGTTTTACCCCGTCGGCCGTGCGTACACGTTCGTGCGGTTTCTGACGATCATGTGATCGTCGATGGTACGTTGAAAGTTTTCCGAGAGGAGTGGGACGAGCATGCTATCCGGTCACCATGTTGACAGTTGGTGTTGTCGGTGTTCTATCAGTGTGGCTGCCAAAGCCAAGTCAGCCCCTCCACAATCATGTCGCAACTCAATTGAGTACCAAGTTCTGGGGTCAGCCCTGGTTAGAAGCCCGTCCAGCAAAATGTATATGTACGACTCATTCGAGGCGGTGGCACTAGGAAGGCACAATTAATGCCCAACAGGATACCCAGCTCGCGTCCCACCGCTAGTGTAATCGTGTGTGAACTCGTAATGTTCCAGTGAGCGGGCATCGATCGATTGAGTTGGATTGAACATGTGTTCCTGCGGAAGTTTTGAACTCGTTGCCACAAAAACACACAAAAGTCGAAGAAAACACAATTGCGGCCGACAACCTCACGGATCGCCCGCTGGGCGGTAGGGTAAGAAAGCGATGTAACACTGCTCTTTCAGTTACGAACAGCTCCATGGGACCTGGTCATTGTAACGACTGCGCGCCTGTTCGCACTGCGGTGGCCTGTCGGGCCTGTGGCACTGGTAACCCCAGCCTCATGCCGGCGGCCCGTTGACGGTGAACCAAGCGGCACAGGTCTTGGCAGCTTATCTCTCGCGCGGGCCGTTCACAGTGGTGGTGCATCGTTCTGGCTGTAGTTGTCCCGTCCACGCCGTCCGCAGAATATCTGGGGCAGACGACGAGGTCGCACCGCATCATAGCCCGCTTGGTGCAACGTATTCCTACCACAACGAGCCACTTTCGATTGCGCCCCGCACACCCCGCAGTTTGCAGTCAGACCCTGTGTGGTTCCCTGTTGGCTGTTGGCATCCTTGTTGTCGATGGCTTTTACTCTTTTTTTCTGTCTGCGTCTTGTCATCCATGTCACACACATGCAGCTCCCCCACCCCCAGCACAGTCGGCCACGGAACCCTGTTCCTCCTGAGCCACCTTTTGAGCCACCGTTCTACCCGCCCTTCTAGCCTCGGACACAGCTGATCCTGCACCTTGACGCACATGCTGTGGCCCTTCGGGCCGTCTGCCAGTGCGCATTTAAACCCCCACATCACGCCATGGCGATGCTTCCTCACTCTTCCTGGAGAACGGCGCCGTGGCCGTGGCAGGGCACGCCCAAATCACGGAGTAACTCACGCCACGGTCCGAGCGAGTGAGCGCCACCGCCACGGAGACGAGGCCATACAGGAAACCTGCCTGGTGTCGACGTACGACGTGTACAGGGAGTGTACAGGGGACTGTCTGCGCATGTTCTGCTCTGCAAGGCCCCCCACAAGCTACAAGAGGACACGTCCCGTCCAGTCGACACTTTTGGCGGTTTGAGGGCGGGTTTCAGCCGCCACCGTGACGGGCTAACATGACACATAACCACGCCTCCCACCACACCCACCACCCAATTACCTAGGCAGAGTCGTAGCCGCGTCCGCTCCCCCCACGCGCACATGTGCACCTCGACAACCTATGGAATACCTCAGCGGCCCGCCGGTACCAGTTGGCCGATGCTGTGGCTGTCCCATTCCGACAGCCATTCCGACACTGGCTGCTGGAGCGGCGCTGCGCCTCTTGTGTGTGGCCTGTGTGGGGCTGAGCTGAGGCAGGACGAGCCACCGGCGCCGGTTTCTTGTCGCCCAAACACAGGACCGAAAGGCGCAAATGAGGTTGGCGGTTACTGCCTCTGTGGTGGCTCTGTGGCGATGGCAGGCGCACGGCACGGCATACGGCATGGCACGGACGGTCGGCAGTCCCTGCGCTTTTTGTGGTGCGCGTTCGTCGGCGCAGACAACGGTGACCCCGACAAGCCCGAGGCTGAATTGGTGCATAGACCGCAAACATGTCCGAAAGGCTGAGGGAAATAGAATGGGCTGTAGAAGAACGACAGCGAACCAAACTGGAGAGGAGGTGGTGGCTTTGTGCAAAGGTGCCTTGGTTCCCCCACTGTTGCTTCCTACACTAGTTCAATTGGTCGAGATGTGCTCCACATGGGTCGAGGTATGCTGGATGGCCAGACTGGGACCTGGCGTACAGAAACAGAAACACCACTAGGGTCAGAATACGCTGGGCGGCCGGCTCGCAATTGAGGTGACAACCGGTGTGGCTGAAGATCTGACAACACAGAGTTCATCCGACTCACAGTCAATGTTTGGACTGCGGGCGGCAGCCATGCAAGGCAAGGCGCTTCTGAGGGCGTGGACAGTGGCACACAACGATGCAAACGTCTCAAGGAGGTGCATATGCATTCCACTTCCTTGTTGCGGGAAGACGGCGAGGACAGAGGTACAAGGGCGTTTGGCACAGATAAACAAGACCGTCTAGAACCAAGTGTGCCCAATGGAGAGGGCAGTCGGCAGTTCAGGACCCAGCCCCCTCCTCCCCTCCCCTTCCCCCACATCCCAGAAAACTGGGGTATGTGTCGGAAAGTGGTCTCAGGCTGAAGCAAGGTGTCCCCATTTGTGCTTTTGCCACGGTGTGCCAACGACGTATCCAAGCTCGACGAGGACAACCAACTTGAAATACGCTTGCGCGTCACCGTTGCTACCGTTGCTACTGTTGCTACCGGTGCCACCGCCGAGGGCGGCAAGGGCGTTTCGACGAGCTCGGTACTTGAGGTCGGCTACTTCGGCCTCGAGGCGCTGGATGAGGCTATTCGCTTCCTCAAGGGGGTTGCGCTGCGCCTGGTGGCCGGCGACACGCCGAAGTGAGGCAGTTTCAGTCTCCAGCGCAGAGGTTTTGGCACGAAGGACATTGTTGGCAGACAGCAGAGCGGCCACACGAGCTTGGAACTGATGCTCGACGGCTTTGCTTTTGCTTTCTAGCTCGGCGTTGCGAATCTTGAGTTCGTTGACCTTGATCAAGATCTTGCGAGCGGGGGTCGAGCGTGGTGTTACTTTGGAGTAGTGCCTAAGGACAGGCGTCTTCTTGATAGGAGTGTGGTGGACCAGGTTGTTTGAGGGCGTCTTGGGAGCAGGAGTGGCATAGACAGGAGACGAGTCTGTGGAGGACGAGGCGCTGATTGGACTGGTGGCGAGTGGGCTGGTGGCGGCGGTGTTACTGGAGAGCGGACTGCCGATAAATGGACTGCTGGCCCGTGTACGTTTGAGCAGTACATTCTCCAGGGGTGTGCTCTTGATGGGAATATCCTTGATTGCAGTGGCATCCACAACACTCTTCCATGGTGTGCCCTTGTGTCTCTTTGGCGTGGAAGGAGAATCGCGAACCGGGATTTCTCCATGGTTAGCAAATAATACACAGTTGTGGTATCTCACGGATGTTGGGGTCCCTTTCCTGCACGGGAGTACCCTTGGCCTTGACCATGGCGGCAGATGCCTTGATGGTCTTGTTTCTGAGGGGTGAATCGTGCGGCTTGATGGCCGGCATGGACTTGGGCTTGGCTTGAAGCTTGCCTCGACCAGCGCTCACATGCTGCCTGGAGTCTTCTTTGACTTGCCCGCCGGATTCCGGCTCAGGCGCCGCCTCCCCCGCAGTCCTCGACGGGGTAATAATAAACAGTGATGGCGATGATGCACGCTTCGAGCGGCGCGGGGTCTTCATTCCAGTATTCCCATTGGCACTAATGCTACCCGTCGCAAGTCCAGGCGCCGTCGACGAGGCTTCTTCGTCGCGCACGGGCGTCACAACAAGTGCGGGGACGGTCATGTTCAGGGATGGGAGTGGGGTTGGAGTCACGGGGAGCTGACTGTCGTCGCAGAGGAGAGACGAGGGGGTCAAGGTTGTCTGTCTGTGCAGCTGAGCCTGGTGGGTGTGAGAGTCTTGATGGGCGGGGCTGCATGGATGGACATACTGGGGTGCCTTTCACAGAAGGAGCATCTTGAAAGGGAGACGGTGTGCTACGCTCTTGGAAAGGAGAGGAACTCGAAGAGGCCTGTCGTCAGTACACATGCAGTCCCATAGGCGCTCACAAGACCACTGGAAGGACTGCGTTTGAACTTTTCGGGTGTTGGAGGAAGACCCGGTATGGCCTCGGGGTCGTAGAATGAACGAGTCATGTTTTGAGCTGCACCCACTGTGATGGATCAGTGTCTGGAGGAGAACGAGGGTTCAGAGCGTCGTGTACGCTGTTATACGCCTGTCTCCATGTCTGGATGTTTGTTCTGATCGCCAGAGATCAGTGATGGCCATAGCTCGGAGCGGAATGTGCGGAGGTGATCACCCAAGGATGGCAACGGTGAAGTAAACAGCGGAACCTCAGACAGGCACTTTCAGTCATGAGATTTGTTCACATGTTGCCTGGGAACGGTGTACATGCTACCCAAACGCTCTCTGGATGTTTTGAATAGTATATTTATCGTCTGGGGATGTTGACGAGCAAAGAGAAGACACAGTCGCAGAGTTGGAAGACTCGGCTCTGAAAGCCTGGTGCTGTTGGGCTCTCTCTAGCTCCTTGCGGTAATGTTTCTGCGTTACAGGTCCTGGAATTGCCATGTTTGACCTTTCCGCGCTGTCATTTAGACACGACGCGTCAGTCTCACTCTACATCTGCAGCCCAATCTCTTTGGCAGCATACAAATGCATGCATGCATATGCGATGCATGTATCGGACAACAGGCAGACGTCTCTGCCTGCCGTGTCACTGTTGTGTTCTGCATCCGTTGTGGACATTCCTTGACGACGCCCATGACGCACAGACCCGTCGGCAGTCGAGCCCGTCCCCCATTACCTTTCACGTTTCACACGCGACTTCTTTTCTTCTCTATCCGTCAACACCATCCCCCCGTTCCCCATGCTCCGTGTCCCCGGCCCACCAGCCTACTCGTGCAGACTGCCCAACGGCGCCCCGCCGGTCTCGCCGGTGCGTGGCAGCTCCGAGAGTCCCGAGGTCAAAGGTGAGTGCGGCCGAACAAGGAAAGAAGAGCACCTGGGCGGCGCTCTGTGCACGGCCGGCGGAGTGCTGGCGTACCCGTCGTTGTCATTACGGCGCAGTCTCGACCCAGGCCTTGGACCCCGACAGCGACGCCGCTGTCCTGTATGGCCTTCGCACCATTCCTCATGCATCGCTGACCTGACCCAGTTATTCCTCCATCCCCTATCCCAGGCTCGCGCGCGTCCAAGGCCGCAGGGTACGCACTGTTGCAGAGCCTCCAGCGCATGCTCGACACTGCAGAGGCCGAGCGCAACGGTCAACGCACGCCCAACTTGTCGAAAGCGACTCTCCGTCCTCCGTCACCCGACACAGTGCGCCTGCTCGACTTTGGGAGGCTGAGTCTCGAGGGCAAGCGCCGTGCCGTTGAGTTGGGGGCGCTGGAGGCGCCAGTCTCCCCAAAGTCCGTCGTTCCACGCACACCTCTCGGCCCCGCTAAGCGGTTGCTGCCCACAATCCATGTCAAGCCGAGTGAGCAGCCTTGCCGGGGTTGAGACGCACAAGCGACCCGTCGGCAAGAAAGACCGCTGCACGCATGGCAGACGTGGATGGAGTTGGAACTACCCAATCCCCCCCATCCCGTCGAAAACTGCGCACCGTCGTCGCTTGCACCGCTTGCGCCTCCGCAGTCCCACATCTAGGCGCATGGCAACATCGTGTCTATAGTAGTGTGGAGGACGGGGGGGAGTTTGTATGTACGTTAGCGCTCTACTAGCACTGTGTGTTTCCTATATGCATGTCTGGCATCAGCACCAACCGCAGGTCGTTGCAGGAATTGACGCCGACCTCGCGACCTCAAACACAGGGCCAGCGACACTAGAGCCACGCTGCAGCGTGGTTGCCGCTGGCCAGACTCCAGGGACCGCAATGTATACTGTAAGTACTTGTGCGCAGAGCACTAGCCCGCTAGCGCCTCCAAACTCAATTCAGTTGGCTCTGTAGCTCTGTACCTTTCATACGAGGAGCGCCGACTCTGGAGTAGACCATACAGCCATTAGGAAAAGTGTTTGTCCCGGTCCCCCAATGTCTCGGAAGGGGGTGCACTAGCGGGAGGCACACGATGTTGGGTGACAAACAGGAGACAGCTGGAATACATTACTCAATAGCAATCAAGGTTTTGATCGTCATGAACTTGTCTCGCAGATACCTTACAGCGCACAACAAGATTTTATGCGTGGCGATCGACCTATGCGGTCTACTGAGAATGGCGTCTAAAGATTGAACGAAAGATGTCGTCAAAATTTTTGCGAAAAGAAGAGAGAATGGGTCCAACGAGGCCACAACGTTGACATGTTTCGGCCGCCGGATCCATTGTAGGCCTGTCTGTGAATCCCACCAGACGTGTTGTGATGGTGTAAGCAAGTCCATGTCGGCGAGACCTTCTCAACATGTCGGCCGAATTGCCGCCAGGCGGTGAATGCCTCTGTAGCCCCCAATCGATCTATCCTGCACGAGAATCACACCTGTGCGCACCAAAAAAGCCACTAGCACCCACAGTTTTGAGGGTACCCGCGCGACTGCACAATCTGATATGGCATGGTAAGCCTAATCGCCCCAATGAGAATCGCTCGCTATCGTGCATGCTCTGCTCCTCGCACCAAATCCGGGCTGGTCGGCACCGGTGCCACATTGGTCCTCCCTATCGCACGTTTCACCACCGAGACTGCCCACCTGTGCACACCTCGGTCTGCACGATGCTTGGCGCAGAGCTTGGCACATCCCCAGGGGGATACGGTGGTGAATAAGGTGAGACTGCCTGCAGGAAGATCGGTTAGAACTGCGGGATCAGGCAATGGCCGAGGTGTCCTGGTTCCTTTTTTTTGGTAACGATCTGAACGGTTGCTTGCGTCCACTTTTTGTTGGGACTGATCCGATCCTCAAGCCATATCGGTCAGTGACCGCAAAGGTCGCCCCTTGCCGGCATGTCCACTTGCAAAGCTGCCCTGTACTGACCATGCGCGCCGGGGGCCTTGTTTCCTTTCAGCGTTTTCCTTTCCCCATTGAGAAGCGCGTTCGCACGTCCGGTACAATGTCGAAAGGGGGCAACGACAGCCATAGAAGCGCGAAGTCTGCCACTCCCCCACCTCGGCGCTTTCCAGTGCTGCGCGGCTAGCGTCAACGTGTGCTGGAACGTGTCCGATCGCGGAGGGGGCCCAGTGGGTTGGAATCGATCACTCCGGCGCCCTAAGGGTGCAAGAGTCCTTTTTTTGTACCATTTGACGTTGGCATCTCGAAATTTCACCGCGTTGGCCGAAACACAGGTTCGCCATGGACCCATGGACAACACCTCTCTCTCTCTCTCATCGGCGCGTCTGCCTTTCCCTTTCCCCTTTCCCTGACCAGTGTCAGTCTTGCCCACCTTGATAGGTCGTTTGGCGCGCTCGGAGCGCGTCGCGGTCCATTTGTGGCCGAACTGTCTACCGGTCCAGACAACCACGTCCACTGGTGTCCTAAAATCAAAGCGCACAGGTGAGACACTGCCTGAACAATGAGCCGAAGCCAACACCCTTTGTGTAGGCCACCGATTTTGACGAGTCCTGGCCTCAGCGTGCAAAGTCCTGACCCACGGAACGCGCGGCCAGTCCTGGCATCATGGAACCAACCACCCAGCTGCCCAGTCCACCGTGAGCGAGCAGGGTTTGTGCGATTTTCCTTATCCTCTCGGTCGGCGGCGTTGGGTCTCGGGTCCAAGCCTCCTTGTCTGACCCACAACGGCCCACACCCTGACCCCAAATATCCTGGACATCAAGTCCGTCCACCCGACCTGCGACCAGATGGAGTAACTTATCGCAGTGGTGTCGCATGTCCGTGTGGCCGTGTGCGCACGCTTGGCGTCATATTCGAAAAACATATATCGCAGCAACACAGCAACCCTGCATCTGACCTTGGAACCTTGTGGACAGCAGGTTCTAGAGAGGTGTGACAAGCGTTACACTCGGACGGAGTCCGTCAGTGGGACTGTGTGTCTCTCTGTGAAAGTGCCAACGAAAAAAAAAAAAAGTTGCAGTTGCGTGCTTCCATTCCGCGCACATCCTCCCCGCCGCCTCTGCCCTTGTCCATCGATCGCAGGCGGATCAGAGCACGGAGGGGAGGGTAAGGAAAGGAGGCAAAGAGGCAAGGACGGTGGCGGCGTTCAGGTGTGGGCGTGGATGACCGTGTGCCGCCGGCGTCCGCCCAGTGTTCTCCTTGTCTGACATGTCGCAAGCACACTAAGAGTGGGCTAGGCTGTGGCGACAGCCGACCGAAAAAAAAGTTGTTTAAAATTTCAGTGTATTCCACCCGCGACAAGGATCTAGGTCGTCAAAGTGGACGCATGTGCACGCGTGGATCGTGGACGCCATCGCGCACATGCGGCTGTCCACTTGCAACTTGCCGGCCCGCCGGCCCCTTCCACCGGCGCCCCCTCTAGGATAGGGATACTTGCGGCAAGTGGTGGTGTGTGTGCATTGACACGACCACAAACTCGGTTACTCGGGTGACTGTGGGTGTGCGCGTGGTGGACTGGAGAAAATAGGGCAGTCGCGAGAACAAGAGAAGAAAAAAAAAAAAACACGGGGGGCGATCGTCACGATCGTAAAGGTGTGACCGGCACCAGGTCCCGTCCATCCGCGCCTCAACGCCCACGACGAAAGTGTAACCGACATTGAGAGCTACAGTACAAGTTCTTTGTTCTTTGTTGTGCCGTGCCCCATATTCCCACACCCAAACTAGGGTTCCGCAGCGAGCTCGCTACAGCGCTCCAGCCCTTTGGAACTTGGGCAAGCGTATGCATTCTCGGTAAACCCGCGCAGTAGTGTGGCTGAAAGTGGCGATACAAGGTGGACGCGGCGACTGTGGATCCTGCAGACGCCAACGGGGTCTGCGTGTGCTCCGGCTCCCGGACGGCTCCCGGACATGAACATGGGGGAACCGGATCTGCACGGCTGTCGGTGACATTGCTCCAAGCGTGACGGGGCAGGAATGGCAACGAGCAGTGGTGGCCGGCCATTCATGAAGATTGTTCTGTTTTGGCAGAGGCAGATGATACGCGCCGCCCCGAGCGCCGCAGTGGCGTACCGGCTCGAGTATGCGCCATGTCTCTATGCCCGCTATGCCACTAGCTATGTGTCAGGCGTACTGAACGTCGTTTCTGCTCGCCGTTGAATTGCTAGTCCTTGCAGTGGAGATCTCCATGAACCAGATCGTTTAGTAGTGTGTTCAACAAGAGACAGTGACATGACATAAATGAATGGGGCGGGGAATGGTGGACGCGCAGCTACCCGAGCTGGCTGTGGCGGCGACATGCAGGGTTGGTGTTCGGAAGCTGCCGGTGGGCTCTGTGGTGGTTCAATCCTGGTCCCATCGCCGGCGTGCAGTAGTGGCAGTTAGCAGCCCAAGCATCAGTCGCCGTCTGCGTTAGCGGATCGCCCTCCGCAAAGTCACCATACAAGAGGTCCGAATTGGCTTGGCATTGATCGTTGTGGAACGTTGGGCTCTACATGTCTCGGATGCACGCACGGCCAGGATTCTCGGACCATGTTGTCTAAGGTGCAAGGGACCCCACTGTGACCATGTCCCAAGACCGTGCTTGCTGTGTGCACTGGCGGTGATTCCATGAAACGGCCAGTACAAGACGCCGAAGTCGCCGAGGAACTTGACGCAGACATGCTAGCGACTAGTCTCACTCAGTCCATGTCCACATACCTCTGCAAGGAAAGGGGAGGGGGCTAAGGCCTCAGTAGGGGGGAATGGTGTCACAGAGAAGGCTAACACGGTGATTGACACGGTCGGTGGATGAGTGCTCGGACGTTGCATTTCGCTGCATACCTCGACAATCGACGCCGCTCCGTTAAGGCTGCTAAGGCTCCTGAATAGGGCCAGATACAACCCGAAAGAGAACGGACACAGCTTGTGCGAGGAATGCAATCGTCAGAGACGCGCCAACAAGGCTGCTGCGCCGCCAACATTGGTCAAGCAAAACCTCACCCCCCCACATATGCCACATACCCTTTGCTCGTTTACGAAGAGATCCCACAGATAGGGTCTGGTGCATGACGTTCCTCCATACATGTCCAACTGATACGCCTTTTGCGGGCCGTTGAGCCAGCTAAGCGACCCCGTGTGTGCCATGCTGAGACGATCGAAATGTGTGGCAGTAGGTGTGCCACTGGGGACAGAGGTATGTGGCTGGGCGAGAGTGGTATGGCCGTTGTGCACTAGCAGCTCACCGATCCACCGAGGTGATACAGCGCTACTGAAAGCGATCACATCAGACTGAAGGGTTGCGATCCCTTCGATGCGCCGTCGGGGGGGCGAGGAAGCCTGTCGGTGCTTGTCCGGGGCATGTGGGGCAATAGGAAATGGGCTTTCCGGGCTGGGTGGACAGATGATTGCCTCTCCTAGGTTTTTTGGGTTGTCGGCTCTCGGAATTCCCGGTACGGAAAGCGGAGAAACCTGAGCGACAGAACCTACCCCCTGGATAACGGTTAGGCATCGCTTGCAAGCGAGAAGACAC